AACCCAGACATCCCTAAGAAGAATAAACCCAGACATCCCTAAGAAAAAACCCAGACATCCCTAAGAAAAAACCCAGACATCCCTAAGAAAACCCAGACATCCCTAAGAAAAAAACCCAGACATCCCTAAGAAAACCCAGACATCCCTAAGAAAAAACCCAGAACATCCCTAAGAAAAAAACCCAGACATCCCTAAGAAAAAACCCAGACATCCCTAATAAAACCCAGACATCCCTAAGAAAAAACCCAGACATCCCTAAGAAAAACCCTAAAAAAAACCCAGACAATCCCTAAAGAAAAAACCCAGACATCCCTAAGAAAACCCAGACATCCCTAAGAAAAAACCCAGACATCCCTAAGAAAAAAACCCAGACATCCCTAAGAAAAAAACCCAGACATCCCTAAGAAATCCAGCTTCGAGCCTGGCGTCTGTCGCATATGTATCCCACGCCGTTAATCACCAAAGAATGGACCGATTTTCAGTTCCATATAGCTGTGGTGCTTCTTTTGAGACCATCACCAAACCGACCAACTCCCACTATTGAGGAACTTCACGTGGCTTTCCATTCTGCCGGTCAGGCAATGAGTCTAGTGAAAATCATGCATCGAGAAGCTTCGGCAGTATTTGCCTGGCTTACCGTCCAGAGTCTCTTCATGTGTGGATTGACGTATATTAAGTATCTACGGACTTTGTACAATGGCAACGAAGCACGCTTGTGCAAGCCATTTGTGGAGATTATTCTAGAGGTTCAAGCGTGCACTTCCATGCTTGAAACGCTATCTGCTTTGGACACTGGCGATCACGAACAGATACGAAACGTTTTTGAACTTGTGTCTTCAAACGTGCTTCATGAGCTCTCAAACTCATGCAACGTCACAAGCCAATCCGACAAAAACTGTGAGTGTATTTGGGACCGTCTTGCAAAAACCCAGAACGACTCAATACCTAGACCTACAAATATCCAGGGCAGTCCGATCGAAGTTCAAAGAGAATCCAGCATTGACTTCATCACCAAACTACAGGAAAAAAACAGCATGTTAGTGGACGACGAGCACTTTTACCAGCACGATGTGGATGCAAATGCTACTACTGGATTTATACACTCTCGTAGGTATGGAGGAGGAATGACTAGCGACTCCCAGGGCGCCGTGGCCACCAGATCGTGGAAAAACCAGGAAGCTTCTTCTACTCAAATCACAGATAAGGAAGTTCCAAGAGACTTTTCCTACCTCGAAAGAGGATATCCATCCTACCCCAGTCCAGGCATTTTCACTACACCAATGCAAGACAGCCTTCTGACCGACATGCCCAACATTCCGGACGACACGAGTGCCGATTTGGAGAGATGGTTTCTATACCCGATTTAAGGGGTTTGATTCCGCTGTGGAGGTTCGGAGGGGTTCCGAGGATCGAAATTTTCCATGTCGGAGGCCCTCCGAAGATATGCGCACCATATCTACACCTTCGGAGATGCTCCGTGTGGGGCCGAGATCACGATGAAAGACAATATATAAGGCGGGATTGATCTTGATTTTTTTTTTTTCGACATCAACAAAATGACACAGAAAATCCACGGAATCATCGCTGCCGTTGTCACCCCCATGACTGCCGATGCTCAATCGGTCGATTTGGACAATATCAAGCCCCAGGTGGACCGTTTGGCTGAAGCTGGAATTCACGGAATTGTCACCACTGGCACCACTGGCGAATTTCCCTCTCTTTCGCTCGAGGAGCACAAAAGCGTCATCAAGGCGTACATCGATGCTGCAAAAGGCCGTTTTCCAGTTATCGCAGGACTTGGATTCAACAGCACCAAGTTGGCCATTGAGATGGCTCAATTTTCCGAATCGGCTGGAGCCGCTTCTTGCATGATAGTTCCACCTTTCTACGACCCTCTTCCCTTTAAAGCGCTTTACAAGTTCTACGAAGACGTCTGTGGCTCCATTTCGATTCCCGTGATGTACTACAACTTGCCAGGTGCAACAGGCGTACATCTTACCGCTGCCCAGCTCAGAGAATTGTCCAAGATTAAGGGCTTCGATTACATGAAAGACACCTCGGGCAACGCCAAGGAATTGGCCGACCTTTTGACCAATCCATCTGACGATCTTGAGCCTTTCAACGGATGGGACACTCTTACCTTTTTTGCTATGGCTCATGGCGCCAAAGCCAGTGTCTGGGGAGTGGCCTCTGTGGTTCCTAAAGAGTGTGTGGAGCTCTGGAACACCTTCACCAAGGAGAAGGACATTGAAAAGGCCAGAGAACAGTGGAAGTTCTTGTGGGAAGTTAGTGACTTTTTCGAGAGCGTGTGCTACCCTGCTGCCGTCAAGGCTGCTTTGGAAATTGTGGGCCATTCTGCTGGACCTGTGAGAGATCCTACCTTGCCATTGGAGAAGAAGGATCGCGAGAAGTTGGCCGAGATTCTCAAGAAGAGAAAGTATTAAACGAGGAAGAAGATGTTGGCAGAGATTATTGATGATCAAAGTGGGAACTCTTTGAAATTCATCGAGAGCAGCTCACCAAACGAGACAGCAGTATCGTCAAATATCATGTTTGTACTTTCTCTAGTAATGATTGCGAGAAGCAGATTGCAATGTAGACTTAAGCCTTCACATTTTTTACCGTTTAATTCTCTGGTTCACAGGTTGCAAATCCGCCATCTATCAAGAAGCTTAAGAAACGGACCTACAGAAGGGCATCAACTGAAAGCTTTGAATCGTTCTCAGCTTTGCTTCCCTTCTATGTCTATCATTTCTATGCAATTTAATATGCCCCTCAAAGCTTGGGTCCTTCAACTCTGTGGAGAGCTCCATCAGGGCCAAATCTGGCCAAATGCTCGGGCTTGATGTCCTCGATCTTGGTGCACCCCATAAGTGCCATGACCGTCCGGAACTCGTCGTGAAGAATATTGAGCGCAATGCTGACGCCCGCTTCTCCCTTGTAAGCAAGACCCCAGAGTGGAATTCTGCCAACCCAGCAGTGATCGGCACCTAGGGCCAAGGCTTTGAAAATATCGCTTCCTCTTCTGATGCCTCCGTCAATGTGAAGGGGAATTCTGCCCTTGACAGCCTCTACAATCTCAGGCAATGCATCCAAAGTGGCCATGGCGCCATCCAACTGTCTTCCTCCGTGGTTGGAAACGACAATTCCATCAGCACCAGCCTCCACAGCCAAAGCGGCGTCTTCTCCGGTGAGAATGCCTTTCAAATAAATCTGCAACTTGGTTTTGCTCTTTAGATAACGCACAAAGTCCCAGGTGAGCCCGGCCTCGAACTTGGTTCTTTTATCGTCACTGAGCATCTTGTGGGCATTCATCCAGGGGTACATGGGGAAGCCTAGGTGGCCGGGAAGCTCAAAGCTGTTTCTCAATTCGTTCAAACGTCTTCCGAGCCACGGGGTATCGACACTGACAAAAAGAGCTTTGTAGCCGCATCTTTCTGCTTCGTTGATAATATCCAAATTCGTCTGCTCGTCGCTCAAAACGCTGAGCTGCTGGGCATAGGCGTTTTTGCCGAAACCGCCCGCTTGTATCACTTTTTCCGACGGCGTGTTGGACCACGACGAAAGCACCATATTGACGTTTTTCTTAGCAGCAGCTCTGGCAGTACCCACCTCGGCATCTGAATGGGCCATTCCGTGACAAGCCGTAGGGGACAATCCCAAGGGAAAAGCCACCCGGGTGCCCAAACACTCTGTAGAAGTGTCGACGTGGTTCACATCCACCATCACCCTAGGACGAAGCCGGTATCTGTCGTAGGCTGTCTTGTTTTCAGCCAAGGTCCGGAGCTCCATGGAACCGCCGTTGTAGAAGTCCCTGGTCATGGGGTCGAGGTTTTCATTGGCTGCCTCCTCGAGATCGGCAATTGTGTGGACTCTGTTGTCGTAGGTCTGTGCTCTGTTCATGGCTGCAAAAATGAGGAAAAAAATAATGCGGGGCAGGTATCTTAAATATTCGGTGCCCCACCTACCGGTTTCCGAGCACATCTCGAGATATCGGCCATAATGGGGGTAAAAGTACAGGAATCGCTTGTTTCGGGCTGCCCCGGAAACGGCTATTTTTCGCCTACGGTTCAATTCCGAACAAAACAGCCCCTCTGGTGGCCTTCTAGCTCACCAGAGTCAGACGCCGCGTTGACGTGATTACCATGTCCGTGCATATCGGGTGGAATTTGAGTTTCAGGGAATTATCATATAGCCGCTACGCCGGCGCCACGCCTGCCTAGCGAAAGCTTGCCTGAACTTTGTCTTCAATTGGTGAGTTCCACAAAAAAATAGACGTTTTTTTAACCACAAAACCTCACAATCTCCTCGTATCGATCCGGAATTCTCATGCAATTCCCGATGCACGGTCGCATTTGCAGCCAGTAGATAACGCCGTGGGTGGAAAATGCAAAACTTGGAACATGCACGCGAGCTAGTCGGGCCTATATCTTACGAAGACCTGCCCCTCTGAAGCCCCCACCATGTCCGAGTTGGAGAAAAAACCCGAAAGTTCTGTCGTCGAAAGCATCCAGCTGGACTTGGTGGAGGACGAAAACGTCTTTGTGGTGAAAGACAAAGGTCCCAATTTTCGTGGTGTCGGATGGCTTGGAGCCGCTGCCTTGGTTGCAAAAACCCAGTTTGGGTACGGGGTTTTGGGACTTCCGGGCACTTTCCAGGTCTTGGGTTTTGTCCCGGGTCTTATTTCCTTGGTGGCTCTTTGTGCCTTGACAACATGGACAGGCTACATGGTGGGCCAGTTTCGACTTAGAAATCCTCAGGTTTACGGTGTGGGCGATGCGGCAGAATTGATGTTTGGGCCTGCTGGAAGAGAATTTATGGGTGGAGCGTTTTGGCTTTTTTACACCCTTTGCTACGGTGCTGCCGTGCTTACTTTGTCCATTGCATTCAATGCTATTACTGGGCATGCTACTTGCACCATGGTCTGGGTTGCTGTGGGTGCCGTTGTTGCTTTGGTGCTTGGAACAGCCACCAGAACTTTGAAGTACATGTCGTGGTTGGGCTTTGCAGCTTTGGCTTCGGTTTTTTTCAGTGTTTGGCCCGTCACTATAGCCGTTTTGGCCCAAAGCACGCCAGAAGCCGCTCCAAAGGGCGAACCAGTCGATAAACAGGTTTTTGCTGTGGCCACAGGCCGCACTTTTGCAGCCATTGCCAGTGCCATTGCTACCCAGCTTTCAGGGCTCTGTGGAACTGCGGCGTTTTTCACGATCCACTCGGAAATGAGAGACCAGCGTCAGTACAACAAATCGCTCTTTCTCGGCCAGGGTTTCGTTTCGCTCAATTACATTTTGGTCACTTGCATCATCTACGGCAGGGTGGGCAGGTACGTCACCTCTCCAGCTTTGGGATCGGCCGGACCGCTTTTGATGAAAATCTGCTATGGAATTGCGTTGCCAGGACTCTTCTTTTCGTGTTTCTTTCAGGCTCACATTGCAGGAAAGCACGCCTTGGTACGGCTTCTTCGTGATACCAGGCATCTCCAGACCAATACCAAAACCCACTGGTTCACGTGGACCACCATGATGGTGCTCGTTGTGATTATTGGTTTTGTGATTGCAAGCTCCATTCCGTTTTTCAACGACTTGTTGGCATTGATTGCCGCTCTATTGGGGAGTCTTTTCACCCTTATCATGCCAGCGCTACTAGGCATCTACATCATGAGTGGCTATTCCAAACTGGAGGGAGATGGCCTTTTAGCTTGGGTTGGTCACTACAGAAGAAACTGGAACTCCTCCCGCACAAACAGGATCCATTCTCTTGTGGCGCTTCTAGCCATAGCGTTTGGTGCATTTATTTTGGTGGCCGGTACGTATGGGGCTGTGTATTCCATTGTGGATGGATACAGAACTGGGAGGGTATCGAGGGCGTTTTCATGTGAGGACAACAGCAATTGAGGTTAGTGTGTTGGTGTAATATGGGCATAGAATACTTTGGCGGTAAGAGAAGCTGGAAATAGCGATGGCAGAACAGTCGGAGTTCCAAGTTTTCTACAGCTTAAACCTGAAAGCTCGCCAGTCGTCGAAGATTCGAACACCAGATATTACAAATCAGTGAACTCAACTACATCGTCTGCCAAGGGTAGATTAACAAAGAGTTGCAATGGATATTTGGCCGAAAAGACCGGGCCACCTTTGGCATTTGAAAGAACGACGTACTACCAAATTCCTAATAGAGTTCCCGAGCGCTCGAAAGTTCTCCTGATGTTCACGGTTTTCAGAATGAGTAAGTTTGGCACATTGAATCTCCACCTACCATTTTCACATCCAAGCTCATCGTGTCTCATAATCTTGGTTCAGCTAGAATATGCCTCTCATCGAGTAGGAAAATCCACTACAATAACATATCACTATACATATTTCATTCTCCAACTTCCACCACTTCCAGCTCCTCTTTATTTCTTTTACAGTGGAGGACCCCACTGGAAATACATAATAGCGGGCAAAATATCACAATGGAAAGTTCCTCACAAAGGCGGCACCTTGAAAAAGAAACTCACCCACCAAATCCATCTTGCATTACTGGACGCTTTTTCTGCAGAAACCTTTCTTCACCAATAGCCTTTCCCCAGGAAACCTTATCGTAAATACGCAGCACGAGAAAACAGAATCAGAAATCAGAATCAGAAATCAGAATCAGAAATCAGAAACTGAAAATCAGCAATGCAAAAAGAAACATCCGGGGTCGCATGCCCAAGCCCCAATTAGGCGACCAAGACACGAAGGCTTACTTTTTGCACCAGCCTCGTCTTTTCGGCTTAGTATTTCCCAATAGGGTATTCGGGTGCCGGAGAAGCCGGGTTCCGGAGGGGCGGGAATCTCCGAAAGTCCGAGAAATCTACATGCTGATAATGCCGGCTTGATCTGGCGTGTACAAAACCCCAGATAGCAGCAGGTACCCAATTGAAGGACGCTTATTAGGCTGCAAAAACTGTAGTAATTCCGCAGCACCCCACCACCGCAGGTGAGGCTATCTATATGCAGGCAGGGTCAAAACGCCGCTCCCAGCCTGATTCGATTAGTGTGTTTCGAAGTGTGAATTTGGAGAATATAATGGCACTGCTGTAATCAGTAAAACCCACTAGAAATCAAAATTACCATCAAAGACTTCTACTTGGTTTCTGTGTAGGGGCTGCCGAGGTGTTTGTCCTGCACACACCTCCCTCTTTGCTGCATGCCTGCATCCACGCAGGTCTAACGAACATCGCCGTTTCAACCTGTATCAACGTGATGCGTTTTTGCCTTGGCTCAGGTCTATGCAGCATTTTTCAAAATTTTCGAAATGGCCTGCTCCCGTCAGTCGCTCTTCTTATCGGACAGACGATGTGCTAAAGTCGCCTGACTGAAATAATCCTTCAAATCTCCCAAATCCCGCCTTCACATCCGCTCTCATGTCTGACATCGACAAAAAAAGAGAATCCAACTCGCTATCACCCCAGGAAAGCAATATCGGGGAGCTTGAGCCTGAGGATGACCAAAACGTCTTTAAGATCACAGACGACGGTCCAGACTTCCGTGGCCTCACCTGCTTTGGTGCTGCCCTGTTGGTGGTGAAAACCCAGTTTGGTCTCGGCATTCTAGGTCTTCCACATACTTTCCATGTTTTGGGAGTTGTTCCCGGTCTCATTGTGTTGATAACGCTTTGCATCTTGACAACCTGGAGTGGCATTGTCGTGGGCCATTTCCGTCTTCGTCATCCTCATACTTACAGTATTGGCGATGCTGCTGAGATCATGTTTGGTCCTGCTGGAAGAGAAGTCATGGGTGCTGCTTTCTGGTTGTTCTACACCTTGGCCTACGGTGCCACTGTTTTGACCGTTTCCATCGCGTTCAACGCCATCACCGAACACGCTACTTGCACAACAGTGTGGACGGCTGTGGGTGCCATTATTTCGCTTATTTTGGGTGTGGCCACCAGAACCCTCAAAACCATGTCCTGGTTGAGTCTTGCAGCCATTATTTCCTTGTTTATCTCCGTGTGGATCGTCGCCATCGCCTGTCTTGCCCAGTCGACCCCTGCAGCTGCTCCAGCTGGTGAGCCACTTGATAAAGGTATTTCTGCTGTGGCTACAGGTCATTCGTATGCTGCAATTGCCAGTGCCGTGGCTACTCAGCTTGCTGGACTCAGTGGAACCGCCTCTTTCTTCACGATCCACGCGGAAATGAAGGACCAGACCCAGTACAACAAGGCCTTGATCTTGGGCCAGGGTTTCGTCACATTCAACTACATCGTCATTACTTGCATGATCTACCTCAAGGTGGGCAACTACGTCACCTCGCCTGCTTTGGGCTCGGCCGGCACGCTTATCAAAAAGATCTGTTACGGTATCTCCTTGCCTGGTCTTATTGTGTCGTGCTTCTTTTTGGCCCACTTGGCTGGAAAATACTGCTTGGTTCGTCTCCTCAGAGGCACCAGACACCTCCAGGCCAACACCTTCGTTCACTGGCTGACGTGGATTTCCATGATGTCCTTGTCGATCATTTTCGGTTTCATCATTGCCAGCGCCATTCCCTTTTTTGGTGATTTGGTGGCCCTCATTGCCGCTTTGTTCGGTACCACCTTCACCCTTATTGTTCCCGGCTTCATTGCCATCTACAACATGGGCAGCTACGTCAAAAAGGAAGGCGACCACTTGCTCACATGGTTGCCGTTGTGCAACAGGGCATGGAAAAAGAGCCGCAGCAACATCATCAACGCCTCGTTGGCGTGGTTTTGCATCGTTTTCGGTACCTACATCTTGGTTACCGGTACATACGGTGCTGTTCAGTCCATTGTCGATGGATACAACAACGGCACGGTTTCGCTGGCCTTCTCGTGTGAGGATAACAGCGGCTAGACATAGAATGATTTATGATTACGAAAAAAAAGAACTGTTTTGTAGCTACACACTGATTTGAGCCACAGAGACGGTGTCCTTGTTGATGCTGGAGACTTCTTTGTTCTGTTGACCTCTGAAGTGCTCTGATGGAACGAAGCTCTTGGATCTCCACGCATACGGAATCTCCTCGTACAACTCGTCCACCAGCTCCAACGAAAGACCCTTGGTTTCGTAGATGAGGGTCCACGCAAAAATGAAACAAAGAACGTTGCAGCCACCCCAAATGAAAAAAACACTGGTTCCCAAATTACCCTTATCTTTGTCCACCATGTACGGCGTAGCATAGGCAATGGCCCAGTTCCAGAGCCAGTTCGATGCCATACAGAGAGCTACCGATTTAGCTCTGGTTCTCAATGGGTACAATTCTCCAATAACCACCCAGGCACAAGGTCCCCAGGTTGCTGCAAAAAATGCAATAAAAATACACGAAAACGCAACAAGCACTTTTTTGGACGAGTCTGACGAAGTTGCAACCCCCACAATGGCCACTATAAGCTGGGAAGTGGACATACCAGCAGCACCTCCAAGAAGGATGTTTCTTCTGCCTGCAATTTCCATAAGGAGGATTCCCGGAACGGTGGCTCCGACATTGACGATATTCGTGGCCAAAGTGGTCACGAAACCGTCCACACCAGCAGCGTTGAAAAAGTTTGTTCCGAAGTAAAAAATGAAATTCACGCCAGTCAACTGCTGGAACGCCTGGACCAACACACCCGTAACCAAACGCTTACGTTGGTGGTTTTTGCCGGAAATCACCTGGCTCCATGAAGATTTGCCAAATTCTTGCTCAAAAAGGTAGGCGGCCTTGATATCGTTGTACTCTTCAAGAAGATCCTCATCGTCGATGGGAAGCTTTCTGAGACGGGAAAGCGAGTTCAATGCCTTCTCCTCTTTCTCCTTGGACACATAGAATCTGGGTGTTTCGGGCATAAAAAACATGCTGATACCCAAAATCAAGCCCCAGAGAATCTGGATAGCAAGCGGGATTCTGTAGCATCCAGAGTTGTCAAGTTTGTGAGTAGCCTGGTTGAAAACGGCAGCCAAAAAGATCCCCACAGTGACTGCCAACTGGTAGCACGATACAATGGCACCTCTGATCCATTTTGGGGCAGCTTCAGACTGGTAGAGTGGAACTGTGGAGGAAATAAGACCCACTCCAGCACCAGCTATGGCTCTTCCAGCACAAAGAAGGGGAATGTCTGTAGAAGCTGTTTGAAGTACTGCTCCCAAGTTGAAAACAATCAAGGAGGACAAAATCAAGCACCATCTCCGGCCCAATGTGACACTGATCAACGGCGTACAGAGTGATCCAAAAAAGGTTCCCACAGACAAAATAGACACAATCAAGGACGTTTCAGAAGAAGTGAACTCCTCACCGTTTCCTGGAAAGGTCCTTTTAACGTACTCCATGGCCATGATGCCGTTAATGGTTCCTGTGTCGTAACCATAGAGCACACCACCAAAAGCTGCCACGACTCCAACCACTATACCCATGGTGGTGGAACCTGCTTTTTTTTCTCCCACATCGATGAACCGTTTAATGAATTTGTTGTCCTCGAGGCCCATGTTGAAGGAGTGAAGACGAGAAAAGGACTAAGGAAATTCTGTGGCTTTTATATGAAATGGAATCTTCAAAAGGGGCGGCTCTTCGAAACTACCCCCGCCATGGAATTCTTGTGGATGAGTTTTTTTGCAGCCAAACTTATGTGCGGTGTGCATATAGACGCAGATGATTGCCAAATACGAAGGGATCGGGCGCTGTGTGCAGTATTGGGAGAGCCCGGCGGGCGGGATACCCCTTTGAGCGACCTGATTCAACGCGGTGGGGTCCATTACGTTACTCTGCTTCCTTTACGGAGCAGAGCCTATCAATAATTAAGAATTATTCAGGCGGGACTGCTTAATGCGGGGTAGAGCAGAATAGGTAATTGCTTTCTGGGGTCAATTTGCTCAAGCGTGGCAGGATATACCGAGGGCCAATGCGGTCAACATACATGCAAAAAAATCTTCCTTCAATTTACGATCTTTTGCTCTCTTTTTTATCAATTACGGAACACTACTCTCTAGTGTACAGAACAGACTTCTCTTTAAGACCAGTCCTGGGCTTGATACCCACTAGTTTCTTGAGAGTGTCCAAGATAACGTCCTTGTCATCGTTGAAAATGACTCTGCTCTTTCCACGGTCAGCAGCAGTAACGCCGCTTTCAGGATCAATGGCAGCATCGTCCAAGTTCTGATCATCCGTCAATCTGTTGTCTCTCAACAAAAGAATAAACGCAAGCATTGGCACACAAAGACAGAGACCAACAATACACATTTTCTTCTGCACATCGGCGTAAGCCAAACTGATGGCTCTTCTCGGGTCTGTGCCCCAAGCGTGGACCTTAATGAACTCATGACGCTTTTCGTACGCAAGCTGGGCCAAATCAGTGTCTACACCCAAATCCGCCATTTTTCCTCTGCTCTGTCCGTACATATCCTGGGTCCAGATGGCACCAGAGATACTTGAAGAAATTGCCGAACCGATCTGGTAAAAAGAAGCGAAAAGCGCAGTAACAGTGGCCATGTACTCGTGGTTGGTGCATGTTTGAACAGAAACGGAGGTGACTCTGAGAATGAATAGCTGAGAGAAACCAACAAGACACATACCAATGGCAATACCGTCACGGAAGTACTTGGCTCTGTAGCCGTCGTTGGATCCTCTGAAGTGGACAAAAACACCCATGGCAATGAACAAGACGAAGTTACCAAAGACAATAAACGCCTTGGTTCTTCTCACTCTCGACAAGACAAAATCGAGAATGGGCATGGTGAGACCTTCAACGAAATAGTTCAAGGTGACGGTTCTTTGAGCAATATTAACGGCAGCATTCATTCCCACAACCAAAACCGCTGGAAATTTCTTGTAGATGCTGCGGCGCCGAGCTCGATGATACTGTTTTGTTGGCGGTTATGGAGGTTTTTAACTAATCAGCAGGGAGAAGGAAGTGGAGGGTTTTAGGATGCTCGGGTGCATCCATAGCAGGTATACGACTAACACTTAAATGTACCTGGAACCTTGAATTTTCTGTTGTATCACCTAGTGTCCTTCATCAAATCAGGAAACTAGCTCTAGCGAGGAACCTCTATGTTTGATACCTGACACGCTTGTTGTTAAGCGTGTATCCATAGTTCCTAACGTGTTCCTAACAAGGGGTGTGTCAGGGTCTGAGGGAAGGTAGTTGCAACTTGGATATGGGCAGTGAGGAAGAGCGGGTATTTTCACTAGACATGAAGGTCTTTGTAAAAGAAGATCTACTTGAGAAGAGATATATGTAAGTTGAGTGAATTCGCTTTTTCTGTTTGAAGTTTTGCAGTACAATTCATATATTGGTGTTACAAGGTGAAGGTGATATTATGGTGTTTGCCCATGAAACGTGATATTCCTCTTTGAAAATGAAATGCACTTTTGCCATTTATCAAGGCAAGGTTGCCCATATCACAAGAATTCGTATTCTCTCATGACCTAAAGTACTCAAGACTCAGTTAGGCTAAACCACCACAAGTTACGAAATCAGAGCGATCTGCCTGCAAACCCAGATGAATCCCATCAAATTGCTGAAATTGAGGATTAGAAGCATTTTGATCTCGTTCTCATCGTTCTACACCTATGCTTCATGCTGCGTTATCTTTCGCAGCCATTGTACCACCAACCACCTTACCGTCTTTCGATATTATAAGAAAATAAACCGTCTTGTTAGATTTCACTATCGAAAACCGACTAAAAAAAAAATCCCTTTTCAAGTTCCTTTTCAAATTCTTTTGACTCACTTGTCCTCCTTATAGATTCATCTGGTGAGATGGTTTCACTGGTGAGACACACCAAGGGCACCACAAATCTCCTCAAAACCACCACCTAACCCAAATTTGTCCAAACACCAAAAAACCAATTCCAATCAAAAAAACAAAAATCAATTCCCTCCCCTACCTCCTCCACCCACTATATCCCCCACACTATCACCACATGCGTGCACGGTTCAAATCACATATAGCGTTCGCAGCTCATCGAGACCCATCACCATGTTGTACTTGATCGGCCTAGGCCTCTCCCACGAGACCGACATCACCGTGCGTGGTCTTGAAACAGTCAAGAAATGTGAAAGAGTGTATCTTGAAGCGTACACCTCCATTCTCATGGCGGCTGACTTGGAGTCGCTTGAAAAGTTCTACGGTAAGGAAGTCATTCTTGCCGATAGAGAATTGGTGGAGTCTGGCGCTGACCAGATTCTTAAGGATGCTGATAAAGTGGACGTTGCATTTTTGGTGGTTGGCGATGTTTTCGGTGCCACTACTCATACAGACTTGGTCATCAGAGCCAATGAGCTCAATATCCCATTTGAAAGCATCCACAATGCTTCAGTGATGAACGCCGTGGGCGCCTGTGGCTTGCAATTGTACCAGTTTGGCCAGACCGTGTCGTTGGTGTTTTTCACCGAAACCTGGAAACCAGACTCGTTCTACCTGAAGATCATGGAGAACAGAAAAATCGGTCTCCACACCCTCTTGCTTTTGGACATCAAGGTCAAGGAGCAGAGTATAGAAAACATGGCCAGAGGAAGGTTGATTTACGAGCCTCCTCGTTACATGGATATCCAGACTGCTGCCCAGCAGCTTTTGGAAATCGAAGAACTCAGAGGTGAGAAGGCCTACACTCCAGAAACGCCGTGTGTGGCTGTTTCCCGTCTTGGGTCGCCCACACAGAAGTTCAAGGCTGCTACATTGAAGGAATTGGCTGAGTACGATGCCGGTGAGCCTTTGCATTCGTTGGTTATGTTGGGAAGACAAGTGCACGACTTGGAGTTGGAGTACTTGTACCAGTTTGTCGACGACAAGGAGAAGTTCAAGGCGTTTGTGGAGGCAGACCAGGAGCATTTCAAGCCTCCTCCATATGTTCCTCCTGAGGAGGACCTCAGCGATTAGCTGCCACCCCCCTGTCCATAGCGGTATTAATATAAATAGTGAAGCACATTACTGGTTCTTCTTCTCGGCAGTGGACTCAAGATCGTCCCAGATGTTGTTTGTGATGTCCCACGCCATCCAGTCGTACCAGCCAAAGAAGGCAGGGAAAAACGTCACCAAATGCCACAACGAATGGGCATCGACCAAGTCGAAGAAGACCGGTGGGAAGTCAAAGATCTCAAGCAGCATACCCACAATCACAATGAAGCAGAGCAAAAGCGGATAGAGCGAGTAGAGCTTCGGCGATTTGGAGTAGAAACTGCCCAAGATGATGCGATTGGAACGAATGTACTGAAGGTGGTCCAAACGGATCACGTCGTCCTCCTTCTCGAGATTGTAGTACTTTGTGTAGATCTCGAAACACGTCAAGCCCCAGAAGATGTTCTGCAACACCCCAAACGTGATGTTCGCTTGCATGTTGTATGTGTACAGCCAGTCGGTTTCAAGACGGTAGATGTGGGCAGCGTAGGCGCCAGCGCATAGCAAGATAAATAGATATTTGAGGAGGAATCTTTGTGGGAGGTAGAGGCGGAAATAGCGGGAGGTAATACCGTAGAATCCGGTCAAGACGGTCAATCCAGCAAGGTAGTAGTCGAGCTTCTCGGTGAAGAGCACGTCACGAATGTGGAAGATTGTCAGAGCTAGCCACGCCGCCATGGCCACGAACGCAGCAAAACGGGCATTGTTGAATGGCACTCGAAGAAACGAGGACTGGTGCTTTGGAAGCTTTTGGAGGGTATCCTTCATGAATTTGTACCCGAGGTAGTGGGGGACAAAGTTCAACAAGGAAAACAACGCCAGCACCACCTCCTGAACGCCAAAAATCCTCCAGAATGGCCACTTGCCGTGGAATTGGTACACCTCTTCATCGTTTCTGATCCTCTCTTTGGTCACAATCTGTTGACACTGGTAGTCGCAATTGGAGGGGCAATCCCAGCCCAATATCTGCATTGCAAGGTTGATTTTCCCCAGCGTGAACCGCCACAGCGGCTCGTACCGTCTGTATTCTCCAGACGCTTTGAGTGCTTCTTCAAACTGATTCTGAAGAAGGAAGTATGGATTCAGGTAACACGACAACTGTTCACACTGAAATCTGCAGTCGCTGAATTCGTCCAAGTTGTCACCTGGAGAAGCCCAGACGGCAGCTGCAGCCATTAGCAGAAGCACAGTCAGAGAAAGCATGGTATGTGTTTTAGGTGTAGTTGATTTTTCGCGAACATGGTTATGTATTGCAATGCGGGAACGTGTGGGACGATTTAGGGAATTGCATGGGAGCGAGGAGCCTGAAGATTTTCTAAAAGATGAAAATTTAGTTTTAGCTGTTTTATTTGACTTTTGGTGAATTTGGTCGATCAACTGGACCTGGAATTTCCAGGACATCGGTGATTCATGCAGTGGTGGCTGCAAGGTAGGGTGAAAAATTAGGCTCTTGATCTATCCGAGCTCGTTTAGGAGGTTGCTTCGATGAGAGAAGTTTAAAGCGAGCTTGTGAGTGTTTAAAATTTTTGATGAAGCTCGCCGAAAATGTTATGGTGTTGTGGTAGATTGGCTGAGAAAGCAATAGTGATGACAACAATGCTAGGGCTTAAATTATACGAAGTGGCAAGTCTGCTTTTCTTCTTCTTTCGGAAATTTTGATCTTGGATATCGTAAAGAATGCTTTCGACCGCAGATGAAGAGTCGACCCACATATGTGGGCTGAGGGGATGCTTCAGCCTATCAAGATCGATTTTTTGATTTTACGTAAACGCTGAGTATTTGGTATATGAGCCTATTGACTATTCATAAACTTAAAGGAAGCACAATATGCTTCGATATGGCTTGACCAGAAATATGCTGAATCTATGGAAGGCTGCAGTACATTTTAACCACGGCCCCATCAAGAAAACCGTCTATTGTGAAATTTGGATATTGTACTAATTCAGAAAATATTCAAAAGTCTCCCGAGCTCATCTCTCGCTTTTGACTTTTCGTTGCTGGAGTACAACTCGCAATTTGCAGCCAATATATAAGCCATTAAAGGAACTCCATTTACGACACCAGAAGCTCAATTTCCTTTTTCTTCAGAGTATTCACCATTTATTCACTTGACTCTCAAAAAGTCTTAAATTCTTATATCGCCACCATTGACCTCGCCTCCATAACGTATGACCTCTTAATCTAGATGCCCTCCCTACACACTGTAAATGCCAATCAACGCCAATTAATGCATGTCACTGGGTAAGCCTCAAGCTAAATTCCCAAAATGGAATCTGCAGCTAATCCTTAATTATATAAGCCCTATATCACACTTTCAGCAATCGTCCGATAACCCATATCGGTCTCGGAGTCAATGTAGCTTATCGGATTCCGTCCGACTCTAACGGCAAGTCCCCGCGATGCTCCACTCTTTTTCCTGTATACAGCCGCCCTTATCGCTAGATGCCTTTTTGGTTCTCCTCAGCCCTATATAAACGGCCGTTTCCCCAGATTTTGCTTTGTACAACTTTTTGAGATGCCTCCCACGCAAACAGAAGTATTGAGCGACCCAGCCTCCAAAGAATACGTTTTGGGCGAGCGCGGCTCCCACAACATCGCCAAGGGTTTGCCACATCCTTACCCAGTTCCACAGTTCAAAACCAAGGAGGATGAGAGAGCATGGGCTAAACAGCACATGGCTGCTGCTTTCAGAGTTTTTGCCAGAAAGGGATTCACTGAAGGCACGGCCGGCCACATTTCCTTGAGGGACCCTGTTGACCCCAACACGTTCTGGTTGAACCCTTTGGCCAAGCACTTTGCCTTGATCAAGGCCTCTGACTTGGTCCACATCGACGAGGAGGGCAATGTTTTGCCCGACGGCCCTCAGCATGCTGTGAACGCCGCTGGCTTTGCAATTCACGCCGCTGTTCACAAGTACAGACCAGATGTTCATGCAGCGTGCCATACTCACTCTGTGTACGGAAAGTCATACAGTGCCTTGGGCAGGCCCTTGGACATGATCAACCAGGACGTGTGTATGTTTTACAAGAGCCACGGTGTCTACACGGATTTTGGCGGTGTGGCGCTCGAAGAGCAAGAAGGAAAAGACATCGCAGACGCCTTGGGCGACGGAAAAGGCATCATTTTGCAGAACCACGGCCTCCTCACGGTGGGCCAGACAGTTGACGAAGCAGCCTACTTGTTCTGTCTCTTGGAGCGGAGCTGCCAGTGCCAGCTTTTGGCCGAAGCCGCCTTGAGACCAGGGGAGAAGTTGAAGATCATCGGCGACAAGGTCGCTGCGTACACGGAGCACATGACAGCAGACCCAGAGACGCTCTACACAGAGTTCCAGCCGGACTTTGAAATGGAGCTCAAGTACGACCGCGACTTCATGGATTGAGGGTAATGTATTGGGCGAACTTATAGGAAATGGAGAAATACAAATCACGTCATCAAGACGCTTTGCACCGTCAAGGCGCTTTTGCTGCCACGGACCTATGCCGAGATGATGTTGCTCGAGCTGGTGTACTTGGCCTGGGCAATGGAGATGGTTTGGTCGGTGAGGTCGTAGTAGACGTAGGCGCTTCTCAAGAAGACGTCTCCAAAGATATGAGGGCTTTCTGCGGTCTCCTGGGAACCAATAGCACACTGAGGCTCGCTGTCAGAACCGACGTTGATGACAAGGTCGCTGTATGGAACGGAAATGGAGTTCTTGCCGAGATTGAAAGTGATGCTCTTGTCGGAAGGCTGGTTACAGTCGACGATGTAGACACCCTGGTCCAAACCGGAAGAACCAAGGGCACTGGCCACACTCTCAAGAAGCTCAGAAGGCCACAAGTTCCAGGAAGTACCGGAATCCAAAACGAAATCCTGGCCCAACTGAACGGTTTTTCCTCCCACAGAGGCAGACTCGGCCGTCAAGCCCAAGTAGCTGCTGTCGGCAACGGCGTACTTCTGCAATTCGCCTTCGTACTTGTCCGTGTCGATACCGCCAAAAATGACAGTACCCTTACCATCCTGTTCAGATCCCAAAAACAATGAATACGAAGCCTTAGGAGTTACACCGGCCTTCAGCAACGCCCAAGGCAAGTTGTCGTACTGCGACAGGCCCGACTCCTGGTTCTTGTCGGCAATTCCCAAAATTCCAGTGCTGTCTGCATTGGCGTTGTCCACCACAGCAAACTGGAAGTTCAGCACAAGCGTCAGGCCCAGGCTAAAAGAGAAATCGTCTTTGTGGTAGGAGCCCAGGGCACCAGAGCCGTCCAAGTAGCTGATGCTGAAATCCTCGCCAGTTGAGGAATCGTCTGAGGACTGGCTGGGGTCGAAAGTTCCACCTTGAGCATCGGAAACGCCTGGACCGAAAACCCAGAGATCCGAGGATCCAGTGTCAAGAAGCACCGTCACCTTGTCCTGCTGCCAGCCCAAGTAGACGTCCAAAAGGTACGAGATGTCTCTGTCGTTGGAGATGGCGACCGGGGTGGCTCTCTTTCCAAACTTGGACTTGGCGCTGTTGAAGTAGCGTTCAGGGTGGTACAAGGTGGAGTTCTTGCTGGTGTCCTTGACGATGTCAAAGTCGAGCTTCAAGGGTGTAGGGCCCCTTTTGGCGATGTCTTCGTGGGTGCCGTCCTGGTGAGGAATGGCCAAGCCAGAAACAAGAGACGTTGCGAGGGTGAAGGTGGTCAAGAAGGAAAGCATGAGAGGATGATGGAGATTTTGCAAAAGTCGGATCTGTCGTCCCGTTTAAGTACCCAACTGGGGCTCCACACGATCGTACGGCAGCAGCCACATCTTGTTTGCAGCCGAACGGCCCACGAGCAAGCCTCAAACCTTCGATCCAACGGGCCGAAAGGGGTCTTTGCGTTTAGGGGAACTGCGTCTGTGCGTCGTCGCCAGGCAATTCCAGCCGGGCTCACTGATCCCGTTTCTTGCATCTCAATTGAATCGTTCAGTTGTGAAAATGTTCAAAAGTGCATTCGTCAAGCCCATTCGCTTAGCCCGTCTCACCTCGCTTGTTGATCTAAACCGTTGCCAAGACAAGGGCGCATGCTTGACAGCTTCGTGCGTCAGGCATATCGAGGCGTACCTCATTTTCCTCATGCTATACGGACGCACCAGGGTCGTGCAATCACAGCGATAAGATTTGCGCTCTACGAACGGCTCCAGATAAGACTACGCCGTAAGCCTCGTTAACGCCACATCCGTGGGCCCCGGTGGCCGCAAAAAAACCGCAACCATGAATCGACAAACGGTGGATTGGTGAATGCTACTGGTGGATGCTACTGGTGGATGCTACTGGTGGATGCAAGTTTACACGAGTAGCCACACCGGCCACATTTGACAACTACAGTCCGGCCACTACTTCACGGTCGAAACTACAGTATCCCAATCAATTACGTATCATTACTTTCTTACTTTCTTCCAAAAATCCGCTTGACCGAGTCAAGAATAATGTCCTTGTCGTCGGTGAAGGTCACCTTGGACTTGGCCCGCTCGGCGGCTCTGGAAGTGTCCTTACCTTCGTCAAGCAAGGCCTCGTCGTCCAAGTTCTGCGAATCGACTAATCTGTGGTCTCTCAACAAAAGCACCCACACAAGCATGGGCACACAGAGACAAAGACCCGTGATGGAAAGCTTTTTCTGGACCTCAGCGTACGCCATGCTGACGGCTCTTCTGGGATCGGTTCCCCAGGTGTACTCCTTGATGAATTTGTAAGGCGATTGATAGGCAGGTTTGGCCAACGAGGTGTCCACACCCAATGCCGCCATGTGGTTGTAGATGGTTTCGTACATGTCCTGGGTCCAGATGGCGCCCGAAATAGCACTTCCAATGGCGGCACCAATCTGGTAGAAAGCTGCAAAAAGTGCCGTGACCGTAGCCATGTACTCGTGGTTCGTACAAGCCTGAACAGACACAGAGACGACTCTGTTGAAGAAGACCGAGGCAAAACCCATGATACACATACTGATGGCCACACCGTCACGGAAGTATTTGGCTCTGTAGCCGTCGTTGGATCCTCTGAAGTGGACAAAAAGGCCCATGGCAATGAACATGACACAGTTACCGAAAATCACGAACATCTTTGTTCTCCTGACTCTGGACAAGACGTATCCGAGAATTGGCATTGCGATACCCTCAACGAAACTGTTCAACTGGCCTGTACGAGTGGCAACGGTTTCTGAAGCGTTCATACCGACAAACAACACAGGGTATGAGTATCCATTGGGCATACTTGTGATCAAGGTGCTGAACACACCCACCAAGAAACCGGCCCAAACACCTCTGTTTTTCATCACTCTGAAAGGAAGCATGGGGTTCTTGGTGATTTTGATTTCCCAAACCACGAAAAGAGGAATGGCGCAGAAGCCGATCACCAAAGGCACGATTGTGGAAGCTCTCCGCCATTTCTCGCCATTTCCACTGAGCGATGTGCCGCCTGCCAACGTCAACGGAACAAGGATAAGTCCGAAAATCACGGCAATCAAAAGGCATCCAATGAAATCAACTCTCCAGAAGATGTCGTACAAGGCTTCCACAGTGCGGACACCAGAGTACTTAATGTGGCCCCAGGCCCTGCCACTGAAGGTTGTGCTGGCCTTGATCTCGTCATCGTATCTCTTTGCGTCGGCATGCTTGGCGTTGAAATCCTCTCTCTGCTCACTCTTGATTTGCTTCCATGCATCAGTTTTGGACGCTTTGAACAGCAAGCCGAGCAAAAACAACATGTAGGGCAAACACACAAGGGGCGTGGTGAAGGCCCACATGGCAATACCGAATTTCCAGTCGTGGTTCTTCAAAAGCGAGTCCACGACTTCACCACTGGACCAGGTGGTGATGATGGACGTCATACTGAGCACACCGATAGCAGCGAGTCTCCATTTCAAAGAGGAGGCATCCGACAAGTTGATCTGCCACAAAATACGCATACCAGCGACGCCAAAGCCGTACAAGACCACGCCTGCTGCGTACTTCTGCACATCTGTGGCCTGAGACTGGATGATGATACCCACGATTCTGAAAACGATGGCCACGATGAACAACTCGAATCTGCCAAAAGTGTCAGACATTCTAGCATAGAAAGGCAACGAAGCGGCAGCCACCACGCCTCTGATGATACCGATAGTCGACATAAGCGAGTGCTGAGCGTAAGAGTCAGTGGCATAACTGGTGAACACTCTGACTGCGTTACTCTCCATCAGGGCAATGTACATGCCGATGAAGATGCTGAAAAAGAAAAGACCCTTGAGCCACCAGGTGTCCAACTGGCTCATGACGAGCTCTGAACGGCGAACACCAAAAGACTTTTCAGCAAGACTAGACTGCTCACTGTGAGTAGACTCATTAGTCGAAGCTCTCTTCAAGTCGTGGGAGTCCAGGTGGAACCGGGTGTCCTGCAACGCCTCCTTGTTGAGGTTTTCGTTTTGGGCCATGATGAGGAATCAGGAAGCGAGTGGATGTCCATTTATACCTAGCGAAGACCCTTGGGATCATTTTGTCACAATAAGAGATGCCTGTGTCCTGCGCAGATGATGCAGCAGCTGCAGCCTCCAACCGTGTTTTTCACCTGGCGGTTGACAAAATACAAAGGGTGATGCAAAAAATGCGAATAGCGGAAAGCTCAAAACGCTTCTTGACTCACTCTCCATTTTATTTTTGTCATTTTGGCTGGCTCGGGCGCCTCGGTGGAGCCTTATCTGATGCGATCAGTGGAGGCTTCTAGGCTAGAGGCTGCGCGCCAAGAACCGATTGATGCACAATGGACATGGCCCACCAATGAACGTTAAAAGGCGGTTTCAGTTCTGCACTCGAAGATGCCGTCAACTTTTCGATCTTGATTCTTCAGTGGGACCCTACGCATGCCACGTAGGGGTCCACCCTAGGAATATGGGTAGCACCGAAACCGTCTTGACGAGAAGAAGACGGTGGAACAGTCGTTTCGTAAAACTTCCTCTGTTTTTGATGCAAAATCCCAGCTTAACTCAAACTCTCGACGGAGAAACGGAGTGGTCGGGGATGATGCAAGGCCGGACTCCTGTGCTTCCCAATGGCATATTGATCAACCTCGTCTGGCCAATGACAGCACTACGGGCACTCCCTGTCGGCTTTAGAGGTATCATTGACACATTGACAGGTGTCAAGCGGATTGCCCAATGTGGGGGGTGGTCATGGCGGTGTTTCCGTGGATGGAGTTCCAGAGTGGGGGATCTCGGCCGATTGCGGTTTACCTCTATTGAAAAGAACTCAAAACGAGTCTGGACGGGTTTCTGCCAGTTTCTGGGCCGGACTGTGATGCTGTTTTCTTGGGCGTTCGGGCGACTCGCTTGAGGTGCAAGGCTGCAATGGGGGCTTGGACCTTCGCCGTTTTACGACCGTTTACGAGGGGTTTGTAGTTGATAATTATCGTTTAGAGGCTTTACTTTGTAGTAGAAGATCTTCCCAGTTTGGGCAAATCTGTCATGGTAAGAAGAGGTGCCTCGGCTGCAAGATGCCAAGATCCCGATGCAAGAGGAGCTTTTTGATCGGACGCCAAGCCAAGCATTCTCGTCCCGGAGCAGTGGTAGGTCTTTGCCGGTGTTTGGGCTATAGTGGGATTGTAGGGGGTCAGGAAGTTGGTAGGTTGGTGTTGGTTTTGCATCACGCCGATATACGGTCCAGGTATGGTTATGAGGCGATGCGTGGTTTTAAGGCGGGTTTTTTTTTTTTTTTTTTTTTTACGGCAATTAGCGGGATTCGATTATTGGCTAGCCGTCATTTGTCAATGGGCATGACAGCCATTTTGATGGAATGGAAAGGCCTTGACCAGCTGGAGGTGCTGTATAAGACATTCGCAGCCACGGCGCTATCATTCTGCTATGTACGGCTGAATCGCCCACGAGAAGGGAGTTTTTCGCGAAACAAGAGATGGAGTTTTTGAAATGGAAAGTAGCTTGAGCTCTTTCATTCTGCAACTTTCGAGTTTGAGAATACAGGCCGCCCAATATTACTGTCACTGGGGCATTGGCATAGAGTGTTGTTGTTATATGCAGTCCTATGACCATGAGGAAGCGAAGAAGCTAGTTGGAGCCCCATAACAGCAGTTTCAGGGAGTTTTGGGGCAGCAAATTGGAAGAATTTTGCTCAGAGGGATTCAAAGTATGGGAATCTGGGCTCTTCTTGTTTATTTCAATTTTTGACATGACGTTTTCAATTCTCACTAATTGGGTACCTTTGACACATGATTACAAAACGCAAACTGTCAGCCAAAATTCTGAAGTAACATGAACTTGAAACCTAATGGAAAATGCATTTCCTAATGATAAATGCATTTGTAGGATTTATTGATAGAACAACGTTGCATGAAGGGGTGGCAACTAGATCTATACCTCTATGGTGGCCATTCGCAAGAATATTCTTATCTTTTTTTTTTTAAAAAAACTGTAGCTTTGAACGTTCTACTACCAAAGGAACAGAAATCTTCTCGAAAGAGGTCTCAAAAGATCATCAAATTCAATTTTGATATATTAACGGCACAAAACGGATATTAATTTGTCATACCGGCGATTACTTCCCTCTATACGAAATACTTAAGTCAAGTGCACCGAAGAAAAAAATGTACACAGCCGTACCAGACCAAATACGTCAACCTCACCCCAACAACCCTAAATCCTAACGCCAGAAAACGTCTGAAATCCAAATGTGCCATGTTCCGGTAACCGAGTATCTTGAACCTAATTTAATGGCTTTATTTTGCAATTTGTAAAGCCATATCTAATAACCTCCGAAAATCGTACCTCTACATCATTGCACATCCAGTTACACCACCCGAATAGTTAAGACACACCTTCATCCAAAGCATTCCCCTGAAAATCCCACAAAGAGCCCCGCTGTGCAATCAGTTCGCCCTGGTATCTGGTAACTTGAGAGAAGGTTTTTACTATATAATTTCGGTTCATAGCTTTTAAAGCTGAGGAGTAGGTGAGTGAGATACCGATCCCGAAGCGACCTTCAATCAACGTCTTCAGCAAAAACAAAAAAAAAAAGTACATTATCAGATGCAATCATGCGTCTGGACCCCAAGCCGATGATCTTCCTTCGAACAATGCTGCATTGAAAACGCTGAAGATCGCCATTTCTGCAACAAATTCTCCACAAGGCGGCACAAAAAAGCCAAATTTCCGAAAAGCAGCAACTCATGTGGCGAAGGTGCCCCTGACATAAGCGATAACCAGCCGCTGCACATCCACAGTACAGGCACCACAGTTCATAGAACCAAGACTTCTCGACAGCCACAAATGGATCTCACTAGTTGAGTCTACAAATTATTGAAAATTAATGTATTGAAGCTAAATTAAATTCAAGAACGGGAAAGTCTCCGTGCCACGCTGCAGGCGGCTAAGAGTGAACCGCTTAGATCAACAAAGCAGCAACACCGGCGAAGCCAGCGACACCGGCAGCAACACCCAAGTTGCCAGCAGCACCCTCGTAAGAGGAGACAACGGCAGACTCAGCAGCAGAAGTGGACTCAGCAGCAGCGGTGGTCTCCTCAGCAGCCTCGGAGGTCTCGACAGCAGAGGTCTCAGCAGCCTCAGAGGACTCGACAGCCTTAGCCTCAGAGGTGGCCTCAGCCTCGGTCTCAGCAGAGGAGTAACCAGTGGACCAGATGGTCTTGGTGTAGGTGTTGGTACCCTTGGTACCGGTGATGACCTTGTAGGTGATGAAACCACCGGCTGGGGTGGAGAGGTCCTCAGGGTCGGTGATGGTCTCGACGTAGGTGGCACCGTCGTTGGTGACAGTGACGTATCTCAAGGCAGAGACAGAGGAGGCGGCCATGGAAGCAAGGAGGACGGTGGAGAACTGCATTATTGAACGAGTGTGTGTGATGAGGAAAAAGACAAAACTGAGGGGGAGGACCCACTTATATATTGTTGACGCAAGGCCCCAGGGCCGTGCATCGGCTTGAGCGATGAAATAGATAAATCCTCAGATTGGCTGCCCATGTGTGAGGAAGGGTAACCCAGCGATCCGGCGTCGGAACGCATCCGAGCGTCTTCCGCTGCAGAACGGCTTGCTGCCGGGGTTTTGTGCATCGCGCCGCTGGACCCTGGAGGGACCTGAAAAGCACCCAAAAGCGATTCCCAAGGCCACTTTTCCACCCTCCACGCTCTCAATCCCTCTCTTTTTGTCTCCCCGTCTTGGTCTTTCAAAAGCTGTCAAAATCTCGGAAGCGCGGGCCGGGTCCCGAGACGTGCCAAGCTTTTTCAGAGCGCCTCACCAAAGCCCACCATACATGCAGCTAGTCCGTCTGAAATGGGCCCTTTTGGGGAACGCAATTGCCCTTTCGTCTACATAATAAAAGTTGGCACCTCGTAACGAGATCCACACTTTTCCACTTTCTTGGCACCCGTGCTCGGCTCACATTCTGACAGCTTGCTTGAGCCGTTCCGCATGGCACATTGTTGCAATTTTCACACTGTCACTTCCAACAAATATCTACTGCTTTGGCCTCACCTCGGGATAATGCCGCTTTACTCACTATACACTGAAACTCTCTGCGGCAAACTCTACATTGTTGTGGTGGCACCACACCCCACAGTCAGCCAATAGCGTTTCTGGACCGCATGCAACTACAATGCTGCTTTCCTCTTCGGTACCTTCATGGAACTCTCCGAGGAGGCTTGCTACATTCGGGCGTCCCATCTGGAACTCCACAGCAACTCCGTTATCGGCCACACTTGCTTTGGCGTCTTCGGCTTCGAGCATTGGCTCCTGGAGGTCCTCCATTTGGTAGTACTGCGTTTCGGAGGGTTGTTTTCTGAAACGTTGGATGGCGGCTTTGATCCGGGAAATTAGCGTTTGCCTTTTGACAGGCTCGCTACTTCCCGTGACATGTATATCAATCTTGGCGTCTCTGTAGTCTGGGGTGAGCTCCAAGGAGTCGGATTCGGGGTCTTCGTGGTACCCAAAGATTCCGGCCTCTTGCAAAACAAACAAATCCTCTTTTCTTCTGACAACGATGCAAAAACGCACGTTTGGCGTTTTGACGAGCTCCTCGTCTCCCTTTCGGTTGCGCTGGTGGAAGTACTTGAACAACGGTATACCGAATGCAAGCCCCGAGCCTCCACAGACAATGGTGATGTTGTCGTTTAAATTTCTGGAGAAAAAGAAATCGTCAAACGCCGGGAAGGGCAGCGAAACGGTGTAGCAAAAGTACCGTTGAGACGCCAAATGCTGTGCAAAGCGGGTGCTCTTTTTGATCACCAAATCCACATACTCCTCGTGGTCCAACGATGCAATTGTGTACGGATGGGTTGCAAAAAGCCACGATTTGGGATTCAACAAAGAAGGGCTGATTCTGATATGCGAGCCGGGCAGAAAGTACGTAAGCATTGAACCGTCCTGTTCCTTTTTGAATTTCATGGAAGCCTTCATCACCTTCTCACGAGGGATTCTGACCATAAGCAAATTGCTATCAGGCACAGACGTTGTGTAGTAGCTGTTGGTTTCGTCAATCTTGTCCCTGATGTTATAGCTGAGGTATATCTTCGCTGCGGTGTGGTGAACAAGTTGGCTTCGGGCATGCTATGGAGGTACATGAGAGGAAGCGTTGCCCAAGCGGTGATGATATGCAAAGCATAAAAGAGCTTGTAACAACGCTCTCTGATGCCCTTGATGCCGAGTATGAGGACGATAAATAGGAGGAAGAAGTTGACGACTCCGGGGAACATCAACTTATCAAAGGATTTGTGGAGCTCATTTTTGTGGATCCAGAAGCCGAAAAAGCCAAGCGAATGGAGCGAAATGGAGGCTATCAGGATTCTGGAGATCCACTTGTGCAATGGTATCAAATGCATGTACAAGACATTGGGCAATGGATTGGGTTTCAAGGAGAGGAAGATGATAAGCGGGTACAACGAGAGCCCAAGACGTCCTGCCCTTTTCAACATGCCCAAGCCGATCTTGAAGTGGATGTAATCTGGGGTTTCCTTGATGCCCAGGTACCATGGAATGAACAAAAGGAGAGCCATGAACACCAGCCACACCACGACCAGGAGCCACAAGGGGAAGTAGACCACCTTCCTGAGAACTTTTGTCAAGTAGCCATCAGTCTTATTGGCCTTTGGCAGAAGCCTAACCTTGAGACATGCCAGTACACCTATCGTAACCACATTCGCACACGATAAGGCAAACACCATAACGCCATACTTCTTGTTGATATTGGCCCAAGGGGATTCTGCTCCGTCGCCGTCCCAGCGCTTATCTAAAAAACCGCTATCGGCCGCCTCGAGCCTGGTAAGCTCCTCCACAGCTCTTTGGACGTTCATGAATGGTTGCAAAACGAGCAATGCGGGTTCCAGCAAATTATAGCGTTTTATCGATGCCCATCACCTTTTGTGACCCCGCTGCCCAATTACAGAAGCTCCATTATGCCTTGGCCTAGTCCTTTATGGTGCCACGGTCCGAGGGTGTCTGATGGATCAGATAGAGCCGGGACTTTGGGCGTCTTAGCCCACATGAGAGAGTGCAGCTGCATGTCGACGCATGCGGGCCAAAAAAAAGCCAGGAAAAAATTTGCACCTGTGGTTGCAGGGGGTCTATTGGGGTCTGTTGTGTATTTCAGATTTTCAGGCAAACCCAAAAAGGGCGTCAAAATGTGTGAGATCTTTTCGATCCGACCGGACCGAGCCCACATCGTTTACGAATATGCAGAAGGCAGGAATAGGCGAGTGGAGCCACTTTCTCTATCAAAGACCCTCCGGAATTAGGAGAATACAAAATATCTGTATGAGTCAATTGCGCTGATCGCCTTAAGCCGACTTAGTTAGCCAAACAAACGGCTACACTAAAAGCCCTGGGCTTATCAGATCCATCTCGCGATGGCCTACAGCTAGGATTATCCAGATACAAGTAAATTAAAGCACTAAGCCTATGTACTTACAAAAGCAAAGCAGCGGCAGCAGCAGCAACACCACCCACAGCGACAAAGTTACCAGCAGCGCCGTCAGAGGAGGAAGAGCTGTTTTCAGACTCAACCAGAGAAGCCTCAGAAGAAGCAGACGCAATGGCAGAGCTGTTTGGCACAGTCGAGGAAAGGGTCTTGGTGTAGGTAGCAGAATCCTGCTCAACAGTCAAGTGTGTGGTGGAAACAGACTCCAAACCGTAGGTCTCGGTGGCAGTCTTGGTGTAGGTGGCGTCGTCGCCCTCAATGACAATGGTGGTGGTGTAGGTACCGGAAGTTGGGGTGGTGGTAGCCTGACCGGTCAACTTCTCAGTTCTGGTCTTAGTGTAAGTGGCACCGTTAGCAGTGACAGCGACGGTGACAGTGCGGGAAGAGTCAGCAGCGGCGGCAAGAGCAGCGAAACCGAGGGGAAGGATGGCAGAGAACTTCATGATGATGGATGCAAAAAAAAAAAAAGAAGAGGTAAGCCACCGGCGGAAGGACGACGCTTATATATTTTTTTCCAGACCTCCTTCGGCGTTTCCCCCCAAAACCACTCATGCCATGCTGCTGCATTAGCTTTCCATTTCTGGATCAATGATTGTGCTGACAGCAGCCAGACACTTTTGAATTTCATGCGGTCCGACACATCCGACCCGGCCCGGTTGTTGTACCTCAGTAATTCAATGCACCTCTTGTGCTTCACGTACAGGTGCGGGAAATCGGCATGCGAGTCACAACAGCCGTTGCGCTTAAGAGCCTCTTCTAAGCGATGCAAAATTTTTTCTTGGAGATCGTTATGCTCTTGATATCTGGCCAATATGCTTGGCACGAAATGTCACACTGCTTGTTCCGAGACAGGTACGTTTGATTACGTGCATGATGCCGGATCATGGCTCCAGCATCGTCCCTGTCCTCCAGAATCCCACCTTTTTGCCGTACCCATTAATCCCGACAGGCATGTGGTAAAAGCATCTATGCAGCGCCTTTGTGCTGCTTAGAGGAAAGTCTGATCAATCAGATTATGCATTGGCACCCGGGAGTCCTTTGCGGCTAGACGCCCCATTCCATTGGCTCACTATTTTTTTCATCTCCGTACTCTGGCGGTGGATTTCCGTATCCGTCCGGTCTGTTTACGTCAATGCCTTCCAGCTTCTGTAAAATAATTGGGCCGACTGCTTTGAGGACGACCTCATTGGTTATGTCTTCGGATGATGCAACTCCGAGTGCCACTTGAAGCTCAAAATCTCGCTTAACATTGCAAGTAATGAATGATTGCCCCACGTCGGTTATATCACAGTCGTACCACAGGGGGTCTAATTCGAACTTGAACATCCCCTTGACTCCAGACCGAACATTGTCCTCGGCGGGTTCGAAGTCGGAGAGGCTGATCTCGTTGTCAAGAGCTTTATCCAAAAGCACATGCTTATTTGTTCTCCGAGAGTGTTTGACGGCATAGTAGCGGACTCGCAGGATAAGCTTGATCTTGATGCTTGAGATGCGGAGCGTCATTCTTTCACCTTCCCCCTCCTTCTTAGATTCCCTCGATCGACCGATGCTTGGTGTCCAAAGGGAAACCAGAATGAAGTCGGATATGTGTCCATTTGTTTTCACGACCCTTTTTGATGGTCCCACGGGTGTTTCAAAACCCTCCTTGAACTCCATATCAAGACTTAAAGGTACGATGGTTCCCTCAGACAGGAAGAGTCTATTAAAGAAACCATCCTCCCTCAATTTGCCATCTGAGGCAAATTTGAGTTTCTTCTCGCATATTTCGTAGTCCTCCAATATGCTCTTTTTGCCCATGATATGGTTGACCGAGTACGTCATGTCTTGATTCGCAGGATGAAACATCAAGTCCTTGGTGGCTTTGCTATTGAACCTGAAAATTGACGGGTTTCTGACCACAGCTTCAAGGTAGTACTCAATTTTGCAGTAATTGTCGAAAGAAGTCTTGTTGAAGTACGTTGGTGCCAAGGCAACACTATCAAGATGCTCCTTCTTCGTGTATCCGTGACTGTGGAAGAACTTCTTGTCCACTTTGCAATCCGAATTGTGTTCCTTTCCAGGAAATGTAAAAGTGAAGTTGTAACTGTAAGAACCCTCTGTTAATGTATACGAATCGGTCTTTGAAACGGCCTGAATATCAGGTGGCGGAAATAGCGTCACTTCCTTTTTTAAAAGCAAATGCTTCTCCTGTTTTGATACATAGCCTTGACCTGAATGAACCTTGTTCCTGGATTTCGAGTAACCGAATAAAGTGACGTCAATGGACGATAGATCGACCTTCTCATCCACAGCTAGATGCACTCTCCCTGAGACAATGTCACCGCTAGTGTACACCTTTTGGTGGTCAAGCTCAATGGTGAAGCCTGTCATGCAATTGAGCGGCTGAGTATCTCTAATTACGGGGAAATACTCTCAGAGAGATCCTGTAGCACATGCGTAGACGACTTTTATATGCATGTCTGATAGACCCTTGACAGGCATCAGAGATCAATGCTTATGCAATGCAGGTAATAAATAGGAATAATCGAGCCGAAATGCGTGGTTTGTTAAACGGTATTGCTTTAGTTTCCGAAGATCTGAACCAAAAATTGAGGACAAACTTCGAACCAAGAATTCCACGTAGTGCACTAGGTCGAAGCCTCAGGGATATCGCCTAAATGAGCCACCACCTGAAATAAGAGATCATCCTTAGAGGCGCCCTTGTCATTCAAGATGGCAATTGCCTTGCTAACGTAGGTTTTGAGAAGCTCATATGTTTGCTTCAATGCTGTGGTATCGGTCTTCAAAGACAGCACGGCATCTGCCAAGGCATCTTTAGCATCTAGCCTCTCTTTGGCCAGATAGTCAAAAAGAAAAGTTTGGAGAGCCGAATCTCTGGGTGCTTCTCTTAATGCGTAAAGTATAGGTAACGAGAGCTTGCCCTCTACCAAGTCTTCGCCAACAACGCCCTTCATTTTGTGGTACCTGTCGTCCACCAAGTTCATGTAGTCGTCACGAATTTGGTAGATGATTCCTAGCAAATTGGCAAAAGGCACCAACTTGGCAGCATCCACGGTATCGTCTGCGAAAAGAGCCAAAAGCTTCACAGCCAAACGGAACAAACCGCCTGTTTTGTTCATCACCATAAGCTGGTACTCTTCGTCCGACGGAAGTTCGGCTTCTCCTTTCCGCCACTGACCTAGAAGCGTGTCTCTCCAGAATATATCGAGACCTTGGCCATGATGCAAGTTGAGCATTTCCTCCACGAGGATTTTGTTCGTCCGGGTCAGAAGCTCATCAGAGTCAATAGAAGTTCTCTCCACGAGTCCCGGAAGAACATTTGTAGCTTGGTGGAGCGCCTCAAAGTACATGAGGTTTCCACAGTTGATGGTCAATGGCGTGCCATACTTGATATGGGCGCTTTCCTGGCCCCTCCGTGTATCCGAGGCGTCTTCAATGTCGTCTATAAGCAACGACAGGTCGTGAAAGATCGAGATAATCGTGCCGATCTCCTCGAGAACCGCCTTATTGTGGATCTTGAAGAACATCTCGTTGAAGGCGATGATGAAACGGTACCGCATGTTCTGATTGTTGCCCGGAATGCTGGAAATGTAGCTGTACGGCTCTTTCAAAACGCCCGGAACCGGCCCCGTGTCCGTCTTGTTGATAAGCTCGTCTATGCTGAAGTTCATGATGGTAGTTACAGATGCGCGACCATTGATCACCATATATCTCCAACTGGGTAGTACCATCAGACCTACACCAAACAAAAAAAGCTAAAACACAGCGCCATGGACATTGCCAATATTTTTGCAATACCGCCTGTCACAAGAGCGTGGATCGGCTCCATTGTGGTGATTTCCTCGGCGTGTAGCTTGAGTCTTTTGAACCCCATGAAACTCCACTATCTTCCAGGAATGTGGCCACGCTTGTTCACCACTTTCAGCACATGGGGTAACCTCAGCTTCGTGCTACTAATTCAGCTATTGTACTTGAGATCCACATGTGGCGGTCTCGAGAGGCCGTACCAGATTGAATTAGGCATGTTCCCACGAAGTGTGGCACGTCTGTTGGACGATCGTAAACGTGCCCTTTTGAAGCAAAAATTAGAAGCTTACAAATCGCTAGACTTTGCATGGTTTCTTGGCCAGATTGCCATTTCTGCCGTGGTGGCATTCCATCTCCAGCAGAACATCACCGGAAACTACACCGTCACATACTGGGCTATGGGGCATGTGCTAGATAACATCCTCTTGTACATTTCCGGCAAGCTCTCGCCGAACGAGGGCTTTACGTTATTTATTCTCATCATCAAAAAGCGCTACGCTTTCTGGGCATACGGATTGGCCAGCTACTTGTTCACAGACGAGTTCCTGCTAATCCCTCAGATCTACGCTCAGTTTGGCTTGAAGTTGACAATTGAGCACATTATCACGGGCCCGTTCCTCTGGTGCACGATATTTAAGATGCTTATCGGCCATTTCTGGTGGTTTGTGAGGTTCTACTTGCTTGGGGACATCTACAACGAGATCAAGACCGAGAGTCGTGAGGCGTGGCTGGTTGCGTTTGACCCCTACGAGACACGCGACCCGTTGAAGGAGAAGTTGCAGTACTTTGTGAGCGACGTGTTGCGTTTCATCGTTCTTCCGCCTTGGTACGCCTTCATTGTGCCCAAGCTCGTCAACGAGGAGTAGCGGGGTGGCAGGGAATGGAGCATCTGGGCAGATTGACTACAGATTGCGTTGAAGTTACCTGAAGGAGACCAACAGGACGTGTTTCTGGGTCGAGGTGCGGTTTCGGACCAGACGGCTCGAATCGGTGAGACAGTCTATGATGAGGGCGTGGCAGCAGAGCGATTTTTGATCGATTTACCAGGTAACTACATTTGGAGGAACTATCCGTGTCTTTTGCAGCCATGATACCTAGGATTATTCGAGTTCCCACTTTTCGACATTCCGCTTTGGTACATTGAAATTCGCCGGCCATACTTCGGCTAAACTCGCCAACTGACAAAACTCGCCGAATGGTTACTTCTCTTGTACCTCTTGACCGCGATACGTTCCGCCTACATCCTAGGAAATCCGCTCTTGTTTCATCCTTAGCCTTGTCAGTTGAGGCGAAGCAAGAGGGGGAACCAATAGTGAAACGAGGTGGAAAAAAATAATTTCACCCGATGGTTCCACAAAAAGAACAATGAACTCACCCGAAAGTTCGCAACATCGTATAATCTTCGAAGCCGGAACCTTCTATGTATGGAGATGCCGCCTCGGTCTCGCTCACGCATTTACCATCCGCGTGCCGTGACACCCGGCACCGTAAACGAGGAGCCCACGTTCTTCGGGAACCGACGGAATTTTTTGACCTTGAAGGAAAATTCAAAAACGAAACCGTTGAACTTTCCACATTGCCCGAATCTATTTCAATACTATTTCCCCTTTTGGCGCCTTCGCCCACTTGACCGTGCCTATATCGGCTATGCTGTGGCTGCGAATCATCAATGGCTGCAAACAAGCAAGCCGAACGAAAAGTGCCCACACGAGCAAAATCACGGTAAACTATGAACAGCATCAAAATCGCCAGGCCCGAAATCCACCAAATCTATGATCTCAGCAAAATCCCCAGTTTCCGGACGTATATCACCTTATCACCTCTGGCGTGTTTCTCACCGTAGCGCATCACTAAAGACCCACACTAACTCACCACAGGAGCTCCAAATATAAAATCGAACATCACCATCGTCTTGGTCACGTTCTCCACGTCAAAATCATATAAAAAAATTCACCTCCTTCGCCCCACACGCCCTCCTGGCACACAAGTACCGAAAAGCCCGACCTGCACTCTACAGGGTCTATCAACCCCTACCACTTCTCTTTCTTCCACAACCATGTCCGTGCTTTCTGCCATCCTGCAAGAAGTACACGAATCCGTGTCTGGCGGGGTCCATCCGGCGGTGCTGGCCTTGGTAGATGCTTTCGTTGCTTATCTTAAGGAACCAAGGTACCTGAACCCTTTGGGACTTAATGAGTTGGGGCTGCTATTCGCCAACTTTTGGGCTGACCTCAACCTGTTGGTGATCTACATTTACACACAGCTGAATCTGAACAAAAGACAGCTTTTGGCGAATCTGAAGATGTTTCAGAATGACCCGAAAACCTTTGACTACTTGGTGGCCTTGGCTAACTACTCCCCTCTGTCTATCAAGAGGGTCCGCCGTACCGATCCACACGCCTTGTTCCAGCTCCGTGTCTTTGCATACTACAAGTTTATTACCATTGTCGACTCGATCGAGAAAGCGCAGTACGATCTCTTCAACTCGAGCAGCCCAGGCGATAAGCTGACCTTGTTTGATAAGATCTTCCGCTTTGACGAGAAGGATATAAGGGCGCAGCAGCTCTGGACGGAGAAAATCAGGCTACTTCGGAACTTGAACCTCCCCTTGAGCTCCTTCTGTGAATCCAAGAACAAGGAGGAGTCTGCTCGCTTGGACGAGTTCTTCCTCACCCTAGACGCCACGGAAAGCGCCACTTTGCACGACATCAAGAAGAACTTCAAGCTCCTCAACCTCGTGAAGACCCCAGCCACGAAGCTCAAGTACTTGGTGAAAACCCAGAAGTTGCTTGTGCGCCTCTTGTCCAGCTTCTACAACGACCTGTCCAAGGTGAACAACGACATCTTGCTCCCATCGCTCATCTACGTTATCATATACCACCTCCCAGAAGACGTGCCAGAGGTCCCGAGATCGACTCGCCTCCAGAATCCTACGACCTTTACCTCAACCTTACCTTCATCAAGAACTTCTTGAACGTGATCGACGCTTACAAGGTCGATGTCAACACCTTCACGCTCAACACGTCCTTGAACTCTTACAAGCCAACAGGAAAGAAACGCCCGTTTGCCAGAGGAGAGCGCAGAAACTCCAACTCCAACCTCTACGACCTCATCAACCTCAAGGAAGCCAGTGAGGAGTTGTTAGAGGACGACTCCGATCCCATCTATGCCACGAAAGAGCTTCAGTCAGACAAAGATTTGATAGAACACATACAGAAGAACTTCTTGAACCACGGCGAGTTGCAGTACTACCTCACCAACTTCGAGGCAGTCATTTACTTTTTGCTGAACTCCGTCCTCGAGGAGATCGTACCCGAAAGCTTCTCGATTCCAGAATCATTTAAAGAGAACGAGTTAGTCAACAAGCCCTTACATAAGATCCTTGATGACGAGATCAGCCCGGTGCCTGCCATCGTCAAGACTGAGGTAAACGAGGAGCAACTCGCCAAGACCTTGGACGAGGAGCTCGACATCAATAGACTGCGCTCTGGTTCGCTTTTCAACACGATTACCAGCGCAGTTCAGTCATCGGTAAACCGCTCCCGCTCAAATTCTGGAGCTATCAAGAGCAAAGAGACAGGCGTTATTCAGAATGATTTTGAATCGTCCATTTATGGCGCACCTTTTGCAAACGGCGAAGCGTATGGTTTCGGTCGCATGAGAAACATTCTAGGGAAGCTCGGCTCTTCTGCGATACAATTTCGTCAAGGCTTGGAAGATGAGTTGAATCAGAACCTTGGTGGTTCCGACTCTCAACTCAATGAGACCAGGCAAAAGCGTGCCAGCACACTCTTAGAAAAGATTTCACCCAACCAGTCCAGAACAAGATCAGAGTCTCTTGACACTGGTGCGTCATCCACGATCAATACCCATTCACGCAAACCCACTTTCTCACTGAAGTTCTCATCTGCAGCATCAGAATTTATGACGAAGTTCAGCGCAGCTGCAAACAACCCATCTGGCACCGTGCAGCCAAATCAAGGCCACGCGTCCAATCTTTCATTGCATTCCTTTGAAGACTCACCATTTCAGGAGCCTAGACCAGCTATTGGTGAGCGTTCAGCTAGTCTCCATACTATGGATAGGTGGTTCAACAACTTTGCCAATGAAGAGGGCACCTCCAACAACAACAACCTGAATCACCAATCATCAAGCAGTGCAGCAAGCAATGCTTTCACCAACAACGAAGACTCCTTATTTAGTTCATCAGCTGAGGAGTTGACCAAGTTTCAGCATACCGATTTTGACTCATTGACCATACAGGACCTCAAACTCATGAAGAATTATTACGACCAACTTTGTCAGGAATATATTGCATCCAAGACGGATTCTAAGACCAGCAACGAATACCTTCCTTTGGACGCCAAAGAGGAAACTTTGTGAGGTTCGTGATTTCGCAGCCATTCGGGGTTTCCTGCACACGCCGCGAGGGTTCCAGAAGAATCCGAGATAACGCTATTTAAGTGTGGAGTTTCCGTGCTCATCTCAGACATCCCGCAGAGACATGGCTAGTGTCATGCCACCAGCACAGCCTATATTCGGAAAACGACGGGCTCGAGATGATATAGAGCCAGGCAATAAGCGGGTCAGACTAGACCGATTGCTTTCAAAACTCAGTATTGACGACCAACCCAAAAAGATAGAGCCAGATTTAGAGATCAACCCCTTACTCGATTTCACAGATGAAAACAGCAAGCCAAAAAGCTCAATTGACTCGTATATCAGTGAACGATTGATGGCCAGCATGCAAGCCAGGGCAGAGGAAGGTCTAGCCGTTGGGCGCTGGTATATTCCAGCCGGGATCGTGATCTTGCACTTTCAGCGTTGGGTCAAGCGGCTTTTCAACAGATTTGTGAGACGATACAATGCTACACATCCTGATCGAGCGCCGGTCCGCACGTTTAGAAGCTACAGCAAGATTGTGAAGTTCGTTTACTCCGAAGTCAACTTCAGTCTAGACGACCTACGGCAGGTTGTCATGGAGGAAAACTATCGGGAGCAACGGGAGCTCACGCTGCGCAGGAACGCTCGTGAGAATAAGCGGTACATTGAGGAGATCACAGAGGAAGAGAGCATAGCGGCGGAATCGCTGTACACATACTGGGACCGGTTCGCCGAAGCCAGTGGTGATATCGAGATGGAAACGGGGTCCGGTCTGGATCTGGACATGATGGACATATAAGGTTTTGCATAGGAAGTTATAGACCTAGGACCACCGCGTAGCATAAGAGTAGTGCGGACAGCCATGGTGTAGTTGGTGTAGACACCCGTACCTCCCGAGCACGGATGAAAATCTACGAAAAAACACTAGGAAGGGTACTGCTCCACTCCAAAAAGCAAAATGTCTATGGAACAGGAGCGGGACGTTCTTCCGAAAGAGGAAAGCGAAATCCGTACACATGCTTCCGACGACAATTCGTCAGAGGAAGGTGACGATGTGATGGACGATTCTTCTGAAGAAGACGAGGACGACAACGACGAAGAAGCCATCCAGAAAGTCAGGGAAGGTTTTATCGTTGACGATGATGAAGACGATGATTTGTCCCTGAGAAAGAAACGCAGAAAGCACAAGCGTAAGAGAGAGAAGGAGAGAGCCTCGGAACCAAACGATGCTTTAGACGATGACGACTTGGAGCTTTTAAGAGAGAACCTGGGAGCTGCGCCCCTGAAACCTTCACAAAACAAGTTCAAAAGGCTCAAAAGAGCAGCTCCTGAAGAGGATGACGAAGAGCCCGCAGAGGCCCCTCAACAAGGCAAACAAGGCCGTCTTACTGACTTCTTCTCTGATGATGAAGGGGAAGGTGAGGATGCTGGAGGTGAAGATGAAGACCGTGGTGGCGACCAGGGTAACATTTTAGATGAATTCGAGGACTTTATTGAGGAGGATGAGTTTTCTGATGAGGAGGAGGCCAAAGCACACAAGTTGCAGCAGCAGCGAGAAAGAGCCAAGCGGAAGGGCCCCAAGTTGGACACATCCAAGCTTTCTAGTGTCGACAGAGAGAGTCTACAGCAGCTTTTCGAGGTCTTTGGCAACGGTGCCGACTACGATTGGGCCTTGGAGGCTCAGGACCTTGAGGAGGAAGGCAACAACGAACAAGAGCCTACGGCGCTTGACGAGGTGTTCGAGCACTCGGAGTTGAAAGACAGAATGCTTACAGAAGAGGATAACTTGATCCGTATCATTGACGTTCCCGAGCGTTTCCAGAAGTACAGAGCCAACCTCAACTACATGGACTTGGAAGGTGCTGAATTACAGCGTGAGAAGCGCTGGATTGGTGACATTTTGTTTGCTGAAAAACAGCAGACTTTCGATGGTCCACTTAAGGAGCCTTTCTATGAGGCCGTCGGCAAGGTCGTGGAGTTCATCAGTAAAGACAACTGGGAGGTTCCATTCATCTGTGCCCACAGAAGAGATTTCTTGATCCACACAGAGGAAGTGCCCGAGCCCGAGGGCGGTGTCCGCAATGTTGTTCACAAATTGCTCTTTGAAGACGACTTGTGGCGTATTGTCCGTCTTGACGTGGAGTACCACACCCTCTACGAGAAGCGTGTCAACACAGAAAAAATCATCGAAGCACTTCAGCTCGACGACGACCTCGTCAAGGATATTCAGTCTGTTGACTCAATGGTTGCCATTCAAGACTTACAAGACTACATCAATTTCACATACTCGGCTGAAATCAAGAAGCTTAGCGACTCTAAGGAGGAGCAGGCTGAAGGCCAGGACGAGGAAGCTAAGCTGGGCAAGAAGCACTCTAAATATGCCATCTTCGAGCGAATCCGTGAAAATGTCTTGTATGACGCCGTCAAGGGCTACGGCATCACATCTAAGGAGTTTGGAGAAAACGTCCAGGACCAGTCTCTCAAGAACTATGAGGTGCCCTACAGAATTCATGCCACTGACGACTCGTATGAAACCCCTGATGACATCATCGAGAGACTTGTCGAGGACGACGAGATCTTGTTCAAAGACCCCAAAAATGCATTGAGCGCTGTCCGCAAGACATTCGCCGAAGAGATATTCCACAACCCCAAGATCAGATCCGAGGTCAGACAGGTTTACAAGAACTTTGCCTCGATTTCCGTCACCTTGACTGAAAAAGGTCGTCTTAGCATCGACAACCATAGCCCATATGCTGACATCAAATACGCCAAGGGCCTTTCCCCTGCAGACTTGGTTAGCAAACCTGACGTTTTGCTCAGAATGCTTGAAGCCGAGTCCAACGGTTTGATCATCATCAAGGTCGAGACATCCGACTACGACAGCTGGTTCCAATCCATCTTGAACTGTTTGACATCGGACGGTACTTCTGAGATTTCCGAGCAATGGAACAAGGAGAGAGAGTTGACGTTGTCTATGGCATTCAAGCGTTTGACGTCCATGGTTTCCATGAACACCAAGGAAGACTTGCGTCGTGAGTGTGAACGTCTTGTGGCTGCAGAGCTCAGAACGAGGTTCGTAGCCAAGGTTGATCAAGCTCCTTTCACGCCATTTGGCTACGACAAGGGCACGAAACCCAACGTGTTGTCACTTTCATTCGGCAAGGGTGATTTTGACAGTGCTGTCGTTGGTGCCTTTGTGAGAGATACTGGAAGAATCAGCGAGTACTTCAAGTCTGACAACAACCCAACCAGAGACAGAGACAGTGGAGAACGTTTCGCTGGTCAGCTCAAGGAGTTCTTTGACACTAGACTTTACAACCACAAGCCTGACGTCATTGTTGTCTCTGGTTACAGCGCCAACACAAAGAGACTCTATGACATTGTCAAGAACTTCGTCTCCAAATACGAGATCTTGTGTAATGTTGAAGATCTACAAGATCCCGCTACTCCGCCATTGCTTCCTGTCATCTGGGGTCAGGACGAGACAGCTAGACTCTACCAGAGCTCCGAAAGAGCGGTTGTTGAGCTTACAGACAAACCTCCCTTGGTCAAATACTGTGTTGGTTTAGCCAAGTACGTTCAGAGCCCGTTGTTGGAGTACGTCTCCCTCAAGGACAACATTCTGTCTTTGACCTTCTACGAGCATCAGAAGCTCCTTTCTGACGATGTGGTTCAGGAAACTTTCGACACTGTCTTCATTGATATCGTGAACATGGTCGGCGTGGAGATCAACGAGGCCCTTCGTGACCCATACTACGCCCAGCTTCTACCATATGTTGCTGGGCTTGGACCCAGAAAGGCTTCTGGTTTAATCAGAAACATCACCTCGAAGCTTGGCACCTTGACCACCAGAAGTGACTTGATTGAGAATGAGCTCTCTACTGCAAACATTTTCTTCAACTGCTCGTCTTTCCTCAGCATTCCTTACGACGAGGGTGTGACTGTCATGGACTCATCCATTGAGCTACTTGATGCTACTCGTATACACCCTGAGGACTACAGTTTAGCAAGAAAGATGGCTGCCGATGCCCTCGACTTAGATGAAGAGGACATGGCTCATATCGACGAGCAGGGTGGTATCATTTATCAGTTGATGCAAGAGGGCGTTAACAAGGTGGACGACTTGAACTTGACTGCTTTCGGTAAGGAGTTAGAGTCCAAGTTCGGCAAGAAGAAGTATGCTACTCTTCAAAGTATCAAGGAGGAGCTTGTGAACAACTTCGAAGAACTCAGACGCTCTTTCCACTTGCTAGATGTCATTGAGGTGTTCCGCATGTTGACCGGTGAAACCATGGAGAGTTTCAATAGAGGTACAATCTGTCCTGTCACCATAAACCGTGTGGGCAAGAACTTCCGTGACGAGAACGCCAGAGTCAAATTCTTGCGTGTTTCTACTCCATCGCTCATTTCTGGAACCGTTGAGGAGGGTCACATCTTAAAGAACTCTGACTTCCAGCAAGGCCAGGTCATTCAGGTTGTTGTCTTGGATGTCAACTACGAGGGTTTTGGTGCAAGTTTCAGTGCCCTTCCCGAAGACATCAAGAAGTCATCTGGTCCCAAATTCATCAAAGACCCTCTTAAGTGGGACTTCCAGCTCGAGGAGCACGACAAACAAAAGGAAAGAGCCAAGGAGAATGCCAAACTTGCAAAGACAAGAAACGTGCAGCATCCACTTTTCCACAACTTCAATGCCAGACAAGCCGAAGAGTACCTTGCGCCTCAGTCTGTTGGTGACTGTGTTATCAGACCATCATCCAGAGGCCCAGAGTACTTGACTGCTACTTGGAAGGTGGCCAATAACTTGTTCCAGCATCTCAGTGTCAAGGAAATTGTCCACAATGCCGGCAAGGAATACATCGTCGAAGGTAAGAAATACTCTGACTTGGATCAGATGGTATTCCAGCATGTTCAGGCAATCGCCAAGCACGTCAATGAGATGTGCCGCCATCCTAAGTTCCGTGAAGGTACCCTTTCGGAAGTCCACGAGTGGTTGGAATCATACACCAAGGCCAACCCCAAGAACAGTGCCTATGTGTTCTGTTATGACCACAAAGCACCAGGCTGGTTCTTGCTACTTTTCAAGGTGAACGTCAAGACGCCGGTGACGACGTGGCACGTGAAGACAGAATGCAACGGGTTTGTGTTGAAGGGGTTCTCGTACCCCAACATGATGAGATTATGTAATGGTTTCAAGCAGACATTCAAGAGTCTTGTCAACGACAAGTCGAGAGGCCACAGTCAGCCATACGGCGGCTACGGCTACTAGATTTGTCAAAAAAAATGTGTTATATATAATAAGATCATACAACGAAAACGGCGTAGATTTTTGATATAAATATGAAGTCTTCTCAGCGAACCGTCTATGACTGATTGAGTTTTCTGAGTTTAGAGCGGTAACTATCGCCATCAACGTATGTGCCCATCAACCAGCGATCGCCACCATTAGAGTCAGAAAATTGGTTTCTTGAGTGAAGAACACGACGATTGTCAAATATCACACAGCTTCCTTCAGGCAGTTTCACCTCGTAGGTGTTATTAGGATCATTGATGAAATCCTCAAAGAGCCTTATTCCTCTTAAGAAATCCTGCCAGAGTTCAGCATCCTCGGATGTTGTGACATGGAACTCGAATGGCCCTTGGAAAGGTGGGGCGTAATTGACCTCCTTGATCTGAGGCTGTCCAGTGGTGAAGTTCTTCACAAATGGATCCTCCACAATGAGCGGCCGCAAGTAGTAGTAGTACTCGTTATTATTATTGTAGTGATAGGTAAATGGAACCTTTTTTAATGCTTCGTAGGCAGCTGGATCAGTATCACGGATATGGTAGCCGGCTGCAAATGAGTCTGCAAAGATGTTTTCACCACCAAGGGTGGTATTCTGAATAAAATGCAAAAGCTGCAATCCAGGAGGAGACTCGTAGTAGAGCAAGTCCATATGCAACGGGAGAAAGACGTTTGTGTTGGCGATGTTCTTTGCGTTCTTCTCGTTCTTCACGTCGAAAAGGACCCCATAGAATGTCTTCTTGATGTAACCAAAGCGGTGTGCCAATTTGGACACAGGCCACAAATCTTCGTTCTCAGGCTTAATGGCATCGAGCTTTGGGTCATTGAGCGGATCTTCCACATTCTCAATAAACGAAAGACCGTATTTGTTCAAGTTGTTCACCACTTTCTTGAAGACCTCGTCTTTGGCAAAGTATGCATTGTAGTCGACCTTGAGATCGCCCAATTTTGGAACCAAATCCTTGTTTTTCCAATGCACCTTTTCTTCAGGAAAGAACTTGCCTTCAAATCGGCCCTTGAGTGTCAGAGCCTTCTTCAAGAAAGACTCAGTGTAAGCTGAATCATGGGCATTGCTTCCCTGCTGCCATTTCACAAAAAGCGTCTTTTCTCCATCCTTATCACTAACATAGGGCTTTTCCGAAACATTGAGGCCCCTGGAGATACCAGCCGTGGTGAATGACTTTTGGCTTGTGGAGATATCCACGGAATCTGGGGAAGTACAAGAATCTCTCAAGAAGACGTTATCAAAAGAAACATCCTTACCTTCGATATTCACTGTGATCGAAGTGCTATCGTAAGCCAGAAGGGAAAGTCGACGATTGGCCAAACGTTGTGTGACTCTGGAAAACATGAAGTAGTCTAGTATTGATACCTCGGTTAGAGATATTGTGGGGATTCCGCACTGAAAAAAAATAAAAAATATTGACACCCGCGAGGTTCGAACTCGCGCCTCCGAAGAGACCAGGAATGTATGGTAAGGTAACCTTACCCTGGCGCCTTAGACCACTCGGCCAGAGTGCCAATTGTTGTACTATGGAGAGCACAAGTTAAATATGAAATATAATAGAGCAAAATGAAGAAAGCTCAAAACCTTCGGATTTTTTTGGTTTTTAGCTCTCCTACTAACTAATCCCATGTCTATCCATTTTCTATAACCTAAAGCGTGAAAAGAGAAGTTCTCCGCTTACCAAATGGGTACACCACCAAGGCGGCAGCGAACAAACCCACAGAAATACCAATCGACACCTCTACCATGGTGGCACCGAAACTCAAAGACGACGAACTCGTCTCTGCATCACCAACACTTTCTCGGGTCGAATTGGTGATACGATTGGCGGTGTCAACACCAGCCAACAACGTACTTTTGGATGCAATACCAGATGGCACTTGCACGAAGATAGCTGGAAGCATGGCACTCACCGCCATTCCTCGTCCGATACGAGAGTACATGTTACCAAGAATACCGATAATGAAGGAACCAATGGCTGCAGTGAACTCGGTGACGTTCTGGAAATGTTTACCTGCGAAATACGTACCGACGTAAGCGGTACACGAGATGAAAAGCATCACAGGCAATTGTCTGAAACGAGCCTGGTTGATCAAACCGAGACATGTGGTGAAAAGCGGCACGAACAAAATTCTCCATTTGTGGTCAATTTCATGATCTGAGGAACATTGGGCTTGATCTGTGGCATTCAGATCGACCCAACCGTACAACGCAGCACCAAGTGTAATACCGAAACCCAAAAATAGCGAATATATAATTGCATAGAACATTCTGACCGAACCAGCAACAATATTCTTGGATTGCAACTCTAGCGAGCCACACAAAATGATGTAACCCGGCAAAATTAATGCTAGTGACCCTTGTGCAATGGCACCAAAGCAGAAAATTTTACCACTATTAGCAGATCCGATACCACGAGCAACGAAGGAAACAACGATAGAAGATGTAACCTCAAAAACAGAGGAGTACAAATGCGATTTGGAAGAAACAAAGAATTGCAAATAGCCCACGATGGAGCCGACACCAAATGAGATGGGCACATCGAGCCAACCTCCACCGAAACCGAAGGTACAAACGCATGCTGAACCTAAGGCATAAAGGAACACCGACATCCATGGAGGGTACTGGTTTCTTCTTCTCAACAAATCTTCAAGCTTCTTCGTAGCTTCCTCCACACTAGTCAAGTCATGAATAACGTCTTTGTAGATCTTGTGAGTGTCCGAAAGCTTGGACAAGTTAAGACCCTGGGCACATCTGACCAAATGCACCTCGGAAGTTCTGGTGGCTGCGTCACCAAATGCAATAAGCATGGTACCTGGGAAGTAGACAAATTGACCGTCGATTTCGAGCACTCGACTGGTCATAACCATGTACTCCTCCAATCTATGAGTAGGGGCACCATACATCATGAGAGCACGACATATTCTAATGATGAACCGCTGTCTCTGCAAAATGTCTGCGATGTGGACCGTGATACGCAACTTCTGGTCCTTGTTTTTCTTCAACTTCTTTCCAAGACGGTTCGTGCTAGGGTTCTTGGGTGCCTTTGGACGTGCATTTTGGAAAGATGGCAACTTAGCGGCATCTTCGTCCTCGTCTTCGTCGTCGGAGTCACGGCCGCCCTTCTGCTGATCCAGCTTCTTCTTAAACTTGTTAGCCAATCTCTTGGGGCCCAGCTTGATGTTGTTTTTGAGCTGAGTGAAATCATTCTGACTGACGTTCTTGGAACCGTAACCGCCGTCGTCGAATTGCTCGTCAGCAATCATCGTGTTGGAAGATGAGTTGAATGACAGCGACGACTTGCTGGCGCCTGGGTTTTGGTACAACTTCAAAAGCGATGAAAGCACACCAGCATGCACCTGTTTGGGTGGAGCAATGTAGTCATCACCACCGCCCTCAGCTAGAAGGAGATCGTCATCCTGTAAATCGTCGTCGAGGTCGGCTCTGAGCAAGTCGGGGTTAGGCTGGTAGAAAGGATTTTCGGCCGAGTCGATGGTAGCTTGTCTTTGGTGACTTTTGGCCTTTTCTTCCTTTTCGTGGTCCAAGGAGGAACCTTCCTGAAGGTCCACGTCGGTGAGGTCAGCTTTTTCGTCCGGCTCTTGGAAAGCCACCTTGTTCATGCGCTGCAGCTGCTTGAGCTCAGGAGCATGAATGTCAATCAAGTCTTTGGCGGCCTCGTTGAGCTCCGCATAGTTCAAATTCTGCATTTCAATGGCGTGGTCCTCGCCTTCACCGCCCACGGCCTCTTCAGCGTCGACTTCTCTGTCTTCGCCGGCCTTAGTGCCACCAGGCGCCAAACCACCGCCACTGAGACCGCCGCCGCCCATATTTAGGACGCGTCCAATGAACGTGTCGGATCTGGAAGGAGCATCGGCGCTATCGGCCTCATCTAGCAACAGCTGTCTGCGGAAGATGTTTCTGATGGAGCTGCTCTTTTTGGAGTTGCGGGACGTGTGGGAGGAGGTTCTGCGGACGTCGGCATTGTCGACTTCCTGGGATCCCGAGCGGGAGTGGCTTTTGCGCGAGCTGTTCAGCGAGGCACCCTGGGTTCTGTACTGCTGAGGGCTCTCGTCATTTTCGTCATCGGAGGAATCAGCGATTTCCAAGGGCATGGCGTTCTTGTCGTCGTCGTCGTCGTCACTCTCATCGTCGTCAGAACTATCGTTATTCTGTCTTTGCCGGGGCATGTTGAAGGCGAAATTAGGAAGGTCCAGGGCACCTTCTTCCTGGCGAGCCTTGGCCAAAGAGGACATCAGCACCAGGTCCAGGTCCGACAGCGACAGATCCATGGCGTTCTGGGAGGACGTGCTCATGACGGTGTTTCTGTTGTGCGGGGTATTCTCGCCCAGGTACTTGACCTTGTTGGCGTTTCCAGTGATCTTCTTCTTTGCCTTGACCAAGTTGGTTTTGGCATTTTGCTTTTTGTTCTGTTTGCGGAGCGCCGCCAAATTCACCGCAGGCACGTTGAAATTATGCTGAAACTGGGACTCGTCTTCCGACGACAGGGTCAGTGGACGAGACATGGTGTATTTGTGATCCGGGTGGAAGTGGGATGGGGTCTGATATATATGGCGGTTGCGACAGTGCCTGCGCGCTCTGGCTGCGAAATGCAGACAATGAGGAAAGTGGAAGAAGGAGGAGGAAGAGGAAGGTGGAGGGGGATATGGAGATTTTTTTTGAACTTCCATAAAACAATAAGGACGGGACTGAAAGTGACGTTTTTGCAGCTTCGCAATTGGGACACGGAGAGGTGGGTTGTACAGCCACGGTCTAGTATGCGGCCTAAAAAAAAAACCGCATTTCCAGTGCAGAACCGGCTGCAAAAGCAAGGAAGGACAGGCAGGAGACGAGAGTGGAAGGGAAGGGTAAGAGGAAGGGGAGATGAAAGGGAAAAACAGGATTTCAGGTTGGTGGAGCAGAACAAAATGATTATTTGATTGTTCAGAGAAAATAAGTGTGTTTTCTTTGGCGCCCCGTTTCATGGTGCTCACCGGGGCCAAGACAAGAAACCATGGCGTTTCTGGAAACTCAGACAATGCAACGGCCAAGAGGAGACGTGTGTGAAGAGCAAACGATGACTTTTGTTTGACTGGGTTTGTGTAGGTCTGTTGGTGAAGATGGAAATTTTCCATGCTTCCTGTGGCTGCCTGTGACCGGCATTAGAGGGTGCCACGGCACTTGTGGAAGCAGCGATTCTGCAAGGAAGGTGCACCGTCTGATCCACGCGAAGTTGAGAAAACCCTGGCTTTTTTCGATTTACGATTTTTGATTTCTTCAGAAAACCAGCATTTTAAAATTCAAACATTTCCACCAACGGCTGCCTCTCGATCGTGCGTTACAGAGGGTTGGTGGCCTTGGTGGGTGCAAACGCGAGCAAACGGAAAAATTCACCCCCGGGGCGGACTACCACTCTGCGCCCTAAGCCTGTTGTGCCTGGGGTGACGAAAAATAAGACCACCTGGACGCCGCCGAAAATTCCACAATGAAGCGCCGAATTCGAAAAAAAAAAAACCTCTCCTTTTTTCTCGATCTTCTCTAAAACCTCCTTTTGACGTCATGGATGTGCGGCGGCTCTAGAGCCTCAGACTGATCCATTCTGCCTCGCAACACGGCGTTCCGGTACTACTCGTCCACTCGTGTCAAGACTTTTTCACCATCGTCGCGAAGCACACTTCTGCCTTGCTGCTGAGCCAATCAGCTTTCTTCTTTTGGTGCCTACGCTCTACGGCTTGTTTTGGGCGTGGAATGCTGATTTTGTGCTTTGGCGAGCTGCATGTGTCGAGGGCCTTCGAGACGTTGATGACGACGTTTTGGTGAAAATCGCTGCTGCATGTGGCGGTACAGTGCCAGCCGAGAGGAGACCCGAGATACGATATGGGCTTTTGATATTTAGATTTGGGTTTTCGAGATTCTGCTTCTTGCTGCTAAAACTTCCCTGGAGAAAAGGACTAGACGGATCGTGGCTTGGCTGCGTTGACTCGGTGTGGCTGATTTTCCGATGTCTGTTTCACAGGTAGGCATACAAGAAGGCCAGTGTAGTTGGAGTGTAGGTTTCCGATTTTCTTCAAGACAATTTGCACGAAGATAGAATATTGTGGAAATCTGGAGAGAACAGATTCTCGTCTAATCCATTATTCTCGTGCTGAAGAAGCATCTAATTACCTGCCTCGGTTCAACGCCCTATAGCTATGGGCACTATCTAAGAATTGATCAGATATCATCTGGCTACTGACACCAGTCACACTTCTCTCATCAATCATAAAAAACATCCAAAATCACTTCACCTCTATTATCGCCTTTCAAGTATTCTACACCCACCGTTTCCAGTATTCTCCATTATCTATATTACAGTCCAGACGGCTGGCCCCAGACACCGTTCCCAAGACCTAGGCCTGCTGTGACCTGTCAACGCTCTCCTCCCACTGCACACCACAGTACTCTCTAACATATCCCACATGGTTCTCGTCCAAGCTGGGCATGTAGTCCTCCTCGTCCGTGTAAACCACAATAGTGCCCCACGACATACCATTCAAGATATCAGCCACAGAAGCGCCCTCGCCCTCAAGGTCCATAATCGCCTTGGGCATAAGCTGAAGCTCGAATCTTCTCTTGGAGGACGGATTGTATGCGGGATCAGGAACGGTCTTTTCACTCACCTGCTTGGCCACCTCGTCCTTGCCGCTATAGAGCACAGGCTGGCCGTCCAAGTCGTATCGAAGCACCTGCGTGGGGTTGTGGTTGACGACGGAGGTGAAGTTTTCGAAAAACTTGTCGTCAAGCATCTTGGAGATTTGGTTGGTCTGGTTGACAGCCAGTGAGGAGCTGGACGATGAAAGCGTTCTCTCCTTTTTGCCGCCTTTGCTGGGGCCTTCTTCTTCTGTGGTCTCTTCTATCAAATGCTTGTACTTTTCCAACTCAGGCTCGAGTGTCACTCTCTTGAGCTTCTCCTTCTCTGTAAAAAGAATGTAGCCAGGGTATTCTGGAAGATCAACTGACACCGGTTTCTTAGCGGGGTGGCGGGCTTAGCGGCCTTGGAAGCATCGGCGTAGCTTGCCTTGGCTGGTTTCTCTGTCTTCTCTGTCTTTGGCTTTTCTGCCTTATCGTCCTTCTTGAATGGTTCAGCCTTTCCAAATGGATTCGAGCTGGTGAACGGGTTAGCCTTTGCGTCGCCGCCAAAAGCTGCCAGAGAAGTAAACGGGTTTTCCTTGGCTCCGCTTCCAGTGGGCTTCGTCAGATCAAACAAGTCCTTGGTCATCTCGATCTGAAACTTCCGCTTATCTTCCAACCGAAGCTTCTCGTCCAACGCTTTCTGGGCCTCCGCCTGCTGCTCCTCGTAAATCTTTTCGGCGATAGCAGGGTCCTTGTTAATGGCCCTGATGGCCTTGATGCTTCCCTTCTTTCTCGAACACTGAGCGGTGTTTTTGCACCCAAACACATAGATCATTCTGTCGTACGCCTTGCCGTCCAATGGAGCGTAGGCCTGGGCAAGAAGCGCCATGAAGCTGCCACAATTGTCACATTTCAAGTCCTCCTCCTTGGGCTTCAGCTCAGGATGGGGCCAGATGGGCTGTCCTCCAATGAAGGTGTCTTCGATTGTGGGGTATTCGTCGTCCTCGCCAATGCCAATATCGATAAATCCAAGAAAAACATCTGACTGGGGAGAGTCGAACAAGTCTTCTTCGTCCGAGGAGTACTCGTCGTGGCTGGACATGGTTGGAGATGCTGCGATGAGTTGATGGTTTTCGTGCGAATGAGTTCACGATTTTCAGTGGGACAGCCTGAGAGGTGAGGATGGGGAAGTTTCTTATCAAAAACAAACAAAACGTTTCATTTTCATAAAATTTTGAGCCCTTAGACAATTGGAAAACTTTTGAAGTGGTTCCAATCATTCTTTGCTATCTTTCCAGAATAAGCTTCATACTCCTCCTCTCTCCAGGTGCTTCATACATATCTGAGCACTAGCTCTCACTTACAACCTCTTTTTATCTATATGGCGATTGACCGTCCGAGGCTTTATTGCCTCCTATTTACTTCGTTTTTATGTATTTACAAGTAGCGTGGGATCTCGGTCTCCTCGTACGCTTCTATCTTGTCCCCCTCTTCGAACTTATCCCAGTTGTTGAAGGCCAAACCACACTCAGTGCCCTTCTTGGCCTCCGAGATATCATGCTTCACGTGCTTAAGCGAAGAAAGACCTCCGGTGTAGATGATTTCTCCGTTCCTCAAAACACGAATCTTTGAAGACCGCTTCAATGTACCCGTTTGGACCTTCACACCAGCGATCTTCACCGTGGTCTTGTTCTTTCCTGTGATCAGAAGAGCAGTCTTCAAGTCTGCCTCTGCAAGCACGTTGATCTCGATGTGGGGCTTCAATTTCGATGTCAACTCGTTCGTAACCTCCTCTATCAAACGGTAGATCACGTTGTGCTCAAACACCTTCACATTGGCCCTTTCAGCCTTGAGCTGAATTTGCTTAGGCACCTTGACGTTGAAACTCATGATGCTGCCGTTCACCGTGGCAGCAGTGTCCACATCAGAGTCCGTTGGTGCACCGGCATCATACGAAATGACCTTTGCACGAACTTCCTCATTACCAAGTCCATCGATACTCTCCTTGATGGCCTCTGCTGAACCGTAGACGTCAGACCTGACGATATAGTTGACGTAGGTCGTTTTGGTATTTTCGTCTTCCTCCTTCATGAACTCCAGGGGATCGAGGCCAGCCAATTTGAGCTCATTGATCTTTTCCTGGCGCTTGAGCTCATTGACCTCTTCCTGTCTCAACTCGTTGATCTTCTCAATATCCTTTGCTTGTTGGATGATGGTGTTTCTTTCCTCTCTGTTTCTAACAACTTTGCGGCAGGTTTTCTCCGAGTCGGCTTCCAATATCTGATCGCCCGACTGAGGAAGATCTTTCCATCCCCAAATCTGCACTGGAGTCGATGGACCAGCGGCTTTAACAGTTTTTCCATTTTCGTCTTTCATCCCTCTTACTTTGCAGTACGTGTTGCCTGCTACCAAAAAGCTGCCTGGCTTGATGGTTCCTCGCTTCACCAAAACCGTGGAAACATTACCTAACCCTTTGATGAGCTCACTTTCGATGATCCAACCTTCAGCAGGAACACCCTTAGCCTCGGCTTTAAATTCACTAAGCTCACTGAGAGTGATAACGGCCTCCTCTAGCTTGTCCATATTCATGCCCGTTTTTCCACTAACTCTGACGGTCTGGGTTTCTCCGCCATAGTCCTCAATGTCAATTTCATGGCGAGCCAAGTCTCCCAAGACTTTGTCAATATTCACACCGTGCTTATCACATTTGTTGATGGCAACAATGATTGGAACATCGGACTTTTTGGCGTGCTTGATGGCCTCAATTGTCTGAGGCATCACCGAATCATCTGCAGCGACCACAAGAATTACAAGATCAGTGACAACCGCTCCACGTTCTCTCATGCTCAAAAATGCAGCGTGTCCTGGAGTATCCAAGAAAGTGATCTTTTTCTTTGAAATAGGCGTGGTGACAGAAAAAGCACCAATGTGCTGGGTAATGCCTCCAAATTCACCAGCCACTACCGAGGACTTTCTCAAGTAATCCAAGATTGTCGTTTTTCCATGATCAACATGACCCATGATGGTCACAACTGGGGCTCTTGGCTGGAGCTGCTTCTCATTGACTGGTGCTGGAAAGAGATCCAAGCCTGTTTCGTCACTCATGGTGATATCGAAGCCGTACTCATCTGCTATAAGCGAGGCATTCTCTTTATCTAAAATATAGTTATGGCTCATGTTCTCGAAACCAAGCTCTTCAAGCTTCGTGAGCATCTCGGATAGCTGAACGTTCATGATATTGGCCAAGTTGGTGACCGTGATAAATGTAGGGATGTTGATCTTGATGTTCTCTTTTCTCTTCTTCACCACCTTCTTCTTTTTAGGTGGCGCCTTAGCCTTGGGCACGGCTTGGCCTTTATTCTCCTCCGCTTGTTTCTGCTTAATTTGTTGATTTAACCGCTGCTTTATCTCAGCAAATTTCTGGATACTGCCTCCAGAAGAAGCCTGTTCCGGTTGGGGCTCTGGTTTCTGCTGCTTCTTGGGCTGCTGCTTCTCGGTAGGCCGATTGGGTACTTTATTCTGCTGATTCTGACCATGCTTATTTTGCTTTTTTGGCCCGGGACTGTTCTTATTGTACATTTGTGCAAATCGGTTAGGTTTCTTAGCTTCTCCGGACCCTGGGGTATTGGGTTTCTTAGGGCCCTTCACATCTGAAACCTTGGGCAAATTTCGAAGAGAGTGAAGCTGGCGACTCTGTAGAAAACAGCTATAAGCCCTTTCTAGGCCTTTTAGTCTGTAGCTCATGGTACTTTCTCTTGTAGATACTGCCTGCGAATTTTCAGTTGATAGTCTACTGCATAGCTTCATACCACCATGAGCTTATCAGATGTATGCGGGTGAATTTCAAACTACGATAATCGGATCATTTTCTATGGCGCCTGTTGGCTTTTTTATTTATGTATTTTTTTTTTTTTGATGCAGTGGAATAGTGGTGAGCGGGATGTGACATAGAAGGATACTCGTTATCGCGCTGCGAGTTACTCGTATCTGTAGTCACCATTCGAGGCAACATAGCCCATGAATTTGCTTTCATTAAGCGTGGCAATAAGATCATCAATCTCCTTAAAGTTGTCGTCATTGCATGCAAAATTGCGGTGTCTGTTCGACACAATGTGCTCGTCAAAGCTATCGTACTTGACTCGGCAGTTCTCGCAATATCCGGGCCTCAACTCACGCTCCCGCTCTCGCTCGCGAGAGTCGGTCTTCTGCATGTGCTTCTTCATGAATATACGCCTCTTAAGGTTGTTCAAATTCTTTGATGGAACTTGTGACACAGCGGGCCCTAGACCATTCCCTTGGTGTGCGTGCTGCTGCGCAGCACTATTAAGAACTGAATCCATATGGTTGGATTGTGCGTTTGATGCTCCATTATAACCAGAGGCAACGACGTCGTAAAACTTGGAGTTGGACTGTGATACTGAGTTGTTGAAGGGCTGCATCACGGAGGAGTTTCTCATTAGCCCGGCTGGTGCCTTAAAGCTGAATTCATGGTTCACATCCACCTCATCTTCATCTTCTTCAGGAGATGGCTCCTTTTCCATCAGAATGGTGTCGTTATCATTTTCGTCAATTTCTTTGATGCTAGCTTCATCGGCCACTGTATTGTCGGTTGTCTCAGCGGAATCCGTGCTCGTGCTCGTTTCAGTGAGCGCTGAGGAATTGATGGAGACTTTGTCGCGGGCGTAGCCAATGATGACATCAGTAACCTTTCTTAGAAGATCTCTATATTCTTTTGTAGCGTCGAACTTCTGCAATCGGCGCAACTTCTTTCTTTCCAGGTTATCCGAGGTGTCAGGAATGAAGGGGCACTTGCCGTCTAGAGTGTGATAGAAAGATGGGTAGTTCTCGCCAGACCATTCACGAACGGCAATTGGGCGTACGGCTTGGGAAAGATCGTAGATGTAGATGAAGTTTTTCTCCAAGTAGTACAAGTCCTCTCTCTTTGCATTAGGATCTCTGTCGGCGGAACCGAAGATCTTTTCTTCCTTGAGAAGGTTGGACAAATTGCCTGTACGTTCATGGGCACCGGAGTCATTGACACCCAAGTTTTTGAGGAAACGGAACACCTTCTCGTAGTCCCACACTTTGATCTTTAGACTCACGGCGTCGTGGAAGATGTCATTGTTTGGATAGGCCTTGGAGCTGCTGAACAGACGGCGACTGACGATGATACTGACGTCTCTGTCGTAAAACGGCACGATCTCACAGCCAACCAGCCGCAATGCACGCTGTGCCCTCTTCTGCTCGTTATACTGTGCTTGGTTGTTTGAATCGCAACCTTGAGTGTCGAAGTAAACGACAGATTCACGCATGATCTTCCGCCAGGAGTCCTGCCAGCTTTTGAGCTCGTCTCCTACGAGTCTAGCAGACTTTGAGGCAGCTGCTCCGCTGGCCACTGCCTTTGTTTCCTCCTTACGTTTCTTGTCGTCTTCCTCATCTGTTTGTTTGCTCTCCTCGTTATGATCTGTTTTGTGTGATTTGAGCTTGGGTTTTATCGTAGCCGGCAGAGGCACGTTCTGGTTTGTTTCAGCCAACGGCACACGTTTGGCCTGGGACATGGTGGAGTAGGATCTCTTCTTGTTTGTCCTGTCCATCTTAAAGGTGCATTGTCAGAATTGATTGGGATGCGAAGGTGGCAGCTGAAAAGCTATTAGTTGACAATGCTGAGAGGGAACAGTAATGCGATAAGAGTCTCCGTAGAAGGTGTAGACGGGCTGGGGTCTATGTGTTAGTGGTAGGAGCAAAACACGAAGATTCGCGTCGTGAGAATGAGAAAAAACCAGTAGGCTGCATGCCACTGTTTACATTTGGGGTTGAGGTGAGCTTTCTAACTGGGAAAAAAAAGATGATGTTAGTGAAGAGAGTGAGATTGAAAGATCTTTAAATTCTTTAAAAATCAAAAAATTGGGTTGGTGTGGGCAGTTTCAAGGTGTTGCTTGGGCTGCGAAACGGCTGCAAACCAGCTGCGTCAGTGCTTACTGGACGATGGTGCGAGTGACAATGGATTAAATCTGGAGGGATCTGTTGACATTACTTAAAGCAGGTCGTTGCTGTTTTGAGTTGAGTTTTTTGCATTTTGGTTGTACGATGGGGGTGGTGAGTTTGGAGAATTTGAGGGAAGTCGTTTTAGGGCTGGCGATGGGCTGACAGTTTTGTGTATTTTCGGGCCTGGTGGGTACGGCAATTTTTCTTCGATCGAGGTTCGTCAGGTTGGGCGAAAAAGTTTCAGTGTAGGGCTATTGAAAAGATTGGGGAGATTCCGAGACTTCTATATGTTGTTGACGACCACAGTCTTGTTGGGTGATTCAGTAATGTGGATAAAAGCTGCCATTCTCGCCTTTGTCGTAATATATCGATGCTCCATTCTCTGGGGCTCAGTTGAAGCATTAACAGGACTTAAACTGGTCAGACCCTCTAGTTTATTGTTTTCTCGAGTAAGGCATACATTTCAATTTTGGACTTGGGGTCTCATTTTGCAGCCACTCCGCACTATTAAGCTGAGGATTGCAACAGACGAAATACGCTCACCATAAATATGTCTCCTAAAAACCAAGACAGAGGCTTTCAGACAAAAGACCTTCCGAATGAGCATCTTGGCAATTGGCGAATTTCCCTTACCACTCTACCCCCAGAAAGCCATTCCGCTAGCAAAACAGCACCAAAACCTCACCTTGTCGATTTCCAGGCCGGTCTCCATTCACAATCAAAACTACAAAAGAAATATCCAAGAATGCACCCCTAACCCTACCAAAGCTTAATCTGCAGCTTTGGGGCTGCAAACCTTATCGCCTCTTGCCTATATCACCTCAACATTCCAGGCGCACTCGCACTATATCAACTACATGCTACAACCAAAGCACATCTCCAAAACCCTCTCACAAGTGCTCTCGCTGGCGGGCCAGGGGCCTATATCTGCATCGCTACTTTCCAAAAAGGGGCTCCCGTTGGCTACGGTGCTGGTGCCAAACCTGGACATCTCTTCAGACAATCTCAAGGTGTTCTCGTTGTTGGCAATCAATGCGTTTCATCAGCAGACCAAGGCGAAAAGCGCCGACTTGGACGACTGGGCTGTTATGGACGTTGACGGAAACTTGAGGACGATGGTAAAACGCTTCTCTACCGAGGGAGGTCTCAAAAACCTGATGTATGTGGTGATCTTCTACCTTAGTGGGTACGAAGACGGAAAAGCCAAGGCACAGCTTGACGTGCTTACGGAGACGCTAGAAAACGAACTTCAGGGCTACGTGGCGGCTTAGACCGGGTGCTATTATGCTAAACAGGAATCACGAAATAGAATAAAGTGCGGTGCACGGAGAAGTAAGGTCGTAGATGCATTAGATGGCTGGCGACTGCGGGCCGGAACCACGGGGATACCATGGGTTCGGGCAGTCAATGAAGGGCCAGCGGGACGTTCGTAATCGAAGATACGCAGAATGCCGGGCGTGTAGTGTGCCGATACGGATGGTCCATACCCAAAGTGGGTATACCTATGCGCCAAGCTCACTTCACCACCATGTCAACGTCGCTCTCCTCTTCGACGTCGTCCTCAACCTCGTCCATGTCATCCATGAGGCTTTCCTCATCAAAACTCTCCTCCTCGCTGTCGTACCAGAAGTCCTCGTCCACAGGCTCCTGCTCAACGTCCTTGGCGCCCGAACCGGCACCGTAGGCGTGGACCTCGCTCTCGGGAACCACAAAGCCCTCGGGATGTCGCCCTTGGACCGGTTCACCTCTTGCATAACCTTCTTCTTGTAGGCATCGGGGCTCTTTCTCAACTCGACGGAAGCGTCGATGTTGGCAGGCAGCAGGATGTTGGGGTCCTCCAAAAGCGAAACAATGGAAATCAACACCAGCTCCACCGTCTGAGCAGGCGACCACGTCTCGCTGTCTGGCTCGTCCGAGGTAGGGTCACCTCCCTGGTGGAGAATGGAAATGCACAATCTGCCGTCACGGTACACGTTGGGGTGGTAGATGGCGGGCGTGAAACGGAACGTTGGGGGCGAGAAAGGAAAGTCAGCAGGGAAACGCATCTGGCCCTTGAAGAACCCCCCGTGGTACATGGACTCCTTGTTGAGCACCATGATGCCGATGTTCCATAAAAAGATGTTGTCGTCGTCAAGCTCGATGTGGAATGAGGGGATGCCCTTCTTGGGGTCCGTCAAGTCTCTGAACTGCCGCTGGAGGATGGCTGCTGCTGACTTTGAACTCATTGTGGTTACAAACAAATAATGTGGGTGGTGGGAAATGGGAGGAAATGTTGCCGGTTCTATGGATGCCGATCGTGGTTTGAATGCTCTACCTAGTTTTTTAGAATGGGAATCTTGGGAAAAACAGGTGGAAATAGCGGGTTTTCAGCGATGCTGGGAAGAAGTAGTGGAGGGATTCGGAGGTGCGAGGCGATTTTCTTTTTTCTGTGGTGGTGCCGCAGCCTGCTTTCTTTTCCTGCCACAAGTTGCTGTGAGGGCTACGGAATATGGGGGTGATTTTTGGGAAATTTTTGGGAAAAATAGATGAAGGTGGAAGAGAGTTTCCTGAATTTTATTGTGACGTGGCTGACTGCCCGCTACGGCCGCTGGAAGTACGTTTTGGGCAGCTTTTAATTCCAAGTCACGTGACCTGTCACAAAATAAGGTACTTACAAATCACGGATCCCCGGGGTCAGGCGGGTCAGAGACTCGAGGAGGATTTACAGAAAAAAATAGTGGAAGTAGAGCCAGGTCGGAGGGTCGAGGTTGGGTGTTCGGACCAGTGGAGATTGTTTGTTTTGCGGCCATGCAAGCAGGACAGGATCAGCACGGGGCACACGGACCCCATCCAGCATCCAGCTTAAAAGAGGAGGTTTTTGCCCATTTTGCAAAACCCCAGATATTTCGAGTATTTGGAAAATCCTCGAGTCGAGGCAACCACGGCACATTCAAGTTGCCGGATTTGCGGTTGAGAATGTGAAAAACACCGCGTGAACCAGCAAGCGACACTAGGATAAGAATGCTTCGAGCCCAAAGCGGATATGTTGGTTGAGCTATTTGCAGCCGCTTCCCAGCCAGGAGGTGCCACAATGGGAATTTTTGAAAATTGGCTGATGAGCAAGGCACTTTTATTTTGGTGACGTTGAGGTGGTATTTTCTGGAGTCATGGGCCAGGGCCTTGAGCCCGTGTATCTGTAGTGTGGGGTGTGTTTACTGAGGGTACCGATAACACAGCAGTTGGTAAGAAAGCGGATGAAAGTTGACTAGTTTTGAGACCAGAGATAATGACAAAACAAGGTATTGAAAAAAGCATCATCACCTTCTTTTTTTTATTCCATTTGTTTAGATTTTGTGAAATCGATACCCGGGTGTTTGCGTATGGGACTTGGCCTAGGCCAGCCTGAAAAATAGCGACCCTTGCAGCTTTCTCAGACACCGTCTAGGTATTCACAAAAGCACCAAAACTGAATTCGTCATTTTCCAACTACTTCTTCTTTTTCTACTTGCCTGACCAATTTCGTCTTCGGCGTTTTTCGAAACTTGGCCACACCCACCACCTTGTTTATCTTCCTGCCTCGGCCTTGTTTGCAGCCATCTGCGGCTAAGACGGCCTAGCAAACCCACGGCTATTTTTCAGAATCGTCTACCCATCAAATTTCGTCCAACGAGACAAACAATAAGAGCGCCTTCATTGTTCCATTCCTCGCCTCCGGGCCACGTTTTACAAAACTGCCCAAAATCCTAAACCACCAATCTTGCTATAATATAATCGTATTTGCCTCACATTCCTGGCGCCAGATTGGACGTAAACAGCAGCCCAAGCCACTGAGAGCCCCCTAGTGAGACACCCATCCTCGAAACCAGAAAGAACCACCAAAACCACCAAAACCAAAAAATCTAGCTTCTACGATTTCTCTATTTTCCTATCAGAATTTCATTCATCTACACTAATTTCTCTTTATCCCCTTGCCCCGGCTCTGAATCCAAGATAACCTCACGTGCCGCTGACATTTGATCCGGCACTTGGTTATCGATACGCTATCAGGCATACCCAAGCAATACTTGATTCTTCATCATGGACATCGAGGAGCAAATTGAAAAAGCAGAGAAATTGGAAACGCCATCGTTGGTGGGTCTGTCGATCCGTTCGGCCGACGACCTGGTGCATCAAAACTACATCCACCCAGAGAAGTACAAGGGCCGTTCCAAAAGCAAGCCCAAGAAACACCTGATCTTGGACCTGTCAATTGGGGCGTCTTTGGACGATTTGATCAATGAGGGTGCGCTTCTAGGCTCTGAAGAGGATTTCGACAAGTTTTTGGACGATACGGGCAAGATCAAGTCGGATGCTAAGTACGCTCCTGAAAAGAAGAAACCCCAGGAGGAATCTTCCAGTGAAAGCACGCCGCAGAAAGAGGCCCCAAAGGCTTCAGACGAGCCTTTGGAACCACAGGTCAAGTTGAGCTCTGTGGATCCTGAAAGTGTGCCCATTTCTGCGCTGTCAACCGTGGACAATGAAAAGACAGAGCCCAAGGAGGATCTGATCTACGAAAACGACGACTTCTCCGCCCCCAATTTGTCCGAATACCAGCTCGATCACCAGATCGCAGACCATTCGGACTTGTTGAGCTCGGTCCAGTCTTATGATCTCAGCAAGTTGCCCTCTTCAAACGATAGAGAGCGCTCCAAAAGTAATAATCTTGCAGACTTGCCAGCTCGTGTTCCTTCGAATACGAGAGCTTCGCCTGCAAGAAGAGCCCCTGCCTTGGGTAAACAATTGGACTTTGGTGAGAACGCCAACATCAGACTGTCAGACTCATTGCACAGTCCGTATTTTGCTTCGTACGAGAGGTCTCCAAGCAGGTCCAGAACTGGGTTCAGGGATAAGTCATCCGACAGAGACACCAGGCTGACATCTTCTTCAACCACCTCCAATCCACATTTGGCCCGTGGCGATACCTACAAGAACATTCACCCTGACACTCCTCTCAAGTATGAACGTCCAGCTGATTTTGATGTGGACGAGGAAGAGGAGGATAGCAGAGCTACTAGACATTCGAAGCCCACCATGGGTGAGTCCATCGCTGCCGCTGAGGAGGAGAACCTCAAGGCCTTCCATGGTGAGCAAGGTCTCACTAGGGATCCATCCTTGGTGACCACCGGTGACTACACTAATTTCAATGTGGACACCGTGAACCACAATTTGGATGAGGCGTCTTTGTATTCTGTAAGATCAGAATCTTCAACGAATTACTTGAGAAGCATCTCCAGATCAAGGTCCAGGCAGCCTAGACACAATGTCGATTCCATCAACGAGAAGAACGATGCTAACCATGAGGAGCTCGCACAGGAGGGAGCCTTGATCAGCGACGATCCGTTTGACCAAGTTGAGGACCTCGACAACGTCATGAAGAACGTCGTGAGTCCTTCCAAGAAGCAAGATGCCTCTGACATAGCCGACTCCCAGAAGAAGCCAGCAGAAAAGGCGCCAAGCTTGGCTGAAACCTCCATCACTGAAGATGCTGAACCAAAGGCGACCACTGCGTTGACTTCAGAGGAAATCGAGGAAGAGAGCAAGGATACCATTGAGGCTGACGAGTCGAGCAAGGACATTTCCAAGCATGACGAGTCCAGCAATATTCCTCTCTCGAAGAAGTCCCAATCGGAGGCCTTGAGCGAAGACACTTCTGCAAAGGAAGCTATCGAAGAGGAATCTGAAAAAGCCCCTGTCAGCGATGTTGCCGCAGAAGAGAAGGACGCTGAAACGAAGGAGCAGCTCATTGATGAGTCTGCACCAACTGTTACTGCCAATGATATCAAGATCGATGATTCGAAGGCTGACCATGAGGTTCATCGTGATATCGCGCCTGAAGTTAGTGAGGAAGCTCCTAAATCAAGTGAGTCTGTGGAGATTGATGAGCTGGCGGAAGACAAGATCAAGGAGGCCAAAGAGCAGCTCATAGCCGAGGAGGCACCTGCTGTTACTGCCAAGGATATCAAGATCGATGATTCGAAGGCTGACCATGAGGTTCATCGTGATATCGCGCCTGAAGTTAGTGAGGAAGCTCCTAAATCAAGTGAGTCTGTGGAGATTGATGAGCTGGCGGAAGACAAGATCAAGGAGGCCAAAGAGCAGCTCATAGCCGAGGAGGCACCTGCTGTTACTGCCAAGGATATCAAGATCGATGATTCGAAGGCTGACCATGAGGTTCATCGTGATATCGCGCCTGAAGTTAGTGAGGAAGCTCCTAAATCAAGTGAGTCTGTGGAGATTGATGAGCTGGCGGAAGACAAGATCAAGGAGGCCAAAGAGCAGCTCATAGCTGAGGAGGCACCTACTGTCACTGCGGCTGATATCAAGCTAGACAAGAATGAGACAAGGGTGGTGAACGAGTCAACTGAAGATGCTCTGGAACTTGCGACGGAAAAGGACGGAAAGGACAATGAGTTCTCAGCCACAGCTCTAGAAAGCTCCACTAAGTCAATCGTTCAAGAGGCCGACGAGCCACTGGAAAAGGCTTCGGCGAAGAACCTCGATACTACTGCGGATGATGAAATCTCAGGAACCACGGAGAGCAAAGAAGTTCCCTCTGAAGAGGAGGAGACGAAGCCCAATTTGGTTTCTGAACCAGTACCAAACGTCTCTGACAAGGAAGAGGCAAAGGATATCAAGGCTGAGGAAGATCCCACTCCTGAAGACAAAGATGCTACAGAAGAGGAAGAGCGCAAACCAAGCCTTATAACCGAAGGCGGTATTGAAGAAGACGAGCATGCTGCAGAACCAGGACAGAAACTTGATAAATCTGTCGACGAAGAAGGTAACTCTGTCGAGGAGAAGAGCGAGACCGTCAAGGATGGTGTCGAGACTGACGAGCATGGAGCCAAGGTTCCTGTGATCGACTTTGAAAAAGAGAAGGAGAATGTCGCCCCTGAGACAGACGCTCCGGCCACTCAGCCTTCTCTCATTGGCGAAACTGCCAACGACGACAAGGAGCTTGAAGCAGAGGATGCCGAGGCTGCTGAAGCTACTACCGGCAAGGATGTTCCTGAGCCAGCTACTGTGGTGGAGAAGGAGGGGTCAAAGTATGACTCCGAAAAAGACACGACGATAGAGCCTGCTAGTGAGACCGCCTTGCCAAAGGAAGCTGCATCTACGGAACCTGAAGCTGACAGGGAGCTCAAGAAGGATGAAGGCGACGTTGTCGAGGAGAAGGCACCAGAGACAGAAGGTGAGATCGTGGACATCAAGAATGACGACGTTCCTACCGACAGTCAAAAGGTGAAGGCCACCGAAATCGTCGCTGAAGAGGAGCAGGAGAAGCAGGGCGCTGACGACGAAAGCCCAGAGCAGGAATCCGAGGCCCAGGAGCTGGAGGCTGCAGATGCTCCTACGGAAGAGACGACAAATGACGCCGAAGAGGAGGAGGCAGCGCAGGCTTCCAAGGAGACGACAAAGGATGCTACAAAGGACGAAGCAGTAGTAATTTCTACAAAGGAGGCTGAAGAGGAGGAATTGCCCAAATCTGAGAAGACTTCCACTACAGCTCCCACAGATGTCAAGGACGACTCTGAAGTCAAGGACAAGGAAGTGGTGCAGGAAAAGAGCACACCTCAGGCCGCCAGCCAGGGATGGTTTGGCCTGATCAAGCAGGGTCTCGGTGCTGTTGTTGGCGGAGGTGCTGCCGCTGCTGCTGCCGATACCAAAAAGGACGACGAGTTTGGCGTTTCTCAGGAAGAATTACGCAAGCACCTCCAGTCCTTGCCAGTTTACATCTACACGTCGCTTGCTGGCGGCATGCAAATTATGCAGAGAACCAACCGTCTTACGACAATTTTGACAGCCAATGGCGTGAAGTTTGAGTACAGGGACTTGGGCACCGATGAGGAGGCCAAAAAGATCTGGAGAAGGTATGCCCTGGGCAAGACACTTCCTGGAGTGGTGAGAGGAGACGATTTTATTGGCAACTGGCAGGAGATTGATGAGCTCAACGAAGAGTACATGCTCACACAGAGACTCTGGGAGGAACTCTAGACGGTGTGGCTTGTCTGAAGTGTGGAATTTTGCAACAAACCACACGGGCATAATCGGACCTGCAGAGAGTGCCACGTTACGAGGCCGCAGACCAAATTCTAGCGCACGGTAGGCATGTAAGCGAGTGACGTGGCTTGTGATACACCGTACACTCACTGAGCTCTAGATAGTTACCATCAGACTAGATAGATATCATCAGACTAGAATAGGAATACACCAATAGCAGAAGTTGACGAGGCGGTTATGATAAAAAGCAATAACTGCACGATTCTCGAACATTTTTTAAACTGTCACTTTTGGACCACTTTCAAAACCCATGATCTATTCTCATATCTTACTAATCGTCTAAAAAACTTCCCTCCTAGTGGAGCAGGTGAGGTTGGGCGAGGTTAGCGGGCCTTATGTGCAGTACACAGCCATGGCTTGTTCCCATCAAATTTCCAAGCCAGATCTATAATCACCACTTCTCCTCCAAGCACCTCCTGTGTCTTATACCATAACCTTTGGATCAGCCTTTCTGCTTTAAGCGTTCTGCTGCCAAACCAAACTTTTGAAAAAAAAAATCAAAAAAAATTGAAGTGCTAGTCCGTAGCCTCTACGACCAACACTAACCTTCCCGCTGCTTATCTGAACTAAGCATTGCCCCTGTGTGAAACCCTGACAAGAAATCGATTACGACATGTCCACTCCAGCTGAGATCATTGCTGCCCGTGTCAACGGCACCTATGTTGCTGAAGAGCCCAAGCCTGTGAAGAAGTCCAAGGAGCCTGTCTCCAAGGAAAACGCCTTCCCTGTACTTGGAGGCCGTCAAAGCTCCCCTAGTGCCGGCGGAAACACCACCCTTTGGGGTCCTGGTGTCAACGGAAACGGAAACGGAAACGGTCAAGCCAAGCCTGCTGCTTCTGTGTTGAAGCCTAGGCCTTCTGCTTCGTCCAAGTCTTCGTTCAAGAACTCCAGCGTTCAGGAAGCGTTTTCCTTGGACGCCGATGACCAATTGAACGTTGCCCGTGCTGAATTCATCAAGATTTTGACTGCCATCAAGACCGAGACCAAGGCCAGTATCGAGTGCACCTCCTCCCAGTACACCAAGAAGAGAACCTTTTTGATCACGGGTGCCCCAGATGCGGTCAAATTGGCCAAGCGTCTTGTGATCAAGAAATTGACCAAGCCTGTTGTTGTGAACTTTGCCATTCCCGCCAAGGTGCGCTCTAGAGTCATTGGTGCTCAGGGCAGAACCTTGAAGCCTATCATCCTGGAGTTCCAGGTCAAGGTGGACATTGCCAATGAGGAGGAACTGCCATCTCCCGAGCCTGAGGACGCGGACGACATTTTCGCCAAAACTGTGCCTGTTACCATTGAAGGTGACGCTGAAGGATGCAAGGGCGCTAAGGCTGCTATCTTGGCTATCGTCAAGGAGGAGACCAAGAACATGTCCGTCAAGATTGCTGTTTCTGACTTTGTGAAGCCTTTCGTTGCTAAAGCTGCCGAGCCTGTTGAGTCCAAGTACTCCCAGCTTGAATTCAGCTTCCCTGCCTGGGACTCTCCTTCGACTAACGTGATCATCTCTGGTGACAGAGAGGCCGCTTTGGAGGCCCGTGACGAGTTGAAGGATCTTCTTGCTTCTCTCGAGGCCAGACTCACTGTCCACTCTGTTCCTATTCCTCAGGTCAAGCACCAGTTCTTGCCTATCAAGCAGATCATTGAGGAAGACGATGTTTTCATCAAGTTGCCTGAGGAAGGCGAGACTGATGTCAAATTCATTGGTGAAAAGAAGAAAATCGCTGCTGCTCAGGAGAAAGCCAGACAGACCACCTCTCAGTACAAGGTGGATGTGTTGGACATGAGCAAGGCCCACAAGGGTAACCTTCCTCACGTTAGAGCCGTTGCTGCATTGTTGAGAAAGAACGGTTATTTTAGAAAGATCGCCGCTGCCCAAAACGTCGTCATTACTCCTCCCAAGTTTGACTTCTTGGCTGACGAGTCCAACACCTCCATTCCAATTGAGATCACTGTCAATGCTGCTGAGCCTGATGTTGCAAGTCAGACAAGAAAGGCTATTGTCGCCACTGTCAACAAGTTCTCGCCTGAAAAGTCCAAGGTCATCGACGACATTGACAGCTTCTTGGTTCAGGAGGCCCCAGCTATTCTTGATATCTCTGCACCCGCTAACAAGGCAGACTACGTCGTGCTTGGTAACAGAATCGTCTTGTTTGACGTCTCCGAGACGGAGGAGAGCGACGACTTCGATGTCGATGTTTCCTCTGCTGACAGCTTGCTGGAGGTCAACAAGAGCTTGGACAAATTGAGAGCCAAACAAGACTCCTTATCCAGCACTGTCTTGAGTGTCGACTCCAAGAAGCAAAACGCCATTGCAGGTGAGAACAAGGCTGTGTTGAAGTCTTTGATCGCCGAACTCCCCGTTAACGCTGTGGAGGTTGAGCTTCACAACGACGGCACTCAGAGCAGTGAAAATAGCATCTACATCCATGGTCTCAAGGAGTACGTTGAGAAGATCAAGGATAGCATCAACGGTCTTGTGAGAGACTTCGAGGAGCACGGCAAGAAGTACACTTCTTCAGTCGAACTTCCTGCTTTCGTGCTTCCAAGAATTGTTGGCAGAGGTGGAAGCGCCATTCAAGCTCTTAGAAGAGAGTACGATATTAACATCGAGCAAAACGAAAAGACTGAGTCCGTCACAGACAAGAGTGTCAAGACTACATTGCATCTCGTGGGTCAGAAGAGATCTGTCGAGGCCGCCAAGGAGATTCTCCTGAAGTCGGCCAAAAAGCATGCCGACGAAACAGTCGCCAGAGTTAGAGTGGAGCAACAATACCACAAGCGTATTGCTGGTCCTCGTTTTGTTTACATGAACAGATTGCAGGACAAGTACAGTGTTGTCATCAGATTCCATCGGAAAAGACCGACTTCCTGAGCCAGAAGTACGATGACACTCCTTCCAACAAGGATGAGATTACCATCAAGGGTCCTTCAAGAGGTGTTGCCAAGGCAGAGGAAGAGATCAAGGAATTGCTCAATTTCGAAAAGGAAAATGGTCACAAGGAGTCTATTAAGATTCCTTCCAAGGCATTGGCCAGAGTTATTGGTAAGGGTGGTGAGACCATCAGAGATATTACCGAGGGCTTTGGTGTTGAGTACCATTTCAACAGAGACAAGGCTGCTGAGGAGGAACAGGGTTACGCCGAGGTCGAGTTCACTGGTTCCAGAACTGCTTTGAAGGACACCATCAAGAGAGTAAAGGAGATCATTGAGGAGGTTGAGAATTTCGTCACCATTACCATCAATGTGCCTGCCAAGTACCACCGTGACTTGATTGGACCAAGCGGTAGCGTGATGAGAGAGATCATCAGCAAGGCTGGTGGCGAGGATGTCGCCAGACAAAAGTACATTCACTTGTTGCGTGTTCCAGACGAGGGTTCTGGATCCGAAGAGGTTGTCTCTGCCGGTGACAAGCAAATTGTGGAGAAGGTGATTGAGCAAGTCAAGAAGATTGTGGCTGACAAGGAGGCTTCGGTGGTGGAGACCGTCGAGGTTGCCAAGGACAGACACGGAGCACTTATCGGAACTGGTGGATCTGTTCGTCACAAATTGGAAGAGGACTATGGAGTGACCATCTCGATCCCCAGAGCCAGCGACAGCCTGACTGAGATCAAATTGACTGGATTGCCCGAAAAAATTGAAAAATTGAAGGAGAAGATCGCCGAAATGACCAAGGACGACTGGAACGAGGTTGTGGAAGTGCCCAGCTCATTGCACTCGCTCGTTTCCGAAAAAGCAGCCATCTTCAAGACGTTCAAGTCTGACTACAAGGTGGACGTGACCCATGGCAATTTGACAAGAAAAGCATCCAAACTCACCAATGGCTACATCCCCGCCCCACCAGAGGGAGCTGTGGCTGAAGACGGGGACGATTCGGCGTTTAAATTCACCACTGCATTGTTGGAGAAGCCCGAGGGCGAAGATGTTGTGATTCCATGGAGACTCCAAGGTGAAAAAGACGCCACAGCCAAGGTGGCTGAGATTGTTCAAGAACGCTTGGAGAAGGCCAAGGCCGCTACGCACGGGGGATGGTTCTATCTTAAGGACCCCAAGAATAAGGTTCCACGCCTTTTGGGACCCCAAGGCCGCAACATCAAGGAGATTCGCAAGAACACGGGAGCATTCATCACGGTGCCAAGAGCAAATGACAAGCACAACGGTTTTGTCTATGTGGTAGGCACCGAGGAGAGCTTGCTGGCAGTTGAAAAAGCGCTCTCCCAATTGGTTTGAGGCGCACTAGATAAGGTGGTTTTTAGATAAGCACACATAAATAAATGGAGTAATTAGCATCGAAAGTAGTCTTTTGTGGCTGCAAAACCCAAATTGCCTTATACATAAGCTCGCGCAGCAGGACAATAGATAGTGCGAGCAGTAAGCGAAGTCATCCTAGAATGGGGTCACGTGAAATGACATTACCATCTAGCGTCAGCAGACCGTTCCGGAGTCTTAGAAATGGTAAAAACGTTCGGAGTAAGGGTCAGGGTCTTCCGGAAATTATTCGGAAAGCAATTGAAAGGGGAATTACGAAACCAAGGTTAATTTATCACATCATGCTGCGCATATTACCCCGGCATTACTGTGGCTGATGGTCCACTTATTCTGCCAAGGTGTGGACATGAAAAAAAATGGCAAAAGTGCAACGAAAGGTGTGCCTGCAGGGCGGGTGCCGAGGTTTGTGCGACATCCGAGGGTGTTGCAAAGGTTTTTCCGGGCCGCTGGCGGGCCAAGCCGCACGTGCACGTGACGGTGACATGTAACAAACCGCGACATCCGAGGGTATTGCCGGCCGCACTGCTAGGGCGATCGTCGCTGGAGCTGCAAGTGCAGCAGCTATGGCATTTCTTTTTACTACCACACTTGTGACTATATATCCACGTCAAGATCCTTCCCGAAAACCATATTTAAAGTTTTAGCGATGGCTGATTCCGAAACTAAAAAGGACTCTGAGGGTTCCTCGTTCGTCAAGAACTCCAATGAGATCCAATCTCTTCAAGATACCGAAAATGACGCCGCCGTCGTCAACATTGACCAGAACAAAAAGAACATTGGTATAATATCGTCGATCTTCCTCGTCACAAACAGAATTATCGGTGCTGGTGTTTTCTCCACCGCATCCACCATTTTGACCCTTTCCGGTTCCGTCGGCACCTCATTGATCATGTGGGTCGTTGGCTCCATCATCGCCTTTACCGGTCTTCTCACATACATGGAGTTGGGTTCTGCCATCCCCAGAAACGGTGGTGAAAAGAACTACTTGGAGTACATTTACACGAAACCCAAGTTTTTCGTCACCGCCATGTACGCATCCTACGTCTTCTTCCTTGGTTGGGCTGCCGGTAACTCCATTGTCACGGGTGAGTTTTTGCTCAATGCCGCCGGAACTGAAGTGACTCAATGGAATTCCAGAGCTATCGGTATTGGTGTGATTACTTTTGCATTCATCGTCAACGGTGTCAACGTCAAGGGCGGTTTGTTTTTGGCCAACATTCTTGGTGTTTTCAAGGTTGCCATTATTCTTTTCATTTCTGTCACCGGTTGGGTCGCCTTGGGTGGTGGAATTAAAACCAAAGAGTTCCGTGACCCCCACAACTTTACCGATGCCTTCCACGGCACCACGCCCACCGGTTTCGGTATTGTCAATGCTTTGTACAACATTATTTGGTCTTACGTTGGTTACTCCAACGCCAACTACGCCTTGGGTGAGATCAAGAACCCAGTCAGAACTTTGAAGATCGCTGCTCCAACTGCCTTGCTTACCATCACCGTGCTTTATATGTTGGTGAACATTGCTTACTACGCTGTTGTGCCAGCTGACGAGATTCGTGATTCTGGTAGAATTGTGGCTTCTGCTTTCTTCAGATACGCCTTCGGTGAGAGCGCTGAAAAGGCCGCTTCTGTTTTCGTTGCCCTCTCCACCTTGGGTAATGTCTTGTCTGTCATCTTCTCCCAGGGTAGAATTATCCAGCAATTGGGTCGTGAGGGAAGCTTGCCGTTCTCCAGATTCTTCGCCACCCAGAAACCCTTCAACACTCCATTTGTTGGTCTTCTCCAGCACTGGATTGTCTGTATCGTCACCATCGTGGCCCCACCTCCAGGTGATGCTTACAACTTCGTGTTGAACTTGATTTCTTACCCATTGAACGTTGTCAACACTTTTGTTGCTTTGGGCTTGTTGTGGCTTAAGTGGAACAGCTACAAGGGCAAGGCTACCTGGAAGGCTCCAATCACCTGCCCATGGCCTGTGGTTGTTTTCTTCTTCTTGTCTTCCCTTTACTTGATTGTCGCTCCATACATTCCACCAACTGGCGGCCAGACTGTTTACGAAGACTTGCCTTACTGGATCCACCCTGTCGTCACCTGGGGTGTTTTCGCTATTGGTGCCATCTATTGGCTTGTGTGGACCAAGCTCATTCCTTACTTATTCAGCTACACCTTGGCCAGTAAGGAGATTTTGGGTGAGGATGGTTTCTGGAGAAACCAGTTTTTCAAGATTCCACATGGCGAAGTTCTTGAAGACCCCGAGATCAAGCCGGATACAAGAGTTGTGTCATAGACTTTTTACAAAACTTTCATTTCTTGAATACGTTTTTTGGTGCATATTATATCGTCATTAATAGAGCTTAGCTTTGAGAAAATTTGTAGTGTTCCCAAAAATTAAAGTGGTCGACTTACGTTCGGTCAACGAAATGCAAAATGCACAATCATGACTACTTTTTTATTTTTTAACTAAATCTAATTAAATCTTGGTAAGTATTCTTGCACTCCACAGTGAGCCCGAAGACACCCGTGCACCACACACTTTAAAGACTGAGAAAAATTCATCAGTGGTGAATCTTGAACCAAAGCCTGATGCCAGTCAAAGCTATATCCAAAAGCACGCTAGCCCGTAACGGTATTGGTGCATTTGTGAGACCTTGCTATAAGGTCACGCTTCAATACTGCAACTGGGGCGGCTCCTCCCAGGGTATGAGAGACTTCTTGACCCATGAGAAGAGATCGTTGAACAAATTTGCATCAAATAACAAGGACGTTTTCTTTGAAATTAAACAGCAAAGCGGTCACCCTCAGCTCGTCCTTCACTACAACAACGGCAAGACCGAGGCCGTCGACGTGAGAAACCAGAGTGTATCTGAGATCACCAAACAGCTCTGGGAGAGTGTCCAGAGAAGTGGTAACGACCGCTTCAAGTTTAACCAGAAGGTCATGTCCAATAACGAGTCCGTCAGAGGCATCTGGTCCCCCTTGCATGTGGCCAAGGAGAACAGACACAAAATATAGGTGTGGAAATCATGTAAATAGAAATAGCATACGAATGGGAACGTGATGTAGAGGCATAAGAACGATACCGGTGATAGCATGACGCGATGCTAATTGGTCGTTTGAACTACAGCAATAGGTATATGGCGAGGGCTCTCTAGAGAGAAGTTAGCACTTGCAATGGATGGGTATATAGAAAGGAATGGACCTGACAGTACAGCCTTTGCACTTTATTCAAAGCTGACTTTGGTCAAAGCTGACTTTGAGTCAACAATTAAAATGAATTTGAAAATAAGAACCTTCTCTTAAATGAAGAACTTCGATGAAATATCAACGCTATGATATTGGTTTGCAGCAGGGAAATAACTGCAGCCTTTATGTGTTCAATGAGAGATTACGGTGAAATCAAGTTTCACCTTATGTAGACAGCTTTAGAGGCTATGACGGAATGTTTCACTAGAAGCTGCTGACAAGCTTTTGTTTATCTTTTGTTTAATCCATCAAACCTACCTGAAGAGAGTTTAAGATCTTGGACCAGAATGACTTAATCCAAAATACTTACAGATCTAGAGTAACGAGACCGTCGGTAATCGACCCATCTATGTGTCAAATTTGCTCTGACCCTCTGAACCATCAATCAGGTAGACGGCAACATCGTCACAGAAATGTAACATGCTTCACTGCGGCGATGAGAGACCCTGGTATAAGTTGCAACAAATACACCGAGATAAAACGAAGAACTAAAAAAGACATAAGTTACAATGAATTGTGGCCAAACTAACAACTTCATCACACACTTATTTCAAAGACGACTCCAAAAGCGTAGATTAAGACCACTTGTGGCACAGTCGATGGCTGCAAAATGGATGAGGCAAACGCAGCTTCTAGAAGACAGGAGCGGCTCAACAGCAAAACGCCATAGATACACATAATTGCCACTAAAACTGCCAAAAAATGATTATTCTCTATTTACTCTTCAGAACCAATCGAAACCTACCACTTACTTCCTGACTCATACTCTCCCGTAGTTGGTCTGACGGGCGAGATGTCTCAAACAGGCAATGACTCGCCGCGGTTAGCTCTCGTGGTTGCTTGCCATTTCGGAGACGGTTGCCCTTCGGAGTACACGAAAACAGCAACAGCGCGCGACAGTGCTCATAGTTAAGCATCTTTTGTCGCTTTCTCCTGACGTTACAGGCGCGCTTATCTCTCTCGCCTTCCGAAACGAGCGAGCGGAGCCATACAACTGTTACCATAAGAAGACTTTTTAAAAGCACATTTATTTGTTGATCTTCAAGTACTACTTTCTTTCAGAATCTTTAAAGTCACAGTCGCCATGTGCAACGAAACATTGAATTACAAAGCGTACCAGCAGGTTCTTGACCTAGGGTGCGAGAAGAAGACCAAGGCAACCAAGAGAGAGCCTAAACCCACTGCTTCTAAGAGAAGAACCAAAACAGGCTGTATGACCTGTCGTCGCAGAAAGAAGAAGTGTGACGAGCACAAAACAGGCGGAAAGTGCCAGGCTTGCATTAGAAACTTTCTTGACTGCCACTGGCCTGGTGAGGACGAGTTGAAGAACGAGACCACATCGGAATCTTCCGTTCCAGCTTCTCCAAAGACACCAGAGAGTCTACCTGTTACTGACAAGGGCGCCGATGCTTATCCCTCGCCAGCCATGTCTCCCAAGGAAGGACACGCCGAGACCACGGCTAATTGCATGGATATCAAGACCTTGACGTTGCCTCCGATGCAAAGCAAGATCAAGGTGACCAAGCCTAAGAGCCAGCCCAAAAAGAGCCAGCCAAAGAAGGCTGAGGGCGCCAAGTTCTTCATTGCATCATTCGACTCTGGAAAGTCTCTTTGTCAGATTAAAAGCTAGTGGATCTAGCAGGACCACGGTTGGTCCCGGTATTTATGGGTAATATAGGATTACGGGTACGTTTTTGTAGGTTCGAACACGCTTTTGTAGATTTCTGAAGCTGTAAAGAACATATGGAGAATGATGTGACTGCGCAGGTCTTTTTGTGACATTTTGACAGATCTGTTCGTGTGCTCTACGGATAAGGTGAGACATGCCATAGAAGAGCAGACCTCACTAAACACACATCGATTGCAATCCACAGAAGGGTTTTTGGCGGAGGCCATAAGGAAGGAGAAATATAAAGAAGCAGTAAATCAAACAAATTAAAATTCAAGCTGATCTATAAGGGCATAAGGCCATTTGTTCTCCAGACCTTAAATTCTACCGAAAGGGGAGAATCTCCAAATTTCAATTCAATTCCAGTCTTCCTACCGCAAAATCCCTGCAAACCATACTGCTAGATACTGTTTTCACCCTCCCCACTCAGATTACGTGATACGGACTGCCACCTCAGTAGGGTGCGTCACTTGGTGTCTCATGCTTACTAACACTTTCGGATCTCCAGGACTCCAAAGACCTTTTCACCAAAAACAGCCAGAACAAAGAAATTCCAAAGTTGCCTCAGCCATTGTCGGTGGCGCCAAGCAGACATCACCAAGAAATCAGCTTTGCGAAAATGCCATCCACCGTGGTCTGAAGCACCGAAAAGATAGCGGAAAGTGGTCGGGTCGGACCCGCAAAACGGGCGGGCGGAGCAGGAAAGAAAGTCCGATTTCGGTCATTTTGGCGGCACATGTCACCGTCCCGACAAGGCAGGGAAACACGGATTCGGTAGGCACATCGGGTATGGGAGCAAGAAACGGAAGAATGGTTGCAAAAAGCGAGCCTCAGATTTGGCCTCCTCACGTGACCGGCCAGATCCCACACCTGCCAACGTGCATGTCGTCAACGGTGGGGAGAGGGAGGGAAGTGGAATTTGAGGAATCCAAAAGCATCCGGGAAAAGCCCAGATTTATAGGACGCTTTCCAAAAGAAATTTTCGTATTTGGATGTGACCTGGACCATACGGTCTGTTGACAAAACAAGCGTAGGTGTGGCTTCTGCAACCGAAGACCACCCTGCAGTACCTGCATTCGGCACCCTTTTGCTGCAAAAAACGCTCTCAACTGTGGCTCGCTCTAGACAGAACCTTGCAAAGCAGCCTGTGGGTATATATAGCTCAAGCTTCCCCCGCCAGGTTGTTCTATTTCTCTATCTTTTACATCTCTCAACATGGTTGCTCAACTGAAGACTTTCGGCGATTTCGACACCCACTTCAACAAGGACACTGACGAGATCACCGCTGACGGTGTCTTGACTGTCTCCAAGGAAGGAAGGGCCAAGTCCAACTACCCAGACTTCTTGCCCCAGTGGGACCCTAACCAGAAGTTTCCTCCTTTGAAGTTTTTCAAGCACGAGGACCCTGGTGTGAGAGCGGACCCTGGTTTCCCTAACCTTCTTCCAAACGACGGGGACCAGAAGGTCAAGAGAGTTACCCCCAAGTTGGGAACTGAGATTACCGGTGTCCAGTTGTCGCAATTGGACGACAGCGGAAAGGACGAGTTGGCTTTGCTTGTTGCCCAGAGAGGTGTGGTGATTTTCAGAGAGCAGGATTTTGCTAAGCACGGTCCAGCTTTCGCAACCAACTTCGGTAAGCACTTTGGCAGATTGCACATTCACCCAACCTCCGGTGCTCCAAAGGACCACCCCGAATTGCACATCACCTACAGAAGAGCCAACCCCCAGGAATTCGACAGAGCCTTTTCTGAGAGAGTCAATGCCATCACCTGGCACTCGGATGTGTCCTACGAGCTTCAGCCTCCAGGAGTCACCTTTTTCTCTGTTTTGGAGGGCCCTGACTCCGGCGGAGACACCATTTTCGCCGACACCGTGGAGGCCTACAAGAGATTGTCGCCAGAGTTCCAAAAAAGATTGGCTGGGTTGCACGTTTTGCACACCTCTGGCGACCAGGCTCTGAGCTCCAGAAGAGCCGGTGGTGTTGAGAGAAGAAAGCCAGTTTCCCACGTCCACCCCTTGATCAGACAGCACCCTGTGACCAAGGAGAAGATGATTTTCTTGAACAGACCATTCTCGAGAAGAATCGTCGAGTTGAAGCAGGAGGAGTCCGACTACTTGTTGAACTTCTTGTACAACCACATTGAATTGGCTCACGATTTGCAATTGAGAGCCACCTGGGAGCCCAACTCGGTTGTTGTCTGGGACAACAGAAGAGTTTCCCACTCTGCGGTTATCGACTGGGACGAGCCAATCTCTAGACACGCTTTCAGAATCACTCCTCAGGCTGAAAGACCTGTTGAGGACTTGAAGGACTTGAACAAGGAGGAATTGGAGCTTGGAGACGTGGTGGAGGCTTTTGCCAACTTGAAGTAGGCAGTCCAACACAGGATAGTTTAAAATAAAAAGGTTATGAATAAACGAGGTCTGGAACACACACCACGGTTTTGTAGCACCCACAGAAGCTTCAAAAGCACGATACCCCAGCACGCAAGAGGGTGTAATTTCCTTGCTATATTGCCGAAAAGTCGTCCGATCAGCGTGAAAGTATGGCGTCTCACACGTGAAGCGGTGTCTATTCTTTGTGGTGGTGAAACAATGTGGCTCATTTTGCAACCACATATATAAGGGTCTGCCACCCAGCCCGTAGCACACCATCTCTCTCAACATGGTCGACTTTGAAAGAATTAAAAACCAAGACTTCGATATCCACTTCCAGAAGGACACGGACGAGATCGAGGAGGACGGCACTTTGATTATCAACAGACAGAATGCTGCCAACTCCAAGTACCCGGAGTTCTTGCCCACATGGAACCCAGCGGAGAAGTACCCACCTCTTAAATTTTTCAAACACGAAGACCCTGGTTTAAGAGCTGATCCGGAATTGCACAATCTTTTCCCCTTGGACAAGGAGTTTAGAACCAAGAACATCACTCCAAAAATGGGCACCGAGGTGTTTGGCATCCAATTGTCCCAGCTTAGTGACGCTGCCAAAGACGACTTGGCTCTTTACGTTGCCAAAAGAAAAGTGGTTGTTTTCAGAGACCAGGACTGGGCTTCCAAGGGTCCCAAATTTATCACCGATTTCGCCAAACACTATGGTAGGTTGCACATCCACCCCACCTCTGGAGCTCCAAAGGGCCATCCAGAGTTGCACATTACATACAGAAGGGCCGACCCCAACGAGTTTGAAAAAGCCTTCCAGCACAAAAACAGCAACATCGACTGGCACTCGGATGTCTCCTATGAGCTTCAGCCATCTGGAACCACCTTCTTCGCAGTCTTGGAAGGTCCAGAAGCTGGAGGTGATACCATTTTCGCCAACACCGTAGAGGCCTACAACAGATTATCGCCAGATTTCCAAAAAAGATTAGAAGGCTTGCACGCCTTGCACTCGTCGCTCAACCAGGCACAAAACTCCGCTGGACACGGAGGTGTTCAGAGAAGAGACCCTGTGGAACATGTGCACCCATTGGTGAGAATCCACCCGGTGACCAAGGAGAAGTTCCTTTTTGTCAACAAGCCTTTCACCAGGAGAATCGTGGAATTGAAGCAGGAGGAGTCGGACTTTTTGTTGGACTTTTTGTACCACCACATTGAGCTGGCTCATGATTTGCAATTGAGAGGCCGCTGGGAGCCTAATACTGTTACTGTGTGGGACAATAGATGCACGGTCCATTCTCCTGTGATTGACTGGGATGCTCCAGTTTCTAGACATGCTGTTAGGGTCACTCCTCAGGCCGAGAGACCCGTGGCTGATTTGGCTGATTTGAACAAACCAGAGCCCAGTCTTGGTGATGTCGAGGAAAGCCTTGACAAGATCTGAGCCGAACGCTCAATGCCAAAATCATCAAAATTATCAAAATTATCAAAATGTTGTTTGATTTCAATTCTCAAAACAAAGCTAGTTCATTTGTCGTTATAGTTACATAAGTTATAAACACTTTTTTCCACAATGCTTAGGCGTGGTCCAACAAGTAGTTGGTGGCAGCCTCCACATTCCAATTCTCCTTGTTCAATGCATCAATCACAACGCCCTGTTCAAAGCCCATACCTACAAGTTCTTGCACAGCGAGGTCCTTCGAAGGGTCGGCCTGTGCAGCAGCTGCAGCACCACCAGCACCAGGAGCAGGCTGGCTTGGTCCCGCATTGCCAAATCCAGCGAAAAGCTGCTCCCATTCATCGTTGCTCTCTGGCTTGGAACCACCTGGAGCTGCACTTCCAAAGTCGGGCTGGCCAGATGGAACATCGTCGGCCCCGGTAAAGTGATCATCAATCGTAAAATCGCCTTCTCCACCGTCGAAGTCCTCACCTTGGTCAGCCGAAGCGGCCTGCAAGTCATTGAACTCATCGTCGAAACCATCGGCTGCTTGGCCGCTTTCCTGAGCGGCAGGCTTGAGATCTTCCTCAAACTCGTCAAACTCATCCTTGGTAGCTGACTGGTTGGCACCAGCATTGGCGTTCAAGTGGTCCACAGCATCGTCAAACTTATCCTCTGGCTCGTCGTCCGAAGAGCTCTCATCAATTTCAAGCTCACGAATTGGAGGGAACTCATCGTCATCGTTGCGGACATTATCCTGGCTGTCTGTAGGCTGTACATGGCTTTGGGCAAGTGGATGACTTGGACCCTCGGGGCTCTGATGCTCTAAACCCCTAGCTTCATCTGCGTTCACCAACTCAAACAGCTCGACACCAGATGAAATGCGCTCTCCTTCACTGGATTCCTGCCCCTCGTGCTCCTTCTGGGATCTAGGTGCTTGGTTGGAAGTTGGAGGAGAAACGGGAACCTCGCCACTCAAGGTCTCACGCTCACTGACATCCTCGATGTTGTCGTCACGAACAGACATCGAAGGGTTGTTCTGAATACTGGATGTCAAGGAGTCCGTGCGCTGGACGCCCACGAGAACATTGGGCATGCCAACCATACTGCCAACAACACCTGCAGAGTTGCCTTGCTGGAACTGGTAGTCTGAGCTATTAGGGGATGTAACTGGTGTTTCGCTTCTTTCACTATCGTCCGTTCTCTTGTAGTAGTCTGTAGCCACAGAAGATGGAGCCGTGCGGTTGGTGCTGTTGTCGTATGGGACTTCAGGGAACTTATCCTTGATGTCTTCCATGTTAGGGTACTTTGTGTCCGCAGAGTCGAGTTGCTTCTCATTGACATCCTCATGTTGAGCGGCGTTGAAATCATCCACACCTGTCATATCTTCGGTTGGGACATCCTTGACCTCGTCAACTAAAGCATCAACTGATGGCTCTTCGCTACCCGGCATCACCTCAGTTTGCTTGGTAGCCTCAACATTGGTATCTTGAGAGTTGTCGTTGAAATGGTCCAAGGAGCCTGGAATGACCTGGGCAGGAGAGAACTGGTGCGTGTCCGAGGTCTGAGCTGGTGCTGGAGTCTGGGCTTCTCTAGATGTTTCTTCATTCTCCTTGGAGCTGTCACCACTCAATGCGTGAGCACCAGCAACACCGGCACCAATGGCAGCACCAGCTGCAGCTGTAACGGCAGCACCAAGACCAAAGTTAGAACCTGGAGACTGAGAGACACCATGTTTGCTGATATCATCGTGCTGAGCTTGCAAGCTCTTTGCTTGCTGTTGAGCATCATTATCCTGCTTTTCAAGGCTTGCATGTTCCTCTTGCAAACGACGGGTGCTTGCCTCGTATTCCGAGATCTTGTTCTTAATCTCGTCAATCTTGACCAATGAGACCTGAACTTGAGATTTCTTCACGTTAACATCGTTGTTAAGTTTTGTGTTCTCAGTCTTCTTCGACTCCAAAGACTTCTCGAGCTCGACAATCTCAGCATTTAAGCTGCCCAACTTCTCTCTCAATGAGCTGTTGGTCTTTTGCAATTCCTCGACAGCCACTTGCTTTTCATGCAACTCACCAGAAACGTTATTAAGCTTGGCCTCGGAGATAGATGCCTCAGATCTCAAAGCCTCAGTTTCTTCTCTGGCGGTTTGCAAGGTTGTCTCAACTTGCTCAACCTGCTTGACCTCATTCGCGTAAGAAGCTCTCAAAGTCTTCAACTTGTTGTCGATCTCCAGCTTCACAGCCAAGATACGGGTCAACTCCTGGTCAGCCCTGGTCTTTTTCTCATGCAAGTTCGAGGTTTGCGTTGTCAAAGATCTGACTTGATTGGAGATATTGGCAATATCGGTGTTAGCCTGGGACAACTGACCAGAAATTTCAGAATCAGCCAAAAGATCGTTGTTATCAGGCTGAACAGAGCGAGAAGTTGGCTGCTGAGAAGCGGACTGTTGTGGAGCCGGACTTGCGACACGCTGCTCTGTTGAGAAAAAGTTGGACTCCTGACCGGCAGGCTCTGTTCCTCTCTTTGCTGGTGGTGGAGGAACAGATCTCAAAGCCTCGTAATCAACGGACTTCTGAGTTTCCTTCGTGGGAGAGGCGACCGGAGCGGGAGCTTCCTTAGGAGTTGGAGCAGGACTAGCTGGCAGTGGGACATCGTCCCCGATTAAACTTGGGGGCTCAGGCGCCAGCTTTTGCTGAGGCTGCTGCAGAGAAAGAAGGGTTTGGCCAAATGTAGATGTTGGCTTGAAAGATGAAGTCAACTGCTTGCGGACCTTGGGCAATTCAGAGCCAGTCAAGTCACTTGAGCTATTGCGCTGCTCCAAAGCTGGCTTTGCTGGTTGGGGAACAGGAGATGGCGAGCCAAAAACATCAGCAAGCTCGTCCATAGAGGTCTTAGCCTTTGCTGGAGTGACAGGGGCGTTACCCTGGTCGTAGGAGTATGGATTAGTTGCGACTGGTTCAGCCTGGGGTTGGGCTTGAGCTTGTTGAGGTGGAGCCTGTTGCTGCAAATTTGACAAAGACTTGATTAAAGCATCAGGGACCACATTAGGCAACGAAAGGCCCGATCTCTTGCGGTTCACCAAGAACAAAGCGATAGAGAACTCGAGGTTGGTGAACACACCAGTATTCTGAATATCGGACAAGTCCCAAATAGTCGCAAGATCTTGCTGGCCCAACCTCGAGGTCATGAGGAAGTTGGCGACCTGGTCAGGAGTCAATTTACCTGTTTTTTGTTTGTCCAAGTTGTCGAACATCGAGTCGAACATCTGTTTCTGCTGAGGCGAAACAGTCCACTCAGAAGTCTCAGTTGGGGGATGTCTAATGGTGGACAGCTGGGAGCCCACAGATGCCTGTGACACTTGACGGGAGCCCTGAGCCTCAGCGTACTTGGCGGTATCCACAGACTGCCACACTACCTCGGGCAAGAATGGAGGCAAGTTTTTGATGCTGCCACTGAGCAAACCGTGAATCAAGTGCATGGCAACAACGAACGCAGACAAGTCCAAGGAGCCCTTGTTGTGCACATCCACAAGGCCCCAGATCTGGCCCAAAGTGGCCGTAGGCAACTTGGCCTTCATCAAAATATCCTTAGCAGCGTTGCCGCTCAAAGGCACCTGCTCAGAGCCGGTGGTCTTGACAAACATCTGCTTGAAGCGCTCGTAATCGGCAGGAGAAACTGGGCCAATTGGGTCCAGAGGCTGCAACTGCTGGGTAGCGGTGTTTTGGGGATAATAGCGCTGGGTTGGGTGTGGAGCAACGAGCTGCTGGTCAGTTGGGGCACCAATTGGGAAAGACCAGGCGAAGAAGGGTTAGCAAACTTGGGCAATGGGCCTGGCTGATCCGCCAAAGACGCCGAGGGAAAGTGACCAGCCTGGGTGTAACCGATCAACCTCATGGCGTAGCAAAAACCAAACTGGGTCAAAAAGCCCACGTTGTTGTGGTCGGCAAGCTGCCAGATTTCACCCAAGATATTGGGCGGCAAGCCTGTTTTTTCAAACGTCGTTCTGGCCTTTTCACCAGTGACTATGCCACTGCCTTCCGGGTCCAACGACTTGAACAACTGCGAGTAGAGTTTCTTCTCGTCCTGGGTGAGACCCACCTTGAATGACGGTTCTGCGGTTAGTAGAGTTTCATGCTGAATTCGACGTGTCACATACGAGAAGTGCTCATTGTGTTGAAGACGAAGTTGTAGATTCAGCCGAGATAGGAGCACGGTTATGGCTCGCACACCGGTACCTCCGGGGCCGTTGCTGCCAGACTGAGACAGCCTGGAATGGGTGGGGGATTTATGGAGTGAAGCAATTTGAAAAAAAGGGAATGATGTAGATTTTTTTACTGGTTCTTGAAGGAAGGATGTTATGATTTTGAGAGGTGTTTATGTGGCACGTGGGTTGTTTTGGTAGGTGCAGCCATATGCCATGTAGCTGTCAAGAGCCACACCTGTTGACGCAAAGTGTAGTGATTGTGAGCTTTATAAGTAATTCCATTTTGAGCGGGAAAGCTTCAAATGGTGAGGTTCGAGCTGTTTCCGTTAATTGCTGCTTTTTGAAGTTATTTCAAAATGGGACTTGTGGCTTGGGAGAAGTGAAAAACGCCATGGACGTTTTTCGCAGCCATTGTAGCCATTGTTAAGAGGCTTCACAGACCATGACAACGTCACCGATGAGCTGAGGTTTTGTGATTCTCGAGAAAAATGAAGTAAGCAATTATTGTAGAAGCCTTCCATTCATTTATATATTGCCCGCTTGAGATTAACTTCTCAAGGGTTCAGAGGCCGTCCACTTGACCATATAGCAAACCAAAAAGGCCAAAGAAGCAGCTCACCAAAGATGTTTTAAAATGAATCTAGGGATCTTTAAAAAAGCTGGGAGCCACTCAGTATCGCTTTGGCTTATTCCGACGAAAACACAGATGCCTCCTTGAGCACTTTCCTACCAATGAGCACCCCAGATAACCAACCAAAACAACCCACACCTCAAAATCCCATCAAGATCCCATTTTAACAAAAAACCTTCCAAGCCATAACATGCAAAAAGTCCCCAATCTCCCCAATTTTCGAATTCATAGCCCACCTGGCCTGCCTTGGACCCGCACCCGTGCACCAACCAGGCCCAGCTACTCATCGCAGTAAATTTTCAAAAAGTCTCCTGCAAACCACATACACTATGAACAGAGGCAGAGGCGGGTTCAGAAACCAGCGTGGAGGCCGCGGCGGGTTTTCCCAGCCCCAGGGCCCTCCAGAGTCCGTTTTGGAAATGGGCTCTTTTTTGCACACCTGCGAAGGTGACATTGTCTGTCGCTCCATCAACACCAAGATCCCCTACTTCAATGCTCCTATATATTTGGAAAACAAGACGCAGATCGGTAAGGTTGACGAGATTTTGGGTCCATTGAACGAGGTCTTCTTCACCATCAAGCCATCTGAGGGCGTCCAGGCCAAGTCCTTCAAGGACGGAGACAAGTTCTTTATCTCCCCAGATAAGCTTCTTCCCTTGGAGAGATTCTTGCCCAAGCCCAAGGAGGTTGGACCCAAGCCAAAGAGAAAGGCTGGCGGTGCCGGTGGAGCCCGTGGCGGTTTCGGTGGCCGTGGAGGCGCCCGTGGAGGTGCTCGTGGAGGATTTGGAGGCCGTGGAGGCAGAGGCGGCAGTTTTGGTGCCCGTGGCGGCTCCAGAGGCGGCTTTGGTGGTGCTAGAGGCGGTGCTAGAGGTGGCCGTGGCGGTCGTGGTGGATTTGGCGGTGGTGACCGTGGCCGTGGCCGTTACTAGGCCTGTTTTTGACAATGGCATTTTCCTCTGCATCTCGCTATATAAATCTGTACTTTAATATCATACGAAACGTGAAGAGCTGTGGCTGTATTGGAGGGTACTTGGCAAGATTAGATTTTTGACTATAATGTTGATGAGGACTTGAATGGTACTCATGGGTTCGGTGCCAGCCATGATACGGAGCAAAAGCTTGAGCACGTATATCTATTACATTCAATTGCTAATCGTATTGTATTAGCATACTCTGCGGGAGCAGAGCTTCTTGACCGATTTCTGTGATGTAAAATCTTCTATTATGGCGGCTAATCTATGCGATACTAACCCTTCCAATGCCACCCTGGGCTCCTATGTACATTATTACTAGTTAGAGTGGTGCTGTTTTTGACATCCTTAAACTCTGATCCCCCTGGTGCTCCTCTTCTTGCGTCCTTTGTTCGCCTTCGGAGTAACACTCTCTTCACTGACATTCACCTGTGGAGATTCCACTAGACCGCAACTTTCAAGAATAGCGTGCCTGATCTCTCTATAGCCCAACTTTTTTGTAAGTAGCTTGTTCGTCTGCGAGTTGTTGAAGAGCAATTTGGGCATGGTGGCTAGATCCCTGAGACCAGCTCCATCTATCAAGCTGTCATAATACGAAATGACCTTGGAATTGCCCTCTCTCGCCATTTCATAGCCATTAATACGGCCGCCGGCATCGCTTTTAGCCGACTTTATCTGAAATTTGGGAAACTGACTTTGTACGATTTCATCAACCTTGGTAAAGATGATTTCAAACGGCACACCCTCGTCCACAAGAAGATCGATAAGCATAGAGTCTTCCTCCTGGAAGCCAGTCTTACTGTCGATCAAGAGAAACACTCTTCGTAGGTAAGCCCTGTTGCGGATGTAATCTAGCACTACTTCACCCTGCTTCTCCTCTCCATATTCGCCGTATCCGGGACTGTCGATGATTCTAAGCTTACCGCCAACATTAAAGCTATTAAGGCACTTTGTGAAACCAGCCCTTCTGCTTACAAAGGCCAAGTGACCCTCCTTCTTGCTTCGTTCACTGTTGAAGAGAGTGTTCACCATAGTAGACTTACCTGCGTTTGTGTGTCCCAAAAGCAAGATTTCTGGCAACGGCCGAAGCACCTCGGGGCTATAACCATAAGTAGAACGCAGCTTTTCCAAATTTTCGTGATATTCAGTCCGCAGATATGGTTCCATGCGAGAGAGTCTTTCCTGATGCTCATTTTGCAACCGTGCAATCTTCAAATCTGGAATGTCCTCATAAGTAGCACAGGTCCACTCATGTTTCGGGGTGTATTTAGCAAAAAACTGGTCTGCTTTCGTGAGCTGGGCACTGGTAGGTTTGCCATATTCTGTGTAGCGAAAATGGTTATTGAGGTCGTTTGGCGAGTACACCAAAGTTGAGGCATCCAGGGGCGGTAGATTCTTTGGATTGGCTTTCTTCTGCGGTAGCGGTACTGTAGCCTTTTTCGGTATCGCCGAAACCAAGTAATTGACCGAAGCCAACGACCGTCTGAATAAGGGCATGTAGTTCAGATGAGGTTGCGAAAGTCCGGACTCACAATGGGAAACAAGATAATATGGTCTTGAAAGTTCAAAAATGTCACTAAAGTGATTGCAACAAACAAACAGCAAAGATCATTTGACTTTTCGTCACAGGGTGTATTTGTCACTATAAGGTAATGAGGGACCGGTCTAGTGGCTGTTCGCACCGATATAGGCTTATATCCCTACTTACACCTTCGAGACACCCCTCCTTTCTAACTGTGCCCCGATGGTCAGAGTGCCTATTTTGATCGGTATGTATGAGCTTTACTTCAATTGAACATCACTAACAGCAGCTTTTTGTGTCACCCTCCTTATCGCCGCATATCTAGGGTTTGGTGAGGTCCACTTTGAACATGACAAGGCGGTCCATTTCATTACTTTCTTCATTTTGACATTAGAGCTTTGGTTTCTCTGGGACAGGCTCTCGGCACGCTTTGCATCATTCCTCTTAATGCTAGTGGCAGCAGTTATCTCGGAATTTGTTCAGAACACAGTCAACCCCAATAGGGTCTTTGATATCAAAGACATTTACGCAAACTTGGCGGGTCTGATGTTTGCGTTTACACTCTGCATTTTGGCTCAGCAGCTTAGAAGAAAGGATAGACGGAAGCGGTGGATGAACACGGATATAGAGATGCAGCCTTCAGCCAGACCCGTTACCCCGGGGTCCGAGGAGGAAGTGGATGGGTTTGTGAATGTAAGGAGCCCGAACGTTGCTTGAAACGACTTAAAAGGGAAAATTTAGGGTTTGGAGATTGCCAGAAAGGCTCGGGGTATGTTCTTCCGAGATGGCCAACCAGCTACCAAAATACCAGAATGGCCCAATTGGTTAATAAATCGCTGAACAGGATTTGGCTCCCATGACAATATCGCTGTCTACAATGATCGTAAATGGAGCCTTCGGTGCTAATTCCTACAAGTAATGGGGTCATACGGCTGAGTCGTTGTATACGGCTGGCTACATGAACGCAACACTGCTTTTGAGGCGAACTTCCTACTTTTCAATTCAGGCCCACCTAAATGCCTAATTGATCATCCGGAACGCAAGGCTTTGAACAATCAAGCATTCAGTATCTGCATTGGTCCAAACAGCCGGAAACGTTCCGCGCTACAGCCACCTCTGTCGAGGCGCCAGGCGTAGTATCTAATTTTGACAAAGAAAGCACGAGAAATTGACTCTTACATTCAAGAGTCGATCTGAGCTCACTCCTGGTGCGGCGGCTTTTATGATTCTCTCGCTTGCTCTGCTTTCGAACGTCTGAGCACAATCTGGGCCCAACGGCTGCAAAATATGCACTTACGTTGATTGCGCCCAACCAAGACCAATTCTCGAAAGCAAGCGCAAAAGTCAACCCCGTCGAATTTGTGACTCAATCCTGGGAGAAATCTCAATTTGTGGCCACATCCGATGATTCTTGCCCCACTGCTTCCATCTTCAGACGCAAGTGAAGCCTGTATTTATGTATGTTTCCTAATGCAGGTACCTACACACCTCTACGGTCGTAAACACTCACCACCAATTGTTCCAACACAACCAAGCAGTTCACCAAAGAAAAAAAAAAAAAAAAAATAAACAAAATGAACTTTCAATCCCCCAACTCTCACAAATACCTATTCCCCTCCTCTGAAACCTCGTTTTGGCAGAATATCTAAGCGAGGGCACGTGACTCGTGTTGCTACTAACATTGTTGCTGAGATCTGCATTCTGCCTGTGCTAAACAAGTCAGCAAAACAACATAACCACTATGCTGCCGCCCATTGCAAGCAGGCCTGAAGAGGAGGACGAAGGCCCGCTTCAGGTGGAAGGAACCAAAAGAAGTAATAGCTACAAAAGACCCAGTCAGCCCATAAGCAGACCCTCAAACCAGGACTCTCCTACCATCATAGGCAATGCCTTCGGCTTCTTCAGAGGTAGACAAGATCCTCAGGAAATGCGCTACCTGAGTGAAGATGAGCAACAAAGATACGACGCTCCTTATTCTGGAGGAAGCGATCATGAAGCAGAAAATGGAGAGGCTCCTGAAGCCGTACACGAGGATACTCCTGAACCTCAAGGAGAAGTTCCCGGAGCCTCGAGATCCACGATCTTCCGTCCCAACATTTTTGGAAGAAGCACTCCCGAAGGCCATTCCAGCTCGAAAATTGGAGAAGGCACTGTCGAAGATGGGAAAGCTCCAGGCAACCGCCCTAGAGGTCTCTTTACCATCTTCAGAAAGAAAAACAAAGACAGAGACCGCAGAACCAGTGCTTTGGAGTTGGAGGACGGTGCAATCGCAGAGGACGACGGCGAGGCTGAAACCAGAGAGCGTGCTTTGGTTTTGTTGGAGTCCTTGAGTTTGGGTACTCCTGCTATCAACCTTCTTGCATCGTGTTTGTGTGAGGACGAATACGGAATCGCCAGAGCCCCCCTTCTTCTTACGCTTTTGGGTTTGAAAGTGAACGACACGTCTACTACACCATTGAAGAGAAACAGAAGGTTCCGCATTGACCTTGAATACGGCGTCGCTCCGCGTCGTTTCAAGTGGTCCGTTGAAAGGAACGCCAAAGATCTATTATACTTGCATTCCAGACTAAAATTGCTGGCATTTAGGGGGTCCCTCAAGTCTGACGAGTTGCCCAGGTACCCTGTACCACCTCTTTTCAGAAGAAATGACCGCAGCATCATGCGTCAAACAAACAAAAGGCTCACGACCAGACCAGATGAAACACTTACACCAAACCGGGAACGTACGGATGCCCAGACTCCAACTGGCGATGATCGCTCGATCCTCAGCGGTGGCACAATGCGTAACCCTCTAGCTGCTATACGATCTCACTTGAGTATGGCATCTGCAGCATCGTCTCTTGAAAATGCTTCTCCAGAACAGTTGCAGACTTTCATGAAGATCAACCAGCGGTATGTTGCCGACGTTCAAAAATATCTATATGACCTCATCACCCTCGTCGCCTTACGTCCACAGTCGAACAGACTCTTCCAATTCTTCGAGGTCTCGCCTATCTCCTCGCTTTTAAGTTATGAAACTGGTTTCATTGGAAAGCAAGGCGTTGTCCACATTGGTGGCACGACAAAGTCACAGGGCTGGCGAGTCGGCCATTTTAAGGCCAATGACTTAAAGGGCATGGTGGACAGACGTTCCGAAAAATGGTTGTTGGTGAGAAATTCTTACGTGACATACGTGTCTGACATCAATTCTACCACTCCTCTTGAGGTCTTTTTGATAGATAGCTCATTCAAGATCACTCACAAAGGACCCGGACTTGACCAACAAGAGAGAGGCTCTGATTCTGAATCTGACTATGAAGACCACTCGATTAAAATCACGGGCGATGTCAGCACACCAAACCACATCCACAGAAATGTTTTCAAACACCTCAAAATCGTTCTTGAGAACTCGGAACGAAAGCTTGTCATCATACCAAAGTCTACCAGAGAACAGAGGCTTTGGTTGCATTCTATCGACAAAATGGTCAGACAATCCATTTGGAGCCAACCCAACCGTTTCCACTCATTCGCTCCAGTAAGAAAGAATTGTTATGCCCAATGGTTCGTGGATGCAAGAGATTACTTCTGGGCCGTTTCGTCGGCCATTGAGATGGCAAAGGATACGGTTTTCATTCATGATTGGTGGCTTTCACCTGAGCTCTACTTAAGAAGACCCGCTAATGGTAATCAACAATTCAGAATTGACAGATTGCTTCAGAGAAAAGCTCAGCAAGGAGTGAAGATTTTTGTCATAATCTACAGAAATGTTGGTACAACAATCCCAATTGACTCCCTTTACACGAAGCACTCCATTCTTTCGCTTAATCAGGAGAACATCCATGTGATCAGATCTCCTAACCAGCTTCTCCAGAATACATATTTCTGGGCCCATCACGAAAAGATTTGCATCATTGATCAGACTATGGCTTTCATGGGAGGAATTGATCTTTGTTACGGTAGATACGATACCCCTGACCACGTTCTTGTCGATGATACTCATGTCGACTTTGCCCACCTCGATACTGAGACGTTGACACAAGAAGAGTTTGAAGCATTTAATGTCTTCCCTGGCAAAGATTATTCCAACACTCGTGTTAAGGATTTCTCCAACTTAGACAAGCCGTACGAGAACATGTACGACCGTTCCGTGGTTCCTAGAATGCCTTGGCACGACATCCACATGTGTACCACCGGTCAGCCAGCCAGAGATTTGTCTCGTCATTACGTGCAACGTTGGAACTATCTTGTGAGGCAGAAGCGTCCTTCTAGACTCACTCCTCTTTTGACACCTCCACCTGATCTTACCGATGAGGAAGTCCGTGAAATGGGTCTCAATGGTAGCTGTGAGGTACAGATGCTTCGTTCTGCTGGAAACTGGTCGTTGGGATTGAAGGAACATGAACAGAGTATTCAAGACGCCTACTTGAAGTTGATCGAAACCTCCGAGCACTTTGTTTACATTGAGAATCAATTCTTTGTCACCTCGTGCTTGATTGAGGGCACTGTCATCGAGAACCGTATCGGTGACGCTTTGGTGGAGAGAATTATTCGTGCATTCAATGAAGGGAAGCAATGGAAGGCCATAATTTTGATTCCTCTCGTTCCCGGATTTGAATCTTCGGTCGACAAGCCTGATGGATCCTCCGTCAGAGTGGTTATGCAATGTCAGTACATGTCCATTTCTCGTGGTCCATCGTGTCTTTTCGCAAAGCTCAGAAAATATGGCATTGATCCCGATAACTACATTCAATTCTTCTCGTTGAGAAAGTGGGGCTGCATTGGACGTGATAGAAACCTAGTCACAGAACAACTATACATTCATGCGAAGACCATGGTGGTCGATGACAAGTATGCCATCATCGGAAGTGCAAACATCAACGAAAGATCCATGCGTGGTCTCAGGGATTCTGAAGTTGCAGCTTTAGTTTGCGACCGTGAGACCATTTCTTCTACAATGAACGGAGAGAAGTATACTGTTGGAAAGTTCCCCCACACTCTCAGATTGAGATTGATGAGAGAGCATCTTGGTATCGGTGTTGATGTTCTCGACGTCGTTGAAAGAAAGTTTGACAAGTTTGAGAAGTTTGCAGAGACCGAGGAAGGTCTCAAGGCTTGCACAAATGATTTCAAGAAACCCATCAACAGGAGAATCTCTGCCGTAGTGGAGCTTGCTAGTCGTGAGATCTTGAACCAACCCGAGGGAACCGCCAGATGGAAAGCCCACTGCAAGAAGTTTGGTTTGAGATCAAAGCCTCCTCTTATTCCTGAAGACATCAAGTATGAGGAGGGACCAAAGCCAGCTTTATTACCACTCTCCTTCAACAACAGAACGGGTCCTCATGAAGCTAACAGAGGTATAAGAGATAAAAAGAAGCATTCCTATGATGCTCGTGTTCAACATAGTGACGACCACAAACGTGATGTTTACGGTGTTGGTGTCGACAAGTATAGAACACGTTTGGGACAAAAAGCACGCCTCGATAGCGCTCGCTTCATCCGTGACTTGGCCAAGGAAGTTTTTGATCAGCAGCCAGGTGCACAGTTCCTTCCTGATCTTGAAAATGTTAAGGCATTCCTCGAACTGGATGATTCAGATTATAGTGCTGATATGACCGAGGAGAACGAAGAACTTCTTACCGAGAGAAACAAGGAAAGATGGGTCTTGTTGAAACGTATCTCCTACTTGCAGCGTATTGCGGTAAAGGAGTCACAACAGACGGCAATTGAGCGCCAAAAGAGAATTGCTGCGGGCCTTCCTCCAAGCATATACGATTTTGGGTCTGTCGATGGAACCCCAACAGCCAAATCAACCACTCCTGCTCAGGAAACACTGAATGAAGATGGCATAACCGATGCTGTTGAGATTTCGAACAAAAAGTCTGATTCCCCGCCTGTTGAAGAAGTGGATGCTGCAAATGATGCAGTCGAGCTTCTGAATGACTATGTACCCGTGGTCAGTTTGGATGAGCAGCAGTTGAGGGAGCAGGTGCGTCAAATCAACGTTCCTGGAGTGGATAATGTCTCTGCTTTCATTGATCCTTACGGATTCGAGGATCCATTGGACCCCGATTTTTACGAGGACATCTGGTTTGAGAATGCCAGGAGAAATACGGAAATCTTCAGACTCGTGTTCCATTGCCAGCCGGATGACGATGTCGTCTCTTGGAAAGACTACAAGCGTTTCATGAGGCTCGAGAAGGCATTCAAGGTTGCTCAGGAAACCGAGGCTCGTAACAGAAGAGAGAGATTCCGTTTCGATGATAACTCGACTGAGTCTAACCCGAACAAGCCGAGAGGAGGCCAAGCCATGCACGCAGAAGTAGCCAGGCTACGATCTACATGAACGACATCCCTAACGAGCGTGGTGGTATCTTTGGTGACATCCCATCATCGAACAACAGCAGTTCTACGGATCTTCCAAGAAATAACACCAAGCTGAAGTTTAAGGTCAATGACAGGATTGACGAAGGTAATGAAGAAGATGAAGATAAATTCCTTGATGCCGATGACAACGAGAATGATGCGGATGGAGATGACGAGGAGGAGTCTTCCGAGTCTTCTGGCAACGGCCAGCCCGAGCTTAAGAAGGCAAAGACAAAGCAAAGGCAAGCTACCAGAATCAACAGAAAGAGGAGAGCTGGCACTTTCAGTGCCAGAAGAAAGGCCCACGCTGGAGAAAAGATTTACGACAGGGAGTCTGCGGAAAGGCTTCTCAACGAGATCCATGGGCACCTTGTTTTGTTCCCTGCCGACTGGCTCGCCAGAGAGCTCGAGGGTGATAACTGGTTCTTCAACACCGATAGAATCCCACCTATTGAAATTTATGACTAGATAATAGATAGATTTACATGGATGCCACACTGTAGGCGTGCGTGCGAAAAATGAATATTGGTGTCTTCCATAAACGCGGGTCTAATTACACCTACCACCTCCAATGTTCTTACAAGTCCTATCAGCGATAGGAACTGTGGTGGGCTTCCTATTCTTAGTGCTTTCCATAGCTTCCGGTTTATACTACATTTCGGAACTTGTGGAAGAACACACCGAACCCACGAAGAGACTACTCAGAAGGTTAATATATGGTGTCATGACCACGCTCACGCTCTTATACTTATTTGATGGCTTTCCCTTCAAGCTTACGTTGTTCTCCATCTTCACCTACTGGGTCTACTTGCAGAACCTCGAGAAGTTTCCCTATGTCCAATTGACTTCTCCCATCTTCCTAGCATCGTGCGCCTTGGTTGTTGCTAACCATTTCCTATGGTACGATCACTTCCACAACCCATACATTCCACTGATCGAGGAGCGTTTGCTGCCTACGTATGTGCCGCCCAAGATTCCATCTTTTGTCGAGGTTTGCTCCTTTTTCGGCTTGTGCGTGTGGTTTATCCCCTTTGCCTTGTTCGTCTCATTGAGCGCCAATGACAACTTACTACCCCAGCACGGAGCAATTCCCGAAACCAAACAAAAGAAAAAGGTGGGATTGGCCAAGCTCGTGGTGGCCACCGCCAGAGAATATGTGTATGCCATCAGCAGAAGATTGGGATATGAATTAGACCCCCACTATGGCACCATCGTGTAAATACTTGAAATGCATGATCTTACTTATTTAAGAACTCCTTGACGGGAGGGCCGATGTGGTCCAAGCTCAACAAGAACGTGTCGTGGCCATAGTTGCTGATGTTGTTGCCCAACTCAAAGTACGTGACATTGTCTCTGTTGCCTTCAAACGAGTTGAGGACCTCGGCAATCTCTCTCTGCTGCCACACGGGGAAAAGAATGTCCGACTCAACACCAATCACCAAAAATTCCTTATCCTTGATTTTTTCAAACCCTTTCTTCAAGTCCTCGAAGGCCTGCTCTGGCGTGACTGTCGCCTTGTTGATTCTCTCCTGGTACGGGATCTCTGGTATACTGCTTATGCTGCCATCCTCGTCTTGGCTGTAGTACCTGCTCTCGGCTTCCGTTCTGTTATTTTGCGCTTTGCGGGAACTCTTGAGCCCAAGATCAAACATGTCCATGGCCTTCAGCACGTATAGAAGCGAATTGGCATCATACTCAAGACAGAACTTCTCGCCCTGGTGGTCCAAGTACGTCTCGACCAAGAAATCGGCACAGAATGCAGCAGGCTTTGACTCGTCGGCTCTATTTCTGCCAAAACGAGATTCCCATTCTGGTCCAGAACGGTAGGTGACCGTTGCAATCTCACGAGCTAGCTTCATGCCAATATGAGGAGGAACACTGTTGTAGTAGAAGCCACGCTTCCAATTGGGGTCACTCATCAAGACCTGTCTTTGGCAGTGACGCAATGCAATGGAGTACGGATGAGATCTAGCACATCCCGATATGCTTACGATTTTTTCAACCTCGTCTGGAAACTCACTAGCATAGGCCAATGACTGCATTCCTCCCATGGAAGCACCCACGGATGCATGTACTTTTTTGACACCGAATTGATTCTGAATAAGCTCTCTTTGGGCTCTTACCATGTCGTTGACTGATAGAATTGGGAACCTGGTGGCATAAAAGTCGTTGTTGGCTGGGTCTCTGGACGATGGACCTGTGGATCCGTAGCAGCCACCCAATACATTCGTACAAACAACAAAGTACTTGTCTGTATCGATGTACTTTCCAGGTCCGATGAAGTTCTCCCACCAACCAGGTTTTGTGTTCTTTGGTTGCGATCTAGCATGAGAAGAAGCCGAAAGGCCAGTGTGTATCAAAATCAAATTGTCCTTTTCAGGAGAAAGCTCACCCCAGGTCTCATACGCAATTTCGTATTCCGGTAAGTTTCCTCCGTTGTCCAAAAAGATTGGCTTTTTGCTTTTATAAATCTCAAAGCCTGTGGAGACAAATGAGTATGATGGTTCAGGGCCGCCCTCGAGCGATGTCAGCTCTGAAACACATGATGAGGAAGACTTTGTGTTCAATTTCTGAGTTTTCGCTTCCAAGGCATCTAGACACGGGAATTTGAGTTGTGGGTTCGAGGATCTGTTTGACACAGTGGGTTTGCGAAGCCTTTGGTATGTGGAGAATTGGTGAATTGAAGTGTTGCTTGATTTGAGACCAAGGGTTCTCCCTTGTAGGCGGCAGGAAGCTCTCAAGGGTAGAGCAGTCCGCATACTATCTTATGAACGTTGTCAATATTTTTTCAAAAAGGTCTAGGAACGGTTCTGAGTTTAGCAATTTGTCAGCTTGAGCAGCCACTGGCAAACAATTAGCCGAATCTGATGCGTCGTCACGTGATATTACATATAGTTTCCTTCTTAATTGACAGGCTCAAGCTTATCGTACTGCAGGAAGTCGGGGAAGCTATGCCAGAGCTATCAGCTCCGCTTTTATGTACTAGAGGTCAATGGGTGAGGTAGCTATCAATTGGAAATTTTCACGCGAGATTCTGAGAGAAGCAATATTTTGAATGAAATAAGTACACAAACGGTCAATTGTCACCAAGACCATGTTTCGTGGCTGCAAAGTTGTAAACTAAAATCATATCTGCCTTAAGATCGTTGAAGATGGTCAAGCGGTCCTTGAAATCCACATCACGGATCTACTAGTAGGTTGACTCAACATATCAGTATCAGTGCAACAACACAGCGTATTGTTCTGGTCAGCCCGTCAAATTCTATTCGAAAGAGAATCATAATTACCGATGCTCCCTTTCCAGGTCCTGAATTCTTCCAAAGAAATATCAAAAAATCTGTTGTGTAATACGGTTTGGAACACTGTGCGTTATCGCTCCCTATGAATTCACCGCGCAGAATATAACTAATATGGAGACAGGACCACACGCCTCTTTATCCCAGCTCCTCCCACCACTTCGTCAATCACGATTGACTTCCTAATTGGCTGATTCATCCTGGTCCTTGGGAGGCTATTGTTGTCCCGATTTCGGTTTGGCACCGTCTTGGCGCCCTCTTGGACTGCACTGACTGAACCAACTACAAACTTATCACCACTATGGATCCGCCACCAAAGCAGATGGGATCCTCTCCTATCAGGCTTACCAGAACAGCTGGGGTCTTATTTCCTTTGATATTTCTCATAACATGTCCGTTTTCTACAGTGTTGAAGAAGTACAGCTCCACAGTGTCCCAGAATGCAGTTTTGAGCTTTCTCAACTACATTTTTGTGCAACAGTTGGGCTACTTGTTCTTTACTATAGCATTCTTGAGTTATGTGGTTTTCTACATTGACAATAAACCCATGAGAGCTGGGAACATTGGGGTTCTTTTATTTAAATACGCCGTCATCACAATCATTGGCATGCTCTTCCATGGCGGGTTCTTCAAATTTCTGTTGGTTGAGCTTGTCAACAAATTTTCTGGTGGGCATTGCAGTGATCACAGCATAACAATGGCAAAGTGCCGCCAATCACCGGAGTATGAATGGGTCGACGGGGTCGATATTTCAAGTCATTACTACTTCTTGCTGAGCCTGGTGCTTATGCTTCTAAACAATCAGTTATGCGCAGCCAGAGCCACAGACACCGTGTCTCAGACTGCGCCTCCGCCAAAGACGATTCGTTTTTCCCAATTAGCTGTCCTCTACCTTTCGTTTATTTTGATGTCGATCTGGGTTTTCGAATTCATAATCACCAGCTTGTTCTTCCACACCCCTACTGAAAGACTATTTGGTCTTATAGGAGTACCAGCAGCTTTGTTGACTATCTCGTTGAGTCGAAAGCTACTCCCTGGTGAAGACGACGGCGACACCTAGGTAATTAACAAATGCACAAATATGGTTAAAATTCTAAGTGAGTTATCAGTCACCGTTGTTTCGCATCAAACTAGTCAGCGCTCAATACGCTCGAGTCAAATTTGACAACCATTGCAGTTACGTTGTCGGTTGTAGCATTGTCGATAGCGAGCTGGCATAGCCTTTTGGCAGCTTTCGCAGGATCGATGGGTTCCTTGTTTTGTTCTTGCTGTTTGAAAATATCGGCGACAAACTTGCAGGCGAAGCTATCGCTAATCACATCCCACACACCGTCACAGGCCAATATTAGAAATTCATCCTCGGGGTTATTTCAGTGGAGGTGGTAAAGGGCTTGCCAGTAACAAGGTTTTTAATATACGAGTCTCCCAATGATCTAGTAATCGCCAAGACGCCATTGACTCTGTTTTTGACTATGAGACCACCACGGTCTCTCACTCGGTCTATCTCACTGGGGTCAGAGGCTTTGTGGTCATAGGTCAATCTGTAAGCTTTCCCGGCCCGACAAATGACAATTCGCAGATCGCCGACGTTTGATGTGTACAACATTCGCTTGTGATGTGGTCCTGGGACAAAATCAAACTTCTTGCCTGGTTTCGGGGGATTCAGTTTCCCCAGTTCCGCCAGCTCTTCAGTAGACTCCCAGCGTAATATGGCCACAGCAGCAGTCGAGCCAGCAGATCCACTGCCTTCTTCTTCGATAAGCTCGTCAGCCTTCACGAATACATTATGAAACACATCTTTGACATCACAGAGGTGTGCTGGAGAGGCACCCAGGCCACAATTCGCCAGAGCCTCCTTCGCTAGCAATTCCTGCTCAATCAAAGTATGCAAATTGTTGCCGCACCAACGAGCTGTCGATTTCCCGGCATGGCCATCGAATATGGCAAAGTAGCCCCAGTCAAGCTTCTCAGCAAAGTTGGCGACATACGTGTGCACATCTTCCATCTTAGCTCTGTAGGTGGCATTTTTGTTCTCTGCCACTCCTACCTTGAAAGAAAGCCCACTGAAAGGGTCTTGCTGCTCAACAGGCGGGCTATGGTTATTTTGTTGCTTCAGTTCTGAAGCCGAGGCAGTCTCCAAAGTGTGATCTGCTGGCGCCCTTTCCTCAGGCAGGGCCATTGTGGGGTAAGTATGGGCTTTTTCCAATGAGCTGAAGTGGGATTTAAGCTTAATGCACGTATGAGACGGTTGAGTCTGGATATTCTAGCTTGAATATAGAAGCTGGCTTTAGTGAAGTCGTTCTGGAAAACGGAGACAAAAATGGTTGTGCGTAGAGGTACAGGTGCGTTTCGTGGATTCCTCGGTGGAGGGGTTGGTACGAACCTAAAAGGGTATAAAGGAAAACTAGACGGCGAAGATCTTGAGATTTCTTCGAGATTGGCTTTTAAGAATAGGGGTCCACAATAGGGTCAGATTGTCCGTCGGCTGGCTGCAGATTTTAATGCCATTCCGTGAAGCGTGTAACTTGCTCGCGACCTATTACCATATATGACTATTGCTTCAAACTTCAGCCACGTTTTAAAAAAAACAGGAATTTTAACACATTTCCTGTTATATGAGCTGTTGCCCCGCTTGTAGAATCTAAAAAATCTTGGGTGCTGGGCACTCAATGGCGGGAATTCTACTCGTCTATTGTTAGCATTTTTACCGTTTGTGTACATACTTGACAGCATCCTGCGTTATTCACTGCGAGTTTGAAAATCTTGCCATGGTTGCAAACCACAACGGTACAAATAAATTGAATATTGGTGATGTTTTTGATAAAATTATATAAATTGAAAGTAGAACACAAAAACTGATCACCAGGCGATTTTGGCCAAAAAGCTGTCGGGGTGTTTTCTGTTGTACCACTTCCTCAATTCATCGTATACCAAGACCACAGCTCCAAAACCAACGGCAATAAAGTAGTATTCAACGGGCACCTGAGCAGTTCCAAGGGCTGAGTGAATTGCAGGAATATAGTTGACAATGAAGGTCACTCCAAGTGTGATCGGCACCACTGCAAATAAATACTTGTTTTTCATGGGCAGATGTTGAAACATACTGAGGTACCTGGTTCTCATGGCAAAAAGGTTGAACAGCTGCATGATGACCAAATTCACAAAGTATATCGACGAAGACATGTTGATGTAATCCTCAACATTGGGTAGATCTTCGTAGGTGCCGTAGCTCAATGAGAAGTCTGAAAACTTGTATCTCCTTCTCGTGAGGTTGAGGAATGCCACCATGAAAGACGTAAAGCAGTAATAAGTACCGATAGTGAAGTAGGAGTGTAAAAATAACTTCCAGTCGACCAACTTCTCCTTGGTAACGCTTCTTGGTTTCTTCTGCAACAAGTTTCTCTCACTCGATTCGTAAGCCAAGATGATAGCACCAGCACAATCTGTAATGCAACAAATGATAATCATCAAAAAAGACAGAAGCATCTGCGGCATACCGAAAATCACATTCATCAAGACAGGCCAGAGCTCGGCGTAAGTACCGGCAGGAAGCAAGTATCCAATTGTCTTTCGAAGATTCTCAAACACCAACCTTCCGTACTCTAAAGCATCGATGATAGAATTGAACAATTCGTCTTCAGCGTCTGTGTTGTTCATCAAAATGATATCGGAAGCTTCTTTGGCAATATCTGATGCGTCGATGAGCGAAATACCAATGTCTGCCTGTTTGAGGGAAGGACTGTCATTTATACCATCGCCCGTCATACCAATAACGTGCTTGTGCTTTTGGAACCGTTTGATAATCATGAGTTTCTGTTCAGGCGTTGTTCTAGTAAAGACTAGTTCCTCATAGCGAACTACCCGAGACCACTCATCATCAGTCAATGTGTTCAAATCACTTCCCACAATACTGACAGCTCTTGGAATGGGCGTATCATCATTTGAAACAGGCTCTTTTGTTGCTGCAACAATCACATCTTGATAAGTGTCAACGTTGCCGGTGACGATTCCTACCTGTTTCGCAATAGACAACCCAGTAAGTTCAAAGTCACCAGTAATCATGACAATTTTCACACCAGCGTCTCGTAATCTGCTAATCACGGTATTGATATTTTTTCTGGGTGGATCCTCAATTCCAAGCATACCAACAAGTGTCATGCCATCAGACGATTCTTCCCTCAATCTTTCAGTAGCACTGAACCTATCCGTGAAATCAATCGTAGAAGGCTGAACCATTTTTGAGGTAAGCAAAATCACTCTCTTGCCCCCTCTGGACCATTTTTGTTGAATCGTCCGAATTTTGTCAAGATTCTGATCATCAAGATTTTGAACAACAACACGATCATCACCATCCCTTTGAAGTATACTAGTGCAGCGTTTCAAGAGAATATCTGGAGCACCCTTCACCGTCAACAAAGAAAAGTTCTCTTCTTGGCCAAGGGGTAACTCAATACCAATTTGTGACCAAGTCTTTTCAGGAATCTGGAACGAGGAGTTGGCATCCAAAAGATTAGCCATGTACTTATCCTTGGAGTTGAAAGCAATCTGGAACCTCGAGCTCCATTTCTGTTCAAGCTCCCACTTTGGCATGATAGAGTCTGAGTACGTAAACACAGCTTTGTCAGTTGCGTTACCATTCAAGGAGCCGTCCTTGGAGACTGTTGCATCGTTGCATAAGCTGCAGATGGTAAGAAAATGAGTAGTTAAAGCATCGGTAAACTCTGTTTCCCCAGACTCCTGCGATTTGAGTTCGGTCACAGAATCCTCATCATCTCCTTTGCAGACATCAGTAACCGTCATGTTGTTCCTCGTCAAAGTTCCCGTCTTGTCAAAGCATAACACACTCACCGAGCCTAACGTTTCAACAGTTGACAACGTCTTACATAAAATCTTGCTCTTTCTCATCTGGTTCGCCGTGATGATTAAGCAGGTCGTTAAAGCAATTGGTAAACCTTCTGGGATAAATGCAACTGCCACTGCAACAATGTCAACGATAAGACCAGAAACCGTGAGCCAGCCTTTGTGGTCCTTGTTCAACCACGCACACCAAAGAATGATAATCAAAACAACCAAGGTCACAATGATCGAAGAAGTCATGAGAACAAATCGCAAAATCTCCCATTGCATTGGTGTCAATCCCTTCTTGGGCTCAGAGGTCAACTTGGCGATGGTACCAAAGATGGTGTGGTCACCAGTTGCAACCACAATACCTTTACCTGAACCTCCGACAACAAAAGTACCCTGCATTGCAATACAGTTACTTTCAAGGTAGTTAGAATGAAGCGGGTCAGAACGATAAGTGGCCGGAACAGCATCCGACTCACCGGTTAAAATGGACCTATCAAAAGACAAATCGGGCGAGGCTTCCACTATTCTTATATCGGCAGGCACCTTGACGCCAGTGCCAAACTTGATGATGTCACCCGGAACAAGAATCTTTGAATCAACCTGCTCGAAGTTGCCCTCACGAACGACCAAGGTCTCAACAGGGATCATATTGTGGATCGAGTCCATGACACGAGAACTGGAGAAATCTTGAAAGAAGTTAAACATAGCCTGGAACAAGAAGACAAAAAGCAAAATGATACCGAGAATCAAATTGGCGATCGCAGGGTCTGGGTTGCCCAAAGGCTTCCAGCTGACAATACACAAGATACCACCGGTCAACAATAAGCCACCAAATCCGCCAAAAAAGTACATGAAAATTTTCTTCAACAAGCGACTAGGTGGTTTGGACTGGACGTTAGGACCAAATTCCTTCCTTCTGGCAACCAGCTGGGCAGAACTCAATCCGTACGTCACATCAGTGCCGAAATCAACAACAAGCTTCTCAGGATCGTCAGTGTGATAAGTGATTCCGGCGAATTTGCCAGAAGTGGGATCAAGCTCCGTTTGGTGCTCTGAGCGTGTTTCGACCTCGTGAGAAATGGTCTTGAACACGGCTGGAAGCACCACATCGGGCTGCACACGTTCCCTGATGGTGAACAAATCGTCATCTCTGTTCGAGCTGTGAAACGACAATCTTCTCCTTGCTCTTCCTGGCACAGAAATACCATCTTTTCTCTCACCTTCGGCAAACGTGATACCGTCGTTAGTAGGCTTATCGGCGAAGCTCAAATCGGAGTCGTCGTCTTTTGTGAACGACGTCTCAGCAGAGACCGTGTTGACCAAATAGCTGTTTCTCTTGTCACCCATAGCAAGCAGTGAAAAACTACCAGGGCCCTCTCACGAGCTTATATACGTTTTCTCGTCACACGTCCACAAAACAACAACACGGCGGACAATGGCATGGCGCCCTACGAACGCGAGGACAGGAGGCCCCTAAAACCGCCAAAAAGGCAGACAGACATAAATCGCTCACCTCTGGTGCTGGTGTGTTTGATCAGAGACCCATACATTTTGCAGCCAAAATGGCATTTGCGCCGCACCACGTCAACATGCGCTTGGCAAGGCGCAATGCGCGATTTACCCTTGTCTCTCATCCACAGGCAGAGGCCAAAAGAGGTATACCCAATGGAAAAAATCCCTCAGGCAAAGTTTTGATAGCTTTAGAAAATCTCCAGAAGTGATGACAAAGATATATTTGGCGAAGTAGGCGTGCCATAGGGAACCAAGCATTCCGAGACAAATAGACGTGGTGTGCGCTTTTGACAGGTGCTTCCATACAGCTATATGTGAGCACTGAAGCATTGACCTTGATGCAAGGGTTTTAGCGCAGCCGCTTCCAAACCAGGCCAGCCTTGTTTCGAGGGATTTTTCGTATTTGTTTTGAGGCAGAGGCAGTGTCTCAACCAGGCTTCTAATTGGAATTAGCCGGCATGCTGCTTCGTGGGACCAATGTAGTGGAGTGCTCACAGTGAGGGATTTAACGAGAAGATTAATTGGACGTCGTTTAGGCAGCAATGGTGGCGTCAAGAAGTGGCCTCACTAGAGGTTTTTCAAGGGGCAAGGATTGGCTGATTTGCAGAACCATGTGTTTGAGATTAGGAGTAAATTGCTGGGGGAGAATTGTTTTGATGACGTAGGTAATAGGTATTTGTAGTGACGGAGCCGCATGGGCAAGTTGCCAGAAGTCAGTGAAGCTGCAGTGCAGCGATATGCTAAGAAACAGCGACTGCTGGATTAATACTGTGCAATATTAGTGTGACTAAGGCTTGTGAGATTCTTTTCTAGGGGCCTCGAATAAGGACTTGTGCCGCTATTGAGGGAAGCTCATGGGTATTGACGGCTGGCTCGTCCCGATGGGATGAATGCAGCAAACTCAGCCTTCGATAAAACCCACGGAATGGTTGTTCTATAGTGTGACGAAGCAGATGTTATTTTCTAATCGCATGTTGCACTGTTCTTTCAACCATATAGCTCGATGAATGAAGCCGAATGATTCGTAAGCACCCAACTCCAAACATGGTCAAAAATGAAAGCATTTATCAACTTGCCACCATCACTATGCTTCCTTTTTTCTATTTTCAAAAATTCTCGGGCCCCACCGAGTGTGTGTGACTACACCATAAAACACAGTTAACTCCGGATGTATGGCAGAACGCTCCGGTCCAAGTGCCGAAAAGTGGGGCACACGGCTGCGAATTCGGTCTTTCAAGTTTTTCAAAAATACCCCTTCAACATAATGGGTGTCAATCTACAAAAAAGAATAGGACTTACAAAAGATCGCCGTGAAATGGTTCCCCCGCAAAAACGGCTGAGGTGCCTGTCTCGGCGGTAAACTCTAAATGTCATTTCCCTGACTAGGCAAGTGCGAAACATGTGGATATAAATTGTAGATTCGCACCTCCCATTTCTGATAACCAGCCATGCCTGAAGTTCCTTTGCCATACGAGCCCAAGGGCGAACCAATCAAAGAGCAGGTGCCTTACAACGGTGCCACCTTCTACACCACCACGTGGAAAGTGCCGGAGAATGTGCCTTACAAGGGCAAAGTCATCTACGTTCACGGTTTCTGTGAGCACTCCAACATCTACACTCAGTTCTTCGATGAATTGAGCCAGAAGGGATTCGAGATTTTCTTCTTTGACCAGAGAGGAGCCGGTGACACTTCGCCAGGCAAGGATGCGGGTAAGACCGACGAGTTCCACACTTTTGACGATTTGGATTTCATGATCAAGAGAAACTTGGACGCCAGAGAGGACAAGAACGAGAAGTTCTTCATGGGTGGCCACTCCATGGGTGGTGGTATTTCTTTGAACTACGCCATCCACGGTAAGTACAGAGACAACTTCAAGGGTGTCTTCACCTCGGGTCCCTTGGTCACTTTGCACCCAAAGACCATGCCCAACATTCTCCTCAGAACGTTCCAGCCAGTGATCAACCGCCTCTTGCCTGAGTTCAAGATCGACTCGAAGTTGAGATACGACTTCATCACCTCTGACGAGGGCTGGAAGCAGTTCATTATGGACCACGATAAGAAGTTGATTGGTACGGTGAGGCAATTCAACGACATGTTCCTTCGTGGTGAGAGATTGCTTCAGAAAGAGCACGTCGCCAAGTTCAGCCCCGATATCAAGTTGTTGTTGTTGCACGGCAACTCTGATTTCATCAACGACATTGAAGGTTCCAAGGGCTTCATTGCTTTACTCCCAGATACCGTGGACAAGGAGTTTGTAGAGGTGGACGGCGCACGCCACTCGCTTTTCGTCGAGAGAAAAGAGTTGTACGATGATGTTTTTGACCACGTGTTGAAGTTTTTGGAGAGCAACGCCTAGAGTGTGTATTTCGATTTTTTAATGTATGCTAGTGGATTGGGTAGTCTAGGTGGATCGGGTAGCACGCGGCCGTATAAGCGCATACGTCGTGCGCATTCGTTTACACATCCACCAGGACCAACTCTCATATCCATAAAGAATCTTTGCAACCGCTTGATTACAGATTCTGGAAAAGCTCTCGCCCGATCCTTTCCCAGATACATAGTTCTCCCACTTTGCGCCGATATCTCCTGATGGCTTTAGACGCAACTCACAAAAGTCATCTGATGCCGAATGCACCAATCGTTACAAAGTCCCATAACTGATCTCCATAGTCCTACTCCACCGAGATATGGGATATACCATAAAACAGAAGATCGAGATATGCCTCCAGTCGGAGGCTAATCCGCAAATGACCCAGAGCGAACTAGCTCTATGGGCCAAGGAGAAATACGGATCTCAGAAACCCCCGTCTCAGACCACGATTTCCCGGATCTTGAGCTCCAAGTCGGAGATACTTGGGTCGAAGGAGTCTGATTTTTCCTTGGTTCGAAGAAGAAAACAGTCAAACCCGCTACTACGAAAGATCTTGACCGAGTGGATCACCCAGGCTTTATGGGAGTCGATCCCAATCACCACCCCAATTATTCAGCTGACGGCCAATGCTATTTGGACGCGGCTTCGGGCGGATTCCAAGGACGGTAATGGCGTTTTCAATCACAAGTGGTGTAATCACTTTGTGAAGAAATTGAATATTAATTTGGAAGGCTCCCCGAGGCAGTGGAGCAGAACTTGGGCGTGAAGCTAGATACGGTCTGGCGCCTTGATGAGAAATTGGAGCTCAAGCAGTTCATTGTTGAGCTCATAAACCGTCATAATTACTCTCCCAAGGACTTGTTCACGATCGACGAGTTCCAGCTTTTTCATGCATTGCCGTTGGACCAGATCTTTGACATCTCTTCCATCGATAAGGGTCTCAAGCAAAGCGGCACTTCCTCCGAGAATATGCTAACAATTATGCTTGGATGCAATATTGACGGCTCGGAGAAGCTTCTGCCGTTGGTCGTTTCTCGCCAGGACAAGTTCGATGTTTCAGCTAGTTCTCATTCTGCCTTGAAGACTCATAGTGGCAGTCTCACCACCCAGACCCTCATGAACAAGTTGGACGAGGTTTACCAGATTTCCTACAGATCTAACAACAATAAGTGGATCACCTCCAGCATGTTCCAAGACTACCTTCTAACGTTGGACCACAAGATTGAGAATAGTACCCCTGAGAGACAGATTGTCATTTTCCTCGACAACAGTTCGTCGCATCGAATCATCAACCTTGAGTTCAAACACATCCGTCTCGTGTACATGGAAAATGCCTCGAAGCATCGAAACCCTTACGGCGGTTCATTTAACGGTGTAAAGTTTGACTACTTACCTATGAGCTTTGGTATCGTTGAGGAGTTCAAAATCTTGTACAGGCTACAGCAGTACCTTGATATGATCAACAAACAACGATGCAACGCTGGTAAGGGGAGCAGATCATCGTCAATGGCTCTGCCAGTCAGTCTCGATAGTTTCAAGACCCCTTCCGTGATGAGCGAGGCCGCAGAGGTTTTAGCGGAGTCCGACTACCAAGTACCTTTTATCAAGGTGATTGAGTGGATCAAGCGGGCATGGGATTCTATCAGCTCTGAGAAAATCTTTACAAGCTGGAGAAGCACGTACTTGATCAGCTTCAAACAGTCCTGGCCAGCTTCTGATCCCAAGGTGGTTGAAGAGGCACTGGTTGCATTGAAGAAGTTCGCTGATATCAAGAGTACCTACAACCCCTCAAAGAGCTACGACAAGTTGAATGAAATTATGAAATACCTTAATGTGGTCATTCCCTGGGAGATCGACGAACTCCTAGGGTTGGTCAACGAGAGAAGTAAGGTCAGCTTGAACTATGTTTCTATTGAAGAAATCATCGGCAGTTGTGTCGCTGCTTCTCAGGACGATCCAGAGGATCAGGAGATGCCCAATGAAGACACACATTCTCCCCTTGGAGCTGGTTGGTTCAACGAAGAGACATCAGCTCAACTAGCTGACACCCTGTTTCCCGCAGATAATACCAGCCCCATGAACGGACAAACTAAGATCCCAGAGTCCAACATGAACATGTCTCCCTCCCCTATTCTTCCTCAGGTCTAGGAAGAACGCCCATGATGTACCCAAGCCAGGTACCGCAGTACAATTCTGGAAGCCACATGTCGAACCAGGCTGCTCGAGAGTATACTCAAGACTACCCTGGTGGGGGCAGCCCATCTACAATGAGTGCCCTTCTCCTAGCCACTAATGTCACTAGACCACAGGAGCAGACATTCTCTCCACTTCCATCGCTTCCAAAAGGCGAAATTAGTTTACCTCCAGTCAGCAGAATGGACATGGGCGGGTACCAGGGTCCATTTGAGCGGAAGCACCGGCTCAACAGTGTTGAGCTTGAGCCTCTTCATCCAGACCGAAAGCGCCAGACATACAGCCAGACGGCGCCGTCTCCGCTATATGGAAATGGGCTTCCTTCCACGCCATTCTACCCCAGCATATCTGAGCAGCTTCCTAGTGAAGGTCTCCCCCACATTAGAAGGCCCAACGAGCCCAGACTTCCAGTAGTGGGCCGCCGACTCCAGAACATCAGAGAAGACACTAATAACGGCGAGCTCATCGGGCTTCTCAACAAGGTGATTTCAGCGTCCAAAAACGATGGCATCACCCTCCTGGAGCACGCTTTGGAAGAGCTCAAGGAAAACTTGACCAAAATGCAGCACAAGCAAGAGCAGGACGGCGAGTTGCGCAACTAATCACACGTACATAGCATCTAATCACATTAATATTGCACTATTTACACGTTTATTCATTGTCCTCGGTAATACCCAACTCTCTGGCCTTAGCCTCCAAACGCTCTCTCTTCTCCGCTCTAGCCCTTCTAATTCTAGCCACCTCAGCCTGGATCTCGTGAGGCTCCTTGGGAATCTGGTTAAGCGTCAGCGGATCGGGCCAGAATCCGGGCAAGTTGAACTTCTTATCTGAGTCGATACCAACCCAGTACATGACAAGAATAGGCGTCAAGAGACAAAACCCAAACTAATGTTAGTGAAAGTCCAAATCAACATATCCAACACAAACATACCTTGAACGTCTCAAGCTGAGTCCTGGAAATACCCCAGCGAATTTTCTGTAGTGGTACAACACCATGGGGGAAAAAGAGTAGTGATCACCTTATTTCTGGGGAGGTCTTCGCAGTCGCACTGATATACTTCTGGCACACTGGGTCTCGAATACATACACCTTTATCGCAGCCAAACATAGAAACACCATGTCTGGATACACGCAAATCGAGGCCGACGAGCCCACTGTGGACGCCAATCCTTACCATAATACAGCCGGCCAATCAGCGCCAGTTTCTGGTAATATGGCCGCTGCTCCTGCTGAAAACACAGAGGAATGGCTGTGGCTGAGGAAACTCAAGGAATCGTCCCACCCGGTGGCATTGATGTTCTACATTGTGTTCCGGTTGTCGCCGATATTTGCCTATATTTTCGGCAACATGATCATCTCGATCTTCATCAGCAAGAACAGGTTCATTCTTCACTTCATCGTGCTTACAATACTCGTTTCGGCCGACTTTTGGAATTTGAAGAATATTTCGGGAAGACTATTGGTCGGCTTGCGCTGGTGGAACGAAACCAACAAGCAAGAGGGCTCTACAAGCTTCGAAAATGTGTGGGTGTTCGAGTCGGCCGACCCGGAAAGGTATATTAACCCAATCGACTCCAAGGTCTTTTGGATGTTGTTGTACGTGCAGCCCGTCGCATGGACGATATTGGCGATTATGGCTATTTTGAAGTTCGAGTTGTTGTATCTCGTCTTGATCGTCATCAGTTTGTCCTTGTCGCTCACTAATGCCATGGCTTTCACGAAATGCGACAAGTTCGGTAAGGCCAACAGTATGGCCACAGACATCTTCTCCAGAACCACCGGTGGTATTTGGAAGAGATTCAATCCTTTCTCATCCTGATCATTGAGTCTTCACAGCATCGCGAAGCCACCTCAAGTGCTCCAACTTGTTCTGTAAAGTGGTGAATGGTTGCTTGGCCCACAGCGATTCAGGCACCAACTCCGTCTCCTTAACAAGTCTGTGCTTACCTTGAGGTGTTTCCATAACAACAGCAAGTGCCTCAAACTCTGACGCGTATTGTTCGAAGTCGGATTCGTCGACTTCCATTCCTCGGATCATGTCGCTGTAATGTGTTCGGGAAATGCTTTCAGATCGTTTTGTCACTATCCGCAAAATTAATTCGTTGACGATCAAGGTAATGTCGTTTTCGTTTTCGACCTTGATGACGGAATCTCTCAAACCTTCGACCTCGACATCCGTGTCCATATTCTGTAGAATGGTGATAGGATTATAAAATGCACTCGATTGATCATCAGACAGCTCTATCAATGCCTTGATGAATTCAGGCCTTGAGTAGGAATGTTGCAAGAGTAATTCCCACGTCTCCTTGTCATTCTGTAGCTTGGCAAAACGAATTGCCCCCTTTGGATCGTTTAGTTGTTCCATGATGAGTTGCATCGCTTTCTTGTTCTCGCCAACCTTACCAAGCAAGAAGACGAGCTCATCAATTAAAGAGTTTCTTTCGCAGACCTCAATCGCTTTAGAAACATCGTAATTATCGTGCGAAGTCATGAAAGGAAGGAGCTTCTGACGATCGTATTGGCCGTAAAGTTGAATACGCACATCTTCAAAGTTTCTGACGAGTAGCTCATCTATGCTCACCAACTCCTCAATATAAAAGTAGTTGATCACGTCAACGTGATTTTCAAACATCACTTTGATCACATCAGCCGGAGCTATTTCATGTCTTGCATCAGCAAGAATGCCAATAACATCATGAAGTTTTGACCCAAGCTTGGTAACAGGCATACGCTCTATATCAGAGGGATCATCAAACCTGAACTGAATGAATTGAGGAAAATCAGCCACGAAGAATGGCAAGATATGATTGGACACCAAAAAATCGAAAATCTTCGGGTCTCTCATAATTGTCAAATGAGGAACGGCCTTACGAGGATTGTAAGACCGTTCGTACATGGAGCAAAGCTGACGCCTCAATTTCACATTATCTTCGTGCTGCTCAAGATATGATTCGATTTTCTCTGTTGTGGAATCAGTATCATACAAATCATTATCCCATTGACTTATCAATTCGAAGAATGTCTCGTCATCTGGGAGTAGTTCCATCCAGTAATTGAGGATGTCCGAGAAAAGCTGCTTGGGTAGGTTCCATCTTGTATCTGCTGGTGCTACGGGAGTGATTTCCCTCGCATGACCGGTTTTGATGAAAATCGAAATCCAGTGACCCCATTGCGACGAGACTTCCTTGACAAATGCCTCTTTGTCCTCAACAGAAGAGGAAACTGAGTTTTTTGTGTTCAATGTAGACTTTGTATCTCCCAATGGGAATTCACTCGGGTCGATGTGAAGAATCTTGGTAAGCATCTCAGCAGCTTTGGTCCAATCCTCATGATTTGTGAGACTCTCAATGTACCAAGTACCATATTTAAGTCTTTTGATAGGCTGGACGATATGCTGACTCATCTGCCACGCTTCCAAATACATTTGTCGGTCAAGATACCATTGGAGTTGATCATCAAGCTGAATTTGTTCAGCCACTATGGCATCTCGAGCACTCATTATGAAATAACGAACTGACTTATCACCAATGTGCTTTCCAAGATGGTAGTCGTTTAAACCGAGGTTATCAGTGAAATTGAATCCAATTTCTTCCTCATGCACCGTCGACCCATCTGTCGAGCTCACGAGTTTGAGATCAGGATTCTGTACCTCAACTCGCCCTGTCTCCTCGTCCTTCTCTGGTTGATTGTAGACTAGCACAATCCACAAATCGTCCTTGAAACTGCCGATGCCTGATATCAAAAAGTCCATTTTGTAAACGTGCTCAACTTCCACCTTTTTCTCGTTCACTGAGCGGAATGAAAGTGAAGGTGCTGAAGGTAAGTAGCGGCTTCTAATTGACGATCCAGCGCCAGAACCACCACTTCCCTTCACGGACACCTTCAAAGACCAGATATAATTACCCCAGGCAATCAAAAGCATATTAGTTTCTGGGAAGCAAATTCGTGGCCAGTACAAGTCGCTTCGGAAGGAGTCTGACGGTTTTGAAATCGTGGATATGATCTGTTTAGTGGTAATATGGTAAATGGTGATTCCCTTGTCGTTCATCCAAAGAAGCAAATCGTCAATTGTCTGAATTCCAACAATTGCGCCGTTGTCCTCGTCTAGCACAAGCTCTGAGCGCTGGTCAAGCCAGGACTTATATGAATACACGACCTTTCCACTCATACCTCCGTAAATGAACGAGCGATTCTTCTGGTAGTTTTTGTCGAGAACAACAGCATGAACAGGCCTCTTGTAATCGAACATGACAATATCGTTGGCGTCCTCCACAGAGCCAATGACGACGGTACCGTCCATGGACCCACTTGCGAAGTAGTAGCCGTCAGTGTATAGCGAAAGAATGGACGCCTTGTGGGCTCGAAATGAGCGAATTATTGTAAAGTCTGGCTTTGCTAGAAGAATCAAACCAGTATGGGTTCCAAATATAAATACATTGTCGTGAAAACACAGGCTCGAAATGGGGTCTTTCTTGAAGAACGATTGCGGAAGTAAATTAAGCCGCGTATATTTCAAAATTGGTGGCTCGTCTTCTTCTTCATCAGACAGCTCCTCTCGTAGACTGCTATCATCATGGCCATTTTCTTTCACTTCTGGTGCTGTTACTTGGTCTTGGTCACTCTCATCTGAATCTGGCTCTATTATGGTTTCGTCATTAACATCAGTATCAGAATTTCGCTCTGGCTCGCTATTATTAAATGGAACCTGATCGGCACCTCCATTTTTGGCAATTGGCAGTGCCATGCTATATTTGTATTATGATGAAGTGACGATATAGATAATGCTCCATACAAACCAGTGGGTACTGCAAATAGGCATGGAACTGCTCGTTACCGAGCCTACTACTACTTGTGAACTAACATGCCAACCGCAAGTAAGGGTGTACTTGTTCAATGTGACCCATCTATAAGAGCTTTGATATTACAGCTCGACCTGAAGAACAGGGGCATTGTTCTTGAAGAGTTGGACAACACCCACCTTATGATCAAACAGGACATGGTTCAGTATGTCAAGGAAGAATTGAACCGCCTCTTGTCCAAGAATATATACGACCCCATTGACGGGATGAAACCTTAGTTTTGCGAAACTGCTTCGTCCATCTTGTCAAGATCTTCGAGAATGTTCTCATTCAACTTAACTGCCAGTTCGGCTTCCTCAGCTTGGAAAATCCCAGTTACGGTGTCGTTCAAAAAGTTGAAGAAGGCGTCAGGCTCCATGACATCACTCATATCATCTGCTTGAAGCTCACCTTTCGCAAGCTTTTGCTCGAGCTCAACATAGAAGCTCTCATATGACGTGAAAATGAACTTGGAGACTTGATCCACGAGGAACCTGATCACTTCATCATCCTCAATGTACGCCTTGATTTGATTATGCGTCTTGGGGAATTGCATGATGACGTTGTCGTTGAAAGAAACGAGTTTATTTTTGAGTGACAAAGATTTATCTGTCAATGGCGAGCAGATCGTGTTAGCACACTCCGCCACCCAGTCTGTAACAGTGTTGCTTAGCTCAGACTCTGCTTCCTCGTTGGCGTCAATCAAGTTGTTGATAACTTGTGGTGCTGACTTTCTTACAAGCTCTAGCAAACCACCCTGCTCATTCACCTTCACCTGAAGCTCACCACTTCTGATCGTTTTTATCAACTCGGTGATTCCGCTTGTGAAGTCAAGTGACGTTTCAGCTCGAACATACTGTGTATCGAAGTTGTTGAGCTGTGTTCTCAACACCATCAAGTTTTTGAAATAAAACAATTTAGCATCTAAGCTCCCGAGATGGGACTTTGCAAGAGGCAAGGCCCCATTTTTTAGCATCGAAATGCAACTATGCACAATGTAGTGAGCCATGTCGTCGAAGACCATGGAGCTGATCAAGTCGTAGATGTTAGAAAGGATTGTTAAGGCCTTGCCAACTGGCGTGTAGGCGTCAGGGAAGAGGTTCTCCTCCACTTCATCCAAAATGGAATCAGCACGGCTTCTTTGCCTGCTTGATGATCTTCTTCTTCCAAGCCGCAAGTCTTCTGCCTTGGGTTTGTACTTTATGAGTTTGTTGTCAATATAGTTTTGAATGCGGAATATTAGTCTCGACTGAGAGATGCTCAACATGGGCTCGAAGAGCTCACCGTACTCGATTTTGACATCGGGCAAAGTACTCACCACTGACGTTTCTTCGTCGACTTCAAAGTATGCCGTGAGCAAGTTTGTGAGCTTGCACAACTCACCAATATTCTGTTCGCGTAGAACCTTGTTTCTGACTTCATCGTATAATGGGTCCAAAAGGTCCTTATAGAAGGAGTTGAGTTCTTCTGTTATAAAAGATTGCAGACTGGCATCCCACTCGTCGATGGGGAAGTATTTCACGAACAAATTGTATTCCTTCTCCAAGATCTTTTTATACCATGAGATGGACTTCTGTGAGTGTAAAACCAAGTTCTCCGAGTCATCAACAGTTCTGTTGTGGGCAACATGCTGATGCACAAGTTGGATTCTCGACTTGAAGTATTGCGAGAGAACATCACTAACCAACCCTTTGTATTCGCTGTGCGATGCGCTTTGTCTGACTATCTGGCCGACGAGTGTAGGGAAACTGGAGGGCTCGGGCTCTTTATTGAGCTCACTGATGTACTCACTGTATAAGATTATATCCCACGATAAACTCTTGAGGTTTTCACCTTGTGTCTTGGCGAAAGCCTCTTCTCCTCGTTTTTTGATATAGTCGATCAAGTAGTTACGGACCAATGTCAAACCTCTCGTCATGCATTGGCGGTAGCGAATGATATACACCTCGCTATCTTTGTAGTTTCCATGGGTAGCTAGGAATTCAAGACACTCTTGTAATTGGATCAACATGGTAGTGATTCTGCCGGTCCGCACCACGGAGTTGCCTGAACTGACCAATTTTTTGCTAATCCGCTCAAGCGGTTCGAAAATCTGGAGAACGTGATCCATTTGTTGAGCTTTGGTTTCGAGCTCCTCTTGTTTTTGCAAAAGACCAGTAGCTTGGTTCGCAAATTCAGATGTCTCTTTCGACACCTTGTCGTACTGGAACATGAGGCTGTTGAGGGACGAGATCACGAATTGGTTTTCATCCACAATGCTGTCAATCTGAGCGATATTGAGGTTGCAGTCTGACTGGAATTGCAACACCAAGTCATCGTTGTAGTTGTTCACGCTGTCGATATGCTGTGAGTCTAACACGGTGTTGTAATTGAGAGTGTCCAAAGTTTTCATCCAAAGGGCATCCTTTTCTTCTTCAGAAAAAGGGAATGTTGGTGTTTCAGGCGCCACCTTTACCTTTACATCGACGCCCACAGTCAATGACTTGGATCTTCCACGTTGAGGTACTAAGACATGCTGAGGGTGGCTCTGAGGCAATGTGGGATTATGAATGCTTTTTGTATCTGAGGAATCATTGTCTGTGCTTTGAGAATAGGCAGGCACCTCAGACGCCACCTTCTGCACTATCGACTTGGATCTGCCTCTGGCCATGGATGAACAAGTAGCTCTGTACAGTAAGCGAAGTAGGATGTTGATATCGCGGTACAGGAACACGTCTGAGCTTGATCCTACTCCTACCATCTACAAGCATGATTGACCCGCGGGAGGCCAATGAGGCGGAGTATTTGACAGAGGATTCTGATGATGCTCTTGCTGATTTGGAAAAAGAGTTTGCTGCTAAAAAACAGCGACTTCTTGAGGAGCGTGCACGGAAGAAGCAGAAACAGCATCACGTCGATGTGGAGAGATCACCATCGCCAGAAAGAAAACCCCAAACGGAGTATTTTCAAAAACAGAATGATTCGAAACGTCTTGAGAAACAGCCAGAGGATTCAAATCCTCAACCTCAGACACTTTTCACCACCCAACCCAAGTCATCGTTTGCGTCGCGTCTTGGCCAAGAACCCAAAAAAACCACCATAGACCTCAGTGAAAGAATCTTTGAATTTGAAGACGTGCCCGAGTATGCTACAACTCAGACACAGCCAGGCGACAAAGACACCAACACTGGACTCGAGCTTCTGGCAAGACGGCTCCAAAAGACACATCTCGAGAAGCTACTACGAGGAATCAAGATCCTCAGCATTCGAAAGCTTTTGGCTAAAGTCGTAGCACCACATTTCGAAGAGCCTCGCTACGTAAACTGGTGTTTTGCAGGGATGGTGGTGTTCAAAAGCCCTCCGCGCCATACAGTCAACGGACAAAAGTACCTCCAGTTAAAAGTGGGCGATTTCGAACACAGCGTGGACGTTATGCTTTTTGGGCCTGCATTCACGCGGTTCTGGAAGCTACGGCCTGGAGAGATTGTGGTCATCTTGAATCCCCGGATCAAGCGGATGAAAGGCGCCCCGCTGGTGTCTGTGGGGGAGGATTTGCATAGTATTTTGGAAGTGGGCAGCGCAAAGCATTTTGGCTACTGTGACAGTGCCACCAAATCAGGCCTGTGCAAGCATGTGGTTGACGTTTCGCGGAGTCGACTTTGCAGCTACCACGAGGAGCAAAAATATCGGGGCCTGCGGATGGAGCTCCAAGGCGTAGCTGCAAGAAAGCCTGGCCAGGGGCTGGGGCTGATGGCGGGCAGCCTCAAAAACGGCAACGGTGACACGCGGAAACGGTTTACCCCGAATTCACTGTTTGGGCTGGCGCACTTTCTCGCGGGCCAGCAGTGTGTCCAAAGTGAGCGCAACGAGGTGTTTTACGGTGGTAGCGGGTTTGACGAAAGCGAGTATGACGGGGCGCCCATGACGAAAAAAAAGCGGAACGGACCTGAAGATTACGAGCAAATCAGAGCTAGGGTAAAAAAGCAGCGAAAACAAGAGTTATCACATAAGCGGCTACTGGAGCAGCTTTCGCAGCTACCACCAGCACGAGTCCTGGCCTTGCAGAAACTAGGCATTCTTCCCTCTGCAGAGGCGCAGGGGACCAACGGAAAAACAGACAATGGCCATTGCGATACCCACGGAAAAATATTTTCGAAGAATGGGCCCAAAAATGTACATGATTCTGGCCATGCTAATTCTGGAACAGTTTCGCATCCACTCCGTCCTGCTCCGCAGGAGGGGAAGCATTTTCATAAGACAACGTCCGGAGTTGCCGCCGCAGCGGTTGCTGGCCCGGAAGGGCACCACCTCCACTCGCCTGGTAACACAAAATCGCGTGTGCAGGAACTCCAGCAGCTTAGTCGCCTGAAAAAGGTGAGTTTGTGCCGCGAACGTACGAAGCGAAAGCCTCCGGTCCTCGACGACCTTGAGATCGAATTCTCATCGTCTGCCCAGAAAACCGCCTACCAAATGCTTCGGAAACCTTCCCCCTAGCTTGCTTTGGTACGTGTAGATATTTTTTGGGTTAAGTATGCTAAACGCACATGGGTCGCAGAGGCAGCAAAGCATGAACGTGATGGAAGCACTGCAGCCCTACGCTGTCGCGCACACTAATTGGGCGCAGTGCTGTGTAGTGGCTACTGCGACTTTGGGGCATCGTCACACACACCATGTGAAAGTCCCCGCATGGGGTTTTGAGGCCTTATAAAGCCCCGCCGTTCTCCTTTAAAGCAATTTTGACCTTCAACTTAACATTATCATGTCATTTGTGGCCGAAGCTGCAGAGGTGGTTAAACCTCACATTGCCAAATGGTATACCATCGTCTTTGCAACCATTCTTTTGTATGTTGTGCACCGTCAGGTCAGAATCTACCGCATTTCCAAGAAGTTTGGATGTAAAGATACTGAGCCTATTCCAGCACCATTCTTTGGTGTCCCACTCTTGGTGGATGCTCTTAAATCCATCAACAATGGTACAATCTTGGAATTGATTGGCGAACGTTTCAGCAAGGCTCACAACGATACCTGCCATCTTATGTTGGGTGGTATTCGTGTGCTCTTTACTTTCTCGCCAGAAAACTACAAGGCCATCTTGGCCAACCAGTTCAACGACTTTGCCTTGGGCAAGAGACACTCTCACTTTTTGCCATTGTTGGGTGACGGTATCTTTACTTTGGACTCTCACGGATGGAAGAACTCCAGAGCCATGTTGCGTCCTCAATTCTCCAGAGAACAGATTGCCCACGTCAGGACCTTGGAGCCTCACGTCTTGACCCTCGCCTCCCACATCAAGAAGGCTAACGGTGAGACCTTTGACATCCAGGACTTATTCTTCAAGTTCACTGTTGACACTGCTACTGAGATCTTGTTTGGTGAATCTGTTTACTGTTTGAGAGACGGCACTGTCCCAGAGAAGCCTCCTCATGACTTGTTCCCAGGCAGAGAAGAATTCGGTGAAGCTTTCAACCTCACACAAAGAGTCCTCGCCATGAGATCTTACTCTCAAGTGTTCTACCGTGTCATCGATGGCTTCAAGTTCCGTAGTGCTTGCTCCAAGGTTCACAAGTTCGCTCAGTTCTACGTCAACAAGGCTCTCGATGCTCCTCAGGAGGAGATCGAGGCCAAGTCCGAGAAGGGTTACACTTTCTTGTACGAGTTGGTGAAGCAGACCAGAGACCCTAAGGTGTTGCAGGACCAGTTGTTGAACATCATGGTTGCTGGTAGAGACACCACTGCTGGTTTGTTGTCCTTCACTCTCTTTGAATTGTCCAGACACCCAGAGGTCTACAACAGATTGAAGGAGGAGGTATTGGTTCAGTTCGGTGAGGGTACTCCAGAGGACATTTCCAACATTTCCTTCGAGTCTCTTAAGAAGTGTGAGTACTTGAAGTGGGTTCTTAACGAAGTTTTGAGAATGTACCCATCTGTGCCAATGAACTTCAGAGAGGCCACCAAAGACACTGTTCTTCCTACTGGAGGTGGTCCAGACGGCACCGCCCCAGTCTTTGTTGCCAAGGGCACCACTGTTGCATACTCTGTTTACAATACCCAGAGAGATCCCAAATACTACGGTAAGGACTCCAACGAGTTCAAGCCAGAGAGATGGGCTGAGAACCAGAAGCTTGGCTGGGCTTACTTGCCATTCAACGGTGGACCAAGAATCTGTTTGGGCCAGCAATTTGCTCTTACGGAAGCTTCCTACGTTGTTGTGAGATTGATCCAGTTATTCCCTAACTTGGTTTCTGCTTACGAGGGTCCCTACCCACCAAAGAAGATGTTGCATCTCACGTTGTCTATGTTTGACGGTGTTCCAGTTAAGATGACTTAAACCTGGCTGACGCAGTGCGCTAGCTAATTAAATATTTATAAGCGTGGTCGCTGGCACCATCGATAGAAACAATATAGATACCTGGGTATCACTAGTGTAGCGCTTATCTACAAAGGAGCCTGGGAATTTTGGTGTCCTTGCAAGTTTGAGAAGTTAGCCGCCAGACATCAACAATAGGGGATCCCCCTGCAAGTCCCTGAATCCTTTATTCTTCAAATCGAAAAATTTTCTTCTTTGTTGGAAATATTCTCTCCTTTGTTGCGATGTGGGGACTGTGACATGGGCTCATGATCTACCACTTGGATAAGCCATCAGATTCTCCTTATTATACCCCACGACTGGGACCTCCACAGAAGATGCACTTCACATGAGTGCTCTGCGTATAGAAACAACCCAGCCTTGCTACGGTGATGGTTTGTAGACTCTTCTCCATCCGACCGATAGATATGTACAGCTCGACAATACTTTTTCAACCTTTGTGTTTCCTGAATGGGTCGAAGAATATCATCCTTCGAGACATTTAACGCTTTTGTTAAACGCTTGTTGAAAAATGTTGACGGAATTGGCATACTAGGACAGCCATTGTTGCACTTTTCAGCTTCCATGATCTACCTCACCGTGTGCTTCTTCACAGGCGTTGCAGACAATCTCGTAGCAATAATATTCGTCACTTTTTTGTTGAGACGCAAAATGCAAGGCTTATTTCACCAAAATATCGGCGAATGCTAGCATGAAAATTGTTTGAATTTTCGAGGTATCATGGGGTAGATGAGGTTGCTCCAAGCCAGCACATCCCACTCCTGCCGTTTGGAGTTAGCTGGCAAGCTTCAAGCATAGTGGCTACGATGGATAAGCCAGAAAGAGAATAATAATAATAATAAAAAAATACAGTAGATGCTGGTACATTTGCCCTTGATAGAGCCTACTGTTAGCACCTCCAGTGCTAGGTCAGACCCACCAAAAATGACCATTTCCGCCAAGCTGTGAATACCACATTATTCGATTCAAACATCCAAAAATCATATTCCCTCCTCCCAAATCCCAAAAACCGATTCTTTTTTCCCTTCCCTAGCCCTCCACTGCTTACGTCTCTTTGCAGCCATTGGCGCGCTCCAGACATCTCTTCTCACTACCGATGGACCCCAAAAGACAGAAGCTTGAACCATCCACCATGAAGATCTGCACCCATCTGGGCCTGTTCCACGCCGATGAGGCCTTGGCTGTTTACATGTTAAAGCTTTTGCCCAAATTCCAGGGCTCTTCGCTCGTGAGACTGAGAAAGCCTGAGGACTGGGAAGCCTCTGATATCGTGGTTGATGTTGGTGGAAAATACGACAAGGGCACCAAATGGTTTGACCACCACCAGCGTGAGTTCAACGAGACTTTTTCGCTGAAGTACAACACCAAGCTCTCGAGTGCTGGTTTGATTTACAAGCACTTTGGTAAGGACATCATCCAGGAGACGCTCAAGCTTGAGAAGCCATCTACCATCGACTTGCTCTACCAGAAGGTGTACAAGGAGTTTGTCGAGGCTGTCGACGCCAACGACAACGGTATCAACAACTACCCTGGCGATGTCGAGAAGAAGTTCAACGACAAGAACTTGGCCCTTCCTGCTATCGTCAGTCAGTTGAACCCAAGATGGAACACCAACCCTACCGACGCCGACTACGATGCTGCTTTTGAAAAGGCTAGCGACTTGATGGGTACGTGTTTCTTAAACCTTCTCAAGGGCTACGGTGAGTCCTGGTTACCTGCTAGAGACATTGTTGAGGCTGCTTTTGACTCTCGTTACGATGTGCACCCTAGCGGTGAAATCATCGTTCTCGAGCAGTTCTGCCCATGGAAGGAGCACTTGTATGCTATCGAGAAGGAGAAGTCCGCTCAGGGTGCCATCAAGTTTGTGCTTTTCGCTGACTCCAGCACCAAATGGCGTATTTCCACTGTTTCTGTGACCTCCACCAGTTTCGAATTCCGTTTCGGTCTTCCGGAGCCATGGCGTGGTGTCAGAGACGAGGAGCTTTCGAAATTGACCGGTGTTAACGGTTGTATTTTTGTTCACGCTGCTGGCTTCATTGGTGGCTGCGAAACCAAGGAAGGTGTCTTGCAGCTTGCCAAGTTGGCCTTGGAGCACAAGAAGTAGTTTAGGAGAGATGGGTTATGAAAATTCATAAATAGACGTTCTTAAGGTTCTGATACGGTAGCAGCTCTACAGCGTATTTGGTGCATACAATGATGTTGAAGCTATTCAATCATTTAGTTACCGTCCAACAATGGAGCGCCTTCCTCGGCGGTAGTCTCCCTCGTGATCTTACCGGTAGCAGCGGCAGCAATACTTAAAACGAAGAGAAGACCGGAGATGACAAAGGCAAAGATCCACTGCAAAGCGAAAGTCTTGGTGAAGATCTGGTTCAAGCCCAAGCCGAACATCAAAGCACTCGAGGACAAACCAATACCCCAATCGTTGAACACAGCGATGAAGAAGGTAGGCACAAACAAGAACAACCACACGAGGATGTTGGCAATGATTCTACCGACAAACTTGTGGACATGGAACAACACGGCACCGTTCCAGAAAACAGCAAACATCAACCAGGACCAAGGCAATGCCACGGTAGGCCAGTGGATCAAGACCCAGGTGGACAATGGTCTGATTCTGTAGGTTTTGTGGGCAAAGTACAAGTAGGTGATGTTGGCAAAGTTGGCCAAAAGCACGAGCTCGGACCAGAAGAAATGCTTCTTGACAAAGAGCAAAGTCCATGCAAAAACACCCAAGTTGAAGCCCGTGAAGTGCCAGCCAATCTGCTTGGTGATTGCGGTTCTTGAGGGGGTCAAGGCACTGGCGGACTCAACGGAGGGAACGAAGATCTGCACAACGAAGGAGATTTGCAAGAAAAACAACACAAGCCAGTAGACCAAAGTCACGATGATGTTGCCCGAGAAAGGCGTGTCAGCGACATGGTAAGGGTTGTGTGGATCAGAGGGAGAACGTCCCACAAAGTAGCGGATACTGACGAAAGCAGCGAGAACCCAGGACACGATGGTGGCCCACTTGTGGACCACAAGGTCATTGGCGGAAACAGAAGCCATTGGATTGGATTTAGAAGAAAAGAAGTAGTAAGGGGGGTGGCGATATATTGAGCAAAAATCGAACGGCTTTTCTACGGGCTCCTAGTCCGAGCTTGCTAGGGCTGCGAAAGCAAGCGTCGAGTTCGTAAAGGGGCATTGTGTGCAAGCAGACCACAACCGAGGCAACCACACCTTTAGTCCAGACGCTGCATGGCACACAAAAATGGTCAAAAGAGAGATCTGAGGGGAAAGCCGGTAAGAAAGAGGGGTTTTTGTTGGGCTACAGCTGGAAGCAAGACTTAAATAACTCATAATCCTCAAGGAGGCTCCGTATGTACGGGTTGCATACGTAGGTCTGGCCCGCATATTTTGCAGCCTTTAGCATGCACCTCTGTATGACTTTTTGTGCTTGTGATGACCGGTGCCCTCCTTGTCCAAAAGCTCGGTCTGAGCCTTCTTCTTATCAATTACACCATCGGAAGCAATACTAAGCAACAAGTCGTGGATCAATTGTTTCTGGGTCGCAGGTCCTTCAGTATGGTCCTTGCTGAATACCTCCATCACGGTGTCGTAGGCTTTCAAGAGAAGCTCTGTACTTTCGGTGATGCTCTGGATAAGTTTCTCGAGCAAATTGAGGTTGCATGAGGGACGGATCACTACACGCAAAATCTCCTTGTCATGCTCGTCAGCACTCAAGTTGTAGTTGGGCACAATGAAGCCCTTGTTTCTCAACAACTGGGACACCATAGACTGGGGGATACTGTGGTACTTGTGACGGAATTCTTTTGAGAATCTGAAAGCAACCACTGGGAGTCCAGGACGGTAGCCCTGGTTGCTTACTGCCACTTCACCCAACTCCAGCTGGTCCTTCGTGTCGAGCGTGAAGATCTTCTTGGCCTCATCGTCGGAGATCTTTTCATGAATGACAGAAAGAACCTCGTAGTAGCCGCTCTCGGTCAAGTACTCCGACAACAAACGGGCATTCTGGATGCAGCTATCGAAGATTTTGGTGTAGCCCTCTCTGCCGAACGTCAAGAAGTTGTAGTACTGGTGCAAAACAGGGAAACCAGGTCTAGAGAAGTTCAAGTTGAACGTTTCCTCAACACCACCCAAGTAGTCTAATTTGAAACGCAACAGCTCAGGCAAGTAGTCGTTGTGTTTCCAGATCACCCAGCCCAAACCAGCGGTGGTCAAACCGAACTTGTGACCAGATGTGTTGATGGAAACCACACGAGGAAGAGCAAAATCCCACTTTAAGTTTGGGTAAACGAATGGAGCAACAAAGGCACCAGAAGCACCGTCAACGTGAATTTTAACATCAAGGCCAGTTTCCTTCTCCACCTCATCCAACAAGTTGTTGATCTTCTCCACGGGCTCAAAGTTACCGGTGAAGGTGGAGCCCAAAATGACGAAAATACCAATTGTGTTCTCGTCAATGTTCTCCTTGATCTTGTTCACATCAATGACGTGCTCAGAGCCCTCGTTCACATTGATGGTTCTGTTCTCCACATCAAAGTATCTGGCAAATTTCTCCAAAGCCACCTGGGCGATGGAGGACATGATGATGTTTGGGTTTTCAGTAGACTTTCCTTCGGCCTTTCTCTTTTCCTGCCACCTTTTCTTCAATGCCAATCCAGCCAACATAATGGCCTCGGAGGAACCGGTGGTCGAGGTACCAATTGTGTCGGTGGTACCATCGTCATTTTTAGGAGCATGCCATAAATCAGACAAAATGCTCATACAACGCGATTGGTGTTCGAGCAAAGATGGGTACTCGTCGTTATCAGCCAAGTTCTTGGTGATGTTTTCTGTGATCAACTTCAATGGGATTTCCTCCACAGCGGTGTTGACAAACGACGCCATGTTCAATGTAGGCACGCCGTCAAGACTCAATTCCTCCTCAATGTACTTGAGCACCAAGTCCTTGTTGCTTGATCTTACAGGGATCTGGTGCTTTGGTACTGGTTTGTTGGAGGAGTAGTCGAATATGTACTCCTCTCTGTCGGAGACAGGGGTCTTTGTAGACAATTTCAAGAGCTTGTGCTCCAATTTTTCGGCGTCAATGTGTTTTGAAAGAGGCATTGTGGCGATAGAGAAACTACACGGGGAATCAGCAATTATATACTACAAGCAACTCCGGACCGAAAGCGCAACCATAAGCTTTTTGGGGTGCACCAAAGGTGCATGAAGGAGCCTGGCTCGTGGCCTGACGATGCAGACTTCCAGATTTGGACGGAAGCAGAGAAAAGGACCGGCCATATCGGGCCGTAATTCGGAATATTGCCCATGTGTGCGCAAGTGACATTCGGATGCGAGGTGTTTTTGACGTGTTGAGGGAGACGCAGAAAGCTGTCAAAATGCGGGAAAGTCTGGGTGACACATTTTGCGGACGAGCACAAAAGAGGGTAAAGTTTTCGGGGTAGGTTTTAGAGTTCTCTTGGCATTGAGTGGATTGGAGAAACGTGGTTTTATCCTTGCAGCCAATAACCCCTAGGTAGCACAAACCCCTACGCTATAGGGGTTGCTATTGTGGGGCTCTTGAACCTGTGCCACAAAGCACCTCGTCTATAGACACAGGTCCACAGCATAGGAGGTTGATCAGAAACGTCATTTTCTGACGTGAATAAGAAAAACCGTTTTTTCTGGAAACCGATCCAACGTTGAATGGAGAGTTTGTATTAGGGCGGAGGAATCGGTTATCGACATCTATCGACATCTAGCGTTTTTTTTTTTTTTTTTTTTTTTCTTTTTTACCGACGATTTGGTCCACAACTGCAGATCGTCAGACATCGCCCCATCATTGAAGTTCACTCATCCTACTTAACATAACAGGCGAATGGAAACAACTAGAGCGTCATGTCACTTCTCCGATTTCTGCGTCCTGTGTTCTCCCGAACTTAGCCTTTTCCGGGATTCGGAGAACGGTTCGCCGACTCGAGCCGAAATTTCATGAAGGAGACCGCTTTTTTTTCACTCGCCGTCTTTGCAACATGTGCTGTTCTGCACCGCCTTCTTGGGCACTTTTCGCAGCCACGACGCGGCATACTACCCTGTTTTCTCCATAGGGGTAGTTTTCAAAGTGAAGTTGGAATTTCTTCAAAAAGTCAACCTCTTGTCGGAAACGCTGGTATTCCTTCCTGGGCAAAACCCCAGCCTCCCTCCACGTCTACCTGCTTTTAGGTTCGCCGCTTTTTACTGGCTCACCTGCCTCACAACAGATAAGCCTCACCGTATTCAGGAACCACAACGCAGCCAGCAGTCCAGTCACATCGACGTATTTTCAGAAAAAAACTTCAATTTGCATTACTTTTTCAGACATGTTCCATCGTCATTGTTCACAGAAAACTCATTGCTGGCATCACAATAGCACTTCCTGGCTCTAAACCAACACTGGCTTGATGCCCCTGGACACTACTGGCTCGCGTTTCTTCGATCGATGGCGACTGCATACAGGCACAAGTGCGTGGTTCTCACACTTAATGGACACAACACGCTCTGTTTTCGTTTTTTTTTCTACCAACTGAGAACTCACAGGCTTACCAACCAACCCGTGCCGCCGTTGTATGGGAATTCTTCTGTTCTATCTTATTGGCCAGACTTTATATTTATTGAAACGAAAAATGGAAAAGAACTCCCCTCAAACCGGCTCTTCTTACGGCACTAATAATGCCCATTCCCTCACCAACTCGGGTCCTTTGTCCATCGCCTGCTACTGTTTTGCGTCGATCTTGATGACCGTCACTAACAAGTTCGTGCTTGCAAAGGACTTTGACTACAGTTTCTTACTTTTGGCCGTCCAGGGCATGACGTGTACTGCCATCATTGCTACCTTGAAGGCTTTGAACATCATCACCTACCGTCCATTCAACAAGGATGAGGCCAAGAAGTGGATGCCTATCGTTCTCTTGCTTGTGGCGATGATCTACACTGGCTCCAGAGCTTTGAGAGGCTTGTCTATCCCTGTTTACACCATCTTCAAGAACTTGACCATTATCTTGATCGCCTACGGTGAGGTCTTGTGGTTCGGTGGAAAGGTTACTCACATGGTTTTGGGTTCTTTCCTCTTGATGGTCTTCTCCTCCGTCTTGGCTTGTTACGGTGACTCCTCCGCTACCAAGACCGCTGAGGATGCCGCTACAATGTACGCCGGCTACTTCTGGATGTTTGCCAACTGCTTCGCCAGTGCCGCTTTCGTCTTGACCATGAGAATCAGAATCAAGTTGACCAACTTCAAGGATTTCGACACCACCTACTACAACAACTTGTTGTCCATCCCCATTTTGCTCGTGGCCACTTTTCTCTTGGAGGACTGGTCCCCAGAGACTGTGAACAAGAACTTCCCACCTGAGACCAGAAACGCCACAATCACCGCCATGATCCTTTCTGGTGCTTCTACTGTTGCCATTTCTTACTGTTCTGCCTGGTGTGTTAGAGTGACATCTTCCACCACCTATTCCATGGTCGGCGCTTTAAACAAGTTGCCAATTGCATTGTCTGGTTTGGTTTTCTTTGACGCAGCCGTTAACTTCTGGTCGGTTTCTTCGATCTTTGTCGGCTTTGTGTCTGGTTTGGTGTACGCGGTTGCCAAGCAGAAGCAGCAGAAGGAAAGTGCTCAGCAATTGCCTACTTCCTCCAAGTAAGGAGTGACAGAAAACCTCGCATATTGATTTACAATTCATAGAACATTCCAAGCATTTCTGTAGATTAGTTGAATTAATGGAATTTTAGTATCGAGTAGCAGGTTGCGGCCTGCACAACCAGTGATGGACCTGTAGAAAAATCAAAATCAGAGATCCAGAGACTCACATAGAAAAAACCATCAACCCTTTTATTTACCCGCCACCAATATGGCCGAAAATAGTTTAGAAAATATCTCCGCTTACCTAAAGGAGTCACTCAATCCACATCATGCCAAACAGGCGGAATCGCATTTGAGATCAATTGAGTCTCAACCTCACTTCGCTATAAACTTGCTTCACACGGTTGCCTCCACCAACTTGGAACCTGCTGTGAGACTTGCAGCTGCTCTTTTCTTGAAGAATTTAGTCAAAAGGAAGTGGGTAAACGAAGATGGAGAGTATATGTTGTTTAACGACGACGTTCAGTACGTGAAGCTGGAAATCTTGAACGTTATGATCAAGCTCCCTAACAATTTACAAGTCCAGCTAGGCGAGACCATATCGATCATTGCCGAGCTGGATTTTCCACACAATTGGGGAAATCTCATTGACGACCTTGTTGCGAAGTTGTCTCCAGAAGATTTCGTCTTGAACAGAGGAATTTTAATAGTGGCACATTCGATCTTCAAAAAATGGAGGCCCTTATTCAGATCCGACGAGTTGTTCTTGGAAATCAAGATGGTTTTGGACAAGTTCGCTGAACCATTTATGGCTCTTTTGACTAAAACAGATGAGAACATCACAGAAGCCGTGGCTCTGAATAACTCTGCTTCCCTTATCATTTACTTGGAATGCTTGTTGTTGCTTGTACAGATCTACTATGACTTAAACTGTCAGGATATTCCCGAGTTCTTCGAAGATAACCTTAACACAGGCATGGGTATTCTTCATAAGTACTTGGGATTCCTGTCTAACTTGGTCGGTGATGCCAGCGACGATGAAGATGTTGACGTGTTGATCAAGGTGAAGACTGCTATCATTGAGTTATTATCTCTACACGTCACCAGATACGCAGAGGAATTCGATCCCTTGATTCCAAATTTTATCACATCCGTTTGGGAACTAATCAACACCTATGTCACACAACAGCAAAAGTTTGATCTTTTGGCAGTCAACGCATTGTCGTTCTTGACGTCCATTACAAAGATCGTTAAGTACCAGTCCTATTTCAACAATGAACAGGCGATCAACGAGATCATCGAGAAGATTATTCTTCCCAATATCGCTTTCAGAGAGGTTGACGAAGAAACCTTTGAGGACGAGCCAATTTCCTTTGTGCGCTCTGATTTGGAAGGTTCCGATTTCGACTCCAGGAGAAAATCTTCCACGGATTTCTTGAGGGAGTTGAAGGATGTCAACACAGAGCTCTTAACAGGCACAGTCATGTCATATGTCAACAGATTCTTGTCCCACGATGACTGGAGGAACAGAGATATCGCCATTTACTTATTTACATCATTGGCTGCCAAGGGCTCCGTCACAAACATCGGTGTCACTTCCACAAACATGTTGGTGGATGTTGTGAACTTCTTTACCGATAACATTGCATCTTACTTGACTGGTGACGCCACGCCGATTTTGAAAGTCGATGCCATCAAATATATCATGACCTTCAGAAATCAGTTGACCAAAGAGCAACTCTTGACAACAATCCCTCTTTTGGTTGATCATTTGAAGAACTCCAATGTTGTTGTCTACACTTATGCCGCTATCACAATCGACAAGCTCTTGGCCATGACGAACTTCGCGGACTCCAAGCACACTCCAGTCTTCAACAAGCTGGATATTCAACCTTTCGTCAATGACTTGTTGAGCAACCTATTTACCCTCATCCTTTCAAACACAGCACCTGAGAAGCTTTCCGAAAACGAATTCTTGATTAAAACTGTTATGAAGGTGTTGAGTACAGCGGAAGATGTCATTGAGGAGAGTTTCAAGTTGACTATTATTGAGCAGCTCTTGAAGATTTTGGGTATCATCGCTAAAAATCCCGCCAACCCAAGATTCACGCATTATATCTTCGAGAGTTTGGGTCTCTTGATAAAATTCGGCGCAGACAAAGATGACTCCAAAATCAAAAAATACAGCTCCCTTATCATGCCTTCTTTGCTAGAGATTCTCGGCGAAGACGTGCAAGAATTTGTGCCCTACACATTCCAGATTTTGGCTTTTCTTCTCGAAAACTTCCTGAAGGCATCCCCTATTCCAGATGAGTACAAGACTCTTGTCAAGCCTCTTTTGTCTCCTGCTGTCTGGGAATACCGTGGTAATGTTCCAGGTATCACGAGGTTGCTTGTCGCCATCATGGCTCATAATTTCTCTGTCATTGCATCAACCTCCCAAGAACTTGTTCCGTTGCTCGGTGTCTTCCAGAAACTTATTGCCTCAAGAGCAAATGATACTTACGGCTTTGACTTGTTGCAAGGAATCTTTTTGTACTTCCCGCTTGATTTGGTCTCCGTCCATTTGAACCAGATCTCGGTACTTCTTTTGACCAGATTGAAGACCTCGAGAACCGAAAAGTATATCAAAAAGTTTGTAATCTTTTTGATGTCCTTGTGCTGTGTGCCATTGAATGATACACTCAACGCCAAGACTCAGAGTCAGATCAACGCGGGCTTTGCCATTAACCTCATAGAATCAGTCCAGCAAGGAGTGTTCCAACAGATCACCAACAGTTTCATTTTGCCAACGACCGAGGAATTTGCAAACTTACAAGACAAGAAGATCGCCGCATTGGGATTGTCTCAGTTGATTGTTTCCGAGCAGTTCACCCAAGGTTCGTGCAAAGCCTTGCTCCAGCCTACGGTTGAACAGCTCTGTAAGAACTTGACACTCTTGTCAGGTATTGCAAAAGGAAACAACGTTGCAGAGAACACCATCACAGGTGGTCCTAACGCCACTAGTGTGGCTATTAATGAGGTTGATCTTGAGAGCGCAGCCTACGGTTCCAACTTTTCCAAGATAATCTCAATTCTGTTGAAGCCATTCGATCCAGTGCCTCATGTGCAAAACGAGGACTTCAAACAGATTCGCTACATTGCTGTGGCAAACATCAAGCGTATTGGAGAAATGGGTGCATTGAATCAACTCAGCGAGTCCGCTCAAGCTGTAGTGGCTAGCACAAATTGATCATGAACAACTTTTTTTTTATTAAAATTACACTAACAACGAATAGGAAGAAACGTCTAGGAAGAAATGAAAGAGAACCGTCGTAAACCCACTGTAACTCCCGAAGCTGTCAACAGCACGTCACTGTTGCAGCTGCGCGGGAAGTTTTTTTTTCGTAAAACAATGTCTAGTGCCCGGGCTCACTGATAAGATTCTGGAAGATCGACTCCCCCACGTCTTTCTGTTCCACAGCAGACTGCTCTGTGGTAGCAGGGGAGGAGTGCTGAGTGTTGGCGGAAGAGCCCGATTCGGAGGTGTCACTTTTCTTTTGAGCGTCTGAGGCGTCCTGCTTGGAGTCGGTGTCGGAACCTTCCATGCTCTTCATCTTCTCCAATCTCTCCTTTTCGGCAATCTCAGCGGCGGTCAAAAACCGCCCGCCCTGTCCACGAGGACGTCTCATGGCGTGCTTATGCCTCGACTCGTGCAAGTATGGCTTTCTTGTTCTTGCAATCTTAAGGGTTTCCTCTAATTTGGCTCTGGCAATCCGCCTCTTCAATATTCTGTGATACTGCTTAGCATTGACGTAGAAAGGCTGCTCAGCAGGCTGTTCGACAGGTGGCTGGGGAGGCATATGGGTCTGGGGTAACTGGGAAGGAACCTGTCTCTGGGCTTCAGGGATCACCGGAGCCCCCGAGTTGATGGGCTCCGGCTGGTAGTATTCGTGGTGGGGAGATTCGTTAGAGTCGTAAGGGGGATGGGAAGTGCCATTTTCGGCTTGGTAATATTGGGGTCTGTCGTGCTGGTCTATCTGGTTGTTGATGATGCCATGTTGGGGAACATGTGAGCTATAGTATGTCTGGGGGATCTGGTCGGCGTAGTAGGCCCCCGGCTCCTGGTGTAGAGATGTCATTATTTGGCTGTTTGGAATGGCCTGGCTATTGCATAAACAAGGACAGCTCGAGCTATGGCCAAAGGTAAGGAAGAGACACTAGCGACTATATACTCCAAAGGAAAAATAGGATTTCGCACGCATCACCGTGTAGCAGCTGTGGACCGCATGCAGGTCCAGCCTAGCCAGACCTAACCTGAGTCCGAGATCGGTACAGCAGCAAACTGATGTGATGGTGATTTTGTTGGACTAATTATGATAGTTTTGTTATTCGGGTGGATTCGGTCGTCTTGTGCTCTTGTTTGTTTTAGCTGACAATGACTCTACTCGTCGCAGAGGCTCATAATCACTTGTGGCAGTGAAAAATTCACCTAAACTACAATATATGCATCTTCTACCTCTCTTTGTTGCTTTTGTTTGCGATAAACACTATGCTCTCTCATGCTCGCTTGAAAGTATCTCCTAGATCCATCTGGTGGGCTATGAAGTTCCGAATAAGGTCCTTGTCCACATTCTCATACACATCCTCTTCCTCCTTGTCCTCCTCCTCCACGCAATCCTGCTGCATGGCGATTCTTTGCAAGAAGTAGTTACTTTTTTTCTCGTTCTTTCTTTCCGCCTCTATCTTGGGCTTACTTATGCGATATTCTTGCTGCGGCGTTCCACTGAGCACTGGCTGCGAAATTTGTGGTACCCCAGATTCTGGCACTTGGCTGAAATAATTGGTATAGCTTTCTTCCAAAGTGGGAAGATGTGGGTCCGAGCGCCGTCGAAGACCTTCTTTCGCTGTATATGTGTTGGGACTGCTCAGTATCAATGTAGCTGGATCTATAGTCCTCCCTAGTCTCTGCTGAGGGAGAATGCTTTGTTGGGCTTCCGGAGCCTCTGGTTTCATCTTCACATTTTCAGGATCTGAACCTCTTAGCGTTTTGGCCTTCACAACATGCTCTGGCCATGTGCACTGCAACTCATTAGTGTGGCAGTTTCGACACTGAGGATACAGCGACTCGTCACATTTCTTCTTGCGCCTTCGGCACGTAAAGCAGCCGTTTCGAGACCGCTTTCGAGACGGTTTGTCCATATCAGCAGGTAGCTTTGGGAGTGGTTTCGAAAAGAAATCTTTTCCTGGTGAAGTATTGCCTAAAGCGGCAAGTGCACACCGCGCTTAATTCTGAAAAAGAGTCAGACCATCCACCACGGCCGATTAGACCGAAGATCAGCAGCGAATAATTTTGAGTGTTTGCTGAAGATAACATGTCGAGTTTGCAAGGCTTTTCATTTTGGGCGATAACTGTGGGTTCTGTTGTGAAATTGTGGATGGCTGCGAAATCTTGTAAGTGGTATGGGGAGGGACTTGACGTTGCAATGAAGTAAAGGCCGGATTAATGAGATTAAAAAGCCCAATCGAAAACTTATGTCTGGATTTGAGCAAGATAATTCAGATCTGACTTGAGTTCTTTTAATAGTTCTAGTTCAAGACAACTTGATTGAGTCACCCAGCGCTGTGGTACCCATAAATTTTCGAAGATCTTCGTCAGCAAAGTAAACAAGCTGCCAAACTAGTCTCAATCTATTTTGTATTACCCCAAAACCTTCCTTATCGCTTAGTACGAATCGGAACCTTTGGTCTCAGCCAAAATCGCGCCTAACAATTTCTAGCTACCAGATCACCAATTAGCATGGACAAGAGAAAAGGGCTGACGACGTCCATAACGTCGCAAGCTTCGTCCACAATGCTGAACTCCAGCGTTTCTACTACGCAGAAATTGATAGAGTTCTCCGTGGACGACGTTTTCGCTCGTTACACAGTGCCTCAAGTCCAGAAACTTCATAAAGACTACCATCAAGACATTACCAAGGCCAAAGATGAGCTTCACCTATTGGTGGGTGGCAAATACAGAGACTTAATAAAAATTGCCGAAGAAATTGACACCATGAGCACAACGGCGTACAAGTTGGACAATACGTTGGCTGATTTGTCTTTCAAGTCTTCTAACTACATCACATTTGGCAACAACAAGTTCTCCAAGTTTGACTCCGTTGTCAGAAAGGAGAATGTTCAGAAAGCTCGCCAGGCTTCTCAAATGACTATCTTGAACAACGTGATCAACAACGAACTCATTGGTTATGATTTGAAACTCCAGACAGACTCGCTCAGAAGAACCCAATACTTGGTCCACTTGGCCAAGATATACTACACAATTGAGAAGCTCTTTGCTGATATAATTCCTTCAAATGACCACAAGGCCACGAGCTATAAGAAGCTCAAAGACAACTTTGTGTCATACCTTGAGAGAAAGCTAGCCCGCTACACATTCACAGGGGACTCTTTGAGCAATACAAGCGGCATTCGTAACGTGGATGATATAATACAGAAGACCCAGAACAATCAATGGCTTGAAGATGAGACATTCGATTTTCTCAGTGAAGAGCAAGATGACGAATATTATCAGTACTCAGATCTGGACTCCAAGACAGATTCAATTTCGAACGCTTCCAGTGTTCCGATCGTTAACTACATCCTTGCATACATTATCGTGAACCATGACGGGGAGGCCACGAATTCATTGCTGTCAATAACTTCAAAGATCGTCGATCTTAGAACCACTCATTTACAATCACTCGCCAAGGATGCCTCTAACCACCCACAGGTCTCCAACACAAATTTCTATAAGCTTTTTCGCTTCATTGAATCCACCGCCGTGTGCGTAAATGAATATCTTGCTAATGATGGAGAGCTTAAAACAAGGCTAAAGTCATTGAAAGCATGGAAAGCGTCTCAATTGATTGGGTTCCACAGCTGGTTTGAAAACGACGACATCAGGTTTGACATCAACATGGAACTGTCCGGATCACTGAGCTTTGAAGAGTCACTTCTGCCGTATTACAACAACAGCGGTCTCCTACTTCACAACTTCATCAGCGAGTTGTATCAAGCTTCGACGACAAGCGATGACACTGCTGCTTCAATAAAGGTTATCCTTTCCGTTCTCTATAACTTTTTGTCCGGAGCTAGCAAATTGCAAGCCTTGGCACATTACGAAGAAAGCAAATGCTACACCTCCGAGACTGTATTTACAGAGAAACTCATCTCAAGCATCATTTCATCAGCATTTGAGCATGTCGAAAAAGCATCACAATCACATTTGCATAACCTCACAGAAGGTGATTCCTCCGTTTTACTGTCGTTGAACAGCCTGATTCGAGAAACAAACCTTGACTCCTGTCACGATAACGATTTTTTCTCGAATGAAATTATAAGCTCGATGGAGGAGGATATAGAAACTTACTTGGGAAATGTTCTGCGTCTTGCATCATTGACTTCCACAAAATCCGAGCACAGCCTTTCATCATGGTTACTGGCGATGAGGTCAATTCTCTTAGAGACCAAAATTCAAGAAGATAACATCATAAAGAAAATTGGAAATGTACTCAAGAGGTCGAGCGAAGGCTCTTCCATAAAGAGGCAAGCATCTTCGTTCTCAAATAAACTTCATGGGATCTACCAGTCAATCATCAAAGATCTTGGAATCCAATTGGATGTCTTTGTCAGTGGACTTGCAGGAGAGCTTGCTAGTGACGGAAATGAAGAAAAGGATCTCGTTTTTGGTGTTCTCAGCTATGTCCTTGAGGTGAAACAATTTATTCAGAAAACTCTCAAGAGTGATTCAAAATCAATCGTCAAGAAAATTGACGATCTTTTGCACGAACTTTACGACCATATATTGAAATCTGCTCTCAACTCCAAATTTGGAGACAAGACTGTCGAGGAGAGCCTCGCTGCCACCATACGGCCATCATCGACGATCCAAGACACTGACTTGTCTAGAAGGGCAGACACACCAGTGCATTCAATTTTGTTTGGTCTTATGGAGGAGCTTCTTGATCTGGATCGGTTCGAGCAGCAAAGAGTGATTTCATTTTTCACGAACAAGGACACTGCTGAATTATTTTCATCACAAAAAAAGAAGCACATTTTACGAATCGTTGACGAAGTACTCACCGCTTCACATTCCAACTCAGGTAGCGATGAGAACGGCATTGGAAAGATCCCAACAGCACAAGCTGAGCAGCTCCTCGTCAATATACTTTTCGTGCTTAACTTCACACAGACCCTGACCATCAAGTCTAATGATGAAATCCTCCAACCTTACTTGCAGAAAGTCAATGGTGTCGCAGAGCTGGACATTGAGCTCTCAGTAGTTGAAAACATTGCAAGAGGAGTCAGTGAACAGTACAAGGCTACAAAAGACATGTTTCTCCCGTTGCTGGCGTTTTAATGTCTATAGATACTAATACAAATAAATTTTTGCCCCTGCATCAGCCATCTCCTTAAGCACTTGAGTGGTTTCTTGGATGTGCCATATGTTCTGGAGTTTTTGGTCGAGGTAAGAGTTATCAACGAGAACAATTTTCACTTCTTCTTTCTTCAATCCCAGCTCCTCAGCACTAAGCACCTTCGCAAGTCTACCTGGTGTACAGCAAAGGACACGGGACCAGGTTGTGGAAACGAGTTTGAGGTCAACATGTAGCTTATTCTTGTTAATAAGCTTGAGGGAAGAGCCTGGAATGTCTCGAAGAGCACGATGGACATCACATGCTCTGATGGCGGACATGGACATGATAGCAATGAACTTTCTTTCCTGGTTGGTATCCCCTTCCTCGGTGTCTTTGGCGCCCTTGGACTTCTTGTTCTTCTTGTTCTTGGTGTTTTTCTTTCCTGGTGTAGTTGAAGGGAGCATGTTGCCAAACCTGTTGTCGATAAACTTGGACAAGTTGTCAAGCGTACGGGGTTCATCGAACTCAGATGACGATCTGAAGTCTGCTTTCTTGAGGTAGAGCTCAGACAACTCCAAGGCCGAGAGTTCTGTGTTCCTCTTACGGATAACATCGTTCACATAATCACAGATGACTTCAGGCGAAGACTCAGTAGAGAGTTTCTTCTTCTTTTCAATGTCCATATCCATCTTGAGCTTCTTCTTCTCTTGCAATTTGGGATTCTTGGTTCTCTTCTTGGAGTTCTCTTTTGGTGAAGTCTCATCTTCAGAACCGTCCTCAGCCACTTCGGCAGTTTCGACCTGAGGGACAGTCTCTGTGTCAGAAAAGTCAACCTCGTATTCTAGTCCGTCATCTAGTTCATCACCTGCCATTGTGTATACTCTTTTCTGTGTATCTGAGATGAGCTTATCAGATCTACAAAAGGTCTGCGCGAAATGAGATGAGTATAGTACCAAGCATGTTATCTCGAGCGGCACGTCTAATAGTGCCCAGAAGGGGCATCTCGTTAAATGCTGAGCTCTCTAGGAAACTAGAAACTGCTCAGCACCACCCTGTTATTGTTGTTGGTGGTGGTCATGCTGGATGTGAAGCTGCCACTGGATCAGCTCGTGCTGGATCGCCCACCACATTAATAACTCCACAAATCAGCAAAATAGGCACGGCCTCATGTAACCCATCTATGGGTGGAATCGGAAAAGGAACTTTGCTTCGAGAGGTCGATGCTCTCGATGGTGTGGCACCAAAAGTCACGGACAAGTCTGGTATCCACTTCACGGTCTTGAATGCCTCCAAGGGAGCTGCAGTTCAGGGGCCAAGGGCACAAATCGATAGAGACATATATCTTAAGGAGATGCAGAAGGTGATATTGAACTACAAAAACTTGAGTGTTTTGGAAGGCTCAGTGGAAGATATCATCATCGCTCCATCCGATCAGAGTAACGATTTTCAGGGCAGAACGTACGGAACGGTCAGAGGAGTTTGTCTCAATGATGGAAGAGTGTTACGGTGCGAGAATATCGTTATCACAACGGGAACTTTTCTCGGCGGAGAGATCCACATTGGCATGGAGCTGTATCCATCAGGAAGAATGGGAGAAGATGCAACTTTTGGCTTATCCAAGACTTTGAGAGATGCTGGATTCAACCTAGGCAGATTGAAGACAGGAACGCCACCAAGACTCTCATCCAAGACGATTGACTACACCAACTTGTTGCCTCAGAAGTCAGACTACCCTCCCCAGCCAATGTCTTTCATGACAAACGAAGTCGCTCTCCAAGACCAGCTTGTCCAGTGTCACCAAACATTTACAAATGAAGCATTTCATGAACTTGTGGCCAAGAACCTTGACAAGACTATCCACATCAGGGAGACCGTCAAGGGCCCCGCTACTGCCCTTCCATCGAATCGAAAATTATCAGATTCCCTCAGAAAACCTCACACGTCGTCTGGCTCGAGCCTGAAGGCTTAGATACCGACATTGTATACCCTAACGGTATTTCTTGCACATTGCCTGCCGACCTTCAAGAACAAATGGTCAGGTTGCTACCAGGCTGCTCCAACGTCACCATGACGCAACCAGGTTACGGCGTTGAGTATGACTATGTCGATCCTAGAGAATTGAAGAGGACACTTGAAACAAAGTTAGTGAATGGGTTGTACCTTGCCGGACAGATCAACGGTACTACAGGGTATGAAGAGGCTGCTGCCCAAGGCTGTGTTGCTGGTATCAACGCTGGCCTTGCTCTGGCAAATAAGCCTCCTTTGGAGCTTTTTAGATCTGATGGCTACACTGGTGTGGTTATTGATGATTTGATCACTAAGGGCGTGGAGGAGCCATACAGAATGTTTACCTCTCGTTCAGAGTTCCGTTTCACTATGCGTGCTGACAATGCTGATCAAAGACTTACCGAGAAGGGTCACCATGCTGGTGTTGTTGGTGAGGAGAGATACAACCATTTCAAGAAGGAGATCGGTCAGTTCAACAATATAAGGTCCTTCTTGAAAGATATCGACTTGTCTGGTGCTCGTTGGACACCAGTGCTCGGTGACCTCGCAGACAAAGTCAACAAGAAGACTATGGTAGATGGCTGGAAGCTTTTGTCTTACCATGACATCACCCTTGATGTGATTCTTCCACGCCTTTACAAGGTCCTTCTTGACAAGGAGCTTCCGCAAGATTTTTACGACTTGTCAAGATGGCAAAAACAAAGGATTGATGTCGAAAGTCGATATGAGCCGTGGCTCAAGCGGGAAGAACGTCATATTCGTGCATTTGAAGCAGATGAGAATTTGCTTCTTCCAGAAAATTATTTATACACCAACACCGGCAAACTCAAGCTCTCAAATGAAGCGTGTCTGATGTTGAATACGGTGCAACCAAAAACAATTGGTCAGGCTAGGAGGATACAGGGTGTTACACCAGCGGCAATTTTTGAACTTTATAAATTAGTGCACCAGAAGCAGGCTCGTTTAAATAAGGAGAGTACAGCCGCTTCGGAAGTGCAAGTGTAAATAGAACTGAGTTTAATTAATAGTCGTCATCATTGTCATCAAGCGAGACCTCTGTTTCAGAGTGAGATTCCAGTTTTTGGGCTCCACCGAAGGAAACAGATTCTCGAGTAAAGTCTTCATCATTGTCCGCACCAACTTCCCTGATATTCGTTCGCTTGAGTTTCTTGATAGTAGATTGCTGCAAGCTGTTGTCTAACGATACGAGAGTTTCCAATGGGAATAGGTCATGAGCAAGTTTCGCTACCCGATTCATCTCGGACGTGGAAGATGTGGGTATCTTGACTCGGTTGAGGTATAATACAGCGTCTTGAATAGAAATTTTGTCAGAGCCTCGATGTTCTGCGTAGGCTTTCAAAGTTGACATGGTTTGCTGAAGAAAGTCATTTGAACTTCTGAGCACCACCTGCAATAGAGCAGGCGAGATACGGTTCAATTTAGATTTCTTCTTCGCAGGTCCTGATGCGCCAGGCAAATGACTGACTGTACTCACCATGCCCTTCAACAAATATTTAGAAATAGGCAAGTTGTTGGACGAGCGGACGCGTTTCTTGCCACTTCCGACAGTGATTCGCCGAGTTGTCGATGGTTGTGGTGGTATGTTTTCCGAATTGAGCTCATCGTCAGTGAGTGAAAGTCCAGGTTGAAGTTGAAGGGCTGGGTTAGTGTCTATATCATCATTGTCAATTGTGAAATGCCCCAGAATAAGGCCTTGGTCGGAAGAGGGATGCTGAGGGATATCATCAAGATCGTCCTGAAAGTTCATGTCTTGTGGTGAATCGATTTTCTCGGGTATCGCCAGCATGGAGTCAAGCTGAGATGCATCGAAGCGGTTGGCATCATCGTATTCGTAGGATTCGTATTCGGGAGTCTTTTGCAAGTCCAACGAAGGACGGTGAGTTCTTCTTGGCATTGTAAGTTCCGGCGCTCTATAGTCACCTTCGCTAGACTCTTCGGAGTCGGTGTGGATAGCGTTGTCGTTTACGGCAAGTGGCTCGGCCAACCTGATGTTCAACTCGTTTGGAGACTGTTGGTTGTCAGTGAACTCCGGTAGCCCCTGGATAGTATTTTCAATGACAAACTTGGATGTGGAAATTATATCGTTGACGCCTCGGATATCCTCGACTTCGCTTGGGGTTTCATGCTCAAACATCGATGACCGCTTTCTGCTTTCCAAGATGCGTTCGAGGTAGGACTTGAAGGCGGGTTTGTTCTCCTTGGATGTATCCTTCGGAGTTGCAACAGGGGAGGCGCTTTGGGCTACCGTTAGTGGAGGCGACTTCATGGCATCGTCCGACGGTAGAGGCAAGGAGTAGTCAAACTCGCTATAATGAGCACGGTCTTGAGGGCTGAGTGAATGAAGGCGGTGTTCGTAATCGAGCGCTTGAAAAACCTTCTCGCTTTCATACTCGGGCGACGGGTTCTGTTGGTCATGTATTAGTGCTCGGGAGAAAGTTCGGAGGAAGTCTTTGGTGATGGGCCCATGGTACCCAGAAACGTAGGTGGCGCCGGTAGAGGAGCGTCTTCTTCTCCTCACCGTGAGGTGGTCACTTAAGCGACGCGGCTGAGGCGTCGATAGAACAGACTCGTGTCTGGACTGGAGACCCAGTGATCGTCTAGACAGCTGAAGCAGGGACGGTTTGGTGGATTTGGCGGATTTCTGGAAATACGTTGGCGGGCGACCAAGCACCAGAGTAAGGTCGTCAGGCGGTAGAGCCACGAAACTAAGTCTCGAGCGGGAGCTCAGTGGAACCAGCAAAGATGTGTTTGTGGGAGGTCTGGTTCGTAGGGGAGTAGAAGGTTCGGTACGAGCATGCTGCTGCTCCCTGGGCGGCGGCAGAGGCATTGTGTGGATGGAAAAGTGGCGCTGGGGCGGTACTTAAAGGCTTGGGTTCGGAACAAGGGAATTAGAATATGTGGTTGGAACGCATATGTGATGAGACAGTATGTTTTTATTAGGGCAACGACGTGCAGTGCTGTTGATGTCTCACTCGCATGGCGCATGGATACGAGAATGCCAGGGGTCCGATCAAGCATTTTGCGTTTCACTTTATTTTTTTTCGGCCTACGGCGAGTTATTTTTGCATTCTTGCCCCCGATTTAAATTCTCGGGTGCTTTATCTTGATGTTTTAGTTTGGAACTTGGATCGTCCAATGTCTTAGTCTGGGGTGTGCTGTGTGCATGGACATCGGTTATCTCGGAAGCTCCTAGGTATTGGCGTCGAATTCACATTTACAAAAAGGTTTCGAATTTTTCGGGGCAGTGGAGCAACATTCGAAACCCAGTAGGCCTAGGTCAGCCCAAGTTGCCATTGTACTGCCAAGCGAGATTTACGCCCACCAAGCCTCTGCAAATCAGGAAATGGTGCCATGAGGTGTGGCAGCTGTGGAGCGGAGTTTCTGAGTCTACTAATAGTGTGGAGCGAATGATTGTATTTTTACTCACGGAATTGTCGAACTTCTCTAATACTCATGATATCAAAGAAAAGATATCCAGCTGCGGACCAAAATCACGGAATGTGAAGCCTCAGGGACTACCAGACGTAGTTGATGTACGGTGTCCTTCAGCAAGCCTCAGATTTTCAGTCCAGTGTCGGCCGAATCGGCCGTGCCAGAGCAGTCGGAAATGGTTGCAAAATTCATGCATCTCAACGACTATCCCACGAACCTTCCCATCCTTCTTTATAATGGTTACGCTTGTAAGCACTGCAAAGAAAAGCCAGCCAGATGGACTTTGTCAAGGGCATAGCTCTAGGACGATCCACTCTGCCGTTATTGAGATTATAATACCGATCTCTCTTATCGCAACTCCTGTTTCTCCGGGGTGCCAGCTTCAATGCTTCGTAGTGGCCTCGCTGATCACATTCCCTCTTTCTTGCCTCACTATGCTTATGATTCAAAGTCTGGAATCTATCTCTCTTATCGCAGCTTCTTTTCCGCGGTGGGGGAGTCCAGTGTCCCTCTTAACGCCGTAGGTCTTCTCAGCCATGGTTCATGGACGTTGTGGTACTTACAGCGGTGCAATTAAGCCATTTATAAGCTTCACTCTCTTGGATTAACAATTCTCGTCCATCAGTTTGTGCGACCTTATTTGCCTAGAGGGACAATGGGCTTGTCGTCTCGATATCAATTCTTGGCATTGCACTATGAAGTTTTCCGTTCTTTTCAGGCTTCTAGGGGCTTGGGACATGGGGCTTCCGAACTCGAGTATTCTACAAAATATTCGGGTGGCTTGAAATCTTTTTTATTTTTTCGTCTTCCTTGCCCTTCTTCCCTATCTTCCGATCATAGGGTCCACCGTAAATGCACCTCTGCGGAGAGTTTGTCACAGATCCGCGATATGGCCATATACTTGCCTCAGATTTCTTGACCTTACCTACTCCAATTTAGTTCAGTACGGGCGAACCCAACTTTTCTTGGTGAATTTTGAAAAAAGGCAAATTTTCAGCATGATCACTGTCGTCGGGTGAAGCGCTATCTAGTCCTAGGCGCACCAAGACACCGCGATTGCTACTAAATCGCAATAATCAACTCTTCAGGACCCACCAATGGAAGCGCCATCTCATGGAGACAGCCTTTTGACGGCCTTGGTGGCCGGCTGCTCTTCTGCTGCATTTGCTGCATTTGCTACGTTCCCGCTTGATTTCATCAAGACCATGCATCAATTGGATAACACTTCTCAGTTGAACAAATTCAACGCTCCAGGCTTTCAACCGTCCTCGATTGTTCAGATCATGAAGGGTAGCAGTGCTCTTGTCACTGGTAATGTTCTCAAGAACTTCACTCGCCTTTTATCGTATAACTGGGCCTCCAACTTCATGGCGATGGATACAAGAAACGATACAAAAAAGACCAGTGCTCCAAGAGTGGTGATTGCTGGTGCCATGAGTGCTACAATGGAGACCGTTTTGATCATTCCGACTGAAAGAGTCAAGATCACGATGATCCAAAATCAAATTTTGGCCAATGAGAAGGCCCTCTTTCCCGATCAGTCAATTGATATCACAGGTATCGATAAGCACCACAAGCTGGTTCAGAGCATTTTTTCTAGACAGTATGTTTCGCCACATGCCTACTATACCAGTGGTTTAGTCTCCCAGCTCAAGTCAGGAAAGTCTGGTCAGAAATTTCTGTCCACCCATCACCTCAAACCCTCGGCCACAGATGCTCTCAAGATGGAGTTTAACAAGACCCCTGCATTGACTCTTCTCGGAACAATTCGTCAAATGTACGCTCTTCAAGGTGTTAGGGGCTTTTTCACGGGTTCATTTATCACATTTGCACGCCAGATGGGCTCCTCGGCCGCCTGGTTCTCCACATATAACGCTACTAGACAGTTGGTTGATCCACACAACAAACCTGATGAACAGAATTGGTTCAGGTTCCAGCATTCGGCATGGCAGCTGATTGGTCTTCACTGTATCTCAGCGGCTGCTGTCATTGCTCTTACCCAACCACTTGATGTGGTGAAGACGAACATCCAATCCAAAAACGGCAGCATGTTGTTCAAAGACTCGCTCTCTACAGCCTACAAGTTAGTACTCAAGAAGGGCTTCAAATGTTTGTTCTCAGGTGCCGTGCCTCGTGGTATAAAGATTGGTATCAACGGAAGCATCACAGCATTCTTCTATGGCTGGATTGACAATGGTATCAACACTCTTGCTACCAAAACCGTCTTTACTGATTAGTTCATGCATTTTCGATATAGACAGGCAACAAAAGCTCGCCGCTCTTGTGTTTAACGGCGTTGAAGCTCTTTGCCAATAGAGACCCAGCTGAGCTTGGCTGGCTGAAGGCGACCTGACTGGGGTTGAGTTGAAGCCCATGTATCAGGTAGTTGCATACTGCCTGTAACAAGTGCTTTCCAAGCCCAAATCGGCGCCATTTCGGGGCAATCCAGATTCTGGAGATCCCAATAATGATATTTTTATTGACTTGACGCGGCACAATCTCCTGTGTTTGGTAGATCATCCATCTGCCTTGCAGCTGGACGTCAACTATCGGCTCTGTCACGCAGACTCCGATCGCAATGCCTTTTATAAGCAAAACAAACGCATACCCTGAACATGACCCCTTTTTACGGTTTCGCCATGCATTGCTAGCAGCAGAGGCACCAAGCTCTTTATTGACAAATTCAAGTAGCTTCTCTACTCGCGTAACCTGAGCAGCCTGTTTCTCATCAGCCCGGATAATCTCCGCATCAATTTCCTCCAATTTGGCTTTTAATCGAATTCTTTTGATCGCCTCGGTTTTGGTCGTCCACTTGACACCATTGACGAAGCTCAGGTGGTACTTTTGGTGGATGTCTTTGTCCTGCTTGATGTACGCGTAGTACGTCATTCCACATAGCTTACAAGCCGAGGGACCAGAAGCTTTGGAGGAAGGAATATTCAAGACACTTTGACTTTTCCTCGATTTCTCATTTCCAGCCATATAAGCACATTGAGCTTTAAGATGAAGGTGGTGCTATGAGACGATGCAACGAGGTGGTGCAGGAAAAAACCCCGGGCCCCAGATTCCAGATATTCCCCGGAGAAATTCGCCTCATCTTCACCACAATGTCATCCAAGTACGCCAACCTCCTTCCTGTAAACGGACACTGGAAACAGCAAATTACTGATTTCTTAACTGAAGATGTTCCGTCCTTCGATTACGGAGCCTTCGTGGTCGGTGACAAACAAGAGACAGCTTCATTATACATGAAAGCGGAGGGATTGATCAGTGGAGTTCCTTTTGCTGCTGAAGTATTCAAGCAATGTGAGCTCGAAGTTGAATGGCATCACCAGGAGGGCGAATATGTCACTCCAAAGAAGTTGGCCGAGCTGAAGGGCAAGATTGTTGTTGCAACCGTGAAAGGTCCAGCCAACAAGATCCTTCTTGCCGAGAGAACGGCCCTCAATTTGTTGGCTAGATCTTCTGGTATTGCTACCCAGTCTTATGTGACCAAGAAACTTGCAGACGAATCTGGCTACCAGGGTTTAATCGCTGGTACGAGAAAGACTACCCCAGGTCTCAGACAGCTTGAAAAATACTCCATGCTCGTGGGTGGAGTGGACCCACACAGATACGACCTCAGCTCGATGGTCATGCTTAAAGATAACCACATTGCATCTACCGGCAGTATTACAGAAGCCGTCAAGAGCGCCAGATCAGTTTGTGGGTTCGCAGTGAAGGTCGAGGTTGAAGTGAGCACTGAGACTGATGCCAAAGAGGCCATTGATGCTGGAGCCGACGTGATTATGTTGGATAATTTCAGTGGTCCAGAGTTGCAGAAGGTGGCACAGAGCTTGAAGAAACATTACCAGGGCTCTAACAAGAGTTTCTTATTGGAATGCTCAGGCGGTTTGACATTGCAGAATTTAAGTACTTACTTGTGCAATGACATCGATATCTACTCGACGTCCTCGATCCACCAGGGATGCAAGATCGTCGACTTTTCCTTGAAAATCAATGCTTAACGAATCGACGATATGCTTTTTAGCTCGATGCTCTCGAAACCAGTGTTGAACCCCAAAACCTCATTTACATTATCTAGAATCTTAGACGTTGTAGGATCAAATTCAACGAGATTCTCCTCGTCCGCCTCCTCAATTGAGACTCCTTCGAGTGAGTCAGCATGACGTAGGGTCGATGGTAGTTCACCAAATGAGTGATTGTTCAACAGTATTCCTGAGACGCTTGTAAATCCCGACGCCGTGCTCTGATTCTTGTAAGCTTTTTCAAGCGGTGGTTCCTGAGTAATCAGAGTATGCAATTTTTTGCCCAAACATTTCACAGCACGGATGTGGGAGTCCTTTCCATCCTGGTGATTAGCCAATACGATGATTCGAACCACAAAGCACTTCAATAAGCCGTCTCCTCTGACACCATTGAAGACAATATGTGACCAGCCCACAGGTTTTTCTAGCTTCACCACGCAAACATCGGTCAAGTCCCACATCGAGCCTCCGGCCATGACCTTGATTTTCAGTGGGGTATACGACTCATCCAACTGGTAATTGGTGAAAATGCAAATACGCTCCAAAGACACCTTCTTGGAGAATTGAAGGGTAATAGAGTGTGGATGGCTAAGCTGGCCCCCATCATTGGTCTGGTGTTCCATGTTGTTTCCCGAACTTCCGTCGGATTGCCAATATAGATCTGGGGTGTCGGCTCTTAATTGAGAAATACCAAAGCCCTTCTTGAATGACGAGAGCTTCCATGTGGCGAGCGGCAGAAGATCTAGGAGCTGGAGTTCTTCAAGATCTTTTTGGCCATTCTTATAATATGTCTGCTGCTGTTGTTCTAGCGATGGAGGCTCGTGAGACATCTCAGCCTGGCTGTTGTCCTGATACGCCTCTTGCTCAGCTGACTGGACATTATGATCTAGAACATCGTCATAGCTGTCAAATGGCATGCTAGACTAGTATGGTGCTAAAGATTAGGATGAGAATGAGATCAGATCAAGAGGGTGTACTGCAACGCGGGCCTACATCTTGCATGAGCTATCGGAGTTTCCCAATAATAAATGTGCAATGTGAGTATATACGATGAACTAGAGTTCAATTTCGGTTTGCTTGTCCGAGGTCTTCTCGTCACCCTTCTTGTCCGCCTCGTCTTCTGCCTTGCTCTCCTCAGGCTGTGCTTCAACGGCCTCAACGGTCTCCTCGCTTTTTGGAGCTTCTTGCTTGGGAGATGGCTTATCTTCACTCTTCGAGCTGTCGTCAATCAATGTTTCCTTGGGAAGCTCGACAGAACTTTCCAAGTTGACAAGCTTGCTGGTCGAGGCATTCTTCGAAGGAGAACCCTCAGGGCGACCCATAGGCTGCTTTCTGGGCACTCTTTGAGGCGTAAATGCGGTTTGAAACTTCTCAGCGTTGGGGATGCTGTATCTCTTCAAAGCTCTTCTCTTCAATGCTTCAATGTAAGAGATTTTGCCCTTGAGCTCAGTACCAAACTCGCTGCCGTCGCGGTCCAAGAATGTAAGATCTCCATTTCCCTCATCCTCGTCTCCAATCATGTAGTCGTCGTTTTGTGCGCTGTCCAAGAATCCGTTGTCAGTGTTGGACTCGGATTGGTCAATCTCGTAGTTGCCCAACTCCAAGTCGGTGATGAACTGGAACAAGAACTCTTGCAAACTCGTGGCAACGACGATCTTGGTGTCGAAATCACGACCGTACAAGATGATCTGGCCACGCAAGCCGGCTGGACCTGGAGCCAAATCAAGACCAATCAAGTTACCGCATGGGTCTTTGACAAGGGGGACCCATCCACGGTGGATATAGTAAGACTGGACCGCATTGATAGGCACAGATTTCTGGTGTGCAAGGAAGTTGTTCAACTGTTTTTCGTTGTTGGAGAAAGAAGCCGATGTTGACTCCTCGGGCAATTTTTTCCGCTGGTTTACGGCCACGACTTGTTTCTCGATTCTCTCGGCGACTTTGGCCCAGACCGCGTACTCCTCCATGATGCTCTCAATATCCAAAAGACTCAAACCCATGATTAAACCTGTTGGCTTGCCGCCACGGAACTGACCGTCGTGGATCTTGAAGAACTGACGCACCTCAACAGGCAAAGGACCAATAGCCAAGTCTCTCTCAAACTCGTTCAAGTCTGCTGTCGAGGCACCGTCGTTCAAGCTATCTTCCAACTCGGGGTATTCCTCCTCCAACCACTTCTCTATCCTATCCCACAAGGAATCGATAGAGGGCAAAGGAGGGAGACCTTCCCTGTTCAACGTTTGCATTTGAACATCACTTGACTGGTTGATCAAGTTGGTCAGCAGCGACCTCAAACCTGGTCTGTATCCAGCCACGTTGGTAGTTGAAGCTGTACGCGAACCCACGAGAGAATGGCTCAGTGAGTTGTTCAAATCAGCTAGTCTGGCTGTCAGCGACGTGGGATCGATTGAACCTCCCGCGGTGGAATTCTTGTAGGGAGAGCCGTAACTAGCATAGTGGTCGTCTGTGGTGACTGAGTGCCAAAAGGACTTGACGTTATCGAGGAAGCCCATTGTATTTTATCGTTGACTGGGTATGACTTCGGAAAATACTCGGTAATGTGTGTTAACGGCTTCGGCGGTGATACGTTATTTGTGATTCTCGCGGTGCTACTTGATTTTTGCATGAATACGGCCAGGTACTCTATGCACGCCAATGTTTTCGCAGCCAGAGTGGACCACACCGTGACCTGAAACTGGGGAGAGGTACTCTAATAATTTGGAAATTGTGAGAAAAAGCTTTTTCGAGAAATTGGCCATGTGCCAAAGTTTGGGAAGCTTTCCAACTTCGACTTTACGCTTTTATTATCCACGTGTCTCTGTCAGGGTCTCGCTTGTTTCGCCTTCGCCGCGCCTCCTCTTGACACTTTTTAAGTAGCAAGCAAGGTTTTGTTTTGGCGACTCGCTTTGTTATTTTTAGTTAGACAAGAAAATGGAGGCACCTCACGGAATTTAGGCGCCCTGGTCGTCTCCCTAGCTCCAGGATAATTGCTCAAGCCTACTACAACTAATGGCTGCAGAATGCTACTGTTCTTCTATATTAAGCGATGCCTGCGGCACTGCGTGCCGACAAAAAGCCGGCTATTTCTTCACCGAAGTATTCCTCAAGAAGGTCACTGTGATGCTTAAAGTCTAGGTTCGTGATGGCCACGCTGGCTTGAACCAAGTCGTAATTAATCCGATCGCTGACTTTTGAGTCTTGCTTGTAGTCGGGATGCCTTAGAACAAAGTCCCGAAGGAAACGTGCAATTGTAGGGATCTTGCCAGAAGCTCTAAAACTGATGAGTTTCAAGTAGTTACGAAGAAGCTCCAATTCCTTCGCGAACTGCCGGCTCTTGCAATGGTGGCTCTTGTTCTGCCAGTTGGAAGGAATGAGTTCCGTAGCGATGAGTTTGACAACGAGCTTGATGAGACCTGGGAAGGAGTCCAGACCATCAATAAGCTCCAGAGCACTGAGTTTGACATCGTTGCATGTATCGCTAACATCTGTGCCATTCTCAACCACATCGTTATTCACTTCCACATAGCCATTAAGGTAAACACCATTGTCGTCGAAAAGATCGTTTCCGTCGTTAACAAAGCGATCAAACCATGTAAGATCATATCCCTTGAAATCCTCGTTGTTGAGACGCCACCTTGACGGGTTCCGGAACCAGAATCTGGAGTCTGTGGAGGCATCCACGCCATGAGCGGTCTTCATGTTCTTGTCAACCTTCGAAATAGGTGTGTAAAAGTCTGGGTTGAATTTAAGGATAGCTTTGCTAACAAGCGTAATGAAAACGGAGTAAGCAGCATTCTCAAAGTCAGTGAGCTGAATCTCAAGTGGTCTGAACTCAACTCTCCACCCAGGCTTCTCAGAGAGTTGTTCGCCCTCTTGGTATAGAGCAGGAGGCTTAAATCTTAATGTCTGCCAGTTTGTGGATTGGAGGTTCTCGAAGTGGTCGTTCTCGAGAGTATTGTCCTGGTTGACTCTTTCGCTGAAAATAACGAGCGGGTCTCTAATAAAAAGGTGGGCGAAATGGTGAGCCAAAAGTGGGTCAAAGAGCTTTGTGGAAGTGAGTTTGTCATACACTTTCTTGTTGACTGGCGAGTAGATGTCGTTGTACGACTTGTCAAAGTACGGCTCGTCATGGTAACCCTGGTCTCCCAAATATGTGTCAATCGACTCGTATCTAGACTTTGGAACTTTCTGAACAGGCTTACCATCGAGTGTCTTGATCGTAGTGTCACCGTACTCATTAATGATGCGATCGCCATTGACTCCGGGACCTCCACCAAGCAGCTCAAAATGATCTTTTACCTCATGGGTAACATCCAATCCACCAAAAAAGTCTGCGCCCTTGTAAGGCTTGATGTCACGCTCCAAAAACGTTCTATCGTCAACAGCCCCGCTGATGACATTCCAGCGAACATCCTGGTTCACCAAGAACCCCTTGAAGATTGGAGCGGCAGCAGATACGGCCATAAGAATTGGTGTGAGCGGAGCCAAGGTATCATACAAGTACCTGGCTTGATGAATGTCAGATGGCTGAACGGTAATCTGAAGACAGGATGATCCCATGCCAAAACCCATAGAATCCATATAAACATGACCAGGCTGAGATGCTCCAATGAAAGGCTCTTCGTCTGAAGGGAACAAGTCACGCTTAGGGATACTATCATCTATGAGTTTGGTGTTCGTATCCGGGTAGATAGGCAAATTGATCGCAACCTTGTGCCCTCTTCTCTTCCGAATGTTAGCAGTAAGAGTTGGAAACCTGACGTGTCTATTTATAATTTCGTCAGGCAAGAAAAGCGATTGGGAGGCTGGACCAATAGGCTTGGCCTTGGGAGAAGTGAAGTCACCGCAACCCATGCGAGGATATGTCGTCAATGTCAAAGGCACGATGTTTGCTGGAAGCTCTGATTGAGACACCTCACGTCTTTTGATCATATTTTCCTCGACGTAGACGTAGTCCTCAAGAGAGTTACCATCGTAAGGCCTGAGCGGTGTGGCTTCAATCATGTATCTGCCATACTCTGGATGGAAAGAAACGTTGTTCGAGATGGCCTTTCCCGAGATTTCAGGCTTTGCGGGATCGTTGAGATCATCCAAAATCAGATCCTTGTCAATAGCTAAACGTGCTGTCTTTCTGGAACTATCGATGTCCACCAACATATACTCGACCTCATCGCCCCAGTAGAAATGGTCCTTCAGTCTGGCTGAATGCTGGCGAAAAATGTTTATGAGCTGCTCGATACCATTATCACGGACATGTTCGTTATGCTTCTTCAGCTCGTGCCAGTCCAAGGGAGTCCCTAGAGATAGCAAACCCATGTTGAAGAGTGGCTGTTAGGTGTGGCTCGGTGATACTCGCGAGTCAGATGCAGCGTAATGGCACACTTTGAAGCTGTCGTTGAGACAGCGGTATCGTGAGAAACGGAACTAAAGTGGAAGCTTGTTATCGAGCCGACTTGTTTCAAATAATGAACCCAACTGCCTCTGTGGATAATTAATAAGCGAAGGAGTGTGTACAAGATTTTGCACCATCGAAGCAAGGCAACAAAGACGCTCGCGACATCTTCCGAAGAAGGCTTATTTTGGAGATGAAGCCCAATTACGTAGAACGTGGTATAAATTAAATAGAGAATAACAATTGAAACATTCTTAAGTAGCGTTTGAGTCTCAACCAAGAAAAGAGCTTTGGCTTCAAATTCAAAACTTCTGAGACATCCTGAGACATTCACACGCTCTATATTTCCGTGCGTATTCGAACCCTCATAACGCCATACGGACCCTGGCATCAGCAATTGGCGCCTTCACAAGATCATTGACGGAAATTTAAATATGGAAATAACAAAAATTACAGGGAAGAAATAAAACTGTAGCGCTTATCCCTGCAAAGGCTCATGAAATTGCTTGATTTGCAACCCACATGGCACATAGGCCTCTCACTACTAGGACTAGCACGCTTCTATTAGAAGTCCGCTTGACCAAACCCAATGAACGACATTCTATTCCGTCTAAGATTTGTACTTTTATCAAACTTTAATCAGGCGACCCTATCTGAAGATGCAATCGCACGTGACATCAGCCGGGTTTGTCGCCTGTTGCGGTAAATTCGTAGATAACCCACGCTATCGTTTGTGCGGTTTGGCTTGGGAAGGATTTTCTAGTGGAATTTTAGGTAGTTAGAAAAATTGATAAAGAAAATTCAGACGATGTGATACTTAGTGCATAGATAAGTGAATTGGTGGTTCTTCTTTGAAATTTGGACATCAATTTGTGAATTTTGTCTATTTTGCAGTAGTAGTCCTAGAACTAGAAGAAAGTGACTAAAGCTCACACCTAACCAAAGAGTTCCAAGTATTTGACAAAGAGTCAGTTTCAGCTTATAAAACGCGGTAAACGCTAAATCTTACACCTCATCATTGATCAATTGACACTTCTCGAGTGCTCTCTATTATACATACAAATCGTTTTCCTTAGTAAAGCTTGCCAATGTTGTTGACAACACAGCCAGCAGCATCACCCTCTCTGGTGCCCAAGTCACCAATGACAACGGCATCCTCGCCAGCCTGCTTGAGCTCGCTGAGAACAGAGTCAACCTTGTTCTGCTCAACAATGAGCACCATACCGATACCAAGGTTGAAGGTCTTCAACAAGTCCTCATATGGCACTCTGCCCTGCTTACCGAACCACTTGAAGATCTCGGCAACCTCCCACTTGCTCATGTCAACACGAGCCTGCAAGTGCTTGGGCAATGCACGAGGAATGTTCTCAACCAAACCACCACCAGTGATGTGAGCCATTCCGAGAAGCAAGTCCTTCTGGATAGAAGGCAACAACTGCTTCACGTAAATCTTAGTAGGCACCAAAAGCTCCTCACCAATGGTCTTCTTCTCGTTCCATGGCGCCTGGTTGGTATACTTGAGACCAGCCTTCTCGATAATGTGACGGACAAGAGAGAAACCGTTAGAGTGGACACCGTCCGACTTCAAACCGATCAAAACATCACCCTCCTTCATAGCAGAGATCCTAGGCAAGATCTTGTCCTTATGGACAGCACCAACAGCGGTACCGTTGGTGTCGTAGTGACCGACATCGTACATACCAGGCATCTCACTGGTCTCACCACCAACCAAAGCACATCCAGCGGTGACACAACCATCAGCGACACCACTGACAAACTTGGCAGCAACCTCGACATCGAGCTTGCCGGTAGCGAAGTAGTCAAGGAAGATCAATGGCTCAGCACCCTGCACAACCAAGTCGTTTACGTTCATGGCAACCAAGTCGACACCAACAGTGTCGTGAATGTCCATGATCTGGGCAATTCTCAACTTGGTACCAACACCGTCAGTGGCAGCGACCAACAAGGTGTTTTCGCCCTCAAAGCCTGCGGCTTTCAAGTCGAACAAACCTCCGAAACCACCAATGTCAGAGTCAGCACCTTTTCTGGCAGTAGACTTGACCTTGGCCTTGATCTGCTCAACCAACAAGTTACCGTTGTCGACAGAAACACCAGCCTCAGCGTAGGTAGAGCCGCCAGCAGTGGCATCAGCGTCTCTGAAAGCACGGTGGGCAATATCGGTTCTGTTGTACTTCTTGTTGAATGAAACAGTGTCCACACCAACATAAGCCTTGTCCACAGATTCTCTCAAAGTGGAGGCAGTGGCAGTGGCGGCGATAACACGACCACCAGCAGTGACGACCTTGCCGTCCTTCTCAGCGGTACCGGCGTGGAAGATGTAAGTGTCTTGTGGGGTAGCCTTGAAGGTTATCTCATCACCCTTGCCGTAGGCCTCAGGGTAGCCACCAGCAGCCATAACAACAGTGGTGGAGTAGGTGTTTGGCTTGGTTTTGATGGCGACAGAGTCCAATCTGTGTTCAGCAGCAGCCAACATAACCTCAGCCAAATCAGTGTCCTCGGTCAACAATGGCAAAACGGTCTGGGTCTCTGGGTCACCAAATCTGACATTGTACTCCAACACCTTTGGTTCCTTGGAGGGGCTCAACATGATACCAGTGAAGAGAACACCGCACATTGGGAAACCGTCCTTTCTCATACCGTCGATGGTGGGCTTGATGATCTTCTCATCGATCTTGCTCAAAACCTCAGGAGTAGCAATTGGGGCAGGAGCGTAGGCACCCATACCACCGGTGTTAAGACCAGTGTCGCCGTTCCCGGCTCTCTTGTGGTCCTGAGATGTAGGCAAATTGAAGAAAGAGTAGCCATCAGTGATGGTCAAGATGGACAACTCGTCACCCTCAAGACACTCCTCAATGACGATCTCGTCACCGGCAGCACCGAAGTTCTTGGCCACCATGATCTCGTCAAGACCAGTCAAAGCTTCCTCCTTGGTCTCTGGGATCAAGACACCTTTACCGGCAGCGATACCATCAGCCTTCAAGACGATCTTGTAGTCAACCTGCTTGATGTGCTCTCTGGCAGCATCCACGTCAGTGAAGTTTCTAAACTGAGCAGTTGGAATGTTGTGCTTGGCCATGAATGTCTTGGAGTAAGCCTTGGAGCCCTCCATGGTAGCAGCCTTAGCACTTGGACCGAAAACGGGGATACCAACCTTGGTGAAAACGGTGGAAATACCGTCGACCAAAGGCTGTTCAGGACCAGGCACCACCAAACCAATGTTGTTCTCAACAGCAAATTTTTGGAGACCGTCAAAGTGCTTTGGCGAACCAGACAATTCAGGAACGTTAACCACCTTATCGTCAGAGGTGGAGGTACCACCGTTACCTGGAGCAACGTAGATCTTCAGCACCAATGGGGATTGGGCCAATCTCCAGGAGATAGCATGTTCTCTACCACCGTTACCGACGACAAGAACGTTAAGGGACATTTTGGGTGTATATGTGAAGAAGTGGTTGTGCGATTATGGGAAGAGATGAGGCTGTCTCTGTGCATGGGTGAATTTTTTCGCTACTAATAAATTCTTGACTCCGATTGCACGCAGGTTTGCAGCCACGATGGACGTGACATTCTTCAATTATTTTGACTGTGAAACTTAGGAAGCTGTTTATTCTTTTGATCTAGAAAAACCCTTTGATTTTGTTTTGCTTGTGACTTTTCAATTAACTAGTCTTTGCAGATCTGTCGGTTTCAAAGTTACACTCATACAGGCAAAGCTATAATGGGCAGGTATGATGATAGATTCAAGCATAGACATTATTGGAGATGGTCTCAATTCAAAAATGTTCACTAAGCTTTCTTTTGCCTAAGTGATGGTGCCTCATGATGACAGTGATACCACTACAAAACTTCATAAGCACCCCAACACCCCAACACTCCTTACAAATTCCCTATCGTGATTCGTGTTATATTGATGCAAGCCTTGCTTGTTATATGTACAGGTTAGATTAGATTGCAACATCTCCAGAACCAACAATCCCCTCAAATTTATAGTTGTCCTCGCTAGGACGCTTGATTTCTTCACCCTGTTCGTTCACAGGGCTGTACATGTAGTACGCCAACAATGCATTCACCACAGCTCTCGTCTTGGCCTCGTTCAAAGAACCACCTACACCCTCGCCCAACTTGTGGCCTCCAGAGAAAGCACCAGCCACGAACATGGCATGGGTGGACAATCTACCGGTCTCGGAGATAAGTCTGATTTCTAGTGGGTCTTCAAGGGCCAATTTGTCACAAACTCTGGTCAATTCCCTGGTGGGTCTGCTGAACTGGAACATCTCGCTCAAAGGAATCTTTCTGGACAAGATGTGGGCCTGGATGAACTTTTTGGCAGCCTCCTCGCCAGCGTGGGTGTACATACCGCCAATTATGGCAGCCACGGCCAGAACGTAGGCCTCTTCCTCTTTGGTCAAGAAGGTCTGTGTCTTTTCGTCGAACATGCCCAATCCGTTGCTACTCAACTCTTGGATGCCTTCCTCTTGAGGCATGTCTTTTTCTTCCTCGGTCAAGAAACGCAACTTGCCGTACTTGATGAATTCCGGCTCGTTGGAGATATGCTTTTCTAACTTGGTCTTCACGTCACTTTCGATACCCACGAGCGACCGATTTCAGCCAAGCTATACGGGCCCATGTATGCGTTGGTGGCCTCGTTGTGCACAGGCAATGGAAGCCTAGGGTAGTTCATCAACAAGGATTCGCTGACGTAGTATGCTAGTAAGTTCCGGCCAAGGATGCTCAAGCCGTAGTTGTTAGCCAAGCCAGTGCTGTTTTCACAGTTGAGTGCCTGCGACAACGTCGACAAACTATAGCTTTCTGGCAAACGCAATCTGTGATGCAAGGCAACCAACGGAGGTGACTGCTGGGCGGTGGATTCAGGGAGTCTATGTGTGAAAATATTGGCCTTGTAGGAGCCATAGTCTGTAACGGAGTTGTAGGATGTGTCCATGGAGTCTCCAACTTTCTGACTTAAGTGAAAGGCTTGCGGGAGACGAGCCGTGCGGACAAGACGTGGTGCCATCCGAAGGCTGCTTTTCGAGAGGAGCCTCAACATGGTTCTGGGATGGATGACTTGAGTACTTTTTCACTGTGAAGTGTAGTAGTAAATTTTTTCGTGGTGCGCTGTGTGCACGCAATTCGATCTAGCAGTTCTTCAACCGAATGGGTGCAATGAAGAAGAGATTGGTCATTCTCTGGCAATTGTTCCAAATGAAAAAGTGCTTCAGTAACCGATTGCTACGGAACTTTGGTGATTTAGCCAATTCACTGCAAGTTAGCCCAGCATGGCTAACCAAACTGCAAGTTCCACTTTCCTCTTTTTTTTTTTTTACTATTTTAATTTAAACCCTTCCAAAAGCCTTTTGATACTTTTCAAACCAAATCTGCCTCAAACAAACAAAATAAGATACCTCCATCTATTTGACACTACCCAGTGTGTTTGACAGTACGTGCGCGCACCGAAAAGATCCACCAACCATATTCTCACTATTCTTCTTACACATTACCATCGCCATAGCATCTAATCCACCATGGCTCACGCTCCACCATTGAACATCTACGCCATCGGAGCTATTTCCTCTGTGGCTATCATCTATGGATGGATCAAGTCCCCCATCAAATACAAGTGGGCTGCTGAGAACAGAATCAGCCCCAAGGCCGACTTGGCCTGGAGAAACAGTGCTCAGAAATGGCTTGATAACAACTGAGGCTCTTGGAATTTGCATGTACATTACGTTTAGAATAAATACTTTTTGAATTATTTGTAGACTCAACCGATTTTGACGGACGCTAGGGGAAGGGCGTTACTCGCATCGCCATACTGTAGCTTGACCAAGTCACTTTCGAGCTTGAGGAAGCACCAGAGCCATCTTCTAGTAATTTCGAGGAATTCGAGCAAGGCGAAACCAAGCGACAAGAAGTCAAGACCGAATAAGAAGTTGCCAACTTTGTTTTTGAGCCCAAGTCTGACTTCCGTCTCCTTGATAACGAAGAGCTTGAGGAACCAGATGAAGCGAAGCACAAAGTCCAAGGCAATGATGAGCAAGTAAGCTGCGGTATTATTGTAAACAAGCTTGTTGGGTTCTCGCAAAATGACCCAGCTGGACCCGTTCTGGTTGAGCAAGATATCAAAAGCACTGAATCCCCAGTCCATCTTGACATCCCAGAAAAACAGGTATGATGCACTCAAAGTTGAAAGAACGTACCACCAGCGATTGAGAATGTTTAATTGAGCAGACACGTCAGAGTCTTCCGTGAGGCGTTCCATGCGGAGCTTAATGAGGAGGTTTATGATGACAGGTCCGAGCCCAATGGAGTACTTGATGAAGTTGAACAAATGCAGTTTTTGCTTTGTCAGCAGGTATTCGAACCAGCACTGCTTCATACGAATGAGAGCTGGCATTGCAAGCATGAAAGTCTCCACCTCAGTGTTGTAGTTCAGCTCCGTGGGTATATAGGTCTTCCACACAAACATGCCACAATCGTTGATGACCTTAGCGTATGAGATCAAGGAGTCGGATATGAGAATATCGTTTGTCCTCATGGTGGATGAGTTGATATCTCCAAAGAGAATCCTTCTGATGGTGGTGCTCATGCGGACAGTACCAATCGTTCCTCGCTGTAGAAAGAATCTATAAATTGTATGGATGAGGAGGATGGTGGGCACAATTGCTCTGAAAAAGAAAAGCGTGGTGGAGTCGTCATCGACAAAGAGAGCAGCCATCCAGTATACGGCAAGGCCACTGAAGTTTGGCAACAGTGTCACTTTTATGTTTCGGTTGATGCCATTGAGTAAATGCTGATTTTCTGATATGTCGGCTGGTGCCACAGTAGCGTATTCGCCATATTGAGACTCATCAATGAAGGACCTTTGATGGTACTTATGTGGAGAATAGGAAAGGCTGAGTAACGCCAACACGTTGATACCGTGTATCTTGAAGCAGTACCATACTATTGCATACCATAGGTGGATACCGAGCTGGACCAATAGGAGGATCCGGAACGGAAGGGGAACAATGTGGTTGAATTTAATCTCGTCGAACATCGTCAAACGATGCTTGAGGCCTGTAGCGTTCGGTTTAATAGGATGAGGCTGTAGTAGCACTGGGGCGCAAGATCGCGAGAGTACATATACAAACAGATTTCAGGTACCAACCAACCGTAGAGGGGGGGTGAGAGGACTACTAGTTTGAAAGGCACGAAGACTTAATCTTCTAGCACTACCAGACTAACAATCTTCTCGAAAGTTTACAAATGTCTACAGTGAGCTTCAGTACTAGAGTTTTTGATAATCACTTACGATCATGATTAGCATGGAAAGTCATCATAAGCCCTGACGAACAAGAATTTCAATACACTAGCTGTTAGTAAAGCTCAAGTCGAGCCGTGCTAAAATACGATCAGAATTTTCAGTGTGTTTGGCTATTTGTCGAATCGGTCATAGTCCTGAAAAGGAGCCTCCGTCTGGGGCGACAGCTAGTCATCACGGTATTATGCACGGTTTTCTTCCATAAAACATACTTATGATTACATTCCCACAGATACCGGTGGCATCGGTGAAGATGTTGTCTTTTTGCAAGAAAGAATTGTGGTGGGAATTTTTCAACATTACTGCGCTTCTCATCGCTCGCTATATACTGAGTTACCCGCACCACCAAGTCTAGGGCCTAAGGTATTATGAAAAAAACAGTACTTTACTTTTGCTAGATATTACTATGGTATATTGGTATTTTACAATGCAGATGGAACGAGTGTGCCCGACAGTTTACTTCTCCATTACTTCTCCATGGCATGCTTTCTGCTCTTGAGCTTGCTGAGCTTCTGCTTCCTGTTGTTTTCCCTTCTTTCACCCTTGGTCAAGTATCTGAACTTCTTCTTCTTTTGCTTTGGCTTCTCGACTCCGCAAAGTTTAGCATAGTCCTTCGCTCTCTTGATAGAGCCCTCGAGAACCTCGTCTGACTTGTCCAAATTAACGTTGTTGGCCTTGGCCAAGGCCTCTATGCTTCTGCTGGTGATGGCTGTAGTGTAAGGATTGTCGAGAGATTCAATGACAACCTCGGTCTCTTTATCAACGATGGCGTCTCCCAAAACGTCCTTGTCATCGACCTTGTACACCTCCTTCCTCAGTAGGATACCCTTGACTGGTTCATCGGTATCCTCGTCAGCATTGTCTTTACCGTCCTCTTTTCCCTCTTCTTCTTCTCCAAATCCTGTCCATTCCTCGTCACTCTCCTCCGCCTCACCTTTCGGCGTGGCTTCATCCTTGTCTTTAGTTATGTCAAGGGCCTCTCGCAGTTCTCTGAGTTGCTTGAGCTGTTCTTCAAATTTGGTTTGCTCGTCCTGGCGATGCTGTTTTCTCTCTTCGATTCTGGCCTTTCTCTCCTGTTCCTTGTGGTATGCTTGAGCCTTCTTCTGACGCTCCACCTTACGCTTATGGAACCCAGTCAAGAACTCCTCCCTGGCCTTTTTGTCAAACACCACCTCGTCAACACCATATTTCTTGGCTTGCTTCTGCTGGTACTTCTTACCCCCAGTTAAGATGTCCCTGTTTGTCCTTGTCACCATTGAAGAAGAGTACTCCAGATCCGATGAGCATCAAGGTGCGAAAATCCTAGCCTACCAACAACTACTACTCCAACATGGAAAACACAGAAACCGTGCGGGATCTCGCTCGTAGTCTCCAGAGTTCTATTAGTGAGCTAGAAACAGCCTTGCATCCCATCGCTGGTCGGTCATTGGAGGATCTTACAAAAGATTGCAAGCTGCCTAAAGAGGAGGCAGATGTTCTCAACAAGTACCTATATTGCACTGTTTCCATAGCATTCGCATACCTCAAGGTCCAGGGCATCAATACTGATGGCCATCCTATCATGAAAGAGCTTGATCGTGTCAAAGCCTCGATGAAGAGGATGAAGGACTTGGAAGCAGCTCAACAGAAGTCCGAAAACAAGAAAGCTCAGAGCAAGGAGGAAGCTGCTGAGTATATTCAAAGGACATTGGGCGGTGCCTCGGGAGGTGCTGCTGCCAGCAATAGCATGAAGTCACCAGCAATCTCAAGTTCGAACTTCCAGGGAAAGCATACAAAGTTTGAAGATGACGATGATTCTGAACCAGAACTACAAAAGGAGGAGACGACACCAGCAACATCCTCGAAGATTGCCGCAAAGAATACATCATCCACCTCCGAAAAGGCTCAACCTCTGAAATCATCGAGTTCACCTCAATCATCTAAGGCATCAAAGAACAAAAGTCAGAACAAGGTCAGTAAGCCGCAACCGAAGGGCCAGAGAAAAGCAAGACCGAACAGGAGATAGAGCTACTGTCATTGTATACTATGGAGTTGTTCTTATTGTACATATTTATTTTTTGTGCAAGGGAACCTCAGGTCTAGAGATAGAAACTCTCGAAAATATGCTCGTCTCTTATACCTTCATCGTCGACAACACGGTAAATTTCCATGAGGAGCTTCGGAAACTTGTTGTTGAAGTAAGAATAGAATCCAGTGGGAAGTGGGCTCATTTGTACTTGTAGCTCAGGAGGCATATCGTTGAAGTGATGGTATTTGTTCCGGAATGCTCTCAAAAGGTCCATCACCTTGCCTGTGTTGTATTTGCGGTACTTTCCCAAGTTGTCGATAAACTCCTGATCAAACCTGGCGAGCCAGTCGCCTTGGTGTACAACATGACCTGTGTCTTCCAAGCTAAGCAAAAGTGGACTGGGTGGGTCTCTCTTCTCAATCTCGAACCTGTCGCTCACTTTGAGGAGAAACTCCAATTTCTTGCTGTGATTCCAAAAGTATGGGTGCTTCATGATTGCAGCGGTATCAGGTCTTGCTTTAGGGTTGAAGGATATCATTGTTGAGATCAAATGAGTTGCCTCCACCCAGTCATCCGGACAATGTTGCTTGAGAGCAGACAAATCATATTCGCCTCTCACAATGTTTCCTTCACGCAAATAGCGATCGCCAAATGGGTGGCCTCCACAAGTCAATATATAATAGAAAACACAACCGAGGGAAAATATGTCAATCGCTTTTGTAAGTCTTTTGCCTGAACCATTCAGCAAGCCACTTCCATCCTTGATTGAATGCTTGGAAGTAGAATTGAGTGACGATACAGTGTCGGGGGAAATCTCAATAAGGTCATGATGCAAGAGAAGCTCGGGAGCTCTCCATCCGGAGGTACCAGATGCAGCGTGCTGCGTAGTTGCTCTGAACGAAGACTGATCGGCGTCAAGCTTCTTACATAAACCGAAATCTGAAATGAGGAGCCTGAAGGCCGCTAGCGTCTTGGCGTGACTCTTGCGTGTAGAGTCACCAACCAAGATATTCTGTGGCTTGATGTCACGATGGACAATTTTAAGGGAATGCAAATAGTGAAGTCCACTGACAAGTTGCAACAAGACTTCATTTTTATGATTCTGATCGAGCTTCAACGCACTGTTGTCGACCTTTGGTTTCTCCACAAGATCTTCGAGAGAACACACACACAACTCAAGCGCAATGTACAAGAACTTCTCCGTTTCACTCGATTGAGAACAGAAGTAACGAACAACGTTGGGATGGTCATCACTTTCTTGTAAGAGCCTGACTTCGTGATTTGCGATGTCATAAAAATCAAGAAGCATTCTTTTGACGGCGACTGGTCTGTTTTCGAAAGTTCCTTCGTAAACGACGGTTCCGTGTGAACCATAGCCCAATATCTTGTCAGAAATGATCAAGTTGTTATCGATCTGCAACTTCTTGTTTAGACTGGGCCTCTTGTTAAATTGCTTCACTAGCGATTTTGTCGCAATAGGCTCCGAGTCATCAACACTGGACTCATCACTAGCCACCTGGGTGTTTTCAAATGTCTCGTCCTTGTGCTCCTCATCATCTTTGGCTTCGACATTCTTCTTGCCTTTTCCTCCTCTTTTCCCGCCTCGACTACCTCTCTTTCTCTTCTTCTTTGTCGGCATATTTGGGTCAGCTTCTTGATTAACTGCCCCATCAATGCCATTCTCAGCAGGAGCTTCATTCTGATGCTCATCATCGGTGACAATTCTCACTTTCTTCTCAGTTACCTCCCCAATAGCTTTGCTTTCAGTGGCATCCAGCACCTCTGATGCAACGTTCTTTGGTTCAGTGGGTATGTCAGGAAGCGGTTTTTCGACTGTGTCGTCGACGACCTTGGGATGCTTCAATTCAGTTGATGGAATAGTCACTTCTAGGTCATTCGCCTTGTCGACCAAGGCTAATTCGTTTCCTGTCGTGAATTGCAAAAATCCCCCAAACTTACCAACCATGAAAAGTACACCAAGCAAAATACCGAGCACTAAGAGATCTTCTGCGATACGTCTGAGGAAAGAGATCGTCGGATTGCTCTCAGGTGCAACTAATGAAATGTCGCCTTGGGGATAAGTTGCAGGGAGTCCAGTGGGGTAGTTTCTGTCATTGGCCATAAGTTCCTTTCTTCTCTCGTCGATGGTGGCTAGACCCAGGCCAGGATTGTCGTGCGTTTGTGGGAATAGTATTCCATCAATCATATGTGGCATTTGTTTCAGCTCCTTTTCTATTCCTCCTGTTGATTCAGAGCCGTCTCCTATTCCAAGGTATTCTTCCTTGCGAAATTGCAGATGCGGTTGATACATAGAATCAGGAGAAAGATGGTTGATCTTGTGAACACCGTTGATGAACGGTTCAACATCTTCCCGACTCACGTTGAGCCGCGAAAGGAAATCCTGAGTCTGGCGATCTAGAGTACCCGTTGCAAACTGATAGAGTGCCATCTGATATTGTGCGATTGGTGCCGACTTGAGAAGCGTGGGATAATTGCGGAAACTCATTGCAAACCACTCCTTACCGTTCGCTGTTTTGTTGACGAAGCAGAGATCGTTGTTGGACGCTTCCTTCTGCGCATCGTCAAGCTGTTGTAAGTCGTTCAAAACCTTGAGTGGATGCGGTAATGTAACGTATTGGTTTGAGTTCTGCTCGTTGTTGAAGATGTCAAACACATTAACGGCCAACGAAGGCAATCTGCAAATCCATTGAGGGGTTCCACTACCCTTGTTGATAGCCAACAAAGATTTGTCATGGAAAGGAGTGAAATATAGATCATCAATGGATTGGCCGTTTTGCATGATCAAGTCATTGTCGATGTTATTGGGACCCCATGAAGAGTAAGTGATGTTCCAGACAACGCTTGAGTCGTATTTATAGTGGACCAGCAACTCATATGTCGTCTTTCCGAGCATGATTGTGTTTTCTTGCAGCTCGGGCGGAAGTTGGGTGACTTGTATAAGTTCGGAGCCGGACAACTCTCGTCGGCAGATCCGAACTGATTCAACACTTCGCCCGTACGCATGTTAATTGTGTATAAGGATGTCTTGCGGACACCGGTGTATATCTTGTTGTCGCCGCTGAGGGAGAAAGGGGCTTCCATGACCAAATTTTTGATGGATGTAGGGAGCTTATTTAGACCAAACTGAGGTGTAAAGTAGTACAATGACCCATCCTGATAAGGTTCGACGAGCCAAAGTAAGTTTGTGTTGTTCTCTGGGTCTTTTCTGGGGAATTTGTTCCTAGAGACCCGAACCAACGGTTCGTCTAGCGGTAGCGTCCAAAGAAAAGCACCAGTGTTTCTTTCCACAGCATGGAGATTGCCATCAATGTCGCTGACTAGTAGCAAGTCTGTGAGTCTCCAATCTTGGAGCGAACGTAAGTCCAACGGTAGAATGTTTTTGTTTTTGACTTCACTCAAAAGCGGTCTGCCGCTGTCGTCGGTTTCGGCCTCCATCGAAACAGCATCTCCCCAAACCGAGACAAGGAATGGGAGTAGGAAGGCTATTAGGAAAAACGGATTTAGCCTCATGATCTAGCTGGAAATATGCAAAATTTGTTCGATGCCAAAATCAAAGTTTGCTTGCAAACCACAGGAAATGTGGATCACGACTTCCGATGAAGCCTGAGCAGGACAAATTGAAAGTTGGATGTAGCGAGCAAACGAGCCACACAAATAAAGAAATGGTTGCTCTGACTAGGTTGAATTGACTTGTAGTCGTAAAAATTCTTAGTGAACGGGGAGCTGGAATCAGGTAGTGGGGTTTGATATAAAGTGCGTCTCATTTTTTTTTTTTTTTTTTTTCTCTGCTTGTCTGCCTGTCTGCCTGCCTTCCACTATCTCCTCGCACTAAGATATCTCGTGACGCTGGGTGCAAATTTCTTGTGTGAAACGAAAAGAGGAACAATATAAAGTAGAACATAATTGTAAACCAGATTCATTGTTGAATGGAATGAACCGGGATTCTGACTTTTTACTTATTTGTGTGTATTTGACCTATTAATCATTCATCCGACGGTAGAGCTCGTCCACCCTTTGTTTGGTTAGCTTCACTATCTCCTCAAACTCCTGCGAGGCATACTCGTCTGCAAAATGAGTCCGATCCAGCGACTTGCTAAAATTTGGTATCTTGCCCAGACTCCGCAGATTGATCCAGCTCCACACCCGTGCCTCCTTCACCATCCGCTTCTGCTTATCGTTGATGTATCTATCCTGGCCGGGTATCACGTAGAAGTTGTTGTTACCGAATTTGAGAAGCCTGGCTGATTCGTCTGCATCGTTGATCACAGGGGTTTTGTTACCCGAACCTCCAAACAAAAACATTAAAATCCAGGTGTAGACCAACGAACCTAGAATGAGGATAATAGCGCCAAGCAAGGTTTCGCTGACATTAGGGATAGCAACTGGTACGGACTTTCCGATTGTTTCGCAAAGATGCGTTACCTGCTCAATGAGCGAAGCTTCTTTGGCGGGCTCTTGTGGGGTTTCTTCTGGTGCAGACTGCTTCTTTGACTTGGATCTCTTCCGCTTCTTCTTTGTTCCGCCATCGCCTTGGTCAAGAATATCAGCAACGCCTTCAGATAAGCTCTTCATCGAGTCTTTCTGACCATCGATACTTCCCTTCTCAATTGCACCCTTAATCCATGATTTTCCAGACCATTCGATCGACGTCACAACATGCATATCCGTAGCGTTGGATTCAGCCCATGACAAAAGAATCGTCGTCACAATTTTGAACACATTGCCCAGCGGCACGTCTGGTGTTTGGGTGATCTGCTCCACATGTATGTACTTCTCAAAATCACAATGCACCAATCTTTCAATGATGTTGCATTTCGTGTTTTTGGGACCGATGGGACCACTCAATGGCTTCAGGTATTGGTACTTTCTCTCCTTCCTTTTCTCGGACAACGGAACAATCTTCTCCTTCTCAATATCGTAATTCTTCTGGTCTTCCAAAATCTTCACATAATGTTGCGTATCGGGACCAAAAAGTATGCTGAAGACCACTCCCGGTGGCGCTTTGAAGGTGTGGTCAAGCACAAACACATCATTGCTCTCGTCTTCTCGATCGGCCTTTGTAGGTTCATGCTCGGCAGGACCTGGATTCTTCAAACCGTGGAAGTCACCCCCAGATTCTCCTTTGGAGAAACCCTCATCGTCGCCGTCCTCTAACCCCTTTTTATCTTCGTCCTCTTCTTCTTCATCTTCTTCCTTTTCATCGTCAGTCTTAGCTTTCGACGACGACCGATCTCGTGGTCCTTCACTATCCTCGTTGGAAGTTAGGGACTCATCCTCTTCGTTTTCACTGCCACTTTCCGCATCACTCTCTTCATTAGCACTCTCGTCCGGGTCGGATCCATACAGTGTTCTGTTACTGACACGAGAGGCACTGCGAGCACGGCCGTTTGGCTTGTGATCGGTCTTGCCCAGCAAAACATCATGCCATACCCTTGTGATTTGAACAAATGTTGTGTCTCTAGAAATGAATGTTGCGAAAACGTACTTCTGGTGGAGTGTTCGGATAATCATACCGTTCGGAAAGAGCACAGCAGTGGACTTCTTCTCTATCTGAATGACTTCCTGAAGAGGAATCACAAGATGCGTTACCCAACCCAAGATATTAGAATTGAAGCAGATATAGTTTTGGGTGAGGTACATTTTACCCTGAACGAGTATGTCTTTAGACAAGGCACATGAATAGTCGGCGATAAGGCGCTCGGATTGTGGGATCTTTTTGAAATTGTGATGGAATTCCTTGTTCTTTTTGGAACTTGCAAAGGAGACGTCTGACGACTCGAGCATCTTGTCCAATTCCTGATTGGACGAGTCAGACTGGAGAGACAGGTCGTCGTTGGTGCTCTCGTTTGAGTCGAGTTCGGAGTTTCTTCTCTTACGCTTCACGATTTTTGAGTCCTCGGTTCCCAGCACGGAGAGAATACTCTGGCTGTTCTTCTCAGTGTCGTCAATTGCCAACAGCGGTACATCCTTGCTACCGACCGCAGTTTTACTGTCAAAGTGCAGAAGCTGTAAATCACCGTTTCCCATAGTGTTCAAAGGAGAATCGTGGACTGGTTCGAAATGCACGTTGGAGGTCGACAAACGTGGCAAGGCCGGGAACTTTGCAGCAAGACTGCCACCCTCATGCTCGTGAGAATTGCCCAATGAAACATTACTATGGTCATTGTGGCTTCCCGTGGACGTACGTGAAACTGGATTCAGAAGCGTCGGTGAACGGGGCGAGGGCTTTAAATGCTTAGACTGCTTTGAACTTGGGGACAGATTTTGGCGTGTGTCATCCTCCTCGTCGCTCATCACCATATTAGCGACATTGTGGGCGGCGGAAAGGAACGACGATATGAAACCATTGCTGTTGTGCTTTGACTGTTTTTCTGTTAATTCTGTCTGAGACATGAGCTAAGGGCAGCTGCTGTTCCAGTCGATGAATATATTTGAGGGATGCCGAAGTTACCGTTTAAGGCGGGGCAACTGGCTATATGGATTGGCGAAGGAATTGCTGTATGTTGACGAAAGAATCAATGGTAGGCCGCAACCTTAAGCAGTATTTGTTGAACTTGGAGAAGTATGCCCAGAACAGCAGAAGTGATGTGGTGCAGGCAGCGCAGGTATCTCTGTTTTAGAGGTTGCGAATTATTATATGAGGCCCCTATAGCGCGGGCCCTTCTGTGGCAGCAAGTAAGAAATTGGGCAGCACAGGAGGAGTAGGAAAAATCAAGCCTAGACTAATGGACTAGCTGTGGGGTCAATTGGTGGGGCTTTATGCGTGATGGCAATTGATCCATCAAATTCGAGGCTTGGGCTGGTCGATGAGTGAGCAGGTTGATGGTGTAGGTAAGACGAGCTTGCAGATGGGAGCAAACGAAAGAAAAAGGAAACCGTGGGCTCGGGCTTTTTTTTTTTTTTTTTTTTTGTTTTTTTGGGGTGAGGCTTCCTGGGACCCTGGGTCTAAATGTGGTTTTGTGACTACTTCTGTGCTTGGCTTACTCCAAAAGGTAAGCAACCTCCGGTCCCTCCGGCCTCGGAGATGCGTACTGTAAAAAAGCATAACTTTTATTGAATCGAAAAAAGGAGACGAAAGAAAAAATAAGGTATAAAGCGTCTAGAAGACCTGGCCCAAGTACAGCTCCACGGCCTTGGCCTGCTTGTAAGAAGCATCGTAGTCAATGGAAAAGACAGACACTGGGGTCTTACATTTCTGGTGCTTGATCACCCAGGACTCGGAAGGCAAGTCACAGTCACCAAAGATACACTCGGTAGGAGCCTTAAAGTAGCCGTCAGCGGATTTAACCTTACCGTCAACGTACTTCAAGTTAGAGGCTGGAGAGTCCTCACCAGACAAACGAGCGAAAACGTAAGCTGGGTCAAGACAGTCCCCGTCCTCGTCACCAACCTCTGGCAAGTTGACATTAAGACCGGTGGTCTTTGGCAAAACTCTAGGGCGAGAAGAAGACTGGTTGAACAAACCGTCCACAAGCTCAACAACCTTCTTACCGTAGATGACCGGAGTGAACTTGTCGTCGTCGAACCTGTGCTCATCGTCCTTGAAGAAAGAGTTGTTGCTGTTGGAACCAGAGAAGGCAATGGCTGGGTAGCCTCTGATCACGGAAGCGTAGGTAGCACCAATAGTACCAGACAAGGTGTACATACCTGGGGACAAGTTGAGACCCTCGTTAGGACCGGCAACAACCAAGTCGACGGTCTTGTTGTCAAAGTGCTGAGGAATGACGTAGTTCAAGCCGAAAGCGACACAAGAGGCTGGGGTACCGTTGAAGTACCAGATGCTCTGGTCGTTGTCCTCGTGGCCCCAAGATGGGGAGCCAGCTGGAGGGTAAGAGAACTCACCATCGGTCTCCAAGGTCTCGGAGGTTGGAACGGCGAATTGACCACCGAAACCAGATCTCTGGGAGACAGGAGCAACCAAAATCACCTCGTAGCCGGCATCCTTAAGGGCGTTGTAGGTGGCACGAATGTTGGTGGCGGCCCAGCCGTCATCGTTGGTAAGAAGGATGGTCTTCTTGTCGTCTTCTCTCTTTTCAATTGGAGCGGCGAACACAGAAGTGGCGGCGACAAAGGCGCTGGCGATGGTGGAGAGCTTCATGGTAGAGAAAGATGGTTCAGGAATTGAGGGAACTGGGGCACTATTTGTACCCCAACCAAGCCCTCTCGATGCCCCCTATGGCTAAGTGGCTGCAACTTTTCACTGTTGCATACGGGACGCAAGGCTGCTGCACGGCCCTGTCATCATGCACACTCGTCTCATTTGGTATTGGAAAACGTGGGTATACCTTGGGGTCGAGGGTGCAATTTCCGGTGACCAAAAAAAGATGGATACATGAAGTTGTGAAATGGTGAAAATATTGATGGTAGTAACGATATTGAAGGGGTTGGGGATTGTCAATGGCTGCAAATGGTGTGTTTGACATACCTCCCGCTCCACCTGACACAACCTTATCAGTGGTTCCTGACACTAATTACCCCTAGCGCACATCACAACGCCAAGACCATGGATTCCGCTCTCTAAGGAGCCGTTTATTAACAACACATCAGTGCTTCGGCTTGAGGTTGCTTAGTAGGCACCAGGACCATGTGGTAGTGGAAAGGAGACATGATCTCAACAGAACCCTTCAAAATCCATATCAGTGGTGTGTCGTATTCTGGCTCGGTTGCGCTTAAGCGTCGTACTTCATCATGATGGGAGGCCGTTTTGGGCAGGGAGGCACGTGGAGATTGACGTTTTTCCTAAATTGCACCTAATTGGCCTTTCTGCGGCTGCGACATGAGGCCTCACCCCAACGCCTTAATCTCGAGCCGAGCGGATGCGGATATGCACTAAACCCATGCACTGACTGGGCGCTTAACTTTTTATTGCAGCCATGGTACCAACGTGGTTCTCTGGAGAAAACCCAACAAGGCACAATATAAACAGGCCACAGGCACAAGGAGGCATCGGGACATATACAGCTCCGATTGGGAAGGATTTGCATAGAACGGGATGCTGATTAGTGGAGGTGTGAGAGTGCTGCTTTTGCACCCATTTGTGCGGGCATCTTCTACCGAATCCCGGCTTAGCGCTTCGACGGTATTATTCTGGAAAATGGAAAAGTGATTTTGTGGCGGTGTCGGCATGGCGTGAATTTTGTCGTTTAGTTAGAGGCAGGGTGAATGTCTCAAGTGGTTGATCCGAGCAGCCTATGGTGATCGTATTGTGTGGGTGAGGGTCAATGGCAGACATATTCCACTCCATAGTTTTTGTATGTGGGATGATTTGCACCCCACAATTGCAATATTAACGGCTGCAATTTTAGTGTGTCGGACTTGTCATCTAACATCAGAGTTAATGGAAGGCTCTCCGGTTGTATTCCCAGGGATGGTATGGGTTGTCTATCTTCATATGAGTAACGCTCGGGTTTATGTCATGGCCAACGAGACCGATATGACCTCAATCCGCCCACCAAGACACCAATTACCACCAATTCGAACATTTTGATCTTCAAAGTTCATAAAAATTGAGGCCTGACGTTGGGGTCTCGTGTCGGATTTAAGTTGGGTTTCTAGGACGCGGCGTTTGGCTGCAAATGCGTGGGCCCTGTCGGCAGTTGACTACCGACGGCGTTGTTTGAACAGCTTCAGCATCCAAAATCGAAGAAAACTGTATTTTCTCGAACTTCCATCAAGATCATAGTAAACGTATGAAAAGCTTTCCAGATGCCTCTACTGCAAGATGGATCGACCGGTCGCGCCATCTCTTACCAGGTTGAGGGCTCTTGACAACGGCTGCAAAGTGTCACTTCAAGTCGCAACATCGGCCTCAATTTCAACGATTCTTCTGCATCACCCACATAGTTCAATGTTTTCAAAACATCCTCTTTTTCATAATAAATTAGGGTTTCCGGTCACTTTGGACTACACCACCTCGCTAGTGTGGGGGAGAAGATAGTCACATGACGAAGCCTCGGTTTCGCGATCCCCATAGTGAACTCACAGTCAATCCAACCAGAATAACAGTTGACACTTAACGGATTCCAGGCAATCTCCATCAAACATATTATGCCTGTATTCCCGACTGTGGCGGCTTTCTTCCGCAGACACAAGAGAAAGCTCCTCTGGACGTCTGCCGTGGGGTTTTCCGTGTACTTGCTTGTCAACCAGTTCGTCATCAAGCGCTTCCGGAACTTTCAGAATTCATTGAAGCAGGAGCTTTTTGTTAAAGAGCAAATCAGACGTCGTTTCATCCAGACCCAGCAGGATTGCTACTTGACAATTTTGGCCTTGTTGCCAGTATTGACTCAGCCGGTTCTCAACTTCTTGCCCACGGAGGCAATCACCCTGGCTCTCAAGAGAAAGAAGAATACTAACAAGGAGATGAGCGACTCGCTCACTACTGAGAATTTGATGGCCCATTCCAGCCAGGATAACGTCGCATCTTCGTCCGACTTGCTGGCTTTCTTGTCCAAGTCCAAGCTTGAGTTGTGGCACGACTTGAAGGTCAAGTCCATCTCGAGAATGCTTGCCCTCATCTACTCGGCAGCGGGCTTGCTTTTGCTCACGCGTCTCCAGCTCAACATCTTGGCTAGAAAGGCATACCTTGAGCTGGCCATTGTCATGGCTGGTGGCTCGGTGCCTCAGAACTCGCAGTCCTCGTTTGACTACTTCATTGAGCAGAGCTACCTTTCCTTGAGTTGGTGGCTTCTCAACCACGGCTGGATGCGTATGGCAAACGGCCTCGAGAGTCTTGTGGAGAGCAAGTTCAAGGAGATTACCCCCAAGACCGAGTTGTCGGTAGACACCTTCACTCAGATGCTCCTGGAGATCAATGCTGGAATCATTGCGGACGGCCTGCTCGTGAAGAACCTTTTGTTCCCTACGGAGTATGACAACTTGATTGAAACGCTCATGAACACCAACCCCGAGCTCGTCAATGAACTCGAGAACCAGGATTCCAACCTTGTGAAACTCATCAACGAAACCAACTTCATCATCTCCAATGACTTCACCTTGCATGTGTTCTCGTCGCTTGTGAGAAATGGAGTGGACACTTTGGGCGACAGCATTTCTGTGGCGCTCAACCCGGACAATAAGCCAGGCAGGTTGCACAAGCTCGCTACCTTTTTGGCCCAGTTGTCTGTCCAGTCCAATGTCATCTGCGACCCCCAGAACGCCGAGGTAGACGGGGAGGTCACTGGAAACATCTACATCAACAACTTTAACGACTTAGACGAACTTGATGAGTTCAGCGCCAGTATCTATTCAAACTTTGAATAACCAGTTTCATGATATATATATAACCCGAGAACATGTGTAGAGAGTGTGTATGGGATAGTGCACCTGCGATATATCGCAAGTGCGGGTATAGCGTAAGAACCAACTACACATAACCAGACATGCCTAAGGTTGTGATTATTTCCTCTGATGAGGAGAAATTTCCTGTTGATGTGGAGGTGGCCACCAAGTCCGTTCTTATCAAGAACATGATTTCTGACTTGAAGCCCGATTTGGAAGAGGACGACGAGGACTTCGAGATCCCAACTCCCAACGTCAGAGCCAACGTTTTGGCCAAGGTTTTGGAGTGGTGTGAGCACCATAAAAACACAATCTTCCCAGATGATGACGACGAGGATGCCAGAAAGTCGGCTCCTGTGCATTCGTGGGATAGAAACTTCTTGAAGGTCGACCAGGAGATGTTGTATGAGATCATCTTGGCTGCCAACTATTTGAACATCAGACCCTTGTTGGATGCCGGCTGTAAGATTATTGCCGAGATGATCAAGCACAAGTCCCCCGAGGAATTGAGAAAGACGTTCAACATTGTGAACGACTTCAGCCCTGAGGAGGAGGCGGCTATCCGTAAGGAGAACGAGTGGGCTGAGGACAGGTGATCATCAGAGCCCCCTAGCTGGAGCGAGTCTATAGTGGAATGAATGAATAAAGAAAAGAGGGAAAGGATGGTGGTGGACTGTAGGAAGGTTTAGTAAGCAGGGTCCGGAAATATCTAAAAGTGGTCCTGGCAGTCCTCCTCATTATTTGTAGCTTCACTATGAAGCCCATAATTTACATTATCTAAAACCCTAATTCGTTACGTTTGTTGGTGTAATCAATGTTTCCCGTTGCAGCCGTGCAGGCAGCAGATTTGCAGACGATGGTTCGCAGAAAGTTTCGCATCCATTTGCAACTACCACAGCACTATGGAGCACCAGGAGCCTGTGGTGAGGCAGGAATTGGAGGAATCGACGGGCAATGTGCCTAGTGAGTCCAACGAGCCCACTCCTGAAATCCCTGTTTTGGAAAGTGGACCAGAGGTGCCTCAGGGACCTTTCGACCCTAGCACCATACTCGACCTACCGGCCATGTCACTGGACAAGTTAGCAATTATTGAGGCTCTGCTAGCGGCTGAGTTTAATTCGCTTTCCAAAGAGTACGTGGACGCCCGGGCCGAAAGAACAAAATATTTGCTCAGTATCATAGACGAGCTGATTCTGGCTGCGGAAAGTCATGACCGAGAATGGAGCACGATATATGGGGAGAAAACAAAAAACCTCGAAAAAGTCATTGCAGCCCCTGAACACTACTTGCTTGGAATGTCGGAAGAAAAATACAATGATGAAACCCTTCGAGCTCTGGTAGCGCTGATTGTGGCTCCAAAGGATCTAGACGACATTGCAGCCCGCAACGATAAACTACCTTTTGCACAGCATTTCAGAAAAATATCAAAGCCCTATGAAACACAACTACAAGCTCTGCGAAACCAGTACGACTACCAGAACGCCTTGATTGATAATAATGTTACACGCAATAAGGAAATCATTTGGGAACAGTACCTTCAGGCTATGCTCGATCGTCGCGACGACCTCATAGAAAAAACACACCACGAGCTTGCCAAATTATACGAAGAATTTCACGGAATCAGAGCGGAACGCTCCGCAATTCTGGATTGGAATCACTACTTTAAGTCGGTGGTGCCCGTCAGCGAAATGGCCGACTCGGAGCCCCACCTGCAAGTACGTCTAAAGCGGGAAAACGTCGATTCTTATTACGACATTGATAATCGCTATTTCAAGAAGAATAAGATCCAGTTGACCAAGGCCAAGATGGATGCGCTCGAGAATTTGCGAGAATTTGAGGCCAAACAACGTGGCCATGGCATGCCTCATCATGAAGAAGCAACTGTCAAGCTTACCTCTTGCTCTGGCCTTACCCAGGATGAGGTAGATGCCGATCTCGAGGCCCTACGTAGCAGCAGGCTGCACGACAGAGGGGAGGCCAACCATACAAAGGACGAACCAGACGTCGCTTCTAAGCTGCACGTTAGTCCGCCGCAAACCAAATTGGAGTCAGTGTCACCACAAGCCTAGTGTTCACAATTGCGACTAGATCATTCCTTTTCAAGCAAGATACTGGCATTCTTGAGACCCATAGCACCAATCGTCTCGTGAAGAGACTCGAGCAATTTGGGCTTGCCCACACTGGAGATAGTGAATCTGTCCGACAGACTAATACCGTAAGCGGACTCCTCGGCATCTGCGAGCACTTGTTTCAACCATTGAAAAATGGTGAGAACAGAATCGTTCTCGAAATCAAATTTATGAATGAGACGTTTACCATTTGGGAACCTGAACTGTATTCTTGTGACCGAACCAGCCGTAGGCTCCGTATGACTCTTGGGCTCAATGCTCTCGAATGCATCTTTTTCCTCTGCGGGCTCTTCCGCTGCCTCCTCTTCGTCGATTGCAATGGCATCTTCTGCCGTCTTGCCCTCGGTAGCAGCAGCGGACTGCCTCATTGCAAACTCGATCTGCTGCTCCTCGGACATCGCGTCAGGATCGAACTTGACCTCGTGTTTAACGTGAGGATTGTTGGAGCCGGGAACAAGCGAGAATTTCTCCAAAAAGAGCTCGACATCTGCAAGCCACTCCTCAGGATCTGGTACCTCACCATCGGTCCATTTCTTGACCCTTTCACCTGTCATCGGATCTAGGATGGAGATGTGTGGGTAGCTGTCTGTATGATAGAAATTGACGTAGGACTCGCCATTGACGGAGTCATGCTGAAATTGGAGGAAGATAAAGTTTTCCTTGACACACTTCTTGATTTCGGGTTTAGACCAAAAGTCTCTATTCAAAACCTGGCACTGGAATTCACTCTGGTCCTGGATATTCATGAGGATCCACTTCTTTTCGGCTCGACCCTTTTGTTTAGCACCGTCTAGGTTAGTGCGCTCAATGAGGTCAAATGGTGGCTTGAAAAGTTGTGCAAGTCTTCTTTGTGTAGATGTCAAGTCATTCATTCTTTCTTGACGAACTCTGGACCTTCTATTTCTGGGTGGCAATGTTTCACGATCTAGATCGACCACGCCTTCCTCATCATCTTCGTCATCCAATTCCACGATCTGTGGCTCATCCGAATCATCAGCGTCGTCATAGTCCTCCATATCATCCTCCTCCTCAAAGCGCTGATTGAACACGCCTACACGTCCCCGGCCAAACATATCCTGGATTCTGTCGACGGGATTTTGCATGGCACCTAAATCTGACCAGGAATCCATCAATGTCTCATGACGATGGACATTTGTGTCCGCATCTCTGACATTTTCCTGGTAAGCTTCTTGTTGGAGCCTCTGGGCGATATCTTCGTCATTCGAGCTGGCTCCAGCATTGCCAGATGAGCCACCGGTGGCTCCATTTGCACCCGACTCCATGAAGAGTTGCACGGCATATTCGACATTGTTACCGGTCAACTCTAAAAACCGTTGAGCAGTTGCTTCGTCTTCTGTGCCTGTAAACGCCAAGAACGTGGCTATATCGTTATCCATAGCAGGCAATGGGATGAAACTTGGTGGTGTAGCTGGACGGGAGCGGTTGATATAGTGGACCTGCTATGGTACTGCAGATGGGCACCAGTTGTGGCGATCCAGCAAACCAAAGGCAACAATGGTACAACAGTAATTATAAAATTTGCAGAATCATAAGATAACGACTTGATTCAGAAATCTTCAATTGATCTATTTTGTAGTGGATTTCGGTGATACACTCGTCAGGGTACTTGGCTGCGAAACGGCAACCCACGCATGCCGAGATCAGAACACAATGCCCTTTCATCATTTAAGGGATTCGTATTCTTCCGAAAAGGGGGCCTTTGCATTTATTTCGTGAACCTCCTTGCGGTCAATGGGCCGTTTCGATTCATTTTTTTGTTGCTCACTCGAAAAATGTTATGTCAGTTCTACTGCTTGTTTAAACCGTTTTCGCAACCGTTCACTCAACGTGCAAAAACATGCACAACTACAAATCATGTCAGCAGAAATAAAAACTTGAGGGATTCAACAATTTATCCTTTCACGTCCAAAAAGTTCAAAAATTAAGAAACGATAAGCATTTTCTTGGATCTTACCCCTGTAGCAAATATTGACCGCATGAGGACCAGCTTAGACCCACACCCGTGCCTCCTGTATGACGACATTGTCGTAGTGCGATCTGTGTCACGATCGATACTGAAGAAGGGTATAGACGTTTGAACCTTTTTAGCAGCACTATAGTTGATCTCCCACTAGCAGCAAGCGTGTGTTTGATATCCCAACACAAGCACCACTTCAGCGTGAGAGCAACCTACGAGTGTTCCGCATTCCTCCCAATTCCACCAGATTCGCTTCTGTTTTACCCCAACTTCAGCATCTCGAAGCGCCTGTCACCTTCACCATAGCATATACACCTGTCGATATCAACTCAACTCGGATCTTACGGCGAATCAACATCATCCAAAGCGCAATTACGACCCCTTTGAACATTCTCACCCTTGTACATTTTTATGCAATCCACTCATTATTCATAAGATCCATCATCTGCACTAAGGAACCTGCTTTGCTTTCATGGAACAATATAATCGATACGACCGGGGCGACCTATTGAAGGAACGCTATCTCAAGGTTGCCGATATCAGCGAAGGCTCATATGGGTTGGTGTCTCTTGCAAAGGACACCACTCTCGACAACAAGTTGGTCGCGGTCAAATTCATTTTTCCTATTGACTATAAGCGAACCAAGGAGTTGAAAGAGCTTTCAAAAACTGGAAGAGCCACTTCCTCTCCGGCAAAACTTAGATCCAATGCCGCCCCTGTTGTCGAGAACCAGCCTTCTCACAACACGACGTTGAAAGCACTCTATGAAGAGACAAATAAAGAAATACGCATCCACCAAATTCTTGGTGCTCATGACAACATAACAAACTTAATTGACTACTTCGATTCCTATCTTGTGCTCGAATACTGCCCTAGAGGTGATTTGTACGAGGCTGTTCAAAATGGACTTGGGCCCAGCACTTCGCAGGATATCAAGGATGTATTCAGCCAAATCCTTGACGCCTTGGTATTCTGCCATTCCAACTCGGTATATCATAGGGATTTGAAGCCAGAGAACATATTAATCGACCAAGACTGGTCGATCAAGATTTGCGATTGGGGTCTTGCCACTACTCAAAGGGTAATCACCAACAAAGCAGAGTTTGACATTGGTTCCGAGCGTTACATGGCTCCTGAACTTTTTGATACTGAACAAGAATCTTACGATGCCGCCAAAGTTGACTTATGGTCAGTTGGCGTGATTCTTCTCACTCTTGTCTTCCACAAGAACCCCTTCCAAGTTGCAAACTACACTGACAAGCGCTTTCTTCAATTTTCTGCCAATAGAGAAGCGCTCTTTGACTTTTTCAGCAGCATGACAGGTGAAATGTTCAGCACGTTGAGATTCTGCTTGAACATCGATCCGACAAACAGAGATTTAGAAAGCTTGAGGCATGAGCTAGACAACCTCAAGTTCTTCACCATTGATGAGGAGTATTGGGCAGAACATTCTGATGAAGAAGAGAATGGTTACGAAGAAGACTATTATGAAGAGGGTACCGCTACCACCCAAACCAACGAGGGGCCCGAGCAGGTTCTTGAGTCAGATTCAGACGACGAGATGTTCAAGTTTGATACAGAGACAAAGGAGATCTCACCTCCCGAAGCTCTTGTTGCGTCTCCAGTGTTAGACAATGGCCCTCATATCGTTATTGATGACGAGGTTAAACTACTTGAATCCAATTCGGAAGCTAGCACAGCGTTGGACACTGACTCAATCCAGAGAGATGATAGCATGCCGTATAACCGCCGTGCCGATGCACTTTTATCACCCGATATGGGAGCTCGCCCTATTCCTATCAGCGCAGGGCAAAAGCTCATCAGAAACACGAGAAAGCCATTTGGCGTAGCTTCTTACAACAAGGGAGCTTTCAGTACCAGAAATGGCTTCAGTCACTACGGAAATTCAGGCAGTGTAAACAGCGGCAGCTTTGGTGCGAGATTTCGCCGTGAAGACTTCTTCACACCAAGAAGTGTCTTCAATCACTACATGGACAAATATGGTGAGCAGCGCGAGCATGAAAGGTCAGAAAAGGATAAGAAAAGAAGATGGAAACGTGGTCGCAAGAAGCAATCATGGAAGCGTGGCAACGGCTACGATGGACACCGGAATGGTAACCTGCTTCGCAACACTTCCAAGCGTCATAACCATTCTTCTGGACATCAATACAATGACTCCGGTCGACGGAAGTATGTTCCAGGAAAGAGACGCACAAGACCGGAATCGATGCAATCTCCACTGTTACAGCCACAAGGAACCACTCGTGCAAATGGCAAGTATGTGCCTCCAAACTTAAGGTCTCCCTTGGCCAAAGCTACTGATCATCTCGCCACAGAAGTTGATAGCATGAACTTGAACGACGATCCTGTGTTTCAACTTGAAGGCGACTTCAATGTGGCTAGCAATGGTTCGAATCCTGAACCAAAAGAGAAAGACACCCTCAATGGAGTTAAGAAGCCTTTATTCAACACAATGTACGTTCAGGCTTCGGACTCAAATGACAGCGCCCGTTCCAGGACTCATATGAACGGCAATGACAAAGGAAAATACATTCCTCCATTCAGAAGAGGTTCACACACTGGTGCCATGCAACTGGCGAACTCTAAGCCTATCAACGGATTCATGAACGGTTCTCATCATGCAGCCTTGCAGGGACAAAGCTATTTGCATGATCGTACAAACTCGTTCAAACGCCGTTCGTTCCAACCTGGATTCAGCTCATCGTACGTTAAGTTCCAAAACGATCTTGACGAGACTTCTCGAAGCGTACCGGGACACAATTGGATTGAACAGAGTAAGAATCGCCCTGATTTTGACTAGTCATACGTTCGCGATAGCTACGGTTAACCGTTCGCATGATCTGGCAACCGGTTGTACCTCTTGATGCATCAAAACCGATATGCACTACAAAATATAGAAAAGCTAATTCATAACGAATGATACGAAGAACTCATCAACTTGTAAGTCGTTCAATTTTGTGTTATCGCTTCACAGAGCTTTAAAGCAGATCCCGCAAACCACCAGTAGTCTTTGAAATACTTGAGTTTTTGAAGACACCGTTGGGACATTTGATCATAATACTCCTTAAATGATGTCTTTTGAGCTTCTGATCCATAATGAGTATTCAATTCGAGCTGTAGAAGAGCAACAACATGAAGCACGGCGTGCACCATGACTATATGGTGTAGCACAGGTGACAGATCAAGAGTATCAAGAACCAAGGCTGATGTTTGATGGATCTGATCGATCGTCAATACTAGCTGTTCGTCGAATGCAATTGACATTGCGGTGTTGTGAAGCAGGAGGGCCACGGAATCAATACCCTTTCGTAAGTAAAGTAAGCAAAGATAAGCATGCGTAATTTTTAGGAAGCCCAACTTCTCTGCGTCATGTTTAATTTCATGAGGGGACCAGTTTTCGAGGTCTTTTTGTAATGCATCGTCTTGTGTTCTGTTTGATGGTGGTCTGTAGAGGGCCGACTGAATCCTATCCACTAGCATACAAAGCTCATACCAAGAGTAGAAAACATTAAAGTCACTTACTTGGTGAGGGCCTTCATCAAAGTCTGCTACGGTCAATGGCTCCACGAAGAAATCATGAACGTTGAAGATCATTTCTCGACCACTGGTAGCGGAAATTTGCCTGTCACAACAATAGGTTGTCCACAAGAGTCGTTTGAGAAGCTCTCGTTGGAACATTTGTCCACTTTTTGGAAATGGAAATCGAATGATCTCTTCCGAGAATCCCATATTTGTTATTGCGAGCTCCCCACATAGATTGCATGCTTTGGCGACAAATTCTTTAGAGGAGGTGACGCCTTCCATGCCCTCTTCGTGTGTGGAAAGCAATATGTAAACTTGGATCAACACAACCTTGTTTGTCTCAATCAACTCGAGTAATTTGCACCGGTTGTAGAGAACAGCTAGGCGCTCTCGAAGCTGGTTTTTGTGAATGGAGGTGTCGAATCTGGTTGCAGCTAAAAATATAGCATTGAGTAGAATTATGGGCTGGTTCTTGAAGTCATCTTCAATATTTCGACTCACCACCGGGTATAACGGATAAAGATGATCAAGATAGAGTCTCACTAGTCTGCGTTGTTCTGCAGCACTAGGCAAGGCAAAGGCATTCTCACTAGCTAAGTACTTGTTCAAATTGGGATTGACCTTAGCAGAGCTCTTGGCTTCTCCTCGCCATGGATAGTATAATCCGTATGCGTCACCATCAAAGCACAAGACCGAGTCTTTACTTAGAAATGATGCCAATGGCTGTGTAGCACACACGAACTGTGGTTTTCTTTGGTCTCGATCTCGAAACATTTTAAGAAAGGTATCCTCGTCCAGATCATTGTGTGCTTTTGGCTCTAATGACAAAGTGTTCTTTTTGTCCCACTCACATTTAAGTTTTCCCTGATTGCATCGAACACAGTTCTTCTCTCCAGCAACGACCTCGCATCTTCGCTTACTTGAGCGACATGACAAACATGCATTGTGAGCACGCTGGAGTTAGTGATTTCCTCTAGATCTCTCATAAAGAACATACCTCTCTCTTCTTGATAGGGAACAGGGTCACGAGAAAAGTCATGTTGTAGAAGCAGACTCGGTAACGGGAGGTTTACCATACTCGGAGTGCGGGCGGGTTACCGAATCGGGACAGCGGTGGAGATTGTGGGGCAGAGGTATATGCCGTCAAAATGGCTGCAAACCGAGCTGTCACGATGCCTTGAAGAATATAAATACACCAGCATCGGAAGCACTTATTCTTCATCAAATAAATTCAAACATGCCATCTGCTACTACCGAACTCAAACACTTTGATCTCTCCAAGGCCACAGTCAGGCCCGACGGAGACATTTCTACTTCTTTCAACTCGTTTGGTAAGGGAGAGACATATGACAGCTCTTTCTGGGCAGACATCAAAAAACTGTTAATCAAGGATCCTGTTGCTTTTAAGGAGAGTTGGTTGAGACTCAAGGAGGCTTTTGCCAAGGGCCTCGAGGAGATAAAGGAGAAGAGAGGCGACATCATCCCATCGGTGTCCATGGACGAGTTGTCTAACATGGACAAACTGAAGAGGGATGAGATCTTGAAGAGAGGCTGCGTTGTCATCAAAGGCGTGATTCCAGAGGAGGAGGCTGTCGGATACAAGGAGGACGTTCTCAAGTACGTGGAGAAGAACCCTCAAACCAAAGGTTTCCCCCAGCATGCTAAGGTCGTCTATGAGCTCTACTGGTCCAAGCCCCAGGTGCAAGCCAGAGCCCATCCCAATTTGAGAGAGGCCAGCAGATTCATGAATAACCTTTTCCATGCTGATCCAGACGCCAAGGTCCTTCTTGACCAGAACATCTCCTACGCAGACAGATTGAGAGTGAGAATGCCTGGTGACGCCTTGTTCATGCTTGGTCCTCACTCTGACGGTGGGTCGCTTGAGAGATGGGAGGACCCAGCCTACAGTGCATGCTACCAGAAAATCTTTGATGGGAAGTGGGAGGAATTCGATCCCAACGATGCCACTCACAGAATCAACGCCAATATGGAGAAGTATGCATCCAACGGTAACTGCAACATCTTCCGTGCGTACCAGGGCTGGTTGGCCGTTTCCGAAGTGGCACCAAAGGAGGGTTCTATTCTTTTCGCTCCTTTGGTCAAGGAGGTTACTGCTTACTGGATGATGAGCCCATTCTTTGACGAAAACGATAACCTCAAATTGGACTCCTCCTTGCCAGGCACCTTCCCAGGAAAGAGTCAAGAGTTCAACAACGAGACCCACCCTGGTCTTCAATTGGACGACTTGATGGTGCCTGTGCCTCGTGTTAACCCTGGAGATATGGTCTTCTGGCACTGTGACTTGATCCATGCCGTGGACCCTATCCACGAAGGAACCCACGACTCTTCTGTTTTCTACATCCCTTCGGCGCCATTGTGTGACATCAACGCAAAATACGTGGCCATTCAGCGTGAAGCTTTCCTCAAAGGTCTTGCTGGACCAGACTTCCCAGGATTCCCTCACGGTTTAGCCGAGACCGAGCATGAAGGAAGAGCCACTAGTGAAGATGTTGAAGCTACGGGCGGCGTTGACGCTCTTCGTGAACTCGGCCTTGTTCCGTTCAGCGCAAAAAACCTCACGCCAGGCGAAGCAGCTATCGTCGAAGAAGCCAACAAGTTGTTGTTTTGTTAGGAGATTGGTGCCAGTTTGCAGCCAAAACTGTAGATAGCCGAACCAGGCACTAGCCGCTGCGGCTTCCTAAGTGAGGCGTTCCGCAGCCGAATCGCCTTCCCCTTCCAACACCCCGAGATACGTTCAGGCAGATTGCCCTCAATACATGTACTTTTAAACATCGATCGCTCTTCACTTATTTCCGCTACCTTCGCACATGCCTGCCACATTGTGGATTCTTGCAGATATCCCGCTAGACACTGCGTATTGCTAAGGCGCACCCTCCCCACTATATAAAGCCTTGGTTGCAACTCTTTTTTTCTTCACCACATTGAAAATGCCTGAATCCGTTTTTGTTTCCGGAGCCACTGGCTTCATCGCCCAGCACCTCGTCAAGCTCTTGCTCGAGAAGGGCTACAAAGTCGTCGGCACCGTGAGATCTGAATCCAAAGGTACCCACTTGTCCAAGTTGCTCAACTCTCCCAACTTTTCATACGAAATCGTTCCCGACATTGAGCCAGAGGGGGCTTTCGACGAGGCTTTGAAGAAACACCCAGAGGTGACTGTGTTTTTGCACACCGCCTCGCCATTCCACTTTAAGGCCACAAACTCCGAGGAGGAATTGCTCAAGCCTGCCGTCAATGGTACCAAGAACGCCTTGAAGGCGATTGAGAAGTACGGACCTCAAATCAAAAAAGTCGTCGTCACCTCCTCATATGCTGCCGTCTCCACTGCTGAGAAGGAGGGCGACGCTTCTCACACCAACAACGAGGACTCGTGGAACGAGATCTCTTGGGAGGAGGCCAAGAAGGATGCTTACGCTGGTTACCGTGGATCCAAGAAGTTTGCCGAGAAGGCCGCCTGGGACTATGTTGCCGAGGAGAAACCCAGGTTCGTGATCAACTACGTTAACCCATCCTTCGTCTTCGGCCCTCAGGCCTTTGACTCCGAACTCAAGGACAACTTGAACACATCCTCCGAAATCCTCAACGGGTTCTTGAAGATGAAGCCTGACTCAAAGGTGCCGGGAACCAGAGGTGGCTTCGTCGACGTCAGAGACGTGGCCAAGGCTCATGTTGTTGCGTTCGAGAAGAACCTCTCCAACGAGAGATTGTTGCTTAACGCCGGTAGATTCGCCGCCCAGGACATTCTTGACATCTTGAACGAGAAGTTCAGTGCCTTGAAGGGCAAGATCCCTGAAGGTAAGCCTGGCACTGGCAAGGCTGTGAACGACAGAATGTGCAAGATCGTGAACGACAAGACCAAGAAGATCTTGGGATTCCAATTGATCGACTTGGAGACCACTGTCTATGACACTGTCAAGCAGATTCTTGACGCCAAGGCTAAACTCTAGATACGTATATATGAAACTTTTTTCAGTTGGATGTAAGAATGGTTGCAAATTTATCAAGGCCGTCACCTGCACAGATTATGCGGTAGAGATATTCTCCAGTCTTTAGCTACTAACGGTTGGTCCGATGCCCCCACAAAATCCCATTTCCTCTATTTCAGAGGACTTCATAGAAAAACTTCAGCATTATGGGCCAGTCACCGCCGTTAAACTTCACGGAAAATTCATCTATGTTGGTTATGGCCCAGTTCTCAAGATCTTCAACCGCGATGAGCACGATGAGTTAGTCTTCAGCCAGCAGATCTTCAAGAGAAACAAGATCCACAGTATAGCCGTTCGGGGATCAAAAATAGCTGTGTCTGGAGGTCGTTCATTTGCTGTTTTTGAACCTTTCAACAATGAAGTGAAGGTAATAGAAAAAGCGATCAATGAGTGGATCATAGCGGTTGAATTCGTTGCAGAGACTCGTCTATTGCTCTTGACGTCGCATAATGAAGTCTTGGATATCGAAGTATCTGATGCTCCAGCATTCAAATTGCTTCAAAAGATTCATTGTAACGAGAAGTCAATCTTGTACAGCGGTTCGATCAGAGTTTTGAGCGATTCTTCAGTTTACATTGCAGCAGGCACAGTGATGCACGGAGTCATAATATGGAACCTATTTGATCGCAAGATTCTTCATAACCTCACTGATCACGAGGGTTCTATCTTTGGGGTGAAGATAGACCCTACTGGTCAATACATCATATCTTGCTCAGACGATAGATCAGTCAAACTCTACACTTTCGCAGGTGAGCTATTGGCCAGCGGCTGGGGACACGGATCTAGAATCTGGGCATTGGAATTTATCTCAGTCACAAATGGTGCTATACGATTGTTTTCCGCTGGTGAAGATTGTACAGTTCGTGTGTGGGAATACCTGGGTCAGTCAACATTGCAACAGCTAGCACTCTACGACCATTTCCATTCTGGAAAGCATGTTTGGTCTGGAGATGTACAGAGCGGCGATGATACCATATTCGTCACTGGAGGTGCAGACGGTAAGATCAGAGCGGAGAAGCTAGAAGTTAGCCAAACGCAATGCATTACACCAGAAACGATCGCAAACGCTGGCTATAATTTGGAGCCTAAGGAGGCTATCAAATCGTTCGGTGTCTTGAGCTCTGCTCAGTTTCGTTTGATAATCACGTCAAAGGGCAAGGTGTTGGTCAATGATTATCGTGAAGACACATGGAGAAAGCCTCAATTCGACGGCATCTCGGACGAGCAAATCTCTAGATTCAACATGCTCAAGACGTTTGAGGAAGCTCGTGCTTTCGCATTGTGCTCCGGTAATGGTGACGTGATTATCCTTGGTGTTGACGAGAAGAGACAATTGTATCACATTGTGAGAGCGAATTCTGAGACACCCAGAAAAATCATCAATGTCCTAGCAGCATCAAGTCCTGACGACGGTAGTATATCATTGCTCCTCAATTCCCCCATTCCAACTGAGCCCATGGAACTTTTGACTTTCGCTCAAGAACATGGAAAACTTGCATTCAGAAGTTCTGTTGGCCTCCAAAAGCCGGATCCACGGATTTTCATTCCCACTTCCTTCTATCTCGATGTGCTCAACGGCTGGGTATTAGTTGGCTCCCGTCACGCCAATTTTGCATTGTACGAGACAGCCCTGGCAGACCCACAGTTTCCCAAAATCACCAGAAAGTTGTGTTCTGGTGATACAATCACAACCATTAACAAAATTGAAAGCCATTCAGGCAAAATCGTGTCTTTGGTGACTCTCCGTGATGGTATCTACATCTTCCTCGAGGTTTCCCAATCAACATGTGGCCTCCAATGCTCTGCCATCCTTCAGAACAAGATCACCAAAAGTATAGAAGGCGGGTTCATGAGAGATGGCCATCTTTTTTTGTACGGGTTTAGCTCATCTTGCTTTTTCCTTTGGGACGAAACGAAACAGATCGAGCTCTCCAAGGAAGCTTGTGGTGGAGGTCACAGACATTGGGATGTTAGTGTAAGGACCGACACTCTTCAATTAGTGTTTTCCTACATGAGTCAAAGAAATCTCTTCGTGACAAATCTACAATCAAGCTGGGGTGCTACTAATGGTCTCTTAGCTGAAGGCACTCATGGAAGAGAGATCCGTGATGTTGCCATTTTAGACACTCTGGAGGAAGATGGCACCAAGCTTATGGTGACTGCTTCTGAGGATGCCACAATTAAAGTTGGAAAGCTTGATGCAGACGGAGGAGCAAACTACCAATTAACATTGAACAACCACATTTCTGGTCTACAAAGAGTTGGATTCTTGAGTTCGGATTACATTGCAAGTTCAGCTGCTAATGAGGAGCTCATAATCTGGAAGGTAACTCGTCTCCAGGGAGGATTGGTAGCCGTTATTGAAGTTGGAAGAGTAAAATCTAGCGAAGAGTTTCCTGACTTGCGTATCATGGATTTTGCTAGCAAAGAGACCGCTTCAGGCTTTTGGATTGCAACGGCTTATTCGAACTCAAGAGTTAAGTTTTTTTATTTTGACAAAGCTCAACTGCTTTTGCAAGAGCGTTCTGAAATTCCATATGGTACCGTTTGTGTGCTAAACATCGAGCTTCTTTCGTTTGATGCATCCACTTACGTTATGACAGGCACTTCAGATGGTAATCTTACGTTCTGGGATGTGAGTGGCATACTCAATGGCGAGAGTCTGATAACAAGCGAGCCGATTATCAAACAGCAGCTTCATCAAAGTGGCGTTAAGGCCATTTTACCTTTGACTGAAGCAGGAGGATCATACAAGATCATTACTGGTGGAGACGACAATTCGTTGATCAGCTCACAGGTCAAGTTCGAAAATGGCATTCTTTCGTTAAGCAATACAGCATTCGTGGAACAGGCTGCATCTGCGACAATTACCTCCATTTCAGACGCCTTTGAAGACAAGGTTCTTGTTACGTCGGTCGACCAGATTGTAAGAGTCTGGAATACCAAGAATGGCTTGTTAGATTGCATGAGTGCTACCTATACTACAGTCGCTGACACTGGTTGCAGCGATACAACTACGTTTCATGGCAAAACGATCGGTATTGTCGCTGGTGCCGGTCTCAGCACATTATCCTGGAAATAGACATACACAGCATTGGTAACTTAGAGATATTTATTTATAATCGTCGATCTATAGTAGCATTTAATTAGAGCTTCAACAATCTCAAGTTGAAGATGGTGTCGTTGATGCTCTGTTCCTCATTAATGATGACGGCTTGTTCGGAGGCACCAGTGAAAGCGCTCAAAGGATTGTGAGAACACTTTTGCAACATGTCGCTGTTGACCTTGATGACGTCCTCGAAGTTGATGGTATCCTTTTTCAACTCGTACTCGACATTGACGTCATCGGTAGCGTTCAAGCCAGCCTTCTTACGCAATCTCTGGATACGGTTGATCAACTCTCTGGCCAAACCCTCACTTTGCAAGTCAGCATACGAGTTGGTGTCCAAAATGATCAAAACATCCTTGTCAGATCTGGACTCATGACCAGAAGAAGCCAGGGTCTCAGGCAAGCCTCTCTGGACCTGCAAGTCCTCAGACACCAAGTCAATGCCATCAACGGTAAGTTTACCAGTCTCAGCAAACTTCTTCACATCCTCAGAAGAGACGTTTGGCAAGGCAGCCTTGACCTTCTTGGCGTCTTTCTTCAACTTCTTACCGAGAACAGGCCAGTCAGCAACAGCCTTGTACTCAACACCATATGCAGCTTCGTCATCAGTGATGACGAGGTTTCTGACGTTCAACTCTTCAAGAATGTAACCCTTCAAAGACTCAATGTCCTTCAAGTAGGAGGCGTCGGAATGCAAAATCACCAACTCCTTCAATGGAGTCTTCAAGGAGATCATCTTCTTCTCTCTGATGTTTCTACCCAAATCAATGACCTTCTGCATTCTCGAGACAGCAAGCTCAATCTCGGAATCGAACAACTCCTCTCTCACTTGTGGGTAAGCCAAGAAGTGGACGGAACCAGAGTCCTTGATGTTAGGATTGACTGAGAATCCCTCCAAGTCCTTAGTAGAGAAGAAAGGCTTCAATCTTTGGTAGATACCATCAGCCAAGAATGGGGTGAATGGTGCCATGAGTCTGGACAAGATGAACAAAGCCTCAGCCAAGGTGTTAAGAGCCTTCTTGGTGTCATCCAAACCCTCACCGGTGTAACCCTTGATACGACGACGGTTAAATCTGATGTACCAGTTGGTCAAGTTGTCAATCAAGGCCAACAACTTAGGAACAACGGTATATAATCTGTAGCTGCGCATCTCCTCGTGGACGAACTTGACCAACGACTGGATAGAAGCCAACAACCATCTATCCATCACGTTGGTGGAGGTCAAGGATGAGTCGTAGACAAAGTCCTCGCCATTCTCCTTCTTGAAAACCTCAGCAGAGTCCTTCAAGAACTTGAAAGAGTTGTACCATGGCAACAAGACGGAAGAGACAACTTCTCTGACACCCTCCTCCTTGAATTTCAAAGTCTCAGCTCTCAAGACTGGAGAGTTGATCAAGTACAATCTCAAAGCATCAGCACCATACTTCTGCAACACAATGCTTGGGTCTGGGTAGTTCTTCAAACGCTTAGACATCTTCTTACCATCACTGGCAAGAACGATACCAGAAACAATGACGTTCTGGTATGGAGCGGTGTTGAACAAATGGGTACCCAAGACAGTAAGGGTGTAAAACCAACCTCTTGTCTGGTCCAAACCCTCAGAAATGAAGTTAGCTGGGAAGGCGTCATGGAAAGACTCTTTCTTCTCGAATGGGTAGTGCTTGGAAGCATAAGGCATAGATCCAGACTCAAACCAACAGTCAAACACCTCCTCAATTCTCTTCAAGTCACCCTTGCCCTGCTTAGATGGGATAGTAACGTTGTCAATGCTCTCTCTGTGGATGTCAGTAATGTCATCACGACCAGACAAGGTCTTCAACTCCTCGATGGAACCAACACAGACAACTTCCTTGAGGTCATCACTGACCCACAATGGGATTGGAGTACCCCAGTATCTGTTTCTAGAAATGTTCCAGTCTCTGGCGTTAGAAATCCAGTTAGAGAATCTCTTCTCCTTGATGTTAGAAGGAACCCAGTTGGTCTTCTCAACATTCAGCAACATTTGTGGAATGACATCAGTGACACGAACAAACCAGGCAGGCACCGTTCTGTACAACAAAGGAGTGTCAGATCTCCAACAGAATGGGTACGAGTGATTGATTTGAGTGGAGAGCAAAAGTCTACCGTTTTCAGTCAACTTCTTGATGATCAACTTGTCAGCGTCCTTGACGTAGACACCAGCAAAGTCGCTGACGTCGTCTGTGAACTTACCGTTGTCGTCAACAGGGTTAGGTGGAACTCTCTTCTCGTTGATGATGCCAGCCTCGGTGGCAGCGGCAAAATCGGCCTCACCAAAAGCTGGAGACTGGTGAACAATACCGGTACCAGAGTCGTCAGTAACGTAGTCAGCCAAAATGACCTTGAATCCGTGCTCCTGGAAAGTCTCGTAGAAGTAGTCAAAGACTGGCTTGTACTTGAGACCAGCCAACTCCTTACCCTTGATCTTCTCCACAACCTTGTACTTGGCAGCAGCAGGCTTCTTGTACAAAGTCTTGATCAACTGCTCCAACAAGATGTAGTGTTTCTGCTTCTCCTCGTCGAAAATCTTGACATACTCAAGCTCAGGGTGAACAGCAAGAGCGATATTGGATGGCAAGGTCCATGGAGTGGTGGTCCAGGCGACCAACCAGGTGTTCTCGTCATCAATCAATGGGAAACCGATGGTGACGGCAGGGTCATTGACATCCTTATAGTTCTGCTGAGCTTCAAAGTTAGACAATGGGGTAGTACAGCCAGTAGAGTAAGGCATGACTCTCAAACCTCTGTAGACAGCGTCCTTCTGGAACAACTCCTTGAAAGCCCACCACACGGACTCCATGAACTCTGGGTACAAGGTCTTGTAGTCATTGTCCATATCGATCCAACGACCCAAACGACGGATAGTTTGTCTCCACTCGTCAGCGTATCTCATGACGATAGAACGACACTCAGCATTGTACTTGTCAATGCCCATGTTCATGACATCGTCTTTACCAGTGATACCGAGCTTTTTGTCAATCTCGTGCTCAACGGGCAAGCCGTGGGTGTCCCAGCCAAAACGTCTCTCAACGTGGTGACCGTTCATTGTAGCATAACGAGGAATAATGTCCTTGACCGTGGAGGCCAAGATGTGACCGTAGTGGGGAGTACCGGTTGCAAATGGAGGACCATCGAAGAAAGCAAAAGGCGGGAGATCTTTGGTCAAATCGAGCGTTCTTTGGAAAGCGTCGATTTTATCCCATTGCTCAATAACCTTCTCCTCCTCCTTGGAGAAGTTGAAAAAAGTGTTTTCCTCAGCCATGGGTGTGGTTGATCAACAGTGGGTTTAGGAAATAATACTCACAAAATTTTTCAAGATGCACGGATGTGACACTATCTGTACTGGATTTGCAACCGACGTTTGGAACCTTTTTTAAGAGTTGCCTATTATAATAAGCAAACTGATCAAATAGAGAATGTTGGATTTAAATGAGTCATTTTGTGTATTCAAATCCCTGACGATGGTGCGTTCTCTACCACTCATGTACGGCTGACAAAGATGACTCAGATCATGCGCCCCTGCTAGATATCCCTATCTTTTTGTGGAAATGAGCAGCTTTAGTAGAGACGTTTCAAAATCAAATAAATGCTTATTTTAAGGCTCTTCCACATACATTTTTCCTCCAATCTACGTCATGTTGACCCTACTAATATGATTCGCGTTGCAGCTAAAAAGAGATATCAGAATGCTGCATTTCTTTAATGCCCTGCCACCTACAACTTTTCACCAACGAGCTTCGACGATGCTTTAATGGAACAGTTCCTGATAGAGTGTTAATAGCTCTCTCCGGAGGCGTCGATTCGATGTGTTTGACACATCTTCTCACGCAATATAGCCAGAGGTATCATCCCAACATGGATATACACGCCTTGACCATAGATCATGGGTATAGAAAAGAGTCTTCGGAGGAGGCAAAGTTGGTTGGTCAAAAAGTCCGTCAATGGGGCGTCAAACATCATATTGAAAAGCTTAGCTATGACCGTCCGTTGAGTACCATCACCAACTTTGAGGAAGTTGCAAGGAACCTCAGATACAAAGCATTACAAGAATTCTGCTTCAAGATAGACACAAGCGCTCTTTTTGTAGCGCACACATTGGATGATCAAATTGAAACGTTCTTGCAAAGGCTACAGATGAATTCAACCATATACGGGCTCAATGGCCTCAAACTGCGATCTCCAATACCCGTTAAACCGGCAGGTCCGAGGAATTCGATTGCTCCAATTGAGCTTCTACGACCTCTTTTGATTCTTGATAAGAAACAAATAACGAGCTACTGCAGGGATAATCAGATAGAATGGTTCGAAGACTCCACAAATGCAGACCCCACAGTAACAAAGCGCAACTGGCTCAGGTTCATGATATCTGAGTACGTTCCTAAGACGGGTGCGTCAAGCCATATCATCTCTCGTGACGAAATTCTCAGGAGTATACACGAGGTTGATCAAGTAAGGAGGTCATTTGAAAAGTGCATAGCCAGACTTGATGATTATGTGAAAAAGTACGGTCTCTTTCGATTTGACCAGAGCAAGGCTACTATGAATTTCACCATCGAGTCGCTGTTTTGGTGCAAGCTTAATGACTCTATTTCCGCAAGATGGCTCTATGACATAATGTATCCATTATCCTCTTCAGAGAACTTCCATTGGTCATATGCGAAGATTGAGCGTCAAGCGATTCCTCGAATTGATCGGTTTATTGGAGATGATACTCAAAAGAAAACTACATTGACATATCTCAATGTGAAGATCGACATTCTTAAAGAACCTTGTGGCATGATTAACTTTCGTCTTCTGAGACAGCCAGCTGAACGAGAGAGAAGACAGTCTACGACTCACCTCAGACTAAAGGAGACTTTCCTGGAATGGGTACTTGTCAACAATATTTGGTGGCTTCGTCTTAAAGATGATTTTAAAAGGGAGGCAAGAATACAGCTCTACAACTCTGCTATGAAAAAAGATGTGGAGGGAATATTTCCTGAGTGCGGGAAGCTAAGCTCTGAAATACCTATTGTATTGGACGCTTCAAGTGGTGAGATCCTCGCCGTTCCCACAAAGGGATTGGCCGTGCCTGGTTTAGAGGCAGAATGGATTATTAAAAAAGCCTGAAAATGTATAACTAAATAAATGGGAAATCGGTATCACTTCATCGTAGTATAGTAAGAGGGAACACTAAATGTGCGCGAGGTGGAATAGCGAAGTTGAGTTTCCTGCACCAAAACAAACGACCTCTGAACATACATCTTTAGACCAATACAACAAACAACTTTATCCTAAACACCGCCAGTCTATGTCGTTCATCAACTTGCACGATAGGAGTCAGCTGGCGGCACAGACACCTAAATTTACTGGAGGCCACACTGGTACTCCAAGAAACAGAAATAGAACGAAGAATGTCAACCTACTGACACAACTCTTCAAGCTAGCCCATCAGAGAGTGAGTCTCGATGTGGATATTGCGCATCAAAGAATCAATGGTTTTACGGAGCTTACTTTAATCCCAACCAGCAATCAGCTCCGAGCCATCAAGCTTGATGCTAGAGAATTGACAGTCAAAGAAGTGTATGTCAACGGCACAAAGTTGGTTAATTTCATCCACAAGGACATGTTGTACATCAATGACCCCGAGAAATTCGACAATTGTACAGACTCAAGGTCTGTGAACATATGGGACTTATACTCCGAGAAATTCGATATCCATCAGCACCACCTACTAAGGAAGAAGCTCAACTACATATTCGGAGAATTCGAAGACGACCAGTTTGACCCTAGTGATCTCGTGGATCTTGGCAATACCGAAGAGCTCCTCATAAGTTTGCCGAACAATTTCAAGTTCCAAGCGGCTGATGCAAATGGAGGCCACACCCCAGCTTCACTGATACCAACGGGCTTGACGCCACTACTGCGAAATAAGAACACACATGGGGATGCTTACGCACCCATTCAAATTGGTATCGAGTATGAGCTTCGAAATCCCAACAATGGTGTTAACTTTGCATGTCTCGGCGAGGACAAAAAGCTCTGGCATGCTTACACGGTAAATTCTGAGTTTAACGTCTCCACGTCTTCCTGGGTTCCATGCATTGATAATTTGTGGGAGAAGGGGACTTGGTCGTTTGAACTTACTGTCCCAAGATCAACAAGAGACATCGATAACTTTTCCACTGATAATGAAAACGACAAAGACAGTATGGATGTGGATGAAAGCTCTACAACACAGGAAAAGGAGAATTCTGAAAAAGTCGAGAGCGACGAGGAAGAGGACGAGTCAGAACACTTCGATCTATTCGTATGCACTGGTGATTCGGCGAACACAAAAGAAACTCCACATCCGACTGATGATTCTAAAAAGATCGTTTCATGGTCTATCTTCAATCCAATAAGCGCTCATCATGTTGGATGGGCAGTTGGTCCATTTGAAAGTACTGAGCTTGCCAACCTTTCGAACACTGTTCAGCAAGGTGCTGAGGATGAAGAAGAAATTGAAAAGGAAGAACTTGGTTCTGTCGTTACTCTTTACTATTTGCCAGGTCAAGAAGACTTGGCCAAAAATACTTGCATTTTCGTTCACGAAGCTATGAACTTCTTCTCGTCTGAGTTTGGCTCTTACCCATTCAGCACGTACGGTATCATATTTGTGAAAGGTCCGTCTTATCCATACAATAACTTTGCTGGCCTCACTGTCCTAAGCGATAGACTACTTTATCCGCAAAATGTTATCGAGCCAATGTTCACACTTACAGAAAACATCCTTGAGTGCATTGCAGGACAATGGTCCGGGATCAATATCGTTCCACAGACTTTCAATGACCTTTGGTGTACCATAGGTATCGCTCGATTTATGTCCTTCCATTTTCTCAAAGACCTTATGGGCAATAATGAGTTCAGATACAACATCAAGCAAAAGATGGAAAAAATTGCCGAGACCGATGTCTCCAAACAACCCATCTCATTGCCATATGTTCGATTCCCACTTTCAGAGTCAGATTTGACTTTCGTACGCCTCAAAGCTTCCGTTGTTTTACTCATATTGGACAGGCGTATGACAAAAACTGATAAACTGTTTGGTCTTGCTCGTGTCTTACCGAAGATATTTTTACAGGCTATGTCTGGAGATCTTCAAAACGGCTCACTATCAACACAACATTTCCAAAGTGTATGTGAAAAAGTCAATCGCAATAGGCTTGATAAATTCTTCAAGCAATGGGTCTTTGGAGTTGGAACTCCCGTCTTCAACATAACTCAGCGTTTCAACAAAAAGCGGTCCTTGATTGAAGTTGTTATTCGTCAGACACAAGTGCAACAACATCGTTCAATCAGACCAAACACCGACACATTCATGGAGGAATCAATGATGTATCTTCACGACCAAGAGTTGCCACCCTCACTGAATACTTTCACAGGTCCCATGACCATCAGAGTTCACGAGGCAGATGGTACGCCGTACGAACACATTGTGGACATCAAAGACTCTCTTGTCAAATTTGATGTTCAGTATAACACAAAAGCCAGACGACTGAGAAAGAATAAGGAAGAAAACGTTGAGACAAACCCTGTTTTTTCAAAGTTGGGAGACATTCTCCGTAAAGAGAGGGATATTAAAGAGTGGGGCTTCGAGGAGTGGCCTAAGCGTGATGAGGATCTCGTAGATCCATATGAATGGATCCGTGTGGATACCGACTGTGAATGGATTGCCAAGTTTAATGTGCGTCAGCCAGACTACATGTTCTGTTCGCAATTACAGCAAGATAGAGATGTGGAGGCCCAATGTGATGCGGCTAGATACTTTGGTGAGCAGGAAAAGCCCAACAAGATAATTTGCACTTCTTTAACAAGAACCCTCATGGACCGCAGATATCATTATGGTGTTCGGATTGCTGCAGCACAAGCTCTTGCGAACCTTTCGAGAAAGCAGAACTCTTATTTTGGCATGCTGTACTTGCTAAAAGCATTCAGGAGGCTTTTCTGTTTTGAGAATAGTTTCATCCCAACTGGTAACTCATTTGAAGTGTTCGGAAAGTACTTTCTTCAGAAAGCTTTGCCCCTGATTTTGGCTCAAATAAGGGATGATGATGGTAACACACTTCCAGATATCAAGGAGATTTTGCTCAATTTTGTGAAGTATAACGACAATTCTAACAACGAGTTTCAAGACGGCTACTACATGCGCGACTTATTAAGTGCTCTCACGGATGCCGTTATTCCAATTAACGAAAAACGGAAACTCATTGACTTCCATCTTGAAAAGGAAGAGAAGTTAGGGTATAAGTCAAACGATGAGGAGTTTGTCAATGAGGTAATCGAAGAGATCGATAGGTTGCGGAAGATCGAGGAGTGGGTTCCATCTTACCATAATATGGTGTATGCCAGCTGCATACGGCAGAAGACAAAGATGGCCCGGAACAATCTTTGTGAATATTCGTTTGAGGATTTGATCAAGTTCACGACTCCTAATAATGCTGAAGAGATTAGACTTGCCGCATTTGAGGGCCTTCTACTTCTAGGAGGGCTCAAGGTCTGGGAGATTCTCAGGTATTTCCTTTATTCCCTTTGCTTGGATAATACCACGAGGCATTTCAGAATCAAGATGGTTGAAGCTCTTCAAAAGACGATCTGTGAAGCTGCAGTGCACGGTATCCCCTCCGTCATAGATGATCCGGAGTTCGACTCATTGAACAAATTGTTCAATGCGAATAAGAGTTATCTGAATCCGAATAACATGATTGTGGTTGAAGAGTCTCAAAATACGGAGGTGAGCTCGAGGAGAGATGCTTTGGCGCGAGCCTCGATTGAGGGTACGGTAATCCTTCTTAGACGGGATTATGGTATAGGAAAAGGTCTCAAGAAAGCGCTTTGGAAATTGATTCATTCTTCATTGCTAGGATTAAGAGAGAGGCGTGTTATATTTGGCTTGTGTGAAATCCTCTACTTCGAAAAGGATGCTTACTCAATTGACATACCCGTCCCTTTCGTTCCACTTGAGGAGTTGAAAAAGAAGATTGTTGCAAGGAATCTCGGTGAGGGCTCCGTGGTCATCAAACGTGAGGGTAGATTTACAATTCAGCTCTCTACCAAGATCCTGTTAACTGATACCAAGAAGGAGAAAGCCGAAAGGACCCGTCCCTCGCTGGAGAGACATAACCGCAGGTCAACTACTTCATTTGACCAAGAAGTTCCTGCCGCAGAGCCTAAGCTCAAACTCAAACTCGGCCGCCTGGAGAGCAAGGTTGAACCCAGTGTTACTGAAGTTGAACCAGCAAAGATTGTGACGAGAGATGCTAAAAACAACATGAATATCAAAATGAGATTTTCTCGCAGAAGTCTCACGGAAATAACGACTTCGAGAAGAAGGAGGAAGAATGTGTTACTTAGCGATACCTTTGTCACTATCAAGTTCTTCCGTCCAGACAATCTTGACATGTTCAGGTCGCCCGGCGGTTTCAAGAAAGCGACGGAGAATCTTGTCACAGAAGCTTTGCCAACCAAGAAGGATCAAACCGCTGCTCACTCTGATCAAACATCAAATGAGCAGGACTCTGCGGCTACAGAAGAGGGCAAAGACGTCAGGAGGTATGTGAAGATTCAATCTGGTAGGGTTACCTTATCGGAGACCCCATTTGACGATTCTCGCACTGACAACTCCAATGGGATGAATAACAATGGGGAACAAGAAGCAAACAACAATTGTCATGACGCAAATGGCCAGAATACCAAGGAAAATGACTCAAGCCAGGCGGTGAAGCGAGAAAGCCCTTCGCCTAAAATTCAGACGCACAGTGATCTGGCGGTCCCCGCCGGTCCTTCAAGTGTTGCATCAAGAGAAGGACTGACTGAGCCGAGAGAACCATTTTCCAAAACTGCTAGCCCCGTTGGTGGTGATCAGCAAGGACCAAAGAGAAAGAAGGCCAAAATCTACATTCACGACGGAAGCAAGAGTCACAGTCGCACCGGCTCCCCAGCATCTAATTCTGCCGAGCCTGAGGTCAAACAGGAGGCCAGTGAAAAGGTCGATGAGAACCCAAACAAAGAGGACAAACAGGAAGAAGCGCCAAAGCCCAAACCCAAACTCTCCCTCAAGTTGACGCTTAAATAAAAACAGTCGCATCCAAGAAATGCGCCCTGGACCATTCAAACTGTGTAATGGTGTTGCATCCGCACTCGCACCTCAGTAGCTGCCGTTATCGTAGAAACTAAACCAGCCACATTTCTTCCGCAACACATCCGAAATGTCGTTCAACAACCCCTTGGGCTTCAATGTGTCCAAGGCTATTCCGACAACATCAACGACAAACACCAATACCACTTCCACAGTAACTTCACAAACCGCCTCCCCCGCCCCATCGAAGCATGAATCAGAGCCCGAAAGGCCCAACTTCAAGGATGTTCAAGAGGCCAAACGACCCCCTAGTTCGTCAAGCTCATCTCCAAAAGTGCTTCAGCCTGCAATGGCCACAGGGATAAGTGACGTGACCCCTACGACCGTCAGTGTCACCGAAGGAACGAACGGATCGAGAGAGAAGACCGATTTGATTGGATTATTCGATAAGTTCGACGTTAACAAGGCAAACGACAAAAACAACACGGAAGAGAACGAAGAGGCCGAGATTGACTCTTTGGAGGAGAAGATGAGGCAGTTCAAGCCAAAGGCCAGGCAAGACTCAAACATGTCTACCTTGGACGACAAAGTTGAGGAGAAGGAGCATTTGAGCACTCATCTTGAGAGTGATCAGAAGACAGATGAAGTGTCACATATTGAAGGAGATCATTTGGATGTTGAGGGAAATGTATCACAGGAGCCGGTTCAAGAGACTTCTGTGGAATCGCTGGATAAAGATCCTAAGTCGACAGAGCACAAATCTGCTGAATCCACTCTGCTTAATAAAGATGAAAGCGACCTGACATTGCCAGATACAGGGGACCCTGCAAATGAGGAGTCCCTGAAGCAGAATACTGCTGCATTCCAAACTAACGCCGAAAACGAAGATACATTGGAGGCACCACCTCTTGCTCAAACCGAATACGAAGGGGCCGGAGATGAGGATGTGTTACTGGGCACGCAGCTGGAAACAGTTGAAGATTTTCAGCTAAAGGACGATGAGCTCTCTCTCGAGGCTCCGACTTCTGCACCTGTTCGTCCCAGAAATAAGCGAAACAATTCTATCCAAAGAGCCTACAACACGATTAATCCCCAAGAACAATATCAGAAATCGCATAACCCTTTTGACTTCCAAACATTCTTATCCCACATAAGAAAGAAGCCAGCCAACCCAATTGTGCGTTACATTAGGTCCTTTTTGGTTTCATTTACGAGACAAGCTCCAAGCATGAGTACAGCACAAAGAATCAAGGCTGTGAGACAATTTAAACAATTCATCAAAGGTAAGTTCGAGGAATACGAGCCTTTTGCCTCAATGAATAACAAAGATCTTGAAAATTCCAACGAAGGTATCGAGAAACTCATCATGAACCGCTTATACGAATACTGCTTCTCACCAGAAGTATTCAAGAAGTATGGAAATCAAACTCAGGAATCATTCTTGCAGGACTTGAGAGAAGACTTGAAATTTGCCAGCTGCCTAGACAAGTTCAGCTGGGTTCTGGGAAATCATCTCGATATTGATCTCAACGAAATTGCTCAAAGAAAGAAAGAGACTTCAAGTGACAGTCTCAATTACTTGGACCATGCTATCAAAGAACTTAACAAGATGAACAGCTACAGAGCACCTAGGGACAAGATCATCTGCATTCTCAACTCGTGCAAAATAATATTCAGCTTGCTTCGGGTAAGCAAACAAGAGACAAACGCTGATGCGTTTATACCACTTCTCATACTTGTGATCATCCGCGCCAAAACACCTAATATCATAAGCAATGTTCACTACATCGAGAGGTTCAGAGGAGAGGAATGGTTAATGCATGGAGAGACGAGCTACTATCTTTCGTCACTCCAGGGAGCTCTTTCATTTATTCAAAATATCACTAAGGACGATCTTACTGTTTCAAGCGAGGAATTCGACGCCAACATTGAGGCATGGGAGGCTGATGTCAAGCAAAGGCCGCCCGAATTGGTGATTCCTGAGCCTCAAGCATCTGAGACTAATGCTGCACCGGTTATACGACAAAACTTGTCGCCCTCTAGTGTCTTGATGGCCAGCGCCGAAACGGTCAAGAACTCCATCACTAATTATTTATCGTCACCACCACCGCCAGAGTCGAATGAAGAGCCACGAGAAAACCAGAGGGAATCGGCGCCCGCGCCAGGCCCATCAGAGGAAGATATTGACGCTGCTTTCCAACAGCTTTCAGAGATGTTCCCATCTCTTGACAAGATAATTTTGAGAGACCTCGTTGTTATGAACGATGCAAAGGTCGAGAAAACTCTCGATATTTGTTTACAGCTTGTTAATGAGAGCTAAAGGCTACGTTGACTGTCTGGTTCGCCCTTGTGGTGGTATGTAACGCTTGCATGACAAATATTCATTTTATCGACTTCTTTTTTCAATTATACAAAGTGTAGAGCACTCAGTAGATGATGGGATCACTTTAATCATTTGCTATTTTCATATCAGCTGGTCAGATCGAAAACTTTCCCGAAAGAAAGCCAAAAGAGTCATCTGTTTGTATGCAGTATTTGACGTTTTGCCATCCTTAATAGCTATAAGGTGCGCACATTTCAGCTGAAATGCCCGGCTAGCTCAATGGCTAGAGCGTGAGACTTTTAATCTCAAGGTTGCGGGTTCGACCCCCGCGTCGGGCTTAGTTTATCTTTTTTTCATTTAAGTTCATTTCAGGGAATATTATAAAGTGCATTTTCGTTGTGAAATTGCCTGGAAAAGTTTTTGCTTGACCAATGTAGTAAGTCTTGCCTCTCAATCCACCAGTCTAATGAATTCATTACCAACTTTCATCGCACTAACAAATCCGTCTACTTAATCAAGCGGACAATATTTCCGATAGAAGCTATATAAAACCTTGTTCTCTCAATAAGGCATGAAGATACGCTTTGTGGTGGGAAGATAGCCCTTGCACGGGAACCTTCTGCAAAGTCGCACCCTTTTAGGCAAACGGATCCAAGAGGTCTATGGTTGCAAAATGTATAAATTCGATACTGTTTCTCTACAATATCCCAGTATCAGAAAAGAAAAAAGAAGATGCCTTTCAAATATACTCCAGCTGCCAAGGGTAAAGAGGTCAATCCACCTCAGATCCCATCACCAGGCAACAACTCTTTCTTGGGTGACATCTTCACCTCCGAAGCTCCTTCTGATAAGCAGATATCATGCGGTTTCTACAAACAGGAGGCAGGTGAACCTTTGGAATACTATTACGACTATGATGAGATGAAGATCATTTTGGAAGTTGAGGGCGAGTACACAATTGCCGACGAGACCGGAAACAAGGTTTCTGTTGCTCCAGGTGACGTTTTCTACTTCCCCAGGGGTACCACCATCACTTTCCAGACTACTGGTTACGGATATGCTTTCTTCTGTGGTTTGAGACCTAATGGCACTGCTTAAATAGTACTTGCTGAAAATCAATAAAATTTAAATGCAAATCTTGATAACTGTAGTGACTTTTTGCAGCCAGTGGAAGTTTCTCGAACCTGCATCTGTAGGCTTCCTCACGAACTACCACTGGAACGTACTACATCAAGATGCCAATTGATTACTCAAAGTGGGATAAAATCGAGCTTTCTGACGACTCAGATGTGGAGGTCCACCCAAATGTTGATAAACGCTCTTTTATAAAATGGAAGCAGCGCGATATCCACGAGAAGCGCCAACAGAGAAACATCGAGATCAAGTCTATCTTGGTCCAGTTGACCATGTACGCAAAATTAAACGCCAGGCTTGACTTTTTGATGGAGAAGCTTCAGCCTTTAGAGCTTCTCGATGAGGACAAGGTCAAGAGTACAATTGATGCTGAGTATGACCCTACAGAAAGGTTCAATTACGAGAAGATCAAGAGCGAGAAGGATGATCTCCGTAAGGGTTTGCATGATTTGGAGTTTTCTAAGGAAGAGGTGGAATCCATGCCTCCTTACAACGAAATGGTCGAGGACCTCTTTACTCAAGTGAAGGAAGATCATCCTGAGGTCACCGAGGATGGTCAGAAGTTGACCCAACACCTCAAAGAACATAGGGCCAAAATTGACGACATTTTGCTGAAGCAGACTATCAAACTTGACTCTTTGCTCCAGGAGAAAGCGAACCTCATCAGCAGTGATGACTATCACACTGGTTTTGATAGCTCGTTCATCAACAAGAATAAGGAGGAGGCAGAGGCAAAGGCAAAGGCTGCCTCATCAACGGCCCTGACTACGACTGAAACGTCAATTGAGACCCTCAACAGCCCCACCCTGCAACTGGCACAAGCCCAAACTTCCAGCTCCCAAGACGAATATGATCAACTTGTTGTTCTTCCTGAAACCGCTGCCTTCGCCCAGATTCCTTACCATCAACAGGATAAGGGCAGAGACTTCTTGCTTCAAAACCCCAAGATCTGTAATGAGAATCAGAAGGATGCCCTTATAATGACTGCTTTTGATCATCAGCTTGAAGGAAAGGAAAATTTGACAAAGCAAGTGGTGTACCAATCTCTCATCTTGCAGTACATTGGCCAGTTGGCAGGCGGAGGTCAAGATTTAGCCCGCGTTCGTCAGAGCGTTCAATTGTTTTTCTCCAACCTCATGAACAAGTCTACTCCCGTGGCTGCAGCTTTCAATGACGATGTTGACAGAACAGTGAAGCACATTCAGACAAGATGCAAGATTATTCAAGAGGAACGCCAAGGTCAAGGCCAGGATCAAGAAGAAGGAAGTGAGGTGATCCAACTCAGATCTCTTGATGACAGTACGCAGTTGACCGTTCATACCCGGAAGAAGGATCACAAGAGCATGAAATTTTCACCACGAAGCTTTCGAAAGAGATGCAAGAAGCTATCAAGACTGGTGAGCTTGATGAGGTAAACAAGGTCTTTGCTGCCATGAAAGTTGAGGATGCTGAGAATGCGTTGGAGATAATCAACGAATGTAATGTCATTGGCTTGAGTGGCTACTTGGAGAACGAGCAGGAGTTTGAGGATTTAAAAGCTCGTCAGGAAAATAATACCGATCAGCAAGAAATCCCCACCAGTACCGTTGATTCGGTCGATTAGCTTTCAGGTTAATAATGCAATGTGGTCATGAGGTAGTATATTAGTGTAGAGTAACTACTGCTTGCTCAATCTAGCGAGCATATCCATCAACGTGGACGACTGTCCGGGTTGTTGTGGAGGCTGCTGCTGCTGCTGCTGAGTTTGTTGCGGGTAATTGGGCTGGTAGTTAGGCTGTTGATGCTGTTGCTGATGCTGTTGCTGTCGATACCCCTGATTCAGATAGGGCTGTTGTGGGCTTTGGAGTTGTGAGAGAAGGTTGTTCAACTGACTAGGCTGTTGAACCATTGGAGGTGGTGGTGGATGTGTTGGTTGTCCATATGCACCAGGATAACCTCCTTGCACTTGTTGCTGATACATCATGTTCAGATGCTGATTAGCCGGTGCTTGTTGCTGCAGTTGGAGAAGGGCTATAACTTGTTGAAGAGTGTTTGGGTCGACATTTTGGAGGATTTGCAACACATTAGGGTCAGACAAATTAGGCTGATTTGAATTATGGAACAGGTTATTCAGAGGAGTGCCTGGAAATTGGTTTTGCAGGTAACCGGGATATGCATGTTGGGGAAAATGCTGGAATGGCGGAGCTGGAAGTCCATAGGGAGATGAATTATTAGGAGTGAATTGCAGAGGATTCTGGTACGCTGGCACGTGTGGGATATTAGGTTGATTGGTTCCCTGGCGGTCTTTCGGCCGATCTTTCTTCCTCTGCTTCCTCGACTGAGTGTCGTGACGGCTATTGCGATTGTTGTGTGAATGTCTGTCCAGATCGTACAGACTTTCATCACGAGAGCGTTTTGCAGACGTGGGTCTTGAGTTATCAGATGGCTCCATTTCCTTGACAACATCGACAGCTACCAGTGGAGTAAGGTCGACATACTCATCAAACTTGATACCTCCATCTTCAGTTTCCTCAAAAGTCTGCAAATCGACATTCTCAGCCTTGATGATACATGCAGCAAGAACGCCAGAATAGGCAGCGTCTGGAATGACCTCCGATAAGTCTTGCTCGCCAATATCGTCAATCTTGAGAACAAACCCAGCATCTTCGAACACCTTAGTTGTAGCCTCCACGAGGTCTGGGGAGCTATCAACAGTGACAAATATTTGGCAATTAGGGCCGCTGTTTTCGCTGGTGACCGTGTCTGAGGACTTTTCTGCGCTCCTCTCACGAAATTGAACGTTTTCTTGAGAAGACTTCTTCGAATTAGTGGAAGCGTCAAGACGCATAAATCTCCCATGAAGGGGTACATCTGTTTCGCCTTTAATGCAATCAGCGCACTGCTCAGCGGTTTTGAACTGAGCGAATCCGTAGCCTCCTTTTAAGGTAATGCTGACGACCTCGCCGTACTTATTGCAAATCCTGAACAAATCCTCTTTGGAGATAGTATTCGTTGATAGGTTACCGATGAAGAGTCTTGATTTCTCCGGGAAATCGTCGAGCGATCTTCGATCTTGGTACTTTGCTTCCTCCGCAAGATATTTGGTAAACTCGTCGGACTCTTCAGTCGACATAGGCACCGTAATATTAGGTCTTCTGCAGAACTTATTCTTTGGCACCAACGGTATGGGGTTCCTGCTGTCAAACGGCTTGTTGAACGAGTACACCTGGTCGTAGTTCATATCCAGGCTGGTGTCAAGCTGTGGCAAATGTATTCCTTTCTCCCTAAGCTGCTGTTCGATTAGTGCCATCTGTTGCTCTTGGCTCAACTGCTTGAACTCTGGTCTTTTCACGAGGTCACTTTGCATGATTGCATCGTATGCTTCCTTGAGCAGGGTTGGAGGCTCGTCAGAGCTTGAAGCAGGAGCCACAGTGGGTTTGGAAGGTAACGAAGGCACAGGCTTTTCAGCATCCTTCACTTCTGGAGAAGCTAACCCATTCTCCGGGTCGTAGTCGTCATCTTCATTCACTGAAGCTGTACTTCCCACATCGCCATTATCTGGCTCTGGTGAGGGATCCATGCTTTCGGGGTCGTATTCGTCGTCTGACTCATCTTTTGGTGCCTCTTCATTAGAAACTGGTGTCTTAGAATCTGTGTTTCCAGCCTCCGAGTCGTTCGGTTCACTAGCCCCTTCAGCTTCAGGGCTTTTCGCTATAGGCATCTCGGGATCGTAGCCATCAACATCTGAGCTTTCAGCCTCGTCTTTAGACTCTCTTCGCTGTAGCTCTACTGGAGTGACATTCATGAGAAGATGTGGTACTACATTAGAGTTCGCACTATAAATCTACTAGCAGGCCACCCCCCTCCATGATCATCACTCAATATGTAAAATCTTCAAATTAAATTTGTCGGAAAAATAAACTTCGTAGACCGACCCCAAACTGAGTAATGCGCCCGCAGACATTTGGTACCTGGATCCCCCACGCTGCACGCCGCATCCGCAACCGTGGCGTAGTACTAAAGTCGGAGTACCTGCCCCCGTGAAGTTTCTTAAGTAAACCACTTTTTTTTTTCCTCAATTGCACAATGCCTCTTAACGTGGGTATAGTAGGAACTGGCATTTTTGCCACAGACAGACACTTGCCCGTGATCAAGGGAATTCCCAACTTGAAGCCGTACGCAGCTTTCAACAGAACAGAGTCCAAGGCCCACACCTTTGCTGAGAAGGCGGGCATTGACAAGAAGGATGTTTACCAGAACGTTGAAGACCTCTTGGATAACAAGGAGGTGGACTTTGTGGACGGTTTGTTGCCTGTCCAGTCCAACTTGGACTTGGTCCAGAAGGCCGTGAAGTTCAACAAGCCCATTGTCTTTGAGAAGCCAATTGCAGCCAACTTGGACCAGGCTAAGGAGATTGTGAAGATTGCTGAGTCTTCTGACCTCCCAATTGGTATTTTGGAGCAATGGTCGTTTTTGACTGCCATTGACAAGCTCCACGAGATCCTCCCTAAGATTGGTGATGTGGTTTCCTTCATCTACAAATCCACCGGTGCCTGGAACGAGGATAACAAGTACTTGGCTACTAGCTGGAGACAGAATCCTGAACATATTGGTGGCTTTTTGAGTGATGGAGGTGTTCACCAATTGGCATTGCTCACTGAAGTCTTGGGTGAGGTTGACACCGTCAGTGGTCACACCAAGCAGATCAGAAAAGAGAGCGGTACCGATGACATTTTGTTCTCCACATTCAAATTGAAGTCTGGCGCAATCGGTAACTTCACTTATGGATCTGCTTTTGGTGCTACTGACAAGTCCACCAGCTTCACTATTTATGGTACCAACGGTTCTATCTTTTACGACTTCTCCCCAGCGTTGAAGAAGCCCACCATCACATACCAGACTGGTCCAAGCTCTCAGCAGGCTTCTGACAAGACCACCATTGAAATCGATGAAGTTGATGCTATCGAGAAGGAGTTCGAGAACTTCGCTGAGGCCGTGGAGAAGAAGGACAAGACACTCGTCAAAGTGCCCCCAAGAAAGGCTTTCCATCATTTGGCAATTGTTGCCGCCGCTCTTGAATCTTCTGAGAAGGACGGTGCTTCTGTCAAGGTTGAGCATCCATGAATGTAGTTTATGTAAGATAACGAGATTAAAGTTCATCGTGAGCATTGGGCGGAGTCCATTCATGGAATGTAGGAGTTTCCAGATCATCATCTAGAGCCTCACTTATAATTGAGCTCAAGGGCTCCTCTCTGTACGGTTCATCAACGGTTATTGGCTCTTCCTCAATGACCTCCTCGGGCTGAATGTCAACGGAAGCGGTGGTTTGAACGTTTTCGGGTTCCTGATCCTCTTTCTGAATGTCTCTGTCAAAGTCTGGGTTATTTTCAGCAGTAGAGTCAACCTTCTCCTGTGCTTCGTTGTACAGCTCTTCAAGTTCATCAATCTTGTCCTGATCAGATTTCTTCTCCTCAGTCTTGCTATTAATTGGCTCAATGATTTCACTAGTTTCATCCAGGCTGGGTTCTTCTAAGCTCTCCGTCTCGATATATGGGGCAACTTCCTCGGTCGAAATAGTCGTAGTCCCGATCTCTACATCGATGGAGGGCGATTCGATATTCTCGAAGCTTTCACCGGCGACCTCTTCTTCAGATAACAGGCCTTTAATTATGGGTTCTGCTGAAACAAAATTCTCAATTATCTCTGAGGAAGTGGCATCGATCACATCTTCGACAAGGGTGGGAGTTTCACTTGATAAAACGTTAGACTCCAATGGCAGGGAATATACCTCCTGTTCATGCCTTAGCGTCAGATATGAACTGATTGGATCGGTTAGCTCCTTCTTTGTCGTGAACCAAGAAACGACACCAAGTACCTTTAGAAGAGACCATGTGAGCATTTTGACGGGCAATTTCAAGATTCTATGCCAAATGACCCATGCGAGACATAGAAGAAGGAAACCAATGCTAAAGTAGATGCGCCTATTGTCTCGTTTGTCCTGCTTTTCGATAAACTTGACAATCTGCCTCGACTTGTTCAACAACGCGTCTAGATCGACAAGCTTGTCGTTCACCTTGTGAAGATCCCTGGTCTGTTGCTCGAGTGTTTCGGTATTTAGCTCTGTTTGCATCACAGACATGGTCATTAGCTGCTTGGTCAATCTCAAGGAATTGGTGATATTTTTGTTTTGTGTGAGCACTTGCTCCTCAATTGGCTTGTCGCCAGACTCTTCTTGAGCCGTTGATCTTCCAGCAAACAACTGTTCTCTCAGATCCTCATTTTGGTTGCTCCATTTCTTGACGTACTCGTCTATAATCTGACCATGAACTCGCTTGCTTTCTTCCTCATATGCTGTAGTTTGGCTGTCTCTTAGTCTCTCTTTGAGATTGCGAACTGTCAGCTTGTGTAGGGCAAATTGCTCCCAAAGAAGATCCTGGTCTGCTTTCCTTGGAGCTTGTTGTGATATCAAAATCTCAAGCACACTCAAGAGATCGTTCATCTGGTTGATCGAGTAGTGAGCACGTTTGGTGAGTGTGTTTCTCCTTGTCTCTATAGAATCGATTTCATCATCTTTTAGATTCTTGATATCCTCGATGTTTTCAAAAACTTCGTCTCTGAGACGAGAAAGCTCAGTTAGCTGGGGCCGGAAGTCTAGGTTCAGCATGTATGCTCTGGAATATAGATCTAGCGGCAGTTCTGAGGTGTTACGTACACTACGTGATCTGTGCTGCCTAAGTAAAAGTAGCAATTGGCAGTCCAATTGACCTGATATAATTAAAATAATATTCAATGTGTCTAAAAAGTTTGGCATTTTTGCTATCTTCAAAAAAATATGAATATTACATGAGTTGCAAGTAAACTGTTGTATGGCATTCGTTTTCGCAGTAAGGCATTGGAAAAGCCCATACTGACACTCACCTTTCTTCCGAATGGAACTGAAACGTAAACCGGGTGCAAAGGACCCGTCAACTATCACTTCAGAATATATAGCTGAGAAGAGAAGGGAGCGTGAATTGAAGAAACAGCAGAAGAGAGATGAGCTCGTCAAGCAAGGCATCGATCCAGATGCTAAACCGGTACCTGAGCATTTACAGTTTATCAAGAGACCAATGCTAGATATTCCAGGCCAAAAGGCATCTGGCGATGGCCTTATTATCAAGGTGTTAACCTACAACATTTTGGCCCAAGCCCTTATTAGAAGAAAGTTGTTTCCTACCAGCGGCTCTGCGTTGAAATGGGCCAACAGATCTCAGAGATTGGGGTCAGAAATTGAGCATTACGACGCAGATATTGTATGTCTACAAGAATTGGACTTTGATCAATACAACAGCCATTGGAAGAAGGAGTTTGAGCGTATGGGCTACTCTTCGAGGTACCATCGGTCAGGTGTGAAGAGACATGGTGTGGCCATCCTCTACAAGCATTCCATGTTCCACTTTGAGCATCATTATTTCATTGACTATGATGGGACCGAAACACCAGGCGTCCCAGCCTCTACAAAAACACAAAACATTGGTTTGTTGGTTTACCTCAAACTCAATGAAGATGTTAAGAAAAAGAATCCCGGCATAACAAAAGATGGTATTATTATCGGCACTACACATCTATTTTGGCATCCTTTCGGAACATTTGAGCGAACCAGGCAGACATACCTTGTACTCCATCATGTAAAGGAGTTCTCCAAAATGATGCATCTTCTATACCCAAATGATAGGTTCTACCGTTTCTTTGCTGGTGACTTCAATGCTCAGCCTTATGACTCGCCATATCTTTCCATCACTTCAAAGCCTATTACATATACAGAGAGACCAAAAGTAGTGTTGGGCAAGGCGGCATCTCATAAATGGAACGATTCAGATGCTGCAGAAGACGAAGATGATGACGAGGATGACGATGAAGAAGACACCCCTGAACCATCATCATTCAATTTCACTCCAGCCATTCTAGAAAAGATACAACATATGGAGTCTTTGCATAACAACATCGACATGAGGTTTATTTCTCTATATTCTGTGGCGTATCGCCAAGTGCATCCTGAAAACACTATTCCAAGCGACAGATATGAACCGCTGTTCTCCAACTGGGCACACACATGGCGTGGATTGCTAGACTATATTTTTGTTGCCACGGACTGGAATGGTGACAATGCGAATGGTGAAGTCGACTCGGTGCAACAGTTAGAGCAGAACCAAAACATCAGGCTCCTATCCCTTCTTCGCCTACCAACACCTGAGGAAATGGGCCCAGAACCATCTGGCCAACCTAGAGACGGTCAGTACCCGTCTGACCACCTTTGCCTCATGGCGCAATTAGAATTACGATAAGTAGCGAATTGCATCACGACTTTAACATGGTGTTGATCAAGTCCTCGAGCGGACCGTAATCTCTTCTGCTAATCAAGTCGAATTCCCTGCTGAAGAGGACGTAGTGCTTCAAACTCGTGTTCAAGTGACTCTGTAATCCCAACTCAGAGATTTCGTGGAAATGATGGCAGTAGATATGAGCGTAGATTCTCAAAAGCCTCTTGAATATCGTCTTCACCAAGTTGGGGAACTGTTGTGGGAAGGGCGCACCGATCTTGGATGGAAAGATGTTGTCATTATCAAAGAAGTTCTGAATCCAGTTCATGAGATTCTCAACGTAGTCACAAGCTGGTAAAGAGATTGGCTTCTTAGGAGGCACATTGCTGCTGCTTCCAGAATTTGTCTCTTGCCACAAGTATTCGTACTCCTCTGTTGCAATCATGCGTGGGCATGTCTTGGGAGAACAGAACTCCGTGATCGTACCGTAAAGCATGTTGATCTGGTTATAGAAGTCAACAACGTGAACAGCTAGCCACTCGTTTACATCCTCATCCTGAGGGAGTTTAACTGCTTGAATCAAAGCGTTATCGGAACCCAAGGTCTGCTCCGCATATGACCTGATATCCTTATGTGACGTGACTGGCTGAGACGACAAACCAGATGAGACGTTCATCGTTTGATATGGGTTGTTGTTATCATTCTGGTCAAGTTGCAAGGTGGGCTTGTCGTAGAAGTTTCCCTTTGGAGTGGTGGGAATAGCAGAGTTACCGACAGGCTGCGGGCTAGAGATCGGAGATCCCGGCTTGAGCTTGAAGCCTCTAGTTGATTTTATGGAATGGGCATTAAAGTTTGAAAAAAACGACGACATGAGGGGCCTGTCAAAATTGTGCTGTAGGATGATTGTGTTCAGTTTGCAATCCCCAGGAGGAGTGTAGATCGCAAACCAGGCAATGCTTCCAGTGTTTACATCAGCACCCGATTTGGTGCGAAATTACTTCCCATGCTTCATTCGCTTTTCTGAATCGGATCGTGAAGAACCCTGTACACCAAGGCAATATTCCGGAGTAACCGCTTATCTTCAAGCTCTCGCGGCCGCTTGATAGAATTGCGGCATTGCTGTAAACGATAAGAGCTTTTGGCACATTCTTTCATCAACTCCACAGTGTTGTACTTTGTGAGCATGAAGTAACGGAGCTTCTCAAGTACCATTCGTAGTATCTCAGCCCGATCCGGTTCTCCGGGCCCCTGAAGAGGCGTACTTAGCTCGGTAAAGATGCGTAGTAAGGAATGATAGTTGATTTCGAAAAGGTGTTTCCCGTAGAATGAGAAGGCAAACGGGTACTCAGCTTCCAAGTGTAGCATCAATGACGTGAGTGAATACTGGAGGTTGTTGAACAAACAACTGTAATACACCAGCGGGCAAGGCGTGTCGTATCTGTAGACAAGATGAAGGCATTCGATGCTTGCTACATTGTTGGCATGCTTGAAATCGCCCAAGATGTCACTGAAAAGGTTGCACTTAAGGTGGAGAGATACCGAGCTATTGCTCGTGGCCAGGGTATCAATCTCGAAGAAGATTTGTTTCCAAAATGATGATTTCAATAATGCTGCCAGAATTCTCTCCAGGCAGTGATTGGAGCTATCGAGCTTATGACCATTGATGATGATGTCAAGCGTGAACTTGGGTTAGTGGGAGCAGAGAGAATAGAGGGTCGGTCATACTAGCATGTGAGATACGGGAATGAAGAATTCTGGATTCTCGGGTCCCTTGGTTTTCTCGGAGTAAGACAAGGTGAATGTGTCGTCGAACTCTTGTAGACAGATTTGTTTTGACATGAAGAAGTAGTAGTATAAGCGCGTTTCGCAGCCATCGGAGTATGTTGGTGAAAGAAGACCGGTGTTAAACAGTGAGCTTTAGTTTTCTTTCATTTTCTTGAAAATACTTTGTAGATGCTCATAATTTGATTAAGTAAACAATTGAGTTTTGCCTTCCTTCCTTCGATGCCACCCCGATTATCTCCTCACGTTTCTACACATCTCATCGTGCGAACACTCATGAGGACTTCTTTCCACATTGCATCCACAGGACCACTTCTAACGGTCAAACATAGGATTTCCCACTTACTGCCCGTGGAGGACCTTCTCAAACTTCCGAAGAGAACGGCCCTTCTCGCCACATACAAGCATTTCTTTCGTCTACGGCACCTTGTCTTAGATAAGCCATATCAAGAACAACAGTATGTTCAGCTGCTTAGAAGACGCTTTTCTCGAGGCGACTTCAATCTAAGAAGAAATAAAGTGCTAGGAGTAAGCGAACTTCTTTCACATGAAGATCTTATTAGAAGAATTGCTGCCACATACACGTTTGTCTTTAATGCTACTTGCAACGTGACTGACGAACCTCCACCAGTCAAAACATACGATGACGTGAAAGCTGCCAATAAGCCACATCTAGAAACTAGCATCCTCGAGACGATCCTTAAAATGGAAGAAGGAGCATCACCAAAACTTCTCCATGATTCCGAATATACCTGGTACGATAAGGCGTGCGAAAGAGAGAAGGAACTATGCCTGGGGACCATTGACGCCAGTCGAGCCAAAGAGCTCAATCGTACGAGAGAAGTTGTTGATATCGGATACGCAGATTACGAAAGAACCGTCATGGCTCTCAATGAGTCACTCGGTCTCTGTCTCTAAGGGTGTTGAACGCCCCCAGCCTGCACATCCCTGGTGTCAATATGTGAGAGGTCTCACCTCCCTTGTACTACTATCGAAAAATGGCATGGCTTTCGTTTGGCGGTAAAAAAGATAGCCAGGCCCCGGCTCCTGTTCCCGGTGGCCAATTGCAACAGCGCTCCCATCAGCCGCTTTCTGTTCTGCCCGAAGAGCTGGACATTGAGAATACCTTGAACCAGATTGCTACCTCGCAGACCCAGCCTGATGTCGAGTTTGCCAAGGCAAAAACCATTGACGAAAGCAATGCTGCTGTGGATAAGTTTGTTGCTCACCACCCCAAGAGAATGTTCATCATTGACGGGGAGAAGTACGCCAACGAGTCCATCATCTGCACCAACGATGAGCGTGGCGAGAAGACGTGCTTGCGGTTGATGTACAACCTGATCCAGCTCTTCAAACAGATGCAACGTCTCGAGTACTTCTGCTCATTGCCCAATGACATCGACGCCACCTACTTTGAGTGCCGCAAAATTACATAGTGCCAAACCATATCATGAATATATTAGTAGACTACCAGGACTTCAAAAGAGAAGGGTGGCCAAGACACCAAAGACGGTGCCAAAGGCAGCCTTGACGCTGCTGGCGGCGCCCTCCTCACAGGCAGACTCGTGGCCAAAGTTAGTCACGTTGGATCTGTTCCCCGTGGTGGTAGTGGTGGTTGAGTTCACAACCTTGGTCGCAAAACCGTTGGTTGAGCTGACACCCTCGGTATTGGACCCTGAGGTGGCAGAGCCAGGGGCAGTGCTTTCAGGGGCAACGAAAGTGGTGGTGGGAACATGACCACTGTTTACGTCCCGTTTGTCATAGACAGTGTCGACATCATCGTCGCTGTCTGATCCAGATGGGCTTTGGAGGCGTTCCATCTGCTCCTCGGTTCCGTACTCGATGTTAGCACAGGCAATCTTGGTCATGTCCGAGTAGTGGAACACAATTGACTTGCCAATGATGTTGGCCTTCGAGTACCCGTCCAATGAGAGATATGGATCACAGTAGTCGGTCTGGAAGCACGTAGCCTTGATGGCGCCATGCTTGCCTGACAAGTCACCAAGCTTACAATAAGCGTCGCCAGGCTGGGCGTCACATTCAGGAGAGGCGTGGTAGGGGTTAAACTCTCTGCCAACGCCTTCACAATCTCCGTCATCAGGAACCGGGAACTCGTGGATATGGTAGTAGAAAGGCCCGCCGTCAGAAGGCAACTTGGTCACGTCGACATGGACGTCGACCTTGTCACCGTTGGGACTCTCAAACAGCACATATCCTTCCATCTCGCCACAACCAAACTGAGGGAACTCAGCAACGGCAATGACATCCTTGGGGTTAGAGGAAACCTTGGGGCGACGCCGGCGAAGGCGCCTCCCAAGAGACCAGAGAGAAGCAAGCTTTGGGCTACGTTGTTGGTGAATCTCATACTTGAAAAAAGAAGAGTGGTTGGTAGGTGCTGGCTGCAAAAGGACCCACCCTCGCCTTTTATAGTTCGCGGGAGAACACAAGGCCGACCTAATCTCCACATGTAGATGAACGTTAGTGTATGCTATTATCCGATGCTATATCCCATTAAATGCTAAGTGATTTTAAACCATAAATGATTCGCCGCAGCCGCAGGTACCCTTCGAGTTAGGATTCTTGAAGATGAATCTGGACGAGAGCTTGTCGTCAATCCAGTCCATCTCGGAACCAACGATGGAGAAAAGGGCCTTTGAGTCAATCAAGACCTTGACACCATCCTGCTCCACCAACTCGTCAAACTTACCTGGTTTCGAAACGTACTCCAAATGGTACGTCAATCCCGAACAACCTCTGTTTCTCACACCAATGCGGATGAGCTGGGGCTCGGGTTGATCTATCAATGCTCTAAGGTGACTCACAGCACCTGGGGATAATGTGATCAATGCTTTTCTAGGACGCAACTGTCTTCTGGCCTTCTTGGGCTTGGCCGAGGCTTCAGGAGCCTTCTTCTCTTCACTGACCTTTGGAAGTGGTGCAGATGCAACAGAAGGCTTCTCTTCCGTCGAAACGGTTTGTGCAGTGGTCTTGTTTGAAGTTGCCGGCGTTTCCTTAACCTCTTTATTGGTGATCTCTTCATGCTTCGAGGAGGCCTCCTTGACCTCTCTAGATGACTTGGCAGCATTTCTGAACCTCGAGGTTCTCGACTTTCTAGCCACTGGCTGTGGTGGCGATGCAATAGTGATTGATTCATGCTGTTCAGGCTGTTGCTGTGTCTTTTGTTCTTGTGGTTTTGGGGCAGGGAACGAAAGGGAATGCTTCGACCAGCGAGAGCCTCCTCTAGGCAGCGATTGCTGCTGTACAGGGGCCATCTCTTGATTGAGCTGGTAGTTCAATGAGCCAAAGTTTGCCACTGGCAGTCTCTTGACCGAACTTGGTACCGTTTGCATCCATCTCTTGTAGCCACCGTGGGAGGCATACCTAACGAAAATGCTTGATCTCTGTGTAGCACAATTCCTTAACATGTTTGCAATGTTTAGCTAGTGTATTTAGGGCTGTGCAAAGATAAATATGTGTAAATGCTGGGTAAACAGACTAGTATTTAAGACAGAAAAAAACTGAGTAATATTTGCTTAGTATTGTCTGAACATAAAGGCCTGAGCAATTCTTTCATGCAGGACGACATTTTAGATAATCCATATTTCTCCGCACCTCATTGGCTCAATTTTGACTCCGACTGCGGAATCCGCTCCTCGGGTCCGGTCATACTTAATGTAATCGTGGGGAACCCTCACGCAGGGCATTACACACTACAGGTAAGTCCGAGACATGTGGATTTGGTAATTCGAAACTAGCTAATTATCGCTCAATTATTTCAATGGAGCAGTTTCTCTCTTCAACCAGGCCCATTCAATGGTGTTCTTGATAAAAGTGTCGCTCAACTCCTTCCACACGGTAGCATGGTAGTCATTTATCCATTTCTTCTCGTCCTTAGTCAACAAGTTTTGGTTGATCAAACGACGGCAGAATGGCACTCTCGTGACGGTTTCAAACTCGTTGAACTTTTTGCCGTTGTACTCTAATCCGCTTGGCTTCACGAACATCACATTCTCGATACGAATACCATATTCGCCCTCTTCATAGTATCCAGGCTCATTGGAGATCAAATGGCCAGGTTTCAAAAGGTTTTTCGGATTGGCTCTTGGACCAAGTCCAATTGGGCCTTCATGAACATTTAAGTAGGCACCGATACCATGAGAGGTTCCGTGGCCAAAGTCCTTGCCGTTCTTCCACAAGTATTGTCTTGCAACAGTATCGTTGATCGGCGTCTTTTCGGGGAACTTCAAGCTACCCAAGCCAATGTTACCTTTCAAAACTAAGGTGTAGTTATCAATCTCCTCTTGTGTCGGGTTGCCGAAATGAACGCATCTAGTCGTGTCCGTGGTGCCATCCAAGTACTGAGCACCTGAGTCATTAAGGTAAATCTTCGATGGATCAATGACGGCACAAGACTCTTTCGAAGGTTTGTAGTGGATAATAGCGCCATTTGCACCAGATGCACTAATAGTGTCAAACGAAAGTCCGATAAAGTTTTCTTCCTGAGATCTGAATTCAAACAATTTCTTGTCAGCCTCGATTTCATTAATAAGCTCGACCTTATTAGCAACCTCCTCCTCGAGCCAAGCAAAGAATCTACACAAGGCTCGCCCATCTTTCAAGTGAGCCTTTTTGGCTCCCTCCAATTCAGTTTGGTTCTTCACAGCTTTGAGGTCTTCAACGGGTGTAGGTGATACCGATACATGCTCACAATCTAGAGTACGAACAATTTCCCAGGATGCAGTGCTATCGTTGAGCAAAAACTGTTTCTTCGATTCCTTGAACTTCTTGGATAATGTTGAAAGGTCGTCCCAGAACGCTTCATAGGGTCTGAGCTTGATATTGTTCTTTTCCAAATGCAGGCTAACGGGGGTATCAAACTTTTTGTTGTTAGAATAAAGGGTCACATTCTTGTCGTCGGCATCAATAATCACGTAACTGTAGAAGACTGGGTTATACTGGATATCGCTGCCTCTCAAGTTCAAGAGCCAGGCGATCTCATCCAACGCACTGATAACAATTCCATCACACGAACTTTCCTTCACGGCCTCAATGACCTTGGCAACCTTGGACTTGACGTCCTCTCCAGCGTATTTTTGGTCGAGAACCTTGATGATGTTCTCAGGCACCGGGGGGACCTCCTCGAAGTCCGGCCAGATAGCATCAATCAAGTTCTTCTTCACGGGAACGAGCTCAACATTAGAGCCCTTTGTCTTCTTGGCCTCCTCATCGATGGTCTTGGTGATCTTATCGAAGGACAGGAAGCTTATCAACTTTGGGTCAACACCAATCTTGACAAGTTTGCCAGAGTCCACGGAGAGCTGGACTGCCTGCTGAACAGCCCACAACTCCCAAGATGGCACATCCTTCTGGCCCTGTCTCAACAAGGTCCAGTTGAAGTCCAACTCGTTGACGGCCTGGGTGAAGTACCTGCCATCGGTGGCCAAGGCGGCCGAACCTTCAGGGATCTCACCAAAACTGTTGACATCCCTAGTCACCACAGCAACACCAGCACTTCCGGAAAATCCCGAAATAAAGGCACGCTTTTGGTCAACAGGGGCCACGTACTCAGACTGGTGCTGGTCCTCAGAAGGCACGACATAGACACCCAAGTCGTTCTCGGTCATCAACTTCCTGAGCTTCTCCAAACGCAATGAGGTGTTAACCTCCTTGACCTCTGGAACACACAAGGAAGCAGCGTCAATGGTATAAACGGAGCCCTTGCGGGAGCCCTTAGGGGAACCCAGCTGGGAGTTGAATCTCTTGATGGAGATTCTCTTAGCAAAAGTCGACAGTCTTCTGTTTCTTGACAATAAGCCCGGCGAGCATGTGCAGTTGGCACACTCGGCACGGGACACTCTTCTCTGGGCCACAGACATGTTGGTTAATGGAAAAGGGTAGATGGTAGAAAATGTTGCCTGACTATTTAGGAAGGAATGTGAGCGAGCGGAAGGCTGCTTATGTAAGCGCCTGGCAGCAAGCGAGCCGTTAAGGCAAGCGTCAGCCTCCGGGGTAAAAAAAAAAATTAATAAGTCACACATGATGATGGGAGAGATTACGCATTTGAAGAAATCTAAAAGTAAATTGGCGCCTGGAGTAGTGGGTGCTGGTCTTCTTGACGGAAGTGGGGAAGGCTGTGGTGATATGGGCAGACGCTAATTATGTCACCCGACGATCGTTTAGAGGTGAGCGTTACAGATTCTGGTCCAACATTTAATGCAAGGTTTGAAACGCCTCGAATGACCTGAAATGCTAGATGGACCTTTCCTTATCCAGCAGCTCTGGACTGCAGCGCGCCTTTGACACAATCTAAAAGATCGCTGAACGCAGCCGTCCAGGTGAACGGGTTGGTGGAAAGTGCAAGATAATATTCTTAGGCAAAGGAAAGTTTATTGTTCTGTTTGATTTATTATTTACGGTTTTGAGTTGGTAGAAAATCGACTCTGTTCATTATCGGCGTGACTCCGAATGACTACATGTCATGCTGGTTGACGCTGGTTATGTGCTCGTTCTGTGTCTCCCTGCATTGGTTGCGACAAGTAAGGAACTCCGTTCTGGTTTTGGATTCCAGGTGACTTTGAAGGGAGTTCTTGAAAAAGAGCTTTAATGCCAGGTCAGTGGCTTTCTTGGTCATTTGGTTCAGCTCGTTGTGTCGAGAGACTGGGAAGCTTGATACCAATGAACAGGGAGATTGAGAGTGGGTGGTAGTCGAAGGGGTTGTTTTACCAGCTGGGGGTTCGAAAGTGCATCCATGAAGGATATTTGGAAATAATGATAGGGTAATGTTGTTGTCTGAAATTTTGAAGGTGTTCTAAAGTTCACAGTGTGGTGCAGCTTTTGTAGATGGTTGCAAATCTCGCACCGTAGTTGTAAAACATTCTTGAAAGAAGTGGAAAAATATGAAATTTTGATCAACCTGATACACGTCTTTTCCCATATTTCTGCATCCTTTGAGTCAATTGAGACCCATCCATCCAACACACCCCTCTGACGCTTCTTTGCATCCTCTCTACATGTCACTCGTGGTTGACCCTGGCACACAATCTGATTTTCCAACTATACCGAAACAGCAGGCTTCGTTCGTATTGAATAAAAAGAAGCTTCAATCTGTAAATTTGCTCTTGCCATTTCCGATCCTATCTATTCATATCCATGGCCTCGAGGCACCACACTGAAGTGCGCATCGACTTCGCAGTTACTTAATGTGTCAGATCATCTATCAAAGTCGCTACAATGGATCAGCTCTTTCAGGATGCTGAACAGGTATGTTACAAGAAAACAAAATCCGAGGCTATACTAACCTCCAGCAAATACAGGCCCTCTACTCCACCAATAACCAGGAGCAAGTCTCCGGTCTACTGAAGAGCTTGAGGGACCTACAAAGATCAGAACACGGCCAGGCGTTGGCAGATCATCTTCTCCAGCTGCCCAACCTAAACTCCCGCTATTTTGGCGCATTGACCTATGCGGTAGTCATACAATACCTTGACGAGGCGTCAGAAAGTCAGCTCAATGGTCTCATACAATCCCTCGGCACGCATCTTCAAAACTTCGCCCAAGATGTATCAGCAATTGGTTCGAATCTTCTCGTACTACGAAAGCTCATGTCCGATTTAGCACAAATCTTCATCCGCCACCCTTCCAGTCGAAATCCGGTTTCAACATTACTTGAGGCGGTCTCAGGTAACCAATTTCACGACACATTATCATTTGCATCTTGCATCTCCAGCCTTCCGGCAGAGCAATTCATCCTATCGCTCTCGTTCTTCGCTATTCTAATTGAGGATGCCACCAGGCTTAACGACTATAAACTGGCAGTACACCCTGCTGTCAAGATCGAAATTTATCCCTTGTTGATAACGTGTGTCAATTATGTTACTCATCTACACTCACGGGGCAACTTGTCATATGAGGTTGACTTAGAGATGTCAAAGACACTAGCTTCATGGATGGTCTACATACCAAACATTGGTGGCGAGCTAAGGTTCTCTGCAGATGACGTTGCTCCAATCACAGAGTATTTACTCTTTCATATAGAGGGTGACTGTGATGTTAATAACGAGAACAGTTTGCAGCTCAGCAAAGAGTGTATGGCAGTATTTGCAGAGATACTAGAGAGCAACGCAGCACTTCTCTCTACCGAAACCAAACTGGTTTTGTATCGCCGACTCTTCGACGACGGGGAATGGGGCTCTAGTTTTTTGAACCAGGTTGTATTTACAGAGCGCCGAGAGGAGTTCGAGGAAGAAGTGAATTCGTACGTCTTTCTCGCGATTGTTATTGCTCAGCTAAACCTGATAAGGTTATCCAAGTCGATTCTACAGCCTCAAACCCGAAACGTTCTCTCTATTCTTTACAGGCTAACAGCCATCGAAGGCGTTCCTTTTATTGACGAATCAATCTCCGAACAAATGCTCATTTTCTGGGAGGAATTTGCCAACGTCTATGTTGATCTGGAAGATTTAGTCGAAGTTTTACTTGAGAGCAACAGCGACCCAGGATTTGCAGAAGCTTTCAATAATGAAAAGCGCAGAATTTTCGATCAGGTAGCCAAGATCTACTGGACCAAGATCAGAATACCAGAGTTTTCAGCGTATCAGTCCATGAAATCCGATTTCTTGAGCTATCGCAGTAATGTCGCGGACTTCTTCTTGATCGTTTATAACCTTTTAAAGAGTCCATTTTATGGCGATCTAGCAAATTTTGTGGCGGAGAATGCAAACTCGAACCCCAATGAATCACAACTTGGCGAAATCGAGGCAACGCTTTTTCTTCTTTACAAGATCAATGATGACTCTTCCTACTACGAGTCACAGACTCGAGAGCTCATACCCTATTCCCGGGCTATCTTCAGCAATGGCATTGCTCGTTCTTTTCAGCAACTTCCAACCTCCTTTGACTTGAGTGTCGTTCACACGTCTACCTTCTTGCAATATCTCAACTCCAACGAATTTTTCTTTTCTAGCGATGAAGGTTTTGAATATTTGGGAGAGGCTTTCAATTTTCTTATCCCCATCATTATGAAGGGGGGTAAGCCACTTGCTTTTCTTGCTTCAAAGACTGTCACCAACCTTTGTGAACAGTGTAGTCAAAGATTGCTCGATTTTCTCCCAAGTCTAGAGCCAGTTGTGTTAGAAATGCTCAAGAATCCTGATATTGACAGCTTGGTGAGACTGCGGATGTTCAACGCTTTTAGTGTCATTGCCAGAAGTATCAAGGACCTTGAAGAACACGCTAGATTGATCAACGGGCTTATAACAACCATCGCAGATGCTGCTCACTCAATGATTGACATCGCGAAAGATGAATTGAACGAAGAGCAAGAGGAATACCTTGTTTCACTAATCTCATGTATTGTCAATATCGCAAAAGGTAGCGGGCTACCTGATGAGACAATAGATGACATGTCAGAGGAAGAACAGGCTCAGTATAAGGAGTTTTGGATGGCTGATCCACTTCAAACGAAGCAAATGGTTCTTCTCATTGTCCAAGAGCTTAGCATGAATTATCCACCCCTTCGTCAAAAAACAATCGTTATAGAGAAGTCCACTCAAGTGTTCAAGGCCGGGCTCGGGGAAAAGTTGAACGGACCGCTAACTTTTGACGATACGACAGTTGCGGACTATGCAATAAGCATCAACAATGTTCTCAACAATCCAAACGCTATTCCTTATGTGTTTGCACTCATTGAGTCCCTTGTGAAACTAAACTATCGAGAGCTTCAGCCTGAGATAGTTCAGGAGTTAGTCAGCAGGCTCCTCACGGAAAGATTAGACTTTCTCAAAACCGACCCAGACATGATCAAAAGCGCCATTGATTTAGCATCTAAAATTATAGAATGCAAACCAGCATTAATCATTCACACAGATGCCTTCATCAACATAATCCTTCATTTTGCGCTCGACGGGTTAGATGCAAATGAGACATTCATTGTCAAATCTATCCTGAAATTTTGGACGAATTTCACGTCTTTGAAGAGAGGTACTGAAAGTGATCACACGAGAATGAACGAGATTTTCCTCCAACATCAACTTGGACCAGCCTTGACTCAACATCTTCTTAAAGCGTTTTTAAGGGCACCTCGCTCATCTCTTGAAAATTATTACATGATATTCAGAGCCATTATTGGCAAGTTCACGGTCCATATCAAACAGTGGCTCATCGACGCTCTTGCATCTCCAGAGACAACAGCAGGATCCAGAGTGAAAGAGAAAGACCTAGAAATGTTTGTTCATCGTCTTGTGGTGACACGGGGAAGACGTGCCGCAAATGACGTGCTTAAAAATTTCTGGCTATTGGTCAATGGTTTCGTGGAATATAACACGCAAACCTATTAGCATCGCAAGTCGTCTCGACTTGCCTACATTAGTGCATCAAAACAATATACATATTAGTTCGAAAATCCGAAATCATCCCCACCTTAAAGCACCGACTCCAATTGTTTGGCTAAGTGAAGACCCTCAGCATTGAAGTCAATCTCATTAATTTGCACCACGTTATATCTCACTCTCATATTACCATTGAAGCTCTCCTGTTTGGCTCTCAACCTGAAGTTAAACTCCCTCATCGTGATTGAGTAAACCAATTTGGAGAAATCATGGACATCACTGTTTTCCAACTCCTTCATCTGCAATAACTCGCTGGCACTCACTTGGAATAAAGTCTTTGCTTCGTTATCAAAAAGAGTCGCCCAAATTTGACCAGTGTGATCCATGAGGGAGCAGTTCAAGATGTACCTGTAATGAGGCTCAGCGTACGTGAGATTACATCTCTCGCATCTCCAAGAGCCATCACTTTCTTGGATGACCTTACGGTTGCAAGGTGTGGGGCCTCTAGACGAGACATTGACTTCATTATTGCACGCGGGGTAGCAAAAGTTGTCTGTCTTAAAGTAGTTGATAGTTCCCTTGATAGAGAAATAGTCTGGCTTCTCACCGGTACCCAACTCGGCTTGTTCAGCCTCCTGAATTGTCTTCCTGTTGGCCAATGGGTCAGCACCAGCGGACTCCGTCTTCATACTTTGAAAGTTTTCATTAATTCCTTTGTTGTCATACCAGCCTTTCAACTGATACGCCTCAGGGATATCAGGGTTGCCCATGATACTGCCAGCTTGAGTCAAACTCAAAGATCTTCCACCGAAATCTTGAACCTTAACTCCCTTGATAGCCACGACTGAGCCTGCGGGAATGGAGAAGTCTACCGCGGTTGCGTTCCACAAGCCGACATCGATAGCAAAGTTAGAGTCATCAACAAGAGTGATGTTTCTTCTGTTGAATGGCTTACCGGTAGACTTGGCAGTGATTTGGAATACATCGTTCACGTTCTTAATCACACCCACGACGTCAAGGATAGCGTCCTTCTCCGAATTTTGAATGTCATTCAATTTGGTGAAGTTGAAGTTGATTTTGGGGACATCAGAAGTGTCGAAACACTCTGTAATCTCCGTGTCTTTATCCAAGGACAATTCGTAAGGATGGCTGAGGTGAGAAAACTTTGGTTTGGCTTGTTGAATACGCGCTTTGGTGACGTAGTAAACTTTTCCTTCCTCAAGTAAATTGTAAAATTTGTCGGCCATGTCGTTAAACGCGGTCGCTCTGATTTCATCAGACTCGTCCAAGAAGTTCACGTTAAACAACTTACCCTCACCTCTGCTGTTGGACCACGTTCTGATCTCACCCTTGTAGGAGATTCTACCTTTAATGGTCCAGTTGTTTTGGTAAGGCGACAAGGACTCAATAGGGTTGACAGGTCTCTCAGGACCACGGCCACGCGTCTGCTGGTTTGGCTTCTGAGGCTGCTGCTGCTGTTGTTGTTGCTGAGGGGGCTGGGGTTGAGGGCTGTTGCTCAGCAGGTTGCCTTGGTTTCCAGTAACGCTCGTGGCAGTATCCTCATCTGGGTGTTGGTCAAAGTAAGTGTCAAGAGAGGTCAAATCGGACGAGATCCTCTCGGTCCTTGGCACATCAACCAGAAGATCGGAGATGAGCACGATTCTCTTCAAAGTTCTGGCAACAGTATACTGCTTAACTGTGATAATAGAGTACCTGGCAAACCCGTTAGCCTCCAAGTACGCGTTACATCTCGCGTCGATCAATCCCTGGATCGAGTATTTGCCATCACTAATAACACACCTGTATCTCCTCTCGGTGGCGGACTGTTCATTAATCACTTTCGAATTGGTCACCTGAAGGCGAAGACCTTTCCCTTCCCACAAGTGGCAAGTTGAACTGCTAAGAGCCTCTTTCAACGAGCCGGGCTGTACTCCGTATGTTTCAGACATTGATGAGTAGTTGATGGTAGGATTTACGCGATTCCTTATGGCGCGTTGTTGGTGTGACACGCGTGTGCAGGTCAGTAGCAACACATCCAGTCTTTGATTCCGAGAACACCACCGAAAAAGGGTCTTATGAGATTATAGAAACAGAGTGAAATACACTGTCTTTCCAAGTTTGTTGGTTTTTATGCTGGCGCATCTTCCGGAGTGCAGCTTTGCTCAAACTAAAGACATCATAAGGGCTGTCTGCAGACCTAGTTCACTGTTTACTATCTAAGAAGAGTAGTAACCTTATATTAAAAGGCTCTAATTAGACTTTCGATGCACTGACCCCACAGTCATTGAAGCAAATTAGATGTCAAAGTGCCGTGCTCCTCATTATTCTACGCTGAACTTCCGAAAGCACGTGGCTTTGATGAATATATACCTTCTATCACTCAAAAGAAAGCAGCTTGAATATCTACTCTAAACCAGAATGATCTGCCTTGAGGGCCTATAATTTTGGCTGCACAGCAACTGCATTGTAAAGTTCGTCCTTCTCATTCACCTTGACAGCACCGCTCTTCAAAAGCGCCCTGGTCAAATCGTAAATCAAATCGTCAATGTTCTCGATACCAATGCATAGTCTGATCAAGTCCTCGGGGAATTCCCTCTCTTCTCTGGTCTTAGAATCAATAGAGGCATGTGACATCTTGCAAGGCATGGAGATCAAGGAGTTCACACAGCCAAAAGAGACGGCGATACCAAAGATATCTGTGGACTCGACAATTTTCTCGGACATCTTAATGGAGCCCGTTTCAAAACTCAACACTGCGCCGGCGCCTTTGCATTGGCTCTGATGCAATTTATACTGTGGATGGCTGGGCAAGCCAGCATATCTGACTTTGAAGCCAGCATTCTGTAAGAAGTCTGCGATCTTAACACAGTTCTTCTGTTGTCTCTCGACTCTAACAGCCAATGTACGCAAGCCTCTGCTCAACAACCATGAATCAAAAGGACTCAATCCACACCCGGTGGAGTTGATCACGTAATACACACGCTCAGCCAACTTAGGGTCTCTCGTGCCAATGATTCCGGCCATGATGTCGTGATGTCCGTTCAAGTACTTTGTGGCAGACTCGTACTGGATATCAACCCCCAAGTCCAACGGCGTCATCAAGATAGGAGTCATCATGGTGTTGTCGAAAACAACAATACAGTCAGGGTTGACCGCATGGGCATGGTCTGTGATGGCCTTCACGTCACAAACCTTAATTAAGGGGTTTGTTGGCGATTCCAAGAAAATCATCTTGATAGCCGGAGTGATCTTCAGTTTGATCAACTCTGTATTTGTGGTGTCGTGATGATGAACCTTGAGATCTCCTTTGTTGTTCAAATAAGTCAACAATCTATGAGTTCCACCGTATAAGTCGTCGCCCGCTATCACCTCGTCACCAGGCTGGAGCAAACGCAAGATCACATCAAGACATCCCATACCCGATGTCACAGCGAACGTCTGATGTGCTTTCATGATCTTGGCCATGTGGTTTTGTAAATGTGTTCTGGTGGGGTTGCCCGATCTAGTGTAGTCGTACTCTCCCATATTGGAAAGCGAATCCTGTTTGAATGTGGCCAGCTGGTATAGCGGAGGCACACTGGCATTGTACTGGTCCGAGGACTTGTTGATGACCAACTCAGTCTCGATGTTGTATGGTTTTGTTTTAGTCATACGTAAAGAAAGTGGTATTTTTCACTAATGAGTTTGTGCAGCTTAGGAGTCATCTGCGGATTGCAACTACTCACGGGACAGATAGCCTATGTGCAGAGCACAATCTGGGGTTCCAAAACGATAAGCTCAGATTTCGTCCTCAAGGAGTCACAAAAATGGAAGAGCTGTATTTCTGGGTAGTTTGGTCGTGAAATTTTCATTAAAGCTACTCACAATTTTGAAATTATGCCTTAAAAAAGAACTCTTACGAAATCTGAAATCTAAGGTGCTTTCACGTGATACTTAGCTCGTGACAGTGATGTCAGAGTTGACGATTTCATCACGAAACTACAAACAACTGGCCTGACCTATTGTTTCAATATATGCGAGATAATATACAAATGATGACGTTGTGAGCCTACAAGTCGGCTCTGGTGAACTTGCGCACGTCGTTGGGCTCGGCGCCGTTCAACACCTTTCTACCACTGAAAGGCTCACAGGAGATTCTTCCAGAAACAGGACCAACCTTTTCCAAAGGCTTGCCCTCTTGCAAAGTCTTCAAGATAGCCACGGTCTTCTCTGGGGTCAAGTCTTCGTGGTAGTCATCGTCAACAGCCATCATAGGAGCATTCACACAGGCACCCAAACACTCAACCTCCTGGAAAGTAAACATCTTGTCGGGGGTGGTCTGACCAGGCTTGATTTTGAGATAGTCCTGAATGGCCTTCATGATGTCGTCAGAGCCACACAACTGACATGGAGTGGTGGTGCAAACCTGAATGTTGTGCTTACCCATAGGATGTCTCATGTACATGGTGTAGAAAGTGGCAACTTCGTACACTCTCATAGGAGGCATGTCCAACATCTTAGCGACGTAGTTCATGACAGAGATGGAGGTGAAACCCAACTGTCTCTGACCCAAGTCCAACAAGGGCATCACAGCACCCTTTTTGTATTGAGGTGGGTATTTGGCAATAATTTCATCGGCTCTCTTTCTGTTTTCAGAGTTGAACTCGAAAGGAATGTTTGGGTTGTCTTCTTTAATGTCTCTGTGGACAGAGATTATACTGGAGTTTCTGAGGGATGATCTCATAAGAGGAGCCACTCTGGCAGTAGGAGCCACGGCTCTTCTGGCCAATTGACGGAACATGATGCTAAGAATTTATGTAATATTAAGGATGCAAAAGGGACCAGCGGTCGATGTGTGTAGTTGGACGTCTAGCCTGAAGGTGGGAGGTTATATTTTTTTAGTCTCAAAGTATGGAGCACTGTACAGTGAGCGTAACGTGGAAATGCCCGAGTCCCATTGGCCGTAATGCGAACCCGTGCACCAGATTTCGGCCTCTAGCGTTCAAGAAGTCCGGTTTCTCTATGGTAAATCTAAAATTGGGGTAATTTCATCACAAGGTGATGTGTTGTGGGAATTACTTGACTTCAACCTACTTTTTTTAATAATTGGTGAGTTTAGGCTCATTCTTTAGAGTCGCAGTCAGCATTGGTACTTGTAGTAGAGATGCGGTATTGACGACCTCAGATGAGCAAGTCACATTAATAGTATGAGATTGACCAATTGACTTCTTGAACAAAGCGAGCAAAACTAATTGACAAGATTTAAAAGAGAAACTAAAAAGGAAGTTTCTATATCAAATCCTGGAACAACTGTCGTTTGGTAAGCCTTTACTGAGGATGGAAGACAGTGATGATTTCTCGGAAGCTGATATACACAAAATAATTCTCAACTCTACAGAACTACTTCCTTTACTTGGTACTTGTTTATGAAGCGGAAGCCTAGTTTGCGAGTGATGAGATATGCTTCAATCGATGGTTCACTAAAGCCTCAATTTTTCGCAGCCAACTTCAGCCATCATTATGTCAGACTAAGCGGAATGTAAATTTGAGATCTTCCAAATTTGTGCAGAGCTGCTTCTCATGATTTTGAATAGTAGTATCAAAGTGATGCCGAATCGGCCAGTTTGCTGATCTTGAAAATCTGCTGAGGGAGAGTCGGCTGTGTAGATCAACCAAAGTGATGAACACAACATATTATTGAGCTTCAGTTACAGTAATAGCATCTTATGCATTGACTGTTCCCAAAGTTCATAATCTCAACTCTTAATCTTTTTTGTATGCTGGCAGATCTGTTGATTGTAGTACTTCTTCCGTATTCCACTACTTGTACTCTCTGCAGTGCACACCAGATTTGACAGTAACTAACCGCACACAACCACAAAACAGTGATCCTGCCACACCGCTTGTATACTACGGCGCCACATAGAGACATTGCGATCTAAGCATAGAAGCAGCCCTGTTTGTCCTGTTATTTCATTGAAATTGCTCAACGCCTTTAACTGTGGCGGCATACAACTACAAACCCACCTCAAGATCATAGACATCAAGATATACATTCAAATCCCAGAATAAGACACTATTCATGGACAATCCTTTTAATTCAAGGGATTCACCTGCCCCTGGAAGCTCGAGAGATTCCAATTCAAACCCGATGGAGACACCCAGGTCCCCTTCAAGGTCGACTAGAAGCCTCTCACCACCGAAACCAGGAGATCAGTATGGGGCCTTTCCTTCGACGTCTCCTAGACGTCGCTATAATGGACGCTCATTGTTCAGCGATCGATACATACCGAACAGAACTGGTATAGACCTCCAGGCAGCGTTCAGTTTGAGTAACCAGGAGGTTATGCCAGATCTTAGGGCTTCTCGGAGTTCTGGAGCTGGAAACATTCAGTCAGGTTCAGCTGAGGAGCGTGATACCAATGAAATCGAAATGAGAAAAGAAGAGGAGGCCAATCGGTCGTTTTCCAGCGTTCTCAAGGCTGAACTTTTTGGAGACCATGTTCCAATGGCTACGGCAGATCTCTCAAGAAACAGATTGGGGCAAGACAAAAACGATTCTTCTACAAACTTAAGGTCATCTAATCATGCATCAACTACGATGTCTTCCGCTGGCGGAAACTCATCATCGGGTCGTACCACTCCTCCCAGAACCACAGGATCTGGTGTGGCATCTACTCCTCGCCTGAGCGCAAACATGTTCACATACCAGCTGCCGAGCAAACAGCGCCCCATTTCGCGGGATCTTCAGCTGGAACTCTTTTCATTATCTCCTGTTCGGTCCGAATCTCAAAAATTCCTTCTCAGTCCCCAAAAGAAGCCAAGAAACATTTCAAAGGTTCCGTACCGTGTCCTAGACGCCCCGAGCTTTCAGATGACTTTTATCTAAATTTGGTGGACTGGGGCTCGCAAGACGTGCTTGCTGTCGGTCTTGGTGACTCCGTCTACCTCTGGGACGGTCTGACACAATCTGTTGAAAGACTTTGTGTTTTGGATCAAAAAGATAAAGTTACCTCCCTTAGCTGGATTGGGTCAGGTACTCATCTAGCTGTTGGAACGCTGAAGGGTCTTGTCGAGATCTGGGATGCTACGAAAACCAGATGTGTCCGTACCATGACGGGCCATAAACTACGAGTCAGTGCTTTGGCGTGGAACGAACACATCTTGTCGAGTGGTTCACGAGACAGAACAATTTATAACAGAGATGTAAGAATCCTGGACCATTATGTGAACTGCTTCGAGCACCACAAACAAGAAGTTTGCGGACTCAAATGGAACGTTGAGGAGAACAAGCTTGCTAGTGGTGGTAACGATAACAACCTTTTCATCTGGGATGCACTTAACACTAAGCCTTTGCATCAATTCACCGAGCATAACGCTGCAGTCAAGGCAATTGCATGGTCACCACACCAACGAGGCATCTTAGCATCTGGAGGCGGAACTGCTGATAAGACTATCAAGGTATGGAACACTCTCACTGGTAACAGGATAAACAATGTTGAAACCGGTTCCCAAGTGTGCAATTTGATCTGGTCCAAAAATTCAAATGAGCTTGTCTCAACTCACGGGTACTCGCGGAATCAGATCATCGTGTGGAAATATCTGTCAATGCAGCAGATTGCGCAGCTCACAGGTCATACCTACAGAGTATTATACCTATCGATATCTCCAGATGGAGAAACCATTGTGACCGGGGCGGGTGACGAGACACTCCGGTTTTGGAATGTTTTTGAAAAAAACAGGAACAACGAACCCCCCACATCGGTGCTTTTAGATGCATTTCTGCGGTTACGATGAGCATTAACTTGCAGTACCCCAACGTCTTTCAAACGTGGAGAGAACATCGGAGTTCTCCAAAAAATTTACCCCACCAAGCCCAAAAAAAACATGAATGCCGTATAATAAAAAGTTTGAACCTCCAACGGCAATTGGCGCCGAATCAGCGTTTTCGCACCGGGGCTACAAAGGGTAACCACGAAGCCGTCGAGATAGGCCTCCGCGATACGGTGCCGCGCATGAATTACTCAGGCAGTGCTGTATAAAGATTGACATACTCGCTCTTCCGTCCCACCACATTTTTTACCGATTGCAAACGAAATGACGAAGCCACAAGCCAAGGATCTCTCTCACTTGTTATCGGAGGAAGCCAAGTCCAGAAAGAATTCTCCTTTGAAAGGAGCTTTCAAGTATTTCAACCAACCCGGAATGACCTTCTTGGGTGGTGGATTACCGCTTTCCGACTATTTCCCATTCAACAGAATGGAGTTGGACGCCCCAAGCGCCCCATTCCCCAATGGCATTGGTGCCCAGGCTACCGATGAGGACAAGACTGTGATTGAAGTTTACAAAGACAAGACGAAAAACGACCCCAAGACCAAGGATGTCGAGTTGTCCAGATCATTGCAGTATGGTTACACTGAGGGTGCCCCAGAGCTCCTCAACTTCTTGAAGGAGCACACTGAGACCATTCACAAGGTTCCATACGATGGATGGTCTGTGATCTCAAGTATCGGTAACACTCAATCCTGGGACGCTGTCTTGAGAACTTTCGTTACCCGTGGTGATGCCATCTTGGTTGAAGAACACACCTTCCCCTCCGCATTGGAAACCGCTCATGCCCAGGGAGTTAACACTGTCCCTGTTGCTATGGATAGTGAGGGTCTCCTTCCAGAAGCCTTGGAGAAGACCTTGGACCAATGGGTTGGTCCTAAGCCTAAGTTATTGTACACCATCTGTACTGGTCAGAACCCCACTGGTTCTTGTTTGAGTGCTGAGAGAAGAAGAGCTATTTACAAGCTTGCCCAGCAGCACGACTTCATCATCATTGAGGATGAGCCATACTACTTCTTACAAATGGAGCCCTACACCGAGAACTTGGAAGAGAGATCCAAGAAGCATGTTCACGACCATGACGAGTTTGTGAAGGCCTTGGTGCCTTCCTTCCTCTCGATGGATGTCGAAGGTCGTGTTATCAGATTGGACTCGGTTTCCAAGACCATCGCACCAGGCTCTAGATTCGGCTGGATCGTCGGACAGGAAAAGTTGTTGGAGAGATTCGTCAGATTGCACGAAGTGTCTATTCAATGCCCATCAGGTTTCGCTCAATCTGCGTTGAACGGTTTGTTCCAGAGATGGGGTCAAAAGGGCTACTTGGACTGGTTGATTGGCTTAAGAGCCGAGTACACCCACAAGAGAGATGTCGCCATTGACTCTTTGCACAAATACTTCCCTAAGGAGGTCGTGCAGATCTTGCCTCCTGTGGCTGGTATGTTTTTCGTTGTCCAAATTGATGCAAGCAAGCACCCCAAGTACAAGGAATTTGGTGAGAGCGCATTGAAAGTGGAGGAGTCAATTTATAGAAAGGGTTTGGAGAAGGGAACCTTAATCATTCCTGGCTCGTGGTTCAAGGCTGACGGCCAGACCAACCCTCCACAACCCCCCACTCCTAAGGATCCTGCTCTCGAGAAATTCATTTTCTTCAGAGGTACCTACGCCGCTGTACCATTAGACGAATTGGAGTTTGGTTTGAAGAAGTTCGGAGCTGCAGTTCACGAGGAATTTGGTTTGTAACTTTAAAAGTAGCACTCAGTTTGAAGCATTGTAGTCGCAGTAGTATTTCGCAGCCAGTACACACAGAACTCAACTCCAACTACTAATGCACATCATAAAGCTACCGTGGCTAGGCCATCGAGGTATGTTACGATTTATTCAAATCACTGACTCATCTAACAACAGCCGAAAATAAGTTTATAGAATGCTACGCCACAAGCATCAATCCCAATGGCACAAGACTCGCTACAGGAGGTTTGGACGGAAACGTCAAGATATGGGACACCAAGCTGATCCTACGATACAAGGATTATCAATCTGAAGGAGGAGAGAACGATGTTTTAAAAGATAAGATGGATATTGACGAGCAGCCGCATGAACTAAAACGACCTGTTGCTTCTATGTCTAGACATAACGGAGCAGTAACGTGTGTGAAATTCTCACCAGACGGAAAGTTTCTAGCCTCAGGCTCTGATGACAAGATTGTTCTTATCTGGGAGAAAGACGAGGAGCAGGCAAATAGGCCAAAACAGTTTGGTGAAACCGAGGCCGACCTAGAGCACTGGATGGTGAGAAAGAGACTAGTGGCCCACGACAATGATGTTCAGGATATCTGCTGGTCTCCAGATGGATCATTGTTGATAACTGTGGGTTTGGATCGTTCGATTATTATCTGGAGCGGAACGACTTTTGAAAGAATCAAGCGTTACGACATTCACCAGTCCATGGTGAAGGGTATTGTGTTTGACCCAGCTAACAAGTTCTTTGCTACGGCTTCGGACGACAGAACTGTTCGGATCTTTCGTTATTCAAGGAAACTCAACGATACATCGATGAACAATTACGAATTCCAGGTTGAGCATATCGTCATGGACCCATTCAAGAAGTCACCTCTTACCTCGTACTTCAGAAGAATGTCTTGGTCCCCAGACGGACAGCACATTGCAGTTCCAAACGCCACAAACGGCCCCGTGAGTGCCGTCGTTATCATCAACAGAGGCAATTGGGCTACTGATGTGTCTTTGATCGGTCATGAAGCACCCTGTGAGGTCTGTTCCTTCTCTCCTCGTCTTTTCCGTGAAGACAGTACTAAATCAGACCAGTACATGACAATTCTTGCCACAGGTGGTCAAGACAGGACACTAGCGGTGTGGAGTACTGGCAGGACGAAGCCCTTGGTGGTAGCAGAGGAAGTGGTAGAGAATGCAATTACCGATATTTGTTGGGGTCCCGACGGACAGTCGTTATTCCTTACATCGCTAGATGGCTCGGTTACATGTGTTATTTTCGATGAGAAGGAACTTGGTGAAATTGTCGCTGAAGACGTAAATGACTCCCAGTTACTACGCTACGGTGGAGATAGAGAGCTGACTGTGTTTGCTGAGAGCGCACAGCAACTCGAGCTCGAAGAACTTGCGGCGAAACAGGATTTAGCAGCTCCCGCTCGTCCAACGACACCAAAGCTAGAACCAAAGGTGAAGACTGAGGATGACTTCACCACTGCCCCTTCTACACCGCATAAACCCAAAGAAGAACCACAGGCTACCAAGAAGATCAGCAGTCGAACACAAAGTGTCAAGATCACCAAAGATGGGAAGAAACGAGTTGCCCCTATGCTTATATCGTCAGCTGCGGCCCCAAAGACGAGCAGCTCCTTTTCGCAGCCATCAATTAAGTCTTCTAGAAAGTTTGACATCAGCAACAAGGTCTCCCAGACTCCTTATCACCTACCACGACTTGGTGTCCAGACGAGTGTTCATGGACTTCGACAGCGTAATAGTGCTCATGGAGACGATGTGCTGAAGGCGAATGAGGACCAAGACAACGATAATGAAGACATCGGAATGGACGACCCTAACGCAACTCATAGCTCATACAATGGAGGAACATTCAGAAAGAAAATGAAACGCTACAGAAGGTGGCTCATGAAGCATAAGTACCCCACGCCATTCAAGTTCGTTTCTGATTTACCTAACGTTCTTTTCAGAAACGCCGATATGATGAACCACGAACTAAGCAGTCTTATCCAGAAAAAGGATATTGTCAACTCGCAAGAAATCATCAACCCTTCATCAATTGAAGCTGTTGACGAGAACATCATGTTTCAAGTTGTCGTGAAGTCGGTTCAACATTTGCACAAAACACCAAAGTTTTTGGAGAGGGTTTCCAACGGCGATAGTGACGAGCTAATTTCGTCCATCGTTGAGGTCAGAAATGGCTCTGCTTGGCCAGAGGATGATGCCTCTTTGAATGCCGATTACGCCCAACGGTTGGACTTTCAAGATCCAACTCAGGTAATTGTCACCAACAATGAGAAAAGTGAAACCAGGGACTACATTATCTACTTTCCTTTTAGGATCCAACAGGTTGTGCCCATTTTGTTTGATGACAGTCTATTTTACTATGTGTTGATTTCGTTCGATGGAGCCATACAAATAGTCTATGCCGACTCGGGCAGTTATCTAACACCCCAACTTGAAATTGGCAGCAATATTGTCTTTGCGAAACAGAGCGGACGGTATCTTCTCGTTTTGACGAGTTCTGGTCTTCTATACGTCTGGGAATTTTTTGGCACAAGTTACCAGAACATAAAGGGCTCCTTGAAAGGTGTTTCCATTGCCGCTGTTATAAACAGCGAGACAGTCCTCCCCAAGATCGATCCTGATTCTACCAAAAAAGGAGTTCACCCATCGGTGGTGGTGGAGGTTGTGAGGTCTGTTGATGTTGATCCAGACACCGGAGCTCCATACATCACCTTACAGAATACCAACTCTGTCTACACATACAGCAGTGATATGATGGTCTGGCTCAAGGCCGTGGAACCATGGTATTATCTTGCTTTGCAGGAAGCTGATTTACAGGTGAGATCGCCGCTTTTGCAACTGCTCCTCAAGAAAACGTATACCTCCAACCTCGAACAGATAGAGAGAGGTAAGAGGAGCAGGTATACGTTCAATGAGCAGAACAAGGAGCTCGAAGAAAACATGAAGCTGCGATTCAGTGAGCAAGTGGAGCTACTTTGATCTACAGGGACCAGTATAGTACAATGCTTTGGCTGTTGAGCCTGCTGTGCAGCAGGAAATGATTATATAATACAATGCAGCGGCTACTCGGCCTTGACTGAAGAGTCCTCCTTAGGTTCTTGTTTGACTGGCGCTTCGACCAGTGGCAGAAGGTAGAACAGCACAATCAGGGCGATGGAGCCCAAGACAGAGTTGACAGCCATCATCCAGATGGTCAAGCCAACACCACCGATCGTGACAAAAGGCAATGCCAAAACCCACTCCACGTAGTATGGGAACACGCCTGGTGGGAAATAGAATAAGATGGCCTTGCGGTACCACACTCTGGAAAACCAGACTGGTGCAGCCGTCAGTAGTGATATAAGAACACCTATGGCTTTGGTGAACTTAAGCTTCTCGGCAGAAACAGCATCAGTCAAATTAGAAACTTCGCCGTTGAGCTTGTCGAACTGACGATTGAGTTTTGTCCACTTGGCGTATTCGTCCTGAGCACTGACAGCTTTCCTCTGTTTGTTGATCTCCACCAACTCGGCCCTTCTCTTGGAAAGCTCCAAGAACTGAGCATGGCCAGCCTTACTGGCTATGGACGTGTACAAGTTCCAGGCAGCATTTTCTATGTTTGCCTTACCAACGGACTTCACTATGGTCTTCAAAAGAAGCGCCACGAATACAAATAGGAGAATGCTCAGCGGCTTAAGGTCTAGCATGATGTGGTTGGGCAAGCACTCGCTCAGAGGGCGTTAACAAGAGGGTGGTTTGGTCACGTGACGCCCGCGAGCACACAATTTTTATCTCCCTCCCCATCAAAGACAGCTGCCGCAAAGAGCCCCCCAACATTCCATACAATATGTCCAGCGACCCGAGGACGACTACGTTCCGTGGATCCAGCAGTTCTGCGAGGCATTCGGCCACGACTACTTTGTGCCTGTGACCCAGGATTTTATAGAAGACGACTTCAACTTGACTGGGCTATCACTGCAAGTGCCATACTACCGAGAAGCCTTATACACCATTTTGGACTATCAGGTAGAGACTGCCGAAGACAACGGCGGTGGCGGCTCGGGCTCTCTGAACGGGAAGGGCAAGAATGACTTGCCTAACAAGGCATTACTATCACACTCAGCCGAGCTTTTGTATGGTCTCATACACGCACGCTACATCGTTTCAAAGGGCGGCATGACCGCCATGGCCAGCAAGTTCGAGCGTTCCGAATTCGGCATTTGTCCTCGTTACTACTGTGACGGCATGCATCTTATTCCCGTCGGGGCCACCGACATACCGGGCCAGGAGACCGTCAGGTTGTACTGTCCCTGCTGCAACGACATCTACTTGCCGCTGAGCCTGCGCTACTTGAATATAGACGGGGCGTACTTTGGCACCACTTTCCCCGGCTTGCTTGTCAAGATGTTCCCAGAAATCGAAAATCAATGCAAGCTTCGGATCAATAAGGTCAACCAAGACAACTTTGGCTTGCGCTTGTTTGGCTTCCGAATCCATGAGTCCAGTGCCAGCGGGCCTCGCATGAAATGGTTACGGCAGTTCCCCGTGGGGCCTGAAGAAAAGAAGGAGTTTGACGATTGTGAACTCACCATACCGACTGTGGTTGACAGCGACTACGAGATTACCGCTTCCGAGGACCTCCAGGGCGAGGCCGATCTTGACGACGACAGAACGATGGCCAGTGAGGGCATGTAGGGTTGGCAGCATTGCCGTCAATGTCTGGCGAAGTTTCCGGCTTCCCGGGCTACTGTACTATATATCAACATAAACCAGAGGCTCGTTGACCCGACCTCACGTACGGTGACTTTCAGGGCATCATGCCCTTTCAAAGTAGCTACTTGACTACAGGGTCTGTGGCGAGAGCTTTCTGGTCTCTGATAAGGGTGCTAGCTACGATAGAGCACAATAGAATAGGGTTTTAAGATATACATTACGACATGAGCAAAGTCTTTGTAGGTTTTGAGGTGTTTATTCTCTTTAGTATTGGATTGTGCCAAATGGACCGTTTCGTTGCTACAGCACGGAGCTGCATAAGTATTAGTTAATTAATGAGTCAAGTGGACAGGCTTACCGGGCTCCCATTCCTTGATGCCATTGGCAATATTCATCCAGTACTTCAATCTAATTGTCTCGATCAAGATGTCATTCCATGGCACAGGTTCGGTTTTGAACAAACGCTCCAATTTCTCCTCGCTCTCTTCTACCCTTTCGTCATTTTCAACAGCCAAAGACTCCAAGTCACCCTCGTTCGCAGCCATCTCAAGCGCTTCGTGAGCATCTAGCACTGTCATTAGTAGCATCTTATAGTCCAAAGTATATTCGGACGAGGACTGCTGAAACTTCGCAATTAGGTCTTTTGATGTCTCGTCTTGTGTGATGTCAAGCTTCTCAGGGTGCTGAATTTTTATAAGGTAGGCCGCCCTAGTGTATGGGTTCTTGATCGTCGAGTAGGCCTTATTTAAAAGTGCAGAAATCTGGTTCTCACTTTTTGCCTCTTCGCCTTCACCATTCAGAAGTGATGCTGAGCCCATCACAATATCCGGATGGTTCTGGCTCTGAAGACCCCTGTGTTCTCTTCTTAGCAGTCTGTCATTGATAATGAAGGAGTCCTTAGGAGGGCCACCTTGAGGAAATGTTTTTGGATAAAGCTCGAAATAGCTTTTGACGTGAGCTGCATAGCTCCTTTTGGCCGATTTTAAGAGCCCTTGAGCAGCATTGCGCCGAATTGAGCACCACATAGTAGAGAAGCAGTTGCTCTTAGTCAGATCTGCTCGGACTTTGTGGGGCCTATTGATGATTTACGTACAGGTCGGAGACGAATTGGCTAGAAAGATGAACAGTTTGTTTCAAGACTGAAATCAAAGTAATAATGTTAAGGTAGTACTTAGATTATCTAAGATAACCATCTGGTATCTAGTGATTTTGTGGTCGCTTGTGGACTCGAAAACTTGGAGTTGAGGTTCACCAATTGGTGGCTAGAACACAATTGCTATGTCAGGTAAAATCATACATAGCCTTTTCAACAGCAAGAAAGAGAGACTTTCAAGAATGGTCATGACATGCCTTGCTCAAAAGGACACTAATAAGAAGAAAGGCAAATTGCTTTGCGAGGTTTGAGGAAATGGCTGCGAAAAGCAACTCCATATGATTCAAGCTGAGTAGCACATCGAATGCATCAGCGGGTATATCTTTCTCTAGAGGTTTATTGTTTCCTTCAGAGAATCAAATGGCTGAGTGACTCTCTTTATGAAAATAATGAAACCGTGTCTATGTCATTCGACCTTCGGCGAGCTTCTTCAAACTCCGGTTTGAGCAGCCAAATCAGGAAGGAAATAAGATCCACCGAGTCAAAAGCTACAGCTTGATTTCTTACTACGAAAGTTGGCTTTGTGTGACCATTTTTCATAAAACTGTTCAAAACTTCATCATTACAGCTACAGCGTTGGTGGTGCCTCGTGGGACCCTATAAGCACGAGAAAAGGTAACATAACTTCAAAAACCTCAAAACAAGACCAAGAACTCTATGTTCAACTTGTTCTGATTTACTCAAAGCTTTGGGAAAATTCCCAAAAATTTCTCCCTTTACCGCTGTTACCCACTAAATCAGTAGCATTTGCACCCATTACCTGAGCCCACCGCGCCTGAGGTGACGGTTCACACACGACCGTGTGTTGTCCTCTCACAAACGACGAGTTTTTTTCAGATCACATATTGAAGGAAACAAATCAACAAACAGGAACAATTGTCCACACGCCATCGCTCCTTCCTTGTTCACTTGTTGATTTGTTTCGTTGTTTGCTTTCGTCTCATCATCCGTTTTTTTATTTTGCCCCAACGCGTTTCGTTGCCTTTTAGTACCCAAAGTCACTTGAATAACATTGCAACACACAGATGGAGTTTGATGAACAAGAAGAGCTTAACGGTGTCCGTTTCGCCTGGAATACGTTTCCATCCACAAAGGCTGAGCTGGCCAAGATAGTGGTGCCAACGGGTGTCTTGTACACGCCTTTAAAATATAGAGAAGACATGCCTGTGATGCCTTACGAGCCAATCTTCTGTCATCTGTCGAGCTGTCGAGCAATTTTGAACCCATACTGTACCATTGATCCTTCCGGCTTCTGGATTTGTCCGCTTTGTGGTACCCGTTCCCCATTACCTCCACACTATCATGGCATTACTCAGGAAAACTTGCCTACAGAGTTGCAAGGCACCTCCTCCACCATGGAGTACATTACAGCCAAGCCAGTGCAGCATCCTCCAATTTTCTTGTTTGTGGTAGACTTGTGCCAGGATGAAGACAATTTAAGGGCATTGAAGGAAACGTTAGTGATTTCACTTTCATACCTTCCTCCAAATGCTTTGGTGGGCTTGATAACATACGGCTCCATTGTCCAGGTCTACGACTTGGGTGCAAGTACCGTCAACAAGTCTTACATCTTCCGTGGAGACAAGGATTACACAGAGAAGCAGGTTGCTGACATGTTGAACAAGCCTGTAATTGCTCAGCCAGGTCAGATGAATATCCAAAGCTCCTTGCAAAGATTCTTCTTACCAATTGAGGATATTGAGCATCAGTTGACTTCTCTTATCGAGAACTTGACCCCAGACCCTTGGCCTGTTGCTCATGGTGACAGAGCCAATCGCGCTACCGGTTCTGCTATCAACGTGGCTGCCAACTTGCTTGGTGGTACCTTCTCTGGTTTCGGCGCAAGAATCTTCTTGTTTTCCGCTGGCTCATGTACGCTCAACCCAGGTATGATTGTTGGTCCCAAATTGAAAGAGGCCATCAGATCTCACTCTGATATCGACAAGGAGAACGCTAAGCATTATAAGAAGGCCGTGAAGTTCTACGAGAGTATCGCCGCCAGAGCAGTGAAGCATGGCCACACAATTGATTTGTTTGGTGGCTGCTTGGACCAGGTCGGTTTCTTGGAAATGAAGTCCATGTGCTCAAAGACTGGTGGTGTGTTGTTGTTGTCCGATGCCTTCACAACCTCTATTTTCAAACAATCTTTCTTGAAACTTTTCAACAAGGATCACGAGGACTATTTGCTCATGGCTTTCAATGGCACCCTTGATATCAAGTGCTCTAGAGAGTTGAAGGTCAGTGGGTTGATCGGCCATGCATCTTCATCCAAGGTCAAGTCTCCAAATGTTTCTGAAACCGAAGTGGGTATTGGAGGCTCTTCAAAATTCAAAATGTGCTCACTTACTCCACAGAGCACGCAAGCCATATTTTTCGACGTTGTCAACAATCTGCCATTGCCACCCAACGCACAATCATACATTCAATTCATCACGTACTATCAGCATGCCTCTGGCTACTACAGAATCAGAGTCACAACTGTCTCTAATATTCTAACGGGCGATGAGCAGACTTTGACGCAGTCCTTTGACCAAGAGGCGGCTGCGGTCTTAATGGCAAGAATCACCTTGTTCAAGTCAGAGCAAGATGATGGCGCAGATGTCTTGAGATGGATCGACAGAATGTTGATCAAGTTGTGTCAAAAGTTCGCAGATTACAGAAAAGATGTTGAAGCCTCCTTCAGATTGCATCCACAATTCAGTTTCTTCCCACAATTCGTGTTTTACTTGAGACGTTCTCAGTTCTTGCAGGTCTTCAACAACTCGCCCGACGAGACTGCGTTCTATAGACACGTTCTTTTGACGGAAGACTGCGCTAACTCCTTGCTTATGATTCAGCCAACCTTGACCGCATTTGCGCTCGACTTAGAGGCCCCAGAGCCAGTCTTGTTGGACTCCGTTTCCATCAAAGATGACAGAATCTTGCTCTTAGACACTTTTTTCCACATCTTGATATTCCACGGCAAAACCATTGCCAACTGGCGCAGGGCTGGTTACCAAGACCAGGAAGAATACTCAGACTTCAAAGCCTTATTGGATGAGCCTAAGCTAGAAGCAGGTGAGTTGTTGGTTGACCGTTTCCCATTGCCCAGATTTATTGATACCGAGGAAGGTGGTTCGCAGGCTAGATTCTTGTACTCCAAGTTGAACCCAAGTACTTCTTACAACTCTGAAGAATTTGCGCCTGGTGCCGTTGTCTTGACTGATGACGTTTCTTTACAGGTGTTTATGTCGCACTTGCAGAAGTTGGTGGTCTCTGGATCCAACTAACTTTTCCCGAGAAACATCTCCTCATGAATAGTCATAAGATTTCCACAGGATAAAAAAGTGGTATCTTGAAGTAGGAATAAAAAATTAATGCTCCGAGTTTTAATCGTAATGATTATTTTGCCAGACCTGCACTTACAAGTTGATATCAGTACTCTTACGCATCCTACTAACAATTCATCAACGTTCATGTCCGGTCCAGAACAGCTAAGTGCTGGTATGTTACTCCTGAAAACTAGTGTTTTAAATATATTCTAACAAATAGATGAGATTGCCCTTTATGACAGACAAATCCGTCTTTGGGGAACAGATACACAACTTCGATTGAGATCTGCCAGAGTCTTGGTCGTGAACTTAGGTGGTATCGGCTCCGAAACCGTGAAAAATTTGGTTCTTGGTGGCCTCAATACCATAGAAATACTTGATGGCTCTGTTGTCAAAGAAGAAGACTTTGCGGCCCAGTTCTTCTTGCCTAACGACGATAGCATAGTTGGTCAACTAAAGCTTCCTTTGGTGTTGCCAAAGATTCAGGAGCTTAATCCTAGAGTCAATCTACTGATCAACACCACGAACCTCAAAGATGTGCCCTCGACTACTACAAAAACTTTGACTTGGTCGTGGCTACTGAGTTGACAAAGCCACAGTTGTTTGCCATCAATCAAATCACTAGAGAGCACAGGATCCCATTATACGTGGCTGGCGAACATGGAATGTTTGGCTACATCTTTTCTGATCTCATTGAGCATACTTCAACGAAAGAAAGCCCAATTGGCAACCAAGCAAAAGTGGCTGGTACCAAGATAAATGGCGTCAAAGAAATTGTCAATGTCGAGTGGAAGAATAACGACGAGACCGAAATCGTCACTACTCGCGATACATTCTCGCCCTTGCAGCAAATATTTGATTCCAAGAGACTCCCTCTTCAACTTAACAGGAGACAACTCAAAAGACTCTCAGGTGCATTGCCTCTTGTTCTTTCACTTTTTGACATAGAGCGTCCATCCAATGTTGAAGATGATATCGACAGAAAGCTCTTACTAGATCAGGGGAACATCGTTTGCGAAAGTTTAGGTATTTCTCAGGAAGTGCTCAGTGACGAGTACCTAGATCTCTTCAGCAAACAAGCGTTCACTGAGTTCTCCCCTGTGGCGGCCATAATAGGAGGGTTCCTCGCACAAGACATAATCCAGTTCTTTGGTAAGAAAGACAGTCCCATTAATAACTGTTTGATTTTCGATGCCATTAGATCTGAGGCGCCTATATACTATTTGTAATATTAACGATTATTGGGAGTGAGTCCCCTGCCCTTGCGGCTTTTTAGATGCGACGTATCTTTCAAGAACTTCAAAGATTTCACGAGTTTTGTCTTGAGCAAGGTGTTTTCTTCTTTGGCTCCATCAATTCCACTCTTGCTGTCTAGTCTTCTCTTCTTGAAAGTGTCGTTCTCTTCCTCTTCAGATTGACGGGCAGACTCGATTTGCTTCTCAAGTTCGGTAATCTTTTCACGAACAGCGGATACTTGCTCCTCCGATTGCTTGATAGAAGTTTCACAATTCTCGATCTCCTTCTTCGTGTAGCTCAACTCATCATGCTTCGTCTGTAACTTGAGTGCCTTTTCTTTCACTTCATTTTGCAACTCCCAGATCTTGAGCTGGTTCTCCACAAAAGTCTTCTTGATGTCGTTATTTGTCACAGTCTCGGACTCGCTAAACTTCTTGAGCTTCTCTTTGTCTTGTTCAATCTCCGACTTTAAGACCTCCATTTCTTCTTGTCTCTTTTGTAGCTTCTTCTCATTAACCTGAATTCTTTGCTCAACATGATCGACATCGGAAACAATGCTGGTGAGGGATTTCTTCATGTCATCAATTCTTCTGCCAATCTTGCTCTGACGCTCATCCTTGTTGGACTCGATATAAGAGTGATATTCTTCCTCAATTTTAGCTAAGTCGAGATATCCAGCATTCAATTCCAAGATAAGCTTGTGAGTAAGAATAGTGCGATCCTTTCCTTTTCTTTTGGAGACCGCTTCGTGATTGTGAATGCCACTGAGGATGTTGTAATCGTTCTTTAATGGGTTTGTGACATAGTCCAGCTGAAGTCTCTTTGTTTGATAGTAGCTTTTACATTTCGCAGATGCCTCAATGGCAGCTTCATTGGAGTCGTAGGGAGTGTAGTGGTACACTACCTCTGTGAGCAAGGATCTCTCAACGTCAGTAGGAGAGTATCTCGGAATTTTGGGCAACTCGGGTAGAGGCCATGAAGGAAATGAGCGAATGTCACGACGGAAGACGTGATCAAAGAAAGTATGTGACAAATATGTGAGGCTTTGGTTGTAAATGGGGAAGATGTCCGGTTGGAGATTGCCGATACGATCCCTTAAGCAAACAATCGATGAAATGAGCTTGTACAAGTATGAAGACTCGCCTTCGATACCTCTGTAGTGAAGCAAACAATGTTCAATGGAATAAATCGGTATGAGTCTGACCATCACGCATTCTTCGCCTCGACGCTTTTGCTGCCTGAGGTTTTTGAAAAACTGTGTCAGTGTATCAACATGACCATCCATGACAATGATGCAGTCAAATTTCACATTTTCCAACTCGGCCTCGTTTCTCGTGAGCTGGCCGTCTTGCGGAATCATGTGGATGGTGAGTGGAGGAGCTGCCTTTGCATTATTTTTATTATTCTTGGTATTCTCCCTTTTTATGCTGTTTCCCACGTATCTCTGAACCACCTTTGATCCTCGACAGCCAAGTATGAGGGCCTCTAGCAAATCCATCTCTCTGACGTTGTTGTTCATCACCATTCCCACGTGTTTGGGAAGAGGTGAGACCTTGTTGGATACAATAACATTTATGAGGTCCTTAATGACATTAAACTTTCCACTTGTTTCGGCCAATTTGGCGGGGAGATCTCTCATTGAGAGGTTCTTGGGCATGTAGTGCTGGATAAGGAGATATGGGTGGGTTGCCACAAGCATACAGTTTTCGACGCATATTTGCAACGACTTGATAATGAGCTCCGTCGTGTCGTTCGTCTCGCAGTATTTCAAAATATCCGAGTAATGTAATGAGACAATTTGGTCGGTGAGCTCTTTCTGGAACTCGAACATGGGAGTGGGCAAATTGTACTCGCCTGACTTGTTGATCTCGTCCAAGTGCAAGTCGACAATTGGAGGCTCGGGCACACTATCCAATATACTGTGCAAGTCCATTTTTCGTTGTTCTTTAGTTTAGTGTGTAGTGTTGAAGTAGTAACTGCAACCGTTTTTTTCGCACATATTGCGATAAGCGAACCCGGCATGCACCAAAGCTTCTATTGAATTGTGGTCGGCTTGTGCCAATATTTTTAGAAAATATTTGATGTTTATTTTCTTGATGTTCAGAGTAAGTGCTTTTTCTCGAAAAGCCATAGTAAGGTATTGCAGTTTGTGTGTTAATAGTTGTTCTCGCCATGCCTTGTCGTAAAAGGAAGTAGACGCACCCTATATGGGAAGGTCATTTGAGACAACCAACTAATGCATTCCAATACTCTTGTCTACATCAAATCAAATCCAGCTTACTCCACCAAATTTACCCATTATATTTTAGACCATGTCTTGACTGTTCTGTCCCAGCCACAGCTCACTATGTACAGCCCATCTTTCCCAATGTCACAGCTCATGACCTTGTCGTTGTGGCCCTTCAATGTCCGCACGTTGATCCAATTGTCTGCGGACCATAACTTGACTGTTCCATCGTAAGAGCTCGTCGCGAGAAAGGTTCCAGAGGGGCTCAATTTCGATGGATGCTCTTCATTTTCATCAGTAACTTGCGTTACTAAAGGACTATCTTGGCCGCTAAAGAACCTTACCTCGCTGACAAGTTTTGTATGTGCTGGTATCAGAAAAAGCTCTATTCTGTCGTTGGCGTTGCTGAGCTTACGCAAATCCCAAATTTTTGTAGAGCAGTCGCCGCTCGCTGATGCCAAGTGGTGACCATTTGGCGACCAATCCATGGAGTATATTCCTTGAATGTGACCTTCTAGTGTGGCAATGGATCTACCAGAGCGCAAATCCCAGATTCTTCCTACACCATCGAGGTCTCCTGTTGCAAATAGACTGCCATCTGGATGCATTGCGCAACCAAAAACCTCTTTCGAGTGGCCCTCCTGCTCTAGGACTTCTTTTTCCTTGTTTATATCCCAAAACTTCCATGTCTGGTCGAAGGAGGTGTTGGCAAGGTACACTCCGCTGGGATGGAAGGCGACTTTTGGAATTCTGCCCTCGCTTGCCTCACGAAACCTAGTCTGTGGTTTGAGGTTTTCGTCGTCACTGTATCTCCAAATGTTTATCGACCCCTCTTGACCACCTGTGGCGATCAACGAAGTATCTGTGGGATGCCAGTCCATCGCACCAACCTTCTCTGAGTGGTAACCATGACCCAGTTTTCCCGCTTGACGAAGAATGAGCTCGTCATCTTTCTTGAAAAAATAGACATTACCATCCCAAGAGCCGCATGCAACAACTGTGTTATCCTTATTCACCCTCACCGATGAGATTGCACGAGTGTTACCTTTAATAACATTCGTTCCGTTCAACTCGTACTCTCCAAGACTTTTATTTATGTGACGTCGATGCTTCAATGTTTTGAATGAGTCGTAGCTCTTGGCCTCCTCCTTTTGTCGGTTCACTCTAGCAATTGCAAGGTTCACTGACGATCGTAGTATGCTCTTCCGGACCTCTTCTAGTTCCTCAGTGCCTGGTGTGTAGAATTCTTCTTCGTCATCTTCATCCATACTTGAATCGCTGTGTTCCACCTCAGCAAATTCAAAATTTGTGTGTGGTCTTTCTTCAAGAAGCTGTTGTAGACGCCTCCGTCTTTCTGGAGGTCCTTCTCCAAAGAGAGTAATAGGTTCTCCGAGTTTTCGTAGCTCAACTCGAACCTCTGAGTCTATAGTAGGAACGTCAAGGGATGAAATTTGGGATCCATTGTTCCTGGGATCATTGACGACCGGAATCGACATGGGGGTGTAGTTGATGCTTATAGCTGGGACAGAAGCGCTTTGGTGCTGGGTCATGTGACTACACAACAAATCTGGCTTATGAACAGCAAATCTGACTGATTTTAGTGAAAGAAAAGAATATTTATATAACAAGACTATAGCTTTCTAAAAAATCAGCTTTTACGGTGAGTCGTGCCAGCACTTCGTGCGTCTCTTCGCATTGGTCTAATTGGCCTCACATTTGGCTGCGAAAAATGTCTCAGTGATTCCCGGTTACAATTCTCTCGGCAAACTGGCCAAAGTTTTCGGTATCGTTGACCATTTCATCCAAATCAGGCTGGCAAAATACCGCCAAGGTGTTTCTCGCAATATGAGGAATGCTCGTGCCCTGGACGTAGTGGGGCACTGCCTTGAAGAAACCCTTGGAGATCTCCTGGAGTGCCAGCCCACTTTGGAAAGCAAGACAGTCTTTTGGAATGTTCACCTTCAGAACGTTTCCGTGTCTGTTTCTTATGTACAAGCCTGCCTCGGCGTCGGGCAGCTTAGGCAAGGCCTTGCCATCACCACTGGACTCATCCAAAAAGAGCGCTGATGTTAGGCCTGTGAGACAGGAATGGTCAAGGTGCTCACCACACCAATCGTCGGAATTGGCCTTTTTCTCCCCTGTGTTGGGGAAGTAGTGGAGAAGACGGGCCTTGGTGCAGGTGGAGTCCTTGATGATACGCTGCAAGAAATTGCGTTCGTACTTTTCGTCGTGTCTGCTAATGTAGCTGTCGCAGTTATTTGCAACCTTCGCAGCCGTGCTGATGATAAGATTGATCAACTGCTTCGCGTCTGCTTTAAATGTTTCCAAACCCTGGAGCTTCTCGGAGGGCCAGACGTTGGGCAGAACATAAGTTTTGAAGTCGCTGAATTTCTCCACAAGCTGTGGTTCAGGTCCCTCAAGCTTGTCGTCCTTGTAGAACGCACAGTTCACGTAATAAGAGCCCTTGTTGAAGTCGGGCTCCCCCGTGGTGCTCAACACCTCTTTGCCACAGGACCAGCCCGTGAGCCACATGGACTCAGGCAGCTCAAGCTTCTTGAGCTCTTCCTCAGGTAAGGTAGCTAACTTGGAGATGCTCTCAAGCACCTTCGATCTCAATTGAAGAAAGTGGTCTGGCAAGTTTTTCACGATGATGATGCCGAGGGAGTCGGGTCCAAATGCCTTATCAAGCGTCGCAAAGTCGAGCCCATTGCTGAGCTCCTCGAGTGTAACGGAAACTGCCTCTGTCATGATGATGGAAAATCGCAGAGCAGAACCCCATATTTATATAACTTGTGCAGTGCCTTCTCTGGCATGCACCAGATAATCCAAAGCCAGTAATTTCTCGTACCAGCTTATCCGCGTCCCGACTTGGCATAAGCCCTGGATAGTTTTGTAATCTCGAATTTCCGTTTTATTGGATTTCTGGTACTTCTCGGAGTTGCTTCTGTGGGGCCGAGCGGAAATCTTGATTGCAGCGCTGCGGAACAAGGACCCCGCGAAATTCTTAAATGCCACCTTTATGAGCTGACCGTTTTGCTTACTTTCCTTGAAATACCGCTTGAGATGTACCGAAATGTCACTGAAATCTTTTTGATCCTTGCATTCTCCCAAAAGCTCGTCCACCTGCTTTTGTGTGATGTTTAAGTTTTGCTCTTGAAGCTGGCTATAGATCATGGCTGCAAACTGCGACTTTTTGGCTTGGTACAGCTGGGACCCTGCAGCATTAGCAACAATGAGACAAGACCGATGCGGCGATTTTACGGAAACATATTTCCTGACATATCGAAGGAATTCGTTTAAGGTAAGCGACTGAAGAAATGCCTTGTCGATGGGTTCCTCGCATTCGGTACCCCCAAAGCGGTAGGTGCTATTGATGATCTGATCAACTTGACTCCAGTGAGTCATAAATTCACGATTCTCGGGTTTATCACCAGATCCTTGCAGCGGCTGTAGAGACATGAATAGCCCAGAGGGTGTCTTCATATGGTTGGAGTATTGCGTCAAGGTCTGGAGGAATGGTTCGAGTATTTCTTCTCGGAAGTCTCTCTCTGTGTACCCCTCTAATCGGCTCTCGAGAAGCCCCAAATACCTCTCTATCTCATCCGAAAGCTTTTGACAGTCATGTTCCCCACTTGGAATGGTTATGTGTATTCCGAAGGTACGACGAAGGAACTTTGTGCCGGTGAAGACGTTGTAAGCTAGTCTCCTATTCGTGCGGAGTTCGTCTAGGGCAGTATATGAAAGTAAATGTTCGAAAAGTTTGGCCCAAGAGTACAATTCGTTATCGCTTCGATCACCAAGCTGAATAAAGTACAAGACGGTATTTGCCGTATCGTCTTCGTCTCCTTTTAAAGGAAATGAAATATTGTGTCCACTGGGTATTTTGTAGCTCAACCTGCTAGAGCTATTGTTGCAATGTTCGTCTTTGTTTGTTCCGTTGTGGAAGATGGCTGACTCCGGAAGGTAAAAGCACTCATGATCATTGAAGTCTCCGTCCATTAGAAGTTGGCTATAGGGAGCAGCTTTCAACAACCTCTCTGAGATTATTGCAAGATCTGTTTCATCAAGTAGCTCCAATGCATCTAACTTCTCCTCAGGAAGAGTGAGCCCCTCTTCAAGAATAAGGTAGGTTGCGGAGAAGACTTTTCGTATACTAGATGCTTGAAGAGTTTCCTCAATTCTCTTTCTGGTCCTCACCCTGGCTTTCTTGAATCTTTGGTAGTCACTTGCATAAGAGCCTTCTCCAAACTGTCTTAGCCGTGATAAAACTGCTTGAAACACAAAAATAACACTCTCTTTTGCTCCGTTGACTGATAGTAAGATAGACGGAACACCGTTTACGTTGGCAAATATACCCCAAAAGGTCCCCACTAACTCGTAATGGTACAATCCATATTTGAGCTCCTCTCCAATTAGTTCTGTAAGAATTTCGATTCCCACAAGATTCTTCGCTGTACTGTCGAGTTCTCTGAAAACAATGTGTAAGGTAATGCGAGAGGCGTCAGCATCTGGCCCTTCGTTGTTCACCCTCCATATCTCCGAGGAGCTATCAACTTTGGTTAGTGAAGGTTCGGATGCAGCGGTCTCCAAGCCTCTTATATAGCCGACATCGGACTGCTTTGTCATCCGTTGTTCGCTAATCAGCTCTTTCAAAGGTTTGGGGATACAAGGAAGCTCCAAATTCAAGCTGAGATCCGGATTTATGAAAGTGACCATCTCACTGTTGAGAACTTTTGTGAATTCATATTGAAAATAATTATCCACGGCGGTCACGTAGGAGGCCTGGTCTAGCGTAAAAAGACTTAATGGTGATAAGTCCTCGTGAGCCACAACGATTCTCAAGTTCTCCTCTGTAAAGCACTGGATTGCAGCCTTTTGGATGTCATGTACCACCTTGATACTGGAACCTCCATCAGTCCAGTCTGCGTATCCTCGAATCAAATCTGGATAGGATATCCCGCCCTTCTCAAGTCTCTCGGCATAATCGCATATCTCGTCAACGAATGTTGTTGCAGTCTCGCGGTTCATGAAACATTTATCCTCTACTGAGCTGTAGTCTCCAATCACTGACTCGAGCTCTCTAGGAGAGCTTCTCACAACAATGTAATTGATATAATAGTGAAGAGTATCGACAACTTGCGGAAGATTTCTCAAGCCAGTTGGGGTAACGTCGATGTCGACAAGCAAGAGATCGTCCTTAAAGATGGTATTTTGTACCAATACCATAACACCAGTAGCCCATTGGCGTTTTCGTTTCAAGTATTCACATAAGGAGTTCTCGGATTCGTCTCCCAATATATTGCAAAGGAGGTTGCCAATGCGACGGTAGTTCGGTAGGTCCACAATAGTTTGTAATGGATAACATAATCTCACCCTGGACGTATTAGCTACTTTGAGGAGCACTGTTTTGATATCAGGCTGAAGAATTGGGGTATCCAAGTACCCGTAGAGCTGTGGGCTGAAGTAGATGTCGTGATCTGACGTAAATGACTGTCTAGATAACCTAACGTGGTCGAGTGAGGATCTGGGAATATCCGAGAAATGAGCGACAACTAGTTTTTTGAGGTGATTGATTGACTGGGGTCCTTTCATGACAAGAGCCATTTTGCGTGCAAGATAAAATCTCTGGAAGTAAGCTCGGAGGTATCTTTGTAATCTTTTTGGACTGATTTGACTAAGAGTTGCCTTATTACCGGTGCCAAATCGGTGAAACACATGATTGGGAGAGGCAAGTGAGCGCAATGCATGAAATAGTATTTTGTCGGTGTTATTGGTGTTTCCTTTATGCTCTTCATCGACAGCTCTTATCTCTCCTTTGATGAACTTCTCCTTGAACAAAGGGCACTTGAAGAAGGAAGAAAAAATGTCGAGGACGCTGTCAATAATGAAAACCCTCTCGTCTCTCATTTTAGCAAAAGAGGAGACTTCAAAATGATAGCAAGTCTGCTCCATCGTGGTATATGCATTGGTGAACCCGCCTGCGGAAGACACTATCTGATCAAGCTGATTAGGCATGGGAGAAGTCTTGGTGCCTAGGAAGAGCATATGCTCACACAAGTGAGCTAGACCCAAAGCATCATCTGGATCATTGCAAGACCCGCTTCCCACAACCATTGATGTTGAGAAGAGCTCACTGCTTCTGTCACTTATAAGTAGTGATCTGAGGCCATTGGGAAGTTCGATAAGCTGATAAGACCTGTTGCTGTGTGAAAAGGGAAGATGAAAGTCGACATCAATATTCTTGACATCTAACGTTGATCCACTCATCTTGAATCAAATCAAAGTGACAGTTGTTGTGTAATATTTTGTCATCTCGTCGGGTGCAAAATACCCGATTGAGCTCTCGCAATGGGGGATGTTTCAGAATCTGCAAGTCTGAAACAGTGACTTCGAAGCCGCGATGGTAGAAATCTCTGGGATGAGATTAAACATGAATTTTACTGAACAGGTTTATCATGACAGTTTTTTATTTGGATTCCTTATCTCGGTCTGGTCGTCGTGTTGGAGAAGCCAAGCTACTCGCAGAAAAATAAAGTGATACATTTGCTGCTGCAAATTTAGGAAGGGTGGAGCTTTCTTAGATCTGATGAGGCATTCTACCAGGTTATATCAGCACCATTCACAAATGACACCGCTTGAACTCCGAAAGGACTAGGTACAGCAGCACTACCATAAGAGTCCGGAGTGGATCTGCGCCATGGGCAAATTGCAGGCAGTTCGATTCCATTGACTCAGCTATCACGCCCACTTATGATGTCATTTCATTCGAATTCTCTTCACTTTCCTTTTTATGAACTTTTGTCCTTCCGACATTACCATGAGAAGTGCGCCTTGTAAGAGTATTCAAAGATGTGAACACTTTCATCACAAACAAGTAAACCTCCAATCGTTATCTCTCTTCGCTTCGATCGAGATCCTCGATTGAATTCAATCAGCCCTCAGAGATTCATTTCTAAAACACACGTCAGTGCCAGAGGGATCAAAGGTGAATTCTCATCCATGAGGTTTTCGTAAAAGAAATCTTAACTAGTGTCCAAGGCCATCTAGACTAATGTGATTGTATCTACAGAAAGCTAGCCTTGGAGATTCACAGTTCTTGTCGTTGAATTTTAAATCCTTGTTTTGCTCATTCCCAATAGTTCCGAGAACACGCCCCGCGGTTGAGAAAATAAAAACACAAACAAATACGCCGCAAATAAACACAAAAATTGTAAATCTTGAGTTTGAAGAAAAAAAGTGATACACGAGAATTTTATGTTCGTTTTCCTACCGAGCTTGTCGAAGAAAGGGACACCCCGGACTTCCACCGTGGTAAACTCTTCAATGGTATTGGCCCAGCCAACAACATCACGTTATCGCCCAGTCAGATTTCGCAGCCAGCGCCCCATGTTACCCAACAGAGAAGCCCCTGCATCTAACCGGTCATGATGTTCCGTGCGTCGGCGTCGAAGCTGATACTAAGTAACCTCCCAAGATTAAATTTAAAATAAGACATAAATTTTCGAAATCCATCAACTTTGTTCCATATTCGAAGAAGCTTCTAATGTGCGAAAAAGAAATGTCTACCGGCAGACAGTGACGCACGGGGCAGGCTATCATGGGGAGCGACTGGCGGGCCGGGGAACTAGATGCAGTACCTCCTGTTGCGCAAGTCAAGCTCCACCAAAAGAAACGTTTTCTTCCATCTGTCACTCATCCATATAAAAAGCTCTACCCCACATATTATCCAACATCCAAACGAACACCAAACCTCAAGTCATTATCAACACACACCCTAGACTTTGCTATACCTTTGATACACCTTAGCTACCAAACTTTTATGCTCATACTTTAAAATCCAGTGGCCATGTCGAACCCATACATGTTCAACTACCAACAATACTCGCCTCAAATGAGCAACTCCCAAATGAATACATCCCCAACTTTTGCCAACATGCTGTATCACGGAGGACTGGGCAACTCGACCACTAGCTCCTTGTCGTCGTCGTCCTCCTCCCTGGTCACTTCCAACTACTCTTTGCACAACTCCCGCTTGAGATACTATCTTTCCAAGTCTTTTGATGCCGAAGACGACATGGAGTTCTGCCCGGACATTCCCGAGTCGTTCAACTCGAACCACATCAAGAAGTTCAATCCTTACACTGCTAGTGTCTTCGCACCAACTGCCCACGTTGGTGAGGCGCCAGCTCTGCCTGGAGCCCTGGAGTCACCTAGAACAAACACTCCAAGAATCAGAAAGCCCGTTGAAATAGTCAACCCCCACACCAAGGTGCGGATTGGCTCTCCAGCATCCCACAAGTAGAGCTGGCAGCGGCATTATGCGTTACGTTATTCATCGACCCGACTCCCAGTCGGGTCTCTGTCATTTTAGACCGTTTTTTGGGGCTGGCCTCCTGTGAGCGTATGGGTCATTCCGCACGATCTGTTGTATATTACAAAGACGGTATTCATGTTAGAATTGCGTAGTTCTTATCTGTAAATTAGTGACATGGCTTGACACAATCTTTCTTATCGAAAGGCCCATTCATGACGAAAACTGCATCAAGCGCTTATCGCCAAAAAATAGCCAGGTCGGCTAAATCATTATCAGTTGTGCGTCGCAGTTGTACGATAATACATCCTCCTCGGCAAGGCGTTATATGCTACTTTCATCTCTATCTGTTGCCTTTGTCACATTTTTTATCCACTTACGTTCTACCGACTAGCATCTCTGTATCTACCCAAAAATATTGCTTCTTGACCTTTATGCTCTGTTTTTGTGCTCTGGCTTTGTGCCCTGATGTAACCTAAGCATTTGGCCAATCACTAAAACGTACCTTACCAGATAAGGTTTCGCAGTTGACACCAACCCCACGAAATCTCGAAGTGGCGTGTGTATGCGAGACTCAACGGTCTTATAATCGAAAGAATAGACCTTCCTTTTGGGGGCTACGGAAAAAAATCGTATCACGGAACGGAAGTTTAACCACCACCCCCGCAGGCAAATCTAGTTAGGCCCGAGATATAGGCACGTGACCGCAGCCGCCCCAAGGTGGGTTTCTGGTCTGGCGGTCCCTTGATAAACACTAAACGGGTAGTTCGCGCCGGTTTTCTAGACAGCGTCCGCCCGATTAGGCAGCTGGTAGCGGCAATCTGGGGCCGACCTCCACTAGTTGAAAAAGTATTTAAGGACTGCCATACCTCCTTTACTTCTCATCAAACAACTTCATTTTTCCATCAGATGCCTGCTGCCGTGCACCCATTCGATTCCGCCAGGGACTACGAGATTAGATTGGCCACCAAGTTGGTCAAGGATGCCCACCAGGCTTCCGACAATGTTCACTTTGTTCAGGTTGACAGATGTGACCCTCCAAAGAAGGACATGATCAGATACTTGGAAGCCGAGAGACACGGTGGTGACTTCCCAAGAATTCCAAGAGTGTTCTACTGTTACTACTACACCAACACCTTGACTTTCAACAAGGCCTTGGTCAACGTCACTGCTGGTCACATCATCACCAAGACCCCTTGCCTGAGGGTGTTGTCGGTCCTTTCATGGCCGAGGACATGGCCGAGTGGAGGCTCATTGCCTTGCCCACCCTGCTGTCATTGCCGAGGCCGAGAAGTTGAACTTGCCAAAAGACTGCAAAGTCATCACCGACCCTTGGATCTACGCTACCGACGATCCAAAGGAGAAGAGGCCTTTGCTTCAGTTCTTCATGTACATCCAGGCTAACAACGGCCACACCGAGTCTAACCACTACTCCTTGCCTTTGAAGTTCTCCCCAGTTTTCGAGGCCTACACCAAGAAGTTCGTCAGAATGGACTTCTTGCCATCCGGTTACGACGGCACTGTCACCCCAACCCAGGCTTGGAAGAGATCCAAGCCTGCTGAGTACCACCCAGACTTGAACGGCGAGAGCTTGAGAGATGTCAAGCCATTGTTGGTCAACCAGCCTGAGGGTCCTTCTTTCACCATGGAGGGCTCCAAGGTTAAGTGGCTTTCTTGGGAATTCAGAGTCGCTACCACCGCCAGAGAGGGTTTCGTGCTTTACGATGGTTGGTTCAAGGGCAGACAGGTGTTCTACAGAATCTCCTTGTCTGAGATGACCGTGCCTTATGCCGATCCAAGAGCTCCATACCACAGAAAGCAGGCTTTCGACTTGGGTGATGCTGGTTTCGGTGTTACTGGTAACTCTTTGAAGCTCGGATGTGACTGTCTTGGTGTCATCAAGTACTTGGACGGTATGTTCACCGGTGGTAACGGTGAGCCATCTGTTATGCCATCCACCGTTTGCATGCACGAGCAGGATGATGGTATCTTGTACAAGCACATGAACTACAGAACCCAAAACTCTGTTGTTGCCAGAAGAAGAGAGTTTGTTGTTCAGACCATCGCCACTGTTGCCAACTACGAGTACGCTCTTAACTTCAAGTTCGTCAACGATGGTTCCATTGACTTGGAGGTCAGAGCCACTGGTATCTTGTCCACCATGCCAATCGATGACAACATGACTGTTCCATGGGGCACTGTCGTTGCTGAGAACTGTATGGCTGCTTACCACCAGCACATCTTGTCTTTCAGAATCGACCCAGCTGTCGATGGCCACAAGAACTCCGTCTGTTACGATGACGTTGTGAAGATGCCAAGAGACAAGAACAACCAGTACGGTAACGGTTTCATCACTGAGAGAACTTTTGTTGAGAAGGCCGGCTCCGTGAAGCAGTCTCCATTCACCAACAGAGCTTACAAGATCATCAACGAAAACGTCAAGAACCCAATCTCTATGAGCAACGTTGGTTACAAGGTTGAGATGCCTGCTAGACAGATGATCATCTCCGACCCTGACACCTACAATGTCACCAGAGCTAAGTTCGCTACTGAGCAGCTCTGGGTCACCAAGTACGGTGACAACCAGTTGTTCGCTGCCGGTGAGTTCACTAACCAGTCTCAGACTGACACTGGTCTTGGTGTCTGGGCCAATGGTACCGACGATGTCAGAAACGAGGACTGTGTTGTCTGGCCAACCCTTTCCTTCACTCACATTCCAAGAGTGGAGGACTTCCCAGTTATGCCTGTTGAGAAGCACAGCATCCACTTGGTTCCATTCAACTTCTTCGACAAGAACCCTGGTATGGACCTCCCACAGGCCAACAACAACTTCAACAAGTCCACCTTGGCTAACGTTGGCCTCGACGAGAACAAGGCTTGCTGCAAGAGCACTCTTTGAGTTTTTGACTGACTTACATACATAGACTACATTTAATATTTGGTGAATTTGAGATGTAGAGCTCTCGTCGCTTGCAATTAATCTCGCTCTTGATCTTCAAAAGAGCATCCAAAACCATAGTACCACAGGACTTGAGTCAACTTCGTACTTTTGCTTCTGGGAGACATTGCAACAATCACTAATGCTTTGTGCAGCTACAAAGTACTCTTTGTTGAAACTTCCCTGTCAAATTTGCGGCGTCCGCAACACTTTGATAATGTTTTGTACGTCGAAGACAGAATCAGAGCACAATTTTATAAAACCGAGTAACAGATCAATGAAGGGACCCAAGAACGGCTTAATTATCTCAAAATCATGGGCTTGAAACTGTTGATAGCATCTGAGTCGGTGCAGAGCTAGACAATTTGGTTTGCATACAACCAGAAACGTGCATATAAAACATTTTAAAACTGCATTTTATATTTACACTGCGAGCAATTCCTACATCAAAGTCCGAGATAGTTTAGTGGCTAGAATTACCGCTTGTCGCGCGGTAGACCGGGGTTCAATTCCCCGTCTCGGAGCTCTTATACGCGCAAGTGGTTTAGTGGTAAAATCCAACGTTGCCATCGTTGGGCCCCCGGTTCGATTCCGGGCTTGCGCATCGTTTTTTATTTTTTAACGCTCAAAGGGTCCGCAGCAGTGACAGAAAGCAGAGTAAGATGGAAGCTTTGCGCAGGCATTCCTGCCTGGCGCGAATACACAGTATCTACATGGGCTCAGCTTACTCCCTCATATAAAAGTAACACATCCCTAATTTTTGAACCCTACTTTTGAGTTCCATAAATTTGATGTCACAAGTAACCGAGCCACGTATGTATCGCCAAAACCCTACGAACGTCAGCCATTGCTAACAAACAGCCTATATCCACGACAAAAGACCCACTCGTGGAAACACCCGTGGTAGGTTCAGTTGGGTTAAAAGACTCGTCCAGGGACCCAACTCCCAAACAGCCCCACATCAACATCAACCGACACAACGCGTTCAGCACCAGCCACGGCTGCTGACGACAAGAGCAACGGGGCTTGAGCGTCCTGGGGAGGTTAGGTTCAACGTAAGACCCACGCCAGGAATTCCTACGCCAGGAATTGCTCTGGACGACAACAGCACGCGAAAGTCGCTCAAATCCATGGACATAGGTAGTGACGCTGACTCCCAGATGTCAGAAGACAATATCTCCACGATTCCGCTTAAGCTGATAGTTTCACACACTTCGACAAACTCACCTTCGATAATCAGCAGCGAGAATCACCCAGATAACAACTCTGGAGCGGCTTCAACAGCAGAAACCTCTGTATTTCCCAGCCCCACGCGTCAGTGTCGCCTAGCTATTATACGGGGCTGTTGAATACCAGACACGGTGCCGAGAGAGAGCGAGACAGTGAGCTGATTGTGACACTTGCAAGTCTGTCAAGGCGAGTAAGGCGAAGAAGCATCGATACCAACTGCAGTATGGCTGGCATTCCGCCCGCTAGCATCATGGAGCGCTTGACGGTAAATCCGTCGACCAGGGACCCTCCGGGGGACGAGGAACATTCGCTAGGTAGGTAACATGGGTATATGAATGGAAAGGTTTGGAAGTTTTACACTGGAATGCGCCTGGCGCCTATTGTAGACGAAGAAGAGCCGACGAATAAGGTGCGAAGACCGAAGACTAGCCCTCAGGGGGATTTCTGCAAAGTGTAGGTCATTTCGCTTATGCGTGTTTCTGATCCGAATGGCTGCAAACGAGCAGCACATTGACAACATCAAAAAACCATTCATGGGGGGCCAAATGTTCCCAAATATAGGATATTAATCTAGACCTCAGCATCCTTCGTTTTGGTCATTAGACTTCTCATCCAGGAATTGTCAACCCCTTCTAGAATCCTGTTGAAAGCCTATTATCATTGCGCATAAGCTTTTTTTTGCTTGGAATGTCAACTAAACCGTAACAAAACTTCTTTAAGGTTAAGGCAATAGTCTTTTTGGATCTTCTCTTCTAGATTGTTATTTTTTCGGAGTGACCATCTTTTGGTGGTGTTCTCTATTGTTCGGTTGGGGTGGGGCTCAAGGCTATGGAGTGCACCGAGAGAAATACTAAACAAAACAAACAATAGTGAGGCGGTCGCACCAACTACCAAAAGTTAACATCAACACATCCTCAGGCCGTTAGAAACCGTTAAAGAGAAGACAGGAGTATGGGCAATTTCGGTAATGACTCCTCTATCGAAGGAGATGTCTATGTCCAGCGGTTGGCCACTTATATCCGGAAAAATGAGGAGGCTTTGGCGAACGGGCTTCTCTGTTTTCTGAAAAGCAGGGGCAGTTCGAAAGTCAAGCCTCTCAGGATGACCTTTACCATTCACCACTTGTACTATATTACCGAGAGAATTGACAACTCTTCACTTGGGGTCGATGTTGGCCCCCTTAACATCAAGTTGGATACCCCGAACCACGAACCCACATTCATTTCCTTCATGGCAAATAACGCCAGAACACAGAGACAGTTTGAAAGTGATGCCCGGTCGATCACGTCGATAAATTCTGTCAAATCTATCGTGTCCAGCGCCTCGGTGTATTGGAGATCTTTCTCGTTTAGCAAGGATCCGAAGATCATACAAAGGGACATCAAATACTTGTATTCGTCATTTACCAAGATACCTTGCTTAATATTGTCACCCAAGACAAAAATCTACAGTATCTCGGGCTATGAAGAATATCCGTGTGATACCCTGGTCCCTTTGAAGATGTTCAAGAACCTTCAGGTGCTAGAGTTGGTGGAGTATGAACCTAATGAGCTATTTGGCTGGCATGTGCTCAGTGAGCAATTGAGAATACTTATAATACGGAATTCCAAGGTCTCGGATTTGGCACTGATCCTTTTCGCTTTGGTCGTTGACGACGAGAATGGTCGTTCCTCATTCAGTAACTCACGCCAGTCTAAACGCCACGAACCACCATTCCTCCATGACACAGCAGAGACAGGCCCTCATAAGCATCACCACCCACGCAGAGAACGGGCTTTCACTGCGTCCGCGAGCGTGCCATCTCATCGTGATCTGTTCCTCGCAGATTCCACATTCCCCCTGTCTACCGACTTGGCCTTCACCGCATCCGCTCATTCCCTTGAGCGTGAATATGCCGCTTTACCCGAGTCAAAGTGGTTTTACTTACGTCAACTCACTGTTTCAGAAGGTTCAATCACATCCATCCCAGCATTTGTCTTCAAGCCGCTAACGAATTTGGTCAAGTTGAACTTGGCCAACAATTTGCTTGAAGAGTTGCCTCCAGGCCTAGATCAGCTTACAAACGTGAAATATTTGAACTTCGCTGACAATTACATCACTTCATTGCACAATTTACCCGCAAACCTCAAAAATCTCACGACTTTGTCTCTCAACAACAACAAAATCACTAATATAGACGGCATCGAGAAGATGGAGAGTTTGGAAAAGATCGACTTGCGGAGAAATAAGCTTGGTTCAATCGCTCACTTGCGTCCGCTCATAAATCTATTCAAAATTGAGGGTTCCAAGCTTGGCAACATATTCGTTTCGAGCAACCCTCTACCGAAGACGTACCGTGCAGACCTTTTCAACCTATTCAACGGTGTGAGGTCACCCAACAACATGAAAATAGATGATTCTAGACCTGGCTACTTCGAGAACGCTCTATTGTTAGATCGTGAAGAAGCCGTTAGAAAGTTGAGGAAGTTTTTAGAGCCAGATGCACCTGAGACGAAATCAAAGAGCGCTAGAGGCTCCACTACAGCGACATCTGCGAACGGTACAATCACTCCTAAGACACCTGACAGTCCTACTACTCATCGCCATACCCAATCCATTGGTAATGCGAGTGATCTCGCTCAATCAGTAAGACTGCTTGATATAAAGGGTCTTGAATTAAGCACAGTGCAGCAAAAGCATTCCAGCCAGATCACCACGAAATCCACGAAGACTCCAATGACTCCTCCTGTGGCGGCTGCCGAGGAGGGCGCTTCACCACTCAACACTAAGACCCCTTGCAAAATAATCAGAACCTCAACAACCAGTCACAATACTCAACGAGCAAGTTCTCGAGCATGACAAGACACTCATTTTCTCCCCCAATGCTCCATCCCAACGGTTCTGCGGCGACTCTCAAGAGCTCAACCACCTTGAGTAGGATCGACTTGGAAAGCACTGGTGTCAACAACCCAGCACCTAATGTCATTACACCTGTTCAAGTACAGGTGGAGGGTTTCCAATAGTTACGGCGTAATTTAATGTTCAATTCAGACACTCCTTAGAGCGGGTAGAGCTATATATATCGCACCATCCATTTGTGCAGCTGCAAAAAACCAACCTCTTTTCTTTATCATGAGAAACCCCTTAACTCCCATTTTGAGTTTCTTGTTATTCAATTCCTTTGTTAACGGTGATTCAGAATCTCCTGCAATCACCATTCAATCCACATTCAACCATAGTGGTGGGTTGCAAAAACGGGCCAACCACCGTGAGAGTCCATTGATCTACTATGGAGACGACCATCCGCTGGAGTATTACTGGACCAAGCCGTACTATCCAAGCCGTTTGTAACACACTCACAATTTCTAAATCTTTTCTAACATTTAGCTCTCGGTGGTAGAATCGAGAATCACTGGGAAAGGGCCTACGACAAGGCGAGGAAATTAGTAGATCGGATGTCAATTACAGAGAAAGTCAACTTGACTACTGGATCCGGTTGGGGATCGGGCCCATGTGTGGGCAATACTGGCTCTGTTCCTCGACTTGGTATCCCAGCATTGTGTCTTCAGGATGGACCCAATGGAGTGAGGTTCACTGATTTCGTAACACACTTTCCTTCCGGTTTGGCAGCAGCAAGCAGTTTCAACAAAGAGTTGATTTATAAAAGAGGTAAGGCTATCGGAAGAGAACACAAGGCAAAGGGTGTTCACATCGCTTTAGGCCCTTCCATAGGACCTATGGGTCTCAAGGCTAAAGGAGGCAGGAATTGGGAAAGCTTCGGCTCAGATCCTTACCTTCAAGGAGTTTTGGGAGCGGCAACAGTGAAAGGTATTCAAGAGGAAGGAGTTGTAGCTGTTGCAAAGCATCTAGTGGGTAACGAGCAGGAGCATTTCCGTCAGGTAGGTGAGTGGGACCATGGAGACTATGACCGACTCGATCTGTCGATCAGCGCCAATATTGGTGATCGTGCCATGCATGAAGTTTACTTGTGGCCCTTTGCAGATGTGGTGAAAGCAGGTGTTGGTGGAGTAATGTGTGGCTACAATATGGTGAACAACACCTATGCCTGTGAGAACTCGTATCTTCTTAACTATCTACTTAAGGAAGAGTTGGGTTTTCAGGGCTTTGTCGTATCCGATTGGGGTGCCCAACACTCTGGTGTTACTTCTGCCCTCTCTGGTCTTGATATGACCATGCCAGGTGAGGTTTTCGATGACTGGCTTGGTGGTAAAGCATATTGGGGACCATTACTCACCAGGGCAATCTACAATCAGACCATCCCCCAGGAGAGATTAAACGACATGGCTTCCAGAATACTTGCCCCATTCTTTGCAATGAAATCAATTCAGCTTCCTTCCGAAGAGGAAATTCCCAACTTCAGCTCGTGGACGCACCATACGTATGGCCAACAGTTCCCATACCAGCACTACGGAGCCATTGTGCAGCAAAACTGGCATGTTGACGCCAGATCTGAAATAAATGATGAAATTGGCTTGGAGTTGGCTCGCCAGGCAGTCGTCCTTCTCAAGAACAAGAACCGCCATCTTCCTATCAACAAGGACGATGGAGTGAGAAGGCTATTGGTGGCGGGCTTGGCTGGAGGAAATGACCCCAATGGATTCAATTGCAGAGACCAGAAGTGCACTGATGGAACACTCACGTCAGGTTGGGGGTCTGCCGCTGTTAATAATCCATGGGTTATCACAGCGCAAGAGGCTATTTCCAAGAAGGCTCGTGAAAGAGGTATAACTCTTGATATCTCCGAGGACAACTGGGATCTCGAACGAACAGAGGAATTAGCAGATTTTGCAGATATGACTATTGTTGTGGTTAATTCGGCATCAGGCGAGGGCTATATCGATGTGGATTGCAACTACGGTGATCGGAATAATGTCACTCTCTGGCATAATGGCGACGAATTGATCGAGCGAGTGACGTGCCACTGCAAGCGGGTTGTCGTTGTTGTTAATGCAGTTGGACCTGTGAACATGGAAAAGTGGATCGAACATGACCATGTTGTTGCTGTGCTCTTTGTTCCACCAACTGGTCAGTTTGTCGGAGCTGCAATTGCAGAGGTCCTCTTTGGAGAGGTGAACCCTTCTGGAAAGCTTCCCTTTACCATCGCCAGGAAGAATCTGCACTATGTTGATATCAGGGATAGCTTGGGCGATTGCGTTGACCCACAAGACAATTTCGAGAGAGGTGTCTACCTCGACTACAGATTCTTCGAGAAACACACCATCAGGCCCAGGTTTGAGTTTGGCCACGGCTTGTCGTACACAAAATTTCTGGTGAGTGATCTTGATATCTGTGAAATTAACCCACCAGCAGAGTACCTCCCCTGTCCCCCTGACTACTTGCCTCTTTCGAAGACCATCCAGGATGATGTCTGTGACCCTGAGGATGCCCTTTTCCCTCATGACGAAATGGACCCCGTGCCAGGTGTAATTTACCCTTATTTGTACAGCGAAAACATCAGATCACTTGAGGATGACGACTGTTACGACTATCCAAAGGGCTACGATCCAGATCAGAAATGCGAGGCACCTTTGGCTGGAGGTGCGTCTGGAGGAAATAGCGCACTATGGGAAACCCTTTACAAGGTTTCTGCCAAAGTCACGAATGAAGGATCAATGGCAGGAAACTACGTTGCTCAACTCTACATTGAATTTCCCAGCACCATCGTGGCATCACCACCCAAGGTGCTCAGAGGCTTTGATAAGATCTTTTTGCAGCCAAACGAGTGTGGAGATGTGGAGTTTGATGTGAAGCATCGTGACTTGAGTATCTGGGATGCCGATTCACAGCAGTGGATCATCCAAACAGGCACATACAAGTTGTACGTGAGCACACTGAGCAGGAAAGTGGAGCTCTGTGGAGAAATAGAGATCGGCTGCTAAATGGCTGCGAAAAATGTACTACACCTTGGGTGTTATTGTTTAGGCGCGATCACCAAAACAGAGGTAGACCAACATGGTGTCTTCCAACCCATTGGGAGAAAAGTACGCCAGATTTAGGGCGTTGAACCCTAGGTCAGTCCGGCCCATCAGTCCTGTGAGGCTGCTGAGTCCCGTCAAGGGAACTCGATCCTTATCCAGAAAGTACGATGAGTACTTAAGAAACCGGCCTTCGGCACCAAGACTTGCTGAACCGGAGCAAGGTTACACAGCTCGAAAATTGGAGTCTCCAATTAAGCTACTAAGAGAGCCCACGACATATGCTCGGAGATTGTCTCGACTAAACCGAGATCTATCACCTCCAAAGCGTTCCTGGGAGAAACCAGAAGCTCTAGGGATAACAAAAAACAGAAGCTGGGCCGACAAAAAGGAGAAAGCCACGAGGAAGAGCCGATCAGATCAGGGTGGCGTGTTTCTGAGGCTACGATCCTTCTTGTCGAAGATGAGCTCTACCGACGATCAAGAGTACAGGCAACTCAGCGAGTCGGCCGGCTTGATAAAGCACGAACTACCCGTTGAAACGCCGAAGCGCCATGTACAGATCGATCAAAGCTTATTTCAGCGCAGATATCCGACGTGGGATAAAGGAAATGAGGTTGATGAGGTAGACGAGGAGGTCAAGAGAGCCAAGGCGCGTGAAGAGGTCAAGACGTTGAAGGACAGAATTGTTGAGCTTGAGCTGCTACTCTCTCAGGAGCAGAGTAAAGCCGCTGACACCAAGGATGAGCTTCAGAGGAAGTTGTATCTTGCAACCCAGGATCACGAGGCCACCATACATTCTTTGAAGCAAGAGCTTAAGGAGCTTGAATTTCGTGCTAGCCGGAGATACAAGGAGTTGGAGAGGCTGAAGCTAAATGAGCTCAGGGATGAGGTGTTGCGAGAGAACGAATCATTTTTAATGCAGCAGAATGCTAGGGACCAAAGCTTGAAAAGACGCGAGGAAAGTTTGGAGGCTAGGTCACAGGAGCTTGAAAAAAGAAGAATTGATCTTGAAAAACGAGAGATTGATATAAAGCTGAAGGAGGAATATCTCAAGGCCGCTGAGGCAAAATTGACGGCTAGACAGCTTGAGCAGGCAGCCACTGAGACAAAAAATCCTCTCGAAGAAATAAAGGCGAAGCTCCGAGAAAACGAGAGTGATATGAAGAAGTTTCGGGAAATTGTCAATACCGTCATTGAAGACACAAGGAGTTATAAAGACCACAATCTTCTGTTCCGTCTCCACAACCTAATTGAACCGCTCAATACAACAGACGAAGTCTTACTGAGCAAATGGGAGACTCTTTTCGAAGATTACGGAGAGTATTTCAGGGCTTTTGATTCAGAGATGCCAGAGAAGCAGCGCAGGGAGAACTACAACCCGAAGTCTTTGGAAAAGATTGAGGTCAACTTCAACCAGCTTCAAGAGGAGTTCAAAGACAAAATCGACAAGAGACGCCTCAGAATCTACCATCTCGACAGGCTCATCAAACGCAGTTGGGTAAGACGTTACGACTTTGACATTGTCAAGGCCGAAAGAATCGCCCAATATCTCAAAACACGGGCGACCTTATACCGAAAGCAGAAATTGGACCATGAGCTACTCGAAAAATTCGCACAACTTCACAGCTCTCTCAAAGCTATCCAGGCAGCTGTGGTGTAGGTCGATCCATCACCACTAACGCGCTGCTCAACGCGCGTCTGTATCTACAAACACATTTCCACTCGATTTATAGAACTTGTACAACTATCCAAATATGTCGGGACCAGCATCGCTCCCAGTGAAATTAGTCCCTTCTAATATACGGCCAATAGCTTACCGCATACTATCGAAGAAACATGGTCTTAACATTCAAACAGATGCCCTCTCTGTGCTCACAGACGTCATAGGGTTGAGATTTGGGGCAGAATGGAGGGGCCCTAAAGCACAGCAATTCATGGAAGAGATTGCCAAATCGTGGAAGCATCAAGACAGGGGTCTCTTTATTGACGGTCCAGGCTTACAGCAGGTTGTCAATGAACTTAGCAAAGAGAAGAGCGTCGAAAGAGATGAACCTAAGCTAGCCCTGCGCTCAGACACGCTAATGGATATCGATGCTCCAGCACCGGCTAAAAAGGAAGTGGTCATTAACTGGACCGACTACTTCAGTTTCATCACTCCAGACGAACAGCCGAACTTCGAGTTTGATAGAGTGAGAAAGCAGTTCACACCCAAACCACCAGTGGGTTCAAAGTTGCAAAGCTCATTGAAAGCAGCTACAAACTATTTTAATCAAAGATACCATCTACTTGTGGACCGTTTGTCGAGGCATGAAAACTTTCAGAAACAGTCATTCTCCAGTCTTGCAGCCATCAACAGCACATTAAATAACAGCGACGTGAAGTACGATATTACACTAATCAAAAATGTGTTGGGACGTGATGGTAGTAAGTTTATCTTGTTTGGACTTTTGTCCAAGAACATGAATGACAACTACATTCTTGAGGATTCAACTGATCACATCGAATTAGACTTCACTCATACACATGCTACCGAGGGCTCTTTCTATACACCTGGAATGTTTCTCATCGTTGAGGGTATTTATTCTGCTTCGGGTGGATCTATGAGTAATGACGCGTCAGTGATCAGTGGTCGCTTTCATGTTTCCAACGTTAGTCATCCACCCGCCGAAAGACGTGACACAAGTTTGAAGAGTTACGGCTATCTTGATTTCATGGGTATTCTCGGTGGTGTGTCGCGCTCTAATGGTGCCATAGGCAAAATCGATAAACCGCTTAGAAAGAAGCTCAGTTCACTAGAAAAAGCTTTGGGTGGACACAAACTTATATTTCTCGGAGCTAACTGTTTCCTTGATGACAAGAAGATAATGACAGGACTCAAGAAATATTTCACAAAGCTTGAGGCTCTTCTTATTGATCAACAAGGTTCGGATGATTCAGAACTTCCCTTGGCAATTGTCATGACAGGCTCGTTCTGTTCCCAACCGCTCACAGCAGCCAATGGGTCAAGTACGTTAGTCTCAAACTCCGAAAACTACAAAAGCAATTTTGACGACTTTGCAGCCCTCTTAGCAAACTTCCCAGTCATCATCAAAACGTGCAAATTCGTTTTGGTTCCAGGACCAAATGACCCATGGCAATCGTCCTATTCTTTAGGAAGAGGAAGCCTCACAAGCATACCGCAAAAGTCCATTCCCAAAGTATTTGTGACTAGGCTAGAAAGACTTTTACCTAAGGGCAATCTCATTTTTGGCGGAAACCCAATGCGCATCAATTACATATCGCAAGAGATCGTGTTATACAGAGACGACTTGATGAATAAGCTAAAAAGAAATGATATAATATTTCAAGATCAGCTTCAGCAGCTTGAAGATGAAGAGGCCGAGAAAGAAAATCTTCAAGAGGGTTTGGATGTGAAGAAGATCGTTGGCGATCAGGGACCTTACTTGAGCTCCAAAATCAAACAAGCTAGACAATTGGTAAAGACTATTCTTGATCAAGGAAATCTCCAACCTTTCTTGAAAGATTTGAAGATTGTTGACCCCAACTATCTGCACGCGCTAAGAATTGAGCCTCTTCCAACCTCCTTGGTTCTTTTCGACACGCGCTTTGAGTCCTTTGAGGTGACTTACAATGGCTGCAAGGTTGTAAACATCGGCAGCTTGATAAGCAACAAAAACTCTAAGAGGCTTAACTATGCAGAATATTACCCAAGTCATAAGAGCTACTCTTTCAGAGAGCAGTATTTCTGAGACGAGCGGGACTAGGTTTAACGGATTGTGGGGCAGTCGCTCACAGAGTGCGCACACCGACCATGATCTCAAACTTCGCACACTAAAGCATAAATCACCTTCATGTCCACCCAAGAATTCCACCGGGATCGCCATATCAAGTTCATTCAAGAGCTTGATTCAAAGGTTACGAAGCAAACATATGAGTATTGGCTACTGGAACACCTTCGGCTCAATGGCTTGTACTGGGGTATAATGGCGTTGGCCACTGTCAACGCGTTGGATGCGTTGCCTAGAGACGAGGTGATACAGTTCGTTATGGACTGCTATGACACGGAGGAGGGTGGATTCGCTGCTTTTCCCGGGCATGATGCTCACATCCTCACAACGCTTTCAGGACTACAAATATTGTACATCTACGATAGATTTGACGTCATCGAGGGTGAAAAGAAAGATAAGATCCTTGAGTTTGTTATGAACCAACGTTGCAGTGGTGGCTCTTTCAGAGGCGACAAATTTGGTGAAATCGACACCCGATTCGTTTTCGCTGCTGTTTACATTCTCAAGATGTTGAAAGCACTCACACAAGAAATTGCAGATGGGGCGACAGACTTCATTCTTCGTTGCAGAAATTTCGACGGAGGCTTTGGCCTTCTACCGGGCTCCGAGTCGCATGCTGCCCAGGCCTACACATGTCTTGGAACATTGGCTATCTTGGGAAAGTTGGACAAGATTGACAACAGAACGCCCAGTTGGCTCAGTGAGAGACAGGTTCTCCCGTCTGGTGGATTCAATGGTAGACCAGAAAAATTGCCTGACGTGTGTTACAGTTGGTGGGTGCTTCTGAGTCTATCAATGTTAAAGAAAGCCCATTGGATTAGTTTCGAGCACCTCGAGAAATTCATTTTGGAATGTCAAGATCTAGAAAATGGAGGTTTCAGCGACAGGCCAGACAACCAAACTGACGTCTATCATACATGCTTTGCGATCACTGGGCTAAGTTTGATGTTTAGCAGCAAATATGGCATGAAGCCCGTCGATCCGATTTACTGTATGCCAGTGGATGTTACTGACAGACTATCTACATAAGGAATTTCGATGAATATTTCACAGGTGTTATCAGATGCTATGAAATGCGAATAAACAGCTTTAACCTGATGAATACAATTCTGTTTCCATCATCCACACATCGCCCACTTCATCGATGTGTTTGATCTGCTCGTCTGAAAATTTGATCACTGTGCCCTCTATTAGGTTACTCTTCGTTTCTCCATCCTCCTCGAAGTAGCCTCCGAGAGAGGAGTAGGCACACCACAAATAGTTTTTGCAGTAGTTCATCATATGCCACGCAGCCTCAGGCTCGTGCTCGAGGTTTTTGGCCTTTTCACGGTTTCTGTCGAAAGGGGAATAATAGCATGCAAAATCTTCAACTTAGATCTGAAGAATGTTTCAAATTCCTGTACTGTCTTGTACTTCGTGAAACGTCTGTTACTGTTGAATTCTTCTTGAAACTTGACACCCTTGTCAACATTACCGCAAAATCTGAAACCCGAATTGAACCACACAAGAGTCTGATTATCAGTGTCACTGATGTGACTGGGGTGGGAAGAGCAAAGCTCCTTTGACTTGAAGCTCTTGATCTGATTGATATCTTTGTGACGTTCGGTTTCGGGAGTCATCTCACCGATAGCTGCGGCAAAGTTATCGTCAAATTCATAGTTTTCGTCACCAGCAAGAACTAGCGAAAGCCAGAACAATTCTTTATCACCATAAAGACGAGCAGTGATGGGCTGATAAAAGTTCAAGACAGACATCATGAAGGGCTGTATAAAATGTTTTTTCTTGTTGATAACAACGAGACCACTCTCCATGTAGTTCTCGAAACCAAGGAAAAACTCGTTATCCAACGTCTTATTTTTGATTTGGTTGATATTGAAGACAAAGCCATCATCAAGTGAAGGCATAAGCTTGTGAAAAAGCACGGAATTTTCCCTTTCACGGAAGTTGAAGGTGGAACGATCCTTGTAGAACATGGTGCCCGAGTTGATGTATTTTTTGAGCTTGAATAGGAAGTCTGGATGCTGCAACAAAACTGTATCAGCGTCGAGAAAAACCATTTCTTCGAAGGAATTGAATAAAGTTGCCATGATCTTGTTGGCAAAACCATTGAATTTGCCAATGAACTGAGGTTCGATCGCAGGACTAGCGTCAACAAACCAAAGGTCTTGGGTTGGGTAATTATCATACTTTATTCTTGCAGCCTTCACAATATGGGCTTTCGATAAGTCATTGAGTTTGGAGTGATACACGATCTGGATAGGATACCTGTTACCGAGGAAACGAAGAACCTTGATGAGGCGAATAGCGTCGTCGACGTGATCATCATTGAAAGTCATCACGATTCCTTTTCCGTTCAAGCGGTTTTTGAACTCGTTGAGGAAGCAACCTTTGTTCTCATGGACTCTATAATTGTTACCAGGGAAGTATGCCTTCTCTCCGTTGTGACGGGTGAATTCAGGATACTCCATGGTCAACCATGGGAACACTTTGCTTTCAATCTGTGAGCACAGCGTCTTGTCACGATATATGGAGCCGTCCACCACCTCGTCTGGGTCAGCGAGATAATCCACATTTTTGCTCAAGAAATACTGCTGTCTTTTGACATAGCTCGTGTCGTTACGATAAATTGCTTTATTCTGCGATTGCACATAGCACTTATCGAAGATACGAACGTGGGCAAGAAAATCGTGCAACCTTTGCTCCGAAGCATCGACCTCTTTCCAGAGCTTCTGGTAATCATGACGAATCTGAGTATCGGAAAGTGGTTCCGGAGCGGGTCTTCCGAATTTCTCCGCCTCTTCAACTAGTTTCTTGTGGTCCTTCTGGCGACTCTCCTGATATGTCTTGAACAGCTGGAAAGCAGTCTTATCGTACGAGACAACCTCGTTAGGATGGATCAACCAGTCAGGATCACTTTTCAGCAAGTGGTTGAAGTAGATCAGACACCTTTGGTCAAACAGGTATTTTTTTAAAAAGTCGAACATGCTGATGGAACTGAGCACCTCGTCGTAAGCTGAAGACCGTGTGGTTATATGAGACATGGATGGGTGCCTCTGGTGGTACATCGAGAAGACAGTCATGAGCTCCTTTTTTGTGAGCGACTGCTTCAGTGCCGATGGAATATAGCTAGTGTCGAGTCCTCTGTAAGAGGTCCACCAAATGGCAAGACATAATAGCCAAGCTAACGCAAGGTACTTCCAGTAATAGGATCTGGAAAACAAAATGCGTTGGATCGACATGACATGAGGTTTGCCGTTAGGGGGAAGAAGCGAAGGCGTCAATAGTTGGTGGTAAGGACGAGATTGGGAGGTGCAGAATATAAGATAAAAGGGAAGGCTCCCTAGAGATGCGGTGCAGTTGGGCGCGATCTGAGCAAAAAAAGAAAATAAGCCAAGCGCACAAAGGAGGCAGTGACAAATAACCAGCCATGGGCGCACCCACTGATAAGCACTTTCCTGCTTTTAGGGTTGAGGGTGAAGTCACAAAAATTGACAAGTTTTTGCTGAGACCCAAACGCGTCCTGCCCTTGGGTGCTCAACGCCTTATCCCTTAAACCAAATCGAGGAGTTCCGGACTTTGCCCACCCTGCTGAGTACGTCAACATAGGCACCTCGGGGAGGCCGCTGTGCGTGGCCGTCGCAGGAACCATGGCTCAATGCCGGGAATGCAAGTTTGCCTGACGTCGAATCTCTCAGATTAGGGCTTAGTACCGCGAAAATTGTAAAGTCTGAGATTCCTTCTTGACGTTGGTGGCGTGTTGTTCATGCGGCGCTTGACACTTGTGTGTGCAGTGGCGGCTTTGAAGTAAAAATTTGGCTTTTAAGGCCGATCATCGTGTCTGCTTTTGCTTTTTATTGTTTGAGGGTTCGGCTTTTTTTTTCCTGAGCAATAGCTCAACTTCAAAGTTCAACTCCCCTTGCGGCGTAGCCCCTTATGCTTGGTTGTTACAGTCCTTGCTCGTAAGAAGCCCAGTTCCCTGCGTGCTTAAGCGAGGCGCACCCTACCAAGAATGTGAGCCTATGGCATAAAGGTACTTCTTGGAGGAGTGTGTTTTTGTGGGTCCCGCCGATCTTGGCACAGCAAACATTGTGACTGCTGATTGTTCCAGAATATGTCATACTGAAGATTACAATACCGCGGTGGACTGCTTATTTTTCTTCGGCTTGCGTCCACCTCCCAAGCCCTCACGATTGATTTGCTAGAGCGACGCACGTGGACTTTAGTGCGATCTACAGTCAGGTGATACAACGCACGTGCATCAACCTAACTGAGGCTCACGGTGATATCAGATTTCCAACCCACCCAAGGATGACACTGTACTTCTCAGACTCCCCACAGCACCCGGCGCTGCTCATCTGTGAGTTGTGCCGCTTGTTCTATGACAACAATTGGGTCACTGGCACTGGTGGTGGTATCTCCATCAGAGACGTCGATGGGCCAAACCCCAATATCGTCTACATCGCTCCCTCGGGCATTCAAAAAGAGCGTTTGAAACCAAAGGAGATGTTTGTTGCGGAGTTGCCAGGCAAGATCTTGAGAACGCCTAACGATGAATGTACTGGTCAGCCCTTGTCGGCAGACTTGGCCAAGGATTTCAAGTACAAGCCCTCTGCGTGTACGCCACTCTTTCTCAGCTGTTACAACTTGAGAGACGCTGGCGCATGTATTCACACTCACTCACAAAACGCAGTGATGGCAACTTTGATTTTTGAGGACAAGGTGGAGTTCAGCATGAGCCATATCGAACAGATCAAGGCCTTGCCACAGCTTGCTGCCAACCCAGAGACAGGCAAGATTGAAAAAGTTGGCAGCATGCAATATTATGATACGATGGTGCTTCCAATCATTGAGAATACACCTCATGAGGAAGACTTGACCGACACCTTGCAGAAGGCAATCAAGGACTACCCCAACGCCACTGCTGTGTTGGTGCGTCGTCATGGTATTTATGTATGGGGTGAGAACGTCTGGAAGGCTAAGGTGTACAATGAGGCCATCGATTACTTGCTCGAATTGGCAATCAAGATGCACCAGAACGGCATTCCTCTCGTCAAAAAGTGAGTGGACAGTATAGAATGGATGGGAGATCCGTAATAGTTTGTAGGCGACCAGCTAAAGAGGGTTCTTTGTATCCTTGAGCTCTTCTCCATTAATGTTAGCCCAGTCGACTTCGATGGAATCGTCGATTTCACCCACGCAGACCACGTTTCCGCCTCGTAGAAGGTAGACACCCAATTGGAGAGTTTCGTTTTCTTCATCGGGGTAAATTACGCGTTCAATGGTCTCTGATATGACGATGTTGGTGGAATGGTCGAAGCTCTCGAGCTTGCCTTCAAATAGACGGGCATCAGTGGTTACCACTCGTATTTTCTCTGCGGTTAGTATGGTTATGTAGGGTGATTTTAGTCATACATACTTCCTAAGAAGTCTTTGAGGGAAGACATCACTTAGTCGGGTTAGAGCTCCTAGGTTTCTGTGATGGTTTATAGCGAGAATCTGCACGTGACTTCAAGCTTGTCAGCCGTTTAATACATTTACCGATTCAAGAAGGAGTGGGGTCTCTAAAAAGAAAGATAATTATTTTTTTCCTCTTCTCTATTGGTCTTTGTAGATTTGAGGTTGATATTTCGTTCCGAACTGTTGTCATCAAAGTTAGGTTCTAACTATTTATTGAACCGAGGGAGAAGAACTTATCAGGAAACAACAGGAGACAAAATCGATGAGCATTTCGAGATGAGGCATTGGAAGACTTCGATTCGAAAAAAAAAAATGGGGTTCACAATTTACGACCTTTTGTGCATCCAACGAGCGTTTTGATTGCATTCTGCGAACAACCGGATATTATCGTGATAATTTTCAAAAGAATGACGAATTGAATTGAAAGCTACATCTTTTTTCTTTAGTCTTCTTGCATTTCAGTCTGTTCGGGATTATAATTTCGATTAGTGATCTAAGTTTTAGCTAAATTATTCACATTGAAGATTCGAAGAAAACGAATACCAAACCGTTTAAGCTTTCCACAACAATGAGGCCGGCTGAAATTCAAGAAATTTCTTTGTAAGGCTCTTCAATTACACGAAAGGTCTCCCACCATGGCGAAACCGAAGTCAGTAAATCAAGAAATCTTTCTACGTCAATAGCAGCTCGGCGTTGCCCGTTTCAGCACAAATCTCAAACTTAAGACTCACCACAAAGACATTGTTCTCCTCAGCAGGCTTACAAATTTTATATGGCGGGAGCTCGGTAGACCTATTTCAGAGGTTGAACTCATTCTCACCAGACCCTTAATTTCTACTATACCCATCGAACAATGTCATTGAACAATTAAAGTGTTGAGCCTTGGCAACAAGTCCCTTCCCTTAGTTAACAAATCGGAGATAGACAGCCGTTTGGCCAAGCCCGAAGAATCTTGGACCATCGGTGAGATGCCGTATTGAGGATGTACCGGAAGCGAGATTCAAAGCCACCTTTTGCCAAAAGAAAGCCTATACCACCTACTCAAACGATGAGTACCCCATACACCTGAGCGTTCTACCTATGACTAAAGGTCCACTCCGGCCACCGGAACAACTGTTGTCCCACTAGGATCCGTAAAGGCAGGCGACGGCGAGTCACGTGGACAGAACAATCCCGCTTCGCTCGCAGAAGACACCGTTCGACGTGGGCGTTGCATTTTTCGCGCACACTTTGGTTTCTTTTTCGGAAGAGCCTCGCTCTCACCTCCGCCTTGCAGAAAAGCCCTGGCATTAGTGCTTTGTGAGTCAGGTTTTTCCTCACATTCGCCCCATATATATCACCGCATCTCGCAGAATTGCCCACTGCACCGGACCGTTGGTGCGATTTTGCTGCAGAGTGGATGCAAAATTCTTGACTGACCTTCACTTAGTTTCTAGTCTTTATAGCTCGTACTTGCACACTTTCTTGAACTTATTTTTCAATACACACTTTACAAGGACACCATGAGTCTTACAAACAAGGAGTCTGGTGATTCCGCCAGCACCCATGCCTACGAGCCACAAGAAACCCAAACCCATTCGAGATGGAAGTCTTTCAAGGACTCGTTCAAGGCTGCTGAGACGATGACCGCCGATGATCTTTCGGATTCGGAGATGGACGTGGTCCAGAGGGCTAACCAAAACGCCTCCAACTCCCAGCTTTCCAGAAGATTGAAGAATAGACATTTGCAAATGATCGCCATCGGCGGGTCCATCGGAACTGGTTTGTTCGTTGGTTCCGGCTCGGCCTTAGCCACTGGAGGCCCTGGTGGTATCGTTATTGCCTGGGTCATCACGGCCACATCCATTTTCACCACCATGCAAGGTCTTGGTGAGCTCAGTACTGCTTTTCCCATAAGTGGAGGCTTCAACATCTACGCCACAAGATTCATTGAGCCGGCTTTTGGCTTCGCTGTGGGCTGGAACTACTTTATGCAATTTTTCGTTTTACTACCGCTAGAGCTTGTGGCGGCGTCGATTTCGGTCAAGTATTGGAACGACGAGCTCAATCCCGTCATTTTTGTGGCCATTTTCTGGGTGGTGGTGTTCTTCATCACTATGCTCGGAGTTCGCTGGTACGGTGAGGCCGAATTCGTCTTCTGTTTAATCAAGGTTATCACCGTCATTGGTTTCATTATTTTGGGCATTGTTCTTGTTTGCGGCGGAGGTCCTACCAAGGACTTTGTTGGTGGCAGATATTGGAGAAATCCTGGTGCATTTGCTCACGGTTTCAAGGGTGTATGTTCTGTCTTTGTCACAGCAGCTTTCTCCTTTGGTGGAACGGAAATGATCAGTTTGGGTGCTGCCGAGGCTGCTAACCCATCCAAGGCCATTCCTCAAGCCATCAAGCAGGTCTTCTACAGAATCGTCATCTTCTACTTCGGTACCATCACCTTGATCGCTACTTTGGTTCCATACAATGATGAACGTCTCTTGAATGCTGACTCCGACGTGGATGCCACCGCCTCTCCTTTCGTCATTGCCATTGTCAATGGTGGTATCAAGGGCTTGCCCTCAGTCATCAACGCTGTTATTCTCATTGCCGTTCTTTCTGTTGGTAACGCTTCCGTTTACGCCTGCTCTCGTTCACTTAACTCTCTCGCTGAACAAGGTATGGCGCCTAAGTGGACCGGTTATGTCGACAGACTTGGACGTCCTCTCGTTGCCATTATTGTGACCAACGTGTTTGGTCTCTTTGCATTTATCGCTGCTTCCGACAAGCAAACCGAAGCTTTCAACTGGTTGCTTGCCTTGAGTGGTCTTTCTTCCATCTTCACATGGATGTCCATCAACATGGCCCACATTCGTTTCAGGGCCGCCATGAGGTCTCAAGGCAGATCTTTGGACGAATTGGCATTCACCTCCCTTGTCGGCACCCTTGGATCATGGTACGGTTTCGCCATTAACTTCTTGGTCCTCATTGCCCAGTTTTGGTTATCCTTGTTCCCTATCGGAGTTGCGCCAAACGCATCGGATTTCTTCCAGGGCTACTTGGGATTCCCAGTTGTTCTCTTCAGTTACATTGGTTACAAGATCTACTCCAAGAACATGAGAATTTACATCCCCGCCGAGGAAATTGATGTGGACTCTGGTCGCAGTATCGTTGACACCGATCTCATCAAGCAGGAGGAAGAGGAGGAGCTGGCTAGAAGAGCCAGCCAGCCATGGTGGAAGTGGATCATTGGGTTTGTTTTTTAAAAACATTAGAATAGCATTACGGACGATTTTTAACGATAGAATTATTTCACTAACGGATTTGTAAATTATTTACTAAAGGTATGTGTAGAGAAGTGAAAAAGTAAGTCCCCTTTGAACACTTCCAGGTACTCGTAGGAAGATATAACATTTTTTTTAACAGAAGATGTTCCAGATCCTGAAATAAAGCGGTTTGCTGCGAAGGTAGGCCTTTTCCTCGGCAAGTTCTTGTTTGAGAAGATCCAAGTCCAACTCTCTTCTGCCGGTGTCAATGTCAATCTCTGCAATTGGGATATACAATCTCCAGTTTTTCTTCCAGATCTTGTGAGCAAGGTAGAAGATGATGATAATGGGGAAGGACAAGTAGGCCTTGAAGAAGGTCTCAGCCTCTGGACTACCGCCAATGGGGAAAAGGGCGATCCAGAACTGGGCAACAAGAACCAAGAAGTTCAAAGTAAGGCCGTAGATGGAACCGATGATACCGGCTTGAGAGACATAAGCCAATTCGTCGGTGTTTCTACCCTTCAGCTTCAAGGCGTATCTGAATCTAAGATGACAGGCGCAGATAGAACCCCAGGTGAAAAGGGAGGACAAACCGGAAAGAGCCATCATCCAGTCGAAAGCCTCACCCTGCTTGTCGGAAGCAGAGATGAAACAAATCAAACCGAACACACCGGCAAGAAGAATACCGAAAATTGGTCTACCCTGCTTGTCAATGTAGTTGAAGATCTTAGGAGCCTGACCGGCAGCGGCCAAGGCAGCCAAGGTTCTGGAAGAACCGTAAACGGAAGAGTTACCGACAGACAAAACAGCAATCATAATGACAGCGTTCATGACAGAGGGCAAACCACCAATACCGGCATTCTTGATACCAATGACGAATGGAGAGTATCTGGCAGTACCGTCAGACTTCTCCAAGTCAGGGTTGTTGTATGGAACCATGCAGCCGACGATAATCAAGGAAACAATGTAGAAAAGGGTAATTCTCCAGAAAACCTGCTTGGTAGCCTTTGGAAGGGACTTTCTTGGGTTCTTGGTCTCAGCGGAAGCCAAACCAACCAACTCAGTACCGGCGAAAGCAAAAGCAGCAGTGACGAAAACCGAACAAAGACCCTTGAAACCGTGATTGAAAGCACCAGGATCATGCCAGTATTTGCCACCAATGTAGCCACCTTGAGGACCACCACCGCAGACAATAACGATACCGAGGATAATGAAACCAATGACGGCAATGACTTTGATAGCAGAGAAAATGAACTCAGCTTCACCGTAACCCTTGACGCCAAAAAGGTTGATGGCCATAATCAAAACGTAAAAGGCTACACAGTAAACAGCCGAGTTGGTTTTATCATCCCAATATTGCACAGTAATGGCGGCAGCGACCAATTCTAAAGGCATGACAACCAACCATTGCATGGCGTAGTTCCAGGCCATGGCGAACGACCACGAAGGGTCCATGAAACGAGTGTTGTAGGTGACGAAAGCACCAGAAACAGGGAAAGTGACAGCCAATTCACCCAAAGCGTGGACGGTCGAGTAAATCATGCCACCAATCAAAGCGTAAGCGATCAAAACGGAGGCTGGACCACCATTGGCCAAAACCTTACCGGAACCAATAAACAAACCAGTACCGATGGCACCGCCAATGGCGATCATCTGCAAATGTCTATCTTTAAGGGCACGGGACAACGGCGAGTTGGCGGTGATGATGGCGGTTTTCTCAATGTCGGACAAGTTGGGATCAAGACCCAAGTCCTTCTCGTCGAAACGTCTAAAACTGTCCTTGAAACGCTCCCATCTGCCCATTTCGGGCTTCAGCTCGCCAGCATCAAATGCGTTGATGTAGATTCCACCATCCTTTTCGGTGGAGGAGGCCTGCTCCCTCGAGGTGATGTAGTCTATTTCTTTATCGGGCATTGTGGTGGTGAAGCATGCATGAGCGGATTGGTGTTTAAATATGGTTGCAAAAACAGCTTCCTCAGATAAGCATGCAAGCGTGCATGGGCGGCCGGGCCTATGCTTTATCTCTGGATGTCATGGGGTAACGAAATGCCGCGTTCCGGCACCTTCCCATATCTGGGAAGCGGGCTTGCGGCTCAGTGATAGATAGGTGCGAGCAGGTTAGTACCCACAAAACGTCAAGGGAACGTCAAAACAACGTCAAAGAAACGTCAAGAGCTCGAATTTTCTTGAATTTTTCTGGATCACTGGGCTTTTTCTGAAATTCTTTGTTATTCCTGCCTTGGCTGGGGTTCTTGCTCGGCAAACTCGCGCTCGTTCAATTCGCAATTTTCTTGTCGACCGGACAAATATTAGCCTGACACGCTTGGCGGGCATTGACACCTACTTGACCGGTTGGCTGAGTATTTACATGCCCCGCATTTTTATCTTTAGGGCTTACGGCGTTTTGGAAATCTTGAAAAGAGTTAAAATGCTCTACATCAAACGGCTGGAAATGGGACGAACTTCTTGCTTGCATATACGTCCAGCACTATCTGGACAGACGGCCCACATTTTGCCGGCCATTTTTCACAAGGCTTTTTTTTGTTAACTCCAGCAGAGCGCATCTCGAGACTGAGGGGCACAAGCGGAATGCTATCATTGTTGCAATTGCAAACAATTGGCTATGTTTTTGCTACTTCTAAATTACTAAACCCCTCTCACGATATGGCTCGACCACTTTTCTCGCTTATCTCTCACCCTAGCGCGATACCTACTCGGTATATGCTGCGTGGGTTATCCGGATCCTCGCCCTATCATGTCTAGTTTTGAGATCTGACGAAAAGCAAAGCTCTCTGAACACCGCCTGTTCTTTCATGCACGAAGGCCTGATAGACCACAGGTCTGCAAGGATCCGCCTTGGTTCTTCGTAGTTTCAGATTTAATGGCTGCTGCCTCCGAACATGCCCTTAATCACCACTATCTGAGACTGGGGTAAGCTTGAAAAATCGCCGTGACAGATTTCACCAACTTTTGAACCCCCTGCTGGCCGGCGCTTCGTGTCTATTGCATCAAAAGAATTTTTGTCCATCCCTGAGACACAATCCGAGACTGTGGCATTAGGCGGGTACTTTTGGTTCTCGCATCAGAGTACAATCCACTGTGGACCATCCCTTGCAACTGAATCAGGTAATAATGAAAGATCAAGTGTATCTCGGGGTTGGGAGAAGGACGCCGAACAATGGGAAGAGGAGTAGAACGAGTGGGGTTAGAAAAAGCAAAAGCCTCTTGTCAACGCTTTGACAGCCTAAGCAGGGCTTAGGCATTGTCGGTGAATTTACCTTGGTTGGGCCGGAGTCCCACAGCTTCCCGTCGTTAAAACCTTCCTACTCCAGTTTCTCTATCGTTTTTTTGTATTCTTAAACGTACAATTATATGATGCAATTACATGGCGGTTACTTCTTCTCCTTCTTCTCCTTCTTGTCTTTCTTCTCCTTTTTCTCTTTCTTCTCTTTCTTCTCCTTCTTCTCTTTCTTGTCCTTCTTGTCCTTCTTGTCCTTCTTCTCTTTCTTGTCCTTCTTCTCCTTCTTCAGCTTTTTGCTGACCTTCTCATCCTCGTCGTCGTCTCTCTTTCTCTTCTTAGGCTCTTCATCATCGGACTCATCGTCAGAATCAGCAGGTGCAAGGGTATCGGCGTCGGCGTTGTAGGACTGGGCCTCGGTGATATCCACCTTCTTGGCGTCTCTGACAACCTTCGAGGTGGTTCTCAAGTCTCTGCCCTCCAAGGCACTCAATCTGGACTCAACCTTGGATCTGACCTCCAAACCAAAGTCACCAGAGTCGTCTCTGTCTTCGGAAAGCGAGTCATATCTCAAAGCCACAGCGGCCTTGGCGGCCAAAACTCTGGCGATCTTACCCTTGTTCTTACCGGTAGCCTGACCAACCAAAGATGCGTGGTACAACAAACCGTATTTAGGTGTGTCATGCTTGGTCTTGAGGGCTCTGAAAAGGGCCTTCTCGGCACCCAAAATCTGGATGGTGGAGGCAGGGGCCTTGGCCAAAGAAGTAAGCGAACCGGCGTGGGCAATCAATCTAGCACCAACCAACTCACCAACAAGAGAGGTCAAGTTGGGAGCAATGGCCTTCATACGCGAAGACAAGTAGTTGGACAACTGCTCTCTGTAGGCGGCGAACTCGACAATCTGCTCAGCAAGAGACTTGATGTTGTCCAAGTCAACCTCAGTGATCTCAGTACCCATAGAAACCTCAGCAGCACTCTTGACCTGCTCCTCGGCCTCTTCGGGCAAGATCTCAGACAAGTCGGTCTCGGCAGCGTTGGATCTAACACCCATTGTCAAGATGATTCTGGCATAAGCAACAGAGTCTGTTATGAGCTTGGCCAACTCAGGGAAGTGCCAACCGTACCACTCCTTACATCTCATGGCGTATGTGTTTAATTCCTTGTCCAAGTCGTCTAAAAGAGCGATAGCCTGGACAATCATGGTGTCGACCTTGTCAGCGGAGAACTTCAACTTGTGTCTACCAATAGAGTGAGCCAAACCAAGGGACATCTGCTTCAAGACAGAGTCGTCCAAACCGGGTAAGAGCTCTGGCAAGAACTCTCTGATAGATCTGTGCAAGTCCAAGGAGGCAGCGTCAGAGACAACGGAGTAGTTCAAACCCAATTTGTTGATGGCATTACCCAATTTGGCCTCACTGACAATCAAAGTGACCTTCTTCTCCAACTTAACGTCCTCCAACATCTTCTTCAAAGAGTCAGAAACCTTACCTTCGACAACGGCGTTGGCCTCTTCCAAGGCATTGGCGGCAGACTGGAACTTCTCGAAACGATGGATCTTAAACTGCTCGGCAACCTTCTCAGCCGAGTTCAAGTCCTCGAACAAAGAGGTGGACTTGTGGATCTTCTTGTCGGCAGCCTTAAGCAAGGCGTAACCGGCAGCGGTTTCCGTCAACACGTAAGCCATGGCGTGGGGTGTCGATCTGGAATTAAAGGTTTAAGATGGGGATTGAGTATTGAAAATTGAAGGAGATGAGGTGAGAAAAAACTTCGACTGGCCTGCGTGCAAGCTGTTGTTAGTGGTGTACGGGTGCAACAGACCTGGTTGTCCTCTTAGTAGTTGAAGCCAATGGTGCAGACGATTGAGGTGCAATTTTTCAAATTTTCATCGAAAGCTTATGTTTAATGAGCGATGGGATATATAGTGCTGTGCTGCTCTGTAGAAAAATTTGATGACATACCGGCATCTAATGATAAGTGTGGGTTTCAAGAGATTTAATGCTACCAATGGCCACATATCGTGTGCTAGATGAGGGCTCCTTAGGCGAGAAAAGGACTGAGTGTTTTTGACTGGTTGTAGTAATTGGATCTGTTTGGGGTTTTAACTCACTATTATCTAGATGGCACATACCATAGGTCATATCAACTCAATCGTGCTTTAATATCACAATGAAACCACTTATTCCACTCTATTCCGTCCGAAGAAAGTTGGTTTCCCAATCGTTAGATGCTTGTGGTTAGCGAGTACCCTTTTCGCAGCCATTCCTTCCATACCCCTTGGGTACGCTAACTCTAGATTATGTCTAACAACGAACAATACTAATTCACCAATTTTGCCCTCATAAGTTTCATCAAAATTGCCAGTCTTTTTTATTTCTTTCTATGAAGTTGAGTAAATATTTGAATCTGTTGTATCTCATTGGTACTGTTTTCGCATACACGCTCCCTACGCATACGCACTACACGTCCTAGATCACTATTGATCTAAAGTGCTAATACCCCAACTTATGTGTCCGTGATGGACAAAAGACCTAACAACCAGCCTTTACGCCCAGAGCTGGACCTAAAGAAAACCAAAGCACGCAAAACAACATATTTTTTCCAACCACAGAACACGCTATCTTTCAACCCCAGAAAGAGGCAAGACGAGTGCCACAACAAACAAGGCACCGAACAAAACACAAACGGAACGCCTGAACAACCGGCAATTCAAAATATCAAGACTCTACCTGAACAGAGCTCAGATGATAGTTTCGAAGGTGTGAGATGGCGTGGAGGGGCTAGTCCGCGTCGTCAGGTCGATACCAGATGTATACTCTCATCGCCTTTAAAGAATGGTGATAAGCTTAATACGCGTTCTGGTGCTTCCGAGACCGTGACCCCTGCAATGAATAATGAGGTAACAGACTCGTTTCTCTCGAAATACGGCCTAGGGTTCGAGAATGTACTTTCTCAAACTCCTCAGACAGCTCAAGCTCAAGCAAACAAAACACACCTAAACGTGAGCCCCACGTTGGCGAGGTCAAAACTGTTCGACCCCACTTGCATTACGTCAAAAAAGACGCCTTCCCCCGACCAATTCAGCACGCCGTCTCTCTCAAGGCTAAATACATGGATTGATAGATTTGCCACTAATCTGCCTCAAACAACACCTGAGACAACATTCAAAAAGCCACATCTTGCATCCAAAGAGGACAATAAGTCTGATGAAGACCCCTTTTCTGACGACGATTCAGTTTTGGCCACTTTGAACGTGGAGCAATTTTCCACAGCGGTAGCTACTCAAAAACAAGCGGCCAAATCAACGGAGCCGTGCACCAGCATACCATTGGAAACAGGCAAAGATGATTCTCTTGCGGAGTCTGATCCTTTCACCGATGAAATCGATATTGAGGACTTAGAAAAGAGGGTCTCGACAACACAGCATCAGCCAAAGCATATCCTGAAAGAAGAGGTTCTTTTAGACAAGCTTCAAAAGTCCATCAAGGCAGAGAAGAGAGAAGATATCGGAGCTAAGGTTTCATTCTCAAGGTCCGACTTCATAAGGTACGAGGTTGTTTCAGTCTTTCAGGGCGTTTATTCCTTCCAAAACCACAAGAGAAAACAATTGATTCTCTCAGTGAAGGACAAGGAGGGCATTCAAGGTAGGCTTATCGTGAGGGGCGACTCCTCCGAGCTCAGCATTCAGGCCAACGACATAATTCATGTCATTTTGACCTGCCCAGATACACCTAAACTCGTTGATAATTCGCATAACTTGCTAATATGGAATCCGGATGTATTAGTAACATCAACAGTGGTGGCTGATCAACTATTCTGTCCTAGAAAAACGGTCATCATGAAACGTTTCAAGTTCCCCGGCTATTCCACGCTTCCGCTCTTAACTGGTACAATCGTGCATGAAATCTTCCAAACCTGTTTCATCACTGAGAGATTCGATAATGCGTATCTCGAGGAGCTACTTGACAATGAAATCAAAGGACGCCTCATAGAAATTTACATGATAGGAGATGTGGTCAATGAGTTAAAAGGGATGATACGAGAACGTCTCCCATTCATCACGTTGTGGTTTCAAACTTTCTACAAGAAACCCCCTGTTGAAATTCCAACGAATCAACGAAATCAAAAAATTCGGTTTTCCGTCGCTGACGGCTTAGACCTTGAAGAGAGTGTATGGTCACCCATGTTTGGATTGAAGGGTATGGTTGATGTAACACTCAAAGCTAACTTTAAAGGAGAATTTTCGACGTCTCAGGCACTCCTTCCAATGGAAATCAAAACCAGCCGACCTTACCTTAGTCATCAAGCTCAAGCTGCATTATACTCGCTCCTTTTTAAGGATAGGTATAACTTCGACATATCTTCATTTCTTTTGGTGTACGCACTGGACGAAGGTCTGACGACGAAACACGACATTTCAGTACCTGACCTCAAGTCACTCATACATCTTCGCAATCAAATATCATTTTTCCTAAAAAGTGGTCAAAATGATTTACCAGACTTGATGAGACAGCAAAAATGTGATAAGTGTATGATTCAGGAGGCTTGTATGACTTTAAACCGAATCACAGAGGATGGAACTGCTGATGATAGCGGTATTGACAAAGACGTATACGAGAATCTTATGTTACACCTTGAGGGTAAGCCACATTATGCTGCATTTTTCAAATATTGGAATGAGTTACTCACACAAGAGGAGCATTTTTTGGATAAGTTCAATCGCGATCTTTGGGTCTTCACAGCTCAAGAGCGGGAAACTGAACGTGGAAAGGCTATCGCAGACCTTGTGATCTCAGGCCAAAGGCAATCAGATGAGAACGGCTTATTCTTCTACACCTTTGTAAGAAAGCCAGGAACGTTATTCAAATCGATGCAAAATACCCAGATTACTAAGAACGACAAGGTTGTGATCAGTGACGACCAGGGCCGATTCGCCCTCTCACAAGGGTATGTTCGAGAAGTTTGGCCCGACTCAATCACTGTTTCGACCAGAAGGCGCATAATTCCGACCTCTCTGAAAACGGATAAGTTTCATAGGGCAAGTGTTTTGAAAGCAAGTCAACAAAACTCACAAGAGTTCAAGTCCGCAGTGATATTTCGCATTGATAAGGACGAAATGTTTTATGGAATGGGCGTGGCAAGATATAATTTGCTAAACTTGTTCTTGAAATCAGGAGATTCCAAGAGACGAGAACTCATAGTTGATTCGAGAGCTCCTGTTTTTGATAAGTCAACGCAGAACGTCGTCGATGCGCAATTCAACGAAGACCAGAAACATGCCATGGATAGAGTCTTAGCAAGTCAAGATTACACTCTTATACTTGGCATGCCTGGAACCGGTAAAACAACCTTGATTGCGCACTTGATCAAAGACCTCAGCAGTAAAGGAAAGTCGGTCCTCTTATGTTCTTACACCAATTCGGCTGTTGACAACATTTTGTTGAAGTTGAAAGGCCTTGGTGTTGATTTTCTTCGGGTCGGAAATGCTTCAAGAATTCATCAGGATATAAAACCATATATTCCTGGTTCTGAGGATTGTCCTGTGGACTCCTACGATGACTTTGAACTCGTTTACAGAGGACCTATGGTTGTGGGGGCAACTTGTCTTGCTATAGGAGATATTGCGTTCAGTGTACGTGAACATTTTGACTATTGCATCATCGATGAATCTTCGCAGGTGTCCCTTCCACTTTCACTCGGTCCATTGGCCCTATGTGACAAATTTGTACTTGTTGGCGATCATTTCCAGCTTCCGCCACTTGTCACTAATCCCAATGCCGAGGTGAAGTCTGGTTTGTCGACCTCGCTTTTTCAGAAACTTGCGAATGAACATCCGGAGAGCGTTTGTGAGCTCACATACCAATACAGAATGTGCGAGGAGATCATGTTACTCTCGAATGCTTTGGTATATGATGAGAAATTGAAGTGTGGCTCCTCAGAGGTTAGCAAACAAAGTCTAGAGATACCTAACATCAATAACCTCGTCTCAGGTGTCAAGGACGGTGAATCAATCGCCGACCGTTGGTTGGACGAAGCACTCAGAGAGGAGACGAAGTGCCTTTTTTTCAATCACGACTCTTTGGAAGGGTATGAATCCATTACAGGAGACAATGTAACAAATCTAACTGAGGTCGCATTGATCAGAGAAACTGTCGAAGCACTATGTGCTTGTGGGGTCAAGGAGAGCAGTATCGGCGTAATGACATTGTATCGCTCCCAGTTGAAGGTGTTAACAGAGGCATTCAGGCATCGCCCATCGTTGGAGATTCTAAACGCAGATCGTTTCCAAGGTAGAGACAAGGATTGCATCATAATCTCCCTTGTCAGGTCAAACAAAGAAAGGAAAGCTGGAGATCTCATCAAAGATTGGCGAAGAATGAACGTTGCGCTTACTCGTGCAAGGTCCAAGCTTCTCATATTTGGCTCACTTTCGACTCTTTCGAACACTGAGACCATAAAGGAATTCATAAGTCTATTCAAACGCAAGACTTGGATATACCATCTTCCATCAAACGCAAGACGTGTTTACGACTTCGAAGCTTCCACGAGAGTCCTGAAGGATATTGACGTCACGAAGAAGGTGAAAAAAGTTGGAAGTAAAACGCTAGAGAGGCATCCAATCGTGAGAGACATCTTTAAGGATATGGACATCAACATTTGTCGAGGTTGAAAATGCATTAATACATATTTATAGAGCAAAAAAATGAAACTCGAAGTTTCCACGACGAAATCCAAGATTTTGGTTCTCGACATTTGCTTGCTGATTTGGTTGATTCTGGCCATTAGCAGCACGTCTCATCTGCCCCCTCACGTTCTGAACGAAGACGAAGACGAAAAATACAATCGTAAGGAGGAGAACAATGTAGTCAAAGACCTCATAGTCATCCTCTTCATCTATCTCGGTACCCTCAAAATGGGCAGTGGACCTTTGAATTGCTCTTTCGTCGCTCTCATCATCATCTATGCTATCCTGAGATCTACCTAGCGACTTGAATGTACTGAACCAGCCAGCTTTATCCACATCTTTCTTGTCGCGGCTGAAAAGTAGCTTTAATCTCAAGCGTAATAATGCAAGACTCATTGGGTATGTGTTCAAGCGTGAAACTTCATAGAAGGGGGAGTCCAGTGTATACTTCAGACTGAGATCATAATATCGTTTTGCCATATGATAGTCAACAGTTGCATTGGCAGAACCGAGGCCGTACTCGTACATATGGCCAAGCTTGAAACAACCATGAGATGATTGAGCTGTGGCTGCTCTTGAATAATAGGAAAACGCTTTTCCAAAGTCTTTTGGAATATTCGCTGATTTCACACCGCTGTAATTGATGTCACCCAACGCAATGGTCGAATCAACATCATCCTGAAGGGAAGCGAGTTCAAGGTACGACATCGCACTTTCGAGTCTATCAGTGTCGAACGTTTTAGGATGCAATGAAAAAAGACTATCCGCCTGGTACAAAAGATATGCTGCGCTAACTTGTGAATGCCTGAATCCTTGCTCCGCTGCTAACAGGTATCCGAGAAGGGCATTTTTGAAGCTGCCATGAATGAACTCTGTGAATGCATATTTAAGGTGGGGGAAAAGTTCCTTCTCAGAGCGCTCGACAAACATTTTGTAGTATGCGACGATCGTAGAGCAATGTAAATCATCAGTGGGAGATGCCCCAACACCTGTTTCCATGGCATCAGCGTAGTAGAAAAATGCATCATAATAATTTCTGTGGCTGAGGTCACGCCAAGAACCAAAGGTCTGCTCTGTGTTATGAATAAGAAAGGGCAGCGTAGGATTTGCAACAGCCATCCATTGAGTGAGAAGATATGTGGCTTCTAATGACAGATGTCTGACAGCGATGGACAAGTGCCTCGAGCAATTAGAACTCAAAGTGCCATCTGTGATTGGATCGAGAGTGTGAAACTTTCCAAGTTGAGTTCTGGTGTATCTACTGTCAATGATACGATTTCCGAACTCTAGATACTTGAATGCTTTCTCGATATTGCGCTCACCATGTCCTCCTTCAAGGTACAAATTACCGAGCAAACAAGCACACCGAGACCACATGTTTCTATCCTCCTCACTGACATATATCCCACTATTCTTACCAAACTTCACTTTAGCGTGCGCCAAGCACTTTCCTGCTAGGTCATGAGCAACAGAGAGATTCATAGGAGTGAAGCGAGTTCCAGTATACGATGCCAAGGCGTCATAGTAAAGATCACGGAGATCGGGATCATGGTTATAGTCATTATCCTCAAGATGCTTCCGCTTTGCAGCATCATAGTCTGCCGAAGCTTGAAAGGACAGAAACTGATTACTCACTTTGCGGCCGTAAAGTCCGCCGTTAAAGTCAGCAATACGAATATTGTGAAAAGCTGTGCGGGAATCAGGAAGCCATGTGGAGTCGAGTTGATTCTTCTTAGTGACACGGGCTAGTCTGGAGTAGTAAAACTTTGATAAGTCGCAGTTGGGCGGCCTATCGATGCCGTGAAGGTACTTGTTTGCAAGGACGATTGTGGCATTGAGATTGCCGTTCTCACTAGCAAACTGATAATATAAGTTAGATTTTGCTTTATCTTTCTGGATTTCACCAAACATGCCTGTAGAGTAAATAAAGCCTAGCATGAAGTAGGCATGATCGTGTGCTGAAGTCTTCACTGCCTGCTCGTAGTAATGTAGCGCTTTCGTGTAATTTACTCTTATGTCAGACTGGCCAAACATATATAGATCAGCCAAATACACGTATGTTTCCTGGGTAGCGGAGGCCTCAGCATCTTCAATGAATCTGAGTGCTGCCGTCTCAAAACTGGTGTAGTAATTATCAAGATATGGCGAGCCCTCATAATCTTGTAGCGCTGTGTCATACTGTGGAATGAAGACATTATCCTGAATCAGCTTCTCCGTGTATAGAGGCTTTCTGTTTTTCCGTCTATGGGAGTTTGTCTCGATGAATAGTCGAAGGCGTTCTAGAGGCAGATCCACAGAAGTTGCCTCCTTCACCACAGCTTGAGACTGCTGTGCTGCAGCTGCTCGAAAAATCCAAAACGAGAAGTTCACGAGCCAAAGCAAAAGCATGTGGAAGGGGCTTTTTGGTCAATATGGGGAGATTTGATTTCGTTTAGTTACGTCGTGGTGTTCAAGACGTACCAGTCGTGTGCAGGCACTAACGTCGTAAACCTCTCCCGAAGATGTGATGACGGCAGAGAATGAGGAAATGAGAGAACTTGGTAGATGATGTTGTTAAATTCGAATAAAGACCACTCTAGCTTCAAAAGGGCCCCTGGGAGGAATCTTGCAATCTGAGATCACGTGACTTTCTGGCTCCAGAAGTCAGACTTGATCAGCAGTGGCAGACTTCGATGACTGTCTTTGGGGTTTTTATTACTCGAATGAGAAATATGTGTATTGTAGGAAATGCTATTCTTGTTCCGTGAACAGCTTTGGGGACAACTTTGGGGCTAAATTGCGCTTTACTCGAAGATATTTTGGCCCAATGCAGGTGATAGAATAGGCATGGTTATCGAGACTTCGCTAATGAACAAGAATTTCCGAATTCTTCTTTTTTTCTTTCTCGTGCCATGTGTCTCATTCGTTATTAGTTGTCAGACATCATAGTTCCTTTTGTGTAGGTAATCCACTTTCAGATAGGCTTGTATGGTAACTTGATGTATTTTACGCGTTTATGTACGAAGCGGTGATATTATTGAAAATTCTACGAAGCCTAATAATAATCTGTGGGACCAAACCCTTGAGCTCGTGAACTACTTGGGCTTCGCTGAATGCGTGATGAAAAGATAAAGGGGCACTTCTAAACTGGCATCTGTGTAAACTCATACGAATTAAAGGAAGTGACATGTGTCCGAACTGCCAACGTTCTATTTTTTTCCCTTCACTACGGCCTGCAAGCAGCCTTGTACGGACTTACCCTATGACGTATATCAATTCGAGCAAAGACGACACAACACGAAGAACCGATACATCGAAACGCATTTTAAACTAACCAAAATTTCCAAAAAGGACAATCCTGACTTTGTGCTACAAAACCCAACCTTAAATATAGCGCCACGGTTGCAAAATCTGTGGGGTCGGAGCGGCGCGCCGACATAACACCTTTACACCACATGTTACCAGCCTGGTCTTAATAACAGCCTAGCTGGCACAAGACCACTTTGACACTTGGCCCTAAGCGCCAACAAAGTCAAGCTGCAGTGTGGAAGTAGCCAGTGAAGAAGACCCGTACACCTCATTGTTGTTGAAGAAATCTCTTCACGCGACTCTTGAGCCTCCGAATCTCCGAAAAATTTCACCATTTGCAGTCACAAAACTTCGCTTCTCTCTTCAGTCGAAGCGACAGCTCGGCTTTCTGAAGGTTTTTTCCCAATGCTGTCATTGGGTGCTCTATACATGGCTAAGAAATTCGGACCGTATTAAGCTGCCTGCAGGATACACTTTGAGTGAGCCTTTTCGAACTGTATGCATTTGCTGTTAACAAGTAGAGGGTATAACACCAACTAATTTTCACCTATACACGGTCTAAGGACCATCTCAGTTTTGAATTTGGCCCACGCTATCTAGGCTTTCCACCTGTATTATAGAGGAAACCATGCAGCTATTCAACTCAAAAAAGCCGGCCTACCAGTCCACAGAGGCGATCTTTCGGTCTGCTCCCATGACTCTCGTGCAATTTTACGTGACGATGGAGTTGGCCCGTGATTTGGTCTTCACGCTAGGAAACTTGGGTCAAGTCCATTTCAGAGACCTCAATGCCAAGCTAACAGCTTTTCAGCGTACATTTATCACCGAGCTAAGGAATATAGATGTGGTGGAATTGAACTTGACATTTTTGTTCAGCATGATGGCCAAGTACTCAACGTTCAAAGGTGATCCGTTCGCCAATCTTGTGGCTGACGAAAATCCCTTGCCTACAGCATCCGAAATGGAGGAGATCAAGGAGCGCGTGGCTGCTTTTCATGACAAGATCAAGCACCTCGACGACTCACACTCGGCTTTGGAGCTTAAGAAATACAAATACTTGGAGAATCGCCATGTTATAAATTCCGTCCACAACTTCCACAAATCCTCATTGGTGCCATCGAATCAGGATGCCGATGATGAATTCCGTCAGTTCGAGATCGAGGACGACGACGAAGAGGCATTGCTCAATGAAGGAAGAAACTCTGATTCCTTTGAGATAGACCGCAATTCCATTCACGAAACTAGTACGAACTTAGATGGCAACAGTTTATTCAATTCAATTTGTGGTGTTGTTGCAAGAGATAAGATCCCAATATTGAGAAAGATCTTATGGAGAACGTTAAGAGGTAACTTGTACTTCAACGACATTCCAATCGACGAATTGCTTCCAGAATCACTAGAAAGACAATCCGAGCTCGTACACAAGAGTGTCTTTATAATCTACATCCACGGTGAATACTTGAGAGAGCGTGTGCGCAGAATCATCAACTCTTTAGATGGTCACATTTATGACAACACCGGAGGTGGTGCCGGCGGAAGACTTGCAACATTGAATGAACTTAATGGCAAGATTGAAGATTTGAATAATGTTGTCGAGTCTACAAGAAGTCACTTGATCACAGAGCTTCTTGTCTTTCAAGAGAAATACCCAGACTGGTACTATGTCGTAAAAAGAGAGCGTTCAATCTTTGAGGAACTTAATAAATTCGATGAAGATAGCACCAGGCGGTGTTTAGTGGGTGAGGGCTGGATTCCTCGCTCTGAAGTGGAGAATATTCGTCGAGCACTAAAAAACTTAGTGCGTGCTAAGACAGCCTCCGCCAACAATCCTTTAGTGCTGAACTCAGAAATCTCGCTCTCCAACGATACTTTAAATAATCAGGGAGCTAGCGCACCTCCATTGTTTGCTGTTGGTAATGAAGACCAACATGGTAATGAGGAAGATAGTGATGATGACAATGACAACGATGACCAGGACTTCAACTTTGTTGCAGTACTCAATGAACTTGCAACAACAAGAACACCACCAACATACCATAAGACGAACAAGTTCACACTGGGATTCCAGTCAATTGTCGATACGTACGGAATATCCTCGTATCAAGAGGTGAACCCAGGTTTGGCCACAATTGTCACTTTCCCTTTCATGTTTGCTATTATGTTTGGTGATCTAGGTCATGGTTTCATCGTCCTTTTGATTTCCTTGTATTTCGTGAAGAACGAAAGGCATTTCGACTCTATGAGAAAGATGGACGAGATCTTGGGAATGGCTTATAGCGGCAGATACATCATGCTTCTTATGGGTTTCTTCTCCATATTCACAGGGTTGTTGTACAATGACATATTCTCAAAGTCGATGACTATCTTCAACTCGACTTGGAAGTGGGAGTTCCCCGAGGATTTCGAGCCATCATTGAACAGCAGTGTACCATTGGTTGCCACCAGAAAGGGTTCGAGTGTCTATCCGATCGGTCTTGATTGGGCATGGCACGGCGCTGAGAATGGCTTGCTTTTCACCAACTCTTACAAGATGAAGATGTCGGTTCTCATGGGTTATATCCACATGACGTACTCTTACTTTTTCAGCTTGGTCAACTACCGTTTTTTTAATTCACGTGTTGACATTATCGGCAACTTTATTCCCGGCCTTATCTTCATGCAAAGTATCTTCGGTTACTTATCGTTGACGATTGTTTACAAGTGGTGTGTTGATTGGTTTGGCACAAATCGTCAGCCTCCAGGGTTGTTGAACATGCTCATCAACATGTTCCTCGCTCCTGGAAGTATTGAGGATCCTTTGTACAAGGGCCAAGCTGTGGTTCAGGTGATATTGGTTCTTCTTGCGTTGTGTTGTGTCCCATGGTTGTTAGTCTACAAACCAATGATTCTCAGAAGAGAGAACCTCAAGGCTAAAGATGCTGGTTACAGCGATATTCATTCCCAGAGACATCATGCTCTACAACTTCAAGAGGAGGAGGAAGCTTTGGTTCCTAATGGCGAAGTCAATTCCGAAACTGTCGGCTTGCATCCAGACGACGAGGTCGATTTGTTAAACGAAGCATTCCATTTCCCTAACGATATTGAACCTATGGTCGGAAATTCGGGCCATGGTGGGGAGGGCGAAGAGTTCAACTTCATGGATATTGTCATTCATCAAGTGATCCACACTATTGAATTCTGTCTTAATTGCGTTTCTCACACAGCGTCCTACTTGAGATTGTGGGCTTTGTCATTGGCTCACGCTCAGTTATCTAGTGTTTTGTGGACAATGACCATTCAAAACGCTTTTGGTGCAACGGGAACTGCTGGTATCATCATGACGTTCTTTTTGTTCGCTATGTGGTTTACATTGACGTTATGTATTTTAGTCATGATGGAAGGCACTTCTGCAATGTTGCATTCTTTGCGTTTGCACTGGGTTGAGGCGATGTCGAAATTTTTCGAGGGCGAAGGCTACTTGTTTGAACCTTATTCGTTTAAAAATATAGAGCTTTGATCGACGATCACCGTTTGTGCAATTAATTATTAACCTGCAATGGTGATCTTGGATCTAGAAGGGGATACAAATTGGAGCTAACAATTATGTGAGAATAGTTTTTCGCGTTCGTCCGGGATGAGGTTGGCAAATTGATGAGATATAACCGTTAGACAGAAGCATTTGCGCTCCTAGAAATCATCTCGCGATTCGCTCAGTGAACTCCAATGCATGCATCCACATGCAATGCATGCTGCACAGAGCAGCACAGCTCCTCTCATTTGGCCTGGATGTAACATGCTTCATGCGGTCTATGCGCGTTGCTTCAGCAAGGGTCCTTATTTGAGAGCCGAATGGCATAGATTGCAAGCACCGAAAAAGGGTGTGCTTAAATAGGAAATAGAGGATTGTACCACCCGCAACTTCACGGGATTGTCTACTGTAGCCCTTACATCTCTCCTCGTCAGACAATGCATTTCTAAAGAATTATCCTAGTTCTACGGACGACAATAGACAGTCATGACGAGAGTCGCCCTGGTTCTCATTGAGGGGACCTCTGGTAGGAGCTCTCGAAAAGAAAGCCCAATGACTGGTGTCGTAATTACTAGCTCGGATGTTCGGCTAATAGGTTCGGAGCTAACGTGTAGCATCAGCCGTGTTTTTCTTAAGAACCACATTGGGGCAGGATGCTCGTAAAACCACCGAAATCAAATTATAGTAACACATTCATATCTGATGTTATAGCGTCGTCGATCTTCGTGAAATATTAGTCAGTGGCACCCAATTAGGCTATTCGTACGGGATAGACCCAAATACGAAATGATATCTCCCCAATTGGGACTATTCAAATTGTAATAAAAAAAAAAAGTGACTTTCCTTGAAGCACCCCTTATTGGTCATTATTGCTCAATGGCGCATCTCAGTCGAGCAAGATGGTGCCACCTGCGAGGATTTGTTTACCCATGTCGGGCAATACCATAGACAACTTCTGATTTTGCAACTTCGCCTGCAACTTGCCAATCATGACTTGAATAGGAACTTGGCGCTTGGCTGCTTCTGTCTCCAAAAACCTCACAAGGGCTGTTCTAGTATCAAGCAAGGAGCGGTCGTCTGCGTTATGAGCAGCCGCCCATTCGTCCAATGAGATATTGTGATCGGCTAAGGAGCGGTGCCACAAGGCAAAGTTGCTAAAGACCTCATCCACGGTTTCCACCTCAGGAGCGGGCGTGGACATTAGTACCCGCATACGTGCTTCACCATATTTTTCGTGGTATTGGGTCGATTGTAACCCAATTTGTTGCACCTGAGAGTTCCACTTCAGAGAAATGCTGAGACCATCGCTATTGCTTTGAGCAAGTTGGCGATTGAGTTGAGTTAAATGAGCATTATTCTGGTCAAGAATTTGCTTGGTGTATGCTGTTGTGTTGGGATTCCTTGTGGCCAAAAGGATGGAAAGGCCGTCGGTGCTGCTCATGAGCTTCTTCAAAGTATTGGATTGCTCGTCTATTTGAGCAGACTGCTGCTCGATAAACTGCGCCATCTCCCTCGCCATCGACTCTTGTAATTTTTGCATCTGACCGACCATTTTCTCGAGATGCTTTATCCGTTTCCTTCCTTCAAACGGGTGGTCATTCGACGCATGACGTTTTTTAGGAATGGAATTGGGCACCTCGCCATCCTTGAGAATATCATTCTCGGCCAATTCAGGTGAAGACGCGTAGGATGACTCGGGGGTGGATTCAATTGACTTGCGAGTGAAGTTGTCGTTTTGCTCCTTCGAAATACCAGCGAAATCACAAAACTCCTGGGAAGAAAATATTGCATGCTCGCATATAAGATTCTCTGGAAATCTCTTCTTCACCTCCACCATGTCCTGGACAAGTGTCTTTCTGATATAGTCTAGAAGACGGAATAACTTGTCGAAATCAGCGTTCTGGCCATATGTGTGTTTGTTAAGGAACGGAAAGATTTGTTCGACAACTGAAGCGGGAGGCTCTCGTTTCGCCCGTTCGATGCTGTAGGATTTCTCGTTTTCGAACCCGGCAAAGTTGCAAAGAGTCTCGACTTGAATGTTGTCGATCGAGTGGCTCAGGCATTTGAGGTTCATGGTGCTCTCAGAAACAAGGCCCAATTCTGGGTCCGTGTTATACTGAGACGTGAGGATTTTTCCCAAGTGAATTGGCTTGAACTTGTCATTAATCTTGAGAATTTTTGTGGATGCTTTGTATTGCTGGGAGTAGGAAAGGGGGCGCAATTTGTTGCCACCATTGAGAAGCTTGTAGTCTAGGAATTGCTCATGTTGCAACAGTTCCTCGGTGAGATCGTATTCTCCATAAGTGTCGGGGACATGGAACCGGGCAAACATGTACATGGCAAGAATGAAAATCGGGCACAATTCCACAAGCTTGTGTCGGAGGCGAGCGGTATACTGTGTTTGCGTGGTCTTCGGAAGAACCGACTTTATTAGTAGACCCTGCAAGTCATTGCCAAAAGTGTGTAATGACAAGTCTGCAAGCTTAATTTCACGCTTCTGAAGCGCCTTTAGCTGGAAGGAATGTAGGAGCAGGAAATCAACCAAGGTTCGGAGGAAGGAGTGGACATTCAGTGACTGGAGGCAACGACCATTTATAAGTGGGAGGGTAAGCTCATAGTAGTCCAGAACGGTGTATGGGGCGATATTGCTCTTGGAGCTCGAGGAACCCAGTCTGAGGGATTCGGAGGTGCTTCTGGATGGCCTGGTATCGGTATCGTCTTTTTCCAAAGCTTCATTATCAGATACAGAATAGTCTGACATGCCAGGGAAACATAAATGTAGCGGGCCGATTGAGCGTTCAAAAGGCCAATGGGGAAATCAGGGATACTTTGCGAGCTGCTAGGGAGTATTTAGTGGGATTATCTGGGAGTATGTTTTGTGGAGGGAGACAACTTTCCGCATCAAATTACCCAAGGCGAATGGTTTCGACAAAGATATGGGGCGAACGAATGAACAGGATAATCGATGAGTTGAAGTTGACTCGACAAGTAGACCAGACTGTTTGTCGGGGATGTGACGAGACAAGAACGAAAAAAGATGTTTGGAGGAGAGCAAAAAAAAAGGGGGAAATCGAATGACAAAGAGAGCGATCTGAGTTATATAGTGAGTTGAGCAGCGCTGCCGGAGTAACACAAGCGAAAAAAATAACGACTTGAGTGACGGAATAAGACCCTGAAGTGGGGCAGCAAAGAGGAAAGCGGCGGGGATAAAGACAAATGGAGAAGGCAAAGTACGATCTTTAGCAGAAGGTTTGATCTGAGCATATTCAAAGAGAAAGAAGCACCATGGATCCGCGCATTGTGTGCCCCAAGAATTTTGTACAAGCGTAAATGGGCCTACAGCCATTTCTGCATGAACGGCAGATGCCGTTCTCTCTGTACACAAAGGTTTGAACATAATCAACATTTGGGATTTTCAACTAGAACCTTTTTATTCTGGTTATGTGGGGTGGGCGGTTACAAAGAAAATGCTCGGGAGAGCCTGGATTTAAACAAAAAATAAAAGATGATGAATCGTCGCTGACGAATGGTCCCTAGCTTAATACAATGGACGGCAACCTGATCCCGCTGAGGACATCAGGAGTAACGCAGGCCGGATTTATTGAAGATGCCACCAGGAGACGGAGCGATCCGGGCAAGCAATTGGCCCATGCTGCCATGCGATGTTGCAAATGTGCATCCAGCAAAAGTTTCACGGTTAGGCAATCACCGGCCGGGGTCCACCTCGCAGGTGAGGGCTTAAAATGGAGGAAAAGAAAAACGCAGGGTTGGGAAGGAAGTATTGCTGTTTGAGACTGGTACACGAGGCCCCAGGCTGAGTTTCATTGTAAACGACATATTCTTTGCTTCTTTGCTCTCACGTAAAAAATTCCTTTCTTCTTGTGCTTTAGTTCATTCTCGAAGAATGACAAAAGCCTGCAACATTGGGGCGTCGGTGATAGGGAAGCTGCCCCTCATACGGGGCTTCCCAGTTAATGTAGCAGGTGCAAAAGGGCGGCGCATTCCGCCGATAGGCAAGGGTCCTTTCCTGCCGCGCAGCAGTAACGAGGGGGTAAAGTGACTTTTCCAAGCAGCACGAGCCCACCTTGAAAGTCGAGCCGTTCCCGGTTCAGGGTGAATGGAGGATCCGAATGATCTGCAAGGGTCCCTTCATGAAGGTGCCCCCGTGCAAAGGAGTATCGTGACTACCGGTCACAAGGCTGCGCTCACAGAGTAGGTGCATTATGTTACATGCTTGAGCTGCATCTCTACGCAGGAGCTGCAGCCGCCGAAACGCCTTATAAGTACACACAAACGGCTTGCCTGCGCCCCAAATGCATGCTTGCGTCGTACCGCGGCACTTTACTCCCTTTCCAGGCTTCGCCTTGCATGCGTCTTTGACGTGTGAGCGTATGCACCGTTATGCGTACTCTGCACCCCAAACACCTTCTCGCTGCCTCAGTGTCGTGAGGGTATCCACATTCAAGTTTCTTTTTCCCCACTCCACCCGCATCGTTTTCGACTACCCATACACCTCGTTTGTCGTCAAGGAAGCCCTTTCCTTCTCTTTGTTCTTGCTCCCCTCACCACAGTCCAACCAGGAAGGAGCCGCCATTCCTTTTTTTCTTTTTTTTTTTTTTTTTTTGTTTTTTTGTTCTGTGGCCCTGCGCTGATCTCTCGTCAGGTAACGCCCATTATGCGTCGCAAGAAAATCTAGGTCTTTTCCCTTCTCTCCCTCGGCCGCCAAGGGGTACTGATCAATGGAACCTTAGCATTGTATTTCTTTCACCACGTCTCTATGTTCAATTGTTCGACCTTCTCTCGTCGCAATTCTGCGTGTTTTTTTCTCCGTCGCCTGTTTCCACTTGCGTGGGCTTCCAAGCCAATCGACGGTTCCTGCCATCTGTAGCTGCAAGGTTGATGCTTCCATCGTTAATCCCCACAGCAAATTTTTCGGAAATCCGCCAGCAAATCTTCGCCGCATAGCTAGACCCGACAACACCTCACTTTTCCATCCATGATTCCTCCGCCTTCCCCCTTATTCCTCCTTCGGTCTTAGCGTGTCACAATGCGAGTGTTTGTGCTCTCGGGATTGAAGTCATTTTCCAAAATCGTGCATAGACCTTGGTTTGACGATTGATACCTGCTTCGAACCAGCATCACCCATTCATTGTCTCAGATTGTTCGGGATCACCACTCTACAACAAGCGCTTCTGCGCTTCAAGCAAAGGTACTTCCAGCCTACTCTCAACAATAGGATGCATGGTGGAATGCTCAAAAAATTAAAGTACCGTGACTTGCATTTGTGTGGCTATTAGGGCACCCTCGTAGCATTCCGGTCTTCTCTTCAGCCAAGCGTATTTCGATCCGAATTCGTGACCCATTATACCTCCGAGCCAGCCAGTCCTGTTGGATGATTGTGGTACAAGACTTTTTTTATTATATGCTCCAGAATGCCTTAGTTGGGTAGTAAAATGCCTCGGATGAAGAACGTTTTGAGACATATGCGCTCTGCGGCACAACCTATTTTCTTAAAATAATTTGTTTTTTAGTTTCCCATGTTTCCCATTGTTCGTGGTTTCAAAGGTATTTTCATCTTACTCTCTCTGCTTTCTGGCCACAAGCGGCCGAACTCACAGGTGGCAGAGCTAAGCTGCGGTACAAGGCTCGTATCGTCGTTGCATTGCACGACATTGACAAATACGGTGGCGTAGCATTTCGCAAAAGATAACTCATATTTACAAATATAATTCAGTTGGTATTATACATTCACGTTTCGTTATTCCATCTCATCACAAGTCGTGAAGGAGCATTCCCTTGGTCATTACTAAGTCGGTTAAGTCGCTTCTGAAAGAATGGTTAAGAAACTTGTTCTTTCTATCATCGTTGAGCCAACCTCTGGCTGCCTTAACTATCAGCTCTAAAATCTCAGATTCCTCCACACTCAAAGAAACCTTTGGCTTATCATCGCCAGATTGAAGCATGCTGCAAACAACTCTTAATAAACAGGTGAATGAGAGTGTCGACAATGGAAGCTTTTCGCTTTGGAACTTCAAATGTCTCAATAACTGTTTCAGGTTTTCAAGTTCATCATCCTGTTGCAAGTAATAAAGAATAGAAGAGGTAGCCAAGACAATGAACTTCTCTTCGTTCACAAGATTCAAGGAATATAAGAGCGACTTCAGACTCTTGACTGTGTCTGTAATTCCGCTCTCTTTCTTGGACACTTCCGTCTCTGTGCCGTCAGACAAGTTTTCATCTTCCATTTCGCTTTCCACGACTGACTCTGTGTCCGTAAGATCTAGTCCATCGAAGTAAGTATTGACATTTGACATCGTTCTCGCTATGGATCCTTTGACAGCTTTGACCAATGCTGGCGTAGATTCTGGGGATATGACAGAAGTCAACGACAAGCAATATTGTTTGAGGCAATCATCATTGCAGTCTTCTAGAAGCCCTCCGATCGTTTGGAGATCAGACTTCAAACTTTTCTCGCTTTTCCTTGCCTCCTCATCCTCATTTTGCGAAGTCAAATAATCCAAGTAGGAAAGATTAAGGTCATGCAAAAGGTCAAGCACTCTCCAACCGAACACGATAGCATATATATCTTTCCTGTTGTGTTTGAACACGTCAATGTAAGCGAGAGAATTCTCACCTTCTTTCACATCCGCAAAGAAGTTTCTTCTCTCTGTAACATTAATTATGCGAGTGATAAGTGATTCAGATGTGAACATCGCAGCACCATCGGACGTCTTGAATAATTGGCTCAACTTTTGTAAGGCTTTGTCATCATTAGTAGCATCGAGTTTGCTCAATAAAATTTTTCTCGTTTGGAGGTTTGGTGCGATAAATCTGCTTATGAATGGGAATTTTGAGCAAATGATCGCGCCGATGAGCACGTTCAAGAAACACGTCTCAAAATTGACTTCGCTAGATGACAAAACGATGTAATCTTTAAACCAGTCGTTGGGATCCGAGCATCCATCAACCAAGTGGGAAAGTATGAGCTCTTTATCCGTTGGCAGGAGTGGAACTGGTACCTGCAATCCCGCAGAAACTAAAAGCCATGTGAGCCACGTATTCTCGACAGGGGACTTGGGATCTCTGGGTTTTCTGATGTGGTCAATTACGGGCAGCACCATGAGATAAATACCGAAGAAAACAAGACCGTACCTGAAAATGGTGAAGAGCTGCAAAGCAGTGGGCGATGGGTGAGTCAAGAAGGCAGGCATGAATGGGAAAGCTGCCAAACCCCTGAAATTGTCGGACGAGAGCACAGAAGCACCCATCACAGTGGCAAAGCCTCCCATCATCCAATTGGAATTGTAAGGCTGATAGCTCTCTTGTTGTGGCTGTTGAGCAAACTGAGGTGGGACCAGCTGGGTGTCGTAATTTATCGTAGTATTGTAATTGTTTTCTGGAGCGAAGCCAAAACCACCTGGGAACTGACCATCGAAAGAATTCTGCATACCCTGATTTGGCTGACGATCGCCCTGCTGAGGAATGATGTTCGGAGGATTGGCGTTGGCCTCACCAATGAGCTGCTGCAATTGAGCAATCTGTGACAACATGTTTTCATTCTTTTTCTCCAAGTGTTTGATATACTCTGTAGCTTTTGTCAAGACAGATGCCTTATTGAGTTTTGCAGCAGGCGCCAACCCCTCCAAGTCAGAAAGCAGGACATTCTGTTTTCCAGCGGCGATCTTCAAAGTAGGAACTGCATCACGAAGCTCGTAAATCTTGGTATTGATGTTTGTTCTGTATTTTTTCTCGATCATATTGTGAGAAACCTTGGGGCGTTTACCTGGCTTGGTGACTTTATCTTTCGTGGAGGCTTTCGACCTTGTTGTGCGTTTAGGAGCAACCTCCTCTTCCTCAGGCTCTTTCTTAAAATTCGAAGCCTGCTTCTTTGGTTCATGGTCGGGGATGCCTTCTGGCAGGGTATGTGGAGACAGTATGGACGTGTTTGGGGTTCCCTCGTTCGAGTTCGTCGATGCCACCAGCTCGGAATACGACGCGGAGCTAAACGAGGAGCGCTTGGGTTGGTTATTGGATGGGAACAAGGAGCGGTCTGAGTGGGCTGTTGAAGGCAGGGAGCTGTTAACAGACACAGCGTCTGAGGATTCAGGGTCGTTGATATCAAGGCTGTTGTTGAGGACGTAGCCGGAGCCATCAAACGCAAAACCGCCCAATCCAGGCTGGTCCATATCGTAAGGATTGGCCATTTTATCCATGGCAGGCACCGAGGACAGAATGGCTGTGAGGAACAAGTCCGTGTCCTCGAAGTCCAACATGTTATCGTTGAAATCGTAGGCCGTGGACATTATAAAAGGTTGCAAATATGGTGAGGAGCCTGAGCCGAAAGATTAAATATAAAGGAATAGGGAGGCGGTAAAAAGAAATCTCACAGATGGCAAGAACATATGAGATACATCAGAGATGATTAGGCTGGCAGCTGTGTACAGAGACCAAAGTGGTGTGATTTTTCCTGGGGCAGGCCTCTCCTGCACGTGACTCTCACCGGTCCGTCATTTTTTGTATGGTACTTTTGACTAGACCGTCGACTTGTCCTGCGCAAAGGGGGCTAAAAACATGGGCCCATTTTTTGCAGCCATAGATCCTCGGCAGCCTAAGACGAATAGGATACGAGTTTTGGCGATTTTGGCCTAACGGTCATTCGCTCTTCCGCTTGGCTTCGGACCAATCTGGCTCATTCCGACCAACTCCGATACCGTCCCTCGCTCTTGTGATTCTGCCTGTAGTGACTATATATACGGGGAACGACGTGCCAACGGAAATTGATCGATGGAAACTCTCCTAAAAGCTGAATTTCAAGGAGATCTTCTTTTTGTTCTAAAATCCGAGCTCTCTCGGCCTAAATCGTCCTTGCATAACCGTCCCTGAGAGTCAAGGCCAATAGACTATAGCGTTTGGGAAGAATTATTGGGGAAACCTATTTGCTCAACACCACCAAAGCCTCTTTCTGCATCTTCGGACTTATTGGCGAGAATGCCATGGTAATAAAGTTCTTCCTCGGTCTGGATTAGCCCATTCCACCAGTGAGATCTTCATTGGCAGAATGCACGATCTTTGCAGATGTCTAAGCAGCAGATCGTTTTGACTTTGATATTTGTGTCACGAGCTGGCTTAGAGAACTCACAAGATTCGGCTCTCTTTGTGGAGTCAGGTCTTTGAAAGTCTGCTGTTTCGCAGCAATAGGTTATGTGGTGAAGTGTAATGGGTGAGCTTGCAAATCTTTTGTAGTCTTCGGAACCTCGGGAACGATCTGCCTCGGATAAAAGTGGCTCCTGCCTCTTCATCCGATTTCCAACCAAAATTATCTTCCCCACTGCCTCGATCGATTTCTCCGGTTATTCCAATCAAGGGTTCTCCAAAAGCCCGCATATCACCTGCATACGTCAGTATCAACAACTGCAGAGTCTCTCACCGGGTATATTTACTTAGACTTCTTTCTCGTCCCATTACACCCATGCAAGACTCCCAGGCGATCGCCTTTAGAATGTTGCGCTCGCAGCGCTACATCGTGCTTTTGATCTTCACGGCATTAGTAACCTTTTTGATTGTGACCTCGGCCTCGGCCCATTCGTACATCAAGGAGTCCTCCATCGGAAAGTCGGTAGGGTCGTACGTTGAGACCGCTAAGACGTGGGCGAACTCTGACTCTGGTGACTCCGCCCAGGATGGCTATAGGGCAGAAGATGAGGCGGAAGCCGACCAACAGGCCAAAAACGAGGTCAATGCTGAGGCCAACACTAATGAGGTGAAGGATGATGATAAATTGGATCAGCCCAAGCCAGGCACTGACACTGAGACGACAAAAGACGAGGATGATTCCCAGGACGTTGGTCTGATAAAGGATACGGAGGAAGCTCTTGAATGGGAGGAAGGCACACACTCTTAATGATTAATTTACATACCGGTTTATATTACAAATCTTTCCAGATCAACTTTTCAACGTAGTCGCCCTTGGCTTTCTCACGAAGGAACCCCATCGATGCTAGCTCTGCGCTGCTTTGGATGAACCATGCGTAAACTAGTCTATCCCATTGTGTTTCGTCCTTCTCGACCTCGCTCATGATCGTTTTCATTTCTTTGGCGAATTCACCATGGTAGTTTTTGATCTGGAGGTGAAATTCGCTCAACAAGTCCTTCCTCGAAATTGACAGTTTGAAAGCAACAAAGAAATCCCAAATATTTATGTTCACAGGAGCATCCTTGTACACATGATACAACCTGGTTAGAAGTGGCCCTAGGACCTTCGACGATCTGTGCTTTGATCCCACCTCTTCCACTATCAATTCGTTTTTCAAAAATTGCTGTGGCTCGTCTAAAGCTACCTCGATTGTCTCCTTCAGCCGTGGTCGAATGAGCTTGATCATGAGATTCTCGTAACTTTCCTCTATTGATACCCGTGGGCGAATTTTGTCCATTTCGCTTATGCCTCCTGTGACTGTCAAGACCTCATTGAAAAGATTATCGCTGATTTTCATGTTCAAAGCTGGATTGTCATGTAGATAATTGGTGAGCAAGCTGAGAAGCTGACTTGCCGTGACATTGGGCTTACTCAATGCCCGCTTGAGACCAAGAGTATCCTCGTCAGCCACATTATCAAGCGTTAGCTTTATTGTGTCACTATGCAAAAAATGATGTACTCGTTCAATCTGTGCGTAGTCAAAGTTTCTGACTTTCTTCAACACATCGCTCAAATAGGACGAGTTTATGAGCTGATTATTGGTGACAAGCTTGTAAAGCTGGAACTTTTGCTTCTCAGCGTCACTGAGGAAATGAATCAAATGAATTGCGTTCATGACGGAGTTTTGATATTTTTGAAGTTGCACTCTTGCATTCTTAAATAGCTCAAATACTGCCTCGTCATCGTGGAGAAGACCTTTGATCTTTGACAGTAGCTCCTCAGCATCGTCGTCATCCTTCTCCTTTTTGGCGTTATGGTAGCTATGTAGAAGGAACTCGATGTGTGTTTTGAAAGAAGGGAGCTTTCGAAGCGCGGCGAAGTGGGACCTTTGAGGAACGAAGGTGTGATCAACCATTATGGAAAGTGGCAGCTGATAGAAATGAATCATGTAGGTGAGTTTGAATTCGGTAATGAGTGCATCGATGGAATTATTGGAGTTCTCAAAACGATTCAACACAATCAGCGAGAGCTGGGCATCAAGTAGAAGGGGATTTTCAGGTGTAATTTCATTCCTAAGCAATGTGTCGTCGATAACTTGAAAACAAATGTCCTTATTGTTCCTTGCCTCCAACTTAGTCGCCGAAATGAGCGTTCTCACTCGAGCTGTGAAGTTGCTGTTGATCCAATCACTTATACCCTTTGAGCTAAGCGCCATGACAAGCTTTATAGGCACCTGCTTTGAGTAGACACTGAGTAGGTGTACAAGCTGGTTGAGTACCTCGCTGGCGAATGCATCACTATCTTGCAACACGACAACAATACGACACTGGTCTCCACAGTTGTTCTTCTTTTTGTACGCGTCAATCCAGTCCTCGACAATCTCAAAGTCATAGGAGATTCTGCCTTCAAAGCCATCTCCGTCAATGGTATCGTCTTCGACTTCTGGTGTGGGTTCAGCTTCCTCTTCGTCAAAGCCCATGACAGGTTCCTCCTGTAAACGCAGTTTAGGCTCAAGAACCTGCTTTACCACCTCTCTCATGGCAGCCTTGATGTGAGGGCATTCTTTGGAATCGAGAGTGACCAACCTGACGTGTGGGTTTTTGCCCTGACTGAACAAATGGCTTGCAAACTCATCAAGGGTCCTCAAGTTGTTAGCCGTATTCGAGCTGAGGGCCAAAAACGCCGTCGCTAGCTTCTCTGGGAGCGGGTCCTCCACGAATTGTATGAGATCAGCAAAAAAACGATCATTGGCCGAGTTTAGAATACTCTGAATGGCTCCAAGCTGGTGGCTCCACACCCTCTGATACAAGTTGTATCTCTGTAGCGTGAGCTCTTCACTTTCATTGGAGTGTCTCACGAAAGGGCACCCGCCTTTCTTAGCTCGTTTACGGCTGCTCGTATCCACGGCATAGTGTGTTTTCTGCAGATTCGGATCCAAGGCTCTGCGGTCCATTGGTTGCAAAAGTAGTACTTCACCTCGGCGAGTCGCACCGTAGAATTACCGCAATGAGGCAAAAGGGGATTCGATTTCAGTGAAATAGAAGCATGAAGGTGCAGGCAAAATGTCAACCAATACCCTTTTCTACCAATAAAAGAAGCACGGCCAAAATATTTTTTTTTTTTTTTTTTTTTTTTTCGCTTCGACGTGCTCGGCCAGTCTTGGCTATGGCCTGAGCGTTTCAGCCTCCATACAGCCGCGAGCCTGCCCCACATTCGGCCGACCATCCTTTCTCTTGTTCTACGACTAACGCCTTTTTTTGTCTTTTTTCCCTCTTCACCACCAATTCCCTCTCAGCTGGCCAGAAATCATGGCCGAAGAAGACTTGAGGCATCGCAAGCCGCAGATCCAAAAACGCCCCGTGGACAAGACCAACAAGAAGAAGAAGAAGAAGAACCTCATCAATGTGGCTCCCTTGGACACTCCATTGCATCGTCGTTTGGAGACGCTCAGTGTCATGTGGCACACCGTGCTGATTCCCAGTTTCTGCTGCTTGTTCCTCTTCATTTTGTATCTCGGCTGGCTCTCATGGTTGATCATTGTGATCCCTTACTTCATATGGCTCTACGGCTTCGATCTCCACACCCCCACCAACGGCAAGGTCGTTTACCGTGTGCGCGATGGCATGAGAAACTTGATCCTCTGGCGCTGGTTTGTCAATTACTATCCTATCAGGGTTCATAAAAAGTGCGAGTTGGAGCCCACGTTCACCACTGAGGAGGTTCTCGAGACTACGCCAGACGACGAGGAAGACTTAATCTCGGAGAATGCACGCACTGCGTTGGATCGCTTCTTCAAATTCCTCGGTCTTCGTAAGCGCTTGAACGATTCTGACACTTCTACACCCGTTAATGATGAGGACGATGCTCACAGTACAGACTCCAAGACTTCTTCCACCGTTCAGAGAACTCGTAAGGTTGCAGATGGCCCTCGGTACATCTTCTGTTACCATCCTCATGGGGTGATCTCGATGGGCGTCATGGGCTTGTTCGCAACCAATGCTTTGCGCAATCAACCATACCTGCCGCCAGCTAAGTTCTTGAAGCCATTGTTCCACGATCCCTCGAAGCACAAAGAGCTTTTCCCAGGGATTGGTCATGTTTTCCCTCTTACGCTCACCACACAATTCACGATCCCGATTTATAGAGATTATCTCTTATCTTTGGGTCTCACAAGCGCTAGTGCTAAGAATATCAAGAGTGTGATTAAGAATGGTGACAACTCGGTTTGCCTTGTCATTGGAGGAGCTCAAGAATCATTGTTAAACGATATGGTCGGTCAAAATCTGCGTGTGGGAGTGGGCTACCAGGGCCATGACTCGGATGACGAGGAATCCAGTGAGCTGAGGCCAAAGAGGCAGATCAAGTTGGTGCTCAACAAGCGTAAGGGTTTCGTTAAAATTGCCATTGAGCTCGGTAACGTCTCTTTGGTCCCCACATTTGCATTTGGTGAAGCTGATATCTATAGGCTTGCAAAGCCAAAGGAGGGTTCTCTCTTCCACGCATTTCAGCTCGGTCTCAAGCGTTTGACCTCATTTACCTTGCCCTTCTTCAGTGCAAGAGGTGTGTTCATCTACGATTTTGGCTTCTTGCCTTTCCGTACACCTATCAACATTTGTACTGGAAGGCCTATTTATGTTCCAGCTGGTTTGGTGCTGCAGAATCCAGATGAGCCTACTGATGAAAAATCATCAGGCAAGTCAGAGGAGTCCAAGACGTCTCTGAGCAGTGACTCTCGCTTCTCCATGTTCAAGGGCAAGGAAAAACCCAAGAAACGGAGCAGACCTCACATTAGTCAAGAGCTCCTTGACCATTATCATGGATTGTACATTGAAGAACTCAAGAAAGTCTACGAGGAAAACAAGCATCTCTATGGTTATGGAGACGTGGAGCTTGTTATTGTCGAGTGATTTCTTCTGGACCGTTGTGATATATTATCCGAAATGGAAGTTAACCCTATAAACATGAAAAAAGCCGTAAGTGATGGTGAGGATGTTTCGTTGCTTCATCAGAAGTTGTTGTTGTTGTTGTTGTTGTTGTTACCGTCGTTGTTAAACCTTTTCTTGAACAACCCTTCTTTCTTGTACTTGCGATATTGCTTGAGAAGACTGCGGTCTAATTTGCGTCTTCCGCCAGCCTTCGCCGTAGTATTTTGCTGCTTGTCTGTGGGAGCCGCGGTAGACTGTTTTCTGTAAAACGATTTTGATTCACTCATCGTCTCCCTGAACTCATTGACCTCCTTCACCTTTGACTCAAACTGCGACTCCTTCTGTTTGACTTTATCATTTTCCTTGTTCTCCCAGTTCTTGAATCCGTCAAACGACTTATCACCTCCGAAAGGAACATTTCCATATGATTTGCCACGTGGATACATGTCCCAGAGGAAGTCGTTATCAAGATTATGCATAAGGGGGTTCGACACGAACATGCCGGTGATGGATTCCTTTAAAGGATGCTCGGGCACTCTGACCAACGAGTTTGTGTTGTAGTCCACTTTGAACTCAAGAATATTGTTTGCCGGCTCGAAGTTGCTGGTTGGCTGCTTCTCTTGAGGCTTTGAGTTCTCCTCCTGAAGGTCAGGGAACTCGTGATGCTTATGACGAACAAATCTGGAAGGCACTTCAAATTTGTACTGAAATTTGTTTGATGGATCGATCTGGGGCCTAACAGGTAGATCTCTCATGTATACCTTGGCATAAAACTGGTCCAAAGGCATATCAAGAATCTCCTTCGGAGGTTTTGGAAGCTTATCAAAAGATACAAATTTGCTATTTTGATCAGCAGATGACGAATCTTGCTTCTTTTTTGAATGAGATTTAGCCTTCTGAGCACGAGGAACCTCTGAGTTGCCACGATTTGTGAATGGGCTCGGCATAGGCTTCTTGGATATCGCCTCCTCGCCTCCTTCACTATCAGATTTTTTTGATGCAAATCTTACCAGACCTAGCTGAGGCTTTAAACTGGCACATCTTCGAAAAGGCTGGCTTGCGAGTCCAGCGATGGTACGTGATGTTAGTGGAAAAGACATGGTGGCTGACTCACTGTGGTTAGCTAGTCATTAGTTTTTCTGTTTCTGGCGACGCCGAATCACGTGCATCTCGAGAAACCTGTTCACCAGGACTCTCCGACCCCGGAATCGGTGACTTCGGTGGTCAATAAGTAACCACAGGCAAATTTAGATCAGTCATACGTTTCCGTATTTGAAAAAAAGTAGCTGTCAAATGCTCTTTGGTGAGATGTATGTTTTGTTGGATCAAAGCAGACTTCGCAGAATTCCAAGAATGTAGGGAAAAATGAGAAAACTGTAAGCACAAACTTATGTTCGGCTACATGAGGAATCAGGAAATTGCAATTAAGATTTGTAGCTCACTAAAATAACAAAATTTGGTAATTTTGACAGTGAATCCTTCAATTCAACCAGACCTTTTAATTAAGTACAAGATTGTGATGGAGTCTAACATCACCTCTCATGTCTCCTTCTCCATACCCTCGCAGCCAAGCAGAGGTCAAAATAGCAACACAATCAATACAAATATGCTAGATGGCGTCATTTCTGACGGAGAACTCAAATAGGCTGACCTAACGAAGTCCGAAGAAAACACGCTGGGTGACAATGAAGCTCGTCTCATCCCCACCCCATTGGCGTTTTTGCACCCATTGTCTCAGTTGCTTCCCTGCGATACTCCCCAACAAAACAAATCATGAACAGACTTGTGGGGTTGGGTCTAGGCTCAGTGACGAGCGGGAGGTCAGCCATTGAAGCGTCACATGAACCTTGTTCCTTTAGCTCATAGTCGAAGCACGAGAAACCAGTTTTCTCGAGGCATTTACCTTTCGTGACAACGCCATCAGCCAAGTAAGCTTCCTTCATAATAAAAAGTGTTTTTAGGCACCTCACTATCTTTGGCTATCAGGGGTTGCGCTCATTTCCGACCTCCAGGCAAGATACCCTTATCTATGCGCTTACACATCCAACTGTATACATCTATCTACCTACAACGCCAAAACTCAACAGCCTCCAAAGACTAAATCTGATCCCTTCTCTATCTTCCCAGCCCTCATCAATTCTATCGCCTACAATGACGCCATTGCACTAGTCCCCCCACGTTGGCAGCCACAGTGCGCCTGCGCAGTCGGTGGAAAAACGTTATGGTGAAAGTGCACTTACGCAACAACATCTCCAAATTACTCATGTCTGTGCACAGAGAAAAGGTCGAGCTCTCCTCGTTGCCTCATACGTTTGACGGCCCAGTGCCATTGGCTATCATTGGCGGTACAGGTCTCTACGACTTGCCCAACCTCAAGCCTATCGCAAGACTCACCGTGTCAACACCATGGGGATTCCCATCTGCTCCAATTACCATCTCGCAGACGGAGAAGGGTGACCATGTGGCGTTCTTGGCTCGTCACGGCTCCCACCACGACTTGTTGCCATCAGACGTTCCTTCCAGAGCCAACATCGCTGCTTTGAAGAAAATCGGTGTCAAGGCGATTATTGCCTTCTCTGCCGTGGGCTCTTTGCAGCAGGAGATCAAACCAAGAGACTTTGTGGTGCCCACTCAAATCATTGACAGAACCAAGGGTATTCGCCCAGCCACGTTCTTCGAAAAGGGCTTTGTAGCTCACGCCATGTTCGGCGAGCCTTTCGACTTGAAGCTCAACAAGATCGTCACCGACGCTATTCCCCTGCTGGGCTTCTTGGAAGGTTTCGACACTGGCGCCACTCCCGTGCTCCACAGCAAGGAACACACCAACAAGGGCGAGGACTTGACGGTAGTTTGCATGGAAGGCCCACAGTTCAGTACCAGAGCCGAATCTAGAATCTACCGTAGCTGGGGTGGCTCTGTGATCAACATGTCTGTGTTGCCTGAGGCCAAGTTGGCTCGTGAGGCTGAGATTGCCTACCAGATGATCTGCATGTCGACTGACTACGACTCGTGGAACGAGAGTGAGGAGCCTGTTACAGTGGAGACGGTTGTAGGCAACTTGAAGGCCAACTCAGCCAACGCCACCCGTGTTGCTGCCACCTTGGTTGATGTGATTTCCGAGGAATTGAGAACCGGTGCCGCCGGTTTGAGCAAGGACCTCGAGGGCACTATGAAGTATGCCGTGAGCACCAGCCCACATGGTGTGAAGAAAGAGTTGCTTGAGAAGATGCACTACTTGTTCCCAGGCTACTGGCCTTTGAATTAGAGCGAAAATTGATAGAAAGGAGACGCCATTGCTAGATAAGACGTAGGCCTCGAAGGAGTAATACTGGATCAATGGGTGCGAAGAGCAGTACGCCGATCCATTCCATGGATGGTAGATTTTTCATTGATTCCCCCTTTCCCGGATTGCAACCCTCTTTGATCTGAACCTTACACAGTCAACCCGCAAACATGCAACCCACAGTGTATGTACCCTCAAGGTCACGGTTAACCGGTGTACTTTTCAGCATCCATGGAATTCCAGCGAAACTTGACTCCTCTCTGACGTCAGCGACGACGTCGATGTGTGGCGGAGAAGCTTCGAGAATAGAGAATCAAAGAACGGGCTAGACAAGCAGATTTCCCCCCATTACCCCAGATTTCTAGCGGAATCGGGACAATTCCAAATCGTCTCCTGAATGCGCCCCAGAGCAGTTCCAGCAGCAAAGATAGCAACAAGCCCCGCTGATGTAATGATCCCCTCTGTGCGTTATCAGCTGCGGCGGGCATTCCTAATCTATTTGAAAAATATTTAGCAGATTGTGCTTGTTCCAAGAAATACACCCAAAAAGTTCTCTTCCGCAACCGTCCACTGTCAAAATCGTCAATAGGAGGTGTGGCCCTTTTCGGTAGATTCTCAGATAATGTGGGGTTACTCCGAGGTGCCGACAGGAGGGCACCCTGCAAGGCGGATTGTACGATAAACTATGCATTGTTTCCCGCGAAAAAAAAAAAAAAAAAAAACAGGGTGGGTCAATGCCTGGTCCCCACACTGCCTGGTACTTAAGCAGGCCGTGCCCACGCATATTTTTCGTTTCTGGCTTTGGCACCTCACAAATCAACTTTCGACTTTCTGGTTTCACCGAATTCCTAATTTTCGAGAGAAGCAGTCATCGCCAGCAAGGCCCTGACGCGCACGTGATTATTCCTGACTCTGGCCATCTATTCAAGCCATCCCTCTGCTCAATACCTCATCCGCCACCCACCACACAAAACCATGTCATTGAGATCTTTGGGCCTCAACTCCACCCTCAACAGAATCTTTGCCAAGTCGGCCGACAATGCAAAGTCCGTCGAGACCGTACTCAGCTTCCGCAAGCACCCCCAGGAGTCGCTAGCCAAGATCATCACCAGGTGTGACAAGGAGATGGGGGGTCTGTCCACCGTCAACTTCGACATTGACGCCGCCTCCGGTGCTGGTCACTTCCACGGCTATCTCAACCTCGACTTGCCCAAGGGCAACCCGGAGATCACCCGTCTGGGTTACTCCATGTTCCGCACCCGGGACCAGAAGGAGTCGTGGTTCTCCGGTGACTCGTACTGGGACTGGTCCCAGTTCAGTTCCCTTGTGCTCAGAGTTAAGGGCGACCGCAGAAAATATTTAGTGAACATCCAAGCGAACACTCCCTTGGTGACTGACTTGTTCCAACACAGGCTCTTTTTGCACCACCCAGGCGAGTGGGAAACTGTGGTGATCCCATTGAACGACTTTGTCATGACCAATTGGGGCATCATCCAGGACGGATCCGAGCTCAACAAGTCAGAGGTAAAGACTGTTGGCGTCGGTTTGTTGGACAAGCAGTACGGTCCCTACAGTTTGAAGGTTGACTGGGTCAAGGTCATGACCGGTGCTGAGGTCGAGAAGGTTACCGACATGTCTCGTGCGGAACGCTTGGCCTTAGATCAGCACAACAAAGAAGAAAACCGCAAGGACATGGAAACAAACATGCCAACGGGGAACGGCGGTAGCGCTCTCAACACTCACAAGTACGATGAGCCCAAGAGCACCGTTATCTAAGCTCCCCACATTGTTGTTTCATCTCCGATTCTAAAGTTACAGGAATGTCCATCGAACTGCTGCGGCGCAACAGGCACAGTTGTTTCCCCTGAAGCCGGCACCACCCACCAGATGGGCCTTCGTGTCGGTCTTACATATCTATTCATTATACGGTACTTACTTTGGGCTTTGTCTGCTGTTTTCACAAGCTCTGCGTAACCCCTAAAATCTCCACATATAGGCCCAAATACATGGCAGATTTTTTTCACCCTTTCCCCTCTGTGTATCTATAATTGATAAGCGTTCTCCACACTTGAGTCCCCTCTTTGACTGCAAGGGCAAGCCCTCAACTCACGCACGTGACCAGAGCGAATGTGCCAAAAGGTTACCCGGCACAACCACTGCGCGGTGCCCATAATTTTTCGAGACAAAAAATTTTCATTTTTTTTCTCTATCACTATCGATTATCAAAAATGGCAAGAGGCCCGTATGTCACATCTACCCTTCAATTTGAAGGCAGATAACAAGACAAATCAAAGGTTTAAGTTCGGCTGAACTGGAACCAGAAAATACCGCATGTTCTTAGAACTTTCAGTCGGTCTCCAGCCAGACTACGTCTGGCCCGGAAGGGAGCCTTGTCTTGATAATCGGTTGTTGGTCGCAGTCAGGGTTGACGAAATGAGATGAGATGGGAGGATCGGTGATGGAATCCCCGTTCTATCCAAATTTCTTTCCGCTCTCGTTGAGCTCATCATCGTTCATAGGGAAACCTCTGGCCTTCTGGCTGCACCCTCACCGATTTATCTGCCGTAGAGAAGATTCTTACTAACAGTTCAGAAAGAAGCACCTTAAGAGATTAGCAGCTCCATCCCACTGGATGTTGGACAAATTGTCCGGCACCTACGCCCCAAGAGCCTCTGCTGGCCCTCACAAGTTGAGAGAGTGCTTGCCTTTGATCGTTTTCTTGAGAAACAGATTGAAGTACGCTTTGAACGGTAGAGAGGTCAAGGCTATCTTGATGCAGGAGCACGTTAAGGTTGACGGCAAGGTCAGAACCGACTCCACCTACCCAGCTGGTTTCATGGACGTCATCACCTTGGAGGCCACCAACGAGAACTTCAGATTGGTGTACGATGTCAAGGGTAGATTCACTGTCCACAGAATCACCGCTGAGGAGGCTTCCTACAAGCTCGGTAAGGTCAAGAAGATCGCTTTGGGTAAGAGAGGTGTTCCATACGTTGTCACCCACGACGGTAGAACCATCAGATACCCAGACCCATTGATCAGAGCTAACGACACCGTCAAGATCGACTTGGCTACCGGTAAGATCACCGAGTTCATCAAGTTTGACACTGGTAAGTTGGTCATGGTCACTGGTGGTAAGAACATGGGTAGAGTTGGTGTTATTACCCACAGAGAGAAGCACGAGGGTGGTTTCGACTTGGTCCACATCAAGGACGCTTTGGAGAACACTTTCGTCACCAGATTGACTAACGTCTTCGTCATTGGTGACGAGGCTGGTAAGTCCCACATCTCTTTGCCAAAGGGCAAGGGTATCAAGTTGTCTATCACCGAGGAGCGTGACAGAAGAAGAGCTCAGCTGGGTTTGTAAGCATATGTAATATAGAACGAATTATTTGGGAAGAGTTGTAGATCGAGGCCATGAAAGCGGAAATTTCTCAAATCGAAGCACTAGGCGCTCGACCGATTTTTTTAAGGTTTGGCAGGTAGATCGACGGAATTGCACGCTACTGGCCAACCTTTATATCGTTCGTGGAATTTATCGATGTTTCATGGAATTCAGCCTCGAATTACAATTTTCACCTCGTGGGGTTCAAGATCCAACGTAAAGTCCAGCTCCGCGCACTAGATTGATTCAAAGACAAGACGTCATATTCTCTCTGTCATGACCTCCAGATACAGAGTAGAATATGCTTTGAAAAAGCATAAGAGAGACGAATTCATTGAGTGGATCAAATCGCTTTTAGCAGTGCCCTTTGTGCTCCATGCTGATTTGGAAAACTATGAGGAAATCTATTCAATACAAAAGGAGGCGGACAAGTTCCTCGAAATGCACGAGCAGACTCTCGCCAAAACGTGCAAGGAGAGATATATGGAAGTGTTCATGGATGTCGAGAAATTGATCGATAGCACCCGCTACTTGGATAGCTTCCACAGTGGCGATGGCATCTCTCGCTCTAGATTACGGCAATTGGTACCTTCAGTAGGAAGGTTTTTCACAAGATTGCCATTGAAGGAGGCGTTTGAGATCGAGGATACCAAGAAGCTGATTTCCAGAAGACGTCTTGTGTCTCCTTCCTTCAATGACGTGAGATCCATCCTCAACACGGCCCAGGTTTTAGCACTTACTTCACAGGCTGAAGAGGATTCAAGATTGAAACTCATCACCTTTGACGGTGACGTTACGCTTTATGATGATGGCAAGTCTCTATTACAATCTTCTCCTTTGGTCGACTGTCTAGTTGAGCTTTTGGCTCACGATATCTATGTTGCAGTTGTTACTGCGGCAGGGTATCCTGGAGAATCGGGCGCTTTGGAATATCATAAGAGATTGCCTGGTCTTATCGAAGTTTTGAGAACAACGGATCAGCTTACAGACAAGCAGAAGAGCAACTTTTTGGTCATGGGTGGTGAGTCGAACTACTTGTTCCGTTTTGACGTTGCGAAGGGAGGTTTACAATTTATCGAGGCCGATGAATGGTATCTTCCGCTCATGAGGGCCTGGGATGCTGACAAGATCGTCCACATCATGAACGCATCCTTTGACCACTTGGTGCACTTGCAGAAGAAGTTCTCGTTGGATGATGAGAACAAAACTACAATCATTAGAAAGGAGCGTTCCCTTGGAATCATACCAACCAATGGCTACAAAATTCTGCGTGAGACACTTGAAGAAATAGTGCTTTCTCTTCTGACTCGATTGCACGACATTCTCTACGGTGCCAGTCCAGCTTTGCCAGATGAAAGCCACCACTTCACGTCTGTGGTTGCAGGTAACAACGATAGCGATTTGCGAGTTTGTGCTTTCAACGGTGGCTCTGATGTCTGGGTGGACATTGGAGATAAATCGCTCGGAGTTGAAGCTTTGCAGCATTACTTATGCAAGGACTCGGATATGCCGGTAATCTCCAAGAGCGAGTCCTTGCACATCGGCGATCAATTCGCATCAGTGGGTGCAAACGACTTCAAAGCTAGACTCAGTGCTTGTACTGTTTGGATTGCCAGCCCGAAGGAGACTGAAGAAATTCTTTTCCATCTCATCGAATTCTTGACTGGCGAATCTACGTTGGCAAATTAAGCTACAATCGCTCGCGAACAATCCGTTGGTGCAATACAAAAAGTGCGTTATGGTCGGAGATACAGGGCTTCACATGCGGCATAGTAAATCCTTTATTATACTTCTTGGTTTGCCACAATCTCTTCTTTACCCTTCCAATTGAGTTATGGCGCCTCGTTCCGAGTTCTTTGACCCGGCCACTGGCCCCTACTATGATCCTAAAAAGGATAGAAGAGTCGCCATCGTTACAGGTGGAAACTCAGGTATCGGCTGGTACACTGTTTTACACCTCTACCTTCACGGTTTCATTGTCTACGTCGCTGGCAGAACTGAATGCAAGGTCGTGAAGGCTATCGAAGACATCAAGGCAGAGGCTGAAAAACGTGTCGAGGCTTATACGGACGACGAAAAATCAACTAGGGTTTTGGGTTCGCTTACCTTCATCCATTTCGACTGCTGTGACTTGTCGTCTGTCACTGCTTGTGCTGACGAATTTAGTCAGAAAGAGGACAAGCTCCACGTTCTCATTAACAATGCCGGTTTGATGGCTGTTCCTTACGAGGAGACCAAGGATGGCTACGAGATCCAGTATCAGGTAAATTTTGTTGCTCCATTCTTATTCACCATCAAGCTCTTGCCAAAGTTGAAGACTGCTGAAGTCGATGGTTCCCCAAGATTGGTGATGCTACTGTCAGTCGGCCATAGGACCACACCAAAGTATTACGATCCTTCTGACAAGATCAAGTGTACTCCTAACTTCTTGTTCACATGGATTAGATACGGAGCAGCGAAGACTGCGAACATTCATTTCACTACCAGGTTGGCGGAGCTTTATCCCCAGATCACTTCGTTGTCCGTGCACCCTGGTGTCATTGTGGAAACCGAGCTCTTCAACCATTGGACAAACTTGCCTTTGCTTGGCTGGTTCTACAAAGGTAGTACGGTTGTCATTGATAAGACCATTGGTGTGAAGAGTGAGGAGGGCTGTTTGGCTTCCCTTAGGGCTGCCTTGGACCCCGAGGTCGAGAAGGAGAACGGTGGTTATCTAGAGACAGGTGGCGTTGTGACAAAGCCTTCAAAGATCGCTCAGCAGCAGAAATACATCGACAGGACCTGGGACTATAATGTGGAGGAGCTCAAGAAGAAGGGTTTCTTGACTGACTCAGACATTTAAGCTATGATAAACACTGAAAGGAACATTCCAGTATATGACTCAAAATTTAATTGTGCTTCTACCCTTTTGTAAATCGCTTCAACTTTCTATTCATCTTTTATTATAGATGTCTCAACCCTGGCACAATCTTGTCGCAGCTTCGAAAATGTCTCGAACTAGCGACATAGTGTAGCTGCGAAATAAGAGTTGTGGATCGAAAATCACGACTGATAACCACAACCTTCTACCAAATACCCTCACTTACCTTTCCCAATCCAACTTATACGTACAGGGCAATCATTCCTGAAAAAAAGCCTTGCAAAATAAGCTCGGGTCTCATTATTTTTGCTGACGGGGCTGTCAAAACCAGATCTGCTAAACAGCCAAAAGAGACCTCCCCAAATCTTCGTCCAACGAACAAAAATCCTAAAACTGTTCCATTTATCAATTACCCGTTTTAAAATCCATCTATTTATTTTTTTTGTATGACCGTGGAACTATCACAGGAGCAGGTCTCAATGACCTCTGAGAGGCTTGGACAAGATGATGCCTTCCAAGACTTCCCAGGCATCACTAGCAGTTCCCACGAGTACGAGCTTAATCTGCTGGAGTCTCTCACATTCCTTTACAACTTGTTGTATGACGACAAGTCCACGTTGACCAAGGCGGACATCCTCAGCATACTTAATTCTCTCAAGGAGAGGGAGAACGAGCTACCGTTTTCCTTCGACGAGGTTTGGGGGTATATGAATATCCAAGGCGTATGGATGCCTCCAAGTCTCCGAAACAAATTCTACAGTGAAAGATCGAGAGTTGGCAGTCAACTGTGGTTCAGAAACAAGCCTACTTCCAGACAAGATGCCATGAACGTAAGTACAACAGCTATTATTCCTTCGACACAACTAACATTTGCAGAACGTTAACCTACTATCTTACCACACCAAAACGGATTTTTTCAAATTCAAGAATTTCTTCAGCAAGTTGAAGAATCACATTACGCATTTCCAGCTCCGGAATCTAGTCATTTGTGGAGAAAACCTTCAGAACGGAATCTTTTATCCGTCCTCATACTATCACGACAATAATCTTAATGTCGTGTCTCTGGAGAATGCAATCTCGCATCAAAGTCTGGATACTTTTCACAGTTTCTTTAAGATAAATCGCCTAATGCCCGACGATGAGATACTATCCTCTCAGGAAATGAAGCTAGATTGCCTAATAGATTCAAGGAAGCTCCCTCTCAATGCAAATAGTCGAATCGCTTCCTGTGCATGTTCCAACAGACTATTGGTGAATGGAACTTTTGAAGGTGGCTATATCTTGCTGGACATTTCTGATCCCAAAGATACCAGATTTTTGGGAGAATATACCCTTACAGGCTCCGCGGACGGTATCACCAATCACATATGCATAAGCAAAGATGACACAGAGCTTCTAATAGCCTCTAACGACAAATATCTCAGAATTATTGATAATGAGACCGGAACGAAAAAGTCTAGTTGCAGACTACCGCTTGCTATAAACTGCCTGGCGAGCAACCCAAGAAACCAAGCTGAATTCATAATGACTGGAGACGATTCCCGTGCCTTCATAATGGACAAACGAACCCTTCGACATGATTCATTCGAACCTTGCATTCTGTTCACAGGCCACAAGGACTACGGCTTTGGATGCGATTGGTCTCCATTAGATGAGAATCTTTTACTTACAGGTAATCAAGATGGGACAGTCAGACTATGGGATAGGAGATATCCTCAAGAAAACCTCTATTGCTGGAGCAGTTCATTGGGTTCACAAGCGTCCGTGGTTCTGGACGATTTCTCAGGCGGGCCAGTGAGAAATTGCAAGTTCAGTTACTACGGATCTCATGTCATATGGGCCGAGAGCTTAGACCATGTTGGCGTTGTCCAGGTGTCTGACTTAAAGAAAGAAAATGAGGAGGTACACTCCAGGGTTCAGTCGATCGACTTCATCGGCAAGTGTATTGGCCTCAACGTATGTCCTGTGGATTCAGGCAAAGGCGAAGAACTCATCATCGGTATAAATGATTGTCCTCTTGGAGGCGTGTTGAGATACCTGCTCGAGGCTACCGACAAACCATTAGACTTTGATTTGATGTTTTAGACTTATAGATGAACTTTGAATAATGATCACCACATATCATCAACATTTTCAGATACCTGTAGCTGGCCACCGACTTCTTTTAGTAGACTATCAAGCTTGGTTACCTTTTCAGATGTCTTAGTTATCGTTCCAAGAACCCTCACCTTATTTCGAGCTTTAACGATGGCTTGCTCGTACAATTCCACCTCCTTGTCACCGTTGGTAGTAGGGATATCACTCACAAGCTCCTTAAGCTGTTTGAGATGGTTTTGAACCGCTTTCGAGTCATCCTTGCTCCAGATCTCAATGAGTCCTTGAATGTATCCTACCACCAAGAACCTCTGGAAACCCGTTTGTAGACCATAGGCTTTACCCTCTAGATGATTGTCTTTCACCGACTGATCCTGACCTTCAGTGTAACCCTCCTCGTAATACTTCTCTTCAAGATCCAAAACGCCGTCTAGCGTGATATCAGCCATTCTGTGGGGTATGTGGTTGTGAGATCTCGAGATGAGCGATGCGAGTTATACCCAGTACTAAGTAACTACATCACCTTACTCCAAACAAATGGCCGAGGATGAGGAGAATGGCATAGAGTATTACGGCCGTAAGAAAGCTCACAAGGAGCTTTTCAATGGCTATGACTCAGACTCCGAGGGGTATGGCGAAAGCGATTCCGAGAAGGAAGATAAGGAACCAAGCGAAGATGAGAAGAAGGACGAGGGAAAAGACGACGAAGACGAAGACGACATGTTTGCTAGTGACAAGGAGGATTCCAAGCCGGCACGGTCGTCAGGATTTGATATTGACGAGTTTGAAAGAGAGCAGGGTCTAGGACAGTATGACAAGGAGCGGATACTGGAGGACGAGGAATATGTTGATGAGGGCCAGGCAGGCATTGATGTCCAAGAACGACAAATGAACTATCACAATAACATAGAGGCATTGGATGGAGCCGTCGAGAAGCCAAAAGATGACGTTCAGATTGAGGCTTTCAACCTTCGAGAGGAAGCCGACCTGGGAATTCTCGATAAAGACTTGAATTACATCCCAAAAAATGAAGAAGAGGAGACAGAAGAGGCTTGGCTAGCTGACATTAAGAGCTCCGATATAGAGAAAGCCAAAAAAGCACAGCTTAAAAGAGAAGCAGGCTTCAAGACAAAGACCACTAGGCCCACTGGGGTACTACTATCTCTAGTGATCAACTCGCTAGAGCCGTCTGAAACACCCTTAGAAGCCTTAGCGAGGCTTTCACCAAAAAAGAAGAAAGGCAAGCGCCAGCCGGTTCTGGAGGACGAGAAGCTACGAAAGAAAAAAGTTTATGATGTTACTGGGGCTTGTGATGAGCTCATGAACGAAAAAGGCATAACGCAGGCGCTTGAGATGAGTAGGGAAGAGCTTATGCGTCACTACAAACAGGAAACTGGTGAAGACTTTGTCATAGACAGGGGAACTAAGCGAAAGGCTGATTCTCTCGACGAAGAAACAGAGGACTATGAGCCAAAAGAATGGGAGTTCAGGTGGAATGGGGAAGAACAGATACACGGCCCTTATTCTGCCTATGAGATGAACTATTGGAAAGAGTCCTACTTCAATGAAGATGTGGAGGTCCGAAAGATAGGTGAAGCAACTTTCAGGCGAATGAATGGCGACGACTTCTAACAATCATCATTTATTTCTCGGATAAATAATTTTGAATAGGAAACAGGATTTCACGGGCCACATCGGAGATTACAGACCAGCTTGTATCACACTTCCAACGGATCTTGGGACTTAGAATATCCAGGGCATACGTTCTCGTTATAAGTCCAAGTTTGACCAATGTAGAAAGCTGAGTGTTGATGTCAACGGATGGATTCAATGTGAAGGTGGCAAACTCGTGCTCCTTTCTCGCTATCTCACGTTCACTTAAGTCATGGTACAAGTTCATGAGCTCCAGGTTATTTTGGTTGAAAGACTTTGCCTCGTTTCTGTAAATGACTGAAAGTATGGCTTTGAGTCTCTCCAAATCAAAGAATGCAGCTGAAAGTAATCTGGAGTCGATCTGGCTTTTTGTTATGGAGGACTTTTGTGGTGAAGCTCTTGGCTTTTTCTTGAGCAGCTTTAAACGGGAGAAATGCTGTAGATCCAATTTTTGATCCACATAGGATGCCAAGTATGATGCAATTAAAATGAATTTAGAGTGGTATGGCAAGTCAGCCACGGCAGAATCTTCGGATTCGCCTTCCTGCTCCTGCGTCGCATAGCTTTCGACAGAGCTGCTCGTTATCATGTTGTCGGTGTACAATTGATTTCTTAGGTCACGGTAGATCTTGAGAATCTCATGAGGTTGATAGCGACCTTCTCTTACCGGCTCCTCGAATTTAGGCCAGACCTTCTCACAGAGGTTGAGGAGAAGCGACACATCAGATCCGGTGAAGTCAAAGAAGAGATCCACGACGAGCTTAGAGAAAACAGCCCAAAACTCTCGGCTTGCGTCCGCACTAACGCCTGGCAACAGATATAGTTGCTTCTCTTGTAGGATAATTGTGAGATCCTCCCTGCTATAAGTTTTGAAATGGACTCGAGGGACGCCAAATGTCAGTATAACTTTTGGGATATCGTGTGATATGATGTAGATGATGCTGAGGTTCTTGATGGTTGACTGTTCATGGAGTCTGAGAAAGGCTGCAAACAAGTCGTCCGTGGGATCACAACATTCGTCAAATCTTTCGAGGACCAATGTATGTGGCTCATTGTAGTTCGTTTCGGTGAAGAATTGCTCCAACAACATGAGGAAATAGGCAAAGTTTTCACAGAGCACTGATGGTCTCGCAGCCTCAAGGCCTTTGTACATGTACTTCTGTTTGTATTCATTAAGATCCACGCCACTATCGTTTTTGATTCCCATCAAGCATTTTTGAAGTAAGATCTTGTGGGTGAGACACCTGTCACAGTCAATCACTGTCTTGTTGACTCGTGGCTGGTCTAAGTATTTGAGGACTGTGTGAGTCTTGCCAGAAGCTTTGTAGCCAGAAACAATTAGGTTTGAGGATGATGTTTGGACGTCACCGGTGACAAATGCTTTTAGAAGCAGCAATTCGTCATCCCTGCCCTGAACGGTGATATTTGAGATGGGCATCAATGGAGTAGGATGCAACTAAACGCGGTGATATTAAGATGGGTGCGAATCTACTAGCAGTGTTGATAAATATGCTATGCGATTTATTCTATATGAAAAGATATTAAATGAGCTCTTCTACGAAATCTCTGAGCATTTTGAAACCGTAATGAGTGGAAACGTTTTCAAAAGTTTTGAGTCGTTTTTCAAGTTGCCCAAACTCGACTGTCTCAATCCATTTGCCTGAACACTTGCAGTACTCACTCATGTTCTCGCCCTTTATCTTGTGGCACTTGTCACACTGGTAGTCCTGGGTCAAGTACTTGGCGACAATCATGTTGAGCTGGCGAATCAATTCCTCTTCCAAGAAGATCTTGTTGTACAGCTTCCGACAGTTTGGACATGACCAGATCTCTTTCTCATCATCTCTGCAGAAGTCAATGTCGCTCAAAAAGTTACAGTAGTCGCAAATGATAGTGGATACCTTCATCGACGCACTAGGGTTCACAAATAAACTTTCTGGGCTGAATTCTCTGACATCAATAGCTGCAAGAAGGTCGCGTCTCAACATTCTTACCTCGGTATTCCTCTTCGACGATAAACCAATGATTGCACAGAGGAATTTCACCAATTCGAGGATCGGGTTCTTCAACTCAAGGTAGGACCCAGGATGGTTAGGGAATTCGTATTCATGCTTCATTTCAGGGTTCAAGATAGACTCATTCTGACGGCGATAAAGTTTCTCGATTCTCCGTAACAAGGGCTTTCTGAAGACCTCGATAATCTCACTGCTTTGGAAATTTTCTGAATCCTCTTCTTCCTCCTCGGCAACTGTATCCTGCTTATGTTGACCCTTGAGGACGTGAGCTAGTTGTGTGATCCGTTGAGTTCCCTTCTGAGTACCTCCAAGTAGCGTCTCACTCTTATGCTTGACAAGAGCATCCAAGAAGATGAAAAGCCAATCATCAAAATCGTTTTGGAATATGACGGGCAAAAACTTCTTGATATGCCATCTGCTTCTCGGAACTAACGTTTGAACGTCATCATTAGTGATTGTGGTACAACAACGTCCAGCGTAATTGTACTCATCTAACCAGACTAAGATGTCCCAATAGCGAACGATTCTCAAATCAAGGAAGTTGAACAATGGTTTGGATCTGGTAGCATTTACCAAATACTGGCCAAATGCGTAGGAATTCTCGACCGAAATCTTCGTTGTCTGAATGATGATCTTGTATCGGGAAGCGAAGACAATATTGACGTTCATTCTCTTGAACTCTCCGACAAGTTGCAACAAAGCTTTCGATGTGAGATTGTGGATATGGTTATGCAAAGTGAAATCATAGAGCTTTGAGTTGGACAGATGCACCCATGAGATTATTGTGTTCATCATTGCATCAGCATTCGCGTTGTTCCTCACGGCGTCGTCCCACCAATTCTTCACCATCGTTTTAAGAATTGTCAAAGCAGCTGGGGAGAACGCGTCCTGTGCCATCGTGGAGCCGTTGTGATCACCTCCCACAAGTGAGGTGTCGGAAAGGTCAGTCCCTTCTGCTTCGTTGATCAAGGAACTCGTAAGAATAGAATTTATTGTCAAAGTCCCAACTTCAATTTCCAAGGAAGCAGTTTCGTAAATTTCCGGATTGTTGATGGGCGCAAACTCATGGTTGCTAACATTTCCAACTCTGTCGTTCTCAAATCCACCCTGATCAGGATAGGGATTTTTGGACCACCAAAGCACAACATTGTTCTCAGTTAAGCGTCTTGCAAACTCAATGTCGATAAGGTATCCCATCTTCTCGACCTGTAAGTTACAAAGTGGTACCTTGCCGTAGTTAGATAACGAGATCATGTTCTTGAGCCATGAAGCAACCAAGAAGAAGTGATTCATAATCCTCTTTGTTATGAGGAATTGCCAACTTAGTGCTGGTAATGAAACCTCGCTAACTTGCATTCTGATGGTGGGGAAATTAATGCTTGGATCAAGTAGTCCCAATACCTTATCACAGTAAGGAGATTGAATTGTGAGCAAGGCTTTATTGCTCCTGCTTTCTTGGAAACCTCTTAGTGACTTGTTAAGCTTCTTGTAAACAGCGGCAGGCGTATGATAGTATGTCGTCTCAAATTTCATTTCAGGTTTGTAATCGATGATATTGTAGAGTTTGGCAACCTTATCCTTCTTTGCCTGGTAGACCTCTTTGTATACCTTTTCAAGGTTTACTGGCAACTCCTGGGCTCCACTTGATGGTTTGAGAATCATGATCGATGCGTTATCATCCCAAGAATTAAATAAAGCGAAGAACTCATAGCTGTTTGTCATAATGTGTAAGACATAAATGATTTCCATGTTGAACCTCTTCAAGTACGATTCCTGCTCAACCTTTATCAAATCCTTCATACCGAATCCATTTTTCAAGCACTTACCAAGAGCGCCCACTTTGGTATCATCAAAACGAACTGAATGACCTAAATCTATGATAGCCCGATCAATTGTGTCAACCTCCGACTCATAAATGCCCAAAACCCTAGAGTCGTGAAGTATACTATCGACATTGCTCATTTCGTCATTATAAGTCTTCTCAGACATCGTGAGCTTGTAAAGATATTTGCTATCGTGGCCATTTGGTAAAATAGCATTTGACTTCTCGATGCTCACATGAGGAATGATGAAATGCTCCGGAAGCTTCGTTTTGAAGGAAACGTAGACTTTCTTTGGAATGTGGAAAAGAAACGAGTGTACTTTGCCACTGGATATGACATAAGCTCTAATAGCTCCGGGGTTCAGAGCATCTGGCTTATACTCAAGAATTTCCCAATCTGTACCAGCCACCGACGCTGCCTGTTTTCGAAACATGTTACCAACAGAAGAACGATGAGATGATTCCGAATTATCACCAAAAAGCTTTCTCCTGCGCTCTCTGTTTTTAGCTTGCATCAGCCATTTCGCTTTCTGGTAACTCAAAAACCCAGCGTAGTCTTCTGTCATAGAAGGACAAGGAGCATTCAATATAGCATTGTTTCTTTCCTCCTCTTCAATTTGTTGAGCTTGCAAAGCTTGAGCATGTCGTCTCTTTCGAACAGTTACCTTGCCAATCTTTGATCGAGGGTTGCCTTCGTCGAGCTCACCAAAATCTTCCATGTCTTTGATTGCCTTCGTTTTCAAATCATTCGGAGTAGTGGCCAGAAAAAAAGTTCCAAGTGAAGATTGCTTTTTCTTGTCGGCCTTAATCCTGATTCGCTTCTGTAACCAATCTGGGTGGGCAACTCTGGGAACAGGGTTAACCACATCCTGTAGAGCTGCTGGTATAGTAATAATCTTCTGCACCACCGAAGCAAGTCTCTCTTTGTAATACTCCCAGTCAATGACGGAACGTGGACTGAACTCCTTAAGGTTTTGATCTTTTAGCCACTTTTTGAGATAAACCTCCTTCTTTTCAGATGAGAAAATAGAGACGGGAATTGCTCTATCTGTGACGGGACTTCCGAAGGGCTTGGCGCTGATAATGTATTTACAGGCGAGACCGGCATCCTTCACCATTTCTTCACCCAAAAACTCACCCAACCTTATGGCAGTTGTAATTGAAGTGGACTTCTGGCCACTATAAGCAGACAAAGGTTTACTCATACTCCTGTTTTCGCAAATGAGCTCAATTAAATCTTCGTCCTCGAGCATTCCTCCTTTTGTATCAAGAACATCCAACCAATTATTCGCGACAGTTGCCACGGCTTTGTAGCAGTTATCTAAGGTATCACCTTCTAAGAATAGCTTGAAAATGTCTGACTGGAAGTTTTTAATGAGCTGAAGTTCACCTCTCCTTTTGAGCTCGAACCCTTTCAATTCAGCGAGCGAGCCATCATGGTTGAAAACAGCATACCTTTTCTTCAAGCCTTTGCCTTCTTCTTTCGACGTTGGTAATACCATAGCCTTGTATGGACCATCGACCTCAAAAAAGATGGAGTTTTCCGATCGAGTCTCATACTTGAATGTGTCTTTATCAACCAACTCTTGGTACTGATGGTTCGTGAAGCGTTGATGAACCAAGTAATTCAACATGGAACATGGGTACTCGAGGAAAATCAGTTTGCCGTCCTTGCATTTTAAACTGAAGTTCTCGGGGAATGATTTTGGCAAGATACACCAAATTCCGTCAGTGTCCAATTCAAGCGGCCTTCCGATTCGCTCAACCAAGGACCGAGCCATCTGAATAATGGTTGCACCAGTGAGACAAGTGATACCAGCCATCTCCATGGAATACCATCTTGAACCCTTTCTCATGACGTAACCATAGAACGAATTAAGAATAACCTTATGAGCAAGCTGAAGAGAATCATACAACACCACCATTTTCTTGGCCTCGTCCTTGGAAATTGCATCTTTGCACTTCCCAGTCTTTCCCTTCCAGACCTTAGCCAACGTCTTGAATTCGTAACGACGATCTCTGAAGTTTCGAACAGTGTTAACATAGAAGGGATTCTCACGTTGACAAACAATGGCCTCTCTCGTGATGGTTTTAGTTTGCTTGATTCTATTGTACACCTTTCTCGAGTAGTCGGACACTCTTTTCTTGATTAACAGAGCTTGCTCCGCGTATGGAAGTTCATCAAAGGTACGCTCAGGAAGCCATGGTCTAGCACCAGGAAATGATTCGTTTTGTAGGCCTCGCTTCATCATGCCATATTCGTTCATTTCGGCAGGGAAAAACTCACCACGCCATGCCCAGGGTAGTCTTCTATCACATGTTTTGCCTGGTCTATTGAAGTCACATGCGGCACAATCTTCCTCTGTCTTGATAGAGTCCGGCTGCAATCTGTTGGAGGTCATGATATTTGGGTACATTGAGGCAACGTCAACGTGATAGATCAATGGATTCTCGGTTCGCTTAGGGTTATTCTTGAGCTCCTCAAGCTCGCTTCTTATCTGATGATATATTTCTTCGAAGTTCTCAATATCATCAAGAGATTTACCATTCTCGACTTCCACGCAAAATTTAATAGAATTCCTGAGGTCGTGAAGTAGTTCGTCAATTGCTTCGGGCTTCACATTGAAGTCAGTGGCAATATCACTTCTGAAAACACCAGCTTCAAGAGACTCCACATGACCTCCAACGTATGTTTCTGATTCGAGAAGGTGACCTTCGTAGAAACGCTCAATAGGATCGGTGTACTTGTTAGGTAGAAGGATGTCTTTCTCATATGCCTGAACCATTAACAACATTTCACAAAGAGTACCAGTACCCTTTCTTAAGACCTCATCAGGATTGAGTGGGATGATGGTGCACAAGGAAAAGATAAACGGATGCACATACTTGAAGTAAAGATAATATGTTGCCACGGCATCGGAAACGGAATACTCGGATAACAACTGAGGCTTTTCAATAGCATATGGGTACATCAATTCAGGATCCAACTCAGTAGGGTTGTAACCCAACTTGGCTGTGGTGACAGCTTTCAAACCTTGAGACCCTTGAGGCAAGTAAGAATCACGCTTGACCCAGCGAAAACAATCCATATGGACACAGTACTTCGACTTGTATTCGTCGTCATTGTCTTTTGCAAATCCGATTTCCTCAAACATGTCAAGTCCGTGAAAGTTGGATCTATTCTCGACAAAAGGCCAATCGAAGAAATCACCGTTAAATGTTGCAATGACGGTGGGACGAACATCTCTGATATGCTCATAAAAGCGTAGAAGAACATGCTTCTCGTCTGGCTCGTTGAAGATCGAAAATTCACCAGGGTATTCAGGCTTCGGCGTGTATTCGAAGTCCTCGATATCCTCAGAGATGATTTCACGGTTGGTTATAAGAAATCCCTCTCCATCGATCATATACGAAATCATCATAATCTGATCTGTTCTCGAATCTGGAAATTTAAGGGGAGCCTTGGTGGTCTCAATATCGAATGCCATGACCACGGGATCGGCAAATGCAATTAAATCGGTATCTTCCTCGAGTGTGACGACACCGTGTTTGGCGAAGACATTGTACCATTTACCGACACGAGTTGCCTTGTCGATAGAGACTCTGACATGATAAGGCACGTCATACTCTCGTATGTCGTCGATGTACGTCAAAGGGTCAGCAGATCCTTCACTCTTATTGAACTCTTTGTTCGTTTGATAACTTGTCTGACCTCCATCAATATTATTGGAGTTATTGAAGTTGAGGATCTGAAACACGTCTCTCCGGTCGCTGTTTTTCTGGTTCTCTTTGATGACTGGACCGAGGAGACGTCTGGCACCTAGAAGGTCTGTGACGTTGTGGAAAGTAAGTCTGATGACAGTTCGTTGCAAGCCAACAAGATGGTTGGGTAATTTGAGATCATCCTTGACTTCTCTAGAGACAGACTTGACATTGAATTGTTCCAAAAACCTCTTCAATGACTCTTCCACTTCCGCCTCTTTACCAGGCGAGACTAAAAGAAAAAAGTAAGGATCGTATTGAATTGTCGCTTTAAATGAGCCACCTTCAGCATCCAAAAAATAGTAGTCAACGCCTGAATAGCCTGGGGCGTAGTCTTCAGTGGGCACTGTGGTTGAATGCATGTTTATAAGCCAGCCCTTTCTAGGTTTGTTGCCATCCTGATCTCCATGGTCAAATCTCTCAAAACCCATGAGGGCATCCATGTCGTCAATTTTCTCGACGAGGTCTCTCTTAGATATGGCATCGGTCAATAAAGGGTTGGGTTTCTGTGGTTCTGACTGATCTTTGGATACCTTATACTCTGTGACAACGCTTTTTGTCAGTTGAGAGTTCTTCACAAACCTCGCAGAGGTTGACCCTTTGAATTGGGAGGGTCTGGACATTGTGAAGACTGGCAGAGTATGTGAGTCAGAGAATCAAAAGTAAACTAGGGTGGTATGCATTGCGATGGCACATCTATACACGCGTTGTGAGACGCGAACGAAAGCGTACAGGTACAACAACCAGACGACGCTTCCTCACTCAAACCTCAGTCAGGTGACCGTTGTAGATTTAACGAGACATAAATAAAATAATCAAGAATTGGATCACCACGGCATAAAGGAAAAGAAATTGAACTCTAAGTCTTCTTTGACTGCTGGTGATGGTCTGTGTAGCGGTCTCAGCAACGCCAAGCGGCAACACCAAAAACTTTAAGGATCTCATCAAGAACAAGGACAAGCTTCCAACAACGTATGCTAATACTGAGTAGTAAAGCAACCACGAATTACCCACGAGATTCTTCCAGCACAACAAAAGAGTGATAGCGACGTATTTGTAGCCACTAAAACTGACGAGATCCCACAAAGAGCTCTGTGTCGAGCAATTCAAAAGGTAGAGTCCAACTTTAAAAATCAAGATATCGAGAAACGAGCAGGCGAGCGTTTGGGACGCGAGATATCCAAAAAGCTCAGGATGAAACTCGCCCTTCAATCCTGAAATCGAGGACCAAAGAAGAATGTATGTGATGAAGGACATCAAAGGGATGTACAAGTCTGGAGCGTTGACATCTTCAGAGGGTGGCGCATAGGCTGACCCGGCGCTAGCGTTTGGTGTAGGATCCGTCTGGGTGATACGGGCCCAATTCTTTTGGCGGTAAGGGAAGAGTATTAGGATTATCTTGTTGAGCACATATGAGTTACTCACGTTGAAGTAAAACTTCAACTCACCAGCCACAGGAATGTAGCTTCCGAAATTCTGCTGGATGTAATCATTGGACTGGCCCAAGCTACTTTTGGCAAACTGGGCTGCCATGGAGGCGGTTGGATCGGAGAAGAAGTTCGCGTAGGGACCTGAATTTGCTTGATTTTGCTGGAATTGACCACCTTGACCAGCAAACTGAGCACCAGCATGTTGCTGGCCAAACTGTTGATTGGTAAATTGTTGTTGGCCAGCGAATTGCTGTTGACCGCCAAACTGCTGGCCTGAGAATTGCTGATATTGCTGTTGTTGTGGCTGTTGATGGTGTTGCTGAGGCGAATAGCCTACATGTTGAGGTTGGGGATGACGCAAAGTCTGCTGCTGAGGAAGGGCGTCTTCAACATAGGCGTAGGGGTTTGACATGAGAAGCAGTGAAGTTGTGTGAATACTTGACAGATCTAAACAGTGAGGTTTGCGAGTCGTGTCTGGTACATAACGCCCTCCGTGGCTGTACCTGCTTTTTAGGCTACATTGTGAGAGATGCTATGAAAGCCTAGTGATTTACCGTTATAAAAATTTCTGCTCAAGAGAAATTCGGTGTCTTTTGAACCGTGGTAAAAATGAGGCTCAAAGGCATTCTTGGCCGAGCAGTATTCCAAGGCATTCTCGCTACATTCCCACTTATTTCGCAACCATTAGTTGACATAGTCTATTACAATCTGGCACTGACATCGATGGGCGCTGCTTTGCGAGATTTCTCGAAGTCCTCGTCATATTTAGTCGCTTCGCCATAACGATCGTAGGTGTTGTAGCCCCAATTGGTGGTCTTGTAAAAAGTCTTCCTGTCGTAAGCATTGAGTTCCTTGCCGTCTCTGAGCCTAGTGACAAGATCCGGATTAGAAATGAAGTACCTGGAGAAACCAACCATAGTTCTGCCATCCTCAGTATCATCCAAAAGCTGTTTGAATTTGGGGGCGTCGTACGTGTAGTTACCTGCTTTCATAACAACACCCTTCCACACATTCTTGACGAAATCGTTGTTACCAGCAATATCCTTCTCATCCACATCGAAAATACCCGACACTCTGGGCTCCACAATAGAGACGTAGGCGAGCGGTTTGCCGGCATCGGCTCTCTTTTGTAACTCGTGCAAGAAATGAGAATAAATAGTGATTGGATGGTCCTCGTCCTTCTGCGCCTTGATACCATATACTGTGGCCCAAGGCGAGATTCTAACTGCAAGTCTATGAGAGCCGATCTCGTTAGACAATCTATCGATAACACTTAAGATGAAACGCGCTCTGTTCTCAATCGAACCGCCGTATTTGTCAGTTCTCTGGTTAGCAGAAGGAGCGAAGAATTGGTTGAAAAGGTAGCCATGGGCACAATGAAACTCCACATAGTCGAAGCCAGCTTCCACCGCCAAACGGCCTGCCTTCAGGTATTCCTCAATTAGATCGTCGACCTCCTCTGTGGTGTAAGCCTCGATCTCGTTGCCAGCCTTCTTGGCAACCTTCTCCAGTCTCTCATGATCGTACAAAGCAGAAGGACCCTTGAGCTTCTCGCCTTCCTTCTTGTTTTGGAATGGGTCTGCCACACGGCCCAATCCCCAAAGTTGAACCGTCACAAAGGACTTGTTCTCGTGAATCTTGTCGGTGACTTTTTTCCATTCCCTAGCATGTTTCTCGGTGTAGATTCCTGGGACGAACGCATACGATCCGGTCTTCTTGGTAGGTAACGTTCCCTCGACCGTGAGCAAGGTGCCGGGATACTTTGACCGTTCATCGTAGTATTGAAGCTGAAGATCAGAGGGAGAATGATCTGGCAAAGCTCTGAATCTTGTGGATGGAGCGAAAACAATTCGGTTGGAGAGCTCGTTGTTGCCTACCTTCAAAGGTTTGAAGATAACGGTATCGTCTAATGGTCTGGCGACTACTGGAGCTGGCATTGCAAAATATGGTTAAAATTTTCAAGCCTCGGCAATCGGAACGCTTATGTACCCCAGCTGTGGCTTCTGTGTGCAAAGCGGTATTATGCCGTTAGTTTATCCGCAGTAACGTTTGTCATCATCCACTGAGCCGCAGTAAATGCTGGGATTTTGCACGTTGAATGTTATCATTGGAGCGCACCCCACCTTTGAGAAGTCGGAGATAGGAAGAAGCCGAAGCGAGGTTTAGCATTTTTCCATGAATTTTGCGGTAAATGGATGCAGGGGTTGCCGAATTATGCCAAGAGCATTCTGCCGTTGAGATCTTGTAATTCGGTTGCAAATAAACGTTCTCACTTTGTGTCTGGGATGCATGCCAATGGTGGGAAAGATCAAAGCGTGTAGTTAATGTGGAATCTTGCATGCCACTCATTTATAATGAGGCAATAATCATGGATCTGTCGGTTTTTTTTCTTTTGTTTTTTTCACCCAACTAGAATCGTTATCATTTAATTTTTGAAATTCAATGGCTTCGGTTGCCTATAATGTTAGTGTGCTTTGTGAACCGTGCCCAGTTTGGCAAGATTTCAACAAAAATTGCACTTCCTACAGAAGAGACCAACGGAGCATCGACCTTATTCTTTCCTAACTGGATACCGAAATAGATGATACAATTTCTTAAAATTGAATTTCGCCTGATCGAATCTCCTTCCTGATTTGCACGCAGATGCCTCAAAGTGTCATAAGGTCGTCAAGGCGCACACTTGCGCAACTTCTAGAAAAGTCCGAAGCCGCTCTTGCTGTGCCTGGACCACTTCTTCACAGCCACCTTCATAAACCACTCCTGACCCTCTCTTTCGAAAATTCGAAGGACCAAAAAAGCTCATCCTTGCTATCGTACAATTATAGGGCCACTTCGCATCACCTGAAGTTCGCGGAGTTCCTACTGATAAGTAATTCTTCTTGCCTGATCTTCCAGAAACTCCTCAATTGCGCTCCAATTTAGCAGAAATGAACAAGGGAAAAGTGCTTGTTGTGTCTAATCGTCTTCCAGTGACCATTAAGCGGAAAGACGATGGCAGCTACGAATACTCCATGTCCTCCGGAGGATTAGTGACCGCTCTTCAAGGATTGAAGAAGTCTACGGAGTTCCAATGGTACGGCTGGCCTGGCTTGGAGTTACCAGAGAACGAACAAGACAGAGTCAATCAGGACCTTATGGAGCAATTTAAATGCTGTGCCATTTTCTTGAGTGACTCTATTGCCGATTTGCATTACAATGGCTTCTCTAACAGCATATTGTGGCCCCTTTTCCATTATCATCCGGGCGAAATGAACTTCGACGAGACAGCTTGGGCTGCTTATATTGAAGCCAATCGCCAGTTTGCCCGAAAGATTGTGCAGCAGGTTGGCGATAACGACATGATCTGGGTCCATGATTACCACTTGATGTTATTGCCCCAGATGTTGCGGGAGGAATTGGAGAATTGTGAAAAGACACCGAAGAACGTTAGAATCGGCTTTTTTCTTCACACTCCATTCCCATCATCCGAAATTTATCGAATTCTCCCTGTGAGAAGAGAGATTGTCACTGGTGTCTTGAGTTGCGATTTGATCGGCTTCCACACCTACGACTATGCTCGTCATTTCTTGTCCTCGGTATCAAGGATTGTTCCGAATGTGAACACTCTCCCAAATGGTGTGGAATTTGAAGGCCGGTCTATTCAAATTGGGGCATTTCCCATCGGCATTGATGTTGAAAAGTTCACGGAAGGTGTGAAGAAACCCGAAGTGGTAAAAAGGGTCGAACAATTGAAGCTGAAATTTGACGATGTTAAGGTCATCGTAGGTGTTGACAGACTTGACTATATCAAGGGTGTTCCTCAGAAGTTACATGCTTTTGAGGTGTTCCTCACAGAGAACCCAGAGTGGGTCGGCAAGGTGGTTTTGGTACAGGTTGCCGTTCCATCAAGAGGCGACGTTGAAGAGTATCAGAGCTTGAGGGCCAACGTCAATGAGCTTGTGGGCAGAATCAATGGTCGTTTTGGTACCGTTGAGTTTGTCCCTATTCACTACTTGCACAAGTCTGTCTCATTTGAGGAGCTCATAAGTCTCTACAGAGTTTCGGACGTATGCTTGGTCAGTTCAACCAGAGATGGAATGAATTTGGTCAGCTATGAGTACATTGCATGTCAACAGGAAAACAATGGTGTTCTTATCTTATCCGAGTTCGCAGGTGCTGCTCAATCGCTTAATGGTGCCCTTATTGTCAATCCATGGAGCTCTGAAGATATGTGCGAGGCCATTAAGGAAAGTTTGACACTCCCAGAAGAAAAGAAAGCCATCAACTTCAATAAAGTGTTCAACTACATCTCGAAATATACTTCGGGCTACTGGGGTGAAAGCTTCGTGAAACAGTTGTCGAAATGCAACGCTGAAAAAAAACCAAGTCAATGGAGTTAATCTCCAGGTACATTAGTCGAACGTTTTATTATCATGCCTATGTCGTCTGTAGTGTCTGTAGTGTCTATTCCACGTAGTCAAGTAAGTGGTCGTCATCACTTTGCAACAGCGAAAGCGTATGAGCTTCCAAATTCTCTATCAGAAGCGGTGGATGCCTAACGTTCTCCTTATCGTCCTCAGCCTTGTCCTTGATCGAGGTTGGCGAGGAAGCTGGTGTGAGCTGCTGCTTCTCGGCAAAGCCGCGGTTAAATGATGTGCTGTTGACGAGATGCTTATCAGCTGTAATAATTTGGGGCCGAATACCCAACTTGGACAACCACGAGCTCCCGGTATCAATGTAAGAATACGGGGAGGGCGCAGGTGGCTTATTGACGATCTCACTGCCCGAATATAATGAGGTCTCAGGCAATTGAGTTTTCTGGCGTGGGAAATGTAATATAGATGCTGAATTGTCGTCTGCTTCCTGATGCTTTTTGGCTTTTTCATGAACAACCCCAGGCGTTCAAGAGCGTAGTCAGACTGTCCCTCACGCTTTTCATCCTGATGGAAAGCAGACATAAGATATGGAAGCTCTTCGCCTAGAAGGGATTGTTGTACCATCGCTGTTGACAGAGACGAGAGCGAGTCCCTCCTTTGGGATTTGAATTCGGAATGAAGTTGATCAGACTTATGAGTTTGAAGTGTGTCGTCCGAATCTTCGGCTTGTTCGGCTCTCTTGGCCAACTCCTCTTTCGCTTGCTGAACTTTTTCAAGCTTGAAAACTTCAAACATCTGCTCCATATCACTGATGACCGCAAGACATTCATTTCTTTCCTCGATGTCGTCTCCGTCAACTGCGTCGTTCAACTGTTTCAATAGACTGACAACAAACCGCTTATATGATTGAACTGTCTGCTGCTGCTCTGGATTACCATCGCCCAACATCACTTCTAAGTCCGTTCCGATTGTTATGAGCTTAGCTTTCAGATATGCAACGGTGACTCTATCCCTGAGTTCGTCCTTTAGTTTGATATTTCGTAGCGTTAATGACGTGAGCAATGTGCCGCTATCACTTATAAATTCTAACGGTGATAGCGATTTCAGTGCATTGGTGATAAAGTCGACATCCGCAGATATCTTATTGAGTTTCTTGGTTAGCTCCTGACATGAATTGATGACTTGAAGAGAAACCTTGTTATTGAACAGTTTGTTCTCCTCTGTATTGGATTCGTCGAAATGGTCTGTTGAGCTTGCGTCAAGCGAAAAGAATGTCCAGTTTTTAAGATTTAGGTCTATCTTTTCTAACGTCTGTAGAATGCTAAGACTCAACTGGCAGAGTCTGGAAACTTTTCGTTCCGTGATTGCGAACCCATGAATGATCTGATTAATCTGGGAGTTCTTTGCTTTTTCTTTTAGAAGATCTGGGTCTCTGGCGAGTGCAAGGATCGGATCTTCATATGTGTTGTAACTGTCTATGGTGTATGACATTGTCTTCGGATGCTGTGTATGCTGAAAATGCTATGGCTGTGATGCAAATAGGTTAGGGGATATGTTTTATGATGACAATGAGTCACAACACTCTAAATGCTATGCTAATGGTTTAATGAATATAACGGATGATGCTGATGCTGCAGAGGAGGAAGTAAAAGTACAAGGACATTGGTATACTGTAGATAGCGCGGCTCCAATGGGTAGAACAGACTCTTCTGCAGGCGGCCTTGGCTTGCTCGTGTATATTTGGCTTACGGAAAGCATATTTTTTTTTTCTTTGCCAGAATACTTTCAATTCGTTCTAAATAGTCGCAGAGACAGCGTCGTGGCTCATAAGATTAATTGGGTGTTTGTGAACATTAAATGTGTAACCACTGGTGTGCAATCCTGGCCTGATCTTTTTCGCAACCAGCGCTCTGTAGCATTAATCTCGTGACAGCGACCCAGTTCTATAACCGCCTCAACTTGGATGGGCCGCGCGGTTGTCAATGCCTATAATCGTCGTCGTAAATCATCACTTCTTGAATTGTTGTCCCCACTGTTCAAGCGAGCCATTGGTATGTAGCGCAACAATCATCAACGTCATGTTGTCAAAGCCAATTCCTGTGATATTGTTTGCCATGCTGATACAGTCATTGAGCACATACTCACTGATATGTTGCAAATTCCAACCGTCCCGTAATCGTTTGCGAATAAGACGTATCAATTGATCATTTGTGTAGCAATCCCAGATACCGTCGCATGCCAATACAATGAACTCAGGCTCACTCAAGAACTTTAGATCGTAAACAAGAACATCAGGCTCAACGCTGACCTGATAGAGCTCAGGAGGGAGAGCAACCAAATTGTCTTTGATAAGCTTCCGGTTTTGTTCTAGGTATGCATTGTGACGTTCAGATGGGTTAAGCGAGAGCAAAGGCAACTTGAAGTTGAAGTCTCCGAAAGCACGAGACAAGGCCAAAACCTCGTTCACTCTTCCATTGATGACATAACCGCCGCTGTTCTCGATACGAACACGTTCACCCATTGTAGAAGGTTTGTGGTCAAACGAGAGATTCTTCAGCAAGCCACCTTTAAGCGAAAGAATGGATCTGGAGTCACCAGTATTGGCCACAATGACGTACTTTTTGGCGATAATAGTAGTAATAATAGCAGTGCTGCCACAGTTAGCGGCATCCGACTCCGGGAGCCCGGCATCCACTTGAAAGAAGCAATCCTTGATGAGGCGGATGTATGTCAGCAACTCTGTCTCTTTGTTTTTCTTGATTGTTGCAGAGAGCGTTCGGAAGATAGTTGCCACTAATTTCCCCTTCAAGATCTCGGCAATCTCCTTACCACCGTGACCATCAAACACGCCAAACACGGCAAGATTTTCATCATCGGAAACCCTGACATCATGGGCATCTTCCATGGTCATTCTATAGCCTTGCATCGAGCCTATGGCATAAGAAATGGTCGAATGCTCCCGAAAATCTATGGACTTCTCCTCTACCGGATGTGACAAGAGTTGACCCATGGAGTAAGTATGCTATTGAGCAGGGGGGATAAATTTAGCTTTCGGCGGGCGAGCTTCTCGGAATGCACTTGACTGGTAGGGTAAAAGCGGAACGAGACGAATTGTAACTCCGGTCAGGCAGACTGGCAAGCTTCTAGTATATTCGGAGGAGAGCTCGGATTGGCTGGTACAATCAGTTTAATTGGTCACAAAAGGGGTGAATTGTAAAAAGGTGAAAGCCACTTTTTTGGATTCGCCTCACTAGTCGCTCTCTTTTTTCCTCTCACTTTTTGGGGTGCTGATCCTCACTGCCTCAAAGCTAGTCCTGCAGTGGAGATATGGCTCAGTTCTATGGAACCAACTATAAAAAGCAATGGTCTTTCAGAATATTTTGAAGGGATTTATGAATTCTCTTCCTAAAATAGACCCCGATACTCCGTCGGGAGATGGCCATTACAAGGCGCCCAGAACCTTTCCTATCGGGCCACACTTCACTAGGTACGAGCACAACCCGATCTTGACTCCAAATCCAGAAAATACTTGGGAGGAGGCGTATGTTTACAATGCTACGGCAATTGTCGTGGATGGTCGAGTTTATTTGCTCTATAGAGCTCAAGATAGCCAGAAAACACTGTACGTGGGTATAGCGTGGCTGAGTGATGGCTACAACTTCAAAAGACACAACAAGCCGGTCTTGTACCCCACTGAGGAATGGGAGCAGAAAGGTGGCTGTGAAGATCCTCGGATTGTCCGTGATCCCGAAACCAAAAAGTTCATCATGACCTACACTGCTTACGATGGATCCTACGCACGATTGTGTGTGGCCGAGCTGTGGGACTTATTTGAGTGGAAGAAGCACCCACCTATTATCAAAAACGACGATTGGGCAGAAATAAGCAATGCACTCGATGGAACACAATTCATCCGTCGGGCTTGGCTGAAGAGTGGTGCCGTGTTTGTAGAGAAACACAAGGACGGGCAATACTACATGATCTGGGGCGAGTCCGGATTCTACCTTGCCACTAGCCCTGATTTGACACATTGGAAAATCACAAGCCACGACTATCTGAAAGCTGTGTACGCAACAGGCAAATTTGACTGGCAGGACCGGTTAATTGAGCCAGGACCGGCACCAATCAAGCTTGACACCGGAAACCCACACCAGAACTACTACATCTTGTTCTACAATTCGTCCACCACCGGTGCTGGACCGTACCCACAGGCAACTTATACCATCTCGCAGATGCTTATTGATTACGACAATTTGCAAGATGGACCTTTGGCACGTTTGGAGAAGCCGATTTTGGTGCCTGAAGATGCTGGTGAGATTGACGGCCAAGTCGATAAGGTTGTTTTTACTGAGGGAATCGTTCAGTTTAAAGGCAAGTGGTTCTTGTATTACGGCCAGGGTGACTCCAAGCTAGGCGTGGCCACTTTCCCTGCGTACTAGCAACCAAAACTCCTTTTTTCAGTTCAGTTCTTTACGTGTATGTCAAAATCACGGACTTTCCCCTACCCTGTAGATTTCGCAGCCAATACACCCGTGCACCATATCTAGATTATTTCCCTCTTTATCCAGCTATCCAACCGATGCCCTGTCTATGAAGTCACTTCTTAAAAGGCTGGCCCTCGATGTTGACAAACCAACCAATGACAAGGATCCAGTTCGTCTCGCCTTTCTTGGTGGTGCTAAGAGCGGAAAGACGTCTTTAATATCAAAAGTCACCATGGGGAGTTTTCGAGAGACATACTACCCTCTGCAACAAACACAACCAATACTTTTCACGTATTTCCCCGAGTCCATACTATCCAGACAAGTTCTCGATACTTACTCACCAAGAGACACGCTCAACCTGGCCTTGACAAGCGATAGAGTCGTGCTAAGTCCTGTTGTTTACAACAGTTTGGTGAGTAACACGACAAAAAGGCCTACGATGCCTGTTACCCAAAGCAATGGTGTGGCTATCCAAAGCAGCAACCATATCTACTCCATTTACACCCGCGGAAACTCAATCCAGTCCACTCCAATACTAATGGAGCTCATAGATACACCCGCTTTCAATCCCAAACAAGTGGTGCCGTTCCTAGAGGCATCGCTATACATAAAATTAGAAAAGGACATTTTACACAATCTTGCCAACGAGCCACGGCAGCCTGTCAGCACCAACCCATTAATCGTTGCCAGCGGAGCAAGCGAATTGAACGGAACTGTGGACGGATACTACTTTGTCTACAGTGCTGTACCATCCAGTCTTCCACCTCCCTACGACGAGTCCTTGGGCTTCTCCACGGCAAACAACGAAAATGGCTTCGATTTGCTTCCGGTAATGAAACAGACGCTTGACGAGGCATGGCAAGAATATTACACGTACAAGGTTTCGTGGGAGAGTGGTAAGGAGTCAGATGTATTCTCCTTCAAGACGGCTCTTCGCGGCTTACTTGTGGATGAGGTCAGAAAACCGGCACCCCAATCTCGTAGCCCTGGTGGCTCGAGACTTCTAGATATCTCTTCTGACCCGGCGGATCCGTCTTGTCCACCCCCTATTTGGCTTGTGTGTACCCACGCGGATCTGCCCCTTGCGTCGCCCAAATTAATAGAAGACGGAAGGCAGCTCAGCAAAACATGGAAATGCGGTTTTTTGGCAGTCGACGTGGAGTCTGACGTCGAAGAAGCCATTGCTCTTATGGTAAGAGAGCTCGTGGAAAGGCGCCAGCTACGGAAGAACTTTAAAAAAAATTAGCGCTCTGTTTGCAGCCATCAGCACCTTATGTAGTCTCATGCGCGATAACAGTACTATCAATCCAAGTTACCACACCTTCTCCTTCCTTCACATGAGTAGACGATTGCCATGTCAAAGCCCAAAAAAAAGCTTGCAAATGGCAATGACGTCCTAACACCGGATATGCTTTGTGCAAGATGTATCCAACAGGAGATTGAAGTGATACGCAGTTCCGTGATCTCAAACGAGAAGCTTAATGATCAAATGAGAGCTGAGATAGACGACGTCTTTGATAAATGCAAAAGTATACAAGATAGCAGGTATCCAGGAAATTTACAGAAAGAGCACAGAGGCTCACACGCCAAGCCAATCGAGGAAGAAGATGCACCTAAGCTGTACACAATCAAGGACTTAGCATTACAGCTTCAGAAGCTTGCCATTCTCAATTCCCGTCTCAAGCAAAATGACATTGAGAGGTCTCGACAGCTTTTGAATAAGCGAGTGGCTTCGCTCCAAACAAAAGTGGACGAAACGTCGCTGAAGATCAAAGAGAAGGAGAGTCTGGTACAGAGAATGAAAGAGACTATCATCAACCAGCACCGGGCACTTTCCAACAGCATCAATGAAAGGACCCTTAAGACCAAACATGTGGATTCTACAAGGGCTGCAAAACAGACCGCTATCATTCAGCATCACCACTTTAAGGTGCTACGCCAGGTGGTATTCCCGAAGTACGACTTGTGGAAGAACCAGCCACCAGGCCCAAAAAGTACAAGGGTCAAATTGGACTTCTTTGGGCAACCCATACTTTCACTAGAGTCCTTCCTACTGCATAACAACAAACTCATAGCCATCAATATGTTTTTGGAGAACCTCATACATCTCCAAGTACTCATGGTGGAATTATTGAGCATCGGTGGAACCCCTGTGCATCTTCCATTTCTCGACTTTCTCGTCCGTCAACTCCCTGATGGCAGTTTTTTTGATCAAGTTCAAGAGAAGATCAACTTTCTAGTTCATGACGAGAGTGAGGCAAACTCGGTTGAGAAAGAGCCATCGGAGGAGGAAGCTAACCAATTTCCTGGCCCTAGACCATCACTTGATAAGATCATCATAAAGGATAATGTGATTCAAGTGCCCTTGTCGTTCAAGACAGCTAACTTTCAACGCAGAGCTTCTGTACGGCTGGCGCTGTCAGAATCGCCTCCGACTGAGCTGTTTCATCCAGAGGTATTTCTGGAAACTCCCGAGCCGCCTTACCCTATAGAAGATAAAAAGCTCCAGAGCGAGAAGGTGAAGTCCAGTACTTTTCAAGGAAAGAAAATGGTGATCGTGCCCCATAAGATTCTAACCAAGCCATTTACAAAGCTCACGTTGAAAGAGTATTTGAAGTTTATTCTGGTAGTGGTGAAGATTTTAGTCAACTTCGAAATCCTTATACATCAAACGATTGATACAGTTCCACAACCCACCAAGAAGCAGTCAACCAGGGATTTGCTTTCCAGCACATATGGCCAATTGAGAGGAGAGCCAGAAAATAAGTCCGAGGAAAACGATCGAAGATACGATTTCAGGAAAACCTTGGAAAGCATTGCCGAAATGGACCAATACTTCAAACACAGAATTCAAGAACAATCAGTTTCCTTGAAGCCACAAGTGTCGCATGGTGCAATGAGCTATTCCATGCTGAATGGTGTGGGTGTTGATATCAATCACCTACCTTCTACTGCCTCTTCAGGTGGAACTGAGGATTCGTATCCGACCACGGCTCACGCTAGTCTCCATACCCACGAGAGTTCCTCGAAACTCAGAGAATTCTACAGCAACTATTTATCCAGAGCACCGTCCCAACCCAAAATTCAGCAGAATTCAATTACTGACACGGATCAGAAGATCTATGGTGCCGTCAGCGAGGGGTTTCTGGATACAGATGAGGATACGAGTAAGTCTTCTATTAAAGTAGATCGCTCGACCGAGCCGGACTCGGCCTCAAAGCAAGAAATTGACTTTTACGATCTCAAAGAGGTGATGGACAACGTGCACAAGCTAGTAGCGAATGGCAAACGCAGTGGCCGAGATAACGGAGATGACGATGACGAGGCTGTCAAGATTGCTACTCAAACCATGATGAAGAACACTAGGTCACATCTTGCCGATTGGGATGTCGTAAGTCGTCTTTACTAATCTATAGTAGAGCGTGGATCGCTCGCACTGAACAGAAATTGTAGGCCATTTTGCAGCCAAGGTAGTGCGTAACGGTGAGCATGCCACAGTAAATGCCTGCATGATGATTGCTGGTCTAATTATCGACGAAAAGCGATAACCTATCCTCATTCCTAGTGAGATTGAACGTTCATCGTCCCCGACCTAGAATTTCCGTTCACAGCTCAATCTTTGTGGAGACTCACCGAATATGTTGTCAGACAAGGAATTGTACGAATTGAACAAGAAGGCCGTCACTGAGGGCTTCAAGATCAAGCCAAGAATCAATTACAACACCGTCGGTGGTGTCAATGGTCCTTTGGTCATTTTGGACAACGTCAAGTTCCCTTCCTTTAATGAGATTGTCAACTTGACTTTGCCTGATGGATCTGTCAGAGCTGGCCAGGTGTTGGAAGTTAGGGGCACCAAAGCTATTGTCCAGGTGTTCGAAGGTACATCTGGTATTGATATCAAAAAGACAAAGGTTGAGTTCACTGGTGAGAACTTGAAGATTGCCGTCTCTGAAGATATGTTGGGACGTGTTTTCGACGGTTCTGGTCGTCCAATTGACAAGGGCCCCAGAATTTTTGCTGAGGACTACTTGGACATCAACGGTTCTCCAATCAACCCATACGCCCGTATCTACCCCGAGGAAATGATCTCGACCGGTGTTTCTGCTATTGACACCATGAACTCGATTGCCAGAGGCCAGAAGATTCCTATTTTCTCTGCTTCCGGTTTGCCACATAACGAAATCGCTGCTCAGATTTGTAGACAGGCTGGTTTGGTTAGACCTACCAAGGATGTTCACGATGGTCATGAGGAGAATTTCTCCATTGTTTTCGCCGCCATGGGTGTGAACTTGGAAACCTCCAGATTCTTCAAGCAGGACTTTGAGGAGAATGGATCTTTGGAAAGAACCTCCTTGTTCTTGAACTTGGCTAACGACCCTACTATTGAGAGAATTATTACTCCAAGATTGGCTTTGACCACTGCCGAGTACTTGGCTTACCAAACCGAGAGACACGTTTTGACAATCTTGACTGATATGTCCTCTTACGCTGACGCCTTGAGAGAGGTGTCTGCTGCCAGAGAGGAGGTTCCTGGTAGAAGAGGTTACCCAGGTTACATGTACACAGATTTGTCCACCATCTACGAGAGAGCTGGTAGAGTTGAGGGCAGAAACGGTTCCATCACTCAGATTCCAATTTTGACAATGCCTAACGATGATATTACACATCCTATTCCTGATTTGACCGGTTACATTACCGAGGGTCAGATCTTCGTCGATCGTCAATTGTCCAACAGAGGCATCTACCCACCTATCAATGTCTTGCCATCTTTGTCTCGTTTGATGAAGTCTGCCATCGGTGAAGGTATGACAAGAAAGGACCACGGTGATGTTTCTAACCAGTTGTACGCCAAGTACGCTATTGGTAGAGATGCCGCTGCCATGAAGTCCGTCGTTGGTGAAGAAGCTTTGTCCACTGAGGACAAGTTGTCCTTGGAATTCTTGGAGAAGTTCGAGAAGAACTTTATTGCCCAGGGTGCCTACGAAGACAGATCTGTGTTTGACTCTTTAGATCTCGCCTGGTCCTTGTTGAGAATCTACCCTAAGGAGATGTTGAACAGAATCAGTCCTAAGATCTTGAACGAGTTCTACGACAGAGCCAGAGAACAGGACGATGACGATGAGGAAGAGAACCCCGACAAGTCCCACGACTTGATCGACGCCTAAGCATCCGAACGCTAATTGTTCCCGACTTCATTTCATAGCATATTGTCTCTTTACTACATTAGAGTGCTCTCATTTTTCCGTACCTTTTTAAAACAAAAGCTATTCACGTAATGATTATATTCACAGTAGACTGTTATGATGCTATAGAATGAATGTGTGACGTGTGTACGTCTAGGCCGCGTTGGCCTCTTGTTGCTTCTTCAAATTACCAATGTGATTGATGGCGGAACCAGCCTTGAAGAAATCGATCTGGTCCTTGGACATTGTGTGCTTACAGAGAATCTCGAACTCTCCAGAGCCATCCCTCTTGGTGACCTTGACTCTCACGGTACCTCCGTTGTTTCCGTCCTTAGCAACCATGTCTTTCAAATCGACAGTTGTAAGCTGGTCACCTGCAACGATCTTGTCGTAGTCAGCCTCATCAGCAAAAGTCAATGGCAACATACCCTGCTTCTTCAAGTTGGTCTCGTGGATTCTGGCAAAGGACTTGACCAAAATAATAGAACCACCAGTAAATCTGGGAGACATAGCAGCATGCTCTCTGGCAGAACCCTCACCGTAGTTGTGCTCAGCAACAACAATCCAAGGACGCTTCTCCTCCTTCCACTTGAACATCAACTCTGGGATTCCGTAGGAGTCACCATTGAGGTCGTAAGCGGTGTTGACTTCTCCAGTTTCCTTGTTGACAGCACCGATCAAAGTGTTGTAGGAGATGTTCTCAAGATGGCCCTTGTACTTTAACCATGAACCAGCGGCAGAAATGTGGTCGGTGGTACACTTACCTTCGACCTTCAACAAGACAGTAGTGGACAATTCCTCGCCAGACCAAGGCTCGAATGGGTCCAAGATTTGGAGTCTGTCGGAGTCAGGAGAGACGTTCACCTCAACCTCAGGCTTTGGTTGTGGGTTAGGGTCAGGATAGAATTCCTCACGGCCCTTGATGAAACCGTCACCAGGCAATTCAACACCCTGGGGAGGCTCGAACTTGAATTCTTGACCATCATCGGTCTTGATGGAGTCAGTGAGTGGGTTGTAGTTCATGTCACCAGAGTAGATCATGGCGGTGACGATGTCTGGCGAGGTCAAGAAGTTCATAGTGTTTCTGTTACCGTCGTTTCTGGCTCTGAAGTTTCTGTTGAACGAGGTGAAGATAGCGTTGGATGATGTGGAGGTTTTTGGAACATCAGATCTGTCCCACTGACCAATGCATGGACCACAAGCGTTGGCCAAGACAACGGCACCGTTTCTCTCGAAGATGTTTGTCAAACCGTCTCTTTCAATAGTGGCTCTGATCTGCTCGGAACCGGGGGTGACAAAGAAAGGAATCTTTGGCTTCAAGCCAGCCTTCTCAGCTTGCATGATGATAGACACAGCACGGGACATATCCTGGTACGAAGAATTGGTACATGAACCAATCAAACCGGCACTGACCTCGGAGGGCCAGCCATCAGACTTAGCCTTGGTGCCAAAGTCAGAGATGGCAGTGGACAAATCTGGGGTAAATGGACCGTTGATGTGAGGCTCCAAGGTGTTCAAGTCAATCTCGATAACCTTGTCGTACTCGGCGCCTTCGTCGGCCTTCAAGAAGCCGTACTTATGCAAGGCAACATCAGCAGCCTGGGAAATAGGACCTCTGTTTGTCTGAATCAAGTAACGACGGTGAGCATCCTGGTATGGGAAAGTGGAAGTAGTAGCACCAATCTCAGCACCCATATTACAGATAGTGGCCATACCGGTACAAGACAAGTTCTCCACACCTTCACCAAAGTACTCGACAATGTAACCAGTACCACCACGGACAGTCAAGATACCTGCAAGGTGAGTGATGACGTCCTTAGGAGAGGTCCAACCGTTCATCTTACCAGTCAACTTGACACCCAAAATCTTTGGAGCCTTCAATTCCCATGGGGTGCCAGTCAAACCGTCAACAGCATCAGCACCACCCACACCAATGGCTATAGCACCCAAACCACCAGCATTAGGTGTGTGTGAGTCTGTACCCAACATCATCAAACCAGGGACGGAGAAGTTCTCCAACACAATCTGATGAATGATACCAGAACCGGGGCCCCAGAACTGAATACCGTATTTTTCACCGCAACTCTGCAAAAAGTCAAAAACTTCCTTGTTGGTTGCAATCGATGAGGTCAAATCGGAGTCCGCACCATCCTTGCCCACAATCAAGTGGTCACAGTGGATAGAGGCAGGGACAGCAGTGCTTGACATACCAGTAGTCATAAACTGCAATAAAGCTGTCTGAGCGGAAGCATCTTGCATGGCTACCCTGTCTGGGTGCAACTTCAAGTACTGTTGACCACGGATATTACTCAAGTCACCATTGCAGGTAGCCAAACTGTCCAGGGATCAACCAAATGGGAGTACAAGATCTTTTCAGCCAAAGTCAAAGGCTTGTTATTGACCAACTTCTTGACCTCACCCAAGTTGGATATGAGCTTAGCATAGGGAGGTGTTCTGGCTTGGTACTCTGGAGGAACCGAAAACGAAGCTGCAAGATCAGCATTAGTAGCCAAGGTCCTAACGGAGAGCCTCCTCGAGACAATAATGGAGCTTCGAGTGGCTAGCATTATCTTGTGTTTACTCTGTTGTTTCTATGTGTGAATCACTCGCGATGTATTGGTAGTAAATTTTTCAATACTATACCCCACTATGCACCAAGGTCCTACACCTCGGCCAATAGATAACACTGTAGTTGTGCTTATAACGCGCGGAAGCATAAAAGACCTGTCTAGATAATGTGACTCACCGCTCTCATTGCCGTGCGCAGGCCTACCTGGTGTATCACACCCGTGCCTCTCTCTATCTTGCATGTCCACGTGAGAAAACGCATTCGTTTGTTCTCTCTGATTTCGCAGCCACTCTAACAGCTACTAGTCTCGGCACCTAGTTCACCCTGGGTGTGTCCCTAGGCTGCAAATCACAACTCAACTTCCAAGCTCTATCTTCTTCACCCTTATTGAGCTGAGCAATTTTGAAAAATTCAAGTAACACAAGTTCTTGCAATGCAGGGTTACTCACAATCTTCAAGTCAGCAGTGGTGTTCTTACCAAGATTGAGTGAGAATCTAGATCTTCTCCTCGAGCCGTCTTCTTCCACGTAGCGAACCTGCAAACTTTCGATATCGGCAATCACTCTGGTGAGTTTGAGATGCTTGTCGATATTAATAAGCTTCTGGTTCAAGAATGTGTTGGCCTTCCTGTAGTTAGGATTACCGTCCGTCACGAAGGTCAAATCTTGGAGGAACAACGAAAAGTATGGCACCACAGGATAATTGTACTCGCCATTCTCCAAGAAGAATCTCAACTTCTCTCTGTAGACACTGAAATTGTTTTGAGGGTGTGCCACATTGCAGAGGTACTCGTAAAGATGAGTATACTTCTGTGGAAGCTCGTCCCAAATACGCTTCACTCTGGTGATCAAGTGTGATTGCAAGGAAGTAATAATGGCAACCATTGAGTTAAAGTTACGCATCTCGTAGCAACTGAAACCGACTTTAAGCCATTGCTTGACGTGATTGACCCTCTGCTTGTCAGTGAGTCCGGGTTGCAAAATTGACTCAAGAACGTATCCAGACAAACAGTTTGTGAACAACAATGATTGACGAACATTGTTGGCAAGTTTGAGATGCGCTTTCTTAGCGGTGTAATTCTCATTGAGCAATTCACTGGACTTAATGGAGCAGTAAATCTCCGACTCAATCAACGTCAATTGATTGGAGAACTCCAATACCTGGAAGTCCAACAAGTTTGGTCTGTATTGATCCAATTCCCACTTCTCTTCACACAAATTGAACCATGTTGACAACATAGGCTTGAGTGGAATGGTATGAAGTACTGCTGATTCAACAAAGTGGCGAGGACACCATGCGTCACCAAGCACCTCTCTAAACTTCATTACCGTAGTCTCAACTGTAGCCTGTTGCGTTTTACTCAATAAAGTTCCCGATGAAGGGTTCAGACCTGAGAGTGAAAGGCCTAAAGTCATCGACTTCAAGGAGCTGGCAATCGAGCTGCTGGAGCTGATTCTGGAAAGCTCATTGTCCTCAATAATGGAAAAACGGGAAGTATCCTCGAGATCACGGAGGTCGGCTCCTGAATCCTTCCTCTCGAACTTCTTGAGAGTGATATGTCTTTCAACAAGCTGCCTCTTATCCTTTCCTTTGCTGTCTTTGATGGACAATTTAGCTGCAAGTTCTATCAACTTCATGGCATCAAGAGGAAGGTGTGGATAAATACCCTCATTGAAGAAATTGATAAGAGTGCACAACAATGGACTATCAGATTCATAGCTCCAAAATGACTCCATCCAAATTTTGAAAATCGCTATGATCAAACGTCTTCTTTTCTTCAAACGAACTTCGAGTAGGGCATCTGAGTTTTCTTGCTCTCCTTCACTTTCTTCGAACCTCGAGATGAGTCCCTCGAGCAAGTCAATGCCACTTGCAAAGCTCCTCAAACAAATGAAAAATCCTGAAATAAAGAAGTATTGTGGTGGTGAGTCCTCATTTGTAAGCGTGTAGATTAATCCCTTGAAAGAGGCACCCAATAACGTTCCATTTGCGTCAACAAGAAGCTCGTCTTTGATGGAATAGGCTTTATTTTTGCCCAAGTCCTTGGAAATAAAAGGTTGAAATTCGGCGGTGGTCGCGTCGAATGGAGTATCGTCAGTTTCAAGAAGCATGACTTTGTGAAGCAGGTCAACGCCATTAGGGGTCATCCCAAGACCACCTGCTTTACCTGACCTAAACATGGAATAACGGTTTGTGCTTCTTCCATTCTTCTTCTTCATCACCCTCAAGTCCTTGTTCTTGAGAGAGTGCGATTGAACCATTCCAACGGAGCATTGGCGAATGAAATCAACAGGGTCAATTCTCATTTTGAGGTAATCTGGATAAGACCTCTCAGAGCTCAACTTGAAATCCCCCACGTTGTCGAACAACTCGTTGATCGAACGAACACTGCTATTGATCGCCTTGATCGTTCTGGCTGCAACCTGCCTCAAGCGGATTCCTTCGGCAGTGAAGGTGTAATCTTGGTTTTGAGAGCTCTCGCCACTGAATGCTCTTGATTCCTGGTCAGCACCAACAGTTTTATTGATGAGCACTTTAACACATGTCACGAGCTGGTCACCAAATGACATGAAAGCATCCATTGAAGCATCGAGTTCAGTTGACTTGCTTGAAGTGTATTCAAGACCAGTTTTGGAAATAAATAGGAGCTCACTGAGAAGGAGTAGAATGTGACAGGATATCTTTTCAAGTAACTCGCATCCTTGAGGATTGTGTTCGATCAAGTCTAAACGACCCATTATGAGAGATAAGTATGAGTACAAGATGCCCTTGATCTCTGTCACACGCTGCTTCGCCAAGGGAGGTGTACGAAGAAGTGGATATGTGTTGATATCGTTTCGAAGCCTCTTCTCGGCTTCTTTTTGAATGATGTCCTTGCTCTCTGTGAGCCAAACGTCAAAAAAATAGACGCCTCTTCTTATAACCAGGAGAACAAAAAGTGTTAAGATTTCGACTTTATCAAAGTTTGTGGTTCCCTTGTACTCGGCAGCTTTCTTCATGAGTTCCCACCAATCGTACATGAAAGCTTTTCTGGCTTTACGGACGACGGGCTTTTTCACAATTATTTCGCTTGATCTCGAAAGACAGTCAGTCTCATCTAGCAAACAGCGAACTCCATCCTTGATGTCATTCAAATGTTTGTTTGAAAAGGTTTTTCCATTAGGACCATTTCTTGAAAGTGGATTAGAAAGAAACCTGCCACAAGCATTCAAAAGTGGAAACATGAAATGCGAGAACTTGATTTCATCAGAGTCCACCTCCTCGCCTTGGGTAGCATCTTGTGGGGTTATAGCCATTGCAAAGTAGTTCATTGGCACCCAGCCTCTCTCCAACGTTTCGATAAGAATGACTTCACCCCAGCCGGAGTCATCTATCGTGTGGACAAAAGCAATGTCATTCTTCTCGAATGACAAGCAAACAGAGTTTTCAGACTCGAGTTGAGATTGAGTAGCGTCAAAGGAATGCAATGCCCGGATGAAAAGGGAGGACATATCTTCATCCTCTGTCGTACTGGAAGCAGCAGACCATCTGGATGGGTCAATTCTGTCCGAAAGTACATCCACACCTGAATCATTAGCAGCGCTATTCTCACTTTCACCATATATTATATTAAGGCCGCCAGCGGGCTTTTGAAGTTTGGCAGCTGCTTGAAGATCGCCTCTAGGGGGTACATCATCTTGACTAAGGTCTGGATCTGTCAGTACATCAGCACGCATGGGCGCACTGGAAAGGTTGGACGAGGTACTGAGCACGGATGTGTCTTCATCGGTTGGAGTGGAAGGAGCAGGTAGGGAATCAGTCTTCTCGTGAATCCTCTTGTATAGCAAACTGGTCCTGCTTGTCCGATCTTGGTTTTGGGCCTGAGCTTTGTGAGCATTGGAGCTGAAATTATTATGGAAGATGTGGGATTCCCTGGAAACGTTGGAGCCGGTTTGAAGCAAGGTGACGGAGAGTCTCTTAAACTTTTGTGGTAATTGCAGCTGGGATGCGCTGGATCTGGATGTGGATTTGTAGCCATTTGCATTTTGTGCCTCGAAAATGCCGTTCGTGTTCAAGACAGGAGTTTTGTCAAAAATAGAATCATTCGTACCGTGCATCTCAGAATTAAGGCGTGGCGTCTCGTCTGGATCGATAGAGTCTGGAATGGCTTCCGCTGTGTTGTCATTGGAGTCTTGCTTCAACAAGGAGTTATTGATGGAGGAGAAGCTTGGTTCGCTGCCGTTCGTGGCAGTGTAGTAGGATCTGAAAGTCTGGCTGGAAGTGTCAGGCATGATAGAGTTGCCGTCGCCTGCTTGCTGATGATAGGAGCCTTGGGAAGCTTCCTCGTTGTAGTCCGAACCAAATAGCTCGGACGACTGGTCAATCTCGTCCTCGTTCTCTTCTTCTATGACGGGGTCATTGGGAAAAGTGGATTGACGCTGGCTCTCTACCGGCGAATAGACGCTCAGAGAGACAGAAAAGTGTGGTTGAGACATGCTTTGAAGTGTCAGTTTTTTTTGCTGATCTTAGCAGTGTAATTTCTCAATAGTAGTTCCGTTACCTCGGGTAAAAAGTCTAAGATCGAACAAACATTCCTTCGCGTAGCCACGCAGGACGCGTTCCTGAAAAGGGAGTGTAATGTCGACAACCGCCTGCAGCAGGGACAAGAATTACGTCTACACATTAGAGCGAATTTAAATTTCTTGGTCTTATCAATTCAAAAACAAATCCCAAAATCAAATTCTACAATCTGAATTGTGCAAATTTGCTTGTGCTTGGCACTAATATGAGACCGTTGCAGACATCGTTTGAATTTAAGCGCGGACACTCATCCAGTCACATCTCTCCTTTCGTCTAGGCAAACTCACCTATATTACCTAGGAACTGAATGCGCTTCCATTTTGCTCCTTTTGGGTCCTTCTCGAGCTTGTGCATATTCTTGTATCTAAGAATCGCTCACAACCAACCTTTGTCTTTGTCTGAAAAAGATTGATTCTGCACAAGTTCATCTATCGGAGAAAGCACATCTAGTGGTCCGGTCCAGATGGCGCCTAGATCGAGATCGCTCTTATCTATTTTTCTTTTCATTCCATGCTGAAACTTCACGTCTCGGCGCTGTAAGGGCACTTTTTCGAGACGGTGCACCTCGAGCGGCTCAGGCATCGCACTATTCAGGCCAAATGGGCTTCACCTGTCCTATTCTCTGCAGCCTGTCTAATAATAACTTGCATAAAGAGCTGTGGCCAGAATCCAAATCTGGGTTCGAGGATGGACCGATGCAACTGTCGGTGCGTTTGACACTATTGTGAAGTTTACCATTGAAGGTATACTTTGGTTTTGCTAAGCCACCATTGAACGGATGTAAGAGCACTTGAGCGTCACAGTGGTTGTCGGTGATTACGGACCCACACCGAGACATCACTTTCAAGAACCGACAATAGCCATTGATAGGATTTCACTGGAACCAATACAAAAAATCGAATCCATGGTGGTACCACAAAAGAAAACACCTCGGTTGCAAAGCCTACTCCTGTGATGCTAGACTCATTCGACCTCTGCATCCCATTCCACCCAAAACGGATTTGATGATTTCTTGGAACTTCATAATTCTAGAAATACAGCAGTTCCGAACCTTTTAAATAATTTGTCGAGGTACATTATCAACTTTTGGCAGCCACTATTTGCCCTGCGCGACCTACCTAGACTACTCTTCGCAAATCGAATCTTTTGTACCGTATCGCAACGCTTGTATTTGAACCACCAACTTTATAGACTCCATGTACACATGCCTAACCTGTCAGGCCGAAGGCCTGGAAGAGTTTGGTAAGCATTTCACAACAACAAGACATAAAAATGTGAAATTCAATGACATAGACGAAACCATCAAGTGTGAGGAGTGTGATGATACCAATATTCACGGTTTGAAGATGATACGATATGGCCTAACCGCCATCACTCTTCGTTGTGCCGAGTGCTCGAAACTGTCTGACCCGGAGGCCGAACTGGCAACGTACTCCCTTTCAAATGGCTCCCTTTTCACCAAGTTACCTCAGTATTATACTTACAGAGACATCGAATGCATGCGTTGCGGGAGCGATAAAAACGTCATGGTGGCCGATAGAGGTCATGATAAGTACATTTACTGTCGTGACTGCCGTGGTCTCACTGAAGATATTCCATCAGGCATGAGCTGGATCCCAGAAAACCATCAAGGATTCTTGCAGGCCTTGCTTGGTATCACCGAACATGTACCTAAGCTGAAGGGCAAGGCGCCGGTACGTAAGGGAAAGAAGAGCGACAAACCCAGGAGGCCAAAGAAGGTGGATCCTAATGCGGAGGAGAAGAAGGCGTATTACGAAGCCAAAATGGCCACAAAAGCTCAATTTCAACTGGGTACGACTATCAAGGCTAAAGGATCTGAAACTGCAAACTCGAATCAAGGAAGTCGTTTCTCCCTGAGAGGTAGTACCAAATCCCCTGTGCTGAGAAAAGGTACGCCTAATAATTCTAAAGCCCAGAAGCTAGAGGCCCTATTCCAGATTCGAAAACAAAGCTGCATCAAGCGAAAGGCAAGCTGGCCAATGGCTCAAAGGGGCCTGAAGTAAAGAATGGTAAGTCAGTCACCGATAAGCCTGCGTTTAATGTCAAAAAGGCTGAAAGCACGAAGAAAAATGGGACCGCCGGGGAATCCAAATTAGTGCAACCCACACCTCGCCCTCCTGTTAAGTTACCCGCTGGCATCTACGAGTATCAGCCGTCAGCGGAGCCTCGTCTTCAGTATAGTGATATGACCACTTACTACAATGAGATGTGCTTCAACTTATTCCTCGAAGAAAAGGCTGCTCTTGCGAACAATAACTCCTCGGTGTTACAGAGTGAAGATTTCGTTTTGGAATGGTACGCTCAGCAGGACGTCAAACACAAGCAGTACAAGGTTCAAATCCTTCTCACCCAGGATATTCTTGATCGCTATATGTCAAAAAATTTGCAAGCTGTTAAGAGCACACCTTTCGCTCAAGACCAGGGTATGATTCTTGTGTTAGATGACAGGATTCCATGGTATGGACGGATTGCCATGGTCGATACCTTCAATCCGGAGAAGCCCTCTCTCAAAAAAGGGCGTAAGGGAGAGGAAAACCCAGAGGTCCGAAGCCAAGTGGGCCTCAAGTTTGCGAAATGGCCATTGAACTATACCTGTGGAACACGATGCCTTTGCCCACTGCGGTAGACGTGAACTACCTCACACTTCTTCCCGTCTCAGTTCCAACCTCGAGGATATTTTTCGCTATGCTGAAGCTTCTGAACCCCAAGTTCAAAGACTTATTGTTGGGACAGAAAGAGGTTAAGCAGCTTAATTTCAAGAATTACTTGCAATTGACGAAGGATACATTTAACGAGTCTCAAAAAGTTGGCTTGCAATCTGTTTTGAATAACTCAATCACTGTCTTGCAAGGTCCTCCAGGCACTGGTAAAACTTCCACCATTCACGAAATCATCTTGCAAATGTTAGAGAAGATGCATACCTCGCCAATTTTAGTTGTCGCGGCCTCCAACATTGCAATCGACAATATTGCTGAGAAGCTCTTAGAGAAACACGGGAAGTCGATCTTAAGAATCACTTCGTTGCAGAAAGAGATCGAATACAACAAAGAACATCCATTGGCTTCAATTTGTTTGCATCATAAAGTTTACGATGGGTTACCTGCCCATCAGCAAGAGGCGTTGAAAGCTCTCAGAAGACCAAATGAAAAGATTTCCAAGGCTCAGTACCTGAAACTTATGTCATCGATCATCGACTTTTCAAACAGGATAATAGCTCTGAGTAAGGTGATCTTGACGACGACTGTCACCGCTGGTGGTTTGCAATTGAAAGCTCTCCCCAGAATTCCGATTGTTATCATGGATGAAGCCACTCAGTCTTCCGAGCCGTCTACACTTATCCCTCTTTCCATGAATGGGGTTGAAAAGTTTGTTTTTGTTGGAGATCATAAGCAACTCAGCAGCTTTTCAGATATTCCAAACCTTTCATTATCGCTTTTCGAAAGAATTCTCCGCAATGGTACTTATAAAACTCCCCACATGCTTGATACGCAATACAGAATGCATCCGGCCATTAGTGAATTCCCAAGACACAAGTTCTACAACGATCTACTTAAAGATGGTATCACGGCTGAGCATCGAATCAAGGAAGGAATCCCCGCTAACCCTGTGACTTTCTGGGACACGAATGGCAAAAAACCAGAGAAGATTGTTTGGAGCAGATTTAAGAGCGAAGGTGGTATGACTTACGCGAACCAGGGTGAGATCTTGAGTATCGAGAAAGTGTTGATGACTCTAATTTATGACAAGGGCATCAAAAAGTCTAACATCGGTGTGATCACGCCTTATAGAGGTCAAAGAGACTTAATTTCAAATACATTGGTGAAAAATGACCTTATCAATCCAGATAAAGATGTCATTCATGAGGATGTTGATCGTGATGACTTTTTTGACACCTCTAAGCCCGTCACCATCCACACTGTCTCCGATATAATGATTGCTTCTATCGATGCCTTCCAAGGAAGAGAAAAGGATTTCATGATCATGTCTTGCGTACGCTCCAATAAGGATAATAAGGTGGGTTTTTTGAAGGATGAAAGGAGACTCAACGTCGCATTAACTAGAGCACGGTACGGGTTGATCATTATTGGAGATGCAACCTGTTTGAGAAATGACCCCTTGTGGAACGAGTATATCGAACACCTTACCTCGAAAGGGCTGTTACTTTCTGGGGACGAGTTTGTGTACTCGTGATATAGATTACCTAGATAAAATATTTATTTTTACTTTTAAGAATCTTTCTTTTGCTGAAGCTTCTCTTCTTTCTCCTTCTTTTCCTCTCTCTGCTCTTTTATCACGCCGAGCAATCCGAATAAAACAATTGCACCGAGCGGACCTAATAAGGGTAAGAAAACTGCAAGTTTGTGCTCACTTGGGAAGTACGCTTGTTGTACCATCTCCTTCTCGAAAAATGCTTTGTCAGAATTCTCTAAACCCCTGGCAGAAGCCTCAACTGCGGAATCGAAGTTTCCTTCTCGAAGTCCGATCAAGGCTTCATTGTAGAATTGTAAACTCTCCACCATGTGGGAGCGCGTGGACTCTGGAACTGAGATTTCATTCAATGACTCGGAAAGAGTCACCAAGGAAGCAAGGTTCTCTAACAAATGCTTGAGGTTCTTGACAACCATGGTCCTGTGAAAGGAGTCGATTCTCATTAGTAGACTTTTTGGCTGTTTGGGTAAGCCAATAAGCTCGAGGAGTTGAGAAGCAAATGTATCAAACATTGGCGTCCATTTTTCCTTTGTGAGGGTATACGTGAAGTCCTCTAGAACTGGCATGGGAGAGTTGTAGATGTAGACACCACCCCACTGAGGAACTATGAATGAGTTCGTATTCGAATGCTCCAAAACAAGCGGATGACCCTTCAGGTTACTTGCGGGAAAAAAGACAATGAAGTTGATCGTAGGGTACACGTCATGGGTGATCAAGTTCCAGTCTCCATAGTTGATGAAGGTAGACAAATCCTTTGTTGGGACAACGTACTGATTGGTAGTATTGTCGAAAGTTGGAGGACTGTGAAGCTTGCTGTAGTATTGGATCTGTGAGCTGACTTTGAAGTTGGTATAATGCTTGAAAATGTCAAATATGGGCTGCATGGTAGAGACTGCTTCCTCTATCTCCCAGTCTACCGAAATGCCATTCTCCACAAGAAGATTGAAGACAACATTGTAAGTGGATGCATGTGGGACTGCTATCTCGTGGTGTCCCCCCTTTTTGCTGAGGTTGTTGATCGTGTTCATAACAAATTCTACTTCATCCTTGAAGATTATCTCAAACAAGTTGATCAACTCTTTTATCACACAGTCGTTGCAGTTCACATGAATAGTCAGTGCTTTTGAGTTAGGGGACAAGCATGGGCTGTCCTTGCCGTCGAATGCAATGTCCACCACGTAGTCTTTAAATGCATCTGGGGTGTGATCTTTCGAGGCAATCAACTGCACACCCCAGTTGCCCTTGACTTCCCATTTTCTTTGTAATTCAAGGTCAACCTGGGATTGGAGAGACTGAAGATCAAGTTCCTTTTCACTCTTCAAGTAAATAGGAACCTTGATTTGAATGGCCTCTTCGAACCCTTGTCTGCGTTGGTTCAAGTCCTCAATTGGCAAGACAGCACGATAGGTACTCGTGGTGTACATGAACATTGGCACTCCTAGAAAGAGCACAAAGGCAAAGATCATCCACACCACAGACCTACGAGCTGTCTTGGTTGGTTCAGACTCGTGGCTTTTCTTCATTATTCTAAAAGACCTGGTTGGTAACCGTGCGCGAAAGTGAAGTATGTGTTTTGCAACCGGTACTGAGAGGAGGGAATCATAGAAGAATGTTGCCTACTTTTCTAAAGTCAAGCCTCTATTCATCTAAAAAGCATGATTATATTAGGATATTTTTTTCGAAAAATTTTCACTATGTAGTCGAAGCTCTCTACGTGAGTCTACATAATTCAGTGAAAAGTTCATTACGCGAACAAAGTGCAAACTTCTCGCTCTCATACAACTGGTGAAGTTCAGACTTTCTCTTCTTCCGCAAAATGTTCAAGAAAGACCCCCAACCCAAACCGTCATCAAACATCAAATCTTCCGAAAGACGCGGTCTACTAGCAACAGTCTGCAAGGAATATGGCATCAATAAAGAAGAATTGCCTAAAGAGACAGAGCTTAAGATTGTCCCTGCCACGATCAAGCAGGCGAGCTACCAGAGCGTTCAGGGCCACAAGGGCATAATCTACTTCGACACAGATGAAAAGCCGGTTTGGTTCAAGACAAGAGACTCTCCATTGTATCCCACAATCTATACTATGTGGCAAGTCGGTGGCATTCTACCAATCATTCTCACCAATAACCATGTTATCGAGAAGTTAACAACCAACGCCAACCTCATGTTACCGGGAAGCATTCCTCCATTCGATCTGAGAGCAACAAGAGGAGCCCTAGTCGGAATTGCTAGCTACCAGACCCCCACTGTGGTGAAGGCAATTGGTCATTGCTCTCTCAACCTTACCCAGTTCGACAATGTGCAAGGTCGTCAAGGCACTGCAGTGACGGTGATCCATGTCATCGAAGATGAGCTTTTTAAACTATACGATAATGATGTGGAAGTACCTACTTTAGTGGATCCATATTCCCCATCTGCGTTCGACAGTTTAAACAAAACTCTCAAAGCTTTGTATGGTGAAGACGAGGAAGACAGCGATGGCGTTGACGATGGAGAAGTTGACGAAGAAGATACGAGCAATAACGGCGAATCCACAGAATTGCCAGAGAATGACACCTCTAAAGAAGAGAATGGCGATATTCAAGATGCCGCAATTGATGAGATATCTGAAACAGTCGAGGAGCTACTGATTGAAGACATCGACAACTTCTTCAATCGTGCTTTCCTTCAACTGGTGAAGCTTAATCCATCAATCGAGCTTCCGATATCCGCCTCGCAATTCATGGGACAATATGTTCTCAAAAATTTGCCCAAGATGGACTCAAAATACTGTAATGTCAAGAAAACATCTTGGAAGAAAAGCGCCAAATTTCTTAAGGCCTTGGAGAAAGAGAAGTACGTACAGCTTAAGGGCAAGGGCGATGACGTTAGCGTAGTTAGCATCACAGTCCCCCTGAAACGCTTGCTAACTTCGTGACTCACCGTACCAATGACTCTTCCAAAGGCTCTGGTACCACTCCAAGCAAAAAAGATCTCGATAAGAAGCTTTCCATTGTTTCACTTTACAAACCCACCAGCAAAACAAGAATGGTGTACAATAAGCTTAACAAGGACTTTCAGAACTTGTACACCCAAGTTGAGCTCAAAGGTATTGTAAATGACTATATAAATGCAGCAGGATTGGTCGACAAACTGAAACCCAAGTTCGTTGGAATTGATGAGCATCTCAAGTCTGCAACTGGAATAAAGGAGGAAAAAGTCACAAGGGACAAGATCATTAATCCCTTCACTGCAAACCATTCACCACATTATGTCATTCTTAAGCCAGGTGAGGTCAATTACACACCAAAACAAGTTCACAAGGGCACTCCACCCAAGATTAAAATTTTGACACATACAGTTTTGGGTAGGAAAAAGGTGACGACTGTGGTCGACTTTGAGAAGTTCTTCATAAAACCCGCAACCCTAGCGGAGGATCTCAAGAATAAATGCTCAGGGTCTACTTCAGTTGGACCTTGCGTCCACAATCCTAATTTGACCGAGGTGATGGTCCAGGGACCTCACGGTACAACTATCATTGAGTATCTCAAAAGTAAAGGAGTTCCCATCTCGTTTATAGACTTTGAAGATAAGAGCAAGGGGAGAAAGAGAAAGTGAGCAAATGCATTGATACAAATAAATTCACACTATAACACAAAATACACCCAAAAATAAACGATAAAAGAACAAAATGACATAATTTGTACCCACATAAGGGGCGGATAAAACGAGCGTGCAATGTTAGATGACAATTTCAATAATATCCTTCGCGGGTCCAGCGGTGATAAAAGCAGACTTGGTGGAAGGATTGACCTGAAGGGTCTGGGCAGGCATATTTCCAGGGTAAACGTGTGCATTGCGACATTGGCTAATATTGATATGCGTCAAGGGGGAGAAGCCGCTTAGCAATGCATCAACACCCGCTCTCGTAACCCTGATACAGCCTTTCACCAGAAGACTTTCTAGTTTGCGTAAGTGTAATGACACGGCAACCAAGGAAGAATCACTCACAGCTGACCCACAGAATGAAAGATCCAATGTTTGCAAGTTTTGGCAGCCAAGGCAGAGAACCTCCACCGCCGTGTCCAGTAGGGCACAGCAGAAGCTTAAATCAAGGGATTCCAATCGAGGAGCTGCGTTTGCGACAGATATGATGGATTTGTCAGTGAGAAATGTGCAATCCTTGAGGGAAAGCTGCTTTAGGTTAGGAAATGTCCTGTAAGTCCAATATTGGAAGCCGACGTCCGTGATAGTTGTGCAACGAGTCAAAGATAAGCTTTCAAGAGTCTCGTTCGCGTTGCTTGCGATGTGATGCATCACGTCGTCTGTAAGTGCTTTACAATAGCTGAGACTAAGAATCTTGAGATTCTTCGATCCCACTTGGTTAAATTGGTCGCCAATTGAAAGCTCTCTTCTGGTTTCGTCCGACCAACCGATCAATCTTTGTACAACATTGTCATTCACTTTTCTGCAATTAGAAAGATCGATCTCCTCGAGCTGACTGCCAACAGAAGGAGAGGCCAAGTCCATTATTGCCATAGCACTAACTTCCCAAGTTGACATCATTTTAATCAGCTTGAGGTTGCCAGCCATTCCAATCTCATTGACCATATAACTGAAACCTTCATCGGTAATGTGGAAGCAATTGGAAATGTCAATATATTGGGGACGAGAACCGACAAAGTCTGTTATGGCGATTAGAGCATCATCTGTGATCGTTGTGTTCCATGGCGTCAAATTCAAACGCTGAAATATGTTTGGCGCCATGTACAACAATTGTCTCCAACGGCGACTCACAACTCTCAAACGCATAAGAACAGGTAAATCGAGAAATTCAAAAACTTTTAAAAGAATCTTGTCAGGAATCGACCCGGGGCTCACGAGAACTGAGGATCTGCGACGACCCGCTAAACTGGCAAGCTTTATTCTTTTGTTGTGGGGCATGTACTGAAAAGAGGGACGTCTGCTTGAGGGAAAGCTGTTGACTTGATCAAACAACCTAGTTGGTGGGACATTGATATCGAGAGGGCCCTCAGGCAACTGGTGCAGAGGTGAAACACTTCTGCAAACAGCTCTGCGCTTCCGAAGAATTTCCTCAGTAGTATCAATTGATAAAGATGTAGGGTTCTTGACAAGGATAGGATCAACGTCGATAGATGACGCGGGTGAGACAGAGCGTGATGGTCTTGAAGGATGCTCAAATGCAGAAAAGCCACCCCAATTTGGATTGAACAAGGAAGGCTCAGGCGAAAGAAGCTGTCGCGAGTTGGAGAGTGAAAGGTTCAGGGAAGCTCTCAGATTGACTGTCTCCACTGCAATGCTGCGTCTTCTTTCAGGAATAACAATAGGCAGAGCCAGCCCTACCTCGTTACCCTGGCACTCATTCATGAGTTTTCTTTCGAAGACCGTCTTTCTAATATCGTCGACAAAATGCGAATACTTTGAACATATCCTCTCTAGCTGATGAGAGCGAATGACAATGAGTTCCACAGATGTGATTGTTCTGATGGATGCGCTTCTTTTGACAATCTTGCCATTTTGAGCGAGCTCTAAGAAGGACATTTCACCAAAGTATGAGCCCTTCTTAAGGCGTGCAAGACAGCGCTCCGACTTTTCTTTGCTATCCTGGTGATCAATGACTTCGACTTCACCGTCGACCACAAAATAGATATCTGAGCCGAGGTCACCTTTATGGAAGATATATTCGTAGGATTTGAAGCTTAGTGGGTCAGCTCCAAGAGCTAGCCGATGAATGAGGTCTGACGGTAGGTTGGCGAAGATAGGAACCGATTTGATGAAATCTTGAATGGAGAGGGTTTGATCAACGTTATCTAACGACACAACAAGGGGCGAGGAGACCAGGACTCTTCTGGAAGCACTGACAATCTGAGAAAGTGGTGACGGCGAAATCAGTAGGGTTGGGGCCGTTGACGTGGAAGTAACCTGGTTGGGCCAGGAGTCTGAGGCCGGCGGATTGCTGGGTTTCAAAATGGGAATGTCAGCCTTATTTTTCTTATCTTGCATAGCAAGCCGCTCCTGGGCTTCATCACGAATTCGACGTTCGATCAAGGGGTACGATTTTAGAACGGAGTTGAGGGCATCTGCTGTAAGCACGCCCAAAAGCACACGTGAACGGGCCACGACGGTAGCCGTACGAGGCCGGTTGAATAGAATGCCGATCTCGCCAAAAAACGCTCCCGGACTTAATTCGGCATAAACCGAGTCACCATCGGGGGAAGTCACGCTCACCGTGCCCTTAAGAATCCAGTACATGGATAGCGCCGGGTCGCCTTCTTTAAGAACGTATTCCTGCGGCGTATATTGCACAAGCTTGAGTTTTGTGGCGACCTTGTGGTGGAACAGCGCTGGGGCATCCTTAAACAACGGGAAAGTCAGGAGTTTCTCAAGGAGATTCGATGGAACATTGTCTTTCGTGGGTGCTGGCGGTGGCGGTAGTAAATGAGCAGCAGGCACGTCGCCTGAGGATAGTGGCGACGGGCTTGAAGGCTGGAACTTGCGGACGGGCTGCTTCATTACACGAAGCTCATAGATATGTGTTGGAGTAGCCTATTTTGCAAGATATGTAGGGAGTACTATAGGGACAGCGAGTGGACGAGAACGCTGGAGATGGAAGGATGGCTTGTGGAACGGAGATAACAGCTTATGGGCTCCAAGGGAAGGTTGTGTAAACCAGCACTGGAGATGCGGTGGAAGAGATTGTGAGCTTGCAAGCGTACCTGCAGGAGGAAGCTGTCCTCGGGGTTACATCACAGCAGACCCTTGTTTGGTGTGCTTTTACGGTGCGGCCCTGAATATTGGACCGACACCTTACATCTAGAAAAGCTAAGCATAGTGACCGCACACGTTTTACAGGCTTGCTGTTTGCACAGTGGGGGGTTAATGTGTCGTAGTATGATGCGCGATCGATCGTCAATGAGCCCTTGCAGCTGTTAAAAAAAGCGTTTGTGCGGTAGGTGACGCAAGCGTGTTGCAATTGATTGGCTGCAAACGCAAAAATGAACCCTGGATCGCACGCACTATTCGCTGTACCTGTACTGATTCTGTAGTGACTATATGCTACCGCTGTACTGATGATCTTTCTTGTGGAGAATGCTATTCTATGTACATGCGCCTCGCCCTAGTAGTATACCAGGGACGTACTAGTTGTATATTAATGGCGGCCAAACCACCTAGACAGGGGGATCTGCTTATGGATCGAACACTCAATTCACTGCCCGATCAATTCTTAAAGTCAATCACAATGGCAGGCCCAAGCGTCGTGGAGAGGTGGCATCTGCCGATCACCACAGGGTCTTTAAGCCCCTCCTGACTTTCATGGAGCGCATCAGAGGCTGCCTTCACATTTTTGATGATCTCTTCGTCGCTAAAGTCGCATCTTCCAACAGGGATTGCGATTGCCTCACCGGCAGCCTTGAAGTAGTGGGCGCCGAAATTCTCTTGCACGACAGCCACCACGTTGCTGCTGACAGTGCCCCTCTTTTCCAGCGGCATCAAGCCACGGGGTCCGAGGATTTTTGCGATCTGCCTGATCTCGGTCAAAACGTCAGGGTCTGCGTAGCACTGGTTGTATTTGGAGAAATCAAAGTTGCCGCCCTTGATCTCGCTGATGAGGCTCGAGCCACCCACGGTGATACCGCTGCTGAGCTGCCTGAGCGCCTCCTGCTTATTCTGGTCATTCACAAACACAAGCGCCTGTGTGTCTTTGACAGGCTTGGGGAAAAAGATCTTGCCCTGGACTGGGTTGGATGACTTGCTGGGGACAAGACTGATGTGGGCGGAGACGGTGGTTTTGCCAGGCGCCTTGCCGACCTCGGCGGCACGCAAGTACCGCATGGCGGTGGGGACGTCCATGTATAGAGGGTGCTTGGAGGCTGGAGCTCTGTGTTCTGCTCTTCTCTTGACGAGTCTTCTGGTGAGGGCTCTGCTCTCCTCCTTCTTGTCTTTGGCTTTCTTTGAGAGACCTGGGGCGAATGCACGGGGCGCCGTTGAGAAAAGACGGCTCGCCACGAGCCCCGAGCCGGGCATTAGCGTTCTGGTCAACATAGCAAATTGAGTACTTGTGGTGGTAGAGGTGTTGAAAATTTTGTGTGTGCGGGTCACGTGAGACTACTGGTAGTAGGACTCTGGTAGTGAAGGTGAGGCAGAGACGGACATGAGAAATGGAGAGGATTGCGGAGAACATGAAATGGTAGTATGGGGGCGGCGGGTGGCAGAAGGGTCACTTTTTTTCGCCATTTACCCCATCTGGAGTGTATTGTCGCGTTGCTAGGACGACGCAGCGAAGATAACGAATGCAGGGACGATGCCAAGGGCCTACGGGCCCGAGGCGGTGGATAGCATAGGTTGGATGGGTGAAAGATGTTGGAACGGGGAAAACGGCGTGAAAGAAGGACGGGGACAAGTCAGGTGCACCATGCAGTTGTCAGTTCGAGAGAAGAATTTTTTATGTTGGGAGGGCTAATTCAGCAGGACCAGTTAGGCCCCGATGGAGTTGTGAGCAGTACAGCGAACAAAGCGCACCGGATTTTGTCTTTTCGCATGGTGAAGAAGACAAAAAAAAGTCAAAGTCTAAAATTTTCTTGTTTCGAGCAGATGAGAGCGATGCCTGAACAGAGTTAAAATTGACAATACGAAGGTTTTAGGCTGCGAGGTTAGAGTCTTGTCGAGAAATGTCGAGGCGCTACTGATTGGCGAGCAGCAGCGTATCAAGCGGGTATGATCTCCGCCGGGGTAAAAACGAAAGAACAAAAAAAAAGGAAAAGGTGGGCAACATGGAGATAGGCTGTAGGAAGGCAGCGGATGCAAATTATCTGCGTAAGCGAGAATTTGGGGCCATTCGCGGTGTAACCGTTTGTCGCTGCCTCGAATTTTTACCAATCGGGCCTTGGGCCTACCCAGCTTTTTTCCACTTTTGGCCACGCACCAACGGTTACATTGGGCGCGAAGCCAAGTGGTCCGCAGACGTGCGCAACCTGCCTCTACGGTCAGTCACAGGTACCGAGGGCTAAATCAAGGTATTACGTTCGTGGCGCAAGGATGTGGCGAATGACGTGTGTTGCTATGACGAAGGCTAATCAGCATGACCCATGGGGAAGTCCGGATTTTTTTTGAATCCTTGCCCCACACATTCAGACAATTGCGACGTGTGGCGACGCCTGGCGTGCCATGAAGGATCGATCCTCCCACCGCGCCGCCGGCTTAGGCCAGAACTGGACTATTCGCGCCAGGCCACAAGACTTATTGTGGCCGTGTGCATCCTGCTGCGACACGGGTTAACACAGGGCTGGCCAAGTCGCTCGAGTCTTTTGTTCAAAAATTTTTTTCTCTCCCATCCTCCCAGAATTCTTTATTTAAGTTGTAACTTTTGCTGCGAGAACGTTTGTCAGGCTCGAACCTTTTTTTTTTAAAAAAAAATTTCGGCCCGTGCTTTTTTTAAATTTGCAGCTTGCACCGCCACCCTTTAGACTTTCGCTTCAGTCTCATCTGGGTACCGCTCGCTCTGGACCTTGGTTTTGCGTCGCATTTTGTTCCAATTTTAGCGACCTAGATTTCGGCTCTCCGCATTTTGCGCTCACGCTGCCAACGTCCAAACGGCCTGCTTCAAAACCAGCCGCTTCCCCAGCATACCCTTTTTCTTCCTTCCCACTACATCCACGCGATGCTACCGCCGCCCATGCCCCTAAATGTCGTCGACGTCGACACCTTGCCGGTAAGCGTCCCGGCCATCCTCGATGACTGCTTCAACTACATCCTAGCCCACGGCTTGATCAAGGGCATCTTTCGTGTCAGCGGCCTGGTTCGTCGCATGAAGGCGGTTTCCTCTGACTACTCGAATTACCGCCCGTGGCTAGAGGCCAAACCGCAGGCCCACGACGTCTGCGGCATCATCAAGAAGTACTTGTCCGACTACTTGGCTACCATGAATGGCCTCTTCTCCCAGCACCTGTTAGCCCTCCTCCGCCGCCGCTTCATCTCCCACCGCCGGAGCGGCTCTGACTGCAGCATAGACTCGTACAAATCCGCCAACACATCCTTTGGCAGCCTGTCGTTGTCGTCAGTGCCCGAGTCTGAGTCATGTTCCTTCTCCAACGTCAGAGACGCAGACGTGCTCCTCGATGCCGTGGCCCACCTACTCGTGACCAAGAACATCTCTTCGAAAAACAACTTCTTCATCTACCTCCTTTACAAGCTCAAGCAGTTGTCCCAGCACGAGGATGCCACGAGCATGTCGGTCGAAAACACCTCCATCATCTTCCAGCCCTACATCTTCAGCACCCAGAACGTGGCTGACTTGCGCATCCTCCAGGATTTGCTTTCCTTCTTGGTGCTCCACTTCGACCTGCTTCTCCTGAAGTATCAGTGCTACGTCTCCATCTTGGGCGGTCTCGAGGACTTGGAGCTCGACAATATCTCCGTCTCATCCTCCGAGGGCAACGCCGTCTCCCCTGCTACAGTCTATTCCGAAAGCAGTTATACCCCACGCCACAACTCCAATGCGTCCGACAACCCCATCTCCAACCCTAAACGCAAGTCGTCGATCTCACGCAAGTTTAATGGCCTTCTAGAAAGTTACCACCTCCCGGCTAACCGCTCCAAGCGCTTTTCTTTCAACTTCAGTTCTAGACACCAGTCTACAGAAAAGGTGACCTCCTCTGAGAACCTACGGCCCTCCACCAATCACGTAGCCTCGCTATACAGTGATGTTGAGCCTACCGATCCCGATAAAACCGTCAAGGGCACCAGTGGGGACATCCTTACGCCTCCAGCGGACGAGACGCTGACTTTCGACACCAAGGTGACTCTGCCAGGTGCTCAGCCCCCTGCCCCGAAAAGGCCGTCTCTTCCACATAAGAAGTCAAACAACAGCAAAAGAAGAAGTTTGATTTACTTGTTCAAGTCCTCCTCTTCAGTCAACGATGTGAAGTCCAAGGAGGATTTGAGTGTGCCTTCCCCGCCCCCTCCCCTACCACGCCCATCGACAATGACTTTTCTATTCTCAAAACAAAACACGCCGTGTCTGATGACAACTTAGTCTCCAACACTGCCGTGACCCCTTCTCAGGAGCTCAATCTGTTGGGCAGAAACCTATCCTTGCGTGTTCGTGGCCGCAAGTAGTCCCCAACAGACACCTTATACGATTCATGAATGGCTTTTTTTTTTCTAATATTATTTCTGGGTTTACTTTCCATGCCTACTCGCTTTATTATTCATTTTGGGTACAAGGTATTTAGATTCACTGGTGTATATATATATTACTGTACTATGTTCCACTAATTTATGCTGTAGCATCACTTCGCGTTAACTAAGATCGCCTGCCTGAGGTGCACCCCATGTCACACATCAATGTCCTTCAAAATGGCCGGCTCCTCGGTCTACCGGATGGCAATGTTCTAAGCTGCTGTCCTAAGATGAATCTTTTAGCTATATCCATGAATAGAACGTCCATCTGGATGTTTAGGTTCAATGGTGAAAGAGTATACTCAGTTAACAACAAAGCCCAGATCTTGGGCCTTCAATGGAACCTGAGCGGGCGATTCTTTGCTGTATCTGGTAGTGACAACTTTGTCAACATCTATGATACCAATACTGGAGAATTGGTCAACAAGTTCGCAACACATACGTCCTTACCGATCACACTCATCAGCTGGGCATCAGTGAAGCTGGAGATCAATGCCGCCTCCGAGAAGGCATTGCCTTTTATTAAGTTGTTTCAACAAGACCTTCTAAAAGATCTACCGAAACTAAGTCATGAGGTGAACTTCTACGATACAGAGAGAGCTGGAGGTGTCATCTCCCTCCAGAACGCCTCAGCAAAGTCTCAGTCAATGTCCATCTCCGCCACGAACACCAATGAAGATGACTCCCTACTAGACTACCTTCTTGTTGTCAATGCCAATGCCATGTTCACAGCTACATTCAATAACCTCTTCACGGTGCCAGATATCGAGTTACCTGAGGACTGCAAGTTTCTAAGGCACGAGGTGAAAGACGACTTTTTCAATCAGGCTTTCCTTGCAGAGAAGTCTTCTGGTGAACTAGTGCTATACAAAATGGAGTTCAGTTTGTCTGAGCCAAGGCAACTCTCATATGTGTTGGAAATACTTAAATACGCGTCCCTCTTGATCTCGATGCTTAACCATATCACTGACCAAGTGAATGAGATGCAGAAGGAGGCCACAGCATTTATTGCTCTCTTTGACAGATATCTTTCCAACCTAAAGGATGCTATTAAGGAAGGAAGTTCCACCGAGGAAGACACCTCGGACATAAGCGAGGACGAGCTTGTCGAAGTACTCATGGAAATTGTCCTCACAGGAGATGTCCCGGATTATCTCAATGACTATTGGCTCAACCAGTTTGGCGAGCGAGGTCTCAATAGGTTATCCAAGACGGGTAATGATTTATACGAGGCGACCAGAAAAACAGCATACGCCCAGGTAATTCTTGCCATTGAGAAAATTCTTATCATCCTAAGTGATGTTAGAGGTATCTGTCTTGCCTGCTCGAATCTTTACGGAGATCCCCTTGGCATGAACGTGGAAACGCTAGAAAATTCTATCGAGCTAGGCAAATCCATGTTGGTGAGTTTCTACAAGTTCATTCTAGAGTTCAATGAAGAGCAGGAACAGTTTAATGTCTTCTGCAACTACGTGAAGGTGGAAATCATTGAAAGGCTCTCCAAGCAAGAGAGTGATATGGAGCTGTTCTTCAAAGCACATCCGGAAATCGAGGTCAGTTCGACCGTCACAATGCATTATATCGATCACTATTTGACACGGCCCAAAATCGCCGCTTATCTCGATGTTCGGACATCGACGAATGATGTCGTTTTCCAGTCAACTCTAGAGGAAGGATCTCTCATAAAAAAGCTCACTAACTTCAAGATTGAGATCAATCAAAAATTACTACCTGGAATACAGGAGTACATCGCTGGAAAGTCTGTCTTCAAGCTGTTAGGCACGATGAAAGCACTGAAAGCCAATGTTGATTGCCACATGGTCTTCAGCAACGACAAGATTCTAATCGCCCGGAAATCAGAGTCCAAACTTGACATCTTTACGTTCGACAAAGTTGGGAACAAGAAGTCCCATGAGATTGAATTCCCTGGAGTAATTCTATCGTACGAACTAATGAGTGATTCGCGGATCGTTCTTCTTTTGGAAAGATCCAATGAACTAAGAGAGCTTATGCTTTTTGACGTACCAAAAAGTGGCTCCAACATTGCATTCGAAAACTTGGTCATAAAGCAAGTCTTACCTTTCGACACTCAATCTGCATTCATACCCACGTATATGACATTGACCAAAGACCCCTCATCAAGCTCACTGACAGGGTGTGTTTTCGACAAAACAAGACGTAATTACGTCATTTTCAAAATTGATTAGTTAGTCATAAAAGCGAGCCTCGCTTATCTGATATACTCCGTCAGTTGTCTCAAAAAACTGCTTCGTAACGAAATCTCTGTAGAAGTATCTAATATTTCGGTCACTCGCAACAAGTTGCTTCTGATGGAGGAACTTCTTTTCGAAGGGAGATCTATAGTTTATCTGTGCATGCTGGCGAGATGCAAATCTGAAGAAGTTCGGGTTAATCGTTGTCTCCGAAATTTCCATCCTTCCAGATGCAGTTGCACATAAATGGTCCAAGTCTTGACGTTGTATGGGACGAACGTGTTGCAATATTTGCTTCATGTAACCTATTTTTGTCTTGTAGTCCCGCTCTCTAGCAGCAACACTCTTTGGTAAGCCAAATCGCGTGGGTTCGAGAACAATTTCAAAAGATTTAGCCTTGTGATCAAGCAAAACATCAGGATGTCGGCAAATGAATTTATAAAAGTCTTGCATTTGTTTCACCAAGTTGTCAATGCCTTGATTCTGGTGAATCTTTTGAATTGGTTTGATTGGAATATCATCTGGGGAAAGAGTAAGATTCATCTCCTTCATGACCAGGAATTCTTGACTCTCAGGGGTGCTTCTGAGAAGCTCTCTATCATATAGATCCTTGTGTTTGTCTTTACCGAATTGGTGTAGAAGGTGGACAACGGGCCACACGGGTTTGAAGGCACTGTATTTCGTGTGAAGGAATTTGGCGATCCAATGCTTCTGCGGTAGTGGGTCTTTGTAAATTAAATCCAAAACCTCAGATATTAGGTAGAAGTCACCATTTAACACGGAGTCCGCCAACTGAGACACCTTTTTATACCTCTTGGGGTCTTCAATGGGACTATTTGGTACTTTCTTTCCAACCCTGAAGGCATCTCTGGCGATGCACTTTGCAATTGCTAGACTTCGCAAATCAATGGGAAGACGATTGATCTTCTTATAAAGCGCTTTATAGTAAGATAGAGCTGTAGTCATGATATGCTCAAACACTTGCAAAGCACATTATGCGTCTAGATACTCTATGATGAGATGTAGCAGCGCGGTTGCGAAGTAGGCGGGTATCATCGTCACAGAAAGACGATTACGAAAAGAATGTCGATATTTAAAATCAAACTCACTAGATAAGAGAGAGAAAAGAAAAAAAAATATAAGTGAAAATTGTTATTAAACAGATCCAAAAATAGGGTATCTGGAAAACCTTCAGTAGTGGAAGGACCCGTGCACCTTTACATATATACATAGTAGCGACAGACGTTACTGAATCGACAACCATGGCATTAGCGGAGTCCTTCCTTCGGAGGGTCCACAAGCTGGGTATCATCCCCAAGGTGGTGAAGGTTCTTCCGATAATATCCTTCTGTTTTGCAATTGCAAGTGTGGCATGGCTTTTGGTGCTTCCTCAAGATGGGCAGTTCAGAAACACGTATATCTCAGAAAATGCATTGATGCCTGGACAGGTCACATCGTACTTCCGTGAGAGTGAGTGGAATATTGTTCGCGGATACAGAACGGAAACGAAGAAATGGGATTACCAGGAGTCGGCAAATAGCAACCCCATGCTCGAGTCGTGGCTCACAGACCTTGGTCTAAAGGTAGCATCCTTTGAAGATGAAAAGACCAATAGCTCCACCTTATATGCTGTGATGCACGCTCCTCGTGGTGATAACACAGAAGCTGTCGTGCTTGTTACCCCTTACATCACGTCAACTAACGAAGACAACATTGGTGGGTTCGCTATTGCACCAGCATTGGCGCGTTACTTTGGCAGAATGTCCATATGGTCGAAGAATGTCATTTTTGTCTTTCCGAAAGATGGCCATGCATCCTTAAGATCCTGGGTTGAGGCGTACCACACATCCTTGGATCTTACTGCCGGATCCGTGGAAGCTGCCATTGTGTTGGAATATCCTAAGGATAGTGACAATTTCGACCACATGCAACTCTTCTACGAGGGCCTCAATGGCCAGCTTCCCAACTTGGATTTAATTAACACAATCACCACAATTGCCCGTAATGAAAACATGCATGTTGGTATCCAAGGTACTCCGGGAGAGGAACTCACAAGAAGAGACTACTGGTCAAGATTGAGAACGCTCACCAGGGGAATACTCAACTTAGCCATCTCTGGATTGCACAAGTCATCACTTGGTTGTGAAGCATTTTCTGGATGGCAAATTCAAGCAGTGACGATTCGTGCTGTGGGTACTGGTGGTCCTGACATTACGCAATTTGGAAGAATTGCTGACTCGACTTTCCGTGCTGTGAACAATTTGCTCGAGAAATTTCACCAATCATTCTTCTTCTATCTCCTTTTGTCACCCACCCATTTTGTCTCGATCGGCACATACTTGCCCTCTTCAGTGCTCCTAGCAGTGTCCTTTGCATTGAGTGCACTCTGCTGCCTCGCCAATGGTGTTACAGGCTCTCAGTATCTCATAGGAATGGGCTCCTTACTCATGACTTTCACAACAATCGAACTCGTTTGTTTGATCCTCGCATTTACACTTCCTTACTTGGTGGAGACCTCCTCAGACGCATATGGACAATCGCAATGGATCATCCTCGCAGCGATCGTATCAACTGCTTTCTTGTCGCTCAAGCTGATCAGTAGACGAATCGTTCCGCTCAGGCTTAGTAAAGTCGCTACCTATTCGTTGCTTGCTTTCAGTCTTTACTTTATTGCGATGTTAATCACCACTTTACTCATAGTGCACTTCGCGTTGGCATTCACGATAGGCCTCTGCTCGTTACCATTAACGTTTATTCAGCCGCAAGTGACGGCGCAGATAAGAGATAAGTCGAGTGTGATCAAAACACAAGTGAGGATCATTGCGTGCTTGGTGGCGTCTTCTCCGGTCACTGCCATTGTTCTTCTCGGGTATTTTTACAACGGGGAAAAAGGAGCAGGAGTCGTTGGGTTAACCCAAAGATTGTTGACGCTGTGGAAAGAATTACAGTGCTGGACGTGGTTTGTTGTGGCGCTTGGGTGGCTCCCCGCTTGGATCTCCATTGCAATTGCATATACTTTTGGCACCTTCGAAGATGAGATTAAGTCCAAAGAAATTTACAAAACTGAATAGATATATTTAAAAGATGGCAATTAATTAGGCTTATTACTGTTTGTAGTGCGCAACGAACTTCTCGTGGAATGCAGCCCAGCTACTAATCCATTCGGTTCCTGGGGGCAAGAAGGTAGTTCTCAAGTGAGCAGTACCTGGAGCTTGGCCGAAACCGTTGCCAGGAACACAGCAAATACCGGTGTGTTCCAACAAATCAGTGCAGTAAAGTTCATCAATCGTCAAGTTCATCTCGTCGGCCTTCTTGTACAAGGCTGGGTATGCCTCCCTGGAGAAATCCAAACGAGGGAAAAGATACATAGCACCTTGAGGCTTCTGGCAGCTCACGTCAGCCATCTTGGTGAATGCCTCGTACAACAGCAGGGCTCTCTTTTCAAGATCCTTGTGGATAGTCAGCGTCTCATGGTGGTACAATTGGTAAGATGCATCACCCTCCTTTGGAGGGTTAATCATGAGCTCCACAAGGGCCTGGCCAGAGACAACGGAGCAAAGATTAATGGAAGCCAACTTGAAGATAATATCACGGACCTCGCGAGTGAAACCCACCAACTCCATGTAACCACCACGCTGACCGCACTCACCACTTACACCCTTGGAAGTAGAATGCAAAGAAGCAAGTTGCACGTTCTTGTAAAGCTCGTAATCTTGCTCAAGCAATTTAGCCAAGACTCTCTTGACTGAGATGAACTGACCGTGGAAGACGTTCTCCTGGTACACCTCGTCAGCGATAAGCACAATACCTTGTTCGGCAGCAATATTGACAAGCTCGACAATGTCCTGTTCCTTCAAGATAGCACCAGTTGGGTTACCAGGGTTGATAATGACAAGGGCCTTGATGGCAATGCCCTTCTCCTTGTTCTCAGCAATCAAGTCACGAATAGCTTCAGGGTCAGTGGACCACTGCTTCTCCTCGTTGAGGAAGTAACCAATTGGTACGGCGTTGTTCAATGCAATTGAGGCAGTGTACAATGGGTACTGAGGAATTGGGATCAAGAAGCCTGACCTATCGCTGGAAGACAAGACCTGGATCAAGTAGGACACAGCGGCAGAGGCACCACCAGTCAAGAAAATGTTACTGGGGTCAGATGGGTATCCATCTCTTCTGTGGATGAAGTCGGCCACAGACTTACGGATGCCAATGTCACCTTGGGAGTGGGAGTAAGCACCAACAGAACCGGTGGATTTGAGAAGCTTGCGGGCACGCTCAACGGTATCACTTGGGTACAAATGCTCACGGACAGATGGGTCCAACTTCTCAATTTTGCTGATGAGTGGAGGGTACTGGACCAATGACAAAACTTGTCTGTACCACGACAAAGGCTTCTGGTCCAACTGCTGTGGGTTTCCAATGTTGGCGCTGATGATACGGTCATAGGGCAAACCGTGAGATGGATTGTTGTCGATTTCAGATCTCAATTCGTCGGCACGGATGGGGATCTTACCACGCACGGCATACTTGGCTTCGAGGGTGGACTCGTTCAAGTCCTTGATGGTGAAAGGAGGAGCCGGCAGGAAGGAGCTTTGAAACCTACGGGAAATAAGCAGGGGCGCCATTTTGGAATAACGAGATAAACGGAGCACCATGGTGGAAATGATGGTGTATTTAAATGAATGCGGAAATGGCTTTCCTACAAAAGCGGCTAAATGATCGGAATGGAAGAACGGAAGCCTGTGCTGGGCATTTTTCGAGGTGTAGCAGCGGCAGTGACTCCAGTTTTTCGCGGTGATGCAGGACAACTGGGGAAACACTGCCATACGGCGATGCCGATGTGCCTCTAGCTATTAGTACTGATAAGCTTTGTTGGGGAGGGGGGGAGGTTTGCCATTATTCAAAAGGATCGATCGGCCTCACCGTTGTGAAGCTTGTTTGGCTTCACTGGCGTCATGTGGGGTGTGGGGCACGGAAGTGTAATTCCGGGGCGATCGGCGAGCCGTTCCTTACTCCGGGGTTTGACTTCCTCGAGAAAATTCTATAAAGACATTGTGTTTGGACCTAGCAATTATGAGCTAACGTTATTTGGGATTTTCTTTGATAAGCGACAGTAAGAGGAGTTATTGTGACGTTGCTGCACGCATGGAAGTTCTTATCGATTATTGCTGACCTTAAGTGTCGTTGCATTTGCTCATCCTTGGTTTTATTTCTTTCTGTCGTTCAATTTTACCCAATTTCCTGATTTAAGTACCCTAAAACAAACACTCATCTGATGACAAGGAATGGTGTGATTAAGGCGTGGTCTCGCCATAATGTGGGGAGACGTGTCTGGATTCGGTGCTTTTCCCGAACACCCCGCGAGCCTGTCAATGGCTAGCTAGACTGGTTGCGAAAAACATAAAACATGTAGGGAACCACATGAACTACATCATCAGAAGAATAGCATGTAATGTGTGATCGGAGCCATCTTCTTGTTTGGATTCAATGCAGAGTAGAATTCATAAAATTTTGGAAATTGAGTGGTGCCCCTTAATGAGGGTCTCCTCTTCTCCATTGTGCATAAGCAACCCCAGATATGATAACGTGATCAGCGTTCTCCAACAGTTTCTTATGCATTTAGTTTTTTTCACCCTGGCCAGATCTTGAGTTATTTCTCTATTTATCGGGGGACATTCGCTACCCTCTGTTCTGCCATTTGCTTACAGTTAGCATCATGTCCGAAAGACGCTTCTCGTTAGCTATCGAAGACTACGACTCATCGGAGTCGCCTGAAAGCCCCACCAACAAACCCCTATCTGGTTTTTTGGTCGACAACCTGCGGCCTGCTTTGACAAAATCCATGTCCTTCACATCCCCGTCAAGAGTGCAAGAGCTGACACCCCAGAGAAGGTTCTCTATTTGTGATCTAAACACATTCGGTGAAGATACTTCCCAAAGGTCCCCGGAGCAGTGTTCTCCAAGGTCTTGCAATTTCAAAAACCACCACAGACGAAACTCAGTAGCCATCAAGTTCCTGCTACCTCGGACCGCGGACTCATCTATGACGTCAGAGGATGGTTGATCAGTCAGTGCCAAAGTACAACGAGTCTATGAAGCGGGTACGGAAGGGCCAGTCTGTGTCAGCAAATCTACGTGATTTGACACCTTCCAATGGAACGCTTCCCAACGTTTTCAGTGAATTGCTGTTGAGGTGCTCCTCTCCATTGCGTTCAACCTTGCTTCTATGTGGAACCGCTTCCTCATCGTCCAGGTCATCCACTGCCAGGCTCAGTCCCAGGCTTGATTCAGTAATATCCATGCGGCTGATCTGACCCACGACAATTGTGATTTGGGGGAACACATTAAAGATTCTCCTGATTCCAATTTCTGTCAGAAGTGAACATATGAGAACGATATTCTCTTGCTCGATAGTGTGGTCTATCAAGACTTGAATTGCCATGATAGCAGCCGCTCCACTGATAATCTGTGCATCAAACAAAAAGAATCGGTCGCCAGCCTTTGTTTTGGGCAACGATTCGGTATGCAACTGGGGTTCGCCCGTGAGGGAATCACTCTGGATCAAAAGCTTTCCAATAGATATCGATGGAAAAGTCTTTTTAATGGAGTTCATGAAACAATCACCAGAACGAATTATGCTCACCGCAACGATGTCTTGCGCCTGTCTCAATCCCTTATATGTATATCCTTTACAACAATTGACATCGATCTCGTCGTAGGCGGTAATTTGCTCAATCGCAAGTTCAAGAAGCAAATTGGCTATGCGGTCAAAATAGAATATAAAGTCTGTACGATCAGTTTGTGTGTCGAACAAGATCAGGTAGATTCCTGATGTATGATTGTTATGAGGAAGCACCTTCAAGTTGTTGAATCTGTCGAGATCATACTTTGGGTTGAGTCCAAGCGCCTTGAGTCGCCGAAGATGCAAAGAGCTTTTGAGAGCCAACCGCTTCTGGATATGCTGAATCATGAGCTCGATAGCGGTTGTGTTTTCAAGGCCCCTGGGTATGACGATATCGGCATTATGCATTGTGGGTGTCACTGAGCTAACAGCATTTGGTTTCACAAATACCTCCCACTGCTTGAGTGCTCCAGCCAAGTCTCTTCCTCGATACAAGATGTCTCGAGTAAGTCTACGGGCTAAGCACACGTCAAGGTCAGTGTCAACGAAGATCTTGATATCCATGAGGTCCAATAAGCGCTGGTCATAAAGAGCATAGATTCCCTCCATGATGATGACGTTGGCACCGTAAATAGTTATGGTCTTGTCTAATCGGTTATGGTGCGTGAAGGAGTAGACGGGAATCTCGGTCTTTTTGCCTTGTTTGAGAGACTTGATGGTCTCTACAATAAGATCAAGATCAATAGAGCCGGGCTCATCGAAATCAAAGTTGTTTGCAAATGCCTGTTTGGATTGCTCGGGCGTCAATGGTTTGTAGAAGTTATCGAACAGCAAGAGCACAGTCCAAGGCTGATTCAACTCCAGGATAACCTTCTGAGCAATACTGGTTTTTCCTGATCCAGAAAAGCCAGCAACCCCAATAATGTACGGCTCGGTCCAAGGTGGAATATATGTGGAAACTCCTGGTGATCTGCTCTGTAGAGATACCTGGCTTGGTACATCGTAGGTTCCGTTGGACATCGACAATGCCGCTGACATGGGTGTGGGCAGAATGAATGACGATTCATCGTCAGCGGGTGCAATTCTAGACGATCTTCTCCTTGCACCACCCTGAATACTCATGCTCTATAGATCTAAAAGTGCTTGGAGTGGTACCGCGATGCTCATCAGACGTCTTTCTACAGTACAGCCGGATGCGCTCAGATAACCATTCATGTCAACAATAAGTGGAAAGGGGCACCGGAGGAGAAAAGACCTCTGGGATGATGACGAAGACGGATTGAGAAAAGGGGTTACCGCAGAAAGCCCATCAACAGAAGTTGAGGAGAATGAGCTGAATCTACTGCAGCCGATTGACATGGACGATGCTCGAAAGACATCTAGAGAAGCATATCTCAAGAAGCGTCTTGAAACAAGGCTCTATGATCTAGAAGCGGATGTTCAACGCCTTGAAGTACGCTCAGATCTCAGTGCAAAAGAGGCCCAAGAGTACAGAGACAAGAAGGAGCTCATTGAATCCATTCGCTTCACTAAGGATACAGACAAACTCGAGGAATACAATCTACCTGGAAGCGATGAGACTAGTTCTGATGCTGACCGGAAGCGCAAGAGAAAACTTCTCTCCACCAAGGCTCAACCTGAGCCAGAAACGATAGATACAAAGAAGAAGTTCAGGTTTGAGAATCAATGGGAACTTGATCAGCTTCGGAAAGCCAACGAGATCAAAGCAGCCAATCCTGATCAGATACAGGTAAAGCTGGATCAACAGTACGAGTACGTGTTTGATGACTCACAATTCATTGACTTCGCTGAAGAGGATGCGTCGGCAGATGTTTCCAATGACGAAGAGCCTGTGTCTGTTGAGACTTCGAATCGTAAAACCATGAGAGAAGTGAGAGAGTCATTACCAGTGTTCAAATTCAGGGAAGAATTTCTCAAGAAGGTGGAAGACAATCAGGTTCTTATTGTTGTGGGAGAAACGGGATCGGGTAAGACAACCCAACTTCCGCAGTATTTGATGGAGGCCGGGTACACAAAATCACGCAATGATAAAAATCAGATTAGAAAAGTGGGATGTACTCAGCCAAGACGAGTGGCTGCGACCTCGGTTGCTACAAGAGTCGCTGACGAGGTCGGATGTCAGCTAGGTGCTGAGGTGGGTTACAGCATTCGTTTTGAGGAGAGCACATCTGAGATGACAGAGATCAAGTATCTCACTGATGGTATGCTATTACGAGAATTCCTCACAGACCCGTTACTTTCGACATACAGCGCTCTTATGATCGATGAGGCTCACGAACGAACTGTCTCAACCGAAATAGTGTTGGGATTACTCAAAGATGTCATCCGAGAACGAAAGGATTTGAGGCTCATTGTCGCTTCTGCAACGATCAATGCATCTAAGTTCTCGGACTACTTTGACAATGCACCCATCTTCAAGATTCCGGGCAGGAGATATCCTGTCGATGTCTGCTACACAAAGAACCCCGAAGCGAACTATATTCAAGCAGCTATAACGACAATCTTTCAAATTCACACTACTTCAGAAAGCTCTGGGGATATTCTTGTATTCTTGACAGGTCAAGATGAGATAGAAACGATGAATGAGACATTGGTGGATGCGTGCGATAAACTTGGCTCCCTGATAAAGAAACTAATAATTGCTCCTATCTATGCCAATCTTCCTCCAAAACAGCAGCAGCGTATTTTTGAACCAACTCCTCCCGATGCTCGGAAGGTAGTGCTTGCAACGAACATTGCGGAAACATCGATCACGATAGATGGTATCAAGTACGTTATTGACCCGGGATATGTGAAAGAAAATGTATTCAATCCCAGAACAGGAATGGAAAGTCTTGTCGTTGTTCCCTGTTCAAGAGCGTCGGCGGATCAGAGAGCAGGTAGAGCAGGAAGAGTCGGTCCTGGAAAATGTTACCGCCTCTTCACAAAATGGTCATTTTACAATGAGTTACAAGCCAACCCAACTCCTGAGATTCAACGTACAAACTTGAGCCTGATTATTCTTATGCTTTTGTCAATGGGAATTACTGATTTGATCCACTTCGACTTCATGGATCCACCTTCTTCGCAAACACTCATTAAATCCTTCGAGCTTCTATACGCACTTGGTGCCCTCAATCTGAGAGGTCAAATAACGGATACTGGTCGAAAGATGGCTGAGTTTCCAATGGATCCCATGTTTTGCAAAACACTCTTGAAAAGTGCTGACTATGGTGTTACTCAAGACATTCTTTCCATAATGGCCTTGCTATCTGAATCATCTTCTCTTTTCTTCCGTCCGAAAGACAAGAGGGAACAGGCTGATAAAAAGAAGGAGGCATTCCAGCATGAAGTGGGTGATCATCTTACTCTACTTAACATCTGGAATGAGTGGGAAGACACTGGCTTCTCGAATATTTGGGCAGAAGAAAACTTTCTTCAATACCGTACATTGAAAAGAGCAAAGGAGGTTCGTTCTCAACTAGAAGGGCTCTGCAAGCGAGTCGGGATTGATTTGCAAGAATCCAAAGTAGAGCTGGACAAATTTTATGACACCCGACTTCCGAGAATCCAAAAGTCATTGGTGGCAGGTTTTTTTCCAAATGTGGCAAGGCTTTCAAAACTTGGGTCCAGTTATGTTCAATTGAAACGAAAACTACCGGTGTTCATCCATCCATCATCAAGCCTATATCCGTTGAAGCCTCCTCCAAAACTTTTGTTATATCATGAATTGGTTCTAACATCCAAAGAATACATGCGGAATTGCATGACGATTGAAGAGAAATGGCTAGACGAACTTGCTATGCATTATTATACAACAATCGATCCCGAAACAAAACAGCAGAAATAAGTGAATATCTAACAGGCATTTTTTTCATATTTCTCTTCATTGATTGAGAGAACCGATGCGGCGGTCGAATACGTCTCCGCTCTTTTTTAAATTGACGAAGTATTCGGACGCCTCTTCATGTCCTAATTTTTTAGTCAACTTTGCAAAGAAAAGACCACAAGCGTTACAAAGTGTACGACTTCCTGTGGGCCCAGATCTCCACTCAGGTGTTTTTCTTGAACCACACTGGCTGCACTGAGTATTTTTCTTTAAACATAGATCCTTATTGAGAAGATTCTGTGGATAAGTGACGCCTTCCGACGAATGCTTCGTTGCTGGTCTAGGTGAACAAGAAAAAAGAACCTTTTCATGGCTCATCAAAGCACTTTTCGGGCTGCGTTTGCGTCTCTTTCTCAATTTTTTGTCAATTCTTGCCTCCCTTTTCCTCCTTTGCGACGATTCAGAATTGCCATGGTAGCCTTTATCACTCTCAGAGCCTGGTGACAAAGATTGAGGAGTAGCCACATGAATTGGATCTGTTTTTGATGATTCCTGGCCATTCTCCTGGTTAACGACTTGCAGTAATTCTGAATTGGAGACCAAGCGAGCCAAGGAAGAGGCTGGCGTCGAGGACTCGCTAGAGTGTCCTCCTGGGTTTGGATCTGTCAAAGGGGGGATCTCATATGCCACCACTGGTGACAGGCGAAGATGGTGGTCTTTGAATTTTTGTTTGCCGCTTGTTATTTCCTTGAGATAAAGCTCGACTGGTAACTTACAATTGGTAATTAATTCTGAAAATGACGGTATTTGGCGACCGCAATCCCATTTCGAGTCTGCCAATTTCCAGACATCATATCCGAATTGAAAGCTCATAGGGAGAACAAAAAGATGGTTGTAAGATCCGAAATAAGATCTTTCAAGTTGGTCCATATTATAGAGATGCACGATTTTGCAAGGAAAAGAAAGATTTGAAAGGGCGGAGCATCCCCCGATACTCGCTGCCACTGAATAATTTATTCTTCTTCATGCGGCCTGCCGCATGCTTCAGCATGTCTGACAGATGTCGAACAGGTACACACAATGTTCCCAGGATATGTCGCTGATCTAGCCGGTTTATCCCCGCTGTGGGAAAGGCCGAGCATATGTAGTGACCACTTTCCTTGTTTCGATTTGAACCCTTACCTAAGCTCACAATTTTGGTTGTCCAACAAAATTGGCATTGTTCCACGAATTGACTTTTGTCGAAAACCCTCGATGATATTATTAATTGGTACTCACGTAGAGATTTATTTCGTATGTTGGAAGCTTCTCGGTCAATCAAAGAAAGATTGCCTGGAACTTCGGCTATTGGTGACAATAGCAGAAGAAGTTTCCATCTAAGATAATGAAAAAACAGATCTTCGGTAAATCAGAATCTCATGAGCACAATGGACCCGATCTTCTTACCTCCAGAGCTCGTCAAGCTCGAGAGACGACTCGGAAAAATTTTTCATTTCTTCATGCATCCGACCCCAGCCGGCATTCTGGAGCTCATGAATATCTGCGTGACTTCCTACTCTCCGAGGCAAGCTCATGCGACTACTACAAGCGATCATGCCCTCACTAATGAAAATGCCTACCAAGAAATAATCACGATATTGAGGTGCTGACTGGATATTATCAGTTCAATTTCGCTAAATCTTTTGAGTTTTTAAAAACTCAATCAAAATCATCTCTTCGCAGTTTCAGGTTCCGTACCTCGCTAAGGAATAATGTGTACAGGGTTAACAAAAATCGCGATCTCAGACGCGAGACCGAGTGCGATAGTACCCGCATATCGGGCGTACACTTCTACTCTTCTTTTGGCGATATATCCCACAATCGCTGGGGAGTTATTTTCTAAGATGGAGAAAAATAACCCCCTTCTTCCGTTCGCCTTTTCTACAAGCTCGTTCGATGAGAAATCTGCCTTGAACACCGATCCACGGGAAAAGCACGTCATAGATGAGAACGCTAGGAGTAGCTATCACACGAGAGGACAAGAGCGTCAAAAGGGCCCTCTCAGACGAGCAGCACCCCTTGTGATGCCCCAATTGAAAAGAAAAATGGGAGAGAGTTTCAACGAAAAAGATGATATCAAGAGAAGAGATTATGATGTCTTCAATGATCCGTCTAGTGACGAATTCGAGTCCCATGACACCGACCCAGACTCACTTCATGACAAACAGCATCATTATCCACAGCACGTGGCTAAGGAATTTCCCAGCAGTCCCCCTGTGCTTCCCCAAATGTCGGAATTCGACATATCCACCACTACTCAAACGGTCCCGGATTCTCCGGTGAATATTAATCCTGGTTTAGCAAGTTTGAACACCTCTCCGGTCCAAAAGCATAAACCCAGAGTCATTGACCACAGAAGCTCGGAACCGGATTTTGGCATTGGTCCCTTCAATCGATTCAAGACCTCCAGCTACATTGCATGTCCTTCGACTGACACAGATTATGCGAGCGAGCCCGATCCAGTAGTCTCCGCCTCGCTGTACGCTTTGGCACGAAATAAGCTTTTGCAGGCATTTGAAGACGTAACTGCCTCGGTTAGTTTGGAAGGGATGGGGCTCACAGAGGTACCGGAAGAGATTCGAGACTTGAATAATTTAGTCATCTTCTCGCAAGACCCAACCAAAGACTTGTACCAGTTGTACTTGACAAATAATCGGCTACGCTCTCTCAATCCAGCTTTGTTTGCGTATACCAAGCTCAATGTCTTGAGTTTGCGCCAAAATCTCCTTCGGTCTATTCCTGCCAGCATAAAGCATCTCACCAATTTGTGTGATCTCAACATTGCAACGAATCATCTACGCTACTTACCAGTTCAAATTCTTGACCTTCCAAAGCTTAGCACATTTAGAGCGGGACCCAATCCATTCATTTCCATTCCTGTTGACGCCATTCACGTACCGGAGTCCGAGGTCCCCTCTCCGAAGTTTGTCAGCCAAATCATTGAGCACTGTGAAAAATCAAATGTCCCCACTTTGAAGTCCTTATGTTTGCATACTATTGCCAAATATGACGTGACGTACAGCGAGACGCATTCCTGGAAGCGCCATACCCCTCGTGTCGTACATCACTTAATAGCGAAGGCAATCGCAAAGGGCATGTTTGAGGATACTTGCAGTGAATGTGAAACTGTCATTGTGGAACCATACGCAGAGGTGTACGAGTGGTGGGATTTCCTACAAAACACCAATGTACCCTTCAAACGAGAGTTTTGTTGTGGCAAATGCGTTGGTCAATACAAACTGAGAACAGGATACTATCGCTAATATTATATATTCCCTCATGAGCAAATACAGATAATTAAGTCGCTGCATTTATTATAAAATAATCCTCTCAATTGAAATATTATTTTTTGCGGTCAATATTCTCCATAAGATTTCTGAAGACGTCACCCTCGCCATTTTCCCACGACACCAAGAACCCTTCGAGCTCAATGACGAAATGAAGCGAGATTTCCATCTGAATCGAAGCCATCATGGAACAAACCATGTGAAGACCCCTCTCACAAGCATTTAAGAAGATGGGCAACTCCTTTATGGGGTGCTTCTTCAAATTCTCGGATTTGGACAAGGCTTGCGAGCGGATGCTTCCCATATTTGGAGACTCTCTTCTTTCCATGAGTCTCGAACAAGCTGGGCACCCAGAAGCAATCTTGGTATACATGTCACATTTCAAAACGACGAGCTTCACATGTCTGATCCAACCGCGTAGAATCCCACAGCTTTTATTTGTCTCCTTCTTGAAGTCTTTGAGGATGAAAGTACTTTCTGAGACTATTCTTGAAATGGCATAGTTGTAACCTTGTACATATTCTTCCTCGATAGTCTTTGTGATAGGCTCGTTGGGGAATTTTTGACCCATGTGCTTAGACAGAAGTATTTGCATGATTCCACCAACCAGGACACTATGTTTGAGGCATCGAGACACTTTTCGACGCAAACACTTGCAAGCGTAAGTCAATTGTTGATTGATACGATCCACCTTCTCTAGTTTTGCAACCAAGGCTTCATACTCCGTATCTGGTTCAGTATGTGGGCATTGGTACTGTCTGCGTCTTAACTGAAAGTCACCAACTCGAGCAGAGTGGTTGGGAAGAGTCATTATGCTAATTGGGAAAAAAGTGCTACAATCAAATATTGATGTGGGTGCAAAAAGCACAATGCGAATATATTATGGGTGACCATGATGCGAGCCCGGCCATGCTGCAATACCGGCCGCTCTGGGAGAAGATTCTCTGCTGCTACTCTTGGAACCATTCAATACCTCAAGTCGATCATCAAAGAATTGCAAGCTTGACATCTGCTCTAAAAGTTCAGATTTGGTCGACGAAGGAAGCTCGGACTCTTCAAGCTCCACTTTCAAGCGCCGACTTCTATCAACTATGACATCGTCAAGACTCTCTATGAACCTGTTACCGAAGCTTTTGTCAGTCGGCAAGTTCATGTATATTTTCTTTTGTAGCAATTTTGCGGTCCTCAAACTCTCGATAATCTTAATGAAGTATGAGTCTTGCTTTATGTCTTCCACTTTTCTTCCATCAGTGGGAGGAGGGTTCACAAGCAATAAAGCAGCATAGTAAAGCATGATATGAATATGCAAGGGTACATACCTCAAATTATTGAGGATGTCTTTGTCACTCAAGACAAGATTGAGAACAGTCTGAGCAGCATTCATGGCTATATTGAGACTAAGAAGAGTCTGATCATGAGTAATGAGCTCCCTATTACTTATGAGCTCATCCTCGTCGTCACTGTCGTCTGAATCAGACACTTCTTGTTTGTGGGCTTGGTCTGTCACAAGATCAGCTTTTTGCCTCAATTGATGGTACCGCTCCCACTTTGGGAATATGACACTCTCCAGACCAGTCTCAACCTGAAGTTCTCTTAAAGCAGAACAATTGATATGCATCTTTGCAAAGTTGTAGTAAATAAGTGTCGACTTTGACAGCCACACTGCTCCATTGTTGACGGGTGCGAGTAGAACAGTCCACGAGACCATCCATTTGTCGAGCTCCAAATTAGATTTGGATGGTATGCCGAAAGCACTTGGTGCGATGAGGTCCCATGCGTTACCCTTGAATGCTTCCCTTATAGCGACGTTGTACTCAACTTGAGAGACCAAGCGCAAGTCAGTCAAGTGAGAAATATTTGACTTACTGTCTTCGGCTTTGACGGCACTATTTTGCGATGGAACAACTGCCTTGTCCTTTGAAGCATCAGAATCGGCATGTTCAGAAATCTCGAGAGGTTTCTTATCCCTGAGAAGTAACTTTCGGCTATGCGTAATCGAATAGTCATCAGAATCAAAGAGAGACTGCCTATTGAGCGACATACACTGCTGGCCATCAAGGACGTAAAGAAGGTACCACAACTTCAAGCGATCTTTTGGATTGAGAGTGCTTTGATCATCGGATTCAGAAACAGGCCTGTTGAGACCGAATTCTTTTGCTAACTGAAGAGCCAAGCCAGTGAATCTTTGAGAGTCTGCTAACCAAAAACTGCAAAGAATAAGGGCCAAAATAATGTTAAAACCTTCAGTGTCGGATTTGGGCTTTGGCTGGAAGAGAATACCAGAGCAAAGCTTATGTAAGTGTTGCTGCAATGCAGCTTGTTTGGTTGAGATTTCGGGGTCAGGATAGTGCATTGCTGCTATGCAGCAGACGGCGCAAATGAGTAACGGTGATGTTACCCAAATCTGACTAACTTGTAACTTGTCGATTTCGAAGCCGAACAACTGTTGGGAGATATTTGTATCAAAAAACCGGAACAAAAGCTTAGCTTCTTGAAGTGTGATGACAGAGTCACGAAAATCCTCTTGCTCCGTGCGTCTTCTTTTGAGTAAAAAGTAGTCTTGGTGGGCTGAACGCTTTCCTTCCAGACTTCTCTCTGACTCTGAAGAATCAGGTGTAGATGCTATACTGTTCGAGTAACTGTGTCCACCCAGTGAAGAGTCCTTGATAGCTGGGAACTTCGGAGGTCCCTCTAGTTCGGGCCCATTATATCGCTGGTTACTTCTGAGAGCCTCGACTAAGCTATCGAATTTCGACTCGAATGAGTTAAGCTTGTTCTCCATTTGCGACTTCCATTGCAGGTCAAGATCACCTGTTGGCCTTTTGTTTAAATGCGGCAGTAAAGTCGATATGGACAGTGGTGGAGGATTTGAATGCATTGGTGGTTTTGGTTGACTGGGAATCGGCAGTTGGTAAATGCCCGCCTGGGGTATCAGTGGTGGCGGCTGTGAAGAGAAGTGCTTTCCATGATGCGGTAGGGGTGGTACCTGAGGAACCATATGGAAGTCTGGAAGACTTTGAGGACCGACCTGCGGTAGTTTTAGCGAGGGTAGTTTTGGCACTATCTGACATGTGCTAGCAAGACCATTCTTTATACAACGCGTACAAGGAAGTGACTCTGTGTACTCGCATTTCACTTTTGACCGCTTGCAGTTGCTGCAAGGTTTGGTCCTTTTTTCTCGAGCCATGTATTCTGACCTTGAGAAGCGTTGTAAATGGCAGATCTGATATCGATGCGACAGTGTAGGTGATGCACCGTATGCAAGCCCGAACTAGTCTTGGTGATCCAACAACGTTGTCTAGAGTATTTGATGTCAACAAGTCATTTTAATTGCTTTTTTTTTATCAATCGCTTTTGGTATGAGAAGAAAAAGAATATACCTCTGTTGTTAATGGTAGGATCTGGTTGAGCACGATTACCGGCTATCAGGTCCTTCGATGTTTAAAACGGCGGTATGCTATGCTAGAAATTATAATTATTCAAATAAATGTATAACGATGAAAGCCGTCGTTTCATCATTTACCCACAAGGATGTTATTGTTTATGTTTATCTCATTTGCAAGTTCACCCAAATTTTGTCAATACATGGCTATTGGTTGCAAAACTCACGTATTAGACTGTAGGCACAGAACCCTAACGCACAGAACCCAGATAATCCAAGTAATAAGAACCTATGGCTTTAAACTCTCAATACTCCATGATTTCACTCACTTTTATGAAATTTATTATGTAGTATGGCCTTACTTTGCTTGTATCATTTGCAATCATTGCTGCACCCGTACCCCAGGCAGGATCCCTTGCCCCGGATTCTTGTGAAAAGCGATGATACTTTCAACATCCACACTCTTTTTCCCGGAATGTCTATGAAACCCAAGATCAAAAGCTTTTTCGGAGCCTCCAGACAGTACGTTGTTGCTGGAGCTTCAAACAACCCTTCGAAATTCGGCTTCAAGATTTTACTGTGGTATGTGAGCCACGGTTTATCAGTGATTCCTATAAATCCAAAGGAGAGTGAGATCCTCGGCCAGCCCGTTGTAAAGTCAATTCCCGAAGTTTTGAAGTCCCTCAGTGCTGGTAAAGATATTAATCAATACAAGCTTTCAAGTGCTGATGGTCTTAGTGTTTCATTCTTGACTCCACCCCACATTACCGTACAGACCCTCAAGGATATTGCTGAGGTTCCAGAATACAAGTCACTTATTAGAGGTTTATGGTTCCAGCCAGGAAGCTATGACCAGGAAGCATTAGACACTGCTGAAGCATTGGGATTGCTCGAGAAGGTGGTTCATCAAGAAGAGTGTATCCTCATTCGTGGCGAGGAAGGAATGTATAGCGCCAACTTGTAGATGCAAATTAAATTATCTATTTACAAATAGAGCGAAGGGAAGCGCTAGTCTAGCATCTTCTTGATGTAGTTGCCCCAGGACTCGTCGTCTGGAGGTGGAGGAGGCTTCTTGGGAGATTTGGGGTCAACTTCAATCTCGTAAGGAAACGGTGACACATCGAGCGTTGTAATAGGAGGTATGTGATCTTTTTTGCTGTCTATCTTCTCATATATGGTCATGAGAGTCTCCTCGAAACTTTGACGGGACAGTTGCACCCCCTTGTCGTGCATCAGGGCGGTGTCAGCCGGTAGTTTCTCTGGAGGAACTGGGCGGCAGTTGACATTAATCCGCCACAGCTCCCACACAGAGGTATCTTGCAGAAGATCGTCCTTAACGTGGCCAAACCACAGCGACTTCTTCTTGATCTTGGATGTCTTGTGGAACAGTACTAGAAGCTGACCCACCTTGGGCTGCGATAGCGAGTCGGCCGATCCGAAACCCTTCCTTATAAGCTGGTCAATCTTTTGGTCAAATAATGAGTCAATGTCCGGTAGATTGTTGGCCACGGGGTATGGGATCCCCATGAACTCATGCGAGCTGGGGGCAATGGGGCCAAAGAGCCTGTGAAAGAAGATACACCATAGCACACCTGAAGTTAGTTTGTTCTCGGTCATCACGAACTCATTAAACATACCCTTGAGAGACTCTCGCACGACAGCTCGGTCTGCTGTGAGATTAAGAGTAAAATCCATGTAGTAGGAGGGATTGCGTGCTTCTTAGTTATCGTCGCGCTTGCGTAGAGGACTCCGAATCTGCGACACCAGGTTTGGGTATGCAAAGGAATGATCTGTATATGATTTTCCGTAATTTGCAGAAATGAGGTATTCTAGAATGTTGGATTCAGCCTCGGGATTTGCATGTCTCCTCCTTTCCCCATGTGTCTCACCTCACTGCTTTTCGTAGATATACTTTCCTTGAAGCATGTCGCCGATGATGCTATCTACCTGGGGAAGGCTCTTTTCAGTAAGAAGCTCGAGTTCTTCAGGTGTAAACTTGGACAAGACATGCTTATCAACTGGGAGAGTGTCTGATTTGCCCACACCAATGCCAATCTTCGTGTAGCCTGGACCCACAGCCTTGTCTATGGATCTGAGTCCATTGTGTCCTCTGGCACTGGTGTTTTGCCTTCTGACCTGTACTTTCCCAGGGGCAATTTCAATCTCGTCATGGAGAATTACCAAGGCGGTCGAATGCCCAGGATATGACTTCTGGAACTGGTTCCAAGCCTTGCCGATGGGTCTTCCTTGGAGGTTCATGAAAGACAGAGTAGACTTGAGGAATTCACAATTTAGGGACGGACATTCGGAAGCATGGAATCCACGGTATCTCAGCGATGACTTAAGTGGGGGTATTTCTGTTCTCTTCTTTATGATTTCCTCGAGAGCCCAGTTACCGACATTGTGCCTTGTTCCAGAATACTGAGGTACAGGGTTCGCTATGGATGCGAAAAGTATAGCAGGTGGCTTTCCTTCTTTAAGAGTCAGGAACTGACGAGGCGTCTGCTGGGGCCAAATCCACCCCACATATCGTAGCATTCGGGATATAGCTAGTTTTTCACATACGCGAAGACCCGCACTGAATATCTACATTGGACTGATATATACGGTTGATCATCAAGTCTTACTAAAATCATTATTTCTTCCCAGACTTCTTCTTCTTCTTTTTCTCGTCGACTTTCTTTGGCTGAGTCTTGGACTTGTCTTCCTTAGGTTCCTCCTTGGGTTCCTCTTTTGGCTCCTCTTTGGATTCCTCCTTGGGCTCTTCCTTTGGCTCTTCCTTTGGCTGCGCAGGCTTGGATTCTTGAGTAGCCTCCTTTCTGCCAAGTTCAACCAAGTCACGATGAGAGTTGTCGTATCTGATATGCTGAGACTTGGAGACAGTCTTGAGCTCTTGAAGTCTGTCTCTCAAGGTTGGCACATCTCTGAGGTTCTTCTCGAGTTGCAATCTCTCTTCCTCGAATTTCAAGCGACGCTCAGCGTCCAAAACACCGAAGTAGTAGTTGCCCTTACCATCGAATTTGAGCAAACGGTTGTGGAAATGCCACAAAGCGGGTCTGTGAGCAACGGAAAGCAAAGAGATTCCAATCTCTTGAGCATGCTTGTACATGAATTGTTCCATTGTTGGGGACACAGCAGATGTACACTCGTCAAGAACGGCGAATTTTGGCTGGTGGTAGTAGAGTCTAGCCATAGCCAAACGCTGCTGAGCACCGGTGGACAACTCCTCGTTCCAATTCTTGACAATATCCCAGTCCTTGTTCTCGGGCAAGATATCGCTCAAGTCCAAAATTCTGAGAATTTCCTCAAGGTCCTTCTCGGTCTTTCCATGCTTGTTTTTCTTGAACTGCTCTCGGGTGTGTGGGTATATGATTTGTTCTCTCAAAGAACCTCTGCAGAGGTAAGCTCTTTGAGGCAAGTAAAACATGTTGTCACTCGTTGGGATTGTGATTTTACCGTACTTGCAAGGCCATAAGCCTCCCAACATTCTAAACATGGAAGATTTACCACATCCGTTAGGACCGGCAATCAACAAATGCTGGCCTGGTTTGATGCTGAAGTTAAGCTTTTCGACCAACGTCACATCAGCTGGAGTGACAAGTCTGACGTCAGCGAAGGTGATTTCGTCACCGAAATTAACATTCTTCTCATCTTCTTGTGGGGTAGACTTCTTCCTGTCCTTGATGCTATTCAAGGCATCCTGAAGGAAGGTGACTCTGGTTGCGTGACCAACGAATTGGAGCAAGAATCTTCTAGAGTAGATCAATCTATCCAACGAGTCTGATGCACTCATCAACAATCTTCTGTTTGTGATGAAGTCACCAGCAGCATTGGGGTCAGGGTCATTGCCCAAGTACTTGTTGATGAAGACTGGTGCCGAACACAAGACCAAACCGGCAGCACCCCAGAAGTACTTGACGATGAATGTTTGAGCGATTTCATGGATAGCACGCTTCCAGTACTCCATCTTCAAGAAACGTTCAAGCTGGTAGTAGCAGAGGTCGATGTAGTCAAGCTCACGGTCGTGACCACGCAAGAAGGCAATTTCTTCGTTGTTGGAAACAATCTTGGAGTGAGCAGAACGGAGCTGTCCCTCCAAGTTAGCCTTCTCAGATGCCAACTTGGCGAATGGTGGCGAGAAGAATCTCAATACGATGGTGGAGAAGTGAGCCAACATACCAAGGGCAAGGGTACCCTCACCACTGCCAACACCACTTCTGGAAAGTTCCTTGGCACAAAGAAGCATGTCCAAAGTAGGCTTGAGAAGCTGACCGGGAAGACTTGCCATGGCGGAGGCCAATCTGGAGACATCGGTAGAGAGTCTCTGATCAGGGTCCTTGATCTTGCTTTCAGACAACTGAATCAAGGCGTAGTAGTTGGGGTCCAAGTTGTCGGGGAGGTAGTCCTCAATGATACCGTTGTTCAAGTTCATACGCAAGTGCTGGCGCATCTTATCCTTGGTCCAGTTAAGCAAGGCATTGACGAAAGAGGCAGGGAAACCAAGAAGCATCCAGAATGCCAAAAGCTTTCCGAAACGCTTGAGTCTCTTACTGACCAATGCACCCACAAGCAAACCGTCCAAGTTTGCCACCTTGATGGTCAAAATGGCACGGCAGACCAAGAGCACCAAGTGAGACACAAAGTATCCCACCACCGGGTTCACATAAGAAGGGATGGCGGACTTGAGGAGCTTCCGGAGCGACTCTCTAGTGAGCTTGGGCTTAGTTTTCTGCTTTTCTGGGTCCAACTCATCTGCGGCGGGGTCCTTCTTCTTCCGACTGCCAGAAGAGCTATTGGTTGCACCAGAGAAGGCCGCCGTGATCAAAAGGATATAGGAGGCATTCAATAAGAGAGACCTATTCGACTTGTAGGCGTTAAACACCGCCAAGGCGAACGAGTCTCGCTGCACCGTCTTAGAAGGTGGTGGCATAGCTTGACTTTAAGGCCCGGTGTAATAAATAGAAGATGGGAATAGCTGAGAAAACATTTCGGTATCCTGGAGGTAGATAATCTCTTGACTGCATCTTGGCGCCTGAGCGTTCAAATGTGGGGAGCTTTTTTGATCCGAGGAAGCTGGCTGCGAATCTGCGGGTCTAGTTCGGTCAAAAGAACATAATTTTTTTGAAAAGAAGTAAATTTGGATACTACGATGGTGGCTCTTGAGATTCATTGTAAACTATATTTAAGAAAATGTGGCCATATGGATGTGGTAGTGAGGGACCCTGAAGTACTAGGTGTCCTAGCCGCGCCAAGTAGAAAACGGCGCAGCAACACTGTGGATTGTATTGGACGAGACACCCACTTGAAATGGGCGTTTTATTATTTTTCATTGAGAAAATGACAATAAGTGCAGTCACCTGTTTGACTAGAGTTATTCAAAATCAAAGTGGGGAGACCTTAAATTTCATATACTAGGGGCGTCTAGACGACTACGTACCAGCCTCACTGAAACACTGAGGTGAGTAGGGCTAGAGGACGTGGGTGCTAAGCCACAAACATATCCCTTAAGGTTGAGGTACCACAACATCTTCTTTGTAGTTAAAGAAGTATTTGCTCCATAGCAAAATATCGAAATGCTTGATCTTTAATGTGCCGATGGACCTGCCGTGCTGCTCCGCAGAGCTGCACGAAAAGATGCACATTTCTTAAGACCCAATGAATGAAGAGACAGTATGAGGAATTCACAATGCCCTTCGAGGAGGGCAACAGTTTTTTCTGAGTTTTGGCCAATCACCAGATGTCAATTTCATCTCTTTGTTCCACTAGACGAGCGTCACATCCGCCAGTCCGAAACCCATCTTCCAGATATCACGATTCACCAAGAAGAGCCTTGAAGTCCTCTTTGTCCTTCTGGATCCTGTGCTCAAGCTCGTGGACTCTCGCAAAGTAGAACTTGTTCGCTAGATCTGTGGTGGTTTTGCAATCCGGGTTCTCCTCCAACATGTTTTCATACAAAGCAAGAATCTGCTCTCCCGTAGGAGGTTTTGTGAGGCTGTTTTCATGCGTTCTTCTCAGCAATTGAGTGCTGTCATGATGGAACCAATCGCTACCAATGCTCTCCAAGTCCTCATACTCCCTCACTGAATCTGGCTGGATGAGACCCTGAGTATGAAGAAGTTGTGAGAGTAATAGGAGGTCTTTGTTTGTGTATGATTCAGCGGACGTTATTATGGATTTGCCAGTGGCAGTCATCTTTCCATGTGGTTAGGGTTATCTATTTTACTAGTGACCAGTTCATACAGGCCCCGCTCTCCTAGGCATAAGGTGACACCCAATCTGGGCGGCAAAAAAAAAGCATCAAAAAGTGGAAATCGGAAAAAAGTCAAAAGAGCTGAATCGTTCCCGTTTTTTCCCAAATGAAGCGCTATAAGTCTCGACATTGAAATTCTCAGATTCTAGACTCGATTTTTCACTAGCTCCAGACCTCAGTGTCTCTGTTTACAAATTGACAGTTCTCATACAGTCCCACGCCTCAGCCATTAGCCAAAAGTAGCCACAAGAGATCAAATAAGCATCAGAAAACTAGGTACCAAGCTACATACACCGGACTCATCCTATTGTCATGTCCAAACTATCACCGTCTCTCAATTCGAGACTTGCAAATATCGATATAACGCAAAACCAGAACACATCTTCGAAAGCTCCGAAATCACCCAAGAAGTCTTATCCAGCAAGCCTATATCCAAGAAATTACCATGGTCAAAGCGCCACAACGCCCTGTAAAGCACCCGTACTTTCTACAGCGAGAAGAGCTCAGTCTAGATCGGTTTCGACCTCAAGAAACCTCAATGAAACAGCCCATGAAGTCTCACCAGAGAGAAAACACTCAAGACAAATATCTACCGCCAATGACTCAGACAAAACCTCCAGAAAGCCCTCCGGAAAGGATGTTCAGTTTCTGTTCATGAGGGATACTACATCGTCCAGGAAAAAACAGCATGCAGCCAAACTGCCAGTTCCTCCGAGCTTACATCCACCGCAGCAAGATAGAGCTGTTTCACACCCCGAGCTCTATAACAAGAGGCCATGTACACATTCATCATCATCAAATAACGTGCCCCCCTTGAGAAAATCAGATACGAGGGCCCGAGACACCAAAGCATCAAAATCAACAAATCTAAAAGCATCATCACCAAAGAAATTGTCACACTCTGCATCCTCCAATGACGTCTATCTGCATCTCTGCGGTGAATCAGTGAAAGCAGACGACCTCACCCACAAGAACTTTCCTAGACTGATAGGTTTTAGGCTGCTTTCCTCAGCATTGCGTCAGGAAGTCACAACTCAATCGCAAACTTCACGACCAGCCAAGGTATCTTCTCTAACGGAGATGTACTCGATCTTGCACAATGCTGATGAATCTCTTTTTGAAGACCCGCGTACTTCTGATCCATCATTGGAGGCTAACGCACCCATTTTATCCCACCAACTACATTTACACCCAGAAGGACAACATGCCAGCGTGTATGAGCGAGGCGAGATCATGAGAAAGCAAGAGGTCTTCTATCTAGCGAACTCTAGAGTGAAGAATATCAACGTACATGCCTTTGATTCGGGCGACTACAAAAATAACTTTGGCTTCGACGACAAGAACGGAAATTACATCATCTCGCTCGGTGATCAAATTGAGTACCGATACGAGATAAAACGTGTACTTGGTACTGGGTCTTTTGGAAACGTGGTTCTTTGTGTTGATCACAAGTACTCCACCCCAGAGAAGCAGCGCAAGGTCGCCATCAAAATCATCAGAAATGACCTCAACTGGTCTTTGCAGGCTGTAAGCGAGATCAAAATGCTTAAGCAGCTAAGCCAGTCATCCAAAGATGTTATGAACGATCACATCATGAGTTATTACGACCATTTTCATTTCAGAGGGCATATGTGCATCGCGACGGAGGTCCTCTCACTTAACCTTTTCACATTATTGGAGCTCATGTCATTCAGGGGCTTGAGTTTGGATTTGTTGAAAAAGTTCGCAATTGATATACTCCGAGGGTTGAAGTTTGTCCATGAACAAAAGGTAATTCATTGCGATGTTAAGCCGGAGAACATCATGATCAAACTTCCGCTGGACTATGATCCACATGATAGTAGCATTCCTACTGACTTTACCGTGAAATTGATTGATTTCGGCTCGTCGTGCTTCGAAAACGACACCTCATATTCTTACATCCAATCTCGATTTTATCGTGCCCCTGAGGTGATTTTGGGATCGAGATACAGCAGCAAAATCGACATTTGGTCACTCGGCTGTGTTCTAGCAGAAGTCTTCACCGGTGCTCCAATTCTTCCTGGGAAAAGCGAGGTAGAGCAGATAGCCCTCATTCTCGAATTGTTCGGTGCTCCACCGGCATCTTACATCATCAATGAAAAAAAGAAGCTCTTAAGATTGGCGCGTGTCAGCTCAAGCAAGATTCGTGATCCTGTTGTTGCCGAGTCCTCGGTATATGGGAGCGATGTTAGGGCGCCAATCGATGAAAAGAAGATAAAGAGGACCCTATTATACTCACTCTTCAATGCTGAGGGCAAGGTAAATCTTCAATTCATCAACCAGCTGCTTATTGCAAATGGGAAAGAGTGCAATGGCAGCGGGCATGTTAAGAAATCTGTGAAGCTCAACCTGAGATCCTTGTCTGTTAGTCTCCGTCTTCATAACTCGGGGGAGGCGGAGGCGGCGCAGTTTTCTAAATTTATGTCACGCATGTTTACTTGGAACCCACTGGAACGCCCTGCGGCATCGGAGCTCCTTGTCGACCCCTTTCTAGAATAAATTTAAGCATTTCGGCTATCGCTAGCTGATCACACCATTCACACATTCTCGATAGGATTTCGCACCCAGATCTCATGCACCGCCTTTGTACTAGCCTAGTCCACTCCCCACACTGTCACATGACATACATTGCGAGAGACCCTCTACGCTACTTTCTTTTCAATTGACAGCACCACACCCACAAGCTATTTTCATGTCGACCAGCCCACCTGCAAAAGGGAGTCGTAAAAGCAGAGTGCTCAATTCGTTATACAATTACACTAGTGATATGGCAGAAGCACACGCTGGAAAGAACCGAGGCATAGCTGCGGGCACTGCTGCTACCATCTTAGGAATGGGCCTAGAGCACGTTGAAAAGACAGCAGACGGTGGGGTTCGAGCAAAAGACGGCAGTTTCGAGTATACCGAAGAGGAGCTCGAAGCAGTGAGGGAAATGGCCCTGTCGGCCGAGGAACACCAGGCTGCAAAGGAACCAACGCATTTCATGGATCGGTTCATGGAAAGACTCATTAGCCACACAGTTCCTCAAGATACTGCTGACTACCATGAGATCAATACTAGAATCAAGGATCCCTCGAGGAAAAACAAGGCTCCGTTGTCGATTCGGAAACTCGGTTCGAACATGAAAAGGTTGAGTTCGAAGATGGGGTCGTTTTTCAAGCTCCAGTATGGTGTCATACACGTTATCACCTGGAAACAACCAACAAAGACGCTCTCTGTCTTGGTCCTCTACACTGCTATTTGCATGTGGCCACATTTGGTTGTGGCGCTTCCTTTGCTTGTGTTGTTATTCGGCGTCATTGTCCCAGCATATCTCCACCGCCATCCCATGAACATCCCAGAGCTTGTCAAGACGAAGAAGCGGGGCCAATCGCTTCTTGAGTTCTTCAATCAATCGGAAGACGAGAGCGTTGTGATGGATTTGTTGAATGATCGTTCGGAAGAGTTCTCAGATGACATGTCTACTGCTACTTTTTCGTCCGAGTACTCAAGAGCAACGACCGCCACGACAGCCACGGGTGCCACAAGCTCATCAGCGTTTGCGCAAAAGGGTCTCAATGCGGCAGCTTCAGTTTCGTCAGAAAACCAATCAAAGTTCGTGAAATCGCAGGTATCGACGTTCATGAACATGAGAGACCTTCAAAACTTGACGACTGACTTGCTCAATGGCATAGACCACGCTGAGAAAGTCGCCACTGATATCGTCGGCTTCAAGAATGAGAGACTTACTACCTTCATCTTCTACATCTTGACGTTCGTTACCTCTGTGGTGCTCTTTGTTGGAAGATGGATTCCATGGAGAATCATATTCATTCAAGCCGGCTGGATCGGCATGATTGTCTGTCATCCAAACGCCAAAAAGTATATTCAGGCGCTCAAGAAAAAGAGGCAGCCACCGCCAGCTGTGGAGGACGATGGAGACGAAACCGAGGAGGAGGACGCAGAGGAGCAGCCTCCAAAACGTTTGCCTCACGAGACCTTTGATAGACCAGACATCATTGTCGATGATGCTCCTGAAGTTCGTATTGTCGAGATCTACGAGCTTCAAATCCGCAATATTCTTAAGCACGAATGGAAGCTTTATGGCTATTCCAAGAGACTCTTTGACTATGCCGACAAAGTGAGGGTCTCCGGCAAGAAGCCGCATGGCGTCGATTCTATTGGCAAAATTCTGCCACCCAAGGAGTGGAAATTTGATTTTGGATTTGCCAGTAATTGGCAGGTCGACAGAAACCCCGAGCTGTTCATTCGTGTACGTGGGGTTGATAAGACTCACTTGAAGATCAAAGACGATGAGAAGGAGGGCTGGGTGTACGACAAACTTCCCGCTGCACAGGATTCCACCATCGAATTCAGAAGACGCAGACTTTACAGGGAATGTTTTAGATACGCCCGTCCAGTCAACAACAAGGTCTTGTAGGCCGCTATATACATTCGAATAGGCATATATTTATCTGGTTGCAAAATAGGTGCGTCGCTGCAGCGCATACACCCTTACCTCACAGGTGTACTCGAACACCGGACCAACTACTGATACCCATCACTGAGCGATTAACATGGACAACTTTTCGAGCAAAGTGAAGGTTTTTGATGCCTTTCCGAAAGTTGCTCCGGAGCATTCTGTGAGATCGTCACGAGGTGGCCTTTCGTCAGTCTTCACGATAGTATTCGGCCTCTTCATTCTTTGGGTCCAGGTCGGAGGATTCCTTGGTGGGTTCATAGATAGACAGTTCTCTGTCAACAAGAAGCTCGAGCTGAATCTCGATATCAATGTGGATATTGTCGTCGCCATGCCCTGCGACATGTTAACCACAAATGTCATGGACATCACCAACGACAACTTCTTGGCCCATGAGGTGCTCAACTTCATCGGAGTGGACTTCAATATTCCACCATTTTTCAACATGAATAACGAAAACGACAACCATATGACCTCCAACTTGGACAGGGCCATGGAAGGGTCCCTTCGAGCTGAGTACGCTGTCAAGGGCAAGCGCTTGAACACAGATGCTCCTGCTTGTCATATATTTGGCCTGATTCCAGTCAACCATGTGAAAGGAAGGTTTTTCATTGTGCCCAAGGGAACGATGTATTGGCTGAGAGAGGCAGCGCCAAGGGAGAGGTTCAACCTCTCTCATTTGATCTACGAGTTTTCCTATGGAGAGTTCTACCCATTTATTGACAACCCATTGGATTTCACCGGCAAGGTCACCAAAGAGAAGGAACAAGTCTATAACTACTTTGCCAAAGTTGTCCCCACGTTATACGAAAAGATTGGTCTTGAGATCGACACATACCAATACTCCCTCACAGAGACTCACCATAAGGCTAGGGGCAGTGGGTACACTCCTCCAGGAATCTTCATGAACTACTCGTTCGAGCCCATTCGTCTTCTGATTCGTGAAAAGCGTATCTCCTTCTTTGCATTTGTGGCTCGTATTGCAACCATTCTCTCCGGGCTCTTCATCGCAGCAGGGTACCTTTACAGGCTTTACGAGAAGCTCCTCTTTGTCCTTTTTGGAAGAAGGTATGTGGACAGAAACAGAGAGAAGAAGGAAGGTGGTCTCTTGGACCATCTGGTGCCCCAAAACAAGGATTTTTAAGCCATGAAGACCCGGAGCCGCAGTCTCCCGGGATACACAGCGTTGTATATACGGTCCTTTCCTCGAAACCAGCCCGGTGCACGCGAGGAGGGGCCTTAGCATGCCAGGGGCATCTAATCTTCTGGCCTATATTCAAGGCTCTAAACGAGAACTTTTCTCTTCCCGATTCGGCTTGAGCAAATTGCACAAAAATAGAAGACATCACCATTCACCAACTACAGACCTCGCCGACGCCAGAAGGCGTACTCTACACCCTTCATCTCTGCCCAAGCGGCAATCCTCTTTGGGACGGTTTCCGCGCCAAACTTTTCCCTCGTCTTTTAACAATGCCTGCGTTCGGGCTATCTTCGCAACGGCTGCATCAACTCTACATAGAAGCACCGACCCCACTCATCTTGACCACCAACATACGTATTTTTTCCCCGCGGCATTCCCTGTCAGGCACGAGTATGGTCAAAAGCTATGCCCGAAACGACTAAAAAGAGAATCAAGCGCTCTCGATTGGGCTGCCATAGGTGCAAAAAACTCAAGATAAAGTGCTCCGAAGATAGACCAACATGTGTCGCCTGTGCCAAAGCTAAGGTATCGTGTGATTACTCGTTGAAACTCACGTGGGGAGGAAGGCCATATAAGAACGCTGAACGACGGAAAGCTTCACAGATCAAAGCGCCTTCCCATCAGGGCGGAGGCACCAACCCCGGAGAAATCACATTTGTTGCAAGCTCCTTCGAGGGAAAGACCGAAAGCGACCAGCTGGCTCTGGTAAGCGAGGAGCCGGCCTCTCCATCTGTTGCTCCGGGGCAAATCAAGTTTGAAGAAGATGAAAGTGCTGTGAACATGGCACCTTCTGTCTCGAACGCCTCAACCAACATTTCCACCAACATTTCCACGAACATGTCCACAAACATGTCCCAAACCCTGAGCGGAAGCTATGCTATTAACTCGGAAAAGACTTTCCTGAACCATCTGCCACGCTTCTCCCCACTGCATTACACCGTGTCTCCGGACAGAAACCTCGATCATATCGGATCCCCTGCAAGCAGCACGCCGCTGCTCATTACTGGCATAATTGATAGCTTCTCTCATGACATTGCTGAACTCGAGAGGCAAAACGAAAGCTATGTCCGGTCTAGTCACAGCGGCTCTCCAAAATCAAACCCAGCCTGGTCTCCCACTGCAGTGATAAAGTCACCATCCATGAGGTCTGTCTCTCCCTTGAGCCCAATTTCGCCGAACTCGGACCCGTTACTGCGTTATCACTCCCTTTTAAATCATACGTCTCCTTCTGAGCCTCACCAGGCCTTGCATACCTTATATTCCATCCCACCACAACTCACACCCCTCCCGGATCTTCTATTGAAGGTCCCTTGTTACCGCCAATTGCTCAACTTCTGGGTTGAAGTTGCTTCTAATGAACTTGTTCCAGCCCCGTCACACCTATATACTGACAACCCATTTAAGGTGTTGGTACCACAGATGGCAATGCGATATCCCGGAGTTTTGACTACTGTTCTTGCATTTGCTGCCCGCTGGAGAGGCGTCTTGACCAACGACCTAGAGGACTCAACGGAACTCGTTGATCAATTATTGAACAGATCATGTAATGAGCTTCTCAAACAACTTCAGAGCGAGGAAGAAGCCACCTCAGATGGCGCGTTGCTCACTGCATTACTCTTGTCCTGTTACGAGGTGGTCAATTCGAATGATTTTGACAAGCATAGGACACACACCATTGGTGCAAGTCAAATCGTCCTTGCTAGAAGTGCTGCTAAAGAGGCCCATCAAAGCTCGCCATCGTCCGACGACTCTGACAACTCCGATCGTTCCCTTTCCATGGTTTATCATAGAGATGAAAGTAATACGGCCTTCTTTCTCACGCGATGGTTCTTCTACGTTGATGTGCTTGGAGCTTTGTCGGCAACTCGAGGGCAAGATAAGTACCTTCGTGCCTACAGAAACAATCCTTGCTATGTCCCCGTGGGTGCTAACAACTTGGCGTTGAATGACGTGCAAGATCTCGATCTCCGTAACGACATTGATTTCTTCATGGGCTTTGATAGCCGTATTATCCCTCACCTCATCAATATTGCACTCCTTATTCGGGAGGTCGAGAAGGTCGAGGAAGCTTCGAACGGTGAAGTTCCTCAGCTACCAGTTTGGATAGTCACAGAGGCTTTGGAACTAAAACACAAGCTTACACAGGCGCACGAAGCCGGTGAGGTTCGAAGGCAGGCCCTGACGGAACGCAATATTGATACCACTTTGAAGCAAGACTCACGGACGGATAAGCACAAAGGCATAGACAAACTTCTTGCACACGATAACTCACTTCGTGCCAGCAACAAGCTTTTCTTTTACATGGGGATGATAAATCTCTACCGTCGTATTCTCAAGATCCCTCGGCTGTCACCGATCGTTCAACAAATTGCCAACGATATGGCCGATGTCTTACACTTCGGAATTGAACCCAGAAGCTCTGCCGAGCTCTGTACCATCTTTTGCCATTTCTGTGCTGGGTGTGAACTCCTCGATCCAGAAAGAAGGCAGCATATATACGAGAGACACTTATGGATGGCCCAATCTGGCAACAACAACGCTTCAAAGAGTTTAATGGTAATGAAACGCTGTTGGGAAAGTGGTGAAGATTGGGCTTCCGCAGCAGACGCCTTGGATATCGACCTCGTCTTGATGTGAGAATGGCTGCAAAATATCAGCAAGTGAGGTCGCGCGAATGGTTCACCTGCACCGCACCACATCGCGTATCGCATCAATTCTCAGTTTTTAGCTCACACTGCACCGATCCTTTCGAAAGGGAAGTTCAATCAAGAGGCCCAAAAGCTTCTCCCTGTACTTGTGGTCATATTTGGCGAATAGAAAATTGCATATCTGTAAACTCACTGCAAGCTCATCTCTGATCCCCTAGATTCAGTCGCAGGCTTCAAGATCATCATGGACCAGCCTTCCTTCAGAGATGAGTTGATACGTGATATCGAGAAGAGTCACTTGGAACCAGGCTCGTCAGAGCTTCAGTCAAGTGTTCTCATGAGATGTATGAAGTTTCTTCAGCTGGATATCACTGAGAATGAGTGTGATCTCTTCTCACTGCCTACCATTCAACCTATTGCCGGGCATGCCCTCATAATGTTCTCCTTTCCGGGTAAGACAAACTCCGTTGTTGAAAACAGATTGGCTCGCAGTATAATCTCTAGTCAGGAAAATGCTAGAGGCTTCTACAAATGCTTGTCAGAGTTAAGGTATCGCTTTGTCGTTTTGCGTCACATTCCGGTTGCTCAAGTCAACCAATTCCTCAGCATCATCAACAAGTGGATTGCAAATCGACTCAAGCAAAAGGTTCAAGACGGTTTTGATGAAATGCTGGCTTTCGAATGCCTACAGAATCCCACAATCCTTAGGGACGACGCGGACTTATTGAAAGCAACAATTTCCTACTATACAAAGCCTGAGCTGAAGGCGCCAGACGTTTTGACTCCAGCTTCTATAATGTTCTTTGTGAGTGATGACCTGAGCGTACGCGATGTGGGCCAAAAGCTAATATCAGCCGCCGTAAATTCCGAATCAGATCCTCAGGTGGTCGATGAATTCCACTTCCAACTTTACCGTGTTCAGGATGCAAAGCACTATACTCCAGAGTTCTCGGAGCGCTTCTGGCTTATGGCTGTCCAATGTCTAAGCCCATTAGATGCCACACATATTGAGAGATTCGCCGTACCAAAGGACCTTGAACAGCTGAGTCAATTCACTCAAATCAGGCTTTTTCCTTTGGCTCGTGTCCTTCTAAACAACGTGCTCGCACAGATGGAGACAACTTTACCAATTCTTCTTCGACTTCTCACGATCCTTCTAAGAGCCTTCAAATTGGACTTCTACAAATTATCTGACGGGCTTCATTATAGAAACTTTACCGACGCAATTCTTCAAAGCCCTGTTCATTCTCGTCTTCTTCAGAAGGCAAAGGCATCCAATGACGCAAAAAGTTTGGTTGATCTCTCGTCTTGGGCAATTCCGTTTATCGAATCATTGGCCGGGGCTCAAAAATTAGCCGCCGCTGTGACATTATGCGATTACTTCGTCGTTCAAGATATTCAGTGCTTGAATCCTTGGAGACTCTTGCTGTTATCCTTCGACTCAACAACCTTGGCTCAATGTCGCAATGAACCCCTGGGTTTCTTGAGATTGAGCGATGCCCGAAAGATAGTGTCAAGACACGCTAAAAGCATCGTATCTACCGCCAAGAATCCGTCTGGAAGTTTTGCCTCTAGTGCTACAGAGTTAATCAAATTATCTCTCAGTTACGATATTATGTTCACCGCACACAATTCATTGCAATTGCAAAAGAAGGAAATCCCGACCTTATTAGATATCGATAGCTCACTTTGGGAGGCATTACTTGATACACCATTCAAACTGCAAGAGATGTTAAGTGCTCTCTTGCAATCTCTCAACGACGTCATTTCCATTATCATATTTAAGCCGAGAAAAAACGGCAGTCCCGACAAGGATCTAGAAGCCGCTATCAACATGCATAACAGAGATACAAGAAAGCTCTGCACTAATATTTCGGCGATCCTTGAGAAACTTGCACTTGCTGACCCTGAACTGATGCTGGCTGTTCTACAAAATGCAGCTTCGCTGATGGCGATGTGGAATTGCATTTTTTCGCCAGAAACCAATCAATCTGCATTAAACATTTTGTACCTGGTTTATGATGCTGAAGGGCGTTATGAGGCCATCTGTGGTCTTCTCAATTCATCGATTGAAAATAACTTAGCTGCCATTGTCGACTCTTTTGCAACAATTACGAGCATGAGAGCTTTCGAACCATGTCCGAAAGCAGTGAGAATCTTGATGGATGTGACCACTGCTCTTGCTGACCCTCTTTCAGGCATTTTAACAACGACATCTGAGAAGGCTCAGAACTGCGGTCAGCTTGTTCAGCTGCTTTGGGCTGGAAGCTGGCTGTTTTTAGTCATGATTTATCAGCTCACTCTAGTTTGGGCTACTATGTACCATCTATCTGACTTGGTGGAGTTTACCCGTGACGTGCTTGATGTGAGTCATTCACTTCTTGACTCCTTCAGACCTATACTAGACTTTTTAGACAATCCTGAGGTGAAAGGACCCTTGTTTGGAAAGTTTTTGAAAGCTTTCAATCATGTTATTGTGTGGTTGAGGCTTGGGGACTTATCGCTTTTGAACTCATGCGTCAACTTGGTTTTCAAAGGGTTCGATCTCGCAAAAGAGATGGGAGTTTCGGTTGACAAAGAGTTTTTGACTACATTCGTAAAGTATGGCGCCAAAGCGAAGAAGTTCAACAACAAACTTACGGAGCAACAAAGAGAAGATGTTCTTGCTAAAGCTAGCGAGTTTGATGAAGCTTTGGTACAATCAGTTGTTCAAGAAGCTCGTCAACAGCGTTCTGCCACAAAAGAGACAACTATCACCCGTCATCAGCCAGTGGAAAAAGGCGCCACATATGCATATCAATCTGCCAAACCTAAGCAGAGTAAGCAACTGTTACTTACAAGGTTTGGTGTTGTTTCGAAAGAGCCCCCGTCGCTCCAGCCCCTCCTAAACCTTTCAAGTCCAACAACTTAGAGGCAATCAGAAACGAACTCAAAAACAACAGAGCTCCACAAAAACCAGCGGCTGCTCCAGCTCCTCCAAGACCTGCTGGATTCAACTCGAAGCGTGCACCCGTTGTTGGTCGGTCTCTCAATGCTTTGAAGCACAAGGGGGCCGATTCTGATTCCTCCGAAGAAGATGATGATGACATTGATACGTCCGACCTATTTTTAGACTCGAAAAAGAAGTCAAAGATTACTGAGTTGGATATAAATGGTAATCCAGTGACAAAAATTGCACAGAATAAAAGAGCAAATCAAGAACGCAGAGAAGAAGAGCGGATGAGAATGCGTCTCAATGTGAACTTGAAGCCGCTTTACTCGATTATTTTGAAATGGAATTACAATTCGGATAGTGCATACCCAACTGAGGACCGTGACATTTATCAACCGATAAAAGACTCTTACACAGATGTAAAGGAGTATGTGAAACTCACGGAGCCTTTATTAATGCTTGAGTGTTGGCAGGGAATTCAATCTTCAAGGACAACAGGTCAAGAATTACCTGTTCAACTTTTGGTGGGTAGCCGTACAACATGCGATGGTTTTTTCGATGTGTATGCTTCGATTAAAAAGGCTGATCTTTCGACGAGGAAAATTGGTGAGACCGACTTAATGGTTTTGGGTTATGTCGCAGACAAGGGTATTGAGCATGCCAACGAAGTATCTCAGTACCTAAAACGTCCTGGAACTCAGACTTGCTTGGCTAAGGTCAGGAACATAAAGCATGCAAATTCTGATTATTGTGACATAACTCTTCGTGTCTACCCGCAAGGCTCCATGATGGGCCTTTTGACGCCAAAGACGGTGATTGTGGGAATGAAAGTAATGCAGATGATTACTGTCGAGAGAGAATTTTCATCCCTTAAGGGCTTGCCTTACTACGACTTGTGCGAGGAGATCTTAGCTGGTAAACCTTCAAAACCTGTGGAAATTTCTGACGATGATGCGAAGGCCATGGTAAGACAAAATAACGTCAACATTTCACAGGCCAAAGCTATCTTGGCTTCAGCCAAGGCTGAGGGTTTTTCTCTCATCCAGGGTCCTCCAGGTACTGGTAAGACGAAGACAATTCTAGGCATTGTTGGTCATTTCCTTTCAAGTACCCGTGCAGAGAATACAATTCGTATTCCCACTCCATCATCCTCGGTGTCTCGCAGTGCAACTCCAGAAGAGACACCCAAGGGTCCTAAAGTTCTTATTTGTGCGCCGAGTAACGCTGCTGTCGATGAATTGGTCGTTCGTCTTAGAGATGGTATTGTTGACTCGAAGGGAACATCTCTTAACCCGAAAATTGTTCGTTTGGGAAGGAGCGATGCTATCAATCAAGCGGTGAGAGACCTTAGTTTGGAGGAGCTCATCGAGCGACAACTTAGCGTTCGAACCACCGAAGCAAAAATCGACCCTGGTATCAGGAGCGAGCACACGAAGTGTATTGCAGAGCGTGACAAGATACGTGAAGAACTCAAGAGAGGTGATTTGAAAGATGAGAAAGTCATAGAACTTGAAACGAAATTGAGGGAAATCAACAAGAAACGATCGGAGCTCGGAAAGCGACTTGATGATCAGAGAGAAAACGCCTCCATTGCCTACAGAACACGAGAAATCGAGAGGCGTCAAATTCAAGCCAAGATTTTATCTGAAGCGCAAATAATTTGCTCAACTTTATCTGGTTCTGCGCATGACTTTTTGGCTAGTATGTCGATGAAGTTCGATCAGGTCATCATTGATGAGGCGTGCCAGTGTGTGGAGCTTTCTGCTATTATTCCTTTGAGATATGGGTGCAAGAAATGTATCATGGTGGGAGATCCAAATCAGCTTCCTCCTACAGTGTTATCGCAAAAGGCTGCCTCGTATAATTACGAAGAGAGTTTATTTGTGAGAATGCAGAGACAACATCCAAATTCTGTTTATTTGTTGGATGTTCAATACCGAATGCATCCTGATATTTCCAAATTCCCAAGTGCTCAGTTCTATAACTCGAAACTCACGGATGGCTCTGGTATGCTTCAGAAAAACAGCCGCCCATGGCATCACGAGTACCCTTTCACGCCCTACCGATTCTTTGACATTGTCAGTAGGCATCTGCAGAGTGAGAGGACGAAATCTTTTTTCAACTATTCAGAGGCACAAGTTGCGTTGGAATTAGTTCAAAAGTTGATGGACATTTTACCCACAAACCAGTTCAAGGGTAGAATCGGTATAATCTCGCCGTATAAGGAACAAATCAGAACTTTGAGGGATGTCTTCATAAAGAAGTACGGAAGTACTATCTTAGCTGAAATCGATTTCAACACTGTGGACGGTTTTCAAGGTCAGGAGAAGGAGATCATCATCATGTCGTGTGTAAGAGCTAGCGAGACCGGAAGCGTTGGTTTCTTGAGTGATGTGAGACGTATGAATGTTGCTCTCACTCGTGCTCGTACGACACTTTGGATCTTGGGTAATAAGTCGTCTTTGAGAAGAGATAAGGTATGGTCGAGACTTATAAGTGACGCGGAGTCACGTCAATGCATGACATCTGCAGAACCTGGCTTCCTAAAGAGAATCGAAGGTAATCCTGAGTTAGGTAAATCGAAGCCGTCGAAGTCGATCGCAGAACTGACCTCACCTTCGGTGATAGATACCAAAGTACCTGACGCACCGGAAAAGGTAGCAGATCGAACCGCTGTACCTAAGAGACGAGCAGAGAAGGATGATTCGCTGCCCTCTGACCCGGAACCACCTCACAAGAAAAAATCTCTGGCTGTTTTCCAAAATCAGCAGGCCAGCTCTACCAATCCATCGTTGCCAAAAAAGCCAAAGGTGAACAAAAGTGGCGTTTACATTCATAATAGTCATCTGAATACTGATACTGCAACTGCTCAAACGAAACAAAGTGTGCAACCTACTGCTTTGCCCAACGGAGGGAAGGAGCTGGTTGAACAAAAGCCTCCTAAGGCTGTTAACAGCGGCGTCTATGCCCACCAGCTGCATCCAGAGGAAATAATCGCAAGAAGTCAAGCGATGTATTTATTAGAAGACGAGGCAATTCAGGTCGCCCACCCAACTCTTATAGACCATAATCCCCCATTTAATGCATTTTATGGAAACTTATTCATTTTTAAGATTTTTAAGGGAATTTTCGTAAAGAGATTTGTTTCTCAGTAAATTCTGGCCATCGATATTTTCTTTAATGGTGTCTGCAATTGTGACAGCAGCAGGTTTGTATCCCTGATTCGTCATTTTGAACTTCAGCAAAGGTCTAGTGGGAGTTTCGAGGCTCAACATGTCTTCATCAACTGAGCTTTCAAGACTTGAAACCCGGCTCAAGTAACTTGCATCTCCCATCGACTTCAATGTTGAGGCAATTGCTTTTATCTCTCGGTGAACCAAAATACCGAGATACCGAAGCAGACCATCCGTGGTCTGTGTACTTGTTTGCTCCTCGTGCAATCTCTTAGTGGCTTCAAAACTAGAAATGAGTGTTTCTTTCACTTCCTTCGTCATTGGTGTTGAGTTTGATAAGATCTCTAGAAGCTTCTCCTCCTTCCCGCTCAAAGTCAATGCAATACTTCGCCAAGACTCACCATCATGATGAAGTTGCGCTGAAAGCTTTGAAGACACCACACTTAAATCCTCGAAAGCACCAATTCGATGCGATAGAAGTTCAACGATTGGGACCAAATCTATCATGTCTGTTATCGTATTCAGTTGATCGTCCACATTTTTGTGCTGCAATCTGGGTTGCTCTTGGGGTCTGAACATTGCTTCAATAATTGTTGAGACTCTTTCCTTAACCTTAGCTAGCTGCTCGTTACCCTTCTCATAACCTTTTTCGTAGGCTGTCTTTTCTGCAAAGTTGGGAAGTTCTTGCTCATTAACTTCAAAGGCTTGTGCACCCATGACGCTCGGCTGTGGCTTCGATTGAAGTTCTGGCTTTTTGATATCGGAAACACTATTACTTGCCTGTCTAGATGGATAAGTTGTCGCATCAGGCGGAGCCAGTTTTGGTTCAGGAGTCTTGTATCTGAATGCTGCCTCGACGGGATGTCGCCTCAAGAGTACCTGAAGGTCATTTTGTGGAAGGCCACTTGATAGTAAGAACCCTGTTATTACGCCTTCGCCCTGCTTTTCCAATTCTCGGAATAGGTTGACATACTTGGCTGATTTGCTCTCCAAAACCGAGCTTGCTTCGTCTATCTCATTTTCGACGGCGACCTTGTTTTCACGAAGTATCTTCAAACGATTCTCGAGCTCCTCAATCTCATTATCAATATCGTTTCGTTTTCTGAGGAGATCTGCCAACTTCACGCCAAAGTTATGACCATCACTTTTGATGGACTTCACACGGTTCAATATTTTGGATCTCTTCGAGTCCCACTTTTCGAGGTGTTGAAGGAAGCCTTTTAGCATCGTGCTTTCCTTGTTGTAGATTTCGTTCAATGCATAGTAATTCTCGGACATTTGAAGGAACCTGTCTCCGATAATCTCCCGTATTTGCTTGCAATCACTACCCTCAGACAAGAATTGTTTGTGAAGCAGCATGTCCCTTTTCATTTCTTTTTTCAAAGTCTCCAGCTTGTCCAGCAAGAATCTTAGAAGCAGCTCGAATTCTTGCCGTGTCTGCCAGCCACTCTCCGTATCATAGGACAGGAGATCATCGGCCCTGAAGACCGAAGGAGACATTGAGTCTCTCAAGGTACTCTCGTAGAGATTGCTTGTCAGTTGCGAACCAGATCTATCATCACCAGGCACCGTGCCATCCGTGGCATTCTTATCCAGGTACTCTGATGCATGAGGTATTTCTGTCTGGTTCTGAGTGAGGAAATCATTGGGGTCAAGACCGTCGTCTGAGGATTCTGGGACGGCACCGAGCAGTGATAGTGGTTTCGTATCAATTGCAACAGAGGCTAGGTTTATGGATTCGAAGTCCTCTGCATCATCGGACATGACGAAGTTAAGATTGATGGCAGGTTGTGTACCAAATGTTCCTATCGCGCTGCAATGCCCCACAGTTTGATAAGGCGTTGAACATGATTCCAAGATGGGAAACACGAGGAGAGAGTAAAGCGAATTGTTTCAGAATGACCATTTTTTCACAGAGCTACGGTTTTCGTTCCAGTCTATTCACAAAGTTATACAACACGTTCAAGATTTGTCTTTTGCAACCAAATTGCGAAATTCATGGAGACTCATGGAAGCCAAGGAGACTGATCGGAGAGCTCTTAAACTGGCGATGCAAATTTGCCACAAAAAGCACGCTTAGCTTTGAACGAATTCGCTGAGTTCTGAAGATTACTGACCTGCTAGAGAAATACACCACACTATGTCAGTTTTGATATATATTTCACGAAGATTGTCTCTGGTATATTGATGCTAAATATTATTCAAAGTCAATGCAGACGCCACAGAGGTCGAGTCGACCGCATTCTGAAACTCTTCAAAACTTAGACGACCATCTCCATCAGCGTCAGCTTCCAGAATCGTCTTATCCACAATCTGTTGTAGTTCTTCGTCTTGTAAATTCTTGCCCACCATCATCTTCATTACTATGAAAAGCTCGCCATTACCGATGTACCCATCTCTGTCGATATCGTATATCTTGAATGCAAAGCGAAGTTTATCAGCACGAGATGATTTACCACTGAAGGCTGAAAGGCCGGTAATAAATTCTTGAAAGTCGATGGTTCCATCGTGATCCTCATCGAAAACGTCCATCAACCGGCTTGAGAGGGGGTTTGATGAAATACCAGGTATGGCTAGAAACTCATTCTTGTCGATCGCTCCACTTCCATCGCTGTCAAGTTTCATGAACCGTTTTCTTAGTCTATCTATTTCCTCGCGATCAAAATTCGTGCCTTCCATGAAGGACTCTAGAAGTGTCGAAGATGCCAATCCCATATTGTGTTTTGTTGCAGTATCTGTCTATCTGTCGGTTAGGTCTAAATATACTTTTAGGAAACTTGGTGCACCCCATCCACCTTGACGTTGGCCTCTGTGCACAACCACCTAGATTTGACGAAGATACGAATCACTCATACTACATGCTATAACGTCCGAGCGATCTATTGCTATATTTATATAAGATCACAATTCATATGACCGCAGCTTGACCCTTACAACTTGGCATTGCCGACGTGGCTACCACCATCGATAGGCAACACGATACCGTTGATATAGTTCGATTGCTTGGCACACAAGAACATAACAGCGTTGATCAAGTCTTCCTTCTCACCAAGACGCTGTCTTGGGTTCGTTTCAATCATCATTTCGCCAGCCATGTCCAAGACGCCCTGAGACATCTTTGTGGGGAAGAATCCGGGAGCGAGAGAATTGACCGTGATGTTTCTTGGGCCCAAGTGAAGAGCCAAGTTTTTGCCCATGTGAGCGACACCAGACTTTGAAGCCAAGTATCCGTAGATACCAACTGGGTCAGATGCTATCAATGAAGCTACCGAAGACATGATAAGGATTCTGGATGGGTCCTTGGCAGAGGCACCTTTCTCGAGCAATGGGGTGAACAATTTGATGGTCTGGAAAACGGCAACCACGTTCAAGTCTAATACCTTCTTGATAGCCGACACAGGGTGGTCTTCCAATGGAGCACCCCAGGTGGCACCAGCGTTAGCGACAAGAATGTCAACTTGGGAGACCTTCTTGCTAGTCTCGTCAAAGAATCTTTGACAGTCCTGCTCATTGGCCAAGTCAGCAGCGATGGCTATCACTTCCACAGACTTTCCGTTGTCTTTAGCAATTTTTTCCAAGTATGCCTTCGACTCCTGACAAGCTTTCTCCTTTCTAGAGGTAATGACAACAGTTTTGATGCCATTGAGCACAAAAGCTTCGGCTGCGTAGAGACCCAAGCCTCTGGTACCACCAGTAACAACAGCAGTCTTTCCGTTCACGTCGTAGCTGTACATTATAGAGAAGATGAAGGTTCGTAACTATGAGCGCCTGGAATACTTATATAGTATGTCCGGCATGTACTGGCCTGTTCCCCACAGCTATCTCCTCGGGTGCGAATCGTGGATTAAGTCCGTAGGACTCACATGTGTCACTCCGAGATCTTAACTAACGGGGTTGCTTTCTGCAGGTGGCTTGGGCAGCACGTAGAATACCATTTGCAATCCAATTTTCCGTGGATTTGCCGCGACGAAGCACATCCTTTCCGGGTTGATCACGGAGATATCCTTGCCCGGAATCACCTGGTGAAGCATGTTGGTGTCTTTGGCTTGATCACTAATCGCCCAAATTTCAATGATCTCCTCATTTACAATGAAAAGTTGGTTGTCTTGGAATCCTGTAGCTCGCGGCTTGAAATCGAATCGGACCATTGTATTACGCGAGAGCTTCCCCAGTTTGTTCACAAAAATGGCACACTCACTGTAGACCAAAAGAAACTCCTTATTGTTATTGAGTTTAAACATGCCCATTGGCTTAGTTCCACTATGAGAAAGTGCTTTCCTGATTGCATCGCTTCCCTGCGGACCTTTCCGACTGTAGACATCAATCTTCTTATTCGAGCCCTCTGACAGAGGAAGCTCTGGCACAGTCCGTGGCTGTAGCCGTTGCAAATCCAAGACTTCAAATCCCCTTTGAGTGTGCACTGCAATTGTCGTGTTGAAAATGTTGAGTCCGTAACATTCGGCTTGAATGTAGAATCGCTTTATCAAGAAGAACGAATTAAAGACACCGTTGTTGTCCGTCTCCAACGTAAAGACCTTAAAATTAGTGACGCCGGCATTCTTCTTCTTCGCGATAAACAACGTTACAACACCTCGGTGGCGCCCAATTTCGTAGAATTGGATCTGGTCATTGGATAACATCGTTGACGAAAGAGTCTCCTTCCTTTCCAAATAGACATCAACAAATTTAGGGAGCAGATAGTATTTCAACTGTTTGTTTGCCAAGACGATAATGACATTGAAAGCTGGAAGAGCAGAAATCTTAGTCACATTATTGACATTGAGCATACGCTTCCAACGGTTCTTGAGATCTGAACAATAAAGACCAGTCGTCAAGCCAACCAAATGAAGACAGACTCCCTTGTACGTGAACAGCTCCGAGCACTTTACTCTGCCAGATACAAGATTGTCATGAGCGGCAGTTGCTGTCCATAGTTCGTTTCTAACACCCCTTTGTTTGAGAAGCAAGCCAGTCTCTTTCGAGAGTATTTGTAAGGGATCATTTGAAGGACAAATCGGCAACTTCAACATGCGGTCATTGTGATCGTATGCAAAAAAAGCACATTCCATTCCCTGCAAATCGTATGGAGACAACGGTTTCACTTTCTTCAAAAGATTGGAGCGGGCTTGAAGGATTCCTGTAAACCACTTCTTTCTTTCGCTCTCACTCGTAGCAAAAAATGTATAGGCCTGACTCTTGCCACGACCAGCGTAGCGAATTTTGAAAGGATAGGACGACTCGTCAGAGTCTATACTCTCGGGCTCTTTGTTGTTGTTATTCGTGCTTCCACTTATTGGAGTGGTAATAGTGGCAAGCGGTCCGGTTTCACGCTCACGATTTTCGAGAATGACGAAGTCGAGAGGAATTGGATTCTCAACAACTTTGTAGCTTGCAGAGCGAGGTCCTTTCGACTTCTCCGTGATAAGAATATAGTTATCGAGAACTATAACATGTACAGCATGAGTATTTATCTTTAAATCGCCTTTCCGATTAAGATTGCCACGAAAGAAAAATTTTCTCAGTTTGGACAGGAGATGCAAATTGGGCTGTATCACATTAGATTTCCATGTGAGTTGCTTCTCAATCCTTCTGAGTGCATGTATGTTATCGGCGTGTACTTTCATGGCATTGACTTTAGTTCCTAGCTTCTTGATGTCCTCAATAGCTTTCGTAAGCGCCTTGTACTCTTTCTCATGTACTTTGTATGTTTTGCGGATATCCGAAAGCTGCAAAGGAAGCTGTTGGTATCTTGAATTAAATGTGCTCAATAAAAGCATATTGCCGTTAACTTTGAGTTCCTGAACAGTTGGATTCAATCGAAGGCTCTCATCCCATGTTTTGAGAATGTCATTTTTGAGAATGTCCTCGATCATGGGAACCACACTCATGTACTGTAAAAGGCCATCTGTAGACGATTTGGACCAAGTGCTGTAGAACTTTGCTATGCTGGGGACATCCCTTATGATCCTTCCCTCGGCGAGAAGTAATTTGAGAAGTGGTTCCATGAGAACGCACTTGTGAACCTCGAGAAGATCTTTTGCCGGATTCATGATATCTTCTTTAAACTTTTTCACCGAAGTAACAATTGATGCCCCCGCGGCCGCAGTGGCAGTCTTGATGAAGTCCGGACCCACGATGTTAACGAAACATTCTGCTCTTTGAATGAACTTTTGTTCGAACTTGATTAAGTCAAACAAAAATGATTGGCGCTTCGTAGCAGATGGTTCAAGGTCCATATCTTCAGCTGCAAGCTGCCAATGACTTGCCCAATCAGCGCCTAATTCAATATCCTCGATCTTTGTTGTCTCCAATTTATGCTTCTGTTCGATCCATCTATTGATGTCACACTTAGACGAATAGCACGATAGAAGTTTATCACTCTTATCCTCTGTCTGGTGATCTTTATAGAAGCCATAGCAGTCTGTCAATTCCGGGAAGATCGAGTTGATCTCTGCATTCTCTTCAATTTTAATATTGATAGGATCACCTGGCTCTGAGTTAACTGCAGTAATCAAGCTAATAGCACCATTGTCAATAAGAGTTTCAAGCATGCGATTCACATTTCTGTTGATAATGTCGACTGGAAGACTTCTTTTATGGAATACCACGAGTTTGACGAGGGCTTTCTTCAACTCGTCATTTGAAATAGGAGAGTCATGAAGCCAACACTTGAGTTTGAGGCACCAGGCAAGAATGCTACTCAACGACCAAACCTGCTCACACACTGCAAAGTGCTGAGCATTCAATGACGAAGAAGAAAATGGTAGACGAGGAAGATCCAATGGTACTGGTGGAAGTGAGTCATGCTTCCTGGAAATTGTCACCGAACTGCGCTGTAGTTCACCAGCTTCCTCAAGCGGTGGAACACTTGTTATCACGTCACCCTGGCATAAATGGGTGTCGTTCGCATTCGGAAGTTCAGGAAGAATTGAATAATCGAATTTAGCTGAAGCGGGGGTATATTGCTCGGTCTCATCATAATGGTCAGATTGTTCCGCTTCAAGCAAACTCCAGCGGGGGATTCTTTCTTCTGGAGAGTCGTTGGCCTCGTCATAGCTTAGATCCTGATTGTAGGATGAATCATGTACCTGCCATGGCGGTCTTTCATTGTTCTTTGTGGGAGAAGGCGATCGGCTGTTATCGTAAAAGTAGCTCGATCTGGGTCTAGAAGGTGTTGTTGAGGATCTTGTTGGCGAACTCGACGGCAGATCGTAGAGACCGTAGCGAGACTCATGTAATGGAGACTTTCCCTCAATCGGCGGTGAGCTATGTGAAGCATTGTAATTAAGGGAGGGCGAATGAGCAGAAAAGTCCAATGTCGTAGGTGCGGAAGGCAGGAGATTGTTACCAACCAAAGTGGGAATTCGTAAAGGGCTATTAGTGCTTTGATCGTGGTAAGGATTGTAAAGACTTTGATTGTCGTCCAGTTCGAAAACTCCACTGTTATCTAGGGGGTATGGAGGAGAAGGCATGGGGTTGGGACCAGCAACCGATCCCTTAGGTCTAGGTGGGATATGTAACGATGCCATCTGTTCCTGCTCTTGCTTTATGTTTTCAGCGAAGCCATCAGAAACGAATGGCGACGAACCTCCATGCAGAAGGTTCATGAACTTCCTTCTTGGGTAGTTCTTGGACCTGGAGCTCAGGGACTGATCTGTGAATGTGGAATGGCTCGTTTGCGTATCTGGAGACGGCAGAAAGCCGTCGGTATAAGTTGAAGGGTTTGCTGACAAAGGTGACTCACCTTCATTATCTTGGAAGGTCTCGTTCGTTATAAAGCTATGATCCATGGGTAGTTGTTTCGGTCCCATCGGCCTAACGCTCTCGTACGAAAGCACAGAGTCCTCATTGACCTCAAAGGATTCATCCTCTTCTTGAGGTGTGGATATTATAGGGCGTGAAATGTCTCTGGGCGGTAGGGGAGGAGATTTCATGGATAATGGAGTCTCAAAATGTAGCAGGTTCATTGACTGTGGAGTACCCATAGGATTGGAAACCACCACGGGCGGGGGTGCCGGGTCCTCCATAGGAGGCGGTGGTCGCCTTCTTAGGGATTTCTTCGAAGGCGCTTGAGAAGCCATGGTAAAAGAACGAGTGGAGTTTGGTTACTCTTCAAAATGGCTGTGGTTGTTTCTTGCAGCACTCTGATGGGAGTCCAGTAGGTGAGTGGTCACGTGAGCGTAGGGAAAACTTAGCCACAACGGTACAAAGTTTAATCGGCTCCGTTAGTTATTTTATTTTGGTAAGGTGTTGTTTTGAGCGAAATTAAGTTTTTGATGTTTAACGGGTTTTTGTCAGGTTTACGCCATGCATGTTGATGCGACCCCGCGTAGCTACTAAACAAAACACCGAACAAAGGCGGCCGAAAACGGAAGGGAATTGGAAGAATTACTTGAAGGTAGACCTGCCGCTTTTGTTAAGAAAAGCAATTGTAAGGCGCCATGCATACATAGTTTACTTTAGACAGACATGAGTACTGTTATCTTTATATGAACTGAAACAATCGAGATCATCGTATAGTACAATCACAAGCTGCTTTTGCTAGCAAACGGATTTTGAATTATGTAACTGTATTGCTTATTCGCTACATCTTGGCCTTTAAGGCATCTTCAGAGAATAGAGCCATTGAAGTCAGGCTAGTCAATGAAGCCGTAAAAGCTTCAATTCCAATTAACCTAGAGACCTTTGATATTATAAATATTGTAAGGAAGGCAATCTACCCATTCGCCGAAATCGCAGCTTTTGTTTGTGTGTGTAGTCCATCGGCATCAACTCCACGATACATAGCGCGAAGCATCTATATAACGCGTATACCACCATGGCTTATTCAGAGACGATATCCCAGGCAATCGCCGAGGGTGCTAAACTCTATGCTATCAAGCAATACGATGAAGCTGCCACCAAGTATGCTGATGCTTGTGCCTCGTACAATGAGGAGCACGGCGAGGATGACGCTGACTTGCTTCTTTTGTATGGTAAGGCTCTCTTCCAAAGTGCTGTCACTAGATCAGGAATGCTAGGTGGTATTGGCGACAACGAAGAGGAACAAGAGGAGAAAGAAGAAGAGGAAAATGACGATGGCAATTTCCACTTTGAAGATGGAATTGCTCCTGAGGTGGATGATGACGAGAATGCTGAACCAGAGAAGGAGCAGGACAACGAAGAGAATGAAGAGAACCAAGAAGCACCTCAGGAGCAAGAAGAGGAGGCTGGTCCCGAGCAATCTGACTTTGAAGTTGCTTGGGAAATCCTTGAGCTCACCAGATCTCTTTTGGACAACAAGCTTAAAGAGGAGTCTGCGGAGGGACTTGAATCACCGTACTTGAAGGACGCCGACGAGACCCCATCCTCCTCATACGTTGCCACAATCAAAAAGCTTTCGGAGGTTTACGATCTCCTAGGTGAAGTCTCGTTGGAAGCAGAGAACTTCGCCCAGGCTGCAACCGACTTACAGAGTTGTCTTGAATTGCGTCAGAAGCTCTACTCCGCTGACAACGGATTGGTGTCTGAATGTCACTACAAACTCTCTTTGGCTCTTGAATTTAGCCTTGCGGATGATCTGAGAGCAAAAGCCACGGAACAAATGAAATATGCCATTGAAAGTGTCAAATTGAGAAACACGAAGGAAACGGACGAGGAGAAGAAGAAAGACAACGACAGCTTGTTGCGTGACATGGAGGAGAGATACAAGGAACTTAAGAAGAGCCCCAAAGCGGACCTACAGGCGCAGCAAATGGACATTATCAAGGGAATAATGGGAGAGGCCGTTAGTGGAGAGGGCAGTAGTGCCGCCAAGGCAGTGCAAGACCTCTCGAATATGGTGAAGAAGAAGCCAGCAGTCAATGACTTATCGTCAATGGTCAAAAAAAGAAAGGCCAAGCCAGATGAGTCTGAGTCGAAGAAGCCTAAGAAATAATTGTATAGTACGAGAGGTACCTCGCGCGAGACAATGTGTACCTCATCCTCATCGCGAAATATCAAGACCCACAACTTACTATGGCACCCCCAGTAAACGACAAGAAGATTAAGAACAGAAGAAGGAAGAAGAGAAGAACGGAAGACTTTTCCTCTGATTCAGACTCAGACTCCTCTTCAGATAACGAAAGTCCATCTGAGCCACAAAAAACAGAAGTTCCACAGCCTAAAGCAGACATTGACATCAACGATGTGGATATGGAGTCTGATGAAGAGACTCCCAAGACGGCAAACGAGCCACTTTCAAAAGAAGTACTGGAGAAAGTCCGGAGCATAAAATTCACCTCGTTAGAGAACCAGTCACTGGCCGAGGCACAGGAGACTCTCAAGAAAGACAAACAGCAAGTTGAAAACGAATACTTGGCACTCATGGCATCTTCATTTGCAAATGACATTGATGAACTTCGAAAGAAGCCTGACTTTACAGACAAATCGGTGGTGATGTTGGCCAAGACGCTACAATCTGGAAGCAACATGTTCGATGAGGACTCACTTGATGCATTGCTCAAGAAGTGAGTGAAAGTGTTGAACTGTCAGGTAAGGAATGGGAGGATAGACCTCTAGATGAGCAGCAATCAATGACCTTGGTTGGTATCCATGGTAGAAGCACAGCATATAGATGAATAGTCATGACTACGCAAGACTTTGAGCACGTAATTACACACTGACTCAGATACTGGAAACTACTTTAATGAACGATTAAGCAACAGTGTCCCCATGTAAAGCCGATTTTTGTGACACTGTCGTGACTCACGGTTTCGCAGCCATCGCAGTCAGGGCGGCCTGCAGAGTCAAGAGAGATCAGATATTTCACCACAGTTCTCCCGCTTCTCAAACCACTACATACTCCAGATGAAGAAAGGCTCGGCCATAGAGAAAACTATAGATACGGCTCTGGAGTCCACGGACGAGTTGCGTGCCTATGGGTTCTTCAAACGCTTCTCTGATAAGCTCGACTCGCTCGGAGTAGAAGCCCGAGGCATCGAGAGGATTCAGCCTTACGAGAGAGCGGTGAACAAGAGGAAGCAATTTATCACTGTGATGGGCCTTTGGCTCTCAGCTTGTGGAGGATTGTCGTCAATGTCGTCTTTCTACTTGGGTCCTTTGCTTTTCGGACTTGGGCTCAAGAATACCGCCATCACTGGTCTTGTGGGTATGACGGTTGGATGCCTCGTTGCTGCTTACTGCTCGTTGATGGGCCCTCGTTCTGGATGCAGACAGATGGTCAGTGCCCGTTTTTTGTTTGGGTGGTGGTCCGTCAAGCTCGTTTGTTTGGTCAGCATCATCGGTGTGATGGGTTGGTCGGTGGTGAACTGTGTGGTTGGGGGCCAGATCCTTTCATCCATGAGCGATGGCAAGGTTCCGCTTATAGCGGCAATTGTCATTATTGCATGTGTATCGCTTTTGGTCTCGATCGGTGGTATCCACTATTTGCTTCGTGTGGAGGCATTGCTCAGTTTACCAGTGAACTTTGCGTTTCTCATGCTTTATGTGGTTTCTTCCCAGAAGTACGAATACCTCCTGAATGCAGATGCTCCACATGTGGATGCGGCTACTGTCAAGGGTAACATGTTTTCTTTCTTTTCGTTGTGCTTCTCCATCACCAGCACCTGGGGCTCGATTGCATCCGACTACTACATTCTCTTCCCTGAAGATACCCCAGACGTGCAGATTTTTGCCCTTACATTTTTTGGCATCTGGGTGCCCACGACGTTTGTGGGAACCGTGGCCATTCTTATTGGAAATGTCGCCTTGACCTACGGTCCATGGGCTGAAGCTTACGAGACGATGGGAATGGGCGGACTACTCAATGAGGCATTCAAGGCGTGGGGCGGAGGCGGGAAATTTCTCCTTGTGCTTATCTTCCTTTCCCTTATCTCCAACAACATCCTCAACACCTACTCTGCTGCATTTGGTGTCCAGCTTATTGGCATCCCATTGGCCAAGGTGCCTCGGTGGATGTGGGCCATTGTGCTCACGGCTATTTACCTTGTGTGTGCCATTGTGGGCCGTAACAAGTTTAGTGATATCTTGGGCAACTTCTTGCCGATGGTGGGTTACTGGATCTCGATGTACTTTGTGATGCTTCTTGAGGAAAACACCATTTTTCGCAGCCAATACTTCCACCGCCTCTACACCAAGGAGAACGAAGTGGAAGAAGGCACGTCGGCGCTCTACAAGAAAAGACGCCAATTTTACAATTTCGCCATTTGGAACGATTACGAGCGACTCACCAGAGGCCTTGCAGCCACGGCAGCTTTTGTGTGTGGTGCCGCTGGAGCCGCAGTGGGCATGTCGCAGGCCTACTGGATAGGGCCGTTGGCGCGGAAAGTTGGAGGTGAAGAAGGTGGTGACATAGCAATGTGGCTTTGTATGGCGTTCAGCGGCACGGTGTATCCGTTTGCCCGGTACTGGGAACTCAAAAAGTTCGGGCGTTAAAAAAAAAAGAATGGATTACGAGGTTGGTGCATTTATCAATTGAGGAGTGTGTTCACGAGGGTCGTAATGCGAGGAGCGACGGAACCGCTGCGAAACGGTTCGAAGGTTCAAGCCGCTTGAAAAAAAAAAAGCCGCTCCCGCACGGATCGCCATACACACACAACCGGACTGAGACGGCTTCCGAACGGACGAGACGGAAGACAATATCAATGGATCTGGTTACGAGGCTGGCCGGAATATCTTCCTACTATGGCACCCGTTTGGTCACAATGACTTCTCCACCGTTCCCTTGTGCGGTTGCAGCCAACAAGGCATGTACTTGCGGCGCCTGTGCACACCGGCTGAGTCATAGACAGGCTTATTTATGGCTGCAACATATAAGATCTCCGTCTCCGCCTGTCGCTGACATCTCAACCCATGCCTCAAGAAGATGACGGGGACAGGCCCATGAGTAAACCGCAGGATCCAATTTGGACCATCTTGCCCTCTTACTACATGTACCACTCGACTTTCACGGGTGAGCTGGACCCCCGCAGTACACGGAAGACCCAGAGTATCCTGAGTCAGACGGCGCCAGTCGGGTGGTTTCTTCCCATCTCTCCAGTGAGATCCACACTGAACCAACAACTGTTTCTCAGATGAGCAGAAGCCGCGACGTGGCGCTGTTGTCGCTGGGCGAGGGCAGTTTCATTGTCGCTGATGAGTCCAGCAGCTCTTGGAGAGAGACCATTTTGGATAACTACGCACACTTACGTAACTTGACCGACAGTAATAATGAAATGACCCAGGCAGTTCAATTGTCCGTGCACTTCACCAAGGACGTCGGTGAGCGTGGCGTTAAGCCTGAGATCATTGACCCATCCTTATACGAGTATAAGCAGGGCGACTATTTGAACGGCTTCATTTACTTCAAGAATGAAGGATCGCAGCCCATCCCCTTCGACATGTTCTATGTGAATTTCGATGGTAACTTTATTGTCTCAGATGCTAAAAATGTAAAGGGACGGCCAGTGAAGATCAGACGTTTCTTAGAGATGTACGATTTTGCCGCCTCATGGAATCCAGCTTCTGTGAACCGATTGTTTTCTGAAAAAGAAGATACCAACTATCGCGAGCAGCTTGTTGATCCCCTTGACGGCTCCCACTTGGCCATTGGACCTGAAAAATTGCTCCACCCTGGTATTCTTTACAAGAGATTCTTCACATTTAAGATTCCCACCAGGCTATTAGACTCGGAGTGTAACGACCACAATCTTCCCGGACACACCGAGCTCCCACCTACGTTGGGTCTCTGCCCAGCTGAAAAGAATCAGTGGAAAGAGAATGACGACAAGATCAATGACTTCTCTTTTATTGATACCTCGATCAGTCACGGCTTATGGGCAAGATTCATTGGTAAAGCGTCCAAGTATGATGCCATTCAGACCGACTCCAAGGGATTCAAATTGATAAACGCCTCCGGTGATGAGTTCGTCATTTTGAAGGAAGCGGGTTCATTTATTCGTATCTTACAGGAGACGAAAATCCCCAGTGATAGGGAAAAGGAAACTAGTAATGAGATTACCAGAGTCATGTACAACAGCTTCGTTAGTCAAATCAAGGAGCGGATAGCTGTGGGCAATGAATTGTGCAAAGTCATTCAACATTTGGACAACGGCAATACTGCGGTTGACTTATCCCATGCAATTGCAGCGGAAGAAGCCGTTCGGAAGGAAACTAATGACGACTCGACAAAGCTGAGACAGCTCTTTTCAAGAACATCATCTTCCCGTGACGTCAAAGTCGACTCTACTGTCCCCAAAAATTATAGTGTCGTGATACCCTTCCGTAAAAAGCCTCTCTTTGGCAGGCCCAAAGAGCAGGGTTCGATTTTGCTCACTACTCCCAAAATCGACTATCTCCTCAGTTATATTTCCCCAAAGCGATTCCGTACCAGAGGTCCAATTGATCCTTCGTCTTGGAAGTTGGAGGTTCCTCTTGAACTTACTTATACTCCGTGTGGAATCTCAGATGACCCCAGCATGAAGGCCCCAGAGATTCTATCTGTCTTTGGTGAGTTGATCGTATTCACTCTCAAATCAAACAACCGACCAATTCCCATCGAGTTAAACCACGAGTTTCTTTTCAAAAATGTTTCCAAGACAGATAGTGGTCAGCAATCTTATGATGACTTCACTCATATTGTGAAGCGGCCTATGCAGCAGTATGCAACTGAATTGTACCACTTGTTCAAGACTTTAGGAACCGACAATTTCAGAGTGCAGAAGTCCATGGTTGAAGATCTTGCAGCTATGTCAAGAGTTGATGAAAAGTACAATAGGCTAGTTCTTAATGAGCTAGAAACCGTGGATGAATCTGGTAAGAGTATTTTTGGTAAGGAGGGCAATAAGACTCCTTGGCAGAAGCAAGAAAATGGAGTGTTTAAGAGAACCTTGTCCCTCAAAATTGATGTCACAAAGGCTCAGAAGATGCTGGTGGATAATCACCTGCTCTCCAAAGAATATAAGGCATACGATGAGTTCACTTTGGTTCCGTCATTTCAAACTTGCCTCATGTCCAGGCTATACTACTTCCGTTTCGTCATTCGCTTTACCGGGAACCAATGTATGGAATTTAAGGTCCCAGTAACAATTGCCAAGGCTGCAACTTAATAACTTAATTCTCGACCTATATATATGAAAGCCTATTTATTTAGTTTCTAATATGCGTAGAAGCCAATTCATCGGCAAGGGCATCGACATTCTTGTCCTTGTCCTCGATGCTGACACCTGCCAACTCCTTCTCAAGTTGATCCAAGTTGGCGTCATCACCCTCTTGGGCGACTGGATCCTCATCATCATCATCATCATCCTCTTCGTCCTCGCTGTCTGGTTCTTCCAAATCGTCCAACTCATCAAGCTCACCGTTACCTCTGCTTTCAAAAATGGCTGTGATGGCGTCAGCATGCTCGGAGTCCTCTTCGAATCTGTTTCCGTTTAATTCCAACAATTTCAAGTTGGGCAACTTCTCATCGACAGCCTTGACAAGTTTCTCCAAGGCGTCACCCTCCAACTCATTGTATTGCAATTTCAACTTCTCGAAAGCTGGTCTCTTCTCGCCTTCAAGAAGTCTTTCGACCAACAAGAGAGAGCCCTTTGGCTTCAACAAACAGTCGTTCAAGTTCAACTCGACCAACTCAGGCCAAGCCTTGAGGGCTGTAACCAAGCCGACAGCAGCGGAAGTAGTAATGGTGTTGTCCTGCAAATCAAGGATCTTCAATTTGGAGTTGTAAGACAAACCCTGTAAGAGAAGTTTCGAAATACCAGCAGGTCTGATACCGTTCTGGTACAATCTGACGGCCTCTAAGTCCTTGTGGGCTCTCAACCCAATGGCCAAGTAGTTAACTGAGCCGTTCTCCAAACGGTTTCTGCCACAAACAAAAGTCTTCAAGCAGTTCTTACCCTGCTTCTTCTTTTCCTGGGCCAACTTGTACAAAGACTTACCGATTCTGGCACCAGCAAATGGGCCCATACCATTGTTAGACAAGATCAAATGCTCAATAGAGACGGCCTTTGCCAACCAGGCCTCAATGGGCTCGATCGCTTGTAAACCAAATGCATTATCGGAAAGGTTGATGGTGGTCAAGTTGGGGCACTCCAACAAAGCGTTTAGCAAGTGGTCCAACGACTGGGGAATCTCAGTATTCAATCTGCCCGTGTACAAGTCGGAGAAGTCAATCTCCTCGATGGTCAGGCTGTGCTTCAAGATGGCCTTAGCCAAGGCTTCGGATGCATCGATACCAATCGTGTTACCGGAGAAGTCGATCTTGACAACGTTCTTCTGAACGTCCAAGTCGCCCAAGTAGGACTCAATACTTTTTGCAGTATCAAGCTTAAGCTGCTTGCCAGCTAACGAAAAGGTGTTCTCAGCGGTGACTGGTGTGGGACTCATGGTGCTTTTGAAGGTTGTGGAAACTACAAGATGTGATGGCCTGCAGGTACCAGTCCTGGGTCAGACCAGGCTCTTCAGACAACAGCCTAAAATGCAATTCAATTTAATTTTGATAAGTATATACTACAAGTGTCAGAGATTTATTGGGGTGGTTGGTTACTTGCAATAGGGAGTATTTGGGATTCTGTCGCAACGTGCCGTCAAGTGAGTCGACCGAAGAAAATCTGAACAAGCAAAGAATAATACTTTTGATTCCTTTGTTCGAAGTTTTAACCGTGAAGTAAAAATCAGCGTAATTGTACAAATCGGCCACTTCGGTTGGCGTACTGGTTTGCCGAGGACTAATTCATCCGGGATGACGCTGTGGGTGCAAATGAGGCCATCTCGTCTGTGCACGGATGACAGTTAAAGCATCAAGCTGCACTGTGATTCGTATTGCATCTCTACAAAGTCAGATTAGTACCCCGCCTTTTAACGTCAAAAAGTTCCTCGGCTCTGCTTTCTTCATAACCTTAACTATACACCGATCTTCATTCAACTGTTCTAACTGCCGATCGCCGACATTTGACAGAATCACATATCCACGCACAAAAGGAGAAAGGTGCACAAAACCAAGCGAGCGAAAAAGCCTGATCGGCCATCGGCCCAATCGCCTGTCAAATGCTATCCCCGATTGTTTCTTCCTAATCTCCATCACTATTGTTCTTGCGATCCGACATTCCCAATGGCTGCGAAGATTCAGATGCGGTTCTAAGGTGCGGTCCAGAAGGCTGAAACCAGAGGTATCTCGGCTTACCCCACAAATCTTAAACGATCGAACGATGAACTACTCAGCTATCTTAAAATATTGAATAATCTTGCAGGAGCCGCTTTCACGGATACCCCAGATCACGCCATATGTACGGATGGGTGACAGAGAGCGCTGCTTGGGTGGTGACAGTCACGTGACTTTTCGCTCTCTTTTTCAGCGAGCAACAACTTTTCCCTTCTATCCATCAGCTACAACAAAATGGTCAGAAAATCCGCCCCATCCCTGTACGAGCAGATCAAGCAATCGCCCTTCTTCAAGATCGGCCTCCACGCTACCGCGTTTGCCGCCGGCGTGTGGTTCATCCAGCTGCCCTTGATGGACGTGTTGGTTCCTCAGATCTAACCCATGTACATAGTTAATGAAACCACAGTATGGAAAAAAAATCGGACCACGTAGACCCTTCTGCCCGAGTGGCATGATCAGATAGAGTTTTGGAGCGGAGAAGTTAAGAGAAAATTGGCACTGAATAGGAAAAAGAATATTACCGGGAAATTGAAGATGTACAATGGACGTGGTTAATGGGCTCGGAAAAGCAGCCAAATCACTTTGGTTAACGCCGTTGAGGGGTGCGGAGGAAATGGAAGAGAAAAAATAATAAAGTCAGCCTGACAGGAAAGTTGGCGGGAAAAGTATGCCAAAAACGCTCAAAGCGAAAAATGAGGTAATCCAGACCGATTAGGGAGACAGGACGGTTCACAATCCTCTGACTTTTTCCGTACACCGTACTGGTCCTCGGTCCAGTGACCCTCGGATCTAGCGATACTCGCTTCTCCACAAACCTGCACCCGCTCGGTACCCCGGCAAATATATAAGGAGCGGCATGCGTCGTTATTTTTTTCAACCAACCATAAACTAATCAAAAATGGCTGACACTGATAACCAGGTTTCCGGGTTCGTGGACTCGACCCCGCCCCCAACCCAAAGGCCTTGCTCGCTGCTGAGAGAGCCCAGGGCCAGTTCGACCCTAACAAGATGCACATCTTTTTGGAGGAGACCGCCGCCAAGTCTCGCTTGTTTAAGAGACTTGTCCAGTCCTTCGACAGAGACGCTGTTTTGCTGACCTCCGGTAAGTACTACGACTTGACCAAGGAGCAGCAGAGAGAGGATACTGCTACCAGAATCGCTCGTTTGGCTCAGTACATTGAAATTGAGGACGAACAGAGCTGGCAAACGAGAAACTCTCTTTTGTCCGTGCTCGACCCCCAGACCGGTACCCGTATCGGTGTTAACTTGGGTTTGTTCTTGGGCTGTATCCGTGGTAATGGTACCTTTGAGCAGTTGAAGTACTGGAGCAACCAAAGAGAGATTGGTACCTTGAAGGGCGCTTACGGTTGTTTCGGTATGACCGAGTTGGCTCACGGCTCCAACGTTGCTGGTTTGGAGACTACTGCCACCTTCGACAAGGAGACTGACGAGTTCATCATCAACACCCCCCACATTGGTGCCACCAAGTGGTGGATCGGTGGTGCTGCTCACTCCGCTTCTCACTGTTCCGTTTACGCCAGATTGATTGTTGACGGTAAGGACTACGGTGTGAAGACTTTTGTCGTCCCATTGAGAGATGCCGACCACAACGTCATGCCAGGAGTCACTGTCGGTGACATTGGTGCCAAGATGGGCAGAGACGGTATTGACAACGGCTGGATCCAGTTCTCCTCTGTCAGAATCCCAAGATTCTTCATGTTGCAGAAGTTCTGTAAGGTCTCCCGTGGGGGTGCGGTCGACTTGCCTCCATTGGAGCAGTTGGCTTACTCCGCTTTGCTTGGTGGTAGAGTTTCCATGGTGATGGATTCCTTCAGATGGACTGCTCGTTTCGCCACCATTGCCCTCAGATTCGCCATTGGTAGAAGACAATTCAAGTCTGCCTCGCAGGGCGATGGCACCGAGACTCAGTTGCTTAACTACCCATTGCACCAGAGAAGATTGATTCCTTTCTTGGCTCAAGCCTACGTTTTCAGTGCCGGTTCTTGGAAGTTGGAGCACACCATCAAGAAGACCTTGGACGACTTGGACGCTGCCGTGGCCGCTGGCGACATGGGCAAGGTCATGAAGTCTGTCACTGAGATGAAGTCTTTGTTCATTGACTCCGCTGCCTTGAAGTCTACTTCCACCTGGTTGACTGCCGACGCCATTGACCAGTGCAGACAGGCCTGTGGTGGTCTTGGTTACTCCTCTTACAACGGTTTCGGTAAAGGTTACGCCGACTGGGTTGTCCAATGTACCTGGGAGGGTGACAACTCTATCTTGGCCATGTCCGTTGGTAAGCCATTGATCAGATCTGCCGTTGAGGTGTTGAAGGACGGCAAGAAGCAGAAGGGTGCTGTTGCATTCTTGAACGACGCCAAGCAGTGGGCTAACGATAAGCTCGTTTTCAACAGCGCTGAGGAGTTGCTCGACCCACAGAACACCTTGAAGGCTATCCAGGTTTTGATGACCAGAGTTGCTCTCAACGGTGCTGAGGTCTTGAAGGAGAACAACGGCAACTTCGATGCTGTTGGCGCCCCATCCTTGGTTCTCTCTAAGTTGCACGCTCACTACTACCACTTGAATGAGTTCTACAGAAGAATCGAGGCCAACGAGCACAAGGAGTTGAACTCTCACTTGGTCTTGTTGGGTAAGTTGCATGCTGCCAGCTTCGTCGTTGAGAAGTTCGGTGGTGACTTCTTGGGTAACAACATTGTCCCACCAGCTGTTCTTAACGAGGTTGTGAACAAGAAGATCCCAGAGTTGTGCAAGCAGATCAGACCAAACGTGGTTGCTTACACCGACTCCTTCATGTACTCTGACACCTTCATTAACGCTCCAATTGCTCGCTACGACGGTAACATCTACGAGAACTACTTCGACACTGTCAAGAAGAGCAACCCACCAGAGAACACCAAGGCTCCATACAGTGCTGCTTTCGAAGCTTTCTTGGGCAGATCGTCTCTCGACGTTAGAGACGGTGGTGACAAGAGCGCTGCTACCGCTGCTCTCTTGTCAAAGTAATTCACTTCGGCAGTATATGAATTCATGTAACGACGTATCCTTTTATTGTAGCGACGATACAGATTTACCGTGATGGATGCATCTGATCGACACGTCAAGTAGGTTCCGTGGAATAATGCCAGGGTAAGAAGAGCCGGACACAAAAGCATGGGATGCCTTCAAAGCGCATTTTCCACTATGCATTGGTTTTCAGGGGCGATCACAAAAAGTGGGATGCCACGGGATTTTCAGAGGAGATAGAACGAAGGGCGAACAATGAAGGCTTATAATGAGGAATAGGTATTATTCACCGCTTCTGGCTAGCATTACGAGAGGTGAAGTTGGACAGAATTAGACTGAAAAATTGTACGTCCGGGCCCCCCCTAGATTAATCACAGAGCAAATTGAATTCTATGAATACAACCATTTCTATGAATAAATCGAGGACAACCTGAGCTATTCACGATGTAAATTGAGCTAAATCAAAGGTGGCGCCATATTGGGTTTTCCATATTAACCATTTTTCACTGTCTGATAACCACTGTAGAAACGTGCTGCGAAGCTTGTGCGGTCTGGGCCTCCTCGGAACCTCGACCAGGAGCCCGTCAGCAGCCTACAAAGTGAATAAAATGCTTGAAAGATTAAGATTTGAGTTAGTAGGGAATATTCCATAAAGTTTAAAAATGTAAAACCGCTTCTTATATAAGCCTCTTGGGAATCCACCCACATGGCTGGCCCCTGGTCAAGCGGCAGCCGAGAAATGTACCCCATACTTCCCCCAGTTCCATTGAAATTCCAGCATCCTTCAATAGCCGAACTTTTTTCGGAGTTGCTCCCCTCCGGCTAATCCCTGCTTCCTCAGTTTCTGAATTATCTGGCTTTTCTCTACAGGGTCCCGATTTGGCTGGTGCCGCTGGTGAGCTTTTCCACGGAACGCACCCCGTCCTGTGAAAGAAGGTACCCCACAAACTCGCGCCAGAGTTATATAAGCACAGAGCGCCCGCTCCTTCATCAAATCACCAACTGCCATGGTTATTCAAAGCAAATCCCTAGTAAGCACCTCGCCTGGACCAGACCCGGTCGCTCTGATCGCTGAGGAAAGAGCCAATGCTACTTTCGACCCCGTTGACATGCACGCTGTCGTAGAGGGTTCGCCAGAGAAGGCCCAGAAGATCTTGGAGCTCTACCAGTCTTTGGAGAGAGACCCTATCTTGGCTCCTGGTTTTCACGACTACGAGCTCTCGCGTGATGAGAACAGAGAGCAGACCACCGCCAGAATCAACAGAATGACCCAGTATGTTGAGAATGAGCCCTACGAGGACTTCTGGAGAAGATTGAACTTGATGACCGTCTACGACCCATCCTTGGGTATCCGTATCTCTGTCAACTTGGGTCTTTTCATCAACTGTATCCGTGGTAACGGTACCGACGCCCAGTACAACTACTGGTGTGTCGAGAAGGAGGCCCGTCACATGAAGCAATTGTGGGGCTGTTTCGGTATGACCGAGTTGGGCCACGGTTCCAACGCCGCTGGTGTCGAGACTACCGCCACTTTTGACGAGAAGACTGACGAGTTTGTTGTCAACACCCCCCACATTGGTGCCACCAAGTGGTGGATCGGTGGTGCTGCCCACTCTGCTACTCACTGTGTGGTGTACGCTCGTTTGATCATCAAGGGCAAGGACTACGGTGTCAAGACCTTTGTCGTGCCTTTGAGAGACTCGAGACACCAGTTGATGCCTGGTGTGGCCATTGGTGACATTGGTTCCAAGATGGGCCGTGAGGGTGTCGACAATGGTTGGATCCAGTTCTCCAACGTGAGAATCCCACGTTTCTTCATGTTGCAGAAGTTCTGTAAGGTTGACCGTTCCGGTAAGGTTGACTTGCCTCCATTGGAGCAGTTGTCCTACATTTCCCTTTTGCAGGGCCGTGTCGGTATGGCTTCTGACAGTTACCGTATCTGTGCTCGTTTCATCACCATTGCCACCAGATATGCTGTGGGCAGACGTCAATTCAAGAGCGACCAACGTGAGGACGAGAAGGAGGAGACCCAGTTGATCAACTACCCATTGCACCAGCGTCGTATCATGCCTTACTTGGCCTTGACTTACGCTATGGGTCTTGGTACTGATCGTTTGGAGAGACAGCACGCCGAGACGGTCAAGAACTTGGAGGCTGCCGTCGCTAAGAAGAACGAGAAGGCCATCTACGCTGCATTGGCTAACACCAAGTCTCTTTTCGTTGACTCTGCTGCGCTTAAGTCCACTCTCACATGGTTGGCTGAGCTGTGTATCACCGAGACCAGACAGGCCTGTGGTGGCAGCGGTTACTCTGCCTACTCAGGTTTCGGTAAGTCTTACGCCGACTGGGTCGTCCAGTGTACCTGGGAGGGTGATAACAACGTGTTGGGCATGTCTGCGGGCCGGGCATTGATCAAGAACATCCAGACCATTCTCGAGAAGGACATCAGGATCAAGGGCTCCACCGCTTACTTGTCTGATGCCAAGGAATACCTCAACAGACGTTACTATTTGAAGCGTGAGGAGCAATTGACCGCCATTGAGACTCTTCGTGCTCTTGAGGTGTTGATTGTCAGAGTCGCTGCCGCTGCTGCTGAGAAGCAGGAGAAGTTGGAGTCCTGGGACGCTGTTTCCTACGAGCGTGTCTTGTTGTCCAAGTTGCATGCCCACCACTACTTGTTGGAGACCCTTTTCCTTGCCACGAGAAAGGTGCAGAAGCCCGAACTCTCCTACGTCTTGTCTAAGGTTACTAAGTTGTACCTCTTGACAAACGTCTTGGAGGCCTTTGCCCGTGACTTTGTCTCCTACGCTGTCATCAAGCCTCAGCTCTCTTTGCAGGTTTCATCTAAGCTTGTGCCAGAGTCCTGTTTGGAGGTCAGAGGCCAGGCCGTCCCATTGGTTGACTCTTTCCAGCAGCCAGATGGTTTCTTGAACTCGGCCGTTGGTGTCTACGACGGCAACATGTACGAGAACTACTTCAAGGTTGTCAAGACCCACAACGACCCCACAAAGACCAAGGCACCCTACTCGCTTGACTTGGAGGACATGTTGAACCGTGGATCCATTCTTCTGAGAGCCCGTTTTGAGAACGACACCGAGGCGTCCAAGAAGTTGTCTTCGTAAATAGTCTAGGACCCGTGTATCCCGTAATCCACAGAATTTGTGTGACCTCCTATCTCGTATTATTTTTCCGATGTGCGCCCGGTTATTTAGTGTTCAGAGGCGGCGTGCCGAGCATTTCGCATTTCATGATGCCAAAAAAGGGTGGTGCCGTGACTGCAGGGCAGCCGCTTAGTCCGAATAAAAACACCTCAACTTCCACTTTTCCCACTCACATTATGAATAGCGAAAAGATCGTTGGCTGCATTTTGGGTATGTTTTTGGATTATTGCAATGCTGGACCCTACTAACCTATAGCACTCTTCTTGCCCCCATTGGCTGTGTTCCTCAAGGTCGGTGTCGACACTCAACTTTGGATCAACATTGTGTGTTGTATCTTCTTCTGGTTCCCTGCCATTATCCACGCGTTCTATGTGGTGTTGAGAGACTAGATAGATATCCGATTATGTACATTTAATCCACCCCTTTTTACCGATTTTTGTGGTGAGTGTAGAAAGGCGTATTTCAGCGAAGCGCCCGAGCTCATCCGGCTGGCCAGACCCGTGCACCTTGAGCGCCGCCGGAAGATTGCTCTTATCAGTGGGCCCCACGCCCCCTAAAAGTAAGTGAACAAAGTCGTCGTTTGTAGTAGAAGTGCCGGGGCACAACGCTAATTTTACTGGTTTTTCTGTTTTTCCTAAATTCCTCTTCAATATAAAAAAAAAACACCGGTGTGAGGTTTCTGGAAAGGTGCCTCGGTCCGATTTCCGCCATTAGAGTGCCCTGCATCAACCGCTATCTCTGGTTCCTTAGACCATCTCACCACTAAACACCCCAACTTCTTCCAAAAACTCCCTTCATGTCCGAGCAGACCGTTGAGTTTGTTGCCGAGACACTGGAGCTGCTACCGCCTTTTTCATTTTCGAAAAAACCTATCCGTTCTGTTTACAACTCCCTGGGGATCTCCCAAATCCTTCTTCACCATGCTCCAGACGAAAATGGGCCGACTTCGAAACCATCTCTCAACAATATAAACTACGATGAGCAGATCCGAGCCCCTCGCATGACCCTGGCTTCCTCCCACTATACACATCTGCCAAAAAATAGGCCGGATTTGGCTCCCGCTGATGTGGATCATGAAGAGAGTAAGCCATACGAACCAGCTACTTTTGACCTCAACGCCGTCACGCGGCGGAATCTGGCCCCACTCAGCCGTAACTCGCTGCTGCTGCTTTTGGACGCCTACTTCCCTTCAAATCTGCCCCAAAGCGGCACTTCCCATAGATCGGGCTCCTCTAGCTCGCATACACTGGCATCCGAACTGACGGTGCGCCTGGATCTGCTGAAGATCCAAAGAGCGTTGCTTAATTTGCTGGAAAACACCACTTCCACGGAAAGAGGAAATCACAGTGACTACGCTGCACGCTCAGCCCGCCACAGAGCAAATGGCCACATGGTGGATGCGAGAGGCGCTTCTCTTCAGCATGTGTACAGCTTGAAGAAGCCGCTCTGCACTCCGGCAGTGCTAAGGCCACCTGGCGAGAGTGAACTTGAAAATGCCAGTGAAGTCGACTCCTCGTCGCCCCATTCAGAAATTAGAGAGTACCCGTTTCAAATGCCAGTCCACGATGAGGCTCACGACGTATCAACCTGTGAAAACTCGACTGAACCAACGCACGAACACTGGAGGCCCAACTCTTCCCTGGAACACTGCACCAAGTGTTTTGATGCGTTTGGGAGCTTTTTCAGTCCGCAGCGTAAACGCAGACACCATTGTCGCTTCTGCGGGTTCTTGTACTGCGTCAACTGTTTGTTTAAGAACAAAGAGCTGGTTCTGAGCTCCAGCACAGTGCACAGTCCAAGTAAGCGGTCGAGCTCAAGCTCCTCCAACTCCAGTGGCTACTCGGTGTTCCCATCCAATACCTCCTCTCCGGCGTCGTCGGAACATGCATCGGGCGTTATGATGGACTCAAAGGCTCGGCTAGTGGTACCGATTTTCACCAATCTACGTCAGGACCAGAAAAGCCTCGTCAACATGCGCCAGCGGTTCAAGAGCTGCAAAGTCTGCAAGCTGTGTGGACAGAACTACTTGAAGTTGGTGCAAGCGCTAAACTTGCGGATGGAGAAAACTCAAGACGTTTCCGTGCCCTACGCATTCATTGAAAACCCCTATTCCAATACAGATCCTGACAGCATCATGCCTGGCGGAGCTTTAGATAGCAGCGTCAGCAGCTTGTGCAGCGAAGAGGCCGCCCATGTTGCCCAGAGTTCACATCAGGATAGGCGCCGCAGCTCATTGGCAAACAACGTGCCACTGGACTGGACGTGGAGCTCATTTTAAAAACTTAAGCGAATTGTCTCCAGGACCAAAAGTAGCATTTTCGCCTCAGGCTACGGCGGAGGTGTGGCTGGCTGGGTGCATTGTTGCAGCCAAGTACGGCGCGGCTATTTGCTCCAAATCTGTGATAAGACATATTCCATTGCCTCATGGCTCCTGCACCGGTTTGCAAATCTCTGTCAGTGTCACTGGGCTGACATTTGTGGAGAGTTGTGCTTCTTGAAGTTTCAGCCAACATGGCCAAATTTTTCCCGTATCACGGAACGAAAAGCGTAATTACCACGGTGCGTCGATTTTTTCGCCCCACCCGGAAACAATGTGGTTTGATACCATTCCCGTGAGCTCTTTGTTCGTACGAACAATTGCCGCCGCTAAGGTGTGTGCTCCAAACATAAGGATCTTCGGCGGAACACCCGTGCCTCATTTTTGCACAGCAACGCGTCAGCGTGCGCGCACCAGAACACTAGATGTCTAGATCCCGTCAATGGGTGAGCACCTAAAAAGATCAGTGATTCTCCCATCTCTTGGTCATTTCGCTACTGTTTGACTCGCCACACTTCTGAGTCTTCCGCCCCCTTATGGCCATGAACCATCATTCGGAAGACACCCGGAGCGCCTCTTCTAGTCGCCGTCTTTCTTCCAATAACCCCTTCCGTCAGTCTGAGCCCCAGACCCGAAATCGTGGCGCTTCGACTCAGCTGTCGAGTTCTGCTTTCGAGCAGTGGGTAGAGAAGAATAAGGATTTAATAGAAGACTCCGATGAAGAGCGTGACCAGGTGTATGAGAGACCATCCTTTCCCTCATCGACGAGAACAGGCAGCGACAGCGACGTTAACTATGGAAGGTATGTTTCATTTGAAATTCATTCTGATCATCCCAAAAGCAGTGCATCCTATATTCATATTTCATTCAATTCTCCTATATTATCAATTTACGATAGTCTTATTAGTCATCCAGAAGCATCCTCTTCCAGAATAAGCAAAAGCAGTTCCAAAAGATTTATGGTTTTTAATGACCATTTTTAGCTACACGGTTGTGTCCCAAATAAGCATATAATTAGACTCCTTTTGCTCGCTCGGTGGCTTGTTACTGTGCAAAGCGCCTAGACTAGCAAAAAATAGAGAGAGGCGGTGTTCCCACCAGCAACCAGAAAGTCTACAATCAATCTATATCCGAATGTTACATCATGATCAAGAACGTGCGAATTAAGTCCCTGTCCTCCGCTGGATTTATTCTTGTCTTAATGGCAGCGCCTACTAGCTGGTGTGTCGGCTCACAAGGCAGTCATAATAAGCTTTGCAGCCTAACCGCGGCGAACCATGACTGCTCGAAGTTGCCGCTTTTGATCGGGTCTCGAAACTACAACACACCACGCTTGCTCCGCCCCAGCCGATGAAAGACGAAAAAAAAAAAAAAAAGGCAAGCTACAGGGGCACTGTTTGATTACAATATTCGCGGCATCCAAAATGCGCTTCCTTTAAGATGGGGCTTCGCAAAATAATTCCACCCGCAATTCCCCATCTTGATTATGAATATTCAGTGCATCAAATCTTGGGTCCCCCTGCTTTTGTCTCCTGCCTTCTCGTCTTGCGACTTAAACGGCCTTACAGCTTCGCCACGCACCATGGGGCGTCTCCTGCAGGAACTTCAAGCCCACTGATTACTGACGTCGCCCTCAAACAGAGCGGTTTCTGGCGTGGTGCATGAGTCTGTGTACCCTCGCGCGCTTTTGAGACTTCAGCTTTTTTTGCCCATATATTTCCCCTTGCATTGCTACTCCCACTCCTGATCAGAGTTTTTTGCTCACTTTAGCTTTACTAACTTTCGCTAGAATGTCCAACAATCCTTTCGCTTCCGCGATGACCGGCGAGTACCGGCACCATAGGGATCCTCCTCCCCCACCCTCTGCATCCAGGCCCCCCACAAGCGTATCATCATCACAAAGGTCTAAACCACCACGTCCAGCCAAGGACTCCAAGCCAGCACCAGCTCCTCCAACTTATGAGGAAGCCGCTGGCCGGAATGCTGCCTCTCGTGAGTATCCACAGGAGAAGAGCTCGTCCAGGAGTGAGAGACCTGAGAGGTCAGAAAGGTCCCGCAGATACGGCAACAGGCCCCAACGTTCTCGCAGTGATTCGGAGAGACACAGGAAGGATTACGAAAAGAAGCATCGTTCGTACAAGTCTAGAAATAAGTCACCTAAGAAGAAGTCTGTTGAGCCTCACAACTCCAAGGGGTTAGATACCATCGACAAATTGGATGTCAGTGCCTTTTTCGGCGGCAGGTTCCACCATGATGGTCCCTTCGATGCATGTACTCCGCACAGAAACAAAAACCAAAAGGCTGCTCCCGTCATGGCCTTCCCCGCTGACGGGCCAAATACCTCCATGAAAGCTTTACCAAAAGGCGCAAACAAAGACTCGCACCTCTACATGGCATTCGGCGATAGCCATGATCGAAACGAGATCGTGGGCTCTGTCGGTGCTCAAAACGGCGGAATCCAAGCCGTTCCCAAGACAAACCGTACTTCCAATGACCCATCAACCATGTATACCCCGAGACAGAACCCTTCTGTCACGGCCTTTGATGTGCACGCCAAGGCCGAGCCTATACACGGTCCTTCAACTGCCGGTTTGGGCTCCACCACCTTCCTCGATGGCGCTCCAGCTCCAAGAACTGATGATTTTTTGAATGTTCCATCCAGCGGTTTGGGTAGAAAGAAGTCGTTGGTGCATAGATTACGCAAGAATAGTGGCAGCGAACTGAACTCTGCTAGAACGTCCAATGACAATTCTGACGAGTTCACCAGGGGTACCTTCGCAGACGAAGATGCCCAAGGCTCTTCTTTCTTAAGAAGAGTCAAGAGTTTGAAGGTGAGCAGAAGATCATAGCGCTTTCAAATTGATTATTTTGCTGACTCCATGCTGTACTATAGAGATTTGAGACAAGGGGCTATACTCGCCACCTCGAGAGATGTTAAGACGTCGTTTTGGTAAACGACTAGGTAATGTATCATGAAAACGAGCAATTTGTAGAAGTCTGTAAACCTATAACTCTCCGGTACGCTTGTTTGTCGTGCGCGCACCGTTACTTCATTGAATTTTTCAGTATAGTGTAGAGATCCATTTAACATAGTACCCCATATCTAATGATCAGATTAGCTTCGTCGTCCGTGACGCTAAGCCGTGGCGTCAATAGACGTCTTGTAAGATCCATCTCATATGTCCTTCCCACGGTACCCACTTTGGAGAACCTCAGAGCCTCCAAGAAAGGTTTTGATGGTCTATTCTCTGCAGAAACCCTTGAAGAGCTTTGGTACAAACAAGGTCAACATATTGTGGATAAGCTCAACAGCCAGCTTAGCCAAAGTTCTGTCACAAATCCTCCTGCTGATTTGGCCGAGTTGATCACCTTGACCTTCAGCAAACCACAGTTGCAGGCCATCTACGAGAAGGCTCTGGAATTGCACAACTTGCAGTTTGCATTGGAGTCTCTCAAGCCTAATGACCAAGGCAATGCAAAAATCGAAAAAGCCGATGTTCTGGCCCTCCTACAAACACCCACAATCCAGACTGAGTTCTCAAATGAGCCTTCTTCACCCGAGTTGAGAGAATGGATCGTGGACTCTTTTGGTTCCATTGCCGAGTTCAGAACCCTTTTGCTCAACAACGCCAAGGGTATCAAAGGAAATGGTATTACCTGGTTGGTGGCTCAAGCCACTTACTCCGACAGTGCCATCAAGGCCAGTTCTGGTATTTCTACTCCAGAGGTCTCTTACAACAAATTGGCTGTCATGAATACGTATAACGCCGGAACAGTGGATGACTCTATCCGCTCCGGTCAAATTACAAAATTAAAGGAGCAGAAAAAGGCCAAGGAGGAGGCACTCAAGAAGAGACAGCAGGAAAGACAGGAGATTGAGGGTTCTCAAGTGGAGACTACCGAGGAAGTTCCAAAGGAGAACAGTACCACCTTGGGTACCGTGGAGGAGGCTGAAGAAGCTTTCTCTTACAGCGATCGAAAGATTATGCCACTTTTGGCCATCGATGCCTCAATGAAGGTATACCTCCCGACTACGGTGTATTTGGCAAGGCCCAGTACTTGGACAACTTGTGGGATTGCATCAACTGGGACGTGGTTGCCTCTAGAGCCCCTAAGCGTTTCAAGCCTTCTGTAGCTTTTGACAATTAACTCTAATCTGTACATACATTCAAGCATTATATACATGAAGATTCGGTAGACTAGCCTCGAAGCACCTTTTTAACAACCTTCTCCACCTCGTCCATATCCTCCGTGGGGACTCTGGTCATCTCAATTCCGAAGTATTGTCTGATGGCCTCCATTTGCTCGTAGGATTTACGGTCATGGATGAAACTGACGGACACACCGACACGGCCGAATCTTCCTGTTCTTCCGATTCTGTGCAAGTATGTGGATGGGTCAGGTCTGCCATTTACGTCTGTGGGCACATCGTAGTTAACCACCATCGACACGGATGCAATGTCAATACCTCTCGATAAAACGTTTGTCGTGATCAACACCTTTGTTCTTCCCTCTCTGAAGTCATCAATCACCTTGTCTCTCTCTGCGTGGTCCAAACCACCATGAAGCAAAGAAACCTTGTGGCCCTCCTTCTCCATTCCGACAGCTATCCTGTCAGCGGTGGCCTTTGTTGCGGTGAAAATAATTGAGGAACCAATCGTTAGCAAGCCGTATAATTCACACAACACCTCGAATTTGTTTTGCTCGCTGTCACAGTCCATTGTAAGTTGCTTGATACCTTCCACATTAAGCTCCTCCTGCTTCAACTCCAAAGAGTTGGCGTTAGGAACGTACTTTTCAGCGTATGCACGAACCTCAGTTGGGAATGTGGCCGAGAACAACACAAGCTGTACATTTCTGGGCAAGTACTTCTTCACTCTGACACTCTGGTCACTCATACCCTGTGCCTCCAACATGTTGTCAGCCTCGTCCAATACGAAGACCTTGACATGCTCAAGAGAGACCTGTCTTCTCTTAATCAACTCTAATAAAGTTCCTGGTGTTCCCACCAAGATATTGGCATTGATTTTCTGTCGTCTTTCGTAGCTTCCGGGCACCACGAGCTGAGATGTGACCTTAGTGAATTTACCCATGGTCTGGATGACATCGAGTGTCTGTCTAGCCAATTCTCTAGCTGGTGACAAACACACGGCCTGAACCACTGGTTTGTTCTCATCGACACGCGTCAACATGGTCAATGAGAAAGCGGCCGTTTTACCGGTACCAGACTGGGATTGACCAATCATGTTTGTGGGGGGATCTTGCAACAAGAGAGGCAATGCTTTCTCTTGAATCTTGGACGGCTTGTTGAACTTCATAGCATACAAACCCTTCAAAAGCTCTTCGCTCAATCCCAAGTCCTCAAACTTCTTGACAGAGTACAAAGGTGAGTTTGGGTCGGCTTGCAAATCGGCCAATTTGACCTTCACTTCGTACGTGGATTTGATCAAGTTGGAGTCAGCCTCCTCTGAGGCGTCTGTTGACTTTTCAGTTTTGTCAGCATCCTCAGCAGGAGCCAGCTCTGTAGAGTTCTCTGTCTTCTTTTCTTCGACTGGCTCCTTAGCAGGCTCAGCAGTCTCTTCTTTGGCAGGCTCGACAACATCTGCTTTGACTGATTCGGCTGACTTTTCAGTAGTAGGCTCTGCCTTCACCTCCTCAGCAGCTGGCTTTTCGTTTTGTTCGCCAGCCTTGGCAAGAGACAATGTCTCGAGCAAGTTGTTGATGTCTGAGGCGCTATTGTCTTGGGACATTTTATGCGTTGATCTGGTACGGCTTGATGCTGGCGATATTGATTTTTCTGTCTGGTGCACGGGTGCACACCTTCCCTGTCGGTATATTTGACGGTAAGACGAGGGACCGAGAATGATGTAAGAGATCTTTGATTCAATACTTTAAAGATGCTTTTGTATTGTACGTCTAGGTTGGGCAAAAGCTTTTTATACTGGCAAAATCTATGGGGACCAGGATGCCATTTATAGCTAAGTAGAAAAGTCATAGACCTGACAAGCAAATCTCTTTAGTGACGTCAACATAGAATTGAAATAGAGCAGACTTGGTACCTTTGAATTTGTTGGCTTTAATGTGGAAAAGTGTGTTAGGTTCTATGAGTTTATACAAATCTTGTATATGCCCAATTCAAGGCTGCAGATATATTCACCGCGCATTTTTGCAGCCATCATGTACTTACACAAAATATTTACTAATCATCATTTCCATTCATCAATTACCTATATGTACAAATGAAGATCGTCGTCTTCGCTGTAAGGCTCATTCTTGAGCGCGTCTGACATGTCTATATCGTCCCAGAAACGGGCGCTCATCTGGTACTCTTTACGGTGCTCTTCTTCAAAGAACTGCAAGAACATGGCGTTCTCCACCAACTTCAACTCAAGTTGGTCCAGCTTGAGTTTCTTGTGCAAAAGGTCTATTTCGTTGGCCTCAAATTCAAGACTGGCGCGATTGCAGATAGGCAAAAGCAGGGAATCCACAGACTTGATGAAGTCATTGATATTGTTCATGTTAGTTGTGCGATGTAGCTTGGAAGGGCTGCAAGGCTCGTCGTCCCAGTCGAATGGCTCGTTGTAGATCGGAGCAAAATCAACAGTATCGGGCATTTGTGGAGCAGAAGGGGTATAAGGAGAAAATCTGTCCAGCACGTCCGTCTCGAAAGAGGCATTGTCCGATGGGGGACTCAAGGGCGCCCGTTCAACAGGGCCCGAGATCCGTGGTCTCACCATCATTGAGTTTCTTCTGGAGTCTTTCAAGTTGGAGGCACTTGAATGTTTGCGCAACTGAGGAACGTTGTTTTCCTTATCTTCCGTAGGCAGAAGAAGCACTGAGTGACGCTTGTCGACGTTCAGGCTCAAATTCATCAGCAGCGACGACTGGCTAAGGGGACGTGCCTTCAAAACACCATTGAGATCCTTGGACAGTTTTCTGGTCCGGAGCGCAGTGAAGAAGTTTGGCTTCTTCTTCTCCGTAAAGCTGGAGATACTCTGGCTGCGAAGCATTGTGGTGGACTAGCGAGTGAAATTAGTGGGTCGAGGCCAGGAGGAAGGAAAGGTGGTTCTTTTATGGCAAACGACGGCTTTAAGCGAATAAGCAACAGATGCAACGAAAAAACAAACTGTCAATCACTCGGATCTTCTGAGAAATCAACAAAGGCAGTTGACTCGATGCGCGCCTCAGTGCCTCCTTCGTCGCGAAAGCGTGTAATAATGGGGATTCTGTGCGTGAGGCACTGCGTGCGGCCCAGGACAGGACCAAACTCGTTATGAATAGAGCCTAATTTGGATACTAAGGTTTGTTTTCGTGGAGAAGCACGAGGGTTTCCGAATATCTGGGGAGGGTCATTTCAATTCAATTTTTTTGAAACCACAGGCGATATTCGGAATCCGCGTCGATCTCGTCTGGGGATCGCTGGTACTGCTGCTGCTGCTGCAGGTAATTTTCCGTCGGCTCGCTATCGCTTGCGGAACTGCTTTCCAAGGGAATTAAGTCCGAGTAAAAGGGGATTTTACCGGTCCATCGCTTTACCTCTTTTGTGCTTTTAGACTTCCAGTTCTCCTTGCGAAGCGGGTTACCATTTGCATCTCGCCCGGATAACGTGGTGGTTATGTAATTCGTAATGGGTTGACGTAAAATGGCCTCAATGCCTTCGGGAAGATACAATGTAAACGGCTCAGTGGCTGCATTTGATCCAACGGGCGTAATTACAATATGGCCCATGAACTGGAACACAATGTCTTTTTTTCCATAGAACGAAGGCACAATGTATTTTTTGAGTTGCGCTTTGGCGGGATCAACAAGGAACACGTCCTTGAGGGCTGGCGTACGCAGACCGCGGAACACGTCCATGGCTTTTTCCAAGCTTTTGAAGACGTGGGGCTTGTGATTGAGACAATTGCGTACCTGTAGCATGGCATTTTCGGGAACCTGTAAGAAGAAAAGTCCACCAACAGTGAGCACCTGACCCGCCTTGACGGTTTCGTAGTGGGAGTCGTACATGCCCAGTTTGGGAATCTTTTTGCTTTTGAGAAGATGCTTGATATGCTGGGGCTCGATAATATCGTAAAGCCTCGTGTTCTGGGCGTCCGAAAATCCAGGAACATCGTAAACGATCTTGTTTTTGGTAAGCTGAAAGGGGAGGTTGCCTCGGGTAAAGCCCGGCATGTACGATGTACCAGGCCCATGCTGGGATTTGAATGCTGCTATTTTTTTGATGTCCAGACGGACAAGAGACATGCGACTTGGTGGCTTTCTGCCTTGAGCGATAGCCTCGTTCGCCAATTTTTGAATTTGACGCTCCCGGCGGGCATTTGGAAGTTCACTCTTCTGCTTCTCGACAGTGTGAAGAAGCAGCAGGATAAGAGTTGATTTGCCACTGTTAACCGTACCGATAATGTACAGCCCATCCTGGATCTCGTCCAATAACTGCAGACCGTTCCAGTCGCTGGTGCCGCTGACACAAAAAACGTTCTCACGTGGCACCTTGTAAGTTCTTTCAAAGTAGTCCTGGAAAAAGCGCTGACCGTACTTGTTCACCATGTCCTTGTTAGTGAAGAGAAGGTCGGTTTTCGTCACAACAAACTTCATCAGACGAGGCAGTCTATACTTGAAAACGTCCTTGTTGATAGACATTGGGAAATCAACAGCACTGACCACGTAGACTAAGGGCACTCCAGGAGGAATAGTCTCGATCACTCCACTAACGGGTTCCATCGGGAACTGATCGAGATCAAAGGAGGCCTTGTAATTGGCGTGACGACAGCGCACACACTGAATTTTAGATTCCTTCTTCTTGCTGGCTCGCAATTGGCGAACCTCAGATTTCAAGGAGGGCACGAGATCAACGGCTCCGTTTAGGAGGAGTTTCTGATCCTCGGAGCTCATCTTACCAAAATGGGAGTCGAACACGCGATCCAAAGGGTTATTTTTTGGCGTTGCATTGGTTGGTTCTTTGTAGTAGCCGTCTTTTGTGCTATCGGTTGTTTGTAAAGTTATTCCACATGAGGAGCATCTCGGTACTAGGGATTCTGCGATCTGGGAGATGGGGCTGATGTAGGGAGGGGCCTGGGCGCTTGCCGGACGAGCGGAGGAAAAACACCGAAGCGACGGTAGACGTCTTACGGAGTACTGAAGACAGCGTAGAAATACCCGTCTTGTAAGCATGCCTATCTATGGATCAGTCCAACCACATACTAAAGTGAGTAGGTACCGATGGCGATGTGCACACGTGACCATAGTCACGTGCCTTCATCGAAGGATTAGGCTCCATATGCGGTTCGTGTTTGTGTCTGGGTTGGGAGGAAATATGTAGACGTGCATATAGCACATTGTAACTATGCAAAGATGTGCAGCCAGCGCACAATAGACAGGTCTGTAGTGAAGCGGCGCCTACACGCAAAGCCCTCTTTGGCACGGAAGTAGGAACCAGTAGGGATACCTGCAGTCGTAGCGTGAGCAAATGCAGCATCTGCGGTATAGACATTGTTGGGCCGGCAGTGGGTGCGTCACTAGATCATCCGACGTTTAGCGAGGCACATGACGCACACTTCCCCCATCGTACAGAATTCACAATAGGTGGGAAAATTTTTTGTCTAGAAGCAGCAAGCTGGAAACACCAGCAATAGAATAGGGTGCGAACTCGAAACAGGTGGATGACCTGTTTGTTAGGCAGGGAGTCGCGAGTGTAGGGGCAGATTTAAAAAAAGCACAAGCTAGAATCAAAATAAAAAAAAAAAAAAAAGACCTGATTATCAATAAAGAGGAAGCCCCCCGTAAGCTGCAAGCCAACCAAGACATACACGAACATACAGCAGCAAGGAATCACTAACAAGGAACCAACAGGAACAAGGGCAGCCATGTCCAAAGAGGAAAGGTAAGTGGAATGTTGAAAGCGGATGGTTGAGAACCCAAAAGAATATTCCTCCATGAGGCACGGGGAAATGCAACCAAAACAGAAAATAGAAGGTGAGGCGGTTTCAGCGGTGTCGGGTGCCACGATGGAAAAAGCCCACTTAACTGCAACAGCTCCATCTGGTCTGCTTAACTCGAGTCCCGGAATTAGCGCCTGACGTCAAGGTGAGCGCGTGAGCAAAAGGTGAATGCTGGCAAGACAGCTTGGCTAGTTTGACAAGCTTGATTGGCATTTCCCACCACGGGCACGGAAGGATGTTTCAGAAATGGTGTCTATTATATTGAGAAGCAGTATCGGCCACTGCATGAGAGAGCGGTGTATTTTTTATGCTGGGGATTCAGGTGCATTCTGGGATTGCTCAGTGCGGCAGCGTAAGTCAAGAAGTAAACCGGCGGAATACCAGGGTTTGTTGACCAGTGGGGAGGAAGCTTGCTGGCCATGGGGGAGGCCATGTGCATGTGCATGCAGCATGCCGCAGCGAGAGAGACTGATGGCAGTGAGAGCAGACGTCGCGACGGCATATAGAGCGAAGCACGCGTCAAATACAATGACGCAGTGCGCGCCGCACCCACAACAGCCCGCAGAGCAGAGCGCCGCAGGGCCACCTTCCGCACGCCGGTTTGGCCCTTGGCCCAGCTAAGCCATGGTTGAATCCCACGCACAAGTGCATCTATTCATGCGCGGCACGAGCCCGTGACAGCAACGCACACCCCCCGCTCGCCACAGTCTACTATATAAGGCGGCCTTGTTCCCACGATGTTGCCACCACATGGATTTTTTTTGTCTTAGCTCCAAAATCTCTAAGTCGTACGCTTCACCTCTTTTACTCGCCCCTTTTCTAATACGCCACAGGGCGCACCGGGCATCGCCGCTCGTCGCGCAAAAGGCTAAGTAGCACAGGCCAGGACCAAGACCAGGCATCGGTTGCGCCCAGGTTAGACTTTTCGGGCCGCACTAGGCGTCGTGCTATTTTGTGTTCCAAGGACCAGGCAGCTTTGTCCGCCAGGCAGGCGCCTGCAATTGCCCTGTGCAACGTCACACTACCGTGTAAAAAGCGGCAAGCCGGATTCTTTTAAGGCACCGTTTGACGACCAATGGAAGCTTCGGTAATGTCTGGGCGGCAGAGCCGGGGGTATGTGGGTTTTCTTTTTCTACATTTCACGACGTTTCCCCGGTGCTGACGGACTAGCTGTGGGATGGTGTTGTGTGCCAGTGGAAGGTCGGAAGTGGCACTGAAAAATGAAAAAAAAAATATCCAGAAAAAATTCATCGTGATTTTCCCACGATGAAATTCTCCCACTCGACTACGCTGCACCGGCGATCGTGTCCCACATTCTGCTGCTTGATAAAGATCATAAAGTGCTTCTTTTCTTGTCCCATACCGTTGGATCGTCCTCATCTGTTTCAACTTGTCTTCACGGGATTGGCCCGTTACCCGTGCAACCAACGCACGACGGCTATATATGCTCGCTCTCGCTCTCGTTGAGGTACTCCGGCTATATGGCGCGGAGTCCCGGGAGCAAGCAGTTCGACCCAATGTCAATAGCCTTTTTCCATTAAGGTTCTGACACTCCGGGCTCAAATTCAGCCGAGGCTGCTTGGCTGGTTTGGCGATATCCCCCGTCTCATCCTCTGGCATTGCGCCCGCGCCGCACAGTCCCACAGCTCAAGCCGCCATGTGTGCTGTGCAGGAGTGCATAGCAGCACCGCATGGCCCGATCAAACGTTGTGTTTTACATGGCTTGTTCAGGTGGATTTTCGCGGTCAACGAAAAAACCAAGTAGACTTTTTTTTTGCCAAACTTCTTATTGTCGTGTTATGATCAATTTTTTGTACGCGCATGTTGATCTGTCGGCCCGCCGCTGGCGGCTCAGAAGGTCCATCGACGACGTCCCACACTGCACACAGACCGTTACTCGCGCGTGGATGCATCGTTTAACGAGCACTTTCCACGCGCGGCGCCCTGTTTTAACTTGGTGCAGTGGAAACAAGCCGCCCAGGGCGGGCCAGATGGACCTTTCCGAAAGGGATGAAGTTTTGACGAACATTTGAATTTTTAAAAAAATTCTCGATTTTGTTGTTTTGAAGTACATCACTACACCATCACCGCCACATAGCCGCCACGTTCAGGGAAACCAGTGGGGCGTTCGCGTGCGCCGAATCCCGACAATACATGCCGCCTGCATGGCATGTTTGTGCGCCTTTTGTTCCTCACTGATATTCTTCCGCAGCGACATGCGTAAGAATATGTGCGTTGCCCATTATATCACTACGCATGAACCCTGGATCAAACACAAGTTATTGTCCGTTTGTATTGGACCCGTGGGCATTATAGAGGACCTAAAGTACACTCTACATTGTGATCACCTGAAAGTTTAATGGCAACAACTTTCCCCCGTATCTGCCGATCCCTTAAGCCTGCTTCCTCCATCGTACCTTTCCTCGGGCAGGTGAGACTGACGCAGGCTTCTATGCTCGCATGTCCAGCAGAGTCCGAATGTATGCCGGGCGCGCATGAGATGCTGCAGGCGGCTGCGACGCTAAAAGGGACAATTCTGCACGAATCTGTGGGCACTGTGACCTTATCACTTTGTGTGCAGTACCATGCGTTCGAAACGGCGCTGGTCTCGCGGGGCAAGCTATTTCTTTCTGCACTGCGTTCTAATGCATGCGTCCCGCGGATCACTGCGACGCTGGCTGCTGCAGCTGCACCCCCTCCATTACCATGCGCCGAATCACTTGCCTGCTACCTACTTAAGCCGGATTGTCCCTCCCAACCCGCTGGCAATTTCCTACGCACTTTCTAGAAAAACACACAGCCTTTGGTCGAGGATTTCCTGAATCAACTACTTCTTCTTTAGCTGTCCCCTGGCCAAAGTCCCACACACTCCTCCATACTCGCCAGCAAGCTATTGCTCCCAAGTGACAAATTTCCCACTTGTGCTGCTCGTCCAGCGTGTCAGAAAAATCCCAACTCTCGAAAGTATTCATTTCCCCATCAAACAACAGCCCATCCATATCCCCACACAGCGCCCGCTGAATACATCCTGATCCACCATGGCCAAACGCTCCGCAGCCGGCTCTCCGGCGACAAAGAGGCCCAAAATCGACGAATATCCAGAAAAAGCTGCTGACACATGGATCGCCATCGGCAACTGTGCCTCCACCATGGGCATTGTAGCAGCGGCCATACGGGCTTTTGAAAGCGCCCTTGTGCATGCCCCAGCGTCCGTGGACGCCTTGGTTGGCTGGAGCCACCTGCTCCGCATGAACGATATCAACACGAACGACACAGCCGGGTCCCAGGCGCTAATCCAGAGACTCAACAGCGTGGCCGAACTGCATCCCCAGGTGACCGCCCTGCCCCTGTTTTTCAGAGAACTCACGGAGTGCTACCTCTTGGTGGGACTCAATGAACAGGCTCACCAGGCCGTCCAGGAGGCCATCTCCAGAGCTCCCAACGATCCAGCCTTGCAGCTTCTTCTGGCCCAGACGCTTATTCGTGCTGGCGCCAGAGTACAGGCCGCCTCGGCCCTTAACCACTGCCTCCTGCTCTTGCCGCCGCTGTTGGCCGAGTTCTCCAAAGCAGACATTGAGACCGCCAGAAGCGCCCATGCCGAACTAGCAGCCATTGCCGCCGCCGACGGGAACATTGATCTCTCCATCACGGAGCTCACAGCCACCCTCCTGCTCCCGCCTCCTCCTTTGGCCCGCCAGAACGAGCACATTGCCTTGTGGTGCGCCTTTGCTACCGCCAAAGAGCGTGCTAACAAGATTCCAGAGGCTCTCGAGGCTTGTGAACGTGCCGAGACCGCCGTCGGCGCCCTGCCTCGTATTCTCATCACCCACGCCTACCTCCTTCTTTTGGACGAGGACACTGAAAAGGCCCAGCGTGCCGTTGCGCTTCTTTCTCGCGTTGTGGACCTGGAAGAACGCAAGGAGGACGACGAAGGTGACTTTTTGCCATGGTACCTCCTCGGTAAGGCCCACACGGTGCTTGACGCTCCAAGAGCCGCCTACGACTGCTACCAAGTGGCACTTCGCCGTGCATCCAGTCTGCCTATCACCTGGCTTGCAGTTGGAAAGTTGTACCTCGAACTCAAGCAGCTTCCAGACGCTCTTGCTGCCTACTCGCAGGCTCTTCGACTCCAACTCAATGAAAACCTGCCCGGCACAGCCGCCGCCTGGGAAGGTCTCAGTTGCGTCTACGAGCGCTGTGACGACCAACTCGGCGACGCTGCAGACGCTAGCTCCCGTGCTGCCATGTGCTTCCGTGCTATAGGCGACACTGACAACGCAGCTCGTTTCGACGAGCGTTCTAAGAAGCTTCAGGCTGCCGCTCTGAGGAAACTGCCTGTCCCACCTTTGGCGCAGCCAGTTGGTGTGCCCAACTTCTTCCTCCGGGACCTCGTCACCTTGCTTCCTTCTGAGCGTATTGCGTTCGTTCAGGGCCACGACAAGGCTCCTTCGCCTGGCCGTGCTCTGCACATCGAGCCCCAGCAACAAAGACCTCCTCCATCTGCTCAGGGAAGCCCTCCAGGACCTCCTCCAGCAGTCACGGCACCAGCATACTCCCACTCACCCAACCCGCCAGGACAGCACCCCCACGAATACAGCATGTACCCTGTTCCCTTCAAACCAATCGGCAAGCTGCCCGAGTCCATTGCCCACCTCCCACCTCCACAACTGCGGGCTTGGCTGCCCCAGGACCACATGCCCCAGCCTCAGATGTTCCAGGGTCCTCCACCACACTTTGCCCAGCCTCCAAACGGTATCATGACGCCTCCTCCCAACAGCCAGCCTCCAGGACCCGCCAGAAGTCCCGTGAACCATCCGCAGATGATTCCCAACGGCTACCCGGTGCAAGGTCCTCCAGGCTACGTTTATGGCCAGTACATGCCTGTTCACCAAGGTGTGTGGAACCGTTAACCGGCTTGGCCCAGGGGCTTCCTGAATATCGAACTGGTTTGGAGTTCAGGCACCGTGGTCATTGAATCATTCATTTTAAGGCACTATGCTTTGGGCATGGTTTTATTGCATTTGCTGGTTTTCGCCACATCCATCAACAATCGAGGGCCCTGCCCCAACGTGTTAAAAAGAGAGGAAAAGTTTATCTGTCCCTAGGGACATTGTATGAACGACATTGCACTATTTCAGTTCTATTTATTACCGTGAGGGTATCACTCACTGCCCTGTGGTCCCAACATCACCGGGACTTGACATCACATTGCACTGCAGCTGGCTTCCATAAGCCCTGCTCCCGGCTTTGCATTTACGGCTTGACTTGATCACTATTTTTGATGTATTATAGAGGATGAAATTATGCACGCTACCACAAGTGTAGAAGCTGTTTCCAGCTTGCCCCGTAGATTCCGGGAACAATGCCGGTCTTATTTTCAGTATTACCAACCGTGTAGCCCAAGGCCTCAATGTACTTTGTGGCTCTGCCTCCTTCAATTACGACGCCGGTGTCTGCCTCTATTATAGGCAAGACGTCGCCTGAACTATCGCCAACGTAAATGACCGACAGACCATGTTTTTCCTTGATTTTGCGTAACTCCACAATCTTATCGCAGCCAGTACGAATATCCATATCACTTCCAAAGTGGCCCGTGGAAACGTTTCCATGAAACTCAAGCTCATTCGCTAGAACAGTGATGCCCGTCACGCCTGCCCGTTGCAAGGCCGCTTCGATAAGTGTTCGACTCCAGTTGACGCTCAATATATACATGGGAGACTCGTTCTGGATCTTTTTCACAAACTCAACGAACCCTGGCTGGATCTCAACGGCATTAGCAGACTCGGCAAAGTCAGCTCTCGTCACACCCTTGAACACACCGTCTCTTTCGATCGCCGATATCAGCGCCATCTCCACCTCCTTGAGCCCCCGCTGGAACTCAGTCTCCTGTTCAAGATTATTTCTCTCCAGCCACTTGGCCAGATACATGTTGTAAGCGTCCATGTAGATTTTCGTGTAATGTGAAAAATCGGTTAGGCCGGACTTGCAGCGGTACGCTGTCTGGGCCACCAAAGCCGTGGTGTCTCTTTTGGTGATGGTTTCGTCCCAATCCATCACTACAACACGTGCGGTACGAGCCGCCTGGGCCATTCTTTTTCGAAGTATAGTGGGTGGTTGGTTTCGTGAAACCGTTGCAGACACCGCTCAAGAGAGTGTTTTTCTGCAGGCGTAAGAGACATGCAAGGCTGAGGGTGCATGTTGCAGCTGTCACCTGCTGGGATCAGCCGGACAAGTGATTTGATGCTTTTTTTTTTCCATGGAATGTGGAATACGGGGAAAGTTTGGGAGCTCCTTTTTGCTTTCCAGGATAGCTTATTCAGGAGGCTTACCAAAGTTACTCAAAAGCTCTTCGTGCGCCTCCCAGATCCCGCTTAGCTCCACCAAGGTCATGGAAGCCAAGCCCTACCCATAAACAAAGCAAACTTTATTTCCAAGCTCCATTGAGCTAGGTGGCTGGCGCGGTCATGGTTTGTGGCTCGTGCACCATTGTGCCCTGGGAGTTTGTATAGTAGTTTTGTATAGTAGTTCATATAAGTATCCTTGCTCACGCTAGCCGAACCTCAACATGTCAAACCACAAAGAACTTGGAGAGCTTGGAGACTTGGACAAGGCGAAGAACCTTGCTAAAAAGGAGCAGGTGCAAGAGACGCTTCTGAGCGTCGCCCCTGGTAACCAGAAGGTGGAAGGTAAGACCGAGGGCCAATTGGGCAAGAGTGAGCACGCCAAAACCGAAGGTCAGCTTGGAAAGACCGAAGGCAAGACCGAGGGTCAACTAGGCAAAACTGAAGGACAGTTGGGCAAAACTGAAGGACAGTTGGGCAAGTCCGAGGGCCAATTGGGTAAGGTTGTTGGTCAGGCTGGTAAAACAGAGGGTCAGCTCAGAAAAGACCATCTCAAGACCGAAGGCGACCTTGGTAAGACTGAAGGCCAGCTTGGTAAGACTGAAGGCCAGCTTGGTAAGACTGAAGGCGACACCGGCAAGCGTCAGTAGCCCACCGAGTCTTCTAGAAACTTGATATCGGTGTATTTCCAGATTAGGTAGTCGAGGCTAGTTTTCCTTCATATGATAATGACCCCAGACTCTGGGCTATAAAAGCTTATTTGTGTGACCGTAGAATCTCCAACAACATGCCCCTGAACACCGAAAAGAAAGAGTTTGGACCCGAGGACGTGCCCTCCCAGGAGGACACCCAAAAGCTCCAGGAGTCGATCCGTGGGATCTTGAACCCTGATGGCAAAAACGATACCATGGACGGTTACATCAACAACACCTTCAGCTACGTTCAAGATATGTTGAACAAGGTGGCAAACGCTCAGGACAAGGACGCTGCTTCCAAGGAGATTGCTGACGACATTGTGCTGAAGTTCAAGGGCTGGGCTGATGGCCAGAAGCAGGACAGAGAAGATCGCCAGAACGCCAGGCTAGAGGCTCAGGGTAAGGAGGCTCAGGGTAAAGATGACCAGGGTCAGGATGACCAGGGCATTTCCGAAAAGGATGCTTAACTTCGTTGTGTGTGTTCTGCTTCAATGCTTATGGCTTATCAATCTTATCAGTGAACACTCCCCTGGGTAACTAACCATCGTTTATAGTAATCCGAAAAAATGACACAACCTTAGCGCTAAACACTTCCGCTAGCGGCACCATGGCGATCTCTCAGATCTGAAAGTTGCCCGCTGATCAGAGTCAAGTGGTGGCTCGGCTATAAGTATCGATATCAATTCCGCGACGATTCCGCTACCACCATGCTTCTTTCCAACCTTTTGCTAGGTGCTCTGTGTGTATTGGCCTGGAATCCTTTGGACTACTGGCCTCAGGATCCCCTTCATCTTAAACTGGCTTCTAAATGGGACAGTGAAGATGCGTTTTCAAAGTTGGAGGACTACGTTGTCGAGGAGAAGTACTCTCTTCTCAAGTTGCACCGTTCCTTGATGGAAATCGAGTCAATTACCGGCAATGAATACGCCGTGGCTAACTACTTGACAAAGTACTTGAAAAACAGCGGTTTGACCGTCGAGACCCAGCACGTCGAGGACAAAAGATACAACATCTACGCTTACTATGGTGAGCAGAGAAACACCAGCACGGTGATTTCCTCCCACATTGATGTGGTCCCTCCTCATATTGGTTATTCTGTTGATGGCACCAAAATCAGGGGCAGAGGTGCCTGTGACGATAAGGGTCCCTTGGCCGCTCAGGTTATCGCCTTTTTGGATTTGCTTCACGAGGGAAAGATCAAGGAAGGTGACGCGTCGCTTCTTTTTGTTGTCGGAGAGGAGAATTCCGGTATTGGCATGAGAACTGCCAGTGAAGGTCTTGGTGTTTCGTGGGACTATGCCATTTTCGGCGAACCCACCGAGAACAAGCTCGGTGTGGGTCACAAGGGTATTTTCGCTTTTGACGTGGAAGTCATCGGTAGAGCTTCCCACTCGGGCTACCCAGAGTTGGGAATTTCCGCCACTGATATCTTGGTGCCTATTCTCCACAAGATCCAGAACTTGGACCTCCCCAAGTCGGATCTTTTGGGTCCTTCCACCGTCAACATCGGTAAGATTGAAGCTGGTGTTGCTGCTAATGTCGTGCCTGCTTACGGCAAGGCCACAATTGCCATCAGAGTGGCTTCTGATCTCGATGAAGTCGTCAGATTGGTTCACACTGTCGTGGACGATGTGGAGCACGTTGTTCCCGTGAAGGGAAGAACCACCGAGCCTCAATACCTTGACTACGAGGTGCCAGGTTTCGAATCCATCATCCTTGCTTACAACACCGATGTGCCTAACCTCATGTTGCCTTTGAAGAAGCGCTTCTTGTACGGACCAGGTACGATCCACGTTGCTCACAGTGAGGATGAGCACGTCGAGAACAAGGACCTTTTGGACTCCGTGGTTGGCTACAAGGGCCTCGTGGAGCATATTTTGACGCTCTAAAAATGTTCACAATTTCTATATCCACCATGAGTATACGTATTCACAGCAGACTCAAACTCATGTGAGATTCAATATAGCGTCACGCCGTAGCGACATCTCATTGAACGAGATGCCACTGGGTCGCCTACCTAAGTAGAGCCCTGCGTTCGCAATTAAAGTATAGTTTCTACAACATTTTTGAAGAAGAAAAGTGTATTGGTGAGGAAATTTCCCGCGATGCACTTCAAAAGTACTTGGGTCCAGGCAGGGTAACCCCCAACCAAAAAAACTTGATACAAAGCAGGGTTGGTGAAATTGCCTGATGTAAGAAAGTAAATAATTTCATCTCTAAATTGATATATAATCGCTAGGCACCGTTAGACTCGATCCATCTCTGGATGCCACACCTGTGCACCACAGGATAACAATAAGGAGATGAGATCTGCTATCGCTCTGTATTCTTCAATGATGGCTACAGTTCCAGCATGGAAGAAGATCGGGCTTAAGCTCGATGAAAGCCGTGATAACGCATCGTTTTCCGGTGTGGTGCACTTAGACAGCGCAAATGTGAATAACAAACTTGCAAAGAAGCTTAATAAGAAGAGATCAAGAGAGGAAGACAAGACGAAAGGCACTAAAGAGAAAAAGCCACCAAAGAGAGTTAAGCTTCCGAAGTCAGAGAGAAAGCCCCCACCAGAGAAGGATCAACTTGCATACTTGCGTCAATACGCTACTGACAGAGAGAACTGGAAGTTCAGTAAGCAGAAGCAAAACTGGATCTTGAAGAACTTGAGCGAGATTCCCCACGAATACGAAGCAAACCTCATTTCCTATATCGAAGGCATTCAGGGCGGTGCTCGTGATAGACTCATTGAGCAGTTGACCGATGTTGCAAATCAGTGGAATGAAGTGTGTAAGGCGATTGAAGAGAAGGTGAACGCTGAGTTGTACGGTAATGGAGAAGATGAGGAGAAGAAGGAGTCAGAAGAGAAAAAGGAAGAGGAAAAGACTCCCCAGGTTACTCGTGAGACAGCTATCAGAACCAAGAAGCTACTTCGCGCCCTCACAGATGAACCGGTTGAGTTCCTTGGTTTAGATGAAGAAGCCACAAACACAGAGGCCCAAGACAGCGAGCCTGTTCAGTCTAATCTGCTGAGTGTACCTGTTGATTCCGAAGCTGAGCCCAAGCAGAAGCCATCTAATGACTCGAAGGAGAACAAGGAGGAGAAGCAGCTACTGAAGAACACTGATGGTTCTGAAGAGAACGATCCTGAAGAGACGTCATCCACCAACTCAAGTGCTGAGCCTGAGGACAACTTGATTATTGAGCGTGTCGAGGTCAGAGACTACTTTGAGGATTCCGATTCGGATTCTGAGAAGAAGAAGCGCAAGGACCGTTCGAAACATAAACCCAAAACTGCGAGGGAGAGAAGAAAACTGAAGAGCTTGGACAAGAAGCCTTAAGGTTTTGTTCCCTATGATCATGCGATCTTGTTGAAAGTCGCTCTAAACAACCATTTTGCAGCCATTTTGGTGGCCAGGCCCCCTTCGGCAACCACATCTGAGCGATGTTAGATAACTCACTCATACAACACGGAAACATAATTTACGGATTTTAGAAATGCATAATTCCCTAACTTTCTAGCCTGTACCACTACGTCTGTTTGTTACAGACCTCAGTCTGATGAAACGATGCACTAGTAGCACCCGTACACCAGGGCAAGTATCGCACTAGTAGTACAATATGCATAGTTGCAACTGCAACAGTAGAGGTACAAAATCACAACAATCTAACCACTTCCAATGTCAACCTTCAATATAAGGCAATTGGAAGATAGTGCACGTGACGTGGATCCGGATCTTCGTTACATGGCGCTCGAAGACTTCGCCAAACATCTAAACAATCCCAAAGTTCAGGCCAGAAATGTCTCCAGTTTCATCCCACTCCTTATAACTTTGCTCAATGACAGTGCCACTGAGGTTCAGAATCAAGCAGTCAAATCATTCGCTCCTTTGGTTCGTCATATTGATGACCAGGAAGTCTTATCAGTGGTAAACATGTTGTATGACGCTGTATTGAAGAGCTCCAACACCTCCAAGTTCTCCACTTCTGTTCCGAATTTGGCATTGCGCTCGATCTTCAACAACTCAGGATCTAGATTTGGGAAAGCATTAGCAAGGAATGTGATTGACTCGTTATTTCCTCGTCTTTTCGCCACAGATACCCCTGTCACTATTGATAGTATCGAGATTATCATTGACTTGATCAAAGCATTGGGTGGAAACTTATCCGCAAATGAGCTTTCAGGCATGATTTTATCTTTGGTTCGCTTCGCCTATTCAGAATCTGGCATCATTAGTAAAAGAGCGATTGTGGCGGTTGATTATGCGTTGGACCATGTCCATCTGGTCACACAAGAGCAAACTGTGAGACAGCTACAATTCTTCGACAAGGTTGTGAACGACATTCACCTCACCTACACAGCTACTAATAAAGGTGTGACTGCAAAGAACACCCAGTTCACCTTGCTCCAAGTTGTGCTTGCGAAGGCTAACAAAGCCAAGCGTGATGTATTCTCAGAAGTCTCAGCTCTGATCATCTTTTCTGAGATTAGCACCAGTTTGAAGCTTGACTCGCTTGCCAGATCCCTCAATGCGGAAGACTTGGATGTCGATGTCTTGGTTCTGGAGAACCTGGTTCGTGAAGATGCACTCATCACTCTCTCCAGCCTCATCAATTGCATTACCTATGAGACTTTCCTTCACGCCTACGCCCATCCTGTCGTGGAGATTGTCAAAGCGTTTATCGCATATGACCCACTTAGATATGATAATTCTGACGACGATATCGAGGATGATGAATCTGAGATTGACTTTTCTGATGATGAGGAGTCGATCGAGGTTGAAACCGCTGAGGATAATGATGGTTTGGCATCCAAGCTTAGACTTCAAACCATAGTGTTGATAAAGCAGATGACGCAAGCTTATCCGGGAATTCTCGGCATCATCTATGGCGAAAATTTGGTGGAACCTCTCATTGTGGCCATCGGCGACAAGAATGATACGGTGTCTAACGAGGCCATTTTTGCCACCATTACCGTCTTGAAAGCCACTCACGCCGCTGCAACTGTCAGATCACGTCCTAATTCTGACATAAGCATGATGACTGAGAGCGGAAACTCAGGAACCCCCTCATCGCAAATGACAACAAGATTACCTCCACTTCTTGAGGACTACGTCTTTAATTGTCTCTTGACGACCAAAAATATCGCAAGAGTCTCGACCTCTAATGCATTGATTGAGTCAATGGTTCGGGTCCTTGCAGTTTTCTTGTCCCCATCATTCTTGGAGAATTTGTCGAATAAATTCGAGGAATTCAAGTTAACCCTCAAGACAAATCCTGATTTGATTAAGCTATACAAAGTTATTCTCAAGACCTACACGATCGAGGATATACCCCCAAGCTTCTTAGATTCATCTTTGATGATCTCGTTGGTTCACTCACGGACAGCAAGACTTACTACAGCTTTATTTCCGATATCCTAACAGTCTGCAACGTGTTCTACCCAAAGGTGGCCGGCAATCAGGAATATGTCGCCTTAGTCAACAATACCTTGTTTACTCCAATTGCGGAGAAGATCAATGTCAAGCAATACTCAAGTGATGTGAGACAACACTCATTAAATTCGCTCACAGAGCTTATCGTGAACTTGGATGTGTCGGAAAACAATCTCTCCCATGCCATTGATATCTACAAAGAAAGCATGAACTACGAGGTCACAGTTAATTTTACCATTGAGAACCTCATCACTATATGTCAAAGGAGACCTCAGGTGTTCGACAATCGTGATTTATGCAACCTAGTTGTTGCCAAGCTTAACTCGTACCTCTCATCCAGCGATTCGAGTTTGTATGTCAACTCATTAATTCTACTTGATGCCATCTTCGTCAACACGCTTTTTAAGGGCGAAAAAGGAGACTTGCAAACTTTGACCCAAAACGTTTTTCATTTGTTACTGGAGACCAATGATCCCAACCTCATCAATAGGGCAATCTGCATTCTTGGTCATGCCCTCAACTACATTCCCGCTGATGGTGACTTTTTCAAGAAGCTCATCAATCAGGTCATTAATATCAAGTGGATTGATGAGGACGACGTCGAGTTGCTGTCTCTCGAGTACTTGATAAACCAGGTCACTAAGAAGTCATCGCTTTCAGGTCAAGAGTTATATGATATTGGGTTGCAGAACCTCGTTTTGAGAAACTTTTTGAGTGCTAAAGTGTTGGCGATCATCACACTTGACTGTGACCTCAATGACAGAGTCTCGACCGAACTCGACTCGTTCTCTGACAAGACGGTTTCCTCGTCTTCATTTGACAAGATTGTGTTCGATATTCAATACTTGGGATGCATTGGTGAAGCAGTAGCCTTGACCGGGGTGACGTTTGATGACTTCTTTTCGCTTATGATTTCTGACAACAACGACATTCTTTGTCTCGCTGCGGCGAGAGCTGTTGGCTTGTGCATCAAAAGAGATGTTGAAACATACTTGCCAGTACTTTTAAAGTATTACCACTCATCAAGCCAGAATTCAGAACAAAAGGGCAGCTTGGTTTTAGTGGCTATCAAGCAATTGATGAAGGGCAACATGAGTCACGAAAAACAGAATTTGTTGTCCCACATCTGGCACAGTTTATTTGACGTCATTAGCTCAAAGGGGGAAGCCTTACCCATAAAGATGTCTCGGAATTAAAGTTGGCAGGTGAGGTTTTGGCCAAGATATGCGAGTTCACTAAACTGGACGAATACCAGAATAAGCTATTTGACGTGTTGGAGAGTGGAGCTCTCGAGAATAGTCAGATCGAGCATGCCATCTACACTGTGGTGGTCATCACAAAACAATTGATCAATGACTCGGAATCGCAGGATTTGAACGTGCAGCTAGTGGAGGAGATTTTGCGGTACCTCTCGAAACCTAACTTAGAACTCAAGCAGGCCATTGTTAGCACGCTCTTGACTGGCATACACAACAAGTCGCTCTTAATCCCGGATTTCCTCAACAACATCATTCTACCAAGCATTTACGAAGAATTGGATGCAAAAGAAGAATTCAAAAAGGTCATCCCAATGGGTCCTTACAAGTATGTTGTGGATGAGGGGCTCGAGGTGAGAAAGCTATGTTACGAGCTCATTAATGCCATTATCAATATTGACAATGAGCGCTTGATGGACAAGGAAGGAGGCGTGAATCAGACGAAAATGTTTGAGGTTTTGCTGGTCAAGGGTCTCAATGACACTGAGAACAGCATCGTGATCATGGCGATCCAAAACCTCCTACAGATTGTTTCAAATGACGAGAACGTCTTGCATGCGATTACCAACCAGCAAGAGATGATTTCCGCTTTGACCAAGGTGATCAACAAAAAATTGCGGAGTAAAGCGAGCACGCAAGAGGCTGAAAGTCAGGAAGAGTCATTGAGGATGGCGATCAAACTTCTGAAAGTGATCAATAACGTGCTTATACACAGCAACAGTACGAGTGGTGAATGGAGCAGTTATTTCCATGAGTTGAGGAACAAGCATCATCTTTTGTTTAATGCGGTGGAGGTGTAAGGTCGGTCGCAGTGCGGGCCGGTGGTCGCCGGAGTATACACTCCATAGTGACGGTTTGCATTTGCTTTTTTGCAACCTAAACAGTGTCGGTCGTGCCGTCGTGCATACAGGCGCGGTGATAGTCTGTGAGTGAGAGGGGAAGTCATTGCGCAGAAGCAGTGTTTTGTGGAGATCACCACAACATGTATAAATAGGCGGCATCGCCGCTTGAATGTGGCGACTCCAAAGAAAAGAAAAAGAAGCACACATTTCCTTCTCCATAAACCGTTTACACGTTTGCATTGCACCATGAACTCCACAATGAGCTTCATCAGCACATCCCCCTCCTATGTGACGAGCTTACCCAGAGATTGTGGGCGTTTGTAGTGGCATTATTTGTTACTGCCATAGAGCGGATCTGGCTGGTGCTAGATCTGGGGCTCTACTTTGTTATGAACGGGATTCTCATGGCGTTGCTGTTTGCCGACGCCTTGTTGGATTTCTCTGATCGGGCAGTACGCAACTACGAGCTCGCCAAAAAAGTCTTCAAGTTGTCAATGTACAACAGCATCAACTGATATTACGGACACGTGAATTTACGGACACCGCCAGCAGCAGCAGGTCTGCCACCACCGACAACTATTAGCATCATCTTTAGAAACATAGTAATTTGGAAATAGACAAAAATTTCGATACCATACCTCAACACGTGACCCTCCACAGTCTGCGCTGCTACAAGGCGCACCGACTCCGACGCATCAGGTGCGTCAATACGGCCTTCCCCGCATTATTGGGGTTGCTGGAAAAGCACTATTGCCGACCTGGCATGCCATCACGGTACCTTCACGCCTGGATCTGGGCGGGCCTTTGGGCTAGAAAGAGCTTTTGTTGTTCCCGATTTGGTAATTTACACGAGCAAACGAAGAAAAACACAGATCAGATGCTCATCTGCGTCTGCATGGAAGCCTTGCCATGACGGCACCGCTACCCCCGTGCAGGTCAACAAAGCATTGACACCGTCTGAAGAGTCACCGATCATCCTCATTTGTCATGACAGTAGCTCACCAGCCAGCGCAACATTCCCGAGTTAATTAGGGAAGATTTGCCCCAAAGCGTTCTGCCAAACCGATGACCCTGACTATGACGTAGACAACCTTGCCATGCCGTGTAAGCCTGGGCATTGAGAACACCACCTGATGCACTCCCCGCTGTTTCAAACCATCAGTTCGCGGTGGGGAAGGCCTAGCAACGGCAGCCACAAAGAGTAAAAAATCATGTAGCAGTAGCAAGAGGAACGAATTTCACTTTGCAAAATCAGGGCTTTCTTCCCCCCTTCGTAGCGTGTTTTGAAGAATGAGACCGTGTGGAATCTCCGTTTGCAGCCGGGCGAATCTCACCATGCAAGGGAACTCTCCAAAGCCTCTGCAGGCTTAGGTTGAGAATTCTGGGGTTGTGGCACAGCACGAGCCGTTGTCAGGTGGGAACGGTGCAGACTTGACAAAATACGAGGAGGGGAGGAGATTTGGTTTGAAAGCAATCTTCGAATGAGTCAAAAAGTTGCTCTTCATTTGTGTATTGGACAAGTCAGCCGTGCCTTTTTCTTCTGCCATTGTGGACCTTTTTTTTTCCGCTGCTGCCAGTGAAAGTTACTTATTTCAGAGCAATGGGCATGCGGTGCAGGTGGATCGGCTTATGAGACCTGGCTGGTGAATGTCGGCATCAACTGTGCCGATGGGAGTTGGATGAAATGAGTAGTGTGAAAAGGAGATGCATTTTAACGCCGAGAACTACAATGGGAGCAACAGTTGATATTAATTTGTTGGTCTAGAATTTGGGGTTTGGCTGGAAAATGGCATTGTAGTTTGAGTGTACCACCACCCACTTGGAACAAGGCGTGGGTGGATGTCCTTGTTTTGCTCAAGAACCCTTCAATTGAATGACTACTGTTGCTGGCTGTGAAATCCCCTTTCTTTTACTTTTTCACTTATTGATCGCCCACCGCTTGTTACCTCCTCCCTGTTCCCTAATGCAAGCTGCACTTACCATGCTGTGAAGTCAGTATCATCATCTAACGTCTCCACACATCTACAACGGTCAACCTATTTGTCTGTATTTATAAATAATGCATCTGGATCTATGACGAGAGCTCGGCTCTGACCCAGCCTTCAAGGCCACCCTTCACAATGATATCTTGCAAATTGGTGCCTAGTTCACCGACCTTCTGCTCAAGCACAACGTTCCCGTTGGAATCAGTCACGGTCACAAAGGCCTTGGTAACGTCCCACTTCAAGAACCAGCCAGTACGGATGGTCAATTCAGTGGCGCCCTCGTACCTCTCTCTCAACTTGTTGATCAAAGCTGGAATTTCGAGCGTCAACAAAGCATTGTTGATGGAGTTTCTGGAGAAAATGTTACCAAACGAGCCAGCAACAACCATCTTCATGCCTCTGGCCAAAATGGCAGTAGCAGCCTGCTCTCTAGACGAACCGGTACCGAAGTTGTAGCCTGAAATGATGATATCGCTGGAGGTGGTCTTGCTCTTGAACTCAGGGTCATAGTTCTCCATGCAAACCTCGGCCATCATCTCCTTGCTGATGTCGTCCTGGTAGGTGTACTTACCAGGGTAGATACCGTCAGTGTTGATGTTGTCAGCGTCACACAAGATCAACTCACCTTCGATAGCCTTAGGGAAACCGTCCAAGACTTCGACAGCAGCGCTAGCATCAGCAGCATCAGCAGTGGCTTCAGTGATTGTCAACGACTTGAGCACCTTGGATGCGTTTTCCACAGGCTTACCGTCCAACTCTTCGGGACCACCGATTCTACCAAGAACAGCAGAAGCGGCGACAACCTCAGGGGAGGCCAAGTAGGCCAATGCGTCCTTGGAGCCCATACGGCCCTTAAAGTTTCTGTTGGTGGCAGAAATACCCACTTCACCATCCTTCAACAAACCAGTACCAAGTCCAATACAAGGACCACAGCCGGCTGGAAGTGGCTTGGCGCCAGCCTCAATGATGTCACTCCAAGCACCAATAGCCTCAGCATCCTTCTGGACATTGGAAGAAGCAGCAGCAACGTAGAATTCAACACCATCGGCAACCTTCTTACCTCTAATAATGTCAGCAGCGGCCTTGATGTCACTCAAACGAGAGTTGGTACAGGAAACCAAGTAAGCCTTGTTGATAGGAATGTTCTGTGAAGCCAAGTCGTGAAGGGAGTTGGACACCTTCACACTGTTAGGGCCCGAAATGTATGGAGAAAGCGAGGATAAGTCAACGACCAAGTGCTTAGCGTAAACAGCATCGGAGTCAGAAGCATCCTTGTTTTGTTCAAGAGCAGCGATGGTCTCCTCGTTCACACGGGGTGAGGCTGGGGCAACTTGTTGATTCTGTCCTTGTAAAAGTTCACCAAAGTATCATCCACAGGAAACAAACCGGAAAGAGCACCCCATTCGGTGGTCATGTTGGCAATGGTCAATCTGTAGTCCACAGGCAATTTGGCACAGCCATCGCCCACAAACTCAATAGCATGGTTCAAGACTTCATCATTGTTGAACAAACCACAAAGAGCGACAATAACGTCCTTACCGGTAACACCTTTAGGCAACTCCCCGACAAGCTCAACCTTAGCCACAGGAGGAACCTGCCACCATGTCATGCCAGTTGCCCAAATAGAAGCAGCATCGGTTCTCACAATAGGCGTACCCAAAGAACCCACACCACCGTAAGTGTTGGAGTGAGAATCCGAAGCGACACACAAATTCAAAGGAAAAGCATATCCCTCCTCAATCATGATCTGGTGACCAATACCTCTGCCTGCTGGGTAGAAGTCTATGCCCTGCTCCTTGGCAAACTTCTCGATGTTGGTGTACTTCTCCAAGTTCTTGTCTGACTTATTCTGAACATCGTGATCCAAAGTGCACACGATCTGGCGGTTATCCTTAACCTTGGTAGCACCAAGACCCATGAACTTGGTGGCGACAGGCCACGAATTGTCGTGAGACATGCAATGGGCAGGCTTGATAGAAACATAGTCACCGCTGAAGACCTTCTTGCCCTGAGGAAGTCCAACCGCATATCTCTGTACTATCTTTTCCGTCAAATTCTGGCCTCTCGATAGGCTACTCGACGAGGCAAATGAGCGGACGGTGCATATTATTGTGTTTCTCATCCTCTTTATATATTATGGTTCGACGATGAGAAGATTGAAAAGTTTTGATGCTTCTGAAAAACGAATCTGGAGAAATGCAGTAACGTCAATTCTCCTGCACGCATGCGGCCTGATAATGTGAGGTGAAGGTGCGATTATGACTCAGAGAAATAATGCCGCGTTCTATTGGTGTGCACTAGTTAAGAGGCTCTTGAGTGAACCAGCTGCAACGAAATAATCTTGAGAAGATGTAGTTGTAATGTGGGGAAGTTTTGGTGAGGCTTTCTATTCCGAGGATATGTGGTTTATTTTGTCCGATGGATTTTGTTGTTCTCTTCGTAGGAGCCGCATCTTGGTAGCACTGAAAGATTGAAAAGTATCATTTTGAAAAATTTGAGCTTTTTGGCTGAATATATAAAGAGCCATAGTAGTATCCTGCTGTGTTGACGTGATCTTTGCTGTTTACTTTGTTCTACGATATCCTGTCACTTTCACAGTTTGGCTGCGAAAATGCTATGAAGCTGAATTTTACATGAAAAGTTAAAAGCTGTCAACTCGTGGGAGAACTTAATTTTGATTCTCAACAACATCCGCAATCATGCCGCTATTCGACGTCATAGCTCGAAATGTCTTCAATTTGCTTTGCTGATGACACTCATATTGCACTATATGAGCTCAGCTGAGTCATCGATGCATTTTTGAACCGGATGTCAATAACCAGGCCACTTTAATAATTTGCACTATTGAAAGACGAAAAGAGGACAATTGGTCCCTTTGATAGATGAAAACCTACTCTCGAGCAATTCTTCCTACCTTTTGTCTTTCACACGTCCATCAATTAGTCGGTCTCTTCAACTAATGAAGAGTGACACACGGCTACCACCCACATTCGCCGATGCCAACAACTTAAAAAAGCTCAATCGACTCAAAACACCCAGCAGCATAAAAAATAGTCATATCAAAAATTCGTCCCTGATTGGCTTACTGCACCCAGACCCATTCTGAAACATCAAGTTTCGCAGCCGGACCATCGTCCGATCTACATCCATGCTCATCCCTCTTCTACTAAGTGGGGCCATTGCGTACTCGTACGTGGCGAGTATCAAGATTGCACAGCCTAAGTACCTAGAAAATCTCTCCAGAGATGATCCCCAGGTCATGAAGTACCGAATGGGCAGAGTCACCAGCTTGTGCATCTTCATCTTGATCTCACTTCCGCCCGTTGTGACTTATGGCTTGGACTACTACCATGACCTTCCCAGTGCCATCCGCCAGTTTGGACTCGTACCTGGCTTCACCAACACACATAGCATAATGGAGGACGTTTTGAACGTTATGATCTGTCTCGGCAAGATGCTTATACTCTATTGTGGACCCTTGGCGAGCTACTTTCTAGTTGGGCCTTCTTTAGAGGAAGATCTTAAAGATAACTTCACGACACTCTGGGGCTTCAGGTCACATGTGTTTGCGCCCATCACCGAGGAATTCGTCTACAGGGCAGCGATATTCAGTCTTCTCCAGCCTGTGATCTCCAGTTCCTGGGCCTTAACTGTGTACACACCGTTACTTTTTGGTTTGGCTCATCTTCACCACGGATGGGATTTGCATAAACAAGGTGTAGCTTTGTCCACCGTTCTAGCCTCCACTGCATTCCAGTTTTTGTATACCACGATATTTGGCATTCTTGCGAACCGCATCTACATCTCTACTGGGGAGAATCTTTGGTGCGCTATAGTGATGCATGTGGGGTGTAATCTTGGAAGTTTTCCTACTTTTGAAATCAAGGACACACACCCGAGATTCTTCTACGTCTATTGCTTGTTGCTTATCTTTGGCCTCATAGCCTTCTTGCGGCTCATTTGAGGCGTACCAGTGCGGCAAAAGACCAAATCCAGTTATTAGCATGAAATCGACTAAAAAGACCACATATGATCAATTTTGGGACATACGGCGGTGAGGATCAATATGATCGTACTGGCTCTGCGTCAGAATGTTTGTGGGGATCTGCCGCTAACCCTAATGGGTCAAAATCATACACCCACCCAAATACTACCCTGTCATACGAGACAACGTCCGAATCCCACGAAAATTAAATACTACTAGAAATGGCAAAAAAAAAAAGCATCGAATTGATACATCACACACGCCCCGCTTCTATTTTCGACTCCTTTGAGCATAATGGTTGCGAAAACCTTATGGCAGTAAGTCGCGCTTGTGTGCACGCATACACGACTTGAAAGGTGTTTTGGCAGTAGTTAGTTTGCCTAGCTTTTCTCATTCTCCATACTCATTTAGTCAAGAGAAAACTTACCCATCTGATTGAACCTCTTACCACAACCTGAGCGTGATCTCAGATCCATCCACTTTCACCTTTATTGCATTATCACACGCAGCTATCTTTGCTGCTGTGCCTCCTGGATTATCGATTTTTGATCCAAGTACTTTCGTTCATTCAGTGCGCCACAACCCCATCAGAAAACCACCACAAACGAAACTTCGGTTTTTTTAAATGCATAGCAGACTGCTCAGAATCTAAATTATCATCGTCATACCCTGAGTTGTTGTTCCATGTCAGATACAACCTCAAGATCCTCGACTCCCTGAGGATCAACTCTCCGAGAGCTATGAATCTGCTGCTTTGGAAATCGAACAGGAGAAGCAAATGGTCAAGGCCTTGAAAAGGCTTTCCATGGGTAATATGATCGATCACGATCCGGATTTCCCCATGGAGGACCCAGAGCTTCTCCTTATGAACGAGAGAGAGAGAAACGACGATTCCACCGCCTCTCTAGATACCCTTTCGCTTTCAAGATCTGCATCACCCGTGTCATCCGAATCACAAAGTCCTCCGTTGGAAGGTAAAGAGCCATCCTTGTCTCCTTCGAAGGTCTCTTCCGGACCAACATCTCATTACGTTACACCAGAAGATAGCATAGATTCAGACACACTGTCTGTTAATCACGACAACGTTCTCTGGGTTCCAGCGAATATGCACCCGGAGGTCAACCCACAGCAATTCAAGCAGCATGTCAAAGTCACCATCGACGAGCTTCTAGAACGGAAGATTTCGAGATCGAAGTCAACCCGTTCAAAGCGCTCCTCTTTATCGCTCTCCACCAACGACGATTCGCATAATGATGACGACGAAGAAGACACTTCAATTGACAATCTGTCGCAGCATCAGGACCTGACTAATCGTTATAGCAATCCTTCACTTTTGGAGCTCAGTACTGAGCTCGAGTCGTTATCGCGTCTAGCTGGTATGGACTCTGACGATGCTGTTACGCTAGCAAGATCCTTGTCAACACACTCTCTTGGTTATACTGAGGTTGAGAAAGCTGCCATCGACGAGTTGGGCTCCCCGAAAGCGCACACTGGTGCCAATCAAGCCGAAATCCTTGACTTCGGCATGGACAAGTCTCCTACTAAAGCTTTCCCTGGACAGCAAACATCCAGAGGACCACATCAGCAACATCCACCATCGCATCAGCGCTATCAAAATAGCCCCAAGCATCGCCCCTGAGAAGGCCTCAACAGAGATTTGCCGGCGACCAGCGCTCTTCAACTGAAGAGTCGCAATTCGCTTTGAAGAGAAGCAGGCGAATGAATTATAGAAAGCCACATACCTCGACCCCAACACACTTGGGGTCTCAGTTGCAGAACAAGAAAGCTGGAAATTTGGCCGAGCTTAGACATAATCTCAATTCCTCAGCAATGCCTATGTCATATCCAAGTGAGCCCGAGAGACACATGAAGAGCCCAGCGAGCCGCCAGAGTATGCAAAGCATCAACCCTAGAAGCTCACAGGTTCTTTTTAATTACAAGGGTCCTGCAAGGCTGCTGAGCCATCCAAAATTGCCTGCCTCTGCTCCACCAAATTCAACACCTCCACCGGCAGTGCCAGCACCAAGAAGATCACAGGGCCCCGGCATGGGCTCATCTGTCAAGGATTCGCCATTTGGACCAGTGGCTTCATCGCCTGAGTTGCATCACAACTTCGGTCCTCGTAGCTTGAGCGCCCAAAACCTTATGCATCAGCGCCATAAGCACGGACTTTCCTCACGTCCGCTGCGTGAAAATCTTCAGCAAGGTTTTCAAGGCTCCAGTGGATTCCCATCGCCACATTCGCCATCTGGCCAATTTAGGCCCCAGCATCGGAAGCCATCTCCAACTTCTCATCCTAGGTACGAGCATGGTCAACCTTCGGCTGAGAGACGTAACTTCTCACCACAGGGGCATCCTCAATACCAAAACCAGAGTGGCCCAAATTTGGAATATAAGCAGCAATATCCTCAGACACATGGCTATTCTCAGCAGCAAGCCCACAAGCACTGGCAAGCTGCAAATAGAAGCGGTATGCCGCCGAGATCGAGAAGGCCTCTGGCCGACCCCGTCAAGGAAGAGCACCAGAGGATTAGTACACCACACCATCCTGCAAGGTTGGGTCGTGATATCAAGCTGGAGAAGACATCGCAGCTCAATGAAAATCTAGACATGTTGAGGAATGAAATCAATGAATTCAAAGAAAGTTTGTCACAGCCGGAACGAAAGAGAGAAAGAGTTAAGGAGCCAGAAGCCTCTCAGCCTCAAGAAACTTCCGCAGTACAGCCAGACGAATTGGTTCCTGAGATCAGCTTTGACACTTCTTCAGCAGATGTGAGTTACGAGGATACTCTTGGAATGGAGAAAGATTTTCTTGGACAGATCAAGGACGAGGTACGCACCAGCACTCCTATCGCCAGCCCAGAGAAGCAAACCAAGCGTAGTTCGATGGGTACAGCTCCTATAGAAAGGGAAAAGGATGCCACGCAAAATGTCCGGGACACTGAGAGTTCATCGGCTGTTAACTTACCTAAGAATGACGATGAGATCACGAAGTTTGAAGTAAGGACCATTGAGGAGCCTTCACCAAAGCTTGAACAGGAGGAAGTTGTACAGAGACCCGTCGAGCCAGTTAAGGAGGATGTCGAAGAACCGATCAGAGAATACGTACAGCCATCTCAGGAAGAGCCATCTCAGGAGGTGAAGGTTGAACGAAAAGAATCTGTTAGTAAATCAGCCGAGGCCATTGCGAAGCAGCTGGAAATCAAGGATGATGATGTCTCATCGAGGCAGACTTTTGAGAACAATAGGTCATCTGAAAGTCTCCCCAGAGTCAAAACTAGAACTTCTGAACCCGACGAGAGTTTGAAGAGAACTGAGGTATCACCAACTATGCCAGTAGTTGATGAGCTGAAAAAGTTGAAGAAGAAAAAGTCATTTGGCTCACTCACTGGGGGTGACAAGAAGAAGACTAAGAAGAGTTGGATTTGGTCGAAGGGTCGGTCAGTTAGTGCTCAGAACCTACCGGAAGTGGCAAATCTGCAAAAGCCATCCCGTTCAGTGTCTTCGCCAGACATCAATACGCACAAACGGGACCACAAGGCAGCGTCCGACCACAAGGAGCCCAAGGAAAATGTCATCTCGAAATTATTCAAGAAAAAGAGAAGTAACTCTGTCGAAAGTCCAGAAGTTTATGCCCAAAGACACGAGACCACCAACGAAGAGAAAGAACAAAAGACTATCAAGAGAATTAGCTCTGCTATATTTGGCAATTCGAAGGACGATGATGCCCGCAGTGTATCGTCTAAAGAAGAGAAGGAACCAAGTATTGATGAGGTCAGGCTGGAAATTCTGAAGGAAGAATCAATTGAGTCCAGCAAGTCAACCTTGATGAGCAAGATGAAGGCGAAAGTCAAACATGAAGAGAAAGAGAAATCTGCCGCGGAGACTGTTGAGGTTGAGGAAACGATCGAGGAAGCTTCTGAGGAAGATCTGGAAGAGCAGAAGCCACAAACAACGCTTGAGGTCCAAGAGAAGATCAAGAAGCTGATCAAGAGAACATCTAAGGCCAACCAGCCCCTCGAGTACACGGACTCAGCATTCGGATTTCCTCTTCCACCCCCGTCAGTATCGACTTTGGTGATGTTGGACTACAGGTTCCCCGTTCATGTTGAGCGGGCAATTTACAGACTCTCCCATCTCAAACTCGCCAACCGCAAGCGATCGCTCCGTGAGCAAGTTTTGCTCTCTAATTTCATGTATGCCTACTTGAACTTGGTGGACCATACGTTACACTTGGAGCAGCGCATGAGTGAAGAAGAATCAAATGCCATGGAAGAGCCAGACGCAGACATGGACCTTTTCAATGATGACGATAAGGATACTGATTTCGAAGGCGAGGACGAAGCTCTCGACGACAACGCATTTGACACTGTTCGGCTCGATCTACGCGGAGATTCCTACAATGAGATAACGGTGTAGGGAACAATAGGTGCCGAAATAAAATACGAAAGCAAGACGGGCCTAAAAAAAAAAAATGAACTCACATTAAAGACTATGCATTGGATAGGGAAGGTAAAATAAACATTCGGAAAAAGTGGCGTGCTTTCCACAAAAGCCGACGCTCTAGATCTCTCTGTTTACCTAATGCTCTACATGGACCCGATAACACACCATACTAAACGCTTGCCATTGGATGGTCGCGTCTTGAGGTGCAAAAAAAAAAAAAAAGGAGAAAAGTGGTGCGATGAAGAGCACGTGACGCAAACAGTATCCGAGCACCAAACCCATATATATGCCTCGCAGCTGTGCCTCTTATTTTCAATAAGCAGCAACCACTGACATATTTTAGTTAACTCGGCTCCACAAAAAAAACAGAAAAAGATGGCCAGAACTTTGCCTCTTCTTTCGGCTAGAGAGATCTCCAAGCACTCCTCGGAAAAGGATTGCTGGGTGACTCTCTATAACAGAAAGGTGTACAACATCACGGGATTCCTTGATGAACATCCGGCTGGTGCTGAAATCGTCATGCCGTACGCGGGCAAGGACGTGACGGAGATTATGGCCGATACCATCTCTCACGAACACTCCGAAAGCGCATATGAGATGCTTGACGACGACATGTTGATCGGCTACATGGCTACACCCGAGGAAGAACGTGAGTTGGTCAACAACAAGAAGAAGGTGCCTGTTGATGTCAGACTCACGGACGAGGCCCAGGCCGAGATCGACTTGTACGAGTTTCACGATGAGTTGCCTGCTCTTGATATGTTGTCGGTTCAAACAGACTTTGACGAGGATGCGAAGAAACACAAGTTCCTCGACTTGAAGAAGCCTTTGATCCCACAGATGCTTCGCAGTACCTTTTCCAAGGAGTTCTACTTGGATCAGGTACACAGACCCAGACATTTCGGTAAAGGTTCTGCACCACTCTTTGGCAACTTTTTGGAGCCTCTCTCGTTAACGCCCTGGTGGGTGGTGCCTTTGGTATGGCTCCCCCCTAACATGGTCCTTTTCTACATCGGTTTCGTGAACCAGAGTAAACTCACAGCCTTGAGTTTGTGGGTCATGGGCTTGTTCGTGTGGACCTTGGTGGAATACTGCTTGCATCGCTTCTTGTTCCACTTGGACCAATACTTGCCAGACAACAAGTACTTCTTGACCCTCCACTTTCTTTTACATGGTGTACACCACTACTTGCCAATGGACAGATACAGATTAGTCTTGCCACCCACATTGTTTGTCGTTTTGGCTTATCCATTCTATCGCGTCATCTTCAAGCTCTTCCCCTTCTACATGGCCTGTTCGGGCTTTGCGGGTGGAACTTTGGGCTACATTATGTACGACGTGACACACTACGTCTTGCATCACACCAACTTGCCCAAATTCTTCCAGGAGTTGAAGACTTACCACTTGGAGCACCACTACAAGAACTACGAAATGGGCTTTGGTGTTACAAGCAGATTCTGGGATGTCATTTTTGGCACCGAAATTACTTCGACGTTCCAAAAGAGATCGTAAGTTACAATAGCCTGATTATGTCGTTCCCTAATCGACCTGCGTCGGCCATGATCAGGGCTGTTTATTCATGAATGCAGTATATGTTTTGGGTGGGGTGATTATTTAGTAAAATGAATTCGATAGTCTTTTTTGCTAAGCAAATTTGTAGCGAGTGTATCTTCTCTCTCTTTGGCCAAGGGTCCCTCGGGTATTTTGTAAGAGTTTGGATTATCTGAAGCATACGAGAGCTGGGATGATGCCGCAGCCTCGTTCCAGAATGCTGTGAAAATCGACTCCTTCTCTTCAAACTCCCGTTTACGCACGTCAAGCTCTGCCGAGGGATCAGTGTTCGTGTTGAAGGGCAAAGTACCCTCTTGTTTAATTGCATCAAGGTGATGTTCAATATCGAACTCTGGCGCTGTCATGACGAAATTGGGATCACTATCAGAGTCTGACTCAGCATCACTGCCATAGAGAGAATCATCGTATTGATATTGTTCCTTGCGTTCCATAAACAAAGCTCGAGCTTGCTCGTAGCTTTTGCGGTAGCTTGCAACTGGTGCTCTATCCTGCTTGGACCTGCCAAGCATGTTAGCTATTTGTACATCCTGCCACGTATTTAGCAGAGCCTTCTTGTTCCTGTAAGAGTTTTGCTTCTCCAATCTCCACAATGTTCGACTGGCACGATCTGCGATTTTGAGCGAGATGGCCCTGTTCAGAGATCTATTGAAGTTTGGATTTGGTGACAATCCTTTTGATGCAAGCTTTTGTTTGATCTTCTGCTCCACAATGTCATTGATGGCGTTGAGTAACACTGCGTTCGGTAGATCACGCAGCCTCTTCTTCTCCACTGTTATGCCCAGCAGACTTCTCTTAAAAGACATGGCTAGCTGCTCATCAAGAGGCTCCACAGAAACATGAGGAGCCGGTATTAATGACTTTTGATCTTCGAGTGTGTCTTCATAAATGTCTGGAACTTCAGGCACCTTAGTTGAGGCCATGGGCCATGATGCCCATTTGCTCTGGGGAAAGCTTGGATTCACTCTATGTAGCAAGTGGGCCAGATATAGATGCACGGCTAGGTCATGTCTATGCTCATCCTCTAAATATTCGAGGATCTTATTGAAATCTCGCTTTTCAGCCATGCTGATGTACAACTGTTGTTGGTGTGGTTGTATCAGTGTAAACTCGCGCTGCTCCCGATGAGCTTCACTACCATCATAGTGAGTACTACAATGCCTACAGAAATGTGTCAAAATAATCTGGACAAGATTTCAACAAAAATGAACCCAAAGTAAATAAAGCTTCTTAAAGTAGCTTTATATTCATGTCATTGCATTTGACCCCACCATCCGTCCTCCCCGATATGCGCACACGAATTTTTTGACCTCTTCTCTCTTCTCTTTCTCTTTCTCTGATCCAGAAGAGCTACTCCAGCCGTTGTCAGAGAACTTGAACCTGTAGAATGCACGCTTTCCAAACCTCCTTCTTGGACCTCGCCTTGGAGTCGCAGGCTCTCAAGTTCGGCACCTTCACTCTTAAGTCTGGTCGCCAGTCTCCATACTTCTTCAACTTGGGCTTGTTCAACAACGGCAAGCTCTTGTCCACTTTGGCAACCGCCTATGCCAATGCCATTATTGAGTCTGGTGTTGAGTTTGACATTCTTTTCGGCCCAGCTTACAAGGGTATCCCATTGGCGGCTATTACCGTTGCCAAGTTAGCTGAGCTCGCTCCAGAGAAGTACTCTGAGTTGGGTTACTCCTTCAACAGAAAGGAGAAGAAGGACCACGGTGAGGGTGGTTCTATTGTGGGATGTCCTTTGGGAGGTAAAAAGATCTTGATCATCGACGACGTTATGACGGCTGGTACTGCCATCAACGAAGCTTTCGAGATCATCTCCAACGAGAAGGGTACAGTGGCCGGCTGCATTATCGCTTTGGACAGACAGGAGACCACTCCTGACTCCGACAAGTCTGCTACCCAGGCCGTTGCCGCCAGGTACGGTATCCCTGTTTTCTCGATCGTTTCCTTGTCCGACATTGTCACTCACTTGAAGGACAAGTTGTCTCCCGAGAACTTGGCGGACATTGACACCTACAGAAAGAAGTACGCTCCTAAGGCCTAGGCCTGCAATGTATGAAACTAGATGCATTATGTAAATTAACCTCTCACTCTCATGATCTTCTTTTTGGGTTGTTTGGGTAGCTTGGGGGCCTCATTCGTCGTCTCGGGCTCGGGGTCATAGATTGTTTTAGTCATTGGATGTTTCAAAGTGTAGTTGGAGTGGATGGGCACAATCGAGTTCATCTTGAAACCCTTGACCTTAGGTATTTCCTCAGGCTCGAAGCCCTGCTCGTATTCCTTAGGAATTGGAAGCCCACCGCCCTTGCTTATGCTCTTCAAGGTTGTAGGATGATCCAGAAGGTAGGATGCAATTTCGTTGAGGAGACCCTTCTTGGTCTTGAAACGTGGGTCCTGGACCTCGCCAGCGTCCTTGATGAACACCTTCACTCTGCCTGGGTTACCAAAGTCTTGGGGGTGCGATCTGTCCAACTCAAGGATGACTGGAACACCAAGCCTCCGGCATGCGTCGGAAATGGTGATGGCCAAAGGGTTCTCCACGGCCAAGTCAATGCTGACTCTTCTGCCTTCTTTGTGCGTTCTGTTGATGTCGAAGTAACATGGGTATATCGTTTGGAATTTGGCAAAATGCTCTTTATCTTGCTCAGACAATTTCAGAGGGTCCATGATTCCCTCGCTTTTTGGAGCACTTCCGCCCGATGGAGGCTGGAAAGGCTGCTGTGGAAAGAGTGGAGGTTCGGAGTCCTGAGACCTCGTGACCGTTGGTTTGTTGATGGGAGCAATCGGTGTCCTGAGACTGGGATCGAACTGGGCAATGTCCATGTCCATGTTGTCGATCTCGTCATCGTCGACATCTTCGATGGTGGGTTTTGGTGGCATGTTCTTTAGATGGTCAATGCTCTACTGTAAGACCTGGTTTTTTCGTTGACTAGTGTGCTCACTCTATGCACGCAAAAGAGAGTGCTTCCTGATAACGTTGGAGTTTGGCGATGAAAGCAGGGAATTAAAGAGAAAAAAAGAAGATGATAATAAGATACAGGGAGAGGCTCTGGAGTCAAAAGTGTGACTTTGTGTAAAAGAGCGCTTCAGCCAGATTCGCTCACAGTGTTCAGAACCAGCAGTAAAGCAGTGAAGTCCTTTTCTTGTCAAAAAGAGTTGTCTTCTGAAGGACATGTATCCTTAGCCTCTTACAAAAATTAATCGATCCTCTCTGGGGATACTCCGCTTTCGAACCCGGATATAGTGCCGGCATGTGCATCCTTTTGCAGCCAATATCCCACCTTCCAACCCCGAAACTTTAAATCTTTCCAGCGTCAGCCCACTCACCCTCCCCATCACCGCTGTTTCACTTTTTCTGAAATCCCGCTGACTCCGATGAAAATACCCTTCTGAGTCATTCACCTAGTCCTGACTTCTTCAATAACGGCTTTCGCAGTCAAGCTGTATGCCACAGCCAAGCACTGCACGTGAGCTTAGCATCGCTTTTTCAAACCTATGCTCCACAGTCTGCTCTACACCCTTCCCCGTCTTGTTCAAATTATATAGATGTATCTTGCCGAGGTGGCCGAGGGCACACCGCGTGTTCTCAAACAGTATATGAAAATATTCGACTCGCCGTCGGCACATGAGCCCGACTACACACTCAAGCTCCAGTCGGCACCTGTGACGCCGACAAAGTATGAGACACATCCAGATATCCAGTTTTTTCGTCTGGTAAAGACAAAACACCACTATGCTTACCACAAGTCCAAGTTGGCCTTGTCCTCGACTGAGGAAAATATCGATCACACGAACTCGAGGATCTCGGGGTTCGAACCGTTCAACCGAGAACAGCTTTTACAAAGACTCAGAACCTTCAACGCGTTGAACTGGCATATTCCTTCGGGCAAGAATACTGGTGTTCAGCTAAATGAGCTTCTATGTGCCGTAAATGGCTGGACTTGCCAATCCATAGCGAGAAACAACAACGTCAAGAACCATTTATTGTGCTCAAAGTGTGGAAATGAGCTTATACTTCGCTTCAATGCCGAAGAAGAACAGCCCGAATATGCGCCCTTCCATTTTGACCTCGAGGATATTCAGGCGGTCAACTTGAATCTAAAAGCGCAGTATGCACAGCAAGTCCAGGCCTTGGGCCATCAATCCTCCTGTCCGTGGACCAAAGTTCTGACTCCGATCAACACAGTATATTATCTTACTCCATATCTTGCGTCCACCAATGAGGCCTTGATTAAGCTTCACTCCAAGACGTTGAAGAGCTTGTTTGACAACCTTGTGATAATGCAGGAACATGCTGGTTTCTTGTCCCTGCTTTGTCCTAAGCCAAAGCTGATAAGTACTTACGCCGACTTTTGCCGTGCATCGAATCTGTGGCTCTTGAGCCGATACTTCAACAATGACAAGGAAAACTTTGGAACGATCTTGTCCAAAAATTGTCCCGCATGGCTCTACTGTATAAGTGGCATGGGCTGGGATGTGTACACTCAAGAGTTCAAAGGTCAGACTGTCTTGCTCATGATCTGCCAAAGCTGCAATCAAAGGATATTTTTACAAAAGTCCGCAGGTCCGGACGACAGCGGTTCAGGTAATCAAGAGCATCCCAAGGTTTTGACTCCTTGTGAATACACCGCTGCTATCCCTCATGCATCATCCAAGTTTTCCAATGAGTACATGGATGAAGTTATTGAAGAGGATGAACAGGATATTGATCCATACCTAGGTCATAAAGAGTGGTGTTGTCAAGTAAGTGACATGGCTGGCCAGCCTTACTTTGACTATTTTATGAATATGGTGGCCTCGCTGGAGGGGTATATTGGTCCGAACGGAGAGTATCTCAAAGACAGAGACGAATCTTTGGATATGGATATTGATGCTTGTACAAAGCATTCCAAAAGACGGGCTAGTTTTGACCTTCAGGAGGAATTAGAAAGATTCCGTAAACTACGGAAACCCTACTTTGCTGATTAGTTTAATATAAGCACACAGTGCCAATTATATTGTATGTACTCTTGATGAATCTAGAGGACGATGCTGATGTAGGGTATCAAGTATATCACGAGGTTATCTTGTTGAGTGGAGCACTGAAGTCGAGAACTTCGATGTACGTTTCCTCGTTATCAGATCCTTGCTTTTGCACAGCAGCAACACATCTATCAGGATCAAAGCGCACTTGCCAGATACCCTTGGTGATGTCGGAAAGTAGATCACGAACGAACTTACCGGTCTTGACATCCCAAAGCTTGAGCATGCGTTCACTGCCACTCACAATCCGTAGACTGTCATGCTGAAAGCAGGTGATGGCGCTATTATGTCCCTTCAACTTGCTGTAGTTCTCTCCAGTGTTTGGATTCCAAACACGCAAAGTAGAATCAGCTGCGGCAGAAACCAAGTAATCCTCAGAAAGTTCTAATAATCCAACGAGAGAATTGTGCCCTTCCAAAGAGAAAAGAAGCTTCCCTTTCTCGAAGTCCCAGACATTGATGGACAGGTCCATAGATCCCGAGTAGCAACGACGTGTCTTGTAGTTCAAGGAGGTCGAGTAGATTCTATCATTATGGCCTTCCAATACATGCTTGCACCTGCCACCTTCTTTCAAGTCCCAAACTCTGACGGTTGTATCATATGAGCCAGAGATAATGATATTGCCGTAGCCGGATACGGAACGAACGGACTGGGTGTGACCGACCAAAACGGCAACAAGATAAGGGTTGTCGGGATCTTTACTATCGAAGGTCTTTGTCTCGGTGATTTCATCTGCATGCTCGCCCTCATTATCCAAGGGAAGCTTCCAGACATGCAAGTTGTGGTCTCTTGAGCCAGTGACTAAGAGCGGTTCCTTGGGAAACATGATAGGCTCACCGTTATCATCGACACCGATCTGTACGGGGTGCAAGATATCTAGACATCTTACAGTCGAAGTATGACCTCTGAACATATGGGTACACTTGCCAGTACGGATGTTCCAAACACGCACGTCACGATCAGTAGAGCCACTCACCAAGGTATTGGAGAAATATTTGAGGGCCCAAACTCCGCCATCGTGACCTTTTAGAACACGAAGGAGCTCACCAGTTTGAGTATCATAAACGTTCATCAGCTTCCCTTCAAAACCGGTGATGATTTTTTCTTCATCGTGTTGTAGACATGTGACTATACTCGAGCCGTGGCCTGCCACGCTTATGCGTTTTGGTTCATACGAGGGGTTCATCCAGCGCTGCAAAATGATGAAGCGTTTCTTGTAAAGTGTTTGGGCCAAGTTAATATCGCTAAGGTATGGACTAGGAGTGGCCCAGCCTGCTATGAGCGCGTCGGGGTTGGAGAGCTCTTTATCTAGTAGAGCTGGGTCTCTCAAGAGCTTGTCTCTATGAAGCATAGCGGTCCACAATGTGTTGTTGTTAACCAAGCGATTCCAAGACCGGCAGACTCTGGAGACGGCCAAAACAGACTTGTAGTCCAAGTGGGACAAGATCGATAATGCAACCTCCAACGGTAAGCTTGACAACAAGTCGCGTCTCAACGAGTCCTGAATTATGCCACAGAACGTTGAAAGCAGCGAACGGTCAACTTGTTGTAAGAGCTGGAAGATGATGTGGTTTCGGCACGGGGCCAGCGAGAAGTTTGAAAGATTCACCATGAGCTCCGCCAAGTCGCCCTGAGTGCCTGGAGGTTTCAGCAAACAGCGTTCCCAGAACTCATGCACGGACCGCTTGTCGGTAGCGCTCTGGACCGGGGAAGCCAGGGGCAGCGGAAGTACTAGCTGCTGGGGTTCTGGTCTTCCATATCCAGGATGGGCGAGTTTGTCATAGACTCTATCCCGTTGGGCGTGCATGGGTGTATCTGGCTTTCGGGCTTGATGAACGTATTGGAGGCGCTTCGGATAGCAGGGGCGGCCACGCTATGGGTGCTGGAGATGGACATCACCGAGTCTGCCGAAACGGGCACCTGTCTTGTATCGGGCTGGTTGGCCAGCGTGAGGCGTCTCTTGGGCGGATGGGTCACGTCAGGCACGGTGTCGGTATCGGAAATGATCATATCGTCGCCGCTTTCAGCAGAGCACGGGGCAGCGTAAGCAGGGTAAGCGTCCTCCTTCGTGTCCTGGTTCTGGTGGGCACGAAAACGTTTCCGCAGCTGAGTTTCTAGGGGCGCCAGAGTCAAGGAAAACGGACAAGGCTCCGCCAACCCGTCATAGAGCTTGGCCGAAGGGTCTTGGAGTTTCGTGTCGTAGGTTGTCTTGCACCCCAAGAGTGGGTATCTAGGAGGGCCAGACATGAGACAGCAAGGACAGGAAGCAGCGTGGGAGGGTGTCTATGATGGAAAAGACGGATATAGATGGGAAACGGAGATGGAAATGGTGGTGTTTAGGGCAAAACCCGTGTGGGTGAATGTGGTTTGTTTGTTGCAAATGAGCCTGATTGAGAAAAATGATGTGCAGTGGTGTGCACGGGTGGGGGACGTTGGGCGTCTTTTGTTTCGCAGGTGCAAGGCATTTTGGGAGGAGACTGTGGGGTCTGTCTTTAGCAAATATAGACTAGGGGATTTGGAGATTCCGTTTTTGAAAGAATCTGAAAATCCCAACTAATTAACTTTACTTGGGCGTTTTTCGTTTTTTTGCAACCTCGGATCTCAGCCAGCTCCAGGGTGTGATTTTGCAGCTGTGCTTCTGTTTTGCATGTCTTATCGGGTTGCTCCCGCACCGTACCTCCCGGAATACCTGCGACCTTTATTCAGATGCACTGAAAATAAAGGAAGTCTTCACTCAAGTCGTTCTTACCATTGTCTATGTATACAGCGCCTACTCGACGTTTTTTATCAAAATGCCTGGTTGGCCAGGAACAGCAGCATCCACAACCTTGCCTGTGGCTGTGATCTCCACCTCCTCACCCGTGGTGATATCCGTACCCTTCTTTTCGCCGTGAGGGAAAGTAACCACCTTCAAGTTCTCAATCTTGAGCGTCGTAGTCGACTTCTGGATGTTGCTCAAAACCTGCTTCACCAACTCGCCCTCGTTGAAAGTCAACTCACGGTTGAACACCGTCTTGGGGTCCTCCTTCACCAATCTCTGCTTCAAAAACTGGATGAATGGCATGGCACGCTTCATGTCCTTTCCAACCTTCTCCTTGATCAACTTGTTGTCGTTCAACGAGTTGCTCTCGAACAACTGTCTGACAAAGTCAATGTACTGCTCCTGCCAGTCTGGGAAAGACGTGGAAACGAGCAAGGTCAAGTTAGCAGGCTTGGAAGCATCAACCTCGGCCTTACCCTTCTTGGACTTCAACACGGTGGATTCAGCCTCACGAACAGCTCTGGCCAACTCCTTCACGTATTCAAGAGAGTCCAACAAGCCCTGGGAAACTGGCTCAGATGCTCTAGGGAATTTAGCGTTCTGGACAGAACCGTCCTTACCCAAGATGTCCTTGTACAAGAACTCGGCAAAATGGGGGGCCACTGGGGCAAGCAACAAGGCCTGGTTCTCGATGTACTTGAACACAAGGTCCTTGTGCATGCCAGCACCAGACACAGAGTCTCTGTAGTAGTCTCTGGAGGTCTGGAAGTCGAACAAACCGTATTTAAGGGCAGCCTTGTAGTTGGTGGCCAGGTACTGCTCGTAAGCCTGTTCCACCAAGTGGTTCATTTCATTGTCGAATGCCTTGTCGAAGAAAGAGTCCTTAGAACCGGTTCTCAAGGTGTCCTGAGTAGCCTTGATCTCCTCACACCATTCCTTCAAGGTGGTCAAACGCAAAATAGCAGCGTTGGCGTTGGCCTCGTCAAAGTTGGCGTCCTCAACAGTGTCACCAGCGTCAGCCAAAGCAATTCTGGAGGCGTCAGCACCGAACTTCTCAACAATCTGCAGCAAGGTCAAGAAGTTACCAGTGGACTTGGACATCTTGGCGTTGTTCAACATCAAGTGACCGTTGGCTCTGACACCTCTTGGCCAGAACTTCTTGGGGAAGAGGGCGGTGTGGCAGTAGATGAAGAAAGTCAAGTGGTTTGGAATCAAATCCTTACCACTGACTCTGGCGTCCAATGGGTAGAAGTACTCAAACTCTCTTCTCAAGGCCTCCAACTGCTGCTTTGGAATGTCCGACTTGATGTCCTCACGTCTGGTGAAGATGTAATCAAACACCTCGTCAGTCATCTGCTCGGGCTTGATGCTGAACTTACCAGGCTTGGAGCCGTAGTAGTCTGAGTGCAAGAAACGGGCGATGGTGTAGTAAGACATGTATATCGTGGAATCAGACAAGGACTCAATCAACTGAGAGTCATCCCATGGACATTTGGTACCCAAACCGTAAGTTCTGGTAAGAGCCCAGTTCTTCAACCAGTCCAAGACACCCTCGAAACCGTGTCTGGTCTCCTTGGAGAAGGTCTCCATGTGCTCCAAACACTCCAAAGCCTGGTTCTTCCAGGATTCTTCACCGTAATCAATGTACCACTGGTCCTCCAAAGAGACACAGCACTCATCTCCCGATCTGGAGACAACCTGGCCCTCGGGCTCGTTGTAAACGAAAGCCTCGCCGGAAGCGATCAAATCAGCCTTAACCTTAGGCTTAGCATCCTCGACCTTCTCGCCAGAGTATTTACCAATGACCATGACACCGCTGTAGAAACCCTCCTTGTAGGCCTGCTCCTTAGCCTTGGCCAACTGCACGGTATCCTTAGGCGACTGGATCTTCAACTCCTTACACAAGAACTCGGCAGACTTGTCACCGAACTTCTCGGTCTTCAAGATTGGCACAATCTCGGTGTTGACCCACTCCTTCTCAATCTTGTAGAATTCAGCCTTGTTGGACAAGTCCTTGACGGTGATGTAGTCATCTGGAGAGTCAGAGGGAACACAGGTCACAACACCAGTACCCTTGTTAGGCAAGATGGTCTCCATAGGGAGCACACGGAGGTTTTTGAGCTGAGACAAAGGTGGAGAGATCTTGGATCCGACAAGAGCAGAACCGTTGATGTGCAAAGCGGCAGTGTAGTCACCTCTAGTTGGGGTCAATTTCTGGAATGACATGTTCTTGAAAGCTCTCTCGGTGGTGATGTAGTACACACCCTCAGCGGCCTTGAACACACCGTAGTTGATCTTTGGCGAGACAAAACAACAGCTCTGACCGTACATGGTCTCGGGTCTCAAGGTGGCAGCGACCAAGAAGACCTTGTTCTTGGAGAGATCAAAGTTGTTCTCCTCAAACACCTTCTGGGCTTCTGGCTGGAACTCGTCCACGGGATCTTGATACCAACGTACTCTTGTGGGTTGACTCCCTCACCGCTGGATCTGTCGTGGTCCAAACAAGCCTGACCGTCCTTCTCGGAGTAGATGGTGTATCTCTCACCGAACTTGATCTTGCCGCAGTCCTTCAAACGGTTGATTTGCCAGCGGACGAAAGCATCGTAGTAGGCGTTAGCAGGCGTGGTGACGAAGGATCTTCTCCAATCGACTCTACCACCAAAGTTGTTCACGTCTCTCTCAACGAGAGCAGGGAAGAAATGGAGCCAGTGCAGAGGGTCGGCAAAAGCGGCAACCTCCTCCTTGGAAAGACCCAATTGCAACATAATCTCAAACTGGTACTTGCCTCTACCCTGCTTGGCAACAGCCTTGGACTTCTTAGCCTTGAACTTGGTGGGGTCCTCGCTCTTGGCAGCTTCCTTGACAGGAGTAGGTTCCTCCTCCTCTTCGTCTTCAGCTGGAGCACCAGCAAAGTCAGCACCGAACTGCTCAACCTCTCTCTTGATCTTGTCAGCAGCGGCCTTAATTGGCATACCGGTACAGTGGAAACCCAATGGGAAAAGAGCTCTCTTTCCTTCCATTCTCTCGAAACCAGTGGCAAACTCCACCTTGGACAAAGTGAAACTGTGACCGGCGTGCAAGACACCGTTCATGTATGGGTAAGCCATGGTGGAGAAGTACTTGGGGTACTTTTCTCTCAACTTATCGGCATCATCCTCTGGATCTTCCTCGATAGTGGGGGCATCGACTTCGAAGAACTTGTTGTCAGCCCAGTACTTCTGGTACTTCTTCTCGATCTCCACAAGTGTGTCCCTCCTATCGGTCTTTTCGAGTTTGATAGTAGCACTCATTTTGCGTGGTGAGGTATGAAATCTTTTGAGACCTTAATATCGCGGTGAAAAAATGTCAGAAAAAGTTGTGTATGAGTAAACTTGGGAAGCCGCACTGGCTGCAAACTCCACATTAATCTATATTATAGTACTATTACACGGGAAGCCACTTAACGTCTTTTTCTTCTCATAAGCATCGGAGGAGCCATGGTAGTCTTCTTTGCTGGTTTTTGGTCGTTCTCTTGCTTGAAAAAGTCGTCTTTAGAACCCACATGAAGCACCTCTTCGTCAAAGAGGGTTCCTTCGAGTGATAAACTGGCTTTACCAGCATCAGACTCATTTTCAAATTCGACAAGTGCTGCCCTCTTACTAGGCTTCAAAAAGACTTTGGTGGTTGAGCCCACACGGCTCTGCAAAAACTCCTCAAGATGAGCTTTGGTGCTGATGCTGTTCACATTGAACAAGGCAATAGTGCTCTTGACGTTGAACTGCAGTGGAGAGCTTTGCATTGCCTGCTTTGTTTTTCCTTTCGAGACATGAATGGTCCGGCCATCCAAGACCGTCTCGTTTGCATCGAGGGCTTTCTTGACATCCTTGACGTCGGAGAATGTCACAAACGCATACCCGTTGTTCTTAAAACCCTTTGCTCTATTGGTCTCGTTGAGGGGAACCTTGACATCTTCAACCCTTCCAATTCCACTGAAGAATTGGCGTAACGTCTCTTCCGTAGTCACCTCAAAGTTGATGTTATGAACGTAAACCTGGTGAGCCACATTAGGACCACTTCGCTTGTGCTTGAGAGAGGGTTCGATATGTCAGCCTTCAAAAAATGGTCCTCTACCGACAATTGATCGAGCTGAGCCTGTGCCAGCTGAGTGGCAGTGGTATCCGGGAAATCGATGTAACAAAATCTTTTCTCACGTTTGTCGCTTTGGGAAGGGAACCTCACACTGAGAAACAACAAGTCCTGAGCTTTTAAGAAGCTTTCGACATCTGATAATCCCCAGTGAGATGGATAGTTCGTGAGCCACAAGGTGTTTCCAAAAATACGCTTCACTGTCACGATAGACTCCCCAATAGCTTTCTGGTCCCTGACCAAAGCTTTCATGACCTCCTCTTCTGACTTTAGTTCAACCAATGCAAAATGTCCTTGAACTGTTGAGAACACATCAATGGAAAGAGGATCACAATAGCCTTGAAAGAAATTTGCAACTTCATCTTTTTTAGCGGAAAGTGGTAGATTCTCCACCTTCACCCTGAACATTTCACGACTCCGTGATGCGTCTTCATTTGCCTCCTCTGGCTTGTTCTCCAGTCTCACCTTTTTTTGCCCTGGCCCCTCAAGCTCTTCATCGTTGGTTCTCTTTATATCCATCTTTGCCGGAGTATACATAAGACGTGGATGGGTCTTCTCTAGTAAGTCCAAGAGCAGCTGAATTTCCTCCGCCAGACCATGCATAGCTTGATGAGCTAAAGCAGTATCAAGGGCTAGCTTAGGATCATCGAGATCGGATAAATCCTCTGGAAGTAGCTTGAGCATACGCTTGCCATATTTTGGGGGACCATACAATGCGAGAAGCTGAAAGCAGAATACCCAGACTTTTGCGGAATGAGCCCACTTATCAAAAGATGCGGTGGTCAAGTCGACAAATAAATCGAAGAAAGCATCTTCGTCAGTCGAGCATCTCCTTGCCAATGTAATTGCCAACTGCAATACCTCAAAACCATCCTCCCTGGCAAAGGCATTGGATGCAATAGTGTTGATGTCCTCGAGAAATATTGATGCCCAGGTTTCCAGCACCTTGGCATATTGCTTGAAATCTCCTACAAGCAAAGTAGTCGCTAGTTGCTTCCAGTTATCATCAGCTTTGAACGCGTCGACCAAACGAAGAAGCTCCGTTCTTAATCGGTTAAACTCGTCATCTTCAAGATCCAATTTATTGAATGCAGTGTATCCATCTGGGAGATCTGGAAAGCACTTGATGAACAATTTTGTGAAGTGTGGGAGACGTGATTCTTCATACTGCTCCACGATACTGAGAAAAGACTTCCAAACAGGTAGCCACGACTCATCACACACCTTCGAAGTTTCCATGAGGGATCTGAAGAAAATCTGCTCAATCGATACGAATGAAGCGTTTTTCAACATATGTTTGGCGCATGACTCGATGTATGCGATCCAATGCTGTGGGTTAAATGGGTCATCAGCAATGTTTTGCTCGAGTTTTATATAGTAAGGTATTGTTGCCTCACATGCTTTCTTGGCCAGACTGGCATTCTTCATTAGACTCAGATAAGAGTCCGGAAAGGTTGCAGATACAAATGGGGAGTAGTCCTGGTAGGTCCCCTCGATTTGAGCGTGGGGTATAGATAGCATCCGTTCGTACAATTTTTGCAATTTTTCGGCATTTCCTTCCGAGGAATATAGCTCTCGAAGTTTGACGAATACCTCATGGCCGCTTTTATAGTCCCATCCGCAATCAGCGAATGCTTGAAGAAGCTCCGGTTCTGTGGGTTCAATCGCATTGAGGTAATCTAGCCATGTTTGTGTTGTGGGAAACTCCTTTTTGAAGAATTCGAGAAAGTATATGTTGTCTTCCAGGCCGGCGGATTTTCTCCAGAACGCCAACTCTTGAGGGGATAATTGGGCCACTGCTAGCTTCCTCTTCAATATGGGTATTGATGGAAACTGGTTTTCACGTTTAGCAATCTCCATTAGGGCGAGATATTCGCCATAGTATAATGATGACTGACTGGCATTGGCATCGAAATGCAGAATTGCATTCTCCAATTCTGGGGGATATCCCATTGCAGTAGGTTGAATTGGTAGTATCAACAATACTATGCGCGATGGGTCTACATCGATGCTGGGTGCGAAATGAGATGAGGTACATCTCTAGTCCATCTCCATATTCCTCCACAACGACACATATGGATGCCCGACTATATTTAAAAAGCTATGGCTGGCAAGACGGCCATGCGCTTAAAAACGGTGGAATCAAGAAACCCATTTTGGTGAAGCACAAGAAAGACAAGAAGGGCCTTGGATCAGATGGAAATGATGCAGATGTATGGTGGGAGAGACTTTTCGACGGTCAGCTCAAGACCCTTGATGTCAACAACAGCACCAAGGGAGTTAGCTTTGAGACAAATACCATGGAAACCGAGAATCACCTCCGAAGATCGATGTCACCTTTATACAAGATGTTCGTCAAGGGAGAAGGATTAGCAGGAACAGTGGGCAAAACCGATAATGCACATCTCAAAAGCAGCAAGATCGATAGCGAAAAGGCTATTGAACAGACAGAGATCATCATGAAGAAGGCCAAGAAGGAGGCCAAGGTACACAAGGACAAAAGCAAAAGTACAAAGTCTAAGGATGAGAAGACGGACAAAGCTGACAAGAAAAAGCTGAAGGATAGCAAAAAGGAGAAGAAGGACAAGAAGGACAAGAAAGAGAAAAAGGAAGTGAAGGAGAGCCCCGCTGAAAAGAAGCATAAAAAGGAGAAGTCATCATCGAAAGCCAAGAAAGAACTGGATAAGAAGTCAAAGCTGGAGCTGAAGTCTAAAAAAAGATCAAGAGACAAGAGCGACGAGAAGGAGAAGACGAAAAAGAGAAAGAAGGATAAATAGATGCGAGGGTGTGATATAGACTAATAAACTAGAGCCGTCACTGCCTGGTGCATGGAAGTGCGCCTTGATACGATAACGCTCACACTACTGTACTACGCGTTCACGATAACACAAAGTTGACAGATAAACACAAAATCCATGGCTACCTTTGAAGTGGGTGGTGTTGGTATAAGCTGGAGGTGGATCATGCCGCTTAGCATATTCCTTATCCTGCTACGGCATGTCCAGCTATGGAGAATTCTTCTTGAGATAGTATTAGCCGGGGTGCTGATCGGGTATTTGGCCTACCGAGTCCTACGCCAATTGAAGCCGAAGCAAACTAAGAAGTTCTATTTTGGTGATACCCGACATCTGACCTTCAAGTTTCTTGATCAAAAAGAATGGCAGCAAGAGCTACAACGACTTGAGGTATCAACTTCAAGCCACAAAGGTGCATCACTACCGGTAGATGGTGCCATTGGTGAAATTCTTGACCTTGTTGTGGCCATTTTCATCGACTCTTGGTACAAGAACATATCCGATCATGAAGCTTTCCAAGCGTCACTTCGCAATGAGTTATGGCACATCATCGAGGCTTTCAAATCTCACCTCGCTAAGACTGATATTGCCGAGTTGGTGTTCATCAAGATACTTCCGATGATAAACCTTCATTTCAAAGACTTTTCCACTGAATCAGTCCCTTTGCTTTGTAATTATCAACTCGAGAGCAAGTTGAAAGTTGTGCGATCTTCTGGAAAGACCCTTCATGAGGGAGTGTCACTTTCTACGAACAAACTGAATTTTGAGCTGGAGAAAGCCTACTTGAGAAAAATAACTGCCAAATTGCTTCCTCAGGTCCTCACTGAAGGAGAGAGGCAAAACAAAGTGGTTTCACTGATCCTTCGAGAAATCCTCGCGTCCACTGTTCTATTTAATGTGGTGGAGATGTTGGCTGAGGGTGACTTCGTTAATCAAATGATTGTGAAGTTCATGGGAGATAGCCTTCAGCGTCGCAGTCAAGTCAAACGCCTTCGTGCTGCGTTGGAACAGCATACTCGTCAAGCTGACGAAAGGCAAGATACCGCATCTCCACTCCCAAGTGTTTCTGGCAAATTCACGGAGGCACGATATCAACACTGTTTAGCTTTCATTGACAATGCCACAGAAGCTGATCTTGTGGAGCTTAGAGATCGCTTGACACATTCCATCTCTCAGCACAGTGACACGCATAGCCAAGAATACCAATCTATGCTTGAGCTTGTCCAGCAAATTTCTAACAAGCTAGAAAAACCTAAGCTTTCCCTTGATGAGGCTCTCAATAACAATGACGTGCGTTCTCTGTTTGCACGGTACCTCGAGAAGAACGAGAAGTTACATGTCTTGGGTGTATTTGAAGCGATTAACGAATTGAGGTCCCCATTATGCGCTTTGGATGTTGAGAACCCAGACTCCCTAGAATTTGCTAATTCTGATAATATCAGATCAATTTTTGATAACTTCCTAATTCACAGTGAAACACTTGAATCACTGATCCCTGCCATACGCTCAGTATACCGTGGGATAAATGATGAGACCACAATCACTTCTGCAAAATCAGAGTTGATATCCGTCTGGTTGAAAGTAAATTCCGAATTAGCCTCAGTTCTCTATCCGTCATTCCTTCAAAGTGTTGACAACGGAACAGCACCTTATCTGGTGGATACTCATGCACTGGCTGAGCAATCAATCTTGACAACTGAAAACTCACAATTAGATGCGGACGTGACAGAAGCGTCCATCAGTCCTGCTGTTATTGATGCCGTCGAAAAATCTCTTGAACAAATCATCAACACGAAGGCACAAACCCCAGGCAGTTCGGGAACATCCAGAAACGAGAGTACCTTGACATTAAAGAATTTGGTCTCTCCTATGTCAAGCTCAAGTAGATCTAATTCGCCAACCTTGAAAGATCGCTTGCCCCCTGGCACCTCTGCTATGAGCCAGTCAGGTATATTTGAGTCGCTAGACAAACTGGAGTCTGAATCTGAGCTATCAGATAGCTTTGTTAATTCTGATTCTGAAGAATCCAAACTAGGTGGTTCTGAGATCTTGAGAGCGGCGCCGGGTGATCTTAGCTTAGCTGAAAAATTGGCATCCATTTCTCAGGATATTAAGAACCTTCGTGAACAAAACGAAATTCTACTTCCATTACTTAAGAAAGCAGAGTTAACGAACAACGTTTCTGAGATAACGATTCTCAAGCGCTCCAAGCAGGGCTTGGAGAGGGAGATCGCCTCAAAAGAGCTCCAACGACAACATTGGATAATTCAAGAAAATGAGAACAGCTTGTTCGGGAAGTCCAGGATACAGATCTCGTCCTATATGACTGAAACGAAGAATGGTTCTGATTACGTGCTCTATATTGTTGAGGTCCAGAAGTTTTCCAACGATGATCCAAATGAAGTTACGGCAGGTTGGGTGGTGGCTCGAAGGTTTAGTCAGTTCTACCAACTCAACGAGTACCTCAAAAAGAAATCATCTAAGGTATCCCATATCAAATTCCCAAAGAAAGCTGTTCTCAATTTTCAAAAGAAGCAGCTTTTGGAGTTGAGAAAGAAGGGCCTCGAGCAATACTTGCAGCAACTCCTCACTATACCCGAGGTATGTTCGGATCCTATTTTGCGGTCATTTTTATCATCTGAGAACTTCCTGTTCAGCTCCCTTAAGAAGCCGAAGAAGAATCTAGACGATATTCTTGGCTCCCTTTCCTTGAGCTTTTCGGATCATGATAATTCAAAATATCCCGAGGTGGAGATGAGTACCACCACTGAATTCATGGAAAGCATAAAGGAGATGCAAAGTGAGTTGAAGCAATTCGATGAGTCCCAGAGGTACACTTCTGGTAAGGTACCTTTTGTAAAGCCTATTTCAGACTTTTTGATCGATGTTTTCGATTTGGGGTCCTCCAAAAGTTGGATAAGAGGCAGAGCACTCCTTATTCTTTTGCAACAGGTGCTTGGGTCTGCCATTGAAAAGAAGATACGCTCTTCAATGAAAAACATCTTGAATGACGAAGCTATGATTCTAACTGTCATTGGTAACTTAAAGGATACCGTGTTTCCAAACGGGCGGTTCAAAGACCCTCCAATCGTCAGAAGCGAAGCCCTCCAAGAGAAGACTAGAAGTGAAGCAAGAGCTATATTTGAGGTTTATATGGAAGAGACGTGTGGAAAAGTCTTCGGTAATGGCAATACCAAAGTTCGATCCAGAGTGTTGTTCGAATTATTCCAAAATGATTTCATCAACAAACTGCTCATATTTCAGCTTCTAGATCAGCTTGTCAAAGAGTTATTCCCATAATTATATAACGAATTACGAAACCTAATATGCAATTTTGATTATATACAATAAGACTGTATTCCCTCTACTCCTCGTCCTCCTTAGCATGTGCCTGGACATATTCAACAGCAAGCGCCTTGACACGAGCGACTGACTGCTCATTGCCGTTATCCTCCTCGTACTTAAGCCATTTGGCGAAGAAGAACTTGGCTTGTTTACGTGAGAGCTTGACATGTGTGACTCTTTCGAATAAGTCCTCAACATGATCCTTGTTCTCGTTCTTAATTTCCTGGTCAATGTAAACGTTCCACAAGTCGATTCTCTTTGGAGCGTCAGTGACCAAACCTTCAAATAAGGATCTACCCTGCTCGGCATCACCCTTAGTAAATTCAAGCTGTGCAAACTTTCTGACAACTTCGATGTGATCCTTCTTGGGCAATGCCTGCAATGCACGAGCTAACGTTTCGTGGGCACGTTCGCTATCATTCTGATCCATGAGGAAAGATCCGTACTGAACCCAAACACTGGTCTCCTTGCCGAATTTCTTGACCATGGTCTTGAAAAGGTCATCGGCCTTGTCAAACTTCTCAGACAAAACATAAATGCCGATAAGCTTTTGATGCATGGTCAAAGAGTCCATGTATTGTGTAGCTCTCTTGAAAGCCTCGTCAAGAGACTCGTCACTGCCGAAACTGTTTTCCAAGTTAAGAATAGCGATCCAGATGTTCATCTTCTCCAGCTCCTCACGGTAGTTGATGGTCTTGAGAGCTCGCTCAGCAATCTCACGAGACTTTTCAATCTCACCTAGCTGCAACTGGAAAGACATGTAGTTCATCCAGAGAACGGAAGAATCAGGGTTACCGATAAGCATACGCTCGAAGTCAGAGACAGACTCTGGAGCTCTAGCGTTCATCTCGGCGGTTCTGTCCTTGACCTGGTTCTTGCCCTTCTTTCTTCTTCTCTTGTTGGTTTCGGTAAAGTCTTCGTCTTCGTCAGAAGAGCTCTCTTCGTCCTCAGCCTGGTCCAAAATAGACGCAGTCCAGTCAAAACCGTTAGTTGACAAACCGCCTGCAGTAGAAGGAGCTGTAGATGTTGAGCCCTCTTCCTTCTCGGATTCAGAAGACTCGTCCTCATCGTCCTCATCTTCGTCATCGTTAAAAGCATCGCCCATAACTTCATCTTCTGATTCTTCGGCCACTGCATCATTCATATCCTCGTCTTCCACATCGTCAGTGAAGTAAGAGGCCTTCATACCAAGAGAAAGCTGTTTCTTATCGTTATCAATTTTGAGAATCTTGACCTTGACACGGTCGCCTTCTCCGAAAAGTGCAACAACATTTTCAACGGGGGTATCAGCAATCTCTGAGCGGTGACACAATCCGCTCACATTGGAGGTGCCGTCCAACTTAACGAACACACCGAAGTCAGTAACCTTCTTGACAGATCCATCGTAGTTCTCGCCAACTTCCAATTCGTCAAAGGTCTTGAAGCTCGACAAATCACCATTCACTTCACTCTCCTTCAATGTCATGAGAATACGACCCTCAGATTTGCATTGGGAGATCTTACCCGAAACACACTGATGAGGTTTGAAGAACTTTTTCCAGTCTGACAAGTATGCATCGGAGATGTCAGCCACTCTGACCAAAGCGAAAAGCTCTCTGCCGAGAGAGACATAAAGACCGTTCTTGCTGATGGACTTGATAAATCCCTTCACAAGATCGCCTCTCTTGATTTCCTCAAGGGAATTGACAGGCTTGTCCTTGGCAACCTTTTCGTTTCTCAAACTCACGAAAATCTTACCCTCTGAGGTATTGACCTCTTCAACGGTAGCTAGAGCTGCGGTATTGACCTTGAAAACCTCTTCGAGCTTGTGATCGTAGTCATTTAATGCGTCCGTGATGTATGAGTATCCAACGACGCCTTTAGCGAGCTCAACTAACACAAAGTTCTGTGCCACTTTGAAGACCTTGCCGGGGTATTGTTTGCCGACCTTGAGATCCTCAATCGAATTGACAATTTCCTCTCTTGCGTTAAATTCGATCACACGATGCTCGTAGTCAAACAGAGCAATCTTCGCCTTGATGGCGCATCCCACTGGGAATGATTCCTCAAAGTTATAGAAGAGCTTGTTGTCATTCGAAAGGTTGTAAAGTGCAATTTGACCCACAGTTCCTGGCATCAAAGAAACGTTAGCGACACCATGCTCGAATGAGTCCACAAACACAGTGTGTTCGGTGTTGATCTCAAGATCATCGAAACTGACAGGCTTATAAGGGCTTTTAGAGCCAAGAATGCTGGGCAAAACGGATAACTCAATCACTGTTGACGTGGTGAAAGAGGTCACAGGAGAAAACTTCTTGGTAACCAGATCGTAATATCCAATAATCTTGGCTTCCACCTCCTCGCCCTCCTTGAAAACAGCAAGTGGGTTCTTTTTGTTTTTGATGGACTTCCACTTGGAGAACACTTGAGATGCTTCAAGACGACCGAACAAATTATCAGCGAGTTGAACATTGACATAACCAGGTTCAACAGAGGCGACAACACCTTTTGCTGTGGATCCCACGGAGAAGTCAGATGCGGATTTCTTTGTTTTGTCGAGAGGGTTTTTCAAATTGAGTTTCTTGTAACCTTCCTCGTCCATGCCGATAAAGGAGAGGTAGAACCTCTTGTTCTCGTCATCGGTTCTGATAACATTACATGCAACAGATTGATTCTTGTGGAACTTGCTGGAAAGATCAACTGAGGGGTCAGTTGAAACGTTCTTGGCCAAAACCAAACCTGTAAGTCTAGCACCAAAGCTAACAAAGATACCCATGTTAGTTACGGATTTAACAAATCCAGGAATAACGGTACCAACATGAACTTCATCATAGCTGGCTGGGAAAAGTCCGACCTTCGCAGCATTAAGCAACGATTGCTTTGCAGAAGCGATAACAGCTCTTGCTCTGAAATCTTTTTCAAGAATTAAAACGTTGATTTTCTCGCCAACATTAAGAGACTTGTAAATCTTTCTGTTCTCCTCATAAGACCCGTCAGACAAATGATCTGTCGAGATAACACCTCTCAAGTTGGACTCATCCAACTCAATGATAATTGCCTCTTTAGTCTTCTCCACAACAATGGCATCGGCGATAGTTTTACCAACCTCGACTTCTTCAAGGTGTCTCATCTGATTGTTGGTTAACTCTGCAGATTGACGCAAAGTCACCGTAATCTTGTTGTCATCTTTGTTGAAATTGAGTATTCTGACGTTGACAGCTTGGCCCTCCTTGAGGTAATCCTTGGCGTTCTCCACAAAGGTCTCGGAAATTTCATTCTTCGGTAAGTATGCTTTCAAATTTCCAAAGAAGGAAACAAGGACACCAGAGCCAATGAATTTCTCGACCACACCCGTAGTCTTAAAACCTATACTGAGGTCGTCGTAGCTCTTCACGATAGTCTCATCCTCCATGTTGACAAGACTCTTTCTAATGGTGGCAAATAGCTTCTTTCCGGATGCTGCTAGTATTCTGGCTTTGACTTTACCGCCAACTCTGAATTTACGTTCTGGGAACATAAGTTTCGAGTCAGAAATGTGAGTAGGTGGAACAAATGCTTCGAAATCACCAAAAACCTTTACCACAATACCTCTAGAATCAGGAAGGACATTGACCACCTCCGCAGCAGAGACGAGTTCACCGACTGGGATGTCCTCGGTAGAGACAAACTGTGACTCAATGGCTTTTGGTTTGAACGTCAAAATTAAAACGTTGTCAATCTCGTTGAACCCTAGCACACGAGCTTTGTGTTTCGATCCAACGTTGTAATGCTTTCTTATGTCTAAATCAGGGTCAACATTAGACTTGTGGACCTGTCCTGCGAAGCCTCCCACGCTGACGTAGAAGTAGTCCTTGTCGGAACCAGAAACCTCGACACCTTCTTGGAAAACAAACCCTATAGGGAAAGCCTCCAATGGCTCCTTGTTGAGAGTGGGTTGCAATGACATGAGTCTATCCGACTTTGACAAAAGGAACTTTTTAGCACCTTCAGAGAACACAGTTCCGAGGATTCTGGCTCTCACGGTTCCACCAATAGGATAGTGGTTCTTGAGCTTCTCAACAGAGAATTCTTGGGCATGCGGGAGTGAGAATGAAGCGTCAACCATACCGAAAAGCCTAGCACCCACACCGTTTTCACTGATTTCTGTGACGATGGCATTGACGACGGTACCGGGGTGAACAGCATCGATGGAACTGATTACAGACACAACTGTCTTCTTCGTCACCGGTTCGTTGGAGGCCGGCTTCATGGTTACTGTTCTGGATGATAGACTGACAATTGAACCTAAGAGAACTTGGCCCACTTTGAGAGAGGAGATGGGTATTTCGGCCTTCTTCAACTCCTTCTTAGACATGAAACCAACAAATTTCTCGACTCCGGTGGAAAGAACGACACCGTGGTCTTCGATCGATTTGACAGAGGCCTGTAAGAAATTACCAGGAGTCAAATCGTCCTCCTCAATAGAGGAATTAACAGTCTTTGGTTCAAGCGAAAGTGAAATGCGTTTGTTCTCGCTGCTTGGGATGACAACAGCACGAACCCATTGGCCAATGTTGAAGATCTTGTCTAACTTGGGCAACTCAGACTTGACACTAAGACCTTGCGTCTGGTTCTCGTCGTCACTTTCATCGTCACTCGAATCCTCCATGGCGTTCTCATACTTATCGATCATCTCAGAAATCTCCGGACTCATGTGTGTGATTGGAACTTGGCCAAACAAGTTGTCTCCGATAGAAACTGTGAGATCCATCTTGTCAATTCTAACGATCTGGCCCAAGATCTCGGCGCCAGGAAGCAAGTTTCTGAAAGTAAAGTGCTCTATTTCGATCTCCTTCTCGTTGTCATTAGCCGATTCATCCTCAGACTTCTTCTTTTTGCTCTTCTTCTTCTTTTTGGGTGCCTCGATGGCATCTGGGGCAGCTCTTTTGGAGCCTTTGGCCTGTTCAAAAAGAACATCCTCAGTGGCCTTGTTGGAAATTGTCTTCATTTCCAAAGGAGTCAAGACCGAGGCCCCACCTCTAGGGAACGCAACCTCCGAACTGCTTAAAGCAGACTTGTTACGTGTTGGTTCGTCCATAATGCAAGGTAAAGTCTAGAGAACGAATTTTTTGAGATGCCTCTTCTCATCGCACTATCGTGGGTACTGCAGTCCATGCAGGTCGTTGACAAGGCTCCAACACGAGGGAGACCAATACCTGAAAAAATGGCTGTTTATGATATTTTACGATCCGATTGAATTTATTTTTTTAACGTAGCGAATTATGTAATATGATTTGGGTTGTTTCGATTGAGAGATGTTCCGTACCACAGAGCACTAATCCTTACTTACCTGTATTTGCAGCCATTCTGCAACTGCTCCCCAAGCTCCCGTTCACCTCTTCTTTCTGTTTCCTTTCTTTGGCTTCATCACCACCTGGCCTTCAGTGACCTCTGCGGGTTGATCTTTAAACTTTGCTTGGGCCTCCAAGTAGAACATGAGATCCTTCACTTGTTCATTGAGATCCTCGTTGGACAGCTTGAGCTCCTGGTTTTCTTTTGTAAGAAAATCTACCTTTGCAGAAAGGCCTTCATTCAACGTGTTTGCTTCTGCAAGTTCGTTGGCCGCAATTCGTAGCGACTTCGTCTTCAAGTCGATCTTCAGATTTAACGCTGGGATCACATTTGTGGAGAGCTTTTTGAGCTGCTCGCTGAGCTCATCAACCTTGGACTCCAACTCTTTATGTTTTGTAGAGCTTGTTTCAGAGACAATCGAATTGTTTCGAGGATGCCCATTTTGGCCCCTGTCGTGAAGCAATAACTCGTAGTATTCTCGTTGACTTATGAGTTGGCTAAGAAGCAACTCAGAGTATTCTTCGTTATCATCATCTTTCGTCTGTTTCGGATCGTCCCCCTTTTCAGGTAGCTCCACGATCTTTCCGTCCTCCTCCGTTGTGACTAAACGGTGGACATATCTATCACCGGCATAATCCCAGATTCGAGACGTGTGAAGCTCCATAGCAAAGCAATGCCCAGTCTCGACAAAGTGCTTGAGTGAATGCTGTTCGGGGGCGTATCTATCGCAACCAATATTACCACATACCAAACAGACCCACAAATTGGTAGTAGCCAGGCAGTCCATACAGACATCGGCAGAACCGGTACTACTCGAGCCCTCCTCGGCCCCATGCTGCATCTGCATTCTAGAATTGATTTGCTGTAGTCTTCCCACAGTCCGTTTGATGTTTTGGTTCAGTACACCGTTGGTGTATCGGCATATCGGGCAAGTATCGTCGCTCCATTTCGATAGACAATTGCTGTGGAATGTGTGTTGGCATGGAATCGTGAGGAGGCCTGAAATTTCATAATCAAGCCTTTCAAGACACACTGGGCAAGTTGGGAGCTCTATTGGGGTGAACTTTTCATCTGGCAGTGTCGTGAAAGGATCCTCCAACAAAAATGGAATAAGCGTGTCTTTCGCTGGGACATCGTGCGGTTCAGTGCTTTCAACCGATTTGACATATACGACGTGACACGCCTCGGGCTCCATCGAATTGAATGCCTTGCCGTCAAAATGGTACTGGAACTCAGCAGCTTTTAGGGCGTCTTTGAACTTGAGAAGAACCAAAAAGCGATTGGCCTTTTCACTTCTTAGGATTCGTATATGGGTGATGTTCTCCATGTAGTGGTCACCAATAAACCCTAGAAGGTCGGTAGCTGTGAAGTATGTGGGAAGGGCTAAGATCGAGAGCATTGTCTGATCGCTGGTGCTGGAGACCACAGACTTCGATGGTGGGTCTTCGTCATCTTCGAAATCTCTGTAAAGCTTGATTACACCCTCCCCTAGTTGCCTGGCTCTGAGAGGCTCGTTAGGTGAAGCATCAGCTTGCATTGTGGGAGGATCTATGCTCACGACAGTGATAGGCGAGTAACGGTAATCGATGAACTTTGTGGTCGAGTCTGTTGATGGATGGGAGTCTCTGCTTGTTGTAAAATCTAGAAGAATACGATAAAAGTCTGTGCCGACCATAGGTCAATAACAAGAAACGCTGTAGGGCTCAATGGTAGGAAGTCAGGATCCATGCCGGACTGATAACGGAGTTCGCTTGAAGACTTCACAGCAAAACCTACAAATATTATTTGTCAAAATCAAGATAATTTCAATTCATCGTTAGTGAAAGCCGTGCAAAAATCATCATCTTTATATGAACTTTCCGCTCGTTCGTACAATGTGTATCAATACATCTCTCACAACAGCCGATTTCTCGGAATGCTGAATCCTGATGATATCTCCAACCACTATATCTATGGAAAGCTTGTATTTCTAAGCATCTGCAAAGTAGATGCGATTTACCTGTCGAGGCCAAACTTGGCTTTGTCGAATTCCTCGATGCTATCGAGAATCTCTCCACCTTCACCAATAATGCCCTTTTCTTTACCGTTGAGCTCCTTGAGAGCACAAGGATGTGGGATCCAAATCACGTATCCATTGGCATTCTTACCAGAGACAACACCTGGAATTCCATCCTCGAAGATCAAACACTCCTCGATCTTGATTGTCTCGAGACCTTTCTTTTCTCTGGCGTCGTTAATGCTTTTCAAGCACGCATACCAAATATCTGGCTTGGGTTTACCACAGCCAGGGGGAATTCTAGAGTCATCACCAGTCACAATATGTCCGTCAAAGAGGCTAAAGCCGTGCTCAAGGTGAGCGGTCTTCTTCTCGTAGTTTGCGGTATTTGAACTGGTGGCCAAACCAATAGGAACGTTATGTTTCTTTAAGTATTCGAGCAACTCTAAAGCACCTGGCAAGAAGGCTGAACGGTCCCATTTGGTCTCTTGTACCTCATACAGCTTTCTCATAAACTCCTCTCTGGTAACAGGCAATTCGAAAAAGTCAACAACTCTTTGAGCAGCTTCGGGACCAGGTCTCCCCTGCAAATCGATTTTGATATCCCATGTCAAAGGGCCTTTGCCATAGAGAGCAAGAGCCTCAGTGGCTGCCTCAGTGTAGATGTCCTCCGTGTTGATAAGAGTACCATCCATGTCTGTTGTTAGTTATTAGCTAAAATGATTTCAATCACAGCATTTACATACCAAAGAGACAGGCCTTAATAGTTCTGGAGCCTTTCGTCATGATGAGGTTGAATATAATGAGTCAATGTCTATCGAAAAATACGCCATCGCGTTCCCCAGATTTTCGTATTCCGCGCTTCATCCGAGACTACTCAACCTCGTCTACAATCATTATCGTAATGCCAATGTATTGAATTTAAAATAAGCGATCCATAGACCTATAATGGGGCGTTCTTGAACAAGTATGAAATGCTCTCACCGTTGTGGAGTCTTCTGATGGCCTCAGCCAACACGGCACTCACATCGATGGTATCTAGCTTAGGGCACTGAGATACCTTGTCCTCAAAAGGCACTGTATTCGTACAAACAATGGCCTTAAGTTTCGAGTTGTTGATGTTCTTGATGGCGTTACCTGAGAGAATACCGTGGGTCACAATGGCAATAACCTCCTTGGCCTTGTTCTCTAGAAGCACCTCAGCAGCCTTGGCCAACGTGCCACATGTGTCGGCCATATCGTCCACAATAATACAGATCTTGTCATCCACGTCACCGACGAGCACCATCTTGGAAACCTCGTTGGCTCTAGCACGCTCCTTGTGGATCAAGGCAAAGTTCAAGTCTAGGGTGTCAGCCAAACCAGCAGCTCTCTTGGCTCCTCCGGCATCTGGGGAGATGATGATAGCCTGGGGTAGTTGACCTTCTCCTTGATGTATCTCACCACACTAGGTTCAGCGTACAAGTTATCAACAGGCACGTCAAAGAAACCCTGGATCTGGGAAGCGTGCAAGTCCATGGTGATAACGTGATTGCAGCCGGCGGTGGTCAACATGTCTGCCATGAGCTTAGCAGTGATAGGAGCTCTGGACTTATCCTTTCTGTCCTGTCTGGCATAAGGGAAATTAGGGAGAATGACGGTGATTCTTCTGGCACTGGCCGTCTTACAGGCGTTGATCATTATAAGAAGCTCCAAAACACGGTCATTAACCTCACCTGAGCCGATTTGACAGATAATGAAAATGTCCTCATCTCTGACACTCTCTCCGATGCTGAAAGTGACTTCACCACTCAGGTCTCTCTTCAACTCACTGGGAGAAAGTTTGAGACCCAACCTTCTGGCAACGAGTTCAGCGAGTCCGCGGTGAACATCACTGGCCAAAAGTTTTATGGAATTGCTGGACATTTATTATGTATGCGTAGCCAAACAAGGGAAACGGTCCTGAGATGAGATGGAAAAATAAGCTGGGTGCGATAATCCAATAGTTCGTGTGTAAAAGAGGCAGGTTGCGCACCTCATTTAGCGATTACCAGAAGAGTCAGATACCGGACAGTTACACTGCAATTGTTTTCCAACGTGGTGTGGTGATTTCGTAAATATTATGTGATTGTCTGGTCGATCTATATGAGGCATATGCGTTGCGGTCGTTGTTGAAGAAGTAATACTAGAAGAGATCCTGAAGATCACCGTAGTCCTCATTCTCCATATCCTGATCATCGTCCTCCTGAGGAGCATTTTCACTGGTCGCTCTGCTCTCCAGTCCTTCCTTGGCCTCTGGAGGTGGTTGGCTTCTCTTTGTGTCGTCATTTTCACCTTCGTCTTCGTCTTCCTCCTCCTCGTCTTCCTCGTCTTCCTCTTCACCCTCAGCTTCGGGCTGGCGTGGAGGCTCTGGTGGCTGCTGCTTTTGTTGTTGCTCTTTAATTTTCGATAACTCACGCTTCTTTTGATCGAGCTGTGCCTTCAAGTTGTTGAACGCAGACTGGAACTTCATTCTCATCATCTTGTAACTAGCGGTCGACAAAAGCTTCTTTTGCTTGTCGGCAGCCTTTTCTAGGTCACCTATTTCTTCTTCAAGCTTCTTGACCTTGTTCATGTCTTCCTTCAGTGTGCCGTCTCCAGCGTCTTCTTCTTCCTCCTCTTCCTCCTCTTCCTCTTCTTCGTCGTCATCTTCGTCCTCGTCCTCGCCACCAGCCTGTCCTGCAGTTGCTTCATCATCACTTGCTTCTTCTTCGTTGTACTCAGACTTCATAAGCACTGTGGCTGCGGTGTTATTTGAGGTAGAGTCAAGAGCCTCCGCCAATTCTTGTTCAAGAGCGTTGTCAATGTCAGCTTCGAGATCAACCTCCATTTGCTGCTCTTGTTGTTCGAATTCATAATCTTCAGCTTCACGAGGTGAAAATACGCGTGCGGAAGGTGTAGATGGCATGGAATGTGTTGGTGTTGCAGAACGACTGTGAGAAGCACCGACTCTAGCCTGAGCCTTGGGGTCAACATATTCATAGTGACTCTCCTGTGCCTCCGCGTCTCTTTTAACAAGCTCATCAACTCGAGCCTCGACATCTTGCATTATACGATGGTTGACTTTGCGAGGTTTGAACCGTCGATACACATCCTCGTATGCATATGCCAAACCGTTGCGGTATACTGTCTTGGAGTTTCTTATCTCCTTGTTTGTAGAAAGGTCATAAATAGGGTGTGTGTAAGTCTGAGTCTCGGGACCTCGAAGTCCTGCTCCATATTAAGCTGTTTGGGGTTGATAGGATGCAATACTAGGAGAACCTGACTGATGTCAATTGTTTTGAAGATGTTCTTCTTGTCAACCGTTTTGTAAATTTCCGTGAGTGTGGGCAAGTCAACGAGTCTCGCGGAGTATAACGTCAGATTGACATTTATGACGGCCTTGTCTCTGGTGATCCACTTGATATTTACATTTGAAAGATCGCCTGTTTCGACTGCATTGTGAACAAAATCAAGATTGGAGTCATCTAGAAACCGCACGACGATACCCTGTTCTATTAGAGGGTCATCCTCGACATCTGGGGCTTCTGAGTCGTAACCTTCACCAGGGATTCTCGTAGGCTTGATTCTCACTTTTGGGGTTTTCTTTATCGTAGGTCTGGGCTGTGGCGGTGGTACTGATGATGATGGAGTTGCGCTTTCTGGCAGACCCAGCTTACCTAGACTGAGCTTCAATTTCTTTAGCTTCTCTTTCTTATGTTTGGGTTTTGAGATTCTGTCGCTGGATTCATGTTTCACCTTTCTCGATGGCCTAGGTGGCGAGCGGTGCTGCTCTTGAGCAGGCGCCTCCATCTCTGGAGAGTTGGAAGGCTTGACCTTCAATTTAAGCTTGAGGGCCATGGTGCTGCTTAAAGAAGGTGTTCGAGCGTTCAAGTGAGAAGTGTGTGTTGCATATAATCTCTGAAAGCTGCTAACGAGCACCACCTTCAAGATTAAAACCTGCCACCACAAACATGCCGGCTATGTTCTAGAAAGGCTTTTAATTTTGTCTACAAGTATTGGGACGTCTTCCATCCCCGGAATTCTTCCCCTGGAGGAAAGCCACATATCACAGGTCACGTGCTCTCCCCCATGACTTTTCGTAGATATATTAAATCATGTTTTCCAAATTTTAAGCTATGGTCCAGTGTCGCTATACTCCCGCTAGTCTGTCTACTCGAGGAGACTCATCCACTTATTGAGTCGTTGTCCCCACAGTCAATGTTGGATACTGCATGTTTCTAAGGTAGTCTCAAACTAAGGCTCTTCTTGCGCCAAGAAAGAAGTCCTCGTGGAAAAATATATAAGATTACATAGCTTAGTCCTGGCATACCATCATTAGCCCTCTACCATACGTCGGGTAGCTCCCATATACAGCTTGCTCCCTGCAAGTCAACCAGTTTCCTTTCAGTCAAAGGTGCTCACGTGTTTTTCCTCACGTGAATGACCAGATTCGACAACCAAATGTCGAGTGAACCCGTCTAATTAAGTGAAAAGCTTGAAATGTCCATGTTTGTTATGTGAGAATAAAATTCACTTCAATCTCAACTTGATAAAAGAGATTGCGAACATGGGCAGACTCTTCAACATGCCATGACCACTTCAAGTGCCTAGTGAAGAAGTCAGTGAAGCTTGGTGTAAAGCATCTGTAGAAAATATCCACCTGAATCATAGGTATCTGTCGTTGACCTGACCAAAAAGTTAAATTTCTGTAGCTGTTGTTGTTTTTTGACTTTCTCATACATGAATGGAATCATCACTTTTCGCAGCCATTATTCCAAGGTCTCAAGAGAACGCAAAACATGGTTGCAACAAGATATCTTTGTTTTATATGATAAACAAAACTTGATGATACTAGGTCTCAGAGCTTCAGATTGAATCCAAAGTTTATGTCAATCTGATAGTTTCAGAACCACAAGCGGAATTACCACACCTATTGCTTTCAATCTAACTCTGCACTCAAAAACTCCAAACCACCGAAAACCCATACAGAAGCCAATAAATGTCATGAGCCAGCACCTCTCCACATGGTAGATATAAATTTGAAATTTTTTTTGCAATCTCCCCCACATTCTTTCGGCAATCTCTCTCAGCCGTCCGATACTGTGTACTATAGCCAGTCTCGCTTATCAGTGAAAAGTTTCCATTGCTATTAGTGCAGAACTCCATCTACTCACAAAGTGCCGCCAAAATTCACTTATGACAAGGGACTCGTTCAGCTCTAGCCGCAGGCGTCCTTCGTTCGGAAGAAGGAGGTCCCGTCAGGGCAGTGTACTGTCCACGGAATCCTCAGCCTTGCTAGAGGAGAACAACCATGAGATGTTCTCTGGTGCTACCAGTGAGAACATTCCATCGTCAATTTCGTCGATGCACTTTGCGCATCGCTTTGGAGGTCGTCGTACTTCTTTGGCTCCAGATGTGCTGAGAGAGACCTCCCCTTTGTTAGCAGGTCGTGATCAGATGCGGCAGTCTACAGACACAGACTTGCGTTCGGTGACTTCTGTGTTTACGGCAGACTCTACAGACACCCAAGGCGTCAATTTTAGATTTTTTTCGCCGGACCAGATTGAGTCTGCTCCAGGAGGATCAACCCTTGAGAACCCTGATGATCCAATCGACTACAACACAAATTGGGAATACTCTATGGATAAATATCCCGAAGATGATGAAAGTGAAGCAGGCTCCAAGAGACCGCTGTTTTCCAGATCACGTCGCTCTGCATTGTCCACTCACTTCTTCGACCAAGCTGGCGCCTCGCAAGCTTTTGGCGACGGTGGAAGAAGACCCCGATCATTAGAACAGCGTCCACACCATGAATCTGATAACGACAGTAGCTACGGCTCCTTTATTGAAGACCGCTATCGCCGCAGAAGTTCTGTTTCTAGTGGACGAAGCCGTTCCATGGACGAGCTGACATCCGACCACCTGGATGCCGAGACTCAAGCATACTTTGAAGAGTTCAACCCTAGAGCAAAATACCAGCGTTACTATCTTGCAGAGGAGGACATTGTCATTGGTATCGCGGGTTACGTTGACTGCTGGTGGAAGCAAGTGATATACTACTTCATTTGTATTTTCACGTTTGGTATTGGCTTCCTTTTACTCCGCTGGTTCCCTCGCTATAGAATCAACCTCCTTGGAAACCAGCGTCCTCTCGGAAAAGCCGACTGGTGCGTTATAGAGAATGAGTTTGGTGAGCTTACAATCGTTGAAGTTTCCAAAATGCGCCTCAATGAGCGTCTCTCACATTTCTTGACTGTGAATCAGTCGTCCGGAGATGAAGAGGAACATGATTTTGCCGAAATCAGCAAGGAGGCCAATCCTGTTATACCTTTCGTTCTGTCGTTCGAATACCGTTATATCAAGTTTTTTTACAACCCAGTGGACGATATTTACAAGACCAACTCCAATTGGTACGACATTCATTGGCTCAACATCAAAAATTTACGTGAAGGTTGTTCCCAGCAGCTTTACGAACAAAGGACGGAAATCTTTGGGGATAATAGTATTCAAATCCAAGAAAAAAGTATTGGACAATTGCTTCTCGATGAAGTTCTTCACCCATTTTACGTTTTTCAGGTCTTCTCCATCATTTTGTGGTGTGCAGATGAATACTTTTACTACGCTTCTTGCATTTTCATCATCTCGTTTATTTCGATTATCAACTCTTTGATTGAAACAAAAGCAACCATTAGCCGTCTTCAACAAATCAGTCAGTTCTCTTGTGAAGTGAGAGTTTGGAGGAACGGCTTTTGGAATAAAATCGACTCCAATGATTTGGTACCTGGTGATGTATTTGAAGTTGACCCTTCATTGACCTTCCTTCCGTGTGACGCTCTTCTCATCAACGGTGAATGTGTGGTAAACGAATCCATGCTTACCGGTGAGAGTGTGCCGGTTACCAAGTCGGTTGCTTCCTCTGAAACAGTACAGTACTTGGTGGAAAGTTTCACCCACTCAGTTTTGGCAAGATCATATCTTTACAGCGGAACTAAGCTTCTCAAGACCAAATCCCTGAATGATGAGCCTGCTCTTGGTATGGCATTGAAAACCGGCTTTAACACTACCAAGGGCTCTCTTGTTAGATCCATGTTGTTCCCTAAACCAACTGGCTTTAAATTGTACGAGGATGCATTCAAGTACATTGGTTTCATGACATTGATTGCATGTATTGGGTTCATCTACTCCACCTACAATTTTATCCAATTGGGTCTCTCGAAACGAATTATGATTTTGAGAGCACTCGACATCATCACCATTGTCGTGCCTCCTGCCCTTCCTGCTACCTTGACAATCGGCACAACATTTGCAATTAACCGTCTCAAGAGCAAACTGATCTACTGCACTGCCCCAACTAGAGTCAATATTGGTGGAAAGCTTGATGTGGTTTGTTTTGATAAAACAGGAACACTTACCGAGGACGGGTTGGATGTGTTGGGCGTACATGCCACAAAGAACGCCGAGGGCAGAAAGGAGATCATTTTCGAAGAAATAATCGACAATGTGGGAACACTTGTTGAGAGAGGAAAGCAATCAACGCAATATGATGTTCAAAGTGGCCACTTTCTTCTCGGCTGTATGGCCTCTTGCCACTCGCTTCGTCTTATCGACAATGAACTTATCGGAGATCCTCTTGACATGAAGATGTTTGAATTCACCAATTGGGGGTACACGGAAGAGTTCGAGGGAACCTCAATGCCAGTTGTGTATGAGAGTGCTGGCTCTGAAGCGTTTGGATACAAAATTCTCAAGGAGTTCGAGTTCATTGCTGCTCTCAGAAGAATGTCGGTGGTGGTGGAAAAGAACAACGCCCAGCTGGTCTTCGTCAAAGGTGCTCCTGAAGTGATGTTTGATATTTGTGATCCTACTACCATTCCAGCTGACTACGAGGATTTGCTTCACGGATACACTCACAGTGGTTTAAGAGTTATTGCATGTGCTCACAAGGCGTTGGGCAAGAACGAGGATCATCTGAGCATCACCAGGGAAGACGCCGAGTCCAACCTCGAATTCGGCGGCTTCATTATCTTTGAGAACAAGTTGAAACCAACGACCAAGACCACCTTGAACGAGTTGAAGGAAGCATCGATCAGAACCATCATGTGCACTGGTGACAATGTCTTAACGGCAGTAAGTGTGGGGCGTGAGTGTGAGCTTATTGATCCATCTGTATCGCAAGTATATGTTGCAAGAGTCGCCAGCGATGAGGAATTCGAAAGCACTGGGTCGACCGGGCTTATTTGGGAAGATATTCACGACTCCTCACACAAGCTTGACCCTGTTACTTTGCAACGCATCAGCACCGACATCAGAGACGATGTTCACGAGTACGTGCTTGCACTCACAGGTGACATTTTCCGGTATGTTTTGGTGGAATTGCAGAATGACCGGTTGAAGGAGACTATCTTGATGAAGTGTGATATTTTTGCACGTATGTCGCCTGACGAGAAGCACGAGTTGGTTGAACAGCTTAAGAAGATTGACTATACCGTCGGTTTCTGCGGTGATGGTGCCAACGACTGCGGAGCTCTTAAGGCAGCTGATGTGGGAATTTCGTTGAGTGAAGCCGAGGCTTCCGTGGCAGCTCCATTCACATCGAGAGTGTTTGAAATTTCGTGTGTGCCAGATGTTATCAAAGAAGGCCGGTCGTCGTTGGTGACGAGTTTTGCTTGCTTCAAGTACATGTCGTTGTATTCGGCCATTCAGTTCATCACCGTGTCGATCTTGTACAAGATGGGCACGAACTTGGGCGATTTCCAGTTTTTATACATTGACTTGTTTTTGATTTTGCCGTTGGCGATTTTCATGTCGTGGTCGAAGCCCTTTGGGCGTCTTTCCGTACGCAAGCCTACGGCGAATTTGGTGAGTCCAAAAGTGTTGATGCCGCTCATTTGTCACATTGGGGTGATCTTCATTTTCCAAGTCAGCATCTGGCGTTCAGTCAAAAAAGAGCCTTGGTACGTGAAGCCCGTGCCTTCCAACGACGACGAAAACGTCAAGTCGTCCGACAACACTGTGCTTTTCTTGTTTACGAATTTCCAGTACATTCTCAACTCAATGGTGCTCAGCTCGGGACCTCCATACCGGGAGCTGGTGTACAAGAACCGGCCGTTTTTAGCCAACCTCGTTGCAGCACTAAGCCTCCTGTTGTTCCTCTTCACGATTGAAGAGGATTCGTGGGGAGGGCGCTTGATGCAGTTGACCAACATGCTGGGCACCGCCTACCTACGGATTGTGGTGTATGCGGCATTGAACTACGTGCTTATGAAATATGGCGAGGAGCGGTGGTTCCAAAAAGTGGCTTGGACATACAAGAGGGTGTTCCGGCGGAGCCTGCTTGGCATGTCGAAAAAGCGGTACAAAAACCTCAAAGTCGAGTTCGTGCGGGTGGTTTAACAATACGCAGACAATACCGGCGGGGCCAATGGTGAGGGCTGTGAGGGTGCGGTGAGGGTGCGGTGAGGGTGACAGGTGAGGGTGAATAAGAAACTGGTGAGGGTTGCCAGAGGTGGGGGCGGCAACGCAGCTAAGCAGTGGGGGCCGGGCTGGCGCGAAAAAGTCCGATGCCGAGTGGGGCCGACCCAAGCAAGCACCTAGTAAGGGAATGGAGCAAGGGATGATTCGAGCAAAGCCGACCTTTTCCCAACAGAGAATTTTAAGAAAAATGGTGGCTACCACCGTGGAGAAAAGAAGGCCGGTGCGGCTCGCCGTTTCGGTCGATGCTGCGACTGGCCACTTCCCAGTGAAAAGTCCGGTGTGGGTTTTTCGCCTGGGCATCCAAAAATATTTTGGTGGAACTTTTGCAAGGCTAGGGTGCCCTCCCAAAAAATATTAACTTTCACCCGCCCGTGAGGCTCATAATCTCCTGAAAGCCAACAATATACGAAGAAAACCCTTTTGGAATCCCGGTGGGGCTGCGGAATCACTTGGTTCCCCACAGGGCTCCGATGGCTGCAAGAAAGCTTTTGGCACTCGCCGAGCCTGCGGTGCAGCACCACACGAGAAAGCCTCACTGCTGTACTTAAATGGAGCCATCGCCTGGTGATTGCAGACACCTCATATTTTTTTTTTGCAACCACTGCAACTGCAACATCGACTGTCCACTGCCTGTCCACGTCGCCTTTTTTTTTCTGCCAAGGCTATCATCACCCCATCGCAACATCAGCAGTTCACCACCACTTACACCACTTTAGATCGGGAAATATTCAACCATGTCTTCTCAAAGTCTGCACTCGTATAAAGAGACCAATTCCCTCGAGACTCCCGTGGGCAAAATCCACACTCTGGGCGACGGCAACGAATTCGTCACTATTGGCAAAAACCGCTTCTACCGCCACGAGTTGATGCAAGCCTTTGGCGGCACCTTGAATCCCGGTTTGACTCCTTATCCAAAACACCAGTTTGCGAACCCCTCCCCCTTGGGGCTTTGCGGGTTCGCCTTGACCACTTTCTGTCTTTCCATGTACAACGCCCAGGCCATGGGCATCGAGGTCCCTAACGTGGTTGTCGGATTGGCATGCTTTTACGGCGGTTTTGCCCAGTTCTGCGCAGGTATCTGGGAAGGATTCGTCGGGAACACCTTTGCCTTGTGCGCTCTTACCAGTTACGGTGCCTTCTGGTTGTCCTACGCTGCTATTCAGGTCCCAGCTTTCGGTGTCGCTGCTGCCTACGAAGGCACGGATCAAATGCACCTGGCTGTGGGCTTCTTCTTATTGGGCTGGTCTCTCTTCACATTCATGTTGTTCTTATGCACCCTCAAGTCCACGCTTGCCTTCCTGTCGTTGTTCTTCATGTTGACCATCACCTTCATTTTGTTATGTATTGGTGACTTCACTTCGAAAGTTGGTGTCACCCGTGCCGGCGGTGTCTGCGGTGTCATTACTGCCTTCATTGCCTTCTACAATGCCTTTGGCGGTGTGGCCAACAAGCAAAACTCCTACTTTGGTGTCAAGGCGATTCCCTTGACCAGAAGTTAGGTCCTCAAAAAAACCTTAATTATTTATCCTAATCCCGGGTGATTCCGAAGTGGAGTCACCACAGCTATATTTATGCAACGAGAAATGTATCTTATCCCGCCTTGTAGACTGCCCCGCCTACGAATTCTCATTCCATTAACAACCAAGTCGATCCATCTGACTCCGACCGCATGTACCACAGCTCGCCTGGCCACGCCCAACTTTTTCATGCACTGCAATTGAAATATTACCAAAAATTTTCAATCATCGACGTCTTCACCAACTGCCTTTGGCTCCTAGTATTGTCATGATGACACCTTCTCTGCATTGTGACCCCACGTGCGTAGTGCATGAGGAATGCTAATGCGATTAATATCTTCGATACCTCCACCACTCATCACCAACTACAACACCCCTTATGTCCTCGTCCAACAAGAGAATAGCCTTGCTTGCACGTGTGGAGCCAAAGGTCTTCTTTGCCAATGAGCGTACTTTCTTGTCCTGGCTCAACTTCACCGTCATCTTGGGCTCCCTTGGTGTCGGTTTATTGAACTTTGGTGACCAGATCGGTCGTGTGTCTGCTGGCTTGTTCACATTCATTGCCATGTTGACCATGGTTTACGCCTTGGTCACGTACCACTGGAGAGCCAAGGCGATCCGTATGAGAGGCTCCGGGCCTTACGATGACCGTTTCGGGCCTACCATGTTGTGCATTTTCCTTCTAGTTGCCGTGGTGGTGAACTTTATCTTGAGAATAAGGGCCTAAGCCCAAGCCGGAGAATCGGCGCCTTCATTGGAGCTACAGGGTGCTCCACTGGGATATCACAGCGTGGGGTTGCTATCGCCATGACAGGAAGAGTCGGCAGTAGACCTGCTGAGACTTTGATATTTAGCATCTGAGACTGCAATAAAAGCACTAAAGTCTGAAAACACGCGGCGTCTAGTCGTTGTAGTACGTTCTCTTGAGATGTCTGTATCTCCGTAGAAAGTAGAGTGCTTCGAGCTCTGCCGTTAGTAAACAATTGATACAATACTCCCCGATTTACATACCCTTTATGATATATTCGCCCTTCTTGAGAGCTTGAGTGAGATCCTCTTCTGAATTGACGGGGGTCTTGCGGAAGGCTCCCTTGAGACTGTTGCTAAATTTCGAGTACCCTCCTGACTCAATTGGATAGTCCTTGCCCATATATAGGAGCTGCTTGAATAGCAGTCTCACCTTGGGATTCATCCTTGCTTGATTCACAAGATCGCTTGTCGTTGTCCTATCGAAATCAGCAAGTAGGTAGAGTATATGATGTATTCGGCGCGCCATATATGCGTTGGATCAAGATGACGTAGACCAGCAATGCCACAATACGATACTACAGTAAATCTTCTTTTCAACAAGCGATCCCCAAAAGAGCCATTGGGGAATCGATGATAATTGTGCATAAATATGGGCTACTACGATGAATCACCTTTTCACGCTCCTACGATGTATGCTGGCCAGTTTATGTAGCGGGCCTTAAAGAATTCATATTTTTGCCCAATGATCGAAGCGACCCGTTAAGAGATTTGAATCAATTTATATATATCTTCAACATCACTCTGCACTTGCTTTTTGATGTGCACCGGCTTCGTAACTGGTAAGTGTATGAACCCCGCGAAAGTGATAGACAACTACTACCTTCATGTCCATGTCCTCATCCACCACGGCAGCTGGGTATTCCACCCCGAAAGCCGTTTGTGTCTTTCTTGTCAAATTTGATAAGAGACAAGGTTATGAATTAGCATGGTCCAAGTCGTCGAACGATTTTTCCCTCCAAGGATTGGAGTATAAGGCGTTTCCATCAGGCATCCACTCATATGAGGAAAACACTGTCTACCTTTGCCAGGAGCATAAGGCAACCAAATACTATGGTCTCTCTCGCTTCAGACAACTCAATCAAAATCTGGGCTCGGATAACGACAGGAGCAAAATAAAAATGTACTCCCTAGGTATCTTCATGGAACCATTGAAGAACCAGTGGCAGCCCAACAATTGCGGCAACATTGGCTGGGAGCACCTCGATGCCATTGACGAAACGCTTTTAGCATTTTTGAAAGATGAAAAGACAGAGTTGTTGGAGGAATTGTACAACAAGGTAACCGGAAGCGGCCATTTGGACGTGAGGAAGACTCCAACGAACCCGATTGAACACCATCCGCTTTTCAAGCTTCCTACTATTCTTTCAGCTGTGGGACCACTAATTTTCCCTATCTTCAAAGCGGCATTGTTGCGTAAGCGAATCCTTATTATCAACCATTCATCTCAAAGTGGAGATTTATTGCATGAAGGGAACAACAGAGACTACGCTACAGTGGGTGCATTGGTGTATTTGATCACAGTGATTTCAGCAATTCCACAAGATGTCATAGGTAATTTCGGGGACAAACTGTTTTCTAAAGCACTCTATACGATTGGTCTTCCGGATCTCGATTCTCTGGCACTCGGGCAACCAGGGTTTCTAGGGTCTACAAGTGACGAGATCTTGAAGCTACAAAAAAACTTATATGATCTTGCTGTCTTGATGCCGACCTCCGATCTCGATCTGTGTGAGGTTGCAGCAGATGATTCACCGCAAAAGGCCACTTTCAATGACTATACAAAATTCCTCAAACTTTTCAAAAAGCTTCCACTGGTTAATGGAACTTCGAGCAACGACGATCTGTCGTCAATTCGGACATCTACATCTTTCCTCTCGGCCCTCAGGATTGGTAGCGCAGAAGACACTTTGGCCCCCTTCGAGCCACAATGGTGGAGACGCCATGCCACCACTCCCATGTCTTGGAGAGAGTACCTCTGGCTGGCTTTTGCGTGGTTTGCCTCTGCTGGAACCACCAACAGAAGCGCCACGGAGCAGTACCTTGAAACGATCGAGGAAGACCCCCTGGCTGACAAGACTGTAAAGCAGCAGTTCACAGAATTAACACATATTGTGGGCCAATTCCACAGCCTTGCAAAAAAATGGTTCCTCCTTATTGATGAAATTGTGACAGAGACTCTAGACGAAAATGGCCAAGAGCGCAGAAGCAGCCTACTGTTAGAAGCGCCCTTAGATCGCAAGATAACCTTGGAACTAGCGATTCAGGACATTGTGGATATGGAGCTTGACCCCTATTCCACGCAAGACCTTGATTTCGTCAAAGACTTTGTTTTATTCTACTGGGATTACGCCGTGGACGATGTCCAAATTGGCATTGGCCTCCACGGTTTCTGCTGCTGAGGCAGGATCGAGACGGAAATGCTGCACGCGAGAAAACCGCTTAGGCTGCACAGCACTGGTCTCGCTGGCAATCTAGGAGGCACAGGACGCTTCTGCCGCATCAGGCTACTACTGCGACTCACGCACTTCCGTCGCCACCCCAGGTGCCACTTTCGGCTGGACACCGCAAAATTGGCCAAATTTACGTGAATACGAGTATGCTTTATGCAATTGCATTGTTCTAAATAACCCGTCTTCTCCATATCCTTCTTCTCCAGTAACCGTAGTGACAGGCGTGTGTGGCCCAAAAACGAGCGAGATAAACACCAAGGCCTCACTCGGTCACCAGTAATCTATACCTTGCCCATTTCTCGGACTTTGGCTAGTACCTTCAAGCTCAAGGCTATTTAGTGGATTCGAGCACTTAGTGTTCCTTGCCTTGGCTGCAGAAGTTTTTGAGATATTTTTTTTACTTCTTCAAGCTCGGTTGGCCACTGTGTCTCATCTAGGGCCTCCCATTTGAGCTCCTCGTGCGTCTTTGCTTTCCCAAAGACGGTACATTTTACAGTTTATCGGCATTTTGAAGCATAGGAAGCCCTTCTGTCTTTCCGCTTCTGCATAGCTGAATCATTGATTTAAGGGAGATCAAAACTTTCCACTTCATGAAGGGTCAAAACACTCGCCAGAACAAAACTGGTGGCGCAGGCCCCAATCAAAACACTTCTTCTCCTGGTACCTTCCAAAATGGTCATCGTCGCTCCAATTCCCGCTACAATGGCAATTCCAGGGATACACACAGTCAAGTGTCCCTGCAGAATGATCACAATGCTGCAAACAACAGATTGATGGATATTCTTGCGAAGTCTTTGGGTAAAACCACTATTGCAACAGTTTCCTCAGGCGCTTGTTACCAGGGATTGTTGCAGGTGGCTGACGTTGACCCACTGAGCTCAAATGCTCTTTCGGTCGCCTTGTTCAAGCCAACTTTGATCTCGAAAGCTGTGCTCGATGAAAAATCAAACGCCGACGCTTCCTTACCAGAAAAGTTGATCATCCAAGCTAAGGATTTGATCGATATCGAAGTCAACACCGCTCCTAGGGCCGAGACCGCCGCGCCTCCCAAGGAGGATGATTCTGAGAAGACCGCTGAGAAGTCCGCTGAGAAGGTTCCCGAGAAGCCCAATGTGCCAGAGCCAGCCAAGAAGTCTGATACCCAGGCCAAGAAGCAAAAGGATCTGATCGCTTCTTCTCCTCAAGTTGCACAAGAACCAAAGCCAGCAACTCCCTCTGTTCCTCAGTCCTCAACTCCTCCGCAGCCAGAGGTTTACAAGCCCCCAAAGAGATCAGAGTTTCGCACAGATAAGGACATCTCTTCTTCGTTCCAAGTAAGGGAGAGAGAGTTGCAACGCTGGACCCCTGACGATGATTCTCTCGCTGTGTCGTTGGAAGATACCACTAGCAATGCTGGTGTCTGGGATCAGTTCAAGGTCAATGAAGAGAAGTTTGGTGTTGAGTCTACCTATGACGAGCATTTGTACACCACCAAGATCAACAAAAACTCGAAGGACTACAATGAGAGATTGGAGCGTGCTCAGCGGCTCGCAAAAGAAATTGAGGGACAGTCCACAACTGACAAGCACGTTCTTGAGGAAAGAGGAGTTGTCGTTGATGACAGTGGTTTGGATGAGGAGGACAAGTATTCTGGTGTACAAAAGGAGCAAGCGGACACTAGAGGAAATGAACTCATGGCCGCCTTGAGAAACAGCATGAACGCAAGCCCTTCTTCACAGGAGCTTGCAACTAAATCTAGTGCCTCTGGACAACGCGGTGCGCACTATCATAATGATCCTGCCATTGTGTCAAGTTCTGGAGCCCGCAAACCTGTTCAAGAGAAGGCTGAGATTGAGAAAAGTACATCTGGGACCGCGCCACAGAGTGAGGTGCCCTCCAAGCCAACTTCTATACCACCAAAACCGCCTATGCCATCAAACGAGCTGTTCCGCTTGAACGCTCAAAGCGAAATTAACGCTTTGCGTGAATTTAGTGCTAACTTCAAGGTTCCCCATAAGATGCCCAACGATCTTTTGCCTATACTAGCAAAGGACAAGATGAAGCAGGATGAGATCCTCAAGCGCCAGGATTCACCAAAGAAGAGTCATGCAGAGCCAAGAAAGGAGGGTAATCGCTTCAAGTTGAATCCTAAAGCGGCAGCTTTCACTCCATCTTTCACTCCTGCAGCCCAGAAACTGTCAAATGCTTCTCCAAACCCTCCAAAAGCATACTTTGGCTCTCCCCAGAACCCATCTCCTCGCATTCACCATCAGAGGACTCACAACAGCAATCCTTCCAGTAGTGGTAAGAGACACCATAAGGTTTCCGCTGTCGAGTTCTTTGGAAGTCAAGATAAAGTTCCTACTGAGAAAAGTCAAAAGGAAAAGGTTGAAAAGTTTAAGAAGACGTTCAACTTGTTTAACACGGCACAGAGAAACCACGAAGATAAGTCCACGCCTATTGCTTTCGAAAAAGCGTTCCAGACGCCTCCAACATGGGACTCGACGATAGAAGAGAACTACAAAGAGTACATTAAGAAGCAAGCTGCACCTGAAGGAAAGTCTCCTGCTATGCTAGTACCTCCCGTCGGAATGCCGTTCATGGCATCGCCAATGATGGGAATGCCAAACGCAAGTCCTCAAATGGCACCCCATGCATTCCCTGGAACGCCCAATCCAAAATTCCCAGTATCACCTATGCAAGGTCAGCATCCTAACATGGCTGCTCAATTCCAGCAGCAACAGATGGCAATGATGTATCAGATGCAAGGTGGTGTTCCTCCTGGGGCCCATCAGATGATGTATCCACCTCCCGATCCTCAATTCATGGCCCCCGGAGGCTTCATGATGCCGGGGTTTGTTGGTTCTCATAGCCCTGTCGGTGAAAATGTCATGATGGGTAGCGGCAGTCCCTACGCCGGCAATGCTTCAATGCAAGGACATCAAGGCAACTTCAATAGTCATCAAGGAGGAAGAAGATACAACAACAATCCCCAGGGTAAGCGAGGAAGTAACGCTGCCAGAGGCAACGTCGGGAATCAATAGAGTTGGAGAAGGTTTGAAGGAGAAGATTTTAAGAAAATGGCTCAGTTCAAGATAACTCTGAAGCTAAGCCGGGCACTCTATAGAGCTTCATCATACGAGAAGTATGTAATTTTGAATCGTAGAATAGAGGACTGGCTAACCCCAGGTTCGATCATGTGAGGAGAATCACGTTCGCGACTTACTGTTTGTAGACAACAGGCTCGGCCGTTTCTCGAAACATATTGAAACTCAAAGTCACTCTGTCATGAGCGAAGCGGCTTTGTCAAGAATCTCTAATCTTCTTAGAGATGAGAGCGACTTGCAAAAGATCGATGAACTCCGGCGTCAATTTCAAAAAGAGAAAAGCTCAATTGACATGAAACTCAGTACAGCCACGCAAGATCAAATTGATTTCATATTCTCCAACTTGACGAGACTTCAAGACTCCGTCGACAAACTTTCTTTGGTCAAGCGAAACATTGAGAAGATTGATACAATTTACGACGATTCTATCACGAACGTTGCGGAGTACGACACCCTCAGAAATATCACTTCTGTTCATCAAACTATGATCCAGGTGCAAAATCTATACACTGATATCGCCAATTTTAGAAAGTTCTTGGATCATATCAGCAGTATGATCGAGTCAGAGCTTTCCATCGTTAGTGAGGATATACTGTACCAGTTGGTAAATATCTACAGAATTCATTTCAACGTCACTCAAGTGCGCAATTTTGCTGAGTACATGGAAGTGGAGGCCAGCCAGCTCTCTGATGATGTACAGCTGATTGTTCAAAAAATTGTTCAGCCTGTTCGCAAGGTGATTCGGTTATTTGACGAATTGCTCAAGGAAATTTGCATAACTGCTACGGAGGCTGCGAAAGACGGTAACTCAAGCTTGGTTTTTAAATTGATCAAGATCTTGCAGTATGAAAATAAGGAGGATGTCAAAGCTACTTTGCAGGAAAGGTTAGGTCTCATAAGCAAAGAGGGTATGAAGACCCTCAATTATTCCGAGTATAGACGCGAGCCAAGGAACTACATGAAGTTTTTCTATTCGAAGCTTGAAGAAAGCATCAAAGATACCTTTAGCCGATGTGTCAACCATTTCGAAGATAAGATGGATGTCTATGACAGTCTTGGGTGGCTCCAAGAGGAGTTGGAATTCACCATCCAGACCTTTGGTCCTATGTTTCCTGAAAGTTGGGCGGTTGGTGATTTTATCGAAAAAACATACTACAACCACCTCCACAAGTTTACTATGGACATGATCGCCACGAATCCACCAGCTGAAGACTTGATGCGTATTCTTGACTACGACAATTACCACAGTGAAATGATGGCGACGTTGCACGAAGGTGACAAATCCAAAAAGACTCAAAGATCTATTTTGGGAGACGAGCTCAAGAGCTCGGTACTTGACGACTACATGCGTGTTATTGACACCAAGATGTTCGAATGGAATGATACTCTCATGAAGAATGAAACCACATATTTCCTCGAGCGTTCTGTTGAGCCAGATGTCGTACCTCACCATCAGGTGATAGAAGATCTCGATGATTACGATCATCCCTATGTCAGAGAGGAGACAAAAGATATTTACGTTTTGGCTGACTACAAAACGTCTTTGCAGATGTTGAAAGACCACGCAGATGTCGCTGCTAAATCAGGATATGGTAAAGTGTTGGTTGAGGTTATCGAGCATTGGTGTCAGTGCTACAACAAGAGGATTGAAAACTATACGAAGCTTGTGGATCAAGAGGTCGGTAATTTCATGGCTCTTTATGGTAATGACAAGCTTCTAATAAAAGAAAGCAAATTAAAACGTCTTTTCAGATTCAGGGCCAATGCGGAGGAGGAACTAGACTTGGAGAATATGACGGACGAAGAAAAGACGGCCATTTCCAAGCCTGGTCTCGAAGATTACTTAACAGCTTTGGGAAACACGTACGAGATCAATTCCGATCGTCTACAAGACAAATTCTTGCCGAATTACATGAACAAAGTTCATTCGCTGTACACAGAGCGTATTGAGCAAGCTATAATGAGCACAATTTTACCAAGCACGGATCTTAACGCTGTGGTTGTGCGTGCTCATGCTGACATGATTGTCAACGACACTATCCCTATTTTGTGCAGAGTTTTCACCAAGGATTGGTATGTTGACTCCGACTACGAAGCCGAGCAAGGTAAAAGTATGTCGCAGCTAATGATGTCCTTAATATGTGAGGACGGCTTGCCGGCTGTTCAGCAGTGGGGAACCTACGATCTACACTTTATCACATTGACTGTGATGCTTGACAATTTTATTAAAGCCTATCTTCGCGTGGGCTACAACAACATTCTCCATGGTGACGGTAAGAAAATTGACCCTCACGCTACCAAAAAATACAAAATGTTCAGTGAAGCCATTTCACGAGATGTTGAAGTGTTTTATGGGGAGTTGGACAAGCATTTTTCCAGAAAAGATGCGATGCTTCTTGTTAAGACATTGTCTGCTATTGAATTCTTGAGTGATATGGCAACATTTGAGAATCCCTTTGAGGAAATACCACCATTTTGGGAACAAGAAATCTTGCCAGTATTTGCTGATTGTTCGGTTGAGTACGTCCGCGGAATCCTCCTTTGTCGCAAGGACATCGAATCAAAGCGTGTTCCACAGCTTATGAACGAATTGTTGGAGATCCAGCGCAACTTCGAGCCAACTGAGGAGATGATACAGGTGCAAACTTTGAGTCATTTCACTTATGAATAATATCATCGACGTTTCTGACTTGCAAAAAATAGCCCAATGCATATCGACAAGTGAGACTTGATTACGTTTTTGTAAGTCTGCAATAATATATCTTCGGGGTCTGTGAAGTCCAGAGTCATTGCAATTTCATTTTCCGCACTTTCTGTTCGTAGAACTTCCTCTTCGATCGACCATTGATATCTTAGACCATCGATCATAATCTCATATACATCGCCTGAGAGCTTGGAGGAAATGAAAATCTTGGTTGAATCCAAAGGTTCCTCATATGGCTGAAATCGATTGAGTATACTCAGCACAAGGGATGGTGGTTCGATGGCCTTATTGGGCCATACTTCGATGAAGCCGCCCTTACCGACCGTGTTCTTGTAGAAGTTGGCTATTATATTGGAAGTACGCTTATCCTGGAGAACACCACACTGCTTATAAATATTATTCACGACTGTTGAGGATGCATGTGGCTCAAATCGGCATAAATGATTACCCCTAGAACTTGCAACTATTATGTGGGAGCCTTCTTTAAGTAGGCGGCAAACTGTCTTAGGTTGCACCTGTTCTGTCAGCTGTCGTTCCAGGCACGTGTACATAGAACAAGACACGGTCGCTGTGACAGTTGCAGCGATAATCGCCAGGGTCACCACGATCATCGGTAGGCTTATGGAATGCTTGGTCAAAACAAGAGAGTATTCGTCAAGGGCGCCTCAGGGGCTAGATGGTGGATGTGTACGATAAGTCAAGCCGCGCCGCTCAGGTAGCATGTGTAGTGCGAAACGGTTATCTCGCTGTAAAGAGTTATATGACATGCCGCAACACGCATCAGTCAGAATCAGACCCGTATCCGGATATACCCGGTAGCTCTTTCTTGGGACTTTCCGATGATTGACTTTTTGGAGTAATCTCGCCTGCTTGTTCAGTATTTTCAGCAACAGACTTCGTTTCTGGCTTCATTGTACGGGGTCTTTTAACTGATATCACGCCGCTTACTGTTTGAGGCTGCCTAGCTTCATTTTGCATGGACCCAGATTGGACGGCAAATGGCTTTACTTCCGGCTCGTCTGATTCTAATTCCCGCTTCGAATTTTTTTCTTCCTCCAATTTGGCTTGTGCCTCTTTCACGAGTCTCTCCTGCCCACCAGACTCTTGTAGTCGACTAGCTTTAGCCTGGAGATACATAAGATGATCATGCATCTGTTGTTCTTCTTGCTGCTTCGCAAGCTTCTCTTCGAGGTTAGTCATAACGTCAGTATTCGTTTCATTTTGCTTTTGCCAGAAGGGATTCTTCTTTCGTCTCTCTTGTTGCTCTTTGTACTTCCTGCTCTCCTCCTCCTCCTTCTCAAGTCTTGCAAGAATCTCATCTTCAGTCTCCATGGGCTTGATCTTAGGCTCCTTCGCCAAAGACTCGTGGTTTCTCACACCTCCTTCGACAGGGGCAAATCCAGCCAGAGCAGGGTCTGTCCTGAACACGATGCTATTACTGCAACGTGGGCATTTGAAATGGAATTTGATGATCTTAAATCCCATATATTTCTCGCTTGTTGTTTCCTTTCTGGCGTTGAACTTCCTTCTAGCAGATATGTACTCGTTGCATTGTAGGCACTTCATGGAGAACGGTAGCATCAATCTGACTTTGTTGCTATTAGCATTGCGGGACTTCTCCTTCTTTGGAACTTTCAGAGGATCATAGTCTGGTGGATACCATTTGTTGATTGCTTTTCTCTCTGACATGATCAGATGAGATGATTTGGGGTAAGCCTATATGCAACGTTCGACCAACGTGTTTTTTCCTGAGTCCAATTGAAGAGTCTTTTTTTGAACTAAATCTTCATCGAGTTAAAGTCCTGACTGGAGAAATTCTCTGGAGGGATTTTTGTATTAATCCCGTTGAAAGTAATTTTTCGATGTTTTCATGAAATAAGGTGCGAAATATAAATACCTGTGCTCTCAGACGCTCAAATTGCCCAATACAGAGTACATTTTCAGAATGAACGATTGCGAATAAAAGAAGAATACTAGAATATACTCTTGTCATCAAATTCTAGGAAAAGAGCGCTTCTTGTTCCATCAAGTAGTAGTGGACGTCTTGTCGCAACCCGATCCTCAAGATGCCAGAACCACGAGAAGTTTCGAAGTCCTACGTAGAAAATGATCATTAGAAAAGCTCTATGGTCTTGCTCATTGTGGAAATTGTCGTTTAAAACAATTTCTGCTTCGTGTTTGAAAATTGGTATATCACGTGACCACAACTCCACCGTTTGCCACGGCCTTTTTTGAGACGGACAACTCCCAGATTCAACATCAACTTTATCATGGCTCCATCTAGCGATCAAACCGCTAAGCCGGAGGCAGACCAAAAAAAGCCAAAGAATCCTCCAAAAGAGGAGGAGCTTTCTGAAGAAGACCAAAGATTGAAGGATGATTTGGAATTGCTTGTCGAGAGGCTCAATGAACCTGACCAGAAAGAAGCCCTCTACTCGGAGTATCTTACAACAATGAAGAACTTCATTCGTGAGTCTACCACATCTATGACAGCGGTCCCCAAGCCATTGAAGTTCTTGAGGCCACACTATACACTTTTAACCGAGTTATATGAGAAGTGGAGCTCCTCTGAAAGCAAGATCTCGAATGATCTTGTGGTGCAGTTTGCTGATGTATTGTCTGTTTTGGCAATGACATATTCTGAATCCGATAAAGACTCCTTGAAGTATCGCTTATTGGCCTCTGACGAAACCATTGCTGACTGGGGTCATGAGTATATGAGGCACTTAGCGTTAGAGATCGGCGAATCTTACCAAGAGAAATTGGGTTTGGAACAGGCATACATTGACAGAATTGTTCAATTGTCTTTGAAAATCGTTCCATTCTTCCTCAAACACAACGCTGAAGCCGATGCAGTGGATTTGTTGTTGGAAATCGAGAGCATCGAGAAGTTACCGCAATACTTGGACGACTCCACATACGCCAGAGCATGTCTTTACATGGTAAGCTGTGTACCTCTCTTGGCCCCTCCAGATGACACAGCTTTCTTGCATACCGCATTCTCTATTTACTTGACTCACAACCAGTTAACTCAGGCTTTGACTTTGGCCATTAAGTTGGACGACGAGGGATTAATCAAGCAAGTGTTCGAGTCGACTCAGGACTCATTGATCCACAAACAGCTTGCATTTATATTGTCTCAGCAGTTCAACCGTTTTAACTACCCAGGTGAGGAAGGTGATGTTCAGGAGATCATCTCAAACGTGAAGCTTCCAGAATATTATGCCTACTTGGTCAAAGAGTTGAATCTTTTGGACCCAAAGGTTCCTGAAGATGTTTACAAATCTCACTTAGAGAACACCCGTTTCGGTTTTGGCCAGATTGACTCCGCCAAGCAGAACTTGGCAGCTTCTTTTGTTAACGCGTTTTTAAATTTGGGTTACGGCTCTGACAAACTTTTCATCCAGACAGGTGAACAAGATAGCCAATCTTGGATTTATAAAACGAAAGGCGCCGGTATGATCTCATCAACTGCCTCTTTGGGATCTCTCTACCAGTGGAACATCGATGAAGGTTTGCAAGCTTTGGATAGATATACATACTCTGCCGAAGATGAGGTCAAGGCCGGTGCTCTTTTGGGTACTGGTGTTGTTTCTGCCAATATCCATGACGAAGCCGAGGCAGCTTTGGCATTGTTGCAAGAATATGTCACCGATCCAAAGAAAGTACTCCAAACTAATGCCATCAATGGTCTTGGTCTCGCTTTTGCTGGATCAGCAAACGAAGAAGTTCTCAATTTGTTGTTGCCCCTTGTCTCCGACACAGACTTGTCTTGTGAGGTATCAGCATTGGCTTCATTGGCCCTTGGTCACGTCTTTGTCGGCACCTGCCACGGCGATATCACATCTGCAATTTTGCAAACTCTTTTGGAAAGAGACTTTACGCAATTGAACAACAAGTTCATCAGGTTCATGGCTTTGGGCCTTGGTTTGTTGTACATGGGTAAGACGGAGATGGCTGAAGATGTTTTGGACATCATCGATGCTATCGAGCATCCTATCAATAAGACGTTGAAGGTGTTGGTCAATGTTTGTGCTTACGCCGGAACAGGCAACGTATTGCAAATTCAATCTCTCTTGCAAATGTGCTTCGCTCGCCCCAAGGATACCTTGGAGGAGGAAAAGAAGTTGGGAGAGAGCGAGGAGGATCAATTGAAGAGAGAGGGCAAAACGGAGCTTCCAACGGAGGCAAGCGCCACTGACTCTCCCACCACAGCCGCTGAACCTGGTTCTCAGAATGCCTCGGGCGATGTTGAGATGGCAGATGCTACAGAGGTCAAAACGGAGAAGCCGGAAGACGTCAAGGACAAGGCTGATTTGACAACGGAGGAGGAGGATGATGAGGAAGAAGACGAGCTTTTCCAGGGATTCGCTGTATTGGGTCTTGCATGTATTGCCATGGGAGAGGATATTGGCCAGGATATGGTCTTGCGTCACTTCTCTCACCTCATGCACTATGGTAACCCATTGATTCGCCGGTCCGTTCCATTGGCTATGGGTCTTGTCTCAGCTTCCTATCCTCAAATGAAGGTCTTCGATATCCTTTCACGTTATTCTCACGATCCAGATTTGGAGGTCACTCAAAACGCAATCTATGCCATGGGCCTTGTCGGTGCTGGTACCAACAATGCCAGATTGGCTCAATTATTGAGACAATTGGCTTCATATTACTCAAAGTCCCCAGATTCTCTTTTCATGGTGAGAATTGCTCAGGGTATATTATCTTTGGGTAAGGGTACCTTAACCTTATCTCCTTTCAACACCGAGAGAAGTATCTTGAACAAGGTCTCTTTGGCATCTCTTTTGACAGTGTCGGTTGCTTTGCTAGATCCAAAATCTTTCATCTTAAGTGACTCCACAACTGAGACCAGTCACCAAATGTTATACTACTTGACTCCTGCCATCAAACCAAGAATGCTCGTTACCGTTGACGAGGACTTAAATCCAATCAAGGTTAATGTCAGAGTTGGTCAGGCAGTTGACGTTGTTGGTCAAGCCGGTAAGCCGAAGACAATCACTGGTTGGGTCACGCAGGCAACCCCAGTCTTGTTGAGTTATGGTGAAAGAGCAGAGTTGGAGAATAATGAGGAATGGATTAGTCTATCTCACACATTGGAGGGCATTGTCATCTTGAAAAAGTCGCCAGACTTTGTTGAAGCGGATGCCTGAGGTATAGAAAGGGAATAAACCCTACGACATTTGAAACTGTAAAGTATATTTTTGAAGTAGAATGACAGTGGTCTATGAAGTAAAATGTTGGGTCGTGAAGGTCGTCTCTTTACCTTTACTTGAATTCAGGCGCTTTACCGGCCATCATCAAGCCCACGATAAGACCAAACAAACCCAAGACAGAGCCAAAAATCTCAATGACCAAAATCTTGACGAATAAAGATGAATCAGCAGCGTCCGAGATCGCAGCAGTGGAGCCCGTGATACCAACTGTAATACCACACAACAAGTTCGAGAGACCAACAGTCATACCAGCCCAAAACAATGCATATCCCGTGTAAAGGTTCTCATGAGTATACAACGAGGTTTCGGGAACACTTGACACTTTTGCAGAAAAGACGATAGCCATAATCAAACCGTAAATGGCGACCACCTCACAGAAAATAATGGAGATCAAGTTCTTCGTGGTGATTCTTGGAGTCTTCACACCAGCACCCAAGATGGAGACACCTGTAATAAAAATACCCCAAGCAGCGCCAACAACGGAGAAGCCAATGCAAGCGGCAATGCCCAAGTTTGCCCACATGTATGGGGAGGTCGATTCTAGAAAGTCACCCACATTGAATGATTCGCCTTGGCCCTGGAACACCAAGTAGCCTCCAACAATGAGAATAGATGTAGCAGCAAGGGATGTCGCTAACATCTTGTTGTAATTAATTAATTGTACGTTGCCGGTGGGTAATACGATTAACTGAAGTGCCAGCTACAAGAGAGCGAACAATGATGTGGAGGTGTACGGGTGCGGCTACATCAACCAGGATAGAGTGGCTGCGAAATATGGATTTATCTGACGCATCAGAGCATGACTATACTTTTGTTGAAAGCTGCTTGATTAGAATAACCAACGAGGGAAACAGCATGAAACCGGCATCTGTCACCCCTTACTAGAACTCTCCAAAGTGACTTTGTCAATGGCACCTCTGCCAACTCGTCCTCTATATGGCCATCTTCACTTGCTTTCCTCTTCTTCAGCAGCGGTTCATCTGGATGCTTGAACCAGTCAAAAAACCAGTCATCCTTGAGTTCTTGTCCATTGAGTTTAGTTGTGGCGTTAGAAAGCCCACAGAAGATCACGAACTTGTCAGTCCCCTGTCCGTGGACTTCCGTTTGATGTGCAAGCAGTAGGTCCTTGGCAAAAGAGCCAAACACAGAATGAAACAGATTAGCCAACTTACCCGTGCAGACAAATGAGACTAGGTGAGCATCACGATTGATACTCAATTTACAAGTCGAACCAGCCTCCAGGTTCACCTGCACTATTAGACTCCGTTCCTTCTCTTTTATCATGTATGGGCGCGTGTACCGCAAGGCATGCTCATCGTGAATACCTTTTGATATACTAGACACCCCTCGCTGCTGAAGATCAAGAAGATTTAAAACAATCTCCTGTTCTTTGGTGAAAGGATTGTTGACTAATTCATGTTTGAGCAATCTCTGCTCTAACTCGAGAAAACGATAGTATCGGCATTCCCGAAGAAGAAGTTGCCGATGTTGATCATCCTTCACAATACTATCGTTTCCTTTGAGAGCCTCCAAAAGATCTGCAAAAAGTTTGGATGATCTGGTTGACGCCATTGGCGGTCTCTGAGGAGGGGGTCTTATCATTGATTTTGACTGGATAATTTTTCTGTTGTCGGAGAGAAGACTGTCGAAGTTGATCAGGAAGTAATTAGGATAGTTATTGGTTCTTGCCAACAACTGTTTTGGGATCTTGAAGGACTGATTGCCGATACAAGCGAACGTGAATTCACTGTCTAAAATTTTCTGAAGGCGACGCAAGCCAAAGTAGTAGCTATCCAGCCATAGGTATACGTATTCATGAGCATCATCAACATCTATGTGGTAGCCTTGTAGATGAGAGAAGATCTTCTCGAATACCTGGGGGTTTCTGTCAATGTAAAGCACCTTCTCAGCATTTTGTGGGTTAGTGAAAAAGTTTGTGAAGTATGACGGAGAGTCTGACAGTAAGCTGGCACCACTGAAGCGATAGAGTTTGTATCCAACCTGAATTAGATAAACATTTTCGTGGGGTAGAGTGACCGGAATTGACGGATCGAACTCTTCCATAAGCTCCATCTGCACCATTGACTTTGTGGTATGAAGAGTTTAGCCGGAAATAGTGGATAGCCTAGGGGGTAGTTATTAGAGTGTCAAATTAGGCAATGTGTAGCAGGATAAACATTAATCCGCGCTAGTATGAGGCTCGTCATCTTGTCGCATCTCGGACCTTGAACCACATACTTTTACAGCTATACCACAGATTTCACACCCTCAACACAAACCAATCTTTATCAAGCTCTACAGTTTGACCAGGAGCAGAAAACCTTCTTATTTACTTTACAAGGCGGCCAGTTAATGGCACCAACGGCACCGGCTCCATTAAGATCATCACGGGGCGTAAAGAAAAGATCAAGAAACTTCGACGGATGCTGGACATGTCGTCTACGAAAGATCAAATGTGATTGCACGAGGCCGGTGTGTCTTCGATGCAAACGAGCTAGACTCGAATGCAAGGGATACAGTATCGTTTTGGCCTGGGCAGCTCCCATGGTAGTTAACCTGGAAAACAGGCTAGTTCTGTCCAAGGAGGACAAAATGGCATCCGTCGTGAAGGAAAGACTCCTGCTGCGACGTAATGTTGACCTTGTCTATTTCCCTAGTCTGATGCAATATGAGACTTACGCAAAACTCAATGCGGTGGTTGCGCAATTAGATGATGTTTCGACAAAGATCGAAAACGAGACCGGCTTCTTTGTCGGTCCGTTTGGAGCTTTTATGGCTTCAGGTAAGGGTGCTCCAGTGGTAGCCCCCGTTCCAAAGACCCCAAAAGTCCAGCAAATTCTGCCAGTCAAGACGCCTAGGGACACTCCAGTAAAAACGCCGAGAGACACGCCCGTTGTAGAATTGGAGGAGGGAAGGAAAAGTGCAGACTCAATGGAACTCAGCGGCTCTGAGTCTATAGAAGAGCTCATCAAAAATGCTGATCCTGAAAGACTCGAACTGGAAAAGAATGAGCCAGAAACCTCGATCTTCTCCAAAACTGACAATACCTACGTGCATTATGCCCTCTTGGATTCCGCAAAGCTTACGACTTTGGCCATCAAAGGTACAAAATACGAGTTCTCAGAGCAAAGCATGTTCCACATCTTGTATCCGAACTTCTTCCCAAACATCGATCCTGATGATTGGCGTCCAAATGTGAGTGTGATGTTGAGATACTTTCGTCTATCTTCTGCTACTCCAGGAGGCGTTGAGATAGCCCCCTTGCTTACCACAGTAACACAGCAGCTAGGTGCTTCGTCAATGGCCTTTACAAGAGTGATATATGAGAGAAACCAGTGGGATACCTACGTCCTTCCTCTCATCAAGCAAATATTCTTCGAACTTGTATGCGAAGAGTTCCCATTGTCGAATAACTGGCGATCGCATTACATCAGGAAGGATAGTCTCTCGACTCCGAGGGAATTACTTGTTAAGAATTTGCGATTGGGTATTATGTTCATGTGTTTGGCAACAAGTGCATTCCGCAAGTCCCTGGAATATGAAAAGAAAAATGTGAATAATGACGTTAAGAAGTATTTCATGGATGATGAACTCAAGGCAGCAATCGAAATGCGCAAATTGGGTATCAACATTTTGAACTATCATTTGGATGAATACGACAACAATTCCCTGTATCCCGAGATTGACAACTACGAAACCTGCTTGTTGCTAGCGCTTCTTCTCCAGATCAATCTTGATGATCTTTTTGGTGTCTATGAAAACTATGAACTTATCTTTGCTATTGGTGACTTTTTGGTGAAGAGCAGACTCAGAAAAGTTGAACGAAAATTAACTACCCTTGACAAATATCTCCGAAGTGTTTTTGAGATACTCCAGATATTCTACAACTCAACACAAGCGGTGACAATTTTCAACTACGAAATCTCTGAGAAAGATCGTCAACAAAGGTATCGTGATCTAGACAAGAACTACGACTTGTCTAAAGATCTTTCTGACGTCGAACTGTATGACTCGACCAGTGAAGAAAGCGACAATCTTGAGGGAAATGAAAGGCCGAAGAATATTCTGGTTGCGGCTGCGGGTACATCGGATGACAAGAACCCTCTTTCTTTCACGGTGTATTTCAACGAGAAGTCAGACACCCACAAGTCGCCTGCGAACAGTGATAATCCTCCGCCATTGAGACGTAGCACTATGCACCAAAGCTCGAGCCCAATTTGCCCAGAAATCGGTGATAGATCTGTTTATGTCTCATACGGTTTGCCAAAGTCATTACTTCAACTTCTACACGAGGTGGTCCAGCTTACGAACCATAAAAGGGTGTTTCAGACGCAGGGGTTCTTTCCTAGAAATTATCCTAGAGCTTGCGCCGATACTGAGGACAAGATTCTAAATTGGAATGTGGAGAGCTACTGGAAGCTCTATGATAATGAGTACGACACCATCACGAACACAGCTACGAAGTCCTTCTACTCCTTATTCCACGAGGGACTATATCATAATGTCATGGGAGTTTACCAAGCACTCAAAGTTTATTTCAAAAGGTTGATTCCCGGAACTGCCTTAACTTCAACTCAATCGCATATCGAGGCTTGCATCGAATCTATGGAGAGACTCCTCAAAATCTCAGAGGAGCTGGAAAAAAACAAGCTTCCATTCTTTTTCTCTCCCTCCTTTTGGCCATTGTTAGTTTGTGGTTGCGATATCGACATTCAGAAGCACCCAAAGTTGCAACAGCGTTGCCGAAGCATTTGGAGCCACTCCTTGTTCAGGAAACACAATTATTGGAGATCTAAGCAAATATTATTTGAAGTATGGCAACGGCGGTCAGAGGGCGAGGAAATTGGATTCATGGACTTGGTAAGGGAGTGGAACGTGGTCCTATGCTTGGGTTGATTCTATAGGCTCAACCTCCTTCTGAATATACAGTGGAGTGGTGCAATCACCTTTTGAAATTTTCTCATAAATGAGATTCATAAACTTTTTGCTGAATGGCTCTGATGCTGCCTCATACGTTTCAATATCGGAAACTTGCCTTTTCATTAACAAGGGGCCCATTGGAACGCTGAGATGAAAAAGAGCGGACCAAAAAAGTGATTCATCACTCTCACCATAGACGATTCTGGTGATGTTCCTTTTGAAGCCCTCAGAGTAGGGATGATCTAGGACAGCAAACGGCACAACGACCCTGGAGTTTTTGGTTTTGTAATTGACATAACGTATACCCGTTTCCTCTCTCTGGTAGTGGTTCCGTAGACATGCAGGTAACGAGCTTTCGTCGCCTTTCTTCCATTCATTAAATTTCCTTGCCTGTTTCATGTGGATATCATCTATAGTGGTTTTATTCGTAAATGCAAATGCAGTCTGTTGAAGGAGGAGCCCGAGGATCATCGGTAGCCAAAGAACCGAGCAGACAAAGATGACGACGTAATGGGGAATGTTTTGATTATCTCTGTCGAAGGCGGATGATGCCGTGACTGCAGCCGACACTAGGGCGATAACAAATAGGCTCCCGAACTGAAGTAAGAATTGAATGAAGAGTACGATGTTATCCCTTCCGACGCTTGTGCCGATCCAGATACACTTATGATCGAAACGTGGAACACAACGGTCAAGACCCTTGATATGAAATGAGCGTTTAGGCTTGATGGAGTGGCATACTGAGCACCAGTATGGGTATCCATTCTCGTCACATATGAAGATGTCAGGCACTGCCAGAAGCTCTGGATCTTTGGTGTCGTAAATGTCGAAAAGGGGTATTTTTGGGGTGCGGCCTGGGCCACGTATTAGTATGACAAGCCAGGTCACTAGCAACTCGATCTGTAGTAGGCCCTCGAAGACCCATATGACGATTGCGCCTGCTTTGGAGCGATGCTGGTATATTTCCTTATAAGCGACGACGTAGCCTGAGGCGTAGTTGTAGTAGGCAAGGCATATCACTATCACGATGGGTACGATCAAGCTCTTATACCTCGGCAGCTGGACCATGTATGTTGGTAGAGATCAATGTAGATAATCGATGTAGAGTGCGCATAACCGAAAAGTGTCATTGATCTTGCGAAGATGAAGGACGTCAGCTGAAGGGACCCATGAATGGTTTTTTGACCTTGACAATACTAAAAAGGTAAAGTTTTGTGGAGGTGTTGGTTTGTTGCAGGGTATCTACGTAGATGGCCTGGGTGGCGTGCACCAGAGATGTATGCTAGTAGTGTCGGATCAGTCGACCTTGCAAGAAATCTGCCAGCCTCATCAGGTAACTAATACTTTGTTTGTATTGGGCAGATTCAGTTTCATCTTACGATAAGCAGGGATGCCTAACTCCAGAGTGAGATTCGGAAATTCAGTCATTAGCGGAAGGATTTCCGGTTACGGCGCAACATGGAGAGGTTCCCACCTGCTGCAGAGGTGAATATTCCGACGGTTTTTGCTCTGCGAGTGAAACAGCCCAATTGCGTCCGAAGCGTCTCGATTTTATCTTGATTTCCGAGCAATTCCGGGCCAGGCGGAATCACGCTACCAAAGCAGAAATGGCCTTCCTCACACTGGGCAATCAGCTTTTCCGCCCTCTTGGCAAAAATAAGGTGAAGATAAATCCAACCCACCCGCTCTGGAACCCAAATCTGGTTGTTCCGAAGTGAAGGCTACATCCTGCGCTCAGACGCGGGCGGCTTGCCCACTTTCCGATAATTCTTCCAGCCAATCGCCAATTCCTGCCAGCAGCAATCTTAGGACAGCAGTGTTACATTTTGAAAGGTGGGGGCAACTAAGCCGCTGGCGTCAAACTTATGCGGAAGCGGTTAAATGGGGTGAGGCTCAAACCCGGAGAAAAAAACAACAAAAAAAAAAACTACTGTGCCTTGCTCCCATTTGTCCGGACCCCTATTGGCTCGCCGGAGTGACAAGTGCCGAGATTTGCCGTTTTGCTCCAGAAAAGTCACCAAGCACTCGCAATAAGCCATGTTTATGGCCTTTTTGTGTTTGCCGTGGTTCCAGTGCGTGACCAGCATGAGCCCCAGATGTTGTAGTCCCGGAAAAATGTAACCCTCACTGGCACCCCCACCAAAAAAAGCCGTCGCAAAGTATGGGGTAGGGCCGCACCATGGACCGGCTGATTTTTCCGACACCACTAACAAAATTCCCAGTGCGATATGCGAGCGTTCCGGCGTCAGCGAAAAAATGCCTTAGTGAGCAAGCGGCTCAAAGGGCAATTGCATTTTAAGGCGGGTGAGTTTTTCCGAATAGCCTTTCCTTTTGCGGGACGGTTCCGCTTCTTCCAGGTCCATCAGTCGGTTTTGGCGCGGCAGTCCCACCCAGGAAAAACTTCCGATGGAGCCTGCCCCGGGGCAGTTTCCCCGGAGAAACAAAGTAATCACGTGACAAGGCATTCTCGCCACGATCCTCTAGTCCCGGTGCGCCGCCGCTAGACACAATAGGCGGCCGATCTGCTTAGAAATATGATCTCATGACAAAAGCTTCTCGACAACGGAAGACACAAAAACCAGGTCAGTAACGGCTTCCCGGCACTCTATACTAAATCGGTTAAGCATGGGCACTGCAGAAACTTGGCAGTCCCCGCGCTACACCACTCCACCCTCCCCATAATTTACGAACCCTGGCCTGCACCGTGCACGCTAACGGAGAAAATGTAAATCCGTCCAATTCCTCTCGCTTTTCTTCTCAGACTACCCCATATTTTCTTATTGAGTCGGCATTCTTGGAAAGACAACCACTTTGTTGTCGTCATCGGGGCTTTTGATTCACTACACCACTCTCCACACATCCCGCCCACAGATTAATTTTTTATATTTCCAGCCGTCTTATTGGTCTGCCCACCCCCGCTCAAACTTCACCAACAGCTCATGAGTGACGAAGAAAGATCCACAAAAGACTCCCTCCCTCGCAAGCGATCCAAAGTCTCGAGGGCTTGTGATGCTTGTCGACGTAAGAAAATCCGTTGTGATGCCGAGTTTCTGCAAACGCTCCAGAAAGTGACGAAAATATGCACCAATTGTGTGAAAAACGCTGACACATGTACTTTCTCCAGAGTTCCTTTGAAACGTGGGCCCTCCAAGGGTTACATCCGGGATTTGGTTGACAAAATGGACGACCAGTCCTCTGGTTACCCCAACACACACCACACGTCAGTGTTGAAGCTCGAGGGAAGACCTCGACTGAAATCCGTTGATGCTTCTAGGCCCGAGTCCATAGCTCCTACGATCCCAACAGGCTCGCCTCCCAATTCCGAACAACGCTCAGGATCCGTTTCTTCCGTGTCGTCGTCCCTGCTGGTCCCCACAAAGCCTCTTTTGCACCGCCTGACATTTTCCAACGGAAAATCCTCATCTTCCCCCATCATCCTCCCGCCACTCCTCGGTCCACAGCCCTCGAAGCAACCGGTTAAGCTCTCGGTACCGGTGCAAAAGGTGCCCTCTGGGAACTCAGTTCCACTAAGCCCCCATGGCAGTGCCCCGTTGGAGTCGAAGGACCAGAAGATAAGAGGTCCCTTGTGGACGGTTCCATACGAAATGCCAAATGCCAACTCACATGGCCTGGATAATTCCTCCACCAACCTGCGAAACGGTCTGGCATCCAATCTGCGGCGGTCTTCCGTTGACTCCATTAGCTCAATCCTGACCGCTGGCTCTAGATCTAGGTTCGCTTCGCTTAAATCAACGGGTAATTCTGATATGGCAATTTCGGACTCTGATGATGACTATTATTCCTCAAGATCTAGAGCTTACTCGGCCAGTCTATCACCCAGGAATTCTGTTTCCTCAATGCTGTCGTTGAATGGCAAGTTGAATAGACTGCTTGACCTCAATACCAGCCACCCCAGCCACCCACCACCTTTTCAGCACACAAATTCAGGATCACCCCCATTTCATCTTAGCAATAATGGGCACCACGGCCCGCGGAAGTGCAGTCTAATTTACCCTTCCATTCCTTGGAGCACAACATCAACTTGTACTACACCAAGTACCACGCAAATTTTTCTGTTCTTCCGTTCTCCCAACAGCTCATCGTCAGAATCACGCATTCCTTGCTTAATGATCCATCCACTCACACGTCCATGGTTGTCGAGCTCTTCAACACTGCCCTCAACAACTTGATATATTACCAGCATGTTCCGTTAAGCAGTCTGATTGCATTGCTCAGGAATATAATGTCAATCTACCCATTCAACCACAACGGCATTTTGGTGAATGATGATCTTCTTATTGTGTTTTTCTCAACATTGGTGCTAGTCAACTACACCATTCTAATCAATGGTGACGTCTATTCCTTGGGAATCGCAATGACAGCGTCAGTTTTTAATGATTTCAAACTCCTCGAGAATTTTGCCTCGCTCGTGAGGGATCCTAACAGCTCCCGTCTTAACCCGGATGATGTTCAGTTGTATTTGCCCAGACTCTACATGTGTTTGTACATGATTGATAACACCTACAGCCTCAGCTTCGGTTCTCTGCTGAATCTCCCAAACAACTATGGGTTGTTTATGCAAAACATAGCTATTTTGATGCCAAATGAGCTCACACACCTGCCATTCTACTATAATGTGCAAGCCTCCGTGGTGATCAATGATTTGGTGAGCCTGAGAGCCGAGTCGGTTTTATCTACCATCCTCAAACCTAGGTATAAAGAGTCATGGTCTGTGAAGACTTCACCAACGAATCCAACAAATTCAATGGTGCCAAATTTTGCCTCCCTTTTTGTGTCCTTGATTAAGGACAAGTACGAGCTTTACGATAATTTACTAGAAGTGATGAGATTTTTTGAGACCCATCCGCCGGCGGCTGGCCCCAACCACGGGGACGATAGTATACATGAGACACTTTACGACTTTCAACTCAAGATCAGTCGTCTTCTTAAGAAACTCACTCAATCACTTCTAAACTTTGACAACTACATTTCTACGATTTATTCAAACAACAAGTCAATGTCCAGTGCTGCAGATCTTATTGGTCCCTTCTTCAACCTCAGTTATGGTCAATCATTCAAGCTCATCAAAGCTTGCAAACTTCTTGTTGATCCATTGATGAGATATGCTACCGACAGTGAACTTTATACAAGGTCTGTGAAAATCATGAGTGACCTCTCAATCGCATACAACTTGTTGGTGAGTAATGTGAACAACAATCTTAATGCTATCACAAACGCGAGAAATACTTTGAGCAATCCCAACAAGTTCACTAGTTTGAGTCCGTCCTCCTCGTCCACTGAACCACTCAATGTCAGTGGATTGGGCCAGACTTCGATAACACTTATCCTTAGCAAGATTGATCATCATAACCTTCAATTCAACAATGTTCCTGGTCCACCAACAGCAGACTCGTCCAATTCCAAAGCTGGAAACTTTGGTGCTTGGAGGCGTGAAGTGTCTGAGACAATCTCATCCTTCATTCTCAGGGAAGATTTGGATGGTTGGTTCTGATCTACACATCTTGCATAGTTTCATTCTTTTTACATGAATAAGTCAAAGCTAAATGTATGCTAGTTTATTGCCCATTTGTGTAATCTTAGTACAACTGACTGACAATTAATCAATCTTAATCTGCGAGTAGATTCTTCTAACGAAGAATAACGAACAAATAAATCCGACAGAGCCACAGACCAAGAATACCAAGATAGACATGACTGCGGTGTAGCCAAGGTACAAAACCATGGAAGTGAAGTCTTTCAATGCTCCCTTGACGAAAAACAAGGAGTGGAGGAAAACGTAGATGGAGCATCCACCACCAATGAACAAAGCCTTCCATTGCCACTTATAATTTTCACTGCACAATGTGTAGTAAACAAACAATAATGTGATGAGACCTGTTGTCATAATCATCAAGATAAAGCAGAAAAACAAAAATCCAAACATGTAGAAAATCATGTTGAACCAAATACTTGAGAAAATGAAGTAAAATTCAACAGCAATTGATCCGAATGGGAAAAGACCGGACATAATCATGCCTGGAACAGTCTTCAAGTACCATGGTTGTTGTGGCACTTGTCTTGGAATTTGGTTGGTACGAACGGGCACCAGAAGAGTGGGTCTCTTGGATTGAAGGATAGATCCCACCACGGACAAGGGGAATGAAATCGCAAACCAAATAACCACCATAGCGAGCATGGTACCAGCAGGAATGGCTCCTGACGAGCCAGCGTTTATGAGGAAGAAGTTTAAGAACACGATGAAGCCAAACAAAATGCCAGGGACAAGGGTTGGGGTCATCAACATGTTCACCTTCCAGTTCTCACCACCAAAGAACCTATAGAGGTAACCACTCACATAGGAGGAAATGATACTGAAAAAGATGAAAAGAATGAACATGAATGTCGACAAGGATCCTCTGTTGGATGGAGACAACAAACCGAAGAGTGCAAAAACGATTGTTACCAATGTCATGCAGAACAACTGAGCACCACTTCCAACTAACACGGACAAGAGCATTCTGTTTGGAGGAGATCTGAAAACATCGCCGTAAACCAATTTCCAGCCACTGTCGTGAGCAACATCGTCATCCAAGTTCACGTCATTGTACTTGACAATGTCGTTCTTCAAGGTGGTAACCAAGATGTGAGCCATGATGACACTCAATATGATCACAACCAAGGAGAAATTGATCAAGGACACCCATTGAATCTTTGGGTCATAGATGTGCAAGTACTTATCCCATCTGGTAGCCCAAGAGGTTGTAGACTCAAAGAATTCAACGGAGTACGTGTACAACACGGTCTTCTCGCTGTCCTTGGAAACCATCACCGGAGCCAATTTGAGGTTACATAGTTCGTCAGCAGAAGCTTTCGAGGAATCAAGCTTACTTCTGTCCAAGGAGTATGGTACGACGGTCACGCCGACTACCCTGTACTGGCCCTCAGCTCTCTTGTGGTATTCAATGTTGATCTTGAAGTGGTTGTACAACTCGGACTTGTTGCTTTCGTCCACCAGGCCAATTGGGAAGCCGGAGGTGTAGAAATCGGTGCTGGTACGTATGTCCTTTGCTTTACGGGCGGCAGGCAATCCGTCTATGATCCAGTTGTAGTTGTATCCCGCACGGATGTTCCTGCTGACGAAAGCAGCGTCGGTCTTCGAGTACTTTGCATTGCACAAGACGTTGCACTCCTCTTTCTTCAACATCAGGATGTCGAAGGGCGAATTGAAGATTCTGTCGCCGAAAAGAATGGCACCCAAGGACTCCAGCTGCTTCTTGGGACCACCTGGCGGCTGGCAGAACTTGAACTTTGGATAGTAGTAATCATAGGAGTAGATTTGAGTTTTAGTCTTTTCCCGTTGGCCCGTGGACGTCAAGTGGGTCATGGCCGGAGTCAAGTGGTTGACGAACAACTCGATGCGGTCGCCCTCTGCGTAGTTGGTCGGGGCCACACCCGGCAAATAGAATGCCTGAGCACACGCCACCATGAAGGCGGCGACAAGAATAGACCAAAGGTGCGATCTCATGGCAAAGGCAGAAAGAGCAGCAGGAAAAGCTCGGAGTAGGCTGGGATGGAAGGAGGGTCGCCCTGGATCGATCGTGTTGAGAGCGAGTGTAGAGGGTATTTTTTCGTGCAGGACAGAGGGCAGTACCAGCTAGAGCCAGGAAAACAGCGAGTGCTCACCGGTGCCGCGTTTCCTGAAGATAGCGAATGCGCTGGCTCTTTTTTTTGACATCCTTGATGTAGGCTGGGCGATTCGGCGCCATGTCACACTCGTAGCCACAACGACGGCATGTCAGACACGGTGTTCCATCCGCCGGACACAGTATGTGGCGAACCCGGCATGTCCAGCATCCGTAGTAGCTTCTCGACGAGTTGTTTTGGTTTTCGTTCGGATGTTTGCATCCGGTGCTGCTGTGCGGTCTGTCACCCGACGTGTGGTTGGTGTTTTTTGCAACCGGATGCCAAAAGGGCAGCACCGCCTGGGGCGGATCGGCAGGCGCCATTTTATATTTTTTGAGGTGCTTGAGAACATATTTGGCGCTGGCTTTTTGGCAGTTGTGAATATTTATACTGCTGGGCTTTATGGGCGAAAGCGTCTTCCTCCCGGGCCGTTGGGTACCTGCATTGCCCTCGCAGACCCTTGTCAGTCCGCACTTGTCGGGCGCTTGGGTACTCTTTTTTCGCTGAGACACCCTCTCTGGAGGAATATATGGCTTAGGCTCCTTGAGTTTTCTCTTTTTGATTGGCCCCTTTTCTTGCGCTGCACCGGCGTCTTGTATGCGTTCCCGATTCTGAAACCCACAAGGCACGTCCTCAAGATTTGCAACTTTGGGTATAGAGATTTCCGGATGTGACTGGATTGGTAAGGATGCCACTTGGTACGGCAGCAGAGGGGGATCGCCAATCAGATTGTTGAGTTTCTCGGAAGACAGGTCTGCTGTCTTGGGTTGAGTAGAGGGGAGTAGCACCAACTGAGGAGTCACCTTGCGAGGGGTGCTTGGGAGCGTGTTGCCCATAAAGTGGTTGCATAGGTCAGAGAGCTCAGAGGTATCGTAGTTACACGGCAGAAAACGCCAGGGGTCATTCATGAGAGAAAAAGGGTGGTGGTTGAAAATTGACGGGTGGCTGCAAATCGCGATTACTATGTAGACGTTTCGCCTCTCGCGCTGGCAAATGTGAGCATCCACGACAAGTCCGTCAAAAAGAACCGGCACGCCTCCGTCCAGCGGCTGTTCAGCGTGACACGGATACTTTTTCCTCCGATCTTGTCGTGGTTTGGTGCAATTGGGTACGGGAGCTCAAACTCCTCATCAAACTCGGTGATCTTCGCCTCAAGCTGGCTCGCAATGTCTAGCAAAGCAATCATCGACACATCGAGTTTGTTGAAGTTAAAAAGCTTGCCAAGAGTAAACTCGTTGGTCGAGTGTAGCTGTAAAACGGGAGAATTCTGGCTGCGGCCTTCTTCGGGCGCATGTCTTGATGTTTTCACGAGGTACGATTTCGAGCCCATAGCTACTAGCTTGTAACCATCAATATCAACCTTCAACCTTGTCATGAGAAACTTGAGAAGGTGTGCAATTTGGCCAAGTGCAGCATTGATCTCTGGCCAGGGTATCTTGTGACCGAGCCGAAATCCGTTAATTTTGCCGCAGGGCTCGCTCCCGTCAAACAGAATTTGGAATAAGCGATTAAAGATGTTGATCGTGCGTAGCGAGTCTAGGTGATCTAGCTGCTTCTGGTACAATGCTTTGGAATGGTCGAGGTGGCTCTGCTTCTGCGTGAGATCCATGGTAAGTGTGTTTTTGAGTCGAAGTACGTCATTGAGGCTCTCCGAATTGAGTTGTTCGAGCTGTTCATCTAGTTCACTTAGCTGAGTTTGCAAATCCTCGTACGTCTTCTCCAACTCCTCGAGCTCTTCGAGCTTGTTGCGTTCTAGATCATGAAGCAGGACTAATTCCTGGGCCGTTTCCGCCAATTTCGTGTCTGTCTCAGCCTCTGCAGTTGCGGAAAAGTTATTCTCCCTCTCTCTGAGTTTCTTCAAAAACGAAATATAGTACTCTTTCTCGCGTTGGCTTTGATCAAACTTGAACTTGTAGTTATTGATAAGTAGTTGAGCACACTCTGAGCTCATGGGGTGAGAAACATCTTGGTTTTGCGACAAAATGTCAAACACTAGCCCTAGTGACTTGATTCTTGAGAAATCCGGAAGCTGCTCCTCGTGGTCAGGGCTTTTCGAACCTTGTCTATCACTCTCCTCAGGTTCATCCTCGTGATCAGAGACGTAGACATACGAATGCTTGGAGTCGTACGACAGCGGCTTTTCTTGCACCAAATTACTTCCATTTTTGTAGATTGCAGCATCGCTAGTGCTGCTGAGCGCTTCCTCTAACAATTGGAGTCTATCATGGGGAATGTACTTGGAGGGTGACGCCAAGGGGACTTTCGGGGTTTGCGTTGCTTTCTTTATGATAAGATCTTTTTGAACCTTTGATAGCTTTTTGAGTGAGTCGTCAAGCCGCAATGGCGTTTGACATTTCAGGCAGTGGTACACACTCATGTGTTGTAGGTGTGGTTGAGATTAGGGTTGATAGTATGTTTCGCACTGCAGCTGACAGCTTAGCCTGGCTTTAAACAAGGATATCTCCAACACCATCCGATGTATACATTTAAAAGGAAGTAGAGTAGTAGAAATCGTTTTAAAAAGCGGCTTACAACGTTTTTAAATCCATTGGTCTACTGAACGGCGAGATTAGCTCTAAATTATGCGTCTCGGGGTCTAGGAAACTCGGGCCGCCCCAGAATGTTCAAACGCCTCATTTGAACTTACAAACGAACTTTCAACAGGCTTGACCAAATTTCAGTTTTGCACAAAGCATTATGGTTTACCTAAGTAGCAACCACTAACAACAAGGCAACTTGTCCGAGTGGTTAAGGAGAAAGATTAGAAATCTTTTGGGCTTTGCCCGCGCAGGTTCGAGTCCTGCAGTTGTCGTTACTTTTTTCTAAATTGCAGCCATTACGGCCGCTATCTTTTTACAAATTGCAGCCATTTTGACAGTCACTACTTTTTTTTCCAAATCGTCAATTCATTTAGGCGCTAGCCACCGAGATGCTTCCTCCTGAGAAGTGGCTATAAAATGTCCATCCCAATTATCAAAATCCGCCCATTCAAAAGCCCCACAATCCTTATTCTGATAAACGTTTTCACACAGCCAAAAGTACGTCCCTCTCGTCTCCTTGCTCTTGAAGGCCCGCCGTAGCATCATTGGAATGTCGCACCGGCACCTTGGCAAATTCCGTATGAAATCGGCGGGTAGTGCCGAAACGTGAGACTGATTCGTAGCGAGCCGACATCCGGATGTAACAGCACCAGCTTCGCCATAGGCCCCAATGTATGTTTGAATTCCTCCTGGCATCCTGGCCGCATGAGGAAAACACTGTTATGCGGTAGCGGCACCAGGTAAACCGGCCCGGTGTTGTGGGTCGATCGGAGCTTGAAAACTCGCGTCAGCCCAAGCAGCACCGATGCTATGAAGTTGTGCGGACCGATGCTGGAAAGTCTGTCCAGATGCCAATCCAAGTGATTGTTCAATTTTTCGTACATGTTTGCCACGCAAAAGCCGGCTTTCCAGCGATCTTCCCGCTGAAAAGGAAGCCGTTTCGACCCGGGGATCACCGTCTCGTTCATCCAGGTTTCCAAGCGTTTCGCAGCCAGATCGAAGCGGTGTGTGTATTCATGAGCCCCAGCAGAGCCTCCTACCGCGAGCCCATTGTACACCAAGGCAGGGCAGTCGTTGTCGCGGGCTGCAAACGGTGCCACCAACATGTTCAGCTGGCAGAGATTTCCGAAAAGATAAAATTGCCGAGAATGGAACTTGTCTTTGGACGCGACAAGCTCGTGTAGCAAGCCGTCTGCAAGCTCCTGAGGAAAAAAATTGAGATGAAGCAGGGCATAGCAACCCAAGTGCTCCCTGACATCGTCAGGCGTATTGAGGGTGATTGTTCTGTGGAAGGGGCCCTGTGCGGTGCGCTTCTGGGCGTCTGGGGCTACAGGCTCGGCCTTGCGTTTTACCGGAAGGGTGCGCTGCACTGGAGCCTTCAGCTTTGCAGGCCCATCAATGAGCCTTCTGGCCTGGGCAACGTCTCCATGGCAACCACGCAAGATTTCGCTGAGCACAGACGCGGAGAAGCCGGGGTAGTAGAGCTGGAGAAGCTCCAATTTCTTGTTGAAGAGGTCCATCCCCGCCAGCATTGTAGACTGGCGCAAACGGCACTTTTTTTAGTTCATCGCGAACGGATAATTGCTAGGAGACACTTGATCCCACTATATATGCACGCACCAACGCTAAATTTTTGCCTGAATCAAGTGCCGCCGGTTCCTTGTGCTACTTTTCTTTCGCTGTTTCTGCCTTGATCCCCGGTGCCCGCCCGTGGCCTTCTTCTCCCCAGCTGCGCCCGAATCATGTCAAGCCACTCCAACTCCACTGATTCCGATCCGGACCAGAAACCCTTGGCGTTTCTGAACAACGACGAGCCACTGGCCTCCAGAGACCATTATGACGACAAGGTCATCGACTCCGAGCCCCAACCCAACTCTCCCATGAGTGCTGACGCAAGACTCTCCATGCAAACTGTCTCCGAAACGTGGTCTGGTTATCACAGAGAAACGAACGAATGCACGGAATTCTGCCAGGACTATTTTATCTGTTTCGGTGCATGCGACGCCTGCTGCCCATCCACAGGCGAAGGCTGCTTGAGTTCCACCGCTGCATTTTTTGCAAATATCATGGTCGGTTTCTGCAAGTGCTAAAGCTATCTGGCATTCGCAGATCTACAGTTTCACTTCGATCCTCCCACAAGGGGTCCGCGTATCCGTCTCTGCAACACTGCATTTTTTAGAACGCAGATCTCCATCGCCAGCCCCTGGCTACATAATACCCCTGAAATTACATATATATATATATTCTTTCAATTGTTCCATAGATCTTTGCCGAGCCCTCGATCCGGTTATTGTTTGCGCCTGCATCCGAGCATCCGCTTAGCGATCTCTCGTTTTTTGCAACCATTATCTACACCCACGTCACAAATACTCTCCTTCTCATCCGCTCATGTCGCCAAATCTGACCAGAGCTCGCTCTCGTGGCGTCTCCCTGCCACCAGAGCGACGGCCACCCCCTGTAGTCGGAACTCCTTTGAAAGCAAATCATTTCAACACTCATATCGGAATCCACGATCCTGCCCCGTCAACTGACCAGGAATTGAGAGAGCTAGCTCTTCAGCAAATGAGGAGCGAGTGTGTACTCCAAAACAACGGATACGTGAATCTGTCGCCAGCTTTCAATGCCACTCTCAAAACATCCTCCCTGCCATACTCGGCCAACGTCTACAAGACAAACTCGAATTCAGTGATCCCAAAACCTGAGTTTGTGTCAGATGCAGATGTTGAAACGGCTAAAGCTGGTACATGTGACGAATTGAACGATCTTCAACCGCAAGTCTCTTCCAGCACAGTAGTGTTCAAGCCATTACATGAGATTTCACCAACCAGTCATGACTCCCCTTACGGCAATCAGTTGAACCATTCCGATGCGATGCAAAATCCATCTTCCAACAAGGGCACCGGAAGCGACGACCCATTGGAAGAGAAACTGTTGGCGACAAGAAATTTCACAGTCTCTCAAATTGTGGCCTGGGTGTTACTCTTCCTCGCAGCAGGGTGTCTTGTCCCGGCCACCATGTTCGCCATCAATGGCAGTGCATTTTCGACTGCCAACTACTTCAAAAATGCTGAGCCTGAAACTCGTGTGAGTCTTTTTGGAGATTTGGCGAATAAATTTAGCCTTGAGTCACCACGGTCATCGAGCGATTTTGTTACCCCAAAGTTCGATGGTATCGTGTACTCGCCTTTGGGCATTCTAAACTGCAATTTCTCACGGGAAGAAGCGAAGCAGGATGTGCTTCTTCTCTCAAGAATAACCTCAAAAATTCGAACCTATAGCACGAGATGCAATCAAGTGAGGTACCTTCTCGAAGCAATCCAAAGGACGAAAGTTCCATTGACCGTCTCTGTGGGGTTATGGATAGGCCCCAACGAACTGCAAAATATGATAGAGATGAAAAACATACTCCGCCTCATCGATGAGTTCCCGGAAGAACTCATCAAATGCATCTTCGTCGGCAATGAAGTGCGTTACAGAAACGACATACCGGAGAAGGATCATATAAATCTCATCAAGAGTTTAAAGCAACATGTGGCTATAGTTGGAAAGAAGATCCCGGTCGGAACAAGTGAGCATGGTAGCGCCATCACTCCAGAGCTTGCGCAAGAATGTGACATCGTCGGCGTCAATGCAACTCCATTCCAGGACAGGATACCGGTGAATTTAGCAGCAGATTGGATATTGGAGCTTATAGAGCAGAAGGTTCAGCCACTTGTTCCCTCTGGCACCCAGATCGTCATATCTGAGCTCGGTTGGCCATATAATGGTGGAAGTAATGGGGCCGCCAAGGCGGACCCAAAGAGCTTCAATGGATTTCTTAGCTCGTGGATCTGTGAGGCTGCTCGCCGCATTCGAGACAAGTATGAGTGGTACTATTTCGAAGCCTTCGACGAAGAGTGGAGGTCCCAATTGCCAGATTATGCATCTTGGGATAGCCAATGGGGGATTTTCTCCAATGAAAAGCACTTGAAGACCAATGCCATCTTACCTGTATGTCGTTGATCTAAAGCTTCACTAGGCTGTAGTTCAACCACAAATAGAAGAACGAGAAGCAACCGAATGAAATAACGCAATTCAAGATGACCCACAAGTCTGGAAGGCTTGCTGGTGGGTCAAAGAAGTAATCGACAGTATGGTAGGCAATGGCAGCGACATATGACGCAAGAATAACAAGCTTAATGACAATCAGCAGCAGCTCAGGCCACAACAAGCTCCTGCTTGGAATGCTGAAGCCTCCGACAAACCAGTTCACAAGAAGAGTTAGGGTCACATATTGCAAGACTAACCCGTCCTTCTTAAGAAGCGGGTACAAGCTGAAACTCGAGATGTTATTGATCCACTGAATGATACCAACCATGTTAGGATCAGTCAGAAGTAATAAGAAGGTTGATGGAATCAAAGGCACCAAAACTGTCTTCTCGTGTACTTGGAACGAGAAGAGGTAGAAGCCCCAAGCAGTAGCGCTAAAGCCATAGATCAACAAAGTTGGTGGTGTCGATTTGCGGGTGATGTTTTTCCAGAATGCAATCAAACAGGGTGGGAGTATTGACAAAAGTGTCAACCCAAGGGAAAATATCTTGAGTTGCTCTGGGCTGAAGTACTCTCTATATTTGAAAATGATGTTCGTAACGCACCAGAAGTTAGCAACCTTGTCTTCGAATAACCCACGCTCAAATGGAAACATTCTGAGTACAATCTGCCTGATGAGTTTCTCTAGTTCAGTGACATCTTGAGCCGCCACAAGAAATGGGATAAGTACGGCTATAATTGAAACCACCACTGTTGCTCCAACTGCAATTAATTTGGGAATATCAAAGGTTGCAATCGTTTTGACGAGCTTCTCTTGAGGTTTGAACAATTTGGACAAAATGTAAAAGAAAATGAATGGACTGTAATAAAGTGACATTTGCTTGAACATGATGGAGGCAATAAACCAGACAGACGCCATCAATAAATTGTCCTTGAGTAGCTCCGAAACGGAAAACAAAAAGAAACCGAGCATTATGGAGTTGAATTGAAAATGACCGTGATCAATCAATATCAATGGTGGCTGAGTGACGATCAACGCAATTATGACAATTTGATGCATCCTTCCGAGTCTAAGCTTCTTTCCACCAAGCAATGACACTAATTGTAGGATGGCTGGAAATAGCACAATGAGCTCACTTGCCAAACTGGTGTATCTCATGTATGTCTTGATCGCTGGCGTCTCGATACCTCTGGACTTATCAAGTTGGAACCAGCTGCTGTCAATTAGGCTACCAAAGATACCACAGAGCCACAGATGGTAAGCGGTAAGTGGCGGATAGTCGAGACCCCAGTATTGCAAGTCATAGAAGTACCATTCGTTGATCGGGAGATGAATTGTGATTTCCATCCAGTGTCTTTGGGCTTCAAAGTCGCCATTGATAGGTTCTTCCCCCTTTCCAGACCAGGGCCCAAGGCCTACCGCACTTCTTAGCAAGATGGCACTCAATATTAAGATGTATCGGGCAGCCCACTGGTCGGGCGCTCTCTCGAAAACATGCAAAAGATCATACAAGGGGGTCTTGAGATAAGGATTCTGCTTGTATGAAGAGACATCGTCATCAGCCTCGACAATTCGCTTCTTTTGTGGAACTACTTTCTTCTTTCTGGCGGAATGTTTTCCCATGGTTGGTGTATCTAAGCTCGTTCAATGTTCGAAAGTTTGTGCAGATCTGAAAAAGTGAATGTCGCTATAACTCCACTATTATTATGGTGCGATCATCGTCTTGGTTTCATAACTCTCTGTCTGCACATCAATATCAGAGAAAATATGGAAGTTTGGCTATTTTGAAGTATCAAATCCTATCAGAATCACCATTCAGTAATTGCCTCCGTTAATTAAGTGTATCCTCCATATGCTGTGGTTCATGGGGCTCTGCCCGCGCAGGCTCTAATCCTGCAGTTGTCGTTATCTTTTTGCCTCATGAAACATCATGAAGTAAGTCCGAGACTTTTTTATCTGCTTGATAATACCATTTTCTCATTCTGAGCATGGGAGTCGAGTCTGATTGGAGCAATTTGGGCAAAAGACTTATCTCTTGCTACGCAAAATGTGTTCTTGAAGATGCAATGAAGCTCGACAATCAGCCTTCGCTTAGGTTGCGAGATCAACGAGATGCTCGGCTTGCAAACACAATTAACTCGTTGGTTCATAGCATGGCTCTGTACAGAAACGCCATATACGCTGAAAAGGCTCTAGATGCCGTGGATTTGGGAATAATCTTCGAGCGGCTAGATCTGCGTGAGCAGTCTCAACCAGACGATGCATGGGGCTATGAGGACCTTCTTGTACAAGAAACCCTTGCTTACTTTAAAAACGATTTCTTCAAATGGATTAACCAACCTGACTGTGACAGTTGTGGTGCAAATGGGGACAAAGTAGAGTCAATTGGGGTGGCAGGTCCACCAATCGTGAATCCTGATGAGATCAGTCGAATTGAACAGTATAAGTGTAAGTCATGCGGATCAAGGATTGAGTTTCCAAGAATCAACAGTCCAGCCAAGCTTTTGGAAACTAGACGAGGGCGCTGCGGTGAATGGGTCAATTGTTTCATGCTCGTTTTGCAGTCGGTGCTTGGGCCCGAAGCTCAGCTCAGGTACATCTGGAATATGGAGGATCATGTCTGGAGCGAGTACTACAGTAAAAAGCAGAAAAGGTGGGTTCATCTTGACCCATGCGAGAATGTATTTGATGAGCCCTCGCTATACTGTGCAAATTGGGGCAAGAAAATGAGCTATGTCATCGGAGTGGGCAATTCCTATATCATTGATCTCAGCGACAAGTATATCACTGACGAAGCAAAGCGCATACCAAAGCATGATGTCGTTTCAAACGAGGCAACGATTCTGAAGTACATAAAGCGGATCAATGCTCGTCTCATGATCATGTTTTGGCACGAGAGCTTAGATGACGGAGATGAGTATGACAAATATGATAAGTTATACGAACAGCTCATTCTAGTTCACAACAAGGAAGTTGCGTCCCTAAAGGATAGTTCTCACGCCCGCGTGGAAAAAACTAGCATCCCAAAAGGAAGACAGACGGGTGATGCCCTGTGGACCAAAGCTCGTGGCGAGGATGGCGCCTAAAGCTATGTCTGCAATCCCTTAGATTGCCTGAATAACTTGAGCCCAATCCATGAAAGTAAAGCCCACCACCAAAACACAACATATAGGCACCACAAGCTAACAACATAGTAATCCACAATCAAAAAGCCACTTTTGAGGTACTTGTATAAGTCAATGGTCTCAGAATAATGCTTCAACGGTGCAATTATAAATCTCCAAATCTCGAAGAACGAGTTTACCGATATTAAGAATATTGTCCAAGTTGATACAAGTACAATGATTCCAATAGTCTTGAGACTCACAAAAGACGCTGTTTCATCCTCTTCGTATATCTCGTCATCTGCAACTATTAACGGAAGCGGTTCATCTTTCAACATGTAAGTTTCAACGTGTAGATCACTCGATTCGAGTAGCCTTGTGCATAACTTGCACCCGTGCACCGAATCTGGCTGCAAAAAAATAAAAGACAAATACCCAGTCTATAGCTGTATATATCTAAATCTATTTACTCATTAATACTGACTTTGGCACCACCAAGAAGGTTTGGAGCTACCTCTTGAAGCCAGGCAAGCTCAATCACTGAGCAATTTCTGCCGTAAGCCTTGGCAGTGTAGACGAACTCAATATACATGATGGCGTCAATGTTCGCCTTGCCAAACAAATTAGATGATGGATGAATGCTTATAAGTTGACCCGTTGAACAAGTTCTGAATGATCTGTCAGGCATCCCAATTGCGGTGTTTAGCGCAAAACCCTTCACGAAGGATTTGAGAATGGCAGGGATGTCCAATGCTTTCGAGAGCAGTTTGAAATCGTCTTCTTCGTTACTCTCGTGGTCAGCTTCGGAGCTGAGCTGGTTTTTGAGCTTCTTGAGCTGTATATCTTTTTCGGTGTGTGAGATAGAATCGTCCTGTTTGATGGTGGAGAGCATATAGTCTGTGATCTGTTTTCTAACTCTCATGACATTCTTGAAGCCTTTGTAGCTAAAGAATAATTCTTTGCACCACGCTTTGAGCTCGGATGTATGTTTTGAGTCGCTGAGTTCTTTGTAGTAGTTAAAATACTCGTTAAGTGCGATCAAGTCACCCAGCCTTGTACCCAAAGGACAGTATTGCCTCCGTTTGTAGTTGATCTCGTCTCTAAGATCTCCGTTTCCGGTCACATTAAGGATCAAATTCTCAACAGAAAGACATGAAACAATATCAATGACATCTTGAAGGACGCCATTATCGAAGGCCGAGATAAGAACTGCCGATAAGGATGGGGGTAATGGCAACACGGCCATCTTATAGCCAAGTGAGGTTATTTTTCCAGTCTCATTAAGCGCCCCAAGAAATGCAATGTGTGAAGAGCTCCAAGAATGGCTTCCTTACCAGGATGCTCAAGCCATGTCCAATTTAAAAGGTCTTCCACTCCCATCTTCTTTAAGGTCAAGACAGGTAGGATAATGTCATTACGGACGATTTCAGATTCTTGTTGTTTGGGTAGCTTGTTGAGGAAAAGTTTTTCAGAATATAGCCTGAATACTTTGCCCTCACTCTCTCTTCCTGCTCTACCCGCCCTTTGCTTGGCCGATGCTTGCGAAATGGGTGTCGTTAGTAATGTGGATAAGCCAAGTTGATGCCTCCACACTTTAACTTTTCTCAACCCCGAATCAATGACGTACTTGACGCCACTCACAGTAATCGATGTCTCTGCGATGTTTGTCGCTAGAATGACCTTTCTCTTTCTCGGACCTAGCTTTTCAAAAATTTTAATCTGTTGGCCTGGAGACAATGCAGCATAAAGAGGTAAAGCGACAATCATGGGAGCCTCTTTAGGAAGCAGTGGTGCTAAGGTGTTCAAGATGGTAACACAGTTATCAATTTCCTCTTGACCAGGAAGAAAACACAAGAAATCTCCCTCCTGCTCTGACATGTTTATTTGAACCACTGACCTCACCATTGTATCGACGATATCCTCGGAAGAACCGCTAAGGTAGTGCTTTGAAACTGGATACATCCTTCCCTCGACGTATAAAATTGGTGCGTAGTCAAAGAATTTGCTGAAAAGGTCGGCATTTAATGTAGCAGACATGACGATAACTTTAAGATCTTTTCTTCTTCCACTCACAATTAACTGCTTTAAAAAGCCAAGTGTGAGATCTGTGAGAACGGTTCTTTCGTGGGCTTCATCAATAACGATGGTGCTGTACTTGGAGAGTTTGTCATCCAACATGAGCTCTCTGATTAACATACCGTCTGTGAGGTAATTCACTTTCGTGTTATGTGATGTGACGTTGGAAAAACGGACTTGATAACCGATCTCTTCGCCCAACGGACAGCCAAACTCCTCGCTGACTCTAGTTGCTAACGATGCAGCGGCGACTCGACGAGGTTGTGTAACAGCAATCCGTTTCTTGTTAAGCGGGATTAAGAATTGTGGAATCTGTGTGGACTTACCTGAACCTGTTTCACCAATGACAACGACCACCTGATTGTTCTGAACGTAAGAAGTGATCTTCTCCTTGTGGTGATAGATCGGAAGAGTCTTCCTTAGTTCGAGAAGGCTCTGTGCTTTATCTTTAAGAACTGCACGGGAAGTAGTTCTATGGGTTTGAAAACCACTACCATCATCGTCCTCGTCGTCGCTGTTATCATCATAGAACACGGCTCTCTTTCCTTTCGACTTGTTTGCATTATTTTTGATCTCCTTGTTTTGTTTATGCGTCAGGTTCTTTTCAAACTTGTTCTTGCCTGCTTTGGAAGCATCCTCACTGGATTGAGATGAAGTCTCTTCTATGATCTGTTTAACAGGTACACTTTCTTCAGATGTGACAGGCTTTTCGACATGACCCTCCTCAGAGGAATTCTTCACTTCATCATCTAGATTTATGCTGGAGTCGAGAGGCTGCAGATGATCACCATTGGGTAACTCGATGTCTTCTTCAGTGAACCTTGTCTTCTTGTTAACTCTATTGGTATGGACATCCACTTCCAGATTGCCGGACTCAGTATGAGACTTCTTTGACCTCTTTCTCTTTCGTTTTTTGGAACCGGTGCCATCCAGCCCTGCAGGCGCTGGTCCGGGAGACATATGTTTCGAGACTTGGTAGTAAAGAGATGAGATGCGCGATGTGTCTAGCGATTGTGGACAATAACCCAGTAAGTAGGCCTAGGATTGTCCAAACATCACTCATGATTTAGAAAGTGACAATTTTATTGAAAACCAAACAACGCATCTCCTGAATTTCTCGTCGCCCCGTATATCACAAATCGGCTACATCTGGTGGACATAATTTATCGCTTGAGGTACTACTAGTCATATCGCGCACAGTTAACTTCAACGCATGCTAAAACTACTTCAGAAACCAGGACCTCGCCTAGCCAGACGCCAATATCAGCATTTAGCGGGCAAATTGCTCGCCTCAAATCAAAGGTGGCAGTCCACTGTGCCGACCGTGGAGCTACCTCCAGACACTATTTCAATTGTACCATCAGTGACAGAACTCACGAAGCCAGAGTTCTACAAGACAGATTTGGAGGGTTCGCTTGTGGGTCATTTACTCAACAGAGGCCTTGTGGAGTCACTCACCAGTGACGATTTGTACAAGCTCACTGAGGCCAACGCCAAAAAGATGAAGCTCTACTGCGGTGCTGATCCCACAGCTGAATCCTTACATTTGGGTAACTTGCTTCCTCTAATGGTTCTTCTCCATTTCGTGTTACGAGGCCATGATGCCGTTGGCCTTGTTGGTGGTGCCACTGGTGCAGTTGGTGACCCCAGTGGAAGAAAGACCGAGAGAACTTTGATTGATAATCAGGAAAGAGCCGCTAATGTGGAGAAGATACAATCTCAGATTAAAAGTTTCTTGGCCAATGGCGTTAAGTACGCTGAATCTAGACACATTGAAGCTAAAGGAGTAGGCAAAATCCACAGTGCTAACAATGCTTCATGGTGGAAGTCAATCTCATTCCTCGACTTCTTATCAACTTACGGAACTCACATACGAGTGTCTCAAATGCTTGCAAGAGACTCCATTCTGTCTCGTTTGCAATCTCAGCAGGGCATTGGCTTCAACGAATTTGCATACCAGGTCTTGCAGGCTTACGACTTTTGGCATCTCTTCAAAACTGAAGGCGTGAACGTTCAGTTAGGAGGAAACGATCAGTGGGGTAACATAACTGCTGGTGTTGACTTCATTTCCAGAGTTCAGCGCCTGTCTGGTGGGGTGGGTAAAGAAGGCAAGGAATTGCCTGCTTACGGGATGACCGTCCCTTTGTTGACAACTGCTTCAGGAGAGAAATTTGGCAAGTCCGCTGGAAACGCTGTGTTTATTAGTAGCAAGCTTACTACCCCATACCAGCTTTATCAGTATTTCATCAACTCGCCCGATGATCTTGTCAGTAAGCTTTTGAGAGCACTCACTTTGTTGCCAACAGAGGCTATTGATGCGATAGTATTGCGCAAACATGAAGAAGACCCTGGTAACAGAATTGCTCAAAGAGTGCTCGCCAGGGAGGTTGTTGACATGATTCATGGCCCTGGTGTAGGAGATGAGATGGCTTACATCACTAGCTTCTTGTTCCCCACTCCAGACCAGCCATTTGACGATGACCTTACCGCGGACAAGTTAATCAGTAAATTCAGAAACTCCGGAATCTTGCAAAGAATTCTGCTTGGCTCGTTCAGTAACCCAGACGATTTGAAGATGAGCACATTGCTTTCCAAGATCCTCAACAAGTCAAAGAATGAAACCAAGAATCTTATAAAGGGTGGAGGCATTTACTTCGGTGTGAACAGAGACCAATTTGTTGATCCAGATGACGTCGTTCTTTTTGATAAAGAAAACCACTTGATGGATGAGAAGTTGTTTCTCATCAGAACCGGTAAACAGAACTACCACGTCGTTGAGGTGACTGAATAATTCTATTGAAAAGATTACATGTACATAGTTTAAGCATCCTGGCTCAAGACTTCTTTCACAGCTTCGATCACCTTCGGGAAAATTGCCTTGTTGGCAGCGATCACACCTTTAGAGTCCAATTGTCTACCTTTACCAAAGTCGAGCGCTTGGCCTCCGATGTCGCCAACCTGGCCACCACTCTCGTAAATCAAGATATTACCAGCTGCATGATCCCATATTTTCTCCCTGTAAGTATCGCTGACGGGCAAACGCAAGTAGATATCCGCCTGACCCTTGGCTAAAACGCAATACTTGACTTGAGAGTCCAAATTGAGAGTCTGTTGAGCAACTGTGTCTTCACTAAAGCCCAACTTCAGTTTAATCTGAGATTGAGTAGAATGCGAGGAATGGCCCTTCTCAACTCCCTCCACCACTTTGAGGGTGGCAGAAGACGTCTCTGAGGTCATTTGGATCTTTTCTTGGTTTTTCAAGGGCACAAACTCATCCGTCTCGAAAAGTGGGGTGTAAAAAGATCCCACACCCTTAACAGCAGAGAACAAGCCTCCTTTGGTACCTGACTGTTTGTCATTCAGCACGATGTGCTCGGGTAAGTTGGGGCAACCAATGACACCGAGAACAACCTTTCCGTCTTCGATAAGGGCCAAACACACTGCAAATTGGTCTCCTCTCAAGAAACCCTTAGTACCATCAATTGGATCGAGTGCCCAGAATCTGCCTTTAGATCCCCCCTCATAGTTACCTAAGTCAATGCTCTCGTAAACCTCCTTCAAATCCTTAAGATCTCCAAGAGCGTCTGAAGATTTTCCAGTTTTTTGTTGCGTTTCACTTAATAGGTCCAAGATACGCTTACTGAGTGCATTGGCCTCTTCAGTTCCATCCTTCAAAGACAGAGAGTCCTCCTCTCCAACTATGTTATCATTCGGGAAATTGAGCTTGATAGCTTTGTTGATCAATGCTTGCGATGCATAGTCACCGACTGTCACGGGCGACTTGTCATTTTTGATTTGTGTGCCGCTTTTCGACAACTCCACTATGGAATCACTGAGTCCCTTTGTGAGTACTGAGGCTCTTTTGACCGCAAGAGAAGCAATCTTCAATTCTTTAGCATAAGGATGATCAACAGCAACCATTTTCAGTGACTGGGCAATTTTGAAGTATCTGGATAACCACACGGCGGCAACGACAGATAGTAATAAGAAAAGGAATTTCGGTCTGGCCATATCTAGACGTGCGGGCACGTGAGAGAACTTGACGTTGATGCGTAGGAGATCTCTACAGGACTGTGATTTGCAGCCATTTAAGAAGTGATGTATCTTGATCTATGGAATCTAATAAATAGGCATTTTCAATACCTTGGTCGTGGAGCATTAAGCCTGATTACTGAACAACAAAGTCAGTGACGTTGAATTTTTGGGAGGAAACACCCATCAGGCTGATGTATTCCTTGGTCTCGTCGGACAATCTCTTCGTGGTCTCATCATCCCACTTAAACTCGTTTCTCATGATTTCGACAACACCGTCAACAGCGCTCAAAGCCTCTCTGGCGTTCAAGAAGGCCAATCTAGTTCTTCTGGCCAAGAAGTCAAGAGGGTGTCTGATGTACTCGTACTGCAAGGAGTATTTCAACTCAGCAATGGTGAAAGGCTCGTCGAAGGACTGGTAAGACAAAATGGTGCCGTCGGTGTTTTTGGTTTCGTTAGGAATGTATTCGTGAGTGGCAGCCAATGTGATTGGCAACTTGTTGTAGTCATTTTGTTGGTACAACTCCAAGATGAGGGCAGCTCTAGAGCCATAGTTGTGACTCAAGTGCTTAGCCAACTTCAATGGGATCTTGTACTCGTGAATCAAACGAGCAGAGTAGTTCTTAGAGTAGTCCTCACCACCGGCAAGCAAGATCTTGTTGGTCTGGCAAGACTTCAAGTTCTTGCCGCCGAAATCGTACTTCTTCACCAAGGTGTCGACAGTCTCCTGGGCCATCTCTCTGTAAGTAGTCCACTTACCACCGGAAATGGTGAGCAAACCAGACTCGGAGATGGTAATCAAGTGAGAACGAACCAAACCCTGGGTACCAGAGTTAGCATCCTTACCCTTTGGAATCTTAGCAGGGTCCTGAACCAATGGTCTGATACCAGACCAGGCAGACAAAACATCCTCTCTGTTGACGGGGAAGACAATGTACTTTTGCAACTCGCCCAAGATGTCAGTGATTTCCTCCTCAGTTGGCACAGGGTTGTTTGGAACCTTCTTCAATGGGGTGTCAGTAGTACCAGCGAGGACCTTACCTTGCCATGGCAAGAAGAACATAACTCTACCGTCAGAAGTGGAAGGATCCAACAAACCCATGGAGGTTGGGCCGTAGTACTCAGGCAAGACAATGTGAACACCAGAGGATGGGACAACCATTCTTGGGGGCTGGTCCTGCTTAGGAGGCAAGCCTTGAGGGTCCTCGTCCATTTCCAAAAGCTTGTCAGCGAAAGGTCCAGTAGCGTTAACAGTAGCGGTAGCCTTGATTCTGTACTCCTCACCAGTCTCCTTGTCGACTGCGAGAGCACCGACCAACTTGCCATCTTCCTTGATCAATTGCTTGACGTCCATGTAGTTCAAAACGGTTGCGCCGTGGTCAACAGCGGTGACAGCCAAGGTAGCGTTAAATCTAGCATCGTTGAAAGTACCGTCGTGGTAGACACAGGCGGCCTTAATGTTACCAGTATCAATCATAGGGGCAATGGCGCCGAAAGTCTCAGCGGAAAACACGGTGGAGGATCTCAAGTTCTGGTGGCCGGCAAACCAATCGTACATTTTGCAGCCAATGAAGAAGTAGGGCACTTGCCACCACTTGTAGACAGGGATCATGATGGGGAGCACGGAACACAAGTGAGGAGCAGTTCTAAGCATGTTACCTCTCTCGTTCAAGGCCTCGATCACCAAGTCCAACTGGTCCTTGGAGAGCTGGAAAATGGCCTTTTCCAAGTATCTGACACCACCGTGGGCCATCTTGGTGGACTTGGAGGAGGTACCGGAGGCAAAGTCGTTTCTCTCCAAGAGACACACGTTAAGACCACGAGAAGCAGCATCCACAGCAGTACCGGTACCGGTAGCGCCACCACCGACAATCAAGACATCAAACTTGTCAGTCTTCTTGACGTTGTTCAAGAGCTCCTCTCGGGAAGGAGGAACGTCGAGCTTCTTACGAAGAGGCTCGTAGGAGTTCTTGAAGTTCGATGGGTTTGGGGACCTGACAAAGTCGAGATAAACGACGCCGGCGCCAACCACCGAGGCCGAAGCAGCGGCGGTCTTGAAGAATGTTGACTTGAAAAAGCGAGACATTCTTTGTGAAAAAGAAAAAGAGTGGTTGCTTTCAGAAAACGAAGTGGCAGGAACGGGAAAAAAAAGGTGTGCCAGCAACGGTGATGTGAAAAGTCGAGGGTAGTGGGGCAGCACAAAGCAGCAGCGACCGAAAATTAAGCAACGGCAGCGGTCCCGGATGGAGGACACAACACCGGTGCTGCAGATCGCGTGGACCCAAGGCCGAATCAAGCCACTAACAATCGCAAAAGAAACTACCGGCGTGACCCGACAGGAAACTGACCAACTGTATCGCCCGGTTTAGTTGGTTCTTTTTAAAAGCGAGTCAAACTTGGCTGCGAAAAGGCCCCGAGGATGCGCAAATGCGCAGCGGCAGGGCATATGCTCCGTGCCATGGGCCATGAGGCTGGAGGCCGTTTTCTCGTTTTTCCGGTCGCGAGGACAAAGCAAGCGAGCAACCGTATGGCGGGGGAGGGGCAACGCAGCATTTTTTTGAAGTTATTTTTTGTTCGCCAAAGGCGTTGGCCATGCTGTAATTCTACGGCGAAGGTGGGAAATTTTTCCCATTGACGAAGCTAGTGTGGTAGTATCATGGGTCTGGTTCCTCGGTACCGCACCAGCGGAGCCTGGGGTGCCCAGCCGCCATTGATCCGCACAATCATGTGATTGGGCCGGCTGCCAGTGCTCCAGTGCATCTGGGGTGCAGAGGTGATTGGTTAGATGAAGGAACCCGTGTCTTAGATTGACGCCGCTGGCGAGGTGGTCGTTAATATTGCTGATTGCGTGATTCTATGGCACGAGCGTCTTGGGCGGGTCGGGATTAGTGGTACCTTGGCGGGCGCCGAGGAACATGTCCGGACGCCGAGGCTTGCAAGATGGTCTGGGGTTTGGTTCTGTGGAACGTGATTCGAGTTTCAACAAATTAAAGAATTTTCTAAGTTTGAGCGTGTTTTTCTCGGACGATGGTATGATGGATTGGGATAGACGGAACATTCGTGCGCAGCGGTTGCAAGTTCTCACCACGGGCGTGGAAAAGCAGAAAAGTCGAAAAATGCTCGCTCGGCCTGAACCGGAACATAGCAACTGGGGTAATAAGAAATCGTACATGGTGGAAGAGGCCACATAGAGAACAGATGATTCGAAGCTAGCGATATGTAGGATTGACGTCTGGAGACAAACCGGATTTCCAGCGCTGTATAGAAGGGCTCACAGCCTGTGCGTTGGCTGGTGACTGGGTATGTAGGGCGGTTTGATCAAAAATTGGCATTTGAGAAAAGGTGAAACAAATGGCACACACTCCTGGTGAATTAGTCGGTCATCGAAATCAACAAAGGACGACTCCGGTGACTTCAGTGCCTTAAGTGACAGGGCAACTGATAACCACTGGCTGTTGTGATTCTGGACTGTACCGATTACAACACTGACCATGACTGCGTCCAGTCTTAGTCGGGCTCTACTACATACCAGGAGATCAACACGCCAGCGCCTACCAACCCATCAATAAAATCCGGAATTTCATATGCCTCTTTCTGAATGATCAAAGTGAAATAATAAATCCACCTTGATATTTTCAATCGACTTGCCCACTTCTCACCACACTTAGGAGTTACCCCCGCGCCTGCAGTCGTCTCACATAGAGTACACAATCTTCATACACATTTTTACCACGTCAGACCATGGACTCTTTGACAGACGAACAGAAAAGTGTGCTTGACGAATTTGTGGCCATTACCAATGTCTCGCTTGAAGACGAGGACAAGGCCGAAAAGAGTGTCATTTTGCTCCAGAATCACAGCTTCAACTTGAATAATGCTGTCCTATCGTTCTTTGAAAGCGGCCTAGATAACGTGCAGAGGAACCCAACACCCATTGAGGAACCAACGCCGCTGGATTCGCTGGCGTCAGGGTTTGAAAGATTTGAATCCAATGCAGTGCATAGAAATCTACATGACGAGTTTGTGCTAGATCATTTGTTGCCAAAGCTACCCAAGGCCCCAAAGATCAGCAATCACTGGCAATTCGACCTCGGAATCCACATGTCTCGGAGAGCGTTGGCTGTTTCGGAAAAGACAGAGGCTGAATCACCACCTGTGGTTCAGAAGAAGCCCTCTATCTTGTGGATCATTCTCCTTATTATACCCAGGGCATTTTCCATGCTCTTTTCTTTCCTAAAATTCATGTTGGGCTGGAACTCATCACCATTGTATAAAGCACTTCCCAGCCTGTTTAATTGGGACACTTATGATGAGACTTATGACATAACAAGCATCGCCGAGGGCATTAACCCTACGGAGCTCCATTTACGAACCACAGATTTCAACAAATGCCATGAAGAGTCTCAAAAAGACTACAAATTCTTGACAACCATATTGGTTGATGACTCATGCGTCGAATTCGCTCGCCAATTCGTACAATCACCTCATTTGAAACTGCTTCTAGACGAATGTCCTGATAACGAGATCTACTTAGCCAACACTGACAAGAGTCCCGAGGCATTTGAAGTAGCTCAAACTTACAAAATTCGGAGACTTCCGTATGTTATGCTTGTGGGCAATGTGACAAGAAACCCTCAGGTTATGTCCTCGATGTCTATCATCTTCAAATCGAACATCTTATTCGATATTGATGATGAGCAACAACAAGTAGTGAACAAAGTTCTTCGCAGCTTGAAGAAGAGTGTGAATCATTTTAATCCACAACTTGTCTCCAAGCGGTACGACAAACAGGAGATGGAGTTGAGTCGACTTCTTAAGGAAAAACAAGACGAGGCTTATCTTGAATCTCTCGCACAAGACAGAGAAAAGAAGCAAGAGAAGCAAAGGAAGGAGGCGGAAGAGAGTCTGAAGAAGGAATTGGAGCAGATGAGAAAGAACTTCATTCAGACGTTGGTGGAGAAGGCTTGGTTTGAAGAGCAAGCACAAGAAGCAACACCAAAGGATCTGATCAGAGTGTCATTGAAGATCCCCGATGGTCGCCGTGTGATTCAGAAGTTTCCTAAAAGCATGCCTGTCGTGGCGCTCTATCTCTTCGTTGAGACGCAACTCTCTCAGAGAGAGGAGAACGAGGCTTACGAGGAGTCGGAGTTGACGGTAGAAGAGTTCTGCGAAAAATTCGACTTTAATTTTGAGCTATTCAAGCCATTCCCGAAGGTAGTCTTGCCATGTGAACAACAGACGATTGAGGAGTTCAATGGGTTGAAGCTGGGTGACAACATCATGGTGGAGTATCTTGGGGAGAGTGAAGACGAAGATGAGGCATAGACAGCAATGTTCGCAACCAAACTTACCTTCGTTCGAATAAGAAGGCTTCAAAATGAGAGACTCAGCATACTTTTATCTTCATATATAGCACGACAAAGTACATTGGCAAGTAATTATTTTTCGGTCAATTCGAGTATCATCAGTCATGCCCTGAATGCACAATTACGGTCAAACAGTGCGACCCATATCTAAGTATGCGGGGCTTGGCACATAGTAAAATCAAATTAAGCTGCGACAACCTACAACTCCTCTTTCCGGAAACCTTCCAGCAGTTACAGACATAAACAAAAATGGCGAGTCGTCAGTCCAGATTAGAGGCTGAGAAATTGGCCATCATCCAGAAATCCATGTCGAGAGGCCGGTCGAACTCCCCTTCCAATAGCAACAGCAGATCCTCTTCAACCCTGAATGACGAGTTCAACAATAAAGACATCAAGTGGTCTATTACCAACCACGATCCACTGGAGCGCTTGAGAGACACCAATGAACAAGCCAATGACGAAAATGGTAATAACGCTCTCTGGGAAAATGAGGTGTCAGAAGAGGAGCATATCAGTGACGATGACGACAACGAAAAGTTTCAGTACGATGGGACAGGTAACATCTTACCCAATTACGCCTGCCAGGATGAAAAGATACTGGAGATTTCCACGATTTTGCAGAACTCGAATTTGAACGACAGACAAACCATCAAGAAGCTCGAGGAGTTGACCGCCACAGAGCGGGCAGTCGCTAATGCACGAAACATCGGGAAGGACGTCGACCTTGGAGTTGTTGAGAAGCTCACACAAAACAAACATGCACTCACAGGCAAGGAAGGATTGGATCTTAACAACTCCGATCAGAATGCCGAAGCCAGAAGACAGAAATTGGAGACCTACCAAGCTTACAGGCGGAAGATCATTGATCAAGAGAATGAGCAGTTGAGAGGCCCTCACGGAAGCTATTCTACCAAAGACCAGGATGACAACGGTGAGGGCGAAGGGTTCATGGCACCTTACACTTCTGCAGTGGAGGACAAGTTGGACTCCGAGTTTGCATCGCAATTGAACGAGACAATCAAGGAAGGCGAGATTGATTCCAATATCGCACACTCTAGAGTTATCCAAACGATCACACGTGGTAACTTTTTCCAACTCATAAATCCTAAGGTCAAGCCCAAGATGTTCCTTCTTTGTATGGACTTCAGTCCAGAGTCAATCTTTGCCCTTGAGTGGTGTTTGGGAACTGTTTTGGTCGACGGCTCGGTTCTCTTCATCGTTTGTGTTATTGAAGATAATGATGCCAACCATAATCTTAAAGCAAACTCCACTAACGAGAGAGAGACCGCAAGGCTCAATATGCTCAATCGTGCCAAGCAACAAGTTTTGAACTTGTTGAAATTGACTAAACTACAAATTCACATTGTCATTGAGATAATTCATCACCCGATCCCCCGTCATCTTATTTTGGAATTCATCGACAACCTACAGCCTACGCTAGTTGTGGTTGGTTCAAAGGGTCTGAGTGCTATCAAGGGAGTCCTCTTGGGATCATTGTCGAATTACTTGGTCACAAAGTCCACTGTCCCTGTGATGGTGGTGAGAGAAAAGTTGAAGAAGATAAACAGATTCAAGAACGGCTCCTCCATCTTCTCCAACAATATTAAGCCTTTGACCTTGTCTGAAGCTAGAGTTGATTGATCACGATACTTTATTTCTTCTACGCATTATGCAAATTTATACTTATCATAAACGAAATTACGAAGGTCTATATCATTGCACCAAAACCATAACCGTTATCCATACCCAAAAAAAAAAAAAACCGTCCGTAGTAAGAGCAGCTTATAAGAAAAGCTCTGTGAATGCACGCTTGCCACGAGAAAATTGATGCGAGCAGTCTGCTGCTGGGCATTTTCGTGGAGCGCTGATCATAGGATTGTCAATTGACACCTCCTGATCTTTCTTCTTAGATCGCCTTCCTGGTGCTCTATTGCCAATGTTCTTTATACATCTTCCGCAGAAAACGTGGCCACATTTTCCAACAAAAACACGTTTGGAGAGTGCCCTATCACTATCTAGACATTGCGTGACGCAGAACCATGGTGCTTGGACCTTGTTATCCGCAACATACTTTGACAAATTTCTGTTATACTTAGGGTCGGGTATGAAATCATCGGGATGCCTTCGCCCAACTGTATACCACATAATTCGCAAAGTAGATTATCTGTGGGAGTGATGTTGGTTGTGTGCAAATTATCTTCCTCCTTAGCTTCATCTCGCTTTTTGCGAAGCGTATCTCGATTGTAAATCTTTTCCTTTTCTATCTTACGATCAAGGGCCAGATCGTCCTCTCTTTCTAAACGAGCTAGTATAGCGCCGGATATTTCATCTGTTGTGTCTTGTGCATGTAAGTAATTAAAAAAGGACCTTCGCTCCTCTTCCGGTAGATTGAAGAAACTGAAAGGTACTGCAAAGTTGAGTCTTTCCATAAGCAGCTGTCCAGCAGTTCTTCTTCTCGTATTTCTTCTTGGATTTCTACCGAATAGTGATCGCTGTCTCATTGGTGGCTGCGGCGTAGGTGGCGTTTGAGTGGAAGCTCTTTCCTCACGGTGGTCATCAACAGGAACAGCCTCCATGGGTGCACCAGGATATTGAATAGGTGATGGTCTCATTTCATTTTGACCAGTAATTTGAATCTCGTCATCGTCCACGGCTGGAGCTGGAGCTTCACCGACTATTTCTAGCTCATCATCGGAAGCATCCAGCTCGGCATCACTTGGGACCTCTATGATGCTGTTTTGATGTTCTTGTTCGTTGAAGCTCAGGCCGGACTCATTTTCGCCATCGCTGACAACCTCTATTATACTCGAACGCCGCCTTCTTGACGGTTGTTTAGTATCTTGCTCACTCATCTTGTCGTAGCTGTGGGATGTTGGTCAAAAAGGATAACATTCAAGTTGGAACTGGATTATTTTTGGAGCAAGTAGAGCTTAAAAGTGTGACTGATGAGGAAAAAACTTAGTTGTGTTTTATGTTAGGTTCCGATCGCTGACATATCAGGCACCATGCGAGGTAACAGTACTGCTGTATTTTGTGCACGTGACTTCGATCTTCAAAAGTAGGAGGGATACCCAGATCTACGCAGTTGTTTAGGGCAGTCTTGCTTTAAGGTTAAATGAGAAGCCCGTCTCTTTTTGGCTGGCTAAAATTCAAAACTCGCATTCAGCGTTAAATGATTACCAGTTCGTAGAGAAAGGAAATAAATAAGGCCCACTTTACGGATCACGGACTTAATCGTCTTTTCTTTTATTATCGATGCAAATCTGCCTAAAATACATGGTATGCCCGCTCAATGCTTCCCTATAATGCGTGTTGTCACGGCTTATTTCTTCAAACCGCTTCTAACGTAACGACCAACGACAACACAGTGGTCTCTCTCATATGGCTCCAAAGTCAACTGCTCCAATGGCTTGATTCTCTCCTCTCTCAATTTCTGGACCTCTCTGGCAAAGACAGTCTCAGCGTCAACAGTGGAGTCAATACAGTTGGCCTTGATGGAGATGACAACGGTACCCTGGTCCTTCAAGAACAAGTGGGAGTTCAAGGCGATAATACGAGCCTGGTCAGGCTGGGCCACATCGGCAAACACAGCGTCAACCATACCAATCAACATACGGTACTTCTGTGGGTGACGAGCATCGTCAATGATTGGGATAACGTTTGGTCTCTTCTTAGCCATGGAGATCAACTCTCTACCAGGACGGTGAGAGAACTCAACGGCAAAGACCAATCCGTCAGGACCGACGACATCGGAAACGTGGGAAACGGAGGTACCGGAGGCAGCACCCAAGTACAAGACCTTCTTGCCTGGAGCGATACCCAACTCATCGATACCACCCATAATACCGGCAGCCAACTTGGATCTGAAAGGGTTCCAGACACGGTATTCGATCTTGGTAGGAGCAGCGCCCTCCTCCTTGGCTGGCTCGTCAATGGCAATTCTCTTCTCGCCGTAGACGGACTCACCTGGGGCCATGTTCTTGGTGACCAACAAGTCCTCCTTACCTCTGGCAATGAAGACACCAGCGTGTCTGTGGGGCTCAATAACGACCTTGGCACCACCCTTGGCACCGCCTCTAGCGCCACCACGACCGCCTCTGGCACCACCACGGCCTCCACGAGCACCTCCACGGGCACCTCCTCTGGCACCTCCTCTAGCACCACCTCTGGCGCCACCTCTGCCACCTCTTGGAGCAAAGCCACCTCTGGATCCGCCTCTGGCGCCGCCGCGGGCACCGCCTCTACCGCCTCTAGTTGGGAAAGACATTATTGTGTGTTTATTTGTTGTTTGGTAAGGTAGAGAGTATGAGAAGTGGGAAAAAATTTTCCACAGTATAGTGCGCTCCTACAGATGCCGTGCGGGTAACCCCAGCGATTGGGAAACCCATCGACGTCAATACGCCTGCCACGCTGTATAAATATTAATTTCTCTTCGTTAATAGGGTCAAACATTTTTGTTATTTTCTAAGTCTGGTGCTTTGGTTTGCTTCAATGTTGACATATCAGTGTAGGGAGCCGTTTAGGCCTATGAACGATGAAAAAATAGCATTTTCCTACAATTGGTGACCCTCCAAACACCTCCGAGATTTTTTATAAAGCTTTTTCGAATCAGCAGAAAAGCACTTATTTATCCATGTAAATTTCGGAAAATGTTTTTTTGTGTGGGTATTCCTGGTCGAGTTCAAACTGAAGGTCTATTGGTGAAAACGATGCCCATCGTGCGGCACGAAATTCACTATGTAGTTACCCTTTTGGGACACGTTATAACGTATCTCACCCCACACTAGTCAAATTGACACCAAACATTGTCTGAAAGCTGATAAGACCCTCCCAATAGTACCTCAGAATTATCAGACTTATCAGACATCACTTGATCCAGATTCCATTGGATAATCGGTTTATCAGTTAACACCTGCACATACAGCTGTCTTCCTCCCAATTGGGTATCCGATCGACCAGAGGATCCGGTGCCGTATGCGTGTTAGGCTACGATCAATAAGTATCCAACATCACCATGTCTCTTCACACAGTTGCCATAGTGATTGGCACCATGGTGTGTGGGTGTCTTAACTCCCTTCTTACCAAGTACCAGGATAACCAGTGTGTCAAGAACTGCTCAAATCCTGATGTGAATACCCACCAGAACTTCGAGCAACCTGCTATTCAGACTCTACAGATGTTCATCGGCGAGTTTGGCATTTACATTGTGTACTACGTCATCTACAAGTCTCCATTTTCACGGAGAGCCGAATATCAACCGTTGACCGGTGAGACACGGCCTTCGCTGAAGAGTCAAAGCATGCTTCTTGCTATTCCGTCTGTGTGCGATATGTTGGCCACCACTTTTATGAATGTGGGCTTGATCTACACACCCGTCTCGATTTACCAGATGACCAGAGGCGCCATTGTTCTTTTCGTTGCTGTACTTTCGGTAGTATTTCTTCACAGAAGAATAAGGCCTTTGGAGTGGATTGCATTGGTAATCGTCACACTCGGTATAGGTATTGTGGGGTACTCGGAAGTCGAACAGGTCCAGCAAAAACGAATGCAGAGGAACCAGCGCTCGTGATCTTTGGTATGTCCTTGATTATAGTGGCCGTCTCTCTTCAGGCTGTACAATTTGTTGTCGAGGAGAAGATTCTCGCCAAGTACCACTTCACGCCATTGCGCTTGGTCTATACTGAGGGCTTCTTTGGCGTTACGATTTTGACAACCTCTTTGGTTGCTCTTAACTTCATTATTGGGCTGATACAGTCGAAGGATAATTTTGCTGACTCTCCATTCAATTTACGTGAATCGTTGACTCAAACCTTCTCGCTGCGTGAAGTTCTTATCTCCTCGTTCCTTATCATGATTTGCATTTCATCGTTCAACTTTTGTGGGGTCTCTCTTACTCAAAAGCTCTCTGCTACAGCACGTTCGACGATCGACAGTTGTAGGACGCTTTTGGTATGGATTACTGCAATGGTATTGGGATGGGAGTCATTCAGTTCTTTGCAATTGTTTGGCTTCGTTACCCTTTTATTCGGCACCCTTTGTTTTAACGGTGTTCTCCAACCAGAGGATTGGTCGATTATTCCAGACTTCCTCAAGGACAAGGCACACAAAAATGAAAGGCTCATAGACGTTGTGGACGAGCCTGTGGAGAGAATGTGAGAAGCCCCCATCGCGAGAACTGCAAAGCAACATAAAACCTCCCTCGCTTTAATAAACTATAGAGCTATAAATTAGTTAGGATTAAAATGGTCAGAGTGATATAAAGTCTAGTGATCTCTTCTTGATCGTTGTAGGATGTTTTGCAGCCAAGTGCACGTGACCCAATATCGACAAAACGATCTGTCGCTCGCCTACATAACGTTATTGCCACCAAAGTAACTAATCAAAATGGTACGTCAATTAAATAATTCATCCTCAAAAATCGAAACTAATGTCAGTCTTTGAGAGCTGTTCCCGAAAAAACAAATCCCTCTTTGATTTCAACCACCACCTTCGGGATGCTTCTGAGAACACACCAGCTTTGCAGGATACCTTGAGGGCACAAGAAGGTCCATTGAATATTGCTTCCCAGCTCAATAACCGTCATCCATTGGAGTCAAGAATTCAGAATTGGGAAAAAACTCAACATGAAACTAGAATGGAGACTTACAGACGTGTGTTTGGTGCTGGTGAACCAATCCGTAGAACCATGGAGATGGACCTTGTCGAGGCCACCGACTTTAAACCACAGGTGCTTGGTGGCGCCGACACTTTGCATAAAGATATCTTGATGAACAGAGAGAGTACAGTTGATTGGGAAGACATCTACAAGGGTGGTTTTGAGGCTGGCAGAAACGTTCCAGACTTCCACAGTGAGATGGAGAAGAGACTTGGAATCTAAAGGGTCATCTGAATAATTAGAATTGTCTACGAATGAAAAGGTAACGAGATCAAGCGTTGTAGGCGAAGGTGGTCAACCAATTCTTTCAACGATACGGAAGAAACCACGCAAGAAGAAATGGACGTACGAATAATGATTTTGAAACGTAATCTGAGTTACCGAAAGAGAAAATGACGGCTGACAAAGAATCTGTCTTGATAGGACAAAACGGATTTGAAACACCATGTCCAGGGTTAGCGCGTACGTAGCGGAATTTGTACTAGGTTGAGTTATTAGAATCTAAGTCATCGTTTCATGACAAAATGAATTTATTTAAAATATCAATTCGAAATCAAAAAATAGATCTAAAATGTGTCTTCATTTGATCTCTTCAACACTAAGAAATTTGGAAACATCAGCGCGACACTAAAAAAGTGCCGCATTAAAATTTTCCATACTTCACCTCCCACACATCTACATTTACGTCACCTTTTCTTCAGCAAAAGCCGCGTATTTACCACAAATCCCTCAATAAAAGCATTTCATAACACTGCTTCAAACTAAAAGCCCAATGCAAACCGATTCGCATACCAACATGTATGTTTCTCATACTTCAGCTAACGATGAAACCACCTCTTCCCCAGCGAATACTAACGATGCAAGGTTCCGCAAGGAGCATTCATTCAATGAGGCAGCCTCGTCCAATGAAACACCTGCTACTTCGTCCCAGTCCTTCAATATCCCCACCAACAAAGGCTCCAAGAGGTATCCAATCCAAGATGTCTTCAACGTGTGGTATGAGGTTAAAGACCAAGTTCTTAACCAGCCACCAGCTTCCAGGCCCCAGGAAAACTACAAGCATTCTGTTCCCAAGGAGATCTACCATCTCAACTTGCAAAAACAAGCGCAAGGCGGTATGCTGATCCAGCCTACGGATACATCGAGCCAGTTGGATCCGCTGTATCAGCAGAGCCAATCACTGAACCAGTCTATTCAAGGGTCTGTGCCTTCTTTGGAGGATGAAATGGCCCAGATGAGCGTGGGAAAGAAGCTGGCACCGCCTCCCAACCTTGCCCCACCAGAACGGTCAAACTCTACCGATCGAAACTTGGTGCAGCCTGAGCATCTTTTCTGGCTCTATCTTGACCCATCTGGAAATGAGCAAGGTCCGTTCCTGGGTCTTGTTATGCAAGAATGGCTTACGGACGGGTACTTGGATTTCGATTTGCGTATACGTCGTGCTGAAGAGTCCAACTTCTACTCATTGAAGCAATTCTGTGAAGGTGTGAAGAATTATGTTCAACCGTTTAAGGTACCATTGCCGGATTTGACTGGATCTCAGCAGGGTCGTGACTCTCTGCAGATTCCTAATCCTCCTCTAGGCGATACCAATCAACAGTCTGCATTTGCGGCCAGTAACTTGTACTCGTCGCTTTTGCCAAATGGAGGTAATCTGAATCTTGGTGCCGCATCCATGAGAATGAGTAACTCCAACAACTTATTTGATTTCATGGGCTCTCGTGACTATCCGTTGATGAACCAACCTAACCAGTTCTCCAACAATCAATTTGCCATCGATCCCGTTAGCATGAACTTGGGCCAGAACTTGGGCCAAAACTTAGGTCCCAATCTTGGCCAAAACTTAGGCCAAAACTTGTCAGGCAGTTTTGGCCAGTTGCATATGCCTTCCTTGCTCCAGCAGCAGATTCAGCAGCAACAGCAGCCTAACTTGTCCAGGAATAACTCGGGTTGGGGATTGGACACAACTAGTGGCTTGATGGGTGGAAACCCTCTGACTCCTGGTGCTGTAAACACGAATCTTGCTGGGTTAGGCAACCTGGGCCAAATGTCGCCTTGGCTTTCTGGCGTACAGTCGGTGTCCAGAGTTAACTCCCCATTTGTTCCATCATCCTCATTGACAGGGTCTGTCTCTGCTGAGGGTTCTGACATCGCCAAGCCTCAGTCTGACGATCCCGTTCTCCATGACATCCACAGCTCGATGGTCACTGGCATTTTGAATGACGATGATCATCGCCGCCAACCTGCTGAAGAACCACCTGCTGAACCAGAACAACCTAGTGAAGCTCCTTATGAAGATCCTACTGCGAAAATGCCTGGAGCTTTTATTCCAGAGCCCGAGGTGGAAGAACCTCAACCTGCATCACCTCAAAAATCTGTTACGGAGGTGCCTACCGAGCCAACGGAAGAAACTGTTCCTGAGCAGCAGCCAGAGCCAGCAAAGGAAACCGTCAAATCAGAAGCCAAGCAGGAAAAGCCCGCTTTGGCTCCATGGGCCAAGAAGGCTGCTTCTTCAACAGAACAAACTAAACCTTCTATGACTTTGAAAGAAATCCAGGCTTTGGAAGCTGCTCGCTTGCGTGAAGAGCAACAAATCAAAGCTGAGAAGAGACAACAGGCAGCTTTAGCAGAGGCTATTGCCATTTCGAAAGAGGAGGCAGCTGCAGCTGCAGCTGAGAAACCAACTTTCAATTGGGCTAACAATCCATCGCAGCCTGTTATTGGCAAGAAGTCTTTGGCTGAAATTCAGAGAGAGGAAGCTGAAGCAGCGAAGATTAAACACGCCGCTAGCAAGGCGGCTGCTCCAGCCAAGACCTCTCTTGCTAGCTCGTTGGCTGCCTCTGCACCAAAGGAAGATAACGCTTGGACCACCGTTGTGAGCAAGAAACCTGCTCCAGCAAAGAAGCCCGCTCCAGCACCTGTTTCATACTCTTCAGCTGCTGGTGCCTCGACGAGCTCCATTTCTCCTCAGATGTTGCGTGCTGCTTCTTCTACCAGTACCAACACACTGACCATCAATGGAAACGCTGTCAGAGAGGACTTCCTCGTGTGGGCCCGTTCAGCCATGACAAACATGTACCCTTCTGTTTCCAAGAATGACTTGCTTGAGATTTTCACCACCTTGCCTATGCATCCTGATTCCAGCCAATTGATTTCTGAGACAATTTACAGCTCTTCTGCTACCATGGATGGTCGTAGATTTGCTCAGGAATTCATGAAGAGAAGACAAGCTGTCGAGAAACAGGTTGGCGCTGGCAGCGGTGAGAATTGGTCCGCTGCTATTGTTACAAGTGCCGATAAGATCCCTACCGTTGACGATGAAGGATGGAGCACTAGCAAGACTAAGAAGAAGGGAAAGAAGAATTAGATTAGGTATGTACAAGCTGAATAACCAAGCAAATCTCCTTTATGGCCCGTAATTGATACTTTTAACAACCTGAGCGACGCAACTCAAATTCTCTTCAGGAATCATCACCACACCTGACCGTGCCATTGATAAATAGCTCATCTCTATGCTTGCCTCGCATGAGCTGAGGATACGACTGGCAAGACCTGCAACAATACCGGTCAAGTCAAGAGGAAGGGCTCGTAAGTCGATGTCGATGGGAAGAATGATATCTTGTGCAGAGCCAATGATTGATTTGAAGTCAAAGCCCATGGCAGCACGCTTGCGAGCTGAGCCCGGTAGTATGAGCGAAAGCTCGTTGAGTGACGTTCGTGTCATCACAAAATAGTCTGGAAGAAATCCTGATCCAATGCACATCGCAGCCTTCTCGATTGCATCCTTCACTTTACCGGGTCGGGCGCCCGTTAGTAGAAGTTTCTTACTTTTGCTGATTTTGGGGTGGATGCCGTTCTCTTGAAATAGCAGAAGAGTTTTGTCTTCAAGTTCCAGAGTACTAGTAGTTTGGTCTTCACTTTCGCTGGCGTTCTCCGCTTCAGTTTTAACAAAATAGCTGTTCGAGACATCGGAGAACTCAAACGACTTGCTTGTAAGAATTCTTACCACCTCATCCTTGTGGTTATGCGGTATCAAGACAATATCAGTGAAATGACTTGATAGAAAAAATAAAGGGATACCATTTTCTGAAAGAGGTCGCGTTAGTTCCAAAATTCGTGAAGAGTTGTTGGATTCGCCATCACTATCCACTTGAAGATTGATGAATTGTCTGTCGGCGGCCACCACATCATCATAGCTCAACTTCTGGCACACCATCAACAGTTCACGGAAAGTTTCCTGAAAGACTGTGGAGGAGCAGATGACGGTACACTCGTTAGGCGTCAAAGCGAAATGAAAGAAGATGGTCTCTTCGTCTTCGTCGTCCGAGGATTCAACCTCATTCTCGACAGGAGGAGGAGCAATATGTGCGTGCTTACTGCTGTTATCCACCCCGTTATCAGACTTCTGCCGAGCCAAGTTCTCTTGAGAAGCCACAACATCGCTTATTGCTGAATTAGAAGAATCATCACTCAACTCGGAATGCGACAAGTCATCATCAGAGTCGAGTTCAGATTCACTTTCCTGTCCAAGACCAGGGGAGTTTTTCAGTGACTCCTGCTTTAACAACTTGAGGATTGGGGCCGTAAATAGCCAAACTTTATCTCTTGGGATCGATAGAATCGATAGTTTGGTTCGGCTTAGGTGAACTTGGTTGCTCATGGAAAAAAAAAGTTCAAGATGTGACGTGATGAGATCAAAATACTTTATTTGAGTCAGGGCCTCATTGTTTAAGTAGATCTGAGCAGGACATGAATCATCACCCCTCTACGCAAGTTTCTGCGATGCGCGCGGATATGCAGCGCCTATTATTCATACTCTATTCCGCACGACGTAGTGCATCATATTGATCAAATCTGGTCCAAATGTTGCCTCTCGTAAAAAGTTTCCCAGAGCTCAATTGCTTCTTTCTGGGATTCAATGGAACTTTCGATATAGATTTCAACGCTATTTCTGAAGTCGTCAACCCGTTCCATTTCGAAATTGTCCATCTCCTCCTTGATTGTCTCGCTGATAGCATTGAAGCTCTTCTCGAATTGTGCTGTCTTCTGCTTCAAATTGTCGACCTCAAATTTCAATATGTTATACTTTTCTGACTTAGCTTTATGGCTGGCTTTGTTCAATGCCTCCTCCTTTTTGAGCAAGTCCTGCTGGAATGTATAATACTGGTTATACGTCTTCGTCCTCGTCTCAAATATGTATTTGACGGAACCAATAACCCTCAAATACTCCTCAATTGTGAAACCAAGCGTGAGTTGATCTTGCAAATTGACTCTGTCGAGATTTTCTTTGAGTTTCATGTGGATCTCTGCAAAGGCTTTGAGTAAAAGTGAGGTGGCTTTCAGAATCTCAAGATCAGCTAGCTCATCGATGATAGTAGCAATTTCCTCAGTCACGGCCACAATTTCGATTCGTTGACCAGCAATGAGCTCGAGTGATCTGTGGAATGTTTTGAGGTTATGTTCCAAATCTTCAACATATCCCTTTTTCCGTGAAAAGTAGGGGTCTGGCTCGGGAAGCTTTGTTGGTATCGAGAAAAGCGAGCTCATAAAGCCTCCTGTTCCAGAACCGGTTACTACCGATGTACTCAGCATACCGTCATTCTCGGGTTCTCCAGAATCGTCAAGAGCAACACCACCTGTGCGTTCTCTTTCTTTAGAGTCTCTCGCAAAATCTTGCGAGGTCAAGAAGATGATAAAGCTGGGATCATTGACGAAGGCCTCAATTTTGCTAATTTTTTGAAGCATTTTCTCGAGCGATAATCGCCTATTCTCTATGAAGTTTTCGTTAAAGCGCCCAATGTAAGTCTTTTTGGATGGCGGAGGTGGTATTATCCTTCCAGGATGGCTTATTTGAAGTTGTTTGTAAACCCAGCAAAAGTCACGATAACGCCTAGAGACAGTGAAGCGATTGGGGGATTGCTCGGGAAGCAGAAGTTTTAGGTTTCTGGTCTCGATCGAATACACAATGTGTGCATTAGTGATGTCACCAACCTTGATTGGGTTACCAACAGAAATTTCTGTACCTGAAGAGGATGATCTGCGGTTGTGCTTAGATTCACCAGGTTTACTGGGCGACTGAGTTAACTCAGCTTCTTTATCCTCGGTAGAATCAGGTTTGATATCGTACAAAGGAGCATTGCTCTCTTTCACAAGCTCGCTTGCTTTATTTGTGGGGCTTGCTGAACTCTCGTTCTCGTCGGACTCTGGCTTGTTGGCTATCGCACTCAAGGGGTCCGATACACCAGTCTCTTCCTTCAATTGTTTCACAACAGTAGCAGACGGGTATTTTCTGGCACGATGTGCACGGAACAGTGAGCCTTTTAGCTGCAGAGATTTCTTTGGCGATTGAAGATGGTCCGAAGGTTGTTCAGTGGCATTGCTTTGGGTGAGTACCTTCCCTTTATCGCTAAATAAGGGATCCGACGAGGTTACCTTCGATCGATTGGCAAGGGAGGACTCCATGTCGTCAAAGGCGGAGCCCTCTGTGAGCTCTGACATCAAGGCGGACTTCTGCTCCTTTAGTTCCTCCTTTCTCATTTCATGGATCTGGTCCAATTCTGCCTGATGTTGTTGTTGTGAGCCAAGCCCAAAAGGTGATGCTTGGTATGTATGGCTTTGGGTAGTATCATCTTCGTCCTCCTCGTCTTCCTCTTCGTCTTCCTGCTCTTCATTGTCATTCTCATTATCTGGGTCGTCAAGACCAAGGTCGGCAAATTGATTGCCTAGATGTGAGGGGAATGTCGAAGTTGAGGAGAATTTAGTAGATGGCAGTAGCACATCATCCCAGTGTGAGGCGGTCAAATCTTCATCCATGATCGCTGTGACTATAGTGTGTACTATCTCACAGTTGAATCGGAGGCTAGGTGGCTGTCTGGTTGTATGCAGTACATAGTCAATATTTACAGAGTTATGATCTCTAAATTGTTCAGTTTGCTATGTAATTCATATCTATGGGGCGGTGTATCCACCATCCACTAAAATATCCGTACCCGTGGTGTAGGTGGAGGCATCGGATGCAAGATACAAGTAGGCACCCACCAACTCGCGAGGCTGGCCTTGTCTGCCCAAAGGAATGAGTTTGTTCCAAGTTGCAGAGATCTCTGGGTCAATGCTTTCGGTAATGTCAGTGGCGATGTAGCCGGGAGAGACTGAATTGACTCTTGCAAATGGGGCCCATTCAACCGCAAGCGACTTGGCAAGCATTATGGTAGCAGCCTTGGCAGCGTTGTAAGGTGCCTGAAGCTGGGGAATGTTAACAACATGACCAGACATTGATGCGGTGATGATGAAGGAGCCCTTGCCCTTCTTTTTGAAGATCTGACCGGCAGGTTTGGCGCAGTAGTACACAGCGTTCAAGTCCAAATCGATCATTTTCTTCCACGCATCAACGCCTTCCACGTCAATGCAAGGACCCTCGGACCATGCCACGCCGGCATTGGCAACAAAGATGTCAAGTCCGCCAAAGTCCTTCTCAATCTCGTAAACGACCCTTTCCACATCGGTGTGGTCCGAGATGTTGCACTTGTAAGCCTTAACCTTCACTCCGTAAGTCTCGGCCAAGTGCTTCGCCTTGTCTTCAATTGGGTGTGAATTGTACCAGATGGCAACGTCAGCACCAGCCTGAGCGAATGCCTCTGCCACTGCCCAACCAATTCCTCCGGAGGAACCTGTCACTGAGGCGACCTTTCCTTTCAAAGAGAATAAGTCAAGAGCACTAGCAGCAACCTGGGGGCCTGGGTGGGCAAATCGCCGAGAGCTTCGTTTATAATTGATGTGACCATTTTGAAATGTAAGTTCTAAGTAGTTCGCAGTGAGGCTACGCGGATCCTTTTATACAATGTTGGCAAGGTTGCTAACATCTTACATTGGAAGGACAAAGCCTCTGTGTGTGGGCTGTATGCAGGTATTATGTTCTGATTCCGATCTAGCCACAGGGGAACTGGTCCGCTACATCAGAATAGCGGACCGATCATGAAAATTGAGTTAGTGATGTTCATTACGGTATTGTGTAGTGAAGGTGGCTTCAGGTAGCATAATAGAGTGCCCCGTTATACTCGGGCAATGCCATTTGCAGGAGCTGCAGGTCTCTCACTATTGCGGTTCGGACTTTTTCTGGCTTAGACATACTATTTAGTAATATGTTTCTAAGTCTCTACATCATTCAGAGTATGCGGGCCTATTTTATTGTCGGTTCTACAGCCATGATCATAGCAACAGGATTTAGATTAAGCCCTATTTCAAATAAGATATTGGTTACTCGGTGACAAAGATCCACCTTACCAAATACCACCGCCCTGACCGAAACCCATTGAGTTGAACAGGCCGGGAATTGAATTCGGTAGCTTGAACCCGTTGGTCTTGTGAGCACCATTTCCATCATGCTGTCTTTGCGGGCGCCATTGACAGATTTCATAGGCTGCGGCTGTTGTGGCACATTCGGCATGTTCTGCTGTAAAGGCTGGTTCTGGAATGGACCCTGTGTTGCGGTTGAAAAACCAAACTGTAGGTTGTTATTGAGCAGTGGCTGCAACCCCGGTTGGGCCATCGGTCCCGACATCTGAGGATGTGGACCATTGGCTGGATTCTGCATCACTTTAATATGCGTAGCGTTGCCCCGGTCATCATGGATGAGATCAAAGTGGTACCGGCCGGGCACATTCAATATCTTGAGAAACTCAGACATCCCCATCGATGAATTCCCCAAGAGACCTCTCACCACTTGAAACATGTTCATGACAGGAGCCAGATCAAATGAGAGTTGATTATTGGCCAGCATGAGGGTGAATGCATCGAAAGCTGCTTTCTGTACAGCTTCAACGTCGACCATATGTTTCTGCTCCGAAAGTGAAAAACGGTTTCCGCCTACTGGAAGCATTCCGTTGTTAATCTGCTGCAGTGAGGCATTATTATTCCAAATTCCATGTTGTGTCTCAGAACTGGACGTGTTCCAGATAGAGTTGTTTCTCGATGCACCATTTGACCACAAAAAGTTATTGGTTTGTTGGATGCTAGGCCTGGTATTGCTGCCAACAGATGCATTCAGAAATACATCAACCGACGGCGGTTGATGTAACTGGTCCAAGACAGCGTTCGAATTGAATGGACTGAACTGAGAGGTGCTCTGGTTGGCACCAATTCCTTGAGTCGACTGGTGGCTTGAAAATGATTGTGTTCCATTGCGCCAATCCATTCCTCTGAACCCATCAAGCTGTGAGTTGAATTCCGGATTTTTGTTAGGTGAGAAAAGCTGAGGAGCCTGCTCCGGTAAGCCGAACTGATTGACTTCCGCTGAGTTGATGTGGGGTGTAGAAACCGATGTTGATGAGAGTGATTGAGGCTTGGCACGATAAAGTTGTTCCAATAGGTGATTCTTGGGCGGCGAAGTGGTTGGAATGTCAGCCTGTAATTCGTCAAGAGGCATCAAAGGGTTTGTGGAATCAAGAGACAAGCTATTGGCTCTTTCGAGGAGTTCTTGCTGTTGTCTGCTCAAGAACTCTTCTGTCTCATTGAAGTTGTCTTGACCCATGATAGATTGAGGTAGAGGCAACGTTGACAGATGAGTGTCATTGGCCTCTTTCGTTGACAGAGCCGCCTCTATTGGATCAGAGCTTGACTGATTTATAGGAGTCTCCTGAAGGGTAGTCAGCTCTGTTCTCTTCGTCTCTGAATTCTTCGGTTTCTCCTTGCGTCTCTGTTCCTCGCGCCGTTGTTGCTCAAGCCTCTGCTCCTCTAACTTCCGCTGCTGAAGTCGCTGCTCCTCACGTTCTTTCTTCTCCTTCTCGCGCTCGAGTTCTTCTTGCTTCCTCTTCTCAGCTGCTTGTTGCTGTTCAAGCTCCTTCTTTTGCAAAGCTTCTATGCGCTTCCTTTTTTCCTCCTCTTTCTTCAACCTGGCCTCTGCTTTCTTCTTTAATTGCTCTGCCCGAATAGCCTCCTGCTTTCTCTCTGCCTCTTCCTTACGCGCAAGCTCTTCCGCCTCTTTGCGCTTCTTTTCCTCTTCTTTTGCCAACTGCTGTAAACGCTTTTTCTCTTTTTGCTTCTCCTTCGCTTTCAACTTCTTTGCTTCTCGCTCTTTCTTAGCGTTTTCTTCTGCCTCAAGCTCAGCGATAAACTTCTGCGTACGATCTTCCGAAAGCTTACGTTCGTAGGCTTCCATGAACCTCTCACGAATCATGTTGACGGCTTGAATCATAACGAAACCTCGGATTTCCTGAGAACGCCCGCGCTGAGCTTCCTCATCATCGAACTCACCATCATCATAATCTTGATTACTATCGTCATCGTTCAACTCGTCATCATGATCATAATCGTCGTGGTCGCACTCGTGATCGCATTCGTGGTCACATTCATGATTATGCGTGCATTCATGGTCACAAACATAGTCGTGGTCGTGTTCGTGCCCGTGATGATGTGCCACATCTTGCTGATTGTAGTATTCCTCCTCGTTGATACCAGCATTATCGAAAGCTTGTTCGGTATCTTCAGGAGCAAAAGATAGATCTGTATCAACATGTTCGTTGACATTGAGCGGCGATTGTAGCACTTGTTCATTTGGTGGTTCAGATTCGCCCTCCTGAATCTGTTGTATCTTGGAATCAACAAGGTTCATGCGGGCATTCCTGGCATCCGTTAGTGATTCTAGCATATCCACAAATGACTTGCCATCATTCTTCATGATCAAATCTGCAAAATTTGAGAGGAACTGCAGTACATCGTTGAACTGATCGTTGGATTCTTTGTAAAGACGACTGCAGCATCTTATGAACTCCACCGCTTTCGCAAGCCCATTTGCATCATCTTTTTTGATATTGGCGAAAATCTCAGTAAGATTCTTAGCAGACTCGTCGATTGCAGCTTCCGGTTTTATGTTTCTCTGTAGAAGCTCATACTTCACAAGTTCTTGAATCGTGTTCGGGTTGATGAGCTCCAGGACCTTTTTGGCTTTTCCGAGGATATCTAGCATTTCTTTTGGCTCAAGATTCATTAGTAGTTTCTCATCTGGGTCCTGAGAATCATTTTCTTCCTCTCTCTCTTCGATAATATGGTCATTGGCTTCATTCGATGACACTGCTTGCGTAAAGGGATGATCCTCGGTATGGATTGGTTCCTCCATATGTGTATGAGCCGAGGGAGTGATGTGTTCGTTATTTCCGTGGCTTGCCGCAGCATCGATGGTATATTGGTGTTCATATGAGGGATTTGGGTGGAAAGGAGGCTCGGAGAAGCTGCGAGGAAACTCTGCACGAGCATTCATACAGCTCTCAAGATAGTTAGCTATCACATCAAGATGCTGGTTGTATGCTATAGCTAGCTCATCCTCTATGTAGCGGCTATTCCGCCCACAGTAGGCACAAGTGCAATGCTCACCTCCTTGGCTGTGGTGGTGCTCGCCGGTTCCGTATTGATTGAGCGGCAATCCCTTATTCGGATGATTCCGTTTGAGATTTCGTAGGTTCTCCATGAGATGCTCTTTGTCGACACGAAGTATGTCTCTCTTCTCATCATCGGACAAGTTTGCCCAAAACGCTCGTTCTTCGTCGTTGTGGAAATGAAATAAAGAGAAATCTAGCAGTTCTCTGCCATGCGGTTCGGAGTATTCGGGCACTGCAGATTCGCCAGTCGGAGGGTATTCGTCGTCGAGGCTCTCCACAATCAAGTCTCCCGAAGGTCCCACCTTGATTACTCTTGAGGTAGGATAGTCAGCTTCCGGATCGTGGATTCGAGCATCATCAATGGAAAACATTGGATCTTCTGTGGAATGCTGTTCCTCCGTTGGGGCATCATCATTTGCTGCCTTTGACTTCTTCTTCTTCTTTTTCTTCTTCTTTTTAGCAGCCCCACTGGATGTGGCCGTATCTTCTTTTAGTTGGCTGTGACTGTTGGGCTCATGGGAATAGTCGAACCGAACGTCGGTACCGTACTTGTATTGTGTGGCATCCGTCATGATGACGTTTCGGTGTAGTTCTTGCACGTATGAGTTGATCAAATTTGTTAGGCACTTCTCGCGAAGCCCGCCACTACTTAAAGTTGACTACGGGTGAATTGAGTGAATAGAAAGCTCCGGATTAAGCAAAATCGTCAAAGTTTGTTTTATTGAAAATTACTTCATTACAAGTGTTTCTAAAAAGATTCTGGGTAGTATAAGTCGGTTTTGCAGACCGTCGGAATCCCCAGATCCTCTGTCTCAGGCCTGTAGCTTTTCGCACCCGAGCATTAAGTCTGTCTCATCCCCTCTCAGGCATCATTTTTCTTGTCAAGCCTTTCCCGAAGCTTCTTGTTTTCCTCCACAAGATTGCCGACTATGCTTGATAGATGGTCAAGCTTCTCGTATAATGCGTATTGCTCCCACTTTATGCCTCTCTCGTTGGCTTTCTCAACCGGCGGAATCACTTGTTCGATGTCTTTCAGTAAGGATGGGAAGTCTGCAGCAAATTCCGGATCCTTGTTTTCTGCAACGCGTTGCTCTCTGAGCTCAACATTCACTTCATCATCTCTCGTTTCGATTCCGCTGTCTCCCATTACCAACAAGTCTACATCGTATCCGTCTGTCATGTCCCACTCGGTGTCGATTTCATTAGCATCATCGGGAAGACCCTTGAAGCGATTGTACTGGACTCTTCGAGCATTAGCAAGCTCATCAATAGTGATGTACAAAAGCATAGGTGAGTAGACAATCGTCATCACCACTCTGTTGATGTACTTGTATGTACGCTTGGACACCACGTAGTAAAGCGGGAAAATGATCCACTCGATCAAGTTGAACGGTGGGACATACAAGTCTGTATCTGGGGCACGAATGTAACGTAACGTTTTCTGAGCCACCAAGGCGAAATACTCGTCTGTGGCGTTTTCCACAATTGCAGCGTAAGCTGTGGAATATAATGCAACTAGAATGTTCATCAATATGACTTGAAGAACAAATGAGTAAATATAGTATAATACCAGTGCATATGGTGGGACGAGATTCTCGACATCATTGAAGCCAGAGGCACCAATAACAGCATTCACCAATGAAGTCAAAATATGTTTGGTGGCCTCGCTTTTTCCATCTGATGCATCAAGGCCCAAAAAGCCTTCTAAAAAGCCCAAAATCACTACACCAAGCAAAACGAAGAATAGAATAGATTCTTTCATCATCGTCTTGATGACAACGATCATGGCTCCCACAAACTGCTGGGCATCCAAGTATAGAAGAAGGCGGGACCACATCAAGGGTGAGGCACAAGACAACACACGGAAACTGATCTCATCGTATTTTTCTCTGTAAAGACCGGTATGTCTGAGAGATGCGAAACGAAACCCAATGGCAATGACTATGATCGAGTACATGACGTCGTTGAACACATTCCAAAAACCCAAATAGTTCCAGCCCACATGGTATAGTTTTGTAAGCTCGTCAATGATCGAGCCCAAGGTAAACGCATAGAAGAAACCCTCAAAAACATCAACGTCAGTTGTCACGATTTGATGAGTATTCAAAATGATTGTGTAGAAGATCAAGTATAGCACACTAAACGCAATCTCAATCTTGTTTTGATACGCCGGTGTTTTGATTCTATCCGGATCAAAGTGTGTCCTGATAGACTGAGACGCAACACCTTTGTAAAGCACATAGGAATGAGGGTCGGTAGACGATTGCATAATCCAGCCTCTCCATAACCACTTCATGCATCGTTGATAGCCTGAGCAGCCAATTACTATAGTCAGATGCATATCCACTGCCAATTCTAGAGCACTGACAGGGTCGCAATCTTGGCCTCCTATCTTCATCAGATAACGGTGACAAAGCATTCTCAAGAACAAGTACTCGTCATCCTTCGTTTCCTCGATAATATTAACCGCCAAAGACTGTGCAGCAATCGCCCTCAATGAGTATAGTTCATTGTCTGAAAGTCTATATTCAGCTTGTTGCCAGTACCACCCAGTGACCTTCAACAAGGCAAAAACAAGAGCTGCCCGGTACTTATACGAAGTTGTACCAGCAGCACCATTACCTTTTCCACCAGCACAACGATAAATAAGGCGAATCACTTTGGGGTTAAGCACAGCCAGGTGAGGATTCACAATCTCCTTCTCATCGAAGATAGTCGGAATCACCCTATCAATGACTGCCTTTAAGTTTAGCGCAATTCGATAACTTTGTCTGGAGTCGGCACAGCGGCCATTGCCAATGCTACTACCAGTTGGAAACAACGGATCCTCCTCGATAGACATCTTTAGTGTTGTTGATAACAGAACTCACATACTCCGCAACCTTCTCGTAGGCAGGCAGACAGGCATGCATGGAAACATTTTCAATTGAATGATCTGTTGATCGGATGAGTTTGATATGATCTGGATCTCGTCGATTGTGCTATTCTTTTGGTTCAATGAATAGACATCGTGGTCTGTCAATTATTATGTAATTTTTGTTTATCAATAGCTCGCCTATATAGATATGCAATTATTGTGCCGCGCGTCTCCGAAAGGATATAGGCGCAGGGGAATTATGTTGACGGCTGCTATTTTTGGAAACCACTTCCACAGAAAAGGAATTTAATATTCTAGTAAAAAGTTTAGTAGTGCGCTCGTCTTTGCTTGTCTCTGTTCTTTGAATCATTTGGTCAGCCTTTCTGCTGCAATTATAGTTTTTTCCATCTCTTTTGGATCTCTTGATCGTAGGCCAATGCTGTCGTTGTCCCTACTACCAAGTCAAACATACCACTCATACCGAAAAGCTCTTGATCTTCAAACACTGTGAGCCAGCCGAGTTTGAAGTGATGGTCAGGATCGTCGTCTTTGGGGAACTGCTCACCGTAGAGCCCATCTCCACATTTGAAATATGCTTTCTGTTCCGCAAAGGGATCTACTTGAGCCAGCTGCGGGCTGATGCCGCTCTCTTCATCCATCTTAGATAGTCTATTAATAGATTGGATGGCACGTTTTCTGATCTTCGACTCGCAAGGTCGAAACAACGCCGTCACCGGTGGGAATCTCTCGTCTTGCATTCTCCGGTTCTTGGTTTGAAAATTGCGGTGGAAGTAGATATTTTGCTTACAAATGTATTTGGGCACTTCGGATCTCTTTGATAACGACCATTTCTGCTTGACTCTAGGAATTGCACCCAAATCCCACCTCAGGTTATCTATGGTCCGGACCTCGTAGTTTTTCATCTGGTATGGTGGCTGAATTGGATAGTATTGTGGGTCAATTCGCTTTGGATTAATGGTACCCTCGTGGACACCAGTGTTCTCATTCAGCGGCACAAGTTCTCCACCGAGAACTCTTCTCGTCTTCCTGACTTTGTATTTGAATGATCCGTCGGGTAGTTTTTTGAATCGCATTATCAGCGTTCCGGATTCAAACTCCTCGAAGTTGATGGTGAACCCATCCTGGTCCTTTTCCACACTCATAAAGTATCCTGGAAGGCTGCGGCACTGTAAGTGCCTCATGGTGGGATTGGTGCTCAAGTACATGTCATCACCAAAACATTGGATATGAAATTTCCAAAAAGCTTGGTCCTCTGTTCCATTCTCCCTAATTTGTGGCTGCAAAGTCAGCTGCCTCTCTGGCAATGGAGGTCGTCTTCTGCTAGGAGCTCGGCGAGGTAGTGGCGGAGGTGCTTCCTCTAGTAGCCGCGAACCATCCTGGGGATGATTATTCTGTTGGGATTGAAGTTGAGCCTCTTCATAGGAAGGTAGGTCTGGATCCACAAAAGAAGACATGTAGTAAGTACCGTTGGGTCAGATTTGGCGCTTGACAGGAAGGATCATCTCTGCAAGGCAAGAGGCTGTACAATGCAACCATCACGTGAAGAACGTTGCATTTTACCAACGTCCACAACTGGATTCAATTAATGGAAAGAGAGGCTGTTGATGATGGTGGTGGAATGAAAATATCGGTTTTAGCATATGAATTTTAGCCCGGTAGTTAAGCCATGACGCTTTGATTCATTTCCTCTGGGGCACCTTATCGCCGAGCTTGTGGGCTTGCTGACATAATAATTTATTATTTACTAGTTTTAGACAAACAGCAAGGGGGCTATAGCTTTTTATAATCGCTTGTCTTGGTTCCTGTGGAGATCTTGTGTGGTACTTCTTCTTAGATCTAGCCCGAGCCATACAACGCAACCACATCTGGGAAGAGTCGAGTGTAGGGTGTTTAATACATGTCTCTATACTGAGAATCATAGAATGCAGGCTGGCTACTTCATTCTCTTTTCTTTCTGTCTTTTTCATATTTCTTTCAATCTTTTTTCTTTGAACTATCAGTGGTATGACCCTGGCAACTGCCTTGAATTCACACTTTCCACATCAAGATGCAAAATGGCTGCAAAATCACATAATTCTGAATTCAACTATAAAGATCATTTAATTGCCCCGGATGAATAATAAACAGAGCGATGCCAATTTACAGAAAAAGTGACACGTTTGCAACCCCTGGCGCTAAATTGCTAGTACCTGTATTGCTCGATTGTGGCCCACTCGTGTCTCACAATCTGATTCCATGCTTGAGCAGCGCGCCTTGAAAATGTCGACTTTCAAACAACACTTCTTGTTGCTCATCCGTTTATTAAATCAAAGTCATGAGTGAGGAAGTCACACCTGCTCCACTCGTATGTTACGTGCTTTTGGGCCAGTTGCTTCAAAACTAGATTGAAACGAATAGGACAGTCCCACTACGGACCTCTGAGGCTCGATGCGTTGATATTCTCCCATTTTAACAAATACTAACCATAAGATTGGATTCTCTCCGTCGATAGAGAACAACAGAAAGAAGTACTTTGCTCCAGATACGAAACCAAAAATCGATGTCGATGACACAGTCAAGAAATTCAAGTACTTGTTAGGCTTGACCAACTTGTTTCAGCACTTCATCGACTCGAAGGCAAGAAAGGACCCTGTCTTTGCACAAGTGTTGCACAAGATGAGTGAAACCCAACCCAAAAGTAATGCTGGTGCCAACAGAAGAAGAAAGACAGAGAAGGAAGAGGATGCAGAATTGTTAGATGACGAACAAGACACACCAACAATAACCGAGTTTACCGAAAGTCCTACTTACGTGCATGGCCAGCTTCGTCCTTATCAGATCCAGGGATTGAATTGGTTGGTGTCGCTTTACGAAAACAATCTTTCTGGAATCTTGGCGGACGAAATGGGATTGGGTAAGACTTTGCAAACCATTTCGTTCCTCGGGTACTTGCGCTATATGCGTGGTATCAATGGTCCTCACTTGGTGGTAGCTCCTAAGTCTACACTTGATAACTGGGCCAGAGAGTTTGCCAGGTGGACCCCAGAGGTGAATGTTTTCGTTCTACAAGGTGACAAAGAGGAGAGACTGGAGTTGATCCAGAACCGTTTGCTACTGTGTGACTTTGACGTTGTGATTGGCTCTTACGAAATTGTTATTCGTGAAAAAGCCTCCTTCAGAAAGTTTGATTGGGAATATATTGTGATTGATGAGGCTCATAGAATTAAAAACGAGGAGTCCTTGCTTTCGCAAATCATTCGTCTTTTCCACTCCAAAAATAGGCTTTTGATTACGGGAACTCCATTGCAAAATAACTTGCACGAATTGTGGGCCTTGCTCAATTTCATCTTGCCTGATGTGTTTGGTGATTCTGATGCCTTCGATCAATGGTTCAGCGCAACCGAAGATACCTCCCAACAACAAGACGATAATGTTGTTGCTCAATTACACAAAGTTCTCAAACCATTTTTGTTACGTCGTATCAAGTCTGATGTCGAGAAATCCCTTTTGCCAAAGCAAGAGCTCAACGTATATGTCAAGATGACAGATATGCAGAGAAAATGGTACCAGAAACTTCTTGAAAAGGATATTGATGCCGTTAATGGTGCAAATGGAAAGAAGGAGTCCAAAACGAGATTGCTTAATATCGTCATGCAACTCAGGAAATGTTGCAACCATCCATACTTGTTTGAGGGTGCAGAGCCAGGTCCCCCCTACACAACCGATGAGCATTTGGTTTACAACGCCCAAAAGATGCTAATTTTAGACAAACTTTTGAAAAAGTTTCAAAAAGAAGGATCCAGAGTGTTGATTTTCTCTCAAATGTCCAGAATGCTAGATATCCTCGAGGATTACTGCTTGTTCCGCTCCTTTGAGTATTGCAGAATCGACGGCCAAACTGATCATGCTGACCGTGTGGATGCAATTGACGAGTACAATAAACCAGGATCTTCTAAGTTTGTGTTTTTGTTGACCACAAGGGCTGGTGGCTTGGGCATTAACTTGACCACTGCTGATATCGTTGTTTTATTTGATAGTGATTGGAACCCACAAGCTGACTTGCAGGCTATGGATAGAGCTCATAGAATTGGTCAAACAAAGCAAGTCAAGGTTTTCAGATTCGTCACGGAGAATGCAATCGAAGAGAAGGTTCTCGAAAGAGCAGCGCAAAAGTTGAGGTTGGATCAGTTAGTCATCCAGCAAGGTAGAAACAGTGGTGGTGCTCAACAAAGCGGCAAGGCTGCTTCAAAGGACCAATTGTTGGATATGATTCAGCATGGTGCCGCTGAGATTTTCAAGGCCAAGGATTCCGACGACCCAAGCAATGCTGATGTTGACATTGACGCATTGCTCGCGGACTCTGAGAAGAAAACCCAAGAACTCAATAAGAAATATGCGAAGTTGGACTTGAACGCCTTGCAGAACTTCTCGAATGATGAATCAGTCTACGAATGGAATGGTGAGAATTTCAAGAAGAAGGAACCAACCGCAATAACGAACATTGGCCACGCTTGGATTAACCCAGGAAAAAGAGAGCGTAAAGAGAACTATTCGATTGACATGTACTACAAAGATGTGTTGAAATCTGGAAGCAGATCTACTCCAAGAACGGGGCCTAAACCACCCAAGCAACTCAATATTTATGATCATCAATTCTTCCCACCAAAGCTCATGGAGCTTTATGACATGGAGAGAAACTACTATAAGAAGCAAACTGGATACAAGGCTACACTCAAAAAAGGTTCAGCTAAAGACTTGGAGAAGCGTGAGTTGGAACAGAAGCTAGAACAGGAAGAAATTGAAAATTCTCGTCCTTTGACTGAAGAAGAGAAAGAACTCAAGGAGGAACTTTTGACTCAAGGCTTCACCAACTGGAATCGTAAAGACTTTATCCACTTTATTGCTGTCTCGACAAAACATGGTCGTAATGCTATATCAATGATCGCCGCCGAGTTCGATGACAAGTCGATAGACGAGATCAGAGAATATGCTCGCAAGTTTTGGCTGAGCTACAAAGAAATTGATGGATTTGAAAAGTACATCAATCAAATTGAGCTTGGTGAAGAGAAGGTTCAGCGGGTGAAATTGCAGAAAGAGAGTATTCGCCGCAAGGTGTCTAGCTACAAGTACCCTCTTCAAGAGCTTGTCTTGAAATACCCACCGGCGGCTACTAACAAGAGGACTTTCACTGACGAAGAAGACAGGTTCTTAATCGTCCAAATGTACAGATTTGGCCTTGACAGGCCTGATCTTTACGAGAGAATCCGCGATGTCATAAGGATGAGCCCCCTTTTCCGTTTTGACTTCTTCCTCCTATCTAGATCCACCGCTGAGATTTCAAGAAGATGCAGCACATTGATACAATGCGTTTTCAAGGAGATTCACCCTAACGAGGCCAAAGCATCTGCACCAAAGACAGGCGCTGCTTCCAACGGCACAAAAAGGAAAGAAGCAGACACGAAGAGCACGAGCAACAAAAAGCGCAAGAAGTAAAAAGTTCACCACTTGCAAGAATTTATGGAGATGCTCTTTATAATATTAAATAGATATACAAGGAAGTTAACTGTTCTTAAGTAATGATACAATGACAGGTTCAATCTGGAGAGGACTGACAGCCGAGACGAACCTATGCCTGACCACGCCATCTCTATCAATCAAGAATTTTTCGAAATTCCATCGTATGCCTCTGAAACCAAGCGATCCTGCCATTTTCAGCTTCAAGTATGCATAAACAGGGTTAGTGTCGTCACCGTTGACGATCGTTTTCTTCATTACAGGGAAGGTGCATTTAAACTGTTCCCTTATGAAAGTCTCAAGATTTTGCGTGGATTCAGGCTCTTGACCACCGAACTGATTGCATGGGAAAGCGATGATTTCTAATCCTTGATCTCCATACTTTTTATATAGTTTCTCCAAGTCATCATACTGTGGAGAGAAACCACAGAGAGACGCGACGTTAACGATCAAGACCACTTTTCCTTTTAGAGAAGCAAAGTCAAAATTTCGCATCTGACCGTCTAGTGTCGCCAATCCATAGAAATCTGACATTGTTGTTGTGGTGGTGGATTAAAAAGTCATCAAAGAAGTTTCGGGGCGGTCGGACTTCCCAGATGGCTAAGCTACCAATTTGCACCCGTACATATCACCACCCTGTAGCTGAAGTAGCTTATAGTAGTTCGAATTCAATAAATCATTCAAGAGATGTTACCCATGAAGTACGCAATCCACAAGTGTACTAGGAGAGAAGCCATAAACGCACTTTTCACGGAATGTATTGAAAGCTCCGAAATCTGACCTGCCCCACCATGGGGAAATACAAATCCTACGGGAGTGTACTGCACACAGCCGCGGCTGCTGCTCCCGGTTTTAACCGCTCCGGGACGTATCAATCACACGATTTTATTGTCTAGGGAGGGACGGGTCCAGTGCGAGTAAAAGGCAACATAAGGCTGGCAGGCAGGCACATTTATTTTTTTCTTTCCTCACTCCCCCATATTTCACAATAAAGCTACTTTACGCTTAACACCGAACCCTGGTCGTTTAAAATTTACCAGGCTTACACAGATCCTATCGGTGTTAGATACAACCAGTTCCGCTCATCCTTGTTTACGAACTCCTAGCTCCTTTTTGTCATCGGACTTTGGCCCTCATCTTCATAAACTCCTTCGACTCCACATGTTAAATTGAGCCACTATGTCTTTTAAAGTAAATTGGAATACGCTAGAAACGGATTCGTTACGTTCCTGGACGACAGAGTTGCTTACTGACGCCCTTAATTCAGGCAGAAGACCTAACATTTTAGCATCCGACATCCAAATCAAAGACCTCAATTTTGGCAAGGTTGCCCCTGACTTTGAGATCTTGGAGATTGGCGAACTCGACAAAGATAGGTTTAGAGGAATATTCAAGATCAATTATTCGGGTGACTTTCATCTCACGCTACACACGAAGGTTCAGGCGAATCCGCTTAAAATCTACGGGGATAACTCTCAAGAAAAAGAGGTTTCACCTTCTCAGTCATTCATAACTCCAGACTTCTTGTTATCAGTTGAGCCATTCAATCTTCCGCTCGATCTCAAGTTGAGCGATATCAAGATCTCGGGCATTGGAATCATTGTGTTTTCTAAAAGCAAGGGTCTCACCTTGGTGTTCCGCAATGATCCTTTGGACTCCATAAAGGTTAGCTCTACTTTCGACACTGTTCAAGTCTTGGCTAACTTCTTGCAGAAACAAATCGAGACACAAATTAGAGACTTGTTTAGAGAGACTCTTCCCACTCTTCTTCACAAACTCAGTTTGAAGTATGTCTCGGCTCTCACGCCTAACGAAGTCATGAACAACTTGAAAGATCACTTGAACTCATCGCATTATGCCAACAGTTTGGACCTCTCTGAGTCGCAAACTATCTCACCAAGTAACTTGAGGAGGCTCGCCACCCTATATTGTTCGAGAGAAACTCTTGACCTAAAGGTGCCCAAATTCAAACGTGTTGTACAAAGGAATAGTTTGGAGAAGTTCAACAAACACCTTTATCCGAACTTGGTCAATTCGTTGTACTCTAAGTTGGATATTGCTACTCCATCAACAACCTCCAGCAACAACAGCGTTCCGGTGGAGCTTTTCTTACAGAAGGACTACTCCAATGTGGAGAGTATTGTGAAGGAGATTTCAAGCATTCAAGGAAAAACCTTTAAATCTGTTAACAACAATGATAAAGCATCACCAAAGAGAAGAACTATCAAGATGGGTCACAAGTTGAAGAAGAAGCCAGCTAAGGAGGCTGTACCATCTCACATGGGTCAAGATAGTGCGGCATTGGCAAGAGCCACAAGCATACCGAGAAACAACACTGAATACTGTGATTCATCGTCCGACACTTTTGTGGAGGAAGACTCCACAGTGGAACATCCAAAGCCATTGCAACACGACAAGCGCCCTCCTTTGGTCATATCCTACGGCCACCTTGCTCACTCAAATCTAAGCGGTTGCCCATCGCCCTTGAGTTCGAACTCATCCTTTATTGGAGGAGTCGGTATTGGCAATTTCACCATCGCGAACGCTCCCCCTATTTCAGCATCACCAGTTAGCATTAGAGAACGAGAGAAAGAGGCGAAAACTCAGCAGCTCAAGGTTAAGAAGTCCCTCAATCATATCGACATCGGCCGGATCAATGAGAAGCTCATGAGTCTCAACGAGCCAAAGGTTAGCGCTAAAGGCACCATGAAAACCGATGAGATGGAGGCACCTCCCCCACCTTACCACCACATTACGCTGAGCATTTAATGATTATGAGAACACGGAATCACGTACATAGCTATGAATATTTATTAACGTCAACGGATTGCTACACTTCCTTGATTTGCGCCAACCGCGAATGCAGACAGTAATTTGGCCATTTTGGGCACAGATAAAAATAGGCGCGAGTGTTTGGTTCACTCTTTTTTAACGTGCGCAGCAGGTCCATAAAACCCTTTTAGAACACCTTCGAAGCGTTCATCTCCTTCGCTTATTGCATTACATTTATATAACTCAAAGCCCTTTCAGCTTTCGAGCAGCTTGAAACAAACGATACTTTCGCTAGCTCTAACACATCATCGCATTTTCTTGCATCACACTCGTCAAATCAAAAAGTACGCCAAATTATGACTTTCGGCAAGTTTGATGTTCTTTGCAACAATACGATGCTCCCGCTATGTTCAGTGGTAGGATCGCTTAATGGTACCTCCATTTTTGATAAAGGGATAGTTCCAGAGTGTTACCCCCGCCCTGTTGAGTTGGCCAACACCATGATCTTCAACTTGGGAGCTGCGTTTATCCACTTTGGCGCTCTTTTGGTGGTGCTCATCATCATTTTCAACGTGAGAAACAAGTACACAGCTATCGGAAGATCTGAACTTCTTCATTTCTTCTACCTTTACCTAGCGCTAACGATAAGCTCCCTTGTCGTGGACTGTGGAGTTACCCCACCAGGATCAGGCAGTTATCCATGGTTTGTGGCGCTTCAACTAGGATTGGTAAGCGCTTTGTGTATCTCCTTGCTTTACAACGGATTTGTGTGCTTCCAGTTCTGGGAGGACGGTCTGACGAGGTCCATGTGGATCTTGCGGCTCCTAAGCATTGTGTGGTTTGTCATAAACTTCGTGATTGCGATGGCAACATTTAATTCATGGGGTTCAGCCTTGGATGATCGGTCAACGACAGCACTCTTCGTTGTTTCATACGTGATCAACGCTATCATCTTGGCTGTCTACGTTGTGTCACAACTTATACTCGTGTTCTTTGCGCTTGACTCGTGGTGGCATTTAGGAGCAATCGTGCTCTTCTGCTTTTTCTTTGTCGCTGGCCAGGTCCTCATGTATGTCTTCAACAACCAGATCTGCCAGGGCACTAAGCATTACGTTGATGGCGTCTTCTTTGCAACGGCATGCAACTTGTTCTCAGTTATGATGATCTATAAGTTTTGGGACATGATCACGTTGGATGATCTTGAATTCTCCGTGGCCAATGTCGAGCAGGGTGTTACAGCATTTGGAGAGCAAGAAAAGCGATACAGTACGCTCTTCTGAGGTACAAGTTGATATAGTGCATATGCTCTTAACGGGCAATTTAAGTTTGGTTTCTGAATTGAATGAATCAGAAGCTCAAGTTGGAATTAGATTGTGGACCTGTAGTTACATAACCCTCTCGCTCGGGTACCTGCAAAGGAAACCCAAGGAGGAGGAAAGAAAAACCTTTGAGAACCTTTTGATGATGCTCTTTGCTTAGTTTCAGCTGTCAAGTTGAATTTTTTCAGTGAGCCCCAGATCTATTTTTATTCTTTGTTTGTGTAAATATACCGTATCTTTGGTCCGAACACAGCACGCCTCTACAATGCCACCAAATCTCGCGAACCGCGCCAAGTGGTGATCAACTTTTTACCTCCAACAATACTGATTTGTCTTTAAGCAATCATGAGCAATCAAGATTCCAATGAGCAATCGGAGGGTGCTAGGCTCCTAGAACTGGAGACCATCAAGACGTTCATGAACACCGATGGGGCTCTTGAGGTGCTCTTGGCTCGTCTCAAACGCTCCATTGGCACTGGTGACGAGATCGCAAAATACGTCAAGAGGAAGGCCCAGATCGAGGATGACCACTACAACCAGCTTAAAAAGTACGCTGGTAATGTGCGTGGCTCTTTGAAGAACACCAAGAACAAGAATGATCTGTTCTCCAATAAGTTGGACCAAATTATTGAGTTTGACGAGCGCCTCTACTCAGTAGGCTCCTCCTACGTCAAGGCCTTGAATACCATGCACGATGAGATCGTGTCATTGGTGAACACTGTGAGTCGAACGCGGAAGAACATTAAGGACGAGGCGAAGAGGAAAGAGAAGGAATGTGCTGACTCCATCCTGATGGCAGAGAAGGCGAAGCAGAAATACTACCATTGTTGTGATGACCTAGAGCGCTTGAAGATGTCTGATCCCAACAAAAAGTCCTTCCTCAAGAGTAAACCAGAGGAGGAGGAGTTACAAAGGAAGGTGGACTTGGCTGATCAAGATTACAAGACTAAAGTTTCTGCGTGCAAGAAATTGAAGGACGAGATGTTGATGATTTACAGACCAACCAACACGAAAAAGTTGAAGAATTTGATCTTGGAGATGGATATTGCCTTGAATGTGCAATTGCAAAAGTTTGCTACCTGGAGCGAGACTCTTATCATGAACTCAGGTGTGTTGATCAGCCCCTTACAAGCCGATAAACAGTCCATGAAGGCAATTGCAGCAAGCATTGATAACGAGCTCGACTTGTACAACTACATCTCGAAGAACTCCAACAACCCCACGAACAAGCTGTTGACGCCTGTGGAGTATACACCTCACCCATCGTTTGCAAAGCACACCAAGCCAGCGAAACCATTTTTCAATAACACCAACAGCTCAAACAATCTCAATGCTAACAACGGCAATAATGCTCCTAGCAAGTCGGCCAGCAGTGGAAATTTAGCACCCACCCAATCCCTGCAATCTCAGAACCAGAGAAATAGTAGCCTGAACTCAAACCTGGGCCCTGAATATTCAAAGACACCTGCCACACCCGCTGAAAGTACCGCAAGTACATTCACATACAGCTCGTTAGATCCCAGTAATCATCAGAGCGACTTGACTGGTCCTAAATCTTTGAGCCAAGTGAATCAGTACGCCCAACCTACATTTGGTGTTTCTATCGAAGAAGTGATACAGTACGCCGGTATTGACAATGTGCCTCTTGTCGTCAAACGTTGTATTGATGTCATTGAAAGTTATGGTCTAGACATCGAGGGTATCTACCGTACTAGTGGCAACAAAACAACGGTACAACATCTCAAAGAGTCAATTGATTCAAACTTCGCCAACTACTTGTTGATTGGCAACAACATCGATCCAAATAATGTGTTGGATGCGGACATCTACTGTACCGCTTCGCTTATGAAAATCTACTTCGCCTCCTTGCCAGAGCCCCTTTTGACTACTGCCTGTTACCAGTCATTCATTGAGACAGTCAAGTCAACAGACGAAACCTTCATTGCGAAGAAATTGCACCACTTGGTTTACAACTTGCCTGACGGTGCATACTTCACCTTGAGGGCTTTAATCTTCCATTTGAACAAGGTTGCTGCCCACCAGCATAACAACCGTATGACAGCCAAGTCTTTGGCGATCATTTGGGGGCCCGCCCTCCTTAACGACAACTCGATGTCGCCGCAAGACTTGAGTCATAAGACAAAGGTGGTGGAAGAGTTAATGTTGATTGCTAATGAAATTTTCGATGCTGATGAATGATTTATGTTATGACCAAGTGAATCACTCGCTTTGATCTCAGGATATACGAAATTTAAAGACCCAGAGATATTTGTAGTATTAGTACATCATATGACTAGAAGATGGCCTTCCGTTACGATCATCATGGGACCATTGCTGACCAGAGCCTGGTCTTTCATACCTATCAGTGTGCCTCCCGTTGTTGGCACGTCCGCGGTAGCTGTCTCTTTCACGAGTCGGTAGATTGAAGCGTGGAGGTCTTGCTTGCCTAGGTGGTGCTGCTAGCTGTTTAACCTTGAAGTTGTTCTTGTAAGCGAGTTCCTTCTCTGCCTGCTCCCTTTGCTTCCTCTCCGCTTCTTCTTTCTGCGCCCTGGCTTCTTCCTCTAGCTGTTTCGCATAATCCTCATCACTAATCCCAAGCGCCTTACGTCGTATATCCTTGAGCTCAACCTTGAGGCTATCATGGAATTCTGGTGAGTCAATAATCTTCTCCTGAATATCCTTGTCGACAATATCTAGAATGTTTGAGCCGGAGTTATTGCTTATAATCTCACCTTGTATTAAAGCAGCCATCTTACCCTTGTTCTTCATTAGTATGGAAGGGTCTGCTTTTATCTTAGATTCTACCATAAGCTTTAACTTAAGGAGAAGGTTGGAATGCGTCTGTGAGGTCTTGAAGTTTGCAAGCAAGCGTTTCCGCTGTTTGTCAAACGAGCCGTTCTTTTTATATATCAGTGTAAGATATTTGTTATCTATCTTTTGGGGTAGATCAGCCTGGTTGGGCATTATTGTGATGATGTTTTGAGTCGTGTGGGAGGAACTGGGGCTGCAATTTGATATAAGTATCGCGCTCTCAAACCTGCCCATACAAACCAGACCCTTCATGGATAGAGTGCTTGATTTTGGCAACAGCAACAGCAGTACTGATTATCAGGGAATGCAGTCCCATTTGGGGTCTGGTGTTACGCCTGCACTGCAACGCAATATTCTAGAGACCAGGGGAAAGAGACACAAGAGTAAGAGGACGCAAGATCACGAGTCCACAAAATGCCAAAAGCAGTTGGAAACAATCAGAATACTGTTGGAGCATGTCATTGATTCAGTTGTACTGGGAAATGATGAGAGCTTCTCGTTTGCACGTGTGAATAGAGAGGTGATTGCATTATCGACATACAAGCACTCAGAACAAGCACGTCTCAGTGACTATATCTTCCGAAAGTTGAATCAAGAATTTGAGAATCTACAATCGAAGCTTACTTGGGATTCTCTCGAGACGGGATCTGCTGGTCAGACATTCCTCAGGGAACTCAATGCATGGGATGATAAGTTGAAATGCCTTCTGAGGCTTTTCATCTTCCTTGATAGAGTTTATCTTTTCCAACATACAAAGAAAAAACCAATAAGGGATCACGGCCTACGTCTTTTTGCTTCAGCTTTATTTGACTCCAGCTCCAGGTGCTCCTTGTTAGAACAGGTATTAAAGGATTTGCATCTCAACATCATTAATCGTTCGAAATCGGAACATCTGGATTGGTACAACTACGATACTTTGAGACAATTTGCCGAGTATTACGAGCGACTCATATTCGAGGAGCACACCAGCTATTATTTCATCTCTGATATCTTTTTATCCAACTACGAGTTGTGCAAAGAGGATTGGTGGGAAGACCCTCGAACTTTCGTCAGCAATATTTTTGATAGCATGAGAAAAGACATAAGCTTCATGAAGGCCCTTGGACTTCAAGATATGGCAGCAAGTTTTGCTAAGGAGGTTTTGCGAAAAACAATAATTCCCGACCTCTCTGAGGTGTTGAGCTCATGCGTACCAGCCTTGATGGAGGACGAAAGAGAATTCGAATTGGGAATCTTGACAAAGCTTCTTCATATCGAGGAGGTTCATAGCAACTGCAATAATGTGAAGCAAGTCGCCTTCCATCTTCGGAACTATGTCGCAGCCAAGACCATTGAACTCATCAAATATGATGCATTTGCAAGTAAAGACCTATTACCTGAAGTTGTCAAGCTCAGGCTTAAGCTACTGGAGTCTTGCTCTCGAGCAAACCTTCACGCTCCCGGTGACTTTGACTTCGAAGTCAGAAGCGCCATATCCAATATATTATCGCTGCCTGAATATCAGAACAATTCTGTTCTCATGTTCTCAAAATATTGTGAGGCATTTTTCAAGCTGAAGGATGCTGATGCCGTTGAATTCAAAAAGAATATTCAGGTGTTTTTCAAGTTGTTGCAGAACAAGGGTAAGTTCATCAAGATTTACGAAAGAGATCTCTCGAAAAGGTTGCTTTTGGGCAAGAGCTTCAATTATCCGTTGGAGTTTGATCTTGTGGACAACTTGCTTCACGAGGTTGGTGATAATTTGGATGGTACCAATCTCAAGGCGATGATTCAAGATGTGAAGCAATCTGACACTGAGTTCAGGCATGACTATGGATCAGCGGAGATATTCCCTCTCGTTTTGAAGAAGTCCAATTGGCCAGCTATCCCGAAGCAAGCAACTGAGCTCAAAATACCTCCAGAGCTAGACGAAATCTTGGTTACATTTACCGAGAAATTTCGCCAGAGTGATGCAAAGGGAGAATACAAGAATCTTGACTGGAGCAATTATTTATTACATCAGCTTACAATTCTGGTCAACTTCGATAAAGGCCCGAAAGAACTTCAAGTCAATCTCCTTCAAGCAATCGTCATTCTCCAATTCTCTGAACATGATACCCTATCGTTTGCGCAATTTGTGGAAGAGACCAGAATGGAACAAAAGCTCTTGAAAAGAGTCATAGCATCCTTGAGCTCAAGCAAATTTCCCTTCTTGATCGAAGACAATGACGGTTTCTCGTTCAATTACGCATTCTGGGATAAGGCTGCAAAGCTTCGACCACCTATGGCAAGAGAGAAGGAGGCTGTCGTGGAAGAAGCCTTCAAAAAGGCGGAAAGAAGAGATAGAGATGATGAGATTACCGCAGCTGTTTGTAATATTTTGAAACAGAAGGGCTCAATTCTATACCCCGAGCTCATGGGCCAGGTGTTGATGAGGCTCAAGCCTCGTGGAGAAGTCCTGATAACTGATATCAAGAGAAGAGTGGAATATCTTATAACGCAGCACTTTGCTAAGCGGTCTGAAGACGGACAAACGCTTCACTACATTCCATAGATCAGAATACTTTTCGTTCATTTATGTGCATTATGTCTAGTTTAAACTGGAACCTCCTCTGGGTCTGGGTTGTGAATCCAGTGGTCACCAAAGTATGGGATCTTTGAGTAAAAGGTCTGCTGGAACAAAGGCCAGTTGTCAGTGAAAGTTGCAACAGCGGCACCGGCGGCACCACCCCAAAGAACCAAATCCTTGCCGTAAGCCTTGGCAGCGGTGAAGTTGAAAGGGATCTTGGTAACCTTGTATGCTGGACCTCTAATGTACTAGCCTGTTAGTAAAATTGCCGTGAGCGTAAATGGTGTATAGTTTGTGCATACCGAAATCATAGTTTGGAAGGTGCTTAACAGATGATTATCATCAACAGTTTTTCTCGCACAGTTATTGGATACGCCCGGTACACACTGCTGCTAACTAGACGGTACATATATGCAGGTCAAGGAATACCTCTGATACTGTTGTTCGAAACAAGATGACCTTGAAACCAGCTAATGGCTAGTCAAATGGTTTAAAGCTCGTCTGATTCTGAGTGACGCAAAGTTTACATTTTTTTCAATCTACAGGCAAGTATCAGAAGTGCTATGCATATGGGTTGCCCCATGATTCGATATGTATGTATGTGAATTTGGCATCGAGCCTGGATTTAACAAGCATCAGGCTGAGAAAGAATGTATTCAACAGTCTGGCCCACGGTCTTCAAAGAGTCGGCCTCGTGGTCTGGGATCTGAATGTTGAACTCATGCTCGACCTCCATAACAACCTCAACGACATCCAAAGAGTCCAAACCCAAGTCAGTCACGAAGTTAGACTTCTCAGAAATGTCTTTAGATGTGACCTTGTCATAGCCTTCCAACAACTCAATGATTCTCTCCCTGGCGATATCTCTCGTCAAGGCAGGGAAGCCAGCATATGTTCTGGAAGCCTGGGCAAACTGTGGAATAGCAAGCTTAGGAGCGACATGAGCACACTGCGTGCGGGGTAAGGCACTGAGTCTCAAGGATCTGGCGAAGGCTGCTTTAAACATTGTTGAAGATGTGCTTATATGCTCTGAATTCTTACTGGAGAATACCCTCGCTATTAGTGGTGTGTGCACGACTAGCTTGAGCTGTGCAACATTTTCGGCCAAACAGTCAGATTGGTTTTAGTTACGAAGAGCCAAAGAATGAAATTTTATTAATAGCAAGCAATACACCAATTTCGATGATGCTTTCGAATTTTGGAGTCCCTACGATGGATTGTGGAAAGTGGATTATCTGCAGTACGCATTCAATTTTTCAATACAGTTTGTTCTCACGACCTAAAAGATCACTAGAGCCATGCTTAGATCATTATTCGGAAGTAGGCTTTCGGCGATGAGCAAGCCGATGATCGGCTCCCAACCTATAACATCATACGTTGGTACCATACGCTCCAATGTGCAACTTGCAAAACTATCCGTACCTTCCGTTGTGAGTCAGTGCCAGAAGAGATATGCCACTTTGAACCAAATAAGAAGTGGTAAGCAAGGATTCCCCACTAAGCCAAACGTTCCAAAAGCCCCACATTTACAAGGAAATCCATTCAAAAAAGGTGTTGTCGTCAGAGTTATGATCTTAAAACCAAAGAAGCCAAACTCGGCTCAAAGAAAATGTTGCAGAGTCAGACTCTCCACCGGTAACGTCATTTCTGCTTTGATCCCTGGAGAAGGCCATAACGTTCAGGAGCATCACGTTGTTCTAGTAAGAGGCGGAAGAGTCCAGGATCTTCCGGGTGTGAAGTACAGATTGGTGAGGGGTGCATTAGATTTGGCTGGTGTGGCCAACAGAACAACCTCGCGTTCCAAGTACGGTGTCAAGAAGCCAAAGGATTAGGGGTCAATCTCACTTGTAAATATTTAGCATAATACACTAGCGTCAGTTTCAATTCTAATTGCGTTTCAAATTTTATACATAGTTACAACCAACTCTATCCATCAGTTTATACTCTTCCAACATCAAACTTACGACCGCTAGCTGTCTTTCTGTTGTCGATAGCCTTGCCATCGTCGTCGACATTCTCCGGCTTTGCTCTGTTTAAGACCTTCAAGAATCCTCTCACTCTGTGTCTCATTCTCGTGTGCATGTACGCCTTAGCACACTTGATATGGTAATGGAAGTAGTTACGGAAGAACTGGATGTAGGATATACAGTTATCTCTGCGTTCTCCCTTGGTCAAGTGTCTTGGGAACAACACAAACGTGACGTATCCCTTATTGTCGTCGTCCTGGCGTTTGCTGACGGCATTCTTGATATCCAAAGGAGGCTCCCTCTGGGTGAACATCACTTGAGGAGCTGTTTGGACAGATCTTTTACGAGCATCAACGAACTCTTGTAAGAAAACCTTACCAAAGATTTTGTCGGTCTCGTCTTTGAAGATAGTGGAGAAAATAACCGTCACACGGTCGAAGGACGGCTTGATGTAAATACACTCATCCTCTCCTCTGTACTTGATGACAAGAACCTCCTCATTCTTTAATTCACCCTTGATCTCCTCGGCATAGGTGTCCTGGTCCTTGAATTGTTCGGCAAGCTGGTCATAACGACTGAAGGCCTTCTCAAAAGCAGAAGCGATTGCGTGTCTCTTCAACAAGGCCAACTCCTCAATCAATTCCTGCTTGATCTCGTCAGACTGAGAAGCCAAAGCTGCCGTGTCCAAAACGAAACTGAAGTTGTAGCCTGCTTCCGTATCATCCACAATGGTCAAAAACTCACCAAACTTCTGGTACTTCAGCTTCAAGTACTCGGAAACACCATATCTTGTCAAGTCATTCCAACATTGCAAATAGACGGAAAGCAAAATTAGCTGTCTGTCTTCCAAAGTGGAAACATGATAGTTGGTGAAATCAAAGTCACTGATAATTCTGTCCAAAGACTTCAATTGGGCATCAGGTGCAGGGAAGATCCGCTCTGTCAACGTCTTTTTAATCAAAAGGTTGCTCTTGTCGATTTGCAACATGTTACTAACGGTGACACTTGGTTGTTACCTCTTGAACAGCGGTGTCCTGGGTTCGGTTGTGCGATACTGCAGAGACTCCGCTCTAGTGTCCCAGCTAAGGCATGGAGCAAATTGCGACACGGAGTTTGACCGCCATTCTAAAATTCAAAATCCACAGAAAACATTTTGATTCTTCATTTAATCTCCTCTGACGCAGAGTTCTTGAGAAAATTTTTAAGAGTTCCAAGAGTTGACACCCGTTTGTTTCTGCTATGCGAAAGCACCTTCACCCTAAATTGGTTGCAAAAAATGAGAGGACCGAAGAATACCGAGATATCGTTTCAATTGAGTTCAGTTTTTGGTCAACTACTGCAAGTCTATCAATGAAGTCGAGAGCCTCAGCTATCTTTTCTTCTCGCCGACTCTACCAAATCTTACACTTGCACATATACCGAGGATCTTTAATGAGCAAAATATATTCTATAATACACAGTGATGATGCGAAATGAACCGAGTATGATGATGTAGATGATAATGATGAGAATAATGATGATGATATAGCGAAAGCCATATGAACAAGGCAATGAGGCGAACCGTGAGATACTTGAGTTCCACATTTATCGCCTGAACCGCTGCGTTGGCAATCCGCCTCTATGGAGCGCAGGTGCATTGACCTTGTTTTTAAGCAAGGAAGAAACGTTCTCCCTGCCCATCATCAGAGCAGCGCCTGCATTGGCAACATTAGCGCCTGGCCTTGACAGCGTTGCACCGGGTTTCTTGGATTGCTCTGCCTTGGCTTCTTTGCGTGCCTTCAAATTCTCCTGAACAACCCGGTCCATGTGTGGGTCAACTCCTCTATTATTGGTGAGCCAAGGAGATTCGAGAAGAACATCGTATTGCGGGCGAAGATCAGGGTTCTTGTTAAGACAGGACTTCACAAATATCTGTGCTTCTTTGGAAAAAAGATTGCTGTCAAGCTTGGGAGGCTCACCATCAACGATAGCACTCAACTGGGAGAAGATGTTATCGAAAGTTTCTGGTGGGTAAGGATAACTACCTGCGGCAATCTCCAAGATCGTGAGACCCAACGACCAAATATCTGATTGCACGGAGTAAGTTGCGTCATCAGGATTCATAGTTTTGATACGCTCTGGGGCCATATATGATTGACATCCGATGTTCGTCTTTGCCAAAGAGGCCACCAAGTTACCGGAGACACCAAAATCACAAAGTTTGACCTTGCCAAGCGAGTTTACCAAGATGTTAGTTGGTTTGACGTCTCTGTGAATGATGTTATGCTTATCCTTGAGTTCTTTGAGGCCACGGATAACACACTCAGTGATATAAGCGAGACATGCTTCGTCACGGACACCATCGCCATAACACTTATCAAGAGATCCACCGTCCATAAACTCCATGCACATGTAGACAGCACCTTCAACAAAAAATGCGCCGTAGAAGTCAACAATATAAGGAGAGTCACATTTATGAAGCACTTCGAGCTCCATAAGAATTTGGGTAAATTTGTTTTCTTCTAATTCGAGACGCACCTCCTTCATGGCCATAAGAACACCGGTAGGTTTATGGAGCACTTTTGAAACTACACCGTAGTTACCACGGCCAAGTTCCTCAAGAAACTGCAATTCGTCAAGAGAAATGTGGAAGGACAGGCCGGAGGAGAAATCGATGCCATCAGAATGCAAGGAAGCCTTTCCTGCAAAGTTAAGGGAGCCCAGCTTGATGTCGACGTACTTGGAGTAGTTAGCGAAAAGGCCCTTGAGTTCTTGGGGAGCGGGCTGATTCGACTCAATGGAGCTGACGTCTGACGTCGGGCTTCTGAGCTGGCGGAAGAGGACTGGTCGTTGAGATTGAGCTTGAAGTCGGGCCGCTTCTTTCGTTCGGAAAGGCGTCTCGCAAGCTCGCCCGTGGAGTTTAAATGAGGAGGATGGGGAGGGTGGTTCGGTTCAGGGGTGGAGGAGCCCATGTTTTTCATGTTGAGCTTCATACCGCGTCTTTGCGAGAGGGATGGTTTTTTCGCCAAGTCGAACGAGGGCTTCTGGGAGGGCAGCATTTGGCCCTTGGGGATGTCGTGCGGCGGCAGCTCGATGGACGGAGAAGGGACAAGGGTCAGTTTGGGGACCAGGTTCTCGGAGGCAGTTTTGGTGTAAGGTAAAGGGGCAAGGGCTTAGCAGGCAAATGCATCAGAGACTGGGACGCCGAAGGCAGACGGCCCTCCTTGGGAGACTCCTTGAGAGTCTGGGAGGCCCTCTTCTGCTGGAAAGCAAGTATTCTGGCGTGAACGTCGCTGCTCAAAGGCCCGTGGGCAGTGGCCACTGGAGGGGAGCTCTGGCCATCGTAAGGCTTGGGTGTCAGCACGGAAAGCTTCAGTAGCCTGGCGGCCGAGTCTTCCGGGTCTGAGTTGTCGGCCATGCTGCGGTTATGAAAGGAAAGTGTGCCAGCAAGAAGAAATATGAGGACCGATGTGGTGAGACGATTGGGGAGGTTTGGCGCGACGGCGCACAGCGTATAAGCGGTGGCAGCGCAAATACAGTCTTCAGGCGGGCACGAGCAACCCCAAGCAGGCCACTTATTTGAATATACGGGGGTTTAGACAGTGGGAAGAAAAAGAGGCTAAAAATGTAATTTGCTTGAAAGTTTTTTTGAAAAAAATGCCGCTGGGCCTTGATCGACAGGTGTCGCTTAGGGCTTGTTCGAAACAATGGCAGGGAGCCAGGGCAGACATGCTAGACACACTGGCAGGCAGGACACTGAGCACTAGAGGTCGTTCGCAGCAACAGGCGCCACGGGGCTGCACTAGCGTCAGGGTCCCAAATTAAGCGAAAAGGCGAATGACATTTTTTGCTTCACTTTTGAAATTTTTTTTAGTTTTGCATTCGCAAGAGCAAAGCCACGGAGCATTCGGACGGGGCTGGGCCGCTTAGAAGGACAGAGATGGTGCATAGTGCAGACCTGGATAGTTGTGGTGGGGGCTGGTTGCGAAAAGAAGCCTGGCGGTAGAACAATGGAGCTACGGGAGGCTGAGGGACTAATCAGTAGGAGAAAAGTCTCTTGGTTGGCGTTGAAAATCCACGAATTCAGCACCCATTTCAAGGAGAAACTTCGCCAGGTCTGCAAGTTCTACCGGTGCATTTAGTTGTTTGCCGGGAAAGGCTACTTTTACCGGTGAACGCCCTATTGGGTGCGCCCACTCACCAATTTTGCAACCAAAGATAGACAGCCCCACAAAAATAGAAATGCCGTAGATCCAACGGACCCTTGCGGAGGACTACAGCCACATCTGGCATTGGCAAAAATCGTACCGTGCATGCTTCTCGGTTCGGAACATCTCCTGCCGCTTCCATCCATCGGACCCGCCGTTTCCGAAGTTTCCTTCTCCGATGGACGTCCCGCTTTCCTCCACCTGGAAAATTCAGGCGTCTGGCAGCCTCGGAGAACTGGCCCGAACTATCCGACGCGTCGCCCGCCTGCACCACCAAAACAAACCAAAAATAATTCATCTTCTCAATGGATGCCTTAATTTTGCTGCAGTTGGGTTTTTGCGTCTCATTAGCGACTTTTCTTCTTTGCTCTGTTGTAGTGTGCTGTGGAAGCACCTTAAGCTACCGCCGCGCGAAGCCGCGATGTCTCTTGCTGCTAGTACCCCAACCGCATGGCCAATGCTTTGCAAATCCAGATTTGTGACCTCGATGCGTACCAGCACGTAGCCACGCCGTTGGATCAGCTCTATGGGCTTGTTTCCAAGGTTCCGTTTGTCCGCATATACGGAGCCCTCAAGGTCGAGGCAGCCTCCAATCTCGCCTACAACGTTCTAGTCCATGTCCACAATTACTATCCTTACTTTTACATCGACTGTCCGCCACGGCAGCTAGACGAGGCTTACTTGAGCAGGCTCAAGAACCATTTTGATATCAAGATTCACGAGTCTTTCCAGAGAAAACCCGTGGAGGACGATGACTCAGATAGCGAGATGGAAGACAAACCTCCCTGAACTTTGTGGCTGCAGTGGAGTACTGTCGGGGTGCACCTGTCTACGGCTACCACCTTGGTTACAAGCAGGTGCTCAAGGTGCTGCTTCTTCTGCCTCTTTACAAGACGAGACTTGTGAAGCTTATCACGTCGCACAAGGTCGATGTGTGGAACTACGACGGCAACCTCAAAAAATCCCACGGCGCACCAAATCTCTATGAAGCTCACATCCCTTTCACATCGCAGTTTCTCGCCGACTTCAACTTGTATGGTTGCGGGTTTCTCAACGTAGAGAAGTGTCACTTCCGTCTGCCTTTAGTCACACCCTCCCAGTACGACCTACTGCCTTTGAAAGACCATCTTCGGCATTCGATCAACAAGGGCAATGTCTTGAGTGGCGCCCGCTACCCCCGTATTGGTCGGTCTCTTCTCGAGCTTGACATCTCGGCGGGTGACGTCCTCAATAGGGCCAATCTTGTGGAGAGGACGAACCACAACGATCTCTCCGAATTCAACAAGACAATGCCCAGTGAACATATCTATTTATCCTCTTTGAAATTTACATTCGAAGATCTCAAGTATCAATGCACCCTTCGGAACATGAACGATACTTCCCAATTGCTCCACAAGCTGTACTCGCAAGTTTTCACTAAGATTGGCCAGGATGGCTACCAGGAATGGGAAACTTCTGCTCGATATCGAGAACTCGTGGCGTATGTCGCAAGACTCAACGCTGCCACGAAATTTAATGACGCTAACGACTATTATGACCATCTAATCAAACCTACATTACCTAAAAACGTACCGACTTGCTTTGAAAGCGTGGATCGTGATGCCCGAAGGGACCGCTTTCAAAATCTTTCTTTACTCAACTATCGTGATGACTTGGTTCAGTGGTCTTCATATGATGATTTGTTCACCATAGACGAAGCAGCAACTGCTACAACCTTTTCCGACTCCAATACCGCAGACCCTCCAGCGAGTAAGCAGAATAGTTCTGAAGTCGATGGATCCCCTTCTCCATCTCAAAATCCTCGTCCATTAGACATAGCGCTATCCTCTCCTGACTTGCTGCTGCCAAATTCTAGTCAATTTGAAACACACCCTACTTTTGACCCACAATCCATTAACGTTCACTTAAGCCAGCGAAAACGGCCTTTTTCTCAAGTTGAGGGAAGTGAAACCAACTCACTGCTATCTACTATCACGCAAACGCTGCATTTGATCGTCCGGAATCCCCAGCATATTTACGAACTCCCAGTTCCTCCATCACTCCAAAAGTCGGCTTTCATGAAGACTATGCGTCAATCAGGATTATTAGACATAGAATACCGGGATCCCGCCTATTTCAAGAAGGAAGATGTTCACCTAAAACCCCTTGTGTTTGCCAACAAAAAAATCATAGTGCCTTATGCTGGAGACGACTCACTATCGCCCTACGAATTTAGAGGGACAAGCTGTGGATTATTAGAAACAGATGAGCCGCCAAAACAGACTGTGAGTGTTAGCAAACCTCAATTGTGGCAGTACAGCATAGAAGCGCCATCCAAAAAGTCTATTAAAACATGGGTTCAAAGCACTGAAAGTAACCTTCAGTATAAAAGGGAGAGATTTCGATCTCAAATTGAACCTGCTGTGACACAAACTTATGACTTCAAGTACTCTTACCGAAGCGACAAAGTTGCGAGGAACCCCAGTGGTTTTCTTAATATGACCAATTTTCATATGGAGGTTCACGTCAATACCAACTCACAGAGACAAGCAGACCCGAACGTTGACTCTGTAAGAGCCATAATCTACCATTTTGATGACGCCAATGCCATGTATCGCGAAGACCCACGGACTACGGCTATCTTCATATGTCTCGAAGGTCTTGACTACTACATTTTCCTGAAGTTATTTGCGGCGGTAGCAGAATCTTTAAAAATTGCAATTGAAATTTTTACATCTGAAAAAGAGATGATAAACACATTTCTAGACGTCTTCGATGTCTTTGATCCTGACATCCTTTCAGGATATGAGATCAATGCCTCAAGCTGGGGCTATTTAGCAGAGCGAGTTTTCGTAAACTACGAAACGAATCTTCTAGCTCGTCTCAGCAGATCTACTTTCAAAAGCAATGGAAAATTTGGTGATCGCTGGGGTTACACACATACATCTGCACTTAAAATCAATGGTCGTCATTTACTCAATATCTGGAGAGTCCTACGTTCGGAGTTGAGTTTGACTGGCTACACTCTTGAAAATGTATGTTTCCATTTACTTCATCAGACCCTCCCACGAGTTAGGAATCTGGATCTCAGTCAATGGTTCACTAGCGGCAACTTCAATAATACATTTATGTTTTGCAAATACTATGTGCATCGTCTTGGATTGACGTTGAAGATCATGAACGTCCAGGAGATGATTTTGCGAAATGTGGAGCAGTCGAGATTGATAGGCATTGATTTCAACTCCAATTTCTATCGTGGCTCTCAATTCAAGGTTGAGTCGATTTTGTTGCGAATTGCCAAAGAAGAGAATATGCTTCTTAATTCTCCTTCCAAAGAACAAGTACATGACATGCGTGCCTTGGATTCCATCCCCTTGATCATGGAGCCTGATTCTAACTTTTACAAATCTCCGTTGGTTGTCCTAGATTTCCAATCGTTATATCCATCGATAATGATTGCGTATAACTATTGCTATTCAACATTATTGGGCCCGATAGAGGGCTTCCAACAGGGTAAAAATGTGGTGGGATATCTTCCACACCTCAACATTCCGCACGGCATCGTCGACATCTTACTCAAGAATGGAGGTATTAACGTATCTCCGAATGGAATGATGTTTGTCTCTGCCAAGTTCAGAAAATCAATTCTTTCTCGGATGCTACAAGAAATGCTCAACATGAGAATTAATGTGAGGGCGGTGGCGGGTGCATTTCGTGAGGATGTAGAGCTCGCAAAGCTTTACAACCTGAAGCAAATCGCATTGAAATTAATTGCCAATGTTACATATGGATACACATCGGCCAGCTTCAGTGGTCGAATGCCGAACTCTGATATTGCGGATGCCATCGTGTCAACTGGCCGAGAAATCCTCACCAAGTCCATTGCAATGATAGAGGATAGCGGGTGTGATGCTAAAGTTGTATACGGAGATACCGACTCATTGTTTGTCTACTTCCCCGGCAGGTCTAAGGAAAAGGCGTTTGAGTTGGGAAAGCAGCTTGCAAGAGATGTGACTGACTTTTTTCCGGATCCCATCAAACTAAAATTCGAGAAGGTGTATCATCCCTGTGTTTTACTCGCTAAAAAACGTTATGTGGGTCTGTGCTTTGAGTTCGAAGATCAAACTCTACCTAAATTTGAAGCAAAGGGAATCGAGACAATCCGAAGAGATGGTATTCCAGCGCAGCTGAAAATGGTTGGCAAGACGTTGCGAATCCTTTTTGAGACAAAAGATCTCTCGAAGGTGAAACTGTATACCGTTGAACAATTCCAAAAGATTTTTTTCAACAAGGTGAACGTCAAAGACTTCTGTTTCGCCAAAGAGGTGCGATACGGTTCTTACAAGAATGAGAAGTATCTACCGCCTGGAGCGATCATTGCAAAGAAAAATACTTTGAAAGACCCCAGGAATGAGCCGCAATATCGTGAGCGTATTCCGTATCTTGTTATACGTGACTCCAGAAAGGAAAGGATCAAGGATCGATGCGTCACTCCTGAAGAATACGTTTCGTCCTATAGTACAGATAATCCGTTAGAGCTTGATTTCGAATATTACATTACGAGAGTGTTGATCCCACCATTGGAAAGAATCTTCAACTTAATTGGTGTCAACATCCAAGAATGGTATAGAGAGATGCCAAAGTCGACAAGACAACTTGCTATCAAGAAGAGAGACATCACTAAGATAAGCGAATTTGTACAATCTGAGCAGTGCTACTTATGTGAAGGCAACCTAAGAGATTCTCCCTCGAGGTACCTCTGCCAAAACTGCCTTGGCGCTGAGCTTGGTCTTATAACTGATGTTATTTCGATGGTCAAACAGAAAGAATCTCAGGTCATAGATTATGAGAGCATTTGCGTCGCATGTAACAAACGCAACTTTACCAACGTAAGTAGCGTGGAATACGTGCGATATTGCTCTAATAGCGACTGCCAGATATACTACGGCCGGGTGAAAGCTTCCAGGGAATTAGATCATATTCTCAAAGGAAGCGATCATGTACTTGATGAGCTAAACCTACAATGGTAATCAAAATGAGATCATATATTTATGTGGAACATCTGGCACCGTTGTAGCGTAAGTCAGACATAGTCGCGTCAACTCTTGTGAGGAGCGCCTATTATCAATGACGTTAGCTTAGGGCCGTCATGGACCACTTAAATGCAAGATAACCAAACATTTCAAGAGCAACGCCAGATAATAAATCAAAAAGAATTAGAAGACAAAAAACCCAAAACAGCTTATTTTTTTGAGTTTTTTTGTTTTCTATTTTTTTCCTTTTTTTTTTTTTTTTTTTTAATTTCTGGCTTTTTTTTTTTTTTTTTTTTTTGGTCTTGAATGTCAGCATAAATCTTGTCCGAATCTCAATTCGGCTTTTTAAATTTTTTTTTTTCTTTTTTCTTTTCCTTTTTCTTGATTTTTCGTTTCTCGTTGTATATCCCTTGTTTTTCCCAATTAATAAATTCCATCCTAAACCGCCCTGATATATTTAGGTCACATGTGAGAGCGACCCCTGATATTAAGTGCTCTTATAAATACAAAAACTCGTCAATATCAAGAGAAGTAGGATCTTGAGCCTCTAGTTTGACATCAAAGGAAATGTCTTTTCCGCCTAGGAGATCGAATTCGTCCATCTTACTACCGATTGTCAATGAGGATCCATGTACAACAGAATCGACTGGTGCTGCGGACCAATTGGTTACGCGTGAGAATGAGGGCGCATGCAAGCACGCCCAGGCTGTTACTTCTATGCTATTAATCGACCCTACACTGCAACAGATCGGAAAAAATTCTCACGCATATTAAATAACAAAAAACGACCGCCTGGCCATCAAGGGTTATTTAATATACGTCTTTCCATGATCTGCTGCAGGAGCCAGCGGTAGCTGGAAATGGTGCGACAAGCAGAGAACAATCAGGGGTTTTTGCTGGCCACTCAAGCCATGACTAACCGTGGAGACAAAATCGCTGCTGGATTTTGCGCCATAGTATCGAAAGCTGAGGTAGCTGAATCCATCATTGACACTTCGTTGTGTTGCATGGACATGTCCGGTGTGCTAGGCATGGATCCGGAGGTGGTTGAACCCGAGTAAGACTCGGCAAGATCCACTGATTCACTCATCTTCAACTGTAAATCAATAGGGGAGTTCACGGGGAGTTAATGGAAACCGGCAGGAGGTAGTTGAAATATCCTGCTGGGGAGGCGGTCAAGAGGTTCAGAGGCGACTCCTCGACTTTGAGGAGGGAGCTCTTGGAATCCTCTGGGCCGCTTCGGCGGGACCATCCGTTTCTTCTTTTTTCACCTGGATGTCGGGTGTGTCCTCGACGGAGAAATCACCATGGTGATCCATGTCGTCGCAATCGCGGTCGTCGTCACCGAACAGAACAGAGCCCATTTTGGAAGGTTTTGAGGCAGGAGTGACCAGCGACATGTTGGCGTGGATTTGGTTCTTCAACGACGTCAAGTCTTGAAGGGCGGGCAAGTTGAGACCATCAATCTTGTCTTGTGAAACGAGGTTTGCCACAGAGGCGTAGTTATCGGACAAGGTGGCGAGGTTCGATTCCAACAGTAAGACGTAAGACTCCAAGTACTCGACGTGCTTCCGCTTCTTCTCCCTGGAGGCGTGGGCGGCCCTTCTATTTCTGAGGATCCGCTCCACCCGGCGTTGTTCCTTCTCCTCTTGGGTTCTGGCTCTCTTGCGTGGGGGCAAGGACGACTTAAAGTTAGGGTCCACGGCGACAGTCATGGTGTTCGACAAACGTAGGTAGAAAAGTGGTAAAGAAGTAGCAGATGCTGAGGAATTGAAAAGAGGGTTTGACCTGATCAGAAAAATTGTTCCATGCGGGCGGGAGGCAAGGTATATATAGCACTCCTCAAAGGCCGAATCGGGCACTGCATGTGCGGTGGGTCGACGAGGAAATTAAAATAGAGGCGGAGGTGCAGGCTCCGAATCCAGACCCTGCCACACTGCAGAGGCGAAGCGAAGCTATTGGGCAAGAAATTAAATTTTAAACTTTGTTTACAGAATTATTTCTTGCGGTAGTTTTGATAGGGTAGGTTGAATTTGGTAGAGCCTGTTATCGAAAAGGGTTGTGCAAGGGGGTGGCGCCAAGCAGAATTCTCGTTTCGTCACCGTGGGAGGGGGAACCAGGATTGCGGTCTCGAAAACTTCCAAAGAGGCTCAGAATGCAAGTGAGTCGCGAATGAAAACAGGAGGCAGTTCAGTGGCTACAGGAGTTGAAACAATTTTAGACAAGGCATTGCTGCAAAAAAAAAAAATTCATGACGTTCAAATTTGGAACGTTTGAAGATGTTTTGTTTCGGATTAAGAGGCACCCGTCCTGGCACAATTAATTTTTTGCTCACCGCGCCACGGCTTAACCGCCTTATCATTCCACGCCCTTCTTGCGCCGATCCATCACCCTATGCAACAGGCCGTTTGTTGCGACTGCAATTGTTCAAGAAGGGATTGCTCATGAACTTTTTTTTTTTTTTTTTTTTTTTTTTTTTTTGGCAGTTCCGTTCCACCTTTGTTTCCTTTCTTCTACTTCTACATCCAATTACTGTCCTAGATTGTTTCGGCACCCCACGGCTCGTCCATGCCCAGCGGTAGTTTGAGTCTTCTCCTATTCTCCTAACCTTCACGCGGCGTCGTTGTGTTACGGTGCTATTCTTGAGCTAGACACTGAGCACAATGTCCAGGTTGGAATTCGACAATGATGAAAGATCTCGATTTGGACTATCCTTGCCAAGGTGGCCATTGTGCGGCGCCCGTTCGGTGGAGTGGTTGTGATGGTGATTGGCTTCATTGTCGGTTAGGCTGGAGAGTGAAAAATTTCTTGTCGGCCTGCGGCGGCGCCGGTAAGTGGACTCTAGGTTTCAGCCAATTGTGTCACTCTGTAATTAGTGTCAAAGACGCATGAGCAACGCCGGTCGACGTCCCAGTGGTGAAATTATCTTTTCCATCTTGGACTAGCCGCTTTTCTGGGCATCGCATAGGAGCCCTTACAGTCCATCATCCATTTGTGCTCCGACTGGTTTATTTTATTTTACTGGCTGCCGGGTGCAAGAGCCAATTACGAAAAACACTCCACTTCCCACTTTCTTCAAATAATGGAAATTTTTTATTCTGTTCAATTCTGAAACAACGAGGATAAAAGATGCCGCACGCTGGAGATGCCCGCGCCCAAGATGCATGCTTTATAGCGAAGTTCGGTTAGCCCTTCGGCCCGTGGACCTTTTCCTCAAACAGCCCACATTTACAGAATTTTTTTTTTTTTTTTTTTTTTTTTTTTTTTTTTTTTTTTTTTTGCTATCAATTTTCGCCCTCTCACCTCTACCCCAGGTCCTCTGAAAACCACTGGAGTCAAATCACGTGCGGAACACCAGCTGACTCCATCTCCATCTTCTTCTCTCGAGGTCTGATCTCCACCCAAGCCATGAAGTCAGTTCTTTCCGTTCAGTCCCACGTTGTCCACGGCTACGTTGGTGGTAGAGCTGCAACTTTTCCCTTGCAATACCTCGGCTGGGATGTCGACAATATCAACACTGTCAACTTTTCCAACCACACCGGGTATGGTTTCGTGAGAGGATCAGCAGTCAGTTCAAGCGATATGTCTGCTTTATTTCACGGTCTAGTGGATATCAAATGCAAGTATGATGCGATAATCCTGGGCTATATACCATCTGCCGAGCTTATTGACATCTTGGCTGCAAATATCGTTCTGTTTAAGACGAATAACCCAGACTCAACCTACGTCTGTGACCCTGTCATGGGTGACCAAGGGCATCTCTATGTGGATGATGCATGTGTTGAGGCCTACAGGAGACTCTTACGGGAGGGTAATGTTGATGTCATAACGCCCAACCAGTTTGAGTTGGAGCTTCTCAGCGGATCTAAAATATCTAATGAGGTTGAACTCAGGCAGGCCGCAGAACAGCTTCATGAAGGCTGCAACATCAAGCATATCGTGATCACAAGCTTGGCAGACGGTTTCTCGTTTGGAAACAAGTGTGACCCAAACTCCATCTACTGCGCTGTATCCTCCAAAAGCCAATCTTCCATCGAGTACTATAGAATTCCAATGATCAAGTCTTACTTCACTGGAGTCGGCGATCTTTTCACTGCACTTCTTTTAGACAAATTCTACAACAACCCAGGAAACATCGGTCTAGCAGTCAACCAAGTGCTCACCATCATGGCAGAGGTGCTTAAGCTCACTCATAAATTAGGCACGGAAGAATTTTGCAGCTACAAGAAAATACCTCTTACAGAAGATTTAGAAGGTAAAATGAACGATGCTGATTCGATGCGTTTCTTCGAGCTTCGCATAATCCAAGCCAGGGAATTCTACAATTACGCCGGTGACGGTGCTTTCGATCAGATCGAAACCTAACGGTTATTGCCTTTTTCGCTCGCGCACTTTCAGCGGAATAGCGGCAGGAGTACCCCACCTCCTGCAGCCAACTCATCTCGAGCCTACTATAAGATAACGCATTGAGCCACAGCCTTTCTTCACAAATGTCCAAACCAAGTGTCCTTGTTGTTGGTTCAGGCGGTGTCGGTACAATTGCTGCACTCTCGCTCACATTGAACGAGAAATGTAACGTCACACTCGTCGTTCGCTCCGCTTTCGATAAGGCTTCTACAGAGGGCTTCACCATCAATTCGGTGACATATGGTAATCTTCAGAATTGGAAGCCCACCCACGTCAGCAAAAGCGTCGAAAGTGCTGTTGCCGAGAACGGTCCCTTTGATTATATCGTTGTTACCACCAAGAACATCCCTGACGGGCCTCTGCCATGTGAGCAAATCATTAGACCTGCTGTGGTGGACGGCGTGAATACTGTGGTGCTTATACAAAACGGCATCGGTATTGAAGAACCCATAATCAAGGCATATCCTAAAAACCCAGTTATTTCTGGTATCTCCTTGATTGGCTCAACCAACATCAATTGTACAGTGGAGAATCTGCACAAGGATACTTTGAAGTTGGGTCCTTTCCACAATCCTAACATTCTGGATGAGCTTACAATGGAGAAGGTTAGGGAATTTGCTCTGTTGTATCAAAATGCGAGCAAGGATGTCAATGAGGTTATCATAGAAGACAGCGCCTTGAGATCAAGGTGGGAAAAGTTGGTGTACAACATGGTGTTGAATACTACTTGCACTGTCGCAGGATTAGATGTCAACAGGTGTCAGATTGGTGAAGCAAACGAGAACATCTTTAGACCAGCCATGAATGAGGTATTGGCTATCGCCAAAAGCGAGGGCGTGGACCTCCCCGATCTGACCAGTGACTACTTCATTCATATAGGCGATGGCCTATTCTACTCCCCATCGATGTTGGTGGATTCTAGAAAGAAGCAACTCTTCGAGCTTGAGGTTATATTGGGTAATCCTTTGAGGACGGCTTCAAAGAATGGTGTATCTACACCAGTTCTTTCAACTCTTTACGGTTTGTTGAAGATGATTCAATTGAGAATTAAAGAGGAGATTGGTGTTGTTCAAATCAACGAAGCAGACTACAAAGGTGTCAACAGTGACGACTATCCCAAAACCTTTCAAGACTTGCAATCTAAGAAAACATAATTAGCACCAGGTAAACACTGGTGGTTTTGCATCTACCTTTTCTAATCTTTCAATGACAACGATCTTGGTGTTAGTCTCTTCCGAGTCTTCGCGATCGTAGCGTTCATCCCCTTCATAGGTCATATTATAGTCAAAACCAGACATCCGCATGGGTTCACTCTCGCTAAAAGCACTTTTAAGACTTCCTGCGTCCGACTTTGTTCTTTTAGGTGGCTCAAGAAGTGGAGTAGTTTCGTCATTTTTGCCATTCGATTGATGTTCTGCCGAAGTCACGTCATAAATGCTTGATTCTAGTGCGTTGCTCAAGATTCTGTTGTTGACATGGGTGGGTACATGCATTTCATCGTCCCAAATAAGTACTCGCTCTCTTCTTGTGAGTTCAAGAGGCCCAGCCTGTGGTATTCTCAAGACCTCGACAAGATTGAAGGCTTGTCCCTTTAAGACGGCAACCTGCTTTAGCCACATCCTCTCTTTGAAGTCTGCGTCCTGCTCAAAGATATTTCTAAGCTTGATAATGGTCTGCTCCCACCAATATGATGACGTCAAAAGGGCTAAATAATGCTGCCTAGTTTTGTTTGAAAAGGGTTGGCCAATGATGGTATATGGTAAAAACAACCATCCAAAAGGGAACGATCTCCAGCCATCAGGATGCTTCCACGGAAAAGCAAGTCCTGAGTCGATGGCACCTATCCTCAAATATGGATATACTTTCTTCAGAGTTCCGGTGCTTGAGAGCTCTCTCCATTCCAACTTGATCATCCAATTGTCAGCTCCTCTATCGGTGTTTCTCATAATGTAGTCAAGAATTACCAACTTTTCAAGTTGTTCCTGAAATTGCTGGATGACTTCTCTCGTCCAGCGGAATTGCAATGATAATCGATCGATAGGTTGATCAGCCTCAACCTCAAGGACCTTACTCACTGGTAATTTGTCGATATCTGTAGGCAAGGGATATAAGCTAAAAAATTGTTGGGCTTCGATGTACCCATTCAAAAACATCTGGAACGAGCCAATTTTGAACTTTGGCGGTTTGGAACGAATTCTTTCCCAGAATGTATAATAAAAAGCCTTTGATTTCAAAAATATAATGTCTGTGTGGGGTACAATGAACGAAAGAAGTTGCCTGTCGAGGACACACGCAGCTGCTTCACTGACATAGCCCAAGTTTGGAATCAAACAGGCCCGACCGAAGAAGCAGGGAAAGAACGTGCGATGTAGCCATTTCGACCACTTTGGAGATAGGGGCCCATAAGGCTCCTCATCTTTTGGCTTGAAGATCCCTCTTTTATAGATCTCGATTGTGTATTCTGAGTCGTTGTTTCCAGCTCTCTCGCGTTTGCCGAGCACAAAATAGCTCCCCAGTGAGCCCTGACTTATCCTCATGGGGCTCAAGTCTGTGTCGTATTCAACGTCATGAGTCATGGCTGATACTAACGCCTCGAAATCGGCAGCACTGATGTAATTTTCTGGAGGTTGGCTCGCATCTGCAACGTTCTCCTGCCGTAAGATGTTCATCAAGTGGTCATTGAAATCAGCCTCTGACTTTATCGGTGGTAAATAGTTCATAGGTCTAAAGACCGAGTATTCTATGCTGTAGGGCCCCTCAATTACCTTGCTCTTTTTCTTCTTTCGTTTAGTACTCGAAAACCACTTTTTCGGTGACAGAAGGTAACTCTTGGAAGGCCGCTTCGTCAATGTATTTTCTGAATTCCGCCTCGTCATATGTGGCGTCAACCAGCGTGCTCCACCCATATTAGGCATGCTTTGTGAAAGAACCTCGTCTGCATCATTGTGATGGTGTCCTTGAAACGGAATCGGCTCATGGTTGACTTCATTCGAGCCGACTGATTGCGTATCATACAAAACAGGGGCTCTATTTGGAGTCAATGGCCCATCGTCCGCTTCTTTGAGAGCATCAGCACCTGATCTAGGTAGCTGATTCTTGGTGCCTTTAGCACTGTGCATAATATAGGAAGTAGGAGGTACCTTACGATTACCGCGCATACTGATAAGGTAGTGGTTGGACCCACGCGATAATCACCGGTCTACCCCCGCACACATTGAACAAACTACATTAACATCTGGGTCAGAATAAATGGTAGGTATAATTAATAATATAAACCGAAGTACGAAGGGTAACGAAAGAAGTTTTGAAGTAGTCTTGATCCACAAGACTTAGAGCATAAGAACGCCGCCGAACAAGAACACTTGCAAGTACACCAACACCATGGACACGCTCTTAGAAGAAGCGCTCGAACCCTGGGTCACCTCTCTGCGCTGGTTGTTGTTTGAACCAGTCTGAGTGAAGAAGCCCAAAATAGCATCAAGGCCGCCGCCTGAACTCAGACTACCAGTGCTGGTTTCACCTGGACCCTCCTCCACAGTGACAGTCACCATGGATCTATAGCTTCTTGGGGAGGAGGTTGTGGCTGGTGCAGAAGATCTGCTGGAGGAGGAGGTTGTGGCTGGTGCAGAAGATCTGCTGGAGGAGGAGGTGGTGGTGGTCTCAGCACCGTAAGTCTCCATCCACCTGCTCAAGCTGTCGACAGAAGAGGTGGCGGATCTCTTTGGAGAGCCAGAGCTCTCGCTGGTCTTGCTAGTAGGTGAGTTTGTGGCAGAGCCAGTCTCACTAGCTGGAGAAGCAGAGAGCAACGAGAGAAGGGAGGCCACTTCAGCGGAAGACTCCAGCTCATTGAGGTTGTCGTCAGTCTGGTACGAGAACGAAGTGTCGTTGTTGGCGTGCGAAGTAGTTCTCGATGGAGCGCTAGTTGTTCTGGAATTAGGGCTCTTAGTCGTTGTGGCACTGGCATTTGAGAAGCCGCCAATTCCACCAAGACTGAAGCTAGCAGTTCTTGGAACAACAACGGTACCGGTGAAGAGAACTGGAGTGGAAACGGTGTGGGACTCGGAGAAGACGTACTTGTTCAACTCAGCGAAAGTACCGTCATCCTCGACACCACGGATAATCTCCATCACAGCATCAGCATACTTGCCCAAACCGCCGAGCTGAATGTTACCGGAAAGCAACATGCCGACGGCACCACTGATCAACTCTGGTCTGCTCAAGACTCCCTCAGTAAGAGAGGTGACATTAAGAGAAGCACCGTTGAGGCTGATAGCGCCAGTGTTCATCACATCAATGATGAGCTGAGCAGTCATGTTCTGGTAGCCCTCGTCAGCAAGGAAGTGTTTGACGGTGGTTGTGAGGAACTGAGTGTTGTTCAAGGCAGTAAGCACATCCTTTGCAACGTCAGCCACAAGAGTGGAGGACAAAGCAGTGGAGATGATGTTGCCAACGAAAGTCTCAAGACCGCTGGTCTCATCTCTCTTACTGTTGGAGTTTTTGCCAAAGAGGTCCTGAACCAACCACAAGAATGTGTTCTTCTGAGACTTCAACAATCTCGAGACAAGGTTTACAAGTTCTGGTCTGTAGTCCTTGTCAAGCAAGATTCCATCCAACAAGCTCTGGACAACACCAGAGTCTGCAACAGCACCCACAATAGCAGAAACATTAAGGTCGGACAAATCCAAAAGACCGCCTCCAAGCATTTCACCAATGCTGGAGAGGTTAGCACCGCCAATGAGACGGCCTGTGAGGTTTGCAATAAATTCAATGCGGTCTGGGTAGTAGGCCACTTGGTCCAACACAGCCCAGATCACGCCGGAGTCATTAACAACGTTCAAAAGACCTTCAATGGTCTGCTCGAAGCCACTAGTGTCTCTCTTGTCAATGAAGCTCGACAAAGCCTCGTAGTCATGAGGGTCGAATCTAGCTTCGATGGTATCTTCGAGGAAAGTCAAGTCAAACTCCTCTCCAACAGGCTGAGCGATTGGAGTCGCTAGCGTCACCGCCAGGAAGATGCAAAGGAGGGTGGAGACGAACGTAAACTTCATCTGGTTATGAGTAGATGCTATAAGGTGGTAAAGAAGACGGCGTCAGATTTCCAGGTAATATCTGTTGTGGGGCCCAGTAACTCTATATAAAAACAAGGCTAAGCAAGTCGGAAGTACAGAGCCCACCTGTTTGGGAAATTTCATGTTACACAGGAGGACGAACGAACGACAGTGTTGTGACTTGGTTGCAAAATTACTGCATTTGTTAATCGAGCACTGTAGGGAATTCTCATTCTTTCCCAAAGAGGAATTGATATTGATTTTTTCTGCAGTATACCTCCACACCACTTGCCTAATGCGGTAATGAGTCTGGTTAATTGTAATGCATGCCCTTCGTACACGCCAAAGGGCCGTGGGCGTTTGGGAATATTTCGTAACATGGAATCGGGTCATTTTACGAAGCTTGACTTTGAACGAATAAAATGATACCAAGCACTGCTCTATTATTGCCAGCTCTATTGTCTGAAGTATCTGCAGCCCCAGAAGCGCCACGCCTCGGCTATAGCATAATGTGCACAGTGCGCTCTCAAAGTGGCATCGTTCATGTGGGCAGTCCTGCCTAGCCGTGCGCACAATGTAAACATCTCCTCCCGAATCAAAGAAATGCAAGATGGCCAAATAAGGTAAAAAGAGATAATTTCAAGCGTTTTCCTCTGTGCAACAAATATATACCACCTTTCTGCTCATCACGTCCTTTTCTAAGTTTAGTCGCTACAACTTCTTCTTGGTCCAAGCCCGCAAACACCCTTTATCCATTCTTTTCCAAGACCCTTTCTGCGAGAATTGATCCCTTTGCTTTCGTTGGTGCCATAATATCATATCCCTGACCAGCGAACATGAGGTTGTTTAAATACGTTGCAGCCTTGCCCTTGATGGCATCCGCCGTTACGGCGTTGAAGCCGCTAGCCGATTTCGACGTTGAGCCGGAGATAGTCACAAGAGACGACTCTGAGCTTGAGGAGTTGAGTCCAGCTTTCTCCGAGTTGTACGAATACGCTCATGATTTCATGGACATCCTTAAACAACACAGTGATGGCAACCTTGAGAAGCGTGACACCTTGGAGGATGTCTTGACCGGTGTTCTTACTCAAGTCAAGGACAACCAGGTTGTGGAGGGCATTTTACTCGAAGTCGCCAGCTCCAAGCAGCAGATAGATAACTTGTCTAGAGCCGTCTACTCGCTCTTAGCCAACATGATGACCGGCAACTCGGCCCTCTCAGGCCTCAACATCACCTTGGACATGGACAGCATCTTGGCCGAGGTTATGGCCTCCGGTCTCATAACGTCTGTCGCTGATGACTTGCTTCTCAACGACCAAAACAGAGAGAACTTGACCTACCACGTTGGTGACCTCTTGACTCAGCGTCCTTTCATCGCTGAAATTCTCAACAAAGTTGGCCATGGCAGTGACCTTACTTTCGACATGATCTTCAGTACCTCAAGAAATTTCAAGAGTAAGGCGCCAGAGTTACAGGAGAACGCCACATTCTACTCCAAGCGTGCCGACCTTTTCTCAAAGCGTGCCGACAGCGAATATCTGGGCTCTCTTAACGCTTTTGTCAGCAATATTATTAACTCGGCTACCCTGGGTGGTCTCATTGACGAATCCCTTGGCTCTATCCTTGCGGCTGTGAAGAACAGTGGCCTTGTTACCCCCATTGTTTTGACCGCCGTCCAGAGGCCTGCTATGGATATGGTGGGGCGTATTTTGAATAATCTCTACGACTATGGCGTCTTCGACAGCATTCCCCTCAATGATTACTTTGAGGATGCCAAGAAATCACATGTTCTCGCAGACAGCACGCAAGATCTCTTGACCCACAAGAGATACTCCCCGCCAGTTGCAAAATTGTTCCAGCAGTTAGAGGACCAAGGTACTCTTGAAAATATCAGACGCAGCTTGTACGGCTAGATCAATTCGTAAGCGCCCTCCACTCAACGACCAACAAACGACTTTCAGTTCTTCAACGCCTGATACCACTTGCGGTGCTACGCCTACCATCAAACTACTGTATTTATGCTCAATTCGATAATTTCGTTAAACCTAGAAATGCAATATTTTTTTTTGTGAAGTCCGATACCCAACGTTATTTTTAAAAGTTCAAGCATGTCATAATGCCGTAACCGACGGAAATCGTGATGACATATGCTATAAGAGATGCGGGAACACCTCTAGTAATGAATGTGTTGACTGAGACGTAGCGTTGACCAACCTCATCAGTCATGCTAATGGCAGTGACGTTAGGGAAACCAGAAGTTGGCAATCCCATAGCTGCAGAAGCCATCAAAGCCGTGCCCATAATCAAAAGCGAAGGATGAGGCGTGGACATCGAGTCACCAACCTCCTTGACTAATGGTACGATAATGATAGTGGCCACTGTATGCGAAACAAAGGTGGCCACGACTAAAACCAAGATACCAAAAATTGCCATGACAACGAAGGCATCGAAGTCAGCGACCTTCTTTTGCAAAGCTTTGGCAACAGTAGCTAAGAGACCTGAACTTGTAACAGCAGAGCCCAATGCAAGACCTCCCATGGCCAATAAGATGATGGTCCAGGGGAAGTTATTGACATCATCAACTTTCAAAAGACCTGTACCAAAGAACAAGACAATTGGAACGACAGCAATGATACCAGAGGAGCCAAAAGTGTCTTCAATCTCACTCAAGACGCACCAAAGGAGAATAGTCGCAATACAAACAATGCTTATGTACCATTGCTTGGTGGTGAACCTTTCTTTGATAGGCTTGTATGCCTTCACCTTATTCTGAGAAATTTTGAAAGTCATGATCAACTCCATCCAAATTCCACCCATAGACAAGATGGAGACAGGAAGAGCGATGGCGAACCACTTACCCCAGCCAGGGTTTGGTTTCATGTACTCAATGGCGATCACATTCTGGGGCGAGGCGATTGGAGATGCCATACCGCCAAGGTTTGATGCCAACGCAATGCCCAAGACTAACGCCTGGGAAAGCGGGGAGGTTGTAGGAAGAGTCCTCAAAACAGGCTGAATCAAAGAATATGCTAAAACTGGAGCGGCGACGTTGGAGATCCACATGGACAAGAACAATGAGACACTCATAATAGCGAGGAGGATATTTCTTGGCTTAGTGCCCGCTAAAGCCAACATGTACGAGGAAACGATCTTCGCAATGTTATACTTGGATAAAGCCGCAGCCAAAGTGAAACCACCAAGCAAAATCATAAGGGTTGAGGACCACATTGCTGACAAAATTTCCTTCGAAGCGTCTGCAGCATCCATGGCATTACCATCGTCATCTTTCAATACTTTACATGTCACAACAAGCAAAGGTACTAAAAGGGAAGTCACCCATAATGGTAAGGCCTCAGAAGCCCACAACATAGCACAAGCAGCCAAGACAGCCAAACAACGAGCCTCCTCTTTATCGTTCATAGTCTTGACGGCCAACAAGACGATGAATACAGGGATAATGATAGCAAGTTTGATAATTTGAGTCGAAAAGAGAAATTCAGGAACCTTGACGTAATCGTACCTGGAAACTTTCCACCCAAAAGGTAAATTAATTTTTCTCCACCTCATCAGAAGCAAGGACTGGGAGTTAGCCTCGTCTCCCATCTTATTGTTTCTTGCGGCGCTCTCATCAAGATTCAAATTAAATTGCTTCTTCTCAATCGACAACAAGTCTTTCCAAACAGTGTTCCTCTCCCAAACAATGTGGTCCCTTAAGTAACTTCTAAGCTCGTCCTTTATTGGCTCCAAGTCCTCAGTGGCAGCCTGACTGACTGCTTTACCAGAAAGGAAAGCATAAACACGGACGACATGATCGATTCTGTATTCAAGAATCTCGGAGGTCTCTGGGAAGAATGTTCTTGAGTTGTGGGGTAAAAAGTTGGCAACAAAGTCCTCTTTCACTGAGTAGTTGCAGGTCTTGTCGAACTTTTTGCAAATTTTGGTAAAGCCGATTCTATTCAACTCAATGAACGATTTCAACTCGCTCAAAGTGATGAACATATGAATGGATCTCTGTTTCAAAGTGATTTGCTTTTGTTTTTTGATATCAAAATCGTGGTGGCCAAGCAAAGCAGAATTGGACTGGCGATCCTGCTCGTGGTCTTCGTCATCCTCGTCATCCTCATCTTCTTCTTCCATAAAATCAGCCTTCTCGAGGTCCTCATAGTCCAAGTGGTTGACAGTGTCAAATACTGATGCATTACTCAAGGTTCTCTCTAAAGTGGACTTGATGTGGATGTTACGATGTTCATTTTCATCGTAACCATCGTTGCCATAGGCAGCAGTGAAGAGGTAAGCCTCAATATGCTGTCTGTTAGCCTCTAAATCCTTGATGAGGTTGTCGTACTGTTTGTAAACCTCAACCTCTTTAGGCTTGAAGAACTTGTCGATCTTGGTCACCTCGTCGACCAAATGCTTGGCAAAAACCGGGAGAGGGTCTGAGGACTCCGATGAAATTGTCTCGGCTGCAGCTGTCATCGTATCCAAGTCGATGGAGCCGCGGTAGGTGGACTCATCGTTGTCGAACGAATAAGTCACCTGGATGTCGTTGACATCGTCTTTTTCCACGGCGGCTTCACCCTTTTCTAATTCGTTGTGCGGGGCCTCTGGGCTTGGTGTTTTCGCAGACGAACCAGTCTTTCTTTGTTTGAACTTATCCATAAATTTGGCCGCAGCAGACTTTTCATCCTCCTCCGAAGCCTGGGCCAAGGCCTCTCGACGGTCAGCGATGGCCTGGTTTCTCCGGGCGATTCTCACCAATTCAGTGATAGTAGCATTGTTCACTGCCAAGGAACCATCTTGAGGCTGGCCATTCTCCAACTGGTTTTGCTGGGCGACGTAGATCACCTTCTTGAGACCAGAATAATTAAGATAGTGGTCCTGCCATTCTGGAACAGCGTTGAACTTAAGCGAGTGGGAAAACTTCATCTAATTTTCTTGAGTCCAGGGCTTTAGGCACTAAGCTTGTAAAGAAAAGTCTTGGAAGTCTTGGAAAGGCAGTAGGTCACACGAGAAAATCTGTCAGGAGATGCAAGGGAAAAAAGGAAAATTGTTAGCCAAGGAAAATTCTGTCAGAAGCAGGAAAGAGCTCGTGTGACTGGTTGCTGCAACAGGCTTTGTGTGGTGCTGCCCCGACCTAATTTTCTTTTTTAATTACATCCTGTCGGATCTATTAAGAACCGCGCCCCACGTGGGTGCTGGCGCTCAGATAAGCCTGAATAGAGCACAAAAAAAAAATTCAACTCTTCATCGCAAGATGCACCGGCATTCGGCCATTGCCTCGTTTGCCGCGTGGTTGTGCAGACGCAGATGAACCCATATTTAACCGCTTATGCCAAGGCAGATCAACCAAAAAAATACGAGTGAAAATGTGGTGAAGAGAGCCTTTTCATCTAATTAAGTGTCATTTCGTTGCACTGTTTTTGTCTTCCGAAATAAAAGGCATTGCTGACTTTCCTGATTCGAAGCTCCGGTAAAGTCAGGTCGTAGGCTCACTCGAACTACCTATTTCAACCACATTGCCAGCATAAAATACATTCGCTGACCCTTGACAATTCAACTTTCTTCTTTCGTGTCCAAAAACTGAAGTTTCCTTTTTTTGGAGTAGTATAATCTTCTTGACTTATATATCCAGCTCACCCCAAATGGCTGCCTCAATTCTCATCAATGTCAGTTCAGCTTAGCTTGTCTCTTGACAAGAACAAGGTCTATCGTCACTATGATATCGTGCCTCTTGTAATGGAGCTAGAAGTAAGGGAAAAGCTTTTGCTACGCAACTTGTATCTTGTGTTTGAAGGTACCTGTACCGTCACGGCTCCCTCAGACGACAAGCTGATTATGCCTCGGAAAGAAATCAAAACTTTTGATAAAATCACTTCCTTGAGAGAATTCGAAAATACTTTTGTTGTTCGTCGCCAGGCAATCATATCGAGAAATAAAACTTTCAGGCCTGGAAACTACACCATTGAATACGACTTTCGACTCCCAGCTGCCGAAACCTACTGCAAAAAGCAAGACATCCTTCCAAGAAGTACCTGCCATATAAAAGAGAGAGATCTGGATTATCTTTTGCCTCCGACGTTTCGCTATGTTGGAGAAGATGGCGAGCGAGTCGACATCACTTACAGGCTTACTCCAGTAATTTCTAGTGTCCATGGAAATATCGACGGTGGCCTGGCTTATCTAAACTTTTTTGCATACCCTTGCACAATTCCTACATTCCTTATACCAACGTTTGATAGAAGCCATGACCAGATGTCCTTAGACTGTCACAATCAGAGTATCGTCCAGAGCCAGTGGCACTCGCCATTTCCAATATATACTCACTTTCAAACTATCGGTCTCGGCGTATATTTCTATCCTGATAATTGCGTTGATATAGGAAGGCTCTCCACAAATAGGGTGTTGGTATCTGGGAAACAACTCTCTCGATTCGTTAACTATACATTAATGATGTCCGTCCCAAAAATTGACCCGGAACTACAGAACATTACCAGCATAACAAAGAAGCCTGATAGTATTTTGGTGACCATTCAAGAATTGAAGATATCGTTGCTCAGGGTGCTTCGATTTACTACGAAAACCCGCATGATTTGTGAGGGTAGTATTGAGACCATGCAAACTAACAATAAGGAATTTTGTGTCTCTAAGACAGTGAAGGAGTTGACCAGTATTACTGATGGAAGAAGTTTGCTCTTACAAGGGAAACGCGTTGGGAAAGGTAACATATCGTCTGGTGAAATCAAGTACGTAGCGGAACTTCCCTCGGAATGGCTTGACGGCGTCATTCCTGAGGTAGATCCTGCTTTCTGTACCTCGAAGGTATCATTGGAGTACTACTTGGTCACTGATTTCAAGTGTATGACTCTAAGTGGTCTGCAACCGATTCACCTCAAACTCGATACTCTTGTTCTTGTAGGTCGGCAGAATAATCAGTATCGGTTGTAAAGTGATGCAATCTCAATTAAACTCACAAATTACATATAAAATCGTAATTTTTTGACAACTCTCGAATTAAACAACTGGTGGTCTGCGCACAAAACGTAATCCACATTTACAACTTTTGCTCACTCTCGCTCATATTATGAACTATTAGGACTAGGAAAACAGCGAACAATTGTCACATTTCCATAATTAAAAAATTAAAATGATGCTCTTTGAAGTTTTGACTCGCGACCGTTTTTTATGTCTCACAACCATGTACGGCGCTGTCAACTGGCATTCAAGCTTCTTGACATCGAAATATGCACAGACGCTTACTCGCATCTTCGCTTCGTCGCTGCATTGACGTCCACGTGACTCATCCACGATCTCCCGATATGTGGCTGCTCTGCAGCCTTCACCCACACTACTGAGACTGTTCTACAGATAACCATATGGGCTGTTTTAACAACGGCAACATCCATGAGGGCGAATTTGTCCTGATCCCCATGCGGACGCCGCTACCTATAAACTCCACAGCAAATTCAACTCCGCTGATCACCACACCCAAGAGGCACCAGCTGCCGCGGCAGATTCGACTGGAACACAAGGAAACTTGCACGAACCCCCAGGACTGCAGCTTTGCTCTTCCTGATAGCCTGAACGAAGAGGACGCTTCCGAGGGAACCCTTCCCCTTATCCACAAATGGACTCATACGCATTCTATTCTTTGTGTCATACCGGCACCCAGCAAAGAGTTGATCTTCTGCGGAACACAAGATTCTAATATCTTGGTGTTCGACTTGAAGAGCTACAGCATCAAACACGTCATAAATTGTGGCAGGAACCATTTTGCCACCTCAGTTCTTTGCCTCACTATTAGCCCGGATGAACGATTCTTGTTCAGCGCAGGCTCAGACTCATTGGTGAAAGTGTGGGATCTTTCACCTTTCGATGACCCTGACGCTACTGACTACACAATTTCATGCACTCATATCATCTATTCGTGTATGGATATAGGTGATATTTTTTCCATTTACTGGTCCGAGAAACTTTCTGCATTGTTCATTGGTTCCCAGAATGCTTCGATTCTGTGGTGCCGCCTAGCATTGGACCGTGACTCAAGTTCCACCCACACAACTTCCATCGAGCGTCTCCCTCATTTCAGGTACGACAAGTTCTTTGATTCAAAAGGTCCTGGTGGGTCAATGAATAAAATCCAGTCCGCTCACCAAATGCTCAAGAAGAGCTCCAGTTCGGAGTTTGGACCATGCCTAGTGGAGATTCAAAATTCTGATATCATTCGCTTCGCACACAATGGCTATGTCTACTGTTTGGATTCCTTGACAGAGCTTAACGCTGCAGCCTTCTGTGACCTCTACACCTCACTGTATAACGGCTTCTTAGCAAGTTGTGGTGGTGATGGTGTTATAAAGCTTTGGGCCTTACATCTGGGAGAGAAGGCTCAATCAAACTTTCTCTTATTAGTAAGCTCGAAAACGACGAAGCCATCTTGTCAATGCACATTATTGACTCGACAATTTGTGTTGGGTTAAGTGATTCAACGATCAACGCTTGGGACTTGACAACATCTCAGCTCACACGTTCCTTTAAGTTCATCTCAACAAGTGCAAGAACAGATGAAGTTCTCTCGTTGTGTATCCACAACGGTTGCATCTACAAAGCCACAAATATGGGAGGGCTTTGCAAGTTCCCGCTCAAAAGTGACATCCATAGCGATGGACCCGATGGAGATGACGAATCTAAGTCACATCCTGTGAGAAGCGCAGTGAATTTTAATAATTTGCCTCACGAGGAGTTTTCAAATTTAGAGGAGGGCTCTGTCTTCACTGTTCAGGCTTTCAAATTCAGGAACTCGACATATCTTCTTTCGGGCGGTGGTGGCTCCCTATGTCTTTGGAATATCACTGATGTAGGAGAAAAATCGACCGTCTCATCAAGCGAAGCAAGTGGTCTTCTCAATTTTACAAGTGGTATTGAAACCTCCAACGAGCACTTGCTCGAATCCTTGAGAAAGATTATATCGTACAAGACCATTTCGAAGTACCCAAGCACCTATCTTGAAGATTCCAGAAGATGCGCTCAGTTTTTGAATAAGCTTTTGCGTTTGCTTGGGGCATCTGAGTCCAAATTGTTACCTGTTCCTAATTGCAATCCTGTCGTCATGGGTCGGTTCCTGCGAAACGACAAATCGACTCTCCACACAGAGCGAAAAACTCTTTTGTGGTATGGGCATTATGATGTCGTGGAAGCGACTGCCGACAAAGAGTGCTGGTCCACCGATCCATTTCAACTAGTTGCAAAGGATGGAAACCTTTACGCGAGGGGTGTATCAGACAACAAAGGGCCTACGTTAGCTGCATTTTATGCTGTACTGGATCTACACAAGAAAGGCGAACTTCCAATAGATGTGGTATTTGTCATTGAAGGTGAAGAGGAGTGTGGTTCGATTGGGTTTCAGAAGGTCATCAACGAGAATAAGGTCTACATAGGCGTTGTTGACTACATCCTTTTATCAAACTCTTATTGGCTTGAAGACGAGGTCCCATGCCTCAATTATGGATTGAGAGGAGTATTGAATGCATCTCTTAGTGTGACATCGGAGAAACCTGATAGACATTCGGGAGTGGATGGAGGAGTGTCAAAAGAACCAACCATGGACTTAATTCAAATTTTGGGTCAACTCATCTGTCCAAATCTGAATAAGATACAAATTCCTGGGTTTTACGATGATGTTTTACCAATCGATGAGACAGAGTTGCAGCTTTACCAAAAAATTAAGGACGTATCAAGATCCCAAAATCTATCCAACGCCGATCTTGACACACTTCTTGCTAAGTGGAGAAATCCATCCTTGACAATTCATAGACTTGATGTATCCGGGCCGAAGAACAATACCGTCATATCAAAGAGGGCCCAAGCCTCGGTGTCGATCAGAGTCGTTCCTAATCAAGATCTACACAAAATAAAGGAAGTATTCACCTCCTACATGCGGAAATGTTTTGATGCTTTGAAGACGGAAAATGAACTCAAAATCGATATTTTCCACGAGGCTGAACCATGGTTGGGCAACCCGAATAATCTAGTTTTCAAGATACTTCACCAGAACATAAAGAAAAATTGGGGACCCACATATCCGGACCCATTGTTCATAAGAGAAGGTGGATCCATTCCGTCGATTCGTTTCTTGGAGAAGACTTTCAATGCACCCGCCGCACAGATCCCATGCGGACAAGCTAGCGATAACGCCCACCTTAAAGACGAAAAACTTAGAATTATAAATCTCTTCAAGTTGAGAAGTATTCTTGCTGACTCATTTAGAGATTTGGGTCATCAACAGCAAACAAAATAGCATTTCAAATAAATGATAAATTAGATATTATATGGGGGTATATATGCAATTAATTGACTGCGACACGGCATTCATACCGCTTCCGCAACACGCTTTTCAGCGTCATTTTCGGTTCTGTTGTGTTGATTGTAAGGTGACGATCCTATGTCCTGATTGTCATCGCTTCCAGAAGAGGGCTCGATCTTCTCCGGCTCCTTTGAGGTACCCTCGTTCGCGACTTTCTCTTGATTGGCCTTTTTCTCCTCTGCGAGTCTCTTGAAGTGAGCCGCATAGCCATATTTCGACTTTTGTCTGATAGTGGAGCCCCATTTGTGGAAAGCAAATGGAATAGGGATCATTGCGACTGCGATGAACGCAAAAAGAGAAGTAGCCCAGTCGACATGTAACTTCTCGTACATCTGGAAGATGAATAATGGGAAAACCGAGGCCAAAACGTAACGCAACAAGTTATTGGCGGCTAACGCTGAAGCCACGTATTGTGGAGGGAAGGTCATCGAGTAATAAAGCACGATACCAAAGAACACCCAGATTAAGCCGAAACCGAATGGAACACCTGCGAGAGCAGGAGCAATCCAGTGAACGTCCGATCTTGCAGTCCATGCCAACCAAAACAATGCGATCGGCAAGAACACAGAACCAACCTCGGCAACTAGCAATCTCGTTTCGGGGGCGTCCCACACAGGGTTACCTTCTTCGTTAAACTTGCCTCTCGTTCCGTCCGGATTTTTGGGGAAGAATTTAAGATGATCTAAAACGACGTAGCCGGCAACACCACCGACCAAGCCAACACCAACGCCAATAAATGGTAAACCAGAAACACCCGTACCCATACCGTAGACTCCTTTAAAAATAATTGGAAATGCTTCGAAGAAACCAAACAAAACAGCAAAAACGAAAGCAATGTAAATCGAGGTTAAGCAGACAATTGGCTCAACGACTAACATCTCGGCTGGAGTGAAAAGGAAGACTTTCAAAGCGAACTTAACGAAGTCCATATTAATCTTGGGAATATCCAACTTTATCCCTCTTTTGATAGCTCTCTTCTTGAGAATAGTAAACTTCTGGGTTTCTGGGCAGAGTGTAATAAGGGGAAGAATGGCACCAGAAAACATCAAGGACACCCACTGTGTCCATTGCCAACCCTTGTGCTCAGCAGCAAAGCCACCGACAATTGGACCCACGACGGGACCCAAAAAGGCTGCCACACAGAAGAAGGCCATTGCAATCGATTGCTGAGCAGGAGAATTTCCCCACAAGTCAGAAATGCTTCCACCTGCAATTGCCATTGGCGGAGAGCCGAAGTAGCCAGCAAAGAATCTCAAGACAAGAATAGTTCTGATGTTTGGAGCTAAACCCACACCCATAGTGAAGAGCATGAAAATGGCCAAAGAGGAAATGTAGATGTAACGACGACCAATGACCTCCGAGATGGGAGAAGCGATAACAGGGCCAAACGCTAAGCCTAGCAAGTAAAATGTCAAACCAGCAATACCAAGAGTCTGACTGATGTTCATCCTAATTTGCAATTCTGGCACGGAAGCAACGTAAAGGGATGAGCCCAATGACACACAAAGACAGTCGCATGCAACTGTCAAGGTTATAAACCATTTCTTCCATGTTGGCCAATTTTGGGGGTTGGCCTTATCGTCAGGGCCATCCCAGTCTAAACTTCTAGGATCCACAAGTTTAGTCATGGACTGATGCGAGACTTCTCTCTCTAAGTTGGAAAGTGTGTCTGATGTGGTTGCAATTCGGTTAAGCTCGTTCTCAGTCATGTTCAGATAGTCAGGAAAGTCGTTGGTGTGGACTTGGAACGGCTTGACGTGGTCATCTTCCTCCTCATCAACATCAGTTCCCTGTGCAGTGGAGGGTCTGTGCTCGTGATTGTGACTGTCGTTAACAATGGCCTCAGAATAGCGGTCGAAATTGTCATCAGGGGTCTGTGGTTCATACAGAACATCGTCGTTTGTGAATTCCGAAGCAGTTTCATAATTGGAGGATGCCAGGCGGTGCAATGAGGAGGCTGATTCACCTCTTTGTAGACCACTCAGCTGGGCAGCCGCTCTCAAGGCCTCCTCTTCAGATTTGGAAGTGCCAAAGAATGCCATGGTATGGATTGTTGTGACAAAATCTGGGCGCTATTAAGCCAAGGGCGCAAGCGCAAATATATAGTGCCGGGATAGAAGAGACTCAGAGGCACGGGGAGCACAAAAAAAAAAAAAGAATGGGTTCCTGCAATAATCCACAATAAGCCTAGTGAAGGCTTTCGCTGGCTATGAAGCGCGGCTATTCTTGACCGCACCGTAGCGATAAAAATTTTGGCTTGCGATTCTGCCAGCAGCGAGGTGAAACGCCACATGAAAGCGAACAAAAGACACTATGTGCCGGCTCGAAGCCGCAGCATCTTTGTGCTAACCATGCCTTTAGATAAGATGACTCGGACTTAAGACATTGTCGGTACAGAGACCGACTTGCCAAGCAGACCCAAGCCTTGCCTGCAGCAGGCCCCGCTAGAATAACACTGACCATTCATAGAGACGGTGAACTGTGGGTCATGCCACGAGACCCTACAGCAGGAAGCTCACAAATGACGGCTTACTGATGACAGCAAAAGGTAGCAATGGATCTTCCCGTTAATTTTCCGTGATGCATTGCAAGCAGGCCATCGGCTCCGGAGAGGTTGCCTGGCGGCAAAAGGTTCGGAAAAATTGTACTTACCGCGCGGCGCTCGTAAACATCCTCGGCTCATCCCCAGTACGTCCGAGCCCGCACATAGCCAAAACCAAAGTTGTATACATAAACAAGCAATACCGCGCCAGCAAACACAGCTAGGGCTTTGAAGCTTAATGGCTCCACCAATGAAGTGAATACCATACCAATAGTCTGTGCGCCAAGGGAGCTGACATTGCCCCTCGAGTTGGATCCTGACGCATGCATTGCTCCCAATAAGCGCACATTTGCTCTAGCGCAGGCACAATCTCGTCTGGTGAGCAGTGATTCTCGCGGTAGCTGCGCTCACACAGGGCGATCTCGACTAAGAGGTTGTTTGCATGCCGCGATAACTTGTGCGTAACGTCTTTTTTAATGGCTGCAACTACACTCCACACTAGGTGTAAGGCGTATGCCAGCACAACCAGGTTCACTGCTAGTTGAAGATACAGCGAAAGCATGTAGGCACGCTCTTCTGCTGGTGTTGAGCTTTTGTCCCACGGTAGAGGCAAACGAGTGTCCTTGCCTTCTTCGATATTCTCGTCTTGGGCTTCTTCCAAGACCTTATGGCTCTGTGGTCGTATGCGAGGCTCAGGGCTTATCGACTCGCTCAGACCGTTGTAATAGTAGTGATGATGATGTATTTGCACAGGGAATGGCACAAATTGGCGCTGCGGTCCTGGTTCTTGTTGATGAAGTCGCTGGAACACGTCAGTACCACTAGTAAACGAGGATTGGTGGCGGGGGGTCTGATAAAACAGATTTTGGGGGGTTGGAGACCGCGAATGCTGCTCGATCTGCGTACTTTTCTGAATGTTTTTGTTATGCTGATTGATGGCGTATCTAGCGCCTAGATTCGTTGGACTGAGAAGCCTGACGAGCAGTCGCTCCAGCACCTCTCCTTCTTCGGAAAAAGAGTCCTCTAATGGTGAATGCAGTTCGTGTTTTGATTCTTCCGCTGTGGAAGATTTGATTGGCTCAGGCGTTGTTGGTTCGTTATCGTCAACCTCGTGAATGCTATCAATATCCATGGAATCCACGTCCATGGCGTCGTCCATATCAACATCCTCCTGATACACGATTCCTTGTTCCTCCCGTAGTGAAAGCAGTACCAAAACCTTATCTAGATCCATGGTAAGGTGGTGAGGTCTGTGCGGTTCTCGATCTGTTGACTCCACATATTCGGGCATCGCGCACATCGCATAGTAAAAATCTCCAACACCAATATGGGCTCAAAAAGGAAGAGACAGGAGAAGAAGAAGGATTTCCAGAAGGCAAAGCTCAAAGTTGGTAAAACGGCGAAGAAGCCAGACAATTTCACAGATACCTCATTCACAGCAAAGTCTATCTCTTTGCCGAATCAGTCTGTCTCAAAGAAGAGCTCATCTGGACCAGTCGACTTGTCTCATCAAATTTCGTTGACGAAACATCATAGTTCCCAAACAAGAAAAGAGGTGCTTGGATTTATCGAAAACCATCTTCCGTCTAATCCATCGCTATACAAGCAGATTATCACTGCCACCATACCGCTCATCACAGACCTGAGTCCTGGTGTCAGACTGGCCCTCGTTTCTCTATTAAAAGCATGTGCAAATAAACAGAGTGGATTATTAGAGCTCCACATGCGGTCCATTGTGCTTTTCTTGAACTCGGCCATGACCCACATCCAACCAGATATCAGAGCATCTTCAACGTCCTTGCTCGAAATACTTGTTGACCTAGCACCCGAGCCTCTTGTCAAGGGATATTTTGTCAAGGTTTTGAAAAGCTACTATGCTTTATTGTCTTGGCCCTTGACGGGCGATCGTAAAGCAGTCTCGCTTGCAGTGAACAGTAATGGCTCTTTAGGTGGAGGCAAAAAGTCCAGGGCACAACACATCCGAATCCTACGCAAGTTTCTCAATGCAGCTCTCGATGAAGAGGCTGCCAAGAAGTCGGTGCTCTCCATTGACTGGTCCCAGGTTAACATGCCTCATCACACGACCCCCAATTTCATGATCCCCCAGATTCCACAGGCATTTTCCTCCTTCAAATTTTTTGTCGACGAGCTCCCGTCATCAACATCTAAAGTAGCATCTGAAAATACCAAGGAAGGTGAATTTTCGCTACGAGAAGCTGAGACCATGTCCACAGAAGATATTCATACAAGACAGAAAATTATGAAAGATGTTTTCCTCGATAGCATCTTGAAAAACCTCGCAAATGCCAGTAAAGAAGGAGGCGAAATCGGTATTGAGGCGAATGGCTGTATTGAAACAATCAATACCCTCAAGAACCCGACGGATGGTTCAGAAAATCAATAAATAGACTTCATAGAGCACCTACAGGGTTTTCGCAGCCAACCTGTACCAAGTAGCAGCAGTCGTCAGACTGCGAAATTTGAATCTTCAGACCCTATACCATGTTTAGAGCTCTTTTGCGGCCTAGTTACCTCGCAAGAGCCAGATTCGCTCCCAGACTTCCAGCAAGACAATTTCATGCATCTCCATTGAGTCTCAAAAAGAGACTCGGCAAGAAGACAGTCGAAGTGGAGGAAAATGATGCCGCCGTCAGTGCTTCAGACATCGATTTCAAGGAATTGGAAACCAAAATGCAAGCCGTCGTTGATAGGTTTGGTAAAGTTGCCAACGAAGCCAAGCTTGGAAAAAGCAATCCCCTGATCTTCGACAATCTTACCGTCAAAACCGCCGACGGTGATCTTCCGTTTACATCCACTGCTCAGACAGCGGTCAAAGGTCGTAACTTTATGATCACTGTGTTCGACCCTTCCAATACCAAAAATATCGTGAGCGCTATCTTGGCAGCTAACTTGAATATGACTCCAATCGCAGACCCTCAGAATAAGCAGCTGATCAAGGTGCCTTTACCTCCAGTGACTACCGACTCCAAGAAAGAGACTGTTAAGCACCTAAAAGAGTCGTTTGAGAAACTTCGTAACGGTCCAGGCGGACACAGCAAAAACGCACACACATTGGCATCAATTAGAGGTGATATCAAGAAAAGATTGTCCAAAAAAGTGAAGAAATCGGACGATGAGACCAAAGCGTGGAATGATTTTGAAAAGATCCACAGACAGTACTGTGACAAGCTCCAAGATGTGTTCAAGACGGCCGAAAAAGCCATCATGAAGTAATCACGCAATCCGTTATGTATATACCCTAAAACGTGATTCCTTTCCCAATGAAGTGCCTCTTTTTGTACTTTTCGACCCATTTGATGATTCGGAGACTCTGCTCTATAATGTCATGGGCTTGAACCGAGCCGCCGCAAAGGCAATAAAAATCGTAGACCTTGTTTGACAATAAGAATCCCGTGATCCATCCGTCTTTCCTCTGCCACCTCGTATACGTGAGCTTTTTGGCGGTCCCATCTCCCTGCTTCATAGTGGTGCTCTTGGTGTTGTGCAAAGTGGTATAGAAATAAAGAATCTGAAGAAAGCTGGCCAAATTGTCGAATTTGTCCTCTCCCGTAGTCGAAAAATTGATGTCATCCATAAGGTATTGATTCTCATCCTTGCGTCTGTAAATGAAGTGCTTGATAAAAGGACAATGTAATTCCTTTATAACTTTCGTAGTATCGCCCATTGAGATGAGCTCTGACCTTAATGCGCTTTTAAGATGCTTGTTATCCATTATCCTTTGTATGATGTACAGACCCACCTGCTTCAAATCGAAAAAGCTGTTCTTATTTGCTGCCAAAAGTATCAAAGACAAAGGTTCGTCGTATCCGTTGAGATTGAATCTCCTCACATAGACGTACAAGAACCCCGAGTTATTGAAGTTAGGCATGCACAACGGAATCCACAAGTCTGCTGAATCTTGGTGATCTGCGGGCCCGTAATGAAAGGATATGATGGCCAAAAGCATATTAATGTCCTCATTCAGAAGCTCATGCTGTGATGGGCGAACGTAATTTAAAAGTTTTTCTTTCACACTCACGAATCCAAAAAGGAGATCTGCTGCTAGTTGCCTCTTCGTCTCCGATATTGATGCTTTGCTGATGATGGATGTGGTGTCTGAGGCGGTCTCCTTGACGGTCAACTTTTTAGCAGAAAGCAATATGGAGCTTATCTTCGATCTCGTGGTATGAGTAGTCCTCACACATCTAAGTGCCGATCCCAACAAATGACTGATATAAAAGCTACTGTCAAGGTAGAAGTGGTCATTATCATGAACAGAAAAACCGTACGTCATTTTCATGCTCATTGAATCGAGAAAGGCGATATCCTGGTTGGATAAGATTTTTCGGAGGTCATAATTCATTCTTCTTTCGTAACTTCTCGATATAACTGGAGCTGATAAAACCGAGACGAGGTAAGTATGGATTGACTGTAATTGTCTTTCTAGGGTAGACTTCGAATGACCGCTGGAAAAACCAGTTTCATAGGCCACCTTCGATATCAATACGAGTATTAGGGGGCTCTTATTTTGTACAACAAGTCGAAAGCCGTTCTGGGTTATATGACTAAACTCAGTCTTCATATTTTCCTGATACGCTGAAACGATCGTAGTAATAAGTCCCATATAGCCCATAACAGTATCGTCAGAGCCATTGAGCGAGTAAATGGGCTTACCTGCTGAGGACAAGACAAAAAATTGCTTCAATTTGTGGTGAAAGACCTCAGACGAGTCCAGCTTGTCTGGGATGAATCTTGATTTGATAAAGTCCTCATCCATGTCACCTTCTGCGTCACAAACAATGTTTGACGGCTGAAGTGACGACGTCCCTAGGTTACGGGACTTACCACTATCGTGTGCCATGAGGTTCTGCAATAGCTCCGTTAAGTGGTTTGTTTCACTCTCCTCATTGTCACTCGAAGCAACCTCTTCGGTTTCACTTTGCAGATGCTCGAGGGTTTCCTCTTCAGCAATTGATGGCACACCCAGCCGAATAGGCCTCAACCCTGGGCTGGAAGATGGGGGTCCTTCGTTGTCTTCAATGGTAATCTCCGGCTGATCCATGTTTTCCAAAGTCACCGCAGTCGTCGGATTGGCCACCAGGGCACCAGGGGTCTGCGAGACTTGTGGAAGAAGGGCAATGGACGATTGCCTCAGTAACACAGGCTCATTGTGCACTGTTTGACGTTCTTCAGCATTGTCGCTCATGATGGTGCTTATCAAGCGCGACTGATGTTTCTATGTACTAAAGCATGCAGCCTTGTTGCGTACCACCTGGAGTAGTATTAATTAAGGATTACTGTTTCTCTAAGCAAAAGCCAAAATTGACACGTCCTATGAAACTGCTGTACATTGCATACTAATTATGTTGTTCTGCCATATTGTTAGGGCTCTAGGCGGCTGAGCTATATAAAGACTTGAATATGCACTGCTCTCTATCGGCGAAGTAGGGTGTACCAAATGAAAAAGACAAAGATTAAGGCAACACCGACAACTGGTACATACTGCCTGATCATAGCGTCGAAGTTGATCTTCTGCGCTTTCTTTCTATACTTAATGGAATCGTTTCTCAAGGACAGCGACAAATCACTCATTTTATCCAAGGAGTCACCTCTGTATAATAAATCCTCGATGTTTTTCGTCATGACCTTCTTGACATCGGCCAAGTCGTTATTAAGCTGATCGAGATTAGACTGTGCCCTCTGGTCCTGGTAGATCTTCTTGGTCTTGCTCAAGAAGTTGTCAAACGAGCTAAACCCAAACGGCCTTGCTACTGTGCTCAATGCCTCCTGACCGTGAGAATGCTCGAACTCATTGCTTATCTCGTGTAAGTACAGAAAAGCAAGCTTCCTTGGATATGACCTGTCACAAACGGTGATGTAGACTATGCTGTTTTGGATTAAATAATGGATGTTGTAGTTGCCACTCTCGATGGTGGCTTGAGGCTCTGAGTTGGGCGTGATTCTACTGATGATGATCTTGCATTTCTTCTTCTGTTCGTTCAAGTTAGGATCAAGGTTGTCGTCGACGGATCCACATAACGGAAGAGCTGCGGTTAATATCAAAAAATGACAAGACAGGAAATTATCACATACCATCATAGCGGTAAATCAAGGTCGACTTTACCATGTTGAGGCTCTTGGAGTAGTTATCTGCGATCCCAAAAACACGAAGCATCTACTCCGCGCAGTTGCGATTTGGGTCACATGACAATGGCGACAACATCTCTAAAGTTATGTGGAGACCCATGATTTATGGTTGAATAAGCGATGGAGCTATTTTCTTGTTCTCTCTTCTCTAGCTGATGTATATACTTTCAACGAATTTCCTATGTAAACTTCCCGATAACCCAACAATCTTCGCAGAATGAAGCCCATCGTGCAAGAAACCCGACTCCGTGGCTTCCCACGTAGGCCTAAATCTCTGGTCAGATGAATTTATCGAAGAATGGGTCAATATAGCATGTCTTAAGGTTAAGGCGTGATGGTGGCTGCAAAAAGTCCCTTGTCTGCCTGAGTGCGACATGGGTCCCTTACTTCTTGCGACAAATCATCGTCACAATAAAACCTTCTATACACCTATTTATTACCAAAGAACACATGGATTTGTCAAATCTATCAAGTAACTTGCCCGCAACAAGAAATGTGGAGCAGGTTTCGCTTCTAGAACTTAATAAAGAGTTGACCTCAGAATTCAAAAACGCAGCCAAATCAGTTGCTGCTCTATACAACAGCACAGGAAATGCCGAACAACTGAAAACAGAGTTTGCCAATGCAGCCAAATCAGTGGCATCTCTTTACCGTTTGGGAAGTAACTCAAACGAGGTACTGATGCATAAGGGATACCTTGAATGCTTGGATGATCTACTAGAGGGTATAACCAATGGAGAAGACATCGAGAACTGGGCTCTCACAAAACGAGCTGAAATCACGAAAAAGTTCAACAATAATGATAAACCCACCGCATTCCAAGAACCCCCTCTGGATAACGACTTCCATTTACCTAAAGAGTATGAGTTTTCTCTTCCATCGGAACTAGCGCTGTCATTAAGATTCAGGCCCACCTTTGCGCCGCTTTCTGTGAATTATAGGCGACCAAGATCAAGAGAATCTAGGAAGCACGAAAGAAAAAACTATAGAAAGCAAGCTGTCACCGCAAATTACGATGCTAGCCAATCGTCAGACAATGATAGCGAGACTAGTGACCTGGGGGAAGACATCGGGACGAGGAAAAGAAGGGCATTGCAGTCCCTTCATGATGTCGTGAAGAGGAGACGGATGGACTCTTCGAGTGACAATGAATAGTTTAGGGGAAGCACGTATATACCAACTCATGCATAGTGATAGTGAGATACTATCCGTTATATCTACAGATTGTCTATGTAGTTACCACAAAATGTGAATACTAGTATGCAAATAATCCGTCAGAGTTATCGCCGTACTCGATGTCCTCTTCATAATCGTCATAATCGCTGCCGGAGGAAGATTCTTCCAGGGATGACTCGATGGCACTCTCGCCGTCCTCTACTTCTAGACCTTCCAAACTCAAGCACAAAAGGGTATCACCCTTTGCCTGCGTGCCCTTGGCAACCTCGTGCGTGGATTCCACGTTACAGTTGACCAACTTTGACTTCGAGCGGATGATAACGTCATGACCAATGATACAATTCTCCAAAGCGACATCATCTTCAATCACAGCGTTATCTAGGATAATAGACCCTGTGAGTTTGACTCTCTTGCCAATCTTGCAATTATTACCAACAACAGTTCTCTTGACATTAGTTTTCTCTCCCAATTCGTTATTCTCACCAATTAATGCGTCGGCACCAACGTTTGCGGCTGTTTTGTCCTTAGGAGCACTACTCCTGGCAGCATTTGCCTGGGCTTGTAGTTTCAAGTAGTACCTGTTTGACTCCAAAAGTACCGGTAAGTTGTTTGACCTGGTAAATTGTGCTTGTGTTGGTACGAGCATGAATCCGATAGTGTTTTCGCATGATGTGCTCTGCCATGAAAGTCTAGCAAGATCACGAATGACTTTAATGAGCGGTCTGTTTGAGAAATAAACTTTGGTGAACTTATCTTGGTACTTTTCGAACAAACCGAAGATTTCATTGGCGGAACCAAAGAAGATTGAGCTGTTTAGCAATTTAGTACTGACAATGGACTTTGAGTACTTCCATGTGAGCTGCGTTCTGATCTTCAAAGCCTTATGAAAATCAACATCCTCCGCTGAATAGTAGTCCAAAAGCTGTGATTGACCAGAGGGTAACTCAGCGAATATGGTATAGTTTTTGGGGAAGATTTTATTTTTCTTATCTTCGATATCCAACTGATTCTTGTAGCAGCAAAGTAAACCAATGTCTGTCTCCAGTCTCGATCTGTAGGCTTCTATAAGGACTTGGGGAGGCAAATTCGTTATAAAATCACAAGGCAAAAGAACAAAATGTTCCAAGGGATCGATAATGTTGCTCTTTGCTAAAAATTTGAGAACCTCGCCAGATGTGGCCGTTGCCAGCTCGACGACTTGAATCAGATCTAAGAATTGGTTTGACAGTCTTGAGTTATCGTTGTTCTCCGACTGCGGGCCAGCTTTTGACTTGTATGCTTTCAAAGCAGCCACGAGATCTTCTTTCGACGGTTCATCGCATACAATCGTGATCTTTGGGAAGAAAGCCTTAGCACACCAGTCAAGCACATATTCGATCATAGGCTTATTGGCTATAGGCAAGAGGGCTTTCACGGTACCTGTGGCTCTGACCTTCGAGAAAGGGTTCAATGCTTTTCCCTGCCCACAGAGTATCACAGCGTGGAACTCCATGTTGTCAAAGGAATATCTTTATTTTCTAATGCAAGATCTGACGATATCAAGATGAGTCTGATGTCCTGAGAAAAATACGTTGTAGAGCTCAAACTAGTCACGTGATGCGCGGCTCCGTACAAACCAAGTATGTACCCTAAACCTCAACTACGGCCACCATTTTGAGCGAGAGTGGCAACTGAATTTTCTGAGAATTATCAACACAACACAAGATGAGTGAAGATCAAGATCCGCTTTTGGCTGGCTTGCAAGGCGAAGAAAACCAGGACCAACAAGAAAGAACCAATGGCGAATCCAGCAATGCCCAGGAGGAGCAGCAGCCTCAACCTACTCCAGCGGAACAAGAGAGGCAAAAGGCTCTCCAGAACTTCAAAGAAAAGTTGACAGAACACAGAAAGTGGGATGCTCGTCTCAAGGAGATGAGACTAAGCATGCGAGATATGGAAAAGACCTACGACAAAACGGAAAACGATATCAAAGCCTTGCAATCGGTGGGTCAGATTGTCGGTGAGGTGTTGAAACAGTTGACCGACGAGACCTTCATTGTCAAAGCTTCTAGTGGACCACGTTATATCGTTGGCTGCCGTAATACTATAAAGAAGGATAACTTGAAAAATGGTGTTCGTGTTTCCTTGGACATGACCACTTTAACCATTATGCGTATTTTGCCCAGAGAGGTTGATCCATTGGTTTACAACATGACTACATTTGAGCCTGGCGAGATTTCTTTTAACGGAATTGGTGGTCTCACTGAGCAGATTCGTGAATTGCGTGAGGTCATTGAGTTGCCTTTAAAGAACCCAGAGTTGTTCACACGTGTGGGCATCAAGCCTCCAAAGGGTGTTCTTTTGTACGGTCCTCCTGGTACTGGTAAGACATTGTTGGCCAAAGCAGTGGCCGCAACCATTGGTGCCAACTTTATCTTTTCTCCAGCATCTGCCATCGTTGACAAATACATTGGTGAGTCTGCAAGATTGATCAGAGAGATGTTCTCCTATGCGAAGGAGCACGAGCCATGCATTATATTTATGGATGAAATTGATGCCATCGGAGGTAGAAGATTCAGTGAAGGTACTTCCGCAGACCGTGAAATCCAGAGAACGTTGATGGAATTGTTGAACCAAATGGATGGATTTGACACATTGGGTCAGACCAAGGTCATCATGGCTACCAACAGACCTGACACCTTGGACCCTGCGTTGTTAAGAGCCGGTCGTTTAGACAGAAAGATCGAAATTGGCTTGCCAAATGAGGCGGGTAGATTGGAGATTTTCAAAATTCACACATCGAAGGTCTCCAAGCAAGGCGAATTTGACTTTGAGGCTGCCGTCAAAATGACTGATGGCTTCAACGGTGCTGATTTACGTAATGTTGTCACAGAAGCTGGCTTCTTCGCGATCAGAGATGAAAGAGACTACATCATACAAAATGATTTGATGAAGGCTACCAGAAAGGTCGCTGATGTCAAGAAGCTAGAAGGCAACATAGATTACGAGAAATTGTAACTATAATAGATTACACGACGTCAAGGAATGCATCATTTTCTAATCCGTGACTTGATTTTCGTATGTACATGTATTTACTGGGTGTTCGACTGCTGGTCCTCCTCGATCTTCTCCAACGTTCTCTTGAAGTCGGGAATCTCCACCTTCGACAAAGCATCCAAATGAGCCAAAAGATGTGGGCTCTCGATCTTGGAAATATGCTGGGCCATTCTTTGACCAATGTAGTCCTTCACCTCTTCGGACAAAGGCTCGAGCTTCTTCTTTGGCTCCTTGGCCTTCTTAGCCAAGTAAATCTTTTGCTCTGTGGTCAAAGGCATAGCTGGTTCATTGAGTCTTCTCGCCTCAATATCTGTGAGCTCCTGCTTCTTATGTTTGGAGTATGGGTTTCTGATCTCATTCAAGACACCAGGTGGAAGGAGCGATTTAGCGATGGTCTGGGTTTCGTATGTCTTCAAGTGAGCCACCTCTTCTTTCGTTGTAACTTCAGAAGCCGTGTGGTTCTTGTCTGGAGTGGGCCATGGGATTTCAAGGTTTTCATGGTGCTTCACGAACCTTCTAGGTAACCATCTCTTGTATCTGTCGTCGTAGTATTGACCCTTGTAAACGACCTCATTTGCAACAACGTGGGTGATGTTGCCATTCTCGTCCTTCTCTCTGGCAGCTAATTTGACATGCTCACGAGGTATGGATCTCGGGAAGTCAATGAGATGGCTCTTCTGGTTCTCAGCCCAGTACTGAGGGGCAACAATGAGTGGCTTGGAGATGTCGTTGGCGGCAAACTCATTAGTTCGGCTGTGATATTCCAAAACTTTGGTAATTTTTCCCTTAAATTCGCCCTCGTTTATGTAGATGTAATCTCCCTTGGTGATACCGATTTGTTCCATAGTCAAGTTCTTGTCCTTCTTGGAAACATATCTTGGTGGGTCCATCGTGGGCAACATAGTATGCTTGGTTTTATCCCGCCAGAGCTTGTCTCTTGCCACAGGCGGCAATTTATCCAACCTTTTGACGAATCTACTCATATCGGCTGGAGTTCGTTCTCTGGACTGAGAAAAAATTATTGATTTTCTCGCACAGAGGTAATAGGTTCACGTGAGAGGACAACCGGTGGACCATTTGATAGCACGAAGAAGACATACATCTCCATATTGTAACGGTCAGATATATTTCTAAGAGTCTACGCAATCCACCATTCTCGTGTCCTTGTATTATACATATTCATTTGGGTGCACTGCTTGCCTACTCCGTGCAGATGCTGATGAACTCTTGTTCATTGACTGCTGGTTAGTAAAAGAAAGGATAAATCATCTCGGGCAATACATACTCTCTCCATCTTCATCAAGGTCAAATTCGTCGATCATCGCTCTAAGCTCCTCATCTGTAAGATTCTCACCTAGTTCACGGGCCACCTTCTTCAAATTTCTAAAGCTGATTTTCCCCGTATTATCTTCATCGAAGAGCCTGAATGCTCTTTTTATCTCCTCCATGGGGTCTCTGTTGACAATTCGTTCACCAACTGCTTGTTAGTACAATCAAGTAGCATCATCAAATTGAGCGATACATACCAGCATGAAAGAAGTTCTCGTACGAGATTAAATTTCTGTCTTCAGTATCGTATTCACGAATGATATCCAAGACCTCTCTTTTGGGTAAATCAAAGCCAAGTGCCCGAAGAGCGACTTTCAATTCATGGTAATCTAGTAACCCGTCGTTGTTCATATCGAAGAGCGAGAACGCCTCTCTGATCTCTTGCTTTTGCTCATTGAGCAATTCGGCTTTCAAATTACTCATGCCTATCTTTTGACCAGTCCCGCTCGTTCCTGAAGACATTGATGTAGATTGAACTTGTGTTTACCTTGTACGCGATTTTTGTGCGCATACTTGAAGACCCTATAACCGTGCTACCTGAACCGGACTAAGGTCGGCCAGCCATGTCACTGGAAATTCGAGTAGGCCAGCGCGTCATGGTTAAAGACCAACCTGGTATTGTTCGATTCTTTGGTTTGACTCAATTTGCTGAGGGAGAATGGGTTGGTGTGGAGTTAGATTCCTCAGCAGGTAGAAATGACGGATCAGTTAATGATGTGAGGTACTTCACATGTTTGAAGAAAGGTCAATGTGGCGTCTTCGTGAGGCCTGCTTTGGTGAAGACAGCTGATGGTTCAAACCCTGTTGGTATGAGAAATGTGGAGGCACTCATAGATCGTTTACAGCAGAAGTTGAAGAGGACTCTCACAGAGCTTGAGACTCAAAGAGAGACAGTTGAACAATTGGAAACCTCAATTGCTTCGAAAGATGCAAAGATTGAAAACTTAGAGTCAACAGTGGAGACAACAGCCGTGGATTTGGAATACATCAATGCTCAGAAAGAGTCTCTTGAGAACTCTTTGAAGGAGATCCAGAGCTCTTATTCGAAGCTCAAAGAGGAATATGAATTTGTTGCCGAGGAATTGAATCTAACTCGTCAATTGGAGGAAGAGGCTTTGGCGCAGGCGCCTTCAGACCTCGATACTAACGAAGTGGCCAAGCTCATAAGTCAAAACAAACGACTTGGTGAAGAGCTTGCGAGCCTCAAGCTCACATCTTCGAAGGATGTAGTAGACTTGGATGAAAGGGGGAGGGCTCTCAATATTCTTGAAAATGAGTTTGCTACCTTGAAGTCCTCACACACATCAACAAAAGAAGCACTTCAGCAATCCGAAGAGACGATCAAAATGCTACAACTGCAATTAGAAACGATCTCGTCACTGGAAGATCTAATTGAGCACTTAAGTTCTCAGAACGATATTTTATCTGAAAAAGTGAATGATCTCACAACCACTATTCAAGAACTCAATGAGTTACATGAAATTGATGTTGCTTTGTTATCGGCTAGCAAGGAGTCTGAATCCAAACTACAATGTGAGGTTTCTGGTTTAACGAAATCAATGGAAACATTGCAAAAGACGATTGATGGTTTAGCTGAAAACAACGAGAATCTAAAGAGAAAGCTAAACAAATATCTTAGTCGAGAACATCATTCTAAGGAAGCCCCGACATCTTCAAAAGAAACTTTGAACTTCAAGGAAAATGATCACATTAAGACGCTTTTAGCATATGCGAAGTCCTCTAGAGGAAAGATTGTCGACGAAATAATCTTGTCTTCCCTACGAAAACAGGTTCGACTCCTTCTTGAAGTGATAGATACTTCTGCCGAGGCTCGAGCACTTCTTGATTTCATGGAAGGGGCTTCCTTTGGTGTTCAGAAAATCATATTGGGTATCAACAGGGCTCTAGGACATTTACTCTATCTTGAAATCATTTTAAGACACAACGTTCTAGACGATAAGGAACTTAGTCAATTGAAATCACATGTCGTCAATGCAAGGAATGAAGTTGAATATATCAAGTCGAAGTATATTGAGTCAGATACAGAATGTATCGACAGTTCAAACGTCCTCAGCAGTTTGAGCAATATTCGGATTTTTGACGGACAGTTGATGAATACCTTTGCATCTCAATACCGAGCTTTGATTTTCATTCAGTCGGAGGCAAATTTCACATTGCAACTCATAAGATTTCTTGAGACTATCTCGACCGGTAAAAGAATCGAGCATCTTGCGAAGATCTACAAAAGCCTGAAATCAATACTGCAAATTGTTGATCTTCTTCTCCGGCAATTCATCGATAATGAACACAAGGAGCTTGATAAGCCTCTTTTCGTCTATAGTGAACACTCCTTCACAGTCAATTCTTCACTTTGGTCAGTCTGCTTGCAAGTGGTGGAGATCAGAGACGGCGCCATGACGGACCAAAACGAGCAAATTACTAAAACCTGGAATGAATTCCTTCAACAGTCTGATGCAATAATTTTGGAGGCAGAAGCAAAACTCAAACATCTAGAGGACCACTTGCACGGGAAATCAGTCTCATTTTTACCCGAGAAGCAAAACGATATTTTCAGCAAGACCAGCGCTGCCAGAATAGAGGGACTGAATGAGCGAGGATCGCCTGTTGCGGAATCGAGAATGAATAAAGTAAAGGAGTTGGAGCTCAACATATCCATTCTTGAACAGAATTTGTCGACCACAGGTGAAAAGTTGGCAGCTGCACTGAAAGACAATGCAAGAACTATTGCAGGCTTGAAGGACGCATATAAGGACCTTGAAGTGAGATACAACAACTTAACTGAAGAAAATCAAATGTTAGAGAAGCAAGCTCGCGAGTACCTCGATTTGGAGGTACACAATATTGTTGGTCAGCAAACTAAATACTACAAGGATCTCGCTGCTCAAAAGAAATACACTGAGGAATCGATGCTTTTTGAGGAGATTTCGTTGTTGAGGAGAATGATCAGAGAAGGCCCTTCCCCATGTCTATAAATGAAGGTGATGATATTCTGTGGTTACTGCAACCAATCTTCAACTCACCGCAGCAACCGCGTGTACCACGTTATATCAATGATGCCTGGAAAAGGCGGGCGTATGCTGTTCGCATGCTGAACCTCGGGAAGGTTCGTCAGAAGCTGAACACCCGGTTTACATACCTAAAAAATTGCTGAGCAAGACTTTATCGTCATTTGGCTCTAAGTTCCTCGGACGTTTTTGCTTCGGCCATTTTGTCGCTCGATCTATGTGCTCGGCTGGGTAGAAGTACTCAATGACAATTAGAATAAAAATGTCGACAATAACACACAAAACATAGAGCTTTCCAGCGATTGCACCACAAAAATAATATTTTTTTAGTCTCTCAAGCAACGGCTGATTCAAAGGCTTATCTTCGAGTGAGTGATAGACATTTTGGGTACGCTTAGCGATGTTGACCCAACTATACATCTTTGCCACCTCATCGTGAAACTGTGATGTGTCAATTGCTCCCAGCAGCACCAAGTCAATGGCCTTTATCAGAGCTGCAACTAGAGAATCCTCTTCCGGGTCTGCAAAACTTGTCATGTGGTGCGGAAGAACCTCTGGGATGCCGCCCACTTTTGTAGTTACCACGTACAAGCCACAGGATGCAGCCTCCACTATAACTGTTCCAAAAGCTTCGGTTAAAGATGGATGTAGATATATGTCTCCTTTGACCATGACATCTCTGACCTGTTCATGTTTCACAGCGCCTATGAGAGATACTCTTTCCTGAAGAAAGTACTTTTCTCGCATCTGCTCCAAGTCAAGGAACTTTGGCCCATCGCCCGCGATGAGGAAATCGACATTTGGCTTTGCTGCACAGATTCGTGGCACAATTGCAGTGAGGAGGTCGGCACCCTTATTTGGAAAAAGCCTCGAGATCACCACAATTGTGATACGTGATTTATCTCTAACTCGAGTGTAGTCGGGTGCAAAATCAGCTGAAATGACCGCATTGGGAATGACAGAAACGTCCACAGGATCTAGAGAAGCTCGAAGTGTCGTGTTCTCTTTACAAGTATGAGACACGCATATGACATGGCTGGTATCACTAAGTGTAAACTTGAGAACCTTGTTGCCGACAACGGAATTGAAATCAGCAAATCCAAACAAGGAATGATCTGTGAATACAGTCCTCAATCCCATCGTACGACCATGGAAAATAGCCTCACAGCCTAGCGTGGAGAATGATCCATGTCCATGAACAATATCGATTTCCTCTCTCACAAAGATGTTTCGTAGTGCCGGAAGAGCCAGAAAGACAGTTGGAAACGTAGTGCTTCGATACACTTGTAAGAACGGTAGATAGTAGACACGTAGACCATTGGTCAACATGCGTATGCCAGTTCGAGAACCGTAGTCATGGGTTATGATGCAAACCGAATGGCCCAAATCTATAAGTTTTTGGGAAAGATGATAAACGTGGAACTCCACACCACCAGGCTGTGGGTAGAAGTAGTCACATACCATGGCTATATTGTATTTTTTATCCATGGTTGTGGAGTGGTGGTGATGCGCATCTTGCAGTTATGAGTAGCTACATGGTGATACGCACCTACGCGCATATTGCAAGATGTTTGATGTGACTTTTTACTATTTAATCTATTTAGCGTACGAAAGCGTCTGGTGGAAGCGATGACGCAGACGACTTAAAATTGGTGATGCATTGTTGGTAGTCCCAATTACTCTGTTGGCAAAGCATGACTCCGTATTGGATATTGAGTTTGGTCTCCAAGAGGATCTTCACAAGAAGCTCTTGTTGAACAGCGTTGAAGTTGGCCTTGACTTCAGCAGGAAGATCGGCAGCAGTAGGAACACCAGGAGCAGGTGTTGGAGTACCAGTTGGGTTGATTGTAGGTCCTGGTGGTGATACTGAGGCTCCAACACCAGGTGCTGGCGATGGAGTAGTCTGTGCTGGAACAGGTGCACTTGGATCAGGCCTAAAGGCCTTGGAATCAACCTCCGCTCTTATGCACAATAGATCACTAGCCACAATCATACTACTGTCAGGCCCAGGTATCACAATCAAAGTTCTGTCGAAACCTTTCCTTCCTAAAGGAATTTTGGACTTCTTGGACTGGTACTTGTTTCTGTTGTGATGCTGGTTGTTGTTAACCTGTTCCAAATTGTCGGGTGGAGCAGTCTCCTGAAAGCTTCCATGTAAAGTAATGCAAATTGCGCCCATCTGAGGTAGGCGGTAAGTCTCCATGCTGAAGTCATCGGGTTTCGTCATGAGATCATGCTGGGTTTTGGGTAACTGGGTGAAGAGTTTGTAGATCTGCTCCTGTCCATGAGCAAGTTTACTCATTCTCGCTTTGACTGACGAAAGTCTAGTGAGGTTTCTTGACTGAGGAATATAATAGCCATAATCCGGAGTGTCCTTTGGATCGAATGCCCGAGGGGAGGATGAGTCAACTTGGTATGAAAATTGCGATTCGTTCTGATAGAGAACCATGAGCTGCTTACGATCACTGTCCCACAACTTGTAGAAATTTGCGATGAAGTTAGTTGAGAGGGCTTGGGCTTCAGAATCTTGGAAAAACATTGCTTGAGGGCGCTCAAAAGGTAAAGTAAGGTTCTTCCGAAGCATTTCTTCATTTCTAAGAACCTCTCCGTCCAAAACAACGAGACGTGGAAAAACCTTGAGAAGTTCAGATTTGATGGTAGTTATCTCGCTGGGATTGGTGGTATTAAGGAGGGGATTTCCAGCAAGAATGAGCTCCCTCAAAGAGCTAAGCTTTTTCTTCCACGATTCAAAAATCTTGACACGAGCTAGTCTGTTATTCAGCAATGCCAAATTTTGCAAATTAGGAAATGTTACTGCCAATGTCGATATGGTCGAGAGGTCAGTCAAGTTGTTGTTAGAAAGGTCGGCGCTGGTGACTTCCAACTTCAAGTCTCCGGCAATCTTCATCAATGCTGGGAAGAATTTCGAAGTCGTGGATATACTACCGAAGTAGCCCTTGGCGGAGAGTGTTGGGTCCAGTTGGACAGAGCTCAAGTTCAAGAGCTTGATGTCGGCATTATACCTCAGCTTGAGGAACATCGTGAGGGTTTCAATAGCGTTGTCGCCGCCTCCCTGATTTGGAGCACTCATGGACTGGCCAAAGCCGCCTGCTTGATTGTTAACCTTGGTGATCTTCAAACTGTCACCAGCGAATCTTACCCCAGACCAGTTGGTTAACAGATCAGCGTCGTATGACGAACGAACGAAACCACGGAGCCCTCCAGTAGAAGTATTGACCGAATAATTTGTCACTGTGACCTTACACTTCCTCAGAATGAAGGCTATACATTCGGCCGGAGAGGCTCCATTCCAACCAAATATCTCAACTTCCACCTCGTTATTCTGTCTATTGCCATTATTGGCGAACGCGATGTTCTGACCGAAACCACCTCTGTTTCCTTTTCCGCCTCTAAAGGACATGGTGTGTGGTGTGTTTTGTGATAATTTTCAATTCAGCACGCAGGTGGTTTGGGCTGGTTTATCGCTTCTCGTTTTCAACTTGATTTTTTCTCTTCGCTACCACTTTCGCACCAGTACATACTTTAGTGGTCACCAAGAAGGTCTAAAACTGTGATATACAGAGAAAGTGTAATAGACCATACTCAACTACGATAAGCCAGATTCCTAACTAAACGTTGCTTAACCTATTCATCGTGACACTGGGCTGACACCGACTCTCAACGAGGATCGATGGCACACCGGTAGCATTCAGTAGCATTCAATAGCACTACCTCTTTTTCGGATTCGAACCCCTTAGTTTTTTTCGTTACTCAAGGTTCCGACTAGAGTGTACTTGCCCTCAAAGTGGGACTCCCAGTTATCCAAAGACTCCTTCTCGTCTGCGCTCAAGTCTTGCAACAAGTCAAGAGGCTGGTCGAGGGGAGTCAACACTGATGGGTCGAACGAATTGTAGGCCAATCCTCTGGAAGCATCTCTTCCAGCAAAATTCTCGTATGGTCCGCCTGGGCCATAGAATCCCTTACCAGAAGTCACGTCAAACACCTTACCTCTAACAGCGAGATAAACTTTAGGGTCGTCTTTACCATTGAACTTGGCAAGAGTGCTTGGAGTGAAAGCCGTTTGAGTTGGAGGCTCGGCGTTAATTTGGGCTGGGGCTGACATAAAGTCGGAAATAATGGACTTTGCGAAGTAGGCAAGGAGGAGGACGATGATAATAAAGGCGATCATAGACAATTGGTTGAACCTTCAATCGACGTTTTGGTTTTATATGGACGAGAACAATTGAGCTTATTGGTGTTCAAAAGGCCTCGAGTACTGAAGTTGTAGCCAGTTGTGGGTCGCATATTCAAATCGTAATGGTGGGGCTACGTCACATGACAGATTCATATGATTTTGCCTTTAATTCCGACAACAATAATTATAGCGAAGTCATAGACGTCATTCAGAAAGTAGTAGTATTAATTGCCACAGATATTTGATCAATACATATTTTCAAAGTATTCTGAACTCTATGCTTTGAATTTTTGCCACTGTTTGCACCCATCGCGGGAACGACTAAGTCCTATACGAAAACGTTTAGCAGATTTATTTACAAATATTGCAATTCGGCCCAGACCTTACCCCTCTTCGGTTCTTTTATCCATTCAAGCTTTCGAAAACTACCTACGTTCGATATATGACATGTCTCCACTCTGTACTTCAAAACAATTGAATGCAAACTAGTGACTCGGGCCGACTCAAGTGAGCTTACCCAAGTTCAAGATTTATTCTATCAGTTTCGTGTCTATTTTCAATTGCGTGGTGATTTTCATGTTCGGAGTATGGTCTCGTTTGACAGCATCAATGTGCACAGAGCAGCGCACAAATTCAAAAACTACTCAGTCTTCAACATGGGCAGGAGCATAATAACGCTAGACGACTTGACCGTGAACAATATCGGGACTTTTAAAAAACTTCTCCAGGTCACGCTTCCCACAAGTTACCCAGAGACCTGGTACAACGATTCTTTCAACAATGACCAAATAGTCAAATTGGCTTTCTACAGTGAACTCCCAGTGGGTCAGATCAGAGGAAAGTTGATGAATTCTTCACATAATATTCCGAATTTCGAATCTGCCAACACTAGCCAGTTACCTTCGAACAGCATTCCCAACGCAATTTATATCGAATCCTTCTCGGTTCTTGAGGCATACAGGCAATTGGGTATAGGCTCGAAATTGCTTGAATGGATAATTGAGCAGGCCAAGGAAAAATTTATCCACGAAATCTTCTTGCATGTGCATGTTGTGAACAAGACCGTCATTGAATGGTACGAGAAGAAAGGCTTCAAACGCTCGTCTGACGTTGTCAAGGATTACTACAAACAACAAGGCTTGAACGAGCCTGATGCAGTGATACTCACCTTGTCTGTTTAGAATTCATATAGTCAATAAGACTTTGTAAATATTCCTATGATACATTCTACTTCTCACTCTCATCCTCTGTGTCGGTGTTGATGTCGGTGAAAACACTCTCGTTGTCGTCATCCTCCTCCTCTTCCTCTTGATTGTCGACCTTTTTGACAGCCTCGCCCCTGAGAGCCGCCAATGCTCCGGCTAATGAGTCCTCCTCAGGGTCAGAGATATCACTCTCGGAGTCCTCGTCTTCGTCATCGTCATCGTCATCGCCTCCTCCGAAAGCCTTAGCGGCCTTCTTGACGGCCTCGACATTAATAGGTGGGTCCAGAACCTTCATTTCCAATGGAATATCGACATCGTTGCCGAAGTATGCATTATTCTTCAAGAGCAATCTGAAATGGAAGGTACCCTTGGATGGAGGAGCTGGCACCGCCAACTTGATCTTGAAAGAGCTGAGAACAACAGTGTCCTCTTTGCCGTCAATCCACTGCTCCTGAGTAAGTTCCAAGTTGCTCAAATCAACTCTCTGCAAAGGAGCAGCAGTTGTGCCTTCGACGAACTTGTTGTCTCTCTGGCCAACAATGTAACCATCCCATTGATTTGCAACAAGTTTAGGGAAATAAGGAGCGTATGCGTGCGGCAATTCAGGCTGAGCATCGTTGGATCTCAAAGGGTTCTTCAAGTCCTCGATATCTTCAACCTCGAGGAAACGTTCCTCAGGGATCTCAGGGCATGATTTTAGTCTTTGAGACTTAATCAAAAAGTGAATCACTAAATGTGTTGTCGAGTTGGGTGGAACGATATCTTCGCCGGGGACCCTAAAGGATGCATCGAGCACCCTGATGAAAGGAACGTGAGCGGCAACGTCAAGCGCTATGTCGAGCTTGTCAGCATCTGAAATACCAAGAACCTTACCAGCCTCTTCCTTTGGCAAAGTGAGTAACTTACCAATCTTTTTGATTGGCTGTGACTCAATGGTTTCTTTGTTGACGAATGGAAGCTGCAACAATTCTCTGTGTTTTCCTACTGGTGAGGAGGCCTGGTAAATTGCTTTAAGCAAGTCATAAGCAGCGGTGATCACATCGTGAAGTCTGAAAGCAATGGCAATTTCAATAAAGCCCTCGATGAGAGTTGGGAGCAGAGCAATGAGATTCAACTTTTCAGCTTCCAAAAGAAGGTCACCAGAGACATGGGGCTCACGGTTGATGTGATTGACAACGATGGACTTGAGCTGCTCAAATGTCAAATTGGAGTAGCTGCTTGTAACCTCGTGGGACTGAAGAACCCATTCCAAAATGTCGAATGCAGTGAACACTCTTCCTGGGTTCTTGTCAGCCAATCTGCGGACGTAGAGAGCAGCAGTATCAACGTGCAAGCCACCCTTTGTATGAGTCTTGACATTATTCCACCAGGTACCCACGATGAGTGGCAAAAGAACACCAATCAACAAAAAGTAGAAGATAATCATGATAGGGGAGTATTTGCCCTCCACCAAGAACTTGGGGATAGCGATACCGTGGGTGATCTGTTGCTGGCCGTCGGGATGGCCGTACTTTTTGATGTTTTCCATGGTGACTTCATCAGTCAAGGCCCTGTACGCCTGGTTCATACGGAGAAACTGACCCTCCATTTCCTTTCTGACATCCTCTGCGTACTTCACAAGCTTATCGGGGTGATAGATCAAAGACAACTTCTTGTACTTGGACTTAATCTCCTTATCCGTAGCACTGTAAGGCAAGTCCAAGATAGTGTGGGGGTCGAAGAAGCCTTGCAAGCTCACTTCCTTAGCAAAAGATCTCCAGATTAAGGCCACAAGGCCCCAGCCGATAACCACAAACAACAATTTTTTGTTGAAAATTCTATCAGACTTCACGCGGGAGTGGAACTTGTCAATTGCGTCGGCGTGATGCAAATTCAAGGTCTTGTGGTTGTGTTCAATAGATCCTCTAATACGTTTCTTGGTTGGAGCACCAAATCCTGCGGCTCCCCATAAATAGACCGCCGTAACAGGCAACAAGGCAAACACTAACAAAGCCAATACGAAGTATGGCCATGTTTCAGACCCTTCGTCGTAGCTGTACTCTGAATCCATGCTGGAGTTTGGGTGAACGGTGGCTAACTTTTTTCTCTTTTTTTGACGTAGTTGTTCGAGGTGAGCCAAGACTGCAGAAAAGTAAGCGACACGGTAGCCCTACAATCAGAGAGGGTAAAAGAAGTTAGTAAAACATGAATGTGATAAAAATGGTAATTTAAATTTTTGATTCGGTTTATTGATGCTTCATCATCTAAAATTTTTGCCTTGCTCTAATAGCATGGTAGGAATTCTTCAAACCTGCGGTGTTTGCGAATAGATGCGAATGGCTGCGAATTCTACGGGCAATCTCTGAAACTTATAATAATATATGCTACTCAAAATTAGTGGTGGAACAAACGGATAGGGTTCTCGACGTAGACAATGTCGTAGGAGTCGGCGGCAGCAAAGACGGCCTTGTCCATGACAGAGCCGGATGGAGCGGCAATGTACTTGACACCAGATCTCACAGCTCTGTAGACGTTGTCTGGGAATGGGAAGAAAGCGTCAGAAGACAAGGCAACCTCGTTCAACTTGCCCAACCATTCGGCTCTCTCCTCCTCGGTCAAAGGAGCTGGAAGCTCGGCGAACTTAGACTCGTATTCGCTCTTCTCTGGCTCAGTCTTAGGAATCTGGTTGGAGACGTACAAGTCAATGGCGTTGGACTTCTCTGGTCTCTTGACACCCTTAGCCCACTTGAAGCCCAAAACTCTTGGGTGTTGTCTCAACCACCAGTTGTCGGCCTTCTCGCCGGCCAATCTGGTACAGTGGATTCTAGACTGCTGACCAGCACCCAAACCAATGACCATACCGTTCTTAGCGTAACACACAGAGTTAGACTGAGTGTACTTCAAAGCAATAGTAGCGACAGTCAAGTCGACAGATCCTTGCTCGGTCAACTCCTTGTTCTTAGAGACAATCTCCTTGAAAGAAGAGCCCTTGATGATAGCATCATTTCTCTTCTGCTGCAAGGTGATACCGTAGACCTGTCTGGACTCGATAGCATCTGGGGTGAAGTTAGGGTCGATCTGCAAAATACAGTACTTACCGTTCTTCTTCTTTCTCAAGATCTCCAAGGCCTCGTCAGAGAAACCTGGGGCAATCACACCGTCAGAGACCTCCTTGGAGATGATCTGAGCAGTAGGGACGTCAACAATGTTGGACAAAGCAATCCAGTCACCGAAAGAAGACATTCTGTCGGCACCTCTAGCTCTGGCGTAGGCATTAGCCAATGGAGACAAGTTCTCGATTTCCTCAACAAAGTAAATCTTCTTCTCAACGTCGCTCAAAGGCAAACCAATAGCAGCACCAGCTGGAGAAACGTGCTTGAAAGAAGCAGCAGCAGGCAAGTTCAAAGAAGCAGACAACTCCTTAACCAAAGGCCAGGAGTTCAAAGCGTCCAACAAGTTGATGTAACCTGGAGAGCCACCCAAAACCTTGAATGGCAATTCACCCTGAGAAACGAAAGCCTGGGCTGGTTTCTGGTGAGGGTTGGCACCGTATCTCAATGGCAATTGAGAAATGTTCTCAGAGTACTGCTTTCTGAAGAAATCAGAGATAGCAACATCGTAGTCGGCGGTGTGCTCGAAGGCCTTGAGAGCCAATCTGTTTCTGGTGTCAGAGGAGATCTCACCAGCCTTCAACTCTTCCAAGAAGACGGCGTAGTCGTGAGGGTCAGACAAGATAGTAACTCTGGCGTGGTTCTTGGCAGCAGCTCTCAACAAAGTAACACCACCAATGTCAACCTCCTCAACGGCCTCGTCAACAGTAACTGCAGCTTTGGAAACAGTCTCCTTGAAAGGGTACAAGTTGCAAACAACGTAGTCAACCTTCTCAATACCCTGAGCAGCCAAATCGGCCTCATCATTCTCAAGGTTTCTGGCCAAAATACCACCGTGCACAGCAGGGTGCAAAGTCTTCACTCTACCGCCCAACATCTCTGGAGCGTGGGTGATGGAAGAAACGTCTTCAACTGGGAAACCAGCCTCACGGACCAACTTGGCGGTACCACCAGAGGCTAAGATTCTGACATTGGCAGCGGCAAGGCCCTTGGCCAAGTCCAACAAACCGGTTTTGTCGTAAACAGACAAGATGGCAGTTTTTGAGTGTGCCATGATATAGTCTTGAGGAGTGATAAAAAAGCGAGAATGAACTTATCTATCTGAACAACCTGAGCGATGTAGGTTGTCGCAAATTTCGATTGGGTGAGGGTGCTTTGCAGGGGAAGATACCTAACACGAAGTTATAAGTCCGGTCAATGAATGGAGAGAGACACGGATGAAACCAATCTAAATTGAACTCGATAAAGCCAAAATCAAAGAAGGAGATTCGGATTCTAATTTTTTCGATTGGTTCCACCTCGTTCCTTCATTAATAGAGGTACGGGTGTGCTCGCCAGCGCCATAGTTAATAATCTACGGTGAGAGTCAGACAATGACTCGGGCTATAGGGAGCCATTGTCGAGCATGGTTGGGTTATGCCGAGTGAAGTGGCCATTATGAATAGTAGATTTGAAAATTTTAAAGGGCTTGTGATCCGCTGATCCATTTTTCGTTTTGCCGAGGTGGCTATATTGAACAATGACATTCACGGGGAAACGGAGGGATCTCGCAAATTGGGACGCGGCTCAAAGGCGTAAGACAGTAGGCACTAAAAAGTCAAATTATCAGGTTCATTAGATTTTGATAATGAAATTTATCTTGGCAGTTCTCTGGTCGGTCGGCTGGACAGGTGATGTGCCGTCCTTTACACTAAAATCATGCGTTTAGGATCTACTGGTTCTACAATCTCAGAATTCACAATGCTTCTCATATTATTACTAACCTATGAGCCACATCACGAAGTAGTTCAACAAACCATAAGCTAGCACGCTTAAGATCTGTATCTCCACAAGGACAAAGTGTTGTGCTTCTTCCAAGTGTGACGACGACCGGCCTTGGTGTTGTTGAACAAGTGACCCTTGGCAATACCTCTGGACTTCTTACCAGCAGCAGTAAGACCTCTGGACTCTCTGTGCTTGTGGACTGGGTTGACAATCCAGTTGATTCTTGGGTCTCTTCTGATGGCGTTGTGAGATGGGTCCACCAAGATAACCTCGTAGTACTTGTAGGTGGAGTCCTGGTTAACCCAGTAAGAGTTCAAGACTCTCAAGTTAGCAGCTCTTCTGCCGACTCTCTCCTCAGCGGTGACTCTCAAGGACTTCTGGTACTTGAGCTGAGTAACACCCTGATTGGTTGGCTTACCGTAAGTAGCACCCTTTGGAACAGGTCTCTTTCTGCCACCTCTTCTGACTCTGATACGGAAGATGACGAAACCCTGCTTGGCCTTGTAGCCCAATCTTCTGGCCTTGTCTGGTCTGGAAGGTCTAGAAGCTCTGTGGATGACGTTCTTCTGTCTGTACTCCCAACATCTGACTCTCAACAAGAATCTGGCGACGTCAGACTGCTTCTTTCTCTGCAACTCTTCCAAGTATTTGTAGGCACCCATTGTAGTTTGTGGTTGATGGTTAATTGAGTATGAAGCGTTTTTTTTTTTTCCAGTGTCGCACCGGTCCCATCGTCGCGCGCCGGGTAACGGCAGGGAAAAATTTTGTCGGTCACGTGTGTTGTGGTTGAAGCCCTAATATTTGCAACCGCGACAAATTTGTCTGTTAGAGGTACAGCTAAGAGGCCCAAACAATAATCTAGGCGTACACAACTAAGTGAATTTGTGTTGGCCCAAACATCAGACCATTTCATTCTAAGCCTTGCATCTACGGCGTATTTTACGTAGGTTTCGGAGTTTTTTGCGTCAAGCGAGGAGGATCATCCGGTGACGCAAACGCTGTTCCATCTCGAAGATGATGCGTAATTTCGCCTCTGTAAGTAGATGAGTCACTTCAAAGTCTATTTTTAGGCGGTTCAGCGGTAAAAAGTTTGATTTGGTCTATGGTTCCACTTTCTTTCAGAAACCTGCTTATCTTCGCCTCAGGGACACGGCTTTTTATTGTTTCGCTAAACTTTTAGACTTTCATGTTTCAGTCCACTACCGGTCTGCAAGCGCCTCGTTTTCCAATCGGGCTAGAAATATTTCTCAAGGTTTGCCTCTTTCCATTGATAACAAGGCTGTGTTGTACCAGAGCCAGCTCATCAATGGTCACCTCTCCTTTCTGACAAAGCACTTTGTTGTGTACTCAAGAATGGGGATTCTGTCGTGGAGCTTTGTTAATCTGTCATTGTCCGACGCAGACAACCGATCATTTGCCAGCACTCGCATGTAGTCAGGGGACCCTTGCTGTCGAACATGCCCAAGCTCTTACGTAACATTCTCCAGTGGTTTCATCATAACTCAAGTCGTGTTCACGTGAATCGGATTTTTGCCACTATAGGGCGCTACTCACAGTCTGGCCCTGGACCCTCTTACGTGAGGCTACAATATACAAGGGGGAAGGGTTTGAAGGCGCTATGGCACCATGGAGGGCGGGTTCCTACATGTGTGGATATCATATGCAACATCCGGCAACATGGATATCTTAATTTGGTGATACCGCCCATTTGGTTGCAAAATCGATCTGGAAGTTGGTCGTTTGGGCGTCGCTCTAGGTTTCCCGTAAGTGAATGAGGCGTTGCTCGCATGTTGCTGTAAACGCACTCCTGCGGTCGACCGTTCTGTGCGTCATGCATGGAAATGGTTACTTTCCCAACTTGCCCATTTGTATGCACCATGACAAACTATAAAAAAAATGGAACACCGTAAGTCGGCACAGTCCGGGTTGGCGTGTTGTGACAAAGAGAAAAAAAAGCCGTTCTTTTCATTTACCTTCCAAATTTGGCACTTCGAGGCCGCTAGTCATGCCCCGCAACTTTAGCACTGGGTACATTTTTTTTCGTATCCCGGTCCGCTCAGATAGCCGACGTGAGAGAGGCATCACTATCATGGACGCCCCAGGCGAAGCAGCAATACTAATTCGGCAATCGGATCGTAAGTTTCTCCATTTGTAATCCTTCTATTAGCCTGCGGGGCAGAATATTCAGCCCTGCGATGTTTTTTCCGTGCGATTTGACTAACGCAGTACATAATACGACCTCGGGCGTTACGAAACCTTACTTCTCGCTGCATCCTTGCTCCCGCATCAACTCTACGCTCACCGTATGTCAGTCGAGCCCGCCTTGGGAAATAGATGATGACACTTTGGCTAGAAAGTGGCTCACTTCGACAATACACTTACGATGCGTGGACCTTTAAACTTTTGGCTTTCTCTTGGTCACTGCCTCCTCCATATAGAACGGTGAGAATCACACAGTACATCAAACTTTTCCAAATCATTCTCTCGGGGACCACCACCTCCTCTTCTCGCTTAGCCACAACGTGGTGAGATCCTGAAGCGGCTTAATGTCTGACTAGCTGTCAAAGTCACGCATTTGTCCGCCTGGCTCTTACTCGTGGCTTGCCCCGCCCTGAGGCACCCAAAGGAAATGGAAAACAAGGAACGGTGCATTTCTGTGCGTCTACGATGACGGACCGCGTATGCCGGACCTGCACAAGGTTAACGATTCATGTTGGGCAAAGTGCCGGCGAAGGTGATTCGATTCAGTTAGTGGACCCCGAGATCTATGCGGTTCAGTTGGCGCCTTGCATGTATAAAAGGGCCCTGGGGTCCCTTCTTCAGAGGAGCTTTTGGAAAATGAACTCAACCACTCCAAGCTTTCGAGATCTAATACCTTAAGTGGTTTTCCTTTACATTTGCAGCCTCCTTCATTCTCCCGCCCCCAACAGTCTTGCCCACCATACTTGACATTTTGAGTTACTCCAGAGCCAAACGCGACAGAAACCTGTCCTATGCTTCTTTGTCCCAGCTATTCCCCCACAATCTGGATCAGCAAGACGCCTCTACTAACCATCCTTCACGGATGACCACAAGTGAGCCTCAGCCGTCGGAACCCTTCAGGGTCGATGAGCCTGACTACCACAACCCATTCATGTCTGCTCAGGCGGACTTCACTGAACAGACAAACCCAAGCCAGGCTTTCTACCCCAGCCAGCTACCCATGGAAATGTCTCTGGTGAATCGGTCCTCCTCCTACCCTCAAAACCCCAGCAGCTTTCCTACTTTCAACAATACCAACAACCGCATGACCTCATGCCGCCGATGCCAATGGACTATGGAGAGAGGCCTAGTTACGGCGAAAGCAGCAGCTACGGTGATAGAAGCAGCTTCGAGAGGTCCACCTATGAGAGAAATGTCAATCGCCCTGCTGAAAGACAGAGCCTTGTTGATGACTCGGGCACTTCACAGAAACGGTCTAGTTCTGATGACATGCTTGTGCACAATGCGGCGGGCAGTCTACGACACTTTGCCCAACCAGTGCCCGCTAGTCAACCTTCTCATCTCTCCTCTAGAGAGTCTGACGATCTGCTGGATAGCTCTTTTGCTGAATCACCTGTTGGACTCCCCGTTGGCGAATCGGGCTTCGTACCTGCGCCCCTCTCGGAGTCCAACATGATGGGGCTGCTGTCATATCCGGACATGACCACCATGGTCAACTCGGATCGCAATCTCTCCGTGCCCTTGGTGGAAACCACTTTCGTGGACCCCACGAAGTGTAGCATTTGCGGAAAGAAAATCTCCAGAGACATGATCAGACACATGTGGACCCACCAGACGGAGAAAAGGTTCAAGTGTGTCTTTCCAAAAGGCAGTTGCCAGCATAAATCGGGCCTGTTCAATAGAAGGTACGATTTCAAAAAACATCTCCTCAACAAACATTTCCAATACGACGACGTGTCTGCCAAAAGAGAGCATAACCTTCGAGAGAAACTTACCCAGTGGGGTACTTGTCCTTGTGGAAGGCGCTTCTTATCGGGGATTGGTTGAGTCAACATATTCTCACCAAAAACGAGAGCCAGAAATGTCCTTTACTCAGGCAGAACAGTAGATAAACAGTGTATAGTATATAATCATGAGCATAAATTTACGGAATTGAATTACTCGAGCAGTTTGGCAAGACTGATAAGCTCTTTGCCGCCAACAATCTTCACCTGGGGCTCTTCAGAACTTTCATCCAAGGACTGCTCCGCCAAGTGCACAGCCGCCTTGCCCACTTCGTGGCCGAAGATTGGGTAAATCACATTGTTGCCAATGAAGGTGTTGTGGAATAACTTGAACGTGCCCGCAGACAAGTCATTGAGCCAACCCTTGGACTTCTCACGCTCGCCTAACAAAGGTCCAGGACGCAATATGATTGTTTGCGGGAATTTAAGAGCAATCACGTCATCTTCCAAACGACCCTTGGTCTTCATGTACAAGAAGGGGGACGAAGCACTGGCGCCTACCGAGGATATGAGCACAATCGTCTTGGTGCCGCTCTCCTTGGCTGCTTTGGCGACGTTCAAGTTGATGTCGTGATCAATTTCCACAAACTTCTCAGCGGACCCAGCCGCTGCTCTTGTCGTTGCCAAGGACGAGAACAAGACCTGGGCATTCGATGCTGCTGCAAGTTCAGGATACTTTGATGAGTCCTTCTCCACAATCTTCTTGAGCTTGTCCGAGGAGAAATCAAGCTCACGGCGGGTAACCGAGGTCAATTCCTTGAACTTGGCCAGAGCGACCGACTGTTTGAGAATTTCACTGCCACAGAGGCCTGTGGCGCCAAAAATAATTGCTGACATGATGAAGAGAGTAGTTAGTGATTGTGGCAATCTAGTCAGGGATAAAGTGCGAGCCGCAGTGCGCAGTACGTGACAGGGCCCTCTGCCTACATTAAGCAGATCAGCGTATTTGACAAATATCATGCGTGGCCACAAAGCCAGAGGATTGTTCTGGTTCTGGCCGCTGGAAATTACGGGCACTGATATTGGAGATAAAAAAAAAAAAAAAATTAGATGCATCGCGGCAGCGTGGCGGCTCTGGATTGGGATATCCAAAACGGCTGCGAGGTTAACTTCCTGCTCTTTTCCGCAGGGTGACACGCTATCAAATACCCCTATTGCTGTTCTTTTCTTGAAAAAAGTTTTCCCCTTCTTGAAAACTTTCATGTTCTCGAGACTGCAAGATCTCAAGAAACGTATGTGCCCCAGGCTTGCACCTGTCAAGGCCGCGCTCGTCTATGCTGGTTCTACATTAGACTGCGCCGACGCCAGCGCTCTAAACAAGCTAACCGAGGAATGTGGAAGAGTCGGCCTGGTTCGTAGATTAGCACCTTGTGCTTATCAGCTCGTGTTTTGCTGCACCTCTTCGCTCCCCTCTCGTTTGTTGCTGTTCGGCGCTTATGACTGGAAATTTCTATTTGTGGCCTGGCCCCAGCTGCGCACTATTTCTCCGAGGACGTCGGAATGTTCCGAGTGACGAGGCTTGAGCCGCCCCGAGATACACACCGAGGCCAGGGTTCAAGAAAGCGAGATCTTTTTGATTGAGGCAACTGGAACATAGAAGTTTCCGTTGAAATAGGGGGAACAGTGGGGAAGAAATGCAATAACCCTGTTCCCTCCGTTACGGTGTACCTCAGCCCAGCTGTATGCATGCGGGCCGAAACTAGACGCCCCGCCCAAGTGGGTAAGTTTATCCGCTAGCGATGGCAGCACGCGCCAGATGAAAAGACTATCTTAATAAGAGGATTTTCGCAGGTCACCCGCATCTCATTCTCGGCGTCTGTCACTGAATTCGCCTAGCCTGCCTTTTTAGACGAAGATTGCTGGATAAGCCACGTGACCTAGTGCGCCTGTATCACTAGATTTTCCCGAAGGGTCGAATTTCGAGGAAGCAACTCATCTTCTTTTGGTCGATACAGGTCAAACTGTTATAGCCGCCGAGGAAGAAGGGAAAGTATCCTGCAAGTATCCGCTTATCCTAACAGCCACCTACTCGTCCTCCCTATCGCTTACGAGGCAGCACCCCCCCCCGATTAGTGTCTGCTGGTCTAATTCCGGCCTGCTTTGTATTTATCGCCAACAGCTCCACCTTGGCCTCAACTAGGAAGTGCGCATTTTCACAGCACTATCTATCGCCGGAGCTGCTCCTATATACCTGCCGACTTTCTCATGTCTCAAGTCAAACTGGCCCGTTCATCCAACCCCCATTCCCGACCATGGATCCGGAATACAACGACTATCTTCATTATAGCCAGATGAATTTGCTGCATCTCCAGCAAGGGCCCATCTCGGCTCCTGCTGCTCCGTCTTCCGGTGACGACTATTTCACGTTTGTGGTGCCCCACGATGAGGTCTCTCAAGATTATACCTTGTCTTCCAACCACGAGCACGCCGACGCTGGCTCGCTGGCACGAAGTCAGCTACGGGTTAATCAGTGGAAACCACAACCGGGCGCCACTCCGAAGAACTTTGGTCATATGAGCAGCAGACAGAGAACTTTCTCCGACAAGAAAGCTCGCAACAAGAGCAGACTATCAAACTCAATAAATTATAATTCCGAGGACTCGAGGGCTGTCAGCGACCTGCCGCCAGTCTTGAACAGTTCTTTCGAGATCTCCAACAGAGAAGGGCTTGTGAAGAACAAGAAGAAGAACCCGGGCTTTCACATAGCGCTAGATAACTTGCAAGCTCCGAATATGATGCTTCGCATGAAAGATCAGAACATTCAAGCTGGTACCGTTGGCTCCGACTCCAGGGTCGACTTGACCTACCAGCAAATGAAAATCTCTGACCCTGACGTTCTATTCCATAAAAATGGTGTGGAATGGGACAGTGGTCAAGAGAACGTTACACCGCTTATGAACCCGCCAAATACGAGTGACTTGGGCTACTTCGGCTCCTTTGACATTCAGTTGGCTGAAAACGATGGAAGCTTCACGTTGTCGGATGGCGGAATGCCTGCGGGCTACCTTTCGCTTCCGAAGGATGTTGACCGTTCAAGTGTGACGAAAAGCGACGACAATAGCACCGACTTTGATGATCTTGCTCAAATCCCTCTTGAAGGCTTTGTGCCAGTACCCGAGAGTTTCGAGGATTACAACCATGGCATTCCGCATTTTGATGACAACTACATTGACCATAGTTTTGGCCACAATGTGTCTATACATGCCCTGCAACATAATGTCGATCATAGCCAGCACCACTTTGATCTTCACGAATACCCAGCTCACCATCAACAACAGCTTCACTCTCATCAGCATCCTCATCAACAACCCCAGAACCAGCATCAGCATTCTCACGGCCATGACTATCACCTCGACCACTCTCAACAGAGCGGCTTGCACGGTGCCCATGCATATAATCATGGGATGCCAGTGAATTATCCAGAGCAATACAGACCAGTCAACAAAGCTCCAGTTCCCCAAGCTCAAAGTCTATTCCCAGACCGCCCTGTTCTTGAACGGTCGCAATCTGCGCTGAGTGCTATGACATCGGCAAAGTCTGACATCAAGAAGAAAAAGAAGTCGAGCAGAGTCGTCATTTGTCCTATCTGTGATAAGCATATAAGCAGAGATTTCACGAGGCATTCTCGAATCCATAATGAGATCGGACGCTTCCAATGTGTCTTCCCAAGGAGTGTATGCTCCCACAAGTCTGGAAAATTCAACAGGCCTTACGACTACAAGAAGCACTTGCTCAATGTTCACTTCACCTTCGAGGATCCAAAGACCCGTCTAGCGCCAAACTTGAAAGAGAAGCTCACGGTTCGTGGACACTGCAATGCCTGTGGACAATATTTCACTGGAAATGACTGGCTCAATGAGCACGTTTTAAACACAGATAAAAGTAAGCGCTGCTCAAAACTTCAGCAGGAAGCCGAATTCGATGAAGACGACTTTCAGTCTGGCGAGAACGGCGAGGATGACCAGGCCAATATGGCAGACTTCCTTAAAGAAGAAAGCCTGGACTAGTGTCACATCTGATTTCAACCGTCTCATGCTGTTACGATCATTATCTATTCAATTCTTCTTCCTTTCATACCACTATTTACATACCCGCTGCGGGATATGATGCAAAGGATAATATATATTTGCCGGCGTCAAGAGCCATCACTTCAACAAAGTCTGTAGCTACAACACAGGCTAAGTCTATGCAAAATTCATCTTGATTATTTATGATTTCCTATCACGAATTTAATTCTCTGTACTGATTCTCCCAAAAATCTCTTCCCCTAGTAAACCATTCGGGAAGCTTATGCTCAGGTGGGAGATGAAGTTTGATAGGCTCAACAAATGATGACTTTGCAACAACCCGTGGTTTGTAGTATTGGAATCCGTAAAGTTCCTTAGTTTTGGCTAAGTCCTCAGGGCCACCGGATCTCTCCCGCTCAAGTCTGTAATGGCGAAGACTGCTTTCAAAGGACGACCTGCGTCCTGGTGATTTAGCTTCAAAACTGGGTTTGCGAAACCTCAAGTTGCCTGGCCGGGTGATTCTGGTGTCGATAGACAGTTTTCGGCGGTGTGCAGCTAGGTTGATATTGTCTCCGCTAAAACTGTTATTCCTGCTTCCACTACTTCCAGGCAACGGCTTTTCGAGCAGGAGATTAGAAATTCTGTGCTCGGGCGGTGTTCCTGGAGACGCTGCAACGGATTCCAGCTCTTCGTTTTTCCGCTGTTCCACTAGTTTGAGCAAATTAGCAGGGATTTGAGGCGATGCCAGAAGAAGATCGTCGTCCATGTCGTCTTCGTAATCATCGGCCGATACGTCACCATCGTCATTTGTTGCATCGCCTTCATCCACGGAATTTCTGACGCGGCGATTACTGCCGATGGACGCGATAGACCCTTTCGACTCCGAGACCTCCAGGTTTTTGTCCCGTTTGTTTCGCAACCACTGATCGACTTCGAACGGAACCAACTCCACTTCTATTAGCTCTAAAAAATTCTCAGCGTTGTAGTTATTTTTACTTGAGTTTCCCGTGTAGATACGGTATTCATTGACGATGGAATTGAAGTTCCATTTCTGAATACGTCGGAGGATACCAACTAACGTCAGCGACAGATCCACCACTAACACGTTGTGTCTGTTTTTGTTTAAGATTATCTCGAAGGCACCCTCTATTAATCCAGGCTCAATGAGCATCCACAGATTGTTCTCGTTGCTGGTTCCACTGCTGCTGTCTAAGGGTATCACCTCGATCTCACCCTTCCCGACCGACAGTTGAGAATCGGTTGACTTCTCGGCCTTATCGCTGTCCTTGCCATAAGCACTGTGACTTGTGATCTTGAGGCCCCCTAGCTTAAACAATTTAACGCCATTCTCCTCCAAGAAGGCCTTCAAATTCCTCGGCGGCTTTGCTGCGTCAAGAAGAACAATCGAATTGAGTTGTAGCGTGGCCAAGAATGGTGTGTGGTCTGCCTCAAGCTTCAGGCATCGGTATACACCTGGCTCTATCAAGCCAAGATTGTCTGGAGGCACAAGCATGTGGTTGGATCCAGGGCCCGATCTACCAAAGTGAGTGTAGAGGCACGTGATGAGGGTCCCGAGGAGGGCTTTATTACGGATCGCCTGTTGGGACATTTCTTCGGTAAGGAGGTGAAAAAATCCCGCAAGTATAACGCCTTGTGAAATAAGAAACGAGAAATTAAATAGTCCGCTTTTGTCTGTGATCGTACATCTCCATCACCGTTGGGCGCTCAATACCTTATTGGTTCTCACGGCTTTGCAGGCATGGCACACCAACACGAAGTACAACGCAGAACCCTACAGCTATTGAGCAAATTATAGACAGCACTGATTAGCGTCTCCTTGGATAATCGGCAGAAAATATTGAAAGCCGAACCTCGGCAGATGCATCCTCAAGTGAGCCATATCTTCAAGGTATCTTGCGAAATACATACCGATGACAGCAGATCACGAATTTTACAGATATATCAAAACTGAGATTCACTTTGACATTTAACTGCAGCCGCTATCGTACCATTGACAGTTCTTTATAGAGAGCTGCAATATGCTCGCGTAGACGGTGCAGTGCGAGCAAGAACGCCTTCCCAATCGGGCTCAGTAAAGTGCTCAATGAATGTGCTCAAGTCCATTCTTTGACAATATATAAAATGAGTCGGCTCCCTGAATAAGTCAACCAAACACTCAGCCTTTCAAGATGGATATGGGATCAATGTCGATGGGATCCATGTCGATGGACCACGCCATGCACAGCGCTACCGACAGTATGTCCATGAGCTCGTCTACTATGGACCATGGCAGCATGGACCATGGCAGTATGGACCATGGCAGTATGGACCACGGGGGCATGGACCACGATATGATGGGCATGAACATGTGGTTGACTACCAAGTACGAGGGATACCCAGTCTTGTTCAAGTCCCTTGTCGCTAACAACGGTGGTGAGGCCTTTGGTATTTTCCTCCTCTTCTTCGTGGTGGCCTTCATTGGAAAAGGCTGTGAGTTCCTCAAGAACTACTTGGAACTGAAGGTTTGGCACAACCCCAACTACAACCGTCAAACCACCATTATTGACGAGTGTGCCTGCGATGATGAGGAGGCTAACTCTGGTAAAGGCCTGGAGTCTGTTGAACAAACCAGAAGACCTGCAAGTCACTCGTTCTTCACCTACTTGATGAGAGATTTTATCAGAATTATTTTGTGCTTTATTCCCGAGATGTTTGGCTACGCCTTGATGTTGGTGGCCATGACTTTCAGTCTTGTCTACTTCTTCTCCGTCATCTTAGGTAACACCTTCGGTCGCTTCTTCTTTGAAAAGTTGAGCAACAAGCTAAACCTCCTGCCCGGCGCCAACAATTTCGCAGGTCACCATTAATATTCTTTGTCTATAGTAATTGTTTTGAATGATATGATAATTCCTCCCATACTATACAAAAATGTCCGAGATTTTCCTGGAAAGCTCTCCGAACTTACTCTTGTTGAATGAACTGGCATTGCCTGATTGGAGCTTCTCACTGTAGATCAAGCGAAGCAAATTGAGCACCTCCTCACGCGTGTATGCGTCCTTGCTCTCCGACACCTTCTGGAGGAGGACATGCTCTGAGGCAGTGAAGAGCTCAAAATACCTCGAGGCCCTGCTGAAGTCCACATGGTCCACCTCCTTCATCACACTCCGAAGCATTTGCTGGATGGTGATAATGTTCAAAAGAATCTTCTTAATACCGTTCTTGTTCGCAACTTGTATCATCTCACTGCCTTGCAAGAATGATCGAGTTAAAAAGTTGGGTAAACCAACAAAAACACAGTCGGTTTCGGCAGAACTGAGTCTTTCCGAAATCTTTGTACCAATGGAATATACCTCTCTGTTGTATTGACCGATGAACTGATCCGAGTCTGCTGGTTCAGTGCCGAGAACGAAGTTCTCACGGTATGACTTGCCAATGTAGTACAATGCTTTGAGGCGAAGATCGTATCTTAAGGCGATCAATGTTTGATCCCTGATGCTCTCAAACGTTTGAATCACTTCGTCAAACTCTCCAATTTTCGCCAGGTTGAGAGTCAAGTACACATTTTGGGTCTTTTCAGCGATCGCAAATGTCGAGCGTCCGTTCTCTAAGATCGACCAGTCGTGTCTCAATTTGTCTACCTCGGACACTTTGGCTTTTGGAATTCCGGTTTCGTAAATCGTGTAGTTCGATTCCTTCCTCATGCTAGGCAACCACAGTAAAATCCAAGATGCAGTAAGAAGTAAATAACAAACTTGGTCAAACCATTCATCGTCGAATAAATCGTCCTTGGTGATATCAAAAATGTTTGGAGAATGATTGGATTTGAAGAGCATCAAGTCGATTTCCTTGGTTATCAATGGTGCGCAGCCCTCGAGGTCGTCATGATGCTGAAGTATTCCTCCGCTCATTTCCAAAAGGGCAGGAGTTTTGAGCCATTTGTTGATCTGCAGAATATGCTTCGAACGCTCACCTATTCCAATGCCCATCTCCGTAATATCGTGGCCAACTCCTGTTGCTAAAAGCTCTTTGAAGTAATCGTTATAAGCTTTTGCAAATTTTTTAAGCAAGTTGAGTGCAAGATCACTTATGTCTCGCCTGTAAGTGAATGAAGTATTCAATGAGTGACATGTATGGTTAAATAAACGACGAAAGTTATTAGCGTTGGCATAAACTCTGTTAGCTGCTGAGTTAGAGCGATGGAAGCTCGCCAAGGCTTGATTCTCGGACTCGTCATCATTCAAGTTGATTGTCTCTTGTGTAAATTTGACGTTCAAATTACCCTCTGTGGCCAACACTTGGTCTAGTTCACCCACCATACATCTCTCGAAGTTGAGGTTGAGGTCATTGTGAAGCTTTCTGTGGAAAGAATTTTTCATGAAATCGTAAAAGAACTGATATGCCGTTAAGTTCAAGCCCTTGTTCTTACCAAAGTCGGTGAGCATTTCTTGAGAGGCTGATATGAACACGAGGAAAAACTCTAGGATTATTCTCATGTTGAAAATGTTTTTGGGTACTAAGTCCTCTGCAAGACTATTGAATTGCTCGTTGGTGATGTACGGCGACACTTCAACCTCGGAATTCTGAATCGATCCTTTTTTCGAGCTCGGGCTAAACCCAGGGAACATTTCGTTGAGAACCATAGTCATATCCTCAGTTGTTTTGCTGATGGATCCAGAGGACACATTGTCGAACTTGAATAATTGTTTGTTCGCCAAAATGTGATGTAATTTGTTCGAAGATTGATTGAGATCTTGGGCATGTTTGGCACCATCCTCGGTATTGTCATCGTAAATGTAACTCACAATAAGTGCTTCAATCTCTTTTTTGAGTAAGTTCCAAATCGTGTTGAAATCATAAGTGGGTGATGGAGGTCCAACACTAGAGTCACGACCTGTTGATCCCACCGCATGGCTGCTCTCTATCAATTTCACCACTTCACATATCACTTTATGTTTCAGTAGCACCACTGTTGCTTTTGTGATGATAGTACTAAAGAAGTCTTGAAGAATCGGGACGGCGGCATCGTTAAAGGTTTGACCGCTGATCTTCTCTGATCCAGACCCGAACTCGAATTTGACAGCTTTCGCAAGTCGTGCAAGTTGTGGAAGATTTCTTTGCTTGCATTCTTGTGTGGTCCGATTAATCAAGTCATGAAGCTCAACCTGAACAGATGAAACCAAAATTTCTAAAACAGAGTTCAATCTGTTGAGCTTCGAAGCTGTGGTGAGTAACATGTAAAGATAATAAAACGATTCGGAGTTCGCACTAGAAGCATATTCAAGTATCAAGGAGTAGTCTGCCTTCGAAGTTTGGACCTTGGAGTAGTGAGCATGAATTTTGGGAAGCTGATGCTCAATGAAAGTAGCGGCTGGCTCTGCAAAACATGATGCAATTTCTCCAATATCCAAATTTGCCGAATTGTAGATGTACAGCTCTAAATTATTCAGCAGCTTTATCAATGTTTTGAATGATGCAATTTGAGGATTGTTAGACGAAAGATGATCGATCCAAAATTCCTTCCCCAGGTTGAAAACACTTGAGTTTTTGAGATAAATCTCATTCCGGAGCTCATCAACAATCATATCGTATAGACTGTTAGACTGGTTATCCAAGTAGCTTTGGATTCCGGCCAAGGCGGGAAGGTGCCAGAGATTGTACTTGGCAGCTATTTTATAGCCCTCTGAAATAGTGTCATAAACTTTGTGTAGTTCCTTATCGGCGGCAAGCTTATCCACTGTATCCGGAATTTGATGCAAGCTCTCGATGGCGTCGAGTATTTCAAGCATCTCAGAATATTTCTCAGAACTGCTATCAAGCTCCTTGAGCACACCCATTCTGTCGTTCATATCACGGGTACTCGATTCAATGAGGTTCTTTATCAGGGCGGAGTCATCCTGTGACTCTTTGGCAATCGACATGAGCATGTGGAACAGACCAACCGAGTTGTTGAAGATTTCGTGGTTCTCCACGACCGCTCTTCGAAGAGTATCACTGGTGGATTCACAAAGATCGTCAAATTCGGCCTTTCTGTGGGCTAAACCAACGGAGGTATCATCAAGGAATGCAATGGCTAATTCAATTGGCGTAGTATCTCCAGTGGTCAACTGAGACCAGTCGTAACGGATGTCTTTGTATAATGTCTTGATGTCCGCAATGGACTTTTTTGTTTTTCTTTCATCGTCTTCTGACATGGAGCCATTGAAGGCCATGCTCACAGCACGACGACGATTGCCCATGTCCAATGTGCTGTAGAAATTGTATATGTTTTGTGGAGAATCTATTCTGCCAGATATTCGAGTAAGTCTGGTGCACAGGTTTGGTACAGCTATTACCTAGAGAAGACAATATCTTGGATGGAATAGCCTGAAATTCGATAAAAAAAGTAAACAAATGTATTAAAAGATTGAGCTGTTTGCGAATGACAACTTTTATATAATTATCACCTTTGATATATTTATTTTGGAAATCTTACAGACGTGATATTTACATGGGTCTCAAATCTGAGTTAGAAATTGAGATTTTGCAGCTAAAGCCAATATAAGACACAAGTACGTAAAAATGCACAAAATTTAAATCTTTAAGATAACATTTTATTGCCTCAATAAGCAGATTTCTAAATAAATTTCTCTGCAAAATAACAGCCCAAGCTTGTAATTTCCAGTTTGTTTGAAATGTATCACTTTTGTGGGGGATGCGATCAATGTTTACATATCGCGATATACTCCAATAGAGACTCCAATGACTACATATCACTGCCAATGGAGGTGATCGAAGTAAACAGCGAGGATACATCGTTTCAATATGAGCCGAACAGAAGCAAAGACGTGATTTTGTATGTACCAATATTGAACCTTCCAGACCAACACTAACAATAGGCTTACAGATGATTCAGATCCCATCGTTTGCACGACAAACTCTGCAACTCAAAGACGGCCCCTACCGCCGAGCTCACCTTGTGAGCCTCATCAAGAAGAACATAATCTAGTGGAAGTTATCCCACAAGCCACCAAAAGCGGGAGCGTCTTAGATATCGAGAACTGGATAAGCTCGTCAGATGAGGAAAGCATAGACCTTCTGAGTATGCCTGCTCCCAAGAGGAGGGTCAAAAAGATTATACCGCCTTCAAGCTTTAGTCAACAAGTCGAGAAAAGGCTAGATGACGCAAATGCTACTGAACCCGTCACCAATCCACCGAAGCAGCCATCAAAGATAGCCACGAGGAAGCTTATACCAGAATTTATTGAAGACGGATTATCTGACCCAATTACAAGCTCACCAAAAACAAGTCAAGTGTTTACTGAACCAGCCAGTCAGACGAAACCACAAAAGCCCAATCAAAAGAATGAGAAGTTTTCTAAGAAGGACTGGAAGGAGGCCAACAAGGCAACAAGGAAGAAGGAGGAGATCCTTTCTGAAATGATTATTGAGCTTGCGTCCTCCGTCGAAAGCAAGCTTGGTGGGACTTACTTTGACGAAGTATTCACTGGCACTCAGTGTAGGAAGAAAACGACAAACATCCCCAGCATTTCATGGAAACGGAAAGTGAAGGCAATACTCAACAAAGAGAAAGATGTATTTGAGCCTTGTGAACCGAGGGAGATCTCAGAAAAGGTTATTGTACTATTCTATGAGGCGGAAAACTTGGTAGAACAGATACAAAAAGGCAGTTTGAGAGCCGATCACGAATTAGCGGTTAGAAGTGCAGCGGCTGAAGAACCGAGAATTGATTACTACGTCATGGTGATGGTAACTGGTCTCAAAGAGTATCTTCGAAAGCTTCAAGGTATAGAAGATAGGGCCTACAGAGATCAAATGCTCAAAAAAATGAACGAGCCGGTGTCCAAGAAACGGAAGCAGGAAGAGGTCATTCTCAAGGCTTCCGAAGCCCAACTTTGCATTCAGCAGGCTGGTGTTGATCTCGGCCTCAATATGTTCAGTGTCAGAAATCAACAAGAAGCTGTCGAATGGCTCCACTCATTCACTTACACCATTGGATCTGCGCTTTACGACAAGTTCCAAAGAAACGCAAGCCTTGCGAACATAGGCACTGTCAGACTGGGCACCGACCAACGAAGCACATTCATCGAGGTACTCAAGAAGTTCAATCTCATGACGCAACCAAGAGCCGAGAAGCTTTATGAATTTTACACTTCGCCCGTAGCGATATACAAGCGGTTCCTCACTAATGATTCGCTTGGAACTGTCAAGGGTAAAAATATCGTACCTCCTTCTGCCAATGCAGCAATGAAGCGAGTATTTACAGCTACAGACCCATCGCAGGTTATAACATAGAAGCTGAGTTTATTATGGTTTATAATACATTCCGACGAAGACACTCTGTGGTGATGAAAGCACTGATTGTTAGTATGGGGCGTAGTATTTTATGAAGAAGCTACTTGCCTTGCGGTGTTGAAGTCGTCCTCTGTGAGTCTGTCCTTCAAATGGTCAATGCTATCCAATTTGTGAGCTAGTCTGGAGACATCCTCGCTAGTGAACTGGTACTTGAGAGTGTGGAGCTGAGTGATGATGCTGAGGACTTTGTCGATACAGCCGACGTTTTCAGTGTCGAAAGCGGAAATGAGGTTATCAACAAAGCTGATCTTTCTGAAATGCTCAAGCTTGGTGTCGTCCAAGCCAGTGGACAAGAGCGCAGAAATCAACGATAATTTGCGCAACAAAAGCTTATGATCACTATGGGAAGATTGCAAATGGAGGGCTTCCCAACCGTTCAATTCGGCAAACAGATTGGTGGCATCGGCGTAGTTTCTTACCAAGCAAGACATGGCAAAGAGCGATTTGAGAAGAAGCTCTCTTGGAGTTCCTTCGTCGTTAACGAGCTTGATGAGCGAGGCCAAACCATCCTCTTTTTCAAGAAATGCCTTTTGTGAATCAGGATTGTTCTGAGTAGCGACTCCAATGATAGAGGCAGCGAGAACACTGAGAGACTCTGATCCGTTGAGCTGTGCAATGATACTGGGCCAAAGCTTGAGGTTCTCGATATTGTTGGCATTATCAAGATTCTCCACAAGCATTTCAAAATTGTCCAAGGCGGTTTCCTTGGCTTCGAGAGTAGCCTCAGGGTTTTCCACCACTGCGATGGAGTGCTTCATGAGAGTAGGCTCGTCAGGGCCACCAGCACCAAAAAGCTTGGAAAGCTCCTCCGAGGTAGGAGCTCCGATCTTTTCCATCGCCTCCTTATCGCCGCTTTGCGACGCTATGGACCATTGCAATATTTTCTCCATGTTGGATGAAAGAGGAGGTTGCTGAAGGTATTTAACTACCAGTGCAGGAAGCACCGAAGGTTCCAGAAGGTTCGATGAATCCTAGACCCAGAGATATCAAAAGAGGCAGATCTACCTAGATTGAGCCAAAATAGACTCTCGCTTAATTGTCACTGCCTCCAGTGCCTGTGTTGTTTCTGGACCCGGGTCCGCACATGGTGATCTTGTGGTGCGACAGTCCCGGGCTTCCTTTAGCCCGCACCGGGACATTTCGATTGACAAATTTTAGCTACTTATTCAATTTGATTTGAATAGACGTAAAAATCATAATTCAGAGCAATTGACACCCTGAAAGTTACCCGCGGAGTATGCTGACGCTGCCTCAGGTGACGGGTGAGTACCGACCGTGGGGTCTACTGATGGAGGGCATATATAAGGTCGCGACCACCACGATCCCCGGGAGCTTTTTCTCTATTACTTTGCTTCGCTACATCATGTCTCTCTCAAAGAAATTGTCTGTGAAAGATTTGGATCTCGCTAACAAGCGTGTCTTCATCAGAGTCGACTTCAACGTGCCATTGGACGGCTCCACCATCACCAACAACCAAAGAATCGTTGCTGCCTTGCCAACCATCAAGTATGTGTTGGAGCAGAAGCCAAAGGCTGTTGTCTTGGCCTCTCACTTGGGTAGACCAAACGGTGAGCGTGTCGAAAAGTACTCCTTGTCCCCTGTTGCCAAGGAATTGCAATCTCTTTTGCCTGAGAACAAGGTGACCTTCTTGGACGACTGTGTTGGTCCAAAGGTCGAGGATGCTGTCAATGCCGGTTCTGATGGCCAGATCTTCTTGTTGGAGAACTTGCGTTTCCACATTGAGGAGGAGGGCTCCAAGAAGGTCGACGGTAAGAAGGAGAAGGCTTCTGCTGAGGACGTCGAGAAGTTCAGAAAGGGCTTGACTGCCTTGGCCGACGTCTACGTCAACGACGCCTTTGGTACCGCCCACAGAGCCCACTCTTCCATGGTCGGTGTTGACTTGCCTCAGAAGGCTTCTGGTTTCTTGATGGCTAAGGAGTTGGAGTATTTCGCTAAGGCCTTGGAGAACCCAACCAGACCATTCTTGGCCATCTTGGGTGGTGCTAAGGTCTCTGACAAGATCCAATTGATTGACAACTTGTTGGACAAGGTCAACATCTTGATCGTCGGTGGTGGTATGGCTTTCACCTTCAAGAAGGTCTTGGACAAGATGCCAATTGGTAACTCTCTTTTCGACGAGGCTGGCGCCGAGAACGTCGAGAACTTGGTCGCTAAGGCCAAGAAGAACAATGTCGAGATTGTTTTGCCTGTGGACTTCGTCACAGGTGACAAGTTCGACAAGGACGCTGAGACTGGTGTTGCTACCCAGGAAGAAGGTATCCCAGATGGCTGGATGGGTTTGGATGCTGGTCCAAAGTCCAGAGAGCTCTTTGCTGATGCCATTACCAAGGCCAAGACCATTGTCTGGAACGGTCCACCAGGTGTCTTCGAGTTTGAGAAGTTCGCCGACGGTACCAAGTCCATGTTGGAAGCTGCTGTCAAGTCTGCCTCTAACGGTAACACTGTTATCATTGGCGGTGGTGACACTGCTACTGTTGCCAAGAAGTTCGGTGTTTCCGACAAGTTGTCTCACGTTTCCACTGGTGGCGGTGCCTCTTTGGAATTGTTGGAGGGTAAGGCCTTGCCAGGTGTTGTCGCCATTTCCGAAAAATAGATCTAATGATACTATCCGTTTGTTTACTGAAGTAGGATTTATTTCGATTCATAAATACTTGATAAATTATAACTTGGTCTTGCCGCTCATGATGTGGGCCCAGGCGTCCTCGGTCAACTCTTCGTAACGGTCGCCGTTCAACCAGTAGATGAGATCGTCACCGTTTTCGCCCTTTGGCAACTTCTGGTTCTTGAACTGGTTCTTTGGAACCTTATGGTTGTGAGAAGCAGCAATTCCACCAGACTTGATCTTGATGAATTGAGGAACAGCATACTTGGGCAAGGACTTGACAACGTGATCGTGAATCTTGGCCAAGACCTCCTCATCGCTGAGACCATCAGCGGGGTCAACGACAGCAAAACCAGCTCTACCCTCGTAGTTTGGCACACGAACACCAACAACGACGGACTGCTTGATAGCACCAGAGCCCATCACTTCGTTCTCAACCTCAGTGGCAGAAACGTTCTCGGATCTCCATCTGAATGTGTCACCCAATCTGTCGACGAAATACAACAAGTTGTCCTCATCCATTTTCAACAAGTCACCAGATCTAAACCAGGCATCGCCCTTCTTGAACACATCTCTGATAACCTTCTTGTTGGTAGCCTCGTTGTTACCGTAATAACCCTGGAAAGAGCCTTCAACGTTCTTGGCGTCCATGATCTTCATCAACAACTCACCTGGAGTGTTAACGTCGGCCTTGACACACATGCCGGTCTTAGGGTCTCTCCAGATCTCACTCTCGTCATCAGGGTCCATCTTGACCAATACCTGGGTGAAGCCAAGGACAGAGGAGATAAGCGAACCGTACTTACGGCAGGCACCCACACCAAAGTCGCCGTATTGAATGTTGGTGGTGGCAATAGGAGATTCGGTAGAAGCGTAGAACTCACCAACACCCTCAATGTGGAATCTCCTCTTGAACTCTCTCCAAATGTCTCTTCTCAAACCGTTACCGTAAGCGATCTTAACCTGATGCTTGGCTTGGTCTGGATGAGGCTTGGAGTTCAACAAGTAACGACAAACTTCACCGACGTACTGGATGTGAGTGGCATCGGATAATCTAGCCTGAGTCCAGAATGTGGAGGCAGAGAACTTTTGACACACAACCACACAACCACCTGTAGAAAGGGTAGGACAAACACCCAACATGGCGGCAGTAGAGTGATATAGAGGCATGGCAGTCATGACAGTGGATTTATTATTGATCTTCATGATGGAGCCGAAGAAGGCAGTCGCCATGAAGGCCTTTCTCCAAGACATGATACCGGCCTTGGGCAAACCGGTGGTACCAGAAGTGTAGATCAAAGCACAGCAAGACGAGTCCTTGTCCTCTGGTCTTCTAGTGTTGTCTGGGGCTCTGTGCTTAGGTCTAGATCTGTCGCTCAACACCTTGAGCAACTCTGGCTCATTGATGTAGTGCAACTTGACATTGGGCAATTCTTCATTGATCATTGGCTCAGTGTCCTTGATTGGCTGAGCACAATCTGGGTCAATGAAGACCTGAGACACATCGGCAATCTTGATACAGTGAACCAAGGGCTTGTCCTTGGTGTTGTAGTTCAAGAAAGCAGGAACGGCACCAATGTTCCACAAAGCCAACCACAACAACAAGAACAAAGGCTTGTTCATGCAGTCAAGAGCGATAGTGTCCTTGGAGGTGACGCCGTAGTCGTTCTTCAAGATGTAAGACAAACGCAACACCATGGCGTACAACTCACGGTAGGTGTAGCTCTCCATGGTGAACTGCTCGTCGAAGATGGGGAAGCCCTCAGCGTCCTTCTGGGGAGCAGGAGCATCCTTCTTAGGACGAGGGAACGACACTGCCAAGTTGTCAGGGTATTTCAAGGCAGCCTTTTCGAAAAGGTACCAGTAGGAAGCCTTTCCCCTGTAGGCGGAATAAAGATATGGCACAGCTTTAGAGACCACGTTTTTGATCAAGTTGAGGTCCTCACTAACGTGCAATTTGGCATCCAACAACTGGGAGCCCACAACGGCGGCAGAGGCAATTTCAAGCCCAGACATTGTGATATAGACAGATAAGGAACGGGATTAGCAGCTGAAGTTATCCGGCAAAGCTAAAAGGTAAAGAAAAGGAGGCGAGTGGGAGCTCGAAAAATGCGACTTATAGCGTTGTCATGGCTGACAAGCAAAGACCTCTTATATACTTCTCCGCATAATCTGCCCAGGAGTGCATGTGTCAAAGGGCAGTTGTTGCCAGCGGCTCCCACTACAGTTGATGGCAGTACATATTCTCGGATGAACGGAAACAGTTTCCAACCCTGGATCGAAGCTATTTTGGAAAATCAAAACGAACGGTGTTCAAAGGGTGGTTGTAGAAGGCCCTGGGTGAATTCACATGGCTGCAAAACCACATGAAGAGGGACCCGCACACCAACAAAATGGCCGAGGTGCGATACGCCAAATGTTCTATGAGAAAGCGGTTACCATATGGAGGCTGAAACGGCCAGTGGGGAAGCACAATTGCGTAACCTGGAAAACTTCGTAATTCAGAGCGTTCTTATTAAATCATTTAAGTAAGCGCATCATGTCACTCAATGGGTCCTTCCACTTCCGGGCTATAGCCGTGTCTTAGGTTCCCTTTATTATGGTACACAATGGTGGGCCGAGGGGGGGGGGGGGGGGGGGAAGGGTGCCTCGAACCCGGACCCTGTGGACCCAGATCTGGCAACATGTCTACTATGGATCTAGCTATGCATGTTTCAGTGAAGGCTTAATTAGAGGAACGAATAGCTTTGTTTTCTCTAGAATACCTCTTGAAGCCACAAGGCTCTTTTGGATGCGAAATATGAGGGGCAACCAGCAATCGGGCGCAAATCCGATAAACCTAATGCCATGTATTTAGGAGTTATTTCTGCTTCCACCAGGGAAGTTTTAACCAAATCAACTCTTATTATTCAGTCACAAGTACCTCTTCCTCCCGCCTTCGACGACAACGCCAAGAGTCTCTTATCTACTCTTATCACCTGACGCTTGTCTGGAAAATCGAACCGGATCCCGAATGAAACTGTAAATTAGAAATCTTACACATTTAACTCTATATTTTAATTTCACCGAAACATCAGCCAGGCGCCTGGAGCAACTATGTTTTCCCCAGACTCGGTCGAGCTCTCATCCCGATTGCACCACTCCTCCATTTGCTCAAACTGTTCTCCTAGTCTGTCTGCCAAGGACTGGGCTTTTTCTCGAACCTCTGGTGGCTGCCTGGTCCATAATCCATGTCTCAACAATGCAAGCAAGTCAGAAGTTGGCGGTGCAAGGTCTCTATATTCTAAGCAACATTGACGATGTGGACTCACTAGCACACTGAGACACTCGTATAAAGCCACAAGGCTGCTTTGGCGCAGAGTAGCACATACAGCCTGGGCATAGATCGGAACAAGATCTCTGTGAACATGGCAGGGGGCCGTAGAAGAACATGCCTTCATCACCGTGGCTGCCTTCAACATCATAGGTTTCTGAACATTGGGTGCAAAATAGCCAAGACCGCTGTAGACCTGGCACAAAACAGCCATCACCTCCACATGACCTACACTGTGGTAGGTCTCAGTGGATGCCATTGAGGCTGCCTGGGCCAAAACTCTCAAGAGCTCACTGCTTTTTGTATGGGTTCCGTGAGCGCAACACCATTGATTCCAGCACCAGCAGATGAGCATTTCTGCAATGCTCATTTGCAACAGTTCGGGCTCATGGCTGAACAAGGATAAATCTGAACACCAGGCAACTGCTTGATGAAATGGTCTGGTGAAAAAGTAGGCGTTGTCGTAGGTTTGCTCTGTAGAGCCTATGGTCACAAGACGGAAGAGACTAATGGTTTTGTCGACTGGGCAGCTCTCGGCACCAACCAAAATATCGTCAATGGCCCTTTCCAAAGTGTCAATGTCCGAGAAGTGACGGCGGGGAATCTGATGGGTAAATCTAAGAAGCTGAGAGAGCCTTACTTTTGACTTGTTTCTGCCATTCTCATCCTTATGGATAGGCACCTCAATAGCCTGTGTTTCGATTAAGGTTCCCAAGTCCATGAGCTCCTGAGACAGATAAATGTAACTTCTTATGTTAGAGGTTGACAGCAATATCATGTTGATGTTTGGTGTTTCTGTACCCAGCTCAGTGGTATATGTCACAGAGTCCTCAATTGCCTCGGCCTCAGCTGTCGATTCCACATGTTCGTTGTCTTGAAACGGGGAAGGTGGAGTCGTTGGAAGTTTCCTCATCAACGGCTTCCACGGCTCAAATTTAACAGAGTTCGGAGACGGGGGTACGGGAGCTGGCAGCATTTCAGTATGTTCTTGTGACGCAAAGACAGATTCCTCATCCATTTTGGCTTTATGGGGTTTTTTTAGAAGCACAATCAGAATGGTGTATGCTACGCTTCCCACAACCGAGGAAGCAAGCACAAGCACACTGTAAACTGTCACGGTGTGCTTGAAAGACAGTGGATCCATGAGGGAGATAATGGTTGCAAAAAGCCCAAGCTCGCGTATAAAGGCACTCGCACAAATCCCCAGGTATCCACACTTGCTGAAAAAAAATTAAAATCCTACACCTTAATAATCTGTGGGGTAAACGAAAAAGACATCGAAACCCTCTCAATCCAAAAGATTCATTGTTAAGTCTTGCCTTTTGTCTCCTATAGCCGCCTCGTATTAGTCGCCTGATTTGCCTGCAGCATTACCTGATCTTTACAATTCGCAGCACTGTCATTGGCGTCACGTGTACCTATATCAATCAGGCCTTTTCCTCCATCGCTGCCTCAACTACCATATCCATGTTCTGCCGTTCGGGCTTTTTTTTCACAAAAAATTCCAGCGTGCTCAATATCTTGAAGAGCACGCGGGGGCTGCGTCTCTCTATAGTTCCTCCAAAGAGACTGTCGTTCAGCATATGGCGCTCCTTGGGTCTTCGAGGCTACTCTACTGCCTCTTCTGAACTCGCAGCCAACCAGGTTCCCAAGATCAATACTGAACCTTTGAAGAAAGCCTTTTCTGGGAAACACTCTCCTCCAGTGGTTTCCAGCAAAACTACCGGCTATTGGCTCATCGCTACTTCTGGGTTGATCTTTGGTATTGTCGTTGTGGGCGGCTTGACCAGACTCACAGAGTCAGGCCTCTCTATCACTGAGTGGAAACCAGTCACTGGTTCTATCCCTCCTATTGGAGAAAAAGCCTGGGAGGAGGAGTTTGATAAGTACAAGAACTCCCCTGAGTTCAAGCAGTTGAACTCGCACATTACCTTGGAGGAGTTCAAGTTTATCTTTAGCATGGAATGGGGACACCGCCTTTTGGGTAGAGCCATCGGAATGTTTTTCGTTTTACCTGCCATTTACTTCTGGAAGACAAAGAAATTCAGCCCTCACGTCACGCGAAGAGTCGTCGGTCTTACCGGTCTCTTAGGGTTACAAGGCTTTATCGGTTGGTGGATGGTCCAGAGTGGATTAGACGAGGAGCAGCTTGCCGATAGAAGGTCTAAACCAACTGTGTCCCAATACAGATTGACTACTCATTTGGGTGCTGCATTCTTGATGTACTTGGGTGTTCTCTGGACTGGGTTTGAAATTCTCAATGAAAGCAAGTGGATTCAGAACCTCTCCACCAAGGCTGAGGCTGTCACCACCCAGCTCGCAAAGCTTAACAATCCGGCTTTGAACCCCATGAGAAAGATGTCTCTTGCCTTATTGGGCTTGACTTTCATCACCGCAATGTCAGGAGGTATGGTGGCCGGCTTGGACGCCGGTCTTATCTACAACACATTTCCGCACATGGGCGAAGACTACGTTCCTTCTCGCAGAGAGCTCATGGACCCTGTTTACGCCAGGAAAGAGGATCTTTCTGACTTATGGTGGAGAAATTTACTCGAGAACCCAACAACCGTGCAGCTTATTCACCGTATACTTGCAACCTCCACTTTCTTTTCCGTGTTGGCTGCTTATATCTACGTCAACAGACGTAAAAAGATCGTTACTCCAAATGCAAAGAAGGCAATGCATACTATGATGGGTTTAGTCACATTCCAGGTGGCTTTGGGCATCTCTACCCTTATCTACTTGGTTCCTCTACCATTGGCTGCTGGCCACCAGGCCGGGGCTTTGGCTCTTCTCACTGCTTCTTTGGCATTTGCAGCAAACTTGAAGAGACCTAGGCCACAAACTGTTAGCTACATCAGTGCTAGGATGAAAGAGATGCTTCTCAAGAAGAAGTGAGCATAAAAGGGCAAAGGGATCCAACTTGTAAATAGTCCCAGTTTATGACAATGTATATAATGACTGCAAGTGCTACCAGATGCGTTTGCTTGACATCTCATAGCGATGGACTGTCTTAAGTGCGTCCTCAGCACTATTAGATGCTAAATGAGAATCAAGCTTACCCCTTTTCCTCACCAAGTCGTTTCTCTTCTCTTCACCGGTTGGCGGGACCAGCTCGCCATAGTCGTAAAGATAACCTCTGGTTCGAGGATTGATTGATGAAGTCTCCGTGTTAGGAACCCCAGGGATGAAGGACTGCTCTATTTCACTCTGTGAATCACTGGAACTATATCCATAGTGGGCATTGGGATTATTAGGTGACCACTCCAGTGACTTCACCAGTCCTGAATAGGTGGTATCAATGGGGTCGACGCTTGATTCACGCATGGCTAGATTATCTCCAATCGATGGTAGAGCTTCTTTAGCCTCAGGAGTGAATTCTCGGCCGAAATCCTCTTGTATGGAAGAAACTGCCAGCTCCTCAGATATGAGGGAGCTCGTGAGGGCAGCGGTTGTCAATTCATTCTGATATGACTCGTGATTATGCTTGATTCTTCTAGCCCACTGAAGAAGCCAAAGACCTAACACTAGTCTGACGACTAGCAACGTGATGAATGTCAATGCAGCAAGAAGTCCACAAGCAAGGATACTCAGAAGGTTGAGTAATGGAACATAAAGCTGCTTCAAATCACGAAGCGTCATCCTCAAGAAGCAAATACAGAGTGATGAAATAGGAAGCCCAATTCTCTTCGCAAGAATGATATAGTCTGATATTTCATTCAGAGTTGATCTTCTTGAATTTGACGTGAAAACCTCCATAAAATCAGTGCTTGAGACATAAAGAAAATTTTTGTAGACTCTGGGTTTTATCCGATTGAATTTGATGATGAAACAGTGTTTAAGCCAGTCCACAAAAACTTCAGAGCCAAGGACGACCATGGATGGTCCAAATATGGCACCAAACCATTTGTTCCACGATTTCCAACTGTCGGGCACAACGAGTCCTAATTGTGTCATGTTCAATTGGGCTAGGTTTCTGATGGAAATGATGAAAAGCATTAAGGAAAGTTGAAAACGCTCAGTTAAGTCAGACATGGCAACCTGGAATAAACCCTCTCTATCAAACTTTTTGAACACTGCACCTTTAAGCTCAGCAAACTGATTAGAAAGGAGAAGTGCCATGAGGGCATTCGAATATGAATTTGCAGCGACATGGAGAGATACCGATTGGTATATTAGAACGTAGGCGTGACTTGCAGAGTACACAAGTGCTATGCCCATGAAAAGAGCCAACTTACTCAAGTTGCGAACATTAGTGTTGGTCACCGGTATTCCAACAAGTACTGTGAATATTTCCTGACCAATTGACGATAGTAGCTTATCCATAACCTCAAGAACACCAAAAATTACGTACAATTTGAGATGAGCTTGACCTCTGACATCATGGTAGAGACGGGATACTTCAACCGTAGGGGAGGCTAGCAAAGCCACAGTTGTGAGAATCACAAAGACATTGATCAAATCCCTTTTAATAAAATGTAGTTTTCTAGTAAGGATTCCAATATCTGCTCCTCCGGTTTGTGACAAGTTCGTCAAAAAGTCAGCGAACGCTGTATAGCAAATTATTGCGATCTTTAGCGGGACCAATGTGAAAAGTGTTAGGAAGGAATTGAGACAAACTAGAAGACCAAAGACAATGAATTTTTCTAGGTACAAAGGAACTTTGACCATACTTGTAAGTTGTTCATAGGCCCGCTTCTGTTCCTCCTCATGTTTGATGTCTTTCTGTTTACTGTGACCCGGCTTCGGTAGATTGAGCTCTAGGATCAATAGTCTGAAAAGGGACAAGAAGTTGTTTTTCTCTTGCTTTTCTGATGCTAGCGTACTCTTGGAACCATTCTTGATAAAATTGAGAAAGCCGCTGGCTGTGGAGGATCTTGATCGTGACGGATATAACGAATTGGACTTCTGTGGAGCGAGGTCAGATAATGTCGAGTCTCTATGTCCGGTGATGGTACTTGTAGAGCCACGCTGGGTTGATGCTGTTTCTGTTCCCGGAATAGGATCAAGCTTATCAGACTTTGCCTCTTCGGAGGCCATTATGAATAGGAGTTGAAGAAGAAGGTTGTTCCAAACTGGCGATAAGCAGATGCCATAAAATCACGTGAGCGACGTCAGCGTTTCTCCCAAAATAATAATTGGCTGCTCAATTTATCTTGTGAAGGTCATAATTACGAGTTTCCGTATCAAATAAATTTTTTTATTCTTTGCCCTTATGTGAGGGAACAACTACGATTCCTTCGCAGCCTTGGATCCGGGGAAGACACAGCAGATCCTCAATCATCTCACCAGTGTACAGGCAGAGGCCACAGTATATAAAGGCAAGACAAGTTGCCCTGCGAGGAACCACTCTTGTTTTCTGTTTTCTTTCCAGAGACAAATTGTATGCAACAGTCACCCTCGAAGTACTAATGCAAAGCAAAATAATACGGAATGAACGCGGATACTCTAACTGTCGACGCTTTTCTAGCCTTACTAGCACCCTATGCTAATCGCGATATGCTCGCTCCAAGCGAGGCATCCTCGCTTCAACTCAAGATAGCTGAATTGGTTTTAGACCATACCATTGATCTTCCCCTCCTCAAGTTTCTCAGTCGCTTTTTAACTCGCTCTTCGTATGATGAGCTTGTGGAAGAGCGCAACATCGAGCATCAATGTGGGTATCCAGTGTGCAATCAATCCCCACAACATAAAGTTCGGCGGCTCTCCCACGGGAGCAACGGCTCATGTATGGAAACCTCAACAAGGTACCAGATCTGGAATCGAAAACCACTGATGATACTCCCCAACACATACTTATCACAGTACTGTTGCAAAGACCACTACCAGGCTCTGATGTTCTATCGCAATCAACTTTCCGAAGAGGCCGTGTTTTCCCGGAAGGACATAACTGTCGTTCCTCCATTCGCTACCATTGATGGCCAGTGGTACGAAAACAACATCACATGCCTAGAAGAAGTACTTGCCAAACACAGGGAGCTTAAAGAGCAGGGTAAGACGCTCACTGATGTAATTGCCATGATGAGCGGATTATCTGTTGCAGACGGCAACGATAAGGAAACTTCGGAATTAGCTAAGCTCATCGAAGACTTTGACATCGTTGAGCACGAGGGCGGAGCTAACAGCAAAGACGTGCCCCATGAGCCCGACAGAGAAGCAGCAGCTAGGGGCATCGACGGGTACATCACCAACGGACATAGCTTAGGTGGCTACATGGTGTAATTCTCCGCTTGAACCACACGTCACAAGGACTTTACGAATGATACGAAACGTCATGATAAAATGCTATAGTTTTGTAGACCTGACCTAAAATCTAAAACGCTCCCGATATCTGCGGCCTATTTGGAAGAATCGGAATTTGAACAAGGCAAGATAGTCTCCTAACTTTTTGCCCATGCCAAGCCTTTCCACCACAGAGATGCCTCTTTTGCTTTTTGAGGATCTTGCATAATCGGCTTCAAGGGCTTCAAAGTAACCCTGCTCGACGGGGTGCTTGAAGTTGACAAGCTCAGAATGCATAAAGACATTGTCATCCTTGAGAGCCTGCAAGAGATTTGAATACCTCAGGGCTCTCTCTTCGAATTGCGCATTCAAAGCATCCTGGACCTCTATTTGTCTGTCGAAAATAGCCCTCAGTAACTTGTACTTGTCACAGACATTCTTAAGTTCTAAATTGATGGACTCAGTAGCAATCTCTAGCGGCTGGCGCCACTGGTTGCGGAGCTGTTGCCTCTTCTTTTCGAAGCTTGGCATCTTACCCACATGCTCTGAAGTTCTAACCTCATTCATCAAGGCCTCCCAATCAGCCTCTGCATCAGCTAAGTTTTGATAAAACTCCCTGGTACAGATAACTTCGTCGTCAGAATACCCTCCACTCCCCTTCACTGCAAACCCATCACCGACATTCTTCTCATGAGCTATTGCAACTTTATCTGTGGATTTCATGTTCCAAACGTGCTTAAGTTTGAAGAGTCTTGTCAGCTTTTTGATATCAAGAGCAATGCTTTTCATGGTATGATGGTCATCATGAGGTGGACCTAAGAAATAAGCAGTCATAGCTCCAGCGTTCGTGCCCCTGATTCTAGCCTTTTTAGGACCTTTTATGCTTATCTCTTCACTTATTTCTTGTAGGAATGACTGATTAATGAGGTACTCCAACCCTGGTTCGATGATAGCCTTGATGTAGTCGTGGTCATAGGCCTGATCTAATACAGATGCTTTTGTGGAACCGGGTTGAAGCTTCTTAGGATCTGGAAGATTCAATGATTGTAAGGTCAAGCTTTCCGAAATGTATGGGAGTTTATATGGATTAGGTATACGACCCTCTAGTTGAAGTCGTTTGAGGTAGTTTCTCACAACAAATCCCTCTTCTTCGTTACTTTCCTTGAGGGCTGATTTGAGCTCCTTGAATTTTCCATTTGCTTTTAGTGACCTGAATTGCTTCTCGCGTCTTGTCTCTGAGCTTTTCGAGTTTAGGCGTCGGAGGACCCTGATTGGTAGCTGCTTTCTTCTCTGGTCATCGATCTTCCTTTGATTTCGGAGATAAAATTCTTTCCATTTCTGTTGCTTGAACTGATCGTCTCTTAATTGAATCAAGAACTTGATTACCTGATGCCACAGCAGCGGCTGCAAAGGGTCCTTTTGAAGATCATTCAAGCTCTCAATTAGACATTCAGCTCTGTTTAAAGAAACATATAGTCCCACGGAAGATCGACTTTTGACTTTGGCTCTCTCTTTTATATGGTATCGTAGCTCTGACACGAGGAGGCCTCGGTAATAGGTAGGATCTAGAGCTGCTTTCTCTAGTTCAGATTTGATGTATTTGTCTTTCTCGATATCGGGACGAAGCTCTATGGGTAACTTCTCTGTCTTCAACAATCCTCTTAGTAGATTCCGATAAAGAGATCTCATCAGCCCGCTGTGGCTGCGAGTATATATGGGTGAAGCCATGCACTAGTAGTATATATGCTTTTCGCAGTCGTATCGCGATGTCTGCTTAATCGATAGTGGTGAGAAACTGTCTAAGCTACATCTAGAAAAAACCTACTGCTTTCGAACTTAGGTTTACTTTCAAACATATTGTGGATTCCTAGATTTGGCTACTGGTCTCATTAATAGAACTTCCTAGCAATCGAACATAATGGTATGTGCTTCTATACAACTGTTGCCCCAAATATACTAACTTCAGCCTCCCAAAGCTCGTACTCCAGTGACTATACTCAAATTCAAGAGATCACGCTCAACATACTCCATTCCATTGATACTCGACAAGAAGTCGCTCAATCAGGAGACGTTTATTACCGCTTTGACCAATGCAATCAACTCTACCGGAGGCCTACGCATAGTTGATAACCTTGATCCCGAGGAAGAGGGGATCCCTCCTCCTGAAGAAGAAGGCGTAGAGGTCTCTGCTGAAGACATTCTGCTTGCTTTGCCAAAGGATAGGAACGCTCCACATGAAAACAATTGGTTCCCAGTGGAAGAAGATAAGCAATTGGAGGACCTCGTATTCAATGACTACGACTATATTGCATTCAAATTTGCAGACGATCTGGGTTTTCACATTGAGGAATCAGAGTTTGGCGATCAACAGGAATAGAATTATGTAATGAAATAATACAAAAGATGAAGAGAAGTCATGCTAGAATTACGGTCAGAGAGGGCCCACAGGGTACGCTTAGTACTTTTTGCCACTTACCTTTCTGACACCGCCAGAGTAAACTCTGGTACCGACATTCTTACCTGGAAGTAGACCGGCATGTACCTTAGTGCTCGAACGAGACTTGAGCATCTTGGATCCGTTTGGCGAAGAAGGATTCGAGGTTAGGGTAGTGCTGATGGTTCGAGTCGTCGTTGTGGTGGTGGTTTTAGTCATCAGCAGGGGCAGTTGACTGCTGTTGGTGATTGAGCGCAAAATTCTATGGTCACTGGCATCCCTTTTAGGGGAGCTGTGAACGATCTCACCGTCAGCGTTATTAATTTCCTGCTCAACTCCACTATCCGCATCTTGCATGGAAACTGCTTGATTATCTTCATCTGAGTTGTTGATGACATCGAGAACAGACGAGTTATTTGCCTCTTCATATTTTCTAGGTTGGCCAGGCGATTCCATTGGTACGGCGCCCTGGATTTTGCTTGCCAAATGCTCACTTATCTTTCTTCTTCTAACAGGAGTATGCGTGAATGAGGAGTCGAAGTGGCTCATGTAGGATGAATTGAGTTGCTGCTGCTGTTGCTGTAATCTCTTTTGCTTGGCCTCTTCTTTGAGTCTAGCCTTGAAGTCGCTGTAGGATACCAAGGGATAAAGGCCGCCAATGAATGCGTCAGGCCTGTTGTCGAGACACATAGTGTGTCTCCAGTCACGGAAATCCTGCTGGTGCAAGTAGAGCCAATGCTGTTGAGGACCTACAACCATCCCGGGCCGGATCATCCTCATATAGGCGATGCACTCATTAGCAGTGAAGCCGTGGGTATAAATCAAATGAGCACCAATAAGACAGCCCGTTCTTCCCAAACCGGCTTTACAGTGAACGGCAATCTTTCCACCGTTGTTGATAACGCACTCCGCAGCGCCAATGAATTTTTGAACATACTCCAAAGTTGGGCATGTGCCATCTTCAAAAATCATGTCGATATGTTGAATGTTGCGCTTCTCAAATTCGTTGGCGTCATACAAGTGAGAGTTGAGCCTGACTGCCAATTGGACATCGTTGTTGATAAAAAAGTTTAACACTTTCTTGAACGGTTCGTTCAACACACCGGGCTTCTTCTGCTGTGGAGAGGCGAACGCGATAAAGTCCTTTGAGATAACATTAAAGTCACCCTGGTCTACTCTCTCATATTGCTCGTACTCCTCCAAGTTGAAAGTCGTCAAGTCTATCATGCCACGCTCTTTGGCTCTCCACATGGCGTAGACGACATCCTGAATGGTGATTTCGAAATCAGCGCTGGAGTAGCCAGCATCTCGGAAAGGCAGGAAGGGGAATTCAACTTGGCAGATTGGTTGGAGAACCTGATGGGGAGCCCACAGTTGCACCAACACCATGTAACAACACAACAAACAGGCAGCATTAGCTCTCTCTTTTGGCGAAGTAGAACTATAAAAGACAACGCCTTTACCCTGATTGGCCTCCTCATTCAAAATGTTATGTAGGCTGACAGCAAACCTATACAAACTTCCGATATTAAGGGGACCAAAGTCCAAATGGAAAGCATTGTAGGGTAAGGCATCTTCCACGGTGAAGTAAACCAAGTCTACCGTGTCACTTGGAGCATAGTCGTAAGAGCCCAAGTAGATCCGATCTTAGAGTTAGTAAAGTCCGACAACGGTCATGAATCAGTTCAATACATACTTCTCAAGAACTCAATGAGCGGGATAGGCAGTCTAGCTTTTGGCATAGTGGACGGTTGAAGAACAGAGCTGAGTGCCAGAAGAAATGTGATTCACTTGCTTGGAGTCAGTTAATGGAGAAAACAAAGTACGCAAAACAATGCAAAAGAAGCCTTTTCGAGCCACTGCTCGAAAGTTGTGTTTACATTTCAACCGCTTTTGGTGTACTTATTAGCACCTACATTCTGCGCGCCAAATTGGTCGTACTACAACTGTTATCAGCCTTACACCAGCGATGGTACGTTTGCCCACAAACTCCAAAGAGTGAAGGAATAATTCCAACGATGCTAACTCCAGGCCTCTTTATATAACTTTAGCTCTGAAACGCTTTCAGATCTTCGCAAGTTCCGCTTTTCCAGTGCAAGAGCGGACAACATGCAAGCTGTCATTTGTATGTACCATGAGCAACGCTAAAGGTTTTTATACTAATTACAGACTCCATTGATAAAGGATCCAATGACGTGAGAAAGGAGAGCACTGAGCCAATTGACAATATCGAGGAGCTCATTGAGGAACTTCCAGATAACAGCCCTCGCTATGTCCTCCTATCATACCCTATCAAGCTTTCTGATGGTAGAGTGAAGAGCCCATTTGTTTTGCTTTACTGGAGACCACCAACGACTGGTCAGGAAAACAAAATGCTTTACGCTGGCGCGGTAGAGCTTTTCAGAGAGAAAGCCGGTGTGGCTAAGTATGTATAATCAAGCCGTTGAAGGAATGCATTACTAACAACAGACTTATTGAAATAGAGGAGGAAGAAGACTTTGAGGATATTGAGGAAAAGTTGAATTAGATGTGAACTTGGTAGGTTCAAGCCATGATAGACTACTCACCCATATACTCAAAAGACAATTGCTTGAGAATGATGGCGTCAATAGAAATTGAACAAACATAATCACCGAACAGCAATGTAGAAGTTCCACCTGACCAAAAAGATCAAATATCTACAATGTCGATGTCTAAAGTAGGCTTGTAGCTGCAAAGAAGACTTATTGGCTGCGAGACTACCATCTGTCAAAATACACACCCAAACCCGATCCAGTTTCGCTGAAATATCTACCTTCAAAACATCTGCACTCTGAGAGTACTTTCAAAATGAAGCTAAACGGCAGAAGGCAAACACATTTGTTGGTTACCTTGAAACTAATCTACCAGTACCCTTTCTACACTCCCTGCGTATATCATAGCATGAACTGTGCTCTGCGGTACTGTTAAAAAAAAGTGTCTCTCCCCATACACTCCTAGAGAAAATTTTTCAGATTTATAAGGTGCGCACCATCCCTAATTTTCTTCATCCACCTCAACTTTTAACAAAAAGAATTATCAGCCATGGGTCGTATGCATTCTTCTGTATGTGACAAATAAGTGTTCCAAGTGAACAACATGGTTTGGTTGAATAGTGATTTTGGGTTGATTCGGTGTACGGTTTCGGCAGTATTTGGGTCTTAGTCAAAAGTCCTTTCCTTCGAGGAGAGTTTCGCTTTTGCTACATGATACCACTGTCATTATGGAACTTGTACGATGTGCTGATCGATTCCACTATTTGTAGACCAAGGAGCATTTTGGGCTCGAAGGTCTTGCTGTTGTACTCAAGAAGTGATTTTCTGGTACGAACCATACAGCAAACCTCGCCTGAATGTTGCCAGTTGTGATCTTTACGGCCCCACCTGGGTGCTGCTTCGAGACTATTTACTAACATGAACAGGGTAAGGGTATTAGCTCTTCTGCCATTCCATACTCTAGAAACGCTCCAGCTTGGTTCAAGCTTTCCTCTGACGAGGTTGTTGAGCAGATCATCAAGTACGCCAGAAAGGGTTTGACTCCTTCTCAGATTGGTGTCATCTTGAGAGATGCTCACGGTGTTTCTCAGGCTAAGGTTGTCACCGGTAACAAGATCTTGAGAATTCTCAAGTCTAACGGTTTGGCTCCTGAGATCCCAGAGGACTTGTACTTCTTGATTAAGAAGGCTGTCTCTGTCAGAAAGCACTTGGAGAGAAACAGAAAGGACAGAGACTCTAAGTTCAGATTGATTTTGATCGAATCTAGAATCCACAGATTGGCCAGATACTATAGAACCGTTGCTGTCTTGCCTCCTAACTGGAAGTACGAGTCTGCCACTGCTTCTGCTTTGGTCAACTAATTTTTGCTATCGTTAATATATTTAATTAAGCACTTGTGCAGTAGTAATGAATGAATTTATGTTACAAGTTGTAGTAGATTACGGCTTTGGTCTTCCTATATGTTTATTATGGTACAATCGAATGCAATGGATTCGGATTAAATATCATCGATATCCAACTCGCCGTCGTCCTCAGACTCATCATCGTTATCACCGAACTCGAAGTTGACTTCTTCGTCATCGTCGGCACCGAAGGTGTCAGTCTCATTAATCTTGGCGGTCTCTGGCAATTCACCGATGTTCTTCAACGTTCTAGCCTCATCAGAGTTGTATTTGTGGATGACATCACACTGGTCACCTTGGAAGTCTCTCAAAGACACCAAGATAATGTCACCTTGGCCCATCCAGACCTTCTTTCTCAACTTACCTCTGATGTGTCCCATTCTCTTCTCGCCATCGAAACAGGTGACTTCGAGTCTACCATTACCCAACATCTTGGTAATCTGAGCATATTCTTGACCCTCATCCTTGTGGATCAATTCTCTCTTTTGACCACCATTATCGTTCTTTCCCTTTCTTCTGTTTTTACCTCCCTTTCCTTTGGACGATTTACCCATTGTGAATAAGCAGAAAGAGTTACAGGCTCAGTAAGTTGCGAGGGAAAAAAAAATTTTTGTATGGAGAACTATGGTGTATGGATGTACTAATAACTATCTACACAACGCCAACTCGATTGATCCAGATCTTGATACTAGTTCATTAGTTATATATCATTACGGGCTTGAGTCATCTTTGACTCAAATCATAGCATTCAAGCTTGTGTTTCAGGGACCTATATCCAATGCTCCCAGAGTGCTCTCTTGCCTCCGACCTACGCTCAGACCACCTTCGTCAGAGAATGAAAATTCGATGTCAAGAAAAGCAATTTCTCTTAATTAAATAGTCAGAACTTTGCCTGAAACGTACTAAGATAATCACTATAATATTTATGTCAATTTAGTATTGGTGGTGTACTGGTGTATATGCACTTGCGTAGATGTCTTCGAGGCTCCATATAGCATTAAACTCATACAACATCAAAAGCACATCATGGACTCGTTTGAGACAAGCTCACAGTTTGTTCAGATTCTAAGAAATCTTGCACCAAACATGCAGTCACTTCTCCGTGCTGCACACTTTGCTTTGAAGAATTCCGAAAGCGAAGACTACCTCTTCTACGCTATAATGGATGTCTTAGATGACCCCAAAGTTGACCTTAATACAAAATCCACCATTTTTCAGTTCATTGATGCCCTTATCCATGAGTCATTCTTTATATCAGACCAGGCCAATTCCCATTATAATTTCCCATACGTTCATAATCTCAAAACCGCATTGCCAAAGATCATACTCAAGGTTCTCCCGTCAACAAACAATGCTAACCTTTACAACATTTACAATAACATGATAAATATTTCGGAGTCGCTCAATATCAATTATACCGAATACAAGGAGCAGTATCGTTCAGTTGGACTGCTTCTTCCTCCCGAAGAACAAGAAAATGTCGATCAAAACATTCCCTACCCAGAAGTGAAACTTGACGACGTGGATGCGGAAGACAAAGACCCTGCAATTAAAGCGTGGGAGATATTGCTTCGAAAAAGGAAACAAAGTCAGTACGAAAGACTTCGTTTGCTCAAACATGGCCCCGTTCATGAAGAGCCGGTAACCGAAGACGAAATGTTTGCCATACGGCCTTCTAAAGGCGACCTGAGCAAGAAAGGAAACGAGTTTATGCTCACCAAAAAACAAATTTTGGCACGTATGGAAGATGATAGAGAAACGCACAAGAAACTGAAGGAGACCCTCTGGGTTGTTAACAGGCCTAGTGGAACAAACGCCGTCACCGAGGATGAGTTTGCCAACTACTACTGGAATCGTGTTGAAAAAATATCGGACAAACAGAATCAGGAATTCTTTACTGCGTTCGACGAACTCAATAATTTGGCTGCTGCGAGTTACAAAGACAAGCAGTTTTAAAAGTGGTTTTAGAGCAACATAAACACTCAAAGCTATTTAGATGTAATGATACTCAACAACTCGTTTCTGCCCAAAACACTGTAAAGCGCTGAAGAACGCGCGTTGGCTTGCCCTCCAGTGATTGCAACAGAGATGGAAGAATGCAAGATATCGTCCTTCTCGAGGCCATTGGTGTACTCGTAAATCGCCTCGTCAATTGAGGTCAAGCCACCCGAGTAGAACAAAGCCTGTGCTCTGTTGGGTCTTTCGGAATCGTTTTCGATCCAATCAAATCTCTCAGCGAGAGGCGATCTGACGATCGAGTTGTAGTTTTCATGGAAAGACGCTACCCTGCGCACTTGATAGCGCTCAGCCAACTGGGGAGCTGGAATCGTAGTGGTGTAACAAGCCACGATAAAATTCATTGCTCTCATTGAAATGTCCTTTTGCTGAACAACAACTGAATTATCAACTAGCGTTGCATGAATGCCATCACTTTTCTCGTATACTTCATTAATATGCTGAATGCAATCACCCATCGCATCCATGCTTCTCTTGGATCTTCTTTAACAGCCAGATCAGCCAACCATCTGACTGTACATTCTTCGACGATGGCTGTGGACATAGGAAGGCGCTCTGCTTTCGACTTGACCAACAGAGTGACTTGGGGAATCCAGTTGCCCACCTCCTTTTTGTCAATGATAGAGATCCACTTAGATTGTCCTACCAATCTGATGAAACCGCCACTTTCCGCAACCAACCCAAATTTGGGACATTCTTGAAGATCGACTCGAGATCTTCCGTCTTCAAGATACTTATAATGAAGACATAGTTATTGGGGTCACTTGTTAAACCTGTTAACATGTTGGCAATTCTTCCAAGAGTTGCAAAACCCTTCGTTGACTTGGGACCGACCTCGTCTTGAGAATATGAAGTATCGATATTTATGACGAAAAGTCGGTGGCCATTCGAAGATTCGTAAAACTTATCAAAAATTTGCTGATTGAACGGCTTCTTATTGGTTTGAGTTTTGAGATGATCGGTTTTCCATGCCTGTTCGATGCTTTTTACGCACTCCTGGATCCATTCAATAGGCTTATGTTGCAAGACGATGTGATGACAATTCTCCCATCTCTTTTCCTTCTCTTCTTGCGCCATTGTCAATGCGTGTTTGATTGCTTTGCTGAAGCTTCTAATGTCCCATGGGTTGATGAGCAAAGCACCCTGACCTTTACAGTCCATAAGATGTGAAGAACCCGTGAACTCTGATAAAATGAGTGGTGACTTCTTTCCTGAACTTGCCTCCACAAACTCATGGCACGTCAAGTTGAGTCCTTCTCTGAAGCTGGCTACAATAAATACTGCAGCTTCGTGCTGTAAAGCCAAATATTGCTCGAAGTCGATATCTTGCTCCAAAATGACGACAGGTTGAGCAATGGAGATATTGTCGGCCAATGCGTTGATCCTCGATACGATTTGCATTACTTCTGCTTTGTAATCACTATTCGAGGACGAACCCATGAAAATTTCAACAAGAACTGTTTTTTCAATGAACTGAGGATTACTTTTGAGAAACTCCTCATACGCTAAGAGTTTTTGCTTAATGCCTCTCAACTTGTCAAGTTTATCTCTCGACACGATAAGCAACTGATCTCTCCAACGTTCCCTAATGAGCTTCTCCCACTTAAGCACTGCTGGAGTCTTGAGCTCCCCTGCAATGCCAGTGCATCAATTCCAACGGGAAGAGTGTTCACACGAGTGAAAACGCCGTTATGAATTATACCATATTCATTTGTGTCAGCTAGTAAAAGCCTGTTGCTTGTTTGCAAAAAGTGTCTAACATATTCATCAGTTTGGAAGGTAACGCAATCTGCCCCCAAGACACCCTTCAATAAAGACTCTCGTTGAGCCAAGCATCTGAAAACCTCTGATGAAGGAAAAGAAACATGAAGGAAGAAGCCTATCTTGGCATCTGGAAGCTGCTCTCTAATCATGGCCGGAACTAAGAGCAAATGATAGTCGTGAACCCAGATCATATTTTCCGGATCCGCAGGGTCGAGGCCCAGGTTGAGTGACTTGTAGGTCTCTACGATCTTGTCAGCAAAAAGCTGATTCAATCGCTTGTAATGCTTGAAGGAGTGTTCTTCAAACACCTTAGACTTCGGATCATCTGGAATTTGATAGTGTAGGGTTGGCCATAAGATCTGCTTGCAGAAAGATTTATAGTGTCCTTGAAAGACGATATCGTTCACATGAACAGTCTCGCAATCAAATTCATCCTTCAACTTTGAACATATGTCACGGTAGGTGTGTTGAGGGATGGCATCTGAGGGCGACGACAATGTACCAACCCATTTGCATGGCTGAATTACCTCCTTCTTCTGGGCTGAATCAACCGCCTTGTACAATGAGCCATTGCCACCTTCGGTAGGGACAATCTGCCAAGGAGCATGTTCAAAAACATTCTGCTGTGCTAGGAAATTTTCTTCCAAGTCTGGCCTGGAAAATCCACCGTATGGTGCTAGATGTTTATCACCATACTCGTTATCGTTTTCCTCGTCATCAATGACAGGCTCCCTAAACGCTGGGGTGAACACAGATGGAGCATTATCTTCCTCTTCAGTAACAGCCAAAGAGCTAGTCGAAGATTGGTCTATTGAGTAGCCGCCAAACTTGCCAAATGAGCTTCTGGTTCGTGGTAGACCTGCGGGTGCAAAATCAGGTTGCGGGGAGGAATTGGATCTTGCTGTCGGGAGAATGGAGGAGGACCTGGGTAAGCTAGAACCCGATGAATTGAACTTGAGACCTGAAAGCCCTACATCGTCTGCCTTCTTCTTCGCTTCAACTACCAGGCTCGGGATCATTTTGGAATCATACCGTGACTTAGGCTGGATCAACTGAGCCGCTGGTCTATCGGGATTTTTATCCAGGTTTTCCGAATCCCGCTTTTTGAAGAATTGCTGCACGGCAGCACTCAGCTTCCCACTCTTGAGAAATGGAGGTGGCGTGTTGGCTGGACTCTGGGTCAAAGCAGGCTGGCTCAAGGATGGAAGGATTGAGTTTGCGATAGTGTGTTGAGGGGCAGCATCTAAAGCGTTTGGCTTTTGCGGCTCATGATTGCTAGGAGTCTGGCCTGTAACTTCAAATTTAACCGTGTGAGGCAAGAAACTGGTGGTTAGTACTGGCTGATGACCTGTGATGTCACAGTAAAGTATAGGATGATACGTACAGTGAACCGATAATGATAGGCATAGCAAATGTCAGTTGTGAAAATTTTCGTCTTTTTGGTCAATTGAGTGGATTGGAAAGTACTCTTGAGGTGCAGTCAATTGGGCAAGGTTATATATTGCAGCATCAATATCGAGCAATGAATATACGGGCTTAGAATCATACAACGGACCTGCATGCGTGCCCCGGGTTTCCATCCTGGCAGTAGACTGATTTCTGCTGATCGGTAATCCTTATTCTTTCCGAAAACTACCAAACGTAATTTTTTCTAGCCTCCTGACCTTACCAAGGCTGAGAACACTTTCGCAACTGTAGCAGTTAGCGTTATTTTCGGATTTTTTTCAATTTCCGCCATGTTCGTGGATAATCACTGCCATCTTCTGATGGAACATTCTAGACTGGCCGAACAGTTGGCTGACAGCCTAATGCCGGGATTATACTGCCTCATGTCCACAAGCTTCTTCGATCTAGATACAGTGCATGAGCTTATGCTCAAAAGCGATAAAGTGGTTCCCTACTATGGCGTCCATCCTTGGTACAGTCACTTGTATCGTGTAGGTACGGAGTCGAAGGAAGAACATTACAATAAGGTTTTGCAACCGTCACCACCTCTGGAGCTCTTGGAAGTTCTTCCGGAACCTGTTGATTTTTCCGAATACTTGGTTAAAATAAGAGAGTATGCGGGGGTTTGCAAAGAAAGAAAAAGGATGTTTGGCATTGGTGAATTGGGGCTCGACAAGTTGTTTCGAGTACCAACGAATGGATTTTACGGCAACCCAGCTATCAAGGAGAATGTGAGATTGACCAACTGCAAAGTGACTATGGACCATCAATTGCATGTGTACACGGAACAACTTAGGCTTGCCAACGAACTACAGGTGCCAGTATCCTTGCATTGTGTCAAGGCACATGGAGCCTTTTTTGATTCTCTAGCAAAATCTCCAGACTATAATGATATCCCTGCTATCATTCTTCATTCATACACGGGCTCAATTGAGCAGGCCCGATCATGGGTTAAAGAGTACCGCAAGAAACCCACAAAGCTACTATTCTCATTCTCCAATTACATCAATGCCACCGAACAAAAGATACCCACGCTCCATGATGTTCTTGACATTCTCGATAGCCTGCAAATCCTTCTTGAAACTGACATGCCACTCGATCGCTTCTTCTTGCTGGACAAGAATCAGGAGTACTCTGAGCACGCTGAGGGTATTACTGCAGCAGTGTGCGGCCACATGGATTGGAACCCAACCGAGGCAGAAAGTCTCCTCTACAACAATAGCATAGAAATTTACAGTGTATAGTATTTTATGTACCTAGAAGTCCTTACATTCTGGACTTGATGATGTCAACGAACTCAGGCTTCAAGGAGGCACCGCCAACCAAGAAACCGTCAACATCGGCCTTGTCTCTGAACTCAGGAGCGTTCTTACCGTTGACGGAACCACCGTACAAGATTCTGATCTTCTTAGCGGCATCCTCACCAATGGTCTTAGCCAAGTGTGCTCTGATGTCCTTGTGGGTCTGCTGAGCATCGTCTGGGGTGGCAGCCAAACCGGTACCAATTGCCCAGACAGGCTCGTAGGCCACGACAATGTTAGTCCAGTCAGACACGATCTTGGAGACAGCGTCCAATTGTCTGGCACAAACTTCCAAGGTGACGCCAGCCTTTCTCTCCTCCAAAGTCTCACCAATGCACAAGATGACGGAAAGACCCTGCTCCAAGGCAAACTTGGTCTTCTCAGCAATGAATTCATCGCTCTCCTTGATGATGGTTCTTCTCTCAGAGTGACCGGTCAAAGTCCAGGTGGCACCCAAGTCCTTCAACTGATCTGGGGAGATCTCACCGGTGTAAGCACCAGAAGACTTGTTGAAGACGTTCTGGCCGGAGACGGCAACGGTCTTCTGCTTGTTCTCAGCAACGGCAACAGCGATGTAGGTAGCAGGTGGGGCAATGACAACCTGGACGTTGCTAGGCAAGTCGGCAGCGTTCAAGCCGTCCACGATTTTCTTAACGGACTCCTTGGTACCGTTCATTTTGAAGTTTCCACCGACGAAGAATTGACGAGACATTGTGTGTAAAGAGTAATTGAGTTCTCACGGAATATGGGGTTGTCAGAAATAGTGTGGACTTTGCTAGTTATATATGCAGAGGAGTCCTCACCAGACGCTCTCTTCATGGGCCAGTACCCTCCGAGGATCCCCGGGTACACCTGATCCTGTACCCACCATAAGCGGGTGTGAGAAGCGTTGGCCCGAGCCTGTGAATGCGGTTAGGTGCGATCTAGCTCCAACTATGGAGGCACATACCTGGCACCATGTAGAAAAATGCTTTTTGACGCCATCTTATACCGGAACTGATGTCATGGTGTTTGATGGCGTTGCGACTAGCAACGTATGAACTGCTAATGAATATGTTGAATGCACACTAAGTATTGTGATTATGCGCCTGAACCGTGGTTGCATTTCACAAGGACAGAATGTCTTCCTTACTGTTCTGTATGCTCTGGTGATCTTGCGAAAGTCTTATAGCCAAAGTAGTTTTATAAGTCTCGTGAATTTTTTTATCCTTCAGGCGGTTCTCTTCTATAGCCTCAACCTGAGCTTTAATAATGCTCTGGATATCCATGTCATCTGGATTGTCAAGCTTGTTCATGGAATTGAAACTCACCTCCTGGGTGAATTCCTTGCTGATCTCTTCCTCAACATCCAGATCTCGCAAGTCATCCCAGGTTTGAAGAGGCGTCTTCAAAGAGTAGCGACCAGACTCTTGTTGCTTCATGATGAGGAAGTGGCAGTGAGGAATATTTCTTAAAGACTCGAAGTCTTCGTAGCTCCAGCGGAACCATTTCATCAAGAACACTCTGGCCCAAATTCCGTGCGTGACTAGCACAAGAACATTGGGGAATTTCTCTTGATGGAATTGCCTGAAAAGCGTTTCGTTAAAGCTGGCTATACGATCGTAGACATCGGCAGCACTTTCGCCATGAGGTATTCTGAAGAAGAAGTGGCCATAGTGTGCCCTTTGAGCCCAGATCTTCTCCATCTCCTCAGGAGTGCTTTGAAAGTTACCAAAGTCTTGTTCTCTCATTCTGGCCTCTTCTTTGACATTAAAACGAACACCTTCCAAATCCTGAATTCCGTCGATGATGTCCTTACAGGTCTGACGAGCTCTAAGATATGGGGATGTATAGAAAAGCACGCTTCTTGAGTCATGTTCTTCAAACTGTTCTAAAAACTCTCTTAACACAGAGCCTGCTTTCTTCGCCTGCTCGTGTCCTTGCGCCGTTAGGCATATCTTGTGGTTTGGTGTATGTCTATTGACTGACTTATCGCAGTTACCTTCAGATTCACCATGTCTGACTAAAAGAATATACTGACTGTTAGTATACGCGTCATAAAACATCATATGAAGCAGCTGTGCATTAACATACTTTTGGTTTCCCCATACTATGTTTCTAATGAGAGTTGGGGTGTAGTAATTAGCAAAGTACGTTATTAAACAAGTCAGGCTTGGAACCTGCAGATGCAGTCAAGATCCGTCATCCCGAACATCTTCTACATAATTCGCTACTCAGAAATTGGATCGAAGAAAGCGCAATCTAATATTTCTACAACTCAAATCATTAAAATCAATTAATAAAAGAGATAACGATGGCCAGACTCAAAAGTGGGCCCATGTTGGAGCGGAAAATCTGACTCCGGCGTGTTGTGCCTATTGTCCTTCGCTGCGGGTTTCAGTCTACAGAATTATCGTAGTATATAGCATTAACTATGACCTGTATTTGCCCTAAGGGCAAACCTTTAAATCTACACTGCTACCGATGCAGCATTCATCCCATGCAATTAATTAGAAGTCAACTTTCTCTCAATAGCAAAACTCTTGATCAACTCTTGGTCGCACTTCTTCAAAATGTCGTCTGCCAACTCGTCGATGGCTCTAGAATACAAGGTGTTATTGAATCTGGAGGGGCCAGTTGGCAACTTGAAGATGGACTGCCACTCGTCCGGGTTCAACTCGGACTCGCCAATCTTGGCTCTTTCGGTGTTCTCGTTCTTTCTGTTCTGCTTCCACTGGAGAATCTTGGTGTGCTCCTTTTGCAAGAGTCTTTGGTAGTAGTTGAAGTTAGTCTGGTCGAAGTTGAAGGAGTCGATTTGACTGTACAAGTTCTCCAACAATTGTGTGGTGATGTTCGAGTTGGACGAGAAGTTCAAGGTGTCGAATTCATTTGACAAAGTAGTGTCCTCGCTGGAAGCCAAGAACAAGTTGACCAAGTGCTGGTTGTGAATGTTGATCGGAGTCTCATCAAAGATATTGAGGTAGGACAATTTGTGGCTCTCCAAGTCTTTCGTCTTCCATTTACCGTCTAAGTATGTGGTGAGGAAGTTCTCAGACAATCTCAAGGCCTTCAAGTCAACGCCCTTTCCAACTGACACCATGTTGTGTACCAAAAGGAAAGAGTTCTTGTTGTTAAGCTGTTGTTGAGCAACAGCATCAACCAAGGAGGAGGTGATAAAGTTACCAGACACGGTGGACTGGAACCAACCCTGGAATTCGACGCCTTCATCCAAGGACTTCAACGACTCCAAAATCTCTTGCTGGTACTTGGATCCACTCTTTGAGCGGAAGGAGCCACCCTCGTATTGATCTGGGTATGGGAATGGGTAAGCGTGGGTGATATCGATGGTACCCTCGTCGTCCTCAAATCCCATGAGGGAACCGGAGAATAGAGAAGGAAAGTTCTCGGAAGTGTGCCTGAGAATAGACAAAATCACGGATCCCTCAATATTGATGGTGTTGGCTATAGGAGCCTCGTACACCTTGCCTTGTTGTTTCTGAACCATGCTGGGTAGGATGGCCTCTATAGTGAGAAATTTTCACGTAGAGTAGTTTCTGTGACATCAGTACACCAGGGGAGTAGTGGTTGCAAAATGTGCTATTGAAGTAGTTGGTGGTTTCGCCGTAGTTAGCGGACTTTGGAGTATATAGCAAAGAATATTTCTGTCACTAATTTACGAGGCTTTATTCTCGTTGAGCACGGTCTTTTTGTTTAAGTACAAAAGCAGATGGAGTAGTGTTACACGGTGACTTACTATTCTCCGTAACTCGAATGAAATATGAAAATATTGAAAGGGAAGTTTTCCTATCTATAGCCATTTCATTCGGTCCAAGAAGGCATTTGACTCTTTTTTAGGAATTCTTTTGTCCCCTTGACAATACTTTAAACTACTCGCGGTTTACAATATTGATTAGCGATTCTTGGACAGTTACAAAACATCGTCAAGATTCATCAACATTAAAATTAGAAAAAAACTTAATTATCAATTCAGATCAAAACAAGAACGACAATTTCCTCTTATGTCTTCAATTGACAAACCCTAATTTCTATCTGACTCATGGTCCACCCCAGTACCTGCGTGCATGCTCTTAAGCAGCGAAAAATTTTCGATGAGACGTTATCAACACAGATACCATGTCTGACCCAGTGGACCAAGTTACCGAACAGGTCGCCAAGACCTACCTCGACGATGTTACTGGCGAGTATGTCAGCAAGACCGAGTTGAAGAAGAGACAGAAGACTAGACAGATTGAGGCCAAGAAGGCCGAGAAGGCTGCTAAGAACAAGGACAAGCAGCCAAAGAAGAAGGACAACATGGCTGACTTGAACCCTAACCAGTACTTCGAGCACAGATCCCGTCAGATCGATGAATACAGAAACACTTACGAGTCTGACTCCAACGTGTTGAACCCATACCCACACAAGTTCCACAGAGACAGCACCGTTCCACAATTCGTTGAGAAGTACTCCTCTTTGGCCAGAGGTGAGACCAAGAAGGATGTTCAGGTTAGACTCACCGGTAGAATCATGAACAAGAGAGAGTCCGGCTCCAAGTTGAGATTCTACTTCTTGAAGGGCGATGGTGTCCAGGTTCAAGTCATGGCCCAGGCTCAAGACTACGAGTCGCTTGAGGCTTACGAGAAGATCAACGACAACTTGAAGAGAGGTGATATCATTGGTGTTGTCGGTTACCCAGGTAGAACATCTCCTGCCAAGGGTGGTGAGGGTGAGCTTTCTGTCTTCGCTCAGCACATAGAGCTCTTGACCCCATGTTTGCACATGTTGCCAGTGGAGCACTTTGGTATCAAGGACCAGGAGACCAGATACAGAAAGAGATACTTGGACTTGATCATGAATGACAACGTCAGAGACCGTTTCAAGGTCAGATCCAAGATCATCACCTTCATCCGTAGATTCTTGGATGAGAGAGACTTTACCGAAGTCGAGACCCCAATGATGAATGTCATTGCTGGTGGTGCTACAGCCAAGCCTTTCATTACCCACCACAACGACTTGAACCTTGACATGTTCATGAGAATCGCTCCTGAGTTGTTCTTGAAGGAGTTGGTTGTCGGTGGTATGGACAGAGTCTACGAGATTGGCCGTCAGTTCAGAAACGAGGGTATTGACATGACCCACAACCCTGAGTTCACCACTTGTGAGTTCTACCAGGCCTACGCCGATGTTTACGACTTGATGGACACAACCGAGTTGTTGTTCTCTGAGATGGTCAAGGAGATCACTGGTGACTACAAGCTCACCTACCACCCAGATGGTCCTGAAGGTAAGGCTTTGACCTTGGACTTTGCCAGACCATGGAAGAGAATCAACATGATTGAGGAATTGGAGAAGGTCTACAACGTTAAGTTCCCACCAGGAGACCAATTGCACACTGAAGAGACCGGCAAGTTCTTGAAGCAGATCTTGATTGACAACAAGCTCGATTGTCCTCCACCATTGACTAACGCTAGAATGTTGGACAAGTTGGTTGGTGACCTCGAAGACTCTTGCATTAACCCAACTTTCATCTTCGGTCACCCACAGATGATGTCTCCATTGGCCAAGAAGGACAGAAAGATCCCTGGTTTGTGTGAGAGATTTGAGGTCTTCGTGGCCACCAAGGAGATTTGTAACGCTTACACTGAGTTGAACGACCCATTTGACCAGAGAGCCAGATTCGAGGAGCAGGCCAGACAGAAGGATCAGGGTGACGACGAGGCCCAGATGGTTGACGAGACTTTCTGTAACGCTTTGGAGTACGGTTTGCCACCTACCGCTGGTTGGGGATGTGGTATCGACAGATTGGCCATGTTCTTGACCGATTCTAACACCATTAGAGAAGTTTTGTTGTTCCCAACTTTGAAGCCTGATGCCGCTACTAAGGCCGAGGAGGGTTCTTCTGTTGAGCCATCAAATTAATTATGGATATTCTAAATAGAGCGTCAATGCTAGCAGCGTATTAATTTGATCATCTTCTGACAAGATCACCGTTTCTCTTCATTTCTAATGCTTTTTTGTAGGGAGGTGCCGTGGGCATCTGTACTGGCTTGAGGTTTTGCTTCTCTATGTTGGAGTTTAAGCTGTACGTTGCGTCGGAATCACCAGCGTCTAAGTCACCACAAGCGACAAAGGATGGAATAAAACGTTCTTCATCATCCGGAAGGTCGAAATTCTCTTGAATATAGCTTTTCCCGATATCAGCATTTTCGAAGAAATCCTCAGTTGACTTCCCCAAGTCAAGAGATGGATTCCAACCAGGTCTAGGGCGATACCCAATGCATACGACGAAAGCTTCTAGTGAGGTTCCACGAGATGACCGTGGTTTAGCACACACGACCTTGTCAAACAAGTACCCTAGCTGACTGTAGAGGAGGTCAATGTCTCTTCCTCTGAATATCTTAGCGATAAAGGTACCGCCTTCCTTTAAAATGCATGTAGTGAGTTGAAGAGCAGCCAAAATAAGCTGTGCCTGAATGTATTCGTCTAGGTCATGAAGACCAGTGACGTCGGGGCACCATCACTGACTACTAGATCAGCAGGTTCACCGCCGAAAAGTTCTAGTATACTCTGTAGCGTCTTGGGGTGTGTGATGTCTGCTTGTAGACAAGTGACACCTTCGATAGGACTCATTGGCTGAAGATCAACCGCAACAATCTTTCCTTCTTGACCATCCTTCTTGTTCAGGTTAAGTTTTTGACTTAGAACCTGAGACCATGAGCCTGGAGCTGCGCATAGATCCACCACACGATGAACTCCCTCAAAGATGTTGAATTTCTCATCAATTTGTAGAAGTTTGAAGGCCGACCTTGCTCTAAAGCCTCTCTCCTTTGCTTCTCTGTAGTATATATCTCTTTTGTCCTTCGACGACTTTCCCATGTTGTAGAGGATGAGCTTGATGATCTGCGCGAACAAATCTTGCCTTACATATCTTGGTCTCTATGTTCCGCCAGAAGAGAAAGTCTTGATATATATGAAATAAAAGTGAAATGATGCAAATTTACGACAAATACATCAGGAGCTCGAACACATTTTGTTACCAAAAACTATAGCACATCTTCACCGAAGTAAGACTACAATCATTCTTTCTTCTCAAGCCGTACAAAACCAAAATTCCGATAATCCAAGCACTCATACTCGCTTTCAAAGTTTTTGCCTTCGTTATTTAAGCCCTCTTCTCTTAATATATCACATGGATGGCCTCTTTCAAGTTGATTTTGGTAGTCTTGCACGTGACCTCACTGTCGCTTGACTGAGATTTTTTTCCAGAGACCGTTTACAAGATTTATTCAATCAAGATGTTGCCCCGTCAGATGCTAGGGCTCAACGTCTCCAGACGTGCCTTCTCGTCATTTTCACGTACACTTAAGAAGTCTGATAAGAAGCTTCTGCCTAAAGAATTCTTGGAGAAGGAAGCAGCCGAGAGAGTCCAGAATGAGCAGTTCAAGCAGAACTTGTTGAGCAAAGAATTCACAGCAGAACCCAAGATCAAGTCCGCCGGCTCCATTCCCCTCAACTTGGAACTTTTGCAATATAAGCCTATAAGGCTTCCGCCCACACATGGCCATGAAGTCGCCAAGCTCAAATTCAGAGGATACAACGAGGACCACTTGACAAGAGCATCTGAGTTTGCTGCCAGAGCCGCCTTTTACTTGGGCATTCCATGTTCTCGTGTGAAAAAAGTCAAAACGGAACGTAGACTATACACCGTGATCAAGTCGCCCTTTGCCCAGTCCAAGAGTAAAGAGAACTTCTTGAGAATCACATACAACCAACAGTTGATTGCCTACGACACCAACCCAGAAGTGCTTGATTTGTGGCTTTCATACATCAACAAGCATGCATTGGAAGACGTAAAGTGTCTGGCCGAGATCACCACACGCGAGAAGCTCGACTTTGCCAAATCCTTGGATGCCATGACCGCCCAGGATGCTAAGTTCCCTGATGCTTACACAGACACCACCGACCCCATTGCCGCCAAGGTCAAGGACTTGTTGCAGTCCGAGCAGTTCAAGCAGCACTTCTAATGTACATAGCCATTTCGAGCCATCCTGCAACATAAGTAAGGAAAACGAGAGCTCCCAAAGTCTGTCAGCAGATTGATCTTTGTAGAGTATTGTAAGAAGAATTAACGTGAATGGGGAGTCCATAGAGAGTGCATGGTTCTAGACGAGTTAAAAGTCTATTTCAAGTCCATAACAGTAGTAGTCAACGGCACCTCAACACCATGAACAAAATCACGCGTACACGCCTCCCCACCTCGAAGACTACAGTGGTTTCCATATTTCCAGACATTCCATTCCAAGCCGGGGCATAAGCCTATATTAGTCCCTGGCAGCGTGATAGGTCCCTGCATAGCTAGGTCATCAATAGCCACTGCCTCGTTTAGCTCATCGGTCTGCAAAACTGCTAGCCTTCCCGCTTAACGGCACAGTAGCTCACACGCCAGGGGATGCATTTCTCAACCGTACATATCCCAATCCTCCTCTTCCTCTTCGTCATCCTCATCCTTGGCTCTCGCAAGCTCACGAGCCAAGCGCTCACGCCGAACACTGTCAGCGTCACGAACGTCAAAGCGGCATAGAGGGCACGACGAGTGCATCTTGAGCCAGGGGGCTATGCAATCCATGTCAAAGACGTGCTCGCGGCGGCCCTTGACGTGACATGGGAGCTTCACCACCAAAGGGTACTGAGCATCGGCAAAGCGGTTGGTACAGATGGGACAGTCGGCGTTTGCCGGAAGCAGAGACACGTCGACACGCTCTAGCGAGTCAAGGAACTCCTGAGACACCCCGGCATCGGGCCGGAACTTGTCGCCAACCCGCTCCAAGGACGCAATGATCTCCTGGAGAACCTCGGAGCCCTCGTCCTGGTTTATCGTGCGTAGAGCCCTGTTGAAAAGCTCCCTACCCAGATGCTGCTGGCCGTGGGCATCGACCGACGTGTCGGCGATGAAGCTCTCTATGATGCTAGACAAGGTCTGATGATGCGGTTGCTCGGTGTGGCGGCCACGCAGGCGCTCTTCCAAGTTGTGGTCGTCTGAAGTCAGCATTTGCAAAAGAAAAAATAGTAGTTGCAAAACATACCCTCGTAGGTCATAAGAAGAAAAGCAGTGAGAAAAGATAGCGCCACTGATGATAAGCCCGAGCGGCTCGTGATGGGCACAGGCCCGCGAAAAAGCACTAAACAGTCTGGATGCATGCATGGGGGGACCGACAGCCCTCAGCAACTCCGAGCAAGGGTCCCTTGTTCTTTCGCGCAAGACAATGCCCTACGTCTGATCGAATGATGCTTCACTCTCGGGTGCACACCTCTCCGCTTGCCTAGCATTCCACCCTAGGGCCCTTGTCCCCTGTCGTCTACTCCCTCACTTTCGCCTGTACCTACAGGCCGGCTGTAAGCTGTGGCCTGATATGCGCTGGACATACAGCGGCAGGAACCGAGGAACTGGGTAGCCGAGGGTGAGAGACAGGAAGAAGCAAAAAAATAAAACGGTAGCATTGCGTTCAGAAAAGGGTCCTTCTGAAGCTTCCAAGTGGGAGGGGGAGTGCCTTTAGGTTAAGGGATATGCTGGGGAGGTATGTGAAGGAGGCGTCATGGTGGATAGCCACGGTTGTATAGCGTTGATGCTATTGGGTTTACCAAGGTTCATGACGCAAAGCCAATTTTTCGATCGCATCGAGATCTTCCATGACCGGACATGGGTGAGTCTGCTGGTATGGCTGCGAAATTCCAGGCCCGCAGCCTCAGCTGAGCATCTATACACTGTCCGGCACAGCTGCTTGCACGGCAAGAGGTGTCTTGCAGGGACTAACGCTGTCTGGCATAAGCTAAATGGCATATCTAATTTTCCATCTCGTCCAGCTCCAGTTGGTTGTCCGGGTCCTCGTCGTACTGGAAGACGCCCCTTCGCTGGCCATACACAAAGTACGAATCGGCCTCCAGATTGAGGTGGAGCGGCGTCATGGGCATATCCTCCATCGGTGTCTGGACAGGCGGTAGCGTAGGCAGCTCGTCTCCGCGATTGGTCCTGCGACCAACCTGGGCGTTGTGTAGTTGAGCATTGTGTGGATGTAGTTGCGTAAACTGTAGACAGCTGCGTTTGCAGGAGCCCGAAAGCGACTTTGGCGGCGTTTGAGAGCCTAGCCAGAATCTCGACGGCAGGCTGCCGAGCGACGTGGGATCCAAATTTGGCAGATCCGGTGCAGAAAGCATCCCGGCGGCGTTTCTCACCATGGGTATGCTTTGAGTGTTGGACTCCTGGCCCACTTGCGTGAGCTTATGGTAGGGTTGGAGCCGTTGGTGATGCAAGTGGGTCAATGAGTTCCGCAGTGCCGGCCCGTGGGAGTTGCGGCGGTCTACAATGTGTGGAAGCTGGCCTATCGATCCTAGGTTGTTGGCGTTGAGCGAAAGCAACAGGATCGTCAGCGAGCTGGGAAGAAGTCTTCCGTCGATGTCTTTTCCGACAGAAGTAGCTAGAAGTTCGGGCTCCGGATGCTCGTCCGTGAGCCCCAGAAACTCCTGTCCAGGCAGCCTGCTAATCGGGATGCCCCGTTCCTCATGGTTCTTTTGTGCTATGGCAGCTGAAAGTCTGGAACTGTGATCAGAACTGCGATCTTCTGATTCCAACAGAAGGTCCCTAGCTTTGTTCGGATGCTGTTAGTGTACGACAGAGTCATTCTGAAGGTGTGTGGCGAACGGCTCAAATGACTGTGTATTGGGCACTGTTTCCAGAATTCACTTTATGTATATGTGAACAAAGCAGCACCGATCGTTTCGTAAATGTTGTTGTGTCTGTGGAACACCGAAAGAGTGTGGAGTGGGCTGGTGAATTTTCAGTGGTGGTTTTTTCTGGCCAATGTGGAGGGATACGATCACGTGAGCCAAGGCACCACGAGTAGAAAACAAAACAGTCTAGCGGTGATAGCAAAAGACAGCCATTGACGGTTTTTGCGCGGCGTAATTTTTGCCACAATGTCGAATTTCTCCTCACAATACCAGCGCCATTGCTCAGTAATTCCATGTGTTTAGGAGCAAACGAGTGCGAACCTGTCCGGTGGGGAAGGCCATGATAAGGCAACCGAGATAATCGGAGATAGGTGCAGAAAAAAGCCCTCCTCTGGATCGTCGAATTAAGCTTTTCCTGCTTCCACACAAACCCAATCTCGGTAATTTTTACAGAAGGACCAAGTTGCAGAGTTTGGAAATTATTGGTGCTAAAAGTACCGAACTGGTCCACTTTGGCGATTCGGCGACTGAACCCTGGCTTAGAAATGGTGTGCACCTGGACTGCGCCGATAGCGATAAACTGCACCTCATGCGCGAAACATCGCTATCTGGAGAATTTTAGAGCTAGTGTAACTATATTTGAATATAGGAGCTAAGGTTAGGTTGCTTGAACTAACTTTTGGTCCTCTATCTATTCTATGTCTGTCTAATATTCGCCCTCGTCGTGAGGGTCGATCTTGAAAATTTTGTCTGGGTTGAGGATACGTTTGGGATCAAGGGAAAGCTTAAGCTTACGCATGGTATCGACTGCGTCCTGGCCGAGCTCAATACTGAGAAACTGTCTCTTGCCATTGCCAATACCGTGCTCTCCACTTGCAGTACCCTCGTTTCGGAGTCCGATCATCGTAATTTCGTTGATGACCTTATGACATTCATGGAGCTGGTCGGGCTTGTAGAAGAGGTCGGCGTGTAAATTGCCATCACCGACATGGCCGAGAATCACGGACTGGAAACCGGACTTCACCACAAGCTCTCTAATTTCGTCAACCACTTTGGGAAGTCGCGAAAGCGGCACGGCGATGTCAGTGACCCAGAGTCTCACGTCCTCGTCAATCTCGTTCTTTCCGTAGTCAAGAATGGAAAAGAATGCATTCTTTCTGGCCTCAAAAAGCTCATCACCCTCCGTCTTGTCCTTTGCAATGATGAAGTCGGCACACTGATTCTCGAGCGATACCTTCTTCACGATCTCTAGGGTTTCATCGACGACTCTTTTATTGAGACCGCCAACCTTGAAGAAAATGGTGGGCACCTCAAGCCACTTCTTCGAAAGTTGCCCGCTGTAATTAGTACAATGCATCATATCCTCATCTAGAAGCTCAATGGCTTCTGGGCGGATACCTCTTTTGAACAATTCTGCGACCGTTTGGGAAGCCAGGAGCACAGACGGAAACTGTCCCACGGCCACCGTTTCATGTTGCGGCTTAACTTGGAGTTTAACTGTTGCCTCTGTCACGATACCTAGCGTACCCTCGCTTCCAATGAAAAGGCCAGTCAAGTTATACCCGGATGAAGTTTTTCTAGGTCTCTGCCTCGTTTTTATGACCGTTCCATCGGCAAGCACCACAGTCAATGATATGACGTTGTGGACCATGGCACCGTATCTGGAAGCATTGATACCGGAGGCATTGGTGTTAACCATTCCACCTATTAAACCACTGGGACCACAATCACAGCCAAACATCATCTTCTCACCTGTGAGCTGCTCATTGAGGTCCACCCAGTTCACACCTGCTTGAAGGGTTGCATCCAAATCATCGTGGTTGATCTGAAGCACCTTGTTCATTCTACTCGTGTTCAATATGATTCCACATCTGGTGGAGAATGTATGTCCTTCAAGTGAAGAGCCTCCGGAGTATGGGACCACCGGCACATTGTACTTATGAGCCACCTTCAAGATCTTCGAGACTTCTTCTGTGGAGTATGCGTAAACAATGTATTTTGGCGATTCGTGCGGTTTTGGCGGGTGGGGCGTGAACCCATTGTCTGTATGGCCTGTAATTTCTGCTGGTGACCGGGTGACATGGTCGTCGCCTACAGCCCTTTTTATTTCATCAATGGCAGTTCGTAACTCCTCTTCAGTGCTGTACTTTGGTGAGTCTATCAGCTCCAACTTTGTCGTGGAGGACCAAGGAAAAGCATATTCTGGTGGATTATCTATGGCCCGTTTTCTGCCTAGATAATATCCAGCACTACCCAAAGAAACTGCTGCAACTAATGCCGGAAGAACGGAAGCAGCCTTCCTCGGTTTGGTGCTGTATGAATTACAACGCCTCGAGAGCCGGGAAAGATTCCTCCAACTGAACATTGCTATGCTACGAAGAATATTTTTCGCTACTGCTAATATTTCATTTTGGCGAGCGCGCTTATCAACGACTAATTGTGGCGTCCTCTCGTAAGTGGGTTTCATGCACTACTTACGAAGAAGCCTTCAAGGTGGGGGAGGTCAGAGGATTTTCCGGATAAGTTTCGACGCCTTTTTGAAAAACATTTTCGGCAGCTTCGATACCATGCTTGCGGAAGCTCTTCATCGGTTTCATGCCCCATTTCTTCAACATGGCGATATCCTCTTCCCACCCGCTACACATGGTAGTGAGCATACGTTCACCAGTGAAAATGGCATTGCAACCGGCTGAAAAGCAAAGAAACTGTTCGTGCTCTTTCATGGTGTACCTTCCTGCGGCAAGACGAATAATGGACTCGGGCATGATAAGCCTTGCCGTAGCAATTGTTCTAAGAATTGCGTCAAACTTCAATCTTCTCTCCGAACCAATCGGAAGTTTGGAAATCTCTGCTTCCATTGGAGTTCCTTTGATGGGTACCAAACGATTAATTGGTAGAGACTCTGGATGTCTCTCCATCGTTGCTAAAGTGTACAAGAAACTAACATGGTCATCAGGAGTCTCACCTAGACCTAGGATACCTCCCGTGCATGCTTTAATACCAGCTTTCTGCACATTCTTGATAGTTTCAAGACGGTCATCGTAAGTTCTAGTAGAAATCACACTTGGATAATGCTCTCTAGAAGTATCAATATTGTGATTGTAGGCAGTCAAACCGGAGTCCTTAAGAACCTTTGCTTGATCTTCGTTCACCATTCCTAATGTGACACAGGTTTCCATCTTCAACTCGTCATTTATCCATTTCACCATTTCGGCAATTTTCTTCATTCCCGACTTACGTCCTTGCATATCTCTCCAGGCGGCTCCCATACAAAATCTTGTACTTCCATTTTCCTTGGCTTTTATGGCAGCTTTTTGTACTTCCTCTAGCTTCACTAATTTTTCTGCTTTAGTTCCGGTATCATATCGACTGGACTGGGAGCAGTACTTGCAATCTTCAGAGCACCCTCCTGTCTTGATGTTTAGCAAAGTGCAAAGCTGAACCTCAGCCGGGTCGTGGTACCTACGATGCTGAAGTTGAGCTTGGAAAGTTAATTCCAGAAGAGGCGTGTTGTAGATTTCTTTGATTTCCTGTTTGGTCCATTTGCTGTGTGGTTTGCAATTAATGGCCAAATTAATCGCTTTGACAGGCGACACAATGGAGGGTTCACTAAAAGCAGCTTTCACTCCCAAAGTTTTAGCAGAACCAAGCGTGGCACTTGTGGCTAATTTTCGGAAAAACATTGCACAAATTCGTAAAAAATTTTGAAGATGGAAGATGTAGCGAAGGTTATCTAGGATCTACGAAAAACTTCGTCCAATGAAAAATCCCCTATAATAAGTGGCCCCGCCTTTATCTTGCAGGGAGTCATATTGAATCATCGAGATACGCATTTCGCACAATGAATCATCTGAGTCACCCATGACAGCTCCGAGAGCCCTATCACTTTTGCACCCACACAGAAAGTTCAAAGCAGCTCCCTGGCTTGAATAAAGTTATAGAAAAGGTGATAGACCGGCTTTCATAAATCCTGAGAGAAATTGGAGCTGGAAGGTGACACAACTGACAATTATGTAAAGTTAAGAACACTAATCCTTCACGCATTTGGAAAACTCCATCTAGCTCACTAGTCTAACTGATCCAAACTACATTTCGACAGCATTGTTTGAAAGTGATGGAGACTCTTAAGCTGTCCATTGCAGTCACTAGAATGAAGCGAGGCGCGCTTAGGGTTTAAACCCTAACCTGCATTTGGACATTTGGTGCGACACACCGTTGATGCGCCAGTGAAAAAAAAAAGGCTGTTCTCAAATTAAAAAATCTTCGTACTACCACATCAGCAATGGCTCCAATTGTATGTATCACCTAAGTTATGAACAGATATCGACCAGACAATAAACCTTGAACGGGAAACCCTATTCATATTTGGAACTGAATTATTCATTCGCCTATGAGGCTCCAGAGTGTCTCGCTACGAGCTCCTCTGTAATTTCTAACACCAACGCTACAGTATTGGATTACTGTGGAACATGAAAAAGATTCCCGTCCTGGGGCTTTGCTGTCTTTATCTGACGGGCTTTTGGCTCGTTTTGATAATTCACGTACGGTAGGCTAACAGGATTCTAGACCACCAAGAACACTCACGCCCCAAAGAAGTTCGTCGTTGACACCTCCGCTCCAGTGGAGAACGCTGTCTTCGACCAGGAGGCTTACGTCAAGTTCTTGAACGAGCGTATTAAGGTTGACGGTATCATCGGTAACTTGGGTGACGCCATCACCATCACCGAGGAGGGCAACAAGGTTGTTGTTGTTTCCACCGCCAAGTTCTCTGGTAAGTACTTGAAGTACTTGACCAAGAAGTACTTGAAGAAGAACCAGCTCAGAGACTGGATCAGATTCGTCTCTGTCAAGAGAAACCAGTACCAGTTGCAGTTCTACTCCATCGATGACGAGGAGGAGGAAGACGACGAGTAAATGCTTGCAGTTGTATAATACATAATAGTCTGAATAGTTTACTTGATTGGGAAAGGTTTAATGTTTGCTTTGTAGCTAGTAGGATCGTAATATACTGGTCCGATTCAATCGCCATTCGATGAACCGATGATCATAGGGAAATGGAGAAAGTTTTGTCATCGGAACGCTTATAGGTGATAATTTTCTACAAGCTCATTCACGCTATACATTCCTCGTACAATTGTACTATCGTCTGGAGCCAGTAGACCCTCAAGATGCAATCTGATAGCTACTTGAGATTGAATATTGCCCTAACTACGTCAATGTTGGGTCTAACTCCCTCATATCGCGCATGGAGGGTCTCTTGTGGTGAATGAAATGGCTACTGCTTTCAGAATTTTGAAAAAATGGCCCTAAAGAGAACTGGATCCAGATGTAAAACACATTTCAGGTCTCAACCAATGAGACTTCAAGAGACTCCGTGGCCAAGCTGGTTAAGGCGTAAGACTGTTAATCTTGAGATCGTGAGTTCGATCCTCACCGGGGTCGCTTTCTTTTTTGTTTTTTGTTGACCAGCCCTACTCGGACCAAGTTGCTCGTGTATCCATTCTCAAAACGTCAACCAAGTGCACAGAAGGAGGATGCCCCGCCTATGCGCACTGTCATATGAGAAGTTCTGTTTTAGGTGAAGTGAAACGAAACGATCAGGTAACCTTACTAATGGAAGTTCAGTAATTGTTTCATTTGAAACTAAAAGAAAAATTTGCCGTCAAATACTGGTACGTCAAATGAGGCCATAAAATTCTGGGCTCGATTCGGGAAAAAAACGCTTCTTCGCAGCAGGCGTCTTACATTCAGATAATTTTGATTCGCTTAGAGACCATGCGACAGAAGCTGTCAAAATAACAACAACCAAAATTTACGAATCTCAGAAATTGAGTCGACAATTATGGACAAGTCCAAATCCATACTGTAATTTTGTTTCACATCCTCTCTATATCTCCACTGGGAGTCTGGCGCTTCCTAACGGCCGGGCTTCTGCATCTCCACTATACAGTTTTCTCAATGTGACTGATTCCTCAAGCAAAAAAAAGCACAGTCTACACCTCTTCTCCACACGACAAGACATTTGAAAAGTCAGAATGGAGTCCTTGACTAAAGCATCCATGAAGGTTTGCCCCTTTGTGAAATCCAGATCCACTCATGCTCTTCGTCAAATGAGCGAGGCCCTGACCTTGAGTAAGCATGCCAGAGCTTGCCCATTTGTTGGTGCTGCCATGGCTGCTAGGGAGTACTCTCAGTCCTCCAAGCCTGCCGCTGCTTCAAGCGCCCCTGCTGGATCCTCATCTCGTGTTTCCGCTGGTTACTCCTTCTCTGGAAGCGACTTGGTCTCCAACACAATGGAGATCGTGGACAGATCCTCCCAGGAGAAGGCTTTTGACTACGACGGCTTCCTCGGTAGTGAGATCACGAAGAAGAGAACAGACAAGTCTTACCGTTACTTCAATAACATCAACCGTTTGGCTGAGGAGTTCCCAAAAGCTCACTTGGGTAGCGAAGGCGAAAGGGTCACCGTATGGTGTGCCAACGACTATTTAGGGATGGGCACCAACGAAAAAACAATCCAGGCCATGAAAGAAACCTTGGATAAGTACGGTGCGGGTGCAGGTGGTACCAGAAACATCGCTGGGCATAACCGACATGCCATCGCATTGGAAGCTGAACTATCTACTTTGCACAAGCACGAGGCTGCATTGGTTTTCAGCTCTTGCTTTGTGGCGAATGATGCTGTGCTCTCACTTTTGGGCCAGAAAATGAAGGACTTGGTGATTTTCTCGGATGAGTTGAATCATGCCTCAATGATCCAGGGTATACGTAATTCGAGAGCCCGAAAGGAGGTGTTCAAGCATAACAACTTAAAAGATTTGGAGGAGCGCTTGGCCAAATACCCTAGAAACACCCCCAAATTAATCGCTTTCGAGTCCGTTTATTCCATGTGTGGCTCCATTGCCCCAATCGAGGAAATCTGTGACTTGGCCGATAAGTACGGCGCTTTGACTTTCTTGGACGAAGTTCACGCCGTTGGTATGTATGGTCCTCATGGTGCTGGTGTCGCCGAACACTTGAACTTTGAGGAGCACTTGCAGTCGGGTTTGAACAGAATCCGTCCGGACTCTGTTATGAACAGAATTGACATGGTCACTGGTACCTTAGGTAAAGCTTACGGTGTTGTTGGTGGCTATGTCACAGGTAAGCAAAGTATGATCGATTGGATCCGGTCATTTGCTCCTGGATTTATTTTCACTACTTCGTTGCCTCCTGCTGTCATGGCCGGTGCGTCTGCCTCGATCAGACATCAGAGATCAACATTGATGGACAGAATTGCTCAGCAAAAGAACACTAGGTATGTCAAAAATAACTTCGGGAACATTGGTATTCCTGTTATTCCAAACCCTTCGCACATTGTGCCGGTGTTGGTCGGCAATGCCGCTGATGCGAAGAAAGCCTCGGACTTGTTGTTGAACAAGCACAACATCTACGTTCAGGCAATCAACTTCCCCACGGTTCCTATTGGGCAAGAACGGTTGAGAATCACGCCAACCCCGGGACACGTTCCTGAGATTGCCAACGAATTGATCGGTGCGGTTGATTCCGTTTTCAATGAACTTAACTTGAAGAGAGTTCCTGCCTGGGAAAGAGAGGGAGGTCTTTGCGGTGTAGGCGAGAGCAACGCGCAGCCTGTGAAGCACATTTGGACTGATGAGCAGTTGTCGTTGCAGGATGGTGACTTGAACCCCAACGTCGTCAACCCCGTGATCGCACCCAACGCTGTAAGTTCTGGTGTCCCCTTTTAGTTTCTCTTCAGTTGTTAGTTGAATTTTCTATATGCCAATGAATATGTCAATTTTGTCTACCCCAACTATTGTAATTCTCACGAGTTGTATATTATGCACAGAGCATCTGCAGTCGGTACGCGTTTTCATAACATCAACAGTATAACTTCATCGCAGATTAAGTACCAGGATCACGGTGAGAATGAACGACGACTTTCTGCCAACACATATTTACCTAAATAGGTTAGTCGACTCGTTGGTTCTGGCAGAATTTGGGGCATACTACAAAAAGAGCCTTGTGAATGCTTTGCTAGGGCTCATATCTGGGGAAACCAAGGATCCTTCACAAATCACGGAAGAGATACGAGCCCATTTTCTCAAATCCGGTACCGAAAGCAACTGGAGTACTTTCAGCACTATACTTTCATCCCTTCCTCAACAAAGGAATGCTGAACAAGTATCTTCGCACCTACAGTTCCTCCTCAACCTTGTTCCAGATCAGAAGGGAACTCCATCAACAAGGTTACCAAACGCAAGGACAACCCCCCTGGTTCTGTCTTTGCCATTTAATCAATCGTTTGCTCAATTCCAGAATCTGAACGGATTTACCACTGAACAACCAAAGCCATTTGACGATGTCCTAGATGACGAGGCGATCCTACCGTTCCTTCCCAAAACACTTGTCGGTCTTGACACACAATTGTTCACATTCACGGATACCTACATCAGCATTCTGTCGCCTCTTGCCAGAGGACTATTCCAGCTAATCAACGATCTTTGTGAGCCAGCCATACTTTATAGACGTCTCCATGGCTCTGTTGAGAAACTAAGAGGCAAGAATCCTTCACCTATAAAAGCTGCCTTCATGCAAGTGTTGGGTTCAAAACTAACTAGCTACGCGTCAGATGTCAGCAGCATCTTTCATAAGAATCCCAGATCACTACTACATGTGTATCATGAACTTCAAAATGTGATAATTGAGCTACGAACGTTAGCACATCTACATCAACAAATGGAAGTGCTTGATGGGTTTCAATTTCTTGAGGAAACTTTCAAGCTTGCAAGCTTTGGAGATTATCTTGTGAGACTGCTGGCGAGTGTTGTCTATGATGAACTAAAAAAACCGTACTTCCAGTACATGGAGCACTGGATCCTCCGTGGTGAGTTGGTTGATTCATGTAATGAGTTTTTCGTTTCCTTCGATGCTTCTGCTGATCACATTAATGAGATCGTCAAATTTCATCGTGAAAGGCTTCCATTGTTCATGGACTTCAGCGAAGAAGACTGTAACAATATCTTCCAAATTGGCAAGACGCTTATCTTTCTAGATAAGTTCTGCAAGGAACTTGAATGGCTTAGCGCTTACGTAAAGCACTATTCTGCCTATATTTTCAACGAGAATCTGGGTTTGATAACCCTTGACAGGAATTCCCTCAAGACACTTTTTCAGGTTCAGTTTGGCGAGCTTATAAATTATCTTAACTCAATAGCCTATCATAAGTACGATTTGTTTGAGCATCTATCGAATTTGAAAAAGATTATGCTCATAGGCTCAAGCGACTTTGTTGAGCTGATCAATGAAAGAGGACTTCAAATGTTCAATGAGCCAGCCTCATCCTTGACATCCGGGAAATTGGCAGGTTTACTTTCAAGTGCAATTGATACCTCCTCGATTCTGATGTTACCACAAAGGTTTCAACTGCGCATAGACGCTCGGATATTAGATTTGAGCCACGGAAGTATTGGATGGGATGTCTTCACCTTGGAGTACAAGCTTATGGATCCCCCACTAGAATTGCTTCTCAATGACAAGAGTCAATCGACGCATTACTTGCGGTTGTTCAATTTTTTGTGGAGCTTGAGACATTTTCAATTTCTTTTAAATAAGAATTATGTTGACTATGTTAGGTTGCAGAAGGATCACATCTCAAAGCTTCGCGTCAAAAACAAGCTGCTGACCAGAACACGCATTTCTAAAGTCCGCCAAGGGTGGTTTTCTAAGTGCCTCAGGACTACGAATTTAATAAGGTTTCGTCTTTCTAAGCTTGTTTCTGCTCTTCTCAACTTTTTGTCATATGATTTGATCGAGCAGAATTTCCAGGAGAAGATTGTGAAGCTGGCTTTTAAAGGCACATTAACCGCCAGTCCACAGTTTACGAGCCTGGAATCGCGGAAAGACCGCAAGCTTCCCATTCTTGACAAAGCCTTTGCTGATGCATTTGCATATCAGACAAGCCCGTCTTTTCCAAAAATTAAAAGGGTTTCATTGGCTAAGCTCAACGTTATGGAGCACACTATTGATGAATTGACGGCGATGCATCTGAAGTATCTAAAAGGAATCTACGACTGCAAACTTATTAACGAAAATTACAAAGGAAAAATTAGTCGAGAACCGTTGATTGATCAAATTTTCAGCTTCATGGAAATTTTGTTTGCCTTTATCAAAAGCAGTGAAGAGTTCAGCTCCTCGGTAGTAAGTTACGTCAACTTGCTTGACTTGAGCACGTCGGTCGATACGAATGCAGGTATTGCGTTCGAGGGTGATTTGGAACATCTTCACGTGCGCCTAGCAGACCTCATGAAAGTGATGTACAATGACCTCTTTAAGAACAGTTTTGAGCCAAGACTCGATATTTTTACGAAAGACCTCCGTGCAGATTTGGATCTCAAAGATTTGAGCAAGATGGTGTGAGAAGAAGACCTAAAAAATATGTGGTTGTTATCGAGAGGACTGGTGGTGCGCAACCCCACAAAACCACAAACCCGAGCCGAGAACATGAAAAACACCCGACTGTTGGCACCGAATGGAACCAGGTCTTAATGAGCTTGAAATTTCGCCAGCCCGAGAAAATTGTGGCTGCCCTATAGGTTTGGGGTTGACTTAAAGGGCATTTTGTTGAATAATCTCTTGTGCGCAGATGTGAAAAATCACTGGCAAGTCCGAAAAAGTGATAAGGTTTACAACGGGGCCGTGGTGTATCTCGTAAATGAAAAGTCCGTCTAAGTGCATATTTGCGCAGCCACGCTGACAAAGAAGAGAATTGAGAATGTCAGCCGGAAAGAAGAGATAAAATTGCAAATAATGCACACAGTGGGAAATACACAATCTGGTTGGTAGAGAGGTTTCTCGGCCTGAGGAACCGCGGATTAAATTTCGAGTCTTGTTTCCCCGGACTCTCATCCGCAGGGACAGAAAAAATCCCGGAATATAAAAATTCACCACGCTGCTAACTGTGGGTTTCTCTTTTTTTTTTTTTCAAGTCCATCTTATCGACAAGTTCCTTTCCTTCCAAATTCATTTCTTACTTGCTTTTGCAAAGCACAAGTTTTACTAGACTATATACCTGGTTATTTATTGCTGATAAAATTCGTCATGGAGGAAGTTGACAGTGTTTTGGTTGATAACATTAAGAGTTTCGGTTCCGGTGGTTTTGGTGGTGTTTGTGCCGTTTTGACCGGTCACCCATTCGACTTGGTCAAGGTTCGTTTGCAAACGGGTGTCTACAAATCTACCGCCGAGTGTCTCAAGGGCACTTTGGCCAAAGATGGTGCACTTGGTTTCTACAGAGGTGTGATGCCTCCTTTGTTGGGTGTTACCCCTATGTTTGCTGTGTCCTTCTGGGGTTACGACATGGGTAAGAAGCTTGTCGGTTCTTACACCGGCAAAAAGGCCGAGGACTTCACCATTGGCGAGACTTCCACCGCTGGTTTCATCTCCGCCGTGCCCACCACTTTGGTGGCTGCTCCTTTTGAGAGAGTCAAGGTTATGATGCAAGTCGCTGATGGTAAGAAGTCGTCCATGGGTGCTGTTATCGCTGAGATGTACAAAACTGGCGGTATCAGATCTATTTTCAAGGGATCTGTGGCCACTTTGGCTAGAGACGGTCCTGGTTCCGCTCTTTACTTCGCTACTTACGAGTACTTGAAACAAAAGTTGTCTACTCCAGGCAAGGACTTGTCTTTGGGTGCCATTTCTATCGCTGGTGGTTTCGCTGGTGTGGCTATGTGGCTCGGTGTCTTCCCAATTGACACCATTAAGTCTACGCAGCAGTCTTCCAATGTCAGCATCTCGATTGCCAAGGCCACCAAACAGATCTATGCCAAGGGCGGAATCAAGGCTTTCTTCCCTGGTGTTGGACCTGCTTTGGCCAGATCCTTCCCTGCCAACGCCGCCACATTTGTCGGTGTGGAGGTTGCAAAGAACTTCTTCGAGAAGCTTTAGACGATGCTCGTATTTATTATATAAAATGTACAGTTTCAATTCGATGAATGTAGGGTACCACTCGGTTGCAAACTGCGGCGGCTTCTGCAGAGACCATGTAAAGTACAGTAGGGTGGATTTTGACGCCAATTGCTCAATTGTGCTCGATTTGGTGCCTGTGACGTAACCAGGCGGCCCTGTCATTTGTCAACCACGAGAGTGGTACAGTCAATGATATTTCAACATTATTCATTTACGATCATTATATCGCTTCAAAATTCCTCATCAAAATTATTAGACTCTCCCGGGCGAGATCTCTAGAAACCCGATTCGATTAGGGCTGTTTCGGGAGCACACCCGTGCACCGTGCGCTCCCAAGCTGGACGACAAAGCTGGCAACAAAAAAGTAGAAAAAACCCACTACTGCAAAGTACCCATATATCAGCTTACCCTGGTGCCCGCTCTTGTTGTCCCTTCCCTTTCCAGCATCCGCTCGTATCTTGTAATAGCATTTGAGCGCAAGAGCCCCGGGACAAATTGCGACGCCCATTGATTGTTCCTTGACCGACGGAGAGACCATTTACATAAGCAGACCACATTACCACACTTTCCCATAACATGGACTTGGACACAGATGTTCCCATGGAAGATGCCTCGGATGAGCAAGTCCAGCCTACAAAGGTGGACGACAGCAAGCAGCTAAGTAAAAAGGAGGTGAGTACCTCGTCTATCAATCAATTGGACCAATGGATTGAAAAGTTGTCTCAGTGTGAGCCACTTTCCGAGCAGGATGTAAAGAAGTTGTGTGACATGGCGATTGATGTTTTACAATTTGAAGAGAATGTCCAACCGGTGCAAGTGCCAGTGACGATATGCGGTGACGTCCACGGTCAGTTCCACGACTTGATGGAGTTATTCAAGATTGGCGGTCCCTGTCCAGACACAAACTACTTATTCATGGGTGACTATGTTGACAGAGGATACTACTCGGTGGAGACGGTGTCTTACTTGGTGTGTATGAAGGTGAGATACCCAAACAGAATCACCATTTTACGAGGCAATCACGAGTCGAGACAAATCACACAGGTTTACGGCTTCTATGACGAGTGTTTGCGTAAATACGGATCGGCCACTGTATGGAAGTTGTTTACTGACTTGTTCGACTACTTTCCTATCACCGCCCTTGTGGATAACAAGGTCTTCTGTCTTCATGGTGGTCTTTCCCCTATGGTGGAGACCATTGATCAGGTGCGTGAATTGAATAGAATCCAGGAAGTTCCCCATGATGGGCCCATGTGTGACTTGTTATGGTCCGACCCAGACGACAGAGGCGGATGGGGCATTTCGGCCAGAGGCGCTGGTTTCACTTTTGGCCAGGATATTTCAGAGCAGTTTAATCACACCAATGACTTAGATCTTGTTGCTCGTGCGCATCAGTTGGTGATGGATGGCTACTCGTGGTCCCATCAGGAGGCCGTGGTCACGATTTTCTCGGCCCCCAACTACTGTTATAGATGCGGAAACCAGGCCGCCATCATGGAAATGGATGAGAGCCATCAGAAACAATTCTTACAGTACGACCCCTCAGTGCGGCCAGGTGAACCCACCGTCACAAGAAAGACGCCGGACTATTTCTTGTGAGTGGGATCCTGGCAGCCTTGTATACTACTGGCGCTGGAGTTGGTTCGGTGGCTTGCCCTTGTTGCTTTAAATGCCTGGATGCCTCGTCACTAAATGGTTGCAATGCTATTATAACTATTGAGCTGCGACTATGGCTGTTGCATCCTAGGTCGCACCAAGCTCATACCACTCTTCGGCGACTCCATACATGTTCCGATGTGCTTCCAGCACGCTTCATGCATCACGACTGTTATAGCTTTTTCTTTAAAAATCATGTCTTATACCACTCTGTAGTACGAACTTGTTCAGCCAACCAGAACAAGCTTATTCGCGTTCCTGCAGGAAGATCCCTCAGCCAAACCGCTTCAACCAAAAAATCATCAAGTCTTGAAAACCATAGTCCTCAACATGTTACGTGCAAACATCAGAGCCCCTGTTCGCTCCTTGTACACCTCAGTGTTGGAGTCGGACATAAACATTTCCCGTAACGGAAAGGTCCATGTGGCCAGCGGTCCTGGCGGTCGTTCTTCCAGAACTGGCTACACTGCTACAGTCTTTGGAGCCTCTGGTTTCTTGGGCCGTTATGTTACATCCAAATTGGCTAGACATGGTACCACCACTGTTGTTCCATTCAGAGACGATATGAAAAAAAGATTTTTGAAAGTCACTGGTGACTTGGGTGTGGTGAACTTTGTGGAGTTTGACGGTAGAAACTTGCACTCCATCGCCGAGTCTGTCCAGCATTCTGATATTGTCTTCAACTGTCTTGGAGCTGACTACAACACTAAGAACTTCTCCATGGCCGATGTTAACATCGAGCTCACCCGTCGTATTACCCAAGCGGTCAAGGATGCCGGTAACCCAAGATACGTTTACGTCTCCTCCTACAATGCTAACCCTGCCTCGGAGTCCGTGTTCTACGCCACCAAGGGTATTGCTGAGCAAGTTGTCAGAGATATCTTGCCTGACTCCACTATTGTCAGACCTGCTCCTATGTACGGCCGTGAGGACAACTTGTTGAACTATTTGGGTCCAAAGTTGAAGATGTGGACTCCAAACAAGAACGCCAAGGAGATCTGGCCAGTTCATGTGCTCGATGTGGCCCACGGTCTTGAGAGAATTGGTTACGATGACTCCACCGTTGGTCAAACCTACGAGTTGTATGGACCTGAGAAATTGTCTTTCAAGGAGATCAGAGAAATGGTTCACGGTATTACTCAGGACTTCTCTCAGGTTGGGCCATTCTCATACAGCTTTGCCGACTACCAGATTCCATTGTCGTTGGCCAAGTTCGTCGCTCAGTTGAAGCAGTACGTATACTGGAAGCAAACTAACCCAGACCAGGTTCAAAGACACTTGATCAACCAGGTGATTGACCCTTCTGCCAAAACTTTCGCTGACTTGGGCATTTACAAGACCGACCAGTTGGCCGATGTTATTTTCTCTTACGTGAAGCACTGGAGACATCCATTGATCGCTCAGCAGGGTGCCCCATCGAAGAAGGAGACCAACAGATTGCGTGAAATGGAGCACTTCACCTAAGCATGTAGATTACACTAGCATATTTAATACAAACTTACGAACGGAATATAGCCAAACTCGTAGTTATCTGTTCCACCTGCATCCAATTTGTCTCGGTATTCTCCGGGCTTATCAGAGATATATAGCAGGCTTGATTCCTCAATGTATAATTTCATACTTCACAATGACTACCCTTCCAGATCCAGAGACGCTTGTTGAGTTGAATGATCCTAGAATAAGAGATGTCTTAGGTCATCTATTTGAGCCTTGCCCAGTGCTTTGTGACTTTCTTATCAAAGAAGTGATCAATAAACCCTTTCCATCATACACAAGTCTCATTGAATCGTCCAGGAAAGAGCTTCTTCAATTTTTGGAAAAGGAGGAAACCGAAAGCACTGTATCCCCTGATATTGCATCCATCATATCAGCTCACCCTAGACTTGGTCCATCCAAGGATAAGTTGTCATCCCACTCCACTCTGGAGCAGAAGTCACTTGAAGGTTCAAAAGAAGAAGCTCAGAAACTCGCTGATCTCAATGCCAAATATGAGACTACTTTTCCAGGCCTTCGTTACGTAGTCTTTGTTAACGGTCGCTCGAGAGAAACCATAATGGAGAACATGATAGAGAGGATTCAACGCAATGACATCTCTGCTGAAAGGCGTGAAGCATTCAATGCTATGTGTGACATTGCATTAGACCGTGCTAGAAAGTTGGGTGCTAAGCTTTGAGTGATAATAATGTAGGTGATTGCCAGAAAAAAAAAAAAGTGAATGAATTACGAAAGCTTCATGATTAATGTAAATTAATACTCTGCAACATACTTTGCTGTGTCCATCGAAGGGAATTGTAGCTCGTCTGAATTTAATATTTCAGAAGCATGCTGAGATTCTCAACTCCACTACGAATCCTGCTAATTACTTGCGAAAGTACAAGGAGTGCGATTCTCGGGAATGTCTAGATGCTCTTATAATTACTTAAGTTTAGACAAAGTTCCAGGTTCTTTGCTTTTAGAAAACCCCTGGATGCTGAACATCAAAAACAACTACACTTGGCACATTTTGTAAAGTTTTGTCCCTTGGGTTCAACAAAGCAGCCTGCATGCCCATTTTGCAACCACTTCATAATCGTATAACTCTACGGATGGCGAGATCATTCGAGCTTCTCACTCAAGGAAAACAGGTTATCGCTGGATTTACTATCGAAGGATCGAAAAATCTTTGTTTTTTATCTTAGCGGAGTGTAATTGAGAAAAAGGGGCACGTTGTTTTTACGACAGATATCAGTTTCACATCAACTAGATTCTCACCAGGTTCCTAGTCGATTGAACAACATAGCGTTTTATTTGATAAAAATTGATTTAAGTTTTTGCAGCTGTATTATCGCATTCTAACTCGAGCCTTACAATTGACGTTGTTGCCACAGGTATTAGGCCGCGCACGACGAGCGTTCATTAACGATAAAGCCAATTCACCGTCTTGAGTGAGCTACGACATCGATAACACACAATGGTATGTGAGCTGCACAACGATACATTTTGCTTCCTCCTCAATTCATTACTAACAATCACAGGCCGGTGGTTTGGAAAACGCTAGGAAAGAAATCAAGCGCCTTTCGATTGATGACGCCGCCGAATCGCAATATGGCCAAATCTTCTCTATCTCTGGTCCAGTGGTGATCGCCGAAAACATGCTTGGAAGTGCTATGTACGAGTTGGTTAAGGTTGGTCATGCCAATTTGGTCGGTGAGGTTATTAGAATTAATGGTGACAAAGCAACCATTCAGGTTTACGAGGAAACCGCAGGTGTCACTGTGGGTGATCCTGTTTTGAGAACAGGTAAGCCATTGTCAGTGGAATTGGGTCCTGGTTTAATGGAGAACATTTACGATGGTATTCAAAGACCCTTGAAGGAAATCAAGGAGAAGTCCCAGTCCATTTACATTCCAAGAGGTATTGATGTTCCATGCTTAGACAGAGTGAAGCAGTACGATTTCAACCCAGGCGCTTTGAAGGTTGGTGACCACATCACTGGTGGTGATATCTTCGGTTCCATTTACGAAAACTCTTTGTTGGATGACCACAAGATCTTGTTGCCTCCTAGAGCCAGAGGTACCATTACCTCGATCGCCGAATCTGGCTCCTACACTGTGGAGGACCCAGTTTTGGAGGTTGAGTTCGAAGGTAAGAAGCACAATTACTCTATGATGCACACTTGGCCTGTCAGAGTCCCAAGACCAGTGGCCGAGAAGTTGACTGCCGACTACCCCTTGTTGACTGGTCAGAGAGTCTTGGACTCTTTGTTCCCTTGTGTACAAGGTGGTACCACCTGTATTCCAGGTGCTTTCGGTTGTGGTAAGACTGTCATCTCGCAATCGTTGTCTAAGTTCTCTAACTCTGATATCATTATTTACACCGGTTGTGGTGAGCGTGGTAACGAGATGGCTGAGGTGTTGATGGAGTTCCCTGAGCTTTACACTGAGTTGAGTGGTAAGAAGGAGCCTATCATGAAGCGTACTACTTTGGTCGCAAACACATCGAACATGCCTGTCGCTGCTCGTGAAGCTTCTATCTACACTGGTATCACTCTTGCTGAATACTTCCGTGACCAGGGTAAGCATGTGTCTATGATTGCTGACTCTTCGTCTCGTTGGGCCGAGGCCTTGAGAGAACTTTCTGGTCGTTTGGGTGAAATGCCTGCTGACCAGGGTTTCCCTGCTTACTTGGGTGCCAAATTGGCCTCCTTTTACGAGCGTGCCGGTAAGGCTACTGCATTGGGATCACCAGACAGAGTTGGTTCCGTTTCCATTGTTGCTGCTGTGTCTCCTGCTGGTGGTGATTTCTCCGATCCTGTCACAACTGCTACTTTGGGTATTACCCAAGTTTTCTGGGGTTTGGACAAGAAGTTGGCCCAGCGTAAGCATTTCCCATCTATCAACACCGGTATCTCATACTCTAAGTACACCAACGTGTTGGACCCATACTATGAGAAGAACTTCCCAGGCTTCAAGGCTTTGAGAAGCAAGATCAAGGAGATCTTGTCGAATGCAGAGGAGTTGGAGCAGGTTGTGCAATTGGTCGGTAAATCCTCCTTGTCCGACTCAGACAAGATCGTCTTGGATGTTGCTAACTTGATCAAGGAAGATTTCTTGCAGCAGAACGGTTATTCCACTTACGACCAGTTCTGTCCTATTTGGAAGACTTACGACATGATGCGTGCTTTCGTGAGCTACCACGACGAGGCACAGAAGGCTATTGCCAACGGTGCTGCCTGGAATAAGTTGGCTGAGGCCACTGGTGACGTGAAGCACTCTGTTTCTAGCGCCAAGTTCGTCGAGCCCTCCGAGGGTGAGGACAGTGGCCGTAAGAACTTCAACGATTTGTTCACGAAGATCAGCGAACGTTTCGGTGAAGCCGCCGAGTAATGAGATCATCTCCCCACACAAAACTTCAATTTCATTCATTGCACCAAGTGCATTTTTATCTGCTTAGTTTACGTTTAGAGTTACTCAAACCATCGGAGTGTAACACCAAACACATTATATTCTCGAACCAGTTATTTGTATTAACATAGACACCACGTACACATCGACGAGCTTGCACCTTCATTGTCTGCAATCTTTATATCCTCTAGAGCCTCTGCACGAGGTGTGCTCTCTAAAGCAGTAGGTGAAGGCTCGTTATTTATGATGCCAGGACTGTTTCTCGGCAAAAATAGAGAACTTCCATTTTGCGCCGAAGTTTCTTCCATTACAGGCGAACCAGCAGGTGCTGGAGCATTATCTTGAGCGGTTTGACCCGATTGTCGTCTTCCTGAGAACCAGTTAGTCCAAATTGGCTGACGAGGAGTCTCATCAGTCGCTTGGTATGGATGTGCAAAATCAAGAGGAGCGTTAGGATCGCTTTGGCCATCCAGTGGTCTGAAACGGGCTAATCGATCCAGCATGTATTCAGAGAATGGGTCCATGAATAAACCAGAAGGTAGCTCGGGACGCTCAACTTGCTCTGTAGGCTCAGGAGGGTCGTGCCGACCATGGTCAATTTCGAAGTTTGGTGTTACAGAATTTGAGACTTCTGAGCCGTATTGGTCTTCCACAATTGCACTCGAGCCGTAAATAGGGAACTCGTCTAGACTATGCACATGGCTGAGCTTGCCTGTGGATCTAATTTTCGTTAAATTTGCTGGAAGAGAGAACCTTTGCGGCTGAATCTCTCTACGAGATTTGAAATCAGGTAGGGTTTTCACTCGAAGCGGTGGGGAAGGTGCAAAGGAGAATGCGCCAGAGTTGCACTGCTCTTGGTATGCCTTTATGTGATCGAAGCCGCCTCTTTCAGGCAGAAAAGGGAAAACAGTGTTCTCAACGTGTTCCTTTGGCCGATCGCCTGGCAGCTCGTTTCGATCATCCACTGGTGAACTCTCCAGCATGGTGCTTATAATCAGATATCGCCTTTGTGGCCTTGTACCCAAAGACTACAGCCGTTTTGCAACCATTCTTAGACCCGTACACCACGGAGTTGGACAGGTACGGTCATTGTCGACCAGCATTAAGAATATCGAAGGTAGCTAGCAAGACAAAGGACATAATGGCATTCTAGACTGTGCTGGGAATGTTTAATAAGCTTGCATTCACACAATTCAACAACTTTTTGCTATTCCCTTTGAACACACCTCTTGCCCGCATAATTGATTCTTCAGGGTTGTGTTCAAGCAACGCCAACTTAAGCAACAGCAATTGCAAAAGCAATTGCATCGAATCCCTAGCCTTTCACATCACCGTCGTGGTTGTACTACAGACATGTAAATCATACCGTAGGCATGTATTGCTATGTACGGACATCTCGATGAAATCAAAGTTTTTCAACTAAGGTTCCATTTGAGCGTCAGACTAGGCTGTCCAATTACTTGGATCTAGCTCTAACCTTCCGTCTCTTTCTCTTAAGTCTTCTAACTCTCTTCTTTCTCCACTTATCTCTCATAGTGAATAAATGGTCTGGAGGAAAAAAGAGAAATGTGTGTAGGGCCGGTCGCGCTATATATGAGTCTGGCGACCAGTGACCGTCGTGCAATACTCACCGAATATGAGTGTCCTTAATGTGAGCGTAGCCCTTCTGTGACTGCTTTTTTTCAGCACGCACGTGACCAAAATCACGAGCTCACAAAGGATCATTGTACACTCTCTTCAGATAACTGTTTCTCTAGACGAGCCAGTTCTTGATTCAATGCTTTGTGAAGATCGTCACGGAGCTGCTCAAGCCCACTATGATCCACGATTCTATCAACGGTGTCGTGGGTCAAAAGGACCTGTTCATTTTCACTGCTATCCTCAGCTTTGACCTTGGCAAATGTAGCGTCAGCCAAATATGGAACGTCAAGTTTTGGGCAAGCTTGAAATGACAAATGCGTAGTGTCAGCAGGCGTGGGATCCAATGACTGATCACCTTCCGTCTCCAACAAGTAGCCCATGTTCTTCACGCCCATCAATGCCTTGATGTGACAATACAACCGATAAGCCAAGTAAAACCCCGGAACGTTGGGCATGACAGGAATAATTGCAAGGGGTAATGAAATCGGGACGCCAATGGCACACCAAATTGCCCACTTGCGATGGTAACTGCTGTAAAGATCTCGGCATTGGTGCATCTGGGTGAGGATGGCCAGTGCCTCCTGGAACCTAGGATGATAGACTGGGATTGGTTTCAATTGATCGACAGAAATGTTCTTCTCGTTCATATCTCCTGTAACCAATGTTTTTGGCAACTCTTTAAGGTGCTCCTCATTGATTTCTCGCACCATGACCTTCTTTGCTGGAAATGACTGAAGGCAACTTTCATCATACGGGATCGTATTGAGAAGCTTGTTAGCCAACACAACCACTTTTTTGTTGATGTTAACATTCGAGGCCCTAAGCTTGTCCCATCCCTTACGAGCCAACCCAGTGATCTTGGCCTCTGCTCGTACGTAAAGGGGAACTTTCTGACTGCTATCTAGGAATGTCAGCTTATGGTTGCAAAATATGTAAGAGCGATGCGTAGTGATGGGGATCGAAACAATATAAAGGGATTCCGGGTCGAAGATAGGTTTTGGGGTCTCACTAGACTCAACTGCGGAATCCAGTTTTTGATCAGAAGCCATATACCTGATCTGCCCATCAAGTGGGTACCATGGAGATATCGAGGAGTGGCCTCCAGATGCCCCGTTCTTCCCGAGTTGTTTGCAGGGTTTCACAAGTGACGTGAACCTTCTCACGTGAACATCATAGCTGAATAGAAGTGGAGATGCAGCCTTCTTGATCCCGGAAACAAGCATCAAGATGGTTGCTGAAGGGGCAAATGGCTATCGAACATTAGCAAGGCGATGTGGGGAAGTGTGCAGGAGGTTGCAACTTTACCTCGGGCAGTTTGGGAGGGTCTGATGGAGAGTTTGTAGCTAGAGTCAATTGGAAGGAGAGAATTGGAGACGAGAAGACTTTGTAGATTGAATAGAAAGTAGTGAACTATCTCAAGGGGATTCTTTCAAGAATTACAGGTTTATTAGCCACAACAGTCATATGCCAGAGAAGACGCACAAGGCTGCCAACGGTTAACCGAGCCAATTGTGGTCGAGAAACTAAAGATCCGATTTCACAACTCCAGTCACACATATTTAACAGGTAACAGAGACTGTAAGAATTATTTTCGAAGTTGCAGATTCCGAAGTGCCGCGTAGCCTCGCATCGTTATCACTGTTGCCCAATGCGGTACTGTAAGTAAACAAGCTCAAAAGCAGACCACCAAGGCAAACAGCATTCGAAACTCAGTTCATTTATCCAATCTTATTAGGTAGAAGATCAATTACAGAGCCTTCCATTCGATATCACACAAGCCAAACGCCTTGCACTGGACTTGCTGACTAGGGTCCAAATAGTCGACCTGCATTGAGAAGTCGATTTGCTACATACCTCAGTGCAGAATTGCAATCATTTCGCTGCCTCACCCAGAACACAAAAGCAGGTCTTTCAGGTTCAACATATCCTTCCAATGTCTTCGGAGCGTCATTCGAATGCGAAGGCAGACCAAAACGGGAATTTCTATCCCTTGGATCCCGTTGCAGATACGCCTCTTCTGTTCTACTCACAAACGGCCGCTTTAGTACCAACTTACGTCTTGGACAGACTAGCGCAAGCACACCACAGAGAGCAGAACAACACGAATGTCAACAACGGTCAAGCCGACATCTCACATACTCTTAGAGTCCAGCATCAGAACAAATGGGACGACGAAGAGCAATATCAACTGTTTGCTAACGACCCGTTTGTGAGGTCAATTGGCGGCAATTGGAGCAATTTCATCAAAACCGTCAGGATGCCCGAGGTGTACCCGCCTGACCGTATGGACGAGGTTTCCACCCTAGCCGATAGAGCCGACTTCAATGAGCCCTGGGGTGGAGACGAAAGACTTCGGCTTGCTCTCATGGGCGCATCCTCCAATGACTCCATTACAGACATAGAGAAATCACCAGGCCTCTTTGGCAAGATGTTCCACAAGAATACGCAGAAACCAGACGAAAAGGTTCGACATAGGTCACAGGCTGGCTACTGGATGTCGGATGAGAAACGAGCAATACTTGTGCCCACGTTGAAGAGGATCTTCATCAACAACCCATTGGTCCCACTTCTCTTGCGTATCCTCATCCTAATCTTCTGTGTCACCTCCTTGGCCCTCGCTTGTACCATCTACGTCAACTCAAATAAAAAGTACGAGAACTTTGAGATTCCACAGCAGGCTGGTACAATCATGGCAATTGTGGTGAACTGCTTTGCTGTGGTGTACGTTGTCTACATTGCATACGACGAGTACTCAGGTAAACCAATGGGATTGCGTAATCCACTGGGCAAGATGAAGCTTATCATGTTGGACTTGTTCTTCATCATCTTCTCGTCTGCCAATCTCTCGTTAGCATTCAACTCGATCACAGACCGAGAGTGGGTTTGCCATGACTCAAATTCAGATGTCCTCAAAGAAATGGGCATCTTCTATCCTCCGGTTTCGTCGCTATGTCGTAGACAAAAGGCGCTCACGTCGTTCTTGATACTAGCGCTCTTTATGTGGGTGCTCACCTTCACGATATCTATCATTCGTGTGGTAGAGAGGGTTACTGTCGGTGAATCGAGAACAGAATAGAATAATAAAATTGTATCGGGTTTAGCATCAAAATATAAAATTCAGTAAAAAGTCGTGGTTGTATTTCAGTAGGACTCAGTTGCCTTACACCACCTCCTGCATCCTCCACCTACCACAATCGCAACATGTCTATCTCAGATTCACCAAGATTCTTCTTCTCTCTACTTCCTACAATACTCACCCAACATGTCGTCACCGCAAACTTTACCAATAGCAGGTGACTTGGATGCAACGTGGAATTTCATTGAGCCTGGTCTTGAGTTTATCCTCGGTGCCCAGGGGACCAGGGCGTCACATCCAGGATGTATATGAACTGCTACACAGCAGTGTACAACTACTGTGCCAACAAGTCTCGAAACCTGAATGTGTCTGTTTTCAGTAAATCTGGTAAAGACAAGACCACTTATTCTTTGACAGGCGCAGAGATTTACAACAAGCTACAAGACTACCTAATCAACTTCATCATCACTTTACAGAAGGAGCCACACGAGCTGTTTTTGGAGTTTTACGTGAGGAAATGGAAGCGTTTTACGATCGGAGCTGGCTACATGAATAATGTGTTTGATTACATGAACAGATATTGGGTCCAGAAGGAGCGCTCCGATGGCAGGAGAGATATCTTCGATGTCAATACGTTGGCATTGCTCCAATGGAAGTACCACATGTTCAACAACAACGCCGACAAGATAATGCACGAAGTACTTGACTTGATAGAGAGGCAGAGGAATAATGAGATCGTTGATACAAATGTTATATCTGTGGCTGTCAGATCGATGGTTGATTTGGGCATCGACACCAATGATTTGAAGAAGACAAACATGTTGGTGTACACAAAGCACTTCGAGATGGATTTCATGTCCAGAACGGCGGACTATTATCGTAAGGAAAGCGAGAACTTCCTTTCACTGCATAACGTCGTCGACTATATGATGAAGTGCGAGAGCAGGTTGTCCGAAGAAATCTCCAGATCAAACAACTACTTAGAAGAGCGCAGTAAAAGGCAATTGCTTGAGGTGTTACACGTGGTGTTGATCAGGGATCACGCCAACGAGATGTACGACCAGTTTTTGAAATTGCTTGAACAAAACGAGATCGACCATATACTGCGGATGTACAAGTTGTTATCCAAGGTGCCCAGTACTTTGCAGCCTTTGGCAGACAGCTTGGAGAGTCATATCAAGGTCGAAGCTGCAAAAGCAATCGAAGAGCTCAAGTCTTCGGCTGAGCCCACAGGCGCTCCACAACCAGAGGAGAGAACAAAGAGATCTTCACAAGGTCTTATTTCTCCAAAGGTTTACATCCACACGTTGATTCTGGTCTACATGAAATTCAACGATGTGGTTTTTAATGCATTTAAGAAGGATCCGCTTTTCATTAAAGCTCTTGACTCGGCATGTCGTCACTTCGTTAATATCAATGTCATCGCCACACCCAACCCAAAGAGTGCAAGCAAGACGCCCGAGTTGTTGGCCAAGTATGCAGACAGCTTTTTGAAGGCAACCTCTAAGGAGGCAGATGTCGCCAACATGACCGCGGACAACTTGGCTCTCATGTTGAGGTACATTGATAACAAGGATGTCTTCGAAAATAACTACCGCCGTTTACTTGCAAAGAGATTGATCAACGGTAACACCAAATCAGATGAACTAGAAGAGGGCATGTTGCAAAGATTACAAGAGGGCAACTCGATGGAATTCACCTCCAAGATTAGCAAGATGTTCCAAGACATGAAGTCGCTGGAGGACTTGAAGATGAAGATAAGAGATATCCTTGGAGATCGTGCCGTGGTGAATGACTTTACGCCATTGATTTTAGCCCAAAGCATGTGGCCCTTCCATCATATTGAGGACTACAAGCTTAAGGTCGCACCCGAATTAGAGGACACGATCAAATCTGTTGAAGAGGAGTACACAAGCAAGCATAACGGTAGAGAATTGCAGTGGCTTTGGAATCACGGCAAGAGTGAGATTAAAGCGAACTTGTCAAGAAAGGGCAAGCCACCCTTCATTTTCACTGTCACGAATGTGCAATTAATGATCATCCTAGCTTTCAACAAGAACACCACATACTCCTACGCCGAGCTTCATGAGATTGTGGGAGTGGCAAAGCATGTCTTCGAGGCACACTTGACACCACTCGTCAAGTTCAAGTTGCTTGAGCAGCTGCCCAATACACCACTGGAGTTCAGCTCGCCTACTACAACATTCACCATTGTCAACGAATACAAATCTAAGAAGTTGAAAGTCAACTTTGTTAGCACGATCAAGAGCGAGCAGAAGCAGGAAGATGACGACACTAACAAGGAGATTGACGAGTCGAGAAAGAACTACCTTACCGCTAGCATTGTGAGAATCATGAAGGCAAGGAAGACCATGAAGCACAACGAGTTGGTGAACGAGGTGTTGCTTCAAGCACAGTCTCGATTCAAAGCAAAGCTCATTGATCTCAAGAGAGCCATTGAATACTTGTTGGAGAAGGAATACATAGCACGGTGCGACGGTGACTCTTATGAGTACCTCGCCTAGATATAATGCACGTAATGTCTAAATAATGAGATGCGCACCTATGCTGTAGTACAACATAATGTCAACTCACTTGGTCAAGAACGGCGGACTGGGAAATGTACTATATAATGAAGCCGTTGTATTCTCGGGCCATGAAGGAGCTGTTCTCTCAGCCCAGTTCAGTCCCTTTGGTGACAATATAGCCTCTGGAGGCATGGATCGAGACATCTTGCTCTGGAAACTTCCCATAGATCCTGAAGAAGAGCTACCGAATTATGGTATTTTACATGGCCATAAGGGGGCTATAACGTCTTTAAGATGGACACTGGAGTATGGATTATTTTCTGGCTCCTCAGACACGACAGTGGCATTCTGGGACGCTGAAACTGGAACCAAGAAGCGAGTAGGCAAGAGCCACTCTGCGATCGTGAATGATTGTGCTTATACTAGTCAATTGGGGTTCTCTGTGGGTGATGATGGGGATGCAATTGTTTGGGATGAGAGGGAGAAGAACGAAGTGCACAAGTTTCAGCTGGAATACCCTTTAATGGCTTGCGAGGCATCTCGGGACACTATCTATGTGAGTGGAATTGACTCCTACATCAGAGCATACGATTTGAAAACGAGAAAACTCGCTTGGAAGACTCAAGCATTCATGGCTCCCACGACATCTTTGGCACTCAGTCATGACGGCAACATGCTTGCAGCCAGATCGATGGATGGTGAGATTAGGCTAGTCAGCACGAAGAGTCTCATGACAGAAGGAATAAGCAGGGTTGGAAAAGCTTACGACGGAAGCGTTGGTGGGCCGCAAAAAAATCTTGTTAGAGTTGCATTTTCAGCGGATGATAGTCTACTAGGCCTGGGATCAGAGGACCCCACGTCTGTGGTTTGGGGGAGCGCTTCTCGGCGAATGGTCCACAAGCTCAATGATCACGGGAAGGCAGTGTTGGATGTGAACTTCCACCCAACCGAGAAAATTATGTTGACAGCTTCTGCGGACTCTACTTTGGTATTGCGAGAGCTCTAATCTATTGTCTGAACTGTACCCTTCTTCGCTTGGAATTGGCAAGTTTAGGCTCTGGGCGAACACGTTTCGGCTGCGGATCTATACTAAGAAGCTCTTTGTTTGACTGTGCTTTAGTGGGCTTCTGCTGCTTCATACTGTTGAGCTTATCTAGGTTATCTTGAGTAAAGAGCCTCATGGTCCAATTGTGATGAGTAATGCCGTTGCGGTTGGAAATTGACATGATGTGTGATTTGAGAGAGACTTCATCTGGTTCATCATCAAAACGAAGTCTAGTGTGCTCATCATGAGCAGGAATAGAGAATGGAGCGTGCTCCATCTCATGAGTCTTGGTCAGCAAGAAGTCATGTTTCAAGATAAATTTCTGCATGTCTTTGTCATCTATCATTTCACGGCTCGAACTTTCACTATCAACTTGCGCCCTGCGCTTATAGATTTCCTCCTCTAGGGTGCCACGCAAAACAAGAGTTTCGACAAAAACCTCTTGAGTTTGCCCAATTCTGTGAGCACGCTTTATTGCTTGGGCCTCCTTGGACCTGTGCCACACTGGGGATATAAAATACACTCGTGTCGCCGAGATCACGGTCAAACCATGTGCTGCAAGGCGAAGATCCATGATTAATACAATACCGCCATCGAGATTAGCATCATGGCGATCAAAGTCTGTGAGATTGTTCGAGCGTTGACTGGCCCCAATGAATGTAGCATATAAGATATACTTTACCCCGATTATATCGAGAAACTCAGATAGGTAGTATGCGGAGTCCTCATACTCGAAGAACACAATGGATTTGAGTCCAGACCTCTGGTTTTCCACTAGTCGTGTTGCGAGATAGGAAAGCTTTGATGATGCCGTTCCAGCGATTGAAGCTTCTTTAATATTGCAAACTCTTTCAGAATACCCATTGGCCGTTAGCAGCGACCTCACATCTCGAGCTCTTGCAACATTTTGTTTACTTCTCAATACTTCAGCTTCCGAATCGATGTTGGTATCAATCAAGTTTGAATGCGAAATAGCTTCAGCTTCTGAAGAGCTGGTGTGACGTTTGCGAGATTTATCCTCTTTCTGCTCAGCTTCCAACCAATAGCGTTCCCAAAACGGTCCGGATATCGCTCGCAATCTCGTTTCGACCCTCTCCTTATCTGTCATGTCTAGAAATCTATTTTTGTAGTAAAAGTTTTGCAAGGCTGCTAGGTGTGGTGCACCAAAAAGTGAAGTTGACTCCCCTATAGTCATACCGAAGTGATTTACAAATTGCGAAGGGACACCCTCAACGTAGTAAAGCATTTCGTGTAGAGCAGCGGCAGTTCGCCATCTTTGATTGTGCAAGGCTTCCAATGAGGCCTCCATAGATTTCTCGAGAAGCTCCCTATCAAAGGTGGAGTGATAATGGTCACCAGCTTCTGTCTTCTTTTTGAGACAGTGGTCGGCAATTTTGCATAAAGTTTCCACATCTTGCTGTTTGAAACCAGTCCAGTAAAAGGTCGCTAACTGGAGATTGTTCACTAGCTTTCTTAGCTGTTGGTGATTGGAAGCTTCAAACATATAATCAGAACCCTCACGTTCAGAAGACACGGCGTTGACGGCGAGAACGGCAGTGAATAGATTGATGGCAAGCTTATTTTGATAAGATGGATCTATGAAGACAGCTTCGTGATGAAGCTGAGGCAATTTCAAATCCTTTTCCACATCCGAAAGTCCATGACGGACCAAAAGCACGTTTAAAAGATTTCTTAAACTGCTTTCAGTGCTGAACTTTGCAGCCGTCAAATTGCGAACAAGAATGGAGCCCCAAAGCCGAGGTTGGCTGTAATAAGGCTCGATCTTGAAGAAGCTCGAAACAAGATTGCCCACACGAGCTAAATCGTCTTTGACACTGAAACTGCTTTTCACAGTATATTTTCTCTTTTTGCTTGGACTCGCTGTTACGGGCTCCTCTTCATTCATGTGGAGATTCGTAAGTCCCGACGTGGGTGTTCCGGTAACTGCCCAAACCCTTTCACACAGTAAAGCCTTACAATCGGAGCTGAGACTTGTTGTTCGCAGACCCATGGTGTGCCCTTCGTCAATGATAAGTCGCTTCCAGTGGATCTTTCTCAATATGCTTTCCTCTGGTCGGCTCCATTTCTGAAACAGCGGGATTGTCATCACCACAAGATCATATTGAATTAGCTCCTGTGGCGATGAGGGGAGATTATTTGTGTATGATGAGCTCTCTGTCTTCATATGCTCCTGAAAGCGATCAGAAACAAAAAGAGACTTGAGAAAGTTTGGCAGAAGATGCTTGACCATTTCGCTGTGCCACTGGTGAAAGAGATTCTCTGGCACTATGACCAAGGTTGTGCTACAGAGATATAACACACGAAATCGATCTTCCATAACAATGGCATGCCGTGCTCGGAGGCCAAGCTGGTTCTGGGCGATATGAAGGGGTAGCTTGAAGAAACCAGGACGATATGTGAGCTTTTCCACGACTGAATCCGGGAGATCATCCTTGAAGAATTTCCATGGAAGCGAATTCTGAGATATTGAGTCCCGGCAAATCTCCCAAAGCGACTTCATCCCATGAGAAAGATCAATAGGCCGTTCATTGACGGTGCCGTCCAAGCCTTGATCGTCATGAAGAATTGCATCTTCGGGGATAGTCGAGAATTGGTGCTTCGTTAAACATATCAATGAAAGGCAAATGAGTGTTTTTCCGAGACCCATATTTTCTGCTAATATACCACCCCTAGGGAGAAGGAAGGTGTCAGGTAACTTGTGGAAGTCCATATCGAAGATGTCAACGAAGTATGTATCTCCACGGGGAGAAACCACTTTCCGATAATTGGGAACAACTTCCCTCTGTCGTAGCAGCTCCTTCTCGTACATCTTGCACACTGAATTGAGCTGGAAGGGGTACAACGTGGATGCCACTCCCCTGATGGGAAACTGATTTCTGTAGTAGCAATTGACAAGACCCTTTATTATTTCATCGGAAGAAGGAATTTCGTTCGGAGGAACAAACTTATCATCTTTATAGCTTGAGAGGTCAGGCGGCGTGATTTCATCGTACACCCTCTTGACCACTGTCTCCAATAAAGGTTGCAGCTCTAGAGAAGGTGTACTGCAGAATTGACTTTCCAACCACCTTTGGATGTGAAAGGACTCGTGCTGACTTACAGGCTTGGTGCTTCTGCCGGTCAATGGCACAATGGCCCATCTATGCTGCAGTTGACCATACCATGATTCGGCAGTGAAGTCCACCACCTCACGCAAAACCAGCCAATTCAGTCTATAGATTCTTTTCGAACGAGTGTCCAGGGCGAGTCTGTTTCTCCACAGCTTGACAAAGCGGGCTCCTTCGATATCGTTGGGTACACAGTATAACCTGACTCTATAGACGGCAGGGGTAATGCAATGTGAGACTTTGGCCAACCCATCAAGCTCAGGCATGCTGGCTCTTTTATAGGTGGCCACAAAGAATCTGTGCCGTAGAAGCAGACTGAGAGCACGGATATGAGTGCTTGCCAGATTGCCAACGCAGGTTTCCAAGAACCAGGGATCCACCCATTTCCACCTCGACTGGCCAGTGGCCACTCCCTCGTAGCCATAGTGTAGACCGTCTAGTCCAGTAACTAGTAGCGTTCCAACCGCTAGTAGGCCATCCAAGTCACCACAGATTCGACACACCTGTTGGATTTCCAGGACCATCACAGAACAGTAGTGCACCAGGCATGCAGATGTGAGATGCGACAGATGAGATAAGAGAGGACCCTGTCAGTGTTCAGTAGCACCGACGGGGGATGACTACAATGGAAGTGGGGATTACTAGATATTCGATATTGATTTTCAAAAAGAGAAAAGTGAAGAGCTTTTTTTTTACAAAGTGAAACTCGTCACATTTGTGCTAGGTTGCCCATTTGAGTGTAGTTTTTCCGGCACCGAAGCGTACCGGCTAATACAGAGCCTCCGAAAACCTTAATATCGCAACCGACGAAATCGAGACCCTAGCATTTTGAGTCTTCGTTGAATTCCATTCTTTGGATCGTCATGTCTCTCTAGTCACTGATTAACTTTAGATCTCGCCGCCAACGACAAAATCGAATTCGAAAAAAAAAAAAAAAAAAAAAAAAAAAAAAAAAAAAAACGTTAACAGGTTCAACGACTTGTACTAGTTGGCCACAATAAGGAAAGCGCCAGTGAAAGAAATGCATTACTCGCACTGGCTGCAGCCATACGGCCATGGGGCTTCTACACAGCCATGACGAAAACTGTCAAATGGCTCATTTCGCCCAAAAGCGCATTAAAAGCGCCGTGACTCACAGGAATATATGAGGAGAAAAATAGCAGGCGATCTTTGCCACCATAACCCGAGCTGTCACTGCGCTGTAGAGCCTGCGGACAAAGAGCCACACTGAAGCGAGGCAGATAACGCATCGGGATAACCGCAGAAAGCGACAGCCTCAGTGGCTCAATTATAGGGCCCTTTGCAGAATCCGAATTCGGCCATTGGTTATAATTCGTCATTTGGCTTTTTCCGGCCCTACGAGCGGGATGTTGTCGTGAATGGTCCTTAAAGGCTATCAGTGTAGGCGAAATGTACTTTTTTTTTTTTTTTTTTCACGCCGCGCCGCTTATCTTCTCTGGGTGCCGCTTATATAACCACCAATTCTTCACACTCATATACCCGTTACATCTTTTTTTTTTTTTCCGCTGATTCCCCAATTCATGTCTCAGCAGCCGATATTGGCTCATTTCAACGATGAAGTGACGTTGGTCCGGCCTAGCTGTTCCTTCGGGGACGCTATCCGCCAGCCTCTTTACAATCCACACAAAAGTGCCCCAACCCATGTTTCCTAGCTTCAGCGCTTTTAATCACCCAGGGCTTGTTGGCCGTGGCAATCGCTTTCCAGACCCTTTTGCTTTTGGTCGGAAACCACTACGGTCCATACAAAATCAAGTATTCCTTCGGCAACCCATTCCTGGTGAAAAGTGTGGGTGTGGCCCACTTCTGGAAACTCCAACTGGCTCTCCTACAGGGCGTGGTGATTCTTGCTTTCGCCTACTTGAGCTCTGGAGATTCTGCCAACCTGGTGATCACTCAGTCTGCTGTCGCGCTGGCTGCTCTTCCACTCCTATTGGTGTTACCACTTCATTTCCTTGAATCCACACGGTCTGTCGTGGGTCACGGCACCTTGTTGGTGTTTTGGCTTGTTTCCACAGCGTGGTGGACTTTGATCAATGTCAATGATTGGTTTTCATCACACAAATTATTCGTTCCTTCCCATGGAAAGGACCTCATCGCCGCGGTTCACACGGGAGAGGTTTTCTTGCTACTTAACTCTGCCTCGATCTTCGTGCTTGAAAATGCATACTACAAGCCTTCCAAGGAATTGATCGAGTACTTTGATTTGAATGGCTGGGAGCCTTCAACTGTGAGAAACATGGTGCAATTGTTGACCTTCACTTGGGTCAACCCTATGCTCAGAAAGGTCTACCACACCAATACCATCGAAGTGGAAGAGGTGCCTAGTGCGGAGGTTGAATTGCAGAGTGAGGTCACTACCGAGACTTTCCGTCGTCTCTGGCCCAAGAGGTCACCAGAGCTACCTGGTGGAGAGACAGGAGGGTCAGAAATACCAAGGAACCAACCGAAGACCAGAAGAGATTGAAGCCGCTTTTGATTCTTGTGATTTTGAAAATGTTTTGGTTCACTGCCGTTCAAGGGTTGACTTTCCAAGTTTTGGAAGTCATTTCGAATACTTCTGTGCCTTTCTTCCTTCAAGCATTCATAAAATACTTTACCAATTTTGTTGTTGCCAGGGAATCTCAAACAGAAACTCCTCCATTGATTACAGGTTTCGTTTTATCCTTTTTCATTTACGGTGCTTCAGTTGTTCGTTACTTCTCATTTAACCAACTATTCATGTCGTTCTTTCGTATCAGTTTCGGTGTCCAGTCCGCTCTTACAACCATGTCCTACGACAAAGCATTGAAGTTGTCTCCAGATGCTCGGAGAGAAAAAAATACCGGTGAGATTGTTAACCATGTGGCCGTTGATGTCGGAGTCATTGCCAGATGTCTCGAAGTTGTCACCGACGCTGTGGTGATTCCATTTAGGTTGGCTTTGTGCTTGGGAGCTTTATACAAGCTTTTGGGAAATTCAACCTGGGCAGGTCTCGCTGTTGCTCTTGTCATGGTGCCACTTTCTTCGATGGTAAGTGTTGCTATTTTTGCATTGTTCAAGATCCAAATGGAATGCAAAGATGAGAGAACCAGACTCACCTCAGAAATTCTCAACTCCATCAAGTCCATTAAGTTGTACTCCTGGGAGAAACCAATGTTGAAGCGTTTAGACGAAGTCAGAAACAACAAAGAATTGAAGAATGCTAAACAGACAGGTATTTGGAATGCTGGTGCAACCTTTGTTTGGGAGTGCATTCCTTTCTTGATTTCTTGTGGTGTTTATGGAGTATTCGGCTTCTTCAGTAAGTCACCACTTACCCCTGCTATCATATTCCCAGCTCTTTCCTTGTTTGATCAACTTTCAGATCCTATCATGATGATCCCTGGTATTTTCTCCCTGATTGCAGAGGCCAAGGTTTCTTTGGACAGATTGCAAGAATATTTCAGCATGGATGAGATGGAAGAAGGAATAATCACCCGTATTCTGAAACCTCTCAAGAAGGGCGAAGAAAGTGTACGCATATCCAACTCATCCTTTGTTTGGTCTCAAAAGGACGCTGAAAAAGCCGAAGATGCGCGGACCTATGCTTTGAAGAACATAAACTTCAAGGCCAGAAAGGGAGAATTAACATGCATCGTTGGTAGAGTGGGATCCGGAAAGACAACACTTCTTAAATCAGTTGTCGGCGAGATTCCTGTGGTACACAATGATGATGCAAGTATCACTGTCAATGGCAATATTGCTTATTGTGCTCAGAATGCTTGGATTTTGAACTCCTCCGTCAGGGAGAATATCATCTTCGGCAAACGATTCGACAGAGAATTTTACGATAAGACGGTCGAAGCATGTCAATTGAAGCATGACTTTGAGGTCTTGCCTCATGGAGATGCCACACTTGTTGGTGAGAAGGGAATTTCGCTCTCAGGTGGCCAAAAAGCTCGTTTGTCGTTGGCTAGGGCTGTTTACTCAAGAGCCGACATCTACTTGTTGGACGACGTTTTGTCCGCAGTTGATGCTCATGTTGGTAAAAGAATAACGGAAGCCGTTCTTTCGTCGAGCGGCATGTTAGCCTCAAAAACAATTATCCTTGCCACCAACTCCGTGAAGATTTTGAAACAGGCTCAAGAGATCTACAACCTCAGCAAAGGTGAAATTACTGAGGTTGGCTCTTATGAATCATTGATCGAGAAGCAGTCGGATGTTGCCAAGCTTATCGCTGAATTCTCTGATCACCATGATGCACTGGCAGAGGACACTGCTCGCGAGACGTCGAGTGAATCAGAAGTAGAGGAGCTTCCGCAGCCATATGAGCCGACAGCCTTAAGAGAGGCTGAAGATTTTGGTGAAGATGCTCCCGTGCCATTGGTGAGAGTTTCAAGTCAACAAACCATTGGAAGGGCCTCTGTGGTTTCTTTCGACCATAAGTATCAGTTTGAAGAGGAATTCGGTAAGTCACAAAAGGAGGATGAAAACAACGAAAGAACCACCAAGGGTAAAGTGAAGCTTGATGTGTATATCGAGTATATCAAGGCGTGCAGATACCCATCATTATCGCTTGGTCTTTCTTATCAGTGGTTATTGCTGCAACAGAGATTTACGGAAGAGTGATCTTGAAGGAATGGTCCGAGAAAAACTATAAGGAGGGGCACAATGTGAAGCCAGCTCTTTACTTGACTCTTTATGCATTGACAGGTGTTTTGGGTGGTATCATTAACTTTGCCAACAGTTACATCATTTGGACTTTCAGTGCAATTCATTGCTCCAAATACTTTCATGATCGCATGGCCAACAGTGTCTTGAGAGCTCCGATGTCTTTCTTCGATACTACTCCAATGGGCAGAATCTTGAATCGTTTCTCGGATGACATCTCCGTCCTTGACAACCAAATGCTTTGGATTTCTATCACGCTTTTCAACAGTATCATGGAAACGTTGATTAGAGTGGGAATTGTGGTCTACAACTTGCCTATCATGATCATTATCATCCCTATTCTTATGGTCATCTTCATCCAGTTCAGGAACTGGTACATTCCAACATCTAGAGAACTTAAGAGGCTCCGTTCCTCCTTGAGATCTCCAGTCTTCTCTCATTTGCAAGAATCTATAAACGGCGCGGAAACTTTGAGAGCTTACAACGAGAACGATAGATTCATCCATGCCAACAAGAAGAAGGTCGACAATGTTATCAAAGTGGACTTTGTCTCGCAGAATGTGAATCGTTGGTTGTCCATGAGACTTCAGTCAATCGCAGCTTTGGTTGTGTTGGCAGCTAGTTTGCTGACACTTCTGTCCTTGGTGTCTAAGAAACCATTTTCCCCAGGTATGATTGGTTTCCTCATGACCTATGTCTTCTCTTCCACAATGTTCCTTAACGCCATCATCAGAACTTGGTCAGAAGTCGAAATCAGGTTGGTCTCAATTGAGCGACTTATCGAGTACGGAAACTTGCCCTCTGAGGGCCCTGAAGTTATTGAGGACAAGAGACCAGAGGAAAGTTGGCCTAGTAACGGTATTGTCAGATTCAATGACTACAGCACGAGCTACAGACCAGGCCTCCCTCCAGTTTTGAAGAATATCAATCTTGAAATTAGACCATCCGAGAAAATTGGAATTGTTGGTCGTACTGGAGCTGGTAAAAGTTCCTTGACATTGGCATTGTTCAGGATTATTGAGGCTAATGAAGGTAATATTGAGATCGATAACCTCAACACCAGCCTTATTGGTCTCCATGATTTGAGGAGTCAGCTCAATATTATTCCCCAAGATGCCCACGCCTTTGAAGGTACTGTCAGACAAAACTTAGACCCGTTCGACCAGTATACAGACGAAGAACTTTGGAAGGTGCTCGACTTGGCACACTTGAAGGCTCACGTTGAATCTATGAAGACTGAGCCAAAGGAGAATGATAAGAAGGACAAGAAAGGATGTGCAAATGAAGAGCCCGAAGAACCACAGGTGGGTCTCAAAGCCAGTGTGTTAGAAGGAGGTTCTAACCTTTCCTCTGGTCAAAAGCAGTTGTTGTGTCTTGCAAGAGCACTTTTGAAAACATCGAAAGTGTTGGTTCTTGACGAGGCAACAGCGGCTGTGGACGTGCAAACTGACAAGATCATCCAGGAAACCATCAGATCTGAATTCAAGGACAAGACAATTTTCACCATTGCTCACAGGTTGGACACCATCATGGACAGTGACAGAATTCTTGTTCTAGACAAGGGCCAGATCAAGGAGTTCGACACACCCAAGAACCTTCTTCAAGACGAGACAAGTGAGTTTTATTCTTTGTGCAAAGAGGGCGGTTATCTTCTGAAGATCTCCGAAATTCAATCTAGTTAGATGCTCGATCTCGGATCACTTAGCGAGTGCAATGGAGTCGACGACAACTCCACTCTCGTTTCGTTAAGACCACCAAGTTACTCGTGACAAACAGATTCAATTATTTTAATTATTAGAAAATATAATAGAAGTTACCATAATCGTAGAAGAGTAGGTCACTAGCCACCTTGTGGGTTTGCTTAATTATACAGGACAGGAGCACTGATAACGACACCGCCTGAGAACCACCACCATAGCAGACTCTCCTGAATTTAAACACAAGCATGAGGACAAACCTTCTTCTAGTTCCTACCAAAAAAACGGACGATGTCAACTGGGTCAAACCCATCAACAACTATCTCCTATCGATTTATGGCAACACATCGGAGTTTCAGCAAGATCTAACTAATTTCAACAAGCTCAGGCAAGATATCAGAGGTGTCAATGCTGATACCACAGGAATCAGATTGTACTTCAAGTATTTCAGTCAATTGGAACTTTTGGACTTGAGAATCCCTGTTGCAACGGTGAACAAGCACAAGAAGATCACATTCACCTGGTACGATGCTTTCCTGCCCTCGGCTCAACACAAGCAGTACGCCTTGCCTTTCGAGAAAGCAGGTGTTCTCTTTAACTTGGCATCTTTGATGCTGAAAGCTGCCAATATCAAATACAACGAGTCACAGGGACTGTCTGCCACAGATGACAGCGCTTTTAAGGAAGCAGTTCAATACCTCCAGCAAGCTGCCGGTATCTTTGACTTTGTCGGTGAGAGCTTTTTGCACGCCCCCTCCAATGATCTCAATCCAGCCACCGTCAAGTTTTTGAAGGATCTTTGTTTGGCCCAGAGCCAAGAGATCTTCAACCTCAAAGTGATCGATGGCGATCTAGAGCAGAAGAAGAACTCGCTTATTTCCAAACTTTGCAAAAGCACTGCTGTGCATTACGAAAATTGTTTCAATAACTGCAGCCATCTTTTGAATTCTGATCCCTCATCGCCCGAGGATCAATCCACCTTCGCAATAGTTGAGGCTGGCTTGGATGACGACGATCTCGAGGATATTGAAGACCCGTTGGATGAATACAACCCAGCAAAGCAGGGGATCCCAGAGTCGAGGGTGACAGCTCGTCTTGACCCCTTCTGGGTTGCTGTCTTGCAAGTCAAGTCACTCTACTACAAATCTTTATCATACTACTTCCAGGGACTTCAATTGGAAGCCACCCACAAGTATGGAGAGGCTATCGCGTACCTCTCAAAATCTTTGGAGTCAATCAATGAGGTACCCCAGGCCAGTTTGAAAAGAATTTCCAAGGCTGGCAACGACACTGCCTACGATGTTTTGGATAACCTCAAGTATCATAAGGATGCTTTAGAAATCAAGATTCGAGAGCTCAACAAAGACAACGATCTTGTTTACCACGAAATTGTGCCATCATTGGTCACTTTGGCGGAACCAAAGCCCATGGATAGCTCAAAATTGATTCCAATGAATAAAATCGAGCTTTTTGCCAAGGTGAACGAGCAGAGTTATGAGAATTTCCTCAAGAATGTCGTGCCTATGAACATTCACGAGCTTTTGAGCTACTACTCTGAAGAGAAGTCGCAATTTTTGAGGAATGAATTGGACGAAGTCGACGTTTCGAATGAGGAGCTCTCATCAGTCTTAGAGTATTTGAAGTTGCCAAAAGCTCTCACACATATTAAAGAGATTCTTCGGACCGACGAAACCCTCAAGTCGAGCTCTTCGGACCAATCACTAGATCCAGTATTGGCTCAAAAGGTGGACGACATTGCATCGAAATACTCTCAAGACACGACCAACCGCACAACCATCTCTGAGCTCAGGTCCAAGATTCTCGCCGCAGTTGGTGAAAGTGAGGCTATTTTGAAAGAGCTGTTTTCCGAGAATTCCAGTCGCTTTCGTGATGATTTGATCAAATTGAAGAAAGCACTTTACGACGCTGCAAACTCTGATTCCAAATTGTTTGCTCTCGTCGATGCCGAGAAAAGCCTGCTTCATGCTCTCTTGAGTAAGGGTAGCAAGTCTCGAGAGTTCAAGTCCCTATTTGATGTACCGAAGAATGGCTCTCAAGCACAGCCCTCCGAAGAAATCAGTTTACTAGACATGGATGAATCGCAGATCTCAGATGCCAGCCACAATGGTCAAATTTCTGCTCTAGAGGATATTTTGCACAACCTCAACATCCTCAAGACAAACAAAAACAAACTTGTGGATAGATTGAAGGAAGAGATTCATAGCGATGACATCTCCGAGATTTTGATGCTCAACAGCAAGGTGAAGCTGACCAACGAAATCAAGTCCATCATCTTTCCAGAGGAGTTGAAGAAATTTGAAGTTTTCTCGCAGCAATTAGATGACTTGATAAAAAAGCAGTCGTCCTTGATTAATGAACTTAAGGAGAAGTGGACCAAGCTTAGTTCCAATCCAAAAATCAAGGAAGTCCAAAGCTCCAAAACCTTCCAAGATGAAGTATTCAAACAGCAGACTCACCGTATCAACGACTTTTATGACAACCACTGGAAGCGATACTCGTTGGGCTTAGGAAAAGGGGTGGAGTACTACATGCAATTACTTCGAATGGCCGAGAATCTCAAACGTGCAATTGAGTCTGATAAATCCAACTCCTTAAATGAATCCATGAGCAGAATGAGCCTTGGCGCAAGCTCAACAGGTGGATCAAACTCGTCGCATCAATTCTTCTCATCATACCGTGGAGAGAACCAGCCAAATCCTGCTCAGTCGTTTGCACAATACAGTCCTTACAATCAGGGTGTCCCCGGTGGCCAATCGCTGCACCCCAGCCTCCAACAACCGCCTTTGCAACCGACTGGAGGTGATGCTCACCAACCGCAGCAGCAATATGGAGCCTCCTCCGGCCATGGCTCTTATTCTCGGCCGGCACCTGCTCTTCCGCCAAAGAGGCCAAGCTATTCCGAAAATAGCCAATTTGCCGGAAATTATGGAAATCCTACCGCAGCTTCAAGTCAAGCGAAGCCGCAAAATTCTGGTGGACTCATCTATGATGAACCCTCAACTTACCAGCCGAACATGTATGACTTCTTCAAAAAGTGAACGCCAGATGGACGGCTGAGTGATTGAAAACGCTTAAGTATGCTTTAGTCTCGTATTTAGACTCCTAATCTGAGCTAGATTAACGACTGCCGCATCCATATCAAACATACTGCGCGTCTATAATTCGCAGCCAAATGGTTTAATTTTAGATCACAGGTAGAAATTTCGTTTCCTAATGCGGATAAATGACAACACGTCTCGGTAGCGCGCGACTTCACACAGGCCAGATCTGGGTCTTTTCAAGACGATGGCACAGGAAAAGCACCGTGATCGTGGCTTTGCACATTGTCTTAGCCACTTTCTTGAGAAATCTGGTGAGAAACTTTGATTACTTATATTCGCATCTCTCTCGCTTAGTTCCACAAGCCTTTCTCAAAGCCAACCTCAACGCAAAAAGTTTTGAAAACATAAACGCTATGAAGGCCTACTTCGCTTTATGTCTAGCGTTTTTCGCTAGTTTTGCTGCTGCTGCGGACTGGAATCCAACCTACTGTAACGAAACCACCAAGTGTCCTGAGGACCTTCCATGTTGTTCCCAGTTCGGCATGTGTGGTACTGGTTCTTACTGTTTGGGTGGTTGTGACATCCGTCGTTCTTACAACATGTCGGCTTGTATGCCCATGCCCCGGATGGAATCTTTTGAGGAGTCTTTCAAGAACATTGACCACATTGAGAAGCAAAGTGAGTACTTGGGTAACTATACTGAAGCTGACTGGGTGTATACCGGCCACATTGCCAACCACGGCAACTCTCTTTTGTTGCAGATGCCTAATCAGTCCACAGGTGCTGTGGTGTCCAGTACCAGGTACCTCTGGTATGGTAAAGTGGGTGCTACTATCAAGTCTTCCCGTGACAAGGGTGTGGTTACAGCTTTCATTACATTCTCGGACGTGCAAGATGAGATCGATTTTGAGTGGTTGGGTTATGAATTGGACAAGGTGGAGTCCAACTACTATTACCAAGGTGTGTTGAACTACACCAACCAAAAGATGCATGACATTTCCGACACTTTCGAGAACTGGCACTACTACGAGATCGACTGGAAGGAGGACGAGCTCCACTGGCTGATTGATGGTGAGGTTATTCGTACATTGACGAGATCCGAGACCTGGAATGAGACCAGGAAGGCATACATGTACCCTCAAACGCCATCCAGAGTGCAATTTTCCTTGTGGCCTGGTGGAGGAGCTGACAACGCTGAAGGTACCATCGAGTGGGCTGGTGGTGCGATTGACTGGGACTCCAAGGACATCAAGAAGAATGGCTACTACTACGCTTACGTGAAGAACGTCACCGTGGAGACCTACGACTTGCCTAGCTTTGCCAAGAAGAACGTCAGCAACCTGACTAAGGGCTACCATGCATACTTATACAACTCCACTGACGCCAATGAGAAAAATATCTTTTTGACAAAGGATAAAACCTGGTTGGGCAGTGGAGATGCTACTGGTTTCGACCCAGATAACGAGGAGAAGGTGGAAACGACAACCTCCGGATCCAAGACTATCACCAAAACACTGTCTAAAAGCAAAACCGGTACCGTCGACGTGCCTACTGGAAATGGTAACGGCGGTGCCGCTGGTAACCGTGGTGGAAGTGGAACTACTTCAACCTCTGAATACACCGGAGGCTTCGTCCAAAACTCCAATGGCAGCGGTACCAGTGGATCAAGTGGTAGCTCCGGCTCCGGCTCCGGCTCCGGCTCCGGCTCGGGCAGTAGCTCAGGCGCTCCATCTTACACTGTCGAACGCATTCTCGCCTTGGCTGCTGGTGTTGTCGGTGCTGTCTTTACCTTTGCTATTTAGACATTGGACAATTTATGATATTCGTGTGCACAACAGAAATTGCGTTCACGATACGTAGTTTCTTCTAATTCAAGCAATAAACGCTAATGAGAAATATGAAAGCACTATAATTGTAGATATTTTGTTCGGTCAAGCAGCAGCTATTGAGCTTAGCAGCCCACGTCCGGGTGTTGCGTAAAGTATTGGTGCACGGGTGTGCGCCAAATTGACCACCGAATCGAAATTATGAAAAACCAAAACTTAGCAGAACTAACTCAATCCTCCTGAACAATCTTCCATCTTACAACAACCCTGGCAAGATGAAGATGCTCACCAAGTTCGAGTCCAAGTCCTCCAGGGCGAAGGGCGTTGCCTTTCATCCGAAAAGACCCTGGGTTCTTGTGGCATTGCACTCGCTGACGATTCAGTTATGGGATTACCGTATGGGAACCTTGATTGAGCGTTTCGAGGACCACGATGGCCCTGTGAGATCCGTTGACTTCCATCCTACCCAGCCCCTTTTCGTGTCTGGCTCCGACGATTACTCCATTAAGGTTTGGTCTTTGAACACCAGAAAGTGTATCTTTACTTTGAACGGCCATTTGGATTACCTCAGAACAGTCAGTTTCCACCACGACTTGCCTTGGATTCTTTCGTGTTCCGATGATCAGACTATCCGTATTTGGAATTGGCAAAACCGTCAAGAGATTGCTTGTTTGACCGGCCACAATCACTACGTTATGCTGGCTCAATTCCACCCAACGGATGATTTGATTGTGTCCGCCTCATTGGACCAGACTGTCCGTGTTTGGGACATCTCGGGACTTCGTAAAAAGCACTCGGCTCCTACCTCCTCAATGCGCTCGTTCGAGGATCAATTGCAACGCAGACAATTACCTCAACAGGACATCTTTGGCAATGTGAACGCCATTGTTAAATACGTGCTTGAGGGCCATGACAAGGGCGTCAATTGGGCTGCTTTCCATCCTACGTTGCCCCTTATTGTCTCTGCTGGTGACGATAGATTAGTCAAGTTGTGGAGAATGAGTGACAGCAAAGCTTGGGAAGTTGACACTTGCCGAGGCCACACTGGCAATGTGCTCTGCTCCATTTTCCACCCACATCAGGACTTGATTCTTTCAGTTTCTGATGACAAGACCATTCGTGTTTGGGATTTGAACAAGAGAACGCCAGTCAAGCAATTCAGAAGAGAAAGTGATCGTTTCTGGTTGGTTGCCAGTCACCCAACCATCAATTTGTTTGCAACATGCCACGATTCCGGTGTTATGGTATTTAAGCTCGAAAGGGAGAGACCAGCTCACGCACTTTTCCAGAACAAGTTGTACTTCGTGAACACTGAAAAGCAAATCCAATCCTACGATTTCCAGAGGGAGGAGACATCAATGCCTATGTTGTCGCTTAAAAAAATTGGAAAGACTTGGTCTGCTATGAGATCTTTGACTTACAACCAGTCCGACAATTCTATATTGGTGACCCACGGTGAAGGTGATAATGGAATGTACGCCCTTATTGCCCTTCCGAAGCATGTCACTGGAGCTATAGAGCCTGCTGATATTCGTCTGGGTGAGGGTAACTTTGCTTGCTTCATTTCTCGTAACCGTTTTGTTGCCTTTGTCAAATCCTCCAAAGTCTTGTACGTTAAGGATACCAACAATAATGTTACCAAGACAATTCAGTTAGATTCATCCGTGGTCGATGTCTTGTATGGTGGTCCAGGTCGCGTCTTGTTGGTGAAGTCCCATTCCATCATTAACTACGACGTCCAGCAGAGAAAGGAGTTGGCCGAATTGAGTATCAACAATGTCAAATATGTTGCATGGTCCAACGATGGTCAATACTTGGCGCTCTTGTCTAAGCACACCATCTCCATTGCTAACAAAGACTTGCAATTGATCACCTCGACCCATGAAACTATTCGTATCAAGAGTGCTGCTTGGGACGAGTCGGGTGTTTTGTTGTACTCCACTTTGAATCACATCAAGTACACATTGTTGAATGGTGACAACGGTATCATCAAGACTTTGGACAACACGCTTTACATTACTAGAGTCAACCAGAACAACGTATACTGCTTGAACCGTGCTGGCCGTGTTGAGAAGCTCACCATTGACCCTACTGAATACAGATTCAAGAGATCATTGGTGAACAAGAACTTCAACGAAGTGTTGCGGATCATAAAAAATTCCAACTTGGTTGGTCAAAATATTATCGCTTACTTGCAACAGAAAGGCTACCCGGAGATTGCTTTGCAATTTGTTCAGGATCCTGAGACAAGATTTGATTTGGCTCTCGAATGTGGTGACTTACAGACTGCTGAGGTGGAAGCTAACAAGCTCAAAAACAACGGCATTTGGGAAAGATTGGGCCAGGAAGCTTTAAATCAAGGTAACGTTGAGCTTGTTGAGAGAATCTACCAACAGTTGCAACTTTTTGACAAGTTGTCCTTCCTTTACTTGTACAAGGGTGACACTGAGAGATTGGGAAAGATGTCATTGATTGCCAATGCTCGTTCAAACCTATCTTCTTTGGTCCAGAACACACTCTACAACAATGATGCACTCACAAGAGTTGATGCGTACATCAAGGCTGGTCAGCTTCCTTTGGCATACACATTGGCAAAGTCCAGTGGTTTGTCAGAGAAGGCTGAAGAGATTTTGGCTGCTGCTGAGCTCACTGAAAACGATGTTCAATTGCCAGTAATTGACAGACTTGTTCAATTACCAACCCCAAGCCCTGAGGTATCTGGTAATTGGCCAATCAAAGAAAGTAACGCTTCGTTCTTTGAAACTGCTGTTGTTACTGGTCAGGTGGATGATTTGACCATTGAAGATGAAAAAGGAGAGGATGAAGTCAGGAATGGAACTCCACTCGATTTCACAGATACTGCATTGGAGGAAGACCAAGACGATGATGAGGGCGGATGGGACATGGAAGACGAAGATCTCAATATTGACGATGACCTTGATGGCTTCGACGAGGAAAACATTGTCGGTGAAGACGAACCTGCTGCTACTAAGGTTGAAGGTGCAGATGGGGAAATCGCCTATTGGCTTCGCAATAACAAGACAGCCGCTGGCTATGTTGCCGCTGGTGCTTTTGACCAAGCCGCTTCTCTCTTGCACAAGCAACTTGGTGTCGTGGACTTCGGTCCATTGAGGGAACGTTTCTTGGAGGTTTACTCGAGTAACAAGTTGTACTTGCCAGGTTTGGATGAGTTGCCTGCTATGAAGGATTACATCAGAGAGGATAACGATGAGGACAACCCCAACAAGTTCAGACCACAGATTCCAGGCTACGACAGCTTGGAGGAGAAATTGAGTACAGCTTTTAAGTTCTTCAGAGTCAACAACTTACCCGAAGCTATACAAGCATTCCGTGATATCATCTACACCATCGCTGTTATAAGTGTCCAGGATGAGGAGCAGGAGGCCAAGTGTGAAGACGTCTTGACCTTGTGTAGAGAGTACGTCTTGGGCTTGTCTATCGAGTTGGAGCGTCGTTCCCTCGATCCTTCTGATGTGAAGAGAAATTTGGAGTTGGCCGCATATTTCACGAGAGCTAAGCTTCAAAATGCCCACAAGGTGAACGCCTTGCAGGTGGCCATGCTGGAATGTTTTAAGAACAAGAACTACTCCAGTGCATCATATTTCGCAGGCGAGCTCTTATCAATTGTCAACACTGGCGCCAAGGCTGAGAAGGCACAGAAGATCAGAGCGAAGTCCGACTCAATATCCAGTGATGCTGTGGAGATTGACTTTGACCCATACGCCGAGTTCGATATCTGTTGTGCATCCTTTACTCCAATCTACAAGGGCGAATCTGCAGTTACGGAAGCTTTGGTAAGTGCGAAATACAAGCCGGAGTATAAGGGAGAAGTTTGTCGCATCACCAAGATCACTAGCATAGGGCTGCCAGCATCAGGATTGCGTATTCGCGTCTGAGCAATAAAAGCGAGCCAGAAACGAAACACTTAGTTTAAATTCAAATCAAACAACGTATCAAAAAACGAATGTAGCACGTACATATAAATGCCTAGTTGAGCTTCATCTGCGCGCCTAGTAAAAACTGAAAAACTCTATACTGAGAGACAAAAAGCTGTATCTGGACCTCCATACTGTTGCGTTTAATTTACCAAGAGCATGTCAGAGGCACTCAAGTGGAAGGACGATGGTAACAAGCTCCTTAAGGAGCAAAAATACAACGAAGCCATCGATGCCTACACAAAAGCCATAGAGCTAGATGGCACGAACCCCATCTTCTACTCCAACAGAGCACAAGTACACATAAAATTGGAGAACTATGGCTCAGCCATTGCTGATTGTGACGCTGCGGTCAAAGCTGACCCTCTGTTTATGAAGGCGTACTACAGAAAGGGTGTTTCGCTCATGGCGCTTTTGAATTACAAGGAGGCCCAGACTAATTTCAAGATAGTTTTGCAGAAGCTTCCAAATGACAAATTGACCTTAGAAAACCACAAGCAATGTGTAAACTACTTGAAGAAGGAGGCTTTTGAAAAGGCTATCGCAGGGGATGAGAAACAGCTGGTTCTTTACGGTCTCGACTTCGATGGTATGCTTATTGAGAAACTGTGGGAAGGACCTCTGTTGGATATCAAAGCTATTAAGCTGGCCGACAAGAAACAAGTCTCTATTGAGATCGGCGGATTGGATCAAGCATACTTGAAGTACATGATTGAGCTCTTCAAGAAGGGAGGTAAGTTACCCAAGAAGCATGTCTTCGCAATCGTGGCCAAAGTAAATGAGCTTCTCCGGAATGAGAACTCTATGGTGGAGGTAAGTTTGCCCCATTCCCAACTCGATGAGCTGATTTTGCCCGAAGATGAGATCATCCTCAAGAACGGAAAGAAGCTCACCGTTGTTGGTGATACCCACGGTCAATTCTACGATGTATTGAACCTATTCCAAAAGTTTGGCTTTGTTTCGAACGAGCATGTTTACTTGTTCAATGGTGACTTTGTCGACAGAGGTTCTTGGTCATGCGAGGTTGCGTTGTACTTGTATGTGCTCAAGATCTTATACCCACAATCGCTCTTCATGAACCGTGGAAATCACGAGACAAACGATATGAACAAGACATACGGGTTCACGGATGAATGTGAAGCCAAATATTCGAAGAAGGTGTTCGAGGCTTTTGCCGAGTCTTTCGGTGCATTGCCTTTGGCCACTTTGATCAACAGATCTTATTTGGTCATGCATGGAGGCCTTTTCTCCAACGACTCTGTTACACTTGATGATATCAAAAAGATTAACAGATTCCCAAGTTCAGGCTCCTCGCAGCCACCTAGAGAGGGATTGGCTATGGAGCTTTTGTGGACCGACCCTCAACCTGAAAACGGAAGATCGCCATCAAAGCGTGGTTTGGGTATTCAGTTTGGTCCAGACATTACAGAGAAGTTCTGTGTGAATAACAAGATCCGCAAGATCTTGCGTTCTCATGAGGTAAGAATGGGTGGATTTGAAAACGAACACAACGGTAGACTTATTACGGTGTTTAGCGCACCTAACTATTGTGACGCTACAGGAAACATGGGTGCTGTGGTTCACTTTACGGAGAACTCCCAGTATGATAAGTCACAGGACAACGGAGAGGGTTACAAGGAAAGTGACGAGAAAAACTGTCCATGGTCCCTCGAACTGGAGACATTTGAGGCTGTTCCTCACCCAGATATGAAGCCTATGGCTTATTCTAAGGCTGGTTTTGGATTCTAGTCTAAATCTTGTATTATAGTGTAATGATGCATCTAGAGGTATTTAACGGCTGCAAATGTATGCATGCGTAGCATATGGTCGACTTTTTTCGTGCTTTATTTTTTTCGCCTTAATGCTGAGAGTGAATCCAGCATAATGACTTCGCCTAGCCAGTAGTAAAGGAATCAAGCCTGAAACTGATAATAATTTGCTCACGAGCGAAGTGGTGCAACCATAGGGGCACGGGTTTGGCTACTTATATACTTTTCGCATACTACTTCTTATCAACTAGTGTACTTTTTCTTGACATGAGCAACGAAGCAAATGATGAACCAGATGAATGGGATCAAAGAATCATCAACACAGGCTGTTACGAGGAGAATCTAGCATTGCAGCTATGTCATGCCGACAAGGGTGATTGGCGCAAATGCCTAGGGGAGATGGAGGCGTTCCGGAAATGCTGGGATAAGAACAAAAATAATGATCGAACGAGCACCGTTGAGATAGAACGGAAAGACAGAGAGTTGTAAAGTGTAAATAGTTCATATAAATACTGCTATCGCGATGTTCTGTAGAGAAGGTGTTTAACTTGGGAGTCATGAAGATAGTTCGAGAGGGCCCACAAAATTGAATTAGGGCAATCGGTCAAGCAATCTGCCAAGTAATGGATAGAAAATCGATTGATGATTCAAAGTGATCCAAGGTAGCCAAATCGTGCACGTGACTGTTTCTATGGTTGTAATCAGAGACGAGACGCATCTCGATCAGCGTGTTTTCCAGCCTCTCACTCGGCATGCTGCCTCGATTCGAGAGACTGATTCTTCTCGATGAAGATCCTGATGAATCCACGATATCACCATTCCTCAATCAGTCTCATGTTACTGATAGAAATATGAACGACGAGATTTCCAAACTCAAAACAGACAGTACCAAGAGATTCAAAGAGAGATGGGAGAAGATCCTCGAGAAATATTCGGCAATTGATGACGACCTAGAATCGGACGAGATTGATCTTGAAAGTGGAAAAATCACCATCGATAACGGCCACTTGCGTTCGATGGCTCCCAATGAGATCATCGTGGGAGGTGTCAAGGTGAATGGTGATATATGGGCAGATGATGACTCCTACGATAAAGCTTATAGTGATCAGAAACGCGTTCAAGCTCACCAAGAGAGACTACGAAAGAGGTTCGAGAGTCATATTCGTCGTCATAAAGAAGGCTCGCCTCTAAAGAGAAACGACGTCCCTAGCGATAACTTACACAATACGTTTTTGAGTCCAACAAAGCGGTGTAAACCAGAACTGCCACTTTATCGGGACAGCACGGCATGTTCCTCTCTATCGGATGACTCAGATGCATCGGAGTTATACGCTTCACCTTTTCGATCATCGCGTATGGGCTCTGTTCCTTCGAGTCCGTTGAAACCCTCCTCATCGATTTCTCCAACGAAAAGGCTTCGAAAGTCTCATCCACCATACTGGTATAACTGTGCTTTTGAATACTGTTCATTCATTACAGAAGAGAAATTTGGATACGAGAGCCACTTATTGGCAAAACACGCAGATGAGCTATCGTTCATAGGATATCCAGTGAAGGGAAATGAAGGAAGGATCACATCTGTCATCACCGAGCTATGCACAAGGAAGCTTGCTCTACATTTTCCCTTGTCATTTGATTCGGAGGGTCAAGCATTGGATAAAGATACCGGAGCCTGTCCTCTTTTAGGATGTGATTTTAGTGATAACAGCATTGATCGATTAATTGGGCATATAAAGAAAAACCATAAACTGATAGTGGCAAGAACAGGCTTCCCAACTTCGGCATCGCGCTCTGCAAGACATCCGGGTGAAATTATGAAAGAGAAAAGGTGCTCCCCAAGTAAGTTGCCTATTGATAATCACGAAGAGAAAGACAGATGTCTATACGAGAATTCGCTGGCGAATCCCTCTAGCTTAGACATACCCAGCGCCCCGCCTTTCCAAATTATGGAGAATGCATTAAGCGATCCGGAGGAAAAAGACGACAAATATGATGGTTATGACTCCATTGATGAATTTTTCAATGATTAATAGAGGTCTATAAGGACTGTGTAATTCTATGTACAATATTAATGATGCTTAGATCAAGCAGTAGCCTCTCCACCGGCTTCTGAAGGATTGTTGTCTTGGTCTCTGCCTTTGTATACCTCGTTGCCCTTGATATACTTGTCAAAAGCATCATTCCTCTCGGGGAAAGGACGTGGGCCAACTAATCTGATCATGTCTTCACGAGTCAAAACTTCTTTCTTGAAGACCTCCTCTGCAACCTTGTCGACCAATTCAATCTTTTCAGTCAAAAGTTTTTTGCAAGCGTCGTAAGCCTCGTCAATAAAGCGCTTTACCTCTTCATCGATGAGCTTGGCAGTCTTTTCAGAGTAGGTGTTATGCACCTTGAAACCTCCTTGTTCATTACCAGTGTCGAAGTAGATGCTACCAATCTTGTCGGACATTCCCAACTGTAATACCATCAGTTGAGCCATTTGAGTGATCTTCTTGAAATCATCTGAAGCTCCACTAGTCACCGATTCAAAGTGTAATTCCTCACTAACTCTTCCGCCGAGTGCCATGATCATTCTATGTTTAAACTGCTCCTCTGAGACCAAATATTGGTCCTTGGGTAAGTATTGGGCGTAGCCTAAGGCACCCTGACCACGTGGAATAATGGAAACCTTCACCAACGGATCAGCATACTCCAAGAACCAGCCACAAATAGCATGACCAGCTTCGTGATATGCCACGGTCTTCTTTTCATCTGGTGTCAAAACTCTTGACTTCTTCTCGAGACCGGCGATGACTCTTTCGATAGCCAGTTCGAAGTGGTGAACATCGACGGCAGTGTCATCCTCTCTAGCAGCAATCAAAGCACCCTCGTTACAACAGTTTGCGATGTCAGCACCTGCAAATCCAGGAGTCAACGCAGCCAATCTTCCAGCAAGGTTATCGGTGGCTTCATCAATCAATTGTTGGTACTTGTTGAAGTCAACATCACTTTGGGATGCTCTGATATCCTCAACGCATTTCAATGTAAGCTTATTCAAGTGGACCTTGAAGATGGCTTTTCTGCCCTCGATGTCAGGTGTGTCAATCGTGACATGTCTGTCAAAACGACCTGGACGCAATAAGGCCTTGTCCAAGATGTCAACACGGTTAGTACCAGCGAGAACAACAACATGATCCGAAGCTTCAAATCCGTCCATTTCGACAAGCAACTGGTTCAATGTGTTTTCTCTTTCATCGTTACCAGCAACACGACCGTTGCCTCTCTCTCTACCAATGGCATCGATTTCATCAACGAAGATAATGGATGGAGCCATCTCACGGGCAGTCTTGAACAAATCTCTCACACGAGAAGCACCTACACCGACGAACATCTCGACAAACTCCGATCCCGAAACAGACAAGAAGGGTACACCTGCCTCACCAGCAGTTGCCTTGGCCAAAAGTGTTTTACCTGTACCTGGGGACCAGACAAGATAGCTCCTCTTGGAATCTTGGCTCCGAGTTTCTCATACTTGACAGGATCTTGAAGGAACTTGACAAACTCCATGATTTCTTCCTTCGACTCCTCGCATCCAGCAACATCTTTAAATTTAATCTTGACGTCGGTTTCTTGATTGAAGAGTTTTGCCTTAGATTTGCCAATCTTGAAGATACCACCCGCACCGCCTGCGCCGCCTTGTGGTGCCTTCCGTACACTGATGTACCAGAGACCACCGATTAAGAGCACAGTGGGGAGGATTGGCATGATCATGTTGAGCCAGGAGCCACGCTCAATATAGGAAACTGGGAGCCTTTCCTGGATGGGGATACCTAGTTTGTCCTGGGTGGCATTCATCTCTTCTTCAAACACCTCCACGGAACCGATGGTAAAGACCACGAATGGGTTACCATTCATATCACGAGAAGTCTCGTCAGAGAAAGCTCCTGGGACTAGTTCTGCTTCGACGGCAAAACGGTTCACCACAGTGAGCTTTTTGACGAGACCCTTCTCTAGGTAACGGGTCTTGAAGGCTTGGAATGATAATTCATCACGCTTGTTGGACTGTGACACGGTGGCGTAAAACGTTAGAGGGATCGTGAATAAAGTGCAAATCAATACGAGACTGAGACCTTCCTTGCTGAATAAAGAGGCATCTCTGCCTTTCTGCTTTCTTGAGGACTCCTGCTTTTGGCGCAACTCCTCACGGAATTTCTTCTCCTCCTCCTTGTATCTTCGGGTCTCTGGATCTTCTTCTTCCTTTTCGGGCTTATCCTCTGACTTGGGTTTGCTATCTTCATCTTTGCTCTTTTCTTCCTTTGGGGCTTTCTGTAGTCTTAGGAAAGACTGACTAAATTGGACTCTAGGAGCAGTCGAAAAGAGTCTGCCAGCCCTTGGAATAGCCAGAGGTCTAGGCCTCATTAGGCTAAGAGAGCTTATCGCTCGGCGGGTCATCAAACCACGCAACAAGCTCATTATGATTGTGTTGGACGTATTAAGCGTTTTGAGGTGAGGTCTTTCGCCTTCTAAAAAGACAAAATGTGTGCACGTGACCTGCTAGGCGATTCGTAGCACTAACCTACCCCAGGAATTGCTGCGAAAATTAGTGAGATTGGCGGTCCAGCCACGGGTAGTACCGATTATGTATTATTACCTACTTGCGCTTCATAACCTCGTCCCAGGTGGTTTCGCAAATCTCCATGAAGCGTGCCTTTTTCTCGTCCAGCGAGAGATTCTTGTTCAAGATCTTGAACCGGAAGGTCAGTTTGTCCATGAAGGACATGGATCCGTAAATCTCGTCGCTCTCCTCCCATTTCCGGCGCATCTCTTCCATCTCTTCCTCTGTAGCAGCTTGGCGGTCATCGGCGGTGACGGTGAAGCGAGCCTTTTGAGCCAGTGGCGGCTGCAGCGGTAGTGGTGCTGCTCTCTTCACATCATCAACGAAGACATCTTGAACTGGACGAGCTCTTTTGGAACCTGGCGCAGGTTGCACCGGTGGAGCGGTTTGTGGACCACTCAGCTTTCTTCTATCGAAGGGTATCTCTCTACGGTATGGTGTGACAACGAAAGGAGTGCCCAAGGGAGCCATGGAAGGTGGACGCCTGAAGCGTTGCACCATCCTGGGGGCAAAGTATGGTCTGAGAGGTGCCAGTCTCAAGCCATGTGTTTGGTATGAGTACATGCCTGGGTGTGCATTAGCAGCAGTGTATGGGCCACTGCCGACAGCAGGATTATTGTGGAGCTTGAGCGGCTTGGGTACCCTATCACGCTTGAGAGAGCGGTTCTTCAAATGGGATGCAAGCCTGTCCAGAGAGTAGGAAGCGCCAGGGCTCAGTTGGGTGCTGTCACACGCCAGGAGCGGAGATGAGGTTCCATTCTCTTGTTTGACATTGGGGAACAGGGTGGATGTTGATGATGAGAAAGCTGAAGATTCGGCGGCAGAATTCACGGGCGTGTTACCCGTGGATTGGGTGGGCAGAATCGGTTCGGACGTGTCGTCATTCTTCTTGGCCGCGATGATACTAGACTGTCTGCGTTTGATGGACTCGCTTATACGAACGGTGTTCCTCATGTCCTCGCTCATGGACAGCGTCGCTATCGGAGATACGATCTGAAGGATGGCATCGTTTCTCGCCGAGTCGTTGGCGAGCTTCAAGGAAGGCGGACGAGGACGAGGCTCGGGCATGATTTCAACGAAAGGAGGAAAACGGAGGATTATATGGCTCGTGCTGAGAAACGGTGAAAATCGGCCCCCCTACGCCTTGTGTTTCAGAATGGCTTCTCTGTAGGAATGAAACAGGCGAGAATGGAGAAACCGCGCAGGGAATGCAGTGAAGGGCAGGGCCAGAAAAAAAAAAAAAAAAAAAAAAAATACGGAAAAATGTCCCGAAGCCGGAAACACAAAGAAATGAGGCGTTTCGCTGCTTCAGCAAAGTTTGACGTCGAGATGGTATTGTTTGATATACGAGGGAGCTGTAAGTGTCACTGGCGGGTGTGGTGTTTTGGATTTATGCATTTCGCAGCCGTTGCATGATGAAATTCTAACGTGTAATGACATTGCAAAAGAGAAAGAAGAAAACAACGGCCACGGCCGGAGCGCATGAAATAGTGTCAATTGATCTACAAAAACAAAATATTCCAGAAGTCATGAATTTTGCGCTGGCGGCGGTGGGCCGGAATGCATGGCATTCCAAACCGGTTTTAGCGACGAATTCGGAAAGGATATTGGGTTAGAGACGAGGCTGAAGCGGCTTGCGATTTCACACGGAACTTCCGTGTGGGCGTGGTGGTTACGGCCTGCTATGCAGCAAAACCTTCGATGCAACCCCCAGCGGGCCGCTAATAAATGCTTACAGACAGATCTTTCTACTGACGAACGAGTCTTTCTACTGCATGTATTCCTAGTCCTTCGGTTTCTTACTGAGTGAATTGTTCCCAGCCCGTTGGTCTCTTCAAGCCGTGCTGGGAGAAGAATTTGGGCGTGCAAGAGTAGCCTCTCCAGGTGAAATCATCCTTGGGCTCGCACACACACTTCTTGGCTTTACGAGTTTCTTCGTCCACGGGACAGTTGTGGAAAGGCACGTGCCAGTAACCCAAGTCGCCAAAGAAGTGCAATTTGTCTCTGGGACGAAAAGCGAGGCGCCAATCGAATGCACGGGCGCGTCACCCCATCTTTCGTAAAAGAAGCCTCCCTTCTTGTCGAGGAAGTCAAAGTATTTCAGGTAGGCCTCACCACGCCACAAGTCAAGCTTGGCAATCTCAAAGTTCGACCAGAAGTGACATCCATTGTATGTCTTTCCATTGTCGTCAGAAATCCATGGCAAGTTGTTGTCCTTGGCGACGTACTGGGGTACTTGTCCATAAACTCACGGGTAGACTCCCACAAGGTTGGGATGGTCTCCTTGTACTCAGGCAAGGAGATGGTCCATCCGTACCACTTGTCATTGTCCTTCATGTACTTGAAAATGTCATAGTCGATGTCACAGAAGATCTTGATGTCTGGCTCAACACGCCAGTAGTACTCGTACTCCTGCATCAACTCGTGTCTGTAGAAGAATCCAGACTCGAAACGACACATGTGTCTGTAAGACTCGGAGCCACCATAGATAACCTTCTTCTGGACCATGGCCTCTCTGGCCAAGGCAGCCTTCTCACGGTCAATCCAGTCAGGGTAAGACCAGTGCTCCTTAGGAATGACACCGAACTTGGTCTGACCAGAGACAACGGCAGAGACGGCAGACTTGAACTCCTCGTTGAACTCCTGATCATTCAAGAACACCCAGTCGTAGTGGAAGTTCTTGTTGAAACGGTCCTCCACATGTCTGATGGACTGAAGGATAGAAGCTTTGTCGGAGTTTCTAGCCAACGTAACAAAAGTCGCCTTAATCTTGTTGGCGATGTTAGGGTTGGAGGCGTCATTAGCTGCACCCTTGACAAGCTCTGGCGAAGCTGGAACCTTAGGGGCTGATGCATCCTTCAAAGGCTTTTGCTCCTCAACAGCCTTCTGGTTTGGCTCGTTCTTGGGATAGCCTGAGCTGGGGCCGACTGAGACTGTGGCGCCTCATAGGTGGATCCCTTGGTGAGTACATAACCACAGAAGATCAAGACTAGCGCAAAGATGGCGAATCTGACCAACCTGGCGTTTGATCTTGGGAAGCCATGTTGCGAGGAGTAGTGGGAAGAAAAATCGTCTCCAGACAGTCGCACTTTTACGTGTCTCCTTGCGCGCCTAGGCTGTGCACTCCCAAATTGAAGGACCAGGGAGAGGAAAAGTTGAAAAAAAACGCCTGAGAAACTTTTGAGAAAATAAATTGGCTACTAATTTTGGAACATGCCTCCTGGACCCGTATTTTGTAAGCTGGCCAAATACGCGATACGTGGAAACCCAAAATATTTTTGAGTTCATTTGGCTGGTTGTTGCACTGCTTCTCTTGGCGAGAAGCGAGGCAAACGGCTAATAGCACATTTGAGACAGGACATTCTCAACGAGGCAGATTGTCGTCGGAACACGCCAAAAGACATGAAAGCGACACGCTTTTGAGATCGGACACCACGCGTTTGAAGTCTGCCAGTCCATCACTCTCATTACAATTGTTCACGCCTTTGTCCGGCCTCTTCGCTTAGGTGTCTCAGCGCACTCGACACGCTCTCTGCAGCACGGCGCTTCTATATTTCCACCTTGGACTGCCATGCAACTTCCTTACTGGTAGTCCACCCATTCCTTAGGCTTCTCGAGCTTCATTGCCTCGTAATACTTCTTGCCACAACTGTACCCTCTGAATGTGAAGTCCTTGTCTGGGTTGCAATCGCAGCGGTGCTCAAAACGGAACTGAGGATTCAACGGACATTGAGTGTAAACTCCGTGGTTGTATCCGACGTCTTCGAAGTAGTGGATCTTATCCTTAGGCAAAAATAGCGCAGCCGCAATGGAATGAATGGGTGCGTCGCCCCAGCGCTCGTAGAAAAATCCGCCCGTCTTGTCGAGGTAGTCAAAGTAGTCTCTGTACGCTTGTGACCTCCAGAAATTCAACGAAGCCACCTCGAAGTTGGACCAGAAGTGGCATAAGTTGTACGTCTCACCGTTGTTGTCACTGATGAACTCCATGAAGTTATCCTTGGCGATATGCTGTGGGTATTGCTTGATGAAGTCCTTTGTGTGTTGCCACAACAGGGGAATTGTCTTCTCGAACTCATGAATGGAAATTGTGAATCCGTAGACCTTGTCATTGTCTTCCATGTATTTGAACAAATCGTAGTTCAAGTCACAATGCACCTGGATACCTGGCTCGACACGCCAGTACCAGTCATACTCATCTAACAATGGGTTTCTCCAGAAGAATCCACTCTCAAACCGACACATGTGTCTATACAGCTCGGAGTCTCCGTAGATGATCTTCTGAGCCTTCATGTCCGAACGAGACTTGGCAGCTTTCTCCATGTCGATCCACTCTGGGTAGGACCAATGTTCCGTTGGAATCTCACCGTACTTGGCATTTCCAGAAACGATGGAACTTGTCAAGTCCTTGAACTCTTGCGTGAAGGGCTTGTCATTGAGAAAGACCCAATCGTAACGGAACTTACGGTTGAATCTGTCCTCCACATTTCTGATTGCCTTGATCAAGTCGTACAACTCTTCGTTTCTGGCCAACGAGACAAATGTAGCTTTCACTCTGTCACCAGGGATCACACAGTCGCCAGGCTGCTTGCCCACCTGCTCTTGCGAGCCGATCTGCTGAAAGGCAGCGTTCTCCTCTTTGGAATTGTCTTTGATGGAAGGGGCATCATTGTTAGTCACTGGTGGCAGCGCAGGAGCGGGCGGCAGCGCAGGAGCGGGTTGTTTCTGGAAATCAGACACTATTTCACCCGTGGCCTTGTCCACATAGACTATGCTTCCATTCAGGGAATGATTAGAAAGCAAGTATATAAACAACAAGGCGATCGCCGATGCGATGGCAACGACAAGCCGCTTATTTTGCGGGATCCGGGCGATCATGCTGATGCTGGTCTATAAAAGAAAACGGGTGCTTATCGACGAATTGGTCAGGGACGTTTTTTGGACCAGTAGGCTGTGTGAAGGCAGGGCTCGCTAAAGCGCAGGAACATTGCTGCCCGGGAGCCGGATCGAAACAAAAGATGCAGCAGGTTTACGAAGTCCAATCAGGTATAAGAGATTTGTGTGAATGCGCTCATTTGAATGGCGAAATTCATCTGGAGGTTAATTGCAAATAAAAGTCGTTTCAACAACTATGGCGCAGGTTTGACAGGTTCCCGTGCAGAATGGAAGAAACTACTGTGCGAGCATTGTTTCGAGAGGCACCATCTTAAAAAGGGAGTCCAATTTCTGGGCGATATGCAACTACAGCGTTACGAAGTAGGGGTACGGTTCGGATCTCGATTCCACGATTTGTGTAAATTTTCGAAGCAGATCGGGTTTACCTGGCCGAGGCTTGCGAGATCTGAAATAGTGCCTCGATATTCCGCATCGGCCTTTGATAATTTTTTAAGTCTAAATCTTGGCTTCGGGCACTCAGCCGGGATTCAACATAATTCTCCTTATAGAAAGCAGTGGCTATAATTTGAGTCGAACAAACCCGGGTGCAATGACAGGGTGGCATTTCCAAAATAGTTTCTAGCCTGGGAGATCTAAGGGCCGAGGAAACAATACATTAGTGGCTTGGTGGGCTTTTTATAGGAACACCTCTGGCGCACTGGTGACGTAGTGGGGCGATCAAAAGGGAAGGAAGCCATACGACGTCTCTGGAAGACTTAGTTATAGATTTAAGTTGTTCATTAAGTGAATTTGGGTTCCTGTTACAGGGGATGGGGTATTTTAGATATTGGGACCTTGGAACCTCAGGAGAAACGTGGGGTCAAGTTAAGAAGTGCATTCAGTAATCTTGAAACAACATTATTCAAGTGGGGGTCAATCACGGCAATATCAAGAGCCAAAGTGCTCTTCACATGCTACTGTGTGTTTGATTAGTTGGTAAGAGTAAGCTGTTGTAGGAGCTTGCAAGGAAAGAGGAGCGCTGGCTTTAGACCAATAGGAAACACAAACTTTTGCAACCACGCGGTTTGATACAAAGCCTGGAATTTATTTACGAAAAGATATCGAACAAGTTTAATCGTATTTTCGAGACTTTTGAGCATCTCCAACAACAGGTTCAGTGAAATCCATGGTATGAAGACGTTTAAATCCTCATACAAGCTGGTGACTGGTTGTCATCGAGGCATCTTATTTGAGAATTTATTTAGAGGACCAAATTTAAAATATTCTATGACTATTGACATTTGTATGTGGATCATTTTATAGTAGCCTGGGGCCCAACTCAGAATCACCTGCATAGTGTGTATTCTCTTAAGTATGGCAAGATACTCTATCATCAATTGCCCTCAACTCTACATACCCAATTAAACCATGATCATTCGATTCAGATCCAAAAATGGTATGCTTAGGGTCAAGACCGAGCCCTCGGACCAATTTCTGACTCCTTTGATGGAGGTGGTTTCCAAATGGGCCATCCCTGACCCAAAGCTGATGTTCATAAGCGACAAGCCAAACGATAAAGGGACCTCGGTCGCTGAGCTCGCCGAGAAGTCACTTGGTGAACTTGGCCTTAAGAATGGTGATATGCTTTTTGTGACTTATGACTCTGGTGAGCAGGAGAAATCTGCGTCAATAGTACCAGGTCGCCACCAGACGATACCTGTGAGAGATATCACACCAGCACCTAAGGAATCCGTTAAGCAGCACCCAGTCGATGATCTTCTTGACTCACAGGATGGGTTAATCAAGAGACCAAAGTCAAGTTTCTGTAAGCATGGCGACAAGGGTATGTGTGAATACTGTTCTCCATTACCGCCATGGGACAAGAACTATCTTAAAGAGCAAGGCATCAAACACAAATCGTTCCACGCATATTTGAAGGAAATGAACGAACAACAGAATAACAAGAGCAAGGCCTCGTCTTATATTTCTCCCTTGCAGGATCTAAACTACGCCATCAACTTGCATTGTCCAGGGGGCCACGCCCCATACCCAGGAGGAATTTGTTCCAAATGTCAACCTGCCCCAATCACTCTTCAACAGCAACCGTTCCGTATGGTGGATCATGTGGAGTTTTCCGATTTTTCTCTACTCAATAATTTCATCGATGTGTGGAGACAATCAGGTGTCCAGAGATATGGCGTGCTCTATGGTAGGTACGAAGCATTTGAAAAAGTTCCATTGGGCATAAAAGCAGTTGTTGAAGCAATTTATGAGCCACCTCAGCTGGGCGAGTTTGATGGAATTACATTGCTCGATTGGCCAAACGAACAGGATGTGGATTCCACCGCTCAAGCCTTGGGCCTTCAAAAAGTCGGTGTTGTGTTTACTGACTTGACAGATTCCGGTCGTAGAGATGGAACTGTTTTATGCAAACGTCATAAAGAGTCCTACTTTTTGTCATGCCTCGAAGTTCTCATGGCAGCAAAAAATCAAATCGCTCACCCAAACTACAGCAAATTTTCAGAAACTCGGGATTTCTCCTCCAAATTCGTCACATGCGTTATCACAGGTAATCAGAAAGGAGAAATTGAGCCTCACTCGTATCAGGTTTCTAGAAGCGCTGAGGGACTCGTGAAAGCAGACATCATATCTGCCTCTACTCATCCAAACATGCTTTGCATAAACAAGACACAGGGGTCAAGATACGTGCCGGACGTGTTCTACTCTAAAATCAATGAGTACGGTTTGGAGGTGAAAGAAAACGCAAAGCCGGCTTTCCCTGTTGAATTTTTATTGGTGACATTGCTGGATTCGTTTCCCTTGGATCCAAAGCCGATGTTCAGACTTGACTTCGTTGTTGAAAATAGGGACTTCCTCGGCGAGCTTCAAGATTTGAAAGCCGTCCAGAGGCAAATTCAGCTGGGAGGCGGCGATGGAAGCCTGCTCATTGATTTCCATTTTTTGGTCTACTTGCGCAAGATGGGAATCCTTAGTAATGATGAGCTTGATTGTCTCTACCGCTACGCAAAGGATAAGAAAGATGAAGACTATTTACAATTGATCGAGTCTGGTGGGTGGATGACTTTGTTGACGGTGTTGGAGCAGAGCACTCACTGATGAGTTGCATATGACCTCTATCATAAGCACCTGGAGCCAAAGTTTTAAATTCGAAGGGACGTCACTTTGAGGATGAAACGGAAATTAAAAGAAATTTCTGTCCTCAAGATTGACTTCACCTTTGGACTGACTCGGTCTGCCTAAGAATGGAACCATATCGGCGATCTTAGCTCGGTGCAGTCTGAGCATTTCGTTGGACCCTACTTGCCGAGACCTCTGTGTGAAGCTACCATGCACAATTTATTTTGTATACAGTACTGCGTACCGTTAGCATGAGCGAAGAGGTGAGAGAGCGGGCTTAAGATGGCAAAAAAGATCAGCGGAGCTACTCATATAGGTTTAGTGACCCTCAAATTAGGTACTAGAAATTTAAAATGCCCATTTACTTTTTTATTAGAGTGAAAAGAAGCTTCACACGTGATAGATCGTTCTCGAATCTTCTAGATGAGTCGTGCGCGGACGAAGTAGTTTTTCGCATACTATATGAGAGTTCGCCTCAGCGCTTTTGTATTATATACTACGTGATACTACCACGAGAATAACTTAATTTAGAAGAATCAGAATGGCTACTCCATTTGGTGTCGACTTGGGTAATGACAATACCGTCATTGCCTGCGCAAGAAACAGAGGAATCGATATCATCGTGAATGAGGTTTCCAACCGTTCCACTCCTTCTTTGGTTGGTTTCGGCCAGAAGAATAGATTTATCGGCGAGACCGGCAAGAACCAGCAAACCTCCAACTTGAAGAACACTGTTGGCAACTTGAAGAGAATCTTGGGTTTGAACTACAAGGACCCAGACTTCGATGTTGAGTCCAAATACTTCTCTTGTGGATTGGCTGAGAACGACAAGGGTCAGATCAACGCTAAGGTCAGATTCTTGAATGAGCCTCAGGAATTTACCTCCACCCAGTTGGCTGCCATGTACTTGAACAAGATCAAGGACATCACCGTCAAGGAGACCAAGGGCAACATCGTGGACATCTGTTTGTCTGTCCCAGTGTGGTTCACCGAGAAGCAGAGACGTGCTGCTTTCGATGCTTGTAAGATTGCTGGCTTGAACCCCGTGAGAATTGTGAACGAGGTCACCGCCGCCGCCGTCGGGTACGGTGTCTTCAAGCAGAACGAGTTGCCTGAGGAGAAGCCAAAGAATGTTGCTTTCGTCGACATTGGTCACTCTTCTTACCAGGTTTCCATCGCTGCTGTCAAGAAGGGTGAGCTCAAGATTTTGGGTTCTGCTTACGACAAGCACTTCGGTGGTAGAGACTTCGACCGCGCTATTACCGAGCACTTTGCCGATGAGTTCAAGGGTAAGTACAAGATTGACATCAGAGAGAACCCTAAGGCCTACTACAGAGTTCTTACTGCTGCTGAGAAGTTGAAGAAGGTTTTGTCTGCCAACACTCAGGCTCCTATTAACATCGAGTCCGTCATGAACGATGTCGATGTGTCTTCCTCTTTGACCAGAGATGAGTTGGAGAAGTTTGTGCAGCCATTGTTGGAGAGAATCAACGTCCCTATTGAGGTTGCCTTGAAGGACGCTGGTCTTACCACCAACGACATTGACTCCATCGAGATCATTGGTGGCTGCACCAGAGTTCCAAGCTTGAAGACCAAGTTGTCTGAGATTTTTGGCAAGCCATTGTCCACCACCCTCAATCAGGACGAGGCCATCGCCAGAGGTAACGCTTTCATCTGTGCCATGCACTCGCCAACCTTGAGAGTCAGACCTTTCAAGTTTGAGGACTTCAACCCATACTCCGTCTCTTACTTCTGGGACAAGGAGGAGGAGGATGACGACCACTTGGAGGTTTTCCCAAGAGGCGGCACTTTCCCATCCACCAAGATCATCACCTTATTCAGAAAGGGTGACTTCGATGTCGAGGCTAGATACACTAACAAGAACGAGATGCCCGCTGGTGTTGAGGACTTGATCGCCAAGTGGCACATCAAGGGCGTGCAGGTCAACAAGGGCGAGAGCTCCATTGCCTGTAAGTTGAAGTTGAGAAACGACCCATCCGGCTTCTACACCATCGAGTCTGCTCACACCGTTGAGGAAAAGATCGTCAAGGAGTTGGTTGAGCCTAAGGAGGGCGAGGAAGTCGATGAGGATGCCGAGCCTCAGTACCAGGAGGTCAAGAAGTTGGTCAAGAAGGACGACTTGGTCCTTGATGTCCAGTCCGCTGCCTTGACTGAGGAGGAGAGAGCCGTTTTCTTCGAGAAGGAGAACGCCTTGATTGTCGCTGACAAGTTGGTTGCCGACACCGAGGACAGAAAGAACGCTCTCGAGGAGTACATCTACGAGTTGCGTGGTAAGTTGGAGGACCAGTACAAGGACTTTGCCTCTGACGACGAGAAGAGCAGATTGACCGACATGTTGATGAAGGCTGAGGACTGGTTGTATGACGATGGTTACGACTCGACTAAGGCCAAGTACATCGCTAAGTACGAGGAGTTGGCTGCCATTGGTAACCTTATTAGAGGTCGTTACATGGCCAAGGAGGAGGAGAAGAAGCAAGCCATCAGACAGAAGCAGGAGGCCGAGCAGATGGCCGCCATGGCTGAGAAGATGGCTGCTCAGAGAGAGGCCTCCAAGGGCTCCGAGGGCGAGAAGAAGGAAGAGAAGAAGGAGGAGAAGGGCGACGAGATGGACCTCGACTAGTGGTCTCGATAGAGTATATAATCTAACGGAAAGGCATTCTTGGAAAAAATGTATGCACATGTAAAATTGACCATCTGAAACCCCAGCTTAAGCCACCGGGACCCAGGGCACGTGATCATGTCGGGCCTCAAACGGTACCTCGCTTGGAGGTGATTTTCTCACGCTTTCTACAACAACTTCTATTGTTATTAAACGGCTAATCCAAAAGGTCACCTAAAATAAACTCCGTCTCAGGCAAAGCACGCCTCAGCATTAGCAGAAATTCGTGCATCTGATGCCTAAACACAAGTCAAACTTGTCTTTGGCCATCCAAAAGGCAGACACGGAGAATCAAGCGGCCCAGAAGAAAGCCAGAACCAAAGCCCAAAGCCAGGATACTGCGCTGTTGAAGAGCCAGGATACAGTTTTAGACAGCCTTGCAGAATGTGTTGAACCTCGCGAGTCCAGCAGCATCCTGTCGTCTTTCAATCTCTTGCCCGGCTTCAATGGATCAGGCAATTTGGCCACCTCTCTACCGCTGGTCAGACTGTTTCGCCCGGAATTAACCCCTATAACCACAAACTTTGAGGAACAAAGCGAAGAACAACTTAATAACTTGATCAGGCGTGAATCGGAGTGCGGAGAGAAAGAGACGACATCCTTAAAGAGTAAAAAGAGTAAGGATGAACTCGAAGAGGGACCAGAGGAAGAAGAAAGCGAAAGCGAAGATGAAACTAATACAGTGAATCCTGATAACGAGGAGGATCTCAAGGATTACGTGCCCGGCGGTTACCACACATGTCACATAGGCGAGACCTACAAGAACAAAAAGTACACATTGGTGAGGAAACTCGGATGGGGTCACTTTTCTACCGTTTGGCTCGCAAGGGACAACGACAAGCAATGTCACGTTGCTATGAAGATCGTCCGCTCTGCCAAACAGTACACAGATACTGCCGTGGATGAGATCAAGTTGTTGGATAAGGTCACTACTTCCGATACTCACCACCCAGGTCATGAGCATGTTATTCAGCTACTTGACACCTTTTCGCATGAGGGTCCCAACGGAGTCCACGTTTGTATGGTTTTCGAAGTCCTAGGTGAGAACCTTTTAGGCCTTATTCGCCGTTACAAACATAAAGGAATCCCTGTGGTTTTCGTGAAGCAAATTGCCAAGCAGCTATTGTCTGCATTAGATTTTCTACATCGCCGCTGTGGTGTCATTCACACTGATATTAAGCCCGAGAACGTCTTGATCGAGATCGGTGACGTTGAGCAAATTGTTCGTATGGTTGAACAAGAAGAGCAGCATGCTAAGCTCCAAAGAAAGCTTCTGCGCACTAAATCAACCTCGGGTGTTGCCTCTCATTCAAACTCCACCCCATCTACATCAACTCAAAACACGCCACAAATCAAGCATGCTCAAATTGGCGAGAAAGTCAAATCCTCGGCGGACACGTCTTCCCCTCTGCTCGGCCGAAACGGAAGACGTTCTCGCCGTCAGACTCTCATCACAGGATCTCAGCCTTTACCATCCCCACTCCGCTCCTTTAACAAGTCATTCACGAACATGCATAACCTTGCGAACTCCTCCAACAACACGCCAATCCAACAAGCCGTTAGCCATGGCTCATTCACAAATACTTCAGACGCAGAAATTTCGGAACAAATGGAAAAAAGCTTGAACAACTCGCTTTCATCAATGTATATCCTGAATTCGTCTGGCACGTTTCCTGGCCAGAGCAGGGACAATGGAGATGAGTCTTTCGTCAACAATTCGTCTTTGATTATCAATGAGGATGAGTTAATTTCGGTGAAGATTGCTGATCTAGGAAACTCCTGCTGGGTCCATCATCATTTCACGGACGAGATTCAGACAAGACAATATAGATCCCCGGAGGTATTGCTCGGATATCATTGGGGTGCTTCTGCTGATCTTTGGTCCTTTGCATGTTTGATGTTTGAACTTCTCACGGGCGACTATTTGTTTGACCCAAGAGCTGGTAAATCCTACAGTAAAGATGACGACCACATTGCTCAGATCATTGAATTAATTGGGCACTTCCCTCGTCCTATGCTCAACGAGAGTTTCTACGCCAGAGATTTCTTCAGCGCTCGTGGCGAGCTTCTCAGGATCTCTAAATTGAAGCCTTGGGGTCTCAAGGATGTCCTCATTGAGAAGTACAAGTTCCCAGTGAGTGACGCAATTGAAATCGCAGACTTTTTGCTGCCCATGTTGACTTTACAGCCTGAAAAAAGGGCTGATGCTGGTGGTATGGTGAATCACCCATGGTTGAGCGATGCCCTCGGTCTTGAGAATGTCGTGTTAGAACGCCCAGTGGGTGGTTCTGGAGAGGATATTCCCGGCTGGGCTCACGAGCTTGACCCGCAATTACAGGGAAACCGTTTCTTCTTCCGTCATTGATTATGACATCTCATTTTGCATCATTTGTACTCTATTGCATTCAGGTTTGTATTATATAGGCTTCAGTTAACCTAATTACCTGCTACTTGGTTGAAGCTCTTAGGAACGGTGAATAAATGTTAATAATTAAAATCTGTATATTGTACCCCCAATTAAAAGCTATTTATACAAGCATCTTGGACATATAAGGTCCGTCCACCTCGTATCCCAACTTGGCGTAGTAGTTCCTGACACCCACACCCGAAATAACACTAATCTTCTCTGATCCATGCTCCTCCCTAGCAATGCGCTCGGCCTCCTCCATCAACAAGGTACCAAAACCTTGATGCTGGAACTTTCTAGGATCCTTAGAATGCAATGGGACAACAGAGCCGTAAACGTGCAACTCACGCACAATCGATGTTGGCTGGTTCTTGAACTCCTCCCTGTAGGTGTATTTCTTGGTGGCTTTCCTTAAACGCAACAAACCGATGAGGATATCCTGCTTGGGGTCCTCGTAGGACAAGAAAGTCTCCCAACCGCCGTTGGCAGTATAATCTCTTCTCAAAAGCTCAACCTGGTCAGGCAGAACCTTGTGATGCACTTCTTGGATACCCACTTCTCTTGTACGAACGTCTCTGCACGTTGTGCCGAAATCCTTCATTCTGGCCAAGGCCAATTCACGAAGATTACCATTTTCCACACCGGAGGAAACCAATGGCATGGGGATATCACGCTGAACACGATAGATACGGGTCCAAGGAGGCACGAGAGCCAAGATTCTGGCAACTAAATCAATAAGCGCATTGGCGTTGTACGATTTATAGAGACCCTTCTTCCAGAGCTCGTAAAGACCGGTGCCTCTGATAACCAATGTTGGATAGATCTTGAGGCCGTCGGTTCTGAATGCTGGGTTCTCGAAGTACTCGATAAATTGATCAAGATCACGCTCCATGCCAACATTTGGCAAATCTGGCATCATATGACTGACGACCTTGTATCCAGCATCCTTAGCAATGCAAAATGTTTCACATACGGCCTTCACTGTGTGACCTCTGTTAGTGTCTCTGGCCACATCTTCGTATACCGACTGAACACCCACCTCTAATCTCGTGCAGCCGTACTTCAACATATCACTAAGATGCGTTTCAGTACAGTAGTCAGGTCTGGTTTCAATTGTGATACCGACACACTTAGTCTGTGACTGCTGAGAGAAGCGGATGGCCTCGTCGATGTTCTTACCATTGTAGCCGGAAAGGGCATTATGCAACTGGGTAATAAAACCCTCTCTGTAATCTTGGGGCAAAGACATGAAAGTTCCGCCCATGACGATGTACTCCACCTTGTCAATAGAGTGACCCAACAGCCTGAGTTGTTCGATTCTTCCTCTGGCTTGTTCGTAAGGGTCGTAACGAGCACGAATCGCTCTCATGGAGGTTGGTTCATAGCCTGTGTAAGATTGTGTCGAATATTCGAAATCCGAGTCCGGTCCACCAGGGCAGTAGACACAAATGTTACCAGTGTAGGCGATATGTGGGCATCTGTGTGGTTTACACATCACCGCAACAACAGCGATTCCAGATGCTGTTCTCACGGGCTTGGCCTTGAGCTTGGGTATCAAATACTTCTTATGCTGGTCTGGAATCGATGAGATGATGTCGGTAAGCCTGGGCTGGTGTTTCAACTTGTGCTTCTTCGCATACCTGGTGATGAGGCCATTGAGATTAACGTCTTTATTTGTCTTGAGAGAGGCCACAAGCTCCAAGGAAATATCAGCACAGCACTGAATAAAACGCTCCTTTTCGGGAGCCAACTTTCGACCCTTCTGCAAAGCGGAGGGCATTATGTTTATGAGATCTGGATTACCTTGTGGAGTTGGAAAGATCTGAGGCCTCATCGCCGTCTGGTGCACGGGTGCTAGTAGAATGGATCCAACTAGTGTTACTGTTGACTGGGAACAATACATAGTTACAAAATTATAAGAGAAATTTACAATCACGTTCTATTCAACAATTTTGTGGCTCCGATCTTATTTCACCTGGTACTTTGTGTGTGCAACTGGTGTGGTCTTAGCAATATGAAAGGTGTGATTCGCTAAATACTATGAGTCAGAGTTAGAGCCTAATGAGGGCAAAAGGTGATCTAGTTGGCAACTGCGTTATGTTGAGAGACGGTAAACCTCTTACGTAAACCAGATCTTTACACAAAAGTGGGATGCTGAATGGTCCGACTGGCTGCGAAAAGTTGTATGTATGAGAGTTCCACCACACCTAAGCTTGTCTTCACTATAACGATTTTCGTATGAATTCATGCAACGATGGTCGTTATGATTGAGGAATATGTATAAAGTTCGGCATTTCAAGTCTTCTAAGCTACCTGAAATGAGTGGTCTTGCATGGTCAAGCGAGACCGGGTCATGGAATACCTCGAAAAGCCGAGTAGAGCAGGTTTCAATCACAAACTATAAGGTAAAGCAAAACCACTTATTTCTGTTATGAAAAGCAATTGATTAGAATCAGTGTTTAGGTGGGTTTAAACCCACGCCTTACTCCTCCCACCCTGCATCCTGTAGACACTGCTCAAATTTTTAATCAGATCCACCTTACTATACATCAGCATGTTGGGTGTAAGAAGCATTACGGGAGTCAGGCTACAGCCTGCTGTCTCTCTCTTAGCTAGAACAAGCTTGAAGTCAGCTGTGGCCACTAGATCATATGCCAAGAACCCAGACATTACCAAAATGCCATTGAATGTCTTTGGCTGTTTGGCTGACTACTACGTTCCTCCAAGATTCTTGGACTGTCCTATCACCTCATGGCCTAGACTTGTCGCCAGGAGAATGACGGCATTTGCCTTCAACACGATTGGTGTTGTCCGTTACAAGAAAGACACGAATCTCAAGTTGCACTTTAACGATTGGAAGGAACGCACCATCGAGAACTACGTGAAAACTAATAAGGTTTTTGCCAAGGCTTGCTCCGCCAGAAAGGATCTCAGACATAAATATATTCATGAGCAGCTCGCAGACGTTGCTGGTAAACATGTGGTGGATGCATTGTGCAGCAGAGCTCTGTCTTTCCCATCTGGCGCTAAGCTCACATGGAAGCTTGTCAAAGTTGTTGAGAACCCAAAGGTTGTTTCTTTCAATCCCCTTCCAAATCATGACGACATCACTGTTTTCATTCAGCTCGTCACTAAAGTAAAGACTAAACAGCAGATGACTGTGGAAACATCGGAGGGTGACGTCCAGACGACCGAGAGACTCGTCACAGACTACTTGGTCTCTACAATCGATCCATTTTCTGAAGAACAGCTTTTGGTTGGCTCTATCTTTGAGAGTGACCATATCAGGAAGGTTCAACCAGAGTTCAACCCCGAGGATCTCGAGCAGGCCACCGCTTTTCAAAACCGGGCTGCCGATCTCTACCGTGAACCTCCCAAGGCCTTGAAGAGCGCCTAAACTTCGTGTAGATAACAATTTCTATCTGTATATATAAAGCATTGGGTTAATCAAAAGTTATAAAAATCTCTCTAGTGTGAGTCCAAATCTAATATTTTACCATTCCGTACTTTTATGCCGCTTCCGAGCGCCAATTTTCCTAGTCCATTTAAGTATCGGGGCTAATCCATCAAGAACACATCATTGTCATTGCCCGCCCCGTAACCTCTTTTACTTTCCGAAGGTGACCTCCCAATATTTGGTCTAACCCATAACGTACCAGACTGAGACCTTGAATCTCTTCTCTGGAGTTCCTGTGGAGTCAAAATCAAGTTACCAAGCGACGCTGGTACATAATCTTCGAAGAAGGCATTCTCGTCATCTTCTATGGCATCCTCTTCTCTTGAACCATCCAGGATTGCCAGTTCATCAGGAGGCCTGATTTGATATTGCGATGGAGATGCCAAAAAGGCATTGTTAGGCTTACTCATCAGACCAAGCCTGGAAGAGAAGCCAAAGTTATCGTTAGGCAGCTCTGTGCGGGTGCTGCTAAACAAGTTGGATGAGAAATCAATAGAGTTTGGCAGTGATACCAAATTGGTGGGAGAAGTTGAGGAAAGAGACCGTAATGCTGAACTAAGACCGTTCTGAGTGCCGGTAGAAACTAAGTTTGTAGGGGCGCTACCAGCAACCAGCCAGTCGTGAAGTGATTGGTAGTTTGCCACAGGGCTGGTCCAGCTGAGGGGCTTTGCCGTGCCATTTTGAGAAACCAGGTGGTGTGTCAGCAAAGACGAGTTCAGCAAAGAGTTGCGTGAACTTGGATTTGCGAGGGTGATGTCTTCTCCGAATGATCGTTTCCTGATGTCAACAGGCTCGATTAAATATGACCGCGTTACGTCGCCATTTGCATCAAAATTACTGTTGAAATCGAGGTGCTCAGTTCTGGGTCTGCCTTGTAATCTCTCTGTTGGCAGAGTCACGAAAGATCTCGAAGAACCATTCTGGTGACTGTTTCGGTTCCCCCCTGAACCAGCGCCAGCACCGGTACCGGAAGAAGCCCGCCCCTTGTGGGATTGATGCAGACTAGATGAGTGATCATTATTGTTTGCATCTGAGCCAGAAATGTTGTCATTTTGAGCGTTTGAGTGGCTGTTGTTTCTGTCATGGCGACGGTATGCGTTCAAGGACTTCGAATTCACCCTAGTTCCGTCAGGCAAGAAATGGGCCAAAGCACACTTCAAGCCAAACTTGCAGTTACCTTTTTGGAAGTACTTGCAAGGTAATTTATCTGCAGCGAGTGAACCGTCTAAATTGTGGCTAAAGGGGCACGAGTTGCCTGCCTGGCAATTTCCTTGCCGGAAAAACTTACATGGAACATGACTTAGGTTCTTGTTGGTATTCGATCCTGATCCCAGACTTCCAACTATGGAAACAGTGCCGGCTGGTCCCGTGTTGGGGGCAACTGGTCCAGGAGTGAGCCAAGATCCAACGGATGTCCCGGTCTTGATCGTGGCTGGCTCATGGAGCCCAGCAGTTGCTTTGAATTCCGAGAAGACCCTTTTTCGTGGCCTTCTTGAAAGGGAATGAACTTGTCGTGGTTGACAGTCAAAAAGTGTACATCTGGGCCAGGCATGGCTGGCGAGAAGATAAGGAAACTGATTAATTAGGGCTGCAAATTCGGTAGACAACAGGTGACAGGTCTCTGGTGCTTTAACGAGAAGGCTGATTCTAAAAAATTTGAAAAATGGGCAAATTCGATGTTATGGATCAGTCAAGAAGTAGTCGCAAGATACTAGTCCGTGGGTATGAATCACAGGTTAAAGAAGGATAACGCCCTGATAAGAAGGTGTCAGTGTGCGGCTCCTGCATGCAAAAAGTGAGGCACAACGCTCCCACACATTGCATCCGATGAAAGACGTCGCCAGGTGTGGTGGATGCGCTCGTGGTGCACGGGTGTTCTACCAAAGATAAGGCTCCAGACCGCTTATCCATGGAAACCAGGGGATCTAGATAAGCTGAGGCGCGAGACACATGAGGCGTGAATGTGATAGTTTTGGATTATTTTATACTATATAGGTTTTGTTGGAAATAATTTATTCTTTCTGGCGTCCTCTTAATATAATGATTGTTAAAAAAAAAATTTATAGATATCTGTTTTCTGTTACCTGTGTACCGATTTGTTTGAAACCCTGTAGCTTCCTCCTACAGGCTTTAGTATACACACAGCCGGGATCGCTTAATATTTAGCACTTTGCTCCGCCTTTAAATCGCATATGGGTGCATTCTGCCCCGCACACCCCGATGCACCTTCCTGTCAAACTACGCCATTATTCCAACATATATGTAATGCTATTAGAATGTGAATCTCTATTGTACACTTGAACACCCACCCCAAAATAAGCCTTAACGACGGTCCGCAGAAAAGCCTCTCTTTCCCGAGAACAAGTGCTTGGGCATCGAGGCAACAGTGTGTCTGTCGGCCTCTCCCAATCTTGCCTGGCGGTTTCTCTCTCTTCTCTGCAACTTGGCGACTCTCTCGGCCTGCGAACGCAAAGCTCCGTCAGCAACACCGGCACTCAATCTATCGTTCTGGTTAGCTGGCGCCTGTTTCTTCTGCACCTTCTTCTTTTGCTTCGTGAGGCCCTGGTTGGCCTTCAAGATGTCCACACCACTGATGGTCTTCTTGTTCTTGACTCTCTGCTTCAAAGAGCGTGTGTCGTGACCCAAAGAGGCCATGTGCTCCTCCATCTCGCCGTAAGTCTTCTTGATGTGCTCTCTTGGCATCATCGACTTGTTCTTCAAAGCCTTCTTCGTACGTGCTTCCTTGATCATCACCTTATGCTTATTCCTGATCCATTCAGCCTTGTCATGGATGTCGAGACTCTCCTCGTCCTCGATTTCAGAGTCCGAGTCGTAGAAACCTTCGGCATCTAGTCTCTCCTCTTCCTCCTCCAAAGCCTGCAACTTGGCAGCAATATCTGGGTCCAAGAAGTCGTAGACGTTCTTACCGTCCAACACTTCAGGCATGGTGTCGGCCTTCCACTCATCGTCGTCCAACAAGTAAAAGTCCTTGAGGTTGACATTGTAGACACCGGCACCACCGTTGTCGGCCTCGACGTCCCTAGCCAACGTTCTTCTGTTTGGATCATCACTGTCGTATTTCGTCAAGTGCTGTACACCTTCAGGAATGAAAGCAGGTCTTTCCTCCTCATCACGCATCTGTGGTCTAGCCACATGAATCTTGTTCAAGACGTTGTTCACACGAGCAGAGCCCTTCAACTTCTGCTCGATTCTAGCAGTCAACAACTTCTCACACGCCTGGTTTCTCACCTGCATCACATTCTCTTCGGCGTAACACGAGGTGTTCATGATGTCCACGCCAGGGCTGTCGGCGATCGACTTCAAAAGCTCCTGCTGCTCAGCTGGCAAGTCCTCTTGTCTGATGATATCACTCTTGTTCATCACCACCATCACAGACTTGTTGGCAAACAAGGGCTTGATGGAGTGGAACAACTTGGTCTGGGCTTCAATTGAGAAACCACACTGCTCGGACAAATCCATGAAGTACAAGACACAAGATCTCAAGTGGGCAATAGCATAGATGGACTGCATTTCAATGTTGTTCATTTCTTCCGTTGGGCGGTCCAAGATACCAGGAGTATCGATGGCCTGGAAACGCAAGTACTTGTAGTCAAAGTGACCAACGTACAAGGACTTGGTCGTAAAAGCGTAAGGCTGGACCTCGACATCAGCCTTGGTGATGCACTTCAAGAAAGAAGACTTACCAACATTAGGGTAACCACAGATCAAAAGAGTTCTGGTGTTGGGGTCGATAGAGGGCAAACGACCCAAATGCTGTCTGACCTGCTCCAAATACTGCAATGGGTCCTTCAACTTCTTGGTGATGGTAGCCATTCTACCCAAAGCAGCTCTCTTCAACTGCTTACATTGGTACAACGACTGACCGAACTTCAAAAGACGATTGTAATCTCTAGAGACTTGCTCGATCAAGGTCTTAGCCTTGGACACGGCAGCCAAGGACACCTTGTAATGGTTCTTCTCGTACAAAGTGTCCATCAAATCTCTGTGGAAAGGATGAACGTCATTAATGTTTGGGAAACCAGCCAACATGTCCGTGAACTTCTCAGAGAATCCCTCAGCGGTGAACTTCACCTTTCTCATGTAGAAGGCCCTGATACGGGAGATCTTGAACCCAGGTCTCACCACAGTGGGTGTTTTTCTCTGGGTTCTATTGAGCACGATATCCAACATGTCGTTGGCCGTAGGCACGGTTGGAATGTCCTTCCACGACAACTGCATTATTTCAGTGTTGGTTGTAGGTGGTAGAAGCTGAGATGAGCTAGAAAAAAGAAGGACCTCATCTCAACTTTTTTTTTTTTTTTATCGCGCCCGCACGGGACCATGGACACTATGGGAGATCAATAAAGTTTCCTAAAGATTAAAAATTTTGGTAGAGAAAAAGAAGATCTTCGATATACGGCCCTGTTTTTATTATTAAAAAAATCACCTTGATATCCCATGTGGGCTGTTGACGACATCAATGGGTTTTTGAGATACGCAGTAATGGCTGCGAAATTAAGACAGGTCTCAGATCATGGAGACTCAATCAAAGCAGTTTTCGAGTCTTGAACAATCCCGCCAATATCAATCAAAGGTCGTAGATTCATCTGTGAGGCATCGTTGAACAGGCAGATGCGTGTAATCCAGTTGACTTACAAAATTAGCCGGTTGCAACAATGAATTCTGCCTGAAGTGTCAATAATAAATTGCACCTACGCTCAATCCAATGAATGATTAATATATAGTTTTCCCACCACTCTATTCGTTGTAGTGGTAGACCAAGTAGTTTGGCAAACCAACCACTTCATAGCCCAAACGCTTGGCCATCTTGGCAAAACCCTCAGTTTCAATCAAGTGGTAGAATGGGAAAGGTGGGAACATGGCACCGTCTCTGTGGACATCGGCATTCACCAACACGGCACCACCTCCAACTCCATCTAATGGCATCTCAGCGTTCTTGTCGCCCTTGTCGTCGTAGTGATGCGCCATCAAAGGTCTGTAAGTGGCTAACTCGTGGTAGCCTTCAACAATGATCTCGTCATCGTTCATGCCCTCGGCAATCTTCAACCCATCCTCAGACTCGATCCAGTTGTTGAAGTCGTACGGTCTGATAGCGGACGCTCCGTTCTCATCAAGGTAACGCTGGTAAACATTGGCGGATAAGACGGGTTTTTTGTGTGCCATCATGTCGTGAAGCAAGGTTGGCGGTGTCTCGACTATGTCGGCATCCAACCAGAGCACCCATGAAGTCTTTGGTGATATGGTGGTAAATAGCAATGAGTTTCTGGCAACGGCCATCATGGCACGACGCTCTTTTTGCACCTTCAAAGCATGACGCTCCTTTTCAAGCTGCAGATCCAATGCATCCGTGTCTTGTCTCAATATGGTAATTTTCTTGAATCTACCTTTAGTTGCCTGAGTTTGCTTAACTGCCTGTTCCAACAGTTTAAGTGCTTGGTCACCCTCGGCATTCCTTGGGAATATGAATCCTAGCGAAATCATGCTATGGTCGTAACTAAGCTTGTTCAAGTTGGCCCAGTATTCGGGCAAAAATTTCGTCATAGGGGTCAAAATCAACACTTCTCCTTCGTTGCCCAAGACATCAGCTGTGGCAGCCAATTTGTTCAAGTCATAGTGCAGAATGTGGTTGTCTGGTAGGTTATGCAAAATGACCAGATCTTTGTTCTTGCTCCCGAGCCACAGGCCGCCCTTTTTGCTGTAAGAGTACTTCTTGGTTGATCTCTGTCCTGGCGCCAGCGTGGTTCCAACAAACGCCAAGTAAACAAGAGCAACAAGCGAGACGAGCCCAACCAATATCAACGGCTTTCTTCGTATATTGCGGATGACTTGGTTTCTGGAAAACAGCATGCCGTTTAATTCCTGAATTGAGAGGCTTGTGGGTCTGAGATTTTTATTTTGTTTTTCGGCATACTTCGCGAGAGCTCTGTACATTCACTTACATCAACAGGGTGGTGCTAATATTAGGGTTCCAGCTACTAGGTGAACAACAGAGAAACATTCATTAGAAAATAGCTTATTTGCAAACCTTACCGTCGGCAATCTCTCTCTTGGTGCCGTTAACGTCAACTGGCTCGTCCCAAGCCAACATGTTGTTGACGAACTTCTTGTCCTCCTCGTTGGAAGCATCCAACTTGGTGAAAGAGTAAGACTCCCAGTCTGGAGCGACATCGAAAGCTGGCTCGTGCTCCTGGCCTCTGACCAAGAAGAAACCGGTGATACCGTTGTCGTTGTCCTCACCGTACACAACCATGCAACCGAAGATGTACTTGGTGGAAGCGGTCAATCTGGCGAAGAAACCACCAACCAAGTTGTTGGACATGAAGGTCAAGGTCAACTCGTCGTTGTACTTGTAGTCAACCTTCCACAAGGACCACTCCTCAGGGTTGTAGACCTTGTCCCAGAAAAATGGAATGGCAGTCTCTCTGGTCTCCTCGTTAGAGTAGAATCTCTTCCACTCGTCAAGGGGGAAAGATGGCTTGCCCAAAGCCTCCAATGGGTGCTTTGGCTTAGGAGCCTGCTGAGCTGGCTCGGCTGGAGCGGCAGCTGGCTTCTCCTTCTTAGCAGCTGGAGCAGCAGCCTTCTTTTCCTTCTTTGGAGGAGTGTACTCGACTGGCTTCTCAGTGAACTCAACATCGCCAAGAACATCCTTCAAGAATGGCTGGGCAACGATGGTCTTGAACCATCTGGTGATGGCTGGGTGCTGCTTTCTCCACTGAGCACCGAACAAGTAGTTGAAACCTCTGACGTACTGAGCAGCAACGAAGTAGTCGGCCAAAGTGATTCTCTCGCCAACCAAGTAGGTGAACTCAGCCAATCTAGCCTCAACAACAGCGTTGAGCTTCTCGAGGTAGGCATTGGCCTCGTCAACCTGCTTCTTGTTGTATGGAACTCTACCAATGATTGGGCCGAAAGCACCGGCAATGGTTGGAAGGATCTCGGAGTTGGACAAAGACAACCATCTCAAGATCTCAGCGTACTGAGTAGCGTTCTTACCCAACAACTTGGTCTCTGGGTCAGCAATGTTGAGGACTTGAATGTTAGTACAGACTCAATTGAAGCATGGTATCAGAGTGTAGTAATCCTCGACATAGTGTTTTAAGACAGGGATAACTGTTAAATAATGAAAATTTCTCATCATGTTAAAAAATAAGACGAATTGAACATACGGTAAAGGGAAACAGCAATGATCTCAGTCAACTTGAGGCCCTTTGGACCAACGAAAGCTGGGATCTTCTTGAGGGGGAAGGTCTTCTCGAAAGCAGCATCTGGGGCAGCAACCTTGACGTCAAGGTTGTAAGCCTTAATGATGGCCTTTGGAAGAACACCACGAATCTTCTCGTCAACGTAGAGGGTACCCTGGGACATTTTGTATGGAGATGGTATTATAATAAAGAAAAATTTTTCTCATCCACAGTGGTGGTGGTCCGAAAAGCACGTGAAGGATCGCACGTGCCTCGATGCCCCTTCTACGACTAGGGCTGTAGAACAGCTAGAGATTAATTTGATAAAATGTGGGAAATAAAATCCATTGCTTTGTTGTTGGTTGATTGAACGTCCGATGGTGAGATTCCCTTATCCATACTCTTCCCCAGCATGTGGATCGATTATTTGCATTAATTTTGATCGAAAGTGGTTAGGACGCGAAATCGTTGTACATTTATCAAGACATAAAGCACGAGAATGTGAAAATAAAAATTAAAAAAAATAATGGAAATTGTGTTTCGTTATAGAACTTGATATTTTTTAAGTCTTCTAAGCTTCCGTATCCTTCACTTGTCTAGAAATAAAAGCAAAAGCTACTCAATGGAACCGTAAAGAATACTTGTCGGAAGCTATGGATTTCTACTAGCTAATGAATTTAGCGTTGCGCTTTACCGAGAGCATAGCACGCTGTCAAAAAAGGTGTTATTTTAGAAGGCCACAACAGCCGAAAAGGGTCGTCATAAGCAAAAAGAAAAAGTATTGGCAACACAAAATCGATAACCATATTCTAGGTTGCAATCTAACGGATGGTTCTCAAAGCTGAGGAAAGCAGTGGTGGCTCGATTCTTAAAAATGCAACATCGAAGAGTCTCACATGGCACATGACACAAGACAGCCCTTGGCTCTTGATCGTCACATACTAGCGCACTGCGTTCCCACAATATCTACTTTGTTGGGAGCAGGACAGGTCATACCTCGACACATGCTTCTGACGCATCCAGAGGCTAAATTTCAAAAAAAGGCATGCGGCTAGTGCTTATCGTGATAAACTGTATCGGCTTTATTCTGACGCAGTTATAAGCTTACGCGAGAACGTAACGCATGAAACCAAGACCAGCATGTCCTTTTGTGACTTGTTTAGTAGACGAGATCATGGGATTATCAATGTTGTCCAATCCAGCCAGTCAGAAGCCAAGGCAGCTTTGTAGTCATGCCTGACTTAATTCCGTGAATATTACGCTTCAAGAATTTGAGGATCGTAAATTTATGACACCCAGCTTCTTTTAAGGCGGTCTCGTACATTAAGCTACAGCAAGTCAACGGTTTTTCGTAAAAAAAAAAAAAAAAAAAAAAAAAAAAAAAAATGCCAAATGCTCGCATTCTAGGCATTGAAAGGGCCTGATTTGTTTGTCCCGTATAGTTCCTCTCGGTAACTTTCGGCAACTGTCTTGAGATTGACCGAAGTGCATTAGCAAGACGGACAGCAAAAATCGCTCAATTAAAGAGCCGTCCAGCAGTTGGCCGATCTTAGAAATGGCTGCTTGCTTTTGCTTATAGCACCAATGATCATCACTGCCTCTAATGGAACACAGAACCCTTGCATTCATGTACATGTTTTAAAAAGACACAGTGACGAAACCAACTCTGCACCGTTCATTGGTGATTCAATTTTCTTCAAATGCCTCTTTAAAAGGGGACACCTTAACTTTATTGAGCCATGGAGAAGCCAGTGTCTGACAACAAGGAAACAAATTGTTGTTTTCTTGGAAACATATATTTAAGTTATCTTGCTTCCATAATTTTTGTGGCAGATTCAGGTGAATCATGAATATCCAACCTGCTGAACCGAGGTCTAGCCGCTTCTGGGTCTCGCTTGACGCATAGGGCCTTTAATTATGCGTGAGTTATGACGAAGATTGATCGCATTTTGTGGCACACTGGAACCACTTGATTCTATGAGGAAAGTGAGGCTCAGTAGGACCTGTGTCAGGTAGTTTCACAGATTGAACACTACGTAATCGCTTGGGCGGGGCAGATGCTTACGGGCTATTCACGTCACAAGCGGGCAAGAACGCAATTATGTGACGGCAACAGGGCAAAAACAAATGGAAGTGGGGGAGACAAAGTATTCTACGCAACTATCTTGTACTCAAAAGAGGGGAAGCCAACCTTTAATGTAACGGTCCATGTTACAATTGATTTTGTGGTTTGGTTTCTTGCGTCGCCGTTAGAAGATGCACCTTGCAAACGCATGGTTTATTCTCAAAGCGAGAACATCTGCAGTACAATGCATGTCATGGTGTACTGCATCAATTGTTCTCCTCTCTGGGGATGCGCTATTGCCTCAAATGCATAAAGCCACATCGTGCAGCGGATAAACTGCTCGACACTGCGTGCCATGCCGTCTCAACGCCAAAAAACAAGAAGCCGCGCAGAAACCAAGAGATCGCTGCTTGGGAGTATGCAGCAAAAGAGCCTATGCGTTAGGAGCTGTCATACCGTTTTGGAAGCGAATTACGGTGTTTATGCTGGTTGTTCTTCACTCCGATCCTGAAACAGCACAAAACGGCTAATGTAGAGCCCCATATAAAATATACATCAAAACAATCCGCGTACCTGTTTCGCGTGTTTCTCAATCTTGACTCCGTCGCGAGCGCTTACTCGGCATAACGGTCCTGAAAGGGGTATCTCACGCCCCGTAAGCTCGGGTACTAGATGATGCGAGAGAGCAGCACCGGGTACCTGGGAAATCATTCATCAGTTGACGATTTTCGCTCCTGCAACTTTTAAATGGTAACTTGACCCCAGGGCCGGGGAAGCACAATAGGTGACATGCACTCGAGCCTTTTCGACCGGTGAGATTCACAACTCCTTCCGAAGTCTTGTTTTGTCCCATACGAAAAAATCGATGCCTTTGATCTAGCTTTAGTTGAGCCCTCACAATAGAGTGATCTGACACAAAGCTTGTGATTCTATTCAGCCGTAGCTTGGTATGTATCGGAAGTCCTAGTCACACAGCAAATGATCGTCCCCGAGTCTTATAAGCCTGCCGACGCTAAATAAGACGGTGGCTATGGGCTCAATTGTTTGGGGTTACATCTGCTCTCCAACATTGCTTTGAGCAAGAAAATTGATGGCAGGAGGATAGCAAGTCGTTACATTTTTCGAACAATCCGACATCTCCATTGTTCCCCCAGGGCCTTTTGTTAGCAAAAGGCGTGAACCCATTATTTAGCAAATCAAACTAGGCAGCCAAGACTGTGTACACACGAAGTGCTGTTCAGCTAGAAAGTCGTAGCGGCTGTTTGGGAATGGGATTGTTGGCCAAAATACGAGGATGCAAAAAAGCTGAAGAAAAAAAAAAAAAAAAGGTGTTGGGCTGAGGAAACATTAACCCGGACAACCACAACAACAGGACAAAGGAGAAATCTCGAATCAGGAAAGACTCGAGGTTACACAAAACAATGGTATCTTTCCCCAGTCAGCCATCTTTTTATTAAACTGTCTCCAGGACATCTTCTACTATCTCCAAGCAGAAAAAATCAACACAATAAAAGAGAATATTTGAGTGACTGCTATTTTGATTGTATACCACGCCTGGCGAATAAGGCAAACCTAATTTTGTCGTCGGTGTGGATGGCCTGACCCGACGTGTACACCAAAGCAGTAAACTAGGCAACTACTCCCGTAATTACCCAGCCCGTGCGCAAAGTTGCTTATAACCTCTCCTGATGTAGTCTTGTGGTCGCCCTGCTGATTGCAGACGCTCCTGTCGCTTCTTTTTCGTCTATTTGTCCTCATATACGTCGTGTGGTCTAGGCACTTACCTGTCGACAGGTGGCCTCAAGATTTCCATCCTGATTTATTCCCAGACCCAGATTGTTATCTACATAAGTGGTTTTTATTATTCAAAAACCCAAGAAAAATGACGGCGCCACTGGGCTTTGAGTTTTTTCTCCATCGATGATGCGTCGATTGCTTGTAGCAAGTTGATGCAAGCGGCATTGGTATCGTGGTTCGAGGCGTGCTCGATTTTGTCGAGGTGTTTTGAAAGAAAATTCATGGCTAGACTCCGTTCGTTAGGAGTTATGAGCTGAAATGCCAGTTGTCTCCCTGTGTTGATGTCTGTGTTCCTTAGCGAGTTCAATTCCTGATCGTCAAGAGAAACATACCCCTGTAGTCCCGGGTTATCAGTGACATAGTCTAATTTGATGAGCTCCCACAACAGGCTTCTCAATTTCTTTGAGTCGGATTCGAAGCCGACGGCATTCAGCAATGTATATGGATCCATTTGTGGAAGGTCCAAGTTGGCATAGCGACTATTGAGGAGCTCCATTTCGTACAGCGTGATCGTGAAGAAGTGGCTCCAGTCAGCAGCCTGAGTGATTTCATAATCAATGATGGTTTGCGAGATGGAGTCGGGATCGGTGGAGACAAGGGAGTAGCTGAAAGCTGCGTTTCTAGCCTGGATGTTATTTTTTATCATGAACCGCAAAATCGTCATGGCCTTGATACACTCCACGGTTAGAGGAGATTGCTTAAACTTCTTCAAACGACCGGAAGGAACTTGCGACAAGCGGAGCATGAGCTTTTGAAATAGCTTACCCTGGTTGGCCAACACGAGCTGGAAGGTTTTGTCCAACACCAACCCTTGATCCAACGTGAGGTGTAGAAGTAACGCTAACGTAATGAGAGTGACACTTAGCAAAACTCTTTCGAAAGCCCTAAATGTCGATCCGTTCACCTCTCGAGTTTCGAAAAACTCCCATTCTGTGTACTGGTTGTGGGATACTTCGAGAATTCGCTCAAGGGTAGCCTCCTCAGAGCAGGTAAGTAAACAGTCAATGAGAAGAAACTGAGATCCGGGTGGTGTCTTTCCCTCGACTTCAGCAGCCTGAGCTAGACGAACACAGTAGTTTGGCATCAAGACCTTCCACCAGCCAATCTCGTTGAATATGTCAAGAAGCCAATAGTACCGAAAGCGGTGTATTAACTCCGTGAATTGTTGAGCATCGACGGAGGATTCAGCGGGCAATTCATTGAGGATTTCCACAGAAGATCGTCTTTGCTCGATATCGGAGAAGCTGGATTGGGCGGGGAGGTCTGCGGTGAACTCACTGGGTCTACCTTGAAGTTCTGGATTGGCAAGTAAATTTGTGATGTCGTAGTTTTCAAGTATAACATTTTCTCTTGGTTCGGTCGGATTAAGCTCCGATAGGAAAAATGCTTCTGAAGCCAGTGGAGTATTGTCAAAGTGGGTTTGGGTTGGAGTTGGACCTCCAAATGAAGCCGCTTCTGGCGGTCGCAGGAGCAGCAGAGGATGCTGTGGCTGATGAAAATGACTGTGGAATGGATCGTCAGGACGAGCGGGTTCAGGATTAGGTGGAAATTGCTGGATGATGGGAGATATGTAAGTAGGATCAAGGGTGGATACTGCTCTGGAAGTGTTGCAGTCCACACTCAACTGACGAGAAGCCTCCATGAGGTCATCTTGGGAATGCAAATGCAAATAAGGGCGATAGTTATCCCTTCCATTTTTATAGTAGGAGGAGACAGCAACCGATTGATCAAGGAAAGCGAAATAACGAGGTGCCGAATAAAGGTCTATTGGATTTTGGTCATCGTGATCCCGATCAATTGGCTCCGGAAACAGTTCCTTGGGATTATAGAATGTGTACAGCGTAAAATTGAGACGGACACCTCTAATGCATTTTCTTTTGGAAGTAAGGCAATTTTGACATACGGGTAGCTGCTCGTCGCATTTCATATGACGGTCCCGACAAGTGAAGCACCCCGATCTCGTTCGAGACCGCTTGACTTTTGTTCGAGCGGACAGCGGTTTTCTTCGCATCCGTAATTGATTTCAAATTGGAGTGATTTATAGTTAAAACTTGGGATCATTAGAGTCGCAGCTTATATGCGGAGGATTGACAAATCGACTTGAGTCAAAGAAAGTGCCTTCTTTAAGATGAAGCTGCCAATAACAACGGAAAGCTAAGGCAACGCCAGGAAGAACAGATGCACTAAAGCGTCGTCAGCAGGTTCGGAGTTCAAAAGAAGTTCCGAGGAATGCCCTGAGGAAAGTGGAAATGGAGTAATAAGGGGACCCAATTGAAGTACGGATGAGGTACGGCTAGGGGAGCTTGGGAACACTTCTGCGGGGAGGAAGGTTAGCAAGAGCCTATCGATAAGCTTGGGAGGGTTTCGTCGTTGGGGAAGTGATGTGAAGGATGGTTTTACGAGCTTCAGTGACAATCTCCAGGATGGATCGACTATGGTGTGGCCGTTAAGCTTCCTTGGTGTATATTGTACCGCTTATCTTTTGAGTTGACGTAGTGTACCCTCTTTTGTGAGTCAAGGCAGGGTCCACCTGCTAGTTCCAGCATGAGGTAGATATATGAAGAAATTCTACTATAGTGACCGTTACGGATTCGGAAGGTGAACAAAATAAACATGCGCGACACTGTGCATTGCATATCCGAGGTGCAACAGCAGTACTCATAGCTGCTTGCTGTATCATGTACCCTGCAGCTGCTGTCTGTACGCTGTCGTGCCTCCCGCCAAGGCTACCGCAACCGTTTTCCGTTTGTTGAGCTGGACCGCCTGCCAGACCACTGTCTAGAATAGCCCTGCTGAGCAAAGGCTGTAAATTTTTACTCCTTGCAGAACCCCTCCGGTGCACACTCTTTACTTTGCAGCAGACGCCCGCTGCACCGTCCCATGTGATGTCCCCGAAGCCAAGGCGGGGACGCAGTCCGGACTTCCTCAGGCCCAAAGAGGTCTTTCTCGTCGGGGACTTCTGCAGCATGTTTTGTAACCGCCACGGCTATCTCATGTCCCTTTTGGATAAAAAAAAAAAAAAAAAAAACCTCTTTGTGCCTGTACTTTCAACCCTGGCCTAATTGCGTTGTTACCGTTCTCCCCGCAGCTGGATTGCTTATCTTCGAGGCCTTGTTTTGTGGCTCTCAACCGTGATTTCGCTTTTTGTTCGCCAGGTGCCCCCACCTCCCGGAAAATTTACTACGGAATGCGACTGTCATCTGCACCCGAGGTTTTATTTTGCCTCAGGGGCTTTTATTCCATCTTTCCTTTTCGACACCTTTTATTGCTATGTGGGTTGTGCCTGGCTCGGTATATTTTCCGCAACGGCGTGGGGTCCGTCCTGGCGGGTGCATCTCGTACCTGCACTGTTGGGTGCCAGCGTTAGCCTCTGAAAGGAGAAGGGAAAAAAAAAAAAAAATCCTACAAGATCTTGGTCTTGTTTCAGGTGTGGCTGAGGCATTGTCCAACTACGATTGCCACACGTCGCCGCTAAAAGCAGATGCCTGACTCCTACATGATGAAATGCGTATGTCAACTTTCAGACAAACGAACGTTCCTAGCATGCTGCCTACACTTACGTTGGTCATTCTCGACATTGAAGCGGTTACCTTATTTTTTTTTTTTTTCGCGTCTCCCGTTGCGAGCCCTGCTCGCTTGTTCCTGCTATGTGCCTGCGGTGACCGAGATTTACCGAGGCGATCATCTTTCAGTTGCCCCAACTCAGCACCCCTTTTACCTAATTTTCTTAGGACCCTGTGCTAACGACTTTCTCGAAATTGCCATACACAATAGCAAAATCGCCAGAGATTACCCTGTTCTATGCAGGTGGCTACAGGGTCCTTGCGTTGCATAGCAAAGAGGAGGCATACTGGTCTCTGAGAGGCCTCTCAACCATCTGTACAGGTGCATATGCTAAGTTGGGCTCACCCAGCCTTTTTTACCCCCCTCTTCATACCCATAGCGTATTGACTTAGACACCGTACTTTATTCAGCTAGCCGCTATCTTTTGAAATTAGCCTCCTTGCATCCACACCTTGAAACAGCCGCTTAGAACCTAGCCAAAGCCCACACGCACGTTAGCGAGCTCCCCCTCTATGCAAGCAGATCATTCGGTGTTTGATCCTACTTTGCCTAATCCCCCCTGGAGATACTACCCTTTTGGGCCTTAGCCTGTAGCCCCAGCAGAGTAATGTTTTTAACGACATCTTTTCCTTTCTTGACAAAGCCCTCTTAAAGCTGCCATATTTTTTTATTTCTAAATGCCCTCCAATTCCCCCAAACTCGGATTTTTTTTCGGAATTTTCCCAGCCGAAGCCGCGTCCCGTTTTAATTGATTTTTAACGCCATGCTTCTCCATCGAACACGGCGTTGCGTAGAACCCAACGTCTTGAAGTGGCTTTGTCTAGTCTGACGAATCGCTCATAACTCTAACCAGCCTTCGTGTAGTCTTACTTTTTTCCCGCAGATCATAACTGTGCATTGGCGACAAATTCTACATGTCTAGCCCAGGCTATGCCCTGAAAAGTATTTATCAATGTAAACAAGAAGAAGCTATACAATTGACTAGTTCTCGAAATTTACGCCCGGGCCATTTTAAATCCGAGTCTCCCATCCTTTCAAGCAGCGCAAATCACCGTTGCTGTAATCTGTAGATCCCGGATTTTCCTGCTGCTCACTAAGATTCTTGGTTTAGGAAAGCACCGGAAGCCTTCTACTCTAGACTAAAAAGTGCGTTCTTAACCAGCTCGAGTTACGAGGTAACCTTAATGGTATTGTGGTCCGATTCTGGGCGTTCTTGGAAGCAACTGTAATGCGCTTGAGACAGACCATATTCCGGAGAAATCTTCTTACAAACCTAAATTTTGAAAAAAAAAAAAATTGTATTGGTGCCTGAGTCAATACGACAGCAAAAATTTGAGTTAGTCCCAGCTGAAGTTATTGATAGCCTGTCAAACCTTGTTGTGAAGAAAATTTTTGGTAAATAGTATCATCACACCGAAGCCAGGGTGCCATCCGGTGCATCTTGAAGACTTTCCCGTTTCATAAACCACCCACCTTTTTAACTGAATGACTCAAGGTATCATTCCGACCTTTCGACATTTGATTCTTGGGAAGTGAAGCCTTCGAGAAGCCCTGTGTTGGGGTTTTCATCCCACCTTTTGTTTATATCGAAAGGAGGTGGTTTCGCCAGTCAGCGGATCGAGAATAAGGATATAGTTGGATGGACCAATTTTTCGAACGAGATTAGCTGGTGTTGTGGATTCACGGCTAACAGCTCAATTCTGGAGTTTCTGCCTTTGTGGCATTTTGTAGTCGCCTAGCCCTAAAGTAATCTAGATCACCATTTCCTCGAGCAAAGGCTCCAGAACATAGATCATAACGTTTTTCCGGACTTAAATTGGCTATCTGGCAAAACCGGGGAGCAAAAGACTGAGTTGTGTTGATGGAGGCGTAGTTCACTTTTCCGCAGATATATATTCTGGATAAGCTGTATCACGGCTGATAGCCGTCAGTACACGAGAGACCCAGCAGTCAAGCCAGCCGAAATTCAAACTTTACACGGGTTCCTAGAGAGCAAACGTGTAATGCATTCGGTCGTTATTTCCGCATCCCCATCAGAACTGTAACACCACTTTTCCTCCGAACGCTACCGAACAACAACCAATGACAGTCACACTTCGCAAAGCGGGCAACAGAGTATTCTGGGTGCTTCAAATCCCCTGGTGGTCAAGCCAAGCTTGTGAAAAGCCTTTTTGTGTTTAAATAAATTTAAGAGAAATTCCACAGCAACGATGCGGTTCTGAAAAGAAAAGGCTACGTTGGCGGGAACCCAAGGCCGGGCCAAGGAAAATCAAAACCTCGAGGCTACCGAGGAAGTTCTCCAGGGACTTACCATTTACAGAGAATTCGGTGAACACCAGGAAAGGAGGTGTTGCGCTGTTTCCAAAATGGAAGTGGGCAAGACAGACTCGGTAGTTTCCACGAGGATACCCCATTGTCAAACCGGATTTTTCCGATGTCGCTTTTTGTCGCTCATCCAGTCAAAGCCAGCCCATTGCGTCGCTGACGAACAATGAAGTGTTATGGTGGACGACTCGGAATTCCGGCTCTGCGCGAGTCAATGCAGAGGCTAGTTGCAAGTCGTTGTGAAGATATGAGGCAAGCCTGCCCAACAAAAAAACACGAGCATGATCAGCCTAACGATCTTGCTTAGGATGCAGACATTCTGGCATTTCTCGTTTCACAAATAAATTGTAAGACTTATAGATGGACTGATGGATCGCGGGAAGCCAGCGGAGGAAGGAAACGAGGAACACGACCATTCTCGACAAGGTAAATCTCGCAAATCCGGGGGGGGGGGCAACCCCGAACGCAACACGGGCGCTTTGCCTGACAACACATTGTCTGTTGCATCTGACGAGGATCGGGCGAATCTACAATATGTCGTATGGTCCATGTCTTCCATACAAGGAAAGATTTCACAGGGCTTTGCACTACAGCGTTGTTTTAGACAGGAATGGAACAGAAGGCGGCTAAGTGAGGAACTTGGCAACACACAATTCACAGAGGTCTATTCGATCTACACCCAGGAAAAGGCGGCCTACGGGTGTACACATAGGGCAGTCAACCGGGGACTAGCCTCGCATTGTGGGGCCCGTGCACCACCTCACAAGAGCAACCAAGCAGTGTTTCCAAAATGAAAGTCAAAAAAAAAAAAAAAAAAAAAATCATAGCTTAATTGCAGAGGAGCATATGGTGGGGGATAAGAATGCTGGATCGTTCGCTGATTCCCCGCCGACAGTCCCCGCCTTACGGCAGATCGTGCAAGATTATGGGGCTCAAGGTGGCTGCAAAGGCAGGCAATACCGCAGCCGAGCGAACGTTTCTAATCATATCTCATGAAAAATTAAGGTTTGGCTGCCTTTGCTGTTACCAAAATAAGCATACAAACATTCGTGACCCGAAAACAATGCGCCTGGAAGAAACACTCAAGATTTCAGGCACAACGCATGGCATCACTTTTTTTCACAGTGGTCAAAACCAAGACATCCAAAGGAATAGTGGAGGAGTTCTCCATGGGATACCAGAAAATCTTGCAGGCGGCGGAATGGACAGGATCTGCGAGGGGTTGGAAAGATGAAGCGGGATTCTATTCCATTTTCACAGATTCCTCAAATCTTTTTTTTTTTTTTTTTTTTTTTTTTTTTTTTTTTTTTTTCTGTCCTTTGCAGCACGGCTGCGATCGTTGCTCAGCTCAGTCAATCTGACGTCAATGAAGCGTTGTCCTACGTCAGCAACGTTAATTCGCAACGATAATAGGAGCAGGAACGTCGTTTGAGACACTGCCAGAGCCAGCAATACGCTTCTCGTCGAGACCGCCTTGCGCTTCATTGCTTCTTGCCACACTGCAAAATTTAGACGCCCGTTGCTTAGCCACAAGTCTGCCTCATGGTTAAAAGTTTCAACTCCACGACCTTCGCTTATTTTGCCAACCTTGTTCTTCCACCATTCTCCGGTTGACGTGAACTGCCCCGTTGTCCCAGAGACCTTTTCCTTCACCTTTTTTTTATTTTACGTCTGGCTGCCCTTCACATTCTTTCACTCGCCACAGCTTGCCTTATGAGTCGGCCCCACGATAAGCTGAACAACCCAACACAGCGAGATGAATCTCTGGCTCCGCCCACCAGCTCAACAACTCCAGACCCTGGCCAACAGGCTGTGCTCAACGTCATGCCCACCTTGCCCTACGTGGTTGTCATTGACAATGTCTCAGACGCTACCAGCCACACGGAAATCCAAAAAGTCATCCACAAGAACTTGCCCCGAGCGACGTGCCCGAAAACCCACGATACCACATTCTAGATGTCTCCAACGGACGAGCCACCGTTGAGTTTGCCGGCTCAAACCTGGCTCATTCCGTCGCTGATGCCCTTGATCAAAATGATATCAACGGATCAACCGTCAACTGTTCCGTGCTAGATAATCCTACTTTGGCTACACCGGCACCTGAAATCACCCAGACGGTTCCTACACCACCTTCCATGGGCTCCATGAATCCGTTTTTATACATGTCCCCAATGTATGTCGACTACGGCTACTATGGGCCAGGACCGCAGCATGGACCTGGTCTTTATTCTCGTGGCAACCTGATACATCCAGGCATGCCTTCAGTGCCTGTACAGCCACATCCAGGTGTCCATGGTGTTCACGGCGTTCCCAGCATGGGCAGCATGTCAGGCTTCCCACCTCCTTATTACTATGGGGGCCAGGAGGTCCCCAATATGGGCTATCCTCCAATGCACGGTGCATATGCTCCCTCGTACCCTCTGTCCCGCCGTCTGCTGACTCGCCTGAGCAGTAACTATAGCCGGCCTCGGTCTTCGAGAAATAGTTCCATATCGCTTAATCGTCAAGGCAGCAGTCAGTCATTTAGACGAGGCAGCAACCTGCGGCATAGCTCTTTGAGCAGTGCGCCGGGTCGAACAAACTCAAGTATACTGGAATATGGCAAAGATGATTTGACTGATTTTCCAGTAGCCGAAAGTCCCGTGGGCGAAGAGCTTGAGGAGGAGGGTGCTGATGAGGAAGGCATGATCTATATTAATGACGAAAACGGACAACGAGTAAGAGTGAACCCACGAAGGCTATTTGTGGGAAACATCCCTTTCAACTCGACGTGGCCAGCGCTCAAAAACTTCTTGGTTTCGAGGTCGGAGGAAATCGAACCCAACAACGATATAGAGATTCTAAAAGTTGAAATCCCAATGCAACCCCCACGAGAGCAAACCAACACATCGACCATGGGTTCATATTACTATTTGGCAACGCTATCACAACAGCTTCAAAATGGCTCGGGCGGTTCTGGCCCCCATGGCCCTCCTCCTCCTCACAATAACGAGAGACCGCCACAGCGTGGTCTAAGTCGAGGATTTGCAATTGTTACAACAGGTAATCGAGCGTCACTGGAAAAGCTTATACGATATTTCAATGAGGTCGAATTTGAAAATAGGCCCATGACGGTGCGTTTCGACAGATTTCCGAACTTCAATGGCTATGTCCTCCAGCAGCTAAATCCATCGCTACGCAGTGGCTCAGTGGGGTTCAAGAATAAGCCTGGCTTCCTCACAAATCTCGCGTTTGAACGCAACCTGTTCCAGCATAAGTATTACTATGGTTCTGCGCCGCAATTCCAGCCCATGGCACAGCCTTACCCTAACGGACCGTTCTACCCCAGTAGCCGCAATTTCGGCTATCGAGCCCTGCGGCCAGCACAAGCTGGCGACGTCACCGAAGAGGGGGAGGATGAGAACGGTAGGTCTGATGATGAGAATGGCTACGACAAATCTGCCCGCCGCAAACCGCGAATGAGCATGGCTGACTTGGGCCCGCCGCTCGCTGAAATAGAGCGAACGAGTGATCCTACCAGGTCAGGCCCCGGTGAATATCAAACTTAGTTTCAGATCAACGTTAAACCCGATGTAGAAACCCAACGCTGCTAGCATGGTTTGCATCCATTCAGAAAGCGCAGCGCTATGCATTTGCGACCTACATATATGACACGTTTTTCAAAGCCCGGCGCACCATAGCCACCATCAAATGCCGGTATAGCCGCCCTGCTTGGTTCGAGCCGACCTTCTGAGCACTTTTGACCACACTTTTGAGTGATCATTGGGCGATGACGTCGTAAGCTTATACGCTGTTCTAGCGCGAAGTGCGAAAAAAAAAACTGACATTTCTCGGCATCGGGCCGAGCATTTTTGATATACCGGTCACCGGAGCAAATTTAACTCTCGCGATCTTGCTGAGTAAGCTTTCGAAAATTCTTCCATTTTACGGCGATTTATCTTTGATGCGATGGGGCGACGAACAAATTCCTCACATTATCTAGGCTAAACGGCATTCTCAACAAGTTTACCGAGATTCTCGGTGCTCGGCGAGCATCGAGCCGCGAGCCCCACGGTCTGACTCAGAGAACGGAGACAAGGCTCATTTTGGCGCCTGATACGCCGTGCATAAACTTGCGCCTCCTCGGGGTTTGCTTTGCCTTGGCCAGAGCCCATGTGCGATTTGATTGGTTTTCGGCATTTGGGCGGTGCACAAACGCATGCACCTCCTCGACTATCTGCAGCATGCGTCGGTCTGGTGGCCTGTGGCCCAAGTCCCCATATCCCCACTTTTTTTTTTGGTTTTTTTTTGCAGTCAAATTAAGCTTACGGTGGATGGGCTCACTTTATCTACTGCCATTCAAACTACATGTGTGACTCCACCGTCAGCCTTGCCCCGCTATGCCCCGCTGAGAACCGCTGAGATCCTCTCGGAAGAACCAACGCCGAGCCCGATGCCCAGCAGCCCCATAGATTCTTATCTGTCACTGCATGGCTTGTACAGGTCAATGTAGGCAGGCTGGATCTGCGGAGCTGTTTATAAAAAGACCCATCTCCCAACTTTACTCGCCAACCAAATGACCTCAGACGAGACGGTTGTCCCATGCATCCGAACCCGCAAACGGAGACTTGTGCCTCCTGATAAGAGGAAAAAGGCTTCATTCTCGTGCGATAGATGCAAGATCAGAAAGATAGCATGCCACAGAAAATCTCCCTCGCTGTGTTGCTCTGGCTGCGAAAGAGTAGGGGCGAGCTGTGAAACCACCATCAAGCGGAAGAAGAAAATTAGGGGCCCCATTGAAAACATCGGCCTACATTATAAGTGTCTTTTGGCACTCATCCAACACCTGTATCCAGAAATTGACGTAAACAACATCGATGCCTTGATTGATGTGGGTGAGCGCAATGGTGTCTCGATGCCTTCAAGGTATGGTGGAAAAGACGACAATGAGCTTCGTGATCTCTCTTTGTTGATCACCCTGGGCAAGTTGCCCTCGTGCAGGCTGAATTCGTTTGATCTGGATTTCGATTTGAAGGTGGAAGACCTGGATAGCTTGGCTGCCGAACTGGTACTGGATTCAGACACTCTTCTGCAACAACAGGACCTTGTCATCACCGATCACAATGGCAACAGACACATGATTGGTCCTCTCGGCCTGCCTGCGGTGTTTGACTCTTCTGTCAAGGCGTTAGCCAACATGTTCGACATTGACCTTTCTGCATGCCCATCTCTCCAGCACGCTTTCCAGGGAGAGTTGGTGTTAACATCAAGCAATGAGCCCTTGAATCCCTCCGACTTGGGCCTCTTGTACAACCTGATGTTCCCCTACCTCGACGACATCTCATTCCAAGAAGCTACCTACTTCACTGACTGCTTCTTCCGCAATGTGCATCCACGTTATCCATGTTTTGTGGAAAGCGTGTTCAGATCGTTTCTTGAACGCTTCTGGGCCGCAATGGCCTCCAAATCCAGAGACCGTTTCATATCCCACCACACCATCTGCAGCATATACATGGTCTGGCTCCTCGGGCGTCTCTTCAGCCCTGGAAGCTTACCCAGGATTGACCAAAGCATAGTTCAAAGGTACCTTCACATCATCAGATTGTGTCTTTCCGATATCGTCCTCACACCAACACTCGATGGTATTCGTACCTTAGTGCTTCTCGCCATCTACATGGAAAACACTATGCGTAGAGAAAGCGCCTATGTGTTGATCCAAGTCGCTGCTCGTCATTGCATTACTCTCGGTCTTCATAGAGAGTCTCTGGTGATGCAGGTGGCTGACAAACTGAAAGTGGAGGAGCTGAGGAGAATCTGGTGGGCCGTTTTCACCATGGAGGTATCTGTCAGCTGCCAAATGGGTCGGTCCTCGACAATTCATATGTCCGATGTTTCTGCTTCATATCCACTTTGCTATGATGTGGTCCCTTCCCCTGAATATTCTCCTACGTATATGGCCATTCTTGATATCACCAAGGTCATGCACGAGGTTTTGAAATATCGTCAAGCCGTCGACAACACAGAATCCTTGATGTCAAACGAGAACCTCGATAAGGCTCTTGCACTTGACGAAAAACTTACAAGAACCATGCAGCGTATTGATCAGTCCTTGTTGGATCTTTCGATGATTGCAGACTACAAGATCCATTTGCTGATGCGCTACCACCACGATCGTCTTACGATCCTGCTTCCCTTCTACTCCAAGGTGGCAGAGGACCCTCAATATGCCTCTCACCCAACTGTCCAAACCCTTTTGACCCAAGGCTTGCGCCTGAGCATCGTTATTTCACAAATCATCGACGCAAGTATGTCCTCCAACATGCTCAATGGCACAGTTCATGCTGACATCTTTTACACATTCCACGCCACGATGGGACTTGTCATGGGTTACTGTCTCATGAACAACAGCACGCTAAATAGCAACTTGAAACTTGGTGTTTCCAACGAGGAAGTTCAGCAAGCCATTGAGAGAATCCGTGGTCTCTCTCTTTCCAATAGAGGCATGTGCTTCGGTACTCTTCTCAAGTTTAGCACATTCATCGACGCTTTCATTGCTGGATACGACTACCTCAGAGGCCACGCTCATTACAAGCGCCCTAGTGAGCCTGCTTCATATGGAAGTATAACAACCAGTGCTAAGCATGACATGCTGGAGGTGTTTTCGGCTGCTGAAGTCCGTGTCAAGATGGAAGACAACTCCTTGGGTGAGGGATTTGACGAATACTTCATGAAGACGCAAAGAAATGATTTTGACACACAATCTGGGTTTCACTCAGCAGATATCCCCCAGTTTGGCGAGATGGTCTTCAACGGCGGTATTGCCAGTTTCGGCAATGGCTTTGGTGCACCTGAACGCTTCACCACAGAAAGTGTACTTCCAGGGGAATGATGATAATGACCTGATTTATTAGATTAGAAACTAAGGCTTAAAATAACGGTTCAAATTTGAAGCTATGACAATTTTGAGACATCGAAATGGTCAGCTTTCTACTAATGAGCATCTTCCATGTGCTGTAATTGAGACGAGTCCTGTTAAATGCCCACTTGGACTTACTCACCTAGAAGTAGGCTTTTTCAATCCAATAGGTTGTTCGTAAAAACCCTATTGTTGGCCTTACATAATTCAACTCAATCTTTAAAGAGCCTCTAAGCAGTCATTTACCTGTAAACTCTATTCAAGGCGATATTGGTAGTCTTTAAACTGTTGCTGATGCATTTCTTTCGGAACTATGGAATGCCACTCACAGATGCTCTAAGACCTTATGAGCTACAATTTTACACAATGCAACTATTGTTCTGCCTCCTCATCAAAGGTGAGAAGGCCTACGATGCTCATTATTCGTGTGGCTTTAATGACCATGTACCCTAAAAACTGTGGCCTCCTGATCTGCATTGTTCGAACAATGTCGACTACGTCACAGTTGAAGAAGCCCTCAACATTCATTGACACCAAAACAAACTTCTATTCCTGTTCAATGTTCCAATGCTGGTCAGAAAAAATAAATATCCCTTGATGTAGAATATTTCTTGCTCCTGGTGCCTCAGCATAGGTGCTTGCTGTAAAGCAATGTGCTGAGGGATTTATTATCTGCGAGTTTCCAATGAAATTGGTTGTTGCCCCCACCTAATGATGTGTCGCCACGAATGTTTTTCTCTATTTTTAGCCTCAGCTTCAAAAAAGAATCTTTTCACGATTCAAATTTGGTTTATTTTATATATAGCGGCACACACTTTCGCCCAGCAATTAGTGTCTCAGTTTTGCAGCCAAGTTCGCAGTTCGGCAGGAAGCAACATTTACTGACCTGGCAAGGATCCCTGTTCCCACACACAGGCGCTCACTAATTATACATCTCTTATTTACTACTACAAATAATAGAAATCGACAACAAGGTCATCCAGGCTAGTACATCTGGCAAACGCATCAAATATTTATCCATCATTCGAGCTTAGCCCTTCGGTAACCAATTGTTAGTTGTGGGACACCTGACTAAGCATCCGTGAATAAACAAACCACATCACTCGACGAAGTTCCACCAAAGCATGTCAACACGATCTCGTCCCAACAGCCCTGATACAGAGAAAGCCGCTGAGATTCCTCCTGCCGTGCAAGCAATTTCAAACTTGCGTTGCCCGCTGCCACCACCTATCCTTAACAACCTGAGTCGAAACACCCCGACACAGAAATCGCTTGAAGAGGAAGCGAAAAATACTCAAGCATCTTCAGAAAAGCTTGCTCACCCCAGTGTGACTGTCGATGTTCGTGAAATCCGTGGTAGACCAGATGAAAGTTTGAAAAGAGCCAGTTTAGAGTCTCCTCGTCTCCGGTCCAGAGACAGCGATAGTGGACATGAGGGCCTCCGGGCACCTGCTCCACGAGGACCATCCACTTCAAAACAAGAAGCTCCGGAGAAAGAGGCGAACCGCTCATCTGTTCATGCCCACTTTTCGTCAGAAGAGTCGCTGCGACCAAAAACAAGACTGCGGCTGGGGCTGAACACTGGTGCTCAAAGCACGGCTGGTGCTGGCACCGTCGTGAACGGTTCTTCTGCTACTGCCCGTGCTGGTGCCACTAGTCCGGCCTCCGGTGCCGAGTTCAAGGATCCGCTCTCTAGTATAGGCAGTCAATTGCTTAGTTCGAGGGAGGAAGGAGCGGCAAACATTGACCCTCGCCTTCCTCAGGACGACGGTAAGCTCCATGTTCTTTTTGGTGTTTGTGGTGCCATCTCATCCGGCAAAATCAAACTCATCATCAACAAGCTTTTCGAGATATATTCTCCTCAGAAGATTGCCATACAGCTCATTCTAACAGCATCTTCAGAAAACTTCATCAGCAATGAAACATTGCAGCTTTTAGAATCATCTAAACGTGTTCGTGTTTGGCGTGACTCCGATGAGTGGGTTACTTGGAATTCTCGCGCTGATCCAGTGCTCCACATCGAGTTACGTCGTTGGGCCGATATTCTTATTGTGTGTCCGTTAACCGCCAACACTTTGGCGAAGATTTCTCTTGGAATTTGCGACAACCTACTCACATCTGTTATTCGTGCTTGGAACACTGCCTACCCTATCCTTTTGGCGCCAGCCATGGTTAGCAACGCCTACAACGCTATCACCACGAAGCGTCAATTGAGACTAATATCAGAGGAAATGCCATGGATTGAGGTGCTTAAGCCTGTTGAGAAAGTTATGGGTTCCTACGGAGATATTGGCATGGGTGGCATGATGGACTGGAACGAAATCGTTAACAAGGTCGTCTTGAAGTTGGGCGGCTATCCGGACATCGACGATGATGACGATGATTCGAAGAATAATGAGGCTGCTACGACTGATAACAATAATAATAATGACGATGATGACGATGATGACGATGATGACGATGATGACGATGATGACGATGATGACGATGATGACGACGACGACGACGACGACGACGACGATGATGATGATGATGATGATGATGACGATGACGACGATGATAATAATGCAGTCGCCGATGAAGTCGTTCGTGCTCAAAAAGTTGTCGAAGCCGAGAAGGAGAAGGAAGCCAAAGAGCAGTTGCAATTATAGGTGTATTAGTAATATCTACGGAGGATGCAGAATAAACGTATTGATTAGCTAATGACGAGCATTGGCACGCTTAGTAGATTCTGAAAGAAGGACCCATGGTGGACTTAATCACCAAGGAGCCAACGTTCTGCCAGTTCTTCTTCAACAAAGAGACCAAGAAGTTAGCAGCCATCATGATCTGGTTGACCAAGACGTCCTGCTCCATCTCAACGTTACCGACGGCAACAGCAAGACACAAGACCTTCTTCAACTGGAACTTGATGGTGGACTTGACATCCTGAACTCTGGAGTACAAGTCATCGTTGTGGGAAACTGGAGTTGGGAACTTACCAGCCTTGGACAACTGAGGACCCAACAATCTTGGGACCTGCTTGATCAAGACCTCAGAAGCGATGAAAGCGTTGTATTTCTTAGCCAACTTCTTGATCAACTTCTTGTTCTTGTTCAACTTCTTCAAGTCGTCAACGGACATAGCGTCGACACCAACAGACTTAGCTCTGTCAACGTCGAAAGCGTCACCGAAGATACAGATGGTCATGTTTGGTCTTGGGACCTGAGGCAACTTCAAGGTACCAGAGAAACGCTTGTCTCTCTGGGGGTCGTAGTTCTTCAAACCAACCTGCAACTCGACAGTCTCCAAGAAGTTTCTCTTCTTGGTCTCGTTGGAGAACTCCAACAACTTCTGAACGTTCTCACGAACGTGGGCACTGGTGATCTTAGACATCTTTAAAGTTCGTCTCCCAAAAGTATTTGGTAAAGGTTAGTGATTCGACGAGGATGAGGCCTGAGAAGTAACTGAGAAGATTTTTTTCACCGGGTGATGCTGCGATGTTTCATATGCAGGACCTTTGTTTAGGGCTCGAGCCCTAAGCCAAAGGCCATTCTACATATTTCAAGAATCGAATATTCCTTTTCTTGGAAATATTCAATCATGCAAAGTTTCGCCCATATCTCTGTTCATCCTGTCATCAAAAGCTAAGTGGTAGCTTCACTCAGTGATGATGTAAACCTCATCAGAATATCATCCTGATGTCTTCAGAATTGATTGCAAAGCTCGTAGAAAAAGCTTTTAAGATAGACATGTCGCTGAAGAGGCCGAAGCGATGTAGGACACTATTCTGGATTGAATGATGAAGTCGTGGCCATCCTTCATGATGACATTGAGCACGGCCAAACAGGGTTTCGATCGAAAGACTGCAAGCTCTTTAAGGTTGCATAAATCGTATTTATTAGCCCATGATGGACTGGATGCTGCTCGGAATTTCACCGAAATAATTTCGCTTGAATTTGGAGAGTGGTTTCTTGTTCGCAAGATAGCTCTGAAGTCGAATCGCGCTTCATTTTGCAGCCATTTTACCTTATTGAAGACATGTTATCTACCTCTCAATCAACACCACAATTATCAATATCTTGTTATAATTGAAATAGCAATAAAGCGAAAAGAAGATAACAAATTTACAGTCAGTAATGGAATTCGACCTTCTTGATTCTTTAAAAATGGCCAATTGGATCACCATCGCGTTGATGTCGCGCATAGACATCTCCATCAACCCCAGATTACAGATCCATCACACGAATGCTACAATGCCTACGATGGTCCAAGCCACTATTCTATAGCCCGGCTACTTCCATAACTAGAGCCTATGCTTCAGCAAGACTTACAAGAAAAGAGAAGATTGAGGGCCTGAATCATATTGCTCGAAGTAAGTTATTCCAACTCGATACACGCTTTGACATATTCAACGAGAAGGTAACAAATGTTGTCGACTTAGGCTATGCGCCTGGCAACTGGCTCTCATATGCTCGAGATGCTCTACTGGCCGCACACGATATAGAACCCGAGAAGATTTATCAGAAGTGCACCTTGGTCGGCCTCGATATTGTGGTCGGTAATCACCCACAAGGATCATTCACAACCCAAGGAAATATATTCTCCAAATTAGCGCATAAAAATGTTACTAAACTACTCAAAGAACATGCATACCGAAGATTGGCAGTGCAGAATGGTATATTGCAGAACACTGGCACTAAAGTGAACGGTGAATTCGCGTTAGACTCTGAGATGGCAAAGATTTCGGAGATGTTTCTGAATCTTGACATAAAGGACGAAGCTTTAGAGTCAATTATGAGTATTCAAGATTACCAAGCCAATTTGGTATTGTCAGACATGACCAACCCGTTTCTTCAAGACAAAGGCTTTTTTAACAATACCACCAGCAGACCCTACATTCGTTCTTCTACAAACTCTGCTCTCAGGCATCATACAAGCGATCCCCTGAAGAGTTCTATAGACACGGCGGATGCCGCACTTCTACTATGTTGCGATGTATTAGCCAAGGGAGGGTCCTTCTTGATTCGTTTGTCAAGAGTAGACTTGGCTGACCCGGAATTGTCACTTCTCGAGCAAAGACTTAGAAGAACATTCGCAGAGGTGAACAAATGGAATCCAGAGGGGGTAACAGAATCGGACAAACTGGTAATACTGGAGCTCTATTTTGTTTGCAAACACAAGACTGAGCATATCGCTGACAAGTACGAAGTATTTGATGTGAAACGTTAAATGTACAATGATTGTATGTAATTTTTTTGAGGAGGGGATTGAAGTAATCCATTCTCATGCAGCGTGATCTATACCTTGAATTCACGCCTGAAGAGCCCACAGATTTCCATTAGTAAAGTGTTCTTCTTAAGCCTCAAGAAGGTCATCATCTATAGTATGCTTGTTATCTTCAAGATCAATCAATGCATCCTGGGCAGGTGGCTCGCCCACTGTGAGATTGGAGAGACTCGTAATCAAACGCTCGCTGATTCTAGCTCTACCCTTGGACTCCAACTGCTTCTTCCAAGAGGCAACAATCTCCTGTAGCTTGGAGTCACTGACACCATACGTGCGGCCAAAGAAAGCGGCCTCAGTGAAGCGCTCGGTCTTCACCAAAAGGTCGAGACATTTTTCGACGTTTCCAGTCAACCACCAGGCTTGGAAGGCGATATTGTACTTACCCAAGGTCTCTGTGCTCTCAGCTAGACGGGCCAACTGCTTTTGATTATTGGATGACGAAAGCAAAAGCAACAATGATGAGTGGTCTTTAGCTAACCAGTAGCAGTCTTCCGCGAGCTTAATCTGCCATTTCAGCAAGGCCAAGTCACCCAACTTCTTCCACTTGATGACGTTTGCCGAAGCGGTCAGAGGATTTTGCTCCTGACTCTCAGCAAGCAATTCATATGCCTTGTTTAGATCACCAGTAGTTAAGGAGATCTGGAACTTGGAGTCGAAGTCCTGCGACAAAGAGAAAGACAACTTCATGTAGCCAAGCTTTTCGAAGAATCTTGAAAGCTGATTGAGTTCAGTCTTAGACAAGTCCTGTAGGTATTCAGAGTATTCACCTTCCAAATCTTCGGTGCCAATGGTAGAGACATCTGGGATATCCTCCTCAACAAAGCCTTTAGCATATTGCTCAAGATCACCACGCATGACTAATGTTTGCAACTCCAAAATTTTGGCGTTCAAGTACCACGAGATGACATTAAAAGCCTTGTCAATCAAGTAAAGCTTGCCATCAGCAGCTTTGTAGCCAATGACGTAGTACTTACGGTCAAAGTGACTCAAGTTGATGACCTCTCCGCCGACGAAGTAATTGAGTCTGTTGGTGCTTCCTGTGGTGTACACGAAAACATCGCCAATAAACTTACCAGACAAAATTGGTTCCGACGAGGGCAATGTATAAAGGACGTCAAATGCAGCTTCTGCTCCCTCAGCAGAGCTATAAGTACCATCGGTTAATGATTCATCGTAGACTGCACGGTCGAAGCTGAGGAAGTAAGTCTCATTTCCGTTCTTACCAGCACTAGTAGTACCAGCGCCGGTCTCTGTCGCAATGCTCGTAGTCAAGATGGCAACAATCTCGCCATTGTCAGACCACACAAGATCTTGAACATCATTTTGTGCGAGGTTGACTCTTCTCACCAATGCACCAGTCTCCCAATCGTAGAAGCACAAAAGCCCACTGGACTTAACACCTAACAAAGCACCAGGAATAATCTTGTCAGCTTCGTATACCAAGTCAACTGCAACATGTTCTTGAAAGTTCTTGAAGATCTTAATAGAAAGCTTGCTTTCTCTTATAGCGAATGAGGTAGCATTGGACATGTCATGAGAGTTCCAAGCAAAGTCCAAAGCCTTACCGAAAGCCTTGGATCTCCAAGCCAAAGCAGTGTAGACGAGATATTCACCATCACCACAAACAGCAGCATATCTTCCGTTGGGCGAATGTGCCAAAGTCTGTGGATATATTTCGACAGTGCCCAAGTCTTTTTGTTGGATAGGCAAGGTTTCACCATCCTTTATACCATCAGTGGATGTGGGTTTTATAACCGAAGAGTAAACCTCGGAGTTTTTAGCGTAGATCAATTTACCATTGTTGTCCATAGAGAACAAGGGCTCTTCGTTACCCATTTTGACAACGATATAACCGGAATCGCAACCGACGGCGATCAAGTTAGACTTTTGCAAGATGCCGACACACCAAACTCTCTCCAAGCCATAGTTGACAGACTTCTCCAACTTGAAAGTATTTGAGTTCCAAAATCTGACAGTGCCGTCCTCAGAACCGGAAACGATTAAAGGCAATTCAGGATGGAAGATGGCGAAGGAAACATTGGCCAAGTGACCTTCCAAAACGGCGACACAAGACTTTGTCTGGTAGTCCCAAACTTTGACGGTTTTGTCGTCAGAGGCTGTGATAAGGTATGGCTTGTCTGCCTGGGGGTAGTAGTCCACGTAGTTCACTCCCTTCTCGTCATGGGCGACCAACGTGAAGTTAGGGGTTGGCGAGCTCAAAGACCAAACTTTGACAGTTCTATCTAAACATGCCGATGCAAAAGTGTTGGGGTCTTTTGGATTGAAGTTTACGCTCATAATGTAGTGTTGATGGCCTTCATAAGTTTGTTCCAAACGCCAATTGTTCTCCCAGTTCCACAATTTAACGGTCAAGTCATCCGAAGATGTCAAGACATAAGGTAAGGACTGGTGGACAGCAATACTTCTGATATAATCTGGGTGAGCTTCGAACTGAGTGATCTTTTCACCAGTGTTATAGTTGTAAACACGCACATGGAAGTCATCGGAGCCCACAACAATCCAAGCCTTTCTTGCGATGAACTTACCAGCTCTCACTGGCAAGTCAGTGACTTGGATCAGCTTGATGAGCGTGTTGGTTGCGTAGGACCAAATTTCGATCTTACCATTGTACAATGTTGTAAGAATCCAGGGCTCGGTCGGGTGGAAATCAATGCCCTTCACTCTTTCCGAGCGAGTGGAGAACTGCTTGGTCACTTCCAACTTCATTGTCCTCGGGAGTAGGGGAAATCTGTTGGCGGTGAGATTGGTGAAAGTAGGTGTTTGGAATTTTGAACACGATCCACTATAACCTGCGCGCGCACGACCTTTGACAGGCTTGCAACATGCTTTGAGACAGATTGTCAGATTTTAGCCAAAATTAAAGTGTATTTATTATTTTATTTGCAATTGGTCGTGATGATAATGCTGGTTATATATATGCGATATATGCGATATATGCATTGAGTAGTCATCCAATGGTGACTGCGAATTATGGCAGGAGGCTTGTCTGGTGGTTGCGAAAACGCTAGAGGCTATCTCTAATATACTGCAAGAACCTTGCCCCGATCTTCTCTGTACTGATTTTCAAGCTCCACGACTTCATGAAGCTTATCCAGCCATTTTTCATGGAAAATGCGATTAGAAAACTTCTCTTCCATGAGCTCACTACCAGTAGTCCTCATGGAAGTTAACTGTTCCAGACTGATAGATTTTTCAATGTACAATCTATGGAGAACTTCATTCAACCTGGGAAATCTTGCTTCGGTTTTTTCATCATTCGCATATTGGGTGAAGATAAGATCTCCATCAACTTCCTCTCCATTGAAGTCTGGGTCGTCCGTGCTCTTGAAGAAAAAGCCAACGTCATTCCTCCATGTTGTAGAAGGAACCCAAGCAGGTGGGCTTGTAGCCAGCTTCTGAGAGCAAATGTCGAGGAGAGGCCCAGCGGAAGCGTGTACAATAGGAATGGCGCCAGAGCTCACATACTCAACAACGCCAATTCCGAAATGCTCGTTCCACATGGCATTGAGACCGAAGTTACATTTCTTCAATTGTTCCTTCACTTCATCGTAAGAGCAATCCACAATGAATTCAACATAATCGGTTAATTCGAGATCCTCAGTAAGAGCTTGAAGATTCTCAAGTGTACCGGAATCTTCAGGCGTTCTGCAAGATCCCAAAAAAACGATTTTTGGAATGTCCTTGATGGGAAGAGAAGCAGACCTTGCTGCTTGCAAAAACTTGCTGAACTCCTCAAGGACTAGAGAGTGGCGCTTCTCAGGCCTAAACTGTGCAATGTAGAGCAACTTCTCCTCTCTGGGTGTGGTGGTCAACTCTAGATTGATGAGAGACTCAGTTGAGCACGGAGGATAAAGCTTTTCGATGGTTCTCCCCAAGCCCTGATTGAGGCTCCAGATTTTTGACATATGGTTGAAAGTCCAGGAGCCATTCGTGAAGGTGACATTGACGCACGAGCCAAGGTAGACATAGAAGTAATAAAGAGCAGTCCAGTAGAAAAACTTGCCCAATGCTTTCAAATCACCAAGACTTGGCCGAAGAGATGTCAAGTCCGCGAGCGATCTGAACTTGAGCTTATTGAACATGTCCAGTTGGATGATTGGATAGTGCACATATGCCACAATCGGTATCTTGAGGATAATGCTGATAGGGAAGTAGCTACCAGGCAAACCCATTGTATCTATCCAAACATCAGGAGTCAATTCAAAGATTGCTTCAAGTGCTAGAAGAATTGAGCCTAATAGCTGGCCGATCATAGTGAAATGCTTCCAGGAGTCTGAGTCGATCCATTTGCTGAATTTACGCAAGTACACAAACACAATTCGCTTAGAATCCATGTCCTTGACATCAAACTTCAGCTGGGCTTTATGCAAAATCTCCTGGGGCAGAGCCTCCACATTCGTGGTGTAAACGACGACAATATTTTCACTGTTCTGCGATAAGGTAGCGTAGATAGCCTCCCACAAGACTTTTTCACCACCACCACCATTGTTAGCGTATGGATGGAAGAATCCATATAAGATGCTTCTGCGCAGATCACCACTCAGTCTATGCTTCATGGTAGCTAAGAAATCATCCTTGTTTTTGATATCCGAGGGCAGGAACAGGATCTTATTATCCTTGTAATTCGAATAATATTGTGGATCAAAGCTGGCCCCGACCAAGCGTTTCCTGAAACTTGAACGTTTTGCTCCTACCTTCAAGTAGACTGGCTTGGGGTGGTCGAGATGCTTCTTGATCTTATCCTGCCAATGGGTTGGAGGCACGAAAAAGAAGTGCGGCAAGGCGCCCTTGGCGGTCTGGAAGAGGAAGAAGACCGCAAAAACGAGAGCCACAATTAACAACATAGCTGATGAGGAACCAAAGATGTATCTGGTGGTGGAAATAGTGGGAGTGAGATCACGTGCGGCGGATATCGCCGAAGCAGAGTCAGACTGTGGATCAGGGTCGAGGAGGAAGATTGGGGGGAAAAAAAAAAAAAAAAAAAAAATGAAAAGGTCCTTGGGATTGACAATTGCAAACTGGTCAATTGAAACTTCAATTTGATTTTGAGAACACATTGTGGTGCAAGTGGGCGTACGACTTTATGTCTACATGATGGCACGATGCAACCTGGCTACAGATATACTTGGCCCTATTGTGTGAGACATTGACGGTGAGACCAAATCTTGCTGCCTGCTGTAATGCAATGCTTGTTTCAAAGACATCTGAGACAGGCTTCAAGACAGGCTTCGACTCCAGCTGGGGAAAAATTAAGCGGCTGCAAAAGGAAGCAGGAAATCGGAGTAGCCTGAAACCCCTGAGTGGAAACAAGACGCACTGCCTCGAGACTAGTCTGGGCCATTTCCGGAATGGTGCCGAGTAGACCTATTTTGGCTTTGACGCTCTACATCGCAGCAATAAGCGAGCTCCGGTGAAAGTCCACAATTGGCACCTTGACCAGCACCACCCTACTTTACGACAATCAAACAAGAACAATTGACCACTTAAGAAAAGTCTTGAATCTTGGACCCCTGCATTCATTTGTGGAACGATTTGTTCCCCAAAAAAAAAAACCCTCGGCTTGCGGGGCATTGTCAGAGCCCTTATCGCCCCTTCGAAGGTATAAGCGATACGCACCCACCCACCGCGTACCTTCCGCATGGGTAAAAAAAAGTGCCCTAAAGCCAGATGCGATCGGCGCTTCCACGCGTGTAATGTACCCTTCCGTGCCCCACGCTGCCAAAGAATAGCAAGCTGGAACTTCTCCAAAGAAGCCTGCCCGAATTGGCCGAACAATCCAGGCGCTTTGGTCCGGGTGGCTTTTTTTTTTTTTTTTCCCCCAATGGCTCTTGTAGGTAACTTTTCAGATTGGTGAAGATGCAATTGACCGGGAAGCATTGTGGTAATTGACGTGTTTCAGACGAAAAATAAAATCACCCTATTCGGGCTTCCGTTGACACAATTTTTTTTTTTTCTCGTCTTATTCTGTTTCAATTGTGCGGTTGCAAGTTGTGGGTGTCTCAGTTGCTGCGAGTAATTACGGCACATTTTACTCTTTTTTCTCGCCCTATTCGTCCTTCCACGCGTACCCATCCCTTTTCAGTTTAGCCCTCCTACTCATCCCAGCTTTTGCTGTCTTAGCTTGCGGTTTCCCCTGCCTTTTAACCAAACCCGCTGCCGTTAGCGTCTGGTCTTTTTCCATCACTCCTGATCTTTTTTTTACCACTTGGTTGGCATGAACACTCTTAAACAATCGAACGCCGCCAACTCACCCGAAGACATGTCCACGAAAACATCAACGCCTCTGCGTTCCAAACCCCAACTCAAGAAAGATGACTTGGAGAAGATAGCCAAGGAGCTCAAGCTGAAGCTTTCCAAGGCTTCCGTCACTGCTAAGCAGCTGATGTCCTCCACGGCAGCCAAGACCCAGCTGCCTGACAGCCCTGTGTCACAGACGTCCTTGCCAAAACTGAGCCCCTTGAAGAACTATTACATGTGGAAGCGCCAGATGGCATCCGGCCGTTCCCCCAACGTGACATCCTCGCCCAGCTTGGTGTCCCCTGATGGAAAACTGCCCACGCTGACTAAACCGTCTGTCTTTTTGGCTAGCTCTCCGACGAAGTCCCGCAAGGCTTCTACAAGCTCTTTTGCTGAGGATGAACCCAACGACTCGCCTATCAAGAGACGCAGAGCTACCAGTGGGGCCGCTATCAAAAGTCCCGCTCCTCATATGGTTCTCAAGGAACTTAACGGACCCGCTACTCCTCCAGGCGCTCTGGGCAAGAACTTGAATCCATCGCCTGTGCTTACATCGAACCCTCAGAAGGGTAACACGCAGACGACTCCCACTTTGGCGAAGAAGCAGCTTTCTGCCAACCTGGCACAGTCTGCCCTACTCAAGACCCCAACTCAGTCTAGAAGAGCTTCAGTTTACAATGATGACGAAGGTGCCGACCTTCTCATGTACTTGGCCACGTCTCCTTCGCCAGCTAAACCAGCTTATGCGAATACACCTAGGGCGTCTACCGCGCCTAACGGCTCTGCGAACCACAACTTCCTAATGGCGAAGCCCCTGCTGAGCGGTGCTCTGTTCATCTCGCCACAACCACCTCTCACACCAAAGAGAACGCTTCATTCCACTGCGAAGACACCTCAGAATAGATTAACTCCTTCCTTGGGACTCCTGGGAGGCGTCGGCGTACCGGGCAGCGCGCTACCCTCGGCAGGTTTGGCCCTTACTCCGGCAGGTTTCAATATGGGCGATTATGTCAATTTTTTCACACCTTCTCCCGGTGGTGCTCAATCAGGACATGCTCACCAGCTGGCCAACCGTAACTTGCTTCGAACGCCCGACTTTGTCGGTCTCATGCTGCAAAAGACCCGTGTTGATGGTAAAATGATCAATTTCGACAAGGTTGGCTTGTTTGGCTCGCAGCTGAACCCCGAATCTTCCAAGGAGTAGGCTGGCACTACCCGGAATCACTCATACGCGGCGTGCCGCTGTCTCTCGTTATTTTCTCGCTAGTGGGCCTGCGGCCTTCCTCTTTCGCTCAAACGTTTGCAATTACTGAATATAGCTAATAATTTTCCTCTTTTAAATGGCTGCAAAACGGTAGAAATCTCCAATGGTGGTAGCGGCACGTGACTCCACCACCACCACGATGACCCTCAGAAAATCGGCTCGAGACTCCGAAAGCGAATTCCATAAAATGTCAGCAGATCAGGAGTCTCAGACAGCTCTGCTGGTCACGGAAAAAGTTGCTGATTTGAACATCGCTGAGGCCTCTCCTGCCCTGAAGCAGGTGAAGATGAGGCAGGTGAAGAAGGCAAGAAGAAGAAGAAGAACAAGAAAAAGAAGAAGAAGCTCACGAACATTGCTTCTTCTTACCCCGATGGCGTTTATCCTGAAGGTGAGTGGATGGAGTACCCATTGGAGGTCAACAGCTACAGAACCACCGATGAGGAGAAGAGATACTTGGACAGACAACAGAACAATAACTGGCAAGACTTCAGAAAAGGTGCCGAGATCCACAGAAGAGTTAGAGCCAAGGCCCAGCAGAACATCAAGCCTGGTATGTCTATGCTTGAAATTGCCGACTTAATTGAGAACTCAGTTAGACAATACGTCGGCAATGACCACCCCAAGAGCCAGGGTATTGGTTTCCCAACCGGTTTGTCTCTCAACCATGTCGCTGCGCATTACACCCCAAATCTGAACGACAAGGTCGTATTGAAATACGAGGATGTCATGAAGGTGGATATTGGTGTCCACGTGAACGGCCACATCGTTGACTCTGCATTTACATTGACCTTCGACGAGAAGTATGATCCACTTTTGGAGGCTGTTAAGGCTGCCACGAACACTGGTGTCAAGGAAGCTGGTATTGATGTCAGATTGAACGACATTGGTGCTGCTGTCGAGGAGGTGATGGAGAGTTATGAATTGGAGCTTAATGGAAAAACATACCCTATTAAGTGCATCAGAAACTTGAACGGCCACAACATCGGTCAGTACACTATCCACTCCGGTAAGACTGTGCCAATTGTTGCTAACGGTGATATGACAAAGATGGAAGAGGGCGAGACCTTCGCCATTGAGACTTTCGGTTCCACCGGTAAGGGTTACGTCATTGGCCAAGGTGAGTGCTCTCACTATGCATTGAACCAGGGAATCGATGCCAAAGCCCCCACGGAAAAAGCCAGGCAGCTTGTGGACACGATTAAGGATACCTTTGGAACTCTTCCTTGGTGTCGTAGATACTTGGAGAGAACTGGTGAGGATAAGTACCTTTTGGCACTTAACCAATTGGTTCGTGCCGGCATTGTTGAGGACTACCCTCCTTTGGTAGACACACTGGGTTGCTACACCGCACAGTTTGAGCACACGATCTTGCTCCATCCACACAAGAAAGAGGTGGTTTCGAGAGGCGACGATTACTAGAGGTTGAGGGGATTAGTTACATAGACGTACATTTTACTAGTCGAATGAGAGTCTCAAGTATTGAAAGGAAGTCAATTTTGAAAATCCCAAGTGTAGCTACCTGAAGCCAAGAACACGGTCTGGCATTCTTTCACCATGCCTGATTCGTCGATAGAATTCCTTGTGAGGGGTTGACGGGTAAAGTTTGAAACCCTATGCAATCATGGACCAATGAGCGTATTTCGTACCGTGAAAAACTATGGAGGGGAATTCTGTAGATAGAAAAAGCCCGTCTCATGATTGAATCGTCAAGTACGTCTGACCGTAAAGGACCTGGCATTCTTGACATGCCAATCTCCTATCTCCAAAATAACCGGCTCAAACTATATTATGGAATACCATCAAAAATTTTGAGTTTCATGAAACAATTATCACTATCGTCGCTTTTTAGATGTTCCTAGTCGTGTGAAGCTAAGCGACTGGCGCATTCACTTGCAGACGCCAATGCATAGCACTGCGGCGAAGCAAGAAGCAATATGACCAGCTTCTAAGGAAAGCCTGGTACACACGTGCTCAAGCGCTTTACAATAAGAGATTCTGAAACTTTTTGGCAATTTAGATTTGAAGCGTCCTCATTCGCTCGTTCGCTATCATAACAATATGCTTCCGATCTGCCGTCAATTGAAACAAGACCGCCATTGAACGAGGCCAATTCATCAATTCTACTTCAAAACGACACATAAGGATCTATTTCATAGCTTTCTCAATTCTACCACTCTTCAAACCTCTCTCATGTAGTTGGTGTACAAAACTTGAGGTGCCCGACAATCGTGGCTCAGGCTTCATGTGACAGCGTGAGGTTGCTCGGTCACATCCACGGCTGTCCAACGGCTCGTCTTGTAAGTATAAATAAAGAGAAAGATTTAATTCATTCAATCGAATTTTCCTACAATACCCCTCAACCGTTCCTGCGCTAACGTCTCTTGCTTGTCACTGCACTGCAAGGTGTCCTGCTTGGTTTTGCTACTATCAGGAATTTTCGCTCACTCTCCTTTTTTTCTCCCGCTGGTATTTTTTTCCTCCAACTACTTCACAACAATCTGCCAACATGGAGGTCTCCCCCAATGTTTTGACTTACAAAGGTATGTTTAACCAGGTTTGCTAGAGCAGTCACGCTCTCGGCTTCCACCCTGTTGTCACTAAGTTTGGACGCCACGCATTTGATTCGCCTATGTGTCAACATCTACCGGAAGCCACATTGGATGCTTCCACGAATACGAGATAATCGTTCAATGAACCCACTTGTTCAATTGCTTGGTATTCAATTCTCGTTGTTCCCGATGCCGACCCCAGGCCCGTTTGTGGTCAAACAAGTTGCCAACACGACGCTCATAACATCAAATACTAACCCCCAGGTAACTTCACAGAGCCTTCCACGGAGTACTTGCACTTGACAAATTCGTCGTCTCAGCCCTTGGCTTTCAAGGTGAAGACCACGGCTCCCAAGTTGTACTGTGTCAGACCTAACGCCAGCATCATTGGCCCCAACGAATCTATCAAAATCTCCCTCATCTTGCAAGGCTTCACTCAGCCATTGCCTAAAGACTACAAATGTAAGGACAAGTTCTTGATTGTGTCTTTGCCTTGCCCTGACTTGGCCGACCCAGCCAAGGTCAGCGAGCAGTGGAGCGCCTTGGAGAGCAAGTACGCGGACCAGTTGCTACAAAAGAAATTGAGGGTCAACTTCGTCATTGACGACGACGAGACCAACGAATCACAAGCCAACGAGACCACTTTCGCCAACGCCACCTCTTCGGCTGGTTTCGGTGGCGCCGGCGCGGCTGCTGCCTCTGGCTTCTCCCTGAATGCCAACGACACCGCCAATAGAACTATCGACGGCAACGGTGCAGCTGCTGCTGACACCACCAAGGAGGCTTTCCCATCTGTTGGTGGCGGTGCTGCTGCTGCCGACGATGCACAGCAGAAGGAGTTGGAGGCCTCAAACCAGAAGATTAACAACTTGTCCGACAAGTTGGACTCCAACGAAAAGTCTGCCGCTGGAACTGGCACTCTGACTGGCACTGCTACTGAGGACACTGTCAGCGGTGTTTCTCTTCCATTTGCTGCTGTCTTGGTTCTTATCGCTGTGTTATTGGGCTGGTACATCTTATAAGCGCCGATAAAGAAACAAAAACGGCCAGTTTAGCGGATACCGGCTGTCCAAGGAGAGAACAGTGTTCGTGGCCCACCCTCGTATACCAAGAATTGCTCTATCTCGCCGGTGGCGATGTATTATTTACCAATCGATAGTTTGTTTGACTGAATCTGTAGCATCAAGTCTAGCATCATTACCTCCGCTCTGTGCCATAGAACTTCGGTACCGCGCTCGAAAGCAAAGCAACTGAGACAAGGTATTTAGATCTCAAAAAGTCAAACATGGGCCGTGCCACGATCAAATCGGGCTCCATAAATCTCCTTAATACCATTATTGGTGCGGGCATCTTGGCCATGCCTTATGGCCTCAGAGCTAATGGTATAATCTTCGGGTCCTTTCTTATCGCATGGTCTTCGTTGACATCTGCCTTTGGTCTATATCTTCAGAACAAGGTTGCAAAGTATACTCAGCAACAAAATGCTGTCTCTTACTTCAGTTTATGCCAGTTGACGTATCCCCAGCTTTCTGTTGTTTTTGACGGTGCCATTGCCATCAAGTGTTTTGGTGTGGGTGTCTCCTACCTTGTGATTATCGGCGACTTGATGCCGAAAATAATGGAACTGCTTAAAGTTGACGAAGACTCCTGGTGGATGGAGCGGAACCTTTGGATTACGCTTTTTATGGTGCTCATGGTGGCACCGCTCTCTTACCTCAAGAAACTTGATTCGTTGAAGTACACATCTTTGATCGCTCTCTTTTCGGTGGTGTACTTGATGTGCCTAGTCATCGAACACTACATTGTCGACGACCTACCTAACAGGGTTATTGATGTTGTGGGGCCAAAGCTGTTGCGTCTGACACTTTCATCATTTCCTATCTTTGTCTTCGCATACACCTGCCACCAGAACATGTTTGCCATAATTAATGAATTAGAGCCCTCTGAAATATCTGGCTCACAGACAAGGCAAGGCAATATGGTCATCCGTAATGCCATTTCCGTGGCATGCGCCTCTTACTTGCTTGTGGGAATTATCGGGTATTTGACCTTCGGAAACAAAGTTGACGCCAATATCATCACCATGTACCCTAAAGACTCAATTCCTTCGCTTATAGGAAGACTTTGCATTGTGGTGATGGTGAGTTTATCATTCCCCTTCAATGCCACCCATGTCGTGGTTCTGTCAACCATATTAGATACTTCATCAAGAATGGCGTCCTCTCGCATAAGTTGCGCAACAGTCAAGTCACCAATGATGGCTATGCGCCTCTACAGTCAGACGGTGAATCGATGATGGACGAAACCTTCGTGTCCACTACTCCTATGGAAGGTGCCCAAGACACCGACGGTCACGACCCCATTATTGTCAAGCTCACGACTAGACAATTTTATGTCATCACAACAGGTATTGTTGTGCTAGCGTACCTAGTGGCCATCTCTGTCAAGTCTTTGGCTCGTGTCCTTGCGTTCGTTGGATCCACTGGCTCCACCTCCATTTCGTTCATCTTGCCGGGGTTATTTGGCTATATGTTGATTAAACCACTCAATGGAGCCACAAGTTTGACCATGTTAGAAAAGTTTTGCAAGTACGGCGGGTTCGCCTTGAGTGTGTGGGGTGTCATTGTCATGGTGGTGTGCCTTTTTGTCACCATCTTCCTTGGAAGCACCCATTAATTATGTCATGTCTATCATTTGTCCATCATTTCGAGTCATTATATTTACAAGTATATTTAAATAATTAAAGGATCAAATCCTTCTTGTCCCAGCCTTCTGGGTGTTTGGAGTTCAACCCTTTCTCTGGCTGTGGTTGGTCGACACCTTCGATCTTCACAACGTAAGGGTTCCTGTCAGTCTTCTGATCAATGCTGGCGAGGGTGTGATTCACCTCTCTATGCTTAGACTCGTCAGCTCTGACTCTCTCCACCAAGTCCAAGAAGGTTGACTCGTTGTTGAGCTCTGTCCAGTACTGTTGAGCCACCTCGGGAACTTTAACACCATCAAGTTTAGGCAACTTTCCAGCCTTCAAGTCATTGATGAGATGGGTGTAGGTACTGACAGCCTCTTCCTCTAAATAGCCCACGAAACGATGGCAGTAGCGAGGATAAAGCAAGTACATGAAGAAGAACATGTTGCAGAAGACACCTTGGCCCATGTAGATAAAGAAACGAGTGAACCACGAAGGTTTACCAATCTTAATAAATGTGAGAAGGTGCATTCTTTCGTTGTAAGCTTCGTCAAGCAATGTTTCAATCCAAGCCTTGTCTCTCTTAAGTAAACGCAATGAGTGGAGGTGACGAATAAAGGCTGCTGTCATGCCAGGGACGCCTGCAACCGATTCTAAGAATATAATTCTTGTGAGCCACTTGTTTTCATTCATCTCCCACCTCGTACCCTCAAAGCGATTAGTAATTTCTTCCGGAGTCTTGGGGTGTTTGTAGCCGGTTGCAAAATCGAAGATCGAGCGCACCAGATTGATAGCGCTGTGAGCAACACGATCCATTGTATTTTGAGGTGCACGATGGACAGGTTTCACACTCTCGACCTCTTCTTTTGTCCACTCTGGATGAGGGAACATAGGGTGAGAGATGAACTTTTTGTCGTCGTGTTTGCGTTGGTCGTCATTATCGAGAAGCTCCGTTCTGATCTTCAAGGACCTGGCAGGGCGGAGCGCCACGGTACCCATACCAGAAAGAGCGAGTTTTGTAATTGTTGGTTTATAAATTGAAAGCATGATGAGGAATTGAGAGGTGGGAGAAAGCTTATTATATACCCCTGGAGTGAGCTAATTTGCAGCCAAGGGAGATTCACGGAGAGACCTGCATTACAACGGTACAAGTGCGGCTGACCTCCCGTGAAAGCGGCCGAAACGCTGAATCTGGGGTATAAAGGGAGGTATTTCGGAAACTTCCAAAAACGGACCCGGATATCTCCTATAAACGTGCTCATAATTTTGAAAAAGGGAGTTTAACAGTGGTAGGATAATTGACCCAGTAGTGAAAATGGGCAAATACGGGAGAGCATATTATGCACAAGAACGAGCTTGCGTCTATTGGTCAGCGGGTTAACGAGTGAGTGGGCTTATAATAGAAAGAAATATTTCAATGTTTATTTCTCTGCTAGGCTCATAGGAGGCTAGTATTGAATCCTAGAGGTAGCCTTCACCATTCCATCGAATAGGTAGATCAAAATTACAAAAGTGAAGCTCAAAGATGAGCAAAGATAGAAAGGGTCTGTTATGGAATCCGTGCTGGAGGTAGAAGTCCGGTCATTGCTACGGCTGGTTACGGGATCATAGAAGAGAGCATTTATCGCGAGTAGGGAGGAAGGATTTACTGGAGGTCATGCTCGCGCACAAAATAGTACAAAGCGGTTAGGGTGAATGCGGGTGAGCGGGACGGACCACAGAATACTGATTAAATCGAACTTTAATTAGTCAGAAATGAGGGTCGCCTCAACTGACCAAATAATTTCCAACCCGAGTGGTTGCCTCTTGTGGATCTAGGGTGCTCATGCTTTTTATTTTGCATCATGTCAGATCCACTTTACGGGGATATTGCTTCCGCTATGGTTCATTCCCGCCGAACATCGATTGTTCTCTCTACATTCTTCCTTTAACTCTGTAGTGGACATTTTGTGTTGTCGCCTAAATTTTGGAATCGGTGCGTAGAAGTGGCTGCAAATTGGATTCTCGACACTTCTGTGCGGAACAAGCCAAGAACACCTTGAATCCACCTCACTGCCGCTTCATCGAAATAAAAAGAGAGAGAGAGCGAGAGCGAGAGAAGATAATTTTCATGTTGACAACAATTCCGCATAATTCGCTTCCACATTAGCCGATTCCTCGTGTAAACTCACACTGAGGGGACGCCGCCTTCTATGCTCGAAGGCCCGCCAGGTTCTCTACATACCGTCAGCGCCCACCTGCCACAAAAGGAAAATTTAGCCACCAAACGAAGCTTAGATTTAGCCTAGTGTGGCCGCACAGAATGCTCACACAGAGAGATGCAGCGCAAGGTTGCAACCAAACGTGCCCAACTACCGCTTTGAAACTGCCCTTTTCCATTCCCAGGCATTGCGCCGTTTTTATTCAAAAATCCTCCCGACCCTGAATTTTTGCCTATTGTACACACGTCACCGTGTCTTTTTCAGGCATTGTCCTGACTGGCCTGCGACAGTGCCGAAACGATCGCTTTTAGACTCTCGAGGTAAACATAGCGGAAGCCTAAGCGTGTTTTTTTCACTTTTTGTTTAGTCTAGCAGATCTGCCTTTCTACAAAGCTAGATCTTGTGAGCCTTACATTAACTACCACAAAAAAAAAAAAAAAAAAAACAAATGCCCATTCTTCAACAATGGGAGCCTTTTCAAATGTAGGTAGAAATAGCACCTGAATCAGCCCCCATTGGTATGCTTTGTCCGCGACCGCGGGCACTTCTAGACCTTGGGAGCGGCTCCTGCACTGGCGGATCGCGCCATGATCCGTATTTACTGGAACACTATTGTGAATTTTCGATACATTTTTTCCTCACGGAGGTCCTGGAACCCTTGTTTTGCCCAACCCTTCCGGTGATTTCTTGAAATACTCAAGTCGAGAGAACCTGACTCACGTCCATCGTTTTGATACCCCTCAACATCTTGAATATCCCCGTGCCCCTTTGTATCACCATCCCCTGATCCAATGGGCTTCAAGATCTCGAACTTCATCGGTGATCCCTTTGCTATTGCCACCGTCAGCTTTGGTGTCATAGCATGGATCGTGGCCATAGCAGGCGCCGCTGCTTCCACGCAAAGCTCGTTCCCCAGATTTACCTGGTGGGGGCTCGTATATCAGATCGTGTTGGTGATAATGATCTTCGTGCTTTATGTTTACAACACCATCGAGTTATATAAGTTCACCCTCGTGGGATTTTTATCTGTGGCGTTCTTGTACACCACCAACTCGACCAACAACTTGATCTACAACTCCAACTCGTCCGGTAACTTGTGTTGTGCGGCCGGATGCATCTTGTTGTCAATGCTCAACATCTTGTGGATCTTGTACTTTGGAGGCCACCCCGAATCGCCAACCAACCAGTTCATCGACTCCTTCTCCGTGAGAAACAACGGCTTCCACGGCTCGCTTCCCGCTGGCGAGTACAAGGAGGAGGAGTTCGCTGTTCCTCGCAGCGCATCAAACAACTACCAAAACAACGACGACAGGCACTCGCAGAACACCAACACGAAATCAGCATACATGCTGTCGCTGCAGTTGAACGGTCTTGAAAACTTTTCCAACCTGAACGTTCACGGCACGAATGCACCCGCGTCAGTGAGAAACTCCACGAGGAACACTGTCTACAACCAGCTGGACGCCAATGCCTTCGGCATGCCTGCTGGGGTATTCCGCTACAAGGCGCAAGCATTATACAGCTACGACGCCAATCCTGAGGACATCAATGAGATCTCGTTCGTGAAGGACGAAATCTTGGAGGTTGATGACATTGACGGCAAGTGGTGGCAGGCCAGAAGGTCGAACGGCCAGGTGGGTATCTGTCCTTCGAACTACGTCAAGCTCCTAGACTAAGAGCACATGTACGAATAGGGAAACACGCGGCAGCAGGCAGCTGCGGCAGAGGTAATGATAATTGTGGTGTCGGTATATATGGCAAAGTTTGACACCAGAGAAGAGAATATTCGCTGCGTAGACGCAGCATGGGGAGTGTGGCTGCGGGCCAGATCCGCTTGCGCAAGTGAAGCAACGTGGCCGTCCATCGAACCCATGTTGCTGTAGGGTGGCCTAGTAGCAAAAGAGGGCTGATGCTGTGCAGAGCTGAATGAGGGGTGGTGACTGTGGGTCTCGCCGCACGAGCAACAAGATTGCCCAGGCCACAGCGAATGAAGGCCGTCAACCACAGCGTTGCTCGGCTGCAAACCTGGCATACGTGTGATGACGCAAGGCTGCTTTCGACACGGGGGTCGAACTGATTTCTTGCCGGAGAATAGACTTGACAACAAAATTCGACAATTGGGCTTATTCGACGAAGCGTCATCTGACAATGCCGAACTGCGGATCAATTGACAAGTGTGTCAAATGGAGAAGAAAAGAATGGCACTGGCGGTCATGAGAGCAATGCTTCGAGCCGGTGGCATTGTGCATTCTCGCAGCAAGGGGCAGACCGCAACTTTGGGTGCAAAAAAATACCCTTGCGGTGGCTCGAATATAAGTAGCCCCAAGGCACGCTCTGCTGAAAAAGCCAACTATTTAATTTAAAATGGGTTTGACTGACAAGATCTCTTCTAAGATCAGCGGAAACAAGGATATCGAGAACATCCAGAACGCCGACAAGGCTGGTGGTAAGGCCATTGGCAAGGACAACATCTCTGGTGAGTTGAAGAACCTTGACAAGGACCAGGCTGCCAAGTACGCCAACGACGCCGACAAGGCTGGTGGCCAGTACATCGGCAGAGAGAACTTGTCCGGTACTGAGGGCGGTATTGGCAGCAAGCTCTCTGGTCAGGGTGCTTCTGGTGCTTCTGGTTCTACTGGCTCTGGTGCTACTGGCTCTGAATCTGGTACTGGTGCTGGTGCCGCTGGTGCTGGCGCTGCCGGTGCTGGAGCTGCTGGCGCAGGTGGTGCTGCTTACGGTGCCTCTGGATCTGGCTCTGGTGCTCCATCCTCTTCTGGCTACGGTCAGTCTGGTGCCCAGTCCTCTTCTGGTTACGGCCAGTCCTCCTCTGGTTACGGCCAGTCTGGCAGCCAGTCTGGATACGGCTCTTCTAACGCCCAGGGTGGTTCTTACGAGAGCGGTTCTGGCTCCAACTCTGGCAGAGGCTACGAGTCCCACGAGCCTACTGGCAGCCTGTCTGCTTACGGCTCCTCTGGTCAAACTGGCCTGGGTTCTACCAGCCAGGGCCAGTACGGCAAGGACGCTCTTTCTTCTGGTAAGGATGCCTCCAACGCCTACTCTTCTGGCGACAAGGCCGGAATTGCCACCGGTGGTGCTGGTGTCGCCGCTGCTGGTGCAGGTGCTGCTGGATACGGTGCTTCTCAGCTGGGCTCTGGTTCTGGTTCTGGCTCGCAAGGCAAATCTGCCTATGAGTCTGGCTCTGGTCCAAGAACCCACGGTTCCGACGCTTACGGCTCTGGCCGCTCTTCCCACGGCTACGACACTGCTTCTGGCGCCAAGACCTCTGGTGCTCCAGGCGGTGTTTCTGAGGGCTCTGCCACCACTTCTAGATACGATACTGAGGGTGGTGCCGACAAGTACGGTGCTACTGGTTCCCGTGGCCACGGTGCTACTGACGCCAATGCTACTGGCTCTGGCTTGGGTGGCTCCATTGGCGGTGCCGGTGCCGGTGCCGGTGGTGCTGCTGGTGCTGCTGGCGGCTACGCTGCTGGTTCCCACGGCTCCTCTTCTCACGGTGCTTCCACTGGTGCCTCTGGCTCTCAGGGTGCCTACGGTTCCTCCGGTGCTACTGGCTCCTCTGGTACTGGCTCTGGCTTCTCCACTGGTGACTCCTCCTTGGACTCCAAGATCTCCAAATTGGACCCTAAGGTTCAGGAGAAGGCCAAGGATGCTTTCCAGAAGGGCTACGACGACGCTGTCAAGTCTATTAACAGATCTTAAGGGTCAACACTGTATTAGTTTATATTGAATGCCATAATGATCAGCACTAACTGGCACAGCTGCACTGTAGCATGGAACGGGCTTCTCCAGCGTCGCTTTGCAAACGCCATTTGTCTTCGTACTGCTTGAGCTCGTCACCCCACTTGCTGGGATCGAGTGGGTTGAAGGCCATCTTTTCAAGTTTCTTCAACAATGTGACATCGTTACACTTGGTCTCCTCTGCCTGCTCAATCACCTCAGCAAGAATCCAGTTTCTTGGGAGGAAGAGCGGGTTGTGCTGCGAGCTCTTTTCGTATCTGTCAAACCCATCATGCTCCATCGTCCTAGACACGTAATTCTGGTACTTTTGCACCCACTCCTTCACTTGCTGTGTCAATTCGTCTCTAGGGTAGTGCTCGTGCTGGCTCACTTCCTGCAACAAAACGGAAGCTGCAAACTTGTCAAGATCAAAATCCGCAGACTCAACTCTGGCCTCTTGTAACTTCACGAAAAACCCGTTGAAATCACATTGGGTGTTTTTGAGCATTTCAAGCATAGGAGCAAGCAAATCGGCGTTTTGAGCTTCAGGATCCATCACGTCAATAAGCTTGTGCAGCAAACCGAGTCTGTCAAAGAAAGTTTCCACGTACTTTTTGGTGAATGCGTACATGTACATTTCTCCACCAATTTCAATCAACTTGGATGCCCTTTTAACAATTTTATCCTCCCAGCCATTCTGGAAGTTGTTCGTCTTGAATTGTGGGTTGTCGATGAGATCAGTACCAGCACCAATAAGCTGTGCCAAGTTCTCACCCAACCTCGTCAAGTTCCACCAGATAGCCGTCGGCGTATTGGCGTAGTTGTATCTTCCTTGATGGTCCTCGGAGTTAGGCGTGTACTCAGGGTTGTACTTGTCCATAATACTGAATGGACCAAAATCCATCGAAAGCCCAATAACGGAAGTATTGTCAGTGTTCAACACTCCGTTGAGGAAGCCGTAACATTGCCACATGGAGGCAGTCATGGCATTGCGAACAATGATCTCGAAGTACATTTTATCGTACTTGGTCAAACCACGAAGGCTCTTCTGAATGTCATTTTGGAACCCAGTATTAGCTGCAATGGTTTGTTCGAAGAAGGGGAACTCAACCTTCTTCCCATCTTCCTCGACAATGAAAAGCTCATCAATAACGTAGTCACTCAAACGACGAAGACCGTCCATATCAAATCTCCATCTGTACAAGTCAAAGGTTCCAAGTCTGATCCAAGACTCGGCAAATCTGGAGACAATGGCACATCTTTCAGCAGAATATCTTTGAGCTAGAGTCTGTGGGAGATAGGTAAGCGACAATGCTCTGGTGGTAGGAATTCCGATTTGATTCAAGTGCTCGGAGATAATGTACTCCCTTATTGAAGAACGAATAACTGCCTTTCCATCCGCAAAACGTGAGTATGGGGTTTTGCCAGATCCCTTCAACTGGACCTCATACTCTTTCCTGTTGAACTTCGTAGAAGGCAGCGTATTGTCTTTGGGTTTAGGAACTTCAAACAAGTTGTGAACTCTGCCATCACCTAGCTGACCAGCAAATTGGCCGAATTGCCACCCAGCGTACGCTTGAGCGTATGGGAATGGAAAGTCTGTATCACGGAATGACAAATCATGGTAGAATTCGCCACTGACGATTTTCCAAAACTCTGGATCTTGATCCTCGTTCTCGTTTAAACCCAAGTCATGAAGAGCTTGTTTGCTGGTTGTGATGTATTTGTAATCCTTACGTTCTTCAGGAATTGACCATGAGAATGCTCCATCGTGAAGGATCCTGGGGTGTCTAATGACATTTTTTTCGTTAGCTGCAGCAACGTCTTCACTCGTTATAGCATTATCTGGCTGGAGGGTCTTGGGTATGGTCAGCCTCTTGGGCAACTTGGCGAAGGTGGACATGGATCTTTGGCAATGGTTTTTAGCGTGCTTGAGTGCGGTTATCATTATTCTGCCAAGGAAGTCAAGCGACGGCTGGTTATTTATAACAAGAACACAACAGTCAAATCGAGAATAGAAGGAGTAGTTCAGATTTTGAATTTGTCAGAAAAATATGTGTCTGAATAGCTAGCAGTTGCTCCCCGTTTATGTAGGAGGGTCCTAGAAGTGCGTGTGGAGTGAATGCCACACAAAGTCCGAGTAACTGCGGAATAACCGACTTCTTTACTTCTACAGACTATTAACAAATCAGAGTCATGAGTTTATTTTTTAGCTTCACCAGCATCTAGGTCTGGATTTGCTTTGAATGATCATTATGTGCTGTTAGCGTGTGACAGCTATAAAGGACCCTTGTCCTGGGAACTAAACAGCAGGGTCCCTTACAACTTGATGGTGACAAGGTCATGTCTAAGACATGGTTCTTCTATTGTCTCTCTGACATAGTCGACCACATCCTTGGTGGGCATCTCCTCTAAGGAGTATCCGGTCCACAAAACTTGCTGGGCAAATCCTTGGTAGATCATTGCCTCGATGCCCCCAACAACGTCCCAACCAGCCTCATGGAACGCATTGTAAAGACGAGTGATCTGTGTGGGGTGGTAGCACATTTCAAGCACAGCTCCCTTCTCTTCTTGTTGAATGAACACTTCCAAGGTGTTTCTGGCCAATTTTTCCTCGTCTGTGACGGGGCGAAATCTGGGACAGCCAAAACAATTAATTGTGGAGACTCAACCTCACGAGCCTGTTCCGGCGTGGCGATGTGAACTATTTCACCTGTGAAGCCATTGGCAGCCATTTCCTCTTGGATTTTGTGAACCTCCAGAGCGAATCTGTTGACCAAGTAGATCTTGGAACAGCCCAAATACTCCTTCAAGGCATACACGGCAGAACGACAGGCACCGCCTCCGCCGTACACAAGGCCTGGTTTACCTTGGCCTTTGGCAGTAGCTTCAGGCACGTTGTATTGGAAAGCGTCTCTGATGCCGACGGTATCGGTATTGGTACCAATGTTGATGGCCTTTCCGTCCTTGAATCTGACGTAAATTGTGTTGACAGCACCGACAGACTGGGCGTTGAAATCGATTTCGTCTAAGTGTGGAATAATAGCGACCTTGTAAGGCATGGTGACGGCAGATCCAATGTACTTGAGGTCGCTCCATGAAGTGACGCCCTTGTTGGCATTAATGAGCTCAACGAAAGCCTCCAAACCATACGAGTCAAGACACTCGTAGACATAACCGTTACATCCCAATTTTTGGAACAAATAGTTATGCATCAATGGGCCTTGGAATGGGTGATGCCTTCACCGAAGAGGTGAAACAAAAAGTTCTTCTTCCTTATAACCTCGAGGTCAGCAGCAGCGAGAGAGAGTGACATGGCTAATCAAATAATACCGGGATAATGAAATGCCAATACCTAGGCTCTTTATATTCGGCGTCAGAGAGAATGTGTCAGTGAGTGAAAAACCCCGGAAAATCGCCGGTATAGGCAGGAACCGGTGGAGAATATCTTCAGAATCCCGAAAATGGTCCCAAACTAGAAAGCCCCAGGTCATCCCGAGTGGCACTATGGCTTTTGAGCAGGTAATTTAGGGCGATCTGGAGTCCTCATGGAGGGGCTGGGAGGGGCATTTCTCCACCATGCGCTGAGTACAAAGAAAAAAGCGACGGTCTCCTCCCGCCCAACTTTAAATGAGATGACCGGTCAGGGGTGTGGTAGCATTTTTCCTAGGCCCCATCTGGAAATCTGGGGCTCTCCCGAAAAAATTACCCCAGAATTGGGCTGCTTCGATACAATGGTCCCGCCCATTTGCACCCATTGTCGAACCGCACCAGAAGGTCATAACCGAGAAGACAAGGCAACCGTGAAGTCCGAGCCTGCCCGCTTACTCGTATTAGGGAATTTAAAGAAAGGTGTGATCAACAAAAAAAATTGCAATAATTTGATAGTGGAAGAAAGCAAGATCTCAAAAGCAACTCTTCTGTAGAGGGGGCGAGGCACTCAGGGTTTAGGGTGGGACCGGGTGCGACGTTGCACTAGGTGCAACCCAGGCTGACCAGACGGAATTGGAGTCAGAGCTATTATTAAAATTTGAGACAAGGCAACCGGATTGAATGAGATTTTCAAGATTTGGTGACATAACAAGCCATTTTTCCACCTAATGCGGATGCCAATCTCTAGTGTTATATTCTTGGAATGGTGCATCCCTGCCATCGTAAGCCCACGAGGCTTGCGCACATTTGAGTCTTTGCGTCATATTTAGGTTGGCAAAACCAAACACATACGGTCATGGACAATTTGGTCGCTTGAAGCTTTACTTGTCGCTATTTTACTAATGTAAGTGTAGATTATGGACCCCTACCACATGGCGCTATACACTCGCGGTGCGCGTTTCTGATCTCAATCACTTTTATCAAGCACCATGAAGCTCCTATTTGCCAGAAAGCTGGCGCTTGTCAAGGTACTTTTGGCTGCTGTGGTGATCGTGATAGTTATACATCAGCTCACCTATCTGCCTTACAATCCTTACGATTTGTTCCAGGGTAGAAGCAAAGGACTGGTGCCGTACAGGGCCTTTTTTGATGGTTTGGAGAACTTCGCCATTAATGGCGACCGCTTGAAGGGTAATTATATCACCGAAAAAGTTCATGACGCCAGGAGCACCGACAGAGATTTCTTGTTTTCGAAGGAGTACCTCTCCAGCATCTTGAACATCAAAGATGATACCTTCGAGCAACTCAAGACATCGCATCACAAATATGTGGAAGAGCATATGCCACACTTATTGAATGACCTTGGAATCTCGACTTTTGGCGAGCTCACTCCCAAATCTCCCAAATGGGACAACTATCAGGGCTCTGCTGGTTATGTGTTGATTGGCGGTGGGAAGTATTCTTGGTTATCATATCTCGTGGTTAAGCAGATCAGAGCCACAGGCTCCAACTTGCCAATCGAAGTTTTCATCCCCACAGAAAGTGACAACGATCCAAGGTTCTGTAATGAAATCTTGCCCAAGTTCAATGCTAAATGTAACATGCTCGACCTGAGTCTTGTGGAGTATCTCAGTCTCAAGTTCAGCATCAACGGATACCAGTACAAGATGCTTGCACTTTTGGCATCGCAATTCGAAAACGTTCTTTATTTGGATTCTGATCTTTATCCGCTTAAGAATGTCGAGTATCTTTTGCGCTCCAAATTGTACCAGGAAAACGGCCTTATTATCTGGCCCGATGATTGGTCTCGTACCACCAACCCCAAATTCTACGAGATAGCCGGTGTGGAAGTGCCTGAAAAGAAGGTGAGATATTCCGAGTATGACCGTGCCCAAGCAGAGAAGAAGGGAGAAGAATTGAAGGATCTTAAGGACTACACCTTCAAGGATTCTAACTTCCATGATTTCGAAAACACCCTCCCCAACCCCTCCTCAGAAGCTGGTGTTATGCTCGTTAACAAGACCTCGCACCTCCGCACGTTGCTTTTGGCATTATACTACAACGTGTATGGCCCCAACTTTTACTATCCTTTACTTACACAAGGTGGCGCTGGTGAGGGAGATAAGGAGACCTTCATCGCTGCAGCAACCGTGATGAAAGAGAATTGGTTCCAAACACTCAAGAAGTTTATGTGGGTAGGCTATCACAGTGAGGATACAAAGAAATTTGAATCGAAGATGTTGGGCCACTACGATCCGGTCGAATCTAAAGAAGATTCGGAGACTGCGCCTCTTATCTTCGCTCACTGCTCTTACCCAAAACACTACACCGATTGGATGTATAACAACCATGATCTCATCTACAAGGAGCTGGGAGAACACATCCGAATGTACGCCGGAACGTACGAGAACATCGGTTACGATTTGGATTTGCGTTTACTCAATGCGCATGCAGAGGCTCTCTGTGAGGATATCTGGCTCGAGAAGGAGAAAGAGGACGACACGACACTCGACGAAAGGGAGGAGTACATGGGCAATTACTTGGAGTATATCAACAACGAAAGGGAGATAAATCGCAAGAGATGCCAGGAGGTGTACATTCCTCATTTGAAATGGTTGAAGGAAACTACTAAGTATCCTGACACGCTCAATTTCTAGGAGCACAATACCTTGCCAGATCTGGCACTATCTAGATCGTTTGACGCCACCGTCGAGCCATAATACACATAATAGGAAGATCCTCGATCTTCTGCGCAGTGAATGCATCTAGCCGAGGCGGGTACCCGAATTCAGCGATGCGCAGATAAGCGCAGCTTGAAAAAATAATGTGGTTCCCTCAGGAGCGAGACATACCGATCATTTTGTTGAGGCCGCATTTTGTTGAGGCCGATGGCGGTGATGCTGAATGGCTCTAAAGTTCGCTTGTCTCAAAAAGTAAATAACGCCGTTTCTCTTTGTGCAGATTTTACTAAAAGTGCAAAACCTAGTACAATATCCGGAGCCGCACCTGATACCATTTTGCGCATCTTTTACTAAATACCGCGAGCAGCTTATAAATGGGTGATGTACAAAACAGCAGGAATGGCCTCGATAAAATTTCTAGTTTGATTTGAGTATGAAGGAGGAGTCGGAAATCGCTTACGAAGAGCAGCCTGCTGTGCCTTCTCCTGAGGAAATTTCCCTTTTGCATGAGCTTCTGTTCGTTTTCTTGGTCTGTCTCTGTCAAATCCTCACCCAGGCTGGGGTAGCCCAGACCATCAACCCCGTGAAAGAGATTGGAAGCACATTCGATGTCCAAGACCTGCCAGGTAAATTATCGTGGTTCTCAGCGTCATACTCCCTCACTGTGGGTACATTCATTTTGATCGCTGGTCGTTTAGGTGACTTGCACGGCTACAAGCTAATATTCAACTTGGGATTCATGTTCTTTGGGATATGGTCGTTGATCGCTGGCTTCTCTGGCTTCACCGACTCTGATGTTTTCTTCAACGTTGCTAGGGCGTTCCAAGGTCTTGGACCGGCTTTTTCCATGCCTAATGCCGTGGCTCTTTTGGGACACTATTTCCCAATGAGCAAGAAGAAAATGATCTACATGGCCATGTTTGGCGCTGTGGCACCATTTGGCTTTGTCCTCGGGGCGATTTTTTCCGGTATCTTTGCCCAGTTGGTCTGGTGGCCCTGGGCATTTTGGGTCAACGGAATCGTTTGCTTATGTGTGGTGGTTGCGCTGTACTTCATCATTCCGAAGAACATTGGCAGCAAATCTCAAGGATCTTTCGATTGGTGGGGCTCATTTACGGGAGTTTCCGGCTTGGTGCTTATTAACTTTGCCTGGAACCAGGGTCCAAATGTGGGCTGGGATGTACCTTACGTTTATGTCCTTCTCATAGTTGGTTTCCTTTTCATGGGCGCTTTCTGTGTTGCATCCAAGTATGCCGCCAATCCGTTGCTCCCCACATCTTGCCTCAAGGGCGAAACCGGTTTCGTGTTAGGCTGTATTGCCTCCGGCTGGTCTTGCTTTGGAATCTGGTTATACTACAGCTTCCGTTGGGCAGAGACCGTTGACAACTTACACCCGATTTTGAGCGCTGTTCAGTTTATTCCAGCTCCCTTTTGTGGCTTGTGTGCCGCCGGCTTAACAGTCTTCCTTCTCCGAAAGTCGTCGCTGTCTGTCGTTATGGTGGTGGCATTGTTAGCATTCTTCGTGGGTATCGTGCTCATGGGTACTAGAGCGGAGCACCAGATATATTGGGGTCAAAAGTTCTTCTCAATTCTTATTCAGAGTTTCGGAATGGACATGAGTTTCCCGGCTGGTACGATGATTTTGTCCAGTGTGCTTCCCAGACATCAGCAAGGTCTCGCTGGCTCGTTAGTCAGCACCTTTGTCAATTATTCCATTTCAATTGGTCTTGGTATAGCTGGTACTGTTGAGTATTACACCACCAAGGATTTGACTCCAGGATATGAGACAACAGTCAAAGGTTATAGACATGCATTTTACATTGGCATGGGGCTTGCAGGTTTGGGAGTCATTTTGTCGGTGACCTTTTTAGTTCTTCAGTCATTTGGTAACCAGAAAAGAGATAGTAACTTTGATGATGGTCTCAAGCTGGGAAGTTCGACAGAGTTAAAGGATGAGGTATAGAATTATGATATAGGCTTCCTGGAGCCCGCCACGATGATTTTAATGTTGTAAATAGTACACGAGAAAGATTGCATGTACTTGGGTGTAGTAGACTAGTGAAATCGCCAATCTGTAAAATCTGCCTATCGTAGCCTGATAACCGATTTTGTTACCCAATTGTATATTTGATGACACAGAATGAAAAAGTCTGAAAATGTGCTCAAAAATTTTGAACGGAACACCTATCTCTCGGACTGTGGACCTCTCGTCGATTGTCGCGATAACCCCAGACTCTATCCAATTCCGCCCTTCTACCTCAATCTGTTTACAATGTCCTCAATCAAGGCGCCACTCTCTCAAAATCTTAAAGTTGCGCTTATTCAGATAAAGGCTGGAGCCCAGAAGGCTGCCAACTTGCAAAAAGTCACCACCTTCATTGATAATGCTGTGGCTCAGGCTACTGGAAAGCTTGATCTCGTAATGTTGCCTGAGTGCTTCAATTCTCCATATGCTGTTGACAAATTCAGAGAATATGCCGAGAGCATTCCAAACGGAGAGACCACCGGTGTGCTTTCGAAATTGGCCAAGCAGCATGGTCTTTACATTGTTGGAGGATCCATCCCTGAACTTGACGACTCTGATAACAAGGTCTACAACACCTCATTGACATTTGATCCAGAGGGAAACATCATTGCCAAGCACCGCAAAACTCACTTGTTTGACATTGACATCCCCGGCGGAATCACATTCAAGGAAAGTGTGACTTTAACTGGAGGCGACAAGGGCACTGTGTTCAAGCTTGGAAACTTTGGTAATGTTGGATTGGGCATTTGCTACGATATTCGTTTCCCAGAGTTGGCCATTATCGCTTCCAGAAAGCCTAACAATGCTTTTGCCATGTTCTACCCTGGAGCGTTCAACACTACAACTGGTCCCTTGCACTGGCATTTGCTTGCTAGAGCTAGAGCGGTTGATAACGAAATGTTTGCTGTTTTGTGCAGCCCAGCTAGAGATGTAGGTGGAGATGGCTATCAAGCTTACGGCCACTCTTTGGTGGTCGATCCTTATGGAAATATCGTTGCTGAGGCTGGAGAAGGCGAAGAGATCTTATATGCTGAATTGGACAAGGAGTTGTTGCCCAAGGCCAGAGAAAGCATTCCTGTTCATTTCCAGAGACGTTTCGACGTCTACAATGACGTTACAGAGGGGCCAAGGTCAGTGATAAATAAGTGATATAGTTGATTAGGTCTATAAATTCTATTCGTCCTCATTTCTCTCGATGAATTCACACAAGACGTCCATGAATTCCTTTGGGTTCTCACTGATCAACCAGTGTCCAGCCTTGACATCTCTGACCTCGAAGTTGGGGAAGTACTGGCCGATGTCCTGGAAAACATCGTCTGGGACATACTTTGACTCTGTTCCTCTGATGAAGAGAGCTGGGCCCCTGCTCCAACGAGCTAATGTAGGGTCATAAGGCCACAGCGCTATGTTTCCGCTGACAATGGCTTTGTCGATGATATCAAGGGGGATACGAGACTTGCAGATATCGTCCTTCTGACCTCTATCCACATTGGTCAAAAGAAACTGTCTGATCTCTTTAACGGGCTCGACCTTCGCCAACTCGGCATCCACGTCTTTGATGCTGGTGTATTGATCCACTTCTAGAGCCTGTCTGAGGTGCTTGACGTACTTGCTGAATTTTCCATCGGAGGTGCTGGGTATGAATACTGGAGCATTGTCCACCGAAACTACCATTTCCGGAGTATCTGGTCTTCTCAATGCTACAGCCATGACGGCTTTAGCACCCATGGAGTGACCAACCAAGATGGGTTTCTTAGGTAGTTCCGCCTCGTCAATGAATCTCTCCACATCAGCAGCCAACGATGGGTAGTCAAGGCGAGTTGAATGTGGAGACTGGCCAAAGTTTCTTAAATCAAGGCAATAAACATCACGGGATAGACGCTGAGCAAGGGTTTTAGCAACCGTTCTTGTGTTGGTTTTGGATCCAAAGAGCCCGTGCAAGAATATCAATGGGGATTTTTCGACTTCAGGCTTCTTCGAAGGTTCATGCTTATCGTATGCCAATGGCACCGTGTCGATTCCACTAGTAGCTAGAGCGTCACCAAGGTGTGCGCCATCATTGACAGCATATGAACTTAGCTTTTTGAATTGTTGAAACGCTGTTGGTAAACGCCTGCTCACGGTTGACAATGAGAGCATGGTGTTAGTGGGTGCAAACTTTACTACTAGCGCGCAGTCAAGATGTCCAGTTGATAGTTGTACAATATAGGTCTATGCTAATTTTTCTCTTCGTCCTCTTTCTTTTCCTCTTCTTGGATCACGCCCCAGCCCATACGTTGGCTCAATCTCTCGTACTTTGCCCGGTCCTTATCTGTAACACTGGGTTTGATACTCAGAAGGGCACCATCGAAGTCACTCTTGGTGACAACGATATCGTTATCATTCTTGTCTTCCTCGTAATATCCGGATTCATCCAATTCCAGGATTTTCTGGCCGTGGAAGAACTTCTTCTTAAGAGCGAACACACCTGCTTCTCTCACCAACAGCGATAAATCGGCACCCGAGAAATTGCGGCATCTTGAGTCGTTGGCAATGGCATGCAAGTCCACGTTTGGGCCCAATGGCGTGGTATTTGCCGAAACAAGGGTTTTAAGAATATCCAAACGTTCTTCGGCGGTCGGCAATTCAATGTAAAGTGTCTTGTCTAGACGGCCGGGTCTCAACATGGCAGGGTCAATCATGTCTGGTCTGTTCGTAGCACCAACAACGAAAATACCTTTTCTGTCATTGAGGCCATCAAGCTCTGTCAAAAGGGTATTCACCACCCTAGAGCTGGATTCAGATAAGGTGGAATTTCTTCTGGGCACAAGAGCATCGAGCTCGTCAAAGAAGATGATGCATGGAACAGAGGCACGAGCACGTTGGAACACCTGTCGCACAGCACGTTCAGACTCACCGACATACTTGTTAAGAAGTTCCGGACCCTTGACAGAGATGAAGTTAGCCCTGGACTCGTTGGCCACAGCTTTGGCCAACAATGTCTTACCACATCCAGGTGGACCCCACATAAGAACACCAGCAGGGGCACTGATACCAACCTTTTGATATAGCTCAGGCTTCTTGATAGGCTGAACAATGCACATGTGGAGCTCCATACGAATATTGCTGAGAGCGCCCACATTCTTCCAAGTGACATCTGGAATGGTTGCAAAACCTTCACGCTTTGCTGTAGGTTGAATGTTTGGCAAAGCTTCTTTGAAGTCGGAGAAGGATATGCTAAGGGGAGCCAACTGTTCCTCCGAGAGTGGATCTGGATGTTTTATGAGGAACTTCTGGATTGTACTGAGCTGTTGTTCCTCAGACTTTTTGTCAAATTTCATGTTCGCAAGAGCATTTGGAACCACCTGTTTGGTATTGTTGTTGCTGTCCACGTCCATATCAACTGCATCGTTTTTTGATGACAGCTCCTCATCGATTTCACTGAGACTCTCAAAGATACGCTTGATGGCAACGACTCCAGCAGCAGTGACCAAACTCTTCAAGTCTGCACCGACAAATCCCGGAGTAAGCTTTGCGAGTTCACGGTAGTTGAAGTTGGAAGCATCAAGTTTGAGGTTCGATGTCATTGTCTTGAGAATGGCGCATCTCTGCTCTTCATCAGGAACGTTAAGGCAAATCTCTCTGTCGAAACGACCAGCTCTACGCAAAGCCAGATCAAGAGAGTCAGGCCTGTTTGTAGCTCCCATGACAATAACTGGCTTGCCATCTGTATTTTCCAATGTGAGCTCGTCCATCAATGTAAGGAGCTGGGCGACGATACGACGTTCCATTTCCCTTTGAGCACCACCGTCCCTCTTTGGGGTAATAGCATCAATTTCGTCAATGAAGATCAAACAAGGAGCTACGGAACGAGCATCCTCGAAGATCTCTCGAAGCTTTTTCTCGGATTCACCAGACATACCCGAAACAACAGAAGGTGCTGAAAAGTTGATGAAAGGCACCTTCAATTCGCCAGCCAAAGCATTGGCGATAGTTGTTTTACCACATCCAGGTGGGCCGTATAAGAGAATTCCCCTTGGATGGTCCACACCAGTGGATTGGTAGATCTCTGGATGCAAAATGGGTAGCCCAACAAGCTCCATGAGTTGTGTCGTCACAGCGGAAAGACCCCCTAGAGACAGTAGCGTTGATGTGGGTGGGGTGTGGTCGATCTTGCTTCTCTTCTGCTTGGAAGCTGGTTTTGCCGAGTCTCGGCCTCTCTTCTTGGTCTTCTTTTCATCAGCGTCGCTTTCAACTTTCTCGCTGTCTTTGTTCCACATCGACACCACCGATTTGTTGAGCTCATTTGAGTCCTTCACCGTCATGAGATTGTTGGGGTCGGCGTTTTCGAAGTCGCTATCTATCTGAGCTGCATTTTGAAGCTCGTACTCATCCTTGAGTTTAATGGCTTCTGCGAGCTCCACTTCCTCATCCTTTCTAAGCTCCTTCAATATAACATCAACGGACTCTTCAAGAATGGATCTCTTGAGCCTCTGCAACAGCAAGTCCTGTTTAAGCAAATAGTCGATGACTTCTGCGCTTCTGAGGTCTCTAGCTAGAGCGATGTCAAGAAACCACTTAGACTCGTCGCCACCACTTTTCTCCTTGTTCGCTGCGCTTCTATCATCAAGAAGTTTGAATATTAGATTATAGACCTTCTGGTCCAAAGCCTTGGTCACGGCACCTCCCCTAGCCATGAATATTCAAGTGTTGATGTTTCTCGATGCGCATCTGCAGAACTCGATGGGCATCGACTCAGGCACCAGCATCATGATGAAACGTCATCTGGTGGCGGAGACAACGGAGATAGATAAAATTCGAACGTTTACGGAATGCTTTCATTTTTTCACTTTAACGAGATTTGAGTCTCTCGGTGATCGTTGCCAGTGTATACTTGACTGCTCTCCTGCAGAAATAGCTACCTGGAGTAGGCTTAAGAGTAAGACATGTTTTCCCAAGTTGGCTTAAATTTTAGATTTGCATCGACATAGTATCAAAGAAGCTTCGTTCGACGTCTATGAACCTCTCTCAGAAAGTACGATTACAAGTGTATCACAAAACGATCTGTGAGCTTGGTCGGACCATCTCAGCTACTGCGAAGAGAGTTATAAAGTGATTTGTCCAGCATATCGAAGAATTCTTCGTGGCGAGTAGATCGCCGTTTCGGTTCGCCGCAGAAGCCCCCACCATGCCACTAAACCAAGCTGGTGTCCCAAAAAGCCTGAATTTCCAAAAATAATCCGGAACTCCTCACAAACACGTACCGAGCCTCATTGTTTGCAGCCGTGTCCACGCAAACAGCGAAAAGCATGCTGGTGCTCAGCCACAGCTACTAGAAAACTTTGTTGACACGTAACCATGGTTAGCTGTATGGCTAAGCACGAAAGTTGCCTCCAATGCTAGAAGCACCCTTCTTCTCACAGCCATACAGTACTGCGTTAGTTTAGTTGCTCCCAAGTCTCGCTAGAGATATGAGACACCAGCCACATGCCTGCCTTCATATCTGATCTTACTCCTTTTGACGCAAGGTCACTCGACCCAATCCCCCATTTTTTGCTTTTCAAAGCTACTTTGCTCCTGAGAATTTTTCCTCTACAGGAGTCCAGCAAATTGGGGTGTCTTGGTTGCTCTCTAGCGGCGCCCCCGCCTAAGTAGCGCATGCGTCAATGCGAGAAGGTGCGTTTTTGCACCCACAGTATGAGCACCGCTGCCGTTAGTTGCCTTACTTTCTTATGAGAGACGCCCATAGGTGCTTTGCCGCCGGTCACATATTTTGTCATGTGGCGTAGCTCCACTGCTATATAAGAAGGACTTCTCCCGCCCAGTACAAAAAATCCATCTTACTACAAATCGCAATGTCTGACGCCGGAAGAAAACCATTCACTGACAAGGTCTCCGAGACCGTTAAGCCTGACTCTGAGAAGTCTTACCTTGAGAAGGGCAAGGAGGCTGTTACCGACAAGGTTGACGAGTTTGCTGGCAAGAACGTCCCAGACTCCGAGAAGTCTTTCGGTCAGTCTGTTGCTGACCACGCTCACCAGGGTTCTGAGGACGCCAAGAAGGAGGTCAACCAGCAGTCTGGTTCTCTTTCTGAGACTGCTCAGGAGTACTACGAGACCGCTAAGGAGAAGGCTTCCGAGGCTGCCGAGTACGTCTCCAACGTTGTTCAGGGTGCCACCGATGGTGCTCAGAACGCCGCTGACTCTGCTTCCAAGAAATAAGCAGATCGCTGACATACTTTAACATAATTTAATTTACGTCATGAAACAATTGCTAGTTGTAGTTTGTAGTGCCTGTGAGCTGTTGGAGACACATTGGTGATATTCCGTGTCAATTGAAGAGGCGTAGTCACCGATTGAGATATGCGTTTCGAGTAGAATTGTTGTTTAATTTATGGTGATGGTTTCTGTGGTAGGTGATATCAACGTGCCTGGAAATTGCGACAACATATACGCAATTGTATTGTGATGCCCCATCTAGCAAACTTCAAATTCAAGAAACGCATGTGTTTTCGTTCTCATTTATCTAGCTTTTGTGAATCATACTGTTTAAAAAAAAAAAAAAAAAAAAAAAAAAAAAAAAAAAAAAAAAAAACTTGCCTAAAACGGGTTCCATCAACCTGGGGTACCGGCGGCGTACTGTATATCTACATTACAGGAAGCACTCGATGCTCATCTCACTACTAGATCTGACATCCATGGCGAAAGGCAAGACCGCAAAAGATTTTCTCCCTACTGTTGATTCAGAGAGTGATCTGGAGTACAGCGATGCTCCTGCGAGCAAATATCTGATGAAGAGTTCGCTCGACGATGAGGCTGATTTCGAATCCGATGAAGAAGAGGAAAGAGTGTTCCAGACAAAGTCTCTGAGTAAAAAGTTCGAAAATGAAGAAGACGAAGAGCTGGCTGAAGAAGACGAAGAGTCCAATGAGGAACTGTCACGACTGCAAAAGAAAGATGAAACCTCGAGCATGGTATCAGAGCAGAAGAAGAGGTCGAAGAAGCTCAAAAGGCTCACACCTGAACAGCTCGCAAAAGAGCAGAAAAAGATCAAGAAAACCGGCGTTTGCTATCTTTCCAGCATACCCCCCTATATGAAGCCCGTCAAGTTGAGGTCTGTTTTGTCGAGGTTTGGAAAACTAGATAGAATCTTCTTGAAACCCGAGGATGAAGCTTCCTACAAGAAAAGAGTGAAGTATGGTGGAAACAAAAAGAAGAAGTACACAGAAGGATGGGTGGAGTTTGTCAATAAGAAGGATGCCAAGTTGTGTGCTGAAACCATGAACGGTAACATTTTGGGTGGTAAGAAATCATCATACTACCACGACGACATCATGAACATCAAGTACTTGTCAGGCTTTAAGTGGTTTGACTTGACTCAACAAATTGCAAAGGAGAATGAAATTAGACAAGCTAAGTTATCCATGGAGATATCTCAGCAGCAAAAACTCAACAAGACTTTTGTCAACAACGTTGAACGCTCGAAACGTGAGCAGCGTAAGAGGAAAGCCGAAGGCGAACAGGCAGACAAGGAATCATTTCATAGAGAGTTCGATCAGAGGGACATTACGAGTACAAGGCACGATGCAAAGCCTCAGTTCAAGAAAGCTAAGAATAGTGATAATTTGGACAGTGTCCTTTCCAAGGTATTTTAATTATACATATATTACACGCATTAAGAGTCCTCATTCAAGTAGTTCTCGAGAAACTCAACTCTTTTGGCCAACTCTGCCTTGTTGTTGCACCCTAGCTCACGCACGACGATGTTGCTGTTGACGATGACTTCGTTTGGGATGCTCAGTTCAATTAATCTCGTAAGCTTAGTCCATTTCTCTGCTGGCCAGGCAGCATATTCTTTTTTGGATGGTTTCACAATTGAGTTCTTCCCTCCTTTCAGTCGAAGCGATTTGGCATTCATGCGTTTCCTTTTCGCTCCGACAAGCTTACCGTTTCTCGTCGGACTGCGATTTCCCCAAATGGCATTGGCCTCCACTGTTTCAGGGACTGTAAGGCTGGGTACGGTACGGTTCCCCTGATTCTCGATGGAATCGATACTGAACAGCGTAGCACGTAAAGGCGACAGATTTCCCCCTCTTGAGCTCCTGCTGGGAAGAAGTGTGTCAAGTTTTCTCATAGCTTCTTCATTGTCATCTGATGATTCTGACTGTTCGTCGTACTCCACATGATCTTGCTCTTCATCAATTGCATCATCCAGATCTATACTTCTGAGTCTATTCAAGTCCGAGTTCATCAGTCGGAGCATCTGGTCAACCTTGCTCGGCTCGCCGCTATTGTCGCCGTGTATATCTGATGGACTGCTCGACGATGGACGAATTTCATTCCTCAATGGTGAGCCTTTACGAGGTGAGCGTGCTAAAGTCGACTTTAAAGATTCGCTGATTATTGGGGGTTCGTCATCTTTTGCTGCATTAGGCCTCTTGTTGCTGGGTTCGTCATCTTCTGAAGGATCAAACTCATCATCGGATAAATCTTCTTTGTTCTGCAGAATATCAGTAGCTCTTACCTTTTCATTACTCCATTGAAGTCTCGGAATCCTGCCGGGACTTCCACTTAACGCGTGTGGAGTAAACTGGTTATCATCACTGATGAGCTTCTCGTTTACTATAAGTTCATGATCGGTCAACTCAGCAAATTTTGTAGGAGTTTTTTTCTTGATCTGCGAGGGACGGTCACTCAATGGAATTTCTGTCGTGGTAGCTCGTTCGAGTATGCTTCTCGAGGACTCCCGTAGGGCTTGCGGAGTTTGAAGCTGGGTATCATCGAACTCTATATCGCTGTTCTCTGAATCTGATGGTGAAAGCTGTTGCATATTTTTTATTGAAGTTTCATTTGAGTCATGAGATATACTGCTATGAATACCCGTTCGATTGTATGTGTTCATTAACAAACGGTGGTTATCAACGTACTATGATTATTTTAGTATGCGCGGTCTGAAACACCATCCAGAGACGCGATCCTGCTATATACATACACTATCTTTTTTAACCGCTTAGATTAGGTATGCGCGATTAAATCTTTGAGGATGTCTCTTGAAGTGGCTTCTTGATCTGCTTCAGCTAAACTGTAGGTACGCTCATAGTGAATGTAGCTGAACAGGTCAAAAAATCTTCTGAGACTTCCAATATTCTCAATCTTTTGCACTCCATAGAGTGTTGGTCTGTTTGGTATACCTGGCGTTGGATGTGTCACTTGCACAGGAGAGCTCTTGGCAGAAAAGTTCTCTGTCAACTTTGCAAGCAAGTCAATTAGGGCAGTTGGATCGTGTTTAGTAGTGTCCGTTACCACAGCTGGGTTCGTCTCCACAAAAATCCATTCCTTCAAAGTGAACTCATCAAAACCGAATAGGAGCAACTGATCAAGTAGCTTACAGGTACTGAGAACAAGCTGTACCTCTTCTTCACTCATTTGGCTCAAATCCTTTTGGGTTTTTGACAACGTGAATCTCAAAACTTCCACGAGTGCTTGCGTAGTTGGCTCCCATAAAGAGACGAGATGCATTTGGTCGAACTGAAGTGCCACGGCCCTCAACAACAAGAATGCCTCTGATTTGAAAATAGGAGGGCATGAACCATTAATGACCTCAAATAACTTGGTAAGAAGGACATCTAATAGATTAGAAAACTGGTCCTTGGGCAGAGCCATTATCAAGTAAGCGATCCGCTTCAAAATAAAGATCTTGTCTTCAACTTCAGACTTCTCGCTCCAAACAAAAATATTTGCAGCTGTGCTCTTCGTTGGTGGAGATACTCTTGCGATAAGATCACTCATTGCATCTTTCTCGTTCATGACCCAGACGCCGATGAGGTGCTTCCAATCCTCAGCTAAATAATTACCGCCCGTGAAGAATGCATTATCCGCAAAGCAGTCGCTCACGGTGGCCTTCCAGATCTTCGTAGCATGAACAGTTCCTATTAAACCCATCAAGCGAAGCGCTTGCTCAGAACTCTTCAGTTTACCTCTAAGTTGCGGTGCTAATGCGACGTTAACAATCGTATTCACCACCGCAGTAGTTTTATCCGAATCTTGTATAACTTCGTCAACAGACTCAATAAGTTTCGTCAAAGTTTTGAGTAGCAGGTCGCTGGTTCCTATGTTCTGACCTTCAGCTTCTCCGGATTGCCCAATAGTACAAGCAGCGTTGATCATTCTAACGAATAGGTCCGCAAGCTCTCTACTGTATCCCTTCCTCTCATTGGACTTCCTCATACTGGTTTTGGTGGCTAACACCGCAAGGCAGCGTAAAAAGTCGGAAAGCAGATCCTTGAAATGGAAGGCGTGAGCTAGAACATCCTTGAAAAACAGAACTAGTTTGACCCAGACCTCCTCAATTATGTCGCTATCAACTGACTCCAAGTATGGTACCAAAAACTCTGTAAGTTGTTTGGATGTTACAATGGAGTTCATCGATGACTTCTTCGTTTCTTCCAATAATCCAGGATAGCATCTCGTAACGATGGAATTGATAATGTGTGGGAGGGTTATTTGGGGTCTGCCATTATCGAGAACATGAAGAAGCTTAATCTTATTTTGTGCTTCGCTTGATGTTTCGATGATGGTTTCAATAACCTCTTGTCGCTCCAATTCCATCAAAGCTTCTAGGAGCTTGCGTGAGCGAAATCTCAACTTGTTGCTCAAATGAACGGCAGATTTGGCGGATGCAAATTCGGACGTCACAACTTGAGTTCCTTTTTCTCCCCAGTCCCAAATTTCGAACGCCAACTTCGAGGAATCTTGGATTGAGATTATCATCGAATGGATTTTGTTTTGTTCTTCTGTTCGAGAATCTGGAGACTCAATCAGGAAGACGCCCAGTATCATGTTACCAAGAAATCCTGACTCTCCATTCGATGCAGCGACCTTCGCATTAGACCTAAGGTTAGATGTTAAAAGATATGAATGGCTGATAGAAAGCATATCTTCAAGACCTGAAAGTAAAATTGAGAAGGATGATTCAAGATTGGTAAAATCGTTTGCTTTCTTGAAAGCCTTAACGTACTCGAGGTATTCTCTGATTTTTGTGTTGATGCCGTCATTCAATGTCAAAATCACACTAAACACGGATTCGTTAAACGAGTAAAGAGCACGGGTGAGCAATGCAAACCACTTCTCGAGCAAGATGGAGGACAGGCATTTCTTTATACCTTCAATTATGAATGACACGAGTATCGGATCCTTCGAATCAGATGCTGTATGCAACAAACTCAAGTCAACATTCATTGACTTGGTCAAATCCAAGAAATGCATAATTATGTTGATGTATTCGGCCTCGATGATTTCTAGTTCAAATGGTACGTTCTCGATTTCTTGAAGATATCCTAAGCAGTACTGAACTAACTTGAGAAAATGAACTTCAAAATCGGCCTCCGAGCCAATAACGAGGTCAGCAAAAAGCTCAAGTGCTGCTGTGACACCAAAGGCATAATGCTCTAGAGAGGTTTTATCCTTGAGGATATCGGGACTCAATTTCAAGTTCAAGAACTTGTGAAGAATAGCGCAAACCAAAGACTTGTAGTTCGAAACCTCCCAGCCATTTGCTTTCAACGCGGCAAAGATCTCTGTTGTCTCCGAAACAATAAATTCATGGTTGAAAGCTTCCTTGAGTAGCTTTTCATTACTGTGTATGACTTTGTGTATAGTTCGAATGTTGTAAGTGAAAAGCTTGATGTCATCATGCAAATTAACCTCATGAGTCTCATCGCTTATGAAGTCGAATGAAAGAAGTGTGCTCGTAAGAAGCTTCAAAAAGCGGCCAGCACTACCGTCTCTTATAATATTGCGAACAAGTCTCTGAGCCGCCATAACGCTTGCCGGGTCTGATTCAAGAAGGTCATCCAAAATAAGGTGCAATGGGCCGGCCAAAAGAGACTCAGCAGTACTGAGATCTGCAGAGTGAATCCAAAGCTTGTAAAATGCGTTTGCTTTGGTCTCTTTAGGTGTGCGAATAAGCATCTCTATCAAGCCTGCCTCTATCTCATGAGTGGTGAAACTGAGTTCCAAATCGAAAATGATTTTGACGGCCTCAACCTCATTGTTGGCGGGATATGGACTTATGAGTGCGTACCACAAATTAGAAAGAATAACCTTCAATACCTTGTTCCTTTGATAAGTATTGGACGTTTTGACGAGGTAGCGAGTGAATTTGACAGCTCCCATCACCAAACTCAAGGTTTTCTGATTATTTATCTCGTCTGGGCTAAAATTGTAAGGCTCTAATTTAAGGACTGTGTCTAATATTACCTTGTCAGAAAATTCGAATTCCTCGGAGTCCGCTGTAGGTATGGTAAAAAGAAAGGTGCATAGGATCGATGAGACCTTGTCGTTTATGTCGATTTGAGTAACACTTTGCGCATACCAGTCTTTCAATGAATCAAGTAGCATGAACGACATCTCTGCACCCTCTATTGGCAATATGCTTGTTTCGTTATCATTAAGATCCTCGTAGTATTTCTCGACAGATCTCAAGAGCAGATTATCGCTTTTCCCCTCAACTCTCTTCACAGGTGCAAATAAGCGTGGTTGGGCAAGACTCAGAAGGAGATCAAGCGTCTCAACAGACTTCTCTGATATTTCGCAATTCTTAAGCAAGCATAGCATTGCCAAGGGAATATGCGTGGCAAGTTCTTGATCATGGAAGTCAAAATTTTTAAGCAAAAAGCATAGCATCTCGTAGTTTGTTGCTGATTCGCTCAAAATCAAACTGCAAATAATGTATTCCCAAATGAAACTGGCCTCGACGGCATCAAAAAAAAGTTTGGTGTTTGAAAGAATCTCGTCACTTCCTTGACTGCTCTGTTTCACAGAAAGACAGCAAGACTCCAAGATCAGCGTGAAAAATCTGGGTGCCACCAATTGACTGATCTCCCATCTGTCCAACATGAACGACAATGCAATCTTGAGTCCCTTCACCTTCTCGGTATGGTCCTCAGAATTAACCAATTTGAGTACACCCTCCGATAATATAGGCAATGCATTATCAGCAAAGTATCTCACATGCACGTCTCCGTCGCCCAGGTCCTCAGCAGATTCGGGCCCCACGAGCCAGTTCCACAATCGACGATTCAAACTCATGTCTTTTCTGAGAGTAACGCTGCAACAAGCCATGATCAAAAGCTCCTTATCGGCAGAAGCGAGTTCATGTTGAAAGACATCACTTGAAAGTGGAAGGTGGGACAATAAGAGATCAAAAAAGCCACGAATGACTATAATGTCGTTAGCCAGATTGAAGCTGGTTCTTGTGTCGATAGCTGCGGCAAATGCACGAACTAAAAGACCCGGCTCTGGCCTTAAACATGCTGTTGCCTCAGCCGAAAGTTTCAGACCAGACTCGTCCTTTAGCAGTTTGAAGGACGGTAGACGAGAATTGCACCAATTGAGTGCACCCAATCTTCTTTCGGGGCTGCTAGTGATACAAAGGAAGAGTGTTTGCCAAAACAAGGAGTTATCGTTCATGGCTGCCTTGAACGACTCCATGAGGGCAAAAGCATCTTTGTAAACCTCAGAGTTTTCATCGTCGAGTACTGCAAGGAGAGACAACAAGATCGGTTTGACGACGGCTTTGATTGTGCTCTGGTTGAGTTTCTGAATGATGTGTTTCCTGTAGATATCAAGCACTTGAGGCTTCAATTGCATGGAGGCGTATGAAATGATGGGTACAAACCCTGGAAGCCATTCATTGATGTGAGCATCAAATGAGTTCTTCGTGAGAGCGGTAAAGATAGACTCATATATGCTCAATGCCTTCTGATGAACACCATTAGGTAGACTTGGAGAAAGGCAAAGCGCCAATTTTCTCGACACCTCATCGCTCAACGGGATCCAATCGAAAGACTGGGGCTCGACATTTTCATCACCGATCTGCAATGCTTTCTGTAATCGAGAAAGAAAGGCAATATAGTCTGCCCACTCTTGAAGAGTCTCGAATGTAGCCAAGGCCTTTTCGACATTCAGAAGGTAGCGCTTGTCCTTTGAAGAAAGATCCAGTTTAGCCACGTTTCTCGACCCAAATCCGGGAATCGCCCGAAGTGCTTCCATTTCGGTTTAAATGTGTCAATAATTGTTGGAGTTGAGAACAGAAGGAGTAATCGGGACAATATGGTCCAAGTATACGGTTTCGCGCGTGCAGGTTACGCTGGTCAGAGATCAAGATATACTAAAATAGGGAACTCTATTCTTATTTATCCAAAATCAGAGAGAGGAATTTGATAACGTCGACCAATTCCTCGTCATTGGCACTGTGTGCCACTCCACCATAGGTCTTGAAAGTCCAGTCCTTAAAGCCAGCCTCTCTGTAGAACTTGCTGGTATCCTCACCAAACGAGTGCTGAACAATAGGGTCAACGTCACCATGGCCCTGGAAAACGGGTGTTTCGAAGTTGGCATTCTGAATCTTGCTTTTCAACGCGTCAGAGACAGGGCAGAAACCAGAAAGTGCTACAGCACCGCCGATCTTCTCCTCGAGAAGAGAGAGTGTGGCAATAGAGATGGCTGCACCCTGAGAGAAGCCTCCGATAACAATCTTAGAGAGCGGGATGTTGTGCTTCTCGTGCTGCTCCTTGATCAAGGACTTTAGAAGGTCGCAGGTCTTGAAGAAACCGTCGACGTCTTGTTTTGCCTTGGGGTTACCAAATTCATAAATGTCAAACCATCCGGGCATTCTCATGCCTCCATTGACAGTGATTGGGATGCTTGGAGCATTAGGGAAGATGAAGTTGGTCTCAGCCTGCGACTTGAGAATACCGGTCTGACTGATCACTTGAGGAAACCACGACCATCCTTCGCCAGTGTCACCAAGACCATGTAGGAAGATAACGGCATTTTTGGCCGTCTTGGTGGCTGGAATTCGAACAGCTGATACAGACATTGGAAAGAACTAGTAGATGCCACTGGCGAGTTAGCATCCTGCGACTTGTGCAGGTCTGGCTGTGGAACCCTCCAGGCCATGAGGAGGGAAGTACCAATATGCATGTCATTAGTGTTGAATGGGGCCTGGTTTATCTCGCTTACTTCCGATCAGCTAAAATACTTTTGAAGTGGCTGACCTGAAACGTTCCTCGGCAATAACGTTGAGTGATGAATGGGTGCAAATTAGCCGGCCACTAACTTGGCCTTCTTCTTATCTTCCGTGCTCTCCTCGCCTTCAGGCTTTCTCTTCAATGCTGCCACTTCAAGGTCTCTCATGTTTTGTTTTTTTCCGTCCACAGTACGGAAATATGGCTGGCATCTCCAATATGGCACCTTCTTGTAGTGACCGCCCAGGATTCTGTGGGCCCGTCAACGATCTTATCCACCTCTTCTATGTCCTCTTTTTCGTAAATCTTCTTTACAATATCCTCAACTTGTTGCACGATTTTTTCCCATTCTTCGAATGGAGCGTTCACGCTGGTCTTACCGATTGTGGGTCTCAACTCTTTGTGCACATTGAGGAACTCATACATGAGTTTGAAAAAGTGGGACTTCATGCATACTCGGGAGGCCTCTCCAGGACATGTTTTGACTATCTCAAAGTACTCCCGCAAAAGCTTATCGACTCGGGGAAACTGCTTCTCCTTATCGTCATCCTTCGTCCAGAATACGCCAGGATTGTACAAGTTTCCCTCGGCAGACATCACAGCATCACAGTTCACCTTTTCAGTGCATCTCTCCAAATCTGCAGGGTATAAGATATTACCATTAGCGAAGAACACTTGGTCTTGGGGTAGGTTGTCTCTGAGATAGCGCAAAATGTCCCAGTTAGCCAAACCAGTTTTCTGGCCCTTCATATCTCTCGTACGGCCATGAATTGTGATAAACTGAGCACCGGCTGAGAGCACCATCTTTGCGTACTCAAGACTCTTCTTCCAGTCATCGTAGACTCTGATCTTGGCGGTCACAGGGCACTTGAGGTTCTTGTGAAGTTTGTTGATCAACTTGTAGACCAAGTCCCAGTCATCCATGAGAAAAGCACCGTAGTTTCCTTTACGAGCAATGCCTTGAGGGCATCCCAAGTTAAGGTCCACAGCGTCACATTGGTTCTCCACAAGTTGGGCAGCCTGGAGAAGGTACTCGGGGTCATTTGCACAAAACTGCACGATCAAAGGTCTATCTTTCTCCGCATCGCCATCCATTTCACAGAACATTTTATTTCTGTATTTTTCGTCTGTTGCAAAAAGTCTGGCGTGAAACATGGGGGTGTAGCATAGATCGGCACCATATCTTCTGGAGAGGATTCTCCACGCTAATTCTGAATGGTCGACCATAGGTGCCACGATAGTCTTTGGGCTACCTATCTTCTCGTAAAGCTGACGGCCTGTCTGCTCGTCTGCGGTCATGTCTATAATCTATTCGGGATCTGTGAGGTTGTGGTGATAATGCTCATCTCTTTTTTTGATGCGCATACTTACGCCAAATCGTGAGTAGTATCAAGCGACAAAAAGAAACAAAAAGAGTTAAAGTTTGAGCTTTTAGCATTATGCCTTTGATACTGAGCCTGAGTTGGCTTCAAGACAATCTTCATAATATCTTCTCATCGTTCTCATCGTGACCTACTACTGTGAGCGTTTTGCAGCCATTCTTGATCTAAGCGCGAGGAGATTCTAGCATCTATTCGTCAATTAAATAAATAAATAAATAAATAAATAAATAAATAAATAAATAAATAAATAAATAAATAAATAAATAAATAAATAAATAAATATTGAAGCGGCTATTTCTTAATGTGAATAGCCACATTTTTAAACGCCTCTGCAAATCCCATGGCCAAAGGCCAAAGAGGTGCATCGGCTAATATACGAACACCAAGCCCGAGCGCATGAACGGATAGCTTACACTTTCCGATCGCCTTGTCAAAAGAAGCATCCTCACTTTTGTTGGCATGAGACTTAACTTTCTCGATGTTTGTCCTGAACATGGGGCTCAAAACAAAATCGAAAACTCCCTGTGACAGCTTGCGCAAGAACTCAGAATACGAGTTTGAATCCTCATTTGGCGAAAGGGTGGTCTCCACATCAGTGAGAAGAGCCTCCACCTCAAGCCAGAACACTCTATCTTGAACACTCAATGCTCCACTTGTCTCCATAGCTTGCAATGCCTTCTGTAGAACCAAGATGGCGGCAAAAATGCAAGTGACAAAAAAGACTGGAGTCCGAACTGACACCTGCTTCGAGTCATTAATCAGTTCGATGTTATGCGTCCAAATCTTCAAAACTTCAATCGCATGCTGTGCGGCAGCCTTCAAGGCTTCCACATCGTTTTCGAAATCGTTGAGAAGCGTGGACATCTGGCCCCAGTCCTTGTAGAGAACTTTTTCTGTCACAGGCGTGATGTTGACACATAATCTCATCTTCGCAAGATGAAGAAGTGGCAAAATCATTTGAAGATCCTTGTGAAGGTTGAGGATCTGAGCATTGTGTTTGTTCACCTTGAAAAATCCACCATTTTTAGCGAAAAGTACCTCCCAGGAGCTAATAAGACCCTCAAGCATGGGCTTGCTTTGAGTTCTCCACTTAAACAGACTAAATTTGCCTTCATACTTCTTCCACTCCATTGAGATTGTTTCATGAATGTACATCAAAAGCACCAATAGCGTATTGAATGGCAAGTCCAGGTCAAGAGGGCAGTAGCTCTTGAGCTGTTCAAATAGTTCACCAAGACTGTCGTTGTTGGATATTCTCACAAGATTTTTGTTTTCAGATTTCCTGTACTGATAGTACCAATCACGAGAGTTGTCGGCGGTATAAAGCTTTTCATCAAGACAAGGAGTTCCACTCAAGATCTCTGAACCACTCATCGGCATGGACGAGCCCAAAAGACACGAGCGCACAACCTCTAGCTCGTAAAAGCAAAGAATTGTCCGGATCCTCGTTTGTGCCATGATGAAATAATCGTAGTTGTTCTGTATTATACCGAGTTCAGCCTCGTTTTTAATTGCCGGAGGAGGAACTAAGAATTGATCAAGTGGTCTGTGAAAGTTGGTGGATCTGATCAAACCGACCATGGAGTTCATTTGTTTCGTAGTGATCTCCAACATGTTTGGTTCATTGAGGAACATTGAAATAAATATGTGTAGGACGAGAGACTGATGAGCCATCAAGGGAACCTTTCTCTGATTGAGTTTGTCAGCAGTGACCTCTTTCTCGAAGAAGTTATGGATATGAAACTTTGACAAATTAAAAAGAAGCAATGTGTTGGAGTCATGATAGGAGTAAAGGGCGCCAATGGCACACATTGAGAGAATCAATGGAATGTTCTCAAAGTTGTCCACCATTGGGTTTCTCAAGGAGGGCATGTGGATGAATGGGAAGTAGATGTTGAACTCGCTTTCGTATAAGGACATATACGAGTTCAAGTCTTCCAAAGGTGGGAATTGTGAGTCAGTCATGTTGCTGATCAAAATGATTCTGTTTCTAAGCTCTTTCGTCACACAACTTGGCTGATGGCCGTCACCAATAGTGAATTGCACTTTAGAGGACTGTCTTGATAGTGGCTGGCTTGGACGTCTTCCAGCCTCATTTAAGGCATCGGCTGTGTTAACAAGACTTCTCTGCTTGACCAAGTCTTCCTGTCTGTGTTTAAAAAGCGTGAGAACCTCATCAGGCAGACGATCGCTATTGAGATAGGGCATACCCATGAATCCAGTATCATGCGATGCTTTAGGAAACTCATTAGCAACAGGAACTGCCATGATTTCGTTAACCCATTCAAGATTTTCAGTGTCATTCACAAAGCCAAATTTTGCCCTTTTGAAGTCCTTGTCCAACGAAGCCGACGACAGTTTGTGCTTTTTAATCAGAGGTTGACGGGAAGATCTGGTCTTTGACTTCTCAGAACTAACTGAAGAAACGTCGACGTCATTACTGTTCATTTGAGCAGCCAAAGTCTGCGTGGGTACATCGGCCGTGGTTTGGTTCTGGGTATCCTGGTCAGCTTCTGTACCCTCGACACCTAGAAAATCCTGTTGATTGTCCAAAGTGGCGGGAAGCCCAAGGTTCAACAAAGCGTTGTCCTTGATGTAGTGAGGGTGGCTGGGGCTGTTGAACTGGTGGATTTGACTCGAGTAGAAAGACATGTCAAGCATGTCAGTATTGCCGGCCAATTGCGACTCTGATGGAATAGTGTTCAAGCGAGATTGAAAGCCTTGACGGCCTGCCGAAGGCTGGTTGGAAGAGGTGCTGTTGTTTCTAGATGGAAATGAGTGCAGCGGCATACTCAAATCGTCAGCTAGGTCCATGAATTCACCCTTTTCACTGTTGTCACCACCGTACCAGTCTGCCAAATTGCCGAAATCGGCAGTAGAAAGACCCTTGGAGTCCATTTCAGCAACGGTATGCTGTGGGGTGGAGAATCCCACTTGTTGAGGAACATCGGGAATTTGGTGGCTCTGAATGGCTAAAGCATCTTTCAAGTTTGTGTATGAGGCACCACTTACAGCGGAAAAGGAAGTGTGTCTATACTGCAGCTGATGCTGCTGTTCCAAGTGCTGAAGATGGCCAAACTGCTTGTAGCTCATCTTGGCCACGTCATCCGCACCCCAGTTCATCGTTGCCTTCTTATCTTTGAGGTCAGGAGAATCACCTGTCACAGGCGAAGGTTGCTGTGTGATGTTTGGATGTGCTGGATCGACAGCGTGAGAGGCCCTTCTGAGCTGAAGCTGGGTGGTGGTTCCCAAGTTAGCCAACGGAGTATTGAGGCTCAGATTGGTGTTGGGAGATGGCATGTTGTGCTTGCCGCTATTATCATAGTTGCCGTAAGCAAACAGCGCAGATCTAAACTGCACGTTGTTAGCAGGAGATGGTGATGCTCCAATGTTTCTGGCGGGAGACAGAGCGGCAGAAGCAAGGATTCCCGAGGGAGACAGAGCTCTGCTATCAGGTAAAGGTGCTTTGGCGTGGGTGTTGTTCTGAAGCACGATGATGTGGTCGTTTGAAGGAGTGGAAGACGCCGACTCGGGCTGACCAATCAAGGAGCTCGAAGCTGTCGTAGGGACGTTTGGAAGCAGGCCTCTTCTGGAGACCTGCGAGTGGAGCTTCTGTTGATGGCGAAGAACCAAGTCTCTTCTGGCAAAACAACGTCCACAAGCAGCACACTGGAAGGGCTTCTCGTTGGTATGGGATCTCTCGTGCCTTTTCAAATGCTCTAAACGAGCAAACCCTCGAGTACAAATCTGGCACACATGGGGCCGGGGCTTGTCTGTTCTGATTTGGAGGGACTTTTTCGGGATAGGCTGAGTGGGCCCACTGTATGAAGAAACCGACGACGTACGACTTTTTGAAGGCGAATTTGCAATCATCGGTCTAGCGGATTATTATGAAGGTGCCTTTCTTGGGCTCCTGGCGGTAACTGGCTCTAGTAGAAGTTCACTGATTCAAACCCCAGTCCGACGAGGTGACAACGACCAAGACAATGGTGGGTGAAAATGGAGGGAGCTAGCGACAAAAAAAAAAAAAAAAGCGCTCGTGAATGTATTTGGTAGCGAAATAAAACAGAAATAGTGGTTCCTCGACACCCTGAGCTTGCGAGGGTTTTTTGGACTTTTTTCTGGCAGTCCTATGTTTAGCGAAATCCCCAGATTTTATTCTTTTTTTTTGGGCCGGTTTGGCGTCAGTGCGAAGGAACAAGTGCGGAAGCGTAATTGGGTGTAACACCCGTGCACCACGCTCGCAGAACAGGGCCAATCATCTCGGACTTGTTTTGGAAAGTGTGCAGGCTCCGAGCCTCACCGACCATAAGACAGCATAAATCTTGCCACCTTTCGATAATTTTAATGTACGGAGTTGACACTTCTCGGCCGGCTCTACAAAACTACGATACAGTTGAATACGAGAAAATTTGAGCCACTCCCTCGTGCAGGGCACCGACGCAGCCGATGCGCCTCGATGGACGTCCTTCCTGTAGTCAAATCCGGGGTAACAGGTGGCTAGCAACATTTTTCGCCAAGCAGCGTGACTCGAGACCACCAACGGGTGTTCGCTGGAGTTCCACGGAGAGGCCACCTGTTACATCCGAAATATCCAAAATCTCGCCCTGAGGCTTCTCCTGCTTCGATCCCCATGGGGGTCCGCGAAATACGAGGATGACTAAAAAACGGCAATCAGCCCACCGAGATTCCGTCGCCGCCGTTGCCCATCCACGCCTTAAATGCACCAAGCCATGACTAGCCGTCTTTGTTACCAATAAACTCTGGAAAACCCGAACGGGCCGATTGTATGCCTCCCTAGTCTCAATGCAGAAATTGGGCCAGGTTTGCAACCGCGCTGTCTTACCGCAACCCCCAGACTCCCATGTACAGTTACTAATTTTTGCACCCACTGCTGCCGCCTCCCTATCCTTGCGCCCAGGAATGGTAAGGCCAACTTTTGCAAAATGCCGGTTCCGCCGCTCATTGTACCCCAGATTGTCCTGCCTGTGGCCATTGTTCTTTTGGCGGCCGGCTTCGGACCTGTCTCCGTGCCGTCGTGCCGCCCTGCCGATCTGATCACCTAGTTTCTGTTTCGTTTGAGGTGCACACTCGAAGCTTCTTTTTTTTTTAACTGCTGCTTTTTCTCACCTTTGGTTTTCCGATAAGCCAGGTGTGCGTCAAGGGCTTTTATTTTTCAATTTCAGGCGGCTGCGAACTTGTTTTTTTCCTCAGGCAAGCCCAAATCCGCATAAATGTATAGTCCACGCCTGATTGTCTTAAACTTTTTCTAAAACAGATCAATGCTGTTGTTTCTTCAATTCAGCATTCCCACGCCATAACGTGTTGTCAGGTGCTACCTGCACTGCCTGCAACAGCCCTGAAACGGCACCTGAAACGGATTCGCAGCCTCTTTTGGCCTATTCAGGGGTGCCCATTCTCTTTCTGGTAAAAGCCTCCTCCACTCTATGATCTCAGTGTGCTCCAACCTTCACTTGCCTAATAGCCTCTCAGGGTCCCGCCTGTAACCCATTTTTCATTTTTTATGTCCTTTCCAAAGCTTGTCTGACGTAGCGTGTCGGGCTCCAAGTCTTGGCTGGCTCGTGGAAATGCCATTGTTGTTGGTTGGCACGGCACCTCTGATAGGGTCGTTCGATCTATACAATTTTAGAGCAAAGCCACATGCTTCGTTCTTCCTTTCTGGGAAAAACTCATGGCTGTGAACACTCAGATCTGCCCCTATTTTCTTTTGTTAAATCTACCGTGGCCAAGACACTATGGTGGATGTTTTCCATTCTCTTCCGGTTTGTTGGGCCTCGAAACACAAAACATCTCCCAGGGCTCGTACACAAAGCTTGCTCTGCGGCCTTATTCTTGATCGAAGCGCTCGAGGCACGCGCCTTGAGCCCGCCTGGTTCAATAAGCTGTTTTCCCTCTTTTAGTCAAGACATTCATTATCTGTATTGGGTGGCTTTTTTGCTCTCTCTTTGATCGGTTGTGCATCAAGAGAATACCAGAGAAATTTGCTTCCTTCTAGCTAAAACGCAAATTTTTGAGATATAAAATAATCTTACAATTCAGCTTCTAAATGGTCTTATTGAGCTAGGCACATTTTCAGTTGACGCATTGAGGGGCTCCGCCGCCATGCTTGGCCACTAATGTTCAACTTTGCGCCAAAAGAACATTTTTTTGCACTTTGCGCTTGAAATGGTATGTACTGCATATAGATAGATTTGTGCTCTTATATTACCGGACCCACGTAGGTATATCACAAGGGGCACGTGGTCTAGTGGTATGATTCTCGCTTAGGGTGCGGGCGGTCCTGGGTTCGATTCCCAGCTTGCCCCTTCTTTTTTTGCAACCAAGGAAAAATTGGACTCATTCGAATGCCACATTCATCCTATTCATGAATCGTTCTTTTTTATTCCATAAATAGCGGCTTCGTTCGTATATACATGTCTATGGAAGCCCCGCATGACCCATATCATTCCTCCTTCTTCGTTTCAGCGTACGCTCTCGCTGCTTTCAAGATATCTTTCTTGATCTTGTAGCCGTGTTCATCAGCATTTGGAAATACCCCCTCCGATACATCCGCCCTGTATTGCGAGACAGCCTCGGTAGCGTTTTCAAAAAAGCTCATGTACAGCTTGACAAACTTCGCAAGCTTGTACTTCTCTGGATCGTTCATCTGAAGCATATCGGCAAGTACCAAAACCTGGCCTGAAACATGTGGACCGGCACCAATGCCAACCGTGGGTATCTTCACTGTCTGTGTGACCACCTCGGCCAACTTGCTTGGAATACATTCCAAGATCATCGAAAACGCTCCAGCTTCTTGTAACGCCAAAGCATCGTCAATTAACTTTCGGGCGCCTTCAACGCTGTTTCCTTGCAATTTGTAACCACCTAATGTGTGATGCTTCTGAGGGGTTAAGCCAATGTGTCCCATGACAGGCACACCAGCGGTCACAATTGACTTTATGGTGTCGGCCATTTCCTGACCGCCTTCAAGCTTGACAGCCTGTGCCTTTCCATGCTTCACTATTTTGATAGCAGTCTCAACCGCCTGTTTTGTAGATGTCTCGTAAGTACCAAAAGGCATGTCTGCCACTATAAACGAGGAGGCATTACCCCGGTTAACTGCTCGTATATGGTACAACATCTCCTCAAGCTCAATCTCGTTCGTATCAGGGTACCCAAGGGCAACCATGGCCAAAGAGTCACCCACCAAAGCAACGTCAGCTTGACTCTTTTCGACAATCTGGCCTGTGAGGAAGTCCCATGCTGTTACAACGCTGATAGGAGCCTTGGCCTCGTATTGACTTCTTAGATCTGTAAGCGTTTTGCGTGGGGCAGCCACGTATGACGACCGGTACGTCGGCGACATAGAAAATCGGCGAGCCGCCTGAACGGTTCTTCTCAAGAACATGGATTTAAAGAAGAGTCGGTACTTTCAAGCCGAGCATACTACAGTTTTTCACTGCGCGAGGTGTCCCACGGAGATACACCTTGGCAAATGTTGATGAAGAACAAAAATCAAGCGGTGATTAAAGATTTCATCAGTTTTATAAAATAGCCGCTGATGATTGGGACCTGGGCTTCCTAGTATCCCTTACTAAAGATATTCACGTGACTGTTGATGAATTTAAATCTGACGTCAGCATCCATGTAACCTCCAAATCCACCCTCTCTGCAATGTTGGCACGAAGCCGTCTTGTCCTACCGCTCTTGATGCCTAATTTGTCTATCTCTTCTTGCCGAGCAGCATTTCCAAAATTTGTGCCTCGGTGGTGTGCACCTGCTTATCGCTCCGCTTACAAATCTGTCAGCGCAACCCAAACGAAAGCTTTCTCAACTACATCCAAAATGGTGCAAATCGATGATTCCTATGTGATGAACCACACATGTATCCGTGTCAAGGATCCGAAAGTTTCGGTGCCTTTTTACGAGCGCAACTTTGGCATGAAGCTTCTCCAGAAGTTCGCCTTTGACAGCTTCACCTTGTACATGTTGGCTATCGACGACGGCTCGAACGTCAATTGGGCTGCCAGAGAGGGTGTTTTGGAGTTGACTCACAACCACGGTACTGAAAATGACCCGGACTACACTGTCAATAATGGCAATGGTGAGAAAGACAGAGGCTTTGGTCACATCTGTTTCTCTGTCGACAACATTGAAGCCGCCCAGACGAGATTGTTGGGTGACGATGTTCGTTTCCAGAAGAAATTGACTGATGGAAGACAAAAAAACATTGCTTTTGCATTGGACCCAGATGGATACTGGATCGAGCTCATTGAGCATGGGAAGGACAAGAAGGAAGGCACCACTGACCCTGCCTCCTACAGACTCAACCACTCTATGATCAGAGTGAAGGATGCCAGCAAGTCTCTTGACTTTTACAGAAAAGCACTTGGAATGAAACTTTTCAAAAAGAAGGAATTCGAAGCTGCCAAGTTCACCTTGTACTTCTTGGGCTACGATCACGGATCAACCATTCCAGAGGGTGAGGAGCCTCCATCTAAGCAGGCTCTTCAGCAAGGCATCCTTGAGCTTACTCACAATTGGGGTACTGAGAATGACCCTAAATTCAAAGGATACCACAATGGTAACTCTACAGAGAATGGCGCCAAACAGGGATATGGACACATTTGTGTCGCCTGTAAGGACCCTGCAGCTTTCTGCAAGAACATCGAGAATGAATTTGGAGACTCTGTCCAATGGCTGGTGAAATGGAACCAAGGTAAAATGAAGAACTTGGCCTTCATCAGAGACCCCGACGGATACTCAATTGAGATCATTCCCCTGGATATGTTTGGTGACAACTAGGAACCCGGGCGATTGAGAGCCCGTATTTAGGGTCGGTGTAGTCGGTGACCGACCGAATAGGTCCTCATTGGCTAGGTCGGGCCCGCTGAATGTGGATCTTTAATTTGGTATGAAACAATCCGTCTACACATAAAGCGAAAATATATTTAAAACAGCACAAGCACAAGAAATAAGCTACCACTACTGGTGATAAATAGTATTAGTGTTCTCTTACCTAGTACTCTGTGTAGTCTACGACGTAAGCTTCGAGCACCGCCTCAGGTCTTCGAGATCACTTGCAACCAAGTCTAAAAAAAAAAAATTATTGACTATATATCGAAGACACCTTCCGGAGATAAAATCACATTAATGACGGGCATTGTTAATCTCCCCTGGTCGTGCGGTCTTCAGTGTATAGGATAAGCAACGGTGCGATCCAACCACGCTCAATTCTTGCTTATGCTCAGTTCCTTCAAACGCTTCTTCTTTGCCACACCTAGAATGGTTACCGACGCCACCAAGACTAAAGTCAACAACTTGATCAAAGAGCACCCTGTGGTGATCTTTTCAAAGGACTACTGCCCATATTGCACCAAGACCAAGAGCACTATTTCCGCTCTCACCGACCTGGCCTACATTTTGGAGATCAACACCATCCCTGACGGCGCCGAGATCCAGGATTACTTGTTTGAGATTTCTCAACAAAGAACTGTCCCTAATGTGTACATCAACGGCCAGCACGTTGGTGGCAACTCTGACGTTCAGGAGTTGAAGTCCCAAGGTAAATTGGACGGCTTGCTTAAGGCTGCCCTTTAGCCGAATATAGAATCTATACTTTCATATGGAGACTTGTAGATGCTGAATGTGGGTATGATTGGAAAGAGAACGTTATGTTGGACTCTTCGATCAAACGCCACCGTAAAACTGTGGAGCTCAATGGATCGATATGCGGCATTGCTCGGTCCAGTCAATTGTCATCATGTAGCATAGTCTTGAAATGATGGATCATGGGATCGAGCTGACCTTGTGGCTGCTATGAACCTCCACTGCTCTTTTCAGCGGACTCAAATGGACAATATATTGGAGAATTTGCTCCATTAATTTCAATAAGAGCGAATCCCAGGCTCCACCAATTGAGCCAAATCAGTTTCGAAAAGACAACTATGGTAAACCAAACGGTAAACTGTATTTTCAGCGGCGCATCTAGAGCCTGATATAGTCCCTGGAAACCCGGCACTGAGATATCCATTTTTGAAGTCAAAATTCCATACAATCACTTCACAGTATCAGAAAACACAAACAACTGGCTCTTTTATAATCCAGGCCATTTCAAGAAAAATTCTACGATGGCCCCACATTAGTCGTGTTCGGTTACCCCATACTAGGCCCGGACTATATTGCCCAGCGCGGCTTCACTTATTCGTTTGCCGTGCAGTATAGAAACCGATTGCCGACCAGCCATAGAATATCCACTTCAACTGCTTTCCATTCTGTGTTTCTGTTCTTAATGGTCTGCGTCAGGCTTCGGCACGAATTGCCCAGACGCTTCTCCACATCAGTCACCTTCACTTCAATCGACAGAACGCAGTTCCCTATTCGTCTGTTCAAGGACCTCAAACCCAATGCCAAGTACAAGCTCAGGGTGCCCTTGATGAAGTCGCCGTCCCATTTGGGACATTACTCATCCCGTATGAATAGAAGATACAACGAGGACAGGTACAGTGGGTGTGTGTTGGACTTGAAAGGCAGGACCACGTTCAATTTCAACATCTTCGATGGCCATGGTGGTGATCAATGCCTGACTTATTTACTGGAACATTTGGGGAAGGTGGTTGAGGAGTCTTCACTGTTGTGTGGGGAGGATGATGCTTCAAGAGAGGGACTTATCAAGCAGTATGCTAAGAATATTGGTGGTTACTGGCGCAGATGGTATAAGCAACGAAAACAGAACTTCGAAAAATGGGCAGCAGTGCCGATCCAGGTTAACAAATTGAGCAAATTAGGAGATGTTCTGGATGATCTTCTGCTCAGATTACCCCTTTCCTTCTTGCAAACCGACTACGACTTCTTCAATGAGAAGGACAATAAACTGGGCTCAACTTGCACCTCTGTGTACATGGAAACGCTCCACTCAGAGCTTCACGGAGAGATTCAGCCTGTATTTGAAAGCTACTACTTCAACAGAGGTACCGTCAACAAATTGACTGTGGCCCATGTGGGCGATACCAAAGCGATCATGGTTGATAAGAACGGCGATGCTCATCCCTTGACCGTTCCTCACCATCCGCTGAACCCTACAGAGTCATCTAGATTAAGACGGTACTCGGCGAATTACTTCATGACAGATTCGTTCGGCGAGGAGCGCTTCATCTCGTTAGCAAACACTAGAGCCTTTGGAGATCTCAACTACAAAGAGGTGGGCGTGAGCGCCGAGCCAGAGGTATCCCAGTACATTTTTGGGGATAGCAGTACCATCTCAGACAATTTGACCCCGAAAGAGATAAAGGAACACACCGTCGGCGGGCTTGGCGGAGATGAGTCCTTCTTGGTACTTTGCACAGATGGCATCACCAACGAGATCACCGACCAAGAAGTCGCTGATATCGTCATGACAAACTTCAACATGCGAGGCCACCAGGCTGCTACTCCTCAGGTGTGCGCTGAGGAGGTTGTCAAATTCGTAGAGTACATTGGTGGTGATGACAACGCTACCTGTCTTGTCATTCGCATGAGCGGCTGGGGCCACTGGCCTGTGATGGATAGAACAGGTCAGCTTCGGCAAGAGCGTTTGAGTGCCTACTCGCCTCGTGATCGTGGCTCTGGTTGATCTACATAATAATGCATTGCAACTTCGTGATTCTATATGTACAAGTAGGGTGCCCTAGTTCTTGGTGTATTTGTAGGAGAAGGGCTTTCTCGTTCTGGCAAACTCACCGAGCTTGTTTCCGACCATCTCATCGGTAACCTCGAACTGGATATATTCCTTACCATTGTGGACCTGGAACTTCAATCCAACGAACTGAGGCAATATCGTGCAAGATCTGGCGTTGGTTCTGATGGGAGCGCCTGTCTTCAAAGCGTTAGCGATGGGCAAAGGCACCACGCTGGGGCCTTTCCATGCTGATCTGCCTTTGAGCAATATCCTGGCAGCTTTCATTATGGATCTTGAGGAGCTCAGATATGGAGCCTTTTGCACTGGCGAAAAAATGTAGTAGTCGCGCACGTGATCTCCAGGCGATTTTTCCACTCCTACAGACCCCAGTATATCGCGAGAGGCATCGCGAGCAGGCATCTCTAGATCGATATGTTCGCCCAGCGATTCGACCCCAACCTGGTGGGGCAGGAGTTGCCGAAACCACAGATTCCAATCAAGAAAAGAAAACTAAGTCAGACATCCATTGATGACGAGGCCACAAATGAGAAAGCAGATACAGAAAGCCTGAGTTCAGATAGCGAAAGCACTAGCGATAGTGATAGTGACAGTGAAAGTGAAAGCTCATCGAGTGAAAGTGGGGAGGAAACTTCTGAAAGTCAAGAGGAGGATGTTAAACCAGCGGATGAGCTAAAAAATAGCATGGAGGTTGACGATCCCGTTGAACCTAGAGAGGCCGACCCAGATTATCTCAAGAAGCATGCCTCTGTGTTTCAGAAGTTCAAGTCGGTTCAGTCCAATGATGTTGATATGGACACAGAGAAGCCTAGTGACGAGGAAGTCGAAAAACAGGATTTAGCTCCTCTTCCACAACCGGAACTTCCTCGAGACGTGACTCTTCGATCCACTCAGGCACATCTGAAAACCCTTGATTGGCTAGCGAAGCCAGTTTATGCATCTCCTGAGCAAACCTCCCCGTTCAGTGACTTTAGCATCTCGTCAAATTTACGGAGCAATATCGAGGCTATGGGTTTCAAAGAAGCCTTCTCTGTTCAGGTCTCAGTCTATAAAATGCTACTTGAGGATATTACAAGAAACAAACTCAGCCCAGATTTCAGGGGAGATATTTTGGTAAATGCCTCCACTGGTTCTGGCAAAACCCTTGCATATTGTGTTCCCATCATTGAAGCTTTGCATACGAGAATTGTCCCAAGAGTAAGGGCGGTTATTCTCGTCCCCACAAGACCATTAATTCAACAGGTAACCCAAACCCTTATAGAGTTGAGCAAAGGTACAAAACTTAATGTGGTGAGCTTGTCTAGTGACATGTCCATAAAAGATGAGGGTCACAAAATTTCTACTAATGTTCCGGATGTGATTGTATCAACGCCGGGTAGATTAGTGGAACATATTCTTAATAGTTCAGTCACTTTTGAGGCGTTAAGATTTTTGGTTATTGATGAGGCTGATAGATTGCTTAATCAATCTTTCCAAAATTGGAGTGAAATTTTGATCCGGAGTATTGAAGAACATAGAGATTCCTCGAGAAACGTTGGTAACACATGGGAACTTCAAACGCAAAAACTTGTTTTCTCGGCTACTTTGACCACTGATGCTGGCAAGTTATCGCTGCTAAAGTTCAGAAAACCTCGACTTATTGTTGTCAATTCGAAGGAACAGCTTGTAAACGAGATGTTCTCTGTTCCAACAACATTGACAGAGAGCAAGATCTTATTCGCATCTAGTGAGTCTTCCTACAAGCCTCTTTTGCTCACAAAACTCATGATTCAGTCTGAAAAGCTTTCCAACGTTTTGATCTTCTCGAGATCTAACGATTCCACCCTTCGTTTAGCGAAGGTCCTCGAAGCACTCTTTAAAAGATTCTACCCCTCTGCTCCCATCACTGTCGCCTACATGAATTCGACTAATAACTTATCATCCGTGAGAAATAGAGTCTTCAAAGATTTTGGAAACGGTGAGATTAACATTTTGGTCGCGACAGATTTGATCGCTAGAGGTTTGGATATCCTGTCCATTAAAGACGTCATCAATTACGACTTGCCAGTATCGTCTCGTGAGTATGTGCATAGAGTTGGTCGTACTGCAAGAGCTAATCAGCGAGGAGAGGCACTTTCTTTGGTATTCGGCAGAGGTGAAAATCAATGGTTCAACAGCCTTATGGTTGACGTTGGCAGAAACCAGCCCATCGATGAGCTTTATCCTAAGGCTATTGATCTTTATCTTGACGATCATGAGAAACATCAGTTCGAAGATATATTAACGAAGCTCACTTAGTGATGATTCCTGTCCCGTGGTTTCGTAACAACTTGGCCAAGATATTAATTAATTAATGTTTGTATATGAGTAAGTAATGAAAAGTGTGCTTTTAAGTTCACTTTTGCGTCAATTTGAAGCCAAAATCATGGTCTCTCGATTTTTTTTTGTTGGCATTCGCCATTTGCAATTCACCGTCTTGGCTGCGAAATATATAGAAACCTACCATGCGCTTTGACCATTAACACCTCACCACGAACAAAATCAAGAATGAAACCTTTTTAATTTACCTTGAAAAATTTTAAAGACTCAGGCAAATAAAACAGAAGAATTAGAAGTAGAGCAAGGGATTCAACTGTGCGGAAGGAGAACATTTGAAACCCCGACAGTGGCGGCTATGCCTCATGAATAACTAGTTTTCCTTAATGCACACGATAGCAGAATCAAGAATTGAACGGGCAAGGCTAACCATCTTGTGTATGCCCAGCCAAATTGCTGCTGAGTTGGAAGCGTAGATTAGGTATGAGAATCGTAGTTAAGAAATTCTCAACATAGTCTTGGCAGAGTCTTAAGACTACAATGAAAATTGCAAAGTGTGGCTGCATATGACAGGATGCAACAGTCAGTGAAAAGAGTGCAATCTGGTTGGAAAAACTGATCTTTGGTCAATTTATTGGGTCAAAATCGCTAAACAAATATGTGCACGTATATCAAACTGTACAAGAAACACCATCACCACGTTCATATGGTGTGGCACGATTAACATGCACGACTTTGCTACTGTGGTAACTCGCTGACGCAATTTCATTCAGATTTTCGAAAGGTATTGCAACCATTTTCTTTGGCCCTCGCCTACAACGGCAGGCATCTTTTGTAAGGTTGCCACCAGGAAGGAATGCCAATGCTATATAAAGTTAAGTAAAATCCAGCTTGTAGGAGCTTCTCGATACAAAGTTTCAATGGGGCTATTTAGACTGGAGAAAGAGTCGGAAAAAGACCAGAAAGCTGAAGCTCTGGTTGATTTCAGCCTGGTTAAGTCGAGAACTTCGACTGACAAAGATAAATCCAGTGTCGAGAAATCACAGACTTCAGACTTGGTCGAATCAAAAAGAAATTCCTCTGATACAAGGTCGTCCGATATTGAATCACAGGACAACGGGACCGGACCAAACCCTTCAAGGACCCTTTTTTGGCAGACCACTATAGTCGAATCTATGAAGAAGCTAAATACGAATGTCGTGCAGCTTTTGACCCACATTTGGAATGGACTCCAAAGGAGGATAAAAAGTTGATGAGGAAAGTCGACAGAAGAGTCATTTTCAGTGCATGTATTATGTTCGTTGCATTACAGATGATTAGAGGAAACTTAGCAGAAGCTACTGCCGATGATCTCCTTTCAGACATGAACTTGGATACAAATCACTACAATGTTGGTAACACAGTATATTTGATCTCCTTTTTGCTAGCCGAGGTTCCCTCACAAATGATTTCCAAGGCACTTGGACCAGATATCTTCATTCCGATCCAAATTTGCGTGTGGTCGATAGTTTCTATGTGCCAGGGTGCAATGCATAATAATGCCGGCTTTTTGGCTTGCAGAGCTATTATTGGTGCCTTCCAGGGTGGATTTATCGCCGACATGGTCTTGTGGCTCTCGTACTTCTATAAATCAGGTGAATTACCACTACGTCTCTCATGGTTTTGGGCTGCAACTGCAATTTCGAAAACGTTAACTTCGCTTTTGGCATTCGTAATCTTGAGGATGAGAGGAATAGGTGGTTTGACTGGTTGGCAGTGGCTTTTCATTATCGAAGGTGGTATCAGTTTGCTCATTGGTATCTGGTCCTTCTACCTCATGGTTCCCTCAGCTGTCCAAACAAAGAACAAAATGCACCCCAAGGGCTGGTTTACTGAAAGGGAAGAAAAGATTGTGGTGAACAGAATCCTTAGAGATGATCCTTCAAAGGGTGGAATGCATAACAGACAAGCTTTAACACTCAAGATGATTTCGGAGGCATTGTGGGATTACAATTTGTGGCCGGTCTACATGATTGGTATCCTTGCCTTCATTCCTCTTCATACGGTCTCACCATACATGGTTTTGGCCATGAGAAATCTTGGATTCAGCACATTCGATGTGAATTTGTTGACCATTCCGCTGCATATTCTTCAGATCGTTGGTCTCTTCTTCATAACATGGCTCTCGGAGAAGATTAATGAGAGAGCACTATTATGTCTTTCTATGCCGTTGTTCAGTATACCATTTTTAGCTGCAATGAGATGGTGGAGTGGCACAATGCAAGACGCATGGGTGACATGGTTTTTGGTGACTATGGTATTGTCGGCTCCATATATTCATGCAATTTGTGTTGCTTGGGTGTCAAGAAATTCTAATTCTATCCAATCCCGTTCAATTTGTTCGGCCCTTTACAATATGTCTGTGCAAGTTGGCAGAATTGCCGCTTTCAATATCTACAGAGAAGACGATTTACCGATCTACAGAAGAGGAAACATGCAGCTCACCTTCATTATGGTTGGTTTGATACCAATAATTTTGTTGACTAAATGTTACTATGTTTGGAGAAATAAGGTAAAGGAGAGAAAATGGAGTGCAATGACCGTTGAAGAGCAACAGCAGTACATAACTGAGACTAAGGATGTGGGAAACAAACGTCTTGACTTCCGGTTTGATCATTAAAGTAATTCCGCGTATAATTTTATAGATATTGTCAAATAAAGTTTTTTATTTATTTCAAAAGGGCATCTTAAACTTGATTCATTTATCGAATTTTCATGAGAATATTTCGCGGTCTCTACGCGTAAAATGGCCAAAATAAGCCCAAAAATGCATAAAAAATGTTCAAAAAAAGCCAATAAAGATTTAAAACTCAAAAATTTTAAAACTCTCGCCCAATGCATCAAATGATATATTAAAGCAGCACTTTTACATTGCAACAAGAAGCCTGGTTAGCTCAATCGGTAGAGCATTTGACTCTTAATCTTCTAAGGTCAATCAAAAGGTTGCGGGTTCGAGCCCCGCATCGGGCTTTCTTTTTCCTATTTTTGTTTATCAGGCTCCGAACAGCTACCAGCAGTGGTCTACAAGGAGCTAGCAATCCAGAATCGTGATTTAATCAAAGTCTTTGCCAAAAAACGCCAATAACCCCACTAAATGATCGTCGCTATATACATACACCAACCTCGCCTTTCCTCTTTTGCCAAAAATCTCATGAGTTATTTCACTTATTTGGTCAAGGTTCAGTGATCTCGGGAGAAACAAACCAAAATTATCAGCAAACTTCCGAAGACTAAGGCAGATATCTCTCAACGAGAACGGTTCCATCGCGTCGAGATCGAAATTTTTATTGTTGTAGCTTGGCCCACCCCATGGAGGGGAGCAAAATGCAAAATGAAACTTTTTCCTTTTCAATGGTATCCAATCATTCTTTTTTTTGAGTGAACTCCAGTCCCCTTGTATGAATTCGGTGTTTTCTGATACTCCGTACACCAGTGCATTCTGTACGCAACATGCTATGTTGCATTGATTAATGTCAATTCCAACGGCCTTCTTGCAGACCTTTGCAAATTGTATTGTATTCCCTCCTCCACCGCAACATACGTCCAAAACATATCTGCATCGCTTTAGTCTTCTTTGGACGTAGTGTGCCGTGAACCTAGCCACCGATTCTGGTGTGACAGAGTACCAGAGCTCCGAGGTTAGATAAATGCCTTCATCAAATTTCAGAAAGAGCTGGTATCTCTTGCGCCAGTACTTTTTGCAATTATCAGGAAGGGTATGATAATTGTGCATAAGAAGCTCATCTTCTTCGTTGATTTCGATATCTGAGCTCATGTAGTTGACTTTGATGTGCGCGATGAGCGTCCCATTACTTGATAAGATCGATCTTATTACATTATTAGTACACCTATTGATAAGCAAACAAACCCAATACCCTAAACCTTGTAAATCTTGTCCTCAACTTGCATGATGATATTCTCGTCTTGCATTTTGTTGAAGGCATTCTCCATCTCATCAGCACTGAAAACCTCCTCTTGCTGCAAGTCCTCGTTGATCTCCTGGATCACAGTCTCCTTAGCACAACATCCCTCGCTATTGGCAAAGAGATCCGTGTTGATGATACGAGACATAACCTCCAAAAACTTTGCGTATCTCTCATTACTAATGCCAACAAGCTGCTCTGCAATATTTTGCTCGAATGCATTAGAATTTTCTGATAATGGAGGCGCCTGGCCTCTGGAGAGATTCATGTTTCTCATCTCCTCTTCCACGCCAGCAGCTAGTGGTGGAGATGGCTCGGGTGTAGTTTGCTGTGGGTCGTATTCTCTGATCGGTTCCTCTGGTGACAAAGATGGCATCTCACCTGCAAGGTTGCCTCTGCTGGCATTTTGAATGGCTGCACTTGTGACATCCTCATTGACGTCGTCTTCCTCCAGGTCTGCATCCAATTCACTGTATCTTGGCTCTGCTCTTCTTCTCTTTGTGGGTTTCTTTTTGTTCGACTCTCTGAAGAGAGAGTAGCGAAGAAGCTCTTCAGCAACCTTGGCATCCTTGATGTCAATAGACTTGGACAAGCGTAATTTGGCGTGAGCTGTGGAAAGACGGATAAGTGTTTCCAAGGTTCTGGCAGTCACTGGAGCAGTTCTTCTGTGAATATCGGTGTCGCTATTTCTCAAATCCTTGTAAACCGATACAATGTACAGCGAAGCTCTTTCTGTCAATCTTGGTTTAATTCTCTGCTTCGCGTACTGGACGTACTTCTTCAAGAATGGAATCGATAAAATGGTAGGACTTTGGCCACCGGCACCGCTTCTAGCCACACCGGCGTGTAGGAGGGAATTGAACTTTTCAAAAATGGGTTGTTCAATGGATTCATCGACCAGATCATCTCCGGCAGCCAAAGATACCACACTGCGTTCTCTGACAGGTTCTCCTTCGGCCAAACCAGCTGATATAAATCTATGCATTCTTAAGACATGCTCAGAAACGGTTCTATCCTTCACTTGGTTGACATCGTCTGTGACAATGAAGAGCAAATCGAAACGAGACAAGAGAGAGTCCGGTAAAGCAATGTTCTTGTGAGGGTCCTTGTGTACGTCATACTGACCAAAGACCGGGTTTGCAGCCGCGATGACAGAACATCTGGCGTTAAGCGTTGTGTGAATACCTGCCTTGGCGATAGTCACCGTCTGTTGCTCCATAACTTCGTGAATTGCCACACGATCGGTGTCTGACATTTTGTCGAACTCATCAATACAAACAACACCTCTATCTGCTAGAACCATTGCACCGGCCTCCAAGCGTCTCTCACCTGTCTCCTTGTCAGATGTGACAGCGGCGGTCAAACCCACGCCCGAGGAGCCTCGACCAGTTGTGGCAATAGCCAAGGAAGCAGTGTTAAGAACAAATCTCAACATTTGGGATTTTGCGGTGGATGGATCACCTACCATGAGGATGTTGATGTCACCTCTCAAGTGGGCACCGTTGCTCAAGTTCTTTTCACTTCCACCGAACATCATGAGCAAGACTGCCTTTTTGATATAGTCAAGACCATAGATTGATGGAGCGAGTGAGTTTGACAAGATATCGAAAATATTCTTGTCCTTTGCCATTTTGTTGATGTCCCTGACATCTTGATCTGTGAGCTTTTCATGAGCGGCAACACCGGTAGACCGAGCATGAAGTGGGTAAACAGCATTGGCTAAGATAACGGTCCTGAAGGAGGAAGAGTTATTGGAAGCACCACCCAAGGCTCTATAGACACCAACAATCTGGACTCTGTCACCGGGTTTTGTTGTGTCCACTAAATCATCATCAAGAACAATGTCAACAGATCTCGGTAACTGACCAGCTGGCGCAGATTCAGGCATCTCTTGAACAGAAACTTTTTGGTGATCTCTGTATGTCGAAAAGCCGTACTCGGGGTCAATTTGTTTCCTTCTGGATCTTCCAATGGATAAACTGCGGGTGTGGAGATGGCATCGAAGGAAGTCGTGTTATCCTTGTAAGTCTTGGCGTAAAATCTAGCTGTCTTTTCGGCGTAGTGAACGGATCTGATCACCTTGGGTCTCACCAACGAAGCTCTGGTGACAATACCCTCAATGGAAACCATTTTAGAAAGGTAGTTGGAAGAAATGGTACGAGGCGTAACATGATTGCCACCAAAAGCTCCCTTGAAAGCGATATAAAACTGCTGGTTGTCATCAAGCTCGTCGTATCTGTTGTCGTTGGGGTCATAAATTGTCAAAACAGTGTCTCTCAACGCCCGTTCACACGCTGGAAGGAAGTCAACTGGCGTATCCAAAAGTCCCCTCCAGAATTCGACATCGAATTCACGGACTTCGTCAAGCAGCACTGACAATCTGAATTTTCCCTTCATGAGCATATCTTTGATGGCAGATCTGTGGTTGATACCATTCTCAGGGTTCTGATCCAAAAACTCTTGAAATCTTCTCACACGATCACCGAATACAGCATCGATGGGTTGGTCGATGGTGTCGTCCATCTTGATGAAAGAAAGTGGGTCTGAAGAAGAATTGGTGTGTGAAGTTGTAGTGAGGAAAAATTAAATGCCTCCTGGAGCGCGTAATTAGTTTTCCCAATGAGGACTAATTTCGGCGCGAGAATTTCGCATACGCGTCTGTTCTGCGCTCTCGGTGGCGGAACAAAAGCCTGACAGTCGGAGCGGGAAAGTGAAGGGGCCGTACAATTTTCATGGCTAAAAGTCGTTGCTATGCATTCTAAACTGTAGCCTCCCACCGAATTACTCACTAAGCCTCTATACGACTTTACGGGGAAATAGTATTCTGCGCAAGATTGATGCTAGACACTCAATTACAATTTTGGGCACTATATATGATACAATGATTTCTTCCCAAACAACACCGATATGCAAGGTAAATAATGATTCTAGGACACTAGTTTTTGAGGAATGTGCCAAAGGCAATGAAAAGTGCCCCAGATGTACTGGGAAAAAAGTTATTCATCCTTTTGTGTAATGACAATTGAAAGCGACGAGCTTTCGGTCTATAGTAGCCGAGAATGAAGTCAGCGACTACTGACAGCTTTTTGAATTAAAAGTGCTCAAATTATTACACAGTTGGCTGTATTAGCAAGGAATGCTCTTGTTCTCTTGTCTGCTAGTGTGAAGAATCTATGAAGACAGTAAGTCATATCGAATATTCTTAGCTGAATTGGGCCATCGATTTCGACAGAGCGGGCATCTCTCAATGAAAACTGGCAAAAAGAAACCAGTTGGAAGAAGCGTTATGATGAAGGATGCTCGTTGCTATTGAATGCAATATTTATAGTGCTTATATGCCTTGTATCATGCAACTTCTTTATATCATAATAAGTTAGCAGAACAGAAGAGGTAGAATTATTCCCTGTATAAATTTCTTAGTTTCGTCTATCAATTGAGTTCCCAACCCTCCATGAATGCATTCTCTTTACCAAACAACGATTCCCAGTCCTCGTACTCAAGAGCGGCCAAGCCTTTATATTTTCTCTTTTCCTCACTGTCAAGCAAAGACTTGTATGTCCAGTCCAAGAAATCCTCCATATTATAGTTAGGCTTCCTGAATGGTTCACTGAAGATCTTGGCTAGGGTTGCGATGTTGGGATGATAATGGCTCTGAAGAGTCTCAAGCTCCCAAAGCGAAGACCCAATAGCACCAGTCTTTTGTGGGTTGGGCTCATCATTTTTGAAGGGATCTTTGTAGTCCAGACTGTTTTTGCCATCTGGATTCTGCAACATGATCATGCACGATGGATGTCTTTTTAAAAGATTGTAGATAAATGGAAAGACAATGACCACACCCGGAGCAGACGACGACATTGCTAGGCGGGCAATTCTCTTTATGAAAGATGCAACTAAATTGGCACTCAAATGCGTGGAACTGAGAAATAGATCAAGCAGTCTGAAAAACCTGGCCCTGTATCTTGTGTATAGAAGACTTGGAGTAAGCAAGGAGTATAATTTGGTGAAGAACTCGGGATACTCCAAATTCTCGCGCTTCATAAGCTCCCAGAGAGAGTTAATGACAAGAAGCGGCACAATTTCATCTTCTTCTTGATCGAGAGAATCAGTGAGGAAGTCCATCAATGATGTGGGCGAGCTCATGTATGGGAGAATGCCGTAATGCAAGCAATTGAGAAGCTTTTTGTACTGCTCTGCTGATAAGTCTGGCATTCTAACCCAGGCAAGAATGCAACTTTGAAAATCTTGTTTGAAAGTTCTCATATAACTCTTGTCCATCTGTGGTGCTGTAGTGAAGTTGTGACCAAACCTCTCTTCATCTTCGAACATGACACCATTCTGGATGATACTGTAGAAGTTTTCAAAAATCCTGTCTTTCGTCGGGCCCTCTAGGCTTTTCCAATCACCGAGTTTCTTTGCCAAAGACTCGCGGAAGAAGTTCACTTGCAAGTCCTCGTGTTCAATGAACATTGTGTAGAAGTTGTAAACCAAGTCGTTTCTGTTGCCGACACCAACAGAGCTGGTAAGTAACGCGTGAACAAAGTCCTGATATATATCCAAGGGGAACTCATTGTTGTATTCGGTGTATTGTTTGACAATCTCGAGGTAAGTTTCCATGGCTCTTCTTTGGGTCTCCACGGCATTTCCAGGAAGCCTACTATTAATGAGCCAAAGAAGCTTTTCTCGAAACTTATCAAACTTCTCTGCGAGCCAAGCAGCGATAAGGTTCTTTTTCTCATCCTTGGTCTTTTTCATCGTACCATGCAATAAGAACCACTCAAAGACCACAGAGAGGGACTCTATAAGATAATTACAGACCTCAAGCGCTTCAGAGCTCGGTCCTTCTGAGAGCACTTTCTTAGCTAGTTCAAATTGATCTAGCAAAGGCACAAGATTATTGAACTTGTTCTCGTCCCTAATATCCTGAGCCATCGCTTTAAGAGCGTAGTGCTTTAGGAACTCCACATTTTTCAGAACCTCGACAGGTGCTTCAGGAGCATTCTTGGACTTCTTTGCCACTGAACTAGAAGCTTTGGATGTTCTCTTCTTTGCCATTTGGACCAGATCAGATGCTCATCGATCTAAGGTCAAGCGTAGTAGCCTGGATAGAGGGTAACGCGAAGAGATGTTTGTTACCCGGACTCGCACTATATAAGAGTGAGCATCCCCGGCCCCTAGGAAAAAGGCCATATGACCTTCCAAGTTTTATAAAATATGATGAAGTCTCGCGTGCTTGCTTACTATTCCCTCTGGGGTTGAGTCGTGTCCTTCGTGACATGATTCCTCTGGAAACGTCGTCCGTACGGATGGCTGGGTTTTGATGGTGCCAGCGTTTGGCGCAACACACCTTGTTACAAATACAAACGCCTAGAGAGGTTCTGACCCTTGGAAGTCATTGAGTAGAAGTAGGTAACTCGAATATTTCGACTCGAAGGTTTTGGCTAATGTGACTGTAGTGAAGAGGTGGACACAGGCCCAACGAGGGCCTAACTAGTCCCCGAGTCCAACAGCTTTTTTGTCTTCTTCCCTGAAGATCTAAAGAAGTCATTGAACAAAGTTAAACAGGCTATATTTGAAGGTTAAGTCTTCACGATGTCGGTGAGCCTAAACGTGACTTTTATCAAGCCGGTTGTACTTTTAACCGTTTATTGAGACTCGCTCACATTTTATATTGTTTGTCCCTAACAAACTCTACAGCATTAACTCCTGATATACCTGGATTGAAGATTAGTTTATACAGCTTAGATGAAGGTCTCGTAAGGAACAGGGGCGAGCGTCTGAGGAACGTTCTCACCGATCTGGACAACCTTAGCCTCTCTTGGCTGAGCTGGCTTTCTCTTCAAGTCAACCTGCTCACCCTTGGCCTTGGCCTCTCTCTTCAAAGCGGCGTTAGCCTTGACTCTGTTCAAGAACTCAGTACGACAAGCAGAGTGCTTAACGTGCTCGATTCTCAAGTTGACCTTCTTCTCAATGTATCTGTTACCAACAACCTTGTTGATGATGACACCGACGGAGGACTTGGTGACATTGAAAACGATACCAGTCTTACCGTGGTAGTACTTGTGTGGCATACCCTTCTGGATAGAACCGTTAGCCTTGATGTCAACAATGTCACCGACCTTGTAGACCTTCAAGTAGGTGGACAAGTGCTCAATTCCGTGCTTCTTGAAGTCACGTTGGAACATGTAACGAGTACCAGATCTGTAACCGTGACTGGATGTTAGTAAAGGGATTATATTTGAGGTTTATCGACCCATGAATTGCCATAAATGTCTGAAATTTCGAGCTTATTCGGAAATCTGGTGAAAATAGTTGCGTTCTGTTGCAGCGGGGTTTAAGGAGTAGGAACTTTTGCTAGTTTATGGTAGCATGGATGAAGATGTACCCAGGGATGGAACTTCGATATTTCTAGCTGGAATTCAAAATGGACTTTGGAATGACATTATGATATTCAGGAAACTCATGGAATCGGGGAGCGATGGTCGTTGTTCAACATACGTGTGAGCCATTTTTAACTGTTATAGATTCTATCTAAGACGAAATCTCTCTTGGTTGAAGTTTTTTCGTGAGAAGGTGAGAGGAAAATTTTCGGCACTGCAGACAGGCCCCACTGTGGGCAGCCCTCAGTGTGCGTATAGTCTGTGTGAGGTATCTCCACTGCACGTGCGAGCTCATATGAGAGGGCTGTAGCCCTAAGATCTGGCGGTGAGACAAATCGGCGTCTGATATTGATGCTATACCAGGCGATCTGAACGGATGAAACGTCCCAATCATGTAAAGACGGGGATATGTCTCTTTCATGAATTCGGTTCTAAAACAATAACTATGCAAGTACTGAAGTAACTCCTCGCAATGGTGTAGTGGACAGTGTAGTGGTATGGCTTCTACTCACAGACCCTATTGAACCTAGAAAATATCTTCAGAGAGGATTGAGTAGCATTTGTCGAGGATGATTGGCAAATTCTCTAGTCTGGACTCCAAGGAAAACATGACATGGAATTGGATTCTTTCACTCAGTAGAAGTAGCGAAGTAGACTTCTTTCGCTTGATCTACTCGAAAGAATGGACAGAACCATTTAGACTTATGTCACATAATGCAGAATTCACCTGAGATTTTTCAAGTAAACTGTATACGCTTATCTGTATCATGTCTCTATCTACTACATAGACCCCAGACTCATCGCGGGTCTCATCGCACCTAGTTGCAACCATGACGAAAACAAAGGTCTTAGTGCTACATCCCAACCCAGATAATCTCGATGATATAATAAAGAAGGCCAATCTACAACATCAGAAGAATGGACCATTCGAGGCAATCATTCTACTTGGTATCCATGATATTACACCGCCTCCAACAGTTCCTTCGGTCCCCACATACTACTGCAGCACCACCAAGGAAGACAAAACCTTCACAGACAAATCAGACAACTTCGTGTGTGTTTCTGGAGATTATAGCTTGCTCAAGCTTGCCTCCGGGATCAAGATAGGATTTCTCAGCCAATATGGCGAGGATGTTACTGATGAGGTTGACATACTCGTCTCCTTCCACTGGCCATTGGCTGTCGCCAGAACCCAAGGCTTGTCGCTTATCAGTGACGAAAGTGTCGACAAAGCCGCTTTAAGGCTAAAGCCTCGGTACCACTTTGTTGTGGGCTCGGAAAAGGGACGATTCTACGAACATCCAGCTTTCTCATGGTCTGACACCAGGTCGTGCCGTGTGATATCACTAGGCCAAGAGGGTACCGGCAACAAGTGGTTTTATGCTTTCGGAATTGGCTTGGAAGCGGACAATACGCAATCTTACGGGAAGAATCCTTACAGTACCACAGCCTCGACTACCGAGCAGGCAAAAGTTATTGAGGAAGAGAAGTTGCAACCACTTAAGCGCCAGCACGAGACAGAAGATGATGAATACGTTAAGCGTCCAAGGGTGGTTGCTCCACAAGACTGCTTTTTCTGTCTATCTAATCCAAACATTGAATCTCACATGATTGTGGCTATCGGAAAGCACAGTTACCTTGCGACCGCTAAAGGCCCAATGCCACTTCCACAGAGACCTCTTGACTTTTCCGGTCATGCAATCATAATACCTTTCGATCACACGCCGACTCTTGATGAACAATCAGAACAGCGGGAGGAAATGGCACAGTTTCAAAAGACAGTTTCAAAGGCTTTCTACGAGAAGTCTTTCGCTACGATTTTCTTCCAAATTAGCCGTCCTGAAAATGTTCATATCCACACCCAGCTTATACCTGTTCGTCTCGATGGTGCTCAGGAACAGCTTGAGAGATCTTTGAACGAACGTACTAGACAGAATAATGAAAAAGCGAAGTTCAACCAAAATCTCGAGTTTACATCTAACCCCATTGCCGTCAGAGACATCCTCAAAACAAATAACTTCATCAAATTCATTCTTTCGATGGGAGATGACATAAAAGTCTATGCAGCTCAACTTGTATCAGAGAAGCCCGTCGATTTACAGTTCCCAAGAAGGGTGATGTCCTTCCATCTCAAATGCCCCAAACGCACGTATTGGGATAGATGCAAACAAACCAAAGGCCAGGAAACCACCGAGTGCCAAAAGTTTAAGGCTTTTTACAAAGATTACGATTTCACTTCATGAATGCAAAAATATAAGGTATAGACAACCGCTCTAGGCTCTCTCAAGAGTACACTTAGAGCACCCACACTTGAAAAACCATTCCGACAAAGTGGCTTCTCTACTTTCCAATGTCTCATCTCCTGTGATACCGTAGCTGATGCACAACTCGGTGCCGGGCTGAATGTTCTCGGTGGTTTTAAAAATATAGGTATTGAGCTCTCTCAGCTTCTTTACGTTGTAGGCACAAGAATGGTTGAAAAATGATGCAGATGGGTAAACCCCAAATCCAAGATACTCCCTCTCTTCATCGTCTGTTGTTGTAGGTGACCAAATTCCGAAGGCATTGGTGAGGTTGCGACCGATGATGTCACGAACGCTCTGTGGGGTGATAAACTTTTGAAATGACTCGGGACATGTGAGACGGAGAAACTTAAAAATGTTACTGTATGCTAAGGTGAGGTAAGGATACTTCTCTACCTTCTGTGGTTCACTTGACTCCAACGTATGGAAGAGCTCCATTTCATTGGAGACCTGACTTGAGAGCCCTTGGTGCATGGAATGGACGACTGATATGGTATATCTTGCCTCGGCATAATCGTCTTTTGTTAGTTTAGGTAAGAAACGAGTTCTCTTTGTGGGCTTCATTTTGGAAATTTTGTTATCCCATTCCTCAACGTCTTTCCAGATCTGGCGAATGGCACTTTCGTCAAGGACTTCAGGCACCTCGTAGTCTTCGACATCACACTCATTCTTTGCAAATGCATCATCGAACGATAAAAGTGCTGTTGTAAGTGTTCCGTCATTGTCATACTCCACGAACTCAGATTGACATTCTTCGCTGCAGAAGTAGATCTTACTTTGCAACCGATGCTTCATAGACTTGCCATTATGATACGCAAAGCACCACAGACAAACCTCTTTTTTGAATATTTTGGCAACCGAGCTTCCAACAGGACGGTCAGACTTAAGTATTATCGTACCCTTCGGGATAAAGCTGCTTGCAAAACAACCTCTACCTCCATACACTGTGCGCTTGACGTCAAAGTATGGGCTGATTTGCTGAAGACATGACTGAGTGCTCAAATCCAGGAGCTCATTACCACTTTCGGAGTCGGAGGCGGTGTCTGTTGTAAGCTCCGTTTCGTTGGTTATCTCAAACACAACATCCTTGATTGAAAGATTTGCACGTGGGTTATGAGATGCGTATGCTATCAGACCTGAGGTCCTGAGTTCTTCTGGATGAGAAGACGGTATGGAATCGGTCATCTCTGGGATCATTTTTGGGGCTAGTTCACCACGTTTGTTCTCTTTTGAAAAATTTTGACTGAGATTGAGACCAGAGGTTCCTGTCTTAACTCATCTCAGCATATGCATACCAACGGTCGCGCATGTCATAGCGATTGACCAGTAACAATAGTTCTTCACTCACATATGTCAAATCGTGAATGACCAACATATCGAGAGAAGAAAACTGATTCTATGTGATTTATATACAGCTTCAGACAGTATGATTAGGTGGCTTTGTTGATAGCCAAATGCACGTCACTATTGTTGTACTCTATACTCGCGATCTCGCTAGCGTGGGTGCCCTCCTTGCATTACTATCTAAAGTTTTGCCAAATTTGGAAACATCGTTAAACTAAAATCAGAACTAAAAATACGTAAACTTTTTAGGATCTATGACCTAATTGGAAGAAAAAAATACCAGATTTGACCACGAAATTAAGGTTTGTCTTCCTCCGGCGACCAGCGCAATTAACTAAAGCAAAAGTCAGCAAACTTATACCAGATTTTCCATAAGATGCCCTGTTTTCTGGGGTGAAGCGCCATTTCCTCTTTCTCTGCATCCTCTTCGTCATCGATTTCTGCTTTTCCTGTGGTAATGTCAGCTTCCAATGCCGATCTCCATTTTGTCTTCTTCCAGAACTTCCGAACAACGTAGAGCACGCAGAAGAAGAAAGGAGCAAAGTAGGAGGTGAACAAATTGGCAACCGAGAACTCACCTGGAAAGAAAATCCAGAATCCGTTAAAAAAGAGGACCAAGACGTTGAACGAAGCAGCCCAATATGTCAAGTATGGATACGTCCACCTCGTCACCTTGTAGTACTTTTCGTCTGCATGGTCGCACAGTTGAACCTTGACGATTTTCTTGAATTTAAAGTAGCATGCCCACATAACAATGTAAGTGCAAAGAAGACCTGTCGTTGCCAAATTGATGAACCAGTCTAAGACGACAGCGGACGACTTGGAAACACTCATGTATGAAAGACAGCCAATGGACAAAGAAGAGACAACTGCAACGATTGGACAGCCGTTTTTCAAACAGTATGAGAAGCCCCTTGGTAAATAACCTGCCAAAGCAGCAGAGTAAGCACTTCTGGCAGCGCCATAAGTAAAACCATTTCCACAGGACCAGGCGGATGTCATCACAACCGCATTAACCACGGAATCGAGCCCTTGAACACCGACAGATTTAATTCCAATAACCCAAGGCGAAGCTGCTGCACCATCTTGACCAGCTTCATGGGCAGCAACAAGATCTGGGTTGATTGAGGAGCACATTGAATTCATGAAGAAAATACCACCAATGTAGAACAAGAAGATACGGACATATGTTCTTTTCGCAGCCATGGCGATATTCTTTCTTGGCTGAGAGATCTCACCAGAAACCATGCCCAACATGTCTGGACCGGAGCATGCAAAAGCAGCATAGATCAAAACGTTCCAGAGACCCAAAAATTTGCCTGTACTGCCTGCCACGAGATAGTCTTTCATCAAACCACCCTCAGGCCAATTTCTGAATCCGTAAGCATCGCCCTTGGGTTTCCACCGCACATGGTGATAAGACCGAAGAACATGAGGCCCACAATGAGAATGACTTTGAGCAAAGACGCAACGAATTCCACCTCGCCGTACCAATTGACACCAAAAACGTTGAAGAACAAGATGGTCGCCAAGCAGATGGAAATGAAAATCGCTGGAGAGGCGTCAGTCCAGTAGCCAGCCACGGACGCAAACGCCACGGCTTCCACACAGATGAACATAAGCGTGGTATATAAATAAATCAAAGTGGTTGCAAAACCCAAAGCTGGGTCGAGCCAGCGGGATGCAAAATGCAAAAAGGTGCCCTTTACCGGCAAGTACGAGCACATCTCACCAGTAGCTAGCATAAGGGGCCAGATCATAGTGACGGCCCAAATTAAAAAGCCGAGAAAGAGAGAAAGCGATCCTGAGGTCATGAGAGGACCTTTCAACCCCACGTAGAGACCAGTACCGATGGACTGACCAATGATCATAAGCGAAACATGACGAGAATTCAACTTACGCTTGGTCTGGCCGTACTTCTCGACATCGATTTTGTCGTTGAAGTCGGCTGCTCCCAGACTGATGTAGTTTCTATTGATGGAGATAACCAGCTCCTCATCGTACGAGATGGCGCCATTTCCCTTCTTCTCGATCATGATGCTACAGAGGGAAGCCCGCTGAAGGGCGCTTTATATATCTATAGATACCAGGTTTTTAGAAGCCGCTAAGCAAGCTTAACCAGTATCTATTGTGGGGCCAATCTGGCGCGGAAGTCAGGATGTCAAGCAGGCACCGATTGGGGAGAACCGTTCTGGCAGGGTCTGATCGACAGCATGAGAATGGCACAAAGTTCTTGAAGGTCCGCTGTGGACACACACACAATAGATAGAGAATGCCTACCAGCAGAAAACAATGGAAAATAAATTTGGTGATCACAAAACAGCCGTGTCATGAGCTTATCTGTGGAAACCCGCAGGCCTCCAAGAAATACGCACTAGCGCACCCTCAGATAACGCTAAGCGGGATGGGGCCCAGGGGGAATCCAGGATTGAGTCTCGCCAGAAATCTCAAAATCCGGGGCAAATTCTCAAACCTGGGGTCTGCCGAAGGTGCATTATTTCTATACCCCGGGTTAGCTGATCCCCGGGTGTCCTTACGGCATTTACGCTGGGGTCCCACGAAATCGCCTTGCAAATCCATGCACCCCACAAGCAGCGTCGGAGCGGAACTAGCAAGGGCCCAAATGCCTTACAGTGAGACCAACAAAGGACGTGCAGTGTCAAAATCAGGCTTTGTTGCGGTGAAGTTTTGTGCCAGATTATTCTGGGCTTTTACCTGCCAATTTGCAATTCCGTCTGGGCGGCACTGTTCGGAAGTGTCGAGCCGCTGGGGCAAAACGCCTTGCTGGTACTGGCCTGTATCGCCCAATCGCAGGGAGGGCGCCGTTTGGAATCAGTGAGAAAAAATTTAGTGCAGAGACTGAGGTAGGAAAAAAAAAAAAAAAAAAAAAAAAAAAGCAAGGCATTTACGCCCACCGCGCACTCAGTGGGGCACAAAAATCCAGCCGTTTCTGCCCTGATGGAGTGAGACCTCCAGCCCCCGATGCGCCGTTTTAGTCGGACTTTCGCCGAATCAAATAGGCTTTTTTTAAAATTTTGCCTCCTCGAGAATCCGCCTGACCTGGGGTTAAACGTCCAGCATGCAAACACTAAAGACTATTACGACGAGGAACCGTGACAGCGGGGCCGACGCAGCCAAGCACCAGGTACCAAAACGAACAATTGGTGCCAAAGTCGCCGAGAGTGGCCGGAGCCTACTCCACTCAAATTCAGCTAGTAAAGTTGTAGTTCTTCTACCCATTTTTTTCTAAAACGGTCCGCGGAAGATGGGGTGGTTTGGGGTCCTGGATGGATAACGGGGCGTTGGCTGCAAATGCCTTAAGTCATCGCGCAGGCCGTCTTGCAATATACGAGGCAACAGGACCCGGGAACCAGGTGGATAAACGGAAACACCTCGAAAACAGGCAATGTCAGGTTGAAAAGGAGAACTCGAATGACAAAAACGGAAGCAAAAGCATCACTGCCGGCCCACAGTAACCTGATTTTCTTGTACCCGGTGAACTTATCGGTGCCGCAGACGATGCGCATCTTCCAGACGGGCTTTTCTTGGCTCCCATTGATAAGCGGGGCACCTACTTAAGGCAGACAGGATGCCGTTTTCTTGCAACCACATACTTTTCAGCTTTTAATGAAAGACTACGAGAAACAGGCTGACAGCGACGACGTGCTCTCGCGCCACACGGCCGAGTACAACTTGTCGGTGGCCATGTCCAACCCTCAGCTCAAAGAGCAGACCGACCAGAACCAGAAGTTGAAAAAAGCTTTGGAAGCTAGACACTTGTCTATGATTGCCATCGGTGGTGCCTTGGGTACCGGTTTGTTGATTGGTACCGGTACGGCTTTGAGAACCGGTGGCCCCGCTGCTATTTTCATCACATACTCTTTGGTTGGTTTCGTTGTTTTCATGGTCCTCAGTGCCTTGGGTGAGGTTGCCACTTTCATTCCCTTGGCTGACGGTTTCGCGGGTTACTGCAGAAGATATGTTGACGAGGCCCTTGGTTTCGCTTGTGGTTGGGTCTACTTGTTCAAATACTTGTTGCTTCCGCCCAACCAGTTAGTGGCCGGTGCTTTGGTGATGCAGTTCTGGGTCGACAAGGATCGTGTGAACCCAGGTGTATGGATCGCCGTGTTTTTGGTTATCATCACCGCCGTCAACGTTCTCGGTGTGCGTTTCTTCGGTGAGATTGAATTTTGGCTCTCCAGTGTTAAAGTGATCACTTGTCTTGGTTTGATCATTCTTATGCTCTGTATCGCCTTGGGTGGAAGTCCATCTGGTGACAGACTCGGTTTCAGATACTGGAAAAACCCAGGTGCTTTCAAGGAATATGAGGAAAGCTCTAGAGATTTGTATATTGGCGGTGCAACTGGCCGTTTCGTCTCTTTCGTTGCCGTCCTTGTGACCACCATTTTCGCATATACTGGTTCCGAGTTGGTGGGTATCACCTTCGCTGAGTGTGCCAGACCAAGAAAGGCCATTCCAAAGGCTATTAAGTTGACCTTCTACCGTATCTTGCTTTTCTACATTTGCTCGGTGTTGCTTTTGGGAATGTGTGTTTCTTCTACCGATGGCAAGCTTTTGGGTGCCAGCGGAAACACTGCTTCGGCCTCTCCTTTCGTCATTGCCATCACCAACGCCAAAATCAAGGGCTTGGACCACGTCATCAACGCCTGTATTTTGATCTTTGTCATGTCTGCTGCCAACTCCGACATGTATATTTGCTCCAGAACTATCTACGGTCTTGCTGTGGCTGGCTATGCCCCATACTTCTTCTCCAAGACCAACAAGAAGGGTGTCCCCATGTACGGTATTGCCCTTTGTTTTGCATTCTGTTTGTTGGCTTTCATGACCACCTCGTCCTCCGCTGCCGATATCTTCAACCATTTTGTCAATGTGGTGTCGCTTACAGGCTTGATCACCTGGACCTGTATTCTTTTCCTCCACATGCGTTTCATGAAGGCCTTGACGGCCCAGGGATACAGCAGAAAGAAGGATTTGGCCTTCCGTTCGCCATTCCAGCCTTTCGGTACTTACTTTTCCTTCGGTATGTGCTGCTTCCTTATCCTCGCTAAGAACTTCACAGTCTTTTTGGGTAACGACTTCCCATACGAGACTTTCATTACCGGCTACATTGTGCTTCCTGTCTTCATCATCATGTTATTCGGCTGGAAGTTCTGGAAGAAGACCCGTTTGATTCCTGTCAACGAGGTCGATTTGGATACCTATAGAGATGTTGTGGATTACGAGGAGGAGCAGTTCCAGGCCAAGGATGCCGAGGATAAGGCCATCAGAGAGGCCCAGGGCAACCCTCGTGACCTCAAGTGGTTCTACGACAAGGTGTTTGGCTGGATCTTCTAAGGTGGATGGTTTCGGCTGTTGGCGGGCCGCGCTCACCTGCAACGGTTGCATCGAACGCCGTGCAGACACTGCAAGCGGAAAGGCGATATGGTTTCTCCCAAAAAAAGCAGTGGGATGTACATTGTTATGTACGTCTTGGTTTTGCCGTGGAAAACGGTTATCTAAAGTGTGGCTTGCGCCTATGTGTATTAGTGCTAACGATAATTTATGTGAATCTTTTTCGGTATCATCTGTATGGCTGGTTCGGGCAGCTTTTGTAATTTTGGACTTCTCTATACGGTTTTAAGAGTAAGGTTTGTTGGCTTCAATTGCTCCGATAGTTTATCTCAGTGCTGGATTTTTCCCGTTTCTTTTCCTTTGTAATTGCTGCTACGTTCTGCCTTCTGGCTGCGAAATGGGGTGACATCCTGAGTTTGCACCTAAATCTGGGGAACCCGGAAAAATATAAATATTAGAGCGGACCTAAAAATTGACTCAACTTAAAAAAACTCAACATACAAACTATTCATTCGTTTACTGGTGCCCGGTTGTATCTAATTGCTCACTAAAGAACAGCTCGGAGGAAGTATACGTGTCTCCGCTGAGGACCGCTTAAGCTCCGACGCAGCACACTCCAACAACCCAGTATCTACTACCAGTCTCAGTACCTCTACATCGAATCTATAGCTGATTTTGCATTGTGAAGTTTTATGCGAGAGTTTTCGATTTATACCTCGTTCTGGAAATAAGTCCTAAAGCCTCGAGAAAGGGGCTGCACAGGGTCCTGGAGAGCTCGAGGCGCTTCATAGTATCGGGCCTTGATTATGGAAAATCCTGAATGCCTTTTTGTAGAGGCCAACTTTGTGAATTTAGATGCTCAACATCCCTGTTCTCCAATGCAGCTGTTCAATGGCCTTTTTTTCACATTCTGGACAACATTTTTCAGTCCCTTAACAGTACAATAGCCAGACAGAAAAAACGCATTGCCCGGTACACCGAGCATGAGGATGAGCCACGCAACATTGAAACTGAAACCCAAAAACACCGTAAAATCAGTCACCACATAAAGTCTTCTAATTACAAACAATCTTAAAATGTAGAACATCCGGAAACCCTGGATTTTAAAACCGGGGTCACGTGCACAGAAACAAATCAATCTTCAGGCACCTTCGCGATATAGCGAAATCAAAAAGCTAGTTAACCTCACCCTCAGAACGTCCCACCCCTTGCTACAACTCGAAAAAAAGCGTTGTTCCAGCCACACCCTTAGTGTACTATAGTCCAACACCCAGGGTCCAATGAATTCGACCAGTTTAGCTACCAATTCCTTGGGCACCTCCTCCCTTAACCACGCCCTAAGGTCTCAGCCTTCGGTGGCATCTGGTGTTGGCGATGTCTCCCCGGTAGACGAATCGGAACAACTTCAAGGAGGTCTGCACCACAATAATCATGTCAATAGCCATGGCAGCCACGCTCAACAAAACCACCACATGCACCTTCCGCATCACCACAACCCCCAGTACGGCGCCATGAACCAGCTTATGCCTCTACAAGAGAACTTCAGCAAGATAAATGACAACGTCGCCAAATTGGAGAATGATGTGGCCACACTCAGCCAGGAGCTTGCGTACTTCCGCCACGTCATGGACTTCCAAAATCTGAAAATTGAAAAGTTGACCCTGCTATTATCCGACGTGCTACAAAACAAGGACACCTCGTCCATAGTGAATCTGTTACAGTCGCTCCAGGAGGGCGATCCATTTAATGTTAACGATAATCATGAGCTGGTTGATGATCTGGTACCGGAGCTGGTTCACGACTCTGTCCATGATTCCGTCCACGATACAGTGCACGAGTCCGTTCAAGATTCAGTTCACGACGTCACTGCAGCTATTCCATCGCTACAACTGTCCAATATGGTACAGGTTCCTGGTGTCGTTGATGTTCTGGGTGTCTCCCTTAACAACAATATGGACCCTCAGCTCCACCAGGTGGCCCAGGCGGCCGTCCTGGCACAGGGCAAGGGTGGCAAGAGAAAACGGGCTCTGTACGCCAAGGTCAACGGAAACTCCGATAGCGTAAAGGCCCAACAACAGCAAGCACATCAGCTGCAAGCCCAACAACAGAGGCAAATGCAGCAAGCATCTATTCAACAAGATCAAAACCAACAGCATCAACAACAACGAGGCCTGGCTTCCATGCAGCAGAGGCAACAGCAAACACCACAACAGCTGCAGCAGCTGCAGCAACAGCAATCTCAACAATCACAGCTGCAACAACAAGCGGACACCTCCAAAGATAGCTTGGTACTGATTCCAGGGCTTGAGGTGGTGAGTGTTGATGACATGGGCGGCAGGAAAAAACCAAAGATCTCTGTGGACTTTTTTCACAACCCCATGACTGTGAAGGATATATATGATGAGTTCACACGAGGGTTCCGTGGCCAGCCACCACTACGAGAAATGGATGAGAGATTCGGCAAGCATGAGTGGCGAGGAGACTCTCGTTCGAAAGAGCTGAAGAGATTCCAGAGAAGGAAAAAGCTTTGTGATGCCATCGAGCGTGGAATGGCCAAGTATGGCAAATCGGCGATGGATATCATACAATACATCGAGGATTTCCGTGGTGAAAAATCACTTACATGGGTGATGAATGGAAATTTGCCGCGTGACTTGCTCGAGTAAAAAGGTTGAAGAACCACGAAAACAACGGGTGCTTTCACTGGTGGCCGGTGATGAGCTAATGTGAGACGAATGTCTCGCAATGTATTGTATTATGGGACTGGTTTGAGTCACCAATTTTTGTAATGTAGGTTGTATTATGTTTATACTTTCGTTTAGAATTCATGAAGGATTGGGTATCGTTGTAATGTTGTTCACAAAGTGTGCTTCTTACCGATAAAGTTTTGGACGCTTTATCTAGCGATAAACCTGGGAAGCGTTCAAGACATCCTTGCCAGCATTCGAGTTGTATAGTAGTTCGAGATCATCGCTGGCGGTTTTACCACGAATTATTGTGCCGTTTCATAGCGAACCTTGTTTATTCTCTCTTTTTATTTTGAGTTCAACTTAGATAATGCTAGCTTTATCATATATAAAATAAACAAGTTCATTCACACTTTTAAATCATCAATTTTCACGCATAAGAGCAAACTCGAATACGTTCTTTCCTAGACACTGGTCTAGCTTCATGCAAACCTTTAAGTACACCAGAGGCGTATATTTCTTCAGTTGTGATTGAGGTCGGTTTGTATCTCACAACCATATTTACTACTACCGATAATTGTGATCCAGACTCATGTCTTACCTCATTGCACCCAAAACACCCAGCCTTGTCAAAATCCATCTCCATTTATGAATTACTATCAAAAGGTTTTGTTTTAGAGCACAACCCTTTATACCCTAGCAACCAATTGAGTAGCTACGTGGCTGATTGAGAGGCTATGTATTTCGCTAGATGGTAGGCACTGAATAGCAACTCAGGGCATCTAACGCACAACAGTTCGGATATATCTGTCTCACCGGGCCGGATTCGGCCACACCTTCGAATCAGACACAAAATACTGAAACAGCTTCAAGACCTCTCATCACATTTAAAATTCTTTTGCTCAAATAATTTTTCTAAAGTTTTTTAGTGGTATCATCGTTGCCACCGGTAAAGGCAGTTGCAGTCACTCTTGCCACAGTTAGTGCGGTATCGGTTTTTGCACCCATTTCCTAGATCTGTGCTTTCTACTCACGGGGGCAAGAAATGACCACAATAGCCATCCATTCGGCTATGACACAGACTCGTTATTTATATTGGAATTTAAAGAATCGCTGTTTTGGTGCCCAGGTCAGGGTGACAAGGATGCTGACTCTTCTGGAAAGTTCCAGGGCGCGCGCCGGGTAACCCACAAAATTTTCATACTCTAGCAAGTGTGCCGTATATATATACCTCACACATCCTTCTCTACCACAAACATCAAAATGTTGTCTGCAAGAAACTCCGCCAAAAATGCGTTCAAGCGTTTCGTGCGCCACCAGTCTAACGGTGCCCCTGGCGGCCCTGTGATTGGTATTGACTTGGGTACCACCAACTCCGCTGTGGCCGTCATGGAGGGCAAGATCCCAAAGATCATTGAAAACTCCGAGGGTGGTAGAACCACTCCATCCATCGTCGCTTTCACCAAGGAGGGCGAGCGTTTGGTTGGTATCCCTGCCAAGCGTCAGGCTGTTGTCAACCCAGAGAACACTCTCTTCGCTACCAAGAGATTGATTGGTAGAAGATTCGAGGACGTTGAGGTCCAGAGAGACATCAAGCAGGTGCCATTCAAGATCACCAAGCACCAGAACGGTGATGCTTGGCTCGAGGCCCGTGGTACCCAGTACTCTCCTCAGCAGATCGGTGGTTTCGTCTTGAACAAGATGAAGGAGACCGCTGAGGCTTACTTGGGTAAGAGCGTTAAAAACGCCGTTGTCACCTGTCCTGCTTACTTTAACGATGCCCAGAGACAGGCCACCAAGGACGCTGGTAAGATTGTCGGCTTGAACGTCATGAGAGTCGTCAACGAGCCAACCGCCGCCGCTTTGGCCTACGGTTTGGAGAAGAAGGACGGTGAGGTTGTTGCTGTCTTCGACTTGGGTGGTGGTACTTTCGATATCTCCATCTTGGACATTGGTGCCGGTGTTTTCGAGGTCAAGTCCACCAACGGTGACACTCACTTGGGTGGTGAGGACTTCGACATTGCTATCGTCAGAAACATTGTTGAGACCTTCAAGAAGGACTCCGGTATTGACTTGGAGTCTGACAGAATGGCCATCCAGAGAATCAGAGAGGCTGCTGAGAAGGCTAAGATTGAGTTGTCTTCCACCGTCTCCACCGAGATCAACTTGCCATTTATCACTGCTGACGCCTCTGGCCCTAAGCACATCAACCAGAAGATCACCAGATCTCAGTTCGAGTCTCTTGTCGAGCCATTGGTCAAGAAGACCGTTGAGCCATGTAAGAAGGCCTTGAAGGACGCTGGTTTGTCCACTTCCGACGTTTCCGAGGTCATCTTGGTCGGTGGTATGTCTAGAATGCCAAAGGTCATGGAGACTGTTAAGTCCATCTTCGGCAAGGACCCATCTAAGGCTGTCAACCCTGACGAGGCCGTTGCTATGGGTGCTGCTATCCAGGGTGGTATCTTGGCCGGTGAGGTCAAGGATGTCGTCCTTTTGGATGTCACCCCATTGTCCTTGGGTATCGAGACCATGGGTGGTGTCTTCGCTAGATTGATCTCTAGAAACACCACTATCCCAGCCAAGAAGTCCCAGATCTTCTCCACTGCCTCTGCTGGTCAGACCTCCGTCGAGATCAGAGTGTTCCAGGGTGAGAGAGAGTTGACCAGAGACAACAAGTTGATTGGTAACTTCACTTTGTCTGGTATCCCACCAGCTCCAAAGGGCGTTCCTCAGATTGAGGTCACCTTCGACATTGACACTGATGGTATCATCAAGGTCTCTGCTCGTGACAAGGCCACCAACAAGGACGCCTCTATCACCGTCGCCGGCTCTTCTGGTTTGTCTGACTCTGAGATTGAGAAGATGGTCCAGGATGCTGAGAAGTTCGCTGAGTCTGACAAGGCCAAGAGAGAGTCCATCGAGTCTGCCAACAGAGCCGATCAGTTGTGTAACGACACCGAGAACTCTTTGAACGAGTTCAAGGAGAAGATTGACGCTGCTGACGCTGACAAGATCAAGGAGCAGATTGCTTCCTTGAGAGAGATTGCTGTCAAGGCCCAGTCTGGTGAGGAGGTTGACCCAACCGAGTTGAAGAACAAGACCGAGGAGTTGCAGAACGAGTCTTTGAAGGTTTTCGAGAAGTTGTACAAGAACAACAACGAGAACAACGAGGGCAACAACGGCAACGAGTCTTCCGAGCAGAAATAAGATGATTGACGACTAGCTTCAAAGTGGGCCGGTGTTGGTCTGCTACTTGTATATATTGCTGTAATTAACCTTTCATGTGGCAATTTGTGTAGTTAGTATGTAAATGATGAGATGCTATTTAGTTTGCTTGGTTCAAGTTGCAATGGATGCCTGAAGACCTTGGGAGAAGGCGGGGCTCGATATCCTGGACCATGGCTTGAGTGGCAACTGGAGGAGTCAGAACAGATCTTCTTGGTCCTGGAGTAGTGGCCTTAGACCTGTTGCGCCGAAGGGTACCGTAGCGTTTGATTATGGCAGATTCAGTGGCAGATTGGGAACACAGGTTCAGGTAAACGGAGGAGCCTGACTCCAGAGAGGCGTCGTCGGACTCGTAGTCCAACATCTCGCCAAGCACAGAGCGGCGGTTGAGAGTCTGGTGAAGCTTCTCAACAGTAGAGTCCTCCTCCCAGTCGGATACCTCTTCAGGCAAGGAAACATTGTCGATATCCGATAAAATGGAATCGGATACGGAAACGAGAGAAACAGCGTCATCATCGTCTGGAACATCTGACTCTGCAATTGTTCTTGCAAGCACCTTTTTAGAGGCAGCAGAACCGGCACGAGAAACTGGATCACCGAGATGCGAAGAATTGGTACCTCTTTCACTACCTCCCTTCACAATGCTAGCGTTATAAGAAGAAGCAACCTCGGGGCTGCCCTTCAACATAGATGGTACGCTCTGGCCCGCCATGAGGGCTTGGAACAATGTGATTTCCTGGCGTATTTGGATTCTCTGAGCGAGCACATTTGACAAGTAGCGTTTCCAAAGAACCTGGATCTTCTGCTTCTCGAGGGATGCAGAGACCGTGTGGGGAGGAGGTTGAGGAGCCGAAGGGTCTGAAAATGCTGCGTTCGAATTGTAAGGTTTGAGCAGACCTGGACTGCTGAGTTCTTGCTGTTCACTGATGTACTTGGAAAGATGCGACCATTTACCGTCTTTGCTTGGTTTGGATACTGGGGATGCAACTGTGGTGGTTTCAGGTGCTGGTGCCGAACGATCATGATGATCATGGCCAGCCATGTGTTTGAGATCGGCAGTGAGTCCCTCGACCTTAGCAGCGCCTTGTTCGCTGCCCAAGTACGGGTTTTTAAGAGGGGCAGAAATAACCGCAGGCCCGCTGGCCTTTTGGCTTCTGCGAGAGTTTGATCTCATTGTAGCTCTTTGCGTTGCCTTCTTTCTGGTAACGAAAGCGTGGATTCTCTTGGGCCAGTGCTTCATGGCCTTCAATTTTGCAACCATTTTTCTGAGCCTAAGCTTCATTCTGTAGCTTATGGAGCCTTCTTTAGAGCGGACAGCTTTGCGTCTAAAGAGACCCAGTGATGCATCTTTACCGTAATCAGGACCTGCCTTAGTAGGCTTCCGTCTCAACATGGCCCTGTTTCTGATTTTGGATTTCGACCTCTGGTTCAACGAGTCCTCTCTGGTGGAGAAGATGGTGGCCTGGGATCCCATGGAATCAGAAATATCACGACGGTCACTGTAAAGACTTGACGATCTGTGGGACCCGGAGGCTTTGGGAGGATCTGCAATGTATTGGGAGAAACGTTCTGGCACCTGGTGAAGTGGGCCACTATGAAGCTGGAGATGGGTCCTTCTGTCGATCATGTTGGAGTTGCCGCTAGCAGGGGGCTTGTTGGGAAGCTCCTTGTTCTTGGGTTCTGGCAGTTCCCCATATGTGCTGTACTGGTAGTAAGACAATGCTGGCATGGACAGCTGTGAAGAGTCTGTCTGGACCTCAAGTCTTTCATGTGTTGATGACGAGGTCTTTGGTTCCCTGGAGTAAGGGTTTTCACGAAGAAGTTCACTAGTAAGGACATCAGAGACCGTACGGTCAGATGCCTCAGACTTGGCTGTGAGCACAGGCTTCCATTCTGAAGAGGCGGTGCTCATGGTGGTAATGCTATTAGAATGCTGGAGGATGAAACGTGGTAAAGAAAAATGCGGTTTCCAGATTTGTTCCTAGATCATGATTTGAATCATGGTGATCCAGCTGGCTGGTGATGCCCGATCTGGAAAGTACCAGCACTTTATGCAGCGCACAGGAAAAAGGACATAACCATGGAGAAGGGGTGAACGAAGGGGTGGCTTGGGAGGGAACCGACCAATAAGCTCTTGGGCTTGTTTTCTATTTTTATATTTGTTTATCAGAATGTTATTAGATCGAAGAAACCGTTGCAGACGTTCTTTTGTAGATACGCCAGCCTTTCGCAGCCATCCAGACTACCCCGTAAAAATCAATTCAAGGCAGAGAGATGAGGTTTATTTTAAAATGAAGTCATTTTAAATTGATATACCTGAAACAAGTCTCTGTTGATCTCTCTTCATCCATTTATTTCGCTCTCTGATGTGCCCCAACATTTGCACACGGAGGAGGCTGGCTACAGCCGCACGCGACTTTGCAGTCGCTTAACTTTAAGCCTACAATGCTAACAGAACCAGGACGTATATTAAGCTCCAGAGCCTCTATCGAACTGCTTATTTGGCTGGGGCCAAGCCAACAGCATTCTTTTTCAAGTCGTAAACAGAGTAGTACCTTCTCAAGAAGGCGTCACCAATGATGGCCAAGTCACCAATAGGCTTAGGGAAGTCCATTGGTGTGAAGGCGGAGATACAAGAACCAGACACCTCCAAGGTGTAGTCGTATGGCGACAACGTGAAGTTGTAGCCAGCGAAAGTCAAGGTCAAGTCTGGCAAGTCATCTCTCTTGTCACACTCAACCTGGTACTGACCAGACCAAGACTTGGTGGCGCCAATCTTAGCGTTGATGAGCTCAGCCAAGGCAGATGGCAAGGTAATCAAGGAAGTACCAGTGTCGATGGCGGCACCAGTGGAAGTCAACTCGGCGTACTCATCACCAAGTCCAATACCGTCGAAAGAAACCTCCCAGTAGGCCTTTCTTCTCACGGGCAACCAGGTGAGGGAGCCCTTGAAGTGAGACTCGTCGTAACCACCGAAGGTGGCCAAACCGCCGTCGTTCTCGTTCTTATCGGTGTCACCGAGGTAGAAACCGAACTGAGGAGCCTCGAAGAGACCCTGGTTGATGGCATTGTACACTGGTGGCACAATCTTGTTGACGGAAATGGTGTCGTAAGCCAAACCCAAAATACCGTCAAACTTACCGAAAGCAAAAGCCAAGCCGGGCTCAGAGGTGGCTTCGGCAAACTCCTGCTTAGGGATAACCAAGTCACCGATGGACAATGTATCCTGCGAGACGTAGCCCTCCATGGCACCAGAGCCGTACTGGATAGAGAACTCGGAGCCATTAGCCTTGTAAGAAGACGACTCGTCGTGGTCGTACTTGCTGTGCAAGAAGCAGGCCAAAGAGCTGCAGTCCTTCGATGGAACCCACAAGTTGGATGAGCCAGTATCCAAGATAACCTTGAAGGTCTGACCTGGAGTACCGAGCTGAATCTCCGTGAAGTACTGGGCGTTCAAGTAGTTGGTGAGAGGAGCCTCGTGCTTGCCTCCCTCAGGAACGAGTGGAATCTGAGCCAAGTTCTGGCCACCCTGAGCGGAGTTGCCGTAGCCAGCAGCAGCGTAGGTCTCAAGGTACTTCAGGGCTAAAGCCGAAGTGTACTCCAGGAATCTGAAGGCATCCAAGGATTCCTCGACGGGGATCTTATTAAGCTTTGTGGAAAACTTTTTGGCGTCGGTCGCTCCGAGAAGCGCCGCAGCCACAGCAACGAGGGTGGTAGTCAACTTCATTTGTGAAAGGAAGAGAGTGGTTGTGAGAGTGTGGCGAGGCGGGGGTCATATATTGTCCCAGGGGTGGTGTACGGGTGTTTACCAGGTGTTTACCATTTGCCCCTATACCGAGAAAGAATTTATCTGTTTTTAGGGGTCAATTGCAAATATCAATACTTGAAGATAACAATTCTCTGTTCTCGAAGGCAAGACTTATGGCTGTGGTCTGGTTAGATGGCCTGGCTGGCTCGTGAAGCGCAACCTTGTGGGCATGACACCCGTGCACCACATAATCACCTTTCCCAATTGAGCCGAGTTGGTCCCGTTATCGGTTGTTACAATTTCGTCAATATCGTCAAACTGGCGTCAAAATTAGCTATTTAGGTAATCAAAAATACTAATGGTTTTTGGAAAGGTCGAAATTGCTTGGGGAAGAGCCGCAGTGGGCTTATCAATAAGCCCACCTCGGAGCCGCTTATCGGTTTTCGCAGCCATTTATCAGGTGCCTCAAACAAGCAACTTCGTAACTCCAACTTACAAATTGTTGAACTCCTCACATCCCTTATCGTAGCCTTGCTCCCACTCCCAAAGGAACTTAGATTTGCCCTTCGCATCAATGTGCTCCTTCAAACGAGCACTCTTAAGCGCCTGTCTGCGCCCGAGAAGAGAGCCCTGTTTGGCGAACGCCAAATTGTCGTTCCAGGCGACAGTGAAACCTTCCTTGTAGCGGTCATGCTCGTACTTCTCCTTAGAATTCTGAGAATTCCAGTAGTCCGAGTGGGCCTTGAAGTTGTTCTTGAGAAGCTCTTTGAACTTGTTCTCGTCTGGAACGCTGATTTTTGGTGGAGAGAAGGCCTTGTGCAATTGCTGACGGAAGTCCCACTCGCCACCGTTGCCAGACTCAAACTTGTAGGTCCAGAAGTAGCAACCAGCGCCAGCACGCTTGAAAATGAGATCGGCAACCTTTGCTCCGTATTTGCTAGCAAACTCGGCTCTCTTGGAATTGCCGTAGTCGTTGGGGTCCAAACCAGCCTTGGAAAACAGCTGGCCGTCCAAAACACAAGACCATTCGCCGACCATGAAGTCAACACCGCTACCGTCTTCAGTAAGGTTGGTGAGGAGATCTCCCTCCAAATCCTTGGTGATCCGGTTGGGGTCCTTGTTCTTATCCTTGCCATCGAAACAGCGATAAACGTGGTGATCCACAACCACACCAATGGTAGTACCAATGTCCTGGTTTTCCTGGACCCACTTGGCCCACTGGTCAGGCCACCAACCATCAGAGATCACGACAGGCACAGATTTGTCCACGGAGCGAATAGCATTGATGGCGTCAGCGTAGTACTTCTTCTGCTTAGTGGCACTGTCAGAGAACTCGGCTTCGTTGACGATCTGGATACCAGCAACATTCTCATATCGAGCAATATCACCAGCCAAAAACTTGAGGGCATCAATCATCAAGCTTTGAGCAGAGGACTTGCTCCAGAACTCAGCCTTACCATTGTTGGTCTCACCACTGTGGTCGTTGCCATTGGCACCGTAAGGCAATCCATGAATATCGATCAAAACACCGATATGGAAACGGCCTGCCGGCTCAATGAAGTTCTTCTTGATGATATCCCAGGAGTTCTTGTAGACACCAGCGACCTTCTCAAACTTGGTGCCTTTGGTGTACTTACCGCCGTCGATATTCCAGTAGCCAATTGGAAGTCTGATGGCAGTCACACCATTATCGTGAAGCCAGGCCCAGTCGTCATCATTGACGTAACTCTTCCAGTGCTTCTCGTACTTCTTTCTGGCTCCGTCAACACCCAATTCCTTGATGTTGCCCTCAGCAGCCTGGAGTTCCGTTTCTGCACCTTTTGGGAAGATCAGGTGGAAGATCCATTTTTCTCCCACAAAAACGGCACCGAAGTTGGGTCCGAAGTTGTACCTAGCTCTGTAGATCTGCTTCTTCAGAGGAGCCTTTCCGGCGTCCACCGGTGGATCGGCCGCATTGACCGAAGCCACCGAGTGGTTTCTCATTTTGTCGACAAGTTTTGAAAGACCCATAGTTATTTGAGAAAATAATGCTAGCGGGCCCTTTTTATCATTTTGCAATCACTCTTGCTAGGGGAGATTGCTAGCGATTGTGCAGGAGACACAGCCATCGGTCCCAGGCACCAGAAGCCCAATGCCCAGAAAACGTTCGTTCTTATTTTTGGTCGTTAAAATATGTCACCTTCATTTCGAGTAGTTCACTCATATATATTCAAAGTCATTGGTATTCTGAAAGAATCTCACTTGATTCGGTTTTGATCGCTGGGCAGGAGATACATACGGATTGCTTCGGTCGCAGCAGTGAATGATGTTACTACTTTAGGCGCTCAGCGTGTTTGACGAGTGAAAGGCCTTTTTGAAAAAACCCCAAAACCGACTTTGAGCCCCGACTTTGAGTCGTTCTCTAGCGTCTTGTGAAAGCTTTCCTGAATAGTATGTCCAAGCGGGCTTAGCGCACTGGGAATTCTTCCCAACCCGTTCTTTTTTCTAGATTTTCAATGCTTCCAGTGAATCTACTCCCTTTCATTGCCATATGCCTAGCACTGGCACTACCAGGACTCGACTTTAATGCTTTGAGTGAAGTTCAGAAGTCTGCTGTGTCTCAAGGCCATATGGTGTACAACTCCGGTGCTTATAGCCTTTCATATGTCAACTCAACAGTGGGCAACGAGGACTTTGACGGCCACCGTGCTGTAATCTACTTTCCTGAGGACCAAAAACACTTTGTCTATGACTTATTTTCGGGAAATCGCTTATTTTCGATTGATCGTGGGGTTCCTACAGCCAGTGTAGATCTGGTACAAGCTGGCAAGGCTTCGTTCTCAATTTTTGAAAAACAGTGCAAGAACAAGGAATTGGGAAACGCTGAATCAGGAATCTGCCTGCCTCATACCTGCTGGATAGGTGAGTCACATAACTGTACTAGGGGGTTCTACGATTGCTGCACTGCAGCTCTTCAGGATTACAACGGAAGGTACGAATGCTCCAACGCAATTTGCAAAGACCCCTCCACTTTCGTTAGAAACTACGTTGATGGTGGCTGTTGTGATGCTTAAATTTAGTTAAATAAAACGGTTGGTTTTGGCAAGTCTTGTGCTTTGGCTGCAAAACCTGCTCCTGCATCTCTCACACATCAAGGACCCTCCCTCTTTTGCATCACTCCACCCTTTTCAGCCTCCATGCAATGGCCCGAGCCATTCACCTCGCTCTATAAAAAGTTTGCACTCATTAATACCCATCTAACGTTTTTGGCGTCCTTCTCGCGTCAGACAATCCCAACATTCGACCATATCCAGAAGCTCAATGACGATATCTCCAGGATTGATCTCCAGATAATAAAAGACCTTCTACCAGAAGGAGAGGTAACGTTCGATTACATCGACGAAAACCAACTACTCATTGGAGAGAGAGTGGATTTTAAGCGTACCAAAGGCGGTCTTAATCAAAATCAACCCAGATCCATAGATGACGCGTATGAGGCCGTGAGCCGACAGAATACTAACAAGCCAGAAAAGCAGCTTCTTGTTTTCGAGTTCTGTGACGTGAAGGTCAGGGGAATTGGTGCTGTGATTAAGGGTAAAGATAAGTGGAAGAAGGCAAAGAAATCGCCACTGCCACCCAAATTTTTCACCAGTACAAACGAGTTGAGCATGGATCTGCTTTCACAAGAGCAGCTTAGAGCAATCATTGCTGGGAGAAATGAATTTTTCTCGGCTTGCATTGATGAGTTCTTAGAAGGCTTCACCCAAGAGGAGTTTGAAGAGGGTGTGCCATTCAAAGTACTCATAGAGAGAAACGTCAAAAACATCCCAGAGCCCTCACATCTAAGCGATCCTGTTGAGGTGATGACAGTCAGAAATACTGATTCAGTGTCCAGCGAGAAACCGGATGTCGATAAGATGCTAGAAAGTTTGAACATGAAACCTCTATTCAGAGATCAGATTTCCACTGTGGCCACTCTTACAGCCCAACGGGAAGCAAGATACAAAAGCCTCGATCCGGAGCTACTCCATGGTAATTTGGTTGATGCCCTTTGGGACTACAAGGGTATTGATGCCATAGAAGGTGGACTTTACACACATCAGACACTAGCGTTATCGGCTGTTCTATCAGAGCAGAAGCACGTCATTGTGAGTACATCTACGAGTTCGGGTAAGTCTCTTATTTACCAATTGCCAGTGTTGAGTGATATTCTTGATGATTGCGATAGTGGTTTAAATAGCCATAGGAGAAGCACGACTGCAATGTTTATCTTCCCAACGAAAGCTTTGGCACAGGATCAGAAAAGACATTTGACGGAGCTCATTTCCCACTTGCCTCAAAAGAATCGCAAAATAACCGTTGATACATACGATGGTGATACTCCCTCCAAGGATAGACCATTCATTAGGAATTATGCAGACATTATTTTCACGAATCCCGATGCAATTCATGCAGCTATCTTACCAAACCATGCGATTGAAGCTCCAGATGAAAGGCGTGGATGGACGGAGTTCCTTACAAATCTTAAATACGTCGTTATCGACGAGCTCCATGTTTATAAGGGAACTTTCGGTGTCCATGTATCATATGTGATGGCTCGTCTCAATCGTTTGAAAGCTCAGCTAGATCAACACAGTCATACAAGGTATATTTCTTGTTCTGCTACCATAAAGGATCCAGAATCACATTTCAGAACGATTTGCGCAATTCCAGACGATGAAGAAATTGCTCATGTTCATGAGGATGGAAGCCCCAGTTCTGAGAAGAAGCTTATCCTATGGGAGCCTCCGATAATGATGAATAAAAAAGGGCAACGAGAAATCCCACAGTCAAAACTCAAGCTGGCAACCAAAGCTCAAGTTCCAATAAAATCGGCATTTCTTCCAAGGGAACATGTGGTTGGTGAGCTGGCTAAAATTCTTGTTCATCTTCTTTGCATGCTTCCCTCCATCAAAGTCATTTTGTTCTGCCCCATAAGAGAAGTCTGCGAGTTGGTTATCAAGGAATGCAGAACACTCATCAAATCAAACGAATTCCCACAATGGAGTACGATTAGCGAGCACGATATCATGTCTTATAGAGGCGGGTACTCAAAAACAGATAGACGTGCTATTGAACAAAAGATGTTTAGCGGTAAGCTTCGAGCCATCGTTGCAACAAATGCGTTGGAGCTAGGTATCGATCTTTCAGATTTGGATGTGGTGATAAGTTGTGGGTTTCCTGGTCTGAAGTCAAACTTGCATCAGCAATTCGGTCGTGCTGGTAGAAGCAGAAACTCGAAGGGTAGCTTGGCCATTCTCGTCTGTGGATCCAACCCGCTAGATAGATTCTACCTCAAGAACCCTCACGAAGTATTAGATAAAAACACTTATGAGGATCTTTGTGTCGAGGGAATCCTAGATGGAAGTCTGAACAGAGTTGTGATGTCTATGCATTTGCAATGTGCTGCGTTTGAATGGCCAATACATCTAGAAAATGATTTGCGATGGTTTTCACCCCATAGTTCAGAAAAGATGAACGAAACCTTCAGGCAGCTATGTCAAGATAAGCTCAACAAAGACGATACGGGGTATTACAGAACAGATCCCCGTTACCTTCCGTGGCCTGCCGAGAAGGTGAGTCTTCGAGCAATAGATGATATCATGTTTGCAGTGGTTGACATCACAAATAACAGAAATGTTGTCATTGAGGAGGTGGAGGCAGTGAGAACGAGTTTCACTCTATATGAGGGTGGCATTTTCCTTCACCAAGGGTTTCCGTACTTGGTAAAAGAGTTCAATTTTGAGGGACAATATGCCAAGGTTGAGAGGGTAAAAGTGACATGGAATACTCAGCAGCGAGACTTTTCTGATGTCGATCCTATGGAGATCCAGATGGTCAAAAAGCTCCATCCACCAACAATGGAAGAGGCCTCCGACATCCCAGTATTTTTTGGCAAGATTGAGACTACTGTCATTGTATTTGGATATTTTAAAGTCGACAGAAAAGGCGAAATCCTCGATGTCGTGGAGGTCAAAAACCCTCCAATCAAACTACAATCCCGTGGTCTCTGGATTGATATTCCCCAAGCAGCAATTGAGGCCATAAAAGAGAAATCACTCAATCCAGCAGGCGGTATTCATGCTGCACAGCATGCAATCATGAATATACTTCCCTTATTTATTACCGGTGGAGCTACAACCAATCCAAATGCTCGATGGACATCGTCTATTGGAGATGCCGAATTATCCACCGAGTGCAAAGCTCCAGAGAAAGAGTTCGCCTCAAGGCAGTCTCGGAGAAAGCGTCCTGCAAGACTCATTTTTCATGACTCAAAAGGTGGCTCACAAGGAACAGGCATATCAGCTAAAACCTTTGAATTCATTGACGAGATCATTCAAGTCACATACCAACGTGTAAACGGATGTGAATGCGATTGGGGTTGCCCGTTGTGTGTGACGGGAGCATTTTGCAAGGAAAATATGCTTGTCATGTCGAAACCAGCCGCAATTATTATCCTTGGTGCACTCATCGGATATGACTTGGAAACTCTCAAGAGTCAAGTGTCTGATGGCCCGGAGCCGAATATGCCAAAGATTGACACTGAGACTATTGTGGGCACAGCCCAACACGTTAAGTTTGCTCCTGATGTTGAGATCACGGACATCAGAAAGGCTAGACGGAAGTTAGATGTAATAGTCAAGAAGGAGGAAAAGGACTAGACTCACGATTTTTTGACAAGTCGAGTCGCCCTTCTTCCTAGTCTCTTCCCGAGAGACATTTTTTCATTGTCCGTGACGGAGTTGCCTCTGCTAGGTCCATGCGAACTCGCCACACTGCTACCAGCACTTGCTTTTCTCTGCACTGGGGGCAATGGTTTACTGCTATGTTCACGTGGAACACTTGATTGCAGCTGATGTTGGCGTATAGATGGCCTTGATGATGGCCTTGGTGTTTCGTTTTTTCGACGAGGCTGCAAAGCTAAGGAGTAAGGAAGCAGCTTTCTTTTAGCTAGTCTGAATACATGCTCGACAGATTTGAGGTAGACGGACACAAGTGTACCGATATTGAGCTCCAATTCTTCAAGAATCGTTGGGTCAATGTTTTCATTCTCTGAGCTGATTAATGGCTCGGGGTCAATGACTACTTCTTTTGTCTTTTTCTGGAAGTCACCATTTGTGCCCGCATTTACAGGATTGGTTATCATTCTCCAATAGAAGAAGCCACGGTCTCGAACATCTGGATTATCAGAAACCTCAGTGGCCTTTTTCAAAACTTTGAGAAGCGGTCCTTCTCCCTGGCTTGGAAACTTCACGTAATACTTCACCACAGCTGTCAAAATAACATATTGTACCTCCAATGGGCTATCGTTGAACGACAGGACAAATGAAGTGATAATCTTTTGGGCGTCCGGAATTTGCTCTGAGTACTGACCAACGATCCAACAAATCGAAGCCTTAGCATCTCTTTCTTCGATTATCTCATAATTGCGGACAGCTGGATCGATAGCATAGTCGAAACGTCCAGGATATTTTCGAAGAACGTTTTTCAATACAACTATGCATTCTTGGACAATGTGAGGCACGTTGTCAGACAACAAGTCGATGAGTGTGTCTACGCTCTGTTGTGCTGTGACCTCAAGCTTGATTGCAAGATTACCGAATGCTCTGATAGCCTTTCTTGACATATTAGCATCGATCTCTGTCGCATACTCCTCAAGTTCACGGAAAACAACCCCGACATTATATTCGTCCGCTAGAAGATAGATAATCTCAAGCTTTGTGTCTCTGACGTAGATGGGATCGTCATATTTCCAGAAGAATTGTTCCACCTCAACGTCGAGGAGGTAACGTTTGCCGAGTAGAAGGAGAATCACATTTCGGAGCACCAAGAACTGGATTTCGGGAGGTTTTGAGAGCAACGAAACGAGCGACGACCCAATACGCTTGGCCAATCCAGGAATCACTACCTCGGGGCCCTCAACGTAGTTACTTAGGTATACGATCACCTTGACCGCATTGAGTACGACTGCAGAGTTGGAGTGAACCAAGCACGAAAGCACCACCTCTATGAGAGACAAGGCATCTTTAGAGTCCTGGGGCACGAAAGACATCAATGCATCAAGGAGGTATACGGTTCGCCATTCGTTGGCTGAGCTGAGGCCATCGACCAAAGAGGCAGAATGGTTTTTGTCTATCGTCAACTGAAGCGATTTGTTAGACTCTGTTATTGAGCTCAAAGCTGCTAGGGCATTGGCCACAACGACCTGATTTTCGTCGTACAAGAGCTCGTTCAAGTCGTCGATAAGCCCGTATTTGGTGGTTCTCTCTTCATCATGCTGGTATAACCTGGCCACAGCAAATGCCGCCGATGTACGAACATGTGGCGTCGTATCAAGCAATAGACGCTTTGACATGGGTAAACCGAGCTGGATCCATTCTGGAACATTCACCAGGGCAACTGTCTTGACAGCCAATGCACGGATGTTGGCACTATGGTCATCTCCAAATCGCTCATAGAACTTCAAAGCAGTCTGCGCCCTGCCAGGATCCAATGGAGCATAGTGAGCGATGAATTGGGAACACAACGAGCGGACCTCGAAGTCGTCGATGGTCATAAGTGCCGAGACATCCTCAAGCAAGTGGGCTAGTTCGTTGTTATGGAGGATGATGTTGGAAATGGCCTTTTTAAGCACAAGTTTGACTTTCGCTTGCGGCTTCAGTTTCTTTTTGGCCTGCTCTAGCTCAGCCCGAAGCTCCTGGGACTTGCACTTACCGAAGAGTTTGGCATCGCTCATGGCTGATCTAGGTGTTTTTCAAAAAGGGCTCGCGCGTCCCATATGTAGATAAGCTGGGCTCAATGGGACACCATAGACGAGATGATTCTGACGATAACTGATGTTTTGGGATGTTCTTATGGGCAGAAGAAGCCGTGCTGAAATAGAGAAGTTTTTAAGAATAGGGTGAGTGCCAGGATGCTGCGATCTCACATTTTGCAGCCAACCGGAGTTGCCGGCTTATGATCTGTGGGCCAGGGTGTACTTTATGCTGATTTTGAAAATTTACAATTCTTCAATTTGCATTAACTTTCAGATGGCGTTTGTCCTTGATTAGTTTGAACCTGCTTGGCTGTATATCAGCCTGGCAGGTTGGCTCTACACTGGAGTAAGCAGCCACTTTAACGGCTTCGGTGAAGGAACGAATAATATAGAAATGTCCAGCTAAATTGCTTATAAGCTCCTTGTATGTCGCAAAGGAACTGTGTTTGGTCCATCTTTCGTCATTGAAGAGTGTGTATGACGGATGAGACACTCAAAATGAGACACTCACGATGGAAAAGAAAGACTCGACTGATACTGACATTCTAATCTTGAGTCAATTGACCTTATATAGCGATTGAATGGCGCTGCTATCTGACTAGATAGTCACAAGCAGTGCAGCTGCGACACATGGTCTACCTGACGACTAAAGCTGAGTAGAGCACTTGGTTGCCTCCTGGAACAACAGTGAGATATTCAAAATGACAGTAGCCTTTAAGAGGACTCGAATCACAATTTAGCCATACAAGAAATATGGTAGCCATTACATTGCATCGAAGTTTCTCAGAACTGCTTTCATTTTTTTCAAAGTCATTTCAGATTTCATCAATCAAGACATCGATTGCGCCTCCAAAGCGACTAAAGGCAAAGCCATCTGCCACACCCAAAGCAGATCCAGTCTCGCTTCTGCATCATCGCGATAAGATAGACTGCAGTCCGATGTAGTTGTAAACCACAAAGTAAAGCGAACTGAGTCTACCCAACGACAGCATACCCTGATACGTACAGCACCGAAGAGTCATGTGGATCTGTAACCTGCGAACTCTGTGAGTAGCCCAACCACTTGAAGCCTCCACCGCCGGAGCCACCTCTCTCTAACAACCGCAAGACAATACCCAACGGCTTCTGACCACAGATGGTGTTTCCTGTTTCCTCGATGTACTCATCCCATAACTTGGTCTTTCCGCCCAGGGCAATCTCCATGGCCAGGCGGTCCAAAAATTCAATACTTTGCCAGATCTCGTTCGATCCACGACGACGTGCCAGATACTCAGCGCATTGGGCTAGATCCTGCCCTGGAACGTATTCAGTGTACCCAAAGCGGCGTCCCCAGTGGCAAAAGTCAGACAGCACGACGAAGGTGTTCTCCTCCTGCTCCATGTAGGGCGCCAATGCCGCCACGACCTTTTCTCGCAACTCTGGCGAAAGTCCGCTAATCATAATGGGCACGATCTTCACCTCTACACCGGCCTCTTGGGCCCTCTGGGCTATGAAGGGTGCATGCATCTCAAACGAGTGCTCATCATCGTCCACGGCCTCCAGCATGTACCCAAACGGCGCCAGCAGACCAGCACACAACTTGGCGCAAACCTCGGTATCAACGGGCAATTGGCCCATAGGGGTATCGTAAGCGGCGTACGCCAGCACTAGCGCTCTTTGGCGGAAGTAGACGTGGTGTGATGGTCCGAGCACGAAGACCCTGCGGACCTTCAGAGTATCCCACGCAGCGAAGGTTTCTGCGAGTCTAGGCCCCAGATAGGTGTATCCAGCATGTGGACCAACTAGTATTCTAGCTCCAGGAACAGGGAGGTCACGGTTGCTGCAGCGGCGAAGTACTTGGCGATCTGGCTCCTGAGTCGTGTTCCGTCGCCACTGTACCACGATCCAGCGTGGGTGGCAGGTCTGACGGACATGAATTCTTTTAGCCTTGAGGTTTTTGAAAGGAGAAGGTTAACGGTAATTTGATTCTGAGGTGAACTGAGCGATTGCTGTGGAAGTTGGAGAAAGAGAGTAGTAAGGAGTTGGAGGTAAGTGAGGCAAGTGCGCGCAGTATATCGAATTCCGGGTAGACCAATGCCAGCGCCGTTTGAATTTTATAGCGAAAGGGACAAAATACTGAAGTAAGTTAAAGCATATGAGTGGAACGATATGTTGTTTAGAGTGTGAGCTCAGAGCCCTTGGGACGTTGCGGGCTTCTTTGAGCGTGCTAGTTTGCAGCCAATCTAGTGCGGGATCTCCGATAAGGAGTTTGCAACCACTAGTCCGGGTAGTATACCACACGTTTGTGTCATGCTTTTGAATGCATTGTGGTGAATCTGTGGGCCAAAATACACCCATCATTTACGAGCGTGACAAACTCGTTTCGTTAATCTAATTAGCTGATTGCCTGCATTTTTACGATCATGGTCGGATGATTGCCAAATTGCACTTGTCATGCATGGCTATGGGCTCAATTAGGAGCGAGCATGATGCACTAATCAATACAGCAATCTTGTTCAAAACAACGAGACTCAACTTACCAACATTGCGGCATTGAAGATTTTCACTTTTTCTGAAGATCCTCACATTTTCTAACATTCTGTCGCCATATGTTACGTTCAGCCCAAGCATGCAGCTGCAAGTTGGTGTTGGTCTCCGCATAAGCAATAATTCAACCGTAGCATCTCAACCGTCCCGATAAGGCAAGATCTTCGAATACAGCCGAAGGGGCTTTTTAAATCCACCTTCTGATAATCCCCAACATATTCGGGTAGCCAGGGCAATCTGACCAAGACTCCACAATGCCGCTCTACATCACCCTGGACAACATCCTACATGCCACTTTTCTAATTCTGCGCTTCATTCCAAGCCTCAGGGACACTCATTTCTGCGTCAATTCCTAACCCACATCCTAAGCCCTTGCCCGAAAAGGCAGCGTGAATAGCACGTACACAATAATCTGATAACTTCGTCCCGGCAAAATACAATTGATTTAGTCCAGCATTCAATTACACGAGGGAAGTACAATAATGGCACCATAATATACCGAACACAATGAGATCGGTGTCAAGGACTACGGCTTGGCGCCAACAATGGATAGCTGCAAAATCGTCTCATTTTATTTGTACTCAATCTATGCGGGCTCAGGCCTTCTTGGTCACCTCCAAAGTCCAGTCAGAGGTGAAGAGCTCCTCGTCGCCGGCAAAGTAGGTCGACGTCGAAGGGAATTTACCTCTGTAGAGGAAGCCTGAAGGGGTGGTATCCTTCTCAAACTGCTTGGTGTGGTACTCTTCGCTGGGCGCGAACTCATCGCCAATGTAGAGCTCTCTGGTCTTGAGCGGAATGCCGCCCTTCTTCACAACCTGCTTGTACTTCAAGCCCTTCAACGTTCTGTTGGACACCTTGAACACAATTGACATCTGGTAGGTGGTGCCCTCGGGGATGGACACAATCACCTCGTCCACGTCTGCGACTGGCACCTCGCGCAGCGAGCCGTCCTCGAAGTTGACAATGAATTTGATGATATCTAAGTCGTCGTGGTGTTTACCCATGGTGGTGCTGAGGATGGGGTAAATCAGGGAGGCAGGGCGAGTCTTTATAACATTTCGCGAGGCCGAGGAACAACTGCGGGACTGTGGGGTTGACGATTTGCTGCTGGAGGCAGCGAAGTGGGCAGGAACAGGATTGCAGCTATGCGGGGGGCGCTCGGGGCCTCTAGGATTCGCAATGGCCCGAGGAACGCAATTTCAGGGATTCTACAAAGAATAGAGAAACAGTTTTCTGGAAAAGTTTTTGCTAATTGGCGCCAAAACCGGACATCCGCGTCCGCCCGGTCTGGTCTGATTGTGTCGTACGTTTTGAAGGGTGCCGCTGAACAAACCCTCCGTGCTGGACAATCTGCGACTGGAAGCAGTGCACAATTGCAAGGCTGGGCGAGTTTCAATCAATTTCGGTGCCACTCGGGCAGAAATATTTTCTAAACAGCGGGTTAGCTTGCGGCCTGCAGGATCTGCCTCGAGTCTGGGTCAAGCCTGTTCGGCCTGACGTCACGGAGCGAGAACCGAGAAAGCAGTAGTTACGTTCGGCCCAGTGGAACCCCGACATACGCTTTTGAGGTACAGCAAAGAGAATAACGGAACTTGTGCCCAAGCCACCAGCGTGTGCATCTGTTTTAAACACAATGTGGCGTTTTGTGCTTTGTCGAGGACGTAGCCGGTATGTCGCTGTTGCAACCGGCAATTCAGATTCGCAGCCACTGCGACGTTTCCAGGACCAACGGCTAGGGGACCCATGGGGCGCAGTTTAGTGGGTGAAGCAGTCGGTTGGCTTTTCAACCTTTTGACACTTGGGCCGAAGGCCTTGGCCTTCGGTGGCTTGTCTTGGCTATTGTTCGCAAAACCGTTATTAACCTTCTCGCTTGCAGTTTATTCTCGTTAGCTTTTCGGCGAGACCCAGAAATAGAGTTTCAGCCGAGTAAATGGGGGTTTGGGTGTTGAGGAGGAGTGGGCTCAGGATGGAATCGGCACCTCTGCGCTGGCGCTGAAGGAACTGAAATACGACCCTGTGGTTTGCAGGCATGGCAAGGGGCTGGAGTACCGGACACCGCCGATGGTCAATTGCTTTACAATCGAGATTTCCACACTGAAATGCCACATTTGGTTATGGGCTAGTTTAGTTTCCACCGCCAGGTGTGTTTCTACGTTACCGAAGTGGGGCACCTGGAGGGCAGAAAAGCGCAAACGATCTTTCGGTATGCACGCTAGAAGCTGCGATAGTCTGGAGAGGAAGTACCGACGGGGCGACTTGACTATTTTCTTTCATCTTTTTTCAAATATTCCGTATTTTATGCCATTGAATTGGGTCAATTCTCATACATTATTATTAAAAAAAAAAAAAAAAAAAAAAAAAAAAAAAAAAAAAAAAAAAAAAAAAAAAAAAAAAAAGAAAGACTTGTGGCCAAGGCAATGAAACTACCTATGGAGAAGTGGGCACCTTCGATGTAGTGGGTCTTACCAACGAGGCAACGTCGTTCGAAGGATCAAAGGTCTTGAACATCGCAAAAATCCAGGATTTCCACCTTTCAACTGTAATTAATCCATCTTGAAAACTTATCATTACCAGGCTCCTTCACAGCCAATACTCAATGGCTCGCGAGTTTCGCAGCCATTCCACAAGACTCACATACCACCACCCTTCCAAACTACGTCTGCATTCTCCGAGCATTATCTACTTCGAATTCACCGGACCCGTCTTCCTCTCTCCCTGAAAACGCCTCACTTCTCGAGTAAGCATCCTCTGGAGCGCCCGAATACCGTCGCATGTCTCCTCGGGACCAAATTCAAATAACCCAGGCGCACTTCCTTCGCCCGCAGGGTCTCGCACTGGCGCCAAAAACTGGTGCTCTAGGGTCTCTTCGACCGTCAACCGCGCAGCAGGGTCCCACTGGAGAAGCATCTCCAAAAGCTGAACCCCCGCGGGCAGCGCAAATGGGTATAATTCGCCCCAGCTCACTGGACTGAAGCGCCCAAACAGAAGGTGCACTTTCCCCAACGGTAATTTCCACCCTCGCTTCTTTACGAGATTCTTGTCTGGCTCACCAAGCAAATCAATAATACGAACCATTTGCCCCACGGTGTCTTTGCCTGGCAATAAGGGCCGCCGCCCGTACATCTCGCCCAAAATCACCCCGACTGCCCACATGTCCACCTCTTTTCCGTAGTGCTTTTCTCTGAGCAAGAGCTCAGGTGCTCGGTACCACCTAGTAGCGACGTAGTTGGTGATGGGGCACGAGGCGGCAGGAGAAGTGGTGATGCCACGGGCTAGGCCAAAATCGGCAATTTTCAAAGTCCCGTGTCTATCAACCAAGATATTGCCTGGTTTCAAGTCTCGGTGGATGATGTTGGCGCTGTGGGTGTACTTGAGGCCTTGCAAGATCTGATAGAAAAAGCTCTGGATGTGGAATTCCAGCAATTGCATGGGCAGAAACAAAACGTGGGTGAGGTCCCAATCCATGAGCTCCTGGAAGCAGTAAAGTCCAGGGTATGTATCTTTCACGAAGTGTACATCTACAAGAGAGACAATCTGGTATTAGTGCTGAGGCGGAATGTGCTTTCCAAGGTGAGTCATACGTGGCGGTTTCCTCGCAAGTGGGTCATGAGCCGGAGCTCCCGAATGGCCCGTTTAATCAAGATTGGATTTTCAAAGATCCGGGAAACCTTCTTCACGGCAAGCTTGACATTGCGGTCGTCCTTGGTGTCGATCACCAGGCAGACAGTGCCGTACGAGCCTGAGCCAAGTTCCTTGACTATCTTGTATCGCCGAGGAACATGGAAGCCCTTGTCTTTGTAGGTTTCGAAATCGGCCATGAAAAGAGAGTGGTTGTACCCGCTGCGAAATGGCTGCAAAACGGTTACAAGTGGAGTGCGGTCGAGAGTAGGAGGAAGTGGGCAAACAGTGGTCGGCCGCTTTTGTTCATAGTAAGCTTGGCTGCTCTAAGCATAGGTTATTCGAAGGACTGGAACAGTTTGGAAGGCATTGGGCTTAACGCCATTCTCTATGGGGTGATCCAGTCTCAGGTATCAATTTGTCCAACTATGAGACCACAAACTCAATCTGTTGGCCAGATATAGGACATCTGAAAGCACAGTACGTTCAAAGCTGGGTCAAAGTAGGTACCAAGTTGGACAATATGTTCGTTTATTCATCTTTGGAACACTTCACGGCTATTCATCTACGCGACACAGAGCAGTGGGTGGCTGCGAAACAAGGAAGTTCAAGAAGCACCATATTTGTCGAAGGAATGAAAATTATTACAGGTGAAGTAGTATCCTGGAAGATAATCCTTCATTGCAGTGTATATGTTCCGTAGCACATAACATTTTTCTCATGAGTCGTGGTACTTACCTCGACTGTGCTCGATGCGATGCCACGAGGTCTCACTGCCGTCGCTCTAAAGAAAACTTTGAAAATCATGGCCTGATAAGCTTCATCAAATGAATCATTATCAGTAATTCCTTTTCTTATTTGGTCGACTCCCACCTGGTAGCTTGTATGACAATTCGGAGTGTCGTGCGAAGTACACCATCTGAAAATTTTAGATACTCTTCCACATACTTACTCATCGTTAAGCTTCAGATACCGCCAACATGAGCACAAACTGCCGATTTTACGAAAACAAGTACCCCGAGGTGGACGAGGTGGTGATGGTGAACGTCCAGGAGATCGCTGAGATGGGTGCCTACGTCAAGCTTTTGGAGTACGACAACATCGAGGGTATGGTGCTTTTGTCTGAATTGTCCAGAAGACGTATCCGTTCGATCCAAAAGTTGATTCGTGTGGGCAAAAACGAAGTTGCAGTTGTTTTGAGAGTCGACAAAGAGAAAGGTTACATTGATTTGTCCAAGAGAAGAGTCTCTGCTGAGGACATTGTCAAGTGCGACGAGAGATACAACAAGTCCAAGGCCGTCCACTCGATCTTGAGACACTGTGCTGAAAAATACGGTGTTTCCTTGGAACAGCTCTATCAGACCGTGGGCTGGCCCTTGCTGAGGAAGTACGGTCACGCATACGACGCTTTTAAGTTGTCCATCACCGATCCTTCCATCTTCGACGGTATCGAGGCTCCTTCCACAGAAATTTTGGAGGAGTTGAAATTGTACATTAGCCGCAGATTGACACCTTCTGCCATCAAGATCAGATCCGACGTTGAGGTCTCCTGCTTCTCCTACGAGGGTATCGATGCCATCAAAACTGCTTTGCAAGCCGCCACCTCAGTCTCCACAGAACAGATGCAAGTCAGAGCCAAGTTGATTGCCGCTCCTTTGTACGAAATCTCCACTCAAGCTTTGGACAAGAACCAGGGTGTTGCTTTGTTAGAGAAAGCCGTCGAAAAGGTCGCTGAGTCCATCGAGGCCAGCGGTGGTAACTGTAAGATCACCATGGCTCCTAAGGCCGTCAGTGCCTCTGAGGATGCCGAGTTGCAGGCTCTTTTGGAGAGAAAGGCTGCCGAGGACAAGGACTCTTCCGATGAGGAAGAGGAGGACTAAGTCTTCGTGTTTCGTCATTTTCTACTTCTTTAATCTTGCTACAGCACTTGCTCATCTTTGGCACCTTCATGATCCCTTGTATATTTAAAACGCATCACATCATATCGTATATGGCATTGACTTCGTAAGCTTCACTTCTCCTTTGTTAACCCTTTCTACTAGTCCGTAAGGTAGGTTGTTTAGAAGCACTGATGGTACTCTGAATTCTTTTAGTGAGTTTGGAAGCACCACTCCATCCATGTTATAGAGATCCTGGTTTCCACTGAGGTCAAGGATTCGAAGGTTAGGTCCAAAGCGAACGTTTCTGAAAACCCGTAAGTCGTTGTACTGTAATTTAAGCTCCTCCAAAGAATATGGGAAATCCATGGACTCGATAGTCTTGATCAGATGATATCCGAGATTAAGTACCTTTAGGTGAGCAGAAAAAATGACATCTTTGATGGACGTGATGAACTTCTCGTTCTCTTCTAGATGGGGGTCCATCTCTAGATCTAAGATTTCTAGTGTGGGAGGGAACTGGACGTTTTTGAGCGTTGTGATCATGTTGTTCCCCAAATAAAGCTCCTTTAAGCAGCTAGGGAATGCAACCTTGTTGAGTGTCTTGATGTTGTTATTTGTCAAGAAAAGACTTTCGATTGAGTTGGGAAGTTTCAATGGGTTTATGCTGTTGACACCATTCCCAGACATATTGAGGTCTCTCACTAATGGAGGTATCTTCAATCCTCTGGTGTTTGTCATTGACTGTTGAAGATTGAGCGATATAGTCAGATCTGGGAATTTAATGCCTGTCATTGACTCATTTGGTATGCAAGAAAGGTCAAGGTGCTCGATGCTTTCAGGGAAACGAACACCCTTAATACATTCGATTGGATTGTTGGAGACTGACAAATAACGAAGATGTTTTGGGAAATTAATGTTCTTCAACAGGTCAATGCGATTGTTTGAAAGATCCAACGATTGAAGGCGGACTGGAAACTCGGCATAATTCAAAAAGTAGATTCTGTTGTCCGAAAGAAGAAGATGCTCAGTGGTCGGTGGTAATGAAATGTAGTCGATAGTTGAGAGAAGACTTCTTGATGCATCAAGCACCTTAAGGCTGGAAGGAATTTTGAATCCTGCAAGTGTTTCTAGGGAGTTCCCGCCTCCAACATGCATAACCTCGAGGCTGTCTGGGAACCTAACACCAGGAAAGAAACGCAAACAATTCAACCCGTAGTCAAATATTTTAAGATTGGTCCACTTATTGATATCACCCAGGATTTCTTGCCCAAGCTCCGCCAACTGGTCCTTTTCGGTGACGAATACTGTGTCTGGATCATACTTGTGAATAAGGGAGCAATGGGTCACCTTCGCAGCGGCCGCTTGGCTCAAGTCTTCAATAAACTCCACGTACTGCTCTTTTTCATCGCCAGATATGGAAGCCCATTTCTTTGTACTATCAAAGTCTATGTGATAGGTAACTTTCTTGGCGTCCTTGACGAAGTCTTTCTTGAAAAGTTCACCCAAGCTTTTTAGGTTTTTCGTAAAGTTTTGATCGTATTCAATGCAGATGGTAACGTAGTCAAAATTTCCCTGGGGCACTTCCTCATCAAGCGATTGTTCTGTGATCTTTTCCTCACCTCGTAGCTTTAGATCACTCTTGAACTGTGAGATGTGATCACTCCCATTGAAGCCGGCATTAACTATAATCCTTGTGCTCTTTGGAGCCGCAGTAGTCAAATCCGTTTTCTCGAGGATTTTTACCTCATCAGCAGACAGCCTCATCAGCAGTTCATTATCCACTTCCATGGCTTGTGGTTTAGACGTAGCATCTTCCGGACCCAAAATGGCCTGTTGAAAGAGTTCTGGTGTTCTTTCGAGTTCCAGCTTATACGATGGTGCCATTTGCTCTGGTAGCCCACTTTGTGTCCCGTTCTGGTTCTCGATGGAGGCATTCGATGGTATAGGTGAGCTTTTCGGCTCCACCTTCGCTGACGTCGGAGAAAGCTCAGACAGGGGAATTTCCATTGTGAGGTGTCAGGATCTTAAGTGGAATCAGTGAATAATGCCCAGCAAGAATTGATACCCAGAGTTTGATTTTGTCTGTAGCGATAGAGGGAAGAGATGGAGCATCCAATGCAGGAATGTCATCGTCTGATTGTCACGTGATACACCTTGTTAAAACTGTAATTTTATTACGATCTATATCCTGACTCAGATTCCTGAAAATGAATATATGATAACTCAACTTACCTCAAACGAGAGCAAAGTCAAGGATATGCTTCAATGGTTCGCTAAAAGGCACAATGATGTGCATATGACCTTGATCGTGGTCTAGAGGACCAGCCAATTTAATCCGCGCTAATAGATATGCTCTCATGACAAGAAGAGTTAAAGAGCAAGCGGTGAAACCACAGCCAGCAAAAATGGCACATGGAACGTATGCGGTTGGATCATCGATTTGTCTCTTAAGCGCGAGGCCAATGACGGGAGACGCGATACCGGATAGACCCAAAAATATCCATGCCATGGAAAATGCTGTGGCAGCCTTCCTTAAGCCAAAAAGCTTGCCAAGAATTGGTGGCATTGTGGCAAAAATTGTGCCCATGAGGCCTCCCATTATGATACAGAACGCATATATGGTGGGCAAGTTACGGGCAGGAATCCACATTGAAAATGTGAAGATGGCGCAGAGAATGTATGCTAAAAGTGTTGCAGTGACTGGTCCTATTTTTTGTGCAATTAGGCCGACCAATGGACGGCCGAAGAAGGAACCCACTTGGACCATTGCAGCGGCGATTGAACCCTGGTATGCGCTGTAACCCAAAGTCGTGGTCACGGCAGCCATATTGTACAAGACGATAACGTATCCAAGCATACATGTGATACAGTAGCACACCAAGATCCAAAAACCCACTGACTTCAAACACTGGGTGTCGTAAAGGCCGACTTCGATGCTATTTTTCATTCTTGAACGAATGAGAAAAATTGCGATCCAAAGAAGACCAAAGATAATGATACTCTGAGCACGCAAAGCCCAGAAGACGTCTCTTGTTTCCAACACTTTCTGCATACCCAAATTATACATGGTACCACCCACACCCGAGCCACCAGCAGCGATGGCGCTCGCAATATCACGCTTCTTTTTAAACCACTGTGGAAGAATTCCAAACCCTGGAAGTGCCACCATTGCTAATCCAATGGCGTTTAGCAAACCTTGCGTCAAGTACAATTGCCATAGACTGACAGCGAAGGACGCCATCATGAGGGAGGCAAACTGAATACACGATCCAATGATGATGGTAGGCTTCGTTCCAATCATTCCGTGTAGTTTGTTGATCAAGGGGGAAAAAATAAGCCCCAAGCCAAAGGCAAAACCCCCAACCAATGCGTAGTCATACTTATCTCCACCTGAGAAGGTATTATGCTCTAGATAATGGGCAAGGTAGATAGAGAAGCCAGAGTTGGCTCCCCATGTGTTAGCGTTGATGAGGAAGATGGCTAGCACCACAAGCCAGCCATAACCTCCATCAGGAATATCGAACTCATCTGAGTCACTCGAATCGGGGCTTTTTTCAAGATCTGAAGGATAAATCTCGTGAGGGCTTTGGTATTGCTCTGGAAGTGGCTCTTCAGCGTTATGGCTCGACATTGTTCTATGATTTAGGAGAAGCCATAAGACTTTGAGGAGAAACTGGTCTATAAAAGTGTGGTGGAGAAAATGTAAACGGCTCGGATTTTGCAGGGACTGCAGCATCTGTCAAAACCTGCGCAGGCCCAGTTGACTAATCGGCGCGCCGTTTGCAGCCACAAAATTCAATCAGATTGACTACTCCACCTGTTTAATTCAGAGTTTACTTTTTATAGGATTAAATTGTAACGGGGGTGAAGCTTGAATAGCTTGAAAATGAACCCCCATTTGTTTCCGAAGTTCTGAGTATTGCTCGATCGGGGTCTAACTTTGTATTCCGCTTTAGCCTCATTTCGGTCCGAGGGGCTGCAGCACTCCTTTAGGCGATACACATGCAAGTCAAACCCACTACGAGACGTGATCATTGCTTTGCATTGTCAGGTATATGACAATCTATCTCGGATCCGAGCTCGGGAAAAGGCAAATCCACAGCAGTGAGAAAAAAATAATAAGGACTGGTACAAAGACAAACGTTTGCTCGGCTACACACAAGTCGCACCGAAAAAAAATCCAAGGGGCAAGCTGGGAATCGAACCCAGGACCGCCCGCACCCTAAGCGAGAATCATACCACTAGACCACGTGCCCTTGAATACGTCTTTCAAGCTCGACAACAAGACATAAGCGCTGAGCCTAATGTGAGATGTCTGGGTCTTTATGCCTGCATATTAACAATGGCTGCAAAACTTCAGGACATGGTTGGATAGAAATCATGGATAAATTCGTGAATAGTGTAACTCAACTTTGCTTATGCTTACTCTATGCTGAGAACTTTCATCCTATCGAAAAAGGGAGCTCTTTTCTAGGACCATACGTCTGCGGCGAATATAATAAATGCACGGAGTAGTTGCAGCGATTGAACTACAAACATGGTTAATTGCTTCGCGACTTGTAAATTTTATTGAGTCTGATGTAGTGAAAGTATGTTGAAGTGAGCCTTCTGAAGCAGTTCACTTGCCTTTTTGGATATCGTAAACCATAAGTCCAAGAATTGAGTCAATCACACCTGTGGCTGCTAAGCTTGTCACTTCACTGTTTGTATCATAAGGTGGACTCACCTCAACGACATCAGCTCCGACAATATTGAGGCCGTCAAGGGAGTCCAAAATTGTGAGTAGCTCTCTGGTTGTCCATCCCCCGACTTCCATAGTCCCTGTTCCTGGTGCATGCGATGGATCCAACACGTCAATGTCAACGGAGATATAAACGGGAAGGTCTCCAACAACCTCCTTAACCTTATCAACAATCGCCTGTTTCCCCAAGCTATCAATATCTCTGGCCGTGAAAAAGTCAAATCCACACTGTTTATCATGAGCCTTATCGTATTTGCTGTCGATGTAAGGTGCTCGAATCCCTAGGTGGAAGCAGTGATCCTTAGCCAAGTAGCCTTGCTCGGCAGCATAGTGTAAAAAGGTTCCGTGATTGAGGGACATATAATCTGTGACACCACCACCGAGCTTCTCAGGGTTCCAAGTATCGATATGGCTATCAAAATGCAATACGGCAAGCTTGCCATATTTCTCGTAAGCCGACCTCAATGCCATAAGCGTGATAGTATGGTCGCCGCCCATTGTGATGATTCTGGGCTTTCCACCGCTGATGTGTTTGTGAATAGCTCTCTGGCCTCTGTATAGTTGGTTAAGAGCTATACGATTGTCAAACGGTGTCATCGGAACATCTCCACAGTCTACCACATGCAAATCAGTTCTGTACGGGTCAATGTCGACCAAAGGTGAGTCTCTGGAGCTCCCTCTCGCCGGGTTGACACCTCCATGAGCTAGTCTTCTGGCCCCCAGCCTTATAGCATCAGGTCCAAATCTAGCACCGGGCCTGTAAGAAACGCCCGTATCGAATGGGGCACCGACTATGGCGATGTCAATGGGTTTCTCATAGTGCTCCGGGTCAAAGCAATTGAATGTGGGATACCCAGCGAATGTGACTATTCCACCAAACATGTTGTATTCAGCTAGGTCCAGAGTATCGTCATCATCTGGGTAGTCGATTTGCTGACGCAGCCTTAGGAAGCCAATGTGGGCAGCTTTTCTCTGCAGAGCCTTGCTTAGGTACTCTGGATCATGATACTGAGAGTAGCTTTCAGGCTCTGTATCTTCGAAGGTGGGACTCAACAATTGAGACTTGTAGTCTCTTGAGCTTGGGGTATCCACCAAATCGCCATAGATCTCATCGATGTATGACTTTCGGGTCAGAAGGTCAATTGGATTTTGAATCGTCGATCCTAATGCTTGCCCAGCGAGTGCAATTAAGAGAAGAAGTTGAAGCATGGGGGGTGATGGGAGGACTCTGTGGGGTTTAAGATACGATGAGAGTTTAGAATTCCGTTGTGCGCTAACGGAATTGAAGCGAACTAGTGCCATTGTAGCCGCTAACGGAAATTGGTTGACTCATATGATAAATGACGCATAGAGTGATGTGGAAGACTACACAGTAAGGAATTCCTATCATGATTGTTCTTTGCAGCATCGTGCGAGATATGCGACGATTCTTTTGCATCCACACAGCCGCACCCAGGAGACAAGATAAAATTTCGGTTCCCAAATACTACAATCGGCTCTATCATGTGCGGGTTGAAGTCCATATTGACCTTGTTGTATGAAAGCCCCTAGAATATTTTAAGAGGAGATGCGAGACTTTATAGCATGTCCGCTGTGTTAAATGAGCCCGAATGGCAATCTCAAGACGCAAGGTCGTTTTCCCGTCATTACGTCAGGTGAAGTGTTACTGAAGCAAAGAAGACCATGGCTTGCTGTGATTCGGAAAACGTTGCGAGGGTTATAGGAAGTACTTGATTATGGAAAGTTGCCTCCAAACCTTTACTTCATGGATATAGCTTAAAATAAAGCAAGCCTGCGAGTATGCGAAAACGTTCTTGAAGGCAGTCAAGCTCACAAGAGGCGCAAGAAACAACTAAACATACTTTTTGTTTGGAACTTAAAATCAAGGATTTATTATCTCGAGATACGAAAAAAATGTGTCATTCGGTTTTTGGCAGTGCATGTTGGTTTTGTGATTATTTATCGCCCCTTCCTCTGATAGTAGAACGTTTAGCTCAACCCGTGTTGCGAAAATCACAGACACTTGCCCAATTTTGACAAAAACCAAAACATCAATTGACGAGTTGCCCACGAACAACAACTTGGAGAACAAGAGAAGAATAAAATGGAATCATCTCCTCTAAGCACAAAGTTTAATCACCATTGATCCTCTTTCTCGGTTAGTGAATCTTCCAACCCTCTGGCTCCTGCCTGTTGGTCCTGCCCCATGTGCAATTGCTACGTCATTACCCACAACTCAGCCTCACCACCGATAGCCACGGCGGTGCCGAAAAAATAACAAACATTGCCCGAACGGTTGAAGTACCAAACTCAGAAGGATATTAGAAACTAAACCACGGAAGCAATTATTCAAATTCGGCGCACTCCTTCATTTGATCGTCGCTTTTTCGTTGCATGGCTGCGAATGCGAAGCATCGGCTTGGCTCAGGAGCAATAAGCGCTTGCGCTAAGAGGGAGCAATAAGTTCGTAGAAAAAAATTCAATGTTCTATATTTTGAAAGATCAAAGCTCATCATTCTAACTTCCCAAGACCCCCCTCTCCGTTGTTTACCCGTTTTCTTCTGTCAGGAATGCTTGACGCACGCTGCGCTTCGACAGGCTGTGTGCCGGGCGCATGATGGGACAGCAATGGACTCAGAATTCTTGAAAAACAGAGACTACTCTCTTCTCCAATTCAATTGATATGTCCTACAATCCTCCCTCAGGACCGCCTCCCCAGCAGGATGGTGGCCCGTTCAACGACCAAAACGGCTACAATCAGCAGTACAACCAAAATCAGCAGTATCAGCACTACGGCGGTTATAATCAGACCCAAAATCAGGGATACAATCAACAAAATCAAGGATACAACCAGGGCTACGACCAGGAGGCACAGAGCAATGGACCATTTTCCGAGAAGCCAAATCAATCGGAGAACTTTGATGAAGCTTTTAAGGTCACCAAGCCCAAGGTCAACGACTGGCCTTTCACACTTTTCTTCATCGCTACAGTTGCAGGCTTTATCGCCGTTGCAGTTATCGTTCTTAGAGCATTGAAGCAGACCTGGGATTTTCAGGGTGGTTCCATCTACGACAACGACAATACTTTCACGGTCAACAGTAACACCATCATCATGTTCGCTTTCTCCATTGTCATTGCAGTGGTTCTTTCGATCTTGATGCTTGTGTTGGCTCGTTACCAGGCCAAATGGTTCATTATTCTCGGTCTTATCATGAATGTTGTGCTAGGTATTGGTACAGCCATCTTTTACTTCGTGGAGCGTTACTGGTCAGCCGGTATTGTCTTCTTGCTTTTCTCGCTTCTTTCTGCTTGGTGCTACTGGAGTGCTCGTCATAGAATTCCATTTTCAGCTTGTGTTTTAGAGATTTCAATTGATGTCATGAGAAGATACAAGTCGTCCTTGGCAGTCGCTTTCTTTGGTACTATCATCAGCGGTGCCTTCAGTGCTTTGTTTTCCGTGGTAATTGTTGCAACCTACGTTAAGTTTAACCCCTCTGAAGACAACCCTGGTTGTGATGTGAGCGGTGGTGGCTGTTCTCAAGGTAAAGTTATCGGTGTCTTGGTCTTCGTCTTCTTCGCTGGTTATTACATCTCTGAGGTGATCAAGAATGTTATCCATGTTACAATTGTTGGTATCTACGGTACCTGTTACTACTTGGCTGGCTCTGATCAGGGTGAGCCCAAGTGGCCTGCTCTTGGTGCCTTGAAGAGAGCTATGACATACTGTTTTGGTTCTATTTGTTTCGGATCGCTCACAGTGGCTATCCTTCAGATGCTTAGAGCTATCATTGAGATTCTTAAGAGTAACGCTTTTGCCAGTGGGGACAACTGCGCAGGTTGTGGCTTCCTTATCTTGAATTTCGTTGTTGGTTTCATCGAGTGGGCCTTCCGTTACTTTAACCACTACGCTTATGTCTACGTCGGCTTGTACGGCAAGTCATTCTTGAAGTCTGCCCGTGAGACTGTTGACTTGCTCAGAAACAAGGGTATGACTGCTTTGATCAACGACTGTTTCATCAACACCTCGTTGAACTTCTGGGCCATGTTCACCGCTTATGTTTCAGCCTTGTTCACTTACCTTTACTTGAGACTCACTGCTCCAGCATACAACAGCGAGGGCGCTTACTACGCCCCAATGGTTGCTTTTACTTTCTTGATCAGTGGTCAAATCACCCGTGTTTCTCTCGTGGTGCTCGAGTCCGGTGTATCTACTTTCTTCGTCGCTTTGGCCAAGGACCCCGAGGTTTTCCAGATGACCAACAGAGACCGTTTCGACGAAATCTTCCGCACCTATCCACAGGTTTTGGAAAAGCTTACAGCAAACCATTAATTATCTTTTGTTTAGACTTACTGACTATAATGGCCTATGGCCGATTTCGAACTAGCTTGTACTATGCGCGCACTATCAAACGTAACAAATACTATCAGTACTCCGCAATGTTCACATTGGCTATAGGAGATATCTTTGTTCCAGACAGGCTGCCGGGCATTCCTCAAAAATTCCTTAAACTTCTAGCGCCCAATGCTGGGAAATATCCGTCCAATCCTAGAATTTCGCAGGTGGTATGCTTAGGCAATATCACCCAGTCTAAAGAGACCCTCGAGTTCCTATACAACATATCCCCTTCGTTACATATAGTGCAAGGAGAATATGATGATGCTAGTATTGTAAGCCAGCAATTGGAACACATACTGGGCAGCTATGCATCGTTACCTCAGTACAAGGTGGTTACGTTGGACAACTTTCGCATAGGGTTCACTAATGGACACCAAATAATGCCGAGAAACGATCCATTGTCACTATTAGCATTTGCAAGGGAGATCAATGTTGACATTTTGATTTGGGGTGGAACTCATAGAGTTGAAGCATACACTTTGGATGGCAAATATTTCATAAATCCGGGAAGCGCCAGCGGAGCGTTTCATTTTGGCTGGCCCGAAATTGATGAAGAAGAGGAAGAGCAAAAGGATGAAAGCAAGCAAGAAGATAATTCCGAGGATACAAAGGAATCGGAGGAAGATAAGCATGATAAGGATGACCTAAAAGAGGGCGAGCCCGAGGAGAAGAAAGACGATGAAAAATCTGATACCAATGAGGAAGATGGTCAGGTTGAAAACCTCAATGAGCCTATTCCTTCCTTCTGTCTCTTGGAAACCCAAGGCCCCAAGTGTACACTCTACATTTACACCTACATCAACGATGAGGTGAAAGTGGACAAGGTCATCTACCAAAAAGAATAGATGTCACGTAAATAATACATTGAAGCGCATGAATGAACCATCCTATCAAAGCACAGTTTAAGCTTGCACGGAGGAGTAATGTAGAACGAACTCCTTTCTGATCTTTTCCCAATTGTGTGGGTCAAAAAATATGTAAACACCTCTTTCCACGTCTGGGCTAATGAGCACGGGCTCCACGTTTGAGTCCTTGGTGAGCCAGACTTGGATATCTCTATGGTAACGCCAATTCCGGGCGACTAGCTCTCGGGCAGCGTATTCTTGTAAAGTGTCACGAGGCTTCGTGTAAAAAATGTAAAAAAGCGTCTCGTCGGCGAATGACAGAATCTTTGTATCGCAGGGTTCAGGTGGTGGCACTATCGTTGACAGCTGGATGGATTCAGGTAACAGGAAGTATGGTTCAACTTCCGTCCTGCTGGTTTCTTGCCAGGGAGATGCCATGTTTTTCAAAATGCTAGATTCATCATTCAAATCGAAGCCTAGAAGCTGGATGTCCTGGCCATATGCAAACAGGTTCTGCTCTGTCTGGTCCATTCTTAAAAGCAGAACTATGCCTTTGAGGCCGAAGCTGTCGATATCGGCTGCTCCGTTTGATTGATTTCCATTATTAACGGAACTTTGATTCGTGCTACTGGACGGCTGAAGTCCTGGAGGGAGTCCGGCTGCAGGGTTAGTGGCGGCTGGCATGTTGGAATGCTGTGTTTTGAACGTACCCATTTTCTGCTTGATGGTGTAGGGAAGTGAGAGAAGTTGTTCAGTCTTGATACTTGCACGTGACCTGACCCGAAAGGCTTCTTCTATGGTAGAATCCGACAAGGAATTTCGGCAATTGAAAGGAATATGGGTTGATTTCGCTAACTTATAAATTTTGAGGTGGTAAATTTGTTGATTGGTGCAGAGTTCACCAGAGGTGTTTGTGCCCGGTTTTGCAACGCAGAGTTGAAGACAAGGATCGAGGCCTAATGAAGGAAATACGGGAAATGGGTCGAGGATAAAGTAAAACAAGCCTCTATTTATAGTATTGATGGTTCAAATTGCCTATAGTGTGCTAATGTATGTTCTCAGCGAACAGTGTTCAGTGAGCACTTACAGAAGCTTCACTGGTGCCGTTCTTAGTGATTACAGCCTTGAGTGGAAAAATGAAGTCCGAGATCTAATAACAAAGGCCAATGTGTTCTTGAACTTGAGCTGATGAGGTGTATTCCTAATATGACTCCTCTCAAGTGCTGAAGAGTGAGACAAACGATGCTCTAATTCACAATCGAGGTAATAAGGCCGATACCGGATGTTTTCAATTCCATGCGATCTCGCCACATCTTACAGCGTCACTACTCTTTACATGCAAGCTCGAGCACTTCGGATCATCAGCCTGCCCCCAGCTCGGCTGTCAGGTGGTGTTACTCACCCCATGCCAACCAACTCTAGGCTATCGCTCTCCAGTATACTTGGCCTAAATCCCCAGAAGTAAAGCTTTTTGCAAACACCACCCCTATTTCTCTTCAATCATTAGTCAAAAACAGCTCTTCATCTCGCCAAGGATTCTTGATGCCATCTGATACTAACCGAAAGCGGCTAGGGCGACACTGGCGCGGCTGAAGGCGTGCAGTGCCACGCAAATACGAGATGGCTGCGAACAAGGATTGATGAGTATGACACAGATTGAGGAGGTTAAAAATTTCAAAACCAAGCGTATGAGTCACAATTTTCAGGCAGCTTATTGAAAACGTCCAAAATGCTTCAAAGCTGCGATTTAGCCACCTTGGGACCATCTGATCAAGGGGCTCCTGCACCAAGCCGGAGCTATAAAGGCAGGCCCTCCCCAGGGATTATTTTTTCTCAACAAAAAATGTATTACTACTACGGCTACTCGGGTCTCAGCACCGGAGCTTACATTGGCATTGCTGCTGCGAGTCTCGCTACCGCGATTGTGATTGGCTCTTTGGTGGTCTACTACCGTCGTCGTCAGGCGAGGTTAGCCAGAGAGGCATTGGAGGCCCAGTACAACCAGCCAATGCAGAACTCCGATTTCTTCCCACCAGGATACAAACCCAACATGACTCAGGTCAACAACGAAACGATGAACTACACCAACAACAACGGGGTGTTTACATACGTGCCACCGGAACAGCCCAGTGCACCTCCACCAACGTATGATGCATCCCGAAACGATGTGAGGGTGAATCAGGCGCACCAGGCGGTGTAGGCATTGTGCGAGGAAAACAATACGATGAAAAGGTGATGGACTAGTGCGAGACTAGTTCGAGAGTTGCGTAGGCCTGGTGTGAGAGAAACTGCGTGGGTCCAATGCGATGGTACGGCGGTGGGCCTAGTGCGATTCAGATTGGACCGCACGAATTGGACCGTTCCGCCAGACGCACCTAGCGGCACGGTGCTACATGGTAGCACAACCCACACCGAATCAATCATAAATCCGGCATTAAGCTGCCTGAACAGAACAGCGGCGACAAGCAGCTAAGGGAGATACTCCCACGTTGGTCCGGCGCGCTGGGCGTCTCAGATTAAATTGCCGTGGCGGCATAACACACGACAATCATGAACCTTTCGACGAAGCCGACTGGCTCAGGCGAATAATACATGCGCCGAGGATCCAGACCGTTAAGGTACAGTCTGGGAGGTGTGGCTGGAGGCCCGTAATGAGTTCTTCGCCCTACCCGGGCCATTATATACCTTTTAGGGGCAAGGACAAAAGCTCGGGTTGCCGAGCGATTGGTCTAACAAGACGGAAAGATTTGCAAGCTTCGCTACAATACCTTAGTGCCCATTGTTGGTGCGACCGACCCGGGCATAATTTCCACTTTTCACTCGCATTGGATATCTAGGCTCAGCTGGGACCACCCACTGCTGGCTGCTTTGGCGCCAGGCAGAAAAGAAACTGTGCAGCCGGAAATTATCTGGTGACAAGAAACCTGATCGAAATCAAGGAACCACCACTCTTAACTCCACATCCGGACTTGGCCAAATTGCTCACATTGTAATTAGTTGTCTTGTGTGATGCGCTGTGTCCGGGTGTCTCGAATCTCCCTAATTACTAGCAGCGTCGCCGCGCGAAGCACAAAGCTTCTCTGGCGCAAACCGCGTAAACGCAGCCATTATCAGCCACGTCAACGCCACAAAAAAGCTGGATATTCACAAGATGGGGAAAAGCTTCGATGACAAAAATTCACGTTTGTACCTGTTTCGGGGCTCAGTAGCCCCTCCGTGGAGAGGGTGTCAGCTTGAGGAACCTGGCCGCACGATGTGGCTGCGTTCGCGGCTGTCAAGACTAGGCCGCATCTGCTGGGGCTCGCACGGCGCCTTGATAGGGGCCTTTATTGGCTCATGGCAGCGGAAAGTAGCGAAGGCGGCGTTGTTCTTCAATTCTCCAAACAACGCCAATTGTGTAAAATAAACAAAAATAGTTTAAATGTGTTGCTTTCATGACCTGCGGGGCCCGGGGTGCCTGGCGTTGCAAGGTGCTCGAGCTTGTGAATCGTGGTCCTGGCCCGGTGCGTTGTCTTTGTGGCATGGCGCCTGTGCCTGGGCCGGAATGAGCCTGAAAAATTCTCCCGGCACGCTGCCGAACAAGCACCGAAGCATTGAGCACGCCGTGCTACCGCTGTGTTCCTCGAGTGAATCTTGATGATTCCTTTTGCCCCAGCGAAGCCGCTTCCAAAATCACTAATCTGTCGCCGGCAGCGATCGACGGTGCAAAACGCTCTCTTGCGCTCGCTCCCTAGACCACTTTCTCCGCGCAGACAAAGCTCGCAGTGGAAGTGCGTCCAGCCTCTAAAGTCCCGTGGCGCGTGTGCAGTTGGCCCCATTCTCAAAAGTATATAGGGCCTGGGATTCCCGCTCCAGACGGTGGATCTGCTGCATCATCGTTCTACGTTTTTCTCGCCGCACCCTTCACCCGTTGCTATGAACATCAACCTTGAGGAGGCGCTTGACGAGTTTGACCTGCGCTACCTCGAAAGCTACCACCAGGTCACGGCAAAGATGGCTCTGCTGGGCCTTGGGCCTGCTCCCGAACTGCCGCTGAGACTTCTGCTGCCGCTCTTGTCTTCGCAAAACGACAACAACTTGTTTCACGCTGGCGCCAATACGGCGACGCCGGCCAAACCACACCCATTGGCTCAAGGCGCCCTGAGTCCATTGGACGAAAGCACCCACAATTCCTCGGCCGCAGGGCTGCACGACATCGAGGAATTGAACATCGCCTTTGACGACGAGCCCAGTAATTTACAAAAGGACCATGACGAACTGGCTAACGTGAGGCCTGGGTTGGTGCACCGCGCTCTGGCGCCCGAGTGCCAGTGGCTCACGGTGGAGATGGCCGGGCGGCTGTTTGTCGTGGTGGACACTCCGAGGACGCTCCAGCGGCTGCTTCTGGCGCTGTCTCTAGTGCACAAGGCGCTGCGCCGGCCCCAGAACCGCAGGACGCCTCCGAACGTGGGGAATCCTTTTTACAAGAGCAAGTCGCCTCGCCGCCGCCGTGGTCTTTTTGACGACGCCTTTGAGCGCTACAAAATGGAGTGCTAACTTTATTTTTTTTCCTATTTCGCTGCCTAATTTTTTTTTTTTTTTTCAGTCGCGGCACCACCGTCAACCAGGCGGAGAGACATTTTTTGCAGCCACCGCGCGCATTCCACACACCCTCCTACCCAGATAAGGCAGCTTTGGACCACATTCACCGTGTTGCCAAGAGCGTTTTACAATAGAAGTCGTTGCTACCACCTCAATTACCCCTATACTTCATTTCGAGGTTCTTGACTATACCCACGACACATCCACATCATGTTCATTTACCGTTTTTTTATATTCACTTCCACGACTTCTCAGCATTTTGATGGTGCGTTTGCACCCAGCAGGCTGGGCATGATAGAGGCCTTCGCGGGCGAGGCCACTGATAAGCCAATGCACAAAGTACATACCCCAAACTCCGTAGCTTGCTAATTCCAAGCAAATCTTTCATTATCTTTTTTTCCATTATGTATGTATACTATTTGACGGTCTGCTCCATTCTACTACTTCAATGGGTCTGGCCGAAAGGAATGTCTCGCTTCAGGGGCATCGCCCCGCGACGTTGGAGAAACCGATAAGCCCTCGCTGTGGCTTATGCCCGCCGATGCAAACCGCATACCGTCACTCTTGCAACATCTGAGGCAAAGTTTCAGCAGCGTCGCCTTGAAATCCCCAAGTGTCCGCTACCTGCCCGGCCAACACCTCTTCTTCGATGTCTGTGTTGAAGATGGCCACTTTCCCGCCGAGCTGACGCACTCGCTCCACGTACCCATTGGCCGGGTACACAGTGCCGCTCGTGCCGATTACCAAGATTAAGTCCACAGGCCCAGACTCTAGGAAGTTATCAATGCCATCGAGAGCTCGCAACGGGAGCGACTCGCCAAACCACACTACCCCAGGACGCATGAGAGTCCCGCAAACGGGACACAGCGGAAGCTCCTCGGTCAGAAGCTCTTTGGTGGGTGCAAATTGCGGCAGTTCTCCTGTGTCGACATTAGCCTTCAGATTGGCCTTTTCTTCCTCTTCCTGGTTGAGGGCCTCCGTGAGCGGGTCCTCGTAGTTCCGTTCTCGATGTGTGCAAGTGAAACTCGTGCACCGTAGCTCGAAAAGGGAGCCGTGGATCTCGTAGAGGTGCCGTTGGCGGTGGCCTGCGCGCGCCAGAAGCCCATCTACGTTTTGAGTGATGGTAAGGAAGTCTCGTGAGTTATCGTGAGAAAGTGCTGCTAGCGCCCGGTGGCCAGCATTGGGCTGGGCTTGTAGCGCAACGTGCCGTCTCCATGCGTAAAACTGCCACACGAGACCCGGGTCGATGTAGAAGGCGTCTGGTGTGGCCAAGTCAATCATATTGAAGTTTTTCCAGAGCCCTTGAGAGCCTCGAAACACAGGAAGCCCCGACGACGCAGAAAGGCCAGCGCCGACAAGCGCAACGATGCGCTTCAGCTTTCGTAGGCACTCCTGGAACTCACTGGCTTGTTTAAGCATGGAGTGTTGAACTTCATCGCTTCGCGCTCGCTATCACTCTCACGCAATACACACACCCTAGCTTTGCTCGAGTTTGCGTTTGATTTGCCAGGCCAAATACTCTGCACTGTTTCCAACTTCACTGACGGTTTTGGAGGTTACAAGCGTGGGTGGCGCCCTGAACCAAACTTTTTGTCCGTTCAAGTTGACAATTGCTCGGCTGACCTCAGTCAAGTCTGCGGCCTCTTCTCCCTCCTCGGCTGGCTTCTCCACGTAAGAAACAACGCCACCAGGAAGCACTGCGGAGTACGTTGACGTAGATGTGTGGTAGCCCAGGGCAGCAGGAGAATTGACGTTGCCAACTGGCGGCGTGGCCCGCGAGCTGATAGCTGGCGAGTCAGCCCTGTACTTGGGCACGTAAGGCTTGTACGAGCTCATAGGCGGTTGTGGTGGTTGTGGTGTATAAGGCTGTCTGTAGCTGTCGAAGCCAGGTGTGGCATTGGACGAAGTCTGCTGGTAGCCGCTGGCGATTTCATCATTTTGACCTGGGATGTAGTTCACCGTCACAGAGCGTGTACCGGAAGAAGAGTAGATACCAGAGCCAGTGACAGATTTAAGTTGCGAGACAGGCGTAAAGATGAAAGCCTTACGGCCAGACATTGGGTCGTCAAATTCCGGAGCTGGAGCCACGTTGGGCGAGGTCGAGCACTGACCAAGCTCATCGTTGTAGAATGGTGGTCTTAAATACACCGAGCCCATAATTGGTGGCCCATTTGGATTTGGGCCTTGCTGAGGAGGAGCAGCAGGCATGTCGTCATAAGCATTGGACGAGAGCAAATGCTTGATGGGGGAGTCGTACTTGATGAGTTTTCTTGGCTCATTGATGGGCACGATGGGCTGGTCTATGTGTCTTATCTCGTCCGGCAAACAGGCTTTCCACGTTCTGATTCTGTTGAACACGTAGTTGTTGGCGTTGTAACGGAACTCACAAATGAACCATTCTGAGCCGGGAGGGAGCAAACTAGGGGGGATGTCACCCTTCTGGTAGTGGGTCAAGAAAATCACATAACATGGGCCGACAATATCCTCGGCCAAGTGGTCTCTGTACTCGCCTGTTTTACAGACCTCGTTCATATAGAACAACCTGTCGACACGATGACATGTCTGTTCGGCACGAATGTACCAACACACATTGGTATATTCAATGCCATCTGTGGACCACAAGCGGAAAATCTGACCACAGGTAGGCTTGTTGGCGTCGTTGGGGTTCTTGATAAGCACCCAGTCACCGACTTTATAGCTGTGATCATTGACTGTGACGGAATCAATGGGAACTTTAAGACCGTCAGATCCTGAATTAGTGGCGATGATGAAGTCCTTCTCTGGTCTCAGCATCTCCTTGTCTATGATGTCAGAGGCTTGTTTCTCAAACATAAGCACGTCGTTCAACATAGCAGGATCCAGCGCGTTGAACATTTTGGCGTTTCCAATCATGAGATTCAAGTCATCCAAAAATTGTTGTACGTTGAGGTACTTTCTAGAGCGCACCTTGGTTCTGATTTCATGGAGCGAGATTGGGTTCATAATCATCTCGTAGTAACCAGGAGTAGCCTTGTCGGGCAATCTTTCAAAGTGAGCTGTGAGGATAAGGTTCTCGTCGTCGGGGTGACGCACTCTCTTGAAGTTCTTGAGGATAGATTTGATTCTCGACTCGTAAGGCTTGTCAATAATGGGAGGACGTCCACGTCTAACACCGCCCTCAGCAGCCTTGGGTGGATGGGAAGAGGCCTTGTGATGTGTCTGGTATGGTGAGGCATGGTCATCTTCCTCGTATTCCTCATTTTTCAAGTAAGGCAGAGCGCTGGCACCTTCGGCATCGAACGCAAGGTGGTCGTAGTCATCCAAAGGACCCAAGTCAGGATAGTGCACTCCGGACTGAAGACTTACATTTTTGTCGTTCGCGAGACGAGGGATAACCGTGTCTTTAATGTAGTTATCCAAAATCAACGCATCCTCATAGATCTGAGAGCCTGGCTCGTTGTAATGACGTGCGTTCCACGTTATCTGCACCAAATCACGCACAAACTCTTGAGCATCTCTGTAGGCCAAACGTTTCACTTGTCTAGCAATGATGTGGAGGGAAATGGGCCTGGTGATAACCTTGTAGTAGTCGGAGCCTGTTCTTGGAGGAAGCTTGTGAAAATCGTTGGCGATTGATATTCCGGCGTTATTTTTCAACAGATAAACGGATTCAATAAATCCATTGAGCCTAGTGGCTAGTTTTTTCGTCTCACGGTCCGACATGGCGTATTGCAGACAAACCGTTGCAGCTGAAAGAATTGTTATGGATTTTGTTGATGGTGCGTATACACATTTGGGAGGTGCACGACGAGACTCATACTGGTGGAAGATTTCCTGAAAATTTTTCGTCATCTAAATAGCTTTAATAGAAATATTCGATTCTTGTTCAAAAGCGTCAATCATAATTGCTTTTTTCTTCTTTGTCGTAGTTACCAACGGTCGCTTGTTGAACCACGTCTTTCGCAGTCAGTTATAAGATTGCGTGTAGTACAAGAGTTACTCAAAACTTCAACCTCTTTAAAAATTACTCAAGCTGTGCGTTAATGGTACATCAATTTTTAATTACAGTAAATCTACTGGCGGAACCGTGAAGCGCTGGGTTAAACATTGGGGTCACCATAAATGCCCCAATGTTGTTCAACGTTCCAGCTACCAGGGTCCTTCCAGTAGTCGTTATACATGGTGAACATGATCACCGAAGAGCCCATAACATTGCCCAAATCCTTCACAGCGGCAAACTGGTTTTTCAAAGAAGGCACAGCATCACCAACCGTGTTACCGTAAGAAGGCCAGCCACTCTCAGTAACGAGGATGTCCTTGCCATTGTTACAGTGGCTCTTCAAAGAGGCAACCTGACTCTTCAACCAGGTTCCAGATGTTGAAGCCTCAATGCCACTGAAATATGGGTGACAGTTCACAGCGAGGTAGTCGGAAATGTCACACATGGAGGAGTCGTTCATCACAGCAGCCAAGGTGTCGACAGTGACGATGTAACCCGAGTAAGAAGGAGCGTTCAGCTTAAACCACAGTCTAGCCTCCTTCACAGCATTGGCAACCTGGGTGGCTGTCTTTGTGCCGGCGTTAACAAGCTCGTTACCAATGGCAACGGTGTGAACAGCACTCCATCCACGAGAGCCTGACTCGACTTGCTCAGCCAACAGGCTCAAGTCGTTGTCCAAGTTGTCAATCGACCACACACCCAAGTACATTTTTTGGGAGAAGCTGATAGCATTAGCAACATTCTTAATACCCGAACAGTCCACAGAGTAGAGTCTGATGAGGCCGTAGCCCTTCAATTTCGAGATGTCCGATGCAACCTCACTGGCACTCTTACACTGGCCGCTCTTGGTGTAAGGCGAGTAAGTGATACCACCACCCTTCGCAGCATAGGCAGCCACCTGTGCAACCTGGGAGTTGGAGGCGATATCAGCGCTCAGCGAGTCGGGGTTAGATGAGCCTGATCCATCACCAGTGCCGTCAACGGTCACAGGTTCGGTGAAGCCGGGGGTATCTCTGCCCGAACTGCTTGCGGCACCAAAAGGATTCGAGCTCAGCGATGGGGTATAAGCGGAGGAAGCGCCAGCAGAGCTCGAGGAGCCAGATGAGTCGGAGGAGCCAGATGAGTCGGAGGAGCCAGATGAGTTTCCGAACAAACCGCCAAACAAGTTCGAGAACCATCCACCCAGGGAAGAGGAGGATGAACCCGAGTCTTGTGACGTGGAGGAAGCTGTAGCCGATGACGAAGATGAGCCACCGTCGCCGTTGAAAATATCAAGCAAAGAATTGAAAAATCCACCAGAGCCGCTACCAGTCGACAGGGTAGAAGCGGCAGCAGCAGTCGAGGAAGCAGCAGCTGGTGCAGCCTGCGTAGAGGTTGCAGCCAGGCCACCAAATAGCTGAGCGAAAAAGCCTTGTGACGAAGTGGTAGCTGCAGCAGTAGTCTCAGCAGCTGAAGTAGCGGCAGCAGCTGGAGTCAGAGTGGTGGCAGCATTTCCACCGAAAAACTGAGCAAACAAACCCTCAGAAGTCGTAGTTGGGTCAGCGGCAGGAGCAGCAGGGGCAGCAGTAGAGGTTTCTGCACTTCCACCGAGTAGCTCAGCCCAGCCGATATTGGCAGTGGTTGTCAAGGTAACGTCGTCGTCACGCTTCACTTCTTTAATTGGTGCAGCAGCTGCCATAGCAGCCACCACAAGAAGCTTTAAGTTCATAGTTCAAGGATTGGGCACTCGCAAAGGAGTAAAAAGGTATAAAGTCAACAGACAGAAATAACGAAAACGAAACACCAAAGAATGGCTTGAAGTGTGGAACGAAGTAAGAAAGACGAAAACCGAAAAGGAAGGGCGATGAAGATGAGAAAGATCTCCAGCGGAGGGGGCAAATGCTTTGGATATATAGTAGCTGCGGCAAAAGACGGATTTTTGCAACCGCCAGAAGCGGCATTGGGTTCATCCCAGCAGCGAAAAGCTTGTCTTGAGCTAGCAAATGTAATAGTAATGCCTCTTTAGGCAAAAGTCAGATTTCGCAGCCAAAGTCCATGTGCACTACCACTGCCTATTTGGGAAAAGTGATATGCTTGAGCTCGAGCATAAGTCAGGCATTGGCTTCCGTCGGTTCCACAAAGCCTATCTCCCGTATGCAAAGTGTAGGCTTTACCTGCTTTAGGCTAAATTTCATAGCTGTGCCCGCGCCTTGCACCCTGCCATTACGCCTTGTACGGGCTCGGGGAGCCTGCGCACTGCTTCGATAATTGCCTGTTTAGGGCAGATCAGTGGCGGGTTCTGCGCATTTTGACACATTTTTCTGCGCAAAGCCAACTGGTACTCTGCCATTGAGATAGGCTTAACGTCTCGACTATCTGTCATGACATTAACGTGTGGCTTAGATCGGGGACCGAAGATGTTATCGGCTGTGCTCAATGGCAGGTTCTTGGGATTGGTTGGACCTCATCACCCCCTTCCCCTCGATAGACATGTGTCATAAAAGGTGAACTGTTCTTCCAAGAAATTGAGTTCTTGGCCTCCACATAATCTTTTCAGTTAATCTGTCGCAAATTGTCTTAGTATCCCCCACCCCGCGGGATATTAGGGCTAGGCTCACCGCACAAGCCCCAACCGACTTCGAGACCCCATCCCTGTCCTTATCGGACATCTGGTAGATCAAACCCGTTTTCCTTGAACACCGTTTCTGGAATTGGGGAAACAGGGAGTCGGGCAAAAGGATGGGGAAATGAAGAAATTAGGGGACGGGGAATAATATTGTTCCAGAGTGCCTGCGCCTCCCCTGCCCCTTGAGCGGTTCTGACCTTATGTATCTCGCTAGTTGCGCATGCACGGATCAAGTCTATTGGGATGTACCCCACAAATCACTACTAGGATTGTCATTTCGGGCAAATCAGTGGAACCAGCGGACCAAGTAGAAGCAGATCACAAAGAAAATCAATACTCCTCCCCAAAAAATCCACTTGTCTTGCTTGGCTCTTTTCTCGATAGTGCGAATGGTACCTTGAGAAACACCCAAAGTGATCAAGCTCTGCGAGAACTTTGACCCGAGTTTCTTTAGCGTCTCGTTTTGCTCTACGAGATCCTCGAAGGCGCTTTGACCCATTTCCAAGATTTGGTCAAGTTGCTGACTACCCCTAGAGAGAGATTGCTTCTCCTTGTACAAACCTTCCAGGTACGACATCGACTGTTGCTGTTGCTGCTGATTGTAGCCATAGCTTCCTTGGTTGTTCAATTCATACGGGTTATCTGATCCCCCGACATGCCTTCTTCCCATAAGCTCCTGTTGGTTGTTCTCTTGAAGAAGAGTCTCTCTTTGCTGGCGTAAAGAGTCGAACTTTTGCTGGAATTGATCCAACTCATTGTTGAACTTGTCCAATCGTATGCGGTGCTTTTCGTCACTGCCCTGAGTCTGCTGAATCATGTCGTTGTATTCCTTGATGGTTTTCTTGAATGCTGTGAGAGAGGTGATAATGGATCCCTGAAGGGACATTGGCGAGGTCAGGAGATTTTTTTCCAATGACGCTAAATCTCGCGTAAGATGATGTGTTTGTCTAACTCCATGATTGTAGAGAGCGTTCATTGTGGACTTTGAAAGACGTTGATGTGCTGGTGTTTAGTGTTTTTGAATACTAGTAATATTATTCGAGGAAAATCACGTGATCACTATCAAAATACGTATTTTTAGGGCGTTCCTTGCTTTGGTGAATTTCACTGGCTACATTCTGAGAAGTTCTATATGTCATTCTCGTGAAGCTTGCCCCAGTATCTTCAAAAAGTGAAGGTGTGGAACACCAGGGCAGGCAAGGGAACAGTGATTCCGCGTTGCGAAACCCCGATGGGCCATTGTTTTGTCGCTTGCTTCAGTCAGTTGATAGCTGCAAGCTTCCAATGAGGATCCTGAGATTTGAGTTCGCGTCTAGGTCTGTGGTGCCGTTGCGAAGCTCGAAGATGTGTTAGAGGGCGGAGTAGGTGTTTTGTCTAGCCAAAGAAGCGAACAAAGGCCAACATCAAAGCAGCGGTACCTGAACTGACACCGATCAACCATTGCATAACCTGGGTCTTGACAGACTTGATTTGCATCTGCATGTTGGCGATTTCCTCGTCGATTCTCGTGTAAGTATCCTCAATCTTGGATTCGTGAAGTGAACTCTCTTCACGGATTCTGCCCTTCTCCAAATTAAGATCGAGTCTAACTCCAGCAGAGTTCTTCGTAATCTCTTCCTTGAGCCTATTTTGCAAGTTGGTCAAGTTTGTGCGCAACTGTTCTTGCTCCTTCTTAAGGTTGGTGAACTCGGACTTGTCCATGGTTTGAAGCTCTCCTTTGAGCTTCGCGAAGTCAACTTTTTGCTGATAAGCAATCGAGTTAAGGGTCTCTTTTGTGACCAAGTTTTTAGCTATCGAGGAGATACCATCGTTGACAGCTTTATTGACAATGTTGACAGCAGCTTCGGCTTGCTCCTCGGTGAACTTGCCCTTTGTTTGAAGTGATTGCACGAACTTCTTCGTATCAAATTTTGTAATAGAGCTGAGCAGTCTTTTGCCAATATTTAGTCCAACGTAGTTCATGTGAAGAGGACTTTGGGGTTTGCTTAAAGTATAGATTGTGTCTTGAGTGAGATAGTTGATATGGACTGCATGGTGTCATCCGTCACTTATCACTCTATTTTGATAGCTTTGCAAGCAGATGTAAATGCTAATTGATAGAACTTCCCAATGGCTCTTCAAGCACTTGAAGTTGAGGGATTACCATAACATGTAGTTATTTTTTTTGTGTAACAACCGGGGGTTTTACTCTATCCTTGGTCGCCTGCATATACACTTCGGACTGGGCTTATAGCCTATCCTCCCGCTCAAGATCATGCTTACTCTTCATTATTTTGAAATGCTTGTTAGAGCAAGAGTGGCGAGAGTGGCCCGTTTACCTAGGCCCCTCTTTCATGTGAGGTACAATTCCAATAAGTACAGGTCTATTGACGACTTCAACAAGCAAAAGACTGAATTTAAGTTTGGCTATGGGGTCGATGAGATAGATGAGACGGAGGAAGCCAATAGGAAAGAAAGACTTGAAGCCACAGCCGAGGGATTTCTGGAATTTGATCCGCTGACCCATCCAAGACTTCAAGGTCTTCTGCCGAACTCTCCGGAATGGAAGGAGCAATTGTTCATTATTCAGAAGGAGTTGCAGAAGGAACAGGAAAAGCAGAGAAGAGCCTATGAGAGGAATGAAAGACTTAAGGGACTCGGGCAGGTGTTTTTGCTTTGGTCGGTATAGTTTCCGTCTACTCATTTGTCATGAACTACAAGTATTTGAAGAGTTGGTTCCTGAACAAGATGCACTTTGACATCGATGATTCAAAAGTGAGGGATATGAAAGACCCCAAGGAAAACAGGAAGAAAATGAAGAATTTGGTTGATCGTTTGAGTGAAGAGCTTGCTACTACACCTGGCTTTGTCAATAACTTGAAGGACTCTGAGTCTATTCCGGGACTCTATGTGTTTGGTGGGTTCTCAAAGAACAAGCTTCCCGCAAGATTGAACTTTTTTGATGGCAAGTTCTTGCAAGATGTTTTGATTTCCAACGATTACTTGGTGGTAGTGGATGATCTGGGTAAGGTTTATCATTACAGTCCGAAATTCAAGGAGCCAGTTGCATTGAACATGCCACTGAAAGTATCTCGCGTCTTGAAATCTGGGGATGGATTTTATTACTTGTCGAAAAATCAAAAAGAACTTTACAACGGCCCTAAACTTGACAAGCTTCCCAAGAAATACAGAGGTTGGTTTGGCTCTTCAAGTTACAACTATCCAGTGGAGAAGTTGAAACTTGATGTTCTCAATGGTGAAAAGGTGGAGCAGATTACGGCAGGAAAAAGCCATCTCCTCATTCTCAGCTCTAAAGGAAAACTTTACGGTACCATCACTTCATCTCACTTCGAAAATAAGGGGCAGTTTGGCTTACCAAAGTACTCGCCATATGAAAAGTCCCCTTCCATTGTGCTCAACGAGATCTACGATTTGGCAAACATAAACAATGAGATTGTTACCACCAAAGAAGGCAAGTTTATTCGTCAAAGAACATTTGCAACGATTGCCAGTGGAGAGAATTTCAATGTCGCAAGTGAAGCAAACGGAAGTATATGGGCATGGGGCGCCAATGCATTTGGTCAGTGTGGCAAGGACATTACTTCGCCTGATGATGTGCAGCCAGTTCCTAGACTTGCGTACACATTGGCTGAATTGGAGAAGTTAGTGAAATACAGTTTACCAAAGAATGGAGCTGGTTTCAAGTACAGCGTCAAGGACGTATTTGCATCTAACGAGACTTCCTTTATTCGAATGGAGAGCACAAATGAGGAAGACCCTTCGAAGGATCAGGAACTCTTGCTCAGTTTTGGTGCTGGGCTTCTTGGCCAATTGGGCCAGTCCAAATACATGCATGTTGCATCAGTTCCCTCCGTTCTTAAGTCGTTGGTCGGCCTCACTGAGTTTGATGAGAAGGCTAAAACGATCAAAAATATTGGCATCAAGGACGTTGTTCCTGGTGGAGACCACACTTTTGTCGTTTTGGACAATTCAGGTCCTAGCAAGGACGTTGTGGTGTTTGGAGAAAACATCAAGGGTCAATTCGGCAATGGTAAGAGTGTCAAGAGCGCTAAGCCTGTTGCCTTGCCCAAGCTCATTGAGCCTAGCGACTTCGCCGAGAATGAGGCAGCTTCAAAGAAAAAGTTGGCAAAGAAGATTAACAACGTCACCACTAGTCGTCTCCAGCTTCTCGACGGAGCGAAGATCGGCAAAAAGTCTGTTGAGCAGGTCATAGCTGGCGGCAATGACGGGCTGGCTATCTACTATCGTGCTCAGTAATGCACTTAATCTTGTATATATTAAAACTGATTACAAACCGAAGGTCTCCTTCAAGATCTTAATAGTGTCAGCAGGCTCCTTGACGGCGTGACCAATGGTTCTTGGGTCGGAGTAGATCTCCCAGTCGTTACCACCCTCGTAGGCCTTGTCACCAAAGAAGTGGATTTCCTTGAAGCCCTCAGCCTCAACGTGCTGAAGGGCGTAGGTCTTGTCCCAGCCGGTGGGGAACACGTCGAAAGAGATCTGGCCACCAATGGAGTAGGTCAAGCCGTAGTCAGGGAAGTTCTCTTTGAGGGCGTTGACGAGCTTCTCTCTGATCTTGTGCTCGTTGTCGAATTTTTCAAACTCGTTTCTCTCCTCAGTGGAGGCGTTTCTGCCGACAGGGGACACGTTGATCATACCGTTTCTGAACTCAATGAAGGTACCTCTTCTGACTGGGATGTCGATTTCAGACAAGTGGCGCAAGATGAACTTGACAAGCTTGTTGTACTTCTCATTGCCGATCCAGTTAATGAAAGACTGAGAGGCGAGCTCCTTGCCGAGCTTGTAAGCAGTCAAACCGTTCTCAGAGAAACAGTAGTCAAAGTCCTGCAAAACAGTGCTGCCCAACTGCTCCACCTGCTTGGACAAGTCACTACCACCAACGAAACCAATCACCACCTTCTTTCTCAAGGCCTTCAAAGTATCTCTCATCTCGTCAGAGATGGTAAGTCTGGCGGGAGTCAAAGTGCCGTCGACATCGAACAACACGAGCGTGTCTGGCTTTTCCTTGTGTGAGAAAGACATGGTAATGGAGAATGAAGTGAAGGTTCTGCGGGAAATGCCAGCTATTTATGAGACGCGGTGGCCGTGCATCCAGGAACGGTCCATCGACGTAGGCGAAGTGGTCCAGCGCTGTAGAATTTCGTTTACGTTTTCTAGAGCGTTTCTATAAAAGATCAGAGACTTAAGAAAAGAAACCGAAATAATCTGTGCCGTGTTTGTTGTGCTGCTAGATCACCGTATTTGACGTGTTGTGTGCCTCGTGGCTTTCGCAGCCATTTTCGCAACCAGCCACCATGCCTCGATGGCAGTGCTACCAGATTCTCAAGACAGGGCTTTTTTAAAAAAAATTGAATCAGCATTTGCATAGTATACTATAGATTGGAATATACATCGCGAGAATTCTTTGTAATTCCGTTAAAATGAGTGCGTTCCCCTGGCACGGCTGAAGTCCGGGTGTGATTCTTCCGAAAGTTACAATGATGAATTCTCACCAGGGCTCATCGTCTTGAAGCAATTTTTTAAATTTCACTGAAAATCAAACTATGATGATTTCGTTGGAGAATGTTTGCCGTGTTGGCAGTCCGGAGCACATATCGCCAAAGAATAGCTGTGGGTGTGGTTCATGAGAACCTATTTTTCCGATTCAGCTACAACGGCGCCGCAGTTTTCAGGAGCCTTTTCCGCTGCAATGGAAATAGACTTTAAAGGAGGCAAATTGCGATCTGGACGTGCCTGGTGACTAGCCATCTTTGAGACTTATAAAAATGGCTTCTAGTTTTGGTTGAGCCGGTGTTTTCATCACGCAGTGTAAGCCTTGCTTATTTACGGAGCAATACTTTTTTTACCGCTATTCATCGATGCACTACAGTTTATCAAGTAGCAGAGTCAATTACAGATATACACCTAAGCCTGGTACTGGTAGTTAGGGAACTGAGTCAAGTTCTCCTCAAGGTTACCCTTCTTGGACAAGAACTTAACGTAAGCACCGTCGTCCTTGACCTCACCGTTTCTCTTCTTGGCGATGTACTCTTCTCTGTCAAGAGGAGTGAAACCCCACTTCTTGGAGATAATGATCTTCTGCTGACCTGGGAACTTGTATCTGGCTCTTCTCAAACCCTCGATAACAACGTCCCTGTTGGAGTCCTTGGTTCTGGCGGACATGAGGACCTGACCGATAGTGACTCTAGCGGCCAAACCGTGAGGCTTACCCCAGGCGTTTCTCATACCCTGCTGCAATCTATCAGCACCGGCACACGACAACATCTTGTTGATTCTCAAGACGTGGAATGGGTGGACTCTCACTCTCAAGTGGAAAGAATCTCTACCGGAAACCTTGGTGATGTACTTGTTGGCACAGATACGAGCGGCTTCCAAAGCCTCAGAAGACAACTGCTCAATCTCGTTAGAGACCAAGTGGACACACAAGGGGAAGTCATCGACGGAAGCCTTCTTTCTACCCAAGTCGTAGATTCTGATCTTAGGGTCTGGGACGGCTCTGTTGTATCTAGACTTTGGGTAAGGCTTGTTCTTACAGTATCTGTAACATCTAGCTGGTCTTCTAGCCATTTTGTCTGAAGAAGTTAGTAAGTGAAAAAGGATGAGATTTGCGCAGACTGAATGATGCTTATTAATAGGGTCGTGTGGTGTCAAAACAGAAAAAATTTGGAATGGGTGGCAAAAAGCGGATTTCCTTGAAAGCTTGCTTCGGTGGGCTTTCAAAACTGATAAAACTCGGTGGATTGGGACTGGCTTTGACACTGGTAAATTGCTTAGTGAGCATTCTACCACAACCGTATCAGGACGGCAATAAGGGCTAAGGAATTGGGAGGAATCGGAATGGACAGGAAATGGGAACGAGAATGTTTATAAAATCATTTTGGTCTGTTTCGCTGGCGTCGTGGAACATACCTGTTGGAACTAGTCGTTAAAGGAGAAGCAGAAAGGATTTCGTGAAAGATTTTTTCTTAGTGAGCCTCAGCAGCACCGGAGTGCAGATAATGTAGGGCTCGCGCTTGAATATGGGGGAGAGTACTGTGTAGACGAGAAGTTTGGTCACGTGTGTTTGTGACTGTTGAGAGGACGAAGGTAACTCCAAGAAGAAAGAGGCTCTACGCTGAGTCAGTGTTCATCTAATGTTTCCATGGTATACCATGACTCAGAATTGAAGAAGGCGTGGTTTTGGGGAGTTTGAAGAGTTTTTAGGTGACTATAGAAGTTTGTCTGCACTTTCAACTGTTTGCAATGTCCCAATAAAAGTGAATAGAAACAGCAAAAGCAAATTCGAATATCACGGAGCACTCTCAATAAGATTAAACTGAATCTAGAAAAAAGGCCGTCCCTCGGCTATAAGCTTGTTATCACATCCGAAGGCACTTGTTTCGCAGCCACACAAATGTAAGCAGGTTGGCTGTAACTGTAGATCCAATTGATAACAATCTAATTGGTAACACTTGGACAATGAGAAGATTCTTAATATCTATTGTCAATGTCTGGCTCTCCTGGTGATGATCTCCCAAAACAAACAGACAAGTATACTTTTACAGTTACCTCGCAGGCCTTTGTTAGAGACGCTTAACTTCCGATCTTTGTGAAACAACTGAAGAGAAGATTTGTTTGAAGACAAAGAGCTATTAGAAAGCTTGAAAGGTAATATTTTTTTGGCATTATACTGGTAGAATTACAAATGTTTGTCCCACAGGCCTTGTTCTTACACCCGTACACCGGGATGCTCATCTCAGATAAGACAGGCGGATCTAAATATTCTTTTCAAGATCTCAAAATGGGAAGGTACTCTGTCAAAAGATATAAGACGAAAAGAAGAACTAGAGATCTTGATCTCGTTTACAAGGACCTCTCAACCAAGGAGTCCGTCTATGCTTTGAAGAATCAGCCGTTGGACGAGACAAAGCCTGGCTTGGGTCAGTACTATTGTGTGGAATGTGTTAAATATTTCGAGTCTCAGCCCACTTTGGACCGTCACGGAAAAGGAAAGGTTCACAAGAGAAGATTGAAGGATCTCAGACAGAGACCCTACACTCCATTGGAGAGTGAGGCTTGTGCTGGTTACAACCTACAGAAGTTCATGGATTCTGTCGAGAAGTACAAGCAAACCGAGCAGTACAAGGAGGAAAATAAGCAGGACCTTGACGCTATTAAGGATGCTAAAAAGGACAACTTGGATGCTATTATCACAGGCATCCCCTCTGAGCAGGCTGATCTCGAAATGAAGGACTAAGCTTCCAAATCAACCCATGCAAGCATTATAGCTACGTTTAGCCAAACGGCAGCATTCAGACCACGGTCTGCTGGATTCATGTACACTAGATAATCGGATTAGATAGACAGATGCATGCAAATGTAGAGTACGTTATCTCGAAGAAGGATGTTCACTGCTTTTAAATGAAAAGAGGGCTTTCACAAGATGATTTCTTGAAGGAAAAATATCGAATAAGGCTTCGATCCATTTAATTTCTCGACGTAAAAGTGCTTCCAAGAATCTGGTGATATCCATTTATACTGCATTCCGCGATAAGTAAACCGCAGATAAGTAAGCCACCTACATGAGAATCAAAGTGAAGACGCCATCTGCAACAGATGTTATAACTATAGACGATGAATCAATCACAGTTGCAGAACTAGTCTCGCATATTTCTCGATCGTCCTCGAAGCTTGGTGGAACCGCGATAGCCTCCTTCAAAGTCGGCTTCCCTCCACAAACTGTTGATGCCGCATCCACCATTCCAATTAAAGAAGCAGGTATTCGAGCGAACCAGCAGATTCTAGCCGAGACAGGACCCTCTTCTGGCCTTCAAGAAGGTGGACCCACTGCTACCCCAAAGAATCCACAGAGATCCCGAGTTTCTATGTCAAAGAACTCGACAAGTATGCTATTCTTCGTAATGTTCCAGATGATAACTCATGCATGTTCAGGGCTATAAGCTACTCGCTCACTAACCAACTTTCTATGGACGGTATCAATCTCCGACAGATTGTTTCTGATACAATCGCAGGCGATCCGTTTACGTATAACGAGATGGTACTCGGGAGACCGATCGACAAATACTGCGAGTGGATACAAAAGAAGGACTCATGGGGTGGCGCAATTGAGCTCGGAATCATTGCGGGCTCTTTGGGCATCAGGATCAACTGCTTTGATGTGGAAACAGGCAATTTGATGGTCTTCCAGGATGAAGCAGCCAAACCTTCCAAGTTTATCTGTCTAGTATATTCTGGAATTCACTACGATAGTATTGTTTTGAATGGCATTTTGAGCCTGAATAAGCAAGCTGACGTTGGCAATTGGAGTCTGCAAGAGGACCTCATTGTGAGTGCCAGCAAGCTGCTCGTGAAACTTCTACAGCTGAGGAATTACTCAACAAATACCACCACATTCCGTGTGCGTTGCTTGGAGTGCTACCTGGTTCTCGTGGGAGAAAACGGAGCATCTAAACATGCCAATGAGACCGGTCACTTCTCATTTGGCGAGGTGAAGTAGGTTTAGGAAAGCTTTATTTTGGGCTCTAACAAGTAAGTTCTTGAATGAGAATTGCTTCTCGCCAAAACTGAATGAAAATGCTATTAATTGTCTTATTCACTGTTCGTCTCTTGCACCCATTACATAAGCGCTGACATGCGATGCGCATCTTAGGTGCACATTTTTTGAGATGAGAAAAGCACATCTCTAGCATCAACACCTCTCATTATGGCCAAAAAAACTCTAGCTGAGAAGTATGCTGATTTGGACCAGCCTCCAGACTTCGATATTGAAAATGAGGACCTGAATCCATTCGCTCGTGTGGATGCGGAAAACCTACTGGGGTCCGATGAGTCTGATGAAGAGCTTAAGACAGGACACTACGTTCCTGTTGGTAAATCCAAGCTCAGAAGCCAGAATGGTACTTTGGTCAAGGGTGAGAAGTACAAAGGTGCTGTTGCCTCCAGAAAAGACCTTTATGATAGCGAGGGTGAGCAAGATCTGGATGATCAAGGGGACGATGCAAGCCAGGACGAAAGCATGGATGATGATGGAGAAGAGAATGACGAAAGCAATGAAATCGAACACAAAGACGATGAAGAAATCTCAGAGCAGGAGAGTGACTCGGGTGTCTCGCTTAGGGCTAACAGCGACGATGAGTCCAGTGGCGACGATGAATCTGAGGAAGAAGAGGATGCAGACATGAAGAGGGATAAAATAAAGGCTATGATGACTAAAGAGAGAAAACATATTGTGAATAGACTCTCGGAGGCCGCTACCCAAGAAGCTCTCAAGGGTTATTCCATCTTGCAACAGCACAAGCTCTTCGACTCTCTAATAGATGTCAGACTCAAGGTTCAAAAAGGTTTGACCAACTCCAACCTTTTGCCCGGCAATTACGACACGCTCGAGAAAGAGGGCCTCGGCAATGACTCCACGGAGAACATGATAGATAAGGCATCGGAAAAATGCTACTCATTGCTAGATACGATTTTGCAATTGCGCTCGAAGCTCTTCGTCAAGGAGAACGTGGTTACTGAGCCTGTGGAACACAAGCCAAAGAAACGTACCTTGGATCAATATCTTGATGCATCATCCAAATATGACTCTATACTCAATGACTATAGAAGCAACGTTCTCACGAAATGGCTGGCCAAGATCCAAAATTCGTCAGGATCGAGCGCCATTAACGCCAGCAAGTTCAAGGCACTCAATCAGTCTGCAGAGCAGCAAGTGATGAATAACTTAGCTGACATGGAGCGTCTTGTCAAGAGAACCAAGCTTAACAGAAGACTGTTGAAGCCTTTGGGCTACGAATTCTACGAAGCATCGAAGAAGGAGAATGACGAGCTGGAAAGTGAAGGTGAAGGCGATGGTGACGTTCCAAAGGCGTCTCAGGGTAGACTGCTAAACGTCCAGGAGATGGAACTGATTTTTGACGATGAAGATTTCTACAGAGTCTTATTGAACGACTTGGTCGATAAAAAGATTCAGTCTTCGGATCCAACCTCTGGTTTACAGTTTGCCATGAGAGGCGCCGCATCAGCCAAGGTTAAGAAAAACGTTGATAACAAGGCATCCAAGGGTAGGAAATTGAGGTATCATGTGCAAGAGCCTATTGCCAACTTCGAGACGCCGCAGTCGGTGCTCAAGTGGGAAGATGACCAGATTGACGAGTTCTTCGCCTCGCTTTTAGGTCAAAAAGTTAGCATGAAGGAGGAACTCTCGGAGGACGAAGCCGACGAAGAGCCTCTTGTGGGAGACAACACTATCAAGTTGTTTGGGTAAACTACAAAAATATTTTCAATATAACCTTCCCTATGTACAAAGTGTAGACTGTCTCTATTAACGTCTGGAGTTGAGTTTCTTAGCAGTACGAGCGTTACTTCTGGTACCCTGGCCTCTGACTGGGTAACCATCAGCATGTCTCTGACCAGCGTAAGACTTGATCTTCTTCTTCAACTGAATATCATTGTGGATCTTCTGCTTCAACTGATGCTCCACTTGCATCTCGGAGAGTTCCTTGTTGATGGACATGATCTGAGATTCGTTGAGCTGGTTCATTCTCATCTGGGGATAGAGGCCCACCTTGGCACAGATAGTTTTGGCAACATGGGGGCCGACACCAAAGATGTTACCGGCAAGGCCAAGATGCACAAGCTGGTTATGCTTGATAGCTTTACCGAAGACGTGGACAACCATGGGTGGTAGGTACTCTGAATTCTCAAGATTTTCAATGCGAGAGGTGCAGTGCAGGTCGGTTTTGGTAGGTAGGGAAGACCTGTTGACAAAACCGTTGTAAACTGGTGTTTAGAAAAGGAAAGCAAGTTTCTAATATTAGGATAAATAGGTTTTGTCGTCAAGGTGTTCTTTCATTGGCTTTTGTTTTTTTTAACTCGGTGTATCAATCCCCTTAATTCATGAATGTTCGCGAACTTGACCTCACGGTTGCAAAATCTACTTCGAAGTTCTACCTTGGACATAATTATAATTTTAACAATGTCACATAAATATAGTAATATTGCCATAACAGAATTGTTTTGAGTCTTCGAAATATTTCTCAGTTCCTATCTGTAGGTAGAAACAGATTTAAATGGTGAGCTGTGCTGGGAAGAGCTCTGATAATACAAGAGCAGATGGACCGACATATATGAGCTAAAAGTACGACAAACCAATGGGAGATTGCATTGATTATGACTTGTCAGCTTCTTACCTCCCTAAATACGTGATCCCCATATATCTGCACTGTACCAATAAGATTTATCTACGAAAAACTCATCTCTGATGACATGATTTCAACGGTACTGCCGTTTCCTATTGACCTTTTCAGCTTTGCTGCTATTCTACCTGCGTCCGTGCTCCTCAAGATCGAGCCGTAGAATCAAAAGGGACCGTAGAAGGCCAATCATTGTGATGAAGGAGGCCAAACCTACTGGCACGACAGCGAACACAACAATATTGTAAAAATCGAAGAAGCGTGCCCGCCGCTTACCTTTCAAGTCGATGTTCAGTGTGACAAAGTTTTGCACGATGTAAAGCAAAGTCAACGCACATGAGATGAGAATCCATGTGTGAAGACCATATTGGTAGCCCTCGGCGGAAAATGCAGAGACAAGATATTGTTCGATAGCCACTAGGATGGTTGACATGGACAACATACGCACAATGGCGCCTGTTGTGGAGTAAGTGACGATCCAGCGGACCATGAGGCCATCAAGAACAGAGTACAGCAAGTAGCCAGCCACGATGCACCAAATGCCTTCAAGGAAATGCTCAGAGCCCCTGGCCGTGGTAATGCCTGCTCTGGAGCCGGAGAACTTTTCTCCGCTGAGAAATACTATCCACCACGACTCACAGAGACCCATGATACACGGAATGAGAGAAACGTCTCGGCACACGGCAAGCAAAAAGTGCTGTTTGGCATTGAGGAACTTGAGACCGAGATTCTTCAAGGAACGTTTTTTGGGCTGAGGCTCTCGGCTATGTTCCCGCAGCGTGACCCGTCTCCGGTCGAAGAATCTGCTGTTCAGGTGCAAAAGTGTCGATCTGCTCGAGTTATTCGACGTCATCAGGGCCAAGCTGGAAGGATCCAGGTTATGGTATGCGTGGTCTGGCGGAGTCAGACATTCATTGGGCGGAGTCAGCTCCACGCTAGGGCGAGGCGCCTCATCAAGATGGACAGCAGAGCCTCTGTGGTGTTCTTGCAGCAGTTCGTACAGAGGCACAGGCTCATCCGGGTCATACACGCTGTCAATTACATTCATGGTTTCGTCAGTGCTGGAGCTGTGCATGAGCCCCATACGCATGAGCAGGTCCTGGTCGATGTCGGCGGGATCTCTGGCTTCGTCACGAGAAGCCCTTCCTCGTCTAGTTCGGGTGTAGTCCTCATCCACTAAATACAGCAGTAGCTGCTGCAGGGAGACCCGGCGGCGGAGACCGTTCCAAAGAGGCATGCGAAGAGAGTGGTCGTTCTTTGGGAGGGTAGGCCGGAGGTGTGGTGTGGAATTTGCCCTAGATATTGGCGATGTGCTTAAGACAAAATGTAGGTGATAACGGCTCGATGGTGAGACACTGCGCATTTTTCAGGCAGCATTCCGAGAGCCCACACCCCTCCGTGCTGGCGGGAATATGTGTAAATATTTTTCGTGAATCTTCATATCTCGGCATTCAAGAAGCGTATTGGAGAACTTCGGTGGCTTCGTTTTGTTATGTTATGTCTGGGCGGGCCCAAATCCGAGAGGTTCTCATGCCTCAAGGATGCCTGGGATTGCGACATGATAAGCAGCTCCGAGAAAATTAGGACATGGTCAAGCTGAAGTTACGTTTTTTGCAATTGTGGACGTGTTATCTCGGAGATGTCGTAGTGAACTGTTTGGGCGGAGGCCAGCCCTCGGTGTCGGAGCGGCTATTGTACACGAGCCACGTCTTGTAGATGGTCGTGCCATGTGTGGTTGAAAGAGAAAACGCCGTTCGTTGCAATATTGATTATTTTGGTGTTTGAACAGGTGCGTTCGTCACAAGAGCTTAGATTTGGCTGATGGTTGTGAGCCAGGCCAACCTTCAAGTCATTGGATCAAAAGATCGATGGGAATTGGGTTTGAAAACTGTTTTTTTTTTTAAGCAATTCTACATTCTCTCTTAATGTCCCTCTGTCTCTGTCTCTGTCTCTGAGGCGAGTCGTGACGTTGGTTGGGAGCATGCAGCAAGCGACCTCGTCTAAATCTCGTCAATTAGCGTGGCATTGTTAACAGAATACCGCCAATATTCATGAAAACCGGCTTCTTAGTGCAAGCCACGGCTAAAAGACAATTGCTTCGATGCTCGTCCCCGTTGTCCAGACTATCTTGTAACGTTGGTTGTCAAGCAAAACTCATCGTTTGAGGTCGAAGCACAAAACACCATTCCGTGGCGGCGTTTGAGATTTCACTATCATGAATTATCATAAAAGGTGGATTTCAGGTAATGCAACAGTAGAAAGAACGTTTTCGGTAACATCAAGTAGGGCACTTGTCCTAGCCGAGGCTCACTTAACGACCCCACACGACATGACACCATAGGACAATGGGGAGAGTAGATTGAAAAATTAATCGAACGAGTTTTCGATCCAGTACAGCGAGATGTTGACACCTGTGTGGTCAATGGCGTTCCTCTCTCGCCTTTCCATCCTCTACTGGTCACCACCATCATACTCTTCTACCTCTACACGAACAGTGACTAATCTAAAACCCAAAAGGGCTCAATTAGGCGCTGGCAGCGCAATATAAACGAAACGCCATAGGTATCATGCAGCCAGAAGCCGCTTAGATGGCCTCCAATTGCTGGCTGATCTCCTCCAACTCGGCCTTGGAGGCAGCGTACTTCTCGTCCAACTCCTCGTACTTCTTCTCCCAGTCGTCCTTCTCCTGCTCGAGGGAAGCAACCTTTCTCTCCAACTGCTCGGCCTTGATGTCGGTCTCTCTCAACTTGGCGGTGGTCTCCTTCAAGTTCTTGTCAGCCTCCTCCAACTCTTCTTCCAAGACAGAGTTCTTCTTGGTGTAGTTCTCGTTGGAAGTCTTGAGAGAGTGAGACTCGTTGGCAGCCTCCTTGACCTCGGCAAGGTCGGTCTCCAACTTCTCAACCTGCTCCTCCAAGACCTGGTTCTTTCTGGTCAAGGCCTGGATCTGGTGGTCCTTGTCCAAGTTCTCCTGCTCCAACTCCTTGATCTTTTCAGACAACTCGTCCGATTTTTCTTGCCACTTCTCGGCGTCCAACTTAAGGTTGTTGAGTTTCTGCAGTTAGTATATGCTGTCAAGTTGCCAATGATTCGTGGCGAATTTGATCCGGGCAGCCGAGCCTCAGCTTCATGCAAAAGCTCCATGTAATGGATGCTATTTCAGAGATTTGCACCATTACTAATTGACATGGTATCTAATCTGCAGCTGTACATACCTCCTTGAGTTTGTCCATTTTGTAGTAAAAAGGTAGGGGTAGGTTTTTTTCTGCGTTAGGCGATTTATGCGTAAACAAATACTAGGGGCGCGGGCCTCGTTAAACTATAGAATGCACCACAAGAAAAGTCACGTGGCCGATCTGAAACGTGGCAACATAGCCTGCCCCAGAGCACTGAACACATCTACTTGAAAAGGATTTATTAAGGTATTCATTGTGTGACATTGTTGTAGACCACTCGGGCTTGTTGGTAACTAACGTGTTTTTGTGTCGCACACGACCGGCATACTCTTGAGCAGCACCATCAGTTACTGTGCACCAACTATCATGTCACAGAAAACAGACCCCTCCAAATTTCTTTCATCCATCATAGGCCTGTCTGTTGTTGTAAAGCTCCATAATGGTGTGCAATACCTGGGCAATTTGCAAAGCATAGATGGTTTCATGAACGTTGCCTTAGACAGTGCAAAAGAGGTGGTGGGTGAAAAAGAAGGAAGAAGCTTCAATGATGTTTTCATCAGAGGCAACAACGGTATGTTTGTTGAATATTCTTGATTTATAGAGGATACTAACATCAAGTTTTGTACATTAGCGAGTTTTAGATCATATAGTCAATCGAGGGACGGTTATCCAGATGTAGGTGAAGCAACATACACCATAATTTAGGTGGAATGAATGGCAAATGAGTGAAGAATGAAGGATGAAGCTGTTGCGTTTCTATTTATCAATGCTTCGTTTGATTTATTTAGTGGTGGTATGAACAAGCCCCCACACTTCGATCGCATATCACCTTCATGGTGATGGGAATCATTGGAGGCAGTGGGCTAGGAATCGAACAAGAACAAGCTTTCTATGAACAAAACTTGAGAGACTAGAAGGGCCTTATGTTCTCGAAATCTGAGCTTTTCGGAGTCAACCTCGCGACTTCAACAGCCAAAAGAGCTCACAAAGTACATGATACTACAAGTTCGTGACACCTGTGAGATAGTTTAGATCTGACTTATGGTCACGTCTTTACCACTCCAAGGAATTGGATCGAACCGTTGCTTCGGGTGCCAAGGTCACGTGCATTACTACGAGTAACGAGATTTTCCCCTTCGATCAGGTTCGAAACGCAATGAAAACATTTTGAAGATGTCAGAATGCCACCGTTAAAAATATTCTTTCGAAGAAAACCTAATAAATTCTAGAGCATTGTTCGATTAACCCCAAGTAGACTTCGTTACGTCCCAACTCACCTGCATACAAGCGTGGACGAATGAGAGCGCACAACCTAACAAAAGCGAAAACCGGTTCCACCGAAAACTCTTTCATCACCAACCATGTCCTTCATCATCAGAAGACAATTGTCCACCTTGATCCCACCAAAGATCGCCTCTGCTAAGGTATGTGCTACAGGTTTCGCAGACACGAAAAAACGGTGAAATTACGTCCCTTATTACGCAAGTTATAGTGAACTAAAGTGGCCACACACATCCAAAAGAGAACCCCCGAAATTATCCGATAAATGGCATCCATGTAATTCTCGAATCGAAGTTTCCTCAATAAAGTTATCCAACGTCCAATTTTCAAGAGCAGTTCTGTCCAATTCGTCCGTATACATCCAACTACAAGATGAGATACACGTCAAGGCAATTCCCCTTACGTCCACGGAATAATTTCACCTCAATGTTTCACAACCAGTAATACTAACCCACAGAACATTGGTGGCGCTGCCGACGCCAAGAGAATGGGCGAAGTTGTCTCCTTCTACAAGAAGTTGCCAACTGGTCCAGCTCCAGCTCCTAAGAAGCCATCCACCCCTTGGGGCAAGTACAAGGCTGCTTACTTCGACGGCGAGAACGCTTCCGGTAAGCCCTTGCTTCACTTGGCCGCTGTTGTGCTCATCTCCGGTTACATCTGGGAGTACCAGTCTCACTTGAAGCACCACAAGCATTAGACGACTAAATAGTGAATCTATTAACGACAGATAGTTGTAGTATGGGCGATATGTGAACGGCCATTTGAGAGTAGTTGCATGGGCAATTCGACAGATAAGATTCCGTTGGAATGCAAACACGCAAGTTAGCGATTTCAATGAGGAAGCTTTCTGAAGAATCGAGACACCTACTTCACATTGGACAGTGCAAGTGATAGAGTTATCGTGAGAGGAGCGAACAATAGCATATGCTCTCAAGATGGGGCTGTCTTTATGCATCCACAGCTTCGATTAAATACGAGACGAACGTTGAATGTCCTGACACGATTTGCAAAGTGCTGTGAAAAAGTCAAAAGGGCTAAATACAGCTTCCAATATTCAAGAAAACCCCAAGAAGTAAAATTGCAATCGAGGCTCGATAAGATCACCAGAAGATTACTAAAGTGACAACATATTCTAGCAATCTGACGTCAAAAAGATTAAAATCTGCAACCCAAAAACAGACTGAAGCTCACCGATGAAGCAAATCTCTCCATCAGAATATTCCTCCATCAGAATACTCCTCCATTGAAAATTTCACAGAACTCTCTGTTCTCATCTACTGGCACATGGTTGATGGCAGAGACCTACATAACCAAAAATAGCAAATCAGGGCATCTTTGTTACTCAAGAAGGGTACAAAGATCCAACTGAAGAAGCCTCAATCTAAAAAGAAGAATGTCCTAGAGGAAGCTTTAGAATGTTCCACGAATATTAGGTTACCACACATATGGCTGCAAAATGGCCGAGAAAAACAAAAACAGCCTGATAAATCCAAGCTTCGGCGATTAACCCCAAGCTTCGGCGATTAACCCCAAACTTAGGGTTTGAAAATGTAAATGACTAAATCATCCCGTATGGGTGAGATTTTCCGGAAGCAACCTTAACATTCCGTGTCCCACTGCCCGCATAACGTCGGCCAGCCCAGGCTGGACCATATACGACCTTTCACGAATTGACCGAAATGAAGGATAATATCGGAAAATTAGGGGTTTCTCAAAATTGACTAGTGTAAAGAATCGGCTCCACTGGTCAATTCCGGGTTACTGCCGTTCGGTGCCTCGATGACTCAGACGTGTCTGGGGAAGCCTACATGTGAAGACACAAGCTAACCCACTCGTTCGCCTCCAAAATCCCCTCGTAAACCACCACCACTCTTCGTAGTACACCAAATGTCAACCAACACCTCAAACTCTCAAATTCAAAGACCTCCCCTGTTCAGGGCGGAAGATCGCATAGTCGATCTCGTACCTGGGACTGTGCCTGTGCCGCACCGTATCCACAGCCACCAGGCGGCCAATTTGAGTGACCCACGGAGGTGACGAAACCGAAGGAGCTGAACTCATTCAAGAATAAAAATAGTGTTGTTTTGGAACAATTTCGTAGGAATCCCCCGCTATTTATACAATTCGGCTCCACTGTCTTGCACAAGGTGGCGTCGTAGATCCAAGCCCGTCCTGCCTCCATTACCTCATTCCATTCCACGTTGTGACCTACAGCACCCGTCCCAGCAGGCAAAGACAAAAAGTGGAAAACGCACAGAAGAATCCACGATACAAGCCTTCCCCTTCCCCCAAGGTCCCCTGGAAAAACTCTCTGGAATTGGAACATTCGGCCACTCTGCACGCAGTCCACGTGAGCAACCTATCCTTTTTTTCTACAAACATCACCAACCCACCTACACCTTGAATAGGCCATTGCCAACAACACAGACGTGGAATCGCCATTGCCCAGCATCGTTGACACCCGTTCACCACAAACCCTTTCATTGACACCACCAGCCGCCATCAGCAAGCCCTATGGACGGCTCCAGGCATCCACCGTATCCCCCGCCAGGTCAAAGAACAGGCCTGGGAACACAGAGAAACGCCCCTAGTCTGCTGGCGTCGCCGCAGCCCCCTCCAGGAATGAGCCCTGGCCAGCCTGCTACTCCTCGAATGTTGAGAAGCGTTTCTAATTCGATCAGAGGCTCTCGGGACATGGATTTTGGAGAACCAGAGGGAAAGGAGAAGGAGCTCCTTCCGGCGCCTCCTCTCACGCAGAAGAGCCAGCCAGAGCCCCCTAGCCAGAGTCATCAGCAGCAACAGCAGCAGCAGCAGCAGCAGCAGCAAAGTCAGCAACAACAGCACCACGGTCAGAGTCATAGCCATCAACAAGGCCACAGCCAGAGCCAAGGAACCAGCCACGGCGGCCACAGCCAGAACCGCACATCCAAAAGCTCGTCCCAGCAGCAGCAACAACAGCAGTTCCATAGAAAGTCCATTGGCGACTGGGACTTCATCAGGACCATCGGTGCTGGTTCTATGGGTAAGGTCAAGTTGGCCAGACACAACGCTACGGGCGAAAAGTGTGCTGTCAAGATCGTTCCAAGAGCAGCAAAGTTGTACCAGAGAGCACACGCCAATGACGCCCCGCCAAACCTGGCAGAAGAGGCAGCACAGAGACAAAAGGAGTTTGAGAAGGAAGTGGCCCGTGACAAGAGAACCATTCGTGAGGGCGCCTTGGGAAGGCTTCTCTTCCATCCGCATATTTGCCGTCTCTACGAGATGGTCCCCATGACTAATCACTACTATATGCTTTTTGAGTACGTTGAAGGTGGTCAATTGCTAGACTACATTGTGTCGCATGGGTCCTTGAGCGAGAAGTACGCCCGTAAGTTTGCCAGAGGCGTTGCCTCCGCATTAGACTACTGCCACAGGAACAATGTTGTCCACAGAGACTTGAAGATTGAGAATATCATGATCAACCAAAAAGGTGACATCAAAATTATCGATTTTGGATTGTCAAACTTATACTCGCCCAAGAACCTTCTTAAGACGTATTGTGGCTCGTTGTATTTTGCAGCGCCCGAGTTGTTGAGTGCAAAGCCATACACTGGTCCTGAGGTTGACGTATGGTCTTTCGGTGTGGTATTGTACGTCTTAGTGTGCGGTAAAGTACCCTTCGATGACCCAGTGGTTTCAGTGTTGCATGAAAAGATCAAGCGTGGTCATGTGGAATACCCATCGTTCATTTCAAAAGAGTGTGTTTCTCTTCTTTCAAGAATGCTCGTGGTTGACCCAACAAAAAGAGCATCATTGCATGAGGTGATCCAGCATCCCTGGATGTCCAAGGGTTACGAGTACCCTGTTCCCAGCTACATCAACAAGAGAGTGCCTTTGACATTACCGCTCGATCCGGAAATCATCAAGTCTATAGCGACCCTTGATTTGGGATCCTCTCAGGCTATCGTGGAAGAACTCACAAATGTTGTCTCCAGTCCAGAGTATCAAATGAGTTCTGAAATTTGGTACAAGCAAGCCAAGCAGGGAAGGCCGTACATTCCAGGCCCTAATACTCACAACTTGCCCGACCCCACAGGTGGGTTCAACCCGCTAGTGTCCATCTACTATTTGGTTGACGAGATGAGGAAGCGTAAGAAGGCCAAGGAGGAGGCTTTGAGAAATCAATTGCAGAGCCAGCTTCAGGAAAGCGACTCCCGTTCCCACGATCAGGTACACCAACAGATCAATTTGCAGAGACAGCAGCACAACACACCAGTCATTGCATCGCCTCCAAGTGGTTCACCAAACCCACCTCAGGCACAAATGGGCCAGCCTCCACGCCGGTCGGCCTCCGAGCATCATAGTTCACCTCAACCACCACCAAAACCAGCCCAGCCAGTTCCTACGTTACAATTCCCAGAGCAAGCTCATACGCCTATGGTTCCAAGCGCTTTTAACAGAGAGTCTCTGTCTCCAGGTCCTAACGAGGGCAAGGTTCAACAACAGATGTTGCTGCAGCACAGCCCTCGCAAGTCAATGAGCGGTAGTGAGTCCGATCAACAATCCGGTAAACTGGGTCTTAATTCGCTTTTGCGCAAATTGTCCGGAAAGAAGTCACACCCTCATGGATCACCCACCAGAAGTGGGACGGCCTCTCCAAACAAGGACGATGTTGCTATGGAACCTGCTTCCTTTATGCCAGATGTCAGAGGATCGCAGGATTCGAGCAGATTGGAGAAGAAGGACCCATTGGTCCGTCGTGGTGTTAGTATGAAAGTTACTGCGAAGGAGAAGTCGAGCGGTTCTCGTGTCAACGTCAAAGACGAATCGAAGGAGCCTGCCAGACAAACGCTCGACCCTAACGCTTCTCAATACAGAGGCCATACGAGAACGCTGTCGAACAGAGGATTTGTGCCTGCTGAATACTTGCCTCCATTACCTACTCTCACCACTGAGGGCATGGGCGACGAGGTTAAATTTGCTAAGGCTGAGAAGCCACACAGCGAGAAGAAGTTCCACCCAACGGCTCGTGCCAAATCTGTGGGCGGTAACATTAGAAAAGATGCGGTCTTCCGTGGAGATGGACAACAACCAGCATTGCCTAATAATATGGCCGCACAAAATAGTGACGAAGGAATCGACAGAGAACACGAGCGGAATGACGCCATGTTTGACGATGTTACTCTTGATGATAAGGAGTATCCTCATCTTCCACACATGACGGAGCAACAAATCGTGGACCAGTTTGCTCATGCCAGACGTAACAGCATGCCGCTGATTGAATATCCAAAGACTTTGTTCTTGAAGGGCTTCTTCTCCGTGCAAACTACCTCGACCAAGCCGCTTCCAGTTATTCGTTACAATATTCTTTCCGTTTTGACAAAGCTTGGTGTGAAATTCCAGGAGGTGAAGGGCGGCTTCCTTTGTGTCCATGCTGCCTCCATTGCCCCCAAACCCACCGAATCTGAGGATGAAGCTAGCGCCATTATCGACGAGTATAGACTGGACGACGAGGAAAGAAAACTATACGGTGACGCGTTTAGTCAGTCATCAGAATCCGTGCAAAAGCAGGTTCCACACAGAGCCAGCACACCAGAGCCCCAAGATGCTCAAACTCCAGTCATCCAGACTCCACAAACTCGTACGCCTCTGAGCAAGTCCAGAGGTCCATCTAGACAACCATCATTGCATGTGGACACAACCATGTTATCTCCCCCAGCAGGAGGAAACAGTTTCAAGGGTCATCAGAAGTCCAACTCAATTGGAGGAGGACACAGAAGAAAGTTCTCTATCGGTCAATCAATACTCGGCTCTTACAGAAAGAAGAATGGATCACAGACATTGATGCCTCCAAACACACCAGCTGCAGCCAGACTCAATAAGCTGCTTTTGGGATCCGCCGATATCGACTATGACGATCTTGACGAGGAAACCCGTGCTCAGTTGCAACAATTTACCGACGATGATTCTGTTGATTCGTTGAATGGTCTCAACCCAGGTGGAGGCTCGGACATGCTTGTTTCATCGCGTATAGAACAAAGAGCTAAGCATCAGCGTTCGCCTAGTGCGTCCATGACAGTTGCAGAGGAGGGCGAGGAAGAAGGCCAAAGCGGGAAGAGCCTGAGAAAGACGCCGTTGAAGTTCGAGATCAACATTGTTAAGGTTCCCTTGGTGGGACTTTACGGTGTTCAATTCAAGAAGACGCTCGGTAATACTTGGACTTACAAGACTTTGGCGTCTCAAATACTTGAGGAGTTGAACTTGTAAGGGAATCGGCTTCTTCTAATGCATAACTCATATTTAGTAAATAGGGGCACAATTTGATGCAAATCATGAAATTACATTGACAGAGATGTATCAATCTACTTGTTCTTTCAATTCACGAAACCTCGATGGGTGATGGATCATCGCCAATAACTATACACGGCGTTCTCTATAGTAAACACGACGTTCATTGGAAGACAATGAACTATGCCGCTGATTGATCTATGACTGAAAGGTTTGAGGATTCTCCAGCTGAGAGATTCCATTGGAGGGTGTAAGCACCGCAGCCAGTTCCCTGGGGTTGGAGCGGGCCTGGCTGGACCCTCTGAATTCTCCCTGGATCCCGCAAATTGTGGCAGAGGCAAATTCTCAGGAATGGATATGTGTGAAGGAAAAGATGCTGGAACTGGGGCTTGTGAATCGCTAGAATGTATGGGTTGCGGGTTAGAATGATTGCCTTGAAGGTTATGAAAGCTGTTTTCAGCTGTGACCTCTCTTGAAGCTTCTATTGGGGAAGGTTTGTAATCTTCTTTTGCTTCTAGTGTTTCAGCCTTTGGTTGTTCAGCGGCATCAACATCCATGGAGTCTTCATCCTTTATCTCTGTGATCTCGGTGGGCTCTGTTGATGATTCAGATATTTCTGGTGTGCTCTCGAGCCTTTTACGTAACCGCTCTTCTCTTGTGACTCCACCCGAATAGTCCATATTAGACGGTGTCAGCCTTGTGTTGCGGGAAGAGCGCCGCATGACAGCGTAGTGGAGATCTTCAAGCTCTTGAGTCTTACGCTCTTGTTCCTCGATCGCCTTGATCTTCTCCTTAGCTTCGAGTCTCAGAGATCTCTTTCTAGTGGCCAAAAGGCGGGCCATCTCAGTCTCCTTACGACGATGATGTATTATTCTCCGTTTTTTCGTCTCCACAGAAAACATATTCTCCACAAATTCTGGGTGTTTGAGCACATCAAGAATTGTTCTATTTTTCTTCGTCTTCTTGGTCAGTAGCTCAGCCACAACAGCATCAAGTTGGTAGATATCTCGGAAGATAGGCTCATATGTGACTGTCATGTCAAAAGGTTTGGGCCCTAGCTCGCTGTCTGGGTCTGTTGGTGCTTGATCGCGTTTCTTAGGCACCAGAAGCTCTTTTGCTTTGGTGGTTCTTTTGTAACCTGCTGTGCCATCAAACACAACAATGAATTCCTCAACAACGGCACCCTTAGCTTCCCTCCAGAGAGACTCGGGTCTTAGAAGCATTGGCGGGAGCTTGTTTTTGTCAATGAAGTCCCTGAAATCCGGATACAAGGAGACTTCGGCCATAAGAAGAGCCAAGATGTTGAACTTCTCGTCGATAAATAAGTCGTCAAACTTGGGCAAGCCCGGTGCAGCAAAGTCGTCGTTGTTCTTGGGGCCCTTGAGAGGTGTATCGCTGCCAAAATACACTCTGAACAATGGCTCGAATTGGGCAAGCAGAGCCTTTTTGCCGTGTATTTTCAGAAGTAACGATACGCGAAGACGACTCAGCAAGAGCGTCTCTTCATCGTCAGGCACCTGGCCAAACAAGTCCATTTCAAATGTATCCGTGTCAAAGTGTTCCAGCGCCAACTTCACGTATCCACGGCACTGCAGAATCCACTGCATGACGAAAATGTAGTCTGGATCAGCCCTGAATTTTCGCCAGCGTTTGTCGTCTGGATATGACTTCTGGAGGTCTTCCACGATAGTTTCATTGGGCATTTTCACAGGAGTGAGTTTGGCTAGCGCAGCGGCTTTTTCACCAGCACCAAGCTTGAGGCTATGGGCCGGGTGATCGGCTGGAGCAATTGGCGGACGGCCCGGACGGCCGGGTTTGAAGGGCATTATCGAAAAGAAGGTGGTTGTAGGTGAGTGTTGATGCGCGAAAAAGGTGTTTCTTGAACCGGTAGAAGATGAAGCGTTGTGAATTTTTAAAAAAGAGGAGAGGTTTGGAGAGAAGTCATAGATGAAACTTGATTAGAGATAGGTGGATTCGGAGAGGTTAAAAATCGGTTGTTGAGGTAGCCTTGTGGGTATGCCATGTTGGTATTCATTGGCTGCGAAACCATGACAAAGACGAGTCAGGTCAAACTCCTGAGGATTGACTGAAATGTTATTTCTGTTCATGCTTGTTACTTTTCACTCTGAGCCACGTGTTCTGATAGCTATGGTGTCTGGCGAGTGTAGGTTTCATGGTATTGTCGATACTGGAAAGATATAGAAGCAAGAGGTTAATCGACTGATAAGGTGATGCAACCCGCGTAGATTCGGACTGTCGTCGAAATGTGATTAAGTTGTCCATTGATGGCTATCGTAAGATCCTTGGACTGATTAGTGTGTTCTTTTTTTTTTGGTTAGCAAAGTCTATTGGGATCTAAAGTCACTTCAACTGGTGTCTCTCATCTCGAGGAAGCTATTATTAAGACGACGGTCTCATTTGATTTTTTAAAATTGCAGAAATTCGTCAGAATCTAGCCTTCTCCTGGCTTGGAGTTTTGCTCCAGATCATTACTCATGAACAGACAGAAGATAACGGTTATCAACGCTATGATCTTCGTGAGCCAGTATAATGCATTTTATTGAAAACCCAGGCTTGTTGAAAAATATCAAGAATTCAAGTAAAATATGTTATAAAGGCCTTTTGGGCAGAAGGAGCAAGTTACTTGTTGGATCACTTAGCCAAATCAAACAATCAACTAGACCAGCAACTCAAGCCATCGACACTTGCCATATCTCTGACCACGGGACAAAAAAAAAAAAAAAGCTTACGAAAACTTTACTTACGATATATGGGGTGAAGATCATATATTTCAGCTTTTGGGCGAGATCAAATAGCCCCACTACGAATCTTCGCCTTATGCGAGGCAACCTATTTCTCGATTTCACCACTTTTGTGGGGAAGTTGAAATGTCGAATTCTCCTTATTTGCTGAATGACCAAAAGTACCGATCTATCTAGAAGCTGGATGCCTTATCTGCAACTGACGTCCCATTCTGCCAAACGGGTTATGCCTGGGGTCTGTCGCCTTGGTGACCTCATAGCAAGGGTCCACCATTGAAATCGATCCATTGATTTTAGTTGCAGGCGTACAATGGTTACATGCGTGTTTCGTAGCTTCGTACATTACCAGAGGTATAATAAATAAATATAATAAACAGGCAAGAAGTGAAACGGAGTCCGAGGCTCCATAGGGGCCTGGAAATGACGGCAGCTCGGTGCCGCTGAGGCTATTTTGGTTGAATGAGGGTCAGTTAATCTTTAGGTATGCGAGAAATGAATGCTGAGGACGATGGGCGTGTTCAATACTGTGCTAAGAGTTTTCTCAACTCTTCGTTCTTGCCACTGATCTTCATGATCTCGCCACTCACCTTCAACAACGCCGTGTGCTTCGACAAGTTGGGCAAGCCGTCCTTGTTGATCTGCTTTCTTTTGCTCTTCTTCTTCAGCAGGGTCACGGCAGATGCAGAAACCAAGTCATTCTTGTAGTCGTCAACGTTGGTGATCAAGCGAAGACATCTCTCGTAAGCCTGCTTGCACAAGAGACGTCTCTTCTGCTCCGAGTGGGAGTGGTTCAATCTCTTCTGCTCCAAAGTGAGGAGCGGTCTGGTCGAGCTCTTTCTTCTCTTCTTGCTAGATGGCAGCCATGGTGGAGAATCGAGCTCCAGCTGAGTCAGCGTACGCTTCTCCAGAGCCAGCAGCTGTCTCGAGTCAAGCGGCGTAGGCAACTGGGACTGGGACTGGGACTGGGACTGGGACTGGGACTGGGACTGCTCAGAACCAAAGCTCTTCAAGCTCTGCACAGGTGGGTGTCTAAAAGCGTCAGTGATTTCCTTCTTGACAAAGTCGGGAACATCACGGGTTTCAGGCTTCCTGAGCGGGTCCATCGTGTGCATGGGCTGATTGTACAAGGAAGGCAGGGGAGGAGCCTGGTGGTTGTTGTATAGCTCCAAGGGGTTACCTGAAGACAGGGCCAAGTTGTCCAAGAACTTTTCCAACGCATTCAGCTCAGTGTTGAGGAAGAAGTGGTCCATGTTGTCTTCCTTGGTCAAGGGGTTGGCAGTCTTCTGCCCGTCAAAGAGACCTTTCGATTCGCTTGGTGGCAGGAGAAGCGGGAGACCTGGAACGCTGTCGTAGTCGTTGAGCTCAGGGTAGAATCCATACACTTGTTGCTGATTGTGCTGGTTGTGCTGGTTGTGCTGGTTCTCATGAGTCAGTTGCTGCTGCTGTTGTGGTTGTTGTTGATGATGATGATGATGTTGCTGGTGATGCTGCTCCTGGCTCTGCTTGGCTCTCTGGAGCTGTTCCACACCTGAAAGGGCATGTTTCTGCTGCATCTGGGTGTACATCAGGTAGGCCTGGTCAAATTCCATGTCCATAGTGACCATGTCCAAGGAGAAGATATCCTCATCGTCTGTGAGAACAGAGGGAGACTTTGGTTTCTTCTCATCAATCTTCTCAAACATATTGAGGTTTAGGCTGGTGGGGGCAACACCAGTGGCGGTTGAGGTGAAAGACATGGTATTCTTGTTTTGGTTATTTTTCAACTTTTTCAGTACGGGAGCTCCCGGAAAAGTGATTGGTCCTTTGGTGCTGGTGTTTAGGTTTTGGGAAAATGGGTTGACGTTGGTAGGTGAAAAAGGCGGTTGGGAGAAATCACAGGGAATCTGGGGCATATTTATATCTGGGGTCTGGACGTGTAGGCGGGAAACGGAGATTGACAAGCGAGAGAAGAAATGAGTTCTGGAGGGGCGCACCTGGCGGGCCAGTCCTGTATATGCGATGCGCCATTTGGGAGATAGTGTGGGGACTAGGGGGCTTCACCTGTGCAGGTGTGACGACAGTCCGGGACGTCCTTTAGAGCCCCTCAACCCCTTACAACCAGTCTTTAACCGGCGTCGATTGCTTCAGGACGATACAGTTTGGAGACGGGTATAATGCTAGCCCGTTTGCGAATTTGTGGGGTTGAGGCGTGACGGGGGGGGGGACTTTTTAGGTCTCGACGCAAGTTGCGGGTATACCTGCACAATGCGGGCATTTTTCGCGGACACTCGTTAGCATCGAATGGGTGATTCGAATCTAGTATCCGGTCCGTGCGTCTTATCTGCAGCACCGTCTCGTAGCTGCACTGTCGGACAGACCCCACTCGAGGACAGCTTGCAGGTTAATTCCGCATTTTGAAGCAACTCCGGCCTTCCGCTCCGATCGCCTACAGCCAGTTTACATACTAAGTCCCGAAAGTTGCGTGAACACCCTGTCCGCCGGTACCGGTGCCTGGTAAAGATTAGCCGTCAAGTACCCAATATTTTGCGCTCGGCAAATGTAGCCGTTGAGGCTGAGCATTTGGCTTTTTGAATCACAACATTTGGTTTTCGTATAAGAAGATCATCTTAAAATCTTGTACCAAAACCTTTTTGACGAGCTCTCGTCAACGGCCATTGAAAGAACAATAGGCGCTTAAGGTTGGCGAGGTGGATCGATTGTTGTCAGGTATAACCGGCGACCCAGAACAATTTGCATCCGTGTGCAGTAGTAACCCCCGCGGTGGGACGCAGCGGCGGATTCTGCACGAGGCGGAGCTTTTTCGCAGAGCGATTACTGGTTGTGGGCAAAAGCATTGAACAAGTGCGAGGTCCCGATCAAGACAATGCAGGACGATGCCGTGTGTGCAGGTCACGCAGGGGCGATACAAGCGCAATCCATGCAAGAGTCGGGGGCCAGCCCGGTACATAGACTTGATTGGTGTCATCCGGGGCTCTCAGCTTTGCAGCCAGTCATGGCGGAGGCAATGACTGGGTGGGGGAGGCTGGTGGGTTCGGACTAGTGGATAGCCTGCATACATCGCAGTACCGTTTTGATTCAAGCCGGCTTACTGGTCCAAGTGGAAGAAGGCTTTTGTTGAGTTTCCCTCAGACTGGTCACATAACCGTTACGGACTGTACTAGAGAATTTTTATCGGGGAATCGTTTCCTGTCCGGGCTGCTTCGGGGTGCAGCAGGGCACGGAGAATCTTTGATTTCTTTTTTTTTATTTTTGACTGCTTAAATTTCTACATTCTCCGTTTTGCAGCCGTTCCCCAACGGTCAGAGAAACGAAGTGCGGAGAAACCAGTGTAATGACAGAAGAGAAGAGCAAGCAGGGTCCAATGAGGAGTTTCTAGAAGGGGAGCATCGTTCGGGGTAAGGTCAGGGTGCCGGATAACTGGATCATCCTTTTCATTTTTCGCTATGCTGGCGTGGAAAGTTTGAAACACGCTTTAGCTTTGAACGAGGCTTCGATGAGTTTAGATTGACTATTGATGGTGAAGGATTGGGTAAATCATCGCTCTATAAGTTTCTAGAATTTTTCTTGTAGATTTCTTGAGTTAGGTGTTGTGGGCAAGGACTGCTTGATGGGAAACGACCGGCAAGGTGGTGAACGATGGTTGCTGAGGAGAAGTCAAAAGAAACAAAACACGGTCACCACACGTCTGGGGAAGCTTAACGTGTATCTTCCAGCAGAGGCGGCCAGCACATTTCCCAATTATGGAATGGGCAAGCCACGAGGAGATGAGGTTTAAGCCTGATCTCAACAGCCAGTAAAGAGTATCAAAGGGCAGCATTTTAATCGAAAACGGCAGGAGAACGTAATCGGTGGAATGGCGGAGTTCTGCTTTCGTGATGGAATGAACCTTCATCGTAGGGTGATGGGGCCGCATTCTTCGATAAGCCCATCATCTGTGGGGTCCGATGCAATCTGTGGAGAAAATATGTTAGGAGAGAGCAAGTGGGCAGAGGCTGCAAAAATCCAGTCCATCCATGCAATGCTTCCCACTTGACGTAGTCGGGGTCCGAATCGTGCTTCCACAAACGTTGGCGTGACCTCCCGCTTCGTGGTCCCCCTAAGCCTGGAAGTCGAACCATATTAGCTGCAATTTGAATTGTTCAACGCTTCAGCCGGACACAAACGCAGATACGATTATCTCCTCTTAAATGATCCCCCTAACTCCAATCGTGGCAAGCATGGACCAGCACTAAACGGAGTTTCCCAAAGCGGCTATACAGCGTCGACAATGGCATTAACGCCAGCTGTTAAGACGCCACGACGTAACAAGCACTGAACCACAAACATACTTACAGTAATCGGCCGGCCCGCTTTTGAAGGTTGGCCGCCTTTCCCGAATATACTCATTCCAGCGCAACTGGTTAGCTCTAGTCTCCTCTCACTTTTCTTGAATCGTTGATTTGTAGTCACCTCCAAGCCAAGAATGCTCAGATGGTGAGAACTGAGTTGCCGGAACGTTGCATTGTTCGTTTTAATGTCATCCTCGGTACGCCCACTAAACCCCTTTGACGCCGCAGAGGAATTAGACAAACAAGTGCGATTGTCTGAACTGTATTGTCTTATCGAGGCTGAATGTTGCCAAGTGCAACTGCAGTCTTGTAGATCTAAACACTTGGTTTGGAGCCCCCACCGGAAACCTCTCTTTGTTTAGCATCTCCAACGAGGTCCTCGTGCGGGCTCTTAAGCAAACCATTAGTCTCGGCCCCACAAGACGTGGTTTTGGAGCCCCTCAGAGAAGCAAGGTTACAAGTCTTTTTCTTGTCGTGACGCTAGCAAGTGGGGGATACCACACCAAAAGGCCTATCGGGTGTAGCTCCGCTAGCCTCAGCCCCAAAAACGTTATTTTGTTTGTGGATAGAATGGTTTGACTCGCGTTTTGGTTCAACTTTCTAGGCCTCTCCCTCTGCCTCGTCCATATTTTGGTCTCCTTTTCCTGACAACCTCTCACGACAAAAGCGACGAAGATCAACGAAATTGTTCTTCAAAAAATCGTTCAAGATGAACTCGCTCACGACCAATTTGAAATTACAAAGGTAGAGAAAGCTGACCTCGATCTTGCCCAAATCTTTGAGCGCCATGCCTCCCACCATGGCGAAGCTCTTCTGCTTTTGGTGGACATCTTCACATTTCTTCGTCAGCGACCGGATCAGGGCCAAAATAAATCTGTAGACGTTGAGTTCAGTAAAGGTCACCACATCAAGCAAAACGGCAAGCTTGAAGAGCAAGTAGGCGCTGTGGATGTAGACAGAGACAGATACCGAGGGCGAATACTTGTTGATGCGTAGAAGGAACTCCTCGATGGAGATGGGCGGCGGTTTTGCTAGCCCAAAACATCGGACGAGGTGCTCAGCCTGGGCTTTCGTTTTCGGGGCGTTGTGGAAGAGAACCTCTTTTCTAAGACGACTAGAAGAATGTGCGGTGATGGGGTTGGGTACCTTTTCGAGAGACGTTGTTTGTACCAACAGCTCTGTGGATATGAATTCCGGCTCCTTTATCTCGGTATTCGGGCTCGCCAAAGCACTATGGGGATCGTCTAGGTTAGGATTTTCAGTAAGGTCATCGGAGATACCAGAGACGCCAGCTAAGGCTGCCTCCAAGCTGGAAAACCGGGGTTTTCGAGGCTGAGTACCTAGATCTGTTGATGAGTTCGAATCAGCACCGTTGAGTGTATCATTCACGCTTTCAAAGCTTCTATCGTTGGATATGGATATCTCTGGATTCTGTCTGTCATCATTTCTGGAACTTCCCGGTGCCCCTAAGTCATCAAAGTTGCCCTGTAGCCCAGACGACTTCGTCCTGTTGTCGTCTTCAGATAGAGAGACGGGTTTCGGGAGGTCATCATCGTGGAAACCAGCTGGTCCCTCCTCATGCTCCAAAGCTTCCATGTTCAAGCCGTACTTGGCCAACTGCGCCGCACGGAACTCTCTGAAAGCGGTCTCGTCCTTCTGAAGCGCGATTAAATCAACCAAAACGCCGTGCAAAACGGCAATGGCGTGGAAGACATGAAGCCTATTGATATCCTTCACGCCATGTTCTAGATCAAACTCAAGCTCTTGGCTCAGTACCTCACCGTACAGCTCCGGGTCGTCCACAAACGTCTCTTGCGGCCGCTTTAGCGGGATATCCAGGATGTACTGGTTTGTGTACGCCATGGCTTGCAAGCTAAGCTGAGTTGGTGATGGTGTAGGTGACTGCGCGAATCTGGGGTACAACAGGTTTTGATGAAGCAGGTGAAGAGGGCGTTGTTTTTTGGAAGTTTGGGAAAGGAGCAGCTTTGTTTCGGTTGGCGTGCTGTCAAACTTTGAAAATGAGCCTTAGTATTGGCTTTTGCTGGGTGTATGCATGAGTGGGGCTAAGTAAGCAGGGTTGCTAACGGCTGCGAAATGGTGTATATTCCACGACACGGTGTTTTAAACTTTCAAGAGGTGAATTTTGCATGAATCTGGCTGAATTAGATCAGGAAGGGACAGTTAAGTGTTTGAGCCGCGAATAAGAAAGATGGGTTTCTGCTGTGCTAGAAGTGTTTCAACTCTTGCTGTATAATGCGAGAAAGCGCTGGTGCTGACAGTGTAATTCTATTCTTACACGAAGTAAATCTGTGATGATTACTGATTCGTCGAATTTTAGCTCTCTAAGTATTGAGTAACGATTTGAATCAAGTACCGATGGTTCAACCCCCTGGTAATGGGCACTAGCCTTGGATGTGAACCACTAGTTCCATTCTCCGATCTACAGATTCCTTCTTGACTATGGTACATTATGCTATCTATGCTGCTAGCGTCTTCTCTTGCCGCCAAAAGCTGCAGAGGCGCCCTCACTGGAGTCCAACTGCCTCTTCTTGCCCTGCTTGGCAAAGTACTCCTTCTTTCTCTCCCGCTCCTTCTCCTTTTTGCCTTCCTCCTTCTTGGCAATCTCCTTGAGTTTCTCCAGGAACTTCTCGCTCTTCTTAGCCTTACGCTTGACATCCTTGTCCCTCTTGAGGGTGTTGATCTTGTTGACGAGATCTCTCATTTTCTTCTCATCGCCGTCCATCACCACGGCTCTCTTGGCCATGTAGGTTTGCTTCAGCTGTGGCCTGGCCTCACGGATCTGACTCTTGAATGGGAGATCCTTCTTGATCAGCTTGGGCACCTTGAGCTTGTTGAACTTTCTTTCTTCACGCTCAATCTTCTTGTAGGAACTGTCCTTCTCCAATGGCGTGGCAATGCCGTTCTCAGCTCTCACGGCACCCGTGAGTCTCATACCCTTCCAGTCGTTGTGTTTGCTGGATAGAAGTGAAGTGACAGGGTTGTAGAACTTCTTGACCTTCACAGGGTACCATGTCTTGAGGAAGATTGTGTCAGACATCAAGACCTTGTCTTCAAAAGTGGCACGGAAATAACCGTCTGGTTTGGAAAGCGCTCTTTTGATTTCACCTCTGATTCCTGAAACAGTTCTAATCGCTGCACCTTCGAACTTGGCGACTTCTAACGAATTCGAGAACATATCTTTCACGAAGGCAGTGTTTCTGAAAATCTTATATGGATGACCAACAAGCTTGAGCTTCTTCACAATCTCCACCGAGGAGTTGAGATCCTCGACGACACCAGTGGCTGCAACTCTGAAAGACCCGGTTGTGGAGGACTGATCCACCAAGTTGAATCCAACGAAAGTAGTGTTAGGAGCCACAAGAGGTCCATAGAACGAGGCAAAACAGTAAGCATGCTCAGGAGTGTACTTCAACATTCTGTTTCTCGTTCTCGAGTCTGTGGTGGTGTATATCGGGATGGTCTGGAAACGTCTCCATCCTAGGGAAAGAATCAAAGGATCTTGCGACTTGAGAATCTTCTTGTGCCATCTGTGTCTTCTGATTCTGACGTTCATGATACCAAAACGGGACTCCGTGGCCAAAAGACCACCCAAGACGATGGGATACTCTGGATCAAGGTTTTCAACGAACTCGCATGGAAGGTTATCAAAAACAATCTTGACGTAGGAACCAGCACGATAACCCTCGATCTTGGTTCTCGTCTCCTGGTCCATCTCCTCATACTCAGCCTTGTTGATCTCCAACTGCTTGGCCATCTTGTTCTTCTGAAATTCGTACCAGGTGTCGGCCTCAGTATCGCCTTCTGGATCGTCAGCACCAAACTCTCTGTCTTCTTCGTCTTCAAATTGCAATTTGAGTTTTGCCTTTTTGGCTGCGTTGAGCTCTCTCTTCTCTTCAACCGTCATGTTCTCGTCTTCTTCGGGATCCTCATCTTTCTGTTCCTCAGCCTCGAAATCAGCAAAATCGTCGCCATCCTCATCACCGTCTTCATCGTCATTGTCATCGCCCATGTCCTCTCCGTCACCGCCATCTTCGCCTTCAAGATCTTCGAAATCACCATATACTTCTTCGTCATCATCGCCATCATCATCATCATCTTCCTTCTTCTCTTCATCATTGAGTTTAGGTGCGGCCAACAAACGGTCCTTCAACATACGGTAGCCATTTTCGTATTCTTCATCACTGTCCTCAATCGTTGATGCATCGAACTTTGCTTTGAGCTCGTCCACAGAAGGATAGCTGGGAATGAAAGTGTCCAAGTCCTCCGACTGGGTCTTGCTGTCTCTCTTCTTGAAAAAGTCCTCGTCGTCCTCCTCAATATCAGACTCTTCGTCGTCTTCCTGAACGACCTCCTGCTTCCACCTTTTGATGGCCTCAGCTGGATCGATGTTGTCCAAGTACAAAAGACGATTGATGTTCCAACGACGCTGCACTGATCCTTTGAGTTTTTTGGCCATGGAGGCATAATTCCCGTTTTCTTCGTCAGAGGACAAGGCTGAGTCTTCAGCGTACTCCACATCCTTAGCAGCATCGCCAAAATCAATGTCAACCATCTTTGGCTGGTCCTCTTCAACATCGGATCCAACGTCCTCAAGATCGTCGAACTCGTCGTCCTCGGCCACGGACTTGCCGTACAAACGAGGTTTTCTCATTGCCTTTCTGCCCTTGTCCTCTTGAAGAAGTCCCTGTTCATCTTCCAGCTCGCTGAATTCGGCTTCCTCAACTTGAGCTGAGTTCGAAAACAACTGGAGACCTGGGCCCTCGGCAAAACGCTCGTGCATCGTCTTCTGGACATCTTGCAATCCGGTAACGTATTTTTCACCTTCGCCAGTCTCCTCACCAGGAACAAAAGACTGCTTGTCTCCCACATCGATGTACACAGCATCCTTATCAACTAGAACACCACCCACATCGGACATTGGGGCATAAATGATCTTCTGCTTATCCTCAAGTCTCTTTCTGCGTCTTCTTCTGGTGGGTGCTACCTCTTCACCGGTTTCGGCGGCAGCCTTGGCCCTTTCTCTTTCTATCTCATCAAGCTTCTGCTCGAAGTATGGGGTGGGACAAGGATCAGGGAGCTTCTCCACACTGTGGGCATGATAATCGCCAACTCCGGCAATATGAATGTGTGCATTTTGTGATGGCAATGGTGTACCGTGAAGGTAGCCGTAGATAGCCACTTTTCTGTCTGTTTTAGGGTTCTCTGCTATCAGCTGTGGATGCGTCAAATCGGTGACTCTGTCTGCTAGCAAGTAAGGATGTTCGTTACGCCACTTCAACGGACGAAACTTCATGACGGATATGAATCGACAAAGATTGAGAATCTCTCGGTCGGGGTATCTACCATTGAGCACACCAGAAAGGTAGAAAAGCTTAGCGCCCTGGTACACCTCTGTCCAGAATCTGTGCTTCAAACGTTTCTTCGAAGTTCTGAGAGTACTTTGACTCTTGAACAAGTCGAGATGTGTTGCGACACCCAAAACTCTGGGCATACCATGGTGCTGAGCGATATTGAGAAACTCCATGGTTTCCATCTCAAGACCGAAATTACCGTCCACGAGCAACAACACCAAATCGGCGATTTTTGCCGCATCAACCATCGAGTTAAGATCGTTGTTGACCTCCATAAACGTAAGTCTGCGGCGTTTTCCACTCACCACAGTGATGGGACCCTTGACTTCAGTAAGACTCGATTTGGTCAATTTCTTCACCAAACTCTTGATCAACGTCGTTTTTCCTGTTCCTGGAGGTCCAACCACGGCTATGATCACCGGTGGCGGATCATCGTCTGGTGTTCTGTCCACCATAGGGACGTGGTACCGTTTTTCATTCACATCATGAGTTCTTCTGGCCATTTTTTCGAGCTTTTTGGGAGCTGCCACGGCAAAAGCCTTGGCGTTATGCCCATTTTGATGAAGCTTCTTCTTAGCTGTATTTTTCTTCCCGTCGCTGCCCCGGTGGGGTTTATTCAGCTGCTCCATGGTGAAGATGAAGTTTGAAGGCATCTCATCGCAGACTATGTAGTGGTTGGGTCACGTGAGCGCCATACTTAAGAGAGATCGATTAAGGTATCGATGGACTCATCTACACCCGTACACCAACAGTTTAAGGACTCTGAAGGCCGTTGATTCCGGGTTCATTGGGCTGGAGACTCGATTTTGGTCATAAATCATAGAAGGGTTGGTTGAATGGATTGACAGGTTTGAGATGATAGCAATGAAATCTGGATTTTGGGGTGGAGTTTGGCTCATACAAGGCCTCTAGCTGGCTGCGAAAAGAACCAAAGGTCAATCAACTACGACTATTTGACTCTTTGAGTAAGAATTGTAAGTTCTTTGTTGTTATGAATTCTCCGTAAGTATTATGAAAGGCATACCTACACAATATTTGCTCATGCTTCTCTCGGTTGACTATTCCACGGTAGAGAGCTACGGATTTCAGGCAATTAATTCTTCAGGCATCAAATATTTATATGATCAAAGAAGCAGCACCTCGGTAAGTGTTGCATTAATTTTATTTTGACGTGGATAAATGCTCCGAAGCACCCTTAACTATATGCTCCTCATTTACGGTGTTCGCAACCTGGGTGCAAATTCAACTTCATGCTCTTTTACCGGTTCATTATACTTCTACCATTGGTGTCAGCATCCATCTGTGACAATGGCGAGCTAGTGCCGTTTACCGGTTTCAAATTTGTTCGTGAAAACCGAATAACTGTAAAGCCATTCCGAAGCGATCATTTCTTGAAGATCACCTATTGCAACAAGGGAAAGGTTGATCTTACCACCAAAGCCCTTCTTGATCACCGTGGAGTCAACGAGACGTTCTGCATTTCTCCCCATATGAGCAAAACCTCCAAAGACAAATCTTTCTTTGCAAAACTCAAAAAATTTGGGAGTGCACTCTTCAGAACACAGAAAGACCATGGAACTCAAGCAACAATTGAGGAGGGAGCAGGCAGTATGTCATGCTACAAGGTGGGACGAAGAAGAAACTTTGCAAGGTCCGATACTCTTTTTTTCATCCCTTACACCTTTGTTGGCGTTCTTTACGAATGCAACATCACCTTTTCACAAAAGCAACAGTGGTTGATGCACCCTTCATCAATGCCCAAAAAGTGTGACAATCCCATTCCAATAGAACCTATTGTAGCGGAAGACGCTTCAAAAACCTCTCTCAAATGGCATTTCTCCCCGCTATCCATATCCCAAAGCATACCGTACCTCAAATCAGCGTCACCATTGGATCCTCGGTTCAATTCTGATCAAAACTCCCTGTGGACTAAAGGAATAAGGGTAAACGAAGATTATCACTATAGCCAACTCGAGCTTCACCGATTCCTGGTGGCATCGTCAAAAGTCGCCAAGTACATAAGTTCATTTACAACAGCTCCATTTATCAATTTGGAGAAGTGGTTTGGCACGAAAAAGGGAGATTCACATCAACAAGAGGCAGCGTTCGCAAACTTTCTTTCAAAACTCAACACATCTTCTACGACGTCTCATTTCAAAATGATTCAATCTTTGTGGCTGTGAACAGAGCCGAAAACTAATATACAACGCTGTGAAGCGAAAAATGAGGCGGCTCTCAATTAAGGGCCGCAAGAAAAATATTCAGTCGGTCGAAGTTACAAAATATCCTTGCCTTGCGTAGGGCGGTTGGTCGAGTACTGGGAGAATCCACTTTCGGACCCGGCACGAGCATGCTGATTGATGTTAGTAAGGGAGTCCAGGTTGATGTGTGCGTCCTCCTCCTCCTTCATCGTGTCGCTCAAACGCATGTTGCGGTCATTTTTTTTGGTGGACAACTTTCTGGTGATCTTGTCCTTGAATTTGCCAACGGCAGTCTTTTTAGGTTCATCGTCATCGCCTTCAACCTCAACAGCAGGGCTGGAGATTTCATTGACAGATGCAAACTTTTCGTCACGAGAGTGGCTGCGGGAAGAGATGGAGCTCGTTTCAACTTCATTCAATCTGTGCATCTCATTCTCCCAATCGTCTGAATGGTCTTGAGCAGCAGCACCCAACGCGAACAATTCGTTAGCAGCCTTGTCTTCACCACGCAAGTTTCTCGAAGATCTCTTGACCGAGGACTGTCTTAAGAATGAGGTTCTGTCGTCCTTGGCTGGGGCGAATCTGGAGTCTGGGTTTCTTGACAACATGGCGAAGCAGATCAAAACGAGAATCATGATCAACAAGAGCAACGAAAACGCAGCATTCATGATAAAGAAAATCCAGCCCATGATGGAGGAGACCTGGGCAGGCTGGCCAAAGAGCTCAGAGAAGAAAAGGAACAAGAATGAGTTCACTGTAGTCACCACAGCCACACAGTAACTGACGATGTTAGAACTCTTGTCCAAGAAAGGTTTTTGGATGAACAAAAAGATGGTAAATGCCAAGTCGAGGATGAAAAGCACGAGGGTGGATGCCTTACCAGAACCCTGACATAAACCAATGAAAATACCCTTGATGAGGGTGTATCCTATGATAACGGTACCAAACCAGTATTTCTGGGCACGGAACATCGTGTAGCAGAAGCCGTACTTGTGGAGGATCTTGCTGTCACCATACAAGACAGCGGCGGGGTTGGAGTGTCTTTGGATTGAAAGTTTTCCGTATCTCCAGGTCTGGTAAAGCGAGAAACAAATAATGCCGATAGCTGTAATGAGAAAGAGCACAGCAATAACGATAACAGCAGGGGAATCTTGGACGGTGAATTCCCAAAGAGACAAAATCACCAATTGCGGGAAACCAATCCACAAATATCTCAACAAAGAGCCCTTCAAAATCGTGGAGAAATTTTTTCTCAAATGAGAAAATCTATTGGGGTTCATGGCTTTCATACGAATCAAAAGAACGGCACCGGATCTCAAGAATACCAACACAGCAACCAAAAGGAAGCCGCAAAGCACAAAGAACGTGAAACCGGTGACCACAATCGACGTGGGCTCGATGTGTGAGTTGTAGCCGATTCTCTTGATACCACGAAGAACACGCAAGTTTCTGTTGGAGTTCAAAGCAAAGTCGAGATCTCTAACGTCAAGATCGTGTTCGGTCTTTTTGGAAGCAAACTCTTGAGCTCTCTGAACCAAAATCTGCTTGTCCACATTCTTGAAGTACACCGTGGGGCTACCACCGGTGGCCTGGACGTACCATCTGAAGATTTTCTGCATGAACTCAGTACGGATCAAGCCCATAGACCATGCCAAGTTCTCGGCCCAGGCCGAGGCGATAGGTGGAACTCTCTGGACATGCTGCATCGAAACCACAACAACAGACTGGAAGTACATGAACAACGAAACAGCGTTGGTGGATATATGGGCAGAAGCGTTCGAGTTACCAAAAGTAGACATGACGGCGGCAATGAGCAAGCCCAAGCCGGCAATAACTGCGGTGGCCCATTTGATACCCACCTGAGAAACAGTCTTACCGTTAGTGAAGGAACTCTGCAAACAAGACACGGTCTCGCCGGTGTCCTGGTTAATCACGATGACCTTGACCACCGCGTCGATGTCGGGGACCGTGTAGGCGATACCAGGGATCATGTTAACGTCATCTTTGTTGATGTACTCCACAGACTCAATCTGCATCGAACCGGGATACATGGGGCAAAACTGCTTCCAGCCGATGTCACACATGTCAATATCCCTTTCAATAACCACGAAACCGTAAGCAAACACCTGGACGTGGGCTGTAACCTTGCCCGAGATATCCGTGTTCAAGTCCAAGTTATATCTAAGCGCCCGATTATCGGCATCAAAAGACACCTTAAAGTAGGATGGAGTGATCTGGGAGTTTTCCATACATGTGACGAGCGAGGTCGCCGAAAGGCTTCTCCGAGCCCATGCTGGAGCAAGGAATATGAAAAATAGAAGCGTCCAGTTCATCACGAACGGCTGGAGCAAACGTAAGGGGGAAGGTGGCTGTCAGTGTATGCCAAGCGAGTGTATGTGAGGAATCGAAATCAACAAGTAGACAAGAAATGTGTCAGAAATGAGGCTCGTATTTTGCTCGGCTTTTTTTTTTCTTAGGTGTTGTTTGAGACAAGTTGATCCAGCTTTTGTAGAGGATCACCAGAGCCCCGATCAGGGAGCGCGAGAAGGGGCTCAAAAAATTTCTACCGTGGTGCGTGTCGCCAAAAATACCGCGAGACAACAACTATAACTTAAATTTGGCTCAGACTTCGCCACTTAATTGCAAAAGAGTCCTATATCGTTAGCCAGGGGGTAAACCGTACTTATATGCCCAGAAAAGGGTAGCTTGTCATACTGAAGCGCCTGCACTGTTCCATTGTTGATGCGTGGGTGTGGTTTTTCTCACGCGGCTTGTTTTGCAACCGCTCCATAATCGTTTGTTTGCTCACAAGTGGTACTCGGCCATACGCGCCTCCTCCACTTTCACCAAGAGCTCCTCGCCCCAGACGTGCTTGATCACGTCCCAGAACTCCTTCGCATACACAACCCGAACGCCGTATTTGTCGTAAAAGTAGTCCTCCGGAGTGCTGTTCTTGAAGTTCACCTCCTGGTTGTCCCTCAAGAGCTCGTTCATCTTCAGCGAATCGTTGATCTTCTGGACGTACTCCTCGATGATATCTCTTCTGTTTTCACGTGGAACGATGATCTTCTGGATCTGACCAGTGAGATGTGCGCCAAGCATCTTCTCCTTGAGACCGCCGATAGGCAACACAAGTCCTCTAAGCGTGATTTCACCTGTCATGGCGATATTCAGTGGCACAGGCTTTTCAAGCAACAATGAAAGGAAGGAAAGCGCCATCGTGATACCAGCAGAAGGGCCGTCCTTTTGCACGGCTCCACTGGGCACATGCATGTGGATCTCAAGGTTGTTGAGCTTCTCGAGCATCTCTTTGGCATTGTCGATGTTCCACAAACCCTTGTACAAGGTGTTCTTGATAAACGTCATACCAATCTTGGCACTTTCCATCAAAACCTCACCAAGACGACCCGTCATGTTGAGCGAGGTACCGCCCTTCTCGTTGTTGAAGCCAATGCTCTCGAAAATAAGAACAGAACCAGAGCCGTCGGTGTTGTATGACAAACCGTTGACCACACCATATTTGGCCAGCTGAATGGGCACTTCAACGATCTCATTGTTCAAGTTAGGAATTGGCATTCCAAGGTACTTCGACAAATCATACTCTTCCACACGAGGGTTGTACTGCAATTTGCTGTCGTTGAGACTATCCGCAAACTCCACTGCTTTGTACCGACAAACAGTACCCAACTGTCTCTCAAGGTTACGCACACCAGCCTCTCTAGTGTAGTCGAGAATAATCTTCTTCATCACATCGTCGTCAATGCTAACCAAGTTCTCATCAGGGAAACCATTACGCTTGGTTTGTCTCGACAACAAGTACTTCTGACCAATGACAAGTTTCTCACTGTAGTCGTACGCACCGATGTCGATCATCTCCAATCTGTCGAGCAAGGGTCTAGACAAGTTGTAAGGCTCATTAGCGGTACAGATGAAAATGACCTGTGACAAGTCGATGGGGAAGCCCAAGTAGTGATCCATGAAGTTGTTGTTCTGCTCAGGATCAAGTACCTCAAGCAAGGCAGCAGCTGGGTCACCGCTAAATTTAGCACCACCACTTGCTCCACCAACAACCTTGTCGATTTCATCAAGAAGAATGACAGGGTTCATGGACTTGGCTTTACGCAACGCCTGGACAATAGTTCCAGGCATGGCACCAACATAGGTTCTTCTATGACCACGAATCTCGGATTCGTCTCTAACACCTCCCAAAGAGACTCTTTGGAACTTTCTTCCCAAAGTGCCGGCAATCAGTTTGGCGAGCGAAGTCTTACCAACACCAGGAGGACCAGCCAACATGATGATGGGAGACCTGTTATTCTTGGAAGCGAGTAGCTCTTTAGCCTCCCTCTCCTTCTTAGCACTGGTCATATCTTTAGACTTCTTGATCCGACTGTCGGCCTGTTCCTTTGAGCGTCTGGTCTCGTCGCTGTTTGGAATTATGATGGCCTCGCCATTGTTAGATTCTCTGGTGAACTTCCTGTTTTCACGTTGGGCCTGCAACTCTTTCTCACGTTGAGCTTCCTTGATTCCCAATCTCTCATATTCCTTGTCGGCATTGATACCCAAAAGCTTCAAGACAACAAGATACTGCGTAAGTCTCTTCTTGACATGGTCCAAGCCGTAGTGATCTTCGTCAAGCTGACGCTTGGCCTCAACAATGTTGATGTCTTTGTTCGACTTGAACTTAGAAACAAACTTGTCCCAAGGCATGTCCATGACAATCTCCAAGTAGTTTCTAATAACATGGAAATCAGCGTTGCCTGGAGGAGAAGACTTGATTCTCTTGAAATCTTTGGTAATTAAGCGCTTGCTATCCTCACTCAAGGAAGTGATCTCAGGTAGTCTATTCTTGATGAAGTTAGCGATTGCCCGAATATCGTCGTCATCATCACCTTCATCGTCATCACCAACGGACTCCGGATTACTGGCGCTACCTCTCGAAGAAATCGGTCCGGCGCCGTTCTTGCGAACAAGGGCCCGCTGGTTGGCATTATTGTTTGCGTTGTTGCTGTTACCCTTCTGTGTGAGACCCTCGAGAACGACACGAATGGACTTAAGCTGGTTGGCAACCATGTTGGCCCTCTGGATGTTGGAAGCCTCGTTGTAGAACCAGTGGTTGACCATTTTATTGTTCTCCTTGAGAGCGCCGAACACTTCGGACATCTTGCTGATCATGACGTTGATCTCGACAACTCTGTCCTTCAACTCTGTGGTACCGAGCATCTTGAGCTTCTCGTGATTGGGGAACGGGATGATGGCAGCGGTCAAATCTACTATACGCAGCAAGTTGCGTGGATTGGACTTCTCCGCTGTAGTCAAACTGTTCACGATCTTCTGCAAACTTTGGTAAGCCTTAGAAAAATCTTTCGAGCCAGCAAGCTGCAAGAACAAGGCATTTGCCAACGGGTTTAAAGTTAGCAAATCACTCTTCTTATCTTGGTTCTTTCCGGCGTTTTGCATCGCTTGACGGTATTCCGTCACGAAGCGGTCGATAGCATTAAACAAAATGTGCGTTGACGACTTGAGCGTTTGCAAATGACTAGCAGGGTTGTCCAACTTATCATTCCAGTGAACTTTGAGCAAAGCTTCCGTGGGTTTCTTCGGCTTGAAGCCTGGAACCTTGGTAGCACGCTGAAGAGCCTGCAACGTGAGCTTCACGTTCGTAGTGTCGTCCACAATACCCACAATACGGACTATAGTGGCAGTTTCCGAGGAGTCTGCAGCCAGTCCAGAGCGAGATTTGGGGTTAGGGATCTTACTCAAATTGGGGGACACTGCGAGAACAAGCCAGTCAAATTCTGAAGAGGGCTGGATGTTGTGGACCTCTGGAACGCCCTTGGTTTTGGTCTGTTGCTCCATGTTGTAGAAGTGCTGGATACCATCAAAAGCGTCCTGAGTGATAGCAGACGACTCTGAAGCGGCAGAGTCAAAATCATATTCTGACAAAAGGGACTTCACCAAAGGCACAGAATCTACTTTGTCACGGAAACGTGAAAGCAAAGCAGCCGCCTTAAAACGTGAGAAGCTCACATTGTAGATGATTCCCGGAAGAAGTACCAAGGAGGAGTCCAAGGTATAATTCGTGAGGACCACCTGCTGCAGAACCAAGCCGTCTTTGACGGTGGTTGAGTTTTTGAACTTGGTCATGTAAAAGTTTTGATTTGGTGGTGGTTTGGTGGTGGCTTTGTGTGGAAAAGGTGTGGTGTTAAGAGAGGCGAAACCTGGGGTATCTAAATGCTCGCGATATGACGATTCCCCATATGATAAGTACCCGGCATGATTGTGTGCAGGAGCCGAGGTAACCCAGAACCTTCCACGGCACATCAGACCCCACAAGTTCCGAAAATGTTTACGGAGGTAATTTTACATCAGGAAAGTTTTTGTCAAAATACCCAGTTTGTATAGATTTCTGTATTTCTTGGATAATTCGGAGCACATCTAGGTGCACTGGAGCATCCACAGTAAGTGAGCCCGATCAGGATGTCCTGATCTAGCTGTGGGGTGGTACTATGGGTAATCTAAAATCAGGCAATACCGATAAATTCCACTGCTTCGGCTGCTTGAAGTGCTTTTTGAAATCAATGAGTTAATTTAAGATTATATATTTGTCTCTGGTGTCTTGGAATCGTATAAATGGTGACTGTCACCATATGCGGCGGTAGTTGGACTAACAACATTTGTACTTTTAGAGATCAGTGTTTGGTTCTGAAAGCTCCGTTAGTTCGTCAAGCCCTATTTGAGATGCTTACTATATACATAAATCGAAGCTGTAGGTTGCAACTCGATATTCCATCAATACAACGAAGCTTACCTAATATATACCGTCAGGTAAACTCCGAACCCGATAGAGAACCTAGTGAGTTGAGATAGGCTTAATTGATCATTATGGTGTGACCATTTCAAGTATATCCAACTTTGAGTGCTCAAAGACGAGAGGCTCCTGCTTAATAACTGTCATTGAGACTCCTAAGAAAAATACCCTCCTTCTTCTCTCATTCAGACCAACCTTACAAGATATCCTTGAGATTGACTTGGCCCGTGCCTCTGGCCAAAGGCTGAGGTTGGGTTTCACTCTTTTTCCAACCGATCATATTGATGACATTGAACGTTGCGGGCAAAGTAATCTTTCCATCAGGACCTTCCTCACCATGCAAACTTTTGCAAATCTCATTGGCTGCAAGCAACACATCCTTGGGCAAATGGTTTGCACGAGAGATTAAACTATTTTGCTCGCCCATGTTCTGCAAATCCTGGCACATGGCGACGATATCTGGGTATCCTCCAACAACTATGTCCTCAGTGTCAATGGTCAACATTGAAAAGCCAGCACGGTTGAGTAGAGAACCCACATCATTCAAATGCACCAAGGGCGACATTCTTGGGACATGCCACCTCTTCTTTCTAGCTCGGCAAGCTGCAATGATGTCCGAAGCTCGTAAAGTGTGTCTCCTCCAAATAAAGTGCCCATGAACATTCCATCGGGGTTCAAGACCGTATTGATATTTTTCAAAATCTGTGGCAAATCATTGATCCAATGAAGAGAAAGGTTTGAAATCACTGCGTCAAACAGCTCGGGCTGGAGAACCTCATGGTCAAAGCTTTCTTCATCAGCCACAATCCGTTGGACCTTGCCAGGAAACTCTTTTAGGTAATCTTCATTCACATCTCTGAAGAGCATGCTTTCTGATGAGTCCAACATCACCAACTCTTGAATCTTGCTTTTGATCTTGACCTTGTCCTCGTTGAGTTGCTTAGTCATTTCCACATCAGCATGATCGCCGCCAGGTGGAACCTCCAGCTTCTTACATAAGCTCTTCAAAAAGTTACCAGAATGGCAACCAAAATCAAGCACACGGGGGAACTCCCTGAGAATGAACCCTAGTCTCTCCACCGTCCTGAGAGAGACCTCATCCCTGAGATAATCAGCCTTTCTGGAAATCTCAGGATGCAAAGCTGCCCTGTTCCTTTGTGATAGCTTGGCGGCACGATCGAAAACGGTAAATTGACCTTTTGTAGCTGTAGCGAGACCACGTTTAATCATACCTGTGGTTGCAAAGTGTTGATACTTCATCTCTGCGCGCTATCGTACAACAAGGTATATGGTAAAACTCACACCGAGGCCGTATCTACGGCAGTTAGCAAAGGCCATTGGGAATCAAAAATTAAAATCCCTACCGTATCTTTTTCCTTACACCAAAGAATTGGCTATCGCAGATGCTACACGATTCAGTGAAATCTATGCGAGAAAGGTGAGGACGAAGAGTCTTCCTAGTGAGAGTCTGGACATTGAAGAGGCATTATTCTTTCATGCCGTGGCCAAGAGAACAGATCACTTGTTTGATACCGCCAGCTTCTTACGTGATAGCATTGAACATCGCCTAAAAATAACACCACATATGTACTTGATGATGCTTCAAGGTATCGAGCAGTCGAAGAACCGAGGCCTCACCTCGACAGCTGTATCTCTTTACATCGAGTTACACAATGAAAGGTTTTCGATGACATCTGAGGATCGTAACCTTGCTGCCTCATTGCTATTAGACATATTCAAAGGTTGCAAAAACATCACAGACCTATTGCAACTCAAAATCGCCTACGAAAACCACATGACTAACTCCGTGACAGACAAGTCTCTTGAAATACGCTACATCGCAACCTTCATCGAAGCTTATCTCAATTCAGGACAGTATACTCGAGCAGTTGAGCTCTTCGAAAGTGGCTTTGCTGACTTGACAAGTGCCCAGTTCTCGACAAACCAGGTTTTGAAACATCTCCCCATAAAGCAAATGTTGTTAGCCATGAGCCAACACGGCGATGTTGAAACGCTCACCCGTTGGCTTGAGGTGGTTGTCGAAACTGACCGTTCGTTGTTGGATTACGATACATGGTCGGAATTCTTGAGTTTAGGACTTTCCCAAAACCATTACGGTCTTGTAAAGCTTATCTACTCTCGTTTGGTCATGCTCGAGCTTGAAGATGTCTCGCTAGATGAGGTAATGTTCTCTAATAAACTCGAGGAATTGGAAAACAAGAGCGGCGTTCTTTCTTCCCTTAGCGAGAAGACGTTAACGGAAATTCTTCATACGTTGGCATCAAATGGTGATGTAAACTCCACGTTGAGCCTAATAGAGTGGCACTATGTTCACAAGAAGCTCAAGGGCGAAAAAGCTCTCACCAAGGATCTCTGCTTGGATATCATACTATCATATTGTTATCACAAGGACGACACCCCTAGCCTGGAGAACCTTAGTATTCAGAATGTTCTCACTACCATCAACAATTTTACTTCTAAGCTTGATGCCGAGTTTGTCCTATCATATAGGGACATCTGCGATGCTATGTCCTACAGGTTTGTCAGGTACAATGTGATTGACTCCAACGTCAAAACGGCAGATATCAGGGCTAGAGCTTCTTTCAACAAGGCCCAGGAATTCGAAGAGAATGACGAAAGCAAACCTCGTAAAATACAGAACAATAATGTGTACAATTCGAGACAGGGCAATATTCTCAAGAATTCGGAAATACTAGACGACTTTGTTAGGAGCATCGTCAACTACATCTTGGAGGAGAGGTTTACTATCAAGACTCTCCGTATATTTATCAACTGCGTCCTTCATCACATCATGAAGTATCAAAACGCAACTGGCATGATTGTTGCATTGCTGGCAATGCATCAAATCCACCCCAAAATGGCATCAGAATGGCTCGATAATGAGCTGTTTGATATAATTATAAGGACAATCTCTAAGTCACCAGCTGCGAAGCTTGTGGGTTTTGAGATGTATCGTTACATGAAAAGCAAATCTTTGGATATAACTACGTCTCATTACAAGGACTTCATAGCATCTGCATCTAAAGGCCCCGATAACGAATTATTGCAACTTTATCTCCACGAATTACTGGTTTCCGAATTCACAACACAAAACTCACAAAACTCGCCTGATCAAACTGTTCCCACGGCTTACAACGAAGAAGAAAAAGTTGAAAGAAAACGATACTACGATATTGATAAACGCGACTCTGGGTATCTCAAAATTATTTTGAACGAAGATAAAACAAACTAGACTCGTCATCATTACTTAAAGTATGGTTCACTCACGGCCCGCTCCAAATCCAGAGCGCTGATTTCAACCAATGTGCTTCTCTGCTTGTCGAGAACAGGAGCCCTGCCGATAAGGCTGTTATCCTTGTTGTGATTTTTCTTGCCCAAAATCGAATCTTCATGCAAGTTTGAAAATGTTGAGGAGAAACTGTTGTTGAAAGAACTCATCATTGTGGAATCCATGGCCATTCTCATGATGTTTTCGGCGTGACACGCTAACGGGTCCTGTGTTGAAGTATCGACATCTTCGCCACTACGTTTGGCGTGATCTTCCCCATTCTTCAGACCCTTCGCCTTCACTGGAGTTTTCCTGGACTTTGATGCCCTATCTTCACCATGGTTGTCTTTCTTACCGTGAGGAATTGCTTCAAGGATTTTCCTTGACCTTTTCTTTGTGAGCGGTGGAGTTTTTGGCTCTGGAGGTGTGAACATCTTGGTGTATGGCATGTCCAAAATGTAGGCTTCAATGGCCTGCTGGGAAGCTCCAAGGATATCGTCCAATGGGTTATCCTGTGGAAGAATGATAGATTCTGGGCTGTTGTCTGTACTCTTGTAGTCCTTGACGTACGGCTCACGAACCACTTGGGGCTTTGTTTCGGAGAAAGTCACATCTATTTCAAGATCTCTGTTCACCTGAGCATCTCTGGAGAATGACTGTGCTTCTGGATCAACCGAAGGTGCACGAGGGAAGGTGTATGGCAATGCAAGCGAGCTCATGATGCAAAGAAGAAACTCAGACAGGGGCCCTGCTTATCTATATAAGGCATTACGCTTTAGGCAAGCAAATTATTTATGTTTATGTTGTAGCCCAATGCGGTATTGACATTGAATTCGGGGTGCGATCGGAGTGCTTCGAGGACGTCTTTCAGTCAAACTGACCATGCGACCAAGTGCATAAGCATATCTTATGATTCAAAAGGACGTTACTTTTCGTTTACAGGGAATCTGTCTTTATTAGAAGTTCAGTCTGGCACGTGATCTCACACGTGACGATTTGACATCATGTGACCATGCACGTGCAGAAACCGTTGATTAGTATTTGCTACGTAACGCGTTGATGTGATTGGCTGAAATCGTGGACCCGATGGGGTCTTTATATTTATAGGTATAAAGCCGAAGCTCTAGTGGGCACTATGATACAAGGCATTAGAAGCGCTTTCGTAGTTGCCAGGTTGTCAAAAGCCTGGTGGAAATGCAAGAAGTCAGTGTGTCAAACAACTGATCAGTTGATGATTTGGGGATAAAGTTCAAAAAATCTTTGCTTCGCTCGAAGATCCAGAATTAGCTGGACTCCTTCTCCTTTTTATTGAGCTGGGCTTGCTTCAACCTCTCGTCAACAACAGACTCATTACCATGGACGCTGTCAACAGGACAAGGGACGATCTGGTTAGCACCCACCAATAGGAAGCAAAGAGCAAAGGTGGAACTGAAAATAGATTGGGTTAATCTGCCTCTTTGGGATGCTCTGATAAACATTGTTGTGTTGTGTGTGTTGGGTGTTGGATGACTGTTTTTCAAGGATGGGTGAAAATTTGAATATATGGATCGCCGTCGGATGAATAATCAGACTTTAGATGATCTTGACACAAGGCCTGTGTTGGAAACAGAGGAATGCAACGAAAAGGGCAGCTGTCGAAAAAAGTGATACCACGAGGAAAAAAAATACAGAAGCAGTAGATGCGGTCAAGAGGAAGCGTGGGCAAGGTTGCCGGTTGTGTGCAGTATTCCATCGAATGGCTCCAATCACCAGTCGTGAATTTAAAACAAGGAGTTATCGGAAAAAGCAAAAAAACCGTGAAGTAAAGTTTATGTAAAAAAACATTTTAAAAACCAACCTTTTTTTCGAAAATTGCTTCGGCGTTTGGTGTTGCTTTCGCTTGAAACCTTTCGGCTTGGCTGCGAAATACGTTTTAGGCGCCGCTGCAAAATAGGCTGATTCTTCAGATAAGAGGGGTTTCGGGGTAAACCATGTAGTGTTTTTTGAAACATTGCTGCAAATATCAATAGACGTAGGTAGGCTACACCGAAGACGTTTGTATTTTGTCGTTTGTTCCAGCTCTGGACTTCCAGATGAGTACTAGTAACTCGGAAGATTAGAAATGGTCTACTTGAAACAACAACTGAGGCATGTCTAGTAAAATTTGGAGAGATGGGTTAACTTTTCTATTTATCTTTAAGCCTGGCAAAAAGGCTCCCTTTATCAATAAGGAATTCTAGCACGTACTCTCTCATAGATGTCCACAAAACTAATGAATGCCGTGGAGGGAAAAGCGACATGACAGTTTTTGACCCCATGTTCTTATCTTCTCGTCCGCAATCCTGATTTCATATTGACTTTGTCATATTCAATCAAATACATTGTCTTGCTGCACCGAAGCTTATGGTATCATCCCCTCTAATCATTACCCATCTTCCCTTCCCTATAACCCCATATACCTACAATCCTCTCTCCGTAACCGTATATTTACAAGTATTAGAATCTCTTGCGAGTGTATGCTATGCTGTCAGACTGTGCTGACCAGCCTATGAGGCCTTAGCCTGGTTAATGTTCCCTTTACAACTTGCCCACTTGCGTGAAGCCTTTGGCCCACTGAGGCTTATCCAACTTCTTGGCGTCTTCGACCTGGTTTTTTTCTAACAAGTCGATCGAGACCAACTCTTTGACGATTCTGAGCCTATGAGCAGTAGCTGCAGAGACTTTCTGGTAAACCGTTTGGTTTCTTCTTCTCAAGCCAAGAGCCTTGATGTTCTTCCTCGTGATAGGAGGCATACCAATCGTAGACCTTAGCTGCGTTATGCGATAAAACAAGTTTTTGGACATGGCGTAGATAGTGTTGATATATAGGGATATCAGTGAGGTTGAAAATTTTGGTATTATGGAACATCCGTACACCAGCCTACCCCAGCACCAAGCACCCTCCGACAATTTCATCAAAATATACGGTTTTTTGTATTTTAGATTTGTTAATGGTAAGCTTAACTAATTTTTTGTGTGGATTTACTCTTTTTGGCCTGTATAACCCGTCTCAAGGTTAAAGAAAGTTCTCACTTTTTGACTCCATAGTTAGCGATTCGCAGCCATTACAGATACCATACTATAACAAAACATTGACACATTCAGTCCTTGAAAGCCTTGCCGAGATCAATTACCGATAGTTATTTTAAGGTATCATCTATATCCCATTCCCAATTCCTCGGTCCGATTCGGATATCATGGGAACTACGCCAAAGGACCTGGTCCATCATAAGATCAACGAACAGATCCAAACACTACTACGATCCACAGAAATCACTCTTAAATCGGGGATGCCAGAAAGGGAACAAGCACTATTATGCGATCCTAGTCTCTCCAAGGTTAGGGATTTGCTCGCAGACTTTGAGCTTGTCCCCAAACAACTCGATCCATTCCTACTGCAACACGTTGATCTACTCAGCAGAATATTCTTGAAAGTGGTGCCGGGCTCGTCATTGGCAACTCGATGTTCCATGTGCTTCTACCAGCTCTGTATTATCAGGAATTACAAGCATGTCGTGAACTTTTTATCTGATGATATATCGCTTGGTATCCCACTCGTCAAAAGAATCCAGGATTCGAGAATTGGGGAGCACGAAACATACTTTCTTTTGCTATGGTTCTCTTCTCTAGTCATGGTACCTTTGCCCTTGGAAGGCATTATGAGTGGACTTCAGAAGTTGTTGCTTGAGGTTGCAATGAAGAACTTAACGAAATATGGAAGTGCTAGCATGACCCAGAAGATAAGTGCTGTGTTGCTCTCGAGACTTCTATTGCGATCAGACTGCAGTGAAATGCTTATCTCTTTCATAACCTCTTGCTGTGATTGGTGGCATGATCGGAATTATATTGAGAAGCTAGGTCATCTTATGGCAATCAAATTGATACTAAAGCAATCTTCAAACCCGACTGTTGCAAACTACACCCTGGAAATCTACAACAAAATTATTCTAACGGACTTGCTGCTGATAAAATACCAAAAGAAAAGCCTGATACCCAACACAAACACCTTGTACATAATGGGCATCTTATCTCGATTATCACGATTCTATCTCCAACAGGCCGACTATTCAAGTGTATCTGCCATTGTCAACAACTATATTAATGACATTCTACACCCCATGTCTGGCAGACTTGACATCTCACTACGAGAATCTATGGCGAAGTGTCTCAGCAAAATCGTTTCCTTCTTGCAATTCAAGGCTGTCAACTACGCAGAACAACTCACTTGGTACATAACAAAGCAGCTTCGCATACCAGAGTTGGAAAGTCAGACTACCACGTACAATGCATACCTTACGATCAACTCTTCCAACTTGTCAGTGGCCAAGTTCCACACTGCACTACTCTTCTACGGATTCCTTGGCCTTGATAGAGCCATCCCCGTTAATCTAGTGCCAGCACTTCTATCCGTGGCCCACAGGACGCTCTTCATATCCCCGACTCAATTCTCAATCATACAAAACTCCCAAATCAGAGATGCATCGTGCTTTTGTCTATGGGCGCTTTTTCGCTCGCTTTCTCAGGATGACTTCCGAGAGCTCATGTCAAATACAACTATGATCCATGACATTTGGGCTGATATTCTCAGAGTGCTTATGTGTGATGAAGACCCGTTAATTAGGCGTTGCGCTGTGCCAGTTCTTCAAGAGTTTATTGGTCGCTTTGGTCCCTTATTGGCACAATGTACGAAGGGTAACGATTCTCGTCGTTTGGTAGAACAGACTGCTTCACTTGTTGATACAGAGAGGGCTTTGAGTGGGAGTGAATTTGTTAACCATGGTTATCCTGCTCTGCTTTTACTACCGACAATCACAGATGTGCTTACTTCTTCCAATGTCCGCTTTGCATATTATAATCGCTGCTCCCAACTTCTTTTGGAACTTTTGAGTGCTAGAAGTACTCTCGATGTTGCCTTTGAAACATCTATAACAGATGTTGATTATCAGGGAGCACTTCTTGAATCTTTTGAATCTGGAAATGCTCTCTCACTTCTACCTCTAGGTGGACTTTTGAGATGCAATTGGGGAGTTGATAAGATCCGGCTTCGTGTTCAGCCTGCTTTGGACCTGGTGTTACTGCATCACGCTGAGTTTGCTAATAAGTTAAGCTACTTCTACTGGTACAGCTCATGCATTACTAGCCAAAACGATTATTGTGACGCAGAGAGTTCATTTTGGGCGTTATATCTTCCTGTGATAGCCAACGAGACGGCTGCGAAAAGTGAATTCAAGGATGTGATTATCACAAGTATGGAGGCTACTAAACTTCTACAAGCGCCCACTGAAATCATTGAAGACATTTGCAAAAGGTTGAAGTTTGGAAACCTTCAAATTGCTAGTATGCTTCCTTGGTCTGCTTTCAATGTAGCTCAAAAAGAGCACATCCTTCAGATGATATCCGACAAGAACGTTGATGCAGAGACAAGAGCTGCTTTGATTGATAACTGCAGTGAATTTACTCGCAACAGCAGCTTTAAACTCCCCTGGCTTATGTTATTAGACGACTACACACTTACGAACAAGGGTGATGTTGGTCTGAAGGTCAGATTAGCATGTCTCAAATACCAAATAGAGAAAGTTGGGTTCGAGGTTGAGGACATTGGTTACAGAACAAAGCTCGCTCGTCTCGCAGCAGAGTCAATGGATAATGTGCGTATACTGGCGTATGCCCTTCTAAATGGTGAAGATATTCTGACCTTGAGAAGTATCACCTACGATGAATACTTCGGCAAGCTATTTAACGCTTACAGTACGCTAGAAAATGAGCTCAGAGCCCCTTCTGGGAAGGATTAGTTCACTCTGTTGCTGGTCTTAAAGTTTCCAAAGCGCTAGTGAACCTGGCATTCAGGCAATTCCTCGTGTGGTTTGATAGAGTTCTGAGCCCGACGAAGGAGGAGGCTCTAACAATTTTACTTCGCCAGCTCAAGCTTCCCAAGCCATTTCCGCAATTGGATCATCGACATCAAAAAACGCTTCTAGCCACGCTCAACTTGTTTGTCAAGCTTTTTGAGGCAGCTGTCGAGTTACCACAATTCAATCACAGTGCTCTCTTTGTGAGGACATATAATCTCCAACTTAATGCTCCTGCAACGAGATCAGCCTTGGCTCTACAAATATTCCACCATTTGAGTGTCATATCGTCAGAAGTAACGCAGAAGGCACGCCAAAGAGTGTGCCAGTTATATTTTCACGCTTCAAACCCACAGATCCGTCGCTTGGCAGGAGACAGCTTATTTGAAATAATCAACGACTTGGCTCCCTCAAAATTGAGCCTTCTCGAGTACACTGATGGATATTACAAACCTACGCAAACCAATTGCAAGATATTAGAGAGCCAGCTCTCGTGTATTTAAACTATACATGCCAATGCCAAAGGTAAACAGTGCCAGCGCCGCTCACAAACCAACCATGAGGTTGTCGTCCTTACTTTGCAAAGTGCCAGCATCCAAGTAGGTGACGTAGCTCCACCTCCTCTTTGGGGTTTCTGGGGTTTGTGGAGCCTGGAGCAAAGCGGTATCATCCACGAAAGTGGGCTTCTGGGGCATTGAGGCGTTTTGAGTTCTGAAGGCGTCGAAAAATTTAGTGAACGGCATTTTGTTAATGAAAGAAAAAGTCGGTGTTCTGTGATGGAAAAAAGAGCGGAGACACGAGCTACTTATACCTCCTCGGCAGTACAGCTGCAGAAAGTGTGGAAACTATCGTATGTGGGCTATCAGTGCAGGGGGTGACACCCCTCCGGCACAGTCGCGGGCCTGTGTGCAGTATTGGGTTGAAGAAAGCTGGGGAAGGATGCAAAGATTACCTCTATAGAGACTCCCCTCTAGGGCGCAAAAAGATAACGGAGTGCGCGAGCATGTGCCGAATGGTCTCATTCCCGTAGTGTTTGTCGAAATAGATATATCACTTTATAGAAAATTTAAAGTTCTTGTCGTGAGGCGGTGGCGATATCTTGATCACGTATTTGCGTCCTGCGCCTGTATCACATGGACAACGGGTTTCGGAAAAAAAAGTGCGCATGGAGGCAAAAAAAGTGATTTCGCCCAGGATCGAACTGGGGACGTTCTGCGTGTTAAGCAGATGCCATAACCAACTAGACCACGAAACCATCTTGAAGAATGAGGAGATGTGGTTAAATATGTCACGCAGGCTCAATTTGGGGCTCCTGATCTGAGATACACAACCATGCGCTTTCAAAACAAGTTTGTTTCATGAATAGCTTACACTTTCTGCTTTTTATGCTGGGCTTTTTGGCCCAATGGAACAACTTCTTGCACCGCTTTTCTCCCTCTAACAGGCCAGATCAATTACGCTTCGATCGCACCTAGGGTCCAGACGCCACCAAACGTTACTGGGTTCTGAACAAGGCCCGATTTTACATACACAAAAAAAAAATCCGGCAAAGCAGCTGCACCCAGGCGAATAATAATAAGCCCAGCTCCAAAAGGCGATATTTTTATCGATACCTCGTGGCATCTTATCAAAGGTTGTTGCCCCTTACGGCATGTAGCGGCGTGGGGCGCATAGCCAGACATATATCACTCTTCTTTTACCATGGTGATAGGGTTAGCATTTACCACGAAGGCAGCGCTCACGATGGGAGTCGTTGTGGGCGGCACGATCGCTGTGGTTTCCAACATGGATAAGATTCTAGAGCTTCTGGCTGAGTTTTTGCAGAAGGGGGCAGATTTCTGCAACGAACAGATAGAGAAGAACAAGATTCAGATGGCGTCGCAAATGGAGGATGGCGAGTTGGACTTTGACCAGGAGAGAGAGGTGGCTGGAGAAGGCACGTCTACCGGGTTTCGAAGAGAAGGCTCCGTTGCATCGGAAAGTGTACATGAGACTGATGGTGAGACCGATAGTGCTCGCGAGACAGAGAGCGAAACCGAAGGTATTTTGACTGACGGCTGGGACGATAGTGACATGGACGGGTGGCAGCTGGCACACTTGTCGGAGTCGGAGTTTTCGGAAAGCTACGACGAGATTGACTCGGAGCCGGTCTCCAGAGCGACCTCCGGCATTTCCAGTGTATCTTCGTACGGACGCATGTCCTCGATGTCTGTGGACTAGGCGGCTGCATCAGGTAATTAAAGGTTTTTTAGGATAAAAAATTTGATTTGGCAGTGGTTGTAGGTTTGGGGATTTGAGTGATTGGTGCGAATGCATTGCAATTTGCATCCATCAGCTATTTTGACACATTGTTCTGAATTTGAAAGCTGCTCATATTTACATTGTTGTAGGGCCAATGAGGTAAACTTTCAGGCTGATTATAGTGGGATAGGAGGCTTCGCTTTTGCTGGCTTCACCAGGCTTGTGTTGAACTTCCTTATTCACTTAAACTGACCGCCTACTGCGTTGGAGAGACTTGATTGTTCTACTTCGAGTTTCAGGACTTATTTCAAGGGAGGAGCTTTTTAGTTAGTCGGGTCGTTAAAGATAACTCATGGGAAAAATTTTTGCAACACTATAGCACACCGCTCTCGCTGCAAGTGTTCAGTCTTAGGCAGTCTTACGCCAGATACCAGAAACCTCGGTGATCACTCAACGCTAATAACATGTAATCCTTTTCAAACACAATGTCAATTGATTTCCCGATTCCAACATCTCCTCCATTGCATTTAAATAGAAGCCCAATATCTTCGAATTCCTCACCTCAGAGCGCCGCGGTACCCCACAAAGTCGAAAGCAGCAGATAAAGCAAATATCACAATCGATCCCCGAAATGCTCAATCAAAATGAAAATATGATTAACATCACCCCCTTTATTCCCTTTCTGTTCTTATCCCTCTCTCCTCTCCTCCAAACTAAAACTTCCCGAAGCAACCTTCCTACACTTGCAGCCTGTCACCCCATGAATCACCCCACACATTCCCTACTTCAACGCTTTCTACAATCCATGAAGCCAGTCAAATCTCTCTAGTTCTTCCCATCTACCGAAACAACTTCTCCTGAGATCACAAAATCATGACTCTTCCAACCTTCGAGCAACGGTCCTGGAATCACTTTCGGTGGGTCACCTGTCACCATGCATACTGGTAGCATGATGCCCCACCATGCCCCGCTACATCGTCGCACCAACATTTTCACCACTTACAACCACTTGTCCTCATGAAGAACCCATCTCTTGTGCTTAACAAAATCGACGACATCCTGTTCGAAGAGCTCGAGGCGCCCACCGTCGAGGAGCCCCACGACGTCATTGTCGAGGTGAAGAAAACCGGCATTTGCGGCTCGGATATCCACTACTATGCTCATGGCAAGATTGGGGATTTCGTCTTGACTAAACCCATGGTCTTGGGCCATGAATCCGCTGGTGTTGTGTCCCAAGTTGGCCCCGCTGTTACATCTGTCAAAGTCGGCGACAGAGTGGCCATTGAGCCCGGGGTGCCCTCCAGATTGAGCAACGAATACAAGACTGGAAAGTACAACTTGTGTCCACACATGGTGTTTGCAGCAACGCCCGAGTCGGACCCAGCCAAGAAGAACCCACCAGGAACCTTGTGTAAATACTTCAAGTCGCCTGAGGACTTCTTGGTCAAGTTGCCCGACCATGTGTCGCTTGAGTTGGGTGCACTTGTGGAGCCATTGAGTGTCGGCGTCCATGCTTCTCGTCTTGCCAAGATCACTTTTGGTGACCACGTTTTGGTGTTCGGTGCTGGTCCCGTCGGCTTGCTTGCTGCGGCTGTGGCAACCAAGTTTGGTGCTGCTTCGGTCACCTTGGTGGACATTTTCGATACCAAGTTGAAGATGGCCAAGGACATCGGTGCTGCTACGCATACCTACAATTCGAAAACCTCAGGAAAGCCCATCAGCGCCAACCCTCCATCGGGACATGCTCCCACCGTGGTTTTGGAGTGCACTGGTGCTGAAATTTGCATCCAACAAGGTGTGCTTGCATTGACTCCCGCTGGAAGGTATGTTCAAGTTGGCAACGCCGGCGGTTATGTCAAATTCCCCATCACGGAGCTCGCCACTAAGGAAGCTACCGTCCATGGCTCCTTCAGATACTCTTTCGGTGATTACCAGACCTCTGTGGGCATTTTGGATGAAAACTACAGAAATGGAAAAGAGAATGCCAAGGTCGATTTTGAGGCCTTGATCACAGACAGATTCTCTTTTAAGGACGCCATCAAGGCCTACGACCATGTGCGTGCCGGAGGCCCCATCAAATGCATTATCGATGGCCCTGAGTAGTTGCAAAAGATATAGATTAATGCGTATAATACAAATATTTTAGCCTGGTCCCCGGCTTAATGTGGTGCCTGCTCGCCAAATCCACGGCCATGGCGCAAGTTAATCAAGTCATTGGCCACATCCTCGTTTTTGATTTCATTCTCCTTCATACCGTCCCCTAGGTAGAGGTTGTTGTTGAGCCCGTTACTTTTGGAGATGCTGCCTTGCCTGCCATAAATAGTGGGTGAAAGTGGACCTGAGTATTGGCCACCTTGTGGATTCGGATACATGCCCATGTTAATTGGCATAATGGGTGGAAGCTGCACAGCAGCCTTGGATTGGTCATGGACCGGGGTGGATCCGGGCTGGAGATTGGAATGCTGCTGCTCCATGGGCTGTGACATTGAATGCATGGGTTGTGGGTTTTGTTGAGCCCGTTCTTTCTCCATTTCCTGTTTTCTGCGTCTTTGCTGTTGTGACTTCTCAAAAAGAAGATTGGTCTTGTACTTGATGTACTTGAGAACCTTCAAGTACTTGAGATCCTCGTCCATGTCCTCATCGTCCCAATCGATGTCGTGTTCTCCAAAATCTTCATCGTCAGATTCCTCAGCCAGACGCTTGTCCTTCAAAATTTCATCACGAAGCTCGTCGTTGATAATGCGCTTGAAGAGATCATCTTCCTTCACCGACTTGGTCTTCATGTACTTGTTAGCATTAGGCTGGTAATTGATGAAGATCTTGATGAAGAGCGATATACTTCGGTTCAAAACACGAATCGTGTCAGCACTCATAATACCGCCTTTCTTCGCAATCTTGAGTGTGCAAATGAGAAGATAAAGCATCTGGAGAACGATCGACTTCTTGAAATTGATGATTGTGAGGGAGAGTCCGTTAAGCATAGAGTTGTAAGGTGAGGCCTGAATTTCCTTCCGCTTGGTCCTACCATTCATCCCCAGTGCCAATGACAGCTTTCTCCGCTTCACTGAAAAATCATTAATCACAAATCCATCCTCATCAACATCGATACCCAAGTTTGGAGACATCAGACCCGAGGCCATTCTCTTGGGGTCACTGAAAAACGAGTTATATACAGCAGAATCGCTTGCGCCTGCGCCAAAACCGGATTCGTTTTGTTCAGTCGATTCCCCAATATGCTCGAAGATGAGGATGAAGTATGCGAGAACCTCACGGGAAATGTTGGCGATCTTCACATAGTAGCCTTGAGTGAGCTCTCGATCAATGACGAAGTTGAGGTAGTTCAGCGATCTGATCAAGAGGTAGTGGAAATTCAACTGCATTTTGATGAGTTGCAGGGCCGTGTTGATGTCTGGAAGGCCTACGTTCAAGAAGTTCACGACGCCCTCTTCCGATAAGCCAAGCTTTTTGGCATTGTCACCGTCGAATGTCACTCTGTGGTAAAGAGTGTCTTCACCGATGCTTGTGAGAACCGGAAGACCCATTTGCAAATGAAGAGGCATGAGATCGAGTCTCTTTTCCTCGAGCGCATATCTCCAGTTGGAAAGGTTCTTGTCAATCATCAAAAATTGTGTGAAATTGTAGTTCAAGTTACCATCGTTTCCATCGCCATCATCATCGTTAAGAATCCAGTCCAAGTTGTTTGAGTGGTGTTTCTTCTGGTTAGGGGCGTTTTCATTCACCTGTCTGTCCTGCTTCAAATACTGATAGTAGTTGGGCGAGAACGAAGAGGGAATAATGATGTTCATAAGGTTCAAGAATTCCACGCTGGGCTTGAGCAAAGTCTCGAAGAGCGGATCAACCTCCTCTCCGGGTTGCGGTTCAAGCAAAGTACTGAGTTTCTCAGGAGTCAATTTGAAGTATCTCTCGATCGTCACTGGATTGATAACTGTGGTATTGATGGATGGCTTGAAGCCAAACTTCAAGTTAAAGCACTTGAGCAACACTTTGAAACCCCAGAAAATTTTCACTCTGGTTCTGCGTTCATGTAAGTTCAAACTCAAGTCATTGAAAAACAAGTTTCTCGAGTTCAAGTTAATACCGAGGATGCCGATGAAAGAATTTATAAGACAAGACAGCACAAGCGACTTTTCCTTGTTATTGGTCAAAAGTGAGTAGTAGAAGAATAACAAGTAAACTTGCAACTGCTCCACTGAAACGCAAAACACATTGAGGTACGGAAGAAAGTCGTAAAGGGAGCGGATAATCGACTTGTTGTCATTGTCCTTGCGGAAACGGTATGAATAGTTGGGGTGGGAGTGGTTGAGTAGGAGGTTGAGGTTCAATGATGGGTTGTTCATGAAGATCATGGCATAGATCTGGATGACGAGAATCAAGTACTCGTTCACAACATGGTAGTCGTAAGTCAGAAGATTGAAGCCATTGATTGTTGCATCGTCATATGTGAACATGAATGGGTACATGGTATGGAATGCATCGTAGGTCTCCATGAACTTCTTGTAGTCAAAGATGGGGATGAATGTGTTGTAGTTCAAGAAGTATTGAATGATTTGGTGATCCAACTCCTTTTTGGAGTTAAAGATCTTTTTGAAGTTGTTGATGAGCTTGATGAATAGATCGTACACGTCTTTGGGTAGCTCGGAGTTGAGAGAGTTGTCATTCGCCAGCGTGAGCGGATTGTAGTTGAGATCCAAATCCTTATTGTGGAATTCATTGTAGTTGGAGTAGGACGGATGGTACAAGTAGGAGTCGGGATCGTTGAGGAGATAGTTGTGTGAGTTCGTGATCTTCAAGAACGGCAAGCCCAAGTTGATGAGGAGATGGTTGAACTGGGATTCGAAGTTCAAATTGTCGTTACCGATGATGATTCCCTTCTTGCCCAAGTTGAAGATCTGGTCGATGGGATTGTTGATCTGGATGGTGTTGTTGTTTTGCTTGAGCGTGGCAACGGAATACAGGTTGTCCTTGGTCTCGTCCTTTACAGGCTGCTGAGCAACCTGCTGATGTTGTTGTGGTGGTTGTGGTTGTTGTGGCTGTGGTTGTGGAGGTTGTGCTGGAGGTTGGAGGGTCAGTTCCGGTGAACCCAGTTTCATTTTCAGTCTCAAGGCGTTAACCTCGTCCTCGAGCTCCCTGACTCGGTTCTCCAAATTCACCGTGTAACCCTTCGGGAAAGCCCGTCGTGAGAGCTTGTCGGATGTCGTACACTCGAAACCAATGGCAGAGCATTTGTTACATGGCGTAGCACCGTCACACTTGATCTTCTTCATCCGACACCGGTCACAAGCCTGAGAGACCCGGAGTAGCCCGGTCTTCGTCAGTATAAGCTTGTGGCTGCTGTCGTCCTTGGCCTCCACCATGCCTTTGTTGATTTTTCAGATATGCTAGGTTGACGTTTTTATGAGTCCTTCTGTTTTGCACCCAATGCTCGGGGAGTGGAACAGCATTCAGATATATATACTGGTGCGCGGTGCCCCAGATTCTGACATGCAGCGTCCCCTCGGCTGTTCGGATTCGCATGGGGAAACCGCCGGGTCTGTTTGACAGCTTAATACTTGACGAGTACGAGACCGATTTTGCTGGGGAAAACGAAAATGTCAATCTTGAAGTTCAAATTTTTATCAGGTGTGTTTTTGGCCAAATTTGAACGATTTTTGCCGAACCCTCCACTCCCCTCTCATGTGAACTTGCATTGGCTGCGAAACCACCATAGTCCTCTGACTCTACTACACTTTTGCGTCTTGAATTATTTCCATTACTCCTGGGCTGAGCCCTAAAGTCAACCTATTTGATTTTACAAAATATGTCTTGATTTTTTGTTTCCGAAAACCTTAGTGCAAACCGCCGGTTCTCTCCCTTCTCAACTCCTTCTCTTGTCTCTCCACCTCTTCGTCGTACACAATGAACTCGTGCAAAGCCTTACCACCAGGCACCATGGGCAAAACAGGCACCTTCTTCTCGACAATCACCTCCAACAAAACTGGCGTCTTGCAGTCCAAGAATTCCTTCACCTTGGCGGCCATGTCCTCCTGTTTTTCGAGACGGATACCAGTGACACCCATGGCCTCAGCCAACTTCATGAAGTTTGGATTCAGCTGGTGTGTGTGGGAGTATCTGTGTTCGTAGAAGAGCGACTGCCATTGCGTCACCATACCTTGCTCTTCGTTGTTCAACACACAAATCTTCACTGGGGCACCGGCCTGGACAGCAGAAGAAAGCTCCATAAGTGTCATGTTGAAAGATGCATCACCGTCAATGTCAATGACAATGGCGTCGGGCTTGCCGATCTGGGCACCAATGGCAGAAGGGAGACCAAAACCCATGGTTCCCAAACCACCAGAGGTGACGAAAGTACGGGGTTTCGTCCACTCAAAGTGCTGGGCAGCCCACATCTGATGCTGGCCCACACCGGTGGTGACAATAACCTCCTTATCGTAATTTTGCGTCTGGTCGCTGATCTCACGGATCAATGTCTGAGGCTTGATAAGAGAACCAGGAGTCTCCTTCATGTATGAGTATGGGTATTGTTCCTTCCACTTGAGCACCTGGCCCATCCAGTCTTTTCTCTCGGGCACCTCCTTCACCAATGGCAAGAAGGTGGCAAGGTTACGGGTAACATCACCTTCAATGGCTTCAGTGGCCTCCACAACCTTGTTGATGTTCTTAGGGCTGATCTCAAAGTGAATGATACCACCTCTGCCTTCCTGGGCAGCTAATCTGGCGGCAGGGGCAAACTTCGAGACCACACCGGTCACTCTGTCGTCAAAACGGGCACCAAGAGCGATGATCAAGTCAGCATTTTGCATAGCAGTGTTGGCAGCAGCAGAACCGTGCATACCCAAGAAATCAAGAGACTTCTCGTCTCTCTGGTCAAAAGCACCCAAACCCTGGATAGTGGTGGTGACTGGGATGGTGGCCTTGTCAGAGAGCTCCTTCAACAACTGAGGACCCTTCTCGTGGTTCAAGACACCTGCGCCAACATAAAGAATGGGCTTTTTGGCGTTGTTCAACAAGGAAGCAGCACGCTCAATGGCCTCAGTGGTGAACTTGGTGGTGAAACGCTTGGTGATCTGAGAAAGAGCGTTCAGTGGCAAGGTGGTGTTGATAGGGATGGCCTCTCTGAGAATAGAGGCAGTAACATCCTTGGGAAGATCCACCAAGACAGGACCGGGACGGCCAGTAGTAGCAATCTCGAAAGCCTCGTTGATACGCTTAGGCAACTCGGCCACGTTCTTGACCATAACGTTCCATTTCGTGCATGGTCTGGAAATACCAATCACATCGGCTTCCTGGAAAGAATCCGTACCAATGGACGTCGTAGGCACTTGACCAGTGAAGACGACCAAAGGCACACCGTCCATAAGGGCATCTTGCATGGCAGTGACAACGTTGGTGGCACCAGGACCCGAGGTGACCAAGACAACACCAGGTTTAGCAGTCACTCTAGCGTAGCCCTCAGCCATGTGACCAGCACCTTGCTCGTGTCTAGGCAAGACAAACTTGAATTTGTCGGAGTTGTAGATGGCGTCGAAAACTGGCAAGATAGCACCACCAGCATAGCCAAAAACAGTGTCGACGTTGTGTCTCAACATCATCTCGTGGAAGATCTCACCTCCAGTCAATCCAATGAAGGAGTCGTCCATGGTGGACTTTTTTGTCAACTTTGGGGGTTTTTAGGATCCTGAGGCTCCTGGTCGAACGAAGGAGCCGGCGTGGGTCTCCTGTTCTCAGCCCTTTGTGTCATAGTGGCCTGGGAGTGTTTCGTGTTGGTTAAGCTTCTCTTGTACATATTGAAGGCAGGGGCCGATCTGGCCATAGCGGCACGGCTGAGGCGGCCTGAGAGGCGTGCGTGCGCGAGCATGGCAATAAATATAAGGTGGTTACTTTTGAAAAGTGGTTATTGGCAGAAAGCGGACTTTGTAATAGTTTTTCCTGGGGGGACTATGGGTCTTATACTCTGATTATGAGTCAAATTTTCTTCGCATTTTTCAGCTCCACGTCCTGCAGGCACCCATGGAGTCCCGTCACCGGGGCAGCGGAACAGACGTCGCCTCGATGACTCGTCACGTGCTGTGCCGGAAACCCCCACAAATGGAAGAAACGGTGATTTCGCTTATATGCTGTTTGATGAGGGTCAAATCCGTCATCGTGCAAGGCCGCCTGAAGTACCTAATTCGCCAGAAAACGGTGATTTTCATGTCTCCAGTCACGTGGATGCTGCTGAAAATCGCACCACCCCTCCGATACCGGAGGCTACCCCAGACTTGTCGCATATCGATATTTTTATTAAACCATTTAATCCTCCTTCGCTCTCGGAAGGTCTTCCTTCTCATTTATTTGAGAATCCTCATTGCTCGAGATAACCCCGCTCAGGGTCTCGTGATCCACTCTGTCGTAGATCTCCTCTGGTTCCACGCCCACCACTTCTTCTATTGGCTGCGAAATATGCTCTTTCGGCGTGGAAGGCAGACCCCAGTCCAAAAAGTCTCTTCTGACTTCAACGTAGTCGTATGCAAATTCTCCGATTTGGTCTTCGTCAATACCCTGCTCCTCGGCAGCGTAGTCGGCTCTCAAATGGAGACCAGGAATGTTGTCAATGACGAAGCACAAGACGGCAGTGACACCACCAGAGTAGGCAGTGGTGGCCAAAATGTACACAATTTGAATGTACAACTGCTTCCAGTTATGGTCAAGCCAGCCTCCCAAATGGTCAGTTACATTGTCGTAGCCAATGACGGTCTTGGATCCGAAAAGTCCATTGAAAATGAGACCAACCATACCAGCGATACCGTGCTCTGCCATCACATCAAGAGAGTCGTCAACACGGCAAAGGTACTTGAGCTGAGTAGACAAGTTACAGACTACACCAGCGGTGATGCCCAAAATGACAGAGGCCCACAATGGGATACATCCTGAGGATGGAGTAGCGGCGACAAGACCGGAAATGCAACCAGAACAAGCAGCCACCATGGACCATTTTTTCTCAAGACGGAAATCCAAAAGACACCAGGAAAGAGCACCGAAGGCTCCGCATAAGTGGGTATTGAGCATTGCGTATGGCACCTTGACAGATACATTGCCTGCTGAGAAACCATTGAAAAACAACCAACCAAAGTACAACATTGAGGTACCCAAGAAGATGGTGGAGATATTGTGGGGTCTGTAGTTGATCATGAGATCCTGGTTTCTTCTGCCCAAAAAGGCCGAGTAGACAAAAGCGGAAACACCCGAAAGAATTTCCACAGGCCCACCACCAGCGTAATCCAAAGCTCCTCCATTCCATGTCAGGGCCCAGCCGCCGCCCCAAATCCAGTAAACAACCGGACTGTAGACGATTGTGGACCACAAAAAAAAGAACACAATGGTTGGCAAGAAACGGCCTCTTTCAGCAATACAAGCACCAGCTAAAATGGCCAATGTGACAAGCAAAAATTGTAGTTGGAAAAGCACCCAGCCAATTTCCGGATATGTGGAGTCAGCATTTTCTTTGCCGACAATGTGTTTAAGACCAAAGGCTCTCAAGTCGCCAATGAAGTTGTTGTTTGAGGTGGAAAATGCCAAAGAGTAGCCCCAAAAATACCATGTAAAGCAGCCGATAAATGAGGACATGATGACGACCCAGATGGCCGAAAGAGCCGATTTTCTTCTGGACAAACCAGAATATAGAAATGCCAAACCGGGCACCATGACCCAAATTATGGATGAGGCGATGCAAAAAAGAAGCACCTCTGCCTGGTTGTATTCCTCGTTCTCCGTGAAGAGGGCTCTTTTAATCATAATGCAAGTGTTGATGAAATATTAAATGTAAAAACACAAAAATTAACGAAAAGTGGGAAGGCTGAAAAATCTAAAAAAGTAGGCTGCTACATCGCATGAGAGGCGACCAAGGTCATTAAATGACAAGGCGATTCCTAGTCAGACGGGTCTGCAAAAACCAATAGCACGCTTCACAGCCGCGTGCATCGCTGCAGGAAAACCAGGCAAAGCATAGGCACAGAAGTGGCCCAAACGCTGTTGATGAGGCGTCTAAAGTGCCACCGTGCATAGCATGGCCAGAGATAATTCGATGGATTGCCTTTATCAGTAGGTCCGCGTGCAGGATGCCGCTTAACTTACCGGCGAGATAAGGCAGCTACGAAGCAACTGACGCCTGGGCATTGCAAGGAAATTAGAAGAAAAAAAAAAAAAAAAAAAAAAAAGGTTTACTTGGGTACACTAATTCAGCCTGTTTGCTCCGGGTCTTCCTGGGCGGGTTCTAAATTACTCGCTGTGCTGGGAAGCCACAAGGCACCTGCCAAAGTGGATCTGGCAGCGCAGGGATGCCAATCTGGAGCTTTCTCATTCTGTTTGACTTAAAAATTTTGAACATTTAGAGAGCCATTTTTATGGAAGCTTCCGAAGTTGAGATAGGTCTGTCCCGAGTTATTCCGGCAGTTCGCCTCGCCAAAAGTGACGGACCTGCACACATCGCTATCTATCTCTGCGATAACGGTGACGCCCCTCTTTATTGGATGCTGTCAAATCGATAACGGTCTGCCGTAGCGGAACCGCCATATCGCCATCGCTATCAGCACAGAGCTATTGAGGTTTTGGTACCCGGATATAAGACGGACAACGGTCGTTTCATTCAATTATTTTTTTTCTTGGCCATTGGCATGAGATCGTGTCGTGTTTTTTTTTTCCCTCTTCTTTTTTTATGTTTTTCCATACGTAGATTTGATGAAGATGTCACCACGGGGCGGTGTTTCGGCACCGAAAGCGCTTCCTCTCGCTGGAATGCCCCGTTTTCTATTCTCCACATGCGTATGGTAGTGGATTTATGAGATTTCTTTTAAAAGAGGGAATTAATAAATGAAAAAAAAAAAAAAAATTGAGTTATGTGATGAATGGTATTGAAAAGTATTCCCCCTAAAGATTGTCTTCAATGATTGAAACCAGAAGCGACAAGGCCCACGTTAATTTGGTACTGTCGGCGGTCCGGAGCCTCTTTCAATACCCCACGCTGATGTTTGTTTCTTCCAAGCCCAAGATAAATTTACGGCGTACGAGTCCTGAACCGGACTGTGCTCAGTTCGTCATTCCAGCTGCATCACAAGAAATTGGCTCCCAAGAAGTACCGCAAGGTCTTGGTAAAGCACTTTTCACTCGTTGACTTTCGTCAATTTATCTCCTCGTTATTTTTCCAGTGGACCCCGCCGAGTCACCTATTTACATTAAGCGTCGTTGCAGCCAGCTCTGCTGCTGTTTAGATCTGCCACCAGTACTTCTCCACAAAGTGGAAAGTTTCAAAGCACACCTCGACAAGAATAAGGATGATAATGATCCATTCAAGACGAGTGCCTTTCTTCTCACTCAACACACTGAGAAGCGCTCGCTGCTCCTCTGTCACATAGTCGAGCTTGCGATTCATGATCAGAATACGCAGATGAATGTCAAGCCTACGACTGATGGATTCGTAGATCTTCTCCAAGTTGGGCTCCGACCAGTACAAGTCTGGAGTCTCAATGAGTTCCGAGTATAGATTGAGCTTTCCGCGGATGAGGAAAAGACGACCGGTGAGTTTGAGAATGTCGGCCTCCTTCGTCTTGAGTTCCAAGCCTTCTGAAAGAACCTCACTATTTTCTCTGGTCAATTGAATATGCTTCTCAAGTGACTCCTCGAGAATTGATAATCTTGTCGAACGAGAAAGACCGACTGCGAATGCAGCCTTCTCAAGTAGCCTTTGCTCTGGGTCTTGGCCTTGTGACACAAACACATCCTCCAAAACGAACGACGGCCTATCTTCCTCTGATAGCTGTGCGTCTAGTGAGACATAGTCCATCTCTTCACTCTCGCTCTCGTATTTCTCCGAAACGGCGTCCCAAATCTGGGGTACGTAGCCATCTATTTGGTCCTCGGTGATATCCCACCCAACCAAAGTTCCATTGGCCAAGACCATCATGTCTTTCTTGTCAACCTTACATTGTAAGACTTCGTCACGGATAACCACAGAATGTGGTAACTTGCTTTTACGGAAGATACTCCGCACCTTGTCTAGATCGATCGATTCACCTATGGTCAATGACGTTACCGGTTTTAGGTATTTCCGAAGCGAAACCTCATCCACATACTCTCCCTGCACCTGTTCTAAAAATGACAAGATTTTTGACTGACTGGACTGTTCGGCCTTGTGCAGCCATCGTAGCGATTGAAGTCCGGCTTTTTGGTTCTTCTTTTTGTTCAGCTTTTTGTGAGGAACAGGTACTGTGATTGGTGGTTTCTTCAACTCCGCAGCCACTTTGGAAGAGTTGAAGCGTCTGAAATTCAGGAGACCATGCCGAAGCAGTGGCCTGAATATGCTCAACATGATTGGTAGCGGTATTGACAAAGTCCGGATGGTCTGATGCCGCGGCAGAGTCGAGTCGGTCACGTGTATTACAATAGTGTTGACAAGAAAACAAATGTGATTTAGTTCGTTCATCTACGGGTTCTTTTTTTGGAAACTTGCAAAATGCTCTTCCTCGACCGCAGTGGCGGTGTCAATACCTCTGCTGTGTTGGCTGCGAAAAATTATCCCTGCTTTAGCGACCATACTCAATTTCTCACCATCATTGTATAATAAAGTCCGGAAAAAATTTCAACCTATTCAAGTAAGCGCCTTAAGGATAGCCGGCCAAGCCACGCCCCTTGTTATGTATGTTTGTTGCTGCTTCACGAAAGGGCGTTTCGTGTAAATCTCAAAACTCAACCTCCTCGCAGCCTCACTGCCTATGCGATCTTCTCTACATCGTTCTAGAAACACAGCTTTGACGAGGTACTCGAAAATTGCCTCCGAAATAAAATAAAGCAAGCTTTTTCCCTACCCTCCATTGTCCCGAAGATCAACAAGCAGATGAAATTTGCATCCAATCTCGGTTCACAGTTGGGCGTTCGTATTTTTCATGGCTGTCAGAGAATACATGCCTGCATGTATATTCACACGTTGTTTTACTTATTCCGTTTTGGGATAGGTAATAACTATTACGCGGGTCTGGACGAAGAGGTCCCGATTTGAGGGGTGCGCAGAAACGCTCTAGAGCACGACAATGTCGTCGCTACCTCAGGAGGTGTCGAGTCTGATGGGGATTCGTTGGGATATTTTGCTATTTTATACCTTTTGTATATTCTTTATGTTTTTGAGTAAACAGAAAATCTATTTTAAGCGTTGTACGACCCAAGAAACTCGAGAAGGCGGGTCTGGCTGGGGAATGCGGTATCCGGATTAGAGAGGTGCGAGAATGGCTTTTTTTGGATTGCCAAACAAAAATACACCTACGTCTATTCTTCTTCCCAATTCTTCCTATTTGTAGCGTGCAAGACCTTGCGTTGGCGTGACCTCAGAGAATAAAAGCATCGTCCCCCTGTTCCTATTCCTTGCCCAACTTAATTATGTGGTATGTTAACTCGAATAAGGTCTTTCTGGCAGAATACTAACCTACAGTGGAATCTTTGGCTACGTGAACTTCTTGGTGGACAAGACCAGAGGCGATATTATGGAGAACCTCTTGGAAGGTCTCTCCAGATTGGAGTACAGAGGCTATGACTCGACCGGTTTGGCTGTTGATTCTGATGATAAGGCTAGTAACATCATTGTCAAGGTCCCTGGTAAGGTCAAGCTCTTGAGAGAAGAGATTGAGAAGACCAACGTGGTCAAGGACACAGTTTTCGACAACCACGTTGGTATTGCTCATACTAGATGGGCTACCCATGGTCAGCCCCTGGCTTTGAACTGCCACCCTCACCGTTCTGACCCTAGCGGAGAGTTCGTTGTGGTGCACAACGGTATCATCACCAACTACAGAGAGTTGAAGACATTGTTGGTCAGCAAGGGCTACAAGTTTGAGTCTGAGACTGACACAGAGTGTATCGCTAAGTTGTTCAAGCACATCTACGATTCTAATGCCCAGGCTGGTCAGTACATCGACTTCAACGATTTGACTAAGCAGGTGTTGTACGAGTTGGAGGGCTCCTACGGTTTGTTGGTCAAGTCTGTCCACTTCCCAGGTGAGGTTTGTGGTACCAGAAACGGTTCGCCTTTGTTGGTCGGTGTCAAAACCGAGAGAAAGTTGAAGGTCGACTTTGTCGACATTGAGTTCCCCGAAAACCAGGAGAAATTCGCCGGTCCAAATGTGAGCGGCGAGCTGAACTTGAGAACTTCCCAGTCGAGAGCCTTCTTCAATGAGGATGGTGTTCCTTCCCCTGTTGAATTTTTCTTGTCCTCCGACCCAGCCTCGGTCATTGAGCACACCAAGAAGGTGTTGTTCTTGGAAGACGATGATATTGCCCACATCTATGACGGTGAGTTGCACATCCACCGTGCCAAGAAGTCTACTGCTGGCGAATCTACTTTCCGTCCTATCCAGACCTTGGAGATGGAGTTGAATGAGATCATGAAGGGCCCATACAAGCACTTCATGCAGAAGGAGATCTTTGAGCAGCCTGACTCTGCCTTCAACACTATGAGAGGTAGACTCGACTTCTCCAACAATTCTGTTAACTTGGGTGGTCTCAGATCGTGGTTGCCTACTATCAGAAGATGTAGAAGAATCATCATGATTGCCTGTGGTACCTCCTACCACTCTTGTTTGGCTACAAGATCTATTTTTGAGGAATTGACTGATATCCCTGTCTCTGTTGAGTTAGCTTCCGACTTTTTGGACAGAAAGTCGCCTGTCTTCAGAGATGACACTTGTGTCTTCGTTTCCCAGTCCGGTGAGACTGCCGACTCTATGTTGGCCTTGCAATACTGTTTGGAGAGAGGCGCTTTGACTGTCGGTGTCGTGAACTCTGTCGGCTCCTCCATGTCCAGACAAACCCACTGCGGTGTCCACATTAACGCTGGTCCCGAAATTGGTGTCGCCTCCACCAAGGCCTACACTTCGCAATACATTGCTTTGGTCATGATTGCTCTCTCTCTCTCTAACGACTTTGTTTCCAAGAGAGAGCGTCACATTGAGATCATCAAGGGCTTGAAGGAGATCCCAGAGCAAATCAAGACTGTGTTGAAGCTAGAAGACAAGATAAAGAGCTTGTGCAATGACTTCTTGAACGAGCAGAAATCCTTGTTGTTGTTGGGTAGAGGCTTTCAACACGCTACTGCCTTGGAGGGTGCCTTGAAGATCAAGGAAATCTCCTACATGCATTCTGAGGGTGTTCTTGCCGGTGAGTTGAAGCACGGTGTTTTGGCATTGGTTGACGGTGACTTGCCTATCATTGCCTTGGCCACCCGAGACTCTCTATTCCCTAAGGTGATGTCTGCTATTGAGCAGGTGACTGCCAGATCTGGTAGACCTATTGTCATCTGTAACGAGGGTGACGACTTGTTGAAGGACAAGGCTTACGCTACCTTGCATGTTCCATTGACCGTTGATTGTTTGCAAGGCTTGTTGAACGTCATTCCATTGCAGTTGATGAGTTACTGGTTGGCCGTGAACAGAGGCATTGACGTCGACTTCCCCAGAAACTTGGCCAAGTCGGTCACGGTGGAGTAAAAAGAGGGAAATAGTCATACATAGTTTTCAATAAGTTGCACTTGATTAATACATAACACGTCATAGAATTACGAGCGCTTAAAAAATTCTGACTGGCTCATGAAGGCGGAAGAGGTATCCAACACCAGCTCTCCCAAACCCAAGTATTTCCTTGTGTAATAACGAGCAGACTCGTTGGGAATCTGATCAAGATCCGGACTGTGGTTAGTTTTGTTCTAAATGAAGGCTGTAAGGTCTTAATCAAAGCACACGATACTTACGTCAAACCGGTATTTCTTCTGATGCCAGCCAAGACGGCTGAAACGGCGAGGAGGTCAGCACCCAAGTGAATGGATTTCAAGAAAAGGCCCTGAATATTAGTAATTCTTCGGTTGCAAAGCACTGCTTACATACCATTATTTCGAATTAGTCTGAACGGCTGAGAAATGTTCCTTGAAGCAGATATGGTCCCTGGCCCGTGTTTTTGTACTGCAGACAAAACCTTCGTTGTTCTACTGTGAGTGATTTCCTAGAACAGTGCTTCGAGGCTACTTGTGTAACTTGCAATTGATTTTGAGATTTTCTAATCTTATTGATTTGTCTCGTCAAGTGTATCAATCTATTGAATTAAAAATGCTTCTAATGGCAATTTTGTTATTTTTTTCGGTTTTTTGTAGAATCGTATGCTGCAGCTGTGTCCTCCACATGGTGGCAAAAATATGAAAGAAGGCGAATGATAACAAATTATCTCGATGCCTACACAAAAAAAAAAAAAAAAAAAAAAAAAGAAAATCGCCAACACCAGAAGGCGAAATTCTTAATGCAAAAGTAACTTTCACTTCTTCAGCTACCATACACTGATGCCATTTTTGAACCGGGCACCATGAACAAGTGTGGTACTGCATGCTCATATCCATTCCAGAATGCTTTCTCTCGCACCACCAACTCTCTTTTCCATTCTAATCAAGGAGGGAAGTCCGATAAAATCAAACCCCAAAGTGAACAAAGCTCATGTTCCGAATAAGTTATTCAGATGCAGATGAACGAAACATAGGTCAGGATAAGCTTGAGCCCCAAATGATTCCAATTGGCCCTTCAACCGGTCCACACGATATATGTTGTTTGTAAACCAACAGCAATTTCAGCTTCGCCGACGAAAGAGAAATGTTGATTTCTCGGGAAAAACCTTGTGGCTTGCCTATGTGCCCCCTTCGGCAGAATCAGCCTTGGAACCACTCAAATCTCGTAGAACATTTCACAACATTGTTGTTCCTGTAGTCCCGGTTCCGCAAGGATTGACGACCCCGAAAGGTTCAAGGCAGATGCCAGCTTTTCCAACCAATGACAATTGTATCGAAGATGATACTAAATTGCGCTAATCTTCAGAGGTACTCTCGAGCCTAATCTTCATGAGAGCCATTGAGAGCACTCTATTGACACGGTCAATAGCTGATCATAAATTGAGCTATCAATCCATAATGTCGGCCTGACCTTATAAGTTGTTGACTAGTGATAACAGAGCGTCAGTGTCTCAAATTGAAGTCGCCATATGATCTACAGGCGAAGCAAATCTACAGCAATCAACACTCCAGAACGTTGGAAATATCACCACTGGACTAATCAAAAAAATCAAAAAGAAGATGCTGTCGGATGGAAGCCAGAAATTTTACAAGCTCTGGTCTTACTTTCTAGTAGACCTGCATATGTGCGACCAGCCTTCAACACATTGAAAATCCATCATCACTATAAGCAAGTCTCGCTGAATTCCTGGGCTGCCACAAGATCCCAACACCTAAACGTTTGGTCTCATATACAACCACCGAGCTTCAGACGCAACCATCCTTTTTTGCACAATTCGTCATGTCGGATAGATATAGACCCCCTACTGGACCTAAAGGTCCAAAAGGTCCTAGAGGGCATACACCTTCGAATTACAAATCCGGTTGGAAAGACCAAGAAGGCAAAGGTGCAGATGGTAAGAGGTTTAAAGAAAGAGATAACTATAGACCCAATATGATTGATAGGCGAAGAGGCCCTGACGACGGAGACGACAGGTACTACAACAGGGATAGGAACGACAAAAACGACCGATACGAAAGAAATGACCGAAACGACAGACCGCTGGGGCCATCTGGCTCGAGAGATAACCGTGGCCAGAAGAGAGGTCCACCTGATAGAGATCCCAGAAGAGGGCCAGGTGGTGATAGGCCCAACAAGAGACGGGACTTTAATGCTCGAGACTATGATAATGATCGCGCCGAGAGCAGTAAACCCGAAATCGACAGGCCTCCACGTGCACCCAAAAGCAGCGGGTATCAGGGTCCTGGCTCTCGTCCCGGTCCTCGTCCCGGTCCTCGTCCCGGTCCTCGTCCAGGTCCTCGCACCGGTCCCAATAGTCGACCAACAGGTCCAGGAGGTGGTCCCAATGCTGGTCCAAACCAAAGAGATAGACCAAAACAACCACCAAAGAAGCGCACCCCGAACCCCAATGCTAATCAGAACAAAAAACCCCAGCAAAGACTCCAACCATCGCAGCTATACTCATTATATGCTAACAGGTCCAACGAACTATACAAACGGGTTCAGCAAGTTGGTGAGGGTACTTACGGTAAGGTCTACAAAGCCAAGAACTCTCTCACAGAGGAGTTTGTAGCTTTGAAGCGATTGCGTCTCGAGAGCGAGAGAGAGGGTTTTCCAATCACAGCGATGAGAGAGATCAAACTTTTGCAAAGTTTTGATCATCCCAACATTGTTGGTTTGTTGGAGATGATGGTAGAGCATAATCAGATCTTCATGATCTTTGACTACTTGGACCATGATCTTACTGGTTTACTCACACACCCAGATCTCAAGCTCACAGAAGGACACAGAAAGACCATATTCAAGCAGCTCATGGAAGGTATGAATTACCTTCATACAAGAAGAGTTATCCACAGAGATATCAAGGGATCCAATATCTTGGTGGATCGAGAGGGTATCGTGAAGGTAGCAGATTTTGGTTTGGCAAGAACCATGAAGGTGTTGAAAGATGGTGAAAGTCCAGATTACACCAATCGTGTCATTACGATTTGGTACAGACCACCGGAGCTTCTTCTTGGGTCTGTGGACTATGGACGTGAAGTTGATATTTGGGGTGTGGGGTGCTTACTCATTGAATTGTACACTAAGATGGCCGTATTTCAGGGTACGGAAGAGATATCTCAGCTTTATAAGATTTTTGATATTATGGGTACTCCCAGCGTTGACTCATGGCCCGATATTGAGAACTTGCCATGGTTCGAGATGTTGAAGCCACGCATAAACAAAAAATCAAGCTTTGAATCAGAGTTCAGACCATTAATGTCTGGGCAAAGCTTTGATCTTGCACAAAAAATGTTATCGTTGGTTCCAAGTGAGAGGATCTCAGCCGAAGACTCCCTTCAGCATGCGTACTTCACCGAAGATCCCAAGCCGGAGCCATTGGAATTCATGAAGACGCTCGAGGGTGAGTGGCATGAGTTTGAGACCAAGAAAAGAAGAAGGGAAGAGCGTAAGCGTTTGGCTGAGATGAAGAATGCTAAGGGCAGGGAGGTCTCATTACCACCTACACAGCCAGCAGCACCTAATCCCGCCAATGAGCATGCCGGTTTCCAAACTCCATTGTCTACTGAGCAGGCTATTCTCGATGATATCAATAACGGTCTGGAGAGCAAGCCAAACGCGGTTATGGGCTTGGATGAGATGATGAATCATTCGGAGCCGGATCGTCAAGCGACTGAGAACCCTACTGACAATGCCACTGACGACAAGGAGAACAAGGCGGAAACTGAAGAGCCCAGCGAAACAGCTGAAGGCGAAGGGGAAGAGAAGCAGGGGTAAAGTAAAGCAATCCTGACTCACCAAAAGGAAGGACCTCAATTGTGAAGCTACTTCGTACGATCTTCAAGCAAATGTATAATACCTACTGGAACATGAAGCCGCGGCCTCGAAAGGCTTCTGTGAGATTAGGGACAGGGTCAAGTTGTCAAGCACGCTTGGCCCGACCGGAACATAATAGAAATTCGGTGATGTCACCTATGATGTACATAAATAAAGCATTAATAAAGGCATTTGTCGCAAGAATTTGTGTAGGGACCAATGGGCAAAGTGCTCTAAATGGATTTGCTTGGTCCGTGCGCCTAAGGTATAAAGGTCACACCAGATCTCCCAATTCTGCATCCTCTGCCTCGATGGGGTCACTCACCCAGAAATAGCCACAAGCTGTCGCCTTTGTCCTATTTAAACAAAGCTACATTACATGATCTCAATGGCTCAAAGCAATTGCCTCACTTGCTAAATGTAGTTGCTCATAGCGGGCTAACTGTTTGGATTCGTTCTTTTGTAACCACCACTTGTACTTTTTGACATCTGCATTCTTTATTACAGCTTACCTCGAATCCACACCCTAGTCGGTATAATCTAAAGCACCAACTCATCTAGACCGTGGACAATCAGGTGAATAGCGTTCCGGATCTGCCGCCGTATTTGCAACCATTCCGTCGCGCCCGTCCATGGCCACATACTTTCAGAATCATAATCAACTGTGCTTTGAAACCAGAATTTTTTAGTGCATCTTTCTTCTTCTAAATGCAAAGAAAAAAAATTCCTTCTAATTCTGTGTTCTTTTCTTGTGCACCCAAATGCTAAGAAAGCCTCTTCTGCTCCCCACGTCGCTGTGTATCCTCGAGGTAAGCCGCGACCTTTTTTCTCACTATCTGTGCCGCATTACCCTACCACACATCATAAGCGCCAATTGATCTTTTCACACCATGGGATTGTGTTCTTCAAAGGACCCGCCGGCTCCGCCAGCACCCGATGTTTCGGACAAGCGGACCAAGCAGCAGACCGCCGTGGGCCGGTCCGCTAAGGAGACCCTGGACTCCTCTAACTGGGTATCTGAAAAGAACCATCAAGACTCACAGCAACAGCACCTCGCCACAACCGCCAATCAGAGCCTAAGACCAGGGCTGGCTCCCAACTCGACCGCTCAGTCCAGGCAACTGTCCTCACAGACCAACAACGGCATCATTCAGCCCGTCACGGGAGACAAGGAAGTGAAGGTCTTGTTGTTGGGTTCGGGTGAGAGTGGTAAATCCACCATTGTCAAGCAGATGAAGATCTTGCACAAGAACGGATTCTCCGATGAAGAGCTCTATGAATACAAGCCGTTTGTGTTCAAGAACGTGCTTGATTGTGTCAAGAATGTGGTGAACGCCATAATCGACCTCCAGCCTGATTTGATCGCCGAAAAGGGCACTAGCGAGGACGACTTGGCCGCCAACATTGCAGGAACAGTGGGCCAGCGTAAACACATCTTGCGCTACGACGACCTCAACGAGATCTTGGACTATGAGGTTTCGGTTTCCTCTGAAGAGCCTTTCAATCCCTCTGTGGCTGCCAAGATCAAGGATGTCTACAACATCAAAGAGGTCCACGATTTCATGGAGCGTGAGCAAGGCAAATTCTACCTCATTGACTCCACAGACTACATGCTCAGTAATATGGACAGAATCGCTGCCCCTGACTATGTCCCCAACCAGGCTGATATCTTGCGTACACGAAAGAAAACGTCGGGTATCTTCGACTTCCGTTTTCAAATGAGCGGTGTCAATATGCATATGTTCGATGTAGGTGGCCAGCGCTCAGAGCGCAAGAAATGGATCCACTGCTTCGATAACGTCACGCTAATAATCTTTTGTGTGGCTCTTTCCGAATATGACCAGGCGCTTCTAGAAGAAGATTCCCAGAACCGATTGGAAGAGTCCCTTACGTTGTTCGACTCAGTGGTCAACTCGCGCTGGTTCTCGAGAACTTCCATTGTGCTCTTCCTCAACAAGATCGATGTCTTCGCAAAGAAATTGCCATTTTCACCTTTGGAAAATTATTTCCCAGACTACAATGGCGGTGACAACATCAACAAGGCCGTGAAATATATTTTATGGAGATTTACACAGGTAAATCGTTCAGGCCTTAACATCTATCCACACGTCACACAGGCCACAGACACTTCAAACATTCAACTCGTGTTTGCCGCAGTGAAGGAGACAATATTGGAAAATTCTTTGAGAGACAGTGGTATCTTAAACACCTAATTGATTAACTGAGGCACACTATTGAAAAAGATTCGAAGGAGAGAAGAGAAAGAAAGAAAAAGGATTGGTTTCATTCTGGTGTATCTATACATGGTATTGTTTTCGAGTTATTTATTCGTATTTCACATTAAAATGAATTTCGTTGCATCATGCACTGGCCGCTGGCTGGCTTTCGGCTGGAGGGGGTTTAGCTGGTTGTGAATCTTTGCTCTCACCGCTAGGCCTCCTCTCAGAACCTCCCCTTCCTCTTCCTCTTCCTCTGTAAGACCGGCCACCACGACCGCTTTGGCCACGACCTCTTCCACGCCTTGAGTTCAAATGGCCATTTTTATTACCAGGGTCTTCATCACCCAGTCGTTTTGCGCCATTTGATTGCAGATTTATCTGCTTTTCTTCTTCATTAGATTCGGCTGGGGCTGGAGGCTTGTCATCTTCCCCTTCGTTACTTTCCCATCCTTCGCTGCCTCAGTATTCGTTCTAGAACCTCTCCTTCCTGGTCCGCCTTCCGACCGCTTGCCGCCCCGTCTTTCCATTCCAACTCTTCTTCCACTTCTCCTGCCACCACGATTAGAGGATCGATCCTTTTCATCTGACTTATCTTCCAACTGTACCTTATCTTCCAATGCCAGAGTCATTTCAATGAGATGCTTCTTGAAATCTGGACGTTGCTGCGAAGAAAAGGACTTATTGCGTTCTGTAAGATGATGTTGGTCCTTATGAATTGGATGGTTATACTCCGCTGAATGCTTTTCAGTAGATCCCCCTTCGTTGTACTTTCATCGACCGATCCCCTTTTACTCCTCAGGAACAGTTTCCTAGTCAGATTGTCCCGAGATCTCCTGCTTGTGGTCGGCTTATTTTTATCCTCTTTTAAAGAGACATCTTTATTTGCATCTGTTGTTGGTTTTGTGGACTGAGTAGGCTCCAGTTTTGAGCCGTCATCCAGGTCAACAACAAGAACTTCACTCTTCGTGGATACTTCAGGAGCACTCTTCGATTCGAGGTGTAAGACATCGGGACTACTTAGTCTTTCGAGCTCCTTTTGATGCTCAGGAGATGAAACAGTGGAATGCTTTTTCTTCAAAATCACTGGCTTTCCTTGGGGTTTCGGAGTCCCATTGGCAGACTTTCTTCCCTTCGCATTAGGAGCCCTCGTATCCTCAGACTCGGACTTGGTGCTGAGGATGTCCGCCAAACTCTTCTTCTGACCGTAGATTGAAGATGGAATTGGAGCCGGAGACAATGCATTAGTTTCCGATTTTGCGGGCTCGACACTCTTCGGAGGTGCACGCGTTCTACCGTTTGTATCATTGTTCCCCTTTTTCTTCAGCATGTCTTCGGAGTCTGAACTGAGTGCCGTGACAGTATTTGGGTCAATTGACACAATTTTTTTATCCATCTCATGCTCCTTTGCCAATATATCCACAGGCTTGGCATTGCCGAATGGATTAGGTTTGGGTTTCGATGGACCCAAGGCTGGCGTTTCATGACCAGGGTCTATAATTTGAGGTGTTGCTGTGTGTGAAGAGGTGAAACGAGTGAGTGGTTTGGGTTGAGGTGGGCCATTGTGGCCTCCGGAGCCGAACGATGATCTGCGTCCTGGTCCACCCATTCGCAGATTATCACGTCCTGACAGATGCATTGCCTCAAGCTCGCCGAGAACTCCAAGGCCTGGGATATGGCCAGTATGAGAGGAACGGCGTCCCTCGAAGCTACCCCTGGTTTTGTTGGAAAGAAATTCACGCTCAATACGACGTAGTTCTGAGTCATGCTCCTGATTAAACTTCATACAGCCTTGAAAATCGGCGTAGTCTGCGGGTTCAATGATCACTCGGCGGTTACCTTTGTAGTACAAGTCCTGCCAGTTTACCACTCTGTTCTGATCACTGAACGATTTTAGCTCAACAAATGCACTTTTCTTGACTATACCCGTTTCCAACGGGTTTGACACTGGATCGTAAACGATCTTGAATTTGATAAACAGCATAAATCGGGAGCTGAAGAGGTCTTTCACGAATATATCATCACACGACACAGGAAGGTGTAGGAGTTTCACGATATACGGAGGTCCTTGATCAACCAGGAAGTTTCTCGACCGTCCGTAGCCACCAGGGCCAAAAATTCCCGATTCGGAGCCACCTAGTGATTTATTCTTCTCGATGGGTACAGAAATTGAGGCGATGTCAATCTCATCATCGGCCCAAGAACCACCGTAAGCTAGCTGTTAGTAACATCGTTATTATCGATACGGCCATAATGGAAACCATTTGGTCTTTAAATATACATACAATCATCAGAGATGAACTCTTCAAGCGACATCTTTTTAGGAGGTGCTGCGTGTTAGTACAGTTGTTAGACGGGTCGAGTCAATGGAGAGGTCCTGAGGTAGCTTTCATCCCTTATATAAACTCAGCCAGTTCATTTGGCGTATAATGAGACACATACTCATTTTAGCTGTTCGATTGAGTACAGAGTTGGTCAGGCAAATACATACTCCTTGTAAGGTGAGAGCTATATTGTGCAGGTCCAGGACCCTGGAGCCAGCCGCCCAAATGGGAAAGAGGAAAAAGGATTTGATTTTAGATAATAAAATAAAAAGAACAAGGAGCAGCTAACTTGATGGTGGCTTTTAACTTTTGTCCCGGCATGATTTCCTCGCTTTTGCATGTGTTCAAGAAAAGCGACTCTGCATTGCACTTGTGGCTGCGAAAATGTGTGCTTCAAGTAGAACTTGAAATCAGTTCTGCTCGTAGTTGTCGTAAGTAGATCTCCAGTTTTTGAAGAAGCCGGAGAAAAACTTGATGGCCAAACCAACATCCTTGCTGCCTAGAGTAGCTCTTATCGAGTGCATGGACAACTGGGGAATACCCAAGTCGATTGTTCTGGCGCCAGTTTGGATAGAAAGGTATGGTCCAATGGTACCGCCTGAGGGAGAGCCATTTCTGATATGGAAGTATTGGAGCTCGTCTCCATTCTTTTTGGCGAGCTCCTCGACAAGTGCCAATCCGGTTGAGTCAGTGGCCATGTTACCATTAGGGTCTAAAGCGATCGAAATACCCTTGTTAGGAACTGGCTTGTGGTTCTCAAGATAGGCATTGGGGAAGTTAGGGTTGAGCAAGTGGGTGACATCGGCTGATAAAATGATAGAATTGGCGAAGGTAACCTTGATCAGGTCGGTCAGTTCAGCTTCGCCTGGGTTGTAGTACGACGACGATGCTACACGTTCAACGGTACTCAGAAAAAGGTGTCCACGAGCACCTTGTCTGGTTCCGGAGCCGACTTCCTCGTTATCGAAGAGACCGACAACTGAAAAGCCATCCTTGGGTAAATTGTCCTTAGCTTCGATCAAACCAGTGATGGCAGAGTACGAACAAACCCTATCGTCGACTCTGGGAGCAAAAACAAACTCGTTGTCCAAGCCACCAACCACACCCTTTTGAACGTCATACAACTGTAAATCCCACTGCACAATGTCTTCCACGGCGTGGCCAGAGATCTTCGAAATGTACCTCAACAACTTCAATGGGTGCTTCCCATAGAGGGGAGCCAGCTTTTCAGCTTTGGTCGGTTCAACTTCTCCACCAAACCCAACAATAGGCACTGTCTGTGTCTCCTTGTCAAAAGGACCCGCGGCTGCAGCACCAAAATGTGGCGCCAAAGTAGGGATTCTTGCCACTGGATGAGGAGTTGAATCCACCAACTTATGCTTGACCTTGCCCTTCTCCTTCACCAAAAGACGGCCACCCACACCCAAGTCTCTATCCCACCATACAGAGCTCAAAGCGCCAGCGTAGTTTGCCACTCCCAAAAGGTTGTAGCCGTCCACATCACTCTTTGTGGAGTTTGGCTTGACCACCGTGGCCAAGGCATCAATATGAGAGCCAATTGCGCCGACTCCTTTCTCAGGAGTCCAGTCTGGACCAACTACAAACGCCACCAAAGAGGACCCACTCCTAGTAGTGTAGTACAGACCAGGACCGACCTGACTCCACAGTTCCTTTTCAGGAAGGTACTTGAAGCCAGCCTTCTCGAGCTTCTTGGAAAAGAAGTCAGTTGCGTGCCACACGGTAGGGTTGGTGTAGGTGAAGTCAATGTAGTCCTCAGCGTGGTCCAAGTAAGACTTATCTCCAGACGCCTTCGCCAGACTCTTTTGGATCAATGCCTCACGTAACAAAGCAAACTCTTCTCCCTTCCCTTCAGCGAGAAGCTTCTGCAATTTTTCGATCAATTCGTTGTTCATGGTAGTAGTTGATAGTAGGTAACTGACAGATCTCCGATTAGGTGAGATAATGCACCTCCACAATTCCGCGCGCCACAATGGCTGCAAACAGCCAGCACCAAGATATAGGGTGTGGAGGACCAAACTATCTGATTGGATTGAAATAATCAGAAAATTTGAAATGGTTTGATTGATATGAAACGTTTTATAGGTCAGGATTACCATGCATAACCCCGATATGGAACCCTCCAGACATCACCCTACACAGATAAGCATCCTACAATTACGCTTCTTCGTGGTTTCTCATAAGGATTCATATTTACACTTGATACCGTGGTTTTGCTTCTCGTCGCTTTCGTTACATACATTGTCAACCTGACAGCTTCTACGGCACCAGCATTTTTTGTGAGTGGCCTTTCCCTCTAAGTCCTTCAACTTCCATCTACTCCGGTCTTTTAGCAGCGAAAGTGGCCGCCACAATCAAAGGCCACACCACAGTGACATCAGCATAGACCTTCACCAGCTTGGCATCGGCCTTGATCTTACCCCAACTGATAGCTTCGTCAGGTCTGGCACCTGCATCAGAACCATCGAATTCCTGACCGGTGTTGATGTAAACAGCCCAGTCGGCTCCGTTTCTCATGAGACAGGCATTGCAAATATGGTGCTTGACCAAGCCACCACCTAAAATAAGCATACCGGCTCTGGAAGCTTCCATGGACATGGAGTTGATTTTTCTGATATCAGCGACAATGTCCAAACGGAACTGCTGCGGGCTGGCTTTGAAGGTGTGGAAGAATAACATGTCACCAATGGAACCATCCGTGATGGCTGGACAGAAAATAGGGATTTTGTTTTTATGAGCCCAGTACAACACCGACAGTTCGTCGTTTATCTCTTTTCCGAGACGGTCAATCAATTTGGATGGAGTCCAAATGGCGGCAGAATCAGCATTCAAGCCCTCCTTGCCCAACTTGGCCATCTCCTCCTCCTGCTCCTCCAACATCTTGTCCAAGACAGGCACAATCCACTCCTCGAACTTACAGTAGTTGTCGTTTGGCACAAGCAAGTTGCCAATTCTGTTGAGGCCCTGGTCTCTCAAGGTCTTGCCTGGCAAGGCAAAATCACCAAGGTATGTAGGAGCCAAGCACTTAATCAAATCCTCCTCGATACCACCAGCAGAGGCCACAATGGCAGATACCTTCTTGTGCTGGACCAAGTATCTCAAAGTATCTCTGAGACCCGAGGAGATCAAGTTGGAAGTGAAGCCCATGAAGATGGTGGCCTTCTGACGGTTCTCACTGTCGAATTCACCCCCACGTTCGTGCTCAGGCAACTCGTCCTTGAGCTTTCCTCTCCAGCTATCCATCTCGTTGATAATGTCACAAGCAGAAGCCACCGACAGCGCCTGGAAACCCATGGTCTTCATGGAGGCGATCAAGTCTGTAGCCTTGGAGTTGTAGGCGTAGTCTTGAGAGTAGTCCATGCCTCTGACCTTTTCAAAGTCGTCAGGCACAGGCACCGATTGTTTAAGGACAGCGTCCGACGCAATAGCAGGAAGTTTTCCCGAGCCGCTCATTATAGTAGTTTGGAGAGTATGGAGATATGGGGAAGTGAAAAAAACGAGATGCTCATCTGCGCTACAGGAAAGTCCGGCATTAGGGGCCCAGTCGGACGATTGTTGCAGGCATTTTAGGAATTGATTTACGAAGGCACGGGAATGTGGTTTTCTCGATTTGCCTTGAAATGTGAATTTCGGGATGATGAAGGTGGGTTATAGAATGGCTGCAAATGTTAGACTGCGAAAGGCTCTCGTGAAGTGCATGAGCTGACAGCATTTAACGTGTGGGAGGAGAAATAAAAGATAAAGATGACAATGATATGGTAGATCGAGGCAATTAAAGAGAATAAAAAAGAGGGAGCTTCTCCCATTTGTCCGACATCAGGGTGTCCTTATTATGAGCTATTGAACGTACTATCAGTCAAGACAGTGTACCACACAGCGAGTTTATTCCCCAAGCAAAATGCTTACACTGTTTCTCTGGATTACAGATTCTCTTCATGTTTATCAAGCTGTGTATCCTGACGGGACTCCTTGTTTACGACACGCCTAGCATGAGAGGAGCACTTTACTAAAGCCGTAAACTCGTAAGTCATTGATTGCAAAAAGTGCCTCTTTATAAATGAGTCGAAACCCTGATAAGCTCACAATGCAATTCTGGTCCCCTTCTCTCTATTTACACCATCCCAATCGCTACAATCTTCTCGTTCATGCAATGTATTAAATGTGCTAGTCTACTTAAACTCTCTCCCTGACCTCTGGAGCCCATGCCTGGTGCTTAGGTTTAGCCGTGTTGTATGTTACAAATGCACCTGAAGTGTTCGTGACGTTGCCCTGGTGCTTCTTTAAAGGATAGGCTCTTGAGGCAGCCTGGTCCTCTGGCAAACGGTTAGGTGGGGTGTTGGTACCATAGCCCAACCAGTAATGCCAGCCTGGCTCGACATTCGACATGTCCACGTTCCAGTCGTTGTATTCAACCCATCTGGTTCTCATGTGGATTTCCTCAGGGACATCGGTCTCGTAGTACTTGTTACCCCAGTCATCGGTACCCACGAGCCAACCTCTCTTGGTATCGTTGTGGGAGTGGATTTGCCAAGCGGCTCTTTTGAAGCCAGAATGATAGATATTCTTGATGGTACGGATAATCGACGTCGACATATCTAACGGCTATTATGGTGGAAATGTGAGAAATGAAAAGTGTTTGATTGGTTTCCCGCGTGTGCAGGACACACCAGGGAAGTAGGTCACTCAGTTCTACAATAGAGCCAATAAGGAGATTTTGTGACTACATAAACTTTTTTGAAACTTAGGTTTTTGGTCTTGCTCTAATTCTGTAAAAGGGGTCTTTTTTGTAGTCTCCGCTTATCTGGTGTTGCCAAGTGGAAAGGTTGGTTTGCACGCGAATGAGTAAAGGCAAGGAGCATTACTGTTTGAAGATCCGATTGATTCGTAATTTTTTTTAGTAGCATGTTCTTACCTGGCTTCGATGAAATGTTTGGAATTGCTTTATAATCAACTCTTCTGGTTGCCTTGACTACCAAAGAAATCATACCTCCCGTAGAAATCGCAAATGGTCGATGGTTGAAAACTGTTAGAAGTTCACTAATTGTACCCGCATGAGATGTGGTGGATACAAAAGCGTTGTTCAAAGCGTTTTGACGATCTGCAGCATTTCGTTGTTCGTACATTCCTGGGTAAAGTCATTGGTCCTTACACAATGGTGTCTGTGAGTTTCCTGTTCGTCGGTATGGAGATCATCCTCTTACAGAGAACTGTCCTCAAAAGTGAAACCGTACCCCTCGAATCTTCTCTTTTAATACTTTTGGTGCTTTTTGGCTGCACGTGTGGGATCCGTAACGTTCTCTGAGGCTTTCAAAGATAACCGCTTGTTGGTCTGGCTTTCTGAGTCCTTCCCAGGTGTATTAAAGAGTCCACATAGACCTTGCAATGGAGATACGTAGAACTTGTACGGCAATGGTGCACCATGTTCCTTGATTTCTTTCTCCTATACCTCGTGATTTTGTCTTGCTTGTTCGATGCCCTTTGTAGAAAGCATAGCATCGGGTCCGTATTCATACTCACCGTCGGTATTGAGAAGTGCCCACTTTTCCTCCCACGCTTTATTTCAGTACTTGTCGACAACGACGTTATGGAAGCCTTGACTGTGTCTTGCATACGTAATAAGCTTGTATACTTCATTTGGTTGAGCATTCCTATTAAAGTCTTTCACTTCCTCGATTAGATCAGCAGGTTTGAGTCTTCCAATATTGTTGAATGCGTAATTGAATTCGACGTCATCTGTATTTTGATCTGACTGTGCAAAAAAACCAGGCACCACCAAAAGACCATCTGAAGTTGTCTTTGTTCTGTTTGTTCTGTAGGCCTGCTCTTTGAACCATTCTCTGACATCTACATGGCCAAGAGCACCGTAACGGTCTTGCAAGGACGGAAGTAAAAGGGACATCCTTCGAAATAAAACGCAGCGAAAGAGCTGTCTATGTGTTCAAACGGTGCAATGAGTCGATTATCAGATTACTCTTCACCAACCCGGAAAAACCTATACAAGATCCCCGCTGCCCCACTTGCGATCTTACTCATACTTCATGCACCATCCATACAAAACATTTCTAAGAAAAGGGCCTGAGTGACTTCGTTAAACTCTTCCTCGGAGTGATTCATGTTTACGAGTGAATGAATTGTGAATTTGTTACACTTTTGGCGGTTTTAGAGAGCTACGATCTATGGCTGCAAAAAAATGGTAAAAGAAAGGCATGCGAAATGGGTAAAGCAGGATTCTGACACATTAAACCTTCTTCATCATCATTTCATAGAAACCTTGACTTGCAAATTAGACAACCAATTGCTCTGGCCTTATGTTTGAATTTAGGGAATGTATGTCGATCAAATTACAATGGGAGCAAGGGCCTTCATTCTTGTCTGCCACTAAGTTGTATGATATAAGCCCGTGGGGTACAGTTGATTACCCAATTCTCTCGGTAGCGTATTTTTACCATGAATTGTCAGTGCTGATTTGGGTCTTGCAAAAGATCATTTGGTAACCGCATATCAATTAGCATAGGGTCGAGTTTCAGGAGAAGCTATACACCTTCTCTATCTCGGCAAGATATTGTAAAGGAGATTTCCAATTATGACTCCCGCAACTAAATTGTTTGTACATGTAAGTCATTGCATTAAGGTATCTCCTCCACTTTGTTAGACTCACATAGGCAAAACGGAGGTCTATGTGCTTCGATTTCCAGAAAAGCTTCTCTACAATATTGACACACAAATCTGTACAAAAATCTTCAGAAGCGATCTACACTCCCTTCACGACAGTATCTAACTTCAACAAGTGCCCTTTTACACACCAAACAGACACTAACTACAGAGCAGCTTACATTCTACAAACATGATTCCTTCAACAATATCGACCCAAAAAATAAGCATATTTTAGTTTTACCTGTTCCTCCCCATGTTTACCCTTATCGGCCTTATCTGTCTCACATAATCTGCGCATGGCAGTCTAGCGATCTGACGTTGGGGAAACATGGAGAGCTTTGAAATTCAAGGCTACCGAAACCATCAAGATCATTTTACCTATTGCCCTTCCCACAAATATTCCCACTCCTCCATGGGCCGATTTAGCTCCGGGGCCTTGGTCTGACCCGTTAGTAAATGTGCAGTAATCTCGCATGGCCCTGGCAATTAACTACAACCACACTACCCCAATAACTCACAGAATTCCAGCAAGACTTCATTTGACTTCATCATTCCCTAAGCTTGTGCCCCTTTGGCCCTATGCCCCCACCCACGTCGCCAGAGAATAACGAGCCCCAAAGAGGACTCACGCTTCCTGGTCTATTTGAGGGTATCCGCAACAACTCGAACCTACGCCACCTCTTATCCCGGGACTTCTTTGCCCGCATGAACGAGGTTCTGGCCAATCTTTTGAATCGATACACTGACGAACAAAACCGCCAAAACCTGACCCTGACTGCTCCTGATCAGTCTCCACAATCTAGCCGCCTGTCTGTTCAGCTCCTGCCTGACTACTATAGACAAGCGGACCAAAGTCACATCCGAACCACGGCACTTCCTGCCGAAATCCGTAACTTAGCATCCCCGTGCGTTTTTTGGTGATACCCGACTTGGAAAGCGATATGGATTTGGATATTGATCTTGACGAAAGCCCCAGGGCCGCATCTTCCAATGTTGGATCTAGAGACGGCATGAGTGCTTCACACCCTGAGTCTTCAGCCCCTCCATTTGATTTATTCCTCGGCTCTTCAACGCGTGATGATGATGGTAGCACATCCAGCTGGAGCTCCGATAACGACGCAGAGTTTGAGGAGCCCTCGGATCAGGAGGTTGACGATGAGGCCCAGGAGGATTTTGACGAGGATAGCATCAGCGACGATGCAAGCATTGATGAAGAATATGCACGTAATCCCGAGGAAGCCAGAATGGAAGCCCATTCGAATCTCTTGGATAGCATGCAGCTGGCACAGCGCCTTCTTCTTTCTTCTGCCCGCCAAAACCCCACAAACCGTAATACCCTAATAATTGCTCCCGAGTCAAATCGAATCACGGGTGGTGTTCCTTTAAGGCGTCAGAACGCTATCAGAGTGAAGCGCAGAGAGGAAACCTCCCCACAGAAATCGTCTGAAGAGGTCGCCAAAGCATATCACGAAGAGTTTCAGGATGCGATCTCCAAAATCAAAGCATCCTCACATTTCCCTGGCAAGTCCCCCATCTTTAGCTCGGGCTCACTTTCTTCTGGTAAGAAGTCGCCTCCTTTGCTAAGACGCTGGGGAACCCTACGCCATCTGTCACGCAAATCGAGTCTAGATTCTCATATGGACAGATTCCTCAGCCAACGAAGAGCTGGAAAACTTTGGCCGGAGCCCTCTAGCCCTGGTTACGAGCAGCTTTTAGTAGCAAAGCGCCCACATCCTCATGAATCGCATCATCAACATCAGAAACGCCATCATCGACTTGATACAAGCATACGCTTCCAGCGTTCCGCTGACCCAAATGCTTCTGGAGCTACGACTAGAGTCAAAAAGCTTCGTAAACGTTCTAGCTCGAAAAGAAAGCTCGAGTCTGATGAGTCAAACATGAAAAAGAGAAGGAAGACCAAGTCTTGCAAGGATCAGCTCCTTCAGTACGATGTCTTTGGTGACAAGATTGATGAGAATCAACTCCTGAATGATGAGAAATATAGAATCCTCAGTGGGTTGGATTGCTCCTTCTTAAGCAGTGGATCTAGCTTTTCTCTAGGCCCTCTCATAGACTGCCATTCAAAACGCAATACCGATGTGCTAGACTTGAACTTCTCGCACGTGGACAACGACAAGAAAACTATGCATGGTTATTTTAACATCAGCAACGATGGCTCTGACGTGAATGATTTCCACCTCCTTTCCAACTTCATATCTTACCTTTGCGGTGGAATCCGTTCTCAGTATTTGTTGAACTGCACCAATAAGGTGATCCAATCTAAAGCATCGCTTTTGAATGATGCTTTCATGTTGGGTCTCTCAAGTTCCGGAATGAAAAAAGGCAAGATTTCGGAGTCGATTCAAAAGTCATTGAATGTGCCATTCTATGGCAACATCGTCGATTTCGACAAGTGTGATCTCCGATTCTTAGACCAGACAAAAATGAAATCTCACAAATCCAGTGTCAGTCAATCCTTCCACCATTCAAGAGTAAGAAATGAGCAAGTCAAATTGCAACTCCTCGAGTGGTTACGCATAAGACCTTTCAGCAACTTCGGTGAAACATTCTTTTTGAATTATCTCCATTTTATTGAAAGACGCCTACGGGATTTTGACAGATACACAAGGCATGAGCAAGAACTCACGCTAGAGTTCACTCATCAGTTCAAGGAGCTGATCTACGAGGTTTCAAGAGGATATGAGTTTGTGACCGATGAAATTCCAATGTACAGAGATAAGTTCCAGAAGGCAATGTGGGATATCACTGAAAGGTTCGAGCACGAGCCCGTTGTGACCTTCCCAAATCATTCTTTCTACTCGAATGGGAGTCTAAACTTTGTGAGAAGCTCTGTGAGCATATCACGCATGAGGACTCGTGCCTTTTCAACGTTCAATTGAACTATGCTTTATTTGTCATACGGGTCGACGTTTCGAAGACATTGGATCAGGTATTCCGCCGTTTCCTCGAGAATGTCGATGAATCACACAAGGCTAGCCTTTTGAAAAGATATGAAAAGCTCAACAAGGAATCCCTCCCTGCTGAAGCCAAAGAAGCTGTTTTTGTATGTTCTGTGAACAGAAAGACAGGCCGTTTGGAGATGCAAAACACAAGGCTGTACCTCGACTATAAGTATGCTGGTTCATGCGATGCGAGCAGTGGACGGAGTGGTGCATTATCAGATAGCGACGACGAGGATACGGGTCCTCTTAGAAGGTACTCTCTGCACCTGGCACGTTGGAAGTGTCTTGAGGATCCATATCTCATGCATACTCCAACTATGATGTTTGGCAAATGGAGGAGAAGTGCTAAAGAGTCGTGTCTGTGTGGAGGGGGTCATGCTCGTTCAGATTTTGCTTAATCACCATTTGCCCCACCCAGCCTTGCCTGCCATTCTGTCTTCTCTGCGCTTTTTGAAGAAGTCCTTCAGACATTCTCTATAGGCGTCAAAGAAGTCTTGACAGACCGACTTGTCCTCCTGATTACGCAAGACACAGTCGATCGATGCTTGTCGACTCTCTTCGCATGGATCATAGTACTTTGATGGTTCTTTGGCTACCCATCGGTACTTATGCCTGTGATTTTCTGGATTATCAGGGTAGAATTTATAGTCTTGAACCTCGCCCTTGGTGAAGTCCACCATGGCTTTGTCCTTTTCGACCTTGTCTGTAGGCTTTTGCTGTTGTGTATTGTCTTCGGCCATTTCCCCGGATCTTGCTGAAGCGATAGTAGAGAAAGTCTAACGATTTGGATGCATGGGTTTCGCTGAGAATTCTGATCTGCATATAAATAGAGTAGAGAGTGAATTTGCAGCCAGTGCTCACGGAAAGCTGCGTTCTTCTCACCATTCTGCATCCCGTGTCGAGCCTACATTTTGTTTTCATCGTGCAATCGTGCATTTTGTGTCCGGAAAAAAAGGCAATTGCTTACCGTCTAGCGAAAGCTTACCATCTGCCGCCTTGGTTGCCGTAGCCACCCTGGCCGCCCTGGTTGCCGTAGCCGCCCTGGTTGCCGTAGCCGCCCTGGTTGCCGTAGCCACCCTGGCCGCCCTGGTTGCCGTAGCCACCCTGGTTGCCGTAGCCACCCTGGCCGCCTGAAGGACCGTAGTCATTACGACCACCGCCGTAGTTGTCATTGCGGCCGTGGTTGCCTGGTGGTGGGCCGCCACCTGGAGGACCGTAGTCATTACGACCGTAGCTCTGGCTGTGTTGCTGCTCGTACTTCTTCTCCTCCTTTCTGTCCTCCCACTTGTCCTCAAGCTTGTTGGCACCCCAAGCACCGGCAATGGCACCGCCAATCTTACCCAAAGTAGAGTGGTTTCCAGACATCTTACCACCACCGTAGCCACCGACAGCAGCACCACCAATGGTGGCCAAAAGGCCTCTGTCACCACCTTCTTCACCGCCCTGCTGTTGCTGGTTTGGGTCGGATTGGTAGTTGTTGTCAGATCTTTGGCCTTGCTCGCCGGAAGAGTAAAAGTCGTTGGCAGACATGATATAGATGAAGAGAAAACGCAATTGGGGAAATTGGGGTCTATTTATATATTTGTCGGGGCTTGGGGGTACGGGTTCTTCTCCTACAGCTCCTCTCTGGCAGTTGAATACACCGCGAATGTATGTATGGGCTTCGTTTGTTCCTGCAGAAAACGAAAGGGGTACCCGATTGATTTGCTACGTCTTTGATCGTTTGCGGAGGGAACAATAGAATATTTTTCCCGGTCTGAAATTACAATATTTGGGGTTGTTAAAAGTCTGGAATTGAAGCTCATTTTTCTCTCCAGAACGTAAGCGTGACTTTATGCGTGACAGGACGGATTTCGTGTAGTTTGTGATGCGCCAGATCGCTGTGTGGTCATTTAACAGATCTGTGGCGGAGTATGTTGAGCCACGGTGCACTGATGTTGCGGAAGAAGCGATTCTGACAACCTCTCGTTTCATGGTGCACGGGTGTAAGCGGTGACATAACATTTCGCAGACTCGTGTGGTGCACGGATCTTTAGCCCCACCGATGGCATCGTTACATCGCCATGCTTAACGCTGCAGACTTCACCCCACCAAATGTCCACACAGCCGGTCCAATATTTGGACCCAGAGACCGAGGATGTATGCAAAAGATGTGGTGAGAAAAAAGCTGTTTTGATTTCTAGAAGAGATCTTTTCTGCGCAGGCTGCTTCGTCTGGTTCATGCGTGGTAAGCAGCGGAAGCTGATGCTCAACGAGAGATACAAGGTGAAGTACGGGGCTGTTGCAGAAAGGCTAGGTACTCAAAAAGTGCTTCTTCCGGTTTCTTTTGGTGCCTCTTCGTTGGTGCTTTTAGATATGGTCGCCTCGCTTCTTCAGGAACAGAACCTAGGACATAATGGAAAACAGGGTTTTGATTTGGTCGTGTTGCACATTCTCGAGAAGAAGGGACCAAGCAGAGAAGAGGCTGAGCAGAGTCTAAAGAGGATTTCTGAGAGTTTCAAGCCTGTGCATATTGAAGTCGTCGTCGTGGATCCCAATACTTTTCTTCTAGACAAAACCTCGCTTCAGCGGATTCAAGTCAGTGCAGAGTTCCAAGTCATACACCACATCCAAGAACTTGATCAAAGCACTACTGTCCAGCTGCTTTTAGATGCTTGTGCGTCAAACTCTCTGCGAGACGACCTTTTGCAGCTAGTATATCACGACCTAATAAGGCAGACTTCTGTATCCCAGGGCTGTCAAACCATCATTTTGGGCCACAGTATGACCAGGCTTGCCAGTGAAGTGCTATCGTTTGCTGTCAAGGGCCGTGGGTCAGAAATTCACCATGCCATAGCCGATCGGTCGATTTCTCACGGCGTCAACGAGATTCATATCTTGTTTCCACTTCGTGACATTCTTTTTGCCGAAGTCAAGGCTATCCTAGACTTGACTGAGGGTCTAGAGAAGTTTTTGGTGCAAAACACCACTACTGCGTCTTTGGTCAAAAACATGACAGTCCAGGCACTTTCAACAAAGTACTTCGAGGACCTTGGGCTCAACGGATATGCATCCACAGCCTCAACTGTGGTCAAGACAGCAGAGAAGCTCGGTGCGCCTAAAAGAGAGATAACCGGCCAGTGTCGTATTTGTCTGGCAGACATATACACCAACCCAAAGCAATGGCTTCGGTCTATCACAGTTAAGGCTGCTGCTCCTCTTGAAACCGATCTTGAGAGAGAGTTGGCTGAAGAATACGCTAATGTCATTGGGTGTTCCGACTTGGAAGGCGAAAAGCTAGAAGTATGTTATGGTTGCACGGTAACGTTACTAGGAGCAGGTGACAAGTTTGCATGGCCAACAAGGGCTACGAAGGATGAGATTTTGGACGAGTTCGTCTTGACTGACGAGGAGTAGGGGTATTCGGGAATTTTATAGATAAGGCATACACTCATGGAGAAAGATTGTAGGGTTTCTCTTTTTGACCCTCGACGCTGAAGTTGCCTCAAAAGGACATGCTACGTGATAAAACTTATTCTTTCCTCAAATAGTTATAGCAGCTTCTTCTGCATGATCTCGAATTCACCGTTTCCTATATCGACAGGGCTTCACCCAAATGCGAAATAAGGTACACAACCAGATCAAGTTTATCTTATCCTCCTTCACTTTAGCACCACAAAAGATCACAACGCTTCTGTTCCTTTCCTTTTTAATAAATTGACCCGTCGTTCAAGAAGTCCGTTACACAAACAGCATGTTCGATGTGCCATCCTTCACCATCAACACCTACAACGAGTGGGAAGGTCGAAATCGTACTAGGCCTGTGCATCTAAAGGCAGATGATCGTCACCAAAAGAGTTCAAGAAACAAAAGTGGGAGGGATTCAATAGGCAAACCTGTGGCCCCACCATTGTCCGCATATTTGGCTGATTCTCCTGGTCCACGAGCGTATTATGACAATGACCATTCACCAGGAAGCTCGACCTCGATGCTCACGCCGGAAATGTCTCTTAAGCTAGAAAAGCTACGACTGATTAGAACCACTGGTTATTATACCTTGGCGCCCATTGGTGTGAACAAAACTATGGCTCAATTGGATTTTGAGGCCCAGGAGATGGAGGATGAGGACTGCAATGTCGGGCAGGCAGAGAACCTGAATGCTAATGTGTCTACTACTATTTACCAAGACGCTCCCTCGGGAATGCCCGATGCTAGTGCTGAGCACGACCTTGACGCTGACATTGAAGATGTTGACGCCTCAGGAAGTTTTCAGGCTTCTTCTGACCTATCGGATGATGATGCTGTGGGGGCTCCAGACGAACGTCGAGTATTTAATCACAACTCCGGCTCGTTGACGGATACTCAGGTAATCTCTGGTGTGGTAGGAGTAAGCGCTTCCACGGCTGAAACTGACCGCATCTCGCCTCCTGTGGTGAACTGCGATGCTTCTGACGTGGATATGGTGATTGAAGATGACTGAGAATCTATACTGTTTTCATCTCATCAACTTTAGCCGATTGGAGATGCAACGCTGGAATCATCCACTTTCCGCAGGAGCAGCGTGAACCTTTCCAGCTGTAGCCGCCAACCTTGTGGCTACATTTGGGACAAGAGAATTTTCCTTCAATGTCCTGTTTATCCAACTCTTCACGCATCCAGTTCACGGGTTCCTCGAGGAAGTAATGTGAGCAATTCTTTGATGCATCTGCCACTGCCACGATTCTGCGAGAGTTTGGTGCCTTCTTGATAAACTGTGACTGTCTCGACTCCGATCCTGGCATATCATGGGTCTCTATATCACCCTGATTGGCAAGGACTTGCCTGCACCGCTTGCACCTGAGGTTGAATGTGCCTTTGGCTTTTTCTGTGCTGTTGCTGTTGCTTTCGAAAATTTTTGATGAAGCTAGTGACTGACCACTTGGGTCTTCTTGTAAGCTGAGCTCGGCGAGGAACTGTCTGTATGTGCTAGACAGCTTATCAACGGTGAAACCCATGCGCTCGAACAATTCAAGTTGTTTGATAAAGCCGTCATTTGGTTGAGCTGACTCTGACCGCCTTTTCACTGCGTGCAATGCCTGGGGGAGCTTGAGCTTATATCTGTACATCAAATAAGCCATGATCACTGTCACTGATCTGGAGACACCTTGAGCGCAGTGCACTAACACCGCTCCCAGGTGTTTTTGCCCGTCACCATCTTCTTTGGCGATTAATGCCTGATCCATGAAATAGGTTGCACTGGGTAAATGCTCGAGTAAGTTGGCAGTTTCTAGGTCCTGGACTTCGATGTGAAGATGCTGGAATTTCTCCGCGAGATACGCCGGGACCAGACCTTCCAAAACTGAGATCACATGAGTGATCGCATATTCCTTTTGCAAATCCACAGATCCGTCCAAGTTATCTAGGGACAGTAGGAATATGTTACCTAGAATCCGGTGTATCATGCTGAACGATGTGAAGAGATGAGTGAGGCATCTTTATCTGGGCAGAAGCGCATCGCACCAGTGCACCACTACAAATAAATGGCTGCAAAATACCTAATATAATTATCCTATTAAACCCTATACCTATGGCTTTCCGTTCTTGAGATTGGTCAAGTTCTGCTTGGCGAGCTGAAGAGGAGTCATGTTGAACAAGTCGTCGATCTCCTCCAAAGTCTTGTCCTTTGTCTCTGCCATGAACAAAACCTGGTAAATCAAACCAATAAAGGCGATACCACCGTAGAAACCAAGAGTCAACCCAGTGTAGGTCATAGCTTCTTGCATCTTTGTGAAGTTATAAGTGACTGTGAAGGACCACAAGTAAAGGAATGTTGAACAAATGGTCATACCCAAAGATCTAGTCTCCAACGCAAACGACTCCGATGGAACAACCCATGTCAAGGTGGAATAAGCTCCGAAGAACAAGTTGTAGACGATAATACCTGTCAAGTAGACACCCTCGGCCTGTGCCTTTTGAGTGTTGAAATCGAAAAGGTAACCGACACCGACAAGGATCAAACCAATGAAGAAACCAATGATGTTGTAACCCCAGACTCTCCTTCCGAAACGGTCCATCCACAAGATGGCGGGAATGGTACCAATAAGCAAAGCACCACCGCCTACAAGAGACATGAAAACGGCGTTCTTCTCGTCGAAGCCAATACCTTGCATCAATGTGGACATGTAGTACATGATAGCATTGATACCGGTCAACTGACCCAAAGTGACCATCATGACAGCGTAGAAAAGGGCTCTTCTGTTTCTTGGGATGAAGAACAAGTCGGCCCATGTCTTCATGGTTGAAGTCTGTTCCTTTCTCTCGTGTTCCTGGCGAGCAGCCTGTCTCATTTCCAAAAACTCGAGCTTGTTCTTGTCGTCCTTGATGTCTCTCAAACGAGTCCAGACTTCGTAAGCCATGCCTGTTCTGTTCTTGTGCACCAACCAACGGGGGGACTCTGGCAAGAAGAACAAACCAATGAACAAAATAGTCGAGAACACCAAAGAAGAACCAACCATAAATCTCCAGCCACCTTTGACCGAGTAGAACATAGCTGCCACAGCGTACCCTAGCACTTCACCCAAGGCAATGTTGAACTGATACATGGAAACAATGCTACCTCTAACGTTAGCAGGAACAGATTCGGAAATGTAGATACCGACACATCCACCTTCTATGCCAACGCCCACACCCAACATGAATCTGCCAGCGTACATGAGGTGATGGTCCTGAGCAGCAGCACACAAGGCAGAGCCAACGGTGTACCAAACACAAGAAATGATCAAGGAGAATTTTCTTCCAAAAAACTCGTTCAATGGGGTCATGATGATGGAACCAGCCATCGCACCCAAAGGCATGAGGGAAGATATAAGCGACTGTTCGTGACTAGTGAGGGCCAAGTCCTTACGCATGCCAATAGTGGCACCCGAAATGATGGACTGGTCCAAACCAGACAAAAGACCGGCGGCAGCTGCAAATACACCTAGAAGGTAAACCATATGGTTCTTGTTCTGGAAGTTAAGTTTGACTTCCCATGACAATAATCTGTCGATAAAAGTCTTTTGTTCTTTGGACTGCTCGGCCAAGAGCTCCAACTCCTCAAACTCCTTGTCGAAGTCGAAGTTTTCGCCCAACTCAAGAGTGCCGATCTTTTTCACGCCATCCTCTCTGAGGTCAACCTCGTCGGACGAAATGTCTTTGATTTCTTTACCCTCGAAGACACTCATGATGAACTTTTCTGGACAAAAAAATAACGGGCCTCCAGGGCCTTTTTATAGGCGCTGTCCGTCTCGGATAAACCCCACACGTAACGCAACACAAAGTTGGCTGTGAATGTCCGAGACGTAGGACACGCAGAGTATAGGCGGTGTGAATGCAAGAACTGCTATATTCACGGCATGCTGCCCCAGTGGAGTCGAGTGGAGAAAGAGGTGGAGGCGGATCAACTTTAGCCCGGCGTGCATATCACCAGAGCGCCATGAATCTTCCGGCCTTCACCTGTCACCAGGGTTTGCCAAGTTGTGTCAACCGTGATGGTCCCGGCGGCGGAACTCCCACCCCCCTCAATAAATTCACTGATTGAAATTTCCAAACTCTCCCTGAATTCACCACCTCTGTTGTGTCACCGACACGAGAGTGCACCTTGGTTGCGACTGGCCGGAACAACTGCGGGCACACTTACTCCATACTGCGTCGGCCAGTGTCAACAGCCGCTTGAGGCAATTCCCCACACAGGCAGCGGAGGTTTGTTCCCACGGTTGCATGGTGAAAATGCAGGGCGCTTATTTCTCATGGATTTCGTTTAACATCTGGGGCTGTTGCTACGCGCCATACACTCTTGCATTTCTGGAGTATGTGAAACACGATGCTTTTTTTATGTCACGATGCTTTTGTTATGTCACGATGCAGAATTCCGGTGTGGAGGGTTGGCCTTGGTGGGCCGGATTATCCCCTAAGCCTCAGGTTGCCCGTGGGTCAGCCATTGATTATGTAGCCCTGGGCGAATCAGAATGATTGTCGGAAGATATATACGAGGGGCTAATTTTTTGGGAAAATTCCCCGGCCAAGTGCTCCTTCAAAGCTTTGAACTGGTTCCCGAAAGTTTTCCCGCAGTAGACACATTTGAGAGGGGAGGTACGGAGAATCTTCTCCTTGGAGGAGTAATCCAAGTTCCGAGCCGGCCGAGCTTTTTTTTCTTTGGGTGGCCGACTCATCATTAGCCCCTCTAGCAGGCCGTCACTATGGGAATCCGCATCACTGTCTGGACTAAGATCATCCGTGCGGATAGCCGGCCTGAGGTCCAGGAAATCAATGAAGAACAGCGTTGTGAACGAGTTGTAATGTCTCTTGTTTTTCATCCGCTCCAGATAAAAATCCTGGGTTATGACGTGGATATGCAAGTGAGCCATCGATGGTACACTGTGGACACCAGCTCGGATAAACGTGTTTCGGAATTTCTCCTTGGCGATCAGGCTATCCTCGACGTACCCTTCCTTGACAAGATCCGCGACAATCATGTCCTTAGCCTTTTCAACATACTCCTCTGTTTCGTAGTACACTTTAGAATCGGCCATACCATCCACGGGTGTTTGTAAGTCAATGACTCGGCTCTCGGTAGAACAAGATAGTGTCTCAATGCTTTTGGGTATGCATCCTTCATGATGATGTAGTCGTCATCGTGGAACACCACAAGGTCCTGCTTGGGGTTGGTGATGTACGTCCCAAGAGCGTACCTAAAACTCATGTAGTGGGGAAAGATCAACGCCTCATCACGATAAGGTGAACTTCAAGTTCCAGCACGTGATGACAACAGTGAAAAGTTGTGTTCGACAAAAATCCGCCGGCCCAGCATTCCTCCTTTTTCAACCTGTTCAGCGTGTTGATCTACAATGTTGTGTGGTGATACTCGATTAGATTATACATGCCAAAGGTCCAGGATGCACGCGCAGCCAGACCACGATTCAAAATGCTATTTAGACTTTTCTCTTTCTGACGGGAGCGGCCTGAGGCTCGGATCCCAGCGATTCTGCCTTCTTTGCCTCAGACTCTGGGCAGCGTCCTTCTCACCTTCGCCTTCCTTGAGAAGCTCCTCGTTTGTCTTGAGTTTCTCCTTTTCCAACTCATTGACAAACCAAATAACGGTTCCATATAAAAGGAGGGCAATTACCAGCAAATTTATGTAGTGGATCGATCTGGTGACATAGATCAACCAGAAGAGGGAGATGAAAAGCAACACAAATGAAGCATGGAGTGCCTTCATGAGCGCAGGCGTGGGGCCTGGTGTGAACACCGATTGCCAAAGTTCTGTGAGAAAGGCCATTTGTGGTATGCGAGTGAAAAACTGGTGGTTTCCCTCGACTTTAAAGTGTGTCTTAAACGTAATGGGTGCAAGAGAATCATCAACTACACCCGTACACCGTAGCCGGTGCCACCTTCCTCATTAAAAGGTACCATCACTATTCACTCCAATGGGTGCTTTAGATCAATCCTTCGAAAACTAGTCTGACTGAATCAACTGTTCGTCCATTTTCGACACCTTACACGTCTAAACATCTCGAAAGCAGGTTTTGGTCACGTGACCTCGGGATGTGTCTCACACAAAAGAGACTCATGAACCAAACGAACTAAATCACCGAAGAACATAGATCTATCCAAACACCATGGTGGCCGTCGAAGACTCATTCATCTCTGATGAAGAGGTAGAGTACTGGTATGTTTGTTCTCGTTCAAAACCGCTTTATTGTCAATATACTAACTCCAAGCCCATTATGTGTGGAAGAAATGGACATTTCAGACAAAAACTTCAGACCATGTCCTTGTGGATACCAAATCTGCCAATTTTGTTACAATAACATTCGTCAGAACCCCGAGCTAAACGGTAGATGTCCTGGCTGTCGTAGACTTTACGATGATGAAAGCGTGGAATACAAGACCTTGACAGCTGAGGAGTACAAAATGCAACAGCTCAAGAGAGAAAAGAGGGAACGTGAGAAGAAGCAAAAGGAGAAAGAGAAGAAGGAGCTGGAGATTGCATCCAAGAAACACTTGGCCGGGCTTCGTGTTGTTCAGAAAAACTTAGTCTATGTGACTGGGTTAAGCCCTCCGTGTGCCCAGAAGATTTGCATTCCGTGTTACGCTCTGACAAGTACTTTGGACAGTATGGCAAAATCACGAAAATTGTCATCAACAAAAAGAGTCCCGGTGGTGGCGGTAATGTCCCTGTGACCTCGAGCTCGCAGAGTATCGTTGTCTACGTCACGTTTGCAAAGAAGGAGGATGCCTCCAGATGCATAGCCGAGCTTGATGGCTCCTTATGTGATGGCAGAGTCCTCAGAGCTGCGCATGGTACCACCAAGTACTGTCTGTCCTACCTCAGGGGCCACCCTTGTGCTAATCCAAATTGCATGTTCTTGCATGAGCCTGGTGAGGAGGCAGATCTGTACACGAGAAAGGATTTGCTGACACAGCAAGGTATTAAGATGGGCATGAGTGGATCTCGTGGCGGTCAACATCACCAAGCTGATGACGATAACCAGCTGGAGCCAGATGAGCATCAATCGACTAGTAACCATCATCAAGCATTTCAAAACAGCACTACTCCTAATATCACGCATGCTGTGGCCTCATCAACGGGTGTTGTGCCATCTACAGGCCTTTCATCCGTAGGTGCCGGAGCCACATTGCCTGCAACCGCCCACTGGGCTAAAGCACTGGGTGTCGAATCTGCTCAAGCGTCGCCTCTGGTCAACAACAACGCTCCTATGACGAACACAGCAGCATTTCCGTCATTGGGAGAGATTTTCAAAGAGCAGAAACAGAAGAAGGATGTCAAGCAGAAAACAAAGGGCAAGTCAAACAAAGATGGGCAATTGTTGCCTGATGATGTGGATATTGATGATAACTCTGCCGTTTCGTTTGCTGAGGATACAGCAGAAAGATTGAAGCAGCTCGCAGCAACTAGACAACAGTTGAAGGTTCACTTTGACGACTTGACCGCCAAACCAGACCTTTTGCCCTTGTTCCATTTCAATGAGTCCTGCGCTAATAACACATGCACCCTTGAAGAGGAGAAGGTTTTTTCTCGTCTCATCATTGAGCAGTATTTGTTGAGACCAATCAAGAAATACCATTTGGCTTACCAGAATCACCCAATCAGCCAACAGCAACAATTTTTGCATCAACAAGCCCAGTTGCAACAGCAGGCTCAAGCTGCCCAACTGGCTCAAACACCAAACTTGAACTCGTCTCGCTTGCAGCAGTTGGAGCAACAACAGCCACAAGGACAGGTTCCACAGTTGCAAGCACAAACACTGGGACAACCTCCAGTCTCTGATTCTGTTTTACAACAACAGCAGCAATTGCTTTTGTTGCAGCAGCTTCAGCAGCAGGCTGCTCAGCAGGGAAAGCAACAGCAAACTCCATCGCAACTTTCTGCGCAGCTTAACCAATTGAGAATGAGTGAGAGAAGCAAGACGGCCACTCCACCACCTCCTGGCTTGTTTGGCAAGAGCACCTCTGAAAGTTCCCAGCAGCCGCCCGCCCCTGCGAATCAATCCTCGAGCTCTCAGTTGTTGACCCAATTGATGAGTGGAAAGAAATAGATTATTTCTTAATCTTTCACGAGGAAAAGTTTAGAAGAGGAGAAGATAGTCAAAGATTATTTTGTACATTATAAATGTAAAATATAAAGATGCATGGTCGTAGTAATTATTTTTTCATGATTTGATCATTAATCAAGCGACAAGCAGCGGCATCAAAGACGTCCTTCTCCATCATTTTGATGAGTCTGGCTTCGAGATACTCTTCTGTCACGATGATCAGATGTTTTCGTAAAAAGCGGAGCATAATCAATTTTATAAGGTTTGCCCTTGCCACTCTCTCGGTCGGGTTTTGGGTGTTTTCAGAAATTTGACTAATGTGATCAACGGTGGATGTGATGGTCAAGTTTTTGTCATAGTCCCAAAATGCTGTGACAGGAAGATTTTTGAAACGATTCAAGTAATGCCAGTTGGGACGAACTGCATCCGTAACCTTAGCTATAAGATTATCGAAGTGATTCGGTTTCTGTCCCACGTTAGCGCTGACCCGTCTTACACCTTTTGGTAAATCTGAATCACTTGACGGACTTCTTGCAGTCAGCGAACTTGCTGCTGGTTGCTTCACTGAGTCTGCTTGTGGTGACTTTTTCTCAGGTTGGGTTGATGGGACTTGTGAGGCAGAAGTCGCCGAAGGCACATCAGGTTTGTTCCCCAGCAAGCCATTGGTTGCCTTTGTCGAAACGGACTGAGCTGGCTGAGTCTGCGTAGATGGTACTGGTTGACTGGATGCCACTGGTTGACTAGATGGGGCTTGACTAGATGGAGCTTGAGTTCCAGGTAAGGAAGGCGTTCTCTGAGCATTAGAAATGTCAAATCCTTGCAAATGAGTAGCATTTTGTCCATTTTGACCCAATTGCCTTTGTTTTAACTGTTCTCTTTCTAGCATCCTCTGGAGATCGTTTATAGAGTTCATTACACCTCGCTCACTCAGTTTTGTGATAATCTCTTCGAGTGAAAAGTCAAAGCCGGCAGCTCTTAAGTGCTTTTGAACTTCCAAAATACGGCCCGGCCTGGTAGCAGCAATTGTCGCTTGTGCTCTTACAAGCTCCAGCGTTGCCCTTATTGACCAGGTTATTGGGTTGTGGGGCTTTGAAGTCATGGCACTTTTTAAGGCTCCACCTTGGTTCACATTTGCGCTGGCAAAGAAAGACTTACCTGTGTCCTTCCGTTGACTTTGCCTGAAGGAGTAAATTCGCTTGAACTCATTCCAAGCGTTTTCGTAGTAGGCTGGAGGTTCGCCTTGTGGGCCATAGGTTTGTCTATGAAGAATGAAAAGTTCGTAGCGACCCTTCACGTCGTCGTCCGAAAGCTGAAGGTTTGTTTTCCGCAGAAACAGTTTCTTTAATTCAGCCCATGGCTCAGTGACGTAATGTTGCCTGTTGGCGAAGAACTTCGAGGCCACAGTGTGGAATGATTGCATGTAATATTTGTAGTCGTTCATGGTCTCTGGGAGGATGCCGTAATGCAGTTGAAGAGCGTGAGCTGCTTCGAGGGAAATTTTGATGTTGAAAGACTTCTCGAATCCTTCTTGGATGCTTTCTGAAACTCGATGGGGCGCCATGATAGCACATCTGAAAACGCATTGCACATGCTCAGGTGTCCAGTCGTTCAAATGAGTGAAGAAGACTTGCTTAGGGCGCTTTTGAGGCGATGAGTCCAGTTGTGTTGGCCTCTTTTGGCTGGCGAAAGCCGTAGGCTTTTGTAGCGAAGGAGTTGGCTGTGATAAAGAGCCTGGTGTGCGCCTATTATTTGGTGAATATCGAGATGTTTGTGGAGTCTGTTGGTTTGTGGCTTGTACCGCCAGTGGTACCACTGCACCAGGCAATGTACCCTTCGGCTGAGGTGCGTTCTGAGCAGTCGGAGGTGTTGCTTCTGTTTGTTTCTGCTCGTTTGAGGCTCTCGGAGTTGTTGTTTGTGGCTGGGTAGCATGCTGTTTTGAAGGAGCAGGCTGTTCGGGTTTTGAGGTAGTCGATGCCGTCTTTCCTTGCTGCTCCGGTGTCTCTGCCTTCAGGGATAGCTGTCGCAGAGATGTGCTATCCACATCAACATGATTGAGGTCGAGCGACATGACAATCAGACGGAAACTTTCCATATCGGCATTCAGCAGCACCATACTAAAAGCGACCTTGCCTCCTTCTTTGGCATTTTCACGCAATTGACGTCTCACGACAGTCAATTTGGGCGCCTGGGCCAAGATGTCTGCGATGGGGATCTTGTCTTCCATTCTCAGTACTATGGAGGCCAAGTCGTCCAAAAGGTTTCTGTAGTCCAGATCCCAATTGCTTCGAGAAATATCATAATAAGACTTCAATGCATGGTACAGGTAGCATAGCTGGTCAAACTCATACAAGTCTTGTAGGCCGGTGTTGGAGTCGCTGGTGGACTTGATTACGGACTTGTACTGAGACTCAAGATCACGCTTAAGGTCCAAGTAGTTTCGTATTTTCCGCTGCAAAACACTCATACTGATTTCTGAGTCAATTGGGTTTCACCAAAAATGGTTGCAAATTGTGCCGAGTGTCTGTAGACGATGGGAGACACTGGCGCGGAGCACTATAATCTGGCTTGATGGGGTAGGAAAACAGCGCTAGACACGGTGCGAGTATGGAGCTATACAGGGCGTAGGGAGAAATTTCAAAAGCTGAGTAGTATATTTGGCCCCACTTTTCGAGCGAGTTTTCAATCCTGAGCCTAAATTCGTAGCGTAGCTCTTGCAATCAGCAAACCCTGGTTGTGTGTGACTGAAGCGGGAGAAAGTTTTTACCTTGGATTTTTTACCCAGCGCTGGCGAGGACGGTGCAGGATGGCGCCAACAAGCGTTATCCAAAGCGGTGCGTTGTGACACACCAAAACTCGGTGGATTGCGATAAAAATGTATTTCCAGGTTTACTTGTGCTTCTATATTATAGCACACTATTTACAGAAGGTATTTGAGGGCGGTATCAGGAGAACAACCACCCCTCGTGGGGGGGCACCCAATAATTGAGGTGTACGGATGTTCTTGTTGCATCACGTCGGCCGCGATGTTTTGACGATTTGATGTTAGCAAAACCGCTTTTCAGAAACCGCACCGGGTTACGGCTGCGAAAGCGGCGCTCTCGAAAATGGCATTTCGTACGCCGCCGCCGCCCCGGCGCGGAAGCGAAAAAAAAAGGTCCCACGCCAGGCGCCTTTTCATAAAAAAAAAAAAAAAATAAAACTCAACCAACGACTTCGGAACATTTTTGACAAAGGTGCTCTTCGGACTCGGCAATGTATTTCCAACAACGTGGACATTTGCTGGATGAAGACTGCTGAATGAGCAAATTGACACTTCCGTCGCAGAAATCGTCTACTGAGACCTCCCGAGCTGGTCCCGCGGTAGCCTCAGTTGAGGGACCCACAGTGGCCCTAGAAACAAGAAAGTAGTCATCTAGGAATTGAGCATGGTGGTGCAAAAGCGAAGTGGCCTGGGCACCCTGAGGCTGTAAAAAGATCTCAACCTCCAATTTGTTCTTGTAGTGACCGTCCTTTCTCAACTGTTCCAATTCCTTGTACAAAACGTCTCTGATTTTCCACAATTGGTTGATCTCACCCTCGACAGCCAGATTCAGGGCGTCGCTATCAATAGCAAAGAACTCCCATGGCATCATAAACGGCGATTGTTCCGAAATATTCATTTGCTGGGCGTAGAGTTGCCATGCCTCCTGGGCAATCAATGGCTGAATAGGCGCCCAAAGACCAATGTACGCTTTGAGGATCTGCTCCAACACGGTCTGTATGCTTCTTCTTCTGTGAGAGTCCTTCTTATCCGTGTAAAGACAGTCCTTAGAGATATCAAAGTAGTAGGCACTGAGTTCACTAATGTGGGAGTTGAGTTCTCTTACAACGCCAGCGAAATTGTGGGTATTGTAGTGAGCCACAACCTTTTCTTGGACATTGTACAAGCGAGAAAGCACCCATTGGTCCAATTTGTTGAGTTTTGCGAGATCAATGCGGTCAGAGGGTCCAAAGTCGTGGAGGTTTCCAAGCAAGTACTTAAAAGTGACTCTGCTCTTCTTGACACTCTCCAACAATCTTTGGAAAACCTCCACACTGACATTGACGTCGGAGGTATATGTCGAAGAAGCCACCCAGAGACGAAGACCGTCCGTGCCCAATGCAGGCACTAATGGTTTTCCACCGCCATCAATCACCTGCGTTGGAACAATGACATTACCCAATGACTTGGACATTTTCTTGTTTTTTTTGTCAAGGAGGAAGCCGTGCGTGATGATTTTTTTATATGGTGCCACGGGTTTGAAGTTCTTGCCGTCTCTGGTAGATGCAATAATTTTGTTGAGAAGAGACAGTTGAAACCAGCCTCTGTGTTGGTCACTGCCCTCCAAGTAGATATCAGCGAGAGGATTGTCAGAGACACAAGAGGCTTCAAGATCAGATGAAAGCGTTGACCACGACGTACCGGAATCGAACCAAACATCCATTGTATCCTTGCCCTTGAAGTACTTGGAACCGTCAATGTTAGAGGGCAACCAACGAGAGACGTCACTCTCATCCTCAAACCAGGCATCGGTTCCGTATTCGGTGATTCTATCAACAGTGTAGCGAATGACCTCGGGATCCTCTATGGGCTCGTTCGTCTCCTTGTGGTACACAATCGGCAATGGAGCACCCCATGCCCTCTGTCTAGAGATACACCACTCGCTTCTGTTTTGAATGAAGGCCTTAAGTCTGTTGACACCCAGAGGTGGAACAAACTCCACATTGTCCAACAGGCTGGCAGCAGCATCTTTTATCTTCTCCACATTGACAAACCATTGAGGTGTAGCTCTTTGAACCACTGGTGTCTTCGATCTCCAGTCATATGGGTACGAGTGTTTGTACAGCTTGTTCAAGTGGAAAAGCATGTCGTGATTCTCGAGGTGTTGTATAACTTTGAAGATGGAAGGCTTGCCATTGGCGTACTTGCCTGCGAGCTCTTGGTATCCTTGAGGGATGTTTTCAGAGATGTAATGGCCCTTCTCGTCCACAGATGATGCAACCTTAAGTGAATGCTTCCTACCAACAAGGTAATCCTCCATACCGTGAGCTGGAGCTGTGTGGACCAAACCGGTACCGGCGCTAGCGGAAACATGATCACCATGAAGAACTGGAAACAGCTCCTGCGACTCATTGGATGGACTGATATATTTCAAGCCCTCCAAGTCAGAACCACGAACAGAAATCAGACTGTCGAGCTCGTATTTCTCATCATACTTGAGCACAGACTCTGCCAACTCCTTAGCCACAACAATACCTTCACCACTTCCAGTGTTTTTGATCAAAGTGTACTCAATGTCCTTGTTCACACATATAGCTTTATTGGCAGGAAGAGTCCATGGAGTGGATGTCCATATCAAAAGACTGACCTTCTTGTATCCCGGGAAGATGTCAGTCTTCTCCAATGGGTATTTGACAAAAACTGCCACAGACTTGTGCTCTGAGTTATATTCCAACTCTGCTTCTGCCAAGGCAGTCTGTGTTTCACAGCCCCACCAAACCGGCTTGAGCTGTCTCGACAAAAGTCCATTCTCGAACAAACGAAGGAAAATTTTGAGTTGTGCCGTCTCGTAGTCATGGGTCATTGTGACATAAGGCTCGTCAAAGTTAGCCATAATTGCAAAATCACGAAACTGCTCCCGCTGTTTTTCAATCATGCTGTCTGCTAGTTCTCTGCAAAGCTTACGAATCTCCACGGGTGAGAGATTGGTCAGACCTTTCACTGCCTTCATCTCAATCGGTAGACCATGGCAGTCCCAGCCGGGTCTGTAGTGAATCCTCTTTCCTTTGTTAATCAACTCAAAACGATTTATGATATCTTTGAGGATCTTGTTGAGGGCGTGACCGAGATGCAAGTCACCGTTGGCGTATGGTGGACCATCATGAAGTGTAAATTCTGATGAAGTTTTGGATCTGTCGGATTGTCTAATGTAGAGCTTCTTCCCACACTCTTTTAGAAGATCATCTCGTTCTGTACCTTTGGGAATTCTCGGCAGAAATTCGGTTTTTGGTAGTAGAAGGGACTTTGAGTAAGAGCTAGATCTCCCAAATGAGCTGTGAAATGTCCGCTTGGACCGTAGTATATTAGGCGTATGTCGATTCATGATTTTTCAAAATCTGAATCATACCAAGAGCTCTATCTGAAAAATGTGCGCGTGACTTTAAGCACGTGCAAACTTTTCGAAATATCCACATCTACAGAAACTTGTAAATATATATCTTTTAAACGTTAGACACATGACATCAGAAATGTACTAATAAATAAGACATGATGTGATAAAAAGACAAGAAATCATGTAAGTTCGTCAGGTGCTGAAGAAACTATTTTCACGGAAACATCACATCAGCGCGTTTAGTTCTTGCCAATGTTCTTCGCCAACTCAATGTACTTTTCGGTGGAGAAGGACTTTGGTCTTTCAATTGGGGCACCAAGACCACGGTCGATGATCAACTGAGGCAAGACACCGAAAGCTCTGGAGACACCGAACAAGACAGTGTAGAAGGACTCCTCAGTCAAACCGTAGTACTGCAACAAGACACCGGAGTGAGAGTCCACATTTGGCCATGGGTTCTTGGTCTTACCGTGCTTGGTCAAGACACCTGGAGCAACCTCGTAGATGTTAGACACCAACTTGAACAAGTCGTAGTCTGGCATGTGCTTCAAGGCAAACTCTCTCTGGGCAGTGTAACGAGGGTCGGTCTTTCTCAAGACAGCGTGACCGTAACCTGGAACGACTCTGCCAGAGTTAAGGGTGTCCCACAAGTACTTCTCAATAGCCTCCTTGGAGATGTCGCCCTTCAAGTCAGCCTTCAACTTGAACAACCACTCCAAGACCTCCTGGTTGGCTCTGCCGTGCAAAGGACCAGCCAAACCGGACAAACCGGCGGAGAGAGACAAGAATGGGGAAGACAAAGCGGAACCAACCAAGTGGGTGGTGTGAGCAGAGACGTTACCACCCTCGTGGTCAGAGTGGATGGTCAAGTACAATCTCATCAACTCAACGAAATCAGCGTTGTTGCCGAAACCGAGCAAGTTGGACAAGTTGGCACCGTAGTCCAAGTCCTTGGAAACCTCACCGGCCAACTTACCGTCGTGGAAGACGTTTCTGTAAATTCTGGCGGCGATGTTTGGCAACTTAGCCAACAACTCGATAGAGTCTTCGTAGGTGTACTTCCAGTACTCAGACTTTGGAACACCCTTGGCGTAAGCCTTAGCGAACTGAGACTCAGACTCCAAAGCAGTGACGGCAATGGAGAACTGGGCCATTGGGTGCAAGTGGGAAGGAGATCTGTCGATCAACTCCTCGACGTGCTTTGGCAAAGCGGATCTAGCAGCCAACTCCTCAGAGAGAGCCTTGGTCTGGGCCTCGGTTGGGACCTCACCGGTCAACAACAACCAGAACAAAGCCTCAGGCAAAGGCTCGGATCCACCTGGAGCCTTTGGCAACTCCTTCTGGATGTCAGGGATGGTCCTACCTCTGAAACGGATACCCTCAATTGGGTCCAAAACAGAGCCCTCCCAGACAAGACCCTTGATACCACGCATACCACCGTATGCCTGCTCCAAAAGGACTTCACCAATAACCTGCGTGTTAGTAAGAAGAGCATGAAAGATAGGAATAGTCGGATGCAACACCGGTGCTAAACATCCGATGCCGCACGCCGAGGATAAAACGGGTACATACGGTTTTGCCGTGCTCTTTTTTCAATTGCTTGACCTCTTCAACCTTCTCAGGCAAAAGCTCAGAGAAACGAGCCTTCAAAGTCTGGGGGTGTTAGTAACGGGAATTCAACATAAATGGGATAGCAAGAGGGAGATCACATACTGGCTCAGAAGCATAGGTTCTGGTTTGCAAAGCTCTCTTCAAAGCGGAGCGTTGGAAGGAACGGAGAGACATGATTGATTGTTGTGGAAAAAAAAAATATAAGAAATGCCGGAGAATGCCCAGGGACAGGTGAGCTCTTATATATCTGAGTGTGGATGAAGAAGCGGCAAGTATGAAAAACGCACCTAGGTTACGTAAACCCGCTTGGATCCTGCACACGGGCGCGGCCGCTTCGAATAGGACACTCTGTTGCAACCAATAAAAACGCACCTTGCATCGTTGCCTGAAGAATATCCTCGGACAGACGACACCGGCCTGAGGTGACGGGCCGAATCAGTCCAGAGCCGTCACGAAGCAAAAATACTTAAACGCGGATATCTCCACAGTTCATTTACTTCCTTTCTCCCACCGCCCCGTTCCCTAATTCTTCCGAGCCCCACCCGTTTGTCTTCCGGTGGGGGTTTCTTAGTGACCCCAGATTTCGGAGTTGGCGAATGAGAAAGGCCCCACGCTCTGGCTGTGGGCGCGGTGTGGTGCAGGAGGGCACCCGCAAAATCACAGGCCCACCCACGCAAGCCTCCAATGATTCGTCCAGCTCAACTTACAAGAACCCAATGAAATCAATTAGCCACTCGTAGTTAGCGAATTTCAATGCCTTCCTCAGATTAGGTTTACCCCGGAATTGACTTTGCATTTGCATTGGTGTTCGATGTCCTGCCTCAGGCAGCTTGGCCGAATCTGGGGTTGCACCAGTGACCACTTGTTTTTACAGCGTTGCGCACCCGAACTCACCGAACTCGGTTTTCGCAGCCCAGATTCGCAACCACGACACGAACTTCCTCAGGATTGGCACGTTTTGGGTATTCGAATTGTAGTATTTTTACCCTGGCCTTCTCGCCAAGCAAAGCTTGTTCTGCCCCCACACTTTTGCCGCTTCCCATAGATACAAATCAATTCTTGTTAAGGCGGCCGCTCAAGGCATTCTGATCTATGGCACCGGCATGCACGGGATCCGCTTTTCCGTTACCTCGAGGTATGTGGAAACAAGCTCCTGCTTCCAGATGCAACACAGTGTCGCCAATCGGATGTCGGCGGCTACCCCTAGTATTTTGCAGCGGCTGCGTTTTCTTAACTTAAGATGCGCTTTTGATTTCCATGTTTGCTTCAAACCAATCAAGATAATCTGCCCTCCTAATCTTTGCATTTTTCCGAACCATTGGGCATATGCCCTGCCTGATCCAGGTCCGGCTAACCCTGTGCAGGCGCGACACACACTTTTTTTTCTTCACTCATCGCTTTCTTTTTCTCGATAATTGGGACTTTATCTCCATTTGTATGACGTTTCTAGGTATACGTGGTAAACGAATCCCAGATATCGAGTTGGAAGCTTGCAGAGGCGGTGCCATAGACAGTGTGGTCCCACCTTTGATAGCATCCTACATTTTTACTGCTGTAGACTCAGTCTAGTAGATCGTGGTAGATAAGCGCTCCGATTGACTCCTTGAATGGCTTGTTGATGGCTGGACAATGGCTGTTGAACTCACAGTTGTTGCATTTCCACCTCAGGTCAGCCTCTCGTGGCGGCCGCCTACCAGTCCAGAAGTTCACCGCTTCTTCTAAAGCCTCGTTGTTGGCCTTGACGGTGTAGGGGTAGACCTTGGAGCCAATGACCGTGCCCAGTTTACTGTGATGGTAATCCACAGCCACGGTTGATGCATCGTAACCATTGAAGATGTCATGAATTTGGGATGCCCGAGCTATGAAGTACCGAGGCGTGAGCGGGTACTTCCAGGGTTTGAAAAGTACGGATATGTCAATGCTTTTGACGGCGAGGGTGTCACCGTAAATGTTCTCCAAGATCTCTTTAAAGTCTTTTTCTGAAATAAAGTTGGAGAGGTCATAGTCCTTGTTGCCCTCGTCCCGATCTTCGTAGATCTCGCTCATGATCTCGTCGTGGGAGGTAAATCCTAAAGGTTGCCCTTGAGCTAGGCGAACATAGTCCATTGCTAGCGCCTCAAACTTCTCTAATAAGAGAATGACTGCGTGAGCTTCGCCAATTTCGGCATCAATGTCAATTTCACGCCTTCTAGCGCTCTCTCGGTAACTCTCATAAGTGAATCGAATGTCTTTGGTGAAACCGAGAAAGAATCGAGTATAGTACATGCATTGATCTTTTGCTGCTTTGAGCTGCAGCTCTTGTTTGGGGAGAGATTTCACGCCTCTGGTTTTAACGTCCCTCACCTGGATGTAGTAGTCATCACGAGACTTCTGAACCTCCTCCTTGAGCTCAGAAATGGCTTTATTTAGATCCCATATTGGCGCCATCAATGATATTTCATCGATCTCGGCAGTCACATCTGGAAGTTCGGCCGTGTGGGTGTCATTTTTCCTTTCGCCACGACCCTTTCGTTCAAACTGTACTATATCGGCGATACCCCTGACAAGCACTCCTTTATGCAAATCTTCTATCCGTTCGACGGGTCTGTTAGTTTCAAAATCAATAAAGGAATGCACGTCGATTTCTCGAGCGTGCCGAGTCTGTGCCAATGAGATCCCTCTCTTGATGCTGTGTTCCGTGACGGACTTGGCCCATTCAGCCAGCCCTTGGTTCCTGCCCAAGTGCATAGCCTCTTCAGGCGAATGTTTGGCTGCAATCTGGGTCAATTGATCAACTGCTGAGCTCATATCGGCCCTCTCGTGCTCTTCGTTCTCAAGCCTATCGTGATATTCAGAGCCCTCGGCCAAACGGACAGTGACTTCCTTTTTCTGCAGCCCAGAGTAGATACGGTAAAACAACTCGAGCTCACACCATGCATAGGATAGAAGTTTGGTCACCAGAAGACGTGGGAATGCAACTATGGTTGGGTCTGCAGCGTTCTCTGTGGTGTAGTAGGTAAACGGGTTTGGCTCGAGATTTTCGGGGATATAGAGGAGCAGCGATGGTGGTCTCTTAAATTTTTCCAACACTCTGTACACATTTGGGCTTGGGGCCTCAGGAACTGACAGTCCAACATCATTGCGTATCTCAAACAACAACGGAAGTGTGGATGCTCTGTCAGAGGTGACTAGCGCCTGGGGTCGTTTGGGTGTACGGCGTGGTACCCGAAAAGTGAAGGTTCTGCCCATGCCACATTGGCTGTTGTTGTGATCCAGCGACAATATGAGCGATTTGGTGATAGTCTGGTAAGCTGAATAAGCGGTGCGATGTATGGCCGGTGCAGGGGTATGTAGCTTTGTGGATCCAGGGAGAGGAAATTCGGAGAGATGAACTGTGATTGGATGTCTACTTTTTTGAATACAGTTAAAGGTGATTTTTGGAAGTGCTGAGTTTCTATGGATTCTTGGAGACTGACGCGTTGGTGATCGTTGACGTGGAGTGACGTAAGGTGAAAAGCTGTCAATGCGAGAGCGAGTATTTGGTGAGAGGGCATCTCAGTGAAGATACGTTTTAGAGTTCAAATGAACATTTAAAAATGCTTAATTGGATGCTGTTAGGCAACAGTTGGTTACTGTAAGTTGCAGCTGATAGGTTGAGTCGGGGTGTGTGGATTTGTGCCTGTTAGTGCATCACCTTCACCGGTGTATCCGAAGATCATAGAAAATCCCCGAATCGGCTTTGCTCGATATGCCCCTTATTTTTGCTGTTGCTCTTTACTTCTTCACATGAACTACATTCCGAAGTGCCCTAAAAGCTCTTGTAAGCAGCCGATCGTACATTCAGCACACTGCACTTCGGTCCGCCATCAGATAGTGTAATGTAATACATAACATCTGATAAAAATCCTGTTTCGTTTAAAGCTGCCCATACTCAACTTCTTAATAAATCTGTCAGGACATTTTTGCATAATTGCTATTTTTACTTCGTATTTGTATTATTCACAAAATGGTTCCATTTCGCAACAAATTTAGAAACTCAAAAACACGTCTCACATATGGGGCCGTACGAGCAATGCGTCGCGTGAGAAATCACAAATCACCTTTCGATTCAAAGCCTCTTTTGAAGATCAAAAAAATGACGACATGATCTTCAAAAAGAAAAAAGAATGGAAAAAGAGACAACTGACAGAAGTATGCTTTGAAAAAACGCGTCTCTATCTGCTTCTACACATATTCGGTGAGTTATAATCTTACATGTAATACACATCTATAACGATTTTTAAATGTACAGGATTCATTTTTCAGTGAATGCCCCTCTTCATCTTCAACGAGTCGCGTTTCTTTTCACTTAGACTGAACTGCCCAGGCAAGTTGATCTTGTTGTTGCCATTGGCCATGGCGGGCTCCTTCACGGGACTCCCTGGAATCAAGGGACCGCCGCGTAAGCCACCAGTGCTGGGCAGCGTGCTTCCAATTCCGTTTGACAGGGGATGGCCAAAGTAGCCAGATTCTTCGGAAGGCGTAGTTGCTGAGAGAAAAGGCGAGTTGAGCGCCTCACCAGCACCAAAGTAGTTCTGGCCCGAGTATCCACCAGGGATATGCATGTTCATGTTTTGGAGGAAGTTGCAGGTATCAGTATTAATCGTGAGAGGTCTTGGGAAAGAACCGTTGATGCCGTTACCACGGCTGGACGAGCGGGAACGCAGGGGTTCCAGGTCTGTTTCGTCCATTTCGGAGCCCGAGCCAGCGGAGCCGGGGGTGGGTTGGAAATTGCCGCCATAGGATCCGTACGAGTTGTTTGGCGTGCTGCCCAGCGAGAAGGAGCTTTTCGACGAGCTGGGCGGCGTTTGGTAGTCTAGCATCATGGCGTTAAAGCCGCCAGGGGCTGGTTGTAGTTGAGGCTGGCCCAGCAGAGCCAGGCTCAGGTTATTTCTCTGGATAAATGCTCTAGGGACAAAGTCATGCATCAGTTGAAGCGAATCCGTGGACGCGTTCTGGTCGGCGTGCATGCCCAAGTTGGCGTTTGGACGGATGTTCAGAAGGTTACCCACGTGCAACCAGTTGGAGCCGTTGTAGGAGTTGTTTCGTGTGAGGGAGTGCTTGCGCAAATTAAGCGATGACAGGCGCAGACGGCTCAAGGCGGCCGCCTGGGCTGCCAGGGTGGGCTGCTGCTGCAGGTACGAGTTGACGTTTTGCTCGTTCAACAGCAAGTTCAGGATGGACAGCTGGCCGCCCCTGGCGGCGTAGACGTTGTTGGGAGCCGGCACCAGAACAGATGTGCATGCCGAGAGCAGCTGGGGCTGTTTCTGAGCGGCACACAAGTCTAGGAAGCGCTTGCGGATGAGTTGCAAGATGATGGGTTGGTAGGCGTGGTTCTTGAGAAAGTCCGGGGAGAGGACGCTCTGGGTATCGTAAACAGGCTGGTCGGAGGCGTTGCGGAGAAGCAGGATCATGGTTTCGTGGGCGACTTTGGAGACGAGTCCCAGGGGAGGGACCGACCCCAGAAAGGGCGTGGTGGTCGGGAGCAGCAAGATGTCCAGGTAGATGGCGAGCACGAGCTGGTCAAAGACCGGGGTGAAGGTGAGCAGGTAGTTTTTCAAGGAGCGGCCTGCGGGCTCGTCCACGTCTGTCAAGAGGTCGTCCAGCTCGGCGTATTGCGGGTGGTTGTACAAGTTGAAGTAGGAGGCCTGGTGGTTGTTAGGTGGATCCAAGGGCGTTCTCAAGGTCTGGTCGACCGGGGTCAACGGCGCGTCGTCGAGCGTCTTGGACGTTTTCAACGTCAACGTTTTCTTGTTAAGCATCACGACAGACGAAACCAAGTTGGAGATTGAGTTGAAAAAGTCGTTCCGGAAGCAGCGGGCGCACCGGCGGTACCGGGGTATATATATGGGGCGGCGAGGGTACAGGGGGCGACGCGCGAAGTAATTATTCCCAACTGGGCGGAAGCAGGGTGACAAAGTGCGACTTCGCAGCAAGACAAGCAGACAAATTGAGGCACAGACAAAGACGGTGCATTGGGGTTTTTCTTTTTTTTTTTTTTTGTGCTAAAGGGGACTGGGGGTTGTCGTTTTGGGCATTGTGCCATTTCTGGTTTGTCCAAGATTTTTTCATTCCTTCATCTCATTGTACTTGGCTTCCATGCTTGCCTTTTTTTTCGCTTCCCTTTTTGGGCGGCCCAACTCTTGGGGGTCTCCATTTCGGTCCTCCCTGCGGCTGCTGCTTCCTTGCTCTTGGTCCCTAGCCACACCGCGTCGCGAGCAATGTGGGCAGCACTGCCTGAATCTGCCTGAATCTGCCTGGATCTGAGCAACTTTAGAGACAAAAAACGTCATTTGACACGAGGCGCTAAAAAGCACAACACCAAACAATTTGCAATTTAGCCCTTTTTCCTCTTTATTCCTCTCCACACGTCCCACCACCCCATCTCTTCAGAACCCCGTTTCGCTGTGGCCGGCCCACTGCTCCCGCCTAATCCTCGCCTGGAACCCTCGCGCATCTCGCTCCATCTTCCATCACCTCGCACCCTCCCATCGCACCCTGCCTGATCCAGATCCTCGTGTGTCGACTGCAGCGGCTCGCATGGCTGCGAATCCAGATCATGGGCCCACAAGTGATTCGTCAGATGATGCAAAAAACCTCTGGATTGGTCGAACTGGTCAACTGAAATGACAATGCTCCAGAGCGATCGCCTTCACTACGGGGGGCTTGCAGGCGCTTGTGGCCGTGGCTTTGTGCCTAAGCGGGCCTCGTAAGTGGTCTGAGTCTCCAGCCAAACCTTATCTCTCAATTACGATCCCCACAGACCATAATCGAAGCACCTCGCCCGATATGAGCCCTGCGAGATCGAAGTCCGCCCCAGAAGCCTCTTTGTGCTGTGGGGCACTATTCTCTTTGCAACCCTGCGCACGCACCCTTGAGCCTTGTTTTTTTGTGCCTGGGGATTTTTGCAACCATTCTCTTTTCCATGGCCACACACCTGCAAATCAGGCCCAACTCGGCCCAATCCGTAGTTCTGGAACCCCCGCCAGCAGCATCTCCCTCGGCAGAGATCTTGCTCCACCACGCCGCCCACAACCACAACCGTGTGCTCATTGTCTTCTTGAACTCCTCCCCTGCTTCACTAACCCCCCAAGCCAACATTGCCTTAGCCTCTTCTCTTGCGTTTCTAGGCAGATCCAACGGAGCAGTGCACCACCTTGTCCAGTTGGCAGACTCCTCCGCCCTGGTTCTGGACCGCAAGCTCTACTTGTACGCATTGTACCGGTGTCTCGAGGAAAACGGCCAAAGAAACCCGGCGTTTGCTCACGAGGTCGAAATGGGCATCTTGCAGCACGACGCTCTAGTCTTTGTGCCCTGCCTAGACGGCTTCCTCTTTGGGCCCTCCAGGGCCCTTTCTTTGCATCAACAGGTGGTACAGTACGAGGAGGCTGGCGGCATGATAGCGCCTACGAGTTTTGCAGCCGCCGTGAAACGAGATTGGGCCAACGGGACACATTTGAAATTTATAGGCACCGATCCCAGCTCGGTCCTCGAAGCTGTAGACGAGTTTGGGCCCTGGCACGAGGTGACGCTGGCGATTTCAGCCCAGTTCTCCAGAAACAAGACCCTCATGGACAAGTTGGTCCAAGGGTCCAGCAATGAGCTGCCTAGAGGTCAGGGGCTTTTGGAGTTGGCCAGAATGGCCTCGTTTCGGGCGGCAACGGCAATCTCCAATTTTCTCCAGGGAGACTATGTCGCTGCCTTTGACTGGACTAGTCGGTATTTTGCAGTCGCCGACGAGGCCCGCCGTTTCATCTTTCCGGACGGCATCAGAGCTTTGACCACCAGAGATATCCTCACTATGGCCATGTTCATCACCAATTGTCTCGAGAGAGGCGTGGTGCTGGATGTTTCTACAATTGAGCGCATCTATACTAGACTCGCAAACCCAGAAGCAGAGCTCCATGATGACGAGACCGAAACATGGAGGATGAGAAGACCAAGATCGAGAGACAGCGCCGCAAGTGAATTCTTCCAGTGCTCGTTGGCCTGGTCAGAGAGGCAATTAGGCGAGGAAAACCTGCTCTTGAACAAAGAGGTCATGAACCAGTCTTTGTTGCAACCCATGAGGAAGTCCCAGTACTTTCTGTGCTGTGGTCACCTTCGGAGGCATATGGCGGCTTTTGAGGCTTCAGAAAGAAAAATTACGCTTCTCTCTGGTGAATCGATCAAGGCTAGGGCGTACAGCGCCAGAGACTGCTCTTTGGCTGCAAGGCTGTATATCATAGCAGCGGCATGCCATCCGTTGGATGATCCACAATTGTACCGTTTATATGATAGAGCAGTATGGGCTCTATGTTTGTCAGGCGGTATCCATGCCAGGGCTCTTTGGTTGTTTCTCCATGCGAGACACAGAGCATCGTTCACAGCTAATTTTGCCCCGGCAATACGGAGACTTCCAGTAACAAAACAATCGAGCTCCTGGTCAAGAGTCAAGCTCAAAAGGCGGCCTAAATCTGAGAGTTCGGCTCTAAAAGCACCAAACTACATTACTAGCGTGCAATCCAGAGCTAGTACTCTGCATCAGGACAACACGGAAGGAACGAGCCTCAAGAGACCGCAGACAGTGGTGGATCTTCAGGCATTAAATTTGGAGTCAGGCAGCAAAATGGCCTACGGCCCAGAAATAATGTTTTCAGGCGCAGACCTTTCGGACTGGCCACATTTCGAGAACCAAATGGAAGCGCTTTACCAAATGCAAATGTTTGTCGAGAGCATTCACGAAGCAGTCGAAGATAACCCCGATGGGCTAAATTTTGACCAAACTGACGTTACATTTTTAAGCCCCCTGGTATTGGAGCATCAGAGTGATGGTGAGCACCCTGTCCTCTACTTGGCTGGCGAATACTTACCGAGCAGAGCAGAATTTAACCAGGAAGGCGGTATTTTCGTCAGTCCAGAATTGAAGTCACAAATCAAGCTTCTGCAGTTTGCTGTTGAAGAGCAATTTGCTTTAAGCAAAGAGCTCGTTAACGCTTGGGCAGCAGCGTACACCCAGATCAACGGCAGTACCCCAGATTGGACAGCAGAAGTCCTTGAATGGTCAGGGTACGCCCTTAGTCTGGAAATATGAGGAAAATGTTCTGTTGTTCACAGATAATAGTTTCCTAAGTCTCCATATTATCTTATGTAGTATAATAGCTGTTCATCGAAATAGAAATTCATAATGTGGAACGATTCAGACCAATAGTCACGAAATGTTAACCAAATTCTCAATGGACAAATCTGTAAGTTCTCCAAGGATCTTCACTTTTGTATACACAATGAATACTCTGATGCAACATCAAAATCTTCAAAGAATATCGACCATTTGAATATTCATATCACTGTTCTTTCTGCTAATCAACGCTTCGATAGAAAATAAGCCGTCAAAATGAAAGGTGTAGTTACCTTCCAAAAAGAAGAGCAAAAATTGAGCAGATTTGAAAAATCGTGGAAACACCCATCAATTTCAAGCTCAAGGGGTTACCCCAGAAATGAAATGCGTCCGGCATTTTGCTGTACTACCCGCATGAAGATCCGATTCACAGACAAGAACACCCTAAAAGCCGATAGCGTCAAATTGAACGGTCGACATATTCTGTCTTCAAATCTTCAAGAGAGTTGAACAAATTGAGCCTCCAAGAAGTTGAAGCTCTAAAATGAGAAATCTGCTCCTAATCGAACTAAGCAAGACCATCACGGCTACTCTTTGACGAAATTGAGCTGGATTTCAAGATATCGATTAAATATATCACTCTAGCCTCATGCACTTTACATAAATATATTCTTGTGTCTAATTCTAGCATTTTTTGGAAGGAGGTGCCTATCTGCTTATCATGTATGCAGTGCCCACCTTGTTCTGATTCGCATGCCTGTTTCAACCTCAACGGTTCCACAGTCTATTCATTTATCATAATACAAAATGGAGTCAGATTCTGACGAAGACATAGATAACTTCGACATCTTCAGGGATTTGGACATTGATTTAATGGATGTCTTTACCCGATCGCAGCGAGCGGAGCTCCGCAGGATGGCTAGATTGCACAATCTTAGAACCACGGCCGATTTCGTCCGAATGTTCCAACAGCAGCGAAATGAGCGGATATTCAAACTATATTGGCTCTTTGGGTTCTTCCCTCTCCCTAAAGTCAACTATGGACTTCTCTGGAGACGTCATAGACCTGCTGACATAGTGAGATCAAGTATGAGATTGGTCATAGCCATAGCAGCAGGGGCTGTAAGACTAAGCAGGCTTTTTGTATATGGTATTGCAGTATTCCAGTGGCTTCGAGATATCCTACAGTGGGTGTTCATCTATGGCTCGATGGTGACATTCTCGACCAACTTTTTCGTCGATATCGAGACTTACATCTTTAGAGACAGCGCAGATGTTCTACATCCGCGCGGCAGTACTTCAGACTGGCTCAAAAACCTACAACTGGCTAACGGGAACGTGCTAGATTGGAGCTTGTGGACCAAGATCCTTTACGACATGGTCTCCAGCACAGTGAGATTACAATGCGTGAAGGATCAAGACGGGGACCTGGAGTTCTGCTACATCGATAAAAACTCCTTAATTTTTAGGTTCAGTGATGTCATAGCTCTCCATTTCCCAATTTTTGAGAGCTTGCCATCACCAGTTTTGACATTTTTGGTTGTGCTTTTGTATCTCACATACGGTTTTGCGGGACAAATGATTTCGTTTAATGTTCTCTTCTACTTCATCATGCAAATCATATTCAGATTCGAAAGCGTGTCTAAAATCATATTCGGAGTGGGCAAAATACTATGGCACAACGGTGGTGAGTTGATCGTATGAGGATTGATAGAACGAGGTCCGTTACCCGATTAGGAAGGCAGCATCTCGAATGCGCTAAATGCACCGGCTCTACTATGCCGGGGATAAGCGTGAAAAAGATATATATCCTGCGGATCAGCTTTTCCTTAACACCACCCCACAATTATCATGAAAGCGGCTGTTTTTAAGAAGCCATACCTTGTCGAGACCGTCGAGAAGCCAATTCCTCATATTACTTCCCCACCGATGCAGTCGTTAAGGTAAAGTACTCGGCACTTTGTGGATCTGATCTCCACTATTACCGAGGACATATCCCACTGAAGGAGAACACGACCATGGGTCACGAATTTGTGGCCACTGTCGTCGAGAAGGGTGACGCAATTGACGACTCGGCCTTCGCTGTTGGAGACGATGTCATCTCTTGCTTCACAATTCAGTGTGGGGAATGCTGGTACTGTCAGAATGGGTACTCGGGAACCTGTGACAAGACAAACACATTTGGAAAGATTGGATTGGAAGGCGGCCAAGCCGAGTATGTTCTCGTTCCATACGCAAAGTCCACTTTGCACAAGAAACCCCAGAGCTCGGACGACGACTCTGTCTACGTACTCATGGCAGACATCTTTGTGACGGGCTACTTTGGCATCAAAAAAGTTATGGATCATCTTTCCAGCTTCAAGACTAAGGATATCACGATTCTCCAAATTGGGGCAGGACCAGTCGGTCTTTGTTCAGTCAGAATATTGAAGCATTTTGGCTTCAAGTATGTCGTGGTAGTAGATGGCATTCCTGAACGTTTGGAGCATGCCAAAAAGCTCGGGGCACATGACACCGTCAACTTCAAGACCGAAACAGACAAATTACAAAAACTTATCGAGACAGGCACCGGTGGCTTGGGATTCGATGCGATCTTGGAGATTGTGGGTGCACAACTGTCCATGAGGACTGCGTTTGACAGTGTAAGAAGGGTGGCTTTATCAGTTCAGTTGGAATGGGTCACGAGCCACTTCCATTTAATGGTTTGGAGGCTTACGCGAAGTGTGTTACTGTCAGCTTTGGCAGATGCAATGGCTGGTCATTGTTTGGAGATGCTTTAGAGGTATTTGAACAGGTAAAAGGAGATTTTGGTGATTTTATAGACGCCAGGCCGTCAATTGATGAAGCAAAGGAATACTACGAAAGGTTTGAACGGGGTGATGTGGGAAAGGTGGTTTTTACATTCTAAAGTAATAAATATGATACCAGGTAATAGCAAATTATAAACTTAACAGTTGTAAGGGATTTCATCATTAAACTACACCCTGCCTGTTTGAAGGCTTGGTTGCAAACCTTGCAGAAACGAGTACCTGGATTGTACTATGCGAGGTACGTCGAAAGCTGAACAGAATGTCAAATTGCTAGATGTATTCAAAACCCATATCCCTATCTAACTCTATCGTCTTTTTGGTCCACGCTTCAATCCTATGAATTACTTTTTCAACTGACAGCTCGTCACCTACTGACAACATGAAGTCCTCTCCAATTGGTTCCAACAAATCATTTTCGTCACTCCATGAAGTATCTTCAAGAATATTGTTGAGATGAAAGGTCTCGAGCTCAGGTTGAAGCACACTGGGAACCCTTATGATTGCGCTAATAGCCGAGTAATTCAAGGTTTCTTGCTCAATTTGATAATCGAGTTCATCTCTCATTTTATCAAGCCTGTCTTTGGAACCTGACGCCTCGAGCTTGTACGTGCCTGTCGACCTGCCGTCATACTCATCAACCCAGCGATACTCTACACCGTAACCTTCAAACTTGGATTTGTACCACGGCTCTAGTTCGAACATTGCTCTTTTAATTGCGAAGAATGGAACCTCGTAAGTCATGAAATCAACATTATCGGCTTCGTATTGTACAAGCTTATCGATTTCTTGCTCGACCTTCTCAAAGGCGTCACTAGGACCCTGGATGGTAATCTCATCTTCATGGGAAGGATGAGGCCAGACACCTTTCATTGTTTCACAATATAATCGAATTTTGACGCTAAAGTCTTTTTCAACCTTGGAGAAACTCAAGAAATTAAATCCCGGAGCTCTACACTGCCATGTAGATGCAAGTTTGATACGCTTCACTCGTTCCTTTTTAAGACAATCGACCTTTGCAATAAGATATTCTCTGGCCTTCATCACAAGCATCCGAACTCCTGAAATAGTAACTCGAGTCTTTGAAGTTTGGTCTGAGATATTTGTGCGAGATCTCATTGCTTTCCCAGAATCATGAACTTGAAGACCAACTCCGAAACGCTTTTTGATGTCACGACATCTAAAGCATCTGTATTGTATAAGAGCAGTTATCAATTGGGATGGAACTTCAAAGCTTGTTTTGAAAAATCCCTCAGATCTTACATCCTGAACCTCTTTCTGGTATTTTTCGATAAGCTGTTTCACTGGTGCAATGTTTCCATTTGCAACAGAAATTTCAAATTCGTCCTCATTCTCAGGAACTCGATTCACGAACGAACCGGGCAAATTCTTCATAATTGCAGGCATCAACAAACCATCAGAATTCAACATGGCTGCTTGATCTGCCGGAGGAATCGTGATAATATAATCATCATTATATCCCAATTGAGCTTTTATTTCATTGATCTTCTTTATCGCTGAGTTGAGCCGCATTTGATCTAGATGATTCGAAGAATTTTCCTCATCTGGTTCACTCGCAGAATATTCTTCATCCTTGTAACCAAACAAGATTCCCCATCGTGGCAATGAGCAGTATTTAATGCCCCGCCAATGATCTTGAAGCGCTGTGTAGACTTGGTAGTTGCATAGACCAGTAACGATGTGAATTTCCTCCTTCAACAAGCTTTCAAACTTTTGAAGAACTCCTTTAATTGCAAGTTTCATTTCAGATCCTTTACTCCTGACAATTTTTAACGGAACACTGAGGTTGGATATATCACACAAATGCTTAAGCGATGGGAGAAGGACTAGGACATTGTCATACTGCCTATACTTCCATGGCCGTCTTCCAAAAAAGCGTGCTACCGCTTTCAAGACACGTATATCGTGGGAAAAGAGATTGACGAGATCAACTTCGTACAAACCAAACTTCGTGGAGAAGCGCATTAAGTAGTCGCTAGCCTGGCTAATTTGTGAGGGATCACCAGCCAACTTGATTCCACATTCCTCGTAGTTAGAATGCTCGATGAATGGCGGATAATAAATGTCAATATCTGGAAAGCTATTTAGATATTGGGGCATGAGTTCGTGAAGTGCTCGTGGCACCGGTACCAGACAGATACCTATATTACCCTGCAACTCCTTCAACTGCAGTTGAAACAAGGCAACTGCTTCGACAAGAACTTCCTTTTTTGTAAAGAGTACGAATCCTCCCTGTTCTGATGGGCAAAGACGGAACTTTATGTCAGGATACCTAACGATGACAGGCTCTGTTACAGATTTACTCCACCGCTTCAACTCATAAGGGAAGTCGAGCAAAATTTCAACTCTTTCGATTGCCTTCATTATATTAGCGATGATATCATGCTTTGCATTAAGACAGTTTTGTAAAGTTCCCTCGATAATGACTGAGGCTCTTTGAGGGTACTTGAAGACGTTATTATTGTCATTGGCGAAAGTAGGGACAGCAATGTTACGACGAGGTTTACGAACTTTGCCAAAGCGGTCACCAAAAGGGTCCCACTGTAGTCTTTTAACAGATATCGTTACCAGGTGTCTCCTCGAAGTCTCCTTCAACAATCTACCTCTTGAGCCAATGATGATTCCACGTAATCTGTTCGGAATCAAGAAAGACAAGATTACATGCTGCTTTTTAGGGACGCTTTCTTTGAATATATCTAGATCAGCCTTGGGGCCCGATATGATCATTCGATCCGTGGAATCGGATACTTCATGCTCATAGGTAACACCATCGATTTTGGCTGCAACACCCAGCGAGTACTTTAAGTTAAGATCTTTCAGAGTCCATTGCTCTTCCAAATCCCAGTCGACATCACAAAACTCTGGTTCGACACTGAACTTGATTTCAGAAGTTGGACTCATGGGGTACTTCAGTATGCATGACAAGTCAGATCGGGAGGCGAATTTTCACCTCACAGTCGCAATTTTTGTGCTACAGTGCTCAAATTCTGGGAGACTTATTATGAGATTCGAAATAACATAATGAAATTACAAAATTGTTCATTTTCCAAAAGTCATTAATTTTATATAATATATTATAGCCAACAATGAACGACATCAAAAGTGGCAACTTGTCCGAGTGGTTAAGGAGAAAGATTAGAAATCTTTTGGGCTTTGCCCGCGCAGGTTCGAGTCCTGCAGTTGTCGTTAATTTTTTCCATTTTGCTACACCATCATTCTATTTTTGATGACATCCAACCCCGTAAACGTTTATCGTTGCTCCTTCGAAGCGCAATTGACAAGGCTGAGTCACTAGCGATAGTGAAGAATCGCGCAACAAGTCTTATCGCTTATCGGTCGAGAAGCCTCCCGCGTCCTATTCGCAAGATTTACCGAGCGGGGGAGGGGCACTGTCAACGGTTTTTCTGACAAAGTTTTTTGTATCAAGTCCATAAATTGTAACGACAATCGAGAACCTCGTGGCCTGAACGGGGTTCTCTGGGTCTGAGACAAGGGTTGCCCCGCAGTGCTTCGACGCGTTGCTACTCCCCCGAAATCCACAAAGTCGAATAAGACCCAACACTGTTTGCGGTATTTTGTCTCAAGGCAGTGCTGCGGAAAAGGGAGCTCGGAAATCAACGGTTGCCTCGGGATCCGTGTAGCAATTTCACTTTGAAACTCAGTTGATCTGAAATTTGAAACGTTACTAACTTCGAAAGCTGGTTGACTGCCCAAATTTCCCCACATGGTGCACCCCGCGTGTTAAACTCAAAGCCTATGTACTTTCGGCCTCTGTTCCGGGTTTGCTGCCGAACCTACTGACCATGTCCGACTGCTCATTGCATGATAGAGACTGTCTTCTGCACAGGTCGAGCTATAGATGCATAAAAATAGGCAACATGCATCGACTTGCTGTGTATCTCTTCCTTTAAGAGAAAGCGGCAATCAAAATTTGTATCCCTTGCTTGCCTAGCCGTTGGAGTTCAAAATTTGATGTAGTTTTTCCACAGTCTTGGCACGCATTTTGACATATGTCAACCTGTCAAACGTGCATACATCAGACTTTTCGCCTCCCGGGCCGGCAGGCTTAGTAGCATGATGTGCGCATTCTTGCAGCACCACTTTTCGTATCCACCTATAGAAAGCTTTTGTGCTTTGGAAGAACCATCGCCTGCAACTTTGTGTAGACGTCATGCTACCTGTATTTTTGGGCAGTGTGCTTGAATTGTAACGTGAAGTGGGGAAACGGACCGGAGGCAATGCAGATTTCCAGGGAAGGTCCCGGGATCATTCACAGAATCATTGAAATACAGCTCCTCTTGCTAAATTTTTCAAAGCTTAGTTTTTTTTTTCTTGATCTCTTTCTATTTCTCACATCATGTTCACAAAAGATCCAGATTCCGCTAAGCATTTGCTGACGGATGCAGAGGTTGCAACCGAGCAAAAGCAGAAAAAGAAGTTCAGATGGACCATAGAAGATCATGATTCCCCAAAGAAATTTATAACAAGACCCTTTATTTGTCGGTGATGGTGTTTGGTATTTTGGGTGCTGCTCGTGGTCTCGACGAAGGAAACATTGGCTCCAACATCAGTTTGCCATCTTTTAGACAAACCTTTGGCTTTGAAGACCCCAACAAGAGCGAGAATGAAATTGCCGATCTCAAATCCAATATTTCGTCGATGGTGCAATTAGGATGCGTTGGCGGTGCTCTTCTTGCGATCTTTACTGTCGACAGATTAGGAAGAGTGAATGCTCTAAGACAGGTTTGCGTCTTATGGGCCATTGGCGTCATTATTCAAATTACATCTTCACACGTTGGCCAGCTATACGCTGGCAGAATTATCGAGGGACTCGCCGTTGGCCAGACTACCACCATCGGACCTACGTACTTGGCAGAGGTTGCTCCAAAACAGATCAGAGGTCTTTGCAGTTGCATTTTCGCTGGAGCCGTGTACCTCGGTGTCATGTTGCTGTGCTTTGCAAACTACGGCACCGCATTGCATATTTCTGATTCATCACAGAAACAATGGATCATTCCCACCTCCCTCAAGATCATTTTCGCCGGTGGGTTATTGATCCTCACATTCATGTTTTGCATCGAGTCACCCAGATGGCTTATGAAAGTTGGAAAAGCAGACAAAGCGTGCGAAGCCCTTTGTAAGCTCAGATGCCTTCCACCTGATCACCCGCTCATTGTTGGAGAGATCAACGACATCAATGAGCAATTGTTATTGGAGAAACAAGCACAATCGGGGAACAACGCCCTCAATATTGTCAAAGAATTCGTTCGTGTGAAGGCGAATAGGTACAGATTGTTGGTCATAGCCATTCCCGCTCAATTACTTGGACAATGGTCCGGCTCGAACGCTGTGACGATATATGCGCCCGAATTGTTTGGCGTGATTGGTGTGACAGGAATCGAGACCTTGAAAATGACGGCGATCGCCGGTGTGGTGAAGTTTGTTTCTGCTTACTTGGGCGCATTTTTTATCATTGATGCTTTGGGAAGAAAGACGTCAATGTACGTCGGTATTACGCTTCAGTTCTTGTGTGAATTGTATTATGCAATTTTTTTGAACGTGGTGCCCAATATCGAGAGCTCCTTGGAAGGTTCAAAGAAGAAGGCATCGCAAGGTGCTGTTGCAGCCATTTTCCTTTCGGGCACTGGTTGGGTTATTGGTTTCAACGCTATTCAGTATCTTATGGGGTCGGAAATTTTCCCATTGAAAATTCGTTCTGTGGCTAACTCGTTGGTTATGGTTTTACATTTTGCCAACCAATACGGTAATTCCAAAGCACTCCCGGAAATGATGATTGCAATGCAGCCATACGGAGCATTTTATTTCTTCTCCGGGGTGCTTTTAATTTCCTTAGTTTGGGTGTGGTTTTTCGTTCCAGAGGTGGCAGGCCGTTCTTTGGAGAGTATTGATGACATTTTCAACTTGCCATGGTACCAAATTGGGCGGAACGGACCCAAGCTCTGCCCCGACCATTCCGAAATTAGCAGAATGCAGTTTGATCATGGCATGATGGTATACGAGGATAAAGCCGGGTCGGAGCACCAGGTGGAAAACGCTAGCCAGAACAAGAAGGAATCGGACGAGGATTCCGTCAACGACCACAAGAAAGAGGAGGCGTAAGCCAAGGCATGAGGAGGTAATAGAAATCCCCAATTTTACGAAATTGCTTAATCAACCAGCTCGTAATCCCGTGTGCCAAGTAGAGGCTGTTGATGCAGCAAGCCCGGAGCTTTTTGGAAAAGTCCCACTTTTGGTGAAAAAGAAAAACCAGGTTAGTGGAGCAGAAGCCCATGGAGACTGCGGGGTGATACGCTATCCTAAGCCTTGATAACGGATCGACCCGGGCTTGGATTGTGCCAGGATCCCGGGTCCAGCATAATCGGGCATGTCTGATAAGGTGGGGGCTTCTGATGGAGAGATGGTAAAACAAAACAGAAAAAGGAGGCCTGCGCAGGCCCTGACGGAATAGACAAAAGAAGCAGGTGAAACGATAAGTCCATGGGCATCACTCCGGGGCGGAACCAAAAAAAGAACATCGAGATCCTGCAACTAGGAATGCTGGAGGATGGGTATGGGTCGCTCGAACATCACCACCCACCATACTGCCAAGCAAATGCCCCCACAACACCAGAAAAAAAAAAGAAAAAGAAAGACAAAAAGTGAAAATTTTGACAGTGACAGCAGCGTGACTTGGCAGGAACAGGCTTGGCCCTGTCACAAAATAGAGAGCCGCTACTTCTGATGGTATCACCAAGGCGGCGATAACACAACGGCGAAGTGCACAGACTTTAGCGAATTGAAAAATATTACCAAAGAAAACCTTTGCAAGGACACGGAGGGGCAGTCTTGCGGTGCAGGTTTCCAGCATGGATTCGGTTCGTATCGTGCCGTAGCTCCCCCAATTGTGTCCCACCTCGACCCGGAGCCCCACGCATTGTCCTGCGGGCGCCCCGCGGCGATGAGAGCAATGGCGCCGAAGAGGCAGATTAAATTGAACAATTAACTGGGACACCCCCGCAAGACCATACAGAAACAGAGCATTAGCAGGGGCACGGTTTCGAGGGTAGCGAGCTGTGCCGAAAGAGGAAGCTCCAAGGCGATGCAAGACGGGTTTGACTAATGTGGAGTGATGGCTGCGAAACAGGTGATGCAGCAACGCCTGAAGCGCTGGACACAGCAGAAGAGCAATTTTGAGTTTGGGCAAAGTCCAGCAAGCGAGGTTTGCCACGGAGATATCATCAATAGGCTTTTAAGCGTGGGCCTTAGTTCTCGGTATTCAGCAAGGAGGGTCTGGTAAGCCTCTCATTCGGTTGTGCCCCCACGCAGTCTGTCAAAAGCCAGACGCACCCCGCGCGAGCGTCTCAATTAGTCTTATTGGCTGGATATGACCATTTGCTTGACGATTTTCTCACAATCCAAACCCAAACTTTTTTCGTTTTGTGCAACGCCTCACCCCTCGATGACTAATGGACTGGATCCGCAGAAGATTGGTACGCGGTTCAAACACAGGTGGGGCAATGCTGCATTCCGGCACACAGCCTCGGCGCCGGGCTGCATAGCACCACCGCGCTGATGCTTTTACCACTAGGCATCTCGTACTAACCCGGGGATTGTTGCCCAAATTGCCTCCCAAACCCGGAGCCCAAAGTACTTGAATCTGTAGAAAAAATTTTAGCCTCTGCGGGAAGAGCGGAATTTCTGCGTGCCCCAGATCTTCTACAGCCAATAACTGCCCTTGTAAAACGAATCCTCGTCAACCATCACCATCCTGCTACTACACACGGCTGTCAGATTGATAGGAAACGTTGTCAACAGACTTTCACACCGAGATCGGAGAAACCACCCTTGTGTGCGTCAAACCTTGCTTCAATCGACGGGGGGTGAGGGGCGATAGTGGAGAAACCACATACAAATTTTTTCATCTGTCTACGTACCCCCGGGGTCCTATCCAGGACACCGATAGTCACACCGATAGTCACTATTTTTTTTTTTTTCTGCCCCTCCTCCACTCGACCCACTTCAAAACAGTGCTTGGAGCCCAGCAACTACGTGTCGCCGTCACCAATAAGCTAGACGGCGTCTGGCGTGATCGCCCTTCCAGGTATGTGTCACAAAACCCCATACTCAATTTAGGCGTCGACCCATCTTTGTTCGCTAGTATGACCACGGATTGTACTAATTACCTGGGCCCGCCATGCAGGCGCGCGATATGCAGCGTGGTCTACTTGACAATGTGGGGTAGCTTGTTCTCTTACGTTGTCACTGCACCTGGCGTACCCCACCGTCCCGGACTTTCTCTTCGCATACTAGGTGCATCTTTTTTTGCACCCACGAACCATAGCTGCAATCTCATATCGCTGCAAAGCTTTCACCCTCTCCTTAATTCCGCACTCGTCTATATAATCTTCCCTGCCGCCTCTGCCTTGATAATTTTTTTTTTTGTTTCTTTCAGATAATAATCTACTTAGCCTTTGATGACTACTTTGCAGAAAAAGTACTCTGGCTCTTCAGTGCTGGACATTGAAAAGAACCAAGTCGTGGCCGTTGAAAAGCCCGTCCCAGAGAAGAAGAAGTTCAGATGGAGAATCGAGGACACTGACTCTCCTAGCGAGGTCTACAACTGGACCCTCTACCTTTCCGTCTTTGTGTTTGGTGTCTTGGGTGCCGCTCGTGGTCTTGATGAGGGCTCCATCTCTGGTAGTGTTGCCCAGGATTCGTTCAAACAACAATTTGGCTTGGCCGATGAATCGAAATCCGCCAACGAGTTGGCCGACTTGAAGTCCAACATCACCTCGATGGTGCAGCTTGGATCCGTCGCTGGTGCCATGATTGCCATGTACACCGTCGACAAGTTGGGCCGTGTTAATGCATTGAGAGAGGTTTGTGTTATTTGGATTGTTGGTGTTATTATTCAGATTACTTCCTACGACGTTGGCCAGCTTTACGCTGGTAGATTCATTGAGGGTTTGGCTATTGGTCAAACAACAACCATTGGTCCCACTTACTTGGCTGAGGTTGCTCCTAAACAAATCAGAGGTCTCTGTGGCTGTATTTTCGCTGGTGCCGTTTACTTGGGTATTATGTTGGCTTACTTCGCCCACTACGGTACCGCTTTGCACATGACTGCCTCTCACAGAATGCAGTGGGTTGTTCCCACCAGTTTGAAGATTATCTTTGCCGGTTTGATCTTGATCATGTCTTTCACTTTCACCTGGGAGTCTCCCAGATGGTACTTGAAGGTTGGCAAGCCCGAGAAGGCCATCGAGTCATTGTCCAAATTGAGAAAGCTTCCTCCTGACCACCCTTACATTGTTGGTGAGATCAGCGACATCAACGAACAGATTTCCGTCGAGAAAGCCGCTGTTTCTGGTAACTCTGCCATCGGTGTTGTCAAGGAATTCCTCATGAAGAAGGCTAACAGGTATAGATTTTTCCTTGTTGTCGCTGCCGCTCAGGTGTTGGGTCAATGGTCTGGTGCTAACGCTGTTACCATTTACGCTCCTGAATTGTTCGCTGTTATCGGTGTCACTGGTGTTGAAAAGATGAAGATGACTGCTATCTTGGGTTTGGTGAAGTTCTGCTCGGCCTACTTGTGTGCTTTCTTCATCATTGACTTCTTGGGCAGAAAGACCGCCTTGTACATGGGTATCACTCTTCAGATGATCTGTTTGCTTTACTTTGCCATTTTCCTTACCATCGTGCCAGAGGCTGCTGACGAGGACCACCTTATGACCGGAAGCCAGGCTAGAGCCTCTAAAGGTGCATTGGCAGCGCTTTTCCTTTCTGGATGTGGCTGGACTATGGGTTTCAACTCGATCCAGTACCTTTTGGGTTCCGAGATTTTCCCATTGAACATCCGTTCTTTCGCTCAGTCGACTGTCATGGTTTTGCACTTTGCCAACCAGTACGGTAACTCCAAGGCTTTGCCCAAGATGATGATCTCGTTGCAGCCATATGGTGCTTTCTACTTCTTTGTTGGTGTGTTGGTGATCTCGCTCTTCTGGGCCTGGTTCTTCGTTCCAGAGGTTGCTGGTCGTTCTTTGGAGAGTATGGAGGATATCTTCAATTTGCCATGGTATCTTGTGGGCAGAAAGGGTCCAGAGTTGTGCCCTGACCACTCCGAGCTTAATAGAATTCACTTCGACCACGGAGTCATGTCTTACGAACAGAAGAACTCGTCTCGGGAGTTTGTGGAGGACGTTCTGAAGGAACGTGATGAGCTGATTCTCAACAAGGCCAAATAGTGAGTGTATTTTAATGGGTATTATTTTGATAAAAGAGAATGTAGATAAAAGACGGTGTGTAGATGGGATCATTTGCACCCAATACACTGAGCGACGTGCAATAGATATACTTATGTGCTTATTTGCATGGATACAGAAAAGTTATTCATAAGGCATACAAAACAATTGCCAAAGTACTCTCCAATAAGATAATTAAATTTCTTGGTCTAGCCTCTGTTGCGGTCCCCTTCCTTATCATTCCTACTCTTCTACTAAAGGCTGCGCACGAACACAACCAGTAGAACTTGCCACAACAAACCCTGCAAATTTTTAAAGGTGAATATTTTTGTCAAATTTCATTACACTATCCATCTTCCCCCATCTCCTTCGTTTTGACCCCTTCTGTAGGCTCTTCGCCTGGTGGGGCTCTGCATACACCGCTTTTTTCGGTCCCTAGTTGCAAACTTCTTCAACTACTTCCATAGCATACCGCTGTATTATAAAAAGCCATGGGTGTTCCAGCTCTTTTTCGGTGGCTTTCGAAGAAATACCCCAAGATTATATCACCTGTTGTGGAGGATGACGGTGATGCCCAGTATGGAAGAGAACCACAATACCTGGATCCCAACCCCAACGGAGAACTAGATAACTTGTACTTGGATATGAACGGTATTGTGCACCCGTGTTCCCACCCAGAACATAAGCCTGCTCCGGAAACGGAAGACGAAATGTTCCTCGATGTCTTCAAATACACAGATCGTGTTCTTATGATGGCTAGACCTAGAAAAGTGCTAGTGATCGCTGTCGATGGAGTTGCACCTAGAGCCAAGATGAACCAGCAACGTGCAAGAAGATTCAGAGCAGCTCAGGATGCCAAAATCCAGGATGAAGAACGAGCAAGGCAGATCGCCGATGCCGAGGCTCGTGGTGAAGTCATCGAAGAATCCATCAAGGGCAAGAAGAAATGGGATTCTAACGCCATTACCCCCGGTACGCCGTTTATGGATGGCTTGGCTGCTGCATTGAGATATTGGGTAGCATACAAGCTTGCTTCCGACCCGGGTTGGAAAGACTTGCAGGTCATTATCAGTGATGCTACAGTTCCTGGTGAAGGTGAACATAAACTTATGAGCTTTATCAGATCACAGAGACTGGATCCTCTGCATGACCCAAACACAAAGCATTGCATCTACGGTCTCGATGCCGATCTTATTTTCTTGGGTTTGGCTACCCACGAGCCTCATTTTAGGGTCTTGAGAGAGGACGTTTTTGCTCAAGGTGGAGGACGAAACATGAAATACTCCGACCAGATGAATATGACAGCTGAGGAGAAGAAAGCTTTGGATGCTCAGGACGCTAAGAAGCCGTTCTTGTGGCTTCACGTTAATGTCCTTCGTGAGTACCTAGAAGTTGAGCTCAAGGTCAGGATGGGTATGCAATGGGATGTCGAGAGAGCGATTGACGACTGGGTATTTATGTGTTTCTTTGTGGGTAACGATTTCTTGCCCCACTTGCCATCTTTGAGTGTCCGTGACAACGGTATCGACATTTTGGTCGGCTGTTGGAAGCTGATAGTATCTAAGGTTAGCGATTACTTGACTTGTGACGGAAAGCTCAATCTTGATGCAGTGGAGCACCTTCTTCGGGCTCTTTCTCACAAAGAGGACGACATCTTGCGCAGAAGACACGAAAACGAACAGAGGTATCAAAACAACGATAAGAGAAGAAAGGTCGCCCGTGACGAGGAAAAAAGCTTACGTGCTCAATACCTTTCTACAGTTTCCAAGGGCAAGGAAAAGGCACCAATTACTGCAGACATGAACATGCCACTCATGGATACCTCAGGTAAGCTTGTTGATGGATACGCCCAGCTTTCAAACAAGGATATCGTGAACAACAGAGATGTTATCACGAAAGCCAACATGGCCAATGCTGATGCTGCTGCCGCACTCAAGAAGCTCATAGCACAGAAGAATGGTGATGCGCCAGCCGAGGAGTTAGCTGAAAGCACCAGCGAGGAACTGAAAAAGAGAAGCGCCAGTGAATTGGAAACTACTGAGTCTGACGCTGATCCAGATGAAGATCAAGTGAAGGAATGGGAACCAGGTTACAGAGATCGCTACTATAAAATCAAGTTCAATTTATCCACAAAGGAGGAAATAGAGAAGACCAGAAGGGACCTTGTGTACTCTTACATCGAAGGTGTCTCTTGGGTTCTCTTGTACTATTATCAAGGATGCCCATCTTGGCAGTGGTATTACCCATACCACTACGCGCCATTCGCAGCCGATTTCACAGATTTGGCTGAGATTTTTGGCGATAAAGGTATCAAGTTCATACAAGGTGAACCTTTCAGCCCCTATGAACAGCTTATGTCTGTCTTGCCTGCTGCATCAGGGCATGCCTTACCGAAGGTGTTCAGGGATCTCATGTCCAATCCAGACAGCGAGATCATTGACTTTTACCCGGAAAACTTCAAGATTGATATGAACGGAGCGAAGATGAGTTGGCAGGGTATTGCCTTGTTGCCTTTTATCGACGAGCATAGACTTCTAACAGCTGTTCGTGGGAAGTATGACGAGCTTACCGACGCCGAGAAGGAGAGAAATACGAACAAAAAAGCTCAGCTTTACATATCGAGTGCCAACAAAAACTATCAGAAGTTTTTGAAAGCTTTTGACGACGAGAAGGAAATTCCGTTCGCTGCACAGCGAACTGGACTCGCAGGTATCGTCAAACCGGTGCTGTCTTTTTCAGTGGATGGGGAGTTGCAGTTCCCGCTCAATGAAGGAGACATGCCACATATTCAAAATTCATCCTACTTGATGTCATGGTACGACTTTCCAAACTCGACCCCCGGAAAATCCATGTTGCTCAATGGTTACATTCCACATGTCAAGGTTCTCACGGACGACGATAAGTTTGCAATCACCAACAGGCAACGCAATGGGCCACGATTCCAGAATGTTTCCGACTATGTCAACAACGGTCCTCAAGGCAAAGAGCCATATATGTCTTATAGTATGAGAGTTGGCGGATATCGCTCACTTCCACTTATCGGATCTCAGCCTACTTCCAATCGTGGAAGAGGCGGTGGCCGTGGAAGAGGTAACTACAACAATTACGGTAACAGGGGTGGATATAACTCCAGAGGCAGAGGCAACTATAACCAAGGTTACAAGAATCACGGAAATCAAGGCTACAACAATTACAATCAGGGCTACGGCAACCAGGGTTATGGCAACCAGAATTATGGCAACCAGGGCTATAACAATTACAACCAAGGCTATAATCAGGGCTACAGTAATTCCTACAACCAGGGGGGCTACAACAATTACGGCAACCAAAACTACGGCAACCAAAACTACGGCAACCAAAACTACGGCAACCAAAACTACGGCAACCAGAACTACGGTAGTCAAAACCAGAATTACCAGAACCAAGGCTATAATCAGGGCTATCAGGGACAAGGAAACCAAGGCTTCAGTAACTACAATAGTTTTGGTGGCAGCTACAATAGATGATCAAGCCTGATGTGTATATTAAAGAGATGTATATAATCCTCCCCACAGTATAGTGCGTAGCTTATCACCAAAGTGTGGCTGCGAGATCTGACCACCACAATTCCCACAATGGCACCACTATTCTATGAAACCTCCGGTCAATGGGCCGTTTCCGCAATTGATGATGAAGGAGCATGGCATGTGAATATCGAGAAATCAGAAAAACCTGATGCTTCATATGTGGCGGTCTCCAAAGATGATCTTGCTATTACTAAGAATCACGTCTATGTTGTGGATTCTGTGAAGGCTGGCAAAGGCCAGACGAACGCTGTGGACGGTGTGTACTCTAAAGTACTCAAGCCTATCTTTCAAGATGTTCTTCAGGTCGACCACGAATATTTGCCGACTACATCTGCTGAATCAATCACACAGTTTGCCACTTCCCTCAGACTGGATAAACCTGTAACTGTCATTGTCCTAGGAGGAGATACTTCCGTAAGTGAGTTCGTCAATGGCCTAGCTATAAACCCTTCAAAGGGTAATGTTGATCTTGCGGTACTTCCAACCGGAACAGGCAACGCATTGGCACTTTCGCTTGGCGTGAACGATCTATACACTGCCCTTCAGAAGCTATTTACTGCAACTTCCCCAAAACCATTGAACCTCTATCTGGCTAGTTTACCTGAGCGAACAAAGATTCTTTTCAGAGGGAAGGAAGTGGCAGATGCACCTAATCAGTTCTACTTCCTCGTTGTCTTTTCTTGGGCGTTCCATGCTTCTTTGGTAGCGGACAGTGATACTGAAGAACTTCGCCAGCATGGCAACGAGAGATTCAAGATTGCCGCTCAGAAGAATCTCGGAAGACCACAGAAGTACGATGGATCCGTTCTGATCGGACTGTCAAAGTACGACGGACCATTTTCGTATTTGGTTATAACGCCAGCGCAGAACTTTGAGCCTGGCTTCACGATCCTGCCCAAAGGCGACATTCATGAAGAGTCACTCTATGTCGTTGCTGTTGGCTATGAACATGAGGAAAACCTCACAGGTAAGTACTTGTACGATATTATGTTAGAGGCCTACGACAATGGCAAGCACATTGAAAACCCAAAGGTCACGTACAAGAAGGCAGAGACAGGGGACGTGATTACTCTCCGAGGCCAAAACCTACTTCCCCAGGAAAACAGGCGCTTTTGCGTAGATGGTGCTATTATTCTGCTCCCTGAGAAAAACGAATCGAGAGTGGAAGTGAAGCCAGAAGGTAATAAAGTTCAAGGGTGGACCCTTCGTGTATTTGCCTAGAAGTCGTTCTAATCAGTCGTCGTTATGTGTGTACAAATATGCCACACATAAACTGGAAAGGCCGCAGATGGATGCCATCAAGGTGTAGCACCAGCCAGTTCCCATTCTTTCCATTTGACTCAATATGCTGACGAATACTGCAGCACACCAACACCTGGTTAAGTTGACCACGGCACATGAACCTGAAGCCTCCGTAGGTCTTAAGTCCACGATGACAGTGCTGGAGATGGTCAACCAACACATGGCTCCATATGATATGATGCAAGATGCAATGATAGCAAGTGACACCGGACCCGTATAATGAAGAGTCCATGCAAAAAGTAATGATGAAGTGACACACAAGGTGGATGGTAAAATCGAAACAATGAGCCTCGAGTTCAAAACATTAAATGATGATCCCTCCTCCCGGCTTTTGATCATGTGTTTGTGGTAAGAACGATCAAGCATCTTCCCCACCGAAAGCGAGCCAAGAAGGCCACCCATACCGCAGGGGATGTATGAAAGGGCAACACGATCTAGAGAGTAGTTATACTGCTTCGTGAGCGCATGAGAGAGTGTTGTGAGCATCATCAACCATAGGGAGTAACAAAGAGAAGCTGGAATCAATACTAGGATAGCCTCCCTTTGCTTCAAGACCTCGAGTGGCTTGAAGATATTGAACTTTGGCTTAGTGCTCGACTCAGTTCTATTTTTTTCGATTGCAGGCGGTTCAAGCCTACTGGCAAAATGTTGCAATCTCATTATCGGAGCAAACATTAGCCATTCAAAGTTCTTAGGATGGTTCTTAGCTTGTGGGCCCACGATTGATGATGCAGTTTCCGGTAGAAGCAAGAATATAATGACGAGCGTGCAACCTGAGGAGATTGCTAAAAACCAGAAGATAGCTCTCCATCCGAAGGCAGATGAGATCATTCCACCCACAAACGCACCAAAAGCCTGGCCTAAAAGCGCAAGACCCGTTGTGAGCCCTATGAATGATGCTCTTTCTGCTCTCGTGGTGATGTCACTGGCTATACCACTACCTAAAGAAATGGTGGACGAAATGCAAAATGCTTGTATACATCTAAGAGCAGTTAAACCTGCAAACGTCAGGTTCACTGCCAAAAGACAGTTTGCAATGATGTATGATAAAAGGCATGCAATGACAATGGGACGTCTTCCAACGGTATCAGCCAAGTTTGAGAATACGAGTGGTCCGACACCTTGGAATATGGAGTAGACAACGATGGTTATGTTGACTAGTGATTCGGAAACATGAAATGCATCTTGTATCTCTGAAAGCACAGGCACAAAGATTGGGCTCGAAATTGAAGACCAGAAGCCTGCTAGTCCACCTAGCAGCGCAATGACATACTTCTCCCATGTGACGAATATTGAGATGGGTTTCTCGTCATCCCATTTTGAGTCTATAAGAAGGAAGTCTTCCTCCGAGTCTGAGCTTCCAATTGAAAGTTCTTCAGCACCAAGATTGAAGTGCACATCTAAAGAGTCACTAGAATCAACCTTATCTGTACTCAGCAAATGCGCTCTTTGCGGTATCAGTTTCGTTCTTCTCATGAACATTCGATCTAACTTGGTGTCGGATAGCATCAGTTGTAGCTGAATGGGATGCACAGTTTTTGCTTTATGAAGGGATTCAAAGTTTTCCCATTCTTCTTCAGGCGTTTCCATGGTTTTAGAAAAAAAGTAACTGTTTGTTAGAAGGTGATGCACATTGGCTGCTAATATCTTTCATCAGCCTCACCTGATGCACCTCGAGGTGCAGAAAAGATGCAGCTGCTTCGAGCATTATTAATACATTTTCTATATATTATACATTATTTATCATGAATCAATTCCACATTTTTTTCACCTTGTGGTTCCAAAACAATTTTCAATCAGCATAGCCTCTGATCTCTCAAGCGTACGAAAGGCGCAACAAGATACTTCTCGTTAATCCTTGTCATCCCTTGGTTTCTTGTAAGTGTTGCCGGAACTTGGCGGAAAAGTACGCTTTCTGTTGTAGGTGTGTCCCTGGTGTGTACCTTGGTAGTTGCCTCTTTGCTGACCCTGCTGACCCTGGCCCTGACCTTGCGTTTGAGGGAAGGTGACAGCTTGTTGACCGTTTCTATTACCAGAAGTGTTTGGTTGGATCACGCTTAGTGTACTCTCGCCATGAGGTCCACTGTAGGTTGGAGTGCTTCTCCCGCTGCCTTGCCCTTGTCTTGCACTAGTTGGCCTCTCGCTAGTTTGAGTGTCGCCACCAGAGCTCTCAGTGCCCTCATATTTCTCGAGCTTTCTAGTCAAGACACGGAGCTTGAATAAGTACTTGGTCTCAATCGTTTGCTCCAACTTCTGCTTTTCGTCATCGAGACGATGTTCGAGGTCGTCATTGAGAGCTTTGATTTTGTCCTCGTAATACTTGGTGAGCTCCTCTTTTTCTTTGTTTGAGGCCTGATTGGCACCTTGTGAAGCTAATCTCTCTTGCACACGCTGCTCAACCTTGCTGTCCAACTCCTTCTCAAACTTTGCAGTAAGCTCCTTTGTGGCCGCCTCGACCTTAGCACGCAGCTCCAGCTCCACACGTTGCTTGATTTCATCTTCCGAGACAGCGGCTGGGCTACCTTCTGTGGTCGACTCTGACTTGGCTTTTGCGAGCTCTGCAGCAAGTCTTACATCAAACTGGGTTTGCAACTGTGTTCTTAACTTCGTCTTGTCGGCTTCATGCTGCTCTCTTAAATTTGTGACCTCAGTCTCAAATCTCTTATCGGCTTCTTGCTTCGCGGCCTCAGCTTTGCTCAACTGTTCTTTCAAAGCGTCAGTATTGTCATTGCTACCTGAACCTTGTTGACTCTGAAGATCAGAAAGCTGCTTAGTGGTTGTATCGTGAGTGCTGCGAAGTTCATTAAGCTCTTTCTCCAACTCTCTGTTCTTATCTCTGTGGGCGATGAGCTTAGATCTAAACTCGTTCTTGAGAGCATCGAACTTGGCCAAAAGCTTCTTCATTTCCTCGTTGTTCTCCAATTGGTTCTTCAATCTCTCATTTTCCTCCTTCAATAAGCGAAGATCCTGTTCATGGACGGAAGCAGATGCCTCATCACTGACACCAGCTGATGGATTAGACACTGCGTTGGACTTGAGAGTTTCAATCTCCTTGCGCAAGTTCTCGACGGTTTCAAGAGACTTCTTGTTTTCGTTTCTCAAGGTCACATTGCTTTCCCTCAAGATATTCAACTGCTCGAGCTGTTCAAGTAAACGAGCATGTTCCTTCGTGGCGTCATCCAATTGAACCTTGGTGTTCAGAAGCCTGTTCAATTGTGAGCGGGCAGCGCCCAATTCTGCGTTGACTGTATCGACTTGAACTTCAAGACGCTGCTTTTCTTCGATCAACAGATTAACTCTGGATTCAGCAACATCCTTCTCCCGACGCAAATAGTTGACGACCTCCTTCAAGTCTTCCCCAGAGGCATCATCCGCACTGTTGCCTGATTTGTTCAACTCGAGTTGGTTCAATGTGAGGTTGAATTGGTACTGTAAGTCATTCAATTTTGCCTTTGTCGTTTCAAGCTCCTCGAGGTTCTTCGCTTGTTCGTCGCTAACAACAGATTCCTTCGTAGACAATTCAGCCGATGCATTGTTCAATTTGACAGTGAGATCCTCGATCTTCTGGAGGAGCGTTTGATTCAAGTCCTTCTGAGTCACGAGCTCCGTGTTTAATGCTTCCACTTCCGAAAATTTGGCCTGGAACTTTTTGTCAAGAGCGTCATTCATCTGAGCCTGAGAATTCAAATCGTTTGACAAGCCGGTAAACTTCTGTTCATATTCAGACTTCAAGTCGTCATATGAAGAAGCCTTCAAGGAGTACTCGTGAAGCTTAGTCTTCAATTCTTGAACTGTGTTAAGGTGTTCCGCCTGGTCGCTGTACAGTTTCTTCTGAAGGTCGTCAATCTCCTTCTTCTGGGAATCAATTTGAGATAATAACGCCTTTTTCTCGTTTTCCGCCGCTTCAATCTTTTCATCTGCGGTTACCTTATAGTTATCGAAAGACTCAGTGGCCTTGACTAAAGCGTCCTCGGCAGCCTTTGCGATGTTACTGAACTCATTCACTTGCGCCTCAGCTTGCTTCAACTCGAATTTGATGTCGTCATACTCGGAAGCATTGTTGCCGTTTTCTGAAGTCACAGTTGCTTCCAATGCGCGATTAGGGCGTACCTTTGACGCGTTAGTGAGCTGATCACGTAATGTCTTGATAACAGATTCTTTCTCGGAGATCTTCAGCTTTGCATCTACCAATCTCTGGCTGATCTCATTCACCTGCTCAAGCTTAGCATTCTGAGCCTTCAATGCCATCTCAGATTGGGAAGTCAATATCTCAATCTTCTCTTCCTTCTGAGTAAGCTTCTGTTGCAAGGCCTGGTAGTTTTCAATGCTTTGAGATAATCTGTTGGACAACTCCAAGCTGGACTGTTCTCTTTCCTTGAAAAGAGATTGTAAATTGGAGACAAATGAGTTAAGTTGGTCCTTATCACGCTTGAGCTGGGCTACCTCTTCCTTCAATGACTTTTGGATAGCACCCCAAACCTCTTTCTCGGATCTCAAGCTCTCCAGGGCAGAGTTGGCCTCAGCAAGCCCTCTTTCCACATCGCGGAGCTCATTCGATTTTCTCACCAATAAAGTTTCTTGTTTAGAGGCTTGCTCTTTCCAGAAGGCGACCTCTCGGTTTGCATTCTCAACTTGTCTAGTGGTATTGTCCAATAGCTTCTTGACATTATCGTATCTGTTCTCGGCGAGAGAAGCGCTGTGCTTAGCGGAACTGAGTTTGGTTTGCACCTCTTCGCAGGCAGAATTAGACTGAGTCAATCTCTCCATTAATGATTTGATTTTCTCACTCAGCTGCGATTGCATAGTCTTCAAGGATTCCTCGGTATCCTTGAGCTTTGTCTTGAGCTCCTGATTGGATTCAGTGAGAAGTCTGACCTCAACCTTACTCAGTTCTGTACCATTTGATGAAGTAGTATCACCCAATGACTTGATAAGGTCTCTTTCCTTGGTGACGGCTTCAAGCCTGGTGTTGACACTATCAAGCTCTCCTTGTAATGTCAAGATTGCTTCTCTAGCCTCCTCTACTGCCGCAGATTCAAGTCCCTCCGTCTCTTGCTCCTTTGCTTCAAGCTGCTTACCAAGCAGTCTCACAGCCACTAGCAAGTCCTGGTTCTTCTGCTGCATTTCAATGATAGAGGAAAAGCCGACAAGCCTTTCAGTGATAAGTTGGTCAGTGTCAGACTCACCGTTGGAATCCTTGTTCCCGCTCTTTGTCAAAATCAAGTCAATCGTTTTTCTTTCCTCTGAAGTCAATGGGTTGTCATTTCCATCTCTCACCTTCGAATGAATGAGATAATAGCACAACTGTCTTCCAAGATCCTTCGACAACTGTTTCAAGGACTGCAATTCTGCCTCGTAGTTACTCAATCTCGTTCTCAATCTATTAGTTTCCTTATCAGAATCAAGTTTGTCGAGTCTCAAAGCCTCAAGCTTTCCAAGCATGTCTTTGAGAGATTGCTCGTAGAATTGGATCTGGTTTCTGTAAGATGCAATGGCAGGCTTCTTGGACTCAAGCTCAGATACGAAATGTTGCAATTGAGCAGCAAGCTTTTCTTTTTGTGATTTTTCGAGAACGAGTTCCTTCTTCATGTGGTTGAATTCAGTGTATAATGAAGACAAGGAGATTCCATGAGGTTTGTTTTGCATAATCAATTCTGCAGAAGTACCCAACTTCGGGAGTTCGGTCTCTTTGTGGAGCTCGGAATCAAGAGCATCTTCAGTACGTCTGAGTTTCTCCTCCACTTGAGCAAGCTTATCCTCCCTTTCATAAAGATCCCTCTGAAGATTCGAGATCGATTGAGATGTAGTGGTTTTGAGCTCCTCAGAATAGTTTTCCAAAGTCAGGATTCTAGAGGCCTTTTCGTTCATCTGAACATTCAAAAGTTCAATTAAATCATCCTTTTGAGCACTATCCTTCAAGAATTTGGATTTCTGCACCTCAAGACTTGTTTCTAAATCAGACGCCTTATTAGTTTGTTTTTCGAGTTTCGCATCAAGCTCTCTGATTTGGGCTTGGAGTGAGTCTTTGATAGATGCCAAAGTCTCATTCTTAGAAGAGAGAGAGCTTATTTGGTTGGAGTCTCTCAAGCTGTCAGCATCGTGCTTTTTAAGAAGGGTCGTGTACTTGTCTTGGAGAGACTTGAGCTCCTTCTCATACCACTCCTTCTGGTTTTTTGTGTACACAAGCTCATTATTTGCTTTGTTCAACTCAAGCTTGAAGTTGAACTTCTCATTGACGGCTTCGCTGAGCTCTTTGTTAAGCTCGCTGAGTTTTTGACCCAGTTCTAGATTCGATTTGATTGCCTTATCAAGAGCCTCGTTGAGTTGAAGGTTATTCGCATCGTTGGAGCCATGTAAGTCATTGTATTTGCTCTCCCATTCCTTCAACTTGGACTCGAGTTGGAACGCTTTGTCCGAAAGATTCGAGTTCTCGTTGCGGACCGATGTGAGCGTTTCTTTGAGGGTGACCAACTCGTCGTACTGAACTTCGTTTTCCAAGGTTATGTTAGCATTTGTTTCCGTCAACTTCTCAATTTTATGCTGGAACGCTTCGAGCTTCTTCAGTTGCACCTGACTGAACTGCTCTTGATTGAGCTTAAAGAAAGAGAGCTCCGATTGTAGCCCATGAAATTGCTGTGTCTTAGTCACAAGCTTGGAAATTATGAGAGAAGGTAACTTGCCTAACGTGGCAGAGTCCAAGCCAAGGAAAGATGCAACGGGTTCTAGGTCCGATTCCAGCTTGTTACCAGTCTCTGAAGTGTTACCGTCATTGTTGTGAGTGTCCATGACGGCAGATGCAAAAGTGTCGTTAGCAGGGTGATCAAGAACATCATCCTGCTCAGCTAGCTCGGCCAAGTTGGCGGACCTTTGTTCAGCAACAGGCGAGCTGCGAACATTCTCGGCGTCCTTAGCAACGTTGAATGACTTTGGAGTTGTGATTGGCTCGATGTCTTTGAGTGCTGGAAGTGACTTCAGCGGCGTGGCAAAGTTCTGAGCTGAGCTGGGAGGGTTCAATGTGACAGAAGTGTTGGGGTCCTGATCTTCCTCCATGTTGTCTGGAGCAGCTTCAGCAGCATTCTCGGTTTGCCCATGTTCTTGATCAACAGGAGCGTCGTCAGCCTGCTGAGTTTCTGGTTGCTCACTTTCAATCTGCTGTACTTCAAGATGAGGTGCGTCTTGGGACTCTGCTTGAGCTGCAATTTGAGAGTTCTCTTGAGTTTCTTGTTCATGTGACTCCAATTCGGGTTCATTGACAGTAATTGCGGGAGACGTGGCATCAACTGTGGGTTCTATGACCTCGCCAGGCACGTCAGTCTCTTCGACCTGGTCATCAGGTTTCAGCGGATGGTCGGAAATTGTCTCAGATTCAACGGAGATGATATGAGGCTTTTCTGAATTCCCGGAAGGTTGAACTGTGTTGCTTTGTTGTAAGACATCTGACCGTATTTCGTGTTGCTCAACTGAAGGCTCTTGGTTGCCTGGGTTGGATTCATCAGGAATCGTGACATGCTCGTTTTCTAGCGTGGGGTTGACAACGTCATCATCAACCATCTCCACGTCCTGGGAGGGGGCTTCTTGGGCTTTCTTTTCGTCCTCTGGTTCTCCCATGACGAAATTCTATGCAATGTGTGCCAGATTCAGATGATACTAGCGTATGCTGGTGAGTAGTATGTTGCTGGCTATCAACTTGAGATTCACGCACCCGTGCACCGTGTACTACTAGTGGCTGTGATACAGATCTTCATGCCAATGATGGGTTTTTGCAGAGGGTAAGCGTGAAGGAAACTTCTCTAGAGATCAATTAGAAAACTTTCTTGTCGACTACGGATGTTCATGGATCTGTCTTGCTGTGGTGCTTGTGATTCTCGAGAGAGAAAGCATCAGCCACAATTGAAACAAATCGTCATAAATATGTTACTCATTTGATACAACTCATCCAGTATAACAAAGTTGCTCGCTTTTGGTGTCTGATGAAAAGAATAACCAATTTGTCGACTGTACATGTGATGAGATTTGACTAGACTTCGCATGGTGCGTCTCATAATTGTGTTGATAACTCTCGTACTAAACTGCCTCATGAAATCCAAAAGTAGTCCTGACCCAAAAAATCAAATTCATATTGGTAATCCACTTACTAAGATTCTTTACGACTGAAATCCAACAATAGAGTCAAAAACGTAAGGTTGTCCATTCCAACGAACTAAAGCCTGACTGTGACTTAAGACATGTCTGAAGTCTCGAGTCTGCGTATCTAACGTTACCGTTGAGGGCTACAACCCTTCTCCGCGCACTTACACGTGACCAGAATGATGCTCTCTTAACTATGAGCCGGTGCTCGGCGGTCTAGATCCTTACACCACCCGCGAAATTTTTTTCCTACGCTATCGTCAGAAAAACTTCTTTTCCTTCCCTCCTCATACTTACCAGAACGCCATGATTGAACCATCGTTGAAAGCCTTGGCTTCCAAGTACAACTGTGAGAAGTCCATCTGCCGTAAGTGCTACGCCAGATTGCCTCCTAGAGCCACCAACTGCAGAAAGAGAAAGTGCGGTCACACTAACCAGTTGAGACCAAAGAAGAAGTTGAAATAATCGGACAGCCCCCTTACACTTTCCATTCCAGCGTGGGTGTTGCTTGTTCTTGCGTGCTTATGCCGCTTGTTCGAGTGATGTTCGCCTGGTTTGTTTAGCTCTATACAAATACAACGATCTGGAAATGCCCTGTAGAACTGGGTGGTGGAAGATGTTGCTGAAGATCCTGGACGAAGCAAGAATGATTATGATCCTAATCCTGAATGGAATGAATGCCTTGGATGTTGATGTCGAACGTTGTCGAGCCGCTTGATGGCTGAACTTGGATGTTCATTGATGAACTCACCGTCAAGCTGTACTGGCTTGAACTTGTCCTCAAGATGATCCATACATGAAAATTGAAGGCATTCTAGACTGTTTGATAAGTCCTCAGGTAAATGCTGATCGAATGATTTACTGTTTCGTGCCTTGCATCTATGTCAGCTCATCTGACTGCCCCATGACTATATCCACTGTAGAGTTTTGCGTGCGTGTGTGATCACGTAATCGGGACTTTATTCATGTAGAAATCAAGTCCACATTGCGTCTTTTCTCTCATTGGGTTGAATATCACGCTTTACATGCCCGACTGGCTACTTCCGAGCAACCGCCTCCCTACTGCTTCAACGGCATCAACTGATGCCGCATTTTGAAAGCTTCCAAATTAACGAAAAATCGAGAATGAAAAATCGCCTCGCAAGTTTTTCAGGATTATTTCTTACATCTCTCCCATTTTCGTCTCATTACTAAGCAGAAGGTCGTCTGTCAATGGTAGCAACAATTAACGCGTCGTCAGGCGGCGATACTCCTATAATTTAAATGTCTCAGTGCCGCAGCTTTCCCATGTAACATAGCCACTTGCAATCCCAAAGCATGCGGACTTCCATTATGTCATGTATCAACACCTGCCAAAAACGCACAGTGCATGCGAATCGAAAGACACACGGAATTACGGCACCATATACCAATGGCTAGGATGAACTTTCTGTGGCTTTCAGAGAAGCAAAATACTCTTAAACTGCTTACAATTCTCTAGAAAATATGTAGATAATTGTGTCCCATCCTTAGCGGCTATCACGGACTGCTTTTGTGGCAGTTTGCAGCCATTGCTAAAGAGGCAACACCTTTCAACCAAGAGCAAAAATATTACAAATTTCGGCTCAATCATAAATTATGAAATCAAACGCCATCAACTACACCCTGGGCGATTCCATTAAAGGGCACTTTTTGCCCGTTCCTGGTGCCCTATCAGGGTCGTGCCACGCCCATGATATACGCCTGCTCCAAAAATCCAGCGAGCATGTTTCACTCCTTGATCTATTCCTCAACACCCTCACTGAGTACACGTTAGCCATTCTCCCAGGAACACCGCTCTATTGGACCTTACATTTAGAACCCTTTGACCCGGACACTCAAGGCGTCCCAGTAGCACCTCCTGGTTTCCGAAAACATACTATTGGCTGCCGCATAAACAGTACAAATCATCAACACCCACAGCATCTGGCATCCCCACCCATCCCGCTACTCCTTTCCACATCCATCTCGCATAAGTGCCCCCCGGTAGCATGAATACTCCTGTCGGAACAGGATTCCCTCATGATCCGAAGGCCTCCCTGCCTCAGCTGGACTCTGCTCCGCTTGATGCAAATCTCCAGAGTCATCCGGCTTTTGTCAGCATGTATGGGAACCAGATAAACCCAGCTCAGCAGAAACGCCAGAACAGCATGTCGGCGTACGTCAACAACCCATCCAGCAAGCGAACCCCTAACCCCTTGCAAATGCAGCTCTCCATGCAGAGCAACGTCCCTGGCGCCAACCAGTTGGGATCCACCAACCCAGGCTCGCCTTCAGGGAGATTCGCTCCAGCAGCGCTGCGTGGCAAGTACCGCAAGTCTGTCCAATTTCCGTCTCTGCAACAGCAGCTACAGAACCAAGCGCCGCTGCAAGGTCACGGATCACTGATGATCAAGACACCAACTCCATCCAACTACGACGTCCCCTCAAGTCCGAACGTCACACAGTCCACGGCGCATAACAATTCGGATCTGTCCGGATCAAGCCCCATGGTGGATTCGATGACCCCTGCTAATACCTCCCACAACAAGGATACCGCCTCCGCCACCAGCCAGTCCCAGTCCATGCCCCTACAACAGCAGCCTTCGGTACAATCCGACGCGCTGAACAATCAACAACAGCGGGTCATGACAGACGAGGAACAGCAACTCGCCACCAAGTTGAAGGAGACGTACAAGAACATCGTGAGTTTCGAGGAGATTGTCCAAAAGTCCATCGTGGACCTCACTCACAAGATTAATCAGTCTAGCAACTTCTACTCCCCTTACACGACGTCCATGTACGTCCCTCAGCATCAGGCGCTCCACGGATCGGCGCCCAATTTCCAGGCCGCACTTCCTACAAACACAACCGAGCTCTCGAACAACTTGTGGACCATCTATCATCATAATATCACCTTGTTGAACAACTATTATGATTTCCTCACCACTGCGTTGAAGCCAACGGCAATCTCTACGCATCATAGAACAGGCAAAAACATAATTGATTTATACAAAATCCCCCGCCGAATGTGGGTCTACGGTATTGTGGGATTTCTAGAATTGTTAAAAAACATCATGAGCATTTTTCAGGAGCACGAGGTTTTTTCTTGCTTCATCGCTCACTGCTTCAGCATAGTCTCGAGCCTCACGGATCCATCATGGGAGATGGAGGGCTGGTGGTGTGAGAAGCTCGGTGACCTCTCCAGAATGGCCATCGCTTTATACTCATCGCGATTCATTGATTGGAAATCCAGTTCCGAGTACTGGTATTGGAACGCTTTGAAAACACTTTACGGCCATGGTAAGATGTATTATCATATGAGTACTGTCCAGCAGGATAATCTAGAGGCACTCGTGAACATCAGTAAGGCCGTTAATTGTCGCGATCCATTTGTTCCTACAGCTCAATACCTAGAGCTAGTCGTTGAAAACATTTGTACTCAAAGGAATATCCTTTCTTTGCTTGAGTTACCCATCATCGACTTCATCAAGATTCATAAGGTCTTATTGTGCATCAACACCAGCAACCCAAACTCCCGCATCTCTCCTAACCAAGGTGACATGTTCCAAGAAACAAGACTCAATCAGGGAATAGATCTTGTCTCTCGGTATGCTATGTCATTTGGCTCGGACTCCCATGGGTACAATTTTTTCTTGCGCCAGTTCATCTACCCTAATCAATCTGATAAACAGAACTCCGATCCGTTCACTCAATATTTGAAGCAACAACATGAGCAAGATCAGCAGTCCAATTCCATGGATACAATAGAGAAGGTAAACTTTTGGTTCAACAAGGGTCCTCTTTTTGCATTAGCCAACATCAATCACTTGATTGGCTTCGGTGATGCCAGAAATCCTTTTGCAAAGTTATTCTTGCTTCCAGAGGCTCTACGCGAGCGGAAAGACAAAAAAGAGAGGAAGAGGAAGACGAAGTCGACCGGTTCACAAGACCAAGCCAACATGGAGGCATCCCCTCAGTTCGGTGGAATGACCAACGGCGTGGATAGTGCATCAGTAACTGGATCTGATCTTTCTGTCATGGATTGGTTCTATTGCTTAGCTTATCTCGACAAGTCAGTTTTGGAGCTCAACTTCCGAATTTTGAGATACTTCTTGGTTGGTCCAAAACAAGCATCTGCATGTCATGTTATTGTCTGGCTTTACTTCTTGATCGCTCTCGGTGAGGCTATTAAGCGCTACCCGGAGTCTAGGAACATGTTCTTGTGGTTGTTCCAGAAGTTTTTCCCCTGGGAGGCATTCATTAACTACACTAACAGCATTACCGCCATTGTGAGGAACAATACCCATGTCAATGATATGTGTCGTGAGTATATCATCAACCATCCTAATTACGTGCAACATTTCAATGAGAACGAACACTTACCTGAAGTTTGGAAGTGTTGGGGTACACTCTGGTTTGACTTTATTTGTGTCAAGCAAGATTATGAAGACTTTGAAGCTGCAGGTATACTGAGTCACGAAATGTTTGACCAGCCTATATGTGGGACTCCACCCATGATGAACCTCAACAACTTGCAGCAAGATGGCTCAGGTCCCAGAGACAAGGGCCAGAAGGACAACGAGGAGAGACTTGTTCGTATTGTTTTGCTTTCACGTTTACTCGCGGACAATTATGACTTTGGTTTCATGAGAGACAAAGATGGTTTCAAGTTTGATCAGCAGGTTTACGAGGACTCGAAGAACGACACTCTTCTTTCGTTTCCTTCTTACAAAGGCTCTAGTGACATGTATCAATTCATCAACGAGGTGATCTACGAAGACAACCGCTTGACGCTGGGAAGTTTCGTTACACCGATCTCGACTTCCAATCTCGGGCAAAGACTTCTGGAGGATTCCCTCACACCAGAGTTACTTGATGAGTGTTGGTTCCACATCGCTGCGGGGTCATCGTGGCTTAATGGTACTGGTGGCATTGATTTCAGTGATGTGATACCCAATCAGGAAGCTTTGGAAGGTTACGCCGATACTGAATCGAATGACAATGGAATCGATTTGGACTCTGTCGGCCAGGCTGGCCATTTAGAGAATCATCATTTGTATCACCTCCTGCAGCATCAACAGGCTTTGATGCTGCAACAAAGAGGGGCTTCACAAGAATTTTATAACGGCATTATTGAGGGTGATTTGGTACCCTCTTTCAGGAAGAATTCTGTTGAAGGTGACCTTGGTGACAGAATGGACACCTCCTTAACTTACATAACCTTCGACACCAATATTTGGTTGAAGCACTGTGGCAGAATTTTCAAGTGCGCTCATAGCGGGGCTTTTAAGGTGCTGATTCCCCTTATCGTTTTCCAGGAGTTGAGATCTCTTAGGAAATCGACAGAAGCCACCATTGCTGATGCTGCTACGAGATCAGTAATCATTATTAGAGAGTTGTACGCCAACAAGGAAGTTGTGCCGTTGAGATTTGACGGGACAGTTGCCAGCGACATAAATGAGGTAACTGAATTTGAGAATAATCCTTCTTGGCTTAACAATGTTGACCTGACTGTTCTCAATGTGGTCACAGAGCATGACGAGATAAACAGGAAGACGATGAATGGAACCAATGCCATTCTTAGAACCAAGCCTCCTATTATGCTTGATGAAAAAATGGCTAAGGTTTTCCGCTACTGTGTCCTCATTACAGACGATAGAAATATGCGCTTGAGAGCCAAAACGACTGGTCTAAGCAGCTTCCAAAGCCGATGGCTTTTCGGTCAACTCGAGTCTATTAGCTCAAATATGTGCATAGACTGAGTTGGCATAAACTTAGCATAAACTCATTACAAAAATAAGGACTGTCTGTCCATCCTTTATAGACCAGACATGAAATACAACGGTTAGTAAAGCTAACGATTTTCTAAATCTAACATGGTATTTGATATAGTGCTGAAATATAGGATGATGGAACACAAGTAGTTCCTTGATGCTATTCGTAACGATTGATGCATGTGTAATGTGATGAGCTTAGAAGATCCAGTCCAAAATCTTCTTTCTGAGACCGGCCTTCTCGTTGTCGGCCTCCAAAGCAGCATAGAATTCATACTCATGCTCCTCGATCTCTTCAAGACCAGTTTGAAGGTCAGCATCTTCTGGTCTGATGTACTTTGGTCTCTTAATAAGTTTGTAAGCAATGTAAACACCTAAGGCAATGAAGACCATAAGATAACTGAACAAAAAGTGGTCGACTGTCCAGTGGCCTGGAACGAAAGCCTCGTAACCCTTAATGCCAACAATGATCCACAAGAAGATACAAGCAAAGATGGCGGTGTATGGCTGGAACCATGATCTGTAGGTGAAGTTGTTTCTGTCAATACCCTGTACTTTAACGGCTCTGTAGAAATGCAAATAAGTGACACTCATGAAAGCATAGTTAAGCAATTGAGCACCAGTACACAAGTTCACCATATAGTTCAAGGCATTCTCACCAGTCTCACCCAACTGCATCAAAGACAAAAGGGAGAAACAAGCAGAGACGGCAACACAGTAAATTGGAACACCGGTCTTGGTACAGTATCTGAAGAACTTTGGCACGTAACCCTTCTTGGAAAGAGCATAAAGGGCTCTGGAGGAACAGTAGGTGTATGAGTTACCGGCGGAGAAGGCGGAAGACAAGACAACACCATTGACAATGTGAGGAAGAACCTGAATTTCCAAGTTCTGCATGGCCACAACGTATGGAGAAGAAGCAGCGTTACCACTGTTGTCATCGTCACCATGAACAATCTCCAAGTAGGTTGGGTCGTTGTAGGCAAGCAAGATGGTGACAGAAAGGGCACCACCAATGAAGAAAATAACCAAACGGTACAAGACAGTCTTGAAAGCAGAAGCCATATTCTTTCTGGGGTTCTTAGCCTCACCAGCGGTCATACTAAGGTACTCAGACGACACGACAACGAAGTTAGCAGAGAACAAGCCTTGCAAGAAACCCTGGAAACGACCAAGAGATCCCTCTCTCATGTATTCGGCGATTGGGCCGCCCTCGGCGTGCCAGTGTCTGAAACCAAAGGCATCGTTTTGTGGGTTCGCACCACACATAGTGATGATGGTGAAGAACAAAAGTCCGATACACAAAATCAATTTAGCCAAAGACAACCAGAATTCAGCTTCACCGTAAAGCTTGACGGCGAAAACGTTGATGGCGCAGTAAATGACGATCTGGATAACAAGAGTGATGGCAGGACCGTAGTCATCTCTCCAAAAGTGAATCATACCATTCACGGCAGTGATTTCGAACGGAATGTACAAACTCTGCATCAACCAAAAATTGACGGAGGCGGCACATTCGTAAGCTGGGTCAACCACACGGCCGGCCATGGCCAAGAAGGGGGAGTCAATGGGCAAGTAGCAAACCATCTCACCAACTGAGACAGTCAAACACAAAATCACAACAGTCCAGAAACAGTAAGCCAAAAGAAGACCCAATGGACCGGCCTCGATTAAACCAGAGGAACCAATGGTGATGAACAAACCAGTACCAATGGATCCACCGATGGCAATAAGGTTAACATGTCTCTGTTCCAACAATCTCTGGGTGTGATGATGGATATCATCTTCCTTCTTTTCCAGGGAACGGCCCACGGAACCCTGATTAGAAGAGGTGTCGTGGAAACTTTCATTGAAATCGACATTAGTTCCAGCGGAATTCCTGGAGAGCTGTTTCTCAGCATCTATTTTGGACATGATGGTGAGGAAGTAGTTAGGCTAATTTTTTTTTTGCGGTGGAGGGGTATGCAGTGGTAATTATATGGCAGGTGAGGTGCGCCGAAGAAAAAAGTAAAGATGTTCGGGATGCGCTGCGAAAAAGAAACAACAAGGGTCTGTTCTCAGTTACTTTCTTTGCCTACGGAAAGCAAAAAAAAAAAACTGAACAAGATTACCGAGCGACATCATCTCTTATATAAAGGCTCTTATATAAAGGCTATGGAACGAGAACTGGAACACTGCGAGCAGCGCAGTGGAGCGGCGTGAACAGGCTACTCATCCTGCCCCTAAACCGGTATTTTAGGAGCACTTACATCATTGCACACTTGAGGCAACGGCATCGGGTCCGGCACAATCATGGGGAAAATCTCAGTGGCCCGTCCCACGCACCACTTCCATATTTATGCAGGCAGAACAATCTGCCCATTTTTTTCCCGAGCAAAACGCCGTACACGGCCAACCTCTTTTTCTGAGATTGTTTCCTCCAAATGGCGGGACGTTAGTGGGGCAGTGCCTCGCCGGCGCAAGTGACAATGAGCAACTCTCGCTGCAGGTTGCCTCATGCGGCGACGTCCTTTCGAGCTTGGCATGGCCGCATGTCCATGTCTGTTTAAAACATTCTGTACACACTTTGGCTAGTGGCTCCATAATCCGTGAGCTGTTTGCAGGCCTGTATGCTAAGTGCTGCAGGGCGGAGGGAAGCCTCGTGACTGACTCTGCAAAGCTTTTTAAATTACGACTGCAAAAAATGGCCAGGTTCCCCGGTCATCGCCCGCCAAGACACTCTCAAGGGTCCGAGATCTTTGTTTTGCGCGGTCTTCCGCTGCCAAGTGCTCGCGACCGTTAAACCTTAGAGAAAAAATTTTTTGCCGGAAGTAGAATTTCACAAAATTCCGGTTCCCTAAGCAGCCTCAACTAGGGCGTTCACGAGCACAAACAAAGTCGCCAACTGCTTGAGTCCCTCCAGAGCAAGCTTATGCTCCTCCTCGTACCGCCGCAAATCCCCCTGCTCCATTAATTGGTCTCGTTTCATTACACCAACAACAAGAGGACGGAAGTGCAGCATAAGTTCTTTCGCTTGCATAATTCCTGGCTGGAACGAGGGCCCCATCGCAGAGAGCACCGTCGCAACCAATTGGAAAGCAGGCACTAGCAACTCGTAAAAAGAGATCGTCCGCACGCTGTGGGTGTGTTTTGTCTCGTCTGCAAGAGACGCCGGAATATCCAAGCTCAAGGTGATGAGTGCAGTAGCTCTTTCCTCTTTGGCCCCATATACCGGGGTGCTGCTCGGCACACTGTCGATCTGGAGCTCCAAGCCCAAATCGGAGTCGATGTTTAGAAATTTAAGATTGCGGACAATGGAGAAAATCTCGTTCTGGAAAAGCTGCACCGCTCCATCTCTCGTATGTGCAATTCTTATCAAAAGATAAAGCGTAGCCTTGAATGCTGTGAGCTCGTAGAGTAGAGTGTCGACGCGGATTCCAGACTCGGTTCGGCCTTCGCAGGCCTCAAAAAGCTCGCCTGTACGTTTCAACAGTCTTGCCAAAAGCGACAAGGAATTATTTTCCACAATTGCGTCGAGAATGGACGTCAGCTGCTCCAATCCCAGAAGATTCACGAGCGTTTCCATAAGAATTATTGATGTGATGCGGGGTGCTCCTTCCAGATAGATCGAGTCGTTGCATATGACGTTGATGAACCTTCTATCGACAGATCGGAGCGCTGTGAGTATCTGACGAAGCAATGGTCCAGACAGTGGTGTTTTCTGCGTGAATTTGTTGAGCAAGATGTACAAGTCCGATCTCAAAGCCGGCGTGGAATTAGTGCAAAGGACTCCATTCACGCATGTTTTGAAAAGTGGGAGGAGTTTCTGTAAATGGTGCTCCCCTCCCTCCTCCGCTGTAGCGAGTGTTTTCGAATCTTCCTCATACATGTCGAACAAGAGCATACACAACAGGATTAACTCTTCTGCAAACAATACGTCCCGCTCGTAGTAGTCATTGTTGATCTTGGGAGGATGTACTGGAACACTTTGAGAATAAAGTCGGCCCGGTCCGCCACTCCTTCGTTGCTAAGAACCTGTATGATTTGCACCCACAGCTGCAAGCACCTCAAGTGACGTTTCTTGAGCTCCTCCACAACAAATATTTTTTGGAAAAGCTCGTCAACTCTCGTAACCTCACTAATAATGTCGATTGAAAATGCAGCTTTCTCGTTGTCAGTCGAGAGCCTTTGATTGGCATTTTGACAACGCAATGCAGCAAATTTCTTCAACAATTTCACCCCCTTCTTGGCCTCCCTTTCCTTGGTTAACTCGTGCAAGAGAGCTGGAAGATTGTACTTACTTTCGAACTCAAGTAATTTGTGTGGCTCAAAATTGTAGAATTGATAGTTGAGAACGTCCAAAAAGTTGAGAATCTTCGGAGTACCGTTGAAAAATTCCGTGTCGTTGAGAAGTAGCTTGATGTATTGCTCCTTCTTCGTGGCAGATTTGATTTCATGAATTTCAATAGACAAGTATTGAAGGATCAGATTTCTGTACTTCATGAACTCGAAGAATGTCTCAAGGCTAGCATGGTCCTCTATGAAGCTGTTTCTGACACCATCTTGAACATTACCCTCAAATTTCTTGTCATGCCAAAGCGTGACATCGTCAATTTTTGGTTGAACGTTAAGTAATTTCGATGACAAGTCATATTTTCGGATATGGTTCAATGTCTGGGCAGAGATCACGGAATTTTTGGTCAAGCGCACCAACACTTGCATCGTCAAACTTGCCAACTTAGATGGGCCGAGACCAATCTTGGTGACGTAACCGTGGGTGTAATCAATATCAAAAATTAAGTCGATAGTCGACATAAGCAATTGTATCAAGCTGTCAAGGAGTGACAATTCGTTGTCATCGTTGCTTAAAGAAAGGTTCCCACTGCGAGTATCGTAGCCGAGAAGGAAATGTGCCACAGTGATCTGGCCGGTCACAGGCAAGTTCGCAAGCAAGAATTCCAAGATATCGTATTTCACCTGCAAGGAATCCGAAATTGTCTCCAACTGTTGAACAAACGCATATCTGATTTTGATGGACTCGTCGACATTCTCGAACACACTCAAGAGTCTGGTATTCCTCAACGAGAGATCTTTGGAAAGAGCGCTCTTCGTACTGAATACCTTGGACTCGGAGAGTTTGCGCAAGATTGAAATTGCTGGCTGGGAAACGTTTGCCTCATCTGAGCCAACATACAAGGCAATGTGGACAACACTGGACAAGTTGAATAGAATCAATTCGTAGTAATCGCTCACACCATGGGTTCCAAGGCCCTTTGGATAATACACATTGTCATATGGAAGTCTTTGAGTCGATACTGCAAGACTCAAACTTGTTCCGTATCCCAAGGGCTTCTTGCTATCCGACTGAGAATAAATATCGTCATTCTTGAGTAGTGGCAAAAGTTTCTCAATGTATACTTCCTGAAGTTGTAAGATGTTGTCAACAATGCTCAACGCATCCACCATCAAATTTTGCAAGACAGTGCTGCTACTGATCACCTCAACTCCAGTGTTCACAATGTCGAACAACACTGCAGATGCTTTGTCTTCAAAGAGGAAGTTCAAGATCGCAAGGGAATGATGAAGTCTAACGAAGGTCTCAAATGAGATGGTCGTGACTTCCCCGTTCACGAGTCTTGCTGTAGCAAACACTTCCTCAGTCGAAAGTGTCTGTTGAGATATTTGCGGAGCTGTTTCCACTAGGAACAACCAATCAACTTCATTCAATGACGCTCTGATAATCTTGAGAATGGTTTGTTGCAAGTATATTTTGAAATCTTCGTCTTCAAGGTCTGGAGTGTGGGTGAACACTTCGTTGATGAGGTATTCAATGTAAGGCCACACGCCGATTTGATTTTTGAATCTGTAGCCATTGCCGAGATTCGACGGATTCAAAAGATGCAGTTCATTAAAGCCATACTGCTCGGTATTAGAAGGTTCAAGTAGCTGTGCAATCAATTGAACAAAGTTCGACACCTCTGATGTTCTCGTGAGCGACATCTTAAAAGCTTGATTCATGGTCAATCCTCTGTATAGGTTTCTGAGTTTCTGAACCTCTGTCTTGGCAGTATTTGAGACAGCTGTCAGCACTGAGCTCCTACCGGTATACCTCAGGCTATCGGCAGAGGTTAGGTTGTCGCCATCATGAAGTGCATGGCAGATCCAGCGGTCAACGGTATCCCAAATCTGAGTCCTGATGGTGAGATCATTGGTTGCCGCAAACTCTTTTAAACAAAACAAGACAAGGTTGAGGATTATGCTTCTGTTATCGTCGCTGAAGATGTTAGGGGCTGAGTTCGTTCTCTTCTGAAGGTATCCCTTCGCACTAGTGATCAAATTATCAAACTTGAGAAAGGAGGCAAGAATAGGATGGAATCTGGCAAATGCAGACTTCCTGAGACCATGTGAAACTGGTTCGTCACCGGTCGAATTTTTGACGACCTGGGCAATGAGCATGATGAAACCAGCAATGAAAACCACAGAGTCCTCTGAAAGTGTGATAGGGCTTTCAGTGTCGGTATCATACACCCGCTTATGATGGCTGCTGGAGAAAAGGAACTCCAGCTTCTGTTGTTCTAACTTTGACCTTGAGTTCAACTCCTGTTCCAAGTTAGTTGTGAGTGCGTCCAAGTAGTAAGTCAAGGAGCTTACTATGGAGTCGACTGAGATATATGAGTAGTCATTTTTCCGAAAGGTATTGGCGTTTACCAAAATATCCCAGACTTTCAAGCTGGCAATTGTTCCACCGGAGGTCAAGCTACCCAACAAAAAGCAGAATGTTGCAGTGATGAGCGGCAGTGTATTTTTCGAAATGCCCCAGTCAACAAAACCAGTGACGTTGGACTCATCTGCAGACCAAAATGCATCGCAAAGGGTAGGTCTATTGCTGTAGGTATAGACGCAAGCCATGTAGAATCTTTCCAAATCAGCACGGCTGGCTATATCATTTAGGTCGTGACTTGAGTCGGAAGCATCAGGGGAAGTCTTTTCTAACTGCTTCGATGCGAGACTTTCATAACTGTCATTAAAGCTCGTGGAGTTCCTCGTTGAGTCCTCGAGCTCGTTTTTGTTGGATGATAAAAGATAATCCTCCTCGTTATCCCTAAGCAGAGTCAAGACTATGGCAGCATGATTCACAAAACTGCTGAAAAATGAGTGTAATATCGGTGCAAGTATATCGTCCGCAATGGCTCTTGATACCTTGAAGCTCGAGAAGTCGCAAAGCTTGGCAACATTCAGATACTGGGGATTAGATTTGGCTGCGTGGAGTAGCTCATCATTACCTGAGTATACAAATTTGGCAGGCAACAACAGAGGAAAGCTTCTTTGCAAAAGGGCCCTAAAGTCATAAAGATCGCTTTGCTCTAGAAGAGCCGTAGTTCCTTGGGTTGCGGTTTCAGCTGAGTAGCTTAATAGCTGTTCGGTAGTACCATAGCTAATAAGCCATTCGATGTACTGAAGAATGTCCTTCTTGAAATCGAACTTCTCTGTTCTAACTGGCACTGCCTTACACCACGGAATGAAGGCGATGAAGAAAAAAAGTTTTGAGCACAAATCAAATGGTCGTAAAGATGATTTCGACAAGTCGATGAGGTCATTATCTTTCACTTTTGGATAATCAGCGGAAAGGGTGGCCACAAACTGTTGATGAATTTTGTGTATCTCCTTTTCTTCCATGTCCTCCAATCCTGTCACGCACCGTAAAAGAGAAGGAAGGTAATGCAAAAGTAGAATATCTGAATCGTTGGTGATATTCTCGTTGACATGTTTAATGATGGCACTGTAGGTATCGTAATTCTGAAGCGATTGAGGAAATGCATCGATAATCAAATACAAAATCTGACTCAAAAGATCGTGAATGTGGAATAACTGCTGCTTCACAAAGTACACTTTTTTAACGAAAGCTAGATTGTTGATATCTGAGGTGGCTTTCTGCTTGTCGATCTGATCATTTTGAACCTGGATTAGTTTGTAGATTTTTTTATAACTTTCGAGGGATTGCTGGAATAGTTCCTTCGCTGGGTCCTTTGAAGGGTATAACATCTGTACTCTGTTGTTTGTAACCATGTAACCTAAGATGTTGAGGATGTAATCGTACCTTCTAAAAAAGGCCAAAATTCCCGCATCTTCAAGGCTGGAGCCTTTTGAAAAGCTCTCGTTCGTGGCCAGCAGAAGCAATTCAGCTGTTGCAATCTCGTCTAAGTCAAGCTCACTAGCAAGAAGATATGCGGTCTCGATGAAGGCTTTATTAAGCTTAAAAGACAGTCCGTCAGAAAAAGTAATGGGTTCACTGTCAGCCTTGGCCAAAGTTTGCCTGGCTTTGTCAGACTTTGGTGGAACCACGAGTAACTGTCTTATGTCCGTTCCAATCAAAGCATCTATCTGATCTGGGACGCTGTCCAGAAATTTGACAGTATTATAGCAATCAGTGAAGACGCCAATATCCCACAGATAGGTAGCGGCCATGATTTTTTATGAATTGAGGCTGGGGAACAGGCTATCTTACTCGATGTTGTACATGAAGTTTTAAATTTTTGTTAACTACAAACATGTTGTGTGCAGTACAGTTGGTTTTCTTACGTCGAAGCTGAACAGTTCAAGCCTTCGATTAACTACAGTCGCAGCTTACCATATGGTACGTGAGCATAATAAATATATAAGTCTAAGTAAGACTGATATTGGCGCCGTCAAACAAAGACATGGTCAAGTGGGATGCCTTCTTGGGGTTCTCGCAGTGATCGAAGGATTGGATGTCCTTGAACATCTGCAAAAGTCTGACAGTCACGTAAGACGCTTCTGTCAATGCAAATTGCTGGCCCAAACAAATTCTTGGTCCACCGTTGAATGGGAGGAATCCCCAACCAACCTTCTTCATTCTCTCTTCACCCCATCTCTCAGGCCTCCATTGCATGACATCCTTGCCGTAAATCTCCTCCAGTCTGTGAGTGGCGAAAATTGTGTAAGTGACGGTCTGACCTTTTCTGATGAATACGGGTTGGTCCTTGTTGGGGCCACCACCGCGTGGGAGGGTAGTATCTTTCGTGGCCACACGGAAGTTCTGTGGCACGGATGGGTAGAGTCTGAGGGTTTCGTTGGTGACCCACTTCAAGTATTCAAGTTTCTTCAAGGACTCGAAAGTGATGCCTGACAAGTCCACGTCGTCACCTTCGCCAAAAGCATTGACAACTTCAGCACGCAATTTTGCAAACACATCAGGGTTTCTAGCGAGCTCAAAGAACATAAACGACATCAAGCCGGCAGTAGTATCTCTGGCAGCCAACAAGATGTTCAAACACTGGTCACGCAACACTTTGGGGTCTCTGGTCTGCTTAGCCAATTCGTACAAGAAAACGTAGCCTGAGCCGCTGAATTTCTCAACCTCCTCTGGGGTGGAGTTCAAGGCCTTGTCAACGTAGTAGTCGGCAAATTCGTGGACGATCTTGTTGTTGCGCCAGAAGCGAGGGTTGTTAACAATCCAGTAAAGCTTCTGGAAACCGGCACGCATGAACAAGTAGGACTGGGAGATGTTGAAGGCCTTAGCAAACTGTCTTTTGACGGCGGGTCCGCTCTCAGCAACACCAGGCTCGTCCTCGCTTAGGGACTCGCAGGATTCACCAAACAAAAATTCCGTTCCCGAGTCAATGGTCAACTTGAAGAAGAGGGGCTGAATGTTGAACTTCTGGCCGCCGGTGCTACGAATGATCTTTGCGAGCGCCTGGACGTGGGGCTCCAAGGCTCTGACGTGACCAACCTGCTCTCTGGCAAACTGAGGTCTCAACATGGCTCTCGAGTGCTTCCAGCCCATGCCGTCCAAGGTGAAAATACCATCACCGAGCAAAATCTGGAACTGACGGTGGCGGAGTCCAAGGATGAAGTCGTTGAATTGCGTGCCCAAAAGGGCCTTGATGTTCTCTGGGTCCCGGGTCGAGACCACCGGGGTGCCGGCCATGGTCAAGTGGACCGTGTCATGGCCAGTCTCGACAAACCGCTGGTACAAGTAGTCAGGCATTTCACCATTGGCCTGTTTTTCAACCACAAGCTTCATGAGTTTAAAGCCATACCAGCCGTCCAGGACAGTCGGAGCAAACGAAGCTCCGGAGCGCTTGTAAGCAACGTAGTATGCGGCAACGTTGAATAAACGGTAGGCCACTAGGGCTAGGATGATGGCCGCCCACCAGGGGATGTTGACTCCTAAATCAGCAATTACCAGCATGTTAGTTTTGTGGAAATAGCGGACGAGCATGCTTTTATATTTCGTGTGGAGATAAGCGATGCACCTGCAGCCCGCGAGGGGAAGCTGTCTGTAGAATCAACAGGAAGAGGCAATGAGGTAAGCCAATGAGGGGGTGTATGAGCACAAAACCAACAAAAAAAAATAGAAGAATCGCTTGACGAAATCGAATGATTCTCGGAGCTTGTAACTTCCGGGTTTTCTGGGGGGCCCTTACCTTGGCGTAATTGGTTTTACTCTACTCGTTGTACTGGCGCATGTGCTGTGGTGGAGTGCGCAAACGCCTTGGGCTCGAGAGCTCCGAGAGATGCTAGTGGATATTCCGAAGTAACGCCGCTCCGTCTATGACCGGAAAAGCAAGACGGTGCGTTTCACGTTCAAATCGGAGAATGGCCTGTCGGCAGGGCAGGGACCCCAGGAGATCTCCGACAGACAAAATCCTAACTCCAATGCCATGTGAATGGCTGCGAAAACTGATCTACGGCCCGCTCTTGTAACGCTTAAGTCCGTCAGCAACATGAAATAAAACACAAGAGAGTGATTGCGGGATGCGGAGTTTAGCTCAAACAAGCGGGCCATTGTGGCCATGAGATTTTAGCTGTGGACAATGCAAAAAGGCATAGAAGTGGTGGTGACAATGTCATGTTGCGAAAGCCGTTAGATCCTGCGCTTTTGTGTAATCGGACATCTCATAATCCGGGTTCCTCTGGGCATCTCAAGTCACTCGACAGCGACAAAGATCCACTGTTTTTTGTCAACTTTGAAAAGACTTCATTGGATGTCGTGGCGTGGTGCTCGCCTTGCTTTCACATGCTCCATGCGATCTACATTGTGGTCTTACCTTATGTGTATGCACTATATGCGAAAAGAGTTTAGACAGTGGGGCCAGCAGCCTGCACCTCAGAAGTGGCCTGGTCAGCGTACTTCTTGAAGTTCTCCACGAACTTGCCAGCCAAAGAGCTGATCTCCTTCTTGAAAGAAGCCTCACCCTCAGACCAGGCATTGACAGGATTGAGAAGCTCAGGTGGAACACCTGGACACGTCTTTGGAACATTCAAGTTGAACACTGGGAATTTCTCGTATTCAACCTCGTTCAAAGTACCATTGTGGATAGCGTCCAACATGGCTCTAGTGTACTTCAATGGGCATCTCTTGCCGCCTCTGGCAGCAGAAGCACCAGCCCAACCGGTATTAAGCAACCAGGCGTTGGCATTGTGCTTGGAGATCTTGTCAGACAACTGCTGAGCGTACTTCATTGGGTGCAAAACCAAGAATGGTTGACCGAAACAAGCAGAGAAAGTAGCCTGTGGCTCGGTGACACCCTCCTCAGTACCAGCCATCTTGGAGGTGTAACCAGAAATAAAGTGGTACATCACCTGGGAGTTGGTCAACTTGGACACTGGGGGCAAGACACCGCTGGCGTCACAAGTCAACAAGATGATGTTGGTTGGGTGAGTGTCAGCCAAACATGGGATCTTGGCGGATGGGATGAAGTCGATAGGGTATGCACATCTAGTGTTTTCCGTGATGGAAGAGTCGCTGTAGTCAACAAGCTTGGTCTCTGGGTCGTAGACAACGTTCTCCAAGATGGAGCCAAACTTGATGGAGTTGAAAATCTCTGGCTCCTTCTCCTGAGAAAGGTCCAAACACTTGGCGTAACAACCACCCTCAATGTTGAAGACACCGTTGTCAGACCAACAGTGCTCATCGTCACCAATCAACTTTCTGTTAGGGTCAGCAGACAAGGTGGTCTTACCGGTACCGGACAAACCAAAGAAAAGAGTGACGTCACCCTTCTCGTTACCCTGGTTGGCAGAAGAGTGCAAGGTCAAGACCTGGTGCTTGATAGGCATCAAGTAGAACATGACAGTGAAGATACCCTTCTTCATCTCACCGGCGTACTCGGTACCCAAGATAACCATCTCCATGTCCTTGAAGTTGATCTCCACAGAGGTGGAAGAGGTCATACCCTTGGTGTAGGTGTTGGCTGGGAACTGACCAGCGTTGTAGATGGTGAAGTCTGGCTCACCAAAGTTCTTGAGCTCCTCCTCAGTTGGTCTAATCAACATGTTGGTCATGAACAAAGCGTGGTAAGCTCTGGCACAGATAATTCTGACCTTGATTCTGTAACGAGGGTCCCAGCCGGCGTAAGCGTCCACAACGAACAACTTCTCTCTGGTTCTCAAGTAGTCCAAAGCTCTGGATCTGGAAATCTTCCAGGTCAACTCGTCAACCTGCTTGTTGACAGGACCCCACCAGATGTTCTGGGAAGAGGTCTCCTCATCGACAATTCTCTTGTCCTTTGGCGATCTACCAGTCTTCTTACCGGAGTAGGCCATCAAGGCACCGGTGGAAGAAATGGTGGTACCCTTCTCCAAAAGACCATCCTCGTACAAGGTTGGTGGAGGAGCGTTGTGTCTGATGGTAACATCATCCTTAAGAGTCAACTGCTGAACCAATGGGTCCTCAGTAGACTTGATCGATGGGTGATCAGTGAAGTTCAAAGAAGATTCAACAGCGGTAGGTGGAACCATGATTGATAGAGGTTTAAGTCAAAGAGGAAAAAAAAAATCCGTAAATGTGGGGGAATGTGTCTCTTTATATATTCGTCAGGACAAGACGCCAAACCAGGCGTTGCACATATTTGCAGCTTGTCACAAAGTAAGAAACGCCTGGTGTGCCCGGGACTGCGGATCCACATGCTGGGGTAGCTGGACTGCAGGTAGAGGCTTTTTGGCCGGGATAAGGGAACGTAATGTATGGAGAAGGCATGCGCGGGATGAAAAATATGGGGTAAAGAGCGAGGACCAGCCTCCAAAGCAGCAGGAAAAAGTCGGGTGGCGCGACTTTTTCACCGGTTGGTCACGGAACAGGCGACGGCCTAGATGAGCAGCCCGGGAGAATGGAGCATTCCTGCAGAAAATACCTGTATTCCACCACGCCTCCCGCTTTGCCCCGGGATCCTGGCCTGGCCAGCCTGGTGGGATTCATCCCAGTCAAACATAAAGCGAAAGTTTAGAAGAAGCCGGAAAAGAAATGTGTGTGTAGCGTGATCCATTTGCTCATCTCCACTTTGCTGTAGATCTCATTGGCCGTGGGCGATGCACATGCTTGAGCAAGCTGGTGTAGGGCTCTTAATGGTGTGAGTATGCCGTGAGACATACAAGGCGTAACAATGTCCTGTAGTGGAGAACCAGAGGCACATTGGCCTATGTGATGCTTACTTTGCTACCCTCTCGGAATATACCGTTCACAACCCTTGTTGGGGTAGCAAGACCCACGTATGCCCGGGCGCTTAAACCTAACAATACCCCAACAGCTTCGGAGGCCAGTTTACTCTACCGCCAATCTTCCCCTCCTGGTTCTTCGTCAATGTAATTTCACGTCAATGTTGCGTCTCCAGCCTCCATAGATCAATTTTGGGTCGTTCCTACTGTTGACAAGTGCAAACCCCGGGGATCATTATTTTTCAGATACGCGATAGGCTGGTTGCAAGTCGTAACCAGAATCAACGTTCTGCTTTCATAAAAACCTATTAGAAATTATGAGCTGATGACATGGCGCCATCTTGCATCTTCATTTGGTGAAAATCCACTCTTCATTAGGTAGCCTCGGAAGCGTCTTGCGAGGCTTCTTCGCACACATCCGTTGATCCGAGCGCACCGGTGTCTAACGGTTAAACCTCTTGTCTGTGCCAAAATCCTTCCATACACCCTTTCGTGGCATCGGCTTAACAATCTGCCCCTCAGCAAACGAATTTATCCGACCGTTGGACGAGGGGCTGTAGTGGGGTTTCCGATTTAGACCGGCATGGTTAATTTGAATCGCCTAGAATAACCTCATCTTCCCGTTGTCTATCATAGTATTGGTGGTACTGTTTCCACGGCTCAAAGCCTATAGCCTTGATTCCCGTGAAAGCTTTACCCTCCATGACTTCGACCATCATGCATGAGTTCATACTTGTAACAGAATTGGCGTCGCAGTAATTCGATTTCAAATACGTCACCGCGGAACAAATAAGACCAAATTTGAAGATTTCCGTGAGGTTAGAGTAGCTCGGATCAATTACCGGGCCGACAATACCTCCCACTAAAGCCTCTTTTTTGTAACTTCCAGTACCAAGACACGCCTCCTCGATGAAAGGATAGTATTTTGCAAGATTACTTCTGTTCGTAAAAAGAACGATACCTCCAATAACATTCTGGTTGCTTGGTTCGAGGGCAATGATGATCTTGGCTTCAAACGCAGAGTTGGTGTCATTGCAATGCATTGCCTCATGATAGAGTTCTCTCAACCACCGATTGTGTGTCCTGACATCTGTCACTGTGGGATTCGCATCTGGCGAGTTGGCAGTTGATGTAGATGCGGGCAGACCTTTCTCTTGAGTATCGCTTTCTGTCGCTCGCAGAACCAATTCTTGAAGTTTCTCCATCTGCAGACAGATGTCGAATCGTACACCCACTATCATCAACTCCCGGAAGATCTTTTGAGGTACTGACCACGAGGATAACTCGTTGAGCACCATGACATGAGCGGGCCACAGCTTTGATTGTTCGTTGATGTCCCAGCCAACGTTGTTAAGGAAAGACAGATTTCTTTCTTCAAATCCTTCGTCAAAGAAAACAGGCATCGGAAACAGGCAGCCCAAATTGACTAACAGGCAACCTTGCTCCTTTAGTAAGTAACGCATAGCACGCAAATGGAGATTCTTACCTATCAGTTGCAAACGCTTACTCTTGTCGACCAACAAGTACACTATGCTTCCCGTTTTCTCTTCGTCTCGGTATTCTTTGGACCCTAGGTCTTGTACCCACGTAATCACGACACCGTAAAGAATGTTCAAACTGGAGTTTCTTATGACGAAATGACGCTGGGTGGCAGATGTTGAATGAAGAAAGGATACAAGCAATCTGAAGGTCGACTCACTGAAGTTTGGCTGGTTGGCTTTGAATAGTTTTAGTAGACCACGCCAATCTCTATGACAGTCAAAGTCATCCACAAGCCATTTTCTCTTTGGTGGTAAGTATCGACGCGGCCTTTCTGGCAGTTTTCCTGGGCTCAGTATCAATCGTCTCTTCTTATTCTTATCGACAATAAATTTCTTTTCCCCCGGGATGCAACCTTGTGCCGTGTAAATACCCATGAGCACACCCACAAGCTCCTTCAAGACAATCTCCGTGTAGTCGTAACAGCAGAGGTAAGCCGAGCCTATACTTTTGTTGTAGAAAAAGTCATATGGTGACAGGGTTGCCACGATAATCAAGGGCTTTGAAAGGTGTGATTGGCCTGATTGTTGCGAAAGCGACAGTGGTGATGCACCACATAGTATCGATACATATTTCACTATGCCAATCTGATACATGTTCCTTGAGGCCTCTGAAGTGAAAACAATTACGGCCTTGGAATGTTCAATGAGTGACTCGTGTAGCGCAGTGAGCCCATTTGCTGTATATGTCGTATGAAGCACATTAAAGTTTTCTGAATTTGAGAATTCTGAGAGATACTCGCCAAACTTCAGAAACACAGCTTCACCAGGATACAAGTTTTTTCTGGAGGGCTCCTCCAGCTGCGGATATATTGGGTTTAACAAGGGTGTAAGGATCAAGATATTGTTTTTCTCCCCCTTGTCGCCGAGATACTGCGTCAACGGTAGGACGCCCTCGTAGTCCCTTATAAGTGTGATCGAACGTCTGTAAGCATACTCAGACAATGCCTTGTGTTGTTTCCAGGCACCTGGGTGCGCAAGTCTGTATAGGTTAGTGTCAATTGGATTATCGTCAGGGAAGATCTTGCTCCATTGCGGGAGTCTTTTTTGTATGTTTTCAATCCGCCCCAAAGATGGCGTAAGCATATGTTCCTCCAATGTTCCGTTGTTAAGAGCGATTGAGATGGATTCGATTGCCTCAATTTGTAGTTCAAAGTCATGGCACACCATAACCAAGTCACAGCCAGCACAGATGGCCAACATCACTCCCTGTCCCAAACCAATTGAATGGTACAAGGCGTCCATTTCCAAGCATTCACTTATCACGAAGCCCTCAAAGCCGATTTCTTGTCTTAATAATTGGTTTATGAGAACAGGCAGAAGACAAGCGTGTGTTTCGTCTGGAGAAATGGTAGGAACTCCACAGCCAGCAGCGGAGATTCCGTCTATTAAGCCCTCATGTATAAGTTCTGCAAATGGCACAGAGTTGAAGCGTCTTATTTGTTCAAGCGAGTCTGCCATCATGGGTACTTCCAATAAAGAGTCCACAGAGGCATTACCAATACCTGGAAAGTGTTTGCCAACAGTGATAAGGCCACCATCTTTGAGCCCCTTGGCACAAGCCTTGCCATATTTGGTTACCTCATCAATCGTCGTACCAAATGATCGGACCAGTACGAGCTGATGAGAAAGCTTTGTGATTACATCAAGAACCGGACCGAGTATGATGGAAAAGCCAATAAACCGGAGCTCTTCGGCCAAAGCTTTTGAAACCTCATAAGCCAACTGGGGGTCTCCAGTGGCAGCTAGAGCCATGGCGCCCGGAAATTGGGTTAAGTTTTGCGAATCGAACAACGAATTGAGCATACCACCCTCCATATCCACAGCAAAAAGCAAAGGGTACTTATATCCTGCGTGCTTGTAGGCGATGTATTGCAAGTCTCTGATGAGCTTGGACATTTGCTCCACCAGCTGGGCATTCTTCCTCAGAAGTATCATTGTTGAAATTTTGTACTTGACGATGAGTTGATATGCCTGGGAGGTAACAGTGGTGCCTTGAAAGCCTCCGCAGACAAGCTGGCCAAGCGAATCTTGCGGTATCATGGGTCCGAAAAGCTTGTGTGTGTTGATGTGGATCGATTCTCCTTAGCGTGGAGTAACTCTGTTAGTAAAACTGGGACATGCCTGCACGAGAGATGACCCATGGAGAAAGTGGCCCAATTCGGAGCTGCTGTTTTTATGCCGAGATTTACCGAAGTGTCAGGTGGTGGGGCTGTGGGAAGTTTTGACAAACTCGATGGTTTGTTTTATGCTTTTGTGGTGTCTCGGCAAGCTCCATCACCTTCTGCATTATAGGTAATGCTACAGAAGCCGTTGACAGTAGGCCGTCCGAGGCAAGACTTTGTCCACTGAGAAGAGCCGTTTATTGTCTTTCAAATATTTCAATGAATTGTGGTTACTTAAATTCTACAATCTTCTGGTCCACATGTGAAGTGGGTGGTGGGTTCAGTCTGAAGTCACAGGTGATGCGCAGTGGACTCCGAGAACCACCCTCAAGTGGAATTCGATGCTGCTTGTGCGTGCGATGAGTTGATGAGCTAATCTAATGTATTCATGACTCTGTTTTATATATGTGTATTTTCTTTGAGCCAATTGCGCTTTCACTTGTAGCAAGATGTTAGACAGTAGTCGAACATTTATGAATACGGCGCAGAGATCCTCGCTTATCAAACTACAGGCTTAGCAACAAACGCACATCTAGGTGATGGACAAACCACATCTTCGACTAAAAAAAGTTGTCATTTGCGAATGAGCCTTTACTGGTTCACTCTTTTCAGCTGGAACTGCCTTTTATTTTTCGGGATTCACAATTTTTATTCGTTTATGATAGTTTTGCATCTTTTCCTCATCCAGCCTCTGAGTTCGCATCCTGCTATTTTGCAACCGAATGGCAAACACCCACTCACCTCAAAAAATAAACAAGAGCAAAAAAACCAAACCAATCATTATAAAAATAGATAAAAACTTACTGAAGTCTCTCAAAACTTGAAGTTCCCCACAATGTTCTCAGATCATGACAATCCCCTCTTTGTGCCTCTATTTTTGCCATTCAGTAAACGCGTAATTTTGCATCTACAACTACTCCATACTTCTAATGTCTAATGGGTATTGATGAGCTCTGGCCCGTGGTGAGCCCGGGTAGTGATCCCAGAATCCCATTTCCAAAGTTCTTGTCCCACTTTATCGAGGAAAATGGTAGACCACCCCGATTTGCCATAGATGCCTATATGTTCATGTTCTACTCTCAGCTTCCGAACGTGGATCCCGAGGACCCTGATGTGCAGAATAGAACGATTCGAAATTTTATGGCCAAATTATGGTACTTCGTTCAGCATAACGTTTCGTTCGTCGTTGTGTTTGATGGGAAATTTAAGCCAAGCAAGCTCCGCCATGGCAATCTTCCTGAGATCCAAGGCTCGATCAACTATGATGAGGTCCTCGAGCACTTTCACAAGGTGCACCCTTCAAACTATGGCGAGGGTCTGGGACTTGTGGAGAGAATGAAAAGGATCTTACAAAGAAACTGCATGGATATCGTCCAAGCACCTGGGGAAGCAGAAGCCGAGTGTGCATGGCTTCAGAGACTAGGTGTAGTGGATTATGTGATATCTGATGATTCAGATACTCTTGTCTTCGGAGCAACGAAAATGATCCGTCAGTTCAATCGTGTAAAATACATGAATGACGAGGACAAACCCGTTTTGAGCAACACAGACTACTATGTTACCCCTGTTCGAATGGAAAAGATAACTGAGGTGACTGGGCTAGATAGAAATAGATTGGTCTTGATTGCCATACTACGAGGTGGTGATTATTCGACTGGTGCAGAGGGTATTGGTATGACTCGTGCAAAAGAGATCGCTTTATGTGGAACTAATTTGCTCTCCAGTCTACCTAGAAAACTAACCCAGGACTTCGGTGCCTTACCAGACTTCTCTGCCATGTTTTCTCTGACATTCATCAATCAAGAGAAGGTTAAGGCTGTGCTGTTACAACCTTGGAAGAATATAAAATCCGAGCTAGATCGACTGGACAGCCTTCAATCATTCAACAAATACCTCGATTCGGCACTTCGAGAACAGCATAAGGAGATTTTTGGAAGACAAACGACAATGAAGGCAGAAGTGAAGATTGATGAGTACTTTGCTTTGCTTTATTTTTTTCCATTAGTCAATTCCAAAATCTTCAAGTTTACACCTTACTCAACAAGTTTTGGAGAACTCGAGGCTGCCATCGATGATATGCCTGGTCTCACTCCTGACGATGAAACACAAACTGTGAAGAGATACAACTATGTATGTGATGCAGGTGATATTGGCCATCTGGTAGTTAAGAATGGCAAGTTCGTGTTTGTGGGCAAGGGCAGGGCAAATCTTTTGAAGAAAAATCAATACGCATTGCCGAGAGAGAGGAAATTTAACCTCAAGTCGTTTGCTCTCAAGCTTCTTCTATCGCCAAAGGCTTCTTCTGAAGTTTTTCTTGCCAGATCAAAAGTTGCAGATGGGATCCAGATCGGTGTGCTCAAGTTTCAAAAGTCGAAACTTCATGAGAAAGTTTATTTGGTGCAGAAAACCCGACTCGAGGAGAAGCAAGAGCATGACGAAATCGAGGGTGAGGAGCAAGAATCCCAGGATCCAGATAACTTGGTGCAAAGAGACGATGAGGATGACGAAAAGCTTACAGCTGTAAACGTGACGATGGAATCCATTCGTTTGATTGCGCCAAGCTTAGTGGATGAGTTTGAAAAAGAACAGCTGAAGAAAGATAGATTGAAGAAATCACCGAAGAAAAAGGCCCCACCACAGAAGACAACGCTAGACCGCCTATGGCCAGGGATGTCACCCCTGAAGAAGTTGAATAATGCTATTGAGGTGATTGATCTCGATGCTGATGACGTCGTGGAGGTGAAAGCTGAAAGTCTTGATGGGTCGCCGACGAAGAACAAACTGCTTGTGAAGGGCGAGAATGGACAGTCACCGGTGAAAAAGGAAAACCGCTCGATAAAAAAAGAGACAAGGAGAAGACGCAAGACATTGAAGGAAAGGTATGAGCTACCGAGGAACCAGCTGGACGTGACAGCTTTCTTCCTGCAAAACAAGAATCCTTTCGAGGAGCAAAACCCCTTGTTCGTTCCGGAAAGCGAGGACGAAGACAGCAATGGATCGGTAAAGAAGGAAAACGAATTTATGAAAATGAAGAATACTTTATCGAACGTGCCCTTTTTGCCTGGTCCAAATATGACTGCGAAAGCACCAGTTGAGGGGCACATAAGTTCACCAGAACTGAGCCCCTCGAAAAAGATACGAATGACGTTATCCCCAGATAATTCTCCTGTCAAGACTAAAGGATTGCCTACTGGAAAGCCGCCGACCTCTTAACGAATATATATTTGATGATCTGAAAAATGACGTTGCTAACTGATAACGATCATTCCTGCACGAAAGCTGCATTGTACTACCCTGTTGAACTCACGGATCTCAAGCACAACCTAGCACTCAGAAAATGGCACCTCAGTTCTCAACGCCAATCAAGTGCATCTATGATGCCTCCGACTTGCTGAACTTCAAAAATTCCATCGCATTTGAAAGACTCCATGACGTCATCAGAATTATTGTACAAAAAGTGAAGGGCACGAGTTTGCCAAAGAATGTATTCGACTTGTCACTAGTAACTAGAGCAGACGTTAATACGCCAGCTTCAAGAAACCTTGGAGATGATCTACTAGAGACATTTTCCGAGTCTGGCCGTGCTATTGTTGAAATCATACAATCCTTCAATAAACTCCTCGATGAAACTCCGCCACTAGAGGGCCCCAGAAGATTCGGCAACATGGCCAGAAGGGAATGGCAAGACAAAATCGAGGCTGACGTTGGTCCTTTGCTCCATAAATTAACAAAAAAGGAGGATCTTCAGCTCGAGCTTCTGTATTACTTGGTCAATTCTTTTGGCTCGCCCATTCGATTGGATTACGGCTCTGGTCACGAATTGTCCTTTATAGCATTTGTTGGAGGTCTTATGGAACTCAAGATTCTTGACGTCTCCCAAATTGACGCCACTGAGATTCTTATCATATTCGCAAAGTACTATGATTTGGTCCGTCGTTTGATTTTGGAGTACAGTCTCGAGCCCGCCGGGTCTCACGGTGTATGGGGGCTAGATGATCATTTCCATTTCATTTACATCCTTGGGGCTGCTCAATTCAATGTCGACGGTAACAGTAAGCAGTACGTGCCACCGGTTCTGCAAGTTCTTTCTTCACTCATCATCGAGGACTTTAAAGAAACAAATCTTTATGTGAACGCCATTGCATTTATTTTCAAAATCAAGCTGGGTCCCTTCAACGAACATTCCCCTATTATTTTTGACATACACAAAACTGTATCGCTATGGTCCAAGGTTTTATCGGGTCTACTCAAAATGTACGAGGTTGAGGTTCTTGGTAAGTTTCCTGTCGTGCAACACTTCTGGTTCGGCTCTGGCCTCTTTCCATGGCTCGATACAGAGACGAGGCAAAAGCTACCGGTCAAAGATGTTGCCAATGAAGAAAAGGAGGAAAAAGAGGACACATTGCCAGGCTTTATTAATGGCTACGCTGGCCAGAAGACAACAAAAGCTAACATTACATTGACAGGCGCACCTTGGGCGCGTCAAAACCCTGGAGCAACGCCTCACGCTCTACATTCACGTGGACCTACTCGTCCCATTCCTAAAAACTCCCGAGGCTAAATAGATTTAATAATCAAGCTCTTGAAGCTCTGCTGAAATTAAATGCTGTACGACACAATGGACAGGTACTGCTACCAGAACTCTTAAACCACTTATAGAGACAGGCAGCATGGAATTTGTTCAGACAAGTGGGACAAGTTTTGGATGGTAGGGAGTGGTCTTGATGCAAGATCGAATAACAGATTGCACATTCTTCAAACCCTGAGAAATGTAAGTTGACATTTCTGTTAAATAACTCAATGCAATCTGTGATGGAGCCATTTGTGAGGGAGATAACCCGCTGAGAAGCCAATAACCAAGCTTTCCATTGATTTTCCTTGACTCCCAAGCGCAAGGGACCCAGGACCAGGACGCTAGAAAGTGGGAATGACTCCGGTATTTTGACCACCATTTCCATTCTCTGCTCATCAATCAAATAGATGGTTTTGATTTCGTTGGTGACTTGGTTAACCTTGATGCTTAGATTTTCATCTTTGTCTGTGAGTTTGCGCTTGGTACTTTCGACTTCACTCAACATTCTGGAGGTGAGAATAGGGCAGATGAATTTGACCGAGAATTTTTCAATTTGCCTTTTCAATTGCAAGTCTCTAAGCTCACTGAACCACTGTTGGCTGTGAGAGCCTAGGTATTGTAAACACATCAAATAGAGGTGAACGAGCAAGAACTTCATCTCGTACAAGAGATCCTCGCCCACACAGCCAGTTGCCACTGAATATTCTGAAATCTTGCAATTCTCAGGGTCGACCCGGTTAGTGTTTTCCAAATTTCCGTCAACTAAAGTCTTCAAAAACTTGGAATCTGCAATGTCGACATGGTCGAAAATAACATTCAACAAATGCTCAATTGACTTATGCTCTTTAAGTTGATTGATGTAGTCGGTTCGAATCCCATAAGTTGAGTCTTTGAAGAATGCAAAGATCAAAAGCCAACTCCATAAGTAAGATGTCACAATATGATCCCTTTCTCTTCCAATTGATGTTTCGAGATCCTCTCCAAACTCGGCTACTGAGTTAATAAGCTGTTCGGGTAACTTAGCTTCAGCTAGGTTCTCCAGAGAGTCACCCAAATTGGATTTGTTGAGTTGGTATTCGACAACAAATTCATCTCGAGTTGACAAAATATGTCTCTGCAAAAGCATCGTAGAAACTCTTTGCATGTCCACGAAGGTTGAGTTATGGACAATCTTATAAAATTTCTCCAGATTGTCAGCGATGAGATAATCTGGAACGCAATGCCCGCTCATGATTCTCCTCACAATCTCGTTGGTCATTGTAATGGCCTGGTTATCACGCTGTTCATCATTTCTTTCAACTTCTTGGTTCAGGATGAGATCACAAATCTCTTCAATAAGAGACTTTCTCGTTTCCTTCCAATCGCCTTGCTCATCTGCTGACTTTAAAAGTGTAGCTGCAAGCTTGATGGTGAAGAATCGCAATTCAATATTTGAAACTGCAAGCTGAGCAGTGCTGAGATTATTGAGGCACAAGTCGTAGGCAACTTCCCAGCATTTCTCAGAAACTGAGTTTGAGTGCTCGGCCAACAAACTCGAAAAGAAAAGAGCCAATAGACTTCTGATAACATGAAAATCATCATCGTAGGCAATGTCAGAATCCAACCACTCGGATATATGGTTAACAAGCAAGCCCATTTTGTGTGGAGGCAACACCTCATACTGGGGACTCTCATTATGATCAACATTAAGGAAGTTAATGGCCAATGAGAGCCATGTTTTACCCAGGTCGAGGATATCAAGCGAAGACTTTACACCAAGGATTTCTGCAAACACAAAACTCCTCAATCTGTCGAACTTTTTCGACACGCCCGTAAACTTAGTCGCCGATGATAGAAATGAGGCTAAAAGAAGGGGTTGACGAGCGAGCTTTGTGAGTTTCAAATCAAGAGATTCAAACTCCTTGAAAGACATTACCTCAAAACTTGTGGCAAGATGGCGAGTCACATAGCGAGCGAAGAAGATTTGAGACTTGTTGAAGGGACCCTCTGCTGATATAACATTCAATAAATGACTTTCAATTGATGAATCTTCTATCTGTCCGTTCAAAAAATCGGCAGGGTTGCTTGAACTGACAAACACATGACGTTTGATCGAGGTGTCCAACTCTGCTTTATCATTCAAGATAGACAGCATTGATGGGTTTGATTTGGCCAAGAACAAATAATCATCGATGTATTCACTCACCAAAATGGCCACTGCTATTGAATCCGTCGCAGAGCTCTGGGCGGAATCGAGATGCGATGCAAGAAGTTTCGCCGTGCCGACAACAAAGCCGTCTAAAATAGGATCTTCTGTAGATTGACTGGCCAAGTGAACGTTTTGAAAAATAGGATTCGATATAGCGACGGTGGTGATATCCACTAAGCCTGTTGCTTTGCTAACTCTCTCCGAAATCTCTTTCATCGGGAAGTACTTGGGGAACTGCGATAAAAAGTTTGTGACTTTTTCAAATTTTGAATCTGATTTTTCCATACCAGAGTAGAGCGTACGTGCAATAAATGGCACATCACCAATTAGCTCCAAGAAGGATGCGAGACGGCTCACATCCAGAGTAGTCAAACCTTGGAGAATTATTTCGGAAATGCTTCCCTGCAAATCACTTTCAAGATTCCGCAAATTTATCTTCTTCGTGATTGTAGCGTCAATAAACTGATTTGGGTTAGCTCGAACAGCTGGAGAAATTATGAGGTTTCGAAGAATTGTTGGGTCGTCAATGTAATTATAGACCATGTCGTTCCCCTGCGACGAGTCTGTATTTGCAGCTGATAACGACTCCAAATACTCTTTTACCTCAGGAATGTCTTTCTCTGATATTGTCTCCGTCTGCTTCAAGATTTTTAGAAGTTCAGGCAATGCACTCTTGACATCTGTTGAGACTTTCGTGAAAACATCACTTATCAACTCCTGATAATCAATCCAGTCGACGTTGGATTTGAGGACAAGGCGGAGGACTTCAAAAGGAAGGCGCGTAAAGTTAGGGGTGCAAAATGAAGGAAGTAATGGCATCCACTCCTTAGTCTCCTGACTGAATCCCTTTTGAAAACAACAAATTAAAACTTCGAATGCTTTGGTTTGCTGCGGAATCTCAAAGATATCCAGCAATGCAAGAAGCACACTATCTGCCAACTTGTTGCTTTGTTCAACATTGAGAGTGGCAACATAGGTGGGTACCACATGATCAAACTCACTTTTGAATGAATGTCCCGCAAGACTGAAGGTACCACTGCTAGTTATATACTCGCATATCTCTTCGCCCATCTCATCAAACTTTAAGTTTTCACAGTTAGAGGCAAGCAACTCAATCGCTTCATTTTTCGTACTTGCGTCTGCTTGTCTTGATCTTGCAGAAAGCCCATCTAGAGCTGTCAAGTAAGCTTCCATCTTGAGCTCAGGAGTGCTCTTAGCTGATGATAAACTGAGCAATGTAAATATGCAACCAATAGCAGACTTCTTGTAAAGCAATGTGTTTAGCTTTGAGAATTGGGATAATAAGGCTTTGTTGATGCTTTTAATATGCTTATTGGACGCGAAGTCCAAAAAAGTATCATCAGACTCAGCTTTGTATTCCACCCGAGATGCGTTTTTGAAAAATGCTTTGAGCACATTATAAAATATGGGGTCAGAGTTGCAGGGGCCCAATTTGATATAGTCCATGAGACGAGAATGAGCCTTTGATCCAGCCAATTCCCAGAAGTTTTTCTTAATTTTAAGACTTTTATTATCATCAGCATCCATGCTCGAAAACGACGTCAAAACATTCAAGGTATCCCAAAATTGGATGATGACGTTTGAGTAGACGAGAGATTGAGTCTTTTCGGTTTCCTTGAGTTTGACATTCTTAATGAACTTCTTGCTGACGAGTTTGTAGAGGCCTTTGACATCTTCTAAAGCGGTTGTGAATGGGAAAGGGTGGTTTTCGTTGAGGTTAAAGATGGCCTTAATAAGTGCAAGGTATGTCTTGAAGAGACCAACATTGATTGTCTCCGAATCAGAGCAGGAAGCCAATGGCCCCCAGAGCTCCTCCAGATGTAAAATGTCTTCCACCTGCTTCTTAGATTCATCAGTGAGTACAAAGGATGTATCATGATTTCTCATGTCGACAAGTTTTCGAAGCATGGATACCGCTCCGACAAGGGCCCTTTCATATTTGGCAACCGAGTCCTCCTTCTTCACATACCTGAGATCAGACAAGCTTTCATCGGACTCCACACAAATGATGGTGTGGATAAAATTAATAATCTGTTCACAAAAGACATGCCAAAGTTTGGTATCAACCCTTTCCTTCTCATTATTGAAGCTCTCGAGGAGCTCTCTGTATGAGCCATTGGCAACAGGGGAGTCAGGGTCATAAAGACTCAGGAGCCATAGTGGGATCGTGCTTTTCAAGTACTTACCGAACTCCTTGCCACCCACTCTTCTTAGCAAGTTGCCTTGAACCTGATGCGCAAGTAATCTGACAGGCTTGGAATTATCAAGCGCTAACTTTGGGTATTGTTGGATCCAGCACATGATCACAGAATCTGTGATTGTGCAAGAAGTGTCATTGAAAACTTTGACCAAATCACTGAGGTTCTTCTCTTTGGTGACGGAGTTCTTCTTTGATAACGCCTTGAAGAGTACTGCTATATTTGGATCTTGAATGACCAGCACCTCTGGTGCAGCCACGAAGTAGCTCAATGAAACAGGAAAGCCATTGTAACCTAAATCACCTGACGAAGATGAGCTTTTGAATGACATTGAGCTGTTTAGGGAAAGATGATGGCAAATGACGACCTACGGCACTGAGAAATTCGCACACACTTAGACCTACAGTACAGTTTGGTTGCGAAAAACTGGCTGCGAAATCCAACCAGTATTTTATATTGTACATTCACGGATTGACGCGGGTTACGTCGTCTGTGTTAAGGAAGTCGAAGAAATTCGAGAAGACGTTATCTGATAAGGCCCAGTCCATATTGGCATCCATGCCGTCGAAGAGTTGGTCCCAATCGGTCTGCGAATGATGTTCTTGGTAGGCCTCAGCTGCGGACGTAAAGATCTTGTTGAGGTCATTAAGTCCCAATTCTGCTATTTTCTTTTTCAAGTAAAGAAGTGAGCGTGTGGCGAGCTTCCAGTTCTGGCACGATCTCGAGATCGTCGTATAATACACTTTCAAGTTGTCGATGTCCTGGTCTGATACCAGCATAATAGGATTTGAGTGAATTTTTAATAAAGTGACACTAATTCCTAAGATCGACAGGTAGACAACGAGGATGGAGGGTGGAATCCCTGACATGTTAAACTTGTCGAGGCAGATGGCTAGCTCAGAAATGGCAGAATTGCATAATGAATGTGATGGGTTGTCTTCCACTTTTATGTTCATGAACGGTCTGTTCAAGCACAAAATCAAGATATAATAGTAAAGTCGGAAATTCAGTACTGTGGGATTGTAGTTCTGTCTCTTCAAGGTAGCTCGGTTCCAACGCATCTCCACTGGAATCTTGCTCCTCCACTCCGCCAAATACTGGTTGAAGTCGTGAATTTTTCGTTTGGTGAGATAGGACATATCATCTCCCGCTGAGTCCTTTGAGAAGATCTCGGTGAGAACCAGGCCGATGCACTCACTCAACGAGCACAAGGAAACCAAGGACTGTGAGGCATCGATATTCTCCACACTGGACGGGTCTTTTGTCGGCTGGAAGATAAAATTATCAATACCAGTGGAGTTCGGTAGATGCTCACTGGAAGGAATTGTTGCTTCAGACTTTCTCACCGTGACTGGACGTCCCATTAGAAGACTGACAAAGTGGTCAAACACAAAACAACCCCAATAAACACGAGAACGGATCATCACGTCCAGGTTTGTGATAATTGCGTGGTGAGCCTCGCCTGTGCCTTGTTCAATTGCCCAGTCTTGTGGGTTCAACTGAAAGCCCAAATCGTACCCCATTCTGAATGCCATACCCGACAACATCCAGCTTGCGGAAGCATTGCCGTCGCCTAGCTCATAAAGTGAAAGACAAAGAAGAGCTTGAAGAGTATTGACGTGGGGAACACAGATCTTTTTCGAGAAGATTTTGGTCTTGGACGTTTCGAAAAAGGAGCCCGCCAATCCACGTAAATTCTCGTCTTCGGAGCACTTTGCACCCAACGCGGCGATTGCATAGATGAGCTCTTCGGAGCAGTAGCCCCTAAAATTCAGTGGATGTAGAAAATCGTTAAGAAAACTCTCTCTGTGAATAAAGGTCGCAATGTCTGGGTACTGATACTTGAAGAAGTTCTCGAGGCAAGTGATCAATGACGACGAGTTCATGAGCATATTGTCGAAGGGATCAGCTGAGTCCGAGTTGTTCGACATATCCACCAAGTTGTAGAACGCTGAAGTAGGTCCAAAGATAGAGTAACTGCCTCCACTGGTGGCGCCTATCGACACCGGAAGCTTTCTCTTTGCCGGCATTTCCACACCCTCAGTCTTATTTATGGAAGGTTCAAGAAGCCGCCTTATCTCCTCGAGAATCGTCTCACTGGAGATTTGCTTATCTTGAAAGGCCACACTGTGGACTCTGGATAAGGTGCTCTGAAGCAGCGATGCCAAGCTACGGAGCTTTTGAGTTTCTGTGGTGGTCAATCTCACACTTCGCTTATCGTCTTCAGGCCTCTCACACTTGAGTCCATGTTTGCGACAGTTTGAACAGACCTCCCCACCGTCACATCTTCGCTATTGGTTAGTATGGATCAACATATTTAGTAACAAAGAAGCATACCTTCTTGACTCTGCAGTTTAGGCATCTGGAGTTAGTAGAGATCTAGGAACACGAAAATTAGAACATACGAAACGGAGCAATTCCTCCTGGAAGACATGAATTTCGTGGCTGCTTCACCGCATCTGGTTTGGTAAATATACCACTCTTATCGTCTTTTCCGCAGTGAGGTACGGCGCCGTATACCGAGCGCTATGTGAAGGAGTCAGAGACTGCCCGGCGAAATAGCACCTAAAAAGTCCGATTTTCCAACTTGGAATATGCACCCGGTCGCCCCGCCAAAATCTTTTGGCCGGCGAAGTATGATGCTGTATATTATGCAATTTAATTAGGGAGATTGTGGCTGGATAAGCACTCCCGCATTTGACTCTGACCCGAATCGGAGTGGAGAACCTGACTCCTTCAGCTCTTGTGAACCTCCAAGGAGTCGTAGAAATCTCGAACTTCTTTGGAAACCGCAATGCGTCGGTGATCGAAGTTGAGAATCTCCAAGTGGTCTTTGCAGGTGGCTCGAGAAAGAGCAACATAGACCTGACCTTTTTCGAAAATCTTACGTAAGTCAACTCTGAGTCGGTCTATCGACTGGCCTTGCGCCTTGTGGATCGACATGGCCCATGCTAGAAGAAGTGGAAGCTGCTCTCTTATCATGCCATCTTTCTTTTCCAGAAAGTTCATTGCCTTGCCGGGATCAACGGTGAATTCCTCGCGGCGCACCATTATCAATGCGTATCCTGAAGACGTACGGAAGTTCACAATAGGTAATAGTGCGTCTGACGCTGGGGCTTTAAACGCTTCTGCGGCCATTTTACTCATCTTTGACTTCCACTCGGACGGCAAGCTTGCAAACATTGCTCTTTGCTCGTCCGTGTATTCACTTTTGCCCACTAACCCACAGACGAGCCTGACCAAAAGAACGAATTCAGGCGATGCATCCAAAAGCTCTCTGACGCCAAATATTTGGCACACTGTACCCCATAGCCCCTCGCCGATAAAACCCAAAACCGTGCCAATCGACCCGTTCACCACCACATCATCAGGATGGTTTTTCAAGTACATGACTTGAGCGCCAACCTTCAATTCAAGAACCTCCTCGCACATCAAGTTCTCATACAATTTCCGGAGGTATGGATCCAGCTCATTGTCCTTCGCCACATACCTTTGTGACACTCCTGGGAGTTGATGCAATCTCGATTCGTTAGCCCTCTTGACCTCTTGCCTTGTAGGGAAGAGCTCCGTGGGTTCTATGCCATCTGTGTAGTGGACCTTGCGCAGTAGCAGATGAAACTTCATCACCATTGTGCCGTCCAACTCGCCCTTACGCAAGGCATTGAGCATGTCAATCAACTCAGTATCGCCCTTTTGACGGAAGACTTGGGTAAGGGTGATTGTATGCGTCATTGCTCTTGCCCAAGACGGGCTCTGGAAACAATACTGGCTCAGTCTGTCTCGAGATACTGGAGGGAGCTGGAAAAAATCACCAGTGCAAACCACCTGGATGCCGCCGAACGGCTGCTGTGAACTTCTTAAGATTTGCGCCACCTGGTCGATCTTTGTAAACAAGTTGCCGTCTATCATGGAGATCTCATCGATGATGAGAACCTTGATCGAGCGCCATTTTCTCCTGGCAGCACCTTGCTTCTTGATCTTGTTAGCCAAATCCTGCGGGCTGCCTGTGCCCAACCCTATGCTCAAAAACTTGTGTACTGTTTGGCCGTTGATGTTGCATGCAGCCAACCCTGTTGATGCGGTAACACCCACATTGATCAGGCCGTGCTTTCTACACAATTCTTGCACCAAATGTCGAAGCACCACCGACTTACCGGTACCGGCAGAACCTGTGAAAAAGACGTTTTCTTGCTTGTGCACCACGTAGTTCACAATTGCTCTCTGCTCGTCGCTGAGTCTTATCATCTTACCTTCAGCCAGTGTAGGTGGAGGCTGGGTAAACAGAGGCTGCTGTGGTCTTCTTGTTGGCCTTTTCGAGCCATTGAACAACTCAGTCAAGCTGGAGGAGCCTGACCGTTTTAGAGTGGCCTTTTTGGCAGGACCGGGGACTCTGTTTTCCTTCTCATCATCTGAATCAGCCACAACAAACAACTCCTTCGTGGGCAGAGCGGACCTGGGCCTTTCTGGCAGACCAGTGGCAGAGGCCGATCTGGACAACTTGGAAAGAACTGGATTGCTGAAGTTGTTCATTTCAGGCAGCCCGAAGGATGTATCAGAGGAGCCAAACTCATCAAATGCACCTTTGGAGGTGGTGATGGATGAAAGTCTCGAGGTTGCCCTACCAGCAAGGACCTTTTCAGGAGTGGTTTGTTGTTTTCGGCCCGGAGCCGCCGCAAAAAAGCTGGCAATCAGCTGCTGCCGTTTCCCAGCCGGTTTCTTGTTACTGGTTCTCATGGTAGCAGAAGGTAAACAAGTGCGGGAAGAAGCCTGGGGCAGAAATAACAGTGAGAGTTGGGTCTGGCGCCAGCGCTGGGGCAGAATCGCGGCCGGGCAGGCCTAAACAAATAGTCGCGGCGCCAGGCAAATGGATAGCGAGGGCGTCATGGCGGGAAATATGGCGTTTTTTGGGGGAAAATTGAGGAAATAAAGCTGGATTTGGGAGAAAAGCGATGTTAAATTTTCCAATGGCACCGATAAAGTTGTGAATATTCTGCTCGACTAGAGGAATCGATGAATGGTGGTGGGGAGAGTTGTTTGCAGCCGCGCGAGCCTGGCGCGGGTGCCGTGGTGTTGTTCACCAAGTGAAGTGAGCAAATTCCGGGAGACGAGGGGGTTTCTTTTAAGATTATTTGAATCTTAATACTTTACTCTGAAGCAACTAAATGAATTGTTAGAAGAGACAGAAAAATTATGCTTTCATTGCTCGGAAGGATGTGTCTTACTCGTCGTTAGGGCCTACCGCGAGAGGAACGCATCACCGCGGCGCCAGAATGAATCGAGTTAAGTCCTTCCAAAACAACCATGCCTAAGTCCAGTGATGAAAGAGTGCTAGCAAGAACTTTCACATAAGTGGTTTATTTAAAACCAGAGTATCCTATATTCAAAGGCATGTTCATGTAATGTGAAACTCACTTGGGGGACCGCCCAGCCCTATTTCGCAGCCAAGGGTGAATCAGTCAGGTAGAAGTATTCTACCGTGGCGCCTGAGGTGAATGGTTCATCTATGCACTGATATGAAAGCTTCCACAGATCTAAGAGAATGATGGGAGAAACTTTTAAAAATAAGGAGTCCCTTTCGTATGCTCCAAAGCATTTCGTGGATGCTTGCTTGCATCTTGATCTGAAGGCATTCGGTGCCTCCTTCTCTTTAACACTTCCATTTCTAGAAGGTCACTCACAAAACATGCTCATTCACGCCCAGCCTTTTGGTCCCAGAAAATCGCAACAAAGGCCGCACATGTCAGAAATCGCTTATCAGCCACTTCCACGGCCAACCTCGTCTTGGAAACGGCAATCGTCACCAATGCAGGTACCACATAACCATCCAAAGCCATCTCACTGCCACCCCTCAAAAGTCTATACCACTGATAACAAAGCAGCGATTTGCAGCCACTGAGTACAGATTTTGCACCCAAGCTTCCATTGTCTCGCGCTGATAACCAAGCCATGGAGAAAGAAGGAGCTGGAAGTGGTGCCATTGGGCCAATCAAGAACTGTTAGGCAACTTAAAGGTTGGAATCTCGATTTCTATTGAAATCTGTGGGTTTTGTTTGCCCCTGTGCCCCTTGCTGCTTGACACCTTCGTATTTCGCAGCCGTGCTGATAACCACATGGTAGTAACGTTACGGGTACCTCGGGAAGACCATTCACTTTTACACATTTCACTCAATAAAAAGCTTTCTCGCCTTGGCCTTGTAAATCAAAATAAACTTTTCTCTTTATTCTTTAAAAATTTCGTGCATGGGGCCACTTTCCTCTATGATCTGTATCGTGCGCTTCCTGGTTCCTGTCCCAGCCATCGATTCTGAAACATCCACACCAGCTGGGCAGTAGAAACCCAATTCTACAAGATGAATGAGGGCTCTGAGAACGATCTGAGCTCTCTCTCGCTGCCGGTTTCGGCCCGGCCCAATAAAATGAATGTCTTCGCCAAATCGATACGCAAATTGGGCAGAACAGCATCCAGACTCAACCTAGCTACTCAATTCAACCAGGAGTCTCTCTCGGGACTGGCTCTGCCGCCAAAGCTGGCCAGACCACAGGAACTGCTGCCGGAAGAGGATGCTTTCCATGCCATTTCTTACAATGCTGTGGCTGATCTGACGGAACCAACGCAGGTCAGGTACCTACCGAGGAAGGACTCTTTTACGGTCCTGGAGCTGCCACAACGGGTTCTGTTTGGATCAGACGACTTCAGATTGAAACCAAAGGCAGGACCTGCCTTGGCTCCTGTTTATACGGCGAGCGAGTTGACTAGCGTCAGCCCTGTTACTGCTCACAGTCCTGTGATGTCACGGTCTCCATCAAGAGGCAACTTCCAGCTGGTAGACTTAGCACTTACGGAACACATCATGAGCTCGGCCAACGATAGCTCCACAAGCTTCGGCTCCCTCGATCCGAAACCTAGATCCACCAGCTTCCCAGACTCGCAAATCCCCCGATCCCAAAGCATGAGCAGCTCTACATTTGAAGCTCCTAATAGCATAGCCAAATTGGGCCCTCCGGCGCCTTTGTATTCAAAGCCAAAGGAACGCTCCAACTCAAGCTCCAACATCCTCGCCGGCTACAATGCACCCAGCTCGAAGGCCATAATATCTAATTCCTTGCATTCTTTCCATGTCGTTACATCCCACATCGACCAAATGCCTGAGCCCGCCGTGGTGGAGCATTTATTCCAGAAATTGCTTTCAATCAGGGTCTTTCCAGAAGACTCCTTCAAGCAAACTCCCCTCAAACGAAAGTGGGAGCTTCTTCTTAGTGAGGGTGAAACTAACGCTGCATTCGATCTTCCACAACTCCTCCAAGAGGCTACCATCTCTGTGGAAGCTAAACCCCTAAAGCTCGATACAAAGACTCCAAGCAGGTCAAGCTCCAATACCCAACGAGAACGCCACTCGGATTCTCTGAATCGCACATTGCATACCCCAATTCCTGGTGTCCCATCCCCCACAGTGACTTCTAACGCGAAGAAAGGCTCTCCCGTGTGGTTCATAAGACAGATTCTTCGCAACTCCTTACAAGCGAAAGATTTCAAGAAGTTGGATAAGCGTCTTGTCAGTCTCAATAAGTGGGTGAAAGAATTCCGTGAACAGCAAGGTGAGTCTGCGTTGGCAAACTTACTCAAGCAGATTAACCAAAAGAGCATTAAGTCGAACGATGAGTTCGAAAAGGAAAAGATTATCTGTAAATGTCTCAAGACGTTAATGGCAACAGATCCATCAAACGATAAAGTCCTGAAAATATCATTTGCTCCCAACTTGATCAACCAGGAGCATCTTCAAGTCGTGAGAAGCTTACCCTTCTCGTTATTATCCCCTAGTATTGAGACAAGAATACTAGCAACCGAGCTCCTCATCTACTTGACACATTTTGAGGACTTCAACTTCTTTCCTCATCTTATGGATGAGTTTCGCAAGCTTCAGGATAAGTTCCTCATGTTTGTCCGGTTCCAACCATGGATGAACGCTTTGGAATCTACACTAGATCAACATCTTCAGACAGCTCAACAGCATCGTTCATTGCACGAAGGTATATTGAAAGAATATCTTCTAGTGACGATCATCTTCATCAACCAACTACTTGGACGTTGCGAGAGGCCCAAAGATCGAATTGTTCTTCGAAAAGAATTCTCTGACAGCAGATTAGATAAAATCCTTGAAAAGGTCAAAAGATTTAATGATGAGGGAATTTTGAGGCACATAGCTCATTATAATAGTCTTGCTGAAGGAGATTACTCCAACTTTTTGATGGAATCCCTGTTCAGAATCGATTCTGAGGACGATGCAGACTCCGTGACTTCGCCGCCTAGTGACATTCGAACTAAGCTCGATAGCGACTTAATTGATCATACTAAGTCTAACGGTGACCACAATCAAATGAATTCATTCTTGGAGAGAGTGAGATACATCAGGAAGTCACGGCCCAAGGATGAGTCTAGGCGACTCTTCAATATTCTTGACCTCGTCGCAGATCATCTCATCGATGACGATCTAGGGCATTCAAAATCCGACTCGGTTGTCAACGTCACTTTGGAAAAGCTCATTGACCGATTAGAGAGTGATGACACTGCTCGTCGTGCTGTCATGGAAGTGGAAGCGCTCAAACGTGAAATCGTCGAATTGAGAGAAAGCAAAGCCGTTCCTCAATCAACTACTGCTACGGAGACCGACAGCTACCGTGTGAGTCGTTTGGAGAAGGAACTCGAGAGGCTGAAGATCACAATCATATCCCAAGAAAAACAAATAAATCTCATGCTGAACACGATCAAACGCCTCGACGCGGACTTGCAAAGATCTAGAAAGCCTTCAGACGGTAGCAGAAGTCTGGTCAACAGAGCACTGTTTTCTTCCCTTTCGGCAAATGACAAATCAAGTCCCAGCAGTGGCGCACAGGGAGTCGTGTTGGATGAGCTCGAATACAAGTTGTCCAGGCAGAAATCCAGAAATACCAACTTGAAGAAGTCGAAGGTGACAAGCAATCTTACCGGGCATCTTGGTGATCTGAAGAGTGAAGACAACTTGATAGCTCTAGGCGCAAAAGGCGGATTAGGTGAGTACGATGATGGTTCCACTTCTCCACATAAGGACATTGATAGCAGCAATAAGCTCACTAAAGAATTTCCAGACTTCGGAAAACTCCTTGCTAATAAAGCTGGGGCGGCTAATCAGGCGGCGCCCCCACCACCGCCTCCACCTCCTCCCAAGCTTCCTTCGTTCCTTCCCGATTCCTCCAAGTCAACGGCGCCTGGTCCTCCTCCACCTCCACCGCCTCCACTCCCACCAATGCTAGCAGGTACTAATGGCTCTGGGGCTCCACCTCCACCTCCACCTCCACCTTTACCCGCCTTCATTGGAGCTGCGAGCGAGCTGGGTGAAAAGTCTGGCCCTCCACCGCCACCACCATTACCTGGATTTATTGCATCGCCTGATACCCTGACTGGGCCTCCACCACCTCCTCCTCTAGCACCTGATTTACTTTCTCCAAACTTGACAGGTGGAAAGAATGACAGTGAAGGTTCGAAGGCCATTGAGGAAGCCACAGCCGCTGCGTCCTCAAGGAAAAAACTGGCTGTTAAGCTTAAGCCGGTCCACGTTAACAATGTCAATGATACGACATCTACAATCTGGGCTGATATTAAGAAGGAGGTTATTTTGGAGCAGCTCGAAACGCATGGCGCATATAACGAGGTGCAAACACATTTCAAGGTGAAAGAAATTCCAAAGAAGAAAGCTGTCAATGTCAATGCTGTTAAAAAAGCAGCAAAGGCGAAAGAGACTCTCATTCCTCGAGACATTGCTCATCAGTTTGGAATCTATTTGCACATGTACAATAATGTTTCTGCGGAGGACCTTGCCCTCAAGATTTTGCATTGCGACAAGGACATCGTCGACAACATTAGTGTTCTTGAGTTTTTCACCTCTGAAATTTTCAACGATTTTTCAGAGTCCAAGTTCAGAAATTTTGTTCCTTATTCAAGAGACCTTAGCAATCCAGACTCGAAACCATCCAAGCCTAGTGACGATCTTGAAAGGGCTGACAAAGTATTCCTCGAGATCTACAATATGCGACACTATTGGAAGTCACGGTCCAGAGCTCTCCTTGTCACTCAAACTTACAAGAAAGACTTCGAGGATTTGAGGAACAAATTGACCATGATAGACAACACAGTAAAGGCAATCAAGGAAAGTGAAAATCTCAAACATGTTCTTGGATTAATTCTTGAGGTTGTGAACTATATGAATGATGATGCTAAACAAGCACTGGGATTTAAACTCGATACTTTGCAGAGGTTGAAATTTCTCAAAGATAACTCGAACACCATGACATTTCTACATTACGTGGAGAGGATCGTCAGAAATAAATTCTCAGAATGGGGCTCGTTTGTCGACGAATTGAACGTTCTAAACCAGATGCACAATATCAGTGTTGAGCAGATAGAGAAGGACTGTGAGGAATACGAAAGGAATATAACCAATACTCTTGTTTCGTTAGAGAAGGGTAACTTGAAGGATCCTTCCATATTTCATCCAGAGGACAAGATTCTCCGTGTGATCAGACGACCCCTTATTGTTGCCAAAGAAAATGCCCATCAGCTTATTGAGCAGCTTCGCAAAACCGTTGAAGATCACAGCGCATTGATGATATATTTTGATGAAAAGCCTGAAGACAGCAATAGCAGAAACACTTTTTTTGCGAAATTTACAGCGTTCGTCAGCCAGTTCAAGCAAGTTCACGCTGAGAACGTCCAGAGAGAGGAAGAAGAGAGAGCTTATGAAATCAAGAAGCAAGCTATCCAAAAGAGAGAGAAGAGCAAGTTGTCGAAACGGTCTGGCGTCAACGGTGAAAAGAACTCCAAACAAGCATCACAACAGGCAGGCCTGGAGGAATTGGAAGATCAAGCAAATCACCAAGATGATGAAGATGATGACGATGATGACGATGCAGCAGGGGGTCAAGATGATTCGGTTAGTGTTGCTGCTGTTGATGAGCTTTTACGCCAGCTTAAATCGGGAGCTCCTAGAGAGAAGAGCAGGGCACGAGAGAGACATGGTAGAGTTCTTGCTGAATTGTACGGCTCCAAAAATGGCACAAAAACGTCGGAGCTGCTCTCTGGTCAGGATCCAACATCTGCAGCAGATGAAACGCCAGTTAGTGAGGTTCAGGAGAAGGATGCGCCACAAACTGAAGAAGAGGATGTGATGGTGAGAGCGAGAAGTATGTTGCAGCGTTTACGAAGCACTCCAGATGTTACGGCCGCCCTACCAAGCCCAATTGTTGAAGAACCTTCTCAACCTCCGCACGAACTGGTTGCAAAAACCGAAAGTGACTCGGTGCAGAACGACGCTGAGCGTGCAGATATTGATAAGGCACCAGAGGAAGTTATCGAGATAGGGTCCTCGGAAGGTACCCCGGAAAGTGACTCTGTTGTGGAAATCGAGTCTGGGCATGCCGCACAGGTGATCTTGCTGCCAAAAGTGATAGCGCCTAACCAACTAGAAGTTGTGAGAGAAGAGTCCGCTAGCCCGAAGACTATATTGTCTGAGAGTGTTGAGAATGCAAAATAAAAGAGTTAGCCATGTGAAATGGAGGAGAGAAAATGCATCGCAAGATATGAAGAGGTGCGTTCGCTACAGGATGGTGTCACAGAGTCAAGAACCGAGTCAAAAAACGGGCATTGTCTGCAGCACTGGTGAAGCCGAGTCAAAACGTCTTTACTGTACATGGACGAAGGCATGTCATCTGTGATATCTTGTCAGTGACGTGATTTGGGGCTCTTGGAGGGGTCAAATCACAAAATTGTGTCTATATTTATTCTAATGAGAGTCGAGGGTGTTGGTAGGGCACTTGCCCTGCGGATTAACCTAGTCCGACACCCAAATGACTCATGGAGAAATTTTTTCCGGCCAATCTTGCTTAAGCAGGTACTGCACGGTATGCAGCTAGCGAGATGCCTATTGATTAATTTTCCAATGCATCATATACCACGGTCAGATTGTCTCAAATCGTATTCCTGTTTAATTCTTTCGATTCATTTGCGGATTCTCTTTTCAACCGATACAAGGCTACCCTAGCTTTTTAGCAAACTAAATTTTCCCAACTACACGCTCATCGGTCCGGACTGAATAATCCCCAACTACCTACCATGTTGGCAAGATTCTCCAGAACGTGGCAGGTCTCTGCCAGAAAACAACTTCATAGCACCCCAAGGTATCTCGATGCCGTAGTGGTGTCTGGAACGAAATTGGCCAAGTCTATCAAACACCAGGTGGCTCAGAAGGTTATTGAATACAACCGTGAACAGTTCCCATCGCTTGATTTACCAGTCACCAATGACGGTATTACATTCGAACAGCTTACCTTCAAGCCTCAGTTGACCATCATTCAGGTCGGTAGCAGGCCAGACTCCTCCGCTTACGTGCGTTCAAAGCTCAAGGCTGCCCAAATTTCCAACATTCAGCTGAAGCTTGTGCAATTCGATGAGGACTTCACTGAGGAAGAATTGCTTGAGGAGGTTGACCGTTTGAACAAAGATCCTAAGGTCAATGGTATTTTGATCCAGCTTCCATTGCCCAAGCACATCAATGAGACGCTAGTTACCAATGCCGTTGCTACTGAAAAGGATGTCGATGGTTTCGACAGATTCAATGTGGGAGAGCTCTCCAAGCGTGGTGGTAATCCCAAATTCAGGCCATGCACCCCCAATGGTATTATGGAGCTTATCAAGACCACCGGAGTCCAATTGCGTGGTAAGTCTGCTGTGGTGATTGGCCGTTCTGACATTGTTGGTACCCCAGTTGCAGCCATGTTGAGAAACGAAGATTGTACTGTCACTGTGTGCCACCGTTACACCTACGACTTGCCCTCTGTTGTTCGTAGTGCCGACGTGATTGTTGCTGCTGTGGGCATTCCAGAGTACGTCAAGGCTGACTGGGTCAAGGATGGTGCTGTGGTTATCGATGTCGGTATTAACTACAAGGAGGACCCTTCTGCCAAAAACGGCAAGAGGCTCGTGGGTGATGTTGCCTACGAGGAGGTTGCCAAAAAGGCCTCGTACATCACGCCTGTTCCCGGTGGAGTTGGCCCAATGACTGTGGCCATGTTGTGCTCCAATGTGTATGATGCTGCTATTGCTCAAGCCAAGAAGGCTCACGACCACAAATTCAAGCCATTGCCTCTCGAATGCAAGCGCCCTGTTCCATCCGATATTGACATTTCCCGTGCCCAGAAACCAAAGAAAATTACCAAGGTTGCCCAAGAATTGGGTCTCTTGGAAGCCGAGCTCGAGCCTTATGGCCACTACAAAGCCAAGGTTGACCCTAAGAAGGTTGCTGAACGTTTGGACGAGCAGCTTGAAGGCGACGCCTCTTCTAGAGGACACTTTGTTCTTGTGGCTGGTATCACACCTACTCCATTGGGTGAGGGTAAGTCCACCACCACTATTGGTTTGACTCAGGCTCTTGGAGCTCACTTGGGCTTCAACTCTATCGCCAACGTTCGTCAGCCATCCATGGGTCCTACCTTTGGTGTCAAGGGTGGTGCTGCTGGAGGCGGTTACGCCCAGGTGATTCCTATGGATGAGTTCAACATGCACTTGACCGGTGACATCCACGCCATTTCTGCTGCCCAAAACTTGTTGTGTGCTGCTGTCGACACCCGTATGTTCCACGAGGCTACCTCCAAGACTACCAAGGGTTTTTACAAGCGTTTGGTGCCTGCCAAGAAGGGCAAGCGTCTGTTCACCAAGCAGATGTTGGCTCGTTTGGAGAAGTTGGGCATCAACAAGACCAACCCTGACGACTTGAACGAGGAGGAAATCGAGAAGTTTGCCAAGCTCAACATTGACCCTGAATCCATCACCATCAAGCGTGTGGTTGACTGTAACGATAGGTTTGTTCGTGAGATCACCATTGGTCAAGGCAAAAATGAGGCCGCCAAGTACCCACCTCGTACCTCTGGATTTGATATCACCGTTGCCTCTGAAATCATGGCTATCTTGGCCTTGTCCACCTCTCTCAAGGACTTGAGAGAACGTGTTGGTAAGATTGTTGTTGGTACTCAACAGGACACTGGAGTTGCCATTACTGCCGAGGACGTTGGCTGTGCCGGTGCCATTACTGCTCTTTTGAAGGATGCCGTTAAGCCTAACATGATGCAGACTCTCGAAGGTACCCCTGTTTTCGTTCATGCTGGACCTTTTGCCAACATCTCCATCGGTGCCTCCTCCGTCATTGCTGACAGATTGGCCTTGAAGTTGACTTCCCCAGCAAACCCTATCAACAACGGTAAGAAGGGTTTCGTGATCACCGAAGCCGGTTTCGACTTCACCATGGGCGGTGAGCGTTTCTTCAACATCAAGTGCCGTGCTGCTGGTGTTTCTCCCGACACCGTTGTTCTTGTCGCTACCTCCAGAGCCTTGAAGTTGCACGGTGGTGCTTCCGACGTCAAGCCAGGTCAGGAATTGCCCGCTGAGTACACCACTGAAAACTTGGAATTCTTGAAGAAGGGCTGTGCCAACTTGGCCAAGCAGATCTCCAATATCAAGCAGTACAACGTCCCTGTTGTGGTGGCCATCAACGAGTTTGAGACCGACAGCAAGAACGAGCTTCGTCTCATTCAAGAAGAGGCCTTGGCTGCTGGTGCCGACTACGCTGTTGCTTCATCCCATTGGGCCGAGGGTGGTTCTGGTGCTCTTAAGTTGGCCGAAGCCGTTGCCAATGCTGCTGCCAAGAACGAGACCACTGACCAGACCTTCTTGTACGATGTCAACTCTTCTGTCGAGGACAAGTTGTTGGCAATCGCCTCCAAGATGTACGGCGCCGAGGCAATTGAGTTGTCTCCTTTGGCCAAAAAGCAGATCGAGACCTACACTCAACAGGGTTTCGACAAGTTGCCTATTTGCATTGCCAAAACCCAGTACTCCCTCTCGCACGACCCAGCATTGAAGGGTGTTCCTACCGGCTTTACTGTGCCTATCAGAGAGGTCAGATGTAGTGCTGGTGCTGGCTACTTGTATGCTCTTGCAGCCGAGATCATGACCATCCCAGGCTTGCCCACCCATGCGGGTTACATGAATGTGGAGGTGAACGACGACGGAGAGATTGAGGGGTTATTTTAGTTTTGCATACGTATATTGGCATGATAGAAAATTAGATAATTTTGTTTCATGACTTAGGCCCATGTCAGCTCGCTGTCAATTGGCAGATCTCCGCCGGTGAAGTTGTAGCTCTTTCCGAAAGTGCTCTTCAAGTCCAACACCTGCAAGATCAGCTGAGCAACGTCTTGGCGATCAATTGACTTCGTTTCGGTGCCAGGCTTGTAAATCTGGATCTTTCCAGTGCCAACTCCATCGGTCAACAGCGAGGGCTTCAAGATGGTGTAGTCCAACTTGTCCTTGAACTCGTTGATCAAGATCCTGTCAGCGTAGTGCTTGGCAATGTAGTAGTCACGGAGCTTGTTAGATTCGAAAAACTCATGGCTTTCTGCAAAAATAGCACTCACAAGAACAAGACGACGGATATTGGCCTCCACAGCTGCCTCGAATGTCTTTACCACCGCATCCAAGTCAACTTGCAAAAGGTTTTTACCAGCAGAACCCACTGTCAACACAATGGCATCGTGACCTTGGACTTTCGAAACCAACTCCTTCACAGAAGTTTGAGCCAAGTCCAAGTGGGTGGTTTTCACGAAATCAACACCCCAGCGACCTTGGAAATCTGCTGTGCCTGAGAATCGTTTCTCACCACTGCGGTGGTGTTTCTCTTGTTTTTAGCAAGAACTCCGATAAGCCTTTGGCCAATTTTGCCGTGAGCTCCAAATACAATGATGTTTTTTGACATTATTTTAAATCAATTGAGGGTAAAAAATGATGGCGTGGTGTGGATTGCTCCCTACTTTATATATCCTGGTTATGTGTGTCCTGCAGAATTCTTAGTAAGCCACAGCCCTTGCTTCATCTCGGATCAAATGAACGCCATTGTACTCCGTGCGTCGAGGTTCCGAGGCAAACAAGGGACGGAGATTACGTATGAATTAAAAGGATCTACAATGCTTTGTTTCATTAATCATGACATTAAAATCGTCAAGCTATGTTACAGTCCGTGAAGTTCTCATCAAGAGAGTTCACGCAACGCCTCTATAATGCTTAGCGACGACCACTCTGCATAGTTGCCGTTGTATACTTAGCGTTGTTATTGTACAGTTGTGTGTTGGCGCCAGCATTCCCGTTGTATGGCCCTGGAGACATGCTGCCGCCGCCGCCATTTCGTTTTTGAGCGAGATATGCTTGATTGAGCTGTTGCTGGTTCTGTTGCTTCCGGAATTGTTGAATCGCATGAAGCTGCTGTGGTGTTCTCGCCACGGCAGTACCCATTGTGCCACCATTTTTTTTGTAAATGTTGCTGGCACCTTGAGCAGCACCTCCTTTCGCGGTGTCCTGGCTTTGAGCTTCTGGTGACGACTGATGCAGGCTTTGCAGGTGGTTTCTATTATTTAGTTGATGCTGCTGCAATGCCCTCATCCGCGCCTGCTGCATCAAGAGCTGTCTCTGGTGTGCACTTTCCCTCAACAAATCGTAGGACTTCGAAAGAAGCATTGAGCCAAACCTGATAGATTGCGTTTCATCACTGATGCAATTGAGTCTAGAGGGATCCAAACTGAATGGACTCCTGATGCCCTTGTCGGTTTCGGTATAGTCGTTGTCGAATTGCCAACGCGAATCCAACCGTTTGATAGCATCGGCTTTGCTGTCATATGCATTGGTGACTGATGAAGCCTCAGAATCTGGTGACCTGGCACCGTCGACATCCATCAAATCTTCATCGCTTGATTCATTCACCAGATCAGAATCATTTAACCAAGAGTCAATCTCAGCATCGGGCCTTCTCATGAGACCTCTTCTATCTATAAATTGCTGATTAACGCGACCTTGGCGCTTTCTCATTCTGAAGATAGGTGCTGAGCACTTTGAATTCTCCTCATCAGTAACTCCGTTTTTGTTGTAGCCTTCGGTGTACGAGCTGAAGTCGTTATTCTGTATGCTCGTTAGCAAGTGTGCGATGTAACTCTCTGAGTTGTTCTTCGAATTGATGTGGTCGTCAAGTAAACTTTGCAAGTGTGGGAACGGCTTCGATGGCACAAGCTCACCGTTGCTTCCCTTGAAAGTCTTCATTCCTGGTAAAGGCTTCTTAGCATCCTCTAACAACCTCTTCAAAGAGTCGCTAATGACATTGGTCGTGTTAACCTGATGGTAATTGCTGGCTGCAATTGATGAATAAGGTATATGACTCAACTCAAGATGTGGATTCAAATCATTCGTGGTAAGATTAAAGAAAGGCTGGTAGGGGTCATATGTGATGTTCACGTAACCTCTATCATGTTCCTTCCTCTTGCGCAACTTCTCAAGCACAGCCCTTTTGATAGTCTCGTTCTTCTCCTTCAACACCAAATTCACGGTAACCAAGTCCAAGTCTGGAATCTTTGAAGGAGGCAACTTAACGTATGGCTGATTAGTGGATGCTTCAGGTTGCACCTGGCCTGCGACTTGCTTCTCTTTGGAAGACAATGAGGTAGATGGTTCCATTTCGGAAGTTTTCTTTCTCTCCTTGCGAACCTTGGTAGTTGGAGTGTCGTACTCGTCTTCCTCTGTCTCGATCTTTGGAAGCTTCCGTCTCTTGTGTGGGTAAAACAAGTGATCATCACCTTTAACACCGGCAATTCTCTTGACACTCTTCGCTTCACAACGGGTCTTGAACACCTCATACTCAGAATTCCAGTAGTCAAGCTTGAGAAGTTCACGCTTGCAAACATTGAAGACCAAGTCTCTGGCCTTGCGCAAAGATTTTTGAAGGAGTCTAATTCTCTCAGCGCCCAAATTATCAGCTCGTCTAGTTTTACGTGCCTGACGAAACTCACGACGGCGGAAACAAATGTATGGGTCATTATCATTGTCCTTTTCATTTGCATTGGGATCCTCAAATTTTAATTGTGGAGTAATTTGCTTGCCTTTACGCTCCATCTTTCTCTTCTTCCAGTGGTCATATATTGCTTGACCAAAGAGCTGCATGAGCAAAGGGATTGGTCTTGTCTTCAGCAAACTGGACGTGTCGCGTGGATTCTTATCAAACAAAGTGATGAATGGATCGTAATTAAGTTCCTTAGAAAGGTTTTCCTTGAGTGTGGAAGTGGACATATAATTCAAGTTAGGTCCTGGTTGCAGGTACGGATATTCTTTGTTACCCTTGGAGTTGAACTCTTCGAGAATGTATGCGGAAAGTTCTGAGTAAGGAAGGAGGTTGGATGGATCCATGGAGAGGAACGGTTGTTTTTCCTCAATTGTTTTTTCAAACTTATCCAAGACGATTTCACACTCGATCTCAGAGCATGGTCTTGTCTCGTCTCCATTGGAATCCTTCTTCTTTTCAGTTTTCTTGCTCGACTTTGGGTATTCCTTGAGAAGAACATTCTTGAAGAACTCTTCGTCTTCCTCATCCATGTTGTATTCAACACCTAGAGTATCTTCAACAGTTGCACTGAACTTGATGTAAGACTCAGGCTCAACAAAAGTGTTATCATTGTAGTATTTCGATGCATCTTTCCAAAGCTTTGAAGCATCAGGTGTGGGGATGTAGACAGAGCTATCCTTTTTATCTTTCTCATCCTTGAGGGAGCCTAACAACACTCTTTGAGCAGCATTGATGACTTGTTGAAGATGAACCTCATCTTCTTCATTCTTATCGACACCCGTTTCTATGCTATGCATATCACGAGGTTGTTGTGAAGAGCTCGCATTAAGATGATGTAGCTGGGAAGGTTCTAGTTCGGCATCGCCTCCAACAAGGTCCTTTTGATTATATATGGGTAAAGCGACCTTGACGGAGATTTTTCGCTGTCTGAACCTGGCACCTGAGCCGCCCTTAGAGGCTGCTGCAGATTTTGGAGGTAAAACAGCCATGATGACGGGTAGAAGGACCTCAAAAGGTCAGATGGCGTGATTTGGAAGCCTCAGGCGGGCTTTGGATGATTGATTGACTGCCCTAGTGGCGCTTTTCGTCCTTGACTAGCGTTGATGAGCTGGCACGTCTCTTAACTATGGATGCACGGGTTTTTGTTTGCGGTCAAAAAATGTCGTTCTCCCATACAACGGTAGGGGGATGACAACAACACGTTTGAAACCGGGCGAAAAACAGGCACAAATGTGTGATTAGGCACCGGATTAACCCTACCAGTGAAACCTGATGTAGCAAAAAACCCTATGACGTTTGCCAAAATGCAAAAATTGACCCTATGGCGTGGGCAGGTAGGGTATTAATGTATGGATTTAGGGGTGAAATTCAGGGAGCGAGGAAAAAATTTGTCTTGCCACCGAGCAAGCCAGAGTTGCCGACGACAATGTCGCGCATGCAACAAGTGCGATATCTAATGCACTTACGTGTAATATCACGTGTGTGGAGACAAATGTCTCCCCATTTACCTGTTTCAAAATTTTATCATTGAAAGGCTTTGGCCATGTTATGATTATCTTTCGATGAATCAACTCGATTGGAGTTTGAGTTGGGAGGTGATAAACATAACTAAGGGAACAGCTACCAATGAGTAATGACATGGCCATCATCAAGGCGAACCGCAAAAGTCAGAAAGACAGGCATCAAGCACACGAGAAGATTTTCCCGTCATCTTTAAATGCGTTTTATTTGGCAAAATGCCTTTTATTTGGCAAAAAGCTCTCTAATCGAGACAACAAACTATCTGACTCCCCAATTTGTTCAAATAAGCCTGGGCCAGGCTTTGCAGTCCCTGTTGAGATTTGAATGCTTACCTATAAATCTCATGTTTTCTTAGCGTACCATAATGAAATTTGTCTCTGTAAAACGTTGTTGTCGTTAAAACAGCTCAGTCGTCTGAAGAAAGGAGTAGTGAACTCTCCTCAGTCATCTCTGGGGCAGCTCATGGCGCCTCGACTGCGAGGTGTCTATGCAGGATAAAGCCAATTCCTCTTCTCCACTACCTGGCCCTATTGGAGGATGTTGTGAGATTTCGGTAGAAGCCTAGAAGTCGTCGTTGGCGTGCTTATAAAAGAAGCTTCAAATATCTTTATCAACATCACAGATGAAGAAGAGTTTTAATATGGGAAGGGTATGTAAATTCGGCTAGCTACATGGAATGGGGCGTTTATCATGTGATTCAGATCATGTGAGCGGAAGGGCAACACAGTAGATAGACAACATTTGTTGCAATTGACTGCTACCGCAAGACATTTTGAGCTCTTCTTTGATAAAAGTGATGCTCTGTAAATTTCTTCTCAAGTCTTACGAAGGTGGACGGTCTTCCGGTTGAACCACGTACATCTCCTGCATCTGGACGCCACGGCTGCTGCCTCCTATTAAGCTAATGCACTTCCGAAGCCAACATTGATAGCCATATAAGCAACGTTTAAACAGACCAAGGCATTGCGACCATTCCTTGCGCTTGCTTCCAATTTTCATATGCTAGGATATACTCCTGCAACTTTACTATACGGCCGCTGATAGCCCTGATCCCACAATCCACCCAAAAATAATACCGAATCCCACACAGACTCCATTTTATGACGCTGATAAACATTCCTGAGCTGCAGCTCCCGCCCGCTCTGCTATTCCTAGAGTCGGTGTGTCCTGGTTTGCTGCTGCTTGAAGACAACATACATTTTTCAACTACCAACGAGGTACCCAACCATGTCCTCGATCGATTGGCTGAGCTCAATTGGCCATTAACTAGCTCAGCGGCATTTCCTGCTGCTGTTAAAGCCAAGCTAGACTCATCATATTTGCATGTGGCGAGACCACCCTTTCAGCACGATGTACATAAAAACGTTGAGTCAACCACTTACGTCTCGTTGCCTTCTCATATTACCAAGATATTTTCCAAGATAGTTGATGGTCACCACAGCAGTGTCAAGCAAGATGGTGGTCTCCATATTGGTGCAAACGTGAACCCGCTTATGCCAGACCCTTATCGTTTGGTGCACATGAACCCTGGGTGTCTAAGTTCCATGATAGTCTTGTCGAACGCGAAGGCCCATGAGCAAAATGAGAATCGTAATCCGTTTCGGAACATGACTTCTAGTTTGAACAAGTTTTTACGCATGGGAACAACTCCAATGGCCGAGGGCTCGGAATCGCCCTTCGTATCTCTCATTAATGCAATTCCAGAATCTTCGCCGCATTTCATCACACACCCACAGGTCGGTAACAATCAGCATCAAAAGAAGTCTCCAAAATCTCTGAAGTTGTTTGCTAAGCTCTTAGAGTATGACTCAAAAACCTATCATACGCAAGTTAAGGCCTCAACGACAAAAAAGCTTCTTGTATCCACCAACGTGAACGTCATTAATGTTTTCGCAATTGATGACGATCATAATTTTACAGGAACCAAAGAGACCAACTCTACGTCCGCCATCTTTCCACTTGCAGAGGAGAAAGAGTCTCCCGCTCCATCGAGCAATTCCTCTGGACCGGGGTCCCAACTGCAACAACAGCAAGCTCCCCAGTGGTCTTGACGACTACTTGTAAATCTTACAAAAAAATTGTTGAAATTCCAATATTGCGTTTGCAACTTCAGCTGAACTTGATGGTGACCAGCATCTTAACCTTAGTATGCGCGCAAAGTCACAACCCAATCGTTATATTGGGACTCAACAGTGGCTCAATTTTAGCAATTAATCTTGCTGATCTCACTTATAGACATTTTGACAATTTTGGTTTGAGACCAAGTCGTGATGGAAGCGCTGACGCGTCTTGGAGTAACACATCCGTCACATCGCTTTCTGCTATCACGCATACAAAATACGAGCTTCTCATAATTGCAGGTTACGCCAACGGTGAGGTTATCATACTAGATCCTCTAGGTACCGAGTCCGAACTGCAGTATGTCAAGCAAAATGTCGGACATGATAGCTCAATTACTTTATTTAAAAAGTTCGACTTGAGTCCCCTCAATAAAAAGGTTGAAGAAAATGAGAAAGACGACTCTCCTGGCTATATTGTTGGTCATTTCAAGATGAGCCATAAGCCTATTACATCAATCACGAGTACCATTTCATACCTGCAGCATCCACCACCGAATCTCATGAAACTTCCGTTTATTGTTGCAATCGCTTCTGATGATGGCCTTGTACGATTTGTGGATCTCTTGAATACGCATAATGAGAACTTTGGTGACCCAGAGAACTTTTACAATCACCTGATTGTCTCAGACATTGTTGCTAGCTATTTTCAGGACGGAGTTCGCCATATCGAGTTTTCACCTGATCATCGCTTCTTTGCAATCGGCGGAAAAGGTGATCTTATTGAAGTTTTCAAAATGACGTACTACAACATCAATGGCTTGATAAACAAAAAATCAAGTCAAATGCGTGGCAGGTCCCGCAGTGGCACGGTCAACAGTGGAAATTCATATCCTCAGCATGCACCTTCCTTATTTTTGTCGGCAACTGAAAGTGCCACCACTTCAACGACTTATGATTATCGGGAAGATAATCAAGATACAACGAATGAACAAAATTGCTTTTTCCCACCGATGATTAAGGATATTTCCATAGTCAGTCGACTCAAAGGCCATACCAATACAGTTGAGAGGGTAACGTTTGTTCTGGAAGGTGAGCTCAGCAAAGCAACCTCTCAAGACGAAACTCCGTCAAGCGCATACAAATTGATCTCCTGTGGTGCTGATGGAAAAATTATAGTCTGGGATTTTGATAGCAAAGCAGTCTCGCGAGTGAAAAGAGGACATCTCACAACACGGAAGAAGAAAAGTTTCAAAGACAATGATTTGAATCAGGATCCTAATCTGAATCAAGTTGCCTTGCAGCCTGTTTCAAGCCGAGTCAAGCCCCTTTCAAATAATGCTCCTCCCAGTATAACTGTCAAGAAGGCGCAGCATTCGAGAGCTCGTTCTCTATCTTACAACGATGACGGTTTTGCTAAACAGTCTGCGGGCACCATCGGCATTAACAAAATTTTGAGTCCCAGTCCTCAGCCACTGGCTCATTCTATCGAGGACGATGAGGAGAGACAAAAAATTGTGGTGCTGTTGTACCGTTGGCTCTACGAGATCAGGTTGAAAAAACACTATTTGACAGGCAATATTGCAAGAGATGGTAAGAAAAAGTACACCAGTATTATTCACAAGATTGTCAATGATGAAGAGCTTCCCTCGATTCAAATGCCTTCATTGGAGGTGGATTTCTCGTACTTTATCAGAGACGGTAAGATCCAAAACTATCTGGTCACTTCAGACCAGTTCTTCATTTTTGGAAGAACTGGTGACATCTTTAGTTACTTACTAGAATAGTCCAATGTATGTGCTTGATGCTCTAATGTATTATTATTGATGGGGATGCAAATGTCAGCGCTTTGAAGGTGCTGATTCAGTAAAGACATGGTTCAAGTGATCATCAATATCATTGGTTGTTAAACGTACGGTCTAAGCCGAATCCTAGCTCCTCCTCTAGCTGGAAAAGCTCTGGGTTACCATTCTTCTCCTCGATGTGGGAGAACTGGTCAAGCTCTTGCGGCTTTGGGACAGCATCGTAAAATTGCATACCATTGTCATTCTGAAGCAGATCGGTGTATGTTAGAACACCGGCGCTGTTCATGGAGTAATCAGTGCTGAACATATCAGGAAACAGTTCCATCTGCGCGTTGATGGCATCAGCCGCGTCATCGGGCACTTGGGCAGGAGGCTGAGAATTTTGCTCCTTGAGAAGTTGCTGCTGTTGCATCTGAAGCTGAATCTGATGCTGTTCATGAATTGGTTTTCTAACGAAGTCTCTGAAGTTGCGCACCTCATCAACTATGAGCTGTTTCATGGAGTCAAGATCATCCACAGTCTCAAAAGTTTTGAAATCAAATTTCACCTTACATTCTGGTTCATCATTAGGATCGTGCCATACCGACATGTATGGGTGCTTCAAGGCGTCCTCCACCGTGATACGCTGGTGGGGATCTAGGGTGAGCATTTTCTCCAACAAATCGAGCGCCAACGGGTTAGCGTTGGGGAAAAGCTCCGTGAACGGTACCCTTCTCATTATTGGCAATGAGCGGACGTAGTTTTGGGCTCTGACAGAACCGATTTTCGTGAGGGTGGCTTCTTTTGGAGTTCCCAAGATCATCAATATTTGATTTAACTGATCAACGTAGTCTTTACCTCTGAAAAGAGGCTTTCCGCCCAAGAGTTCACCAAGAATGCAGCCGACAGACCAAATGTCAATGGCCTTCGTATAGTTGGAGAAGGAGAGCATGATCTCTGGCGCACGGTACCAGCGTGTGGCCACGTATTCGGTCATGAACTGTGAGTTCTGTTCCACGTCTTCGGAAAAGCCTCTAGCGAGTCCAAAATCACAGATTTTGAGCTCACAGTCAGCGTTGACCAACAAGTTGCCAGGCTTCAAGTCACGATGCAAAACGTCCGCCAGATGGATGTACTTGAGGCCGCAAAGCACCTGGTAAATGAACAGCTGATAGTGTGAATCAGTCAAAGGTTGTCCCAGGCGAATGATCTGATGCATATCACACTCCATCAACTCCTCATACAAGTAGATCTCGTTGAACTCACCGGTTACGGGATGCGGGACAATGTCCAAGTCGTACAAGCAGGTAATGTTCTTGTGGCCCCTGAAAAACTGTAAGAGCTTGATTTCACGAAGCGACCGCTTACACAAGATCTTTTTGGAGAAGATGTTGGTGACTTTCTTGATGGCAACGTAGTTGCCGTCGCCTTGAGGAGAGCCAAACTTGGCCAGACAGACAATGCCGTACGCACCATGACCTATCTCCTTAACGATCTTAAATCGCTGGTCGATAATAAAGTCCTGGCCGTACACCTTGTTGACCTCTCTACCACTGTAGGGCATTGTGAGTTTGGGATGGTGGTTGCAGGTTGGAGGTTGATTTCAGCGATGGGTGCGGGCCGGTACAGACTAGCAAGAGGAGTGAGGGTCCAGGGCAGGTGCTCTAAATCAGAGGTGAGGAAGCTTGATAAGTAGAGAGGAAAAAAAAGAAAACTTTTTCAAGGTCCGCTGGGCGACGGAATTGGTTGCGTTTAAATGTTCCAAGACACAGGGGCTGGCATGTACAAGGAAAAAAAAAAAATACAGGAGAGGAGCCCAAATAAAGAAGCATGCCTGCAGCCTTTCAGGCCCCGACGGTTTTTCGGCCGCACGCAGTGCTCCAGCCTATAGTTTGCGTTTCTGTGCGTAAGGTCTGCGTAGCAGAGGTAAACAATTCGAGTGGCCTATTTATGGCATCGACGTCTGTCGGCTTAGGCGAGCGGCTGCCGTGCAGCAGAAATTTTCTTAAGATCTAGCCCTGGTGCCGCCATTTGTGTCAATTCAGGGGCACCTTCTGTCAAACAATAAAAGGGAAGTTTTTGCTGAGGCGTGGTAAAATAAAGTCCCCAAACTATGTAAGCGCAAGATGGTGCTCACCTCGGCTGCACCGTGCGTATTTCTATAAATAGGTCCGTCAAATGCGTGCTGTCGTAAAAACTCGCTAACCGCTCACTCAGCGCCTACTGCTCCGCAGTGACTAAGGAATGTATGTGCCCTACTTACTGGTATTGTTTGCAAGCCACTGCAACAAGATTTTGAGCCCTTCCTCAATGTCTCGCTCGCTGTTTCCGAAGCCAATTCGTACGCTTCCTGGCTCGTTGAACAATTCTCCTGGAACAAGTAAAACTCCATGCTGTGTGGCAAGCTCAGTGGCCATCTCGAGGGTGTTAATCGAAGCATTGATCTTTACAAAACAAGTGCTTCCTCCCCGAGGACACTTCCACTGCAAAATTCTATTCAGACCGTTAATGACATGCTCAATTGCATCAAGGTTGCGCAGACAGATCCGGTGGGCCCTCTCTAGTATGCGCTCTTTGTTTTGCAATGCAAGCGTGGCCAACATGTCGTCCACCATCAGCACTGAGATAGTGTTATAGTCTCTTTTCTCGTAAAGAGCTTCCACCAACTCTGCATTTTTCGTGACGATCCAGCCTACCCGAAGCCCTGCGAGCGAAAACGCTTTGGACATGGATCCTGTAGAGACCGTCTTGTCGTAGCCAAAGCACACAACAGACTTGGTGTCCTTGGCTTCATGGTAAAGCGGCCGGTACACCTCGTCACACATGAGCGTAACGTCTAGCTTTCTGCAAAGCTCTACAATCGTCTCCATCACGTCGTTCCCCCACACACAGCCTGTAGGGTTGTTAGGGTTGTTGATCACAAGAAGCTTGGTCTTCTTTTCAGTCATATTCTTCTCCAACGCTGAAAGGTCGGGTAAGTAGTCGTTTTCAAGAAGTACTTTGAACGTGTCAACGTTCCCTCCAAACATTTGCGGTACTGAGCTCAATTGCTGGTAGCTGGGTTCCATGACCAATATATGGCCACCTTTCTCCACCAAGCTGTAGAATAGCAAGAAGTTTGCACCAATAGCGCCATTGGTAATCACAACATCGTCCGCTGTGATACCCTCGCCATAAAGCCTGGCAATCTCTCTCTTCAATTCCGGAGAACCTCTGATGTGTCCGTAGACTAGCTTTGTGCCAAGCAAGGCGTCTGTCACTGCAGCATGTTCAGATTCCGGGATGATGTCTTTCATTCTGAGAGAGTCGACACAAGTCTCGCCCATGTTGTATTTGATGGACGTCTCATACTTGTCCATGAATTGTTCCACGCCAAATGGCTCCTGCTTCACCATGATGAATGAAGTTGTCCCTGAAGATTCGTTGCGAACAGAGCGGAACTCTGCCCCAGATCAGGCAAGCCTAATTTCCGCGAATGCAAAAGAACCATTATGCTCGATGGTTTATTGGTCGCTTGTGAGCAGAGGTTTGGCGAAAACGATTTAAGCATGATTGCGTACGTAGCTGCAATGCCGCACTAGAGCTTGCGTCTCCATGCGAGGGCGTCGTTGCTAAAAGCACCTGTCAAAAGGCGCCTTAAGGAGAAAATTGCCTCTTTTCAAATCCGCTAGGTTATTTGAAAATGTTTTCTCTCGATGATATTGCTACTTGGTCAACAACATCGCTCCTTTTTTTTTCACGGCGTTTTTCTGATTTCGTGAAATTGATCTAGCCCCACAACTGAAACTCAATCCGTTACGCACAAGTGGATGTACGCGAAAGTTGCAAATCATCCATTGGTCAAAGTAATTCCAGAAAGTTCAAACATAGCTATATTTTAAGATAATCGTCATCGACATTCTTGCCCAACATACCAAATATGGTACAATTCGAAAAAACTATGATCCAAGTATGGTACGATAGCATGATGTGGACATCACAAGAGTTTCAGGCTGAGGATCTCGTTCCTTTCATAGGATCTGTTGTATGCCCTACTCGTCTGAACGTTAAGCTCCTTGATGCATCAGCCCACGAAATATCTAATGTCTTCATCTAATAGCTCTCTAACATCTTAGACAAGTTAAATGTAAGTTAGATCAATTTAGGACATTACCCCAGGAAGAGAAGCCCGGACTTCGTCTCCTGTACACAGACAGCTGGCCATCACACAGACTGAGCATCATATCACCAAACGGTTGGTCTTCAGTGATCTGTACACTCTTCCAATTCCATCGTCTCATTCCTATATAAACAAAGCATAACATCCAGGCCATGGATGAGCAGAAAGAAAAGATGGACGATCTTGCATCGCTTTTTCTTCCAGATCTTTTACACCCTCTTTCATCACTCAACTCAGACGCATTGGTCAAGCAAGAAGACGACGGTTTTCATGCTGCCTTGTTTCAGAATGACCAGCCAAAGATGTCTTCATATCTGTCAAGTATGAACATGCAAATGTCCAATACTGACCATGACAATCTGCTGCTGCTGTTCGATCCCGATAGCATATACTCAATGAACATGGGCACCGGACCTGGCCCAAACCACATGGGCAACTACACAAATCAGGGTAATAATATGCGCTTTCTGCCTCATGTTGCTCCTCAAGAAGAGGGCATGACGCACACCCTGCATTACCAAGATTTTGTCCCAGCAGAGGCAGCTGGAATCCAGCCTCCAATGCGGTTCCACCAAATGCAGAAACAGTATCTCCCCCAACACATCATGCCTTTCCAACAAGCTTGGTCCCCACTGACTGTTATAGGCCAGTTTGACGGCATGAACTACTACGGAAGCATGAGCCCTCAGGGTCCTTACCCTCAAGCAATGGCTGGTCCAATGGCAGGTCACAATGAGATTGAGGAGACTCTGTTGTTTGGAACATCAAAGACGGCAACTCCAGAGGTCCCACAAGGGAATTACGCCTATGATCGTTACCCTTCAAATTCTAGAGGGAAAGCCGGCATCAAGCGGTCTGAGTCTGATCAAGACTCATTGACACTAAACAACGGTAAAGCCAAAAATTCAAGAAAGAGAGCAAGGTCGCCCAAACGAGAGGAGCCCAATTCAGGGTTTCAAAAGCAAGCTACGGCATCAACCATTAAGGTCGACTATAATCCTAACGTTCTCAAAAAGCTTCTAGATCTTGAGGCCACCAATGAACACCCACCCATTCAAATTTTTGACCATGCAAATCAGCCTGTTGATATTAATTTCAGAGGCTTCATATCAGGACGATTTTACACAAACGATCAAGACAATTTCAATCACATTTCGGCCACGAAAGAGGTACCTCAACTAGATAAAAGGTATAAGCCGGAAGTTATTTCTTGTTACAGGCGAAACTTTATTCATATCAACATAAATTTCCATCGCTCAAGTGATTACAATCTCCTAGCTATTCCTGGTAAAGGCGTGATCAATGGTTTTCGAATTGATGTGTTGGCCTTTGCTAACGGCGATGAATGTAAGAGAATTCCGGTCATCATAAACAGAGAGAAGGAGTCGATGAAAGACAGAAGCAAAGGCTATGCAGATGTCGTTCTTCCCCACCAAATTGATACTTCTCACAAAGTGCTGGTGGAAGAAAGTGCCGAAGACAATTACTTCACCATTAGAAAAGCTCAATTCAAAAGTGCAACTGCAAATAGTATGAATGTGAGCTACCAAACATTCAACAACTTCACGATCAGACTAATAGCAGAGCTAGATAGGGAGGAGGTCATAGTCAAAGAACTCAGGAGTTCAGCTATAATTGTCAGGGGCAGGAACCCTTCATTTTATCACAAAAGGGGCGATGTTCTGATTGAGAGCAGGCCAGCGGTCTCCAAGTCAAGTTTTGCAATGTCGGAACAAATGTTGACAGAGGGTGAATTCTTGGGACAAGAATTCAGCTCGACTCTGCAGGATACTGATACTCAAACACAGGGCACAGGGGAAGGTCTGCCCGACAATGCGGGAAGTGAAAGATTGGAAATCAAGCTCGAGCCGAAGGAATCATCGATATCAGGACATTCAGAAGAGCGCTCTGGTCGTGAGGAAGATCCAATAGAAGAGACATCGCAAACGAAGCCACGCCTGAACAGGCAGACGCCAGTTCCAAGTGGGGCACCTCTGGCCACAAATCTCAAGGATTTGCTAGATTCCAAATCATTTGTCGATGCGGAAGGAAAGCCTACAAAATACCGATACTTCCCGATCCTGAACGTATATTACTTACCTCCTATCAATGTGGTATACTTCCCTCATAGAGCCCATCAGCTGAAGCAGGAATCAGGCAGTGATGCAAATGCTGAGGAAGGGCAGGGACAACAGTTGAACATGGCAGATACGAGCGCAAGGAGAGCCGATAAAAAGAAACCCACCTCAAAGTTCTATTTCAAATAGTTACGGGTGAACTATAGAATGGCTGGTGATGCCTGAGCAATTGACAGGTTCCAAGAAAATTCTTGGCAGTACATCCGTCAATTAACGATTTTCCAATCAAACTTTATCTGACAATTTGGTTTCCGCATTTGGTCTTGGTTTCATGTATGTAGAAATAGCCGTGCATTTGAGCGGTCAACTTGACAAACGGCGAAAGACTAAGTTCTCCGACCAATACAGAAATGTGATAACAATGCACGTGACTTTTATTGATTATGCAAGGTGTTATATGTGGAAGCCTGTCATTTACAGGTCAACCGTTTGCTTTTGCGTAACATAGCAAAAAAAAAAAAAAATTCATTTAAAATGAGATCGATGGCACCAAATGTTTTTTCGGCTTTAAGCAAATCTCGATGGAATGTCTAAGTCCAAATTAAATGAAAAGCACAGCGACGTGCCCTCCATGAACTCACACGAGTCTTTAGAAAAGGCTGGGGAGTCAATCGAAAAGAATAATATCGTTGGGTTGGATTTATTTGAGCAAGGTAACGATATTACCGAGGAAGAGCTAGAACTGGAAATTAAAGGCATCAGATGGAAGGTTGATCTCCGAATTGTTCCGGTACTTTGTGTCACATATACATTGCAATACTTAGATAAACTCAGCTTGAACTATGCCTCAGCATATTCACTCAAAGAAGACTTGGGTCTTCATGGACAGAGATACTCCTGGGTTGCAGCCATCTTCAATTTCGGCTACCTTTTTTGGGCCATGCCTTCCAATTACATCATTCAAAAGGTACCCATTGCCAAATATACTGGAGGCATGATTTTTGTATGGGCGATTATCTTGGTGGCTCATGTGGGAGCAAAGAACTATGGTGGAATGCTTGTCATAAGGTTTATCTTGGGCATGTTTGAAGCAGGTATTCTGCCTTCATGTATGATGATCTGTGGTATGTTCTACTCTCGTCGTGACCAACCATTTAGAATGTGCGTTTTTCTAAGTTTTAACGGAATTGCAACTATCATTGGTGGTCTTCTTGGTTTCGGTTTAGGGCACGCGGACCAGGCAGCCATTGCCTCATGGAAGTTAATTTTCTTGGTGATCGGTCTCCTTAATCTTGTGTGGTCGGCGGTGTTTCTTTGGGTGACCCCAGACAGTCCCACATCGGCGAAATTCTTGACGACCAGAGAAAAGATGATTCTAGTGAAATACATTTCGAAGAACAATCAAGGTGTTAAAGATACAAAGTTCAAGAAAAACCAGGCCCTCGAAGCCATCAGTGATCCTGGTGTCCACATTGTGGTGCTCATCTCCTTGGCGCTTGGAATAATTAATGGAGGTGTGTCTAATTTTCAATCAGCTTTGATAAAGGGATTTGGCTTCGACGGTCTTGCAGCTACCGCTTTGCAGATGCCAACAGGTGCAATCGAATTCATTTTAGTGTTTGCAGCCGGCATTGCGGCCTTGAAGATTCCTAATATCAGATGTCTTTTATTTGTTCTACTAAGCATACCCGGCCTCGCTGGCTTAATTGGAATACACTTGATCGAAAACAACCGATGGGCGTCAGTTGGATGCACTTGGCTACAATACATTGTTGGTGGTCCAATCATCCTCTGTTGGATTTTCATAAATGCCAATATCGGCGGAACTACGAAAAAGATCGTCACCAACGGTATATGGTTCACACTTTATGCAGCAGGAAATATCGTCGGTGCCAATATCTTTTACGCCAATGAAGCGCCCAAGTATAGATCTGCCATGATAGGACTTATGACATGCTACTCAGGCATGATAGCCCTCGGAATTGGATACTGGTTCTTGTTGAGAAGCAGAAACTACAAACGTGACAAGGAGCAAGGCGAACAAACGGAGGAGATGAAGCAAGAAGCCATTCGCTGTGGTTTTGAAGGACTCACGGACTTTGAGAACAAAGGGTTCCGGTATGCCCTTTAAATGCGAAGTAGCGTCAAATATACGGGAGCAGCGGCGGAAGCGGCTGCGGAGTGCACGGCGAAGTGCACGGAGAAACGGAGAAATTTAAATACCAAGTCTAAGTACCTCTTACTTTTCAGTGTTTATCAGCTTGATCCAATTGCCCAAAATGCCCAGGGGTCGTATACGTATGGTCTGTCTGTTCTGCAGAAAACGCAAGATCAAATGTGACATGAAGATGCCATGCTCAGCGTGTATCAAGTTCAAGGCTGAATGCGATTACAGCGAGTTTGCAAAGAACCTGACTAGCAATCGCCATGAAAATGATATGGTAATGAAGCCCCTGCCCTCATCAGGTAACCATGACGAGATGTTTATGTTGAAGGAAAGACTTCTAGCGCTCGAGGAGACCGTGAAACGAAGCGCCAGTAAGCGGCGTAGCCAGGTGATCCAAAGTGTTCCCGAGCTTAATGTCGGTACAGAATGCAGAATCAACTTCAATGTTCCTGTAAAGGTACCTGAGCCGAGATACTCCCGCCAGCTCAAGCATTGGGGGCCCTTTAGGTGGATAGTGTTGGTAAGTTTAGACCCGGTGCTTTTCAACATGGTCAGATCGGCCTTCAAACAGAACCCAAACTTATCGCAAGTGAAGACAGCGCCTACTAGTACGCTGACATTTTCGCCTGGCTTACTTTGCGGCACGCCATTGGAGAGTCTGGCTCATTTGAGACAACAGATCCAGGGCATCCTCCCTAATGCCAAGGTGGTTTGGATGTTGATTGACCGGTTCTTCTCGGTGGTTTATCCTTACATCCCTGTCCTCGACGAAATTTATGTCAGAGAAATGGTGAAGAGGATGATAGGGCCAGAAACAAATAACGAGCAGCCCACCCAGCTTTCTGCTTGTGGAGAATTAGATTTTGCAAACTTGGGAGTTCTTCTCATGATGCTAAGATTCGCTTACTTGACGATACATGACTGCAACAATCGTGTGAATGTCGCTTCAGCCTTTTCGCCCAATTCGATGCATTATTTGGCTCAGTATGAGATCCCCGAAGAGTACGCCAAGCTTGCACAAAAATGTCTTGGTCAATACAACCTCATTGATGAAAGTATCTTTGATGTCGTGCAGCTTGTGGGCCTTCTATGCTTATACAATAACGTTAACCCGGAGAACTGGAACACAGATAATGCCAACCGAACGTTGTTTGCCGTGTTGAATCAAATGGCATATTGTCGCAGGTTGAATCGAGAGCCTCACTGCTTCGCCCCACAAGACGACACGAGTCCTAGATGGAACATGCTTTGCCGCAAGATGTGGTATACTTTTCTATACTTGGACCTCTCAGACGCAGTCTTTTCAGGAAATTGTGTTACCATCAACCCTGAAACCTACGACGTTAACCTACCGTCATATCATGCGGAGTCTTCTAATGCCAGAGATCATGAGATGGAAAAAGTGCTGTTGAGTATGTTTGAGCTCAACGATGAAATGAATCGGTTGCTTGTTGACGTGCTTGCGATGACAGGGAAGCTCACCGGAACCACACCCTTGAGAACGCTCCGAGACAAGATGGACGATGTTGAGGCATTTCTTGCAAAAGTGCATGAGCAAATAAGAAATGCTTTACGGCACGATCCACTAAGTGAGGTTGACTCTTTCCACAGAAACGCTCTCTTAACTATTCTACTGAAAGTGCAGTTCATTCTTTTTAGTGTCAACACTCACATTTACTACAATCATCTTAAGCGAAAAGACTACGGGCTTGCAACCAGTGCAGAAACCAAGCTAATTACGTCCACGATGCAGAACGTCATACCGCTTTTGCCCATGCTTCTCGGGCACGTTAAGAATCCGTTCTCCGGTTCCACAGATCTATTTTCGATTTCCCTGTTCGTTAATTGCACAACCAACATATCGTTTTTTCTCGTGAGCTTGTTGAACAAGTATAAGAGTCAGTATGCCTCGATGGAGTGCAACAATAACCACAATGGCAGAATGAGAGCTGATCTGCGCTACAGCAACTTGTTCGAGGCGCTTGAAAAGTATATCGCGACGCTCGATGATCTAATGCTGATTCTTGGCAATTTTTACAGCCTGCTCAAAGATAGAAATGCGTTATGCAAGAAGCTTGATTATGGCCACAGGAAGTTACATGAAATGTTGGACGGCGTTGAAGGTTCTCCGGACGACAAGGCGTACATACGCACCTCCACACTGTTCTTGGAAGGCTGCAACCAAATTGTTCGTGAAGGCATAGATCGGGTTGAGTTCACATCTCTCAGGCTGAAACAGGAGCCGCTGCCTGTACCAAATCACCTTAATTCCCCGACGGACCTTTTCGACAACCGCATGTTTGAAAGCCTCGATTTTACAGTCGACGAGCTCTTGGATATACCGATGCTAGAGAACATTCTATAATGATCGGGCCACGATACGAGCTTGGCCTGCATTGACACTGCAAGTAAAATGGGCGCGGGAAAAAGACGGAAATATACAATCTTCATATATAGAGTACCAATGGATTGCACATCCTCTCCCTGCTCCCCGTGGTGATACCAAGATGACGAGGGGAAGGTACAAAGTTGTTTGCTCTTTTTGTCGTAAGCGAAAGATCAAGTGTGACAAGAAGTCTCCATGTACTGCGTGTGTCAAGTTGGGGAATCCTCATTGTGATGCTGTGGTGAGAACTGATAACAATTCGGGGGATGTTGCTGATGCATTGAGGCATCGTATTACTGTCCTTGAAAAGCAACTCAGCAATAATGGAATGAAACCGGCAACCAGTCTTGAAGAGAGCTGTCTGGCTGAAACTATAAATTTCCATGACGCCCTCAGCAAAACCGACCATCGTCATGATGCAAGCTGGAGACTTATGGGACCTTTCAAGTGGTATGTTATGGTATCGATTGACGAAATCTTGCTCAACGTCTTCAAGACCTTTTATGCTTGCAAGGAAGTACCATCATTTCATGATGAAGCTCCTCGAATGTACTTGAACCCATTAGATAAGGAGATCGGCTTAATCCACAAAGCTAGTGTTATGGAGGATCGCGAGACGCTACGAATGAAGCTCTACAATATCTTGCCCAGTACAAGGGCGATTAACATGCTCATAAACAGGTTCTTCAAGATTGCCTATCCTTACATGCCTGTTATCGACGAGTATGAATTCAGACAGTCTTTGAGCCGACTTTTGGGAAGCAGAGGAGGTGCCGATGAAAGAGCAATGATTTTGGGTAATGATGATACCGATCCAGCCGTTTACGGCCTTCTATTGGTGGTTCTCCGAACAGCCTACGTCACATTAACAGGTGGTTCCAATCAGACGCCTACCTATTGCTTTCATAATAGCAAGGAGGAACTTGAGTATCTCAGCCGGCAGCGGATTGGAGCTGACTTTATTGACTTGGCCAACGTTTGTTTGAGTTTGTACAATGTGGCGGGCGATCTCTGTTTCGAAGCTTTCCAATTAGTTGTCGCTTTGCGGGTCTACTCCACAATTGGCCCTGAGTATACAAGGTATGACGCAAAGTCGACCACATTGGCATCTCTCCTGAACCAGATCGCCTATAGTTTATGGATGAATAGGGAGTGGCGCCGTGAAAGGCCCGATTTCAATGAGAGGAGAGACTTGCTTCAGAAGAAGCTCTGGTACACGCTTGTTTTCCTCGAGATGGACCAGTCACTATTTTCCGGAAACTATATGTTCATCGGACCTAATACGTTTGACGTGACACTACCGGTCTATAAACCAGACTTACTTAATGGATGTGATTTAGAGAGTGAAAAGAAGGCAATCGAAAACATCCATTGGCTTGAAGGATACAGAGAGGTGTTCACACTGGCAATCAGTTTAACAGGAAGGGTTTCAGGAAATGTTAGTATCAGCAAGTTGAATAACGTTATCGAGAAGCTCGAGAACAAGTACGACGAACTCCTTGACGTCTTGGAATCTCTGAAGTCAACGCCCTCGTTGACTACACTGGATTCATTTGATCGTTTTTCCCAACTACGTTTAATGCTCAACCAACATTACTTCTTAGTTGGAATTTACTCCCACCTAATCCATTTCTACACTAAGAAAAAGGATCTCAACAGCGCTAGGCATTGGAGGTACAAGGTTGTCACTTTGCTCGCAAAGTTTTTGTTCCCCTTGCTTCCCGACCTCGTCCATCAAACCATGACACTCGTGAGCGGCTCAACCGACCTTTTTATTTGCGGTCCCTTGATCCAATGCCTCGGGCAATGCAGCTTATTTATTGCGTCCGCCACGGTTCGTTACAACTACATCAAGAAAGCTCTAGAAAGCCAACCGAATCATAGGGTTCTTCTAGTGACCAGCAGCGAGTATCAAGATCTCTTTAACGAAATTGAGAAGCACCGGGAATTGCTTCGCCAGTCAAATCAGGTGCTGCTCAATGTTTACAACCTCATGAAAGATAAGTACGAGACTGCCAGACGGTTCGACCTCATCAGCAGAAAAATCACCGATTGCACACTCCCAGAAGATTTCATTTTAAGGGATCCTATGATTCAAGCGACGGAAGAAGGTTTAAAGTCGCTCAAGGAGTGCAATATTTTGATGAAGGAGTGTTTCGAGAATAGTGGAGTTCGTGAGCTTGGTAGTGAACCTTGCTCTACACTGCCTACTAATTCTACTACTAGCGAGATCCCCACAGAGCTACTTTGGGAGTCTGGCAGTCTTTCGCCGTTTCAGAAGTATTTTGACATTATCCTGATTGAGGAGATGACTAGAGACATATAGACATCTACTTACGCTGGCCGTAGGCCTTGGTCGCATAATCACCATCGATGACAATGAGATCCTCCTTTCTGTAGTCGAAGGTCTTGTCAAAGTAACTCTTCAAGATCGCCTTGGTGCCTGCTGCATATCTAGCCTGTGCATCCAACGAGGTTCCACTGATGTGGGGAGTCATGGCATTTCCGCCGCCCCACTTGTTTCTGAAGCTTCTCCAAGGGTGGTCCTCAGGCGCTGGCTGTGGGTACCAAACGTCACCACCGTAACCCCTGAGCTTACCAGATTCAACAGCATCAGCGACATCCTGGGCCACACAAATGGCACCTCTGGCAGTGTTGACCAACCAGGCGCCGTCCTTCATGTGGCTGATGGTCTCCTTGTTGAACAAGCCTCTCGACTTCTCGTGCAAGGGGCAGTTGATAGTGACAACGTCGGCCTGAGCCAACATCTCGTTCAAGTCAGAGTAGTGTTGAACAATGTCGCCATGGCCATTAAAAATTTCCGAAGCCTTGTTCAATTTCTCGGTAGCTGGAGCAGGGAGTTCCTGGTAGTCGTAGTACAAGAGCTTGGATGGGTTGAAGGGGATCATTCTCTCCAACACACGGTAACCGATCCTGCCGGCACCGACGGTGGCCACAACCTTGCCTTCCAAATCAAACTCGTTCTTAGCACAGCCGGCGATATCCCAGCCTCCAGACACGGCCTGCTCGTGAGAAGGAATGATGTTACGCACCAAGTTTAAGATGGTCAGAATGACATGTTCCGCAACAGAAACCACGTTGGATCCAGTCACCTCAGCGACAGTAACGTTTTTGGAGTTGGCAGCGTCCAAGTCAACGTGGTCGGAGCCGACACCGGCGGTGACACAAAGCTTCAAGTTGGGAGCCTTGTCGATTCTCTCCTTAGTGATGTAGGCTGGGAAGAAGGGAGTGGTTATAATCACCTCCACCTCGGGCAAGTGCTGGTCAACCTCGGACAGGCCAATTGGGTCCTTGTTGGTGGTTGTGACCAATTCGTAGCCCTTGGACTCCACAAGCTCTCTGATGCCTAGCTCGTTCTCAAGGCATCCAAACAATCTGGGTTCCTGCTTGGCGTGGGCACCGCCTTCGTACAAAACCAAAAGCACCTTAGGTTTAGCCATGATGAGTTAATTGAGTTGTTTTAGAGGTCAATTGGAGGTCAATTGGGGTCAATGGGTTAGTTAACACGCTCACTGGGGTCAACTGGGTCAATTGATGCAATTGAAAAAAAGTATCGAGAAACCAGAGAAAACCTTATACTTTTATAGCCCACCCGAGTTCCTTGGCTGGAGGTAAATGTCTCGGAAAAGCCCTATTCCGAAGGGTCATTGACCCCCACATAGCCCTTTTGCATGGCAACCTCCCTGGTCCCCGATACAAAGCAGCCCTCTTAATGCAGTATCTGGGGTAACAGCAAGTGCGAGCTTAGGACCCTTTTCCGAGCCATTTCCTTCCCCGAGGCATTTTGGAAAAAAGTCTCACACAAAGACAATACATTTTTGCAGAGGCGTGGGGCACAAGGTAAGGAGGGCTAAGTAATCTCTCGGAGTAAGATGCGCTCCGAGCTCGGCCAGCGGAATAGTTCCTTAATGGCTCAACTGTTGGACCTTATCGGAATTTAGGCTTTTCTTGCGGCGCTTCCAAAATGGTCTCGAGTCCTGGATTTATTTTTTAGAGAAACGGTATGCCCCTATGCGGATCTAGCAAACGTGGAGAGGGTTTGGGGCAGTGAGCAGGATACTATGGGGGTGGGGGCAGTACTGCCGCAGTGGGCTGTTAAAGGAGCTATTTTTTTGAGCCTGGATTCATAATGTTTGCTTTAATATATAAAAACTCTCATCCTCTGGAATTGAATTCTCTCTTGCTGTTGAGTCTTTTTCTTTGAGCCCATAAATCAATGGCACTTACGACTTCTTGCACGGGTTTATACGTGGGTTCCTGTTGAACTCGGCTTCCTACGATCTGCAGAAGTCTTCTATGCGCCAGTGTCTCCACATTTCAACTATCGCATTGGCACCAGCCCCAAACTGGAACCTTATTCCCAATGGCTCATCACTGACATACTCCACATTATAATCCTTGGACTTCCTAAATTCAATCAACATGGAACAGTTTATTATGAATGTCGCTGAGGAGTGCTGGTGAATGTCAGGGTATTCGCCCCGCCGGGAGGCCTACAGCTCACTCATGCGTGGTGATAAATAATGCTATATAGACCTAATCGAAGGCCATCAGTTTCTTGATTTCGGCAATGGCACGGCCGGGGTTCAAGCCCTTAGGACACGTTTTGGCACAGTTCATGATAGTGTGACATCTGTACAAGGACATGGAGTTCTGCAACATTTCCTTTCTCGCCTTGCTGGCCTCGTCTCTGGAGTCAATCAACCATCTGTACGCCTGCATCAACACAGCTGGGCCCAAGTACTGCTGCTGGTTCCACCAGTAAGATGGACACGCCGTGGAGCAGCACGCACACAAAATGCACTCGTAAAGACCGTCCAACTTGGCTCTGTCCTCGATACTCTGCAAGTTCTCTCTGCCGTCGGCTGGTGGCGTGTCTCTCTGCAAGTAAGGCTGGATGGACTTGTACTGTTTGTAGAAGTGGGTCAAGTCTGGGACCAAGTCACGAACAATGTACATGTGTGGCAAGGGGTAGATCTTCAAGTCCTTCGACGTGTTTGTATCTATTCTGCACAAGCATGCCAATGTGTTTTGTCCACCAATGTTCATGGCACAAGATCCACAGATACCCTCTCTGCAAGATCTTCTGAAAGTCAAGGTGGAGTCTTGCTCATTTTTGATCTTCAAAAGAGCATCCAAAACCATAGGACCACAGGCGTTTAAGTCAATCTCGTACTTTTGCATGGTTGGCTCCACTTCTGGGGTGTCAGGGTTCCATCTGTAGATTTGGAACTGCTTGATCTTGGGCTGCGTAGCAGTAGCCAAGCTTCTTGACGTAGTCAAACGTGCAACTGGTCTGAAGAAAGTCCTCAACATGTTATCTATTTGTGGGTGTAGAAGAAGAGGATGTAGCGATATAGCTTTCGCTTTTTTTTCTGGTGGGAGGGCCATACTAAACCCGGCGCTAGTCCGGGTGCGAACAATGTACAGGATTGACAAATGTGAAATTCTCTGCCTTTGATTGGCTCACCCCAGACTTTTTGCCATACATCCGTGCACCTCACAGCACCAGCCAGTTGCGCCATGTGACATGTTCTATATCTTTTGATTATAATAGAGGGGTTGGCAAGGTGCTATGGTGAAGTTCGAACTGATTATGAGCCCACAAGTAAAAAATTGTCAGTTTTAGGATATCCACTGACGTCTGTAACCGACCTGTCCTTGACCATTGTATGACCCGTTACCCCGGAAGAACTCGCGCACTTAGCGCAAAAAACCTCGGGTCCAGGTTTGTGCATCACCTGAAAGTCACGCATACACGCACTATTTCCCGGAGAGATCGGATTAGATAAAATGCACTAAACGCTGGGTTTACCAAAGCTTAGCGGGCACCCAGATATCAGCCACAACGCCATCTTCGATGATGTAGTACCAAGCGTGGTTTGATGCAGTCATACAAGCGTGCTGAGGCACAACCTGGATTTTCGTGCCGTAGGGAATGAATTTCAAATTGTCTGCTTCTGGTTGCAAAACGCCGTGTTCCTGACTAACTCTGGCAACAAACCACCCCTTGTGCTCCGGCGGACTCACAATTTGACCGAAACCAGGCGTTGGTCCGGTGTCTTTGGAAAAAGCGATACCTCCGGCATTGATCAACTGTTCACCTGGTCCTTTAGGACCACGGTCTGGGTATTCGGAGAGGACCTCTGCAAGGAGGAAGATTGAGATGTCCTCGATGCCAACCAAATTTGTAGCTGCCTGCTGGAGGTCACAGCAGGTGTAGTTGCCAGCATGAAGCTCCAATTTGGCTACAAGCTTCTCCCCAACCGCATCCTCAATTGCTTGCACGCTCTTGACTTGTTGCGAGACATGCGCAGTAGGTGTAGCACCCACAGAAACATGCAAATCCAAATCTGGGTTCAAAGAGAGTGCATGCTTGGCAGCAAGGTTGGCGTGTCTGATCTCTTCCACCAACAAAGTGTGTGCATCCGAATCAGATCTTGCCCCGTAGGAATGGCCGGCGTGGCAGTAGAAGCCATGCAACTTAACAGAGCTCGACAGCACAATTTTCTGAATTAAAGAGTGGAGCCTACTCGATCCCTGCTCAAGCCCTGCACGATGAGTGCCCATGTCGACTTTCACAAAAACCTCCCAACTGGCGCCGTGCTCGATCGCGTATGTCTCAAGCGCTTCGATCTGTGCCTCATCATCAACCATAAGCTTGAACAGAGGCACCAATTTCAGAAAACGTGCCACTTCCGGCAACACCAGTTTTGCAATTGGAATACCAAGCAAAATATCCTTGACGGTGCCATCGTCAATTAGTGGCAAAATTAACCATGCCTCAGGGAGTGTGGACACAACTATCTTATGGGAGTGGTACAGGCCGTCTCCGGTCAATTGAATCCTCACACCTTCAGCAGCCTTGAGTGTCTTGATGTGGACTCTGAAATCAACATTCAATTCTTTGGCAGCGTCCAACATACGAATGGCATTGTTGGTGAACTTGGTCTTGTCTATGAGGAGTGACGGAGTAGGAAGGTCGTCGACTTTCTTATCCTTGTACTCATCAAGAAGCCTCTTCTTATTAGGCAAGATGTAAAAGGAATGGGGATGCATTTTGGAGCTGTAGATCGAAAGCCCGACGAATGAGATAGGAAGACTCGATGTATATATAACTTCTAGTGGAGTCAAGAGCGCGACCAAATGGGCTGATGACTCTGAGGCTACAGGAGCCCGAGTCAGATAAACAGAATCATCGTGCTGGAGACAGGACGTCGGGGAATCGCACGTCATTGACTGCTGCGCGGAATCCTGATTAACCTTTTGCAGCCATTCATCATGCATATATGTAAGGTTTATTAAGACTATTTAGATAGGTTTTAATCATAAGCTCTATACAGCCGTTGGGCCAAAGAATTCAGAGTGGATGTCTGTTTTTCCACGTTTGGATAACTCTTCTCTCACAAATTCCATGTAGCCAAGAGGACCAAGCATGTACACTTCCAGGTTAGGCAAGTCCAAGCTGTCAAAGTGGCTTTGAGAGAGTTTTTCGTTCTTGTCGTCGTTAAGACTGACGAATTTGAAGTTGGGGTTCTCGTTTTGCTTCTGCTTAAACCAGTTTTCAAAAGGAATAGCTTCGGCTCGCTGGTTGGAGTATAAAAGTGTGACTTTCTTGCCATCTTGGAGAGCCTTTTCTGTGATAGAAATCAATGGAGTGATACCTATACCACCGGCAAAAAGCACCACATCCTTGTCTGTTTCCTGGTATGTGAATCTGCCCGCTGGAGGGGCGACCTTGATGTGATCGCCGACTTTCAAGGTATTATGGACGTAGCCAGAAATGACCCCTTGTCGAGCTTCTTCACTGAAATACGGTACTCGCCGTCTGGATACTCTGAAATGGAATATTCTCTAGACTTCTCGATATCGCTACCGGGAATCAAGAAACGGAATCCGAGATACTGACCTCTCAAAGGTTGTGCTACCTTGGTTCCGTCGGCCGGCTTGAAGTAAACCAGCTTGACATCATCGGTCTCATTTTCGATCCTCGTCACCACAAAGTCCTTAAATCCTTCCCAAGGCTGTTTTTGATACTCTGCAAATTCTGCGTCAATTAAAAGCTGGGCCAAATTACCGTAGGCAATTGACCAGGCCTCCACAAATTCAGGAGTCGCTATTTTTTCACCCAAGAGCTTGCCCATGGTCGCAATCAAGTGCGATCCAACAACTGGATAGTGCTCTGCTCTGACTTGCAAACCAACGTGCTTGACCACTATTTGGTTCACAAAATCAGTCAATGGAGTCAAGTCATCTATGTTTTTGGCATAGTTAAGCAATGCAAACGCCAACACTTTAGGCTGCCTGTAGGTGATCTGGTTAGTGTCATTGAAAAAAGGCCTAACTTCTGGGTTTCCCGAGAGCATTGAATTGTAGAAAGTCTTGGTAAGGTCCAAGCCACTGGTCTCAAGAATAGGCACAGATGCCTTGATCAACTCCTTTTGAGCTGTGGTCAATGGTTGTGGTTTATAGATCTGAGGAGCAGAAGCCATGGTGCGAAATGGTTGCAAAATTCGTAAGAATGAGCTGCGCATGAATAAACGTCAAGAAAAAGCTTAGCTTAAATAGCTATCGCATTCTCCGTATATCTGCTCAGGCGATCACGTTCTCCGTAAAAATTTTTCAGAAGGGGTCTTATTTTACCCGTGGGCCCATGACCAATGAGTGGGCTGAGATTTCAAACCACGTTGCAGCACTATCAGGTGAGCTTCCGCGGTTCCCCGACTTGCCCAAAGTTGGCCGACAGTATTAGGACCCCTGACAGAGAACATTTCGTATTCCAGAAATAAGGTTCTCCGCAAAGGCTAGTCGATAAAGCTATATCATATTTAGTGGGCAAATATAAAAATCTGAAAAGCATCAGATATGCGGAGGTGAGTGAGCTTACTTTCGCCCCGCTGATCTTCAACGTCCATAACTCCGTCTCCTGTCTGTGCTTACTAATAGAAATCAGGAAATCTCGTAATCCATTAATAGCTTTTCCATCGAACCACCACCTCATTGTGTTTGCAGATACTCATGTATGCGGATGGCAGAAGCCGTGTTTGGCCGTTAAGCGCGGATCAAGAGCTTACAGCGGCTCAACATGACTGAGCCACCATTAAAATGATCCTCCAGTGACTCTAGTACTTTAATTTCGTTCAAGCATTTGAAAGTGCTACATAAGTTATGGCACGGGTCCCGCAAATATAATTTGCAACCATCGATTAACCGATTCGATTCTGCACTTCCTGCCAAAGCCGCAGAGTGATTGTGGCAGACTTGTCTCCGGGCGTGACCTTCCCGTAATTAGTACCAGCTAAGTAGAAGCCACAACCGGGCGGAAAGTGCTTTGCCGCCGTTTTATAGGCATAGTACAGGTAACCGTACAGAGGAAGCGGAACCTTCTCCTGCGCTTCCAAGGACTCGATAAACGGCGTCTTCACGGTACGTGCTATTTTCCCTGATACTAATGCAGTCATAACTGTAGGAGGAAGATTCAGGGAGCTCTTCACGAGATTGCCAATGAAACCTGGAGCGCTAGACTCCTCGCTAGTCACGTAGATGGTGCCCATGGAAACTGCAACGGCACCCTTTCGTAAGTACTCCGCAACGTCCTCGGCATCAATTATTCCTCCTGCGGGAATAACCTTCCCGAGATCCACAATATTGTCAAAAAGTGCTTTTGTTGAGAGCTGCTCATCAGGGCTTATGAATGCTCCTCTATGTCCACCAGCCTCGTAACCTTGCGCCACAAGAACATCAGCACCAACAGCAAGAGCTGCCTCTGCTTCTTTCCGATTGGTTACACACGCAAAGACTAAGATTCCTTCCTTGTGAATGAGATCGACCGTTTGTTGCTTGGGTAGACCAAAGTGAAACAGCACCACCTTGACATTGAGCTTCCCTAGCTGTTCAACGAAAGGCTTCACGTCATGCTTAGCCTCAAACTCTTTAAAAGAAACGTTTATGCGTTCGAATTGTGGAATTGTGCTGCGTAAGTCCTCACTGCTGACACCTGAAGCCTTCTCCATGATCTTGAACCAATTGGCTTGCTCTGTGGGACCCGGAGGTGTCTGCTCCTTGTAATCATGAGCAAAGAAGTTCACATTGACAGGGGCATTGCCTGCTAAGTGCTTGAATCGTCTAATCTGCTCGAACACAGGCTCCGTGTTCTTGGTCAAGTCATATGAGGCCATTGGAAGCGATCCCAAGCCACCTACCTTGGCTACCTCTGCAACCATTTCAACTGTGGAGACTCCGGCCATGGGTGCTTGCATTATAGGGGCTCTTAGCCCTAGATTCTCGATGAATGATTTAAACTTGAACATGCTTACAATTGAGATCTGCGAGGCACTCCCACTATATATATGCGTCAGAGTGTCTGGGGTGGTTCCATACACCCGAGCCCGTTAACATATATTCGATACAACTTAACTCTTTGGAATTGAAGGAACGATCTGACTATGATAGTTGTGTTATCAACTGAATGGAAATAATATACCCAGTTTTCTGAGATGCAGATAGTATGTGACGACGACATAACGATTAGTGTTTACAGACTTCTGGGAAACTCACCTTTCTTTTCTTGGAATTTTGCTCCGAAGAATATATCCAAATCATCACGATGAAATGATCTCTCAGCTCGAATCACCAGATCAACCACCAACCTCAGCTAGACTACCCCTGCTACAGTAGTGTTCCTGTTGTTGCTTGTATTATTTACAGAATCATGACTCGTGCTGGCGCCTTTCCAGCTTCTGGTGCAGCCTTTACCCGGCTGAACCAAATGTATATACCCTTGGCTTTCTTTAGATAGCTCCGCTGCTTTACTCTGAGATGGCGTCCTTAAGAGCCAACTTTCTCAGGTGGGCGTCAAAGTATGACCTCAAGTCTTCAAAACGCTTGCTCTGAGGGTTGATTTCCATCACCTCCTTGTCCTTGAAAGTCACCTTGACCAAAGGTTCCTCGTCTCCAGTGAGAATCTTGCGTTCAATGGAGCACCCGCTCTTCAGCGCAGTGGGTATACGGCCAATAAATAGTCTCACAGGCTTTGCGGCCTCGGAAAAGGGGTTAAACCTCACCGACACATGCGTGAAATACTTGGTGATCATGGGAAGGTGTGTGAAGTGTAGTTGAAATTTTTCTCTACTCTACAGTTGTAGGTACCGCACCCGTGCACCACGTACATTAGGGTCCCACCAGATCTTGACTTAATCATGGTAGTCGTAACACGATTCGAAAAATTCAATCTCCAAGTCCAATGTCTTTTCAAAGAATTCACTGCACTTCTTCTTGCTTTCTTCGTCAACACCAACTCTGTTCACCTCGTCTGCAAGGAAATCACACCATGCGCCAAACTCGGGACCACTGTGTAAAACAACCCACTCGTTGTGCTTATAAGCAAGGTTTTTGATCTCGGGTGTTCTTTCCAAATGGTATTCGGCCCAGCCTTGGTAAACCTTTTCCATCACGTACATAAAAGTGATGATCTCTGGGTACAGTCTCAGCTTGAACGTCAAGTAATCGAGGATGTCGAGGTACTTTTGGACAGCTGGTAGGGTTGGTGGATCTTGTTTCAACATTGATTTGGCATTTGCTTCGATTTCGTCCTTTGACTCGGCCCTCAATTGGTCCAAGCACTTGAAGAAGTAGGTGTTCTCGGAATTCGAAATGAACCCAATCTGCTTCCCCAAGACAATAGCGGACTCTGGCTTGTCACAGTAGACCAAAGCATTTCCGAAAAGGTTCAAACCTAATTGAAAGAATTTGAGGTCTTGCACTAAGTATGTGAAGAGCTTGTAGTCTGGAAGAGTTCCCTTGCAAAGCTCGTTGGTGAGAGCACAAGTAATCAGCTTATGGAACTTGTCATGATGCTTCTCCATTAATTGGTCGATGAATGTCATTGTAAGTGCTGAAAAAGAGTAAATGTTACGTTTGACTTAAAAGTTGCCGATGGTTTAAGCTTAATGCATATATGCGCTTACAGGGTGCGGGCCTGAGGACCTATGCTGGTATAGGGCACTGGTTGCAACGACCCCACTAGATAAAACTCGACTGGTGATGATGTGTTTAATGTAAACTTGTCAATCGTACCTCGAACAGAAACAAAAAAAAAAAAAAAAAAAAAAAAAAAAAAAAAAAAAAAAAAAAAAAAAAAAAAAAAAAAAAAAAAAAAAAAAAAAAAAACAATTATTAGTAACGACACTGAAGACAACCCAATAGCATAATCTATCCTTGAAACCCACGAGTTGAAGATGAAGAGCCCCAGAAAGTTCCTTGATATCTTAACAATACTTCATCCATAGAGCTCCAACTTAGTCTAAAAAAACTCGGAAAGAAGGCACTCAGCAGGATACACACCAGACTCTGATATTGACTTACCACATCAACGATTCAGCAACGAGACCCAACCACATGCCTTTGATAAAATTGCGTAATTGATTGATAACAACTCAATCATTGATATCAAGGAGTGTTTTGAACCGAATGCAATCCGATTGGCCGTGGATATCGAAACGCAATTTCAAAAACGACCGGTGCTCCGTTTAGAGAAACCACAAACACAGTTATTGAAGCAAGCAGCAAGACATGTTTCACAAGCGATTAAGATCGAAGAATTGCATCCACCATTCCATTGTAGCGTGTTCTGGTTCTCGAGAGTAATCAGAGATAAGGGTTACAATGACTGTGAGGATATCAAGATGAAGAAAGTTCGAAACGTACCTAACAAGGCGAAAGCGTTACCTTCTCTGTCAAATTATGCATGCTGCCAAATTCCAAGCCCCTGCTTCCAATCAAGACTAGCGTGTTTCGGCTATCGGATGCGCATGGTGGAAACTATAGGCGAAGATAATAAGCACTGCAGCTATTCTCTCGGGTAGAATCATTGTGAAATTTAAGAGGCTTATGGGTAACGCTCGTCGTTATCTCTACGTCGGTGAGCATTATTTCCGCATTCACCCGAGTTATCTTGAGGCTTATTCTGGAGCATAATCTCTCGTACCGTTGCAATCATAGGTCAGCCACGGTCTTGTAAATCTACACCACCTTCAAGCCGATGTTCATGGTTTCTTATCACAAAATCCAACCTACCACAAAGGTAAATGTATTGGGCTTCACGTTATCCATGATCATATATGACATTGTGCATTACCGAAGTCACAAGCCAACTTATGCCAGATCCGATGAAAGAAAGTCAAAAAGGCATTATGACACATGCTTGACAGCTAAACGGTCCTTATCCAATGATACAGACGCACGCTTATCTCTGGTGCTGCTGGTACTCATTTTGCGCTTTAGCTGCGGCGCATCAAGAATCTCAATTTTGCAGCCATAACCGTGGAGCGAACAAGAAGAACACCGAGGCTCATATGACAATTGAAGTATTCGAGTGTTCAGCAATGAATCCGAAGAATATTTAAACAGACAGAATCTCCTCCATTTTTTCCCATCAAACACTCAAACACTCAATCTTCTCAACAATGCAAATCTCCAAGCTCGTTACCACTACTCTCGCTGCTTCCACTGCTGTCTCTGCCACTCCAGTTGCTAACAACTTGGCCAAGAGAGACGATGCTGTCGATGTTGTCTTGAAGGACGTCGAAGACCTTCTTGGAACAGTTGTCAAGGATGTCACTGGTCTTTTGGCTGACGCTGGTCTTAACGTCACCTCTGTTCTTGAACCAATCCTCCTGCCATTGGGATTGAAGAAGAGAGAGGAGGAGTTGGCTGCTTTGGAGAGAAGAGACCTCTCTACCATTCTCAGCGACGTTGACGGTTTGGTTTCCGACATCTTGAAGGGTGTTGGCAAGATCAGCGCTGACTTGCTTGGCCTTTAAACCTGTCTCACATTTTCAATTCAACTTTAGCTAGCTACTTCATAAAGAAAAAGAAAAAAAATAAAAAAAATTCACCCACTTTGACGTGTAGGAGGTTTCAAACGAACAAGTTGATCAATGCACTTTATATTCTATAGCTTTTATTTGACTGGCTTACCTGGCAACAGCAGATGAAGGTTGCTGTACGCGAGGAAGCTCTTGGGACTGAACACGGCCTCGGTTTCTTTTCTCCATGAATGCATCATATGTAGTAGCCTTTCTGTCCCGGAGGTACCCAAAAAGAAAATAGCCCACCGGCACGTATGCCAAAATACATGCTTTGAGCACAAGTTCATGCCAGTCGTTTTGAACGAAGCCAAGACTCAAAAACACTAGAATCATCTCGCTGATGCAGCTCACGAAGAATGTGAGGTAGAAGTGGTGATGATGGAGCCAAAACAACCATAATGGAGAGGTTCTGGTTTTGGTCTTGAAGCCATGGTAGAAGCAATCAATCATATTCTGGATACACCAACCCAGAATAAGGAATGAATAGGACGTGTGCTTGGCGATCTTGGGATGAGGGTAGATCACGCCGTAGCACATCCAGATCATTCTGACAGCATCAAATAAACCCCACAAATCGTTCAAAGTGAAGTTGGGCTTGGCCAACGCAGCAACTAAGGTCCATCCAATGAGTGGAAACACGCTGACCACATGGAAGAAATCAGCAATACCAGCAGGTAAGAACTTTCTGCCCACCAAAGGAAGCAAGATGAGGAAACGGCAGAAGCAGCAGAACCATAGCGTTGTGGAGACAACGTTGTAGTAAAAGATGAGCTTGCGGGCTCCCGTCAAAGGGTATAAGGCCATGTTGTAAAAGAAGGCGGTTTCACGTTTTTCTTGATTGAAGGCTGTACCAGCCTCATGCACTACAGAACACGACCGTTACTTTCTGCGCGGTACTGCTGCAAAGTATCAACCACCTAGTATGAGAATTCTAGGGCTATTTATATTCACCTTTTGCGCCGTTTTCGTGGCTGCAAACTGGTCACCGGAGGATTATGAGATTTTCAGCTTGAATGACAAAATCAAGAAAGATCTTGGTCCAGAGACCGACTTCTACACATGGCTAAATCTACCTAGAGGACCCAAGTCTTCTTTTGAAGAGATCAACAAGGCTTACAGAAAATTGTCGAGGAGATTGCATCCTGATAAGTTTAGCGGAAGACCAAAGAAGCTTAAGAAGAAGGCGGAGGAGCGTTTCCAAAGATTGTCTCTTGTCGGCAACATCTTGAGAGACCACAGCTTGAAGACTAGATACGACTATTTCTACGACAAAGGTTTTCCCAAATGGAGAGGCACGGGCTACTTTTACCTGAGATTTCGTCCTGGTTTTGTTCTTACATTGGTCGTACTCTTTTTGATCGTGGGATTGTTCCACTATGTCTCACTCAAAATCAGCAGAAAGCAGGACTACAAGAGAATTATGAACATGAAGGATGAGATCAGATCGCAGGCTTGGAATAACTCCGGTGTGCCACCGTTAGATGGCTCTGATAGAAAAGTTGAAGCTCCCAACGGTGTTCAATTTCATGTCTCTAATACTGGTGATGTCAGTATCATCGAGACCGAGAGAAACAACAACAGGGTGCTCGTTCCTTTGGATGAAAATGATATCAACGTGAACCCAGGTTTCAAAGAGACTTTATTCTTCAAAGTGCCTGCAAAACTTTGGAACGTGTCTATCGGTAAGGTCACTGGGAAGGGTATCGACACCACTATTGTTTATCAAACATCATCGGCTGAAACCGAGAAGCAAACCCAGGAAAAGAAGACCAAGAAAAAAAAGAAGCCTAAGGGAAACAAGATCGAATTGCCTAATGGCAAAGTCATCTATAGCAAACCCAAAAAGTAAGCTTGGTAATTATATTAATTATAATTCTATATATCGAAAGAATTCATTATTCACTATGCTTTGGTACACGGCGCAACTCATTGTGGTCATCATCTTCGTCAGAGGAACTGGATCCTGATAAATCGTCAAAAAAGTTATCATCATTGAGGTCATCCTGATGCCCTGGGAATTTGGACCCATTCAAGTCATCAACAAACTCTTCTTGATTTTCTACCAGCGATTTTGGCGACATGCTCTGAATTCGAACATCCGAGAGATTCGCATTTGTCTCGGCTTCGCCATCGTCAACATCCTCATCTTCATCTGCATTCGTGGGCTGCAGATTCACAAACTCATCATGATTACTGCTGTCGCCTAGTATGATGAAGTTTTTCTGTTCTTCGTCATATGGCTCAAGGTCCATGTAACCAACTGTTGATGAATCAAAGCCATAAGCTTCATCGTCGGGTTGTCTCCGATGACCGCTGTCTTCCATATTCTCGGCATCATCATATTCGGAGTCGGCACCTAATATCGCATTGTATAGTTCACGAGTCTTTAGAAGCACATGTTCCACGAACCATTCCCACTCCTTGCCGTTGACGGCATCGACAATCACGGGTGAGATCAATCCAGGCTTATACAACGAAGAGAACTTCACCACTTCCTCACTAATAAGGATTAAGTGGCCTGTGTAGCCCGGACGAGGTTCGGCCTTCGTCTTAAAAGTGTCAACGATAAGGTTTGTGATATTACATTCATCTCGTTTGAATAATTCCACAATCAAGAACGAGTTATATGAGTTCAATTTGCCGTTGAAAATCTGTTGTATCAAATCGAAAACAACGTTGTGAAAGAAATTATGCCAGGGATAATCAACAAATTTTCTAATCATCTTTGGGAGTATCTTCAGATCCACAAGCTTAATTTTGAAATCATCACCGATGCATGGATTGCTTCTGAAGATTTGATCGCGTTCTTCACAGACAAAAGGATTCTCCTGCGAGACTGCGGGCTCTTCGTCGTCAGATTCAACAAACTCAGCGGCATTGAGCTGATCCATTTTCAGCTTGGTAAAGCTCTTTACTGACAAATCGCTGTTGTTCGACTTGCCTCTTCTTCTGCCCCCATCAGCGGACATGCCATCGTGCAAGGAAACATCATCTAGGCCACTCGTCACATCACCAATATGCTCTTTGTCGTGTTCAGAAGTGTCATCATCTAATATGGAGCCAGCCAACGCTTCCTTGAGCCGCGATTCTTGTAAGACACGAATCTGATCACGGATTCGGACGATGTCCGCAATCTTTCTCGAATTGAGTAAAATCATATTGGAGCAATGAAGAAGCTCAGCGATGAGTTCAAATAACTTGAACTTTGTTACACCTAGAGCTTCTGTTCCTCTCTCGGCAGCCGCAGGAGCACTAGCGTCGAGATCGATAAGTTCAGAGATTTCGTCCATATTTTCCGAAAAGATCTGGAGCATGTCACCCAAGAAGACCGGATCTCTAAAACCAGGAGGGTTCTGGTCAAAATCTTTGAGCCACTGATACATCACATAAACACTGACCTCGCCAGTAGGTTCTCCAGTGTTGTTTTCAAGTAGTGAGCTGTATGTGCCACAGTTCAAGTCGTAGTCCGAATTATTCTTCCTGATAAGCTCAATCAATATCGTGACACAGTTGCTGATTCCACTTTTGTTCGTCCTGGGCAAATCTGATGCCAGCTTGCCAGGAAGGCGGTACAAGATGATGTCATGTACCATTTGCCTGATTATCCTGGGCGAGGCCAATTCACGGGTCAATTGGTTGGGACCAATATTTGTTTCAAGGTCCACCGCTAAAGTCGAGTTGGATGAAATCGATATGAGGGCTTTGATGAATTCAGCAGCTGCGGTCTGTCTAAAAAGTAGCTGATAGTTTGGGATGCAGACGTGATCCTCCTCGAATTGAGACATAATTGGCTTGAGAATGTCAACAAGCTTGTCAACGAGCTGCTGCTGTACGAGGACCTCTATAATGCCCGTGGGCGAGTCTGCTCGGTCGGTCTGGATCACCTTGATAAAGAAATCCATCAAAATTGGTATTTCGATTTTGGCCAAGAATGTGTCGACCAAATTATGACGCCGCCTAATGAAATTGAGAAACTCAATAGTATTCGAATCCAAAAAGTGGTCAAGGACCAGTACCAAGTACCCAACGGCCGGCGAACTTTCACAGAGATGTGGCATCAGGATCACCAGCCACAACTTCTCCATAAGCACGGGCGTTTCAATAACTCGGTTGGAAATGACCCAAAAGTCCATGGAAAGAACATCTGTGGCGCCTTGAATGTATCGACGTAGGCGCTCCTCGGCTGGTTCACGTTTAGCATCCTCAGTATCTTGCTCTTGCTCCTCTTCTTCTTCCTCCTCTTTAGCGTCTTCCATTCTCTGTTCTCTAACTTCGTCCAGGGGATTGTCAGTATGGAGACTCCCGGTATCGCTCTTGTTGACAAGGTCTGCTAGCTTCTGATCCTCCTTGAGTGCAAGGCTGTGAAAAAATTCGACAGACTGATCTATGTAATCAAGAAGACCCATCAAGATATGGGGCTGGAGCACAAGCTCCATCAATTTTGCCTCTCGAGCGGTCTTTGATAACACATTATTGGAGCTTGCTTCATTCGATGACGAAGCCAACGAGGCGTCATCGCTCATGGAGCTATTTCTCGTTGCTTCCACCTGCTGGACCAGCGGCAACTGGAAGTTAGTCTTCTTGCCGTATTTGCTCAGTAGACTCTTCAACTCCTCCATGAACTCCAGCTGGATGGTTCTATCTTCGAACAAATCCTCGACATTGATCTTGCTCACATCCGCCGTAGAATCAAGGAGCTTCTGTAGATGACTGTTGTTATTGAAGGAGCTCGAGAAGGGCCAAAACGACATGGTCTTTTGAGGAGTAAATTATGCTTTCAAGTATAACTGCTGCTGTTGTGTGAATGGCTTCGGATTCTAACCCCAGGGAGCTTGCGCAAGCGATTTGAGGTCAGAGCTTCCCGGGTCAAAGGAATAAAGTGCAGTTGGATTGCTCGACAATATGTGAGCTCTAGTGCCAGGTATGATCGCTGGCTTGATTTGATTTTGACCAATTGATCACTGCTGATATATGGCCTGCACTTGACAGGAGCCGTGAACCAGGTTGTTCCGCGCATACACTATCTTGCACCCAAAGGCTGCTGATTCTATATGCTTTTATTATTTAGACCCCAAAATATGTCTTTACTCCCATCAATCTGTGGTGGGTAAACCGGCAACATACTCGATCAAATTGTCAAACTCAGCAGCGTAGGCATCAATCATGCGATCGGCAATCGCTCTTACTGTTCTGCCACATGTTGCAGCGTTATGCTGCATCCACTCTTTCACTGTCATGGCCTCTTCTTCCTCGGGCATAGCCGCAATAAAGTCGGTGAGAATCCCTTCATTGTCGTTATGAAGCTCACAGCTTGCAGCCGAGACTTCCGCAAGATAATCCATTGTATCTGTCAAAGTCTTGAGCTCGTCCATGATGTTTCCCAACTTCGATGTGTCAATCCGTGGATAGTACTTGTAGACAGCATCTTCACGAGCCTTCCGTGGCGTGCTAGATTCTATGAATGAGCCAGAGATTTTATCAAGCTGCTTAGTGGACGGGGATGGGACGTCCTCTTGACGTTGTTGTTCGATGGAGCCATCATCTCTTTCATCAACACTCGCCGGCAGTGATTCCTCAATGAAGGTCCGATTATGAGGGGATTCGTTATAGCTGGGACTGGACACCGAATCAATGGCCCCCTCGGACATCCGAAGCACCGGAATGTTAGCGCTAACCTGAACTGCACCATCTTCTTCACCATTATGCTCATCATGCACTGTTTCTGAAGCATGATGAGCATGATGATCCAACTCATCTAGCTCCTTCTCTTCTTTTGTGGCGACCGCCAAGTTATCTCGCTCCGATGCTTCCAAGGAGGTCGGCTTTGCGTCTTTTATTGATACATCGCCAATTGAAGTCTCATTACCACTATTATCTGCATCTTTAGTTTCCAGTGCCCCTTCAATCTCAGACTTTCCACCGTGGATATCATTGACTTGTTCTTCAGCTTCAGGAATACGTTGAACATGGTGGGACATTTTTTCTCCCACGTTAGGGGACGTTTTATCTCTGGAAGGAGCTTTCTCCAACACGATGGCTCTTTCTGGTTCATTCTTCAAACTGTGTTCGTCGAATAAAACCATACCTCCTTGTTCATCGATATTCATGGGGTCTTCATCCACATTCTCGAGTATATTAGATTTTGAGCTTTTTTCAATCATTAGCCCCCACTTTTAGACTCTTGCATCACGGAAGAATCCACAAACTCGTCTTCCATACTACGCATGTCCTTGACATAGTCGCCATACGTAGAAGGTGATAAAGTAAAGTTACTTTCCCCACCGGAATCATTCTCTTCATCACTAGGAGCCCCATTTAAGTTTCCTGTCTTGAAGCGAGTTGGCGTCTCAGCTTTTGAATCATCGAACTCAGCTCGTGTATCAACATATTCTTCCATCGTCGTTTCCTTCGATTCAGCGACAGACGCAGGAGCTGCTGGAGCATCAAGATTGCTTACTTTTGCATCGGGTTCAAGATTAGGCACACGAGGAGACGCATAACGGGAATAGGCTTTTTCGCCAGCAGAGGCATGATCTGTTGGAGAAGTTTGACCACCTTCAGGATTGGAAAAGGCATTGTTATCAAACGAGTGTTTCTCTTCTTTTGAAAGAGTTTGATCAGTCTGCGGTTCAGATGACTGTCCATGGTTGCTGGGTCCATCTTTTTCTTCCTCAGTAGATTGTTGGCCACCCTTTCTCAAACCACTAGGAATATGCTCTTCATTAAAACTTTGCTCATCAGCATGACCAGCGCCATCAATATGGTCATTTATAGCGTTCTGCATGTCTTTGTCAACGCTTCCTTCATTATTGTTTTCGTTCAAATGACTATCGGGTGCCTTTCGAGCCTCATTCAAGTTCAATGCCGCTTCCTTGGGCGTACTTTGTTGGGCCATCTCCACATCAGTTGAAGCCGAAATGTCAAGTAGGGAGTTTTTGTCTAAGGACGAACGGGGTTTTTCATTTGCAGGCTCTTCATTGTGGTCAGACTTCTGGACACCTTTAAGCTTATTGGATCGGTGAACAAAAAAATCAAAATCATCATCATCATCATCGAAGGCTGACTTCTTGACTTTGGTTGAGAGCTCGGTAGAAAGAACCGGTCTTTTTTTAGTCGCAAATTCATCATTTCGAACTTTGGATAATTGCCTTTGTTCTTCTAAGTAGGAGATGTTGGATTCGTTGAAGTCCCCGATGTTGTGACCCGAAAGATCAAGAATGTCATCCTTTGGTTTATAAGCGCCTTCTGCTTGATTGAGTTTCACTTTTTTCTTTTTGCCTGGGGACGCAAGTATCTGCTTGAACCGATCAGAGTCCATGCTGCCATCTAAACTTTCCAGCAGACGCTTTTTCGTATTACCAGACTCGGCCTTAGGGGTATGGTTTGCTGTCTTTTTCAGTGCTTGCTCTTCATCTACCGCAGAGCCATGATCCTCATACGATGGGTCATTTTCCGAGATTGTGAATTTTGAGCCGTCATCCAGTGAAGGCGTCAGATCATCACTCTCAATTAACGAAATTTCAGATTGGCCAGTCGATTCAAGGTTAATTTTTGCGTCAGTGTCCTTATCACTAGCGCCATCATCTTCGAGGGTATCTTCAGCTGCGCTGGGCCTCTGTAGCTTTTCAGTGATTAAGGGACCTTCTGACGTTTGCAGACTCTGCTTGTGCTCTCCATTGGTGTGCGTCAGAGTCATCGAGCGGTTGGTGGACTCATCAGACTCGCGGGACTTATCAACTTCTAACATGAAGGAGCCTTTGCTAGATCTCTTCTTAGCAATTGACTCTGGAGGAGGGGGAGGCGGTTTCCGCAATCTGGGTTTTCTATGATAAACCTTTGATTTACCATCATCAAATATAGAACCATGATCTGGGTCCTCAATATCTTCGATTGAGAAGTCGTATGCATCGAATTCAGAATCCTTATGAAGTTCAGGCTCCGTTGAAGGCAGTGGAGATGGCCATTTCGACACGGGCTCATTTAATGGAGAGCTGACTGAAGAGTCATGTTCTTTATCAGCGGATTTGACCCTTGGTGAGGGTACCGGAGTGGTAGACATTATCGAGTCATCAATGTCATCGAGTGAGTCATCAGGTAATGGCACCTTTGATTTTCTCTTTTGAGCACCATTGCGGTTATCTGAACTTGTGCCATTTTGTTTACCTCCCGGTAGAGTATCAAGGAAGTAACAATATGCGTAAGAATTAGCTCTGTGCTCTCGTAGAGGGTCATCTTCTGGATCCCAGTGATCTAGGGGGCAGTCACAGTACATGCATATGACACGGTCATTATCTTTATCCAATGGACTGTAGTAAAGGCCAGCTTTTGCTAAGTCTCTGGATGTCGCAGTGCATTTCTTTTGACCGTCTAGCTTCCATAAGTCCTTGAACGTAGACGCTCTCAACATGACGGATTCACTAGAGTGCGGGTCAGTGACTGAACGAGGAGCTCTTTCCTCCTCGGCCAATGTTCGCCAGAATTCCTCCTTGTCTCGAGCAGAGACGCAATACTCCATGTTCGATTGTATTAGACCATAAGCACATTTAGGGCTTGTTCGTAGATGATGGCAGCCGAGAGCCTGAACTCCGACGATGTCATTTTCCTTCTTGCCACACCAAAAGCAGGTTACCTGATCCTGATTCTTTCTTGTGGGGTGTAGTAGAAACCGTTGTCCACTAAAGATGTGATGGAGGGGATTTCATGCTCCCAAACCTTGATGATTCGCGTTGTAGGAACTTTGATACCATCAGTAAATGACTTTTCTCGTTCATCCCGGTACTGGAATTTATCTGGGGCTTGTTTGGGTGGCATACCATTGAGTAGAGTGAAGTATTATGGTGCGAATCAACTGTTGAAGATGAGTAGCGCGTATCCACAAACACAGATGCTGATAGACTACAACAAAAATTCTACCTGAGTTTATTTTCATTCTCTTATGCGTGACCCACCAAATGCTGAATGGTCTTCAAGGCTTCGTATTTCAATTCATTGTCACCGCCGTTATTCTCCAACAAGGTCATGATCAACAACTTGTACTGACCACCCTTCTCGGTGTTGAGAAAGTTTATGACGTCGCTGCCGAGATTCTTGATTAAAAATTGCAAGTCGTTCAAGAGGATCACCTTGGAAATCGGAGTATTGTCTGCTGTCAATATCTCTAGCATTTTCTTAACAAGTTTGAAGTTGTTGTCTTTGAACTTGTGGGCATTTTCTTGCCAGAATTCAGATGACTTGTGTGTAGGGGAGGACCAGCTCAACAACTCCGGGTTTTCCAACTCTACTAAGTATTCGTCCATGGAGGACAACTTGCTCGAAACAACTTCCGACAAGGTGTCATTCAAGTAGGCCAAATCAGACGACAATTCATCATCGCTTCCATTTGCTGCGAACTTTCTGGTCTGGATGGTCTTGACTATGTTCAAGCCATCGTGGAAAAGCACCAACTTGACGACACTGTATTGTTCCAGGTTGCTCACAGTAACTGCCACGAAGTTCTTCAATGCTGAAATCGCAACTCTCACCACTTTAAGTTTGATGGATTCCTTCGACACAGTCAAAAGATTGCCAATGAGTTGTGGAAAGTTGTGCACGATTGTCTTGTTGATGGTACTTGAGAAGCTTAGGATCCAGACTGTCAAAAAGACATAGTACAAAAGCTGGAAATTGGTAGTATTAGGCTTCTTGGCCAGCAATTCTATCAATGTGTTGATGCTCTTGAAATTTGACACCAAATTGTGTTCTTGGAAAATGGCTCGGTAGTTTTTGTGAACGATCAAGTCCTGCAATAATTGAACACCAATCGATTGCAGGTTCTGGTCGGTCGTGTTACCAATGTAGGTCTTGGAGCAAGCCAAGTCGAAGAGTTTAATCAAAACTTCCTTATCAACCTCGATGTCGTCCTTCGCAGCCTTGCCCAACAAGATAACCAAGTTGTAGAAACTCAATGTCTTGATAAGCAGATCGTTATTGTCCAAATGCTTCACGAATGGATGGAATGGCAATGATGAGTCAACCTTTGATAATCCCAAAAGAGTCTTCAAGAACACCTTGGCCTCGGGGTCTGTCAACAAATCGCTCAATAACACCAACACACTCTTTAAGACATCGTCCCTGGAGTTTATCTCCAACTTGTTCAACAAGTTCAAGATAGTTTTCGAATACAAGTCCACGGAGCTCAAGACTGTCTCACGTTTGGAATCAGCATTTTGTGTCTCCAAGATTTTGATAAGATCCGCCTGGTCGTTATTAATGATACCTGCTCTGGCCAATCCTTCCCAAGGTATGATCTTTTCTCTCACAAGCTTCCGAGAATCGGAGAGTGAAGAGCTCTCAATCACCAATGGAGTCTGTTGTTAGAATTGAAGTTTGGAGGTTGACAGTCATACATACATATTCTGAGGCCATGTTCACAATTGGTGTCGAACTTGCTGCCACTGTTCCTATCTCACTGATAATGCTAGTGCCATGTATTATTGGTACGCGCACGCCGTTGTGAGGTGTGCTTTTCGCAGCCATAGTTTCAAAGCGTTAGATAGTACTGAATGATGATGCCTCGAAGATCGTTTCTTGACACGACGTGAAGCAAAAATCTAATGTGAATTATTTAGAACAGGGTAGAAAAAAAAAACTCTGCCGGCCCCAGGAATCGAACCTGGGTCTGTTCGGCCACAACGAACTGTACTGACCACTATACTAGACCGGCTGCTAATGCACAGGATTGGTGCGCAATATTCATATCACACCGCTTGACTTCTAAGTACTTTCGGGTGTTAAGCGATGAAAGACACAGCAAAACCAAGGAGAGCTCCAACAAGCTAAAAAGAACCAAAATGGACAGGATCTGCTCTGAGAACGCTTATTATTTTACCTGTAGCAACAGATTTCGCTACAATACTTTCCCTCTCACAAAAATGGCTCGACAAAATCAAATATCGCCATCTATATTACCCGCATTGTAATACTGTATCTATTGGCACTCTGGCCGAGTGGTCTAAGGCGCCAGGGTAAGGTTACCTTACCATACATTCCTGGTCTCTTCGGAGGCGCGAGTTCGAACCTCGCGGGTGTCAATATTTTTTTCTAATCGCAACTTCACCACGGTGTGCAGATAGTGCTCTCGCCTCTCTACTCTGGAGTCATAGGTCGGTCTCTCTTCTTATATACTACCATGGATATTGACGACGACATCTTATCTGAAGAGGAAGGCTTCCATGAAGATGCCCTCAACAACGAGGACTATGACCTACTCTATGAGCTTCTCCCGACTGTGAAGGAAGCCATTGCATCCTACAATGACAGCATCGACGAGTTGAGCATCAAAGAGGCTATTTATTACAACTACTTCGAATTGGAGCCCACGCTTGAGGATTTGAAGTCTAGATTCCCCAAAAAGAAAGGTACGTTTTTCTCATTTTTAACCGTCTGTGCTCAGCAGACTGGCATCCCCGTTTTTGCATAACAGAGTACAATGGTATTTGACTAAGTTCAAGATTTGCTAATCGATTCAGAAGAGCCAAAGTTGTCGAAGCTCGCAATGCTTGCCAAGAAGCGTAAGGAAGCTAAATCTAACGAGAACTCAACTCCTGGGGAACTACCGAACCGTGCCCCAGTGTCACGAACCGGAGGCATTTCCAAGTTGGCAGCCCTAGCCAAAGCCAGGAAGGCAGAGAAGTCAGCAGCACCAAATACCACATCGACTAGCTCCACGCCACCTGACTCAGGTAAGCCGAAGTTGGTGAGGAAGACAAACCTAGCAGGTCTAGCGTTAAAACAGAGAGCACGAGCAAAGCAGGAGGGCAGGGAATCACCAAGCTCATCGTCTGAACCGTCAATACCCCAGCCAATCGAAGAAAAAGCTACAAAGCAGTCATTCAATTTCACCTTAAAGGTAGATGAAGTTGACCTTTTGCTCACTCCTGAGCAGCTGGTGTCAGTCTTCCTCTTCGGTGACGATCTTGAATCCCTGGGACCATGTACCAAAAAAAGGCGCCATAACACTGAGCTCTTTTATGCATATACTAACAGCATTCTTACAGCCAAAGCAAGGTCTAACTTCAATTCACCCAGTCCTGACGACGTCGTGCTTACAGCCCAAAAACAGGCATTTGATACTGACATGAGCAAACTCTCAATTGCTGAAAAAGAAAAAAAAGAACAGTCAACTGAAGACAAAAAAATTCCCACGTCGACCAAACCTTTCAAATCAATTGATTTGGCGAAAGAGCTTGCAAACAACCCAAGCTTCAGCAAACCCAGCAAGTCTTTCGTGATTATCGGGCACGTTGATGCTGGAAAATCCACTCTCGTTGGCCGTATCCTCTATGATGTGGGTGCCGTTGAGTCAAAGACCATGATGAAGCTTGTTAGAGAGGCCGAAAAGTCCAACAAGGGTTCATTTGCACTCGCTTGGATCATGGATCAAACTCTGGAGGAAAGATCCCGAGGCGTGACAATTGACATCTGTGCTACCAATTTTGAAACTCCAGATACGAGATATACGGCCATTGATGCACCAGGCCACAAGGATTTTGTGCCTCAGATGATCAGTGGAGTTTCTCAAGCTGATGCCGCATTGCTTGTAGTTGACAGCACTAACGGCGAGTTTGAGACTGGCTTTATGATGAGCGGCCAGACCAAGGAACATACTCTTCTCGCCAAGAATCTCGGTATTGATCAGATCACCGTGGCCGTGAACAAGATGGACAAGGAAAGTTGGGATGAAAACCGCTTCAAGGAAATTCAACATCAGTTACTGGAGTACCTCACAAGTAAAGAGGTTGGTTTCCGTGCTGAGAGTATAACATTCATCCCTCTTTCTGGATTGACTGGTTACAATGTTGTCAAGAACGACCACTCTGTTAAAGAGCTTGACTGGTACCAAGGCCCAACCTTGCTCGAGGCACTTTCAAAGATTGATAATTCAGACTCTAAGGGGGTGTCTGTATCAAGTTTGGAAGGCGACTTCAATTTGGCAATTAATGATATTTTTGATGCCACCAGCTCGGAATTCAAGGTTAGAGGCAAGATCAATCTGGGTCTGATACAGCCAGGCCAAACTGTGTGCTTCCAGCCAGCGGAAGAATATTTGCAAGTGCAAAATGTATATGTTGATGACAAAGCTGCCGATGTTGCCATCGTTGGCCAGACTGCCCTGTTGCGATTCAAAACGTCGCAATTCCGGAACAAGACAGTGGAGGATTTAAGCATAGGAGATCTCGTTATTAGCATGGACTCACCATTGAAGGCTGTCAAGCGCTGTACAGCAAGTGTTAACATGTTCAACATCACGAAACCGCTTCTAGTGGGAACACCATTTGTCATGTTTCGTGGCAATGCATCTGTCGCGGCGAGAATAAGCAAGGTGAAGAAGATCAACGGTGTCAAGAAAAAGAAGATGCATCTCGTCTCTAACCAGATTGCTGAAGTTGAAATTGAGATCATTGGTGATCGGTCGTTGCCCTTGGCGAGGTTTGAGGACAATAAAGCCTTGGGAAGAGTTGTTATGCGCCGTGAAGGTGCTACAGTCGGTGCCGGAATTGTTACAGATTTATAGACATAGATAAGCAGATTTGCTTACCAAACAATGTAATCTAGAACGAGGATGAGACACCCTAAGACAATGCAAGTTGTGACAATCAAATTCGAACCACGCTTGTTTCTGCTGGTGGCTTTTGTTAAAGTCTTGTTACCCAACCGTAGGTCAATGTCAATCTGATCCTGATTGTCGAGTAGATTGTCGATCTGTTCGGCCTGCGTTTCCAAATGAGTTGACAACTCAGACAGTAGCTTAACGATGTCAAGAATGGAATGATGAAGTTTTTCCACCAGCTTGAACTGGTTAGTTTTCCGTGTGAGAAGCTCTTTATTCTCTTCCTTGAGTTCTTGGATCTGTTCCTGACTGAGTTGTGATATTTCCCGGTTTATATATTCGTTTTCCTCAGCCACGACATCAAATTGGTATGTTGACTTAAATGGATCAGCAGTGTCATTCAAATCATCGTCATCAATATTTTGGAAATGCAAGAGATTCAATTGCCTTTCTCGATCATATCTTTTTCTTTGCATCAGCTCAAAATTGCGATTCACATTGACGGCGGTTTCGTTCAAAAACCGCAACACCTGTGTTCTGTGTGATGCAATGGTGATATCATAAAGGGTCTCTGGATTCATATCAGAGGTGCCAAAAAACGATGACATGAAGCCACCTTTCAGTTGCTTGGATTCAGCCAATTCTGTCTGCTTGCGCTGATAGGACTGGAGGAACTTCAACTTCTCAAATGTTTGCTGTATCTTGATCTTGAACTCCTCATCAATTTTATTCTTCTCTTCGATACCAAGGTAGGAAGAGCTTTTGTCAGTCCTCGAGAATTCATCATTAACTTGCAAGTAAACCGGTCGGATCTTGGTGACAAAGGATGCTAAATTGACTAAGTTGGAGTAAAGCTGAAGACATTCCTTGATGAAAGTATCTTGGACAAAGTAGGATGGACGCTTTGTACTAGGCGGTCCACTAGTGGAGCCACTGAGCTCCTTGGAAACAATTTCAACGCATTGGCTGAACAACGGAGTCAAATCACTCATGAATGATGGATACAACTTTGCTCCAGATCTACCGAGAGTATAGCGCGTGATGTACGGGTGTACAGAAACGGCTGCAAACATTACATGGACTCGAAAAGGTTCCGCATGGGGAAAGGGGTCATCTTATACGTAAGCTATAATTTTATTCAGCCGGAAAGGTACTCAACACAACGGGTTATTTCCACGGCATCTTCAAAGTCTCTTCCAGCAGTCCTCACTGGAACGGTCTTCAGATCGTAAAGCACATTCCAACGACCAGCATACATCTTGCCACTGCGATTCTCAACAGTTTGATTGTGTTTCTGTCTTTCCTGTGGTGTCGACTGAACGTAGGCCACATATTCAGGTGCGCCGGGGCGGTAAATGTTATCAGCACAAATCACGGTGCCAGGATATATCAAGTTGAGCGACTCCAAGACACGCAAGTCAGGCACGTAGAGATCCTTCCAGTGGTCGATGAATACAAAATCGACAGGGGTGTAGGTCTTCTTCTCGCGATTGAGGCGTTGCTCGAATTCCGGAAGGGTGGTACCCGCTTCGCCGATAATGATCTCCACTTCATTGGAGAGGCCGGCCAAATCGATAAGCTTCTGTGCAATCAGGGCATACTCCTCATTGGCCTCGAAAGAGTAGTATTTGAAATCAGCGGACGCCTTGCTTCCGCCAGCATTGAGCCTTCTGAGTTCGTTGCCGAAAAGAATAGCAGAATACCCAATGTAGCAGCCCAATTCAATCATGATCTGGGGCGAGACCTTGCGCATTTCCTCAATGATCAATTCACCTTTCTGGAGGCCAATGGTCATGAAGCCGACCTTGTTCGTGTTCAGGTATTCCTCGATTGCTTCAATGACTTTCTGAGGGTTGTTCTTCAAAGACTTATAATTGTCGCTCGATTCGATGTATTTCAAAAGGTCCTGTTCTTTTCCCATATTAAATGTGGTAGTCCGTCTCGCTACGAGGCATCATCTGATTTATATGTGTCCTAGGTCACTTTCGGCAGGACAAGGATATCCGGACTCGCACCGATCGGGACGAGGTCCGAAAATATTGCAGCCGCTATGTCAAATATAGTCAAAAGTCCGACAGCATACCGGCGGCTAACCCAATTCGATACCCATTGTGGCATTTTCGAGAATAGGGTCTGGGAATTTATTGGGCCAAACTCTATTTAAACACGTGACTCCGCTCACGGAATATAGTTCCGTTTTCGACCTTACGCATCGAGAATAAAGATGGCAGTAAGTCCGCCATTGCAGAACCGTTTGGACCTGTTTCGAGAAAAGAAGAAAAGCGCCATTCGAGAGAATGACACTGCAGTACAACAAGAGCTAAAAAAACAGCGTGATCGTTCCACATACAACGAAAGCCTCGAAGAAGAGGGTCCTAAAGATGATCGGGAATACACCCTTCAAGAATGGAAAGAGTGGGCACAAAAGAAGGGGAGAACCAAAGGCGGCTACAAAAACCTCGACGAGCTTGCTCACGCAACTTATGAAAAGGAGATTGCTGGTTTGGCGGACAAGGAGAAGTATGCTAAGCTGAAGGAAGGTGGTCAGGAGGACATCGAGAGCATGGTTCAAGGCCTCCAAGAGGCCAGTGAAAGAAGACTTAAGAAAAGAAGAAAAGAGCCAATGGAAAGCAATTCTGTTAATGAGAAGAATAGGCAATTCAACATGAAGCTAGAGAGGGAGGCCAAAGAGCATAGGTAATGGCTATATGCATAATGTGAGAGCGGACAGACCAAGGTGGACAGCCGGAAGCTCGACGATTGCATTTTTCCTGCACTATCGCTTCGACTCTTCGACGAAAGAAAACAAAATTCACCGTTCCGAAATCCAATGTAAATAAAGTTTCGGATTTTCGTACTCGGCTTTACCTTGCTGAGTGCGTCTACAGTTTCATGCATGCCTCACAGTTGACATTTTCGCATGCGAGTCTTTATCGGCTTCGCTTTCCTGCACCACTCACAGCTTCTATCTTTCTCTCTTCAAAGATGAACTTCCTCGACTTGCCCCAGGAGCTAATCCTCAGGGTATTTCAGAACTTATCCCTTTCCGATAGCCGTACCCTCATACAGCGTCTACATACATATAATGACCCGAAGGCCCACAAGGTCATAAAGCTACTATGGATCACCTGTTGCTCAGACAAAGTCATCGTCTCATTTCCGAACACGGAGACCCCACTGAACGAACCATTTGAATTTGTGTCGTCTGTGGACGTATATGATACCATCAAGGCGCATGTCCAGTACGGAGTTGTGCCAAAGCACCTACAGTTATTTTTCTCCAGAAACCCAAGAGACTACACCAGGTTTCAAAACCACCTTCTGGAGGTTTGGGAGCTTTTGGATTCCAACACTGTTGTGAAGTATCTCCATGCGGTGCAAGAGTTGGATTTCGAGTTGAGAGGAAATCTCATTACCACAGAATCACCCACCCTGTTGGTCTCACTGATACTCAACACATTCGTCAAGCTCACGAGCCTCAAACATGCCAACTGGAAGACCATAAGGATTTTGCTGACTGACTTGGGCGACTACTTTCCACAAAAATGGGGCAGGGTCTTTGAAGAATTTCGCCTGACCCAAGAGCTTGTATTGGATGACAATTTAATCCGCCTGCTGCATCCGCTTGAGAGCTATTCGTTGCTAGAAGGGTACTTTAAGTGGCCTTCACAGCTTCGTGTATTGTCCTTGAGGAGAAATCTTATTTCCAATTTTTCAGCCACAGCTATAAAGCTATTGCCAAAGACTCTCGAGGTGCTTGATCTTGAGAACAACGTTCTCGAACAGTTTGGAACTCAAGGAACAGTCAAACTTATAGACGAGTTACCTCACCTCCGTCTTTTGAACCTATCGAACAATCGTGGTTTGGTAAAAATTGAGCCTGCCCTTTTCATCGATTGGCACCAATTGACAACAGGGCTCACTGTTAAACTTGAGAACTGTAACATTTACGCCCCAATACTTGCATCCATAACCCGCATTGCTAAAGAAGAGGGTATTGTTCTAATGGTTTGAATCAATCAGCACTGGCTGCAAACCAATAGGGCACCCTGCTGAGAACCTGGAATGCACACTCAAAGCACAACACATTGCATTCATTCACAACCAAAAAGAACAAACACTTTATTTATAAGAAGACGCCTTTCAATATCCGGGGGCTTGTAAATTAATATCTAGCTTACGATACGATCTTGCCTGCGTAGAAGGTGCTTTTGACATCTGCCTCACATTCACGTAATCCGAGCAAATCGAACCGCATAGAATCAAGTACACGAGCTTAAATGTTCCTCTCTCGAGGCACACGAAATTCACTATGTCGATTTAATCATTTACACTTTGGCGCAAGGCCCTCAATCGCCCCACTGGCTCGTCTACTCATTTCTACCCCTTGCATGAAGTCGGGTCATCTGTACAACTATACGAGATTCTACTCCACTGAGAATAAAGCGGAAGAACCCTACAACAACAATACCAAAAATTCAAAAGACCCAAGAAAGTCGCTCTATAAGGACCTTAAACGTTTATTTCGTCTTGCAAAACCTGAGTATGGCCTACTAGCGGGAGCATTACTTTGCCTTGTGGGAACTTCCACAGTTTCAATGTCCTTGCCATTTTTCATCGGCAAAATAATTGACACTACTAAAGAAGATGAAGAGGAAAGACAAAAGAGCGACAAGTCGGATGAACCGAAAAAGATCTTGGGGTTCACGGAGGCGGAGTTTTATTCAGGCCTTGGTGCCATTTTACTCTGCGGAAGTCTATTTAACTTTGGAAGAATCTACCTACTACGGTCCGTTGGCGAGAAGATGGTAGCAAGGCTACGGTCAAGGCTTTTTGCAAAAACGCTCTCGCAAGATTCGTACTTCTTCGACGTTGGCCCTACCGGGAAAGGAATGAACACCGGCGATCTCATATCTCGTTTATCGAGCGATACCCAGATCATCAGCAAGTCGTTGAGTGGCAATGTCAGTGATGGTGCTCGCTCCTTGATAAGTGGTATTGTCGGCCTTTCGATGATGTGCTGGGTGTCCTGGAAGTTGTCACTTGTCATGAGTTTAATGTTCCCACCTCTCGTGTTACTGTCCACCTATTTCGGTCGTAGAGTGAAGGAGCTCTCTAGGTCCATTCAAAGCTATTTGGGCGGAATGACAAAGGTGGCAGAAGAAAAATTTAATGGCCTTAAAACCATCCAGAGTTTTGCACAGCAGAAAAGTGTGACGCATGACTTCAACGCTGAGGTCAAAAGTATCTTCAACAAGTCTATGACCGAAGGCAAGTTAAGTGGGGTTTACTATTCCATGAATGGCTTCGTTGGCAACATAACATTAATTGGGCTTCTTGTCGTGGGTACAAGACTTATAGCCTCTGGAGACATCACCATTGGTGATCTTTCTAGTTTCATGATGTATGCGTTGTACACTGGATCTTCGGTGTTTGGCCTTGGAAATTTTTACACGGAGTTGATGAAAGGTATCGGTGCTGCGGAGCGTATATTCGAATTAGTTGATCTGAAGCCCAAAATTCCAATCAGTAAAGGAAAGAAGGTTGATAATTTACATGGTGATGTGGAATTACGCGATATTCAATTCAGCTATCCATCCAGGCTCAATTCGGTCGTTTTCCGAGACTTGTCTATCAAGATCAAGAAGGGTGAACATGTCTGCTTTGTCGGACCAAGCGGCTCTGGCAAGTCGACTATTTCGCAGCTTCTCTTACGGTTCTACGACCCTAATCGAGGCCAATGCCTTGTAAATGGCCATGACATCCGCGATTTGAATCTCAACTTCTACCGAAGCAACATCGGCTACGTTCAACAAGACCCATTGTTATTTAGTGGAACCATAAGAGAGAACATAGTGTTTGGCAAACGTGATGCAACCGTTGACGACATCGAATATGCAATACGTCTCAGTAATGCAAACGCATTTATACAAGGTTTCCCCAAGGTCTTGACACCGTCATAGGGCCTACATCAAGTGGAAGTGCGCAGCTTAGTGGAGGGCAGAGGCAGAGGTTATCGCTAGCGCGTACGCTTATCAAAAAACCTAATGTTTTGATTCTAGATGAGGCAACTTCTGCATTGGACTCTCGCTCGGAGGAAATTGTGATGAAAAACTTGGCACGGCTTGCCGACGAGCAGCAGATAACGGTGATCCTGATTGCGCACCGTCTCTCCACAATCAAGAATAGTGAAAGAATTATTGTCCTTAGTTCTCATGGCGAAATTGTGGAGGATGGTGAGTTTGATGAGCTCTATGCAAATGAAAACAGTCAGTTGAACAAGTTGCTCAAAAGTGACTTGTTTACCGAAGATGCCGAGTAATGGTTGCGAAATAGTTCTGGAGGTAATCGGCCGCACTGAGAAAACCCCCAGTGAAAACGCAATTTTCAAGCAGATGCCCAGAGATAATGAGGGGAGAAACGGTTGGTTTGGGCCATGCGCGACCTACTACGTCTTACATTTCATCAAAGTTGGGTTAATTTTCGTTATTGCTGACGCATACCGTTTGGCAAACTTACGTCAGCGGGGCAGTTTTGCCAATTTGAGCAAAATAATGACAAAGAGCGGCATTGCCACCCCACAACTGGCAACCCAATCCAGTTGCAACATTCCCCGGTGGACAAACATGTGCCCAAATATTCACCTAAAAGTCGCTAAACGGGAAGATTCCATGCCTCGTTATGTTATTTGCTCGCGGCGCCTACTCCGGCCAGATCTATTATTCTCACATGCTGTGGCCTCACGCACCACAGAACCGGAGTGCACGCGCTCCAAACCTGGCTCTATTGTACTTCCAACTAGATACATGACATATAGAATCACAGCATCACTCAATTTAATATTGCAACTCTCCCTTATCTATTCGAAGCCCCATGTCTAAGGATTCCAAAGCTCGTCGCGAGCGGAAAGTCTTATCCAAGTTGGGCCTTGAAGAGAAGCTCTCGAAACTTGGCATCGAAGAGAAGCATGAATATCTCCAGAATTACCTCCCATTATACCGCAAGTTATCTGGAGCTGTGATCCCACCACTTCAATCATCATTGGCGTACATCAATGGAGGTTGTTTCCCAGATGGCGACAGCAGCGATGGACTGGCCGATCCAGATAAGTTCATTGATGCTGAGGATGGTGGAGACGAGCTGAAAAAGAGGGATATCTCAATTGCGGATGACGAGGACAATTACGATGCTGCCCAGCCATTGGGCGAAGACCATGCCTCCAATCTGTTCCTTAACACATTGACCATGGCAAACGTGTATGCTGGTGTTGGATCCCTCAAGAACTTGAAAAATCTCATCGGCGACATTTCCAATCCGAGCTGGCTCGATCACAAGGGAGGTCGCCTCATTGGATACTCGATGCTTAGCAGCAGTGAGTCCGAAGATGAGTCCGAAGACGAAAAGCCTGAGTCCGACGTTGACTCAAAGTACAAGCTTGAGGAGACCAGACCGTCAAAGTCCCAGTCTCCAGAGAAAACAGCCTCACCAACAAAAACACTGTCCAGCACACATGTGCCTACAAAGACTTCAGGGACCACGACCCTGCCCACCGCATCAAGCACAATGCTGCAAACAGCAGCTCCCACACAATCGGATGCAGAATCTGAGGATATGGTAAGCGGTGCAACTCCCAGTGCCAGTAACCCGCTTGTCCTCGATCGTGTGCTCACCCTTGACACTTCTCCTAAAGACTCCAATGAGGCTTTTGAAGCTGGTTTGGAACCCGAGGTCCCTGTGGATGGTACTCTTGGGCCCGAGGTGGCCGACTCTTCGTTCAAAATCCCACCCAAAGAAGAGTGGTCTGCATGGCAGCATTCTGTCATGGAGAACATGAACATCACACCGCTAAAGGAAGTGGTTTTGATCAAGTTTAAAGACAAAAAATCAGCAGATACCGAATCAGAGAAAAATGCGAGGCAGCGGTTGACATGGCTTCTAGGTACAAGGTCACAAGATGCCTTTGACTTGAACAACACAGACATATTCCACGCTAACTTCGATGCATGGCTTATCAAGGATGTACTTTTGCAAGGACAAGCGTTCCTTACAAGAGACGCTTTCTGCTTCTACTCATTACTACCTGGTACAACAGATCACAATCCTAATCAACAGGAAAATCCAGACTTGACCCTCTTCCAAGGCACGCTTGGAATGAAGGTCGGCGAGGGTATTCTTTTGTCAAACACGCATAGATTCTGGGCAGTGCTCAGACCCGAGACATTGAGTCTCTACACATCTCCAACGGATATGTATTTCCCTGACAAGGTTGTTGATCTCCGCAATGCGCTTTACTGTGAGCTCTCAAGGGAGCCTCCGAACCCAACTAGTCCACCTGGCGGAACCTCTGACGGCTTGGCCTCTCCAAGAAGCAGAATCTCCAGTGCTCGCGACTCATCCTACCTCTCGACCAACAGCAGCATGCCAACTTCCCAGCCAGAATCAGAGACCTCAAGTATCAACGAGGCTGACTTGGAGGAAGCCACCGAGGAAATGTCGACAGGGGTTTGGTTCAAAGTCGTTTGTACCAAAAAGACTTATCGGTTCCAAACCGGAAGCTTGTTTGCGGCACGTCACTGGTACAACAGCATCACTAAGGCCATTTTTCAACTCCATAATTGTAATGCCCGCAGGGAAGTGTTGCACAAGATCCCGTTTGATCAAGTCGTTGAATTCCAAAAGAACTTTGTTTTGGCGGACTCAGGGGGAGATGCTACTGAGGATAACGAAACTCCTGTATCATTCTCGGTGAAGTATCTTTCGCCTCATGAACAACAAGGTTCTAAGTTGATGCGTAAGATCCACAATACAAACCCATCACCTTATGAAACCATTCATTTTGTGTTGTTTCATATGGGCAATGATTTTGTTGAAATGTTCAGCCGCTTGCATGAGGAATTCCAGGCTCAAAAACATACACTCAATTTAAATCAACGCATGAAACGCAGAGCCAAAAAGGTGTTTCATGATGATACATCCGATGAAGAACTGCGATCCACAGTTTTCACGACACTTCAGCCTGAATTTGCGTCTGGTGTTTCACTTGTCGATAGAGTTGCTAAGGTTAACGAGCACATCATTCAGCATAGGATGAACGAGCAATCGCATTCCAGCTTTGTTTCTGATGAAGAAATCTCAGCTTGCGAAGGTAACGAACGTATACGAAGCATGGCAAAGCTTCTTGGCATCAACAAACAAGTCTTTTCGAGACACGGTTCGGAACAAAGCAGTACCTCGAGTCTACGAACCCCACCAACCATTTCATCTGTCTGGGGAGATGCCGACAAGGTGCCTCCAGAGATGAACCCCATTCTGGATGACGGTGTGATTCTTCAGTTTCCCAAGCCATTCTCGCTCAGTACTTTGAAAAATCTCAAGTTGAACATGATCACAACCAAGAGAAATTTTAACGATGTTGAACAACGATTGCTTGCCATCACTCAGTCAAGAAAGAGACCCTACTCGCATAGCGTGGGTGAGCTCTCGGTGACGGATTCGTATAAGGATTTCACCGATAGCTTTTCTGACCCTGATGACGGCACTGGAGCGAAGCATAAAGATGAGACTAACAAGAAAAGTAAATTTGGGTCCCTTAAGAAGAAGATCAAGACTGTATCTAGCATGGGCGGTGTTTGGTCAGCACATCCAGACCATTACGTCAAGTTTGATGATGACGACAAGTTCTTCGTCACAAATTCCGAGGAAAGAGACGTTAGTGAGAAGCGTTTCAGGAAGCATTTTTCGCTCAACTCAGAGAGCAGGTTAATCGCAACTTATTATTGTCATTTGAAACGTTCAATTCCGGTCTATGGCAAGCTTTACCTTGGAAGTGACAAGCTATGCTTCCGATCATTGATTCCAGGTATATCCACCAAGATGATTTTACCTCTAAAGGACGTTGAGACCTGTGCGAGTGAGGGAGGCTTCAAATATTCAGGCCTTCGGATTACAATGCTGGGAATGGAGTCATTGATAATGGAGTTCGGTTCCCAAAAGAGTCGTGATGACTGCTCCCACATGGTATTGAACCAGCTTGAAATAATACATGGTGACGAGTCTTGGGCACCAAAAGCTCACGAATGGGGCCACGCCGGTCAATACAGAGATGCGCTGCAAAAAGAGCCTCTCGAAAGGCTTACAAAGAATCAACTGCGAGAGCATGATATTGCGCTAGCGAAGGCTAGGGTAAGGATCGCAAGACTCAGGCATTTGGAAGACAGAATAAGCACAGCATCTGGAATTGAGTTTCCGCTCATATTTGAAGACTCCTTATTTTACTTCACTGAAGTCAAGCCTGCAAAGTCTTATAACATTACCTTGTTGACCATTGGGTCTAGAGGAGACGTTCAGCCATACATCGCCTTGGGCAAGGGGCTTTTGAAGGAAGGCCATACTGTGACAATTGCCACTCATTCTGAATTCAAAGAGTGGATTGAGAAGCATAACTTGAAATTCAAGGAGATAGCAGGAAACCCAGCGGAACTCATGTCCTTGATGGTTACTCATGGCTCGATGTCTGTTGGATTCATCAAAGAAGCCAGCTCTAAGTTCCGTAATTGGATCACTGAATTGCTTGACACTAGTTGGGAAGCATGCCAAGGGGCAGATCTTCTTATTGAGAGTCCCTCAGCTATGGGTGGTCTTCATATTGCAGAAGCTTTGGGCATTGCCTACATGAGAGCTTTCACAATGCCTTGGACTCGTACAAAGGCATACCCACACGCATTCATTGTCCCAGATTCCAAACGAGGAGGCTCGTATAATCTTTTGACCCATGTCATGTTTGAAAATGTGTTTTGGAAAGGTATCTCGAGTCAAGTTAACAAGTGGAGAGTCGAGAAGTTGGGCCTCGCAAAAACAAGTTTGGCCAAAATGCAGCAGTACAAGGTTCCCTTCCTTTACAACATTTCTCCATCGATGTTCCCACCATCAGTGGATTTCCCCGAGTGGGTGAAAGTCACGGGATACTGGTTTTTGGATGAAGGAGATTCCTCCTACAAACCTCCTCAAGAATTAGTTGACTTCATCGACGGTGCTGAGAAAAACAAGCAAAAAATTGTTTACATTGGATTTGGCTCAATTGTTGTCAATGACGCTAAAAGTTTGACTAAGGCAGTCATTGAGGCCGTTGAAAATCTGGGAGTGAGGTGCATCTTGAACAAGGGTTGGTCCGATCGGTTGAGTAAAGATAAAGGGGAGATTGAAGTGGAACTTCCTCCTCTGATTTACGATTGTGGGCCTATTCCTCATGACTGGCTCTTCCCAAAGGTTGATGCTGCAGTGCATCACGGTGGATCGGGTACAACGGGAGCGACATTGAGAAGTGGCACGCCTACTATCATCAAGCCCTTCTTTGGTGATCAATTCTTCTACGCTTCACGAGTGGAGGATTTGGGAGTCGGCCTCTCACTTAAAACATTGAATGCCAAGTCGCTCACGAAGGCGCTTAAGCTGATTACTAGGGAATCAAAGTACTTGGAGAAGGCGAAAGCTGTTTCTCACTCCATGGAGCATGAAACAGGAGTTCTCACTGCAATTGATGCAATTTATTCCGAACTTGCCTATTCGAAGTCCTTGATGCTTACCATCAGATACAACACCGAAGCCCGCAGAGACGATAGATCTGGTGCACAGACACCTAATATCGCAGAGGAAGACTACTTCATGCATGATGAAGGCGGCTCATCAGATGACGATGATGATAGTAATCTAAGCGACGAGAGTGACGAGGTGGACGAGTACAGCGATGAGGAGTCTGAAACTGTGAAAAGTGCGCTAGATGACGCAGCATCTGCTGTTGGCAGCAAGGCGGAGAAAATTAAAGACACCTCGACCAGCCGTAAGTCAGCGAACAATACAGCGGCTGCGAAATCTTAGGTGCTAACTGTGGATCACTGCTTAAAGATACATATATAGTTATGACGAGGCAAAAAGGCTTTCAAACAAAAAAGCTCTATCACGAAATTGACGAAAACATACAAATTCGCGTATTTGAAATATAACCTGAAAATGTGATCTTGATAAGACAACAGAATACGTCAACCGTGAGTCACGTGAAATAGTACAAGGTGAGTAATACAGGAATACATTGTCTGGGTTCATGCCAAAAGGTGATTCATAGTAACTTACCAGATATAAATCGTTTAACCCCAGATTGCAGATTTCTGGCTGCACTATACAACCAAAAGAGCTCTGTTGCAATTTTGCAATAGCCGTCAATCAAAAAGCTCATCAACACACAGCTACATCTTGAATCTGCAACATGAAAAATTCGATCTTCAAAGATGTCACGGAGGAACACCGGAAGACAAATTCATATGCTGCCATGGTTCCAGGACAAACAATTGTTGAAATTCCAGAATATGAGCTAGAGTGTGGAGAAACTCTCTTCAATTTCCCGGTTGCTTACAAAACCTGGGGTAGACTCAACAAGGATAAGGACAATGTCTTGCTAATCAACCATGCACTCACCGGATCGTCGGATGTCCAGGATTGGTGGGGGCCCCTTTTAGGCACTGGTCTTACGTTTGATCCCTCTAGATTTTTCATTATTTGCATCAACTTCTTAGGGTCACCATACGGCTCTTGTTCACCAGTAACTATTGAGAAAGCCACAGGAAAGCCATATGGACCGCTTTTCCCCTTGGTTACTGTGAAAGACGATCTCGGCATTCAAAAGCTTATTTTAGACTCCTTGGGAGTGGAAAAGATTGCATGCGTCATTGGTGGGTCAATGGGTGGCATGGCTGCGCTTGAATATTCCTCAACGTATAACGGTACCGGCTACGTGAAAACTGTGATTGCACTTGCCACTGCAGCTAGAGCTAGTGCCTGGTGTATTTCATGGAATGAGACTCAAAGGCAGTGTATTTTCAGTGATCCTTTCTACGACGATGGTTACTACTTCGAAAACCCAAAAGGGTCGAAACCAGATGGTGGACTTAGTGCCGCAAGAATGGCTGCGCTACTCACCTATAGGTCCAGAAACTCGTTCGAAACAAGATTTGGCCGCAAGTTGCCTTCACAACAGGTTCGGGAGCCGCCCAAAGTCGACATTAGATTACCAAAGAATAAGGACGAGGAGAATTGGCTCATTCATAATGAAGGATCTCGTAGATCGAGATCTTCCTCTAGCACCTCGTTAGCCTCTGACAAACCTCAAACATATTTCACGGCACAGTCTTATTTGAGATATCAAGGAGACAAGTTTGTCAAGCGTTTCGATGCCAATTGCTACATATCAATCAGCAGGAAGCTCGACACACATGATATCACAAGAGGAAAAATCGAAGCAGATGATGGAGAAAATGATCCGTTGCCTAAGTACTTGGAAACTTTACTGGCACCACATCTAATCATTGGCATTCAATCAGATGGTCTCTTTACCTACGGCGAACAACAGCTCTTGGGTGCACACATCCCTCAAAATATTTTGAAAAGGTTGGACTCACCAGAAGGCCACGACGCTTTCCTCCTCGACTTTGAAATCATTGATAAATACTGCCGCGAGTTTTTAAACAATCAGCTCCCAGAATACTTCGATGATGCCTCCGGAAAGGTGGAGGTTTTTGAAAACTGGGCTGATCATGTGGTATCTGTTGACAATGAAGGAGAATCCGTTTTTGGAGAAGCAGAAAAGAATATCACCAATTGGTAATCTCTCAAATATTTAGCATTTAGAATCAAATACACTCCAATGTTGCGAAAATACGTGGATGACATATACATTAGATACTCAATAAAGGAGCAGAAGAACTTTAAGGTATAGCAAAAAATAGAGAAACGCATTAAAAAAAAAAAAAAAAAAAAAAAAAAAAAAAAAAAAACCTGTCCTGTCAATTGATCGATACCTCCATCGTTTTGTGGGGTTGAGGTTATCACTAGTACTGCGAGATACTCATCGCACTGCACATCGGCAGCATCGAGTAAGATCGTTACAAGGGTTCATCTTATGCTTAAATTTACAAAGGTCAACAATCCCACACATGGCATCACTGGAAATGAGGCAGTTGTAACCGTTAGTATTGTTGCCAAGTCACAATTAGTTGACCCAACTCATCTACTCAGAACATCCTTCTACTATGAGACGACGGATTTCAATGGACTAGACAAACTTCTACAAGAAGCAAACGGTGCATCAATATGGATTCAATTGACCAAAGGTGGCTCTACACTTACATTTGACTCTACAAAAAAGGACCTTTGCGACCTACGCTTGACTAAGGACGACTTTTTTCACAACAACTACATCTACCGATATTTGAAATTCAAGGAACACAAACCAGTCAAACAGTCCGTTCACACTGAGACTTATTTCACTGCCACTGCTTCATATCCTACACCAAAACAGTTCAAGTACGGAAAAGATCTCAGCGTGCTCATAGAAAGAGTATTTTCTGGTGCATCAATCAAGGTTTCACTGAATAGAGATCTCCAATCTCTCGCAAATTTTCGGAACAATAATGATGTCTTATCAGGGAATATTTCACCCATGTCTGACTTGAGACCTCTTGCTAAAGATCCATCATTAGAGCCACATGACTTTTACGAATACTGGAGTCTCCTTCACATGAATAAGGTTCCTTACATCGAACCTAGTGAGTATGAAAGAGTAACCAGTATATATGAAGTGCCATACCGTGATGATTTTAAAAACAGTGAAGAAGTCGGCAATGATCTTTATTTAATGTTGATTAAAAATGTTCACCCAGAAGTGCTTCAACTGATTCTCCAACATCAGGACGTATTATCCGTCCTTTACAATCGAGGCATAGATACTGGGCTTATCACAAAACTTTCAAATGGAATCTACAAATGGGAGAACTAAGTGGAGAAATATTTAACTATGTACAAAGTTGCCCACTACAGACAGACTATGAGGGATCTTCTCATAACGGCATGCATTAATAAAACTGGGCGTAATCGTAAAAGCGTCAAATAATAAATATAATTATTGGATTGATCTCTTCATTGAGATCTCACGGAACCAGCCTGATGATCTCTTCAAGATTTTGCGAGTCAAGAAAGTTCATGCTTTCGGGTGCATTATCACCATTAATTTCGATTGGATCAACTGTGGTGTCCCAGTTCTCGAATATAAGGTGATCAAACGTACCCAAACCATAGTCAATATCCATTGATGGCGGTGTACGACCATAGACATTGCGGCTGCTTCTTTGAGGTTTTTCGGTCATCATCTGCAACCAAAGATTGTCAATATCTTGCGATTGATACGGCATGTTCATGCAATCGTCAGGTCCAACCGAAGGGTTTCTGGTTACAAAACCGTTAGATGACGGAATCGCATCAGGTGCTGTCTGAGCGCTGTAGTCTGAATTGACAGTCGATCCACTCATAACTGGAGGATTCAGCTGCTCGATTGTTGGCTCCATATCTTGGTCCTTAGGATTATTCACGCGATCCAAAGATCCTTGCAAGATCTTATTTAGATCTTCAAGCATATCGTTTGAAAACTTGGTATAACACTCCTTACCCTTACACCAATTGAGGTAAAAATCGGTGCCATTGAAAGTCTGTCTTAAGGCCTTCTGAGCCTTGACGCATCTCCAACTGTAGTAGTATCTACTACTCAATTTTGTCAATGTATCAGTGATGACTCGCAAGCATTTAAAGGCCAAGTTGTAGGTTTTTTGAATGAGTTCATATCGAAGCTTATAATCAGGATCAGTCATTAAACTGCTATTGTGGGTAGGAAGCGTTTCGAAGAAAAGTACAGAGAATCTTGCTCTGGCCATAATTGACAGAATGACGATTAAGCACTTGTGTACAAGCGACTGGAAACCCGGGGTGATCGCGAGATCAGTTGTGCCCTCGAAATAGGAACTGCTTTTTTCGACATAGTCTTCATAAAACGGCATCATGTTGTAGACAGCTACCACCATCACCTTCTTCAAATAGAAGTAGGCTAAATCAAAATTGTTCATGCTCTCGTAGTAGTTGAAAAAATGGAAGTTCACTCCAAGAAAGAAGAAATTTGCCTGGAAATATATCTTGGTTTTCATTGCATTGGCTCTTCTTTCAGCAAGTGAACACTCCAGATTCAAATTCAAGCTGACATCCGTCAAATCCTTGATAAAGTCGACTTCCATGTCATTCAACCTGTTTGTAAGTTGCGACATCGGAATTGGTTGCACATTGACGATAGCCTGAACAATGTTTATCAATGGCTCATAGCCGAGTTCTAGTCTTGAAAATGCCTCGATGACGGCCAACTCGGACTCCATATTCCTAAGATTCTCGTTGCCTGGTTTGTGGTATGGTGGCTTAGTGTCAAACAGACCCTTGGATATGCAAATCGGAGTTCCATTGGCAATAGCGCCGTTCAAATCAAAAATAATTAAGTAGTTCCAAATCTTGCGGCAGAGATTATTAGTACGTTCGTCTCTCACGATCTGGTCAAAATGATCCGGATCGCGATGCATACCCAAACTGATGGCCATGTTGATCAACAATGCTGTGAAGGATTGTGAATGAGAGTCTTCCGGGACCTCTCCATTTTCGGGCGAATACATGTAATATAGCTTGATGTACAAGGCCAATTGCAAGATGGGGAGGGTACAGTAACGCAAGAAGCTGAATTGATGCAAGCAGGACTCGGCGATTTCAAGAATATCAATGTCAATAGGGTTATGCATCAAGTACTTTTCGATTTGAGCTTCTGGTGTTGGACAATTCGAGTTGAATTTGGCGTCATTCTCTGCTTCAATATTGGAGAACAAAGTCAAGTAGGCAAACCGGAGAAAAATAAGAAGCATACCTAGCTGAGGAAAGTCTGTCTTTTTCTCGACATTGACTTTTTCAATTTTTTCATGTGTATAGCTTCTGGGCCTAGGATGCGTTCCATGTGCTCGAGGAAGTCAAACTCATCAACAAACGGGAAGAAGAGTGCCACACGGTCAAAGAATCTATCAAGTAAGAGCCAAATCACCTTCCTCGTGGGTAGAATAAGTTCGATCTTATCGAGCAATTGCAAAGAAGAGTCAATGCCACCCTCGTAGTAGGTGAGCCCTACGGCTTTTGCTCTGTCATTGATCTTCAGCTTGATGCGCAGCCTGTCCTCCGGAGTGGAGCGTAGCGAATCTTTAAGAGACATGTCATTGAACGCGTCACTTCTGAAAATCTTTTCCTTGAAAAGCTTGTCAGACGGTTGCATGTCACCTTGCTCCTGTTCCTTTAAGAATTGACGCTTCATCTGCACGTTTCTGTGCTGGTACGCCAACATGCCGTTAATGGCATTGTCAATTTTGATCAACGCAATCCAGCTGAGCGGACCATAATGACGAGGCAGGCCAACGCAATGGTTGAAGAAGGGCACGTAGCGGTCGTGGAAGGAGAACTCCTCTGTCTCGGAGGCGTATGGGTGGTAGCCGACCAAGTACGATAGGTCGTTGACGCCGCCGCTCCAAATTTGGGACGAATCGCTTGTTTTTGAAAGTTTCACGGAATTCTCTAGTATGGAGATCTTGCGCTTGAGCATTTCCAATTCCGTGTGGACATTAGCTGGCGCGTTGGCGGGAGCCTCTGAGCGGTATAGCAGCTCGTCCAGCAGGTTATGGTTGTTGGAAGCCGAGCGAGTCTGTTGCAAACCCGGCCTGTTGTTCTTGTAGAAGCCATTCATGATGGTTTCGGCGTAGGCCTCCGAAGAGTGTTTGACAGGCGGCGGCCCATCGTACTCGCAATGGGGTTGTTGTACTTGATGCAGGTGCTGCAAGGATTGCCCTTATCACACTTTGTCTTGCGCCGTTTGCAAAAAGTGCAAACGGACGAGTGTCTCAGGCGCCGTTGGGGCATTGGGGAGGAAGCCTGGGGTAGATGAAAGATGGAGGGAAGAGGCCGTATGGAGGCAGAAATCAGCGCGCTAATATGGGTCCTGCGGTCCTGCTCACGCAGGACCCAGATGGTGTGAATAAGTACTCGCCGGGAGGGCATGACGAGAAAGCGGCACGGCGCTCTTTAGAAAATTCAGCCTACCGAGCCACCGAGGCTCCGATAGGCCATTGAGGCAGGTCAGCGTAAATATGGAAGCATGCAGCAGGGCATTCAGGCATCCCCCTAGCGTGGGAATCACAATGGTTCTTGGCCGTTGGTGGGATAGGTCAGTGTTCTTTGCAGCCTGCCTGCGCGGACCTTACACCATCGAGGGTGGTTCCAGTGTGCGCTTTTGGTGCAGACGGAGGGTGGAGGAGGCAATTACGAAAGCTTGTGCTAGGGGGAGGCGAAGCGACTGACCAATCCAGAACGTAATGGCCCCTGTGTTTTCCTTTCTTTTGTGGATGATGACTCACCGAACTCGGGCCCACAACAATGGTTTTGGTCTGTCTACGACGCTGCTTAGGTAAGCGCACCGCAGAGCGGCTTTCCTGTGCCCCAAGCCTCCCAGCCCCAGTGGATCTCGCGAACTAATGCACTGTACCCATGCGGGCTCGGGGTCTGATGGCGTGAGACTTTTACCTTTTTGGCTGCCGTACTGGTACCAGAACGTGAGAAAAAATGCACCCTTCCAGCCCGAAAGGGTTTCGCAGACGTCCAGACTGTCCACCTGTGCCGCGCCAATTCAGATCTCGCAAGATCCATGAAACCACACCCAAGGAATAGCCTAAACCGTATTACAATAGTCTTCTCTGAGTCCGATCGCGGATCCGATGTCATCACGTCTGCCACTTTCGGAAACGGTTTTTTCTTTTTTTAGCCTCCCAGGCCTGATGTGGCGATCGCCTTTGTTGACTCGACAGGAGGGGCCGGCTCGTAAATAGAATGAGGCCTCCCAAGCCTGTACCGCCAACGCCCGCTACGTTTGTTTGGCAAGCCTGGGCCCGCACCACTCCAGCTAGGCTTTCCTATTTCATTTTGCCACCGCCTGCGAAATTCCTTCTGCAAGCCGCTCACGCCGCGCGGCTTCCTCGTTCAGCGGGCCGTTATCTGAGCGGCTCTAGTCAACTTTGACAGGCCCCTTTGACAATTCGCCTTTTGCAACATGGCAGCATTTGCAATTCGTAATTCTATTTTTCTGGCTTAGAGTGGGCCTTGTCGAGCATGCCGCTGCCCGGCTCGTCAACTCTCTTACCCCATCCGCCAAAGCCTTGCGAAAGCTAGAAGTATGGCTCGGGGCACATGGTGAAAACGCCGTTGCTAACATGGCTGCTTTCTTACACAAAACGGCTCCCCTCGTGGAGACGGCTGCATCGCTGCGTCTGACAAACAAAAAGTAAAAATAAGTCCCGCCGGCTGTTTCTTATCGTTCCTTTCGTCCTGTGGCATGTCTGACAAATACCACCAAAAAGTCCTGTGGGAACATTGGCTGGATTCATTCCCTGTCATCCATTTCGCTCACCTCTCTGCGTATTACCACTGAGGTGCATCTGTGGTGGGTGCCGTGGCAGTCTATTTTTATCATGGCGGCCTTATCTTGTGGCGGATCTGATATCCAGCGTGCTCCTGGAACTACCCCCCTTTTCTTTCCATCAACCACAAGAAGTCGGCTCCGCCCGTTGTCGATGCTTCCACACACCCTTTTGTTTTTCCATGCATCGTTTGGTGGTGGCCTGAGGCACGGGTGCGGGCTCACTCTCCCCCATATTCTTCTCTACACTCTTTCCTCTCTCCTCCATTAAGCATGTCTCACGACTTCCAGCTCCAGCTCATCCGCAAGACCTTGGAAGACTTGGGTCATGCGCCTGTGGCGGACATGCTAGCCAAGCGCTTGGCTGCAAATAACGATTCCTCGTCCACGTCCGACCTGTGGGGCAAGTCTGTTGCTGGCGACTACTCACACCCCCAATCCCAGGCCATTCTGTCTTCGCTTACCGAATTGGTCAGCGATGGTGACTACGAAGGCGCAATTCGTGCTTTTGACAGCTGCCACGATGAGTTTGATTTTGCCAACTCCCGTATTCAGTTGTCTGCTTCCCAAAAGGCCTTGTGCGTCTACTTGGTACACCGCTTTGCATTCTTGGAAAAAATTGTCCTCAAGTCGTTTGGCCAATTGCAAGAAACCCCAGAAGCTCTAATAAATCTTTTGCAGAACGAAGTGACAAACGCCTACAATGCTGTGGATTTGACCGCCGCAAGTGCCGAGGCACCCAACATCGCCTCGTTCTTGTCTCGTGAGAAGGAGGCGTCACTCCTTCTTGCTTTGGTTTTACAGACTCCTTCTCCAGAAAATCTAGAAGCTCATCTTTTCGATCCCAAGGTCGCCTTGACGGAATCTCATGCCTCGCAAGCTCGCCTTGCTCTCGAGCCCTCGGCGTTCCTCAATCGCTTGAGAAACGTACTTTCCCACTTCCTTCATACCATATTGTCGGCTGGATCCAACGATAAGTCCCACTCCTCTGCCCAATGGAGCTATCATGACATTCCCCCAATTGCCTTGACAGCTTGATCCGCAGTGCTACTTTACACAATTTGCTGAGATCACTTTATTACTTGCCTCCTCGCACAGAGCCCTACTTCACAGATAACTTACCAATTTCAATGGTTCTCCCCTCGCCGCTTAATGACGTGAGCAGAGATGACCTCCCGATCCATTTACTTCATACTTTAACAGATCACACGGATGAAGTCTGGTTCACAAAGTTTTCCCCTCTGGGCCGCTTCTTAGCTACAGGCTCTCTAGATGGGACCTGCAATATCTATGACGTTCAGAACGGGTTTGCTCAGATTGCAGAATTGGACGCTAACGCCGAGGACCAAGAAAGTGTCTTCGCCAGCGGAACTCATAAGCCTGCTCTAGATAAGAAGAAGGGAATCATCTACTTCTGTTGGGAGCCTCATGAGAGATACATCGTCACTTGCTGTCTTGACACTGTAATCAGAGTCTGGCATGTGGAGAACATTACGCAAAGCAAGAGAATTACTAGATCCATGGACGACACCAAACTCACTTCCCTTCTTTGTTGCTTCACACTTGGCGAGCGCATGCGTACATGGCCATGTGAATTCATGCCATACAAGAAAAGTGCCACCCCACATTTCATCGTGGGATCTCCTGATAAAGTCCTCAAAGTGTTCACGGTCGAAGGAACTGAGGTGCTCGACTTTTACAGTGATGCCGACGAATGGCTGGCCGTCCTTGACGAGGAATCCACCCAGCAATCAGCACAGAACTTACCCGGAATTACGGGGAGTTATATTCGCTCAGATCCTGACATTTCTGGATCGTCAGCCACCGGGAACGATACAACCGCTAATGCTGCCTCTGGAGGAGATGAAAAAAACTCCGATACGTCTCTGCAACAATTTCACCGTATCAACGACTTTGCTATTACGGCTAATGGGAAAGTGCTCATAACTGCAAACAATGATAAGCAGGTATTCTTTTACAAAATACCGGATTTATTCGATCCTGCTGCCACCACTTCTCGCATTGCTTCGCTAAGTCTCAATGGCAGATTGACTTCATGCACTGTGTCCGCTGATTTCAAATACATGTTATTGAGCATAGCTCCTGAAGAACTACAGCTTTGGGATATTTCTCCCTTGGAGCAATATCAAAGACCTTTCTTGAAGCAGAAGTTTGTTGGTCAAAGCCAGGCAACCTATATGGTAAGATCGTGTTTCGGTTATCTTAACGTTGCTGAAAACAAGGAAGAATTGATTCTTAGTGGTAGTGATGACGGCAATATCTACATTTGGAAGTTGGAAACTGGTCAGCTCGTGACAAGAATCAGGGGACACCATGGGCTTTGTAACTCTGTGGACTGGAATAGATTTTATAAGCCCGTTGGCCAAGGCAAAGACTACGGCATGCTTTGGAGTTCAGTGGGTGACGATAAACTCGTCAAGATCTGGGGTCCTAAGGCTTCATAAACTATCGGAGTTGTATTTAGACATCAAAAAAGCACTATAACTTACAATTCGTCGTGCTCAGCAGCCTCCTCGACGACTTCCTCTTCCTCGCCATCGTCTTCGACGATCTGCTTCTCAGCTCTCAACTTCTCTCCATCGACACCCAAACCATTCTTCTTAATGTAAGCAATAAAACTTTCCAAGTCTCTGCCATCAGTGTAGAGACGGTGTTCTCTGAGACCCGTCTTTGGGTCAACCTTGCCATTAGCTGGGTAGAAAAGAAGAGTTGGGTAACCCTCAATTGGAATAGGAGTGTCAACATCGTTCAAGGTGTGGTCGATGTGTGCAATGACAACCTCGGAATCGTCATTCTTGGAACCGTAGATGTCGGCCAATTCTTCCCAGATTGGAGCCAACTTCTTACAGTGACCACACCATGGGGCGTAGTACTTGACAAAAATATCCTTGGAGTTGTCCTTGAGGATGTCCTCGTAGTTGTGAGAGACCAATTTGACAACGGCCTGGCTTGCGATCTCCTCCTCAGAAGGCAATGGCTCTGACTTGATGATTGGATCAACCTTACCGGCCAAAAAGTCCTCAACGAACTTCTTGATGTCGTCAGTGGATGGGTTAGGGTTCTCGGTTTGGTCAATACCGTACTTTCTGCTGTTGGAGTTATCCTGAATAGCGAACAATGGAACTATCTCTGGGTTCATGTTCAAGATCTCAGCATGACGGCCGTATTGAGAAGCATCCAAACCAACAAAGTTGATCTTGCCAGCATACTTCTTACCCAACTCGGTGAAGAACTTGTCGACAGCAGCTCTCTCGTCAATGTGGGAGTAGAAGTAGTAGCCCAATGGCAAAGAAGAGGTCATGTAGGTCAAGTAGGTGTCTCTGTTGATGTCACCAAAGTATGGAACCTTGGCGTTGACAGAGAACTCTTCCAAAGAGGACTTGTTCACTTCACCGGAGAAAACTCTGACATCGTCCAACTCATTAGGGTGAATGACCAAGTAGGCTGGCTCCTTTAAGCCAGACAACTTGGCACTGACGGCCTTGTCAAGCTTGGCAATCTGGGCGTCGTCCTCGATAGAGAAAAATGACATGGACTTTCTCTTCTCGTTGGCCAACTCACCGAAGGTCTCGTTATGAGAGGAGAACTTCTTCTGCAACTTAGATGGGAAAACCTGAACAATGAATGGCTGGTTCTCGGCCTTGGAGGCGGCAACAAAAGCGTCGGCGTCCTCGACCAATTGCACAGGAGGAAGCGACTGCTTCACCATGTAGTTGACAATTCCGTCCGCGTCACGAGGACCGTCGTAGTCGTCAGGCTGCTGGAATGGGCCTCTCATAACCTTCATGGTTGGGTAGCCTCTGATCTCGTGCTTGTGACACAATTCTTCCTGCTCGGTACAGTCGACCTGTGCCAACTTGATGTTAGGGTAGGACTCGTTCAAGATGTCAGCGGCCTTCGAGAATTCAGGACCCAAGATCTTACAGTAGCCACACCATGGAGCGAAAAACTCTGTCAACACCAAAGGGTTTTCCTCGAGGAATCCCTTGAACTCCTTCTCGGTCAACTTGACGACAGCGGAGTCTGGATCAGCAGCAGCCTGTCCATCAGCGGGGCCACCAGCTGAAACCATGGACACAGAGGCGAGCAATGCCGCAACAGCGGTAGTTGAGAACTTCCAAAACTTCATTTTCAAGTGGTTATGTTGTCACAAAAAAAAAAAGTGATGTAAAGGGAAAAGATAAGTAACGCACTTGACAGCGATCTTACAAATATATTTCGCAGCTGCCTTCTTGACACCGTGTGCCCAACCAGTCACGTGTCGCGACCAACAGTTTCGCGTCTCTACAGGTTCATAAGCTGCAAAGAAGCGCAAAGAAGGCTCCATATATCTCGGAAATCTATGATAAATAAAGAGTCGTAGTTGGAGCGTCTTCGAACTTCGATTTGTAAGAGTCAGTTCAGACAAATGAGGTGGTTTTCATATTGAGCAAACTTCGTCTGTTCCGCACTAATCTACAAGGGCAGGTTACCGATAGCTCCAGATCAAGCAGATTCGCAGCCACTTAAAGATACGGACCAAGACCGAAGCATAAAAGCCAAAAATAAATATATTGGAATCTAAAGAGAGGGCGGAATATTGTTGCAATGATGCAGCCGACTGTTCTTTGGGCAGATTCATTCCAGGCATCAATTGCATGAACTGCATCGGTTGGTACTCTGTATATTCATAAATACAGTAAATACCGTTGCAGAGTTGAGAATCGGCGGCTGTTTTAGTTGAGGCCAAAAAATTGTGTCCAGTTTGCCCAGCTGTCCATCTCAGTATCGTAAATGTACGCCATAGAGTGTCTCAAAGACGACTGTAAGTACTGTGGGTGGTAGTCGTAAATGAACATGACGAATGCCCACACAAGCACGGCAAAATACTTCCACGACTTGTTGTAGATCTTTGCCTTAAAGCGCTTGGTCTGAGTTTCTGTCAAATCCTTCCACAAGACATCCTCGCCTCTAATTCTCAAGCTTGGTTGGCGACAATTCAAAAGAAGATCCAAAAGAATCTTGCCCAACGCCAAAGTCACTCTCGAGTAACAGTATAATGTAATCTGATGGGTGATACCGGGGTTGAAGGCTCCAAAATGCTGCGAGTATACCACCCATCCGCCAAGTGCACCAGCAACGAACTTGATGAGACCAATATTATCACCCATGAGTTTGTCTTGCTTCAAGAAGCTGACCAAGGTTTTGTATATGAAGGCGAAGGTGGCTAGAACGATGGTGTGCTGCTTGGTTGCGTTCAAGACCTGCTTGAGACGAGGGGCCAAGGGTCCAGAGCGGTATAGCAAGTTGATAACCAAAGCATGGGAGAACCTTAGTTTACCACCATACACTATACCATTACGTGACGATCTGACGGCCTCAAGCACGGGCCTGTAAAGTGGATTTGTGAATATCGACATCGATAGGCAGTTTCAGCAAAGGTGTTTATTTTGAGACGTGGGGAAATCGGATGATGCTGCAGACTGTGCTATTGGAGTGCTGTGAGATTGATTGGCTCTTTCACACCTCGCTCTTAAGGTATTTTAGAAAAGAACTGGTAAAGTTGAAAAAAAGCCTGTCACTACTCAGCGAGTGGGTATGGACGTTTTTTGTGGAGTAATTTTACGTGCACACAATGGGGGACCCGAAAAGGCTGGTGAGGGTGTCCCAGATTTAGCCGAGGGATCGGGGCAAAGGAAGTATACAAATATTTAGCTGAGAACTGCTGAATTCCAAAATATATTTCGAATCCGGTAAATCCGGCATCCCGAGAATGCCACAGCTCAACTATGAATTTTATGGGTCCTTACGCCGTAATTTTACCCCAAGGTCCACTGCCGCGAACCTCTAGTTGGTTGCAAAGAAAAAAGCCCAAGACTGCCCCACAAGCACAATTACATAAACATAGAGAAAAAATTTTTTTTACAACATTTGTTTTAACGAGCCCTGTATGGTTGGAAAATGCAGAACTTCAATCGTATAAACAAACACAGCGACAGGGTCCAATTCAGAGAGCTGCAAGAAATTTATACCTTTTACTTCCACGGCGTCTTCGCAGTCACTGGCGCGACATGGGCAAATTTCCCAGACTTAGAGTTTCCTGCCGTCTCTAGGTCTGGCATTCGTGCGAAAAATCCATAATTTTTTTTTTCGTTTTGTTCACCTCGGCTACTATCATTCACTGAGTTTCCTAGTTGGTCATCTTGATTTACCACTGATAACCTACCCCGATCCCAACGATTTGTCCCTTCGACAGTTTTTTTAGTGTGCAATTCACCAATCAGGCACACGTTATTTTCAGCGACATTCGAAGTTTCTGTCACTGCGTTTAATTTTTTTTTTTTTTTTTTTTCCATTCAGGTGCCAGTCCAGTTTTTTCACAGGTCTTATAGGGCTCACCGAACAAAAAAATAGGGAAAAGCAGTCATCTAGCATACCTTCAATCAACCGCCTTTAATTGCCGGCTTCCCTAAACCTTGACCAGATCTCGTCATTAATCATCAAATCAGGTGGTCAAGATGTCATACGCTAACGTTGCCGCTAATGGCTCCAGTCCAAAACCTGACCAGGCCTCAGAAACTTCCCATACTTCGTCGACTTCTCCTTCTGTCTCCAACTCCGATGTGGTCGCTGTGGAATCGGAAAAGCCTTCTGATACTACCACTCAGGAAGAGCAGGCCGCTCCCGCTCCGAAGAAAGAAAAGAAGTCTTTAGCTCCCGCTCCTGTTCCAACGAAATCTGTTTGGGGTGCCTCTGCCGCTAGCGATTCAGCTGCTGTGGATGAACACAAGTGGCCGACTCCTGACAAAGCCCCTGTTCTTCTGCCTGTGGCTCAACCTGCCAACAAGGCTGCCACCAAGTTCATCAAACCTAACAAATGGGTGCCAATCAACGCCAAAGTGGTTTTGCCATCGCCTAGGTCTCAAAACGTTGGTACTGGTGGCCAGCAGAAATCTAAGAGAAAGAATAAGGCCAACCGCAAGAAGGCTGCTGGGTCTGATTCGCCCTCTCAGGACGACTCTATCAAGACTGAGAAGAAGAAGGACGATGAGGAGCTCGACCAGGAGGCTCTAAAAGATGTCACCGGTCACGATCTCGAAGGCGCCGCTCAAGGCTACTCACAAGATAGAAAGAGGTATAGCACTGGTGCTGCCCAGGCCTCCGGTCAACAGGGCCAAAAACCTAACAGAAAGTTCAGCCCTCAGGGTGTGCCAGTCCAAAACGGCAAACCACCCCAGCAGAACCGTCAACAACAAAATAGCTACTACAATCCTTACGGAAACAACCAGGGCTACAACAACTTCAATGGTCAGAGGCAGTACAGATCTGGCAACCCCGGCCAGTACAGAAGAAACAACAGCTCTGGTAACATCCAAAATGCATACCCAAATGGTTACCGTGGCCCTATGGGCATGCCATTTGTGCCTCACATTCCCCACCATCCTATGCCTCAGGGCATGATCCCAGGCTTGCCTTATGGCGCCCCATGCCAGTTCAAATTCCTCCTCCTATAAGCCCTAAACAGGAGCCTCTGCAAGCATTGACTCAACAGGTTGATTACTACTTCTCTCTTGAAAACTTGCTCAGAGACATTTTCTTGAGAAAAAACATGGGTACCGAAGGTTGGATTGATTTGGACTTGATCCTTAGCTTCAAAAGAGTCAAGATCATCACAAATGGTATTCTGAACGCATTTGAGGTCACTGATGAGGAGCAAAGGGCCGAATTGTTGGACCAGACCATTTTGGCTGCCGTCCAGAGATGTAAGAATGTTGAGCTTGGATATTTGAATGGCAAGGATAGCAACAACGCCACCGCCACCGAGGTCCAGTTGAGAGTAAAGAGCAACTTTGAGCAGTGGTTGTTACCCGACAACGTTCAGTTGTAAGTTTGATTCAAGACCACTTCTGGCACTCGCCAATGAGCACACTTTCCTTTAGTTGCCACAGTTCTTGCACCCTTCTGCATATTTATTTCATCCTCCTCGACTCGTTCAGCATGTACATAAAAGGACCATCAGGGCAATTTGCAATCTGTTTATTCCTGTCACTTGACCGATGTGACTGGCATTGCCATTCTTCTGCAATTTAACAACTTCGGATATAACAGTGGAGCAGTTACCTAGTATCCTATATTCAAAAGGTACTTGCAGCATGCCTTTGCGGCATGCTTTCAAGTTTTGTTACCCAAGTTGAGATTTATGAAAAGACAAAAAAAAAAAAAAAAATGAAAAAAAATGAAAAAAAAATGAAAGAATTTTATTAGCATCCAGTTGACTGTCCCCGTTTGATAACCAGCTGTCCTTCAGTCTAGATTTCAAACATCCTTTTTTTTTGTTTCGACAACTTTTTTGTTTTTGTTTTACGTGATGTCAGCAGTCAGTAATTATATTTAGTTTCTATATTAATCTCACGCTGTTGTCGAATCTGAAAATTCGTTGAACTTCTCCTCGGGCGCCTTTGGATGAACGTCTAGACTCTTGATGATAAAGTCTTCTGCGACGGCACCATCGAGGTACTCCAAATCCTCTTTGGGAATAAATAAAGGCCAGATATACTTGGCACATAATGCGAAGAACACCAAAACGGCCGGAAACCCGATTGCACCTTTTGTCAATGTAATGGCAATTTCAGCACCTCCAGCAATGAGTTGCAAAACGAGATAAATATAAAACCATTTACGCTTCTCCTTCGGGATTGCATGCATGGCCTTGAAGTATTCAGGACAGTGTGGATCATGAATAATGTACTGTTCATCCAAGAAAATGAATCTTATTCTGTTGACAATGATATTGCCATGTAAGCCATTTATACCCATGATGAAGAAGAGTCCCGCCAAAATTGCTTGGGGAATGAGATTCAATACAACAAGGAAGGGTCCACTCATCAACACAAAGGTAGCGGCTCCTTGAGCGGTGTTGGTGAAGCGCTGCTCCACAACCGAAACTGGCTGGCCGGTTTCGAAGTCCTCAACTACTAATGAGGCAGTGTGGAGGGGTGCTTGTGGAATCAATCCGTTGGGTGCTGGAATTCCTATGAGACCAGAAATTCCTGTTGTTAGTCCTAGGAGCATAAAGTCCCAATGAAATGATGCTGGTTTTTTCAAAGGAAAGTCTTTCAGTTGACACATCAATGATGAGACATTGTGATCGAAGTAGAACAAGAAAGTAAGCAATAGCGCAAAAGGTAGAGCCAAAAACATATCACCCACAGAAATATTCTCGTTGGGCCAGAAATGTATAAACCAGCCATGCGCTCTACCAAGCGCAGCACTATCATTTGTGGGCTGGAATGCTCTAGTAGTCGGTAGACGAGCAAGATCGACATTGTCCAACCAGCCACCAAAATGAATAAAACCAGTGAAGAAGATGACGGCCAAGGGTACACCGTAGTCAACAAAAATCTTTCTAATTGGAGGCTTGAAATAGTGAAGGGTCGAGCCAAAAATTGAGGAGCCGAGGCCAAAGATGACCATGAGAAGGGCAATCATTACCGAGCAAAATCCTGAAGCTGCTCCCATATCGGTGAATTGATTACTCAATATGGCCACGGCCTTTTGACAATAAATGACACAGATAAAGAATCCAAAGACCTCGCAAGAGAAGTTAGAAATGATCTTCAAGTATGTCACCCAGTTGAGGATTGCGATGATGAAGTGCATCACCATAGACCAAAGGTAAATCCAACACATGAATGGAAAATATGGAGTGTCTCTGTCCTTTAATATATCGTAAACCGTGTAGCTGAAGATAGCGATCGGTCCTGTTACACCCACGATACACAATGGTTGACCGGAAAATAGACCGAACACCACTCCGGCGATTGCCGAACTCAATAGCACCTCGTTTACACCATAAGCGTTGTCGGTTCTATCGAACATATCCTGGGCAAAGGCTATAGCCGGTAGGATATTGGTGAAGAAGACGAAAACCACGGAGGGTATCACCCTGTAGTTGTAGGCATCTTTGAAATCGGAGACATACACCCTAGCACGAGCCTTAATATCGTTGAAGATGCCTCGACCTAAATGGGGATTTCGTAATCGAAATGTCATCTTGGAAGACATCTATTGGAATCTATAATGAGCAAAATAGAGAGTCGAGGCACAGTGGAAGCATTTGGGCACCGGTTGATAAATAGGAAGCGCTGCAGGTGGTGTCACCCTCCCTTTGTGTTTTGCTTTCCCAACTTAGGAATCGAGCGGGTTCGAGGCTCTAATCTACCTTCGATGTGGCGTTAGACAGAAAGGAGATTTCTCAAGCTTTATTTCTTGAGAGCTTAATCTGTCGCAACGTGCGTGGAAGGGTTATTACTCGTATCGTTAGCTCGTACGGACTGCGTATTGAAGCCAGGAGATTGCGCCTGCCCTGGACTTGACTATAGGGACTTTCGCAAATTGATGTTCCTTTACATCCTCAATTTTTTTTCTTACTCAATTATTACAACGGATCTGAGTGAAACTCGCAGAATCATGTCAGATTCGTAAGTGACCGAAGTTCATCCTGGCAACTTTGTGTCATAAATGAACGAACGGCGCATTTTGGGGTCAAAAGCGCGAGATATGGGTCATCTAGCCGTTAGAGGTAGAGCATTTAAGTATATGCCTGTACATCATGCCCCCTTAATTTGGATATGAAGAACGGTCCAAACTCCGAGTCTAACGGTGTAAGATCTCGATTTTGAGCTATACGTCAGACTGGTACACAGAATTCTCCATCATTGCCCCAAAAAGTAATATTTCATTCAAGAACTATTAGTTTACTTATCTTCTTGCCATCTAACATAGCAAGCAGCGGTGATAGGAACTTGTTTCATGTTCCTTACCTTCTCGTCCTTACAGGATAACTTCCGAGAACCTGCGGACAACATCTAAGTATTTGCCTTTTGACCAATCTATATCAACTTTTCTCAAATCTCCGCTTGGACCCTTCTACTCTATCTTTCTTTTTGCCTTTTTTTTTATTTTTGCTTCTCTAAAACGTTAATTTGGGATGTTTTAGTAACACCGGTGGGGTGTCTGGGTTTTTTATTCTGAGAGGTCTGGGTTTTTCCAGAAATCAGCTTGTGCGATTTATATTACCTAATTTAGCGTCCTCTCTGTTATGGTTCGTCTGTGGGATCTCTTTTAGCGGTTGGTCTTAACCCTAAGTTATACTTGTGTATTGTACTAAGCTAAGTAACCGCTAACCTTCTAACAACTTGGGGAAGAACGTCCCCATTTTATATTGCAATTAACCCCTTTCGTAAATGGTGTTTCAGACTGCTGGCATCGTAAAGGGATGTTTCAGACTGCCGATCTGTTTCAGGCTGCTGATCTTGTTTGACTTGGCGTTTCAGAACTTCGTAAGTTTCATCTTCACGTGGTCTGTATCTCGTGACCGTCGTTCGTTGCCTTAACACTCATCATATCCATGACACTCTCAGAGTTGGTCCCTTGGCCCAGTTGGTTAAGGCGTGGTGCTAATAACGCCAAGATCAGCAGTTCGATCCTGCTAGGGACCACTTTCTTTTTTTGATTTTCAGTACTTTCGAACACCCTTGAAACCGGTATCTTGTCTGGGTCATGTCCTTTTTGGTGGCTCACGTTGGCGCCGGAAACCACTCTCCGTCTTCGAACGATCGATATAAAAAGCTACTCAAGTCGGCTCTTCGCACCAACTCATTTGTCCAATGCTGCTCCATTATCGAGAAGTCACCTCTAACTAACACCGGCTATGGCTCTGCTCTTGACAGATTTGGTGATGCCTCCTGTGATTGCACTGTGTTGACTTCATCCGACCAAAAATATGAATCACTTTCACTAATTGGGATCGATGACAAGGAGTGCCCCACACTAGAGTCTCTCCACATAAAGGACAAAATCGAAGAGGAATTTCAGAATTCGAAAAGCCTTGGACTACTGAAGCCCTCAATGTTAAACTATCAGCATATTAGAGATGTCTACGGAACAGATGGAGGCTCGACATTGATTCTGCCTGCTGCAAAATTGTTATATGACAAATTCAAAAGCCTACCGGTTGCACCTCCACAGTCAGTGCAAGATACCGTTGGAGTCATTCACTTTGAGAGACACCTTTCACTATCTACATCCTCCGGTGGCACTTTCTTGAAGTTTCCGGGACGAGTCAGCTGTGCCGGCGTTTATGGGGCTGGTTTGGCAGTAGCTGGAGATGAAAGCATTCGTATCAGTTGCTTGTGTAGTGGTAATGGCGACGATATCATCAAGATGAGATTGGCTGGATTTGTTGCAGACGTTCTCCTACGATGTGCCCAATCTGATGAATGGCAAGACTTCCTGGCAGTCATGGTGCAGAGCATTGTTAACCATAGCGAATCGACGCAATTGTCAGGGCTCAGTGATAAGCACGAAGCCATTGTCTACGCTGGTGTCATTGCAATCGTTCAGCACGGGACACGAACGACTTTGGCTTTCTGCCACAGTACAGAGTCATTTTACTTTGGTTTTATCGATAGTACTGGGAATCGAGAAATTGTCCTAAGCACCCAACCCGATGAATCTCGAGTTGGCCACTTCGTGGGCGGACAATACAAACTTTGAGCATCTACATCTTGACGGTCTTTATGAAACCGTATGTATTAGCATTTAAGTTACAGAGTTAAACTTAACGAGAGGTAGCGTGGACCTTCTGGAAAGCACCCTTCTGCTGGGCCTTAGAGAACTTACCCTGAGCACCCTGAGCAGCGGACTTGGCGTTCTGCTCCTTTCTCTCAGTCTTTCTGAGCTTGGCAGCCTCCTTGGCCTTCTTCAATCTCTCCTCTCTGGTGGCCTTTCTCTCAGCTGGCTTCTGGTTTCTCTTCTCCTTGATCTGCTCCAAAGAAGCACCGACAATAGGTCTCTGGTGCTTGACAGTTCTTCTGGTTCTCTTCTTGGAAGTCTCCTCAGAGATACCCTTCTTGTGGTGTCTTCTGTACAAGACGGTCCAAGCAACTCTTCTTGGGTTCTTTCTCTGTTGGAACAAAGAAGCAGACTTAGAGGACTGGAATCTGAAAATCTTAGAGTCACCTCTGACAAACAAGGTACCTCTACCTGGGTAAATCTTGGAACCCGAGAAGGAGTCGATTTCGATCTTCATTTTTCTGGCCTGTTAGTATAAAGCTTTTTGGTTGTGTTTTGATATAGCTCTTGCTGGAGGCACAAATTGACAGCAATTAGGACTTTGGATTCTTAAGTTTGGGTATTGCAAACGGGTGTCTGCCGACTTGAACTATAACAAATTTCTTTATCGGTACGTACCAAGTCTATGGTTAAGTGGAAAAGAGAATGAGAATAGAGAACGAAAAATTTTACTTGGTGGAGCCCGCGGGGTCGATGCAGGATTCACTACCTTCAATTTTGAGGTTCTTGAGGTCAAACTAGTCACGTGAGAGAACCATCAAGAGGCTCTATTATCACCTATTACAATCTTGAAGACTGGTTTAGCCATTACCAATTCTTGAAGCTTACCCATCATTCATTTTTATATTCGAGCAATTGTGAGGATGTCTCATGGTGCTCTATGCTTACAGCAAAAGAGGTGCGTCGTGGCAATACTCGATTCAGCCAACGACACCGTGAGCTGCAAACCTTCGAATACATGCCATACATAAGTGTTCAAGAATTGAGAGTCTATAGCATATCATGCTTTACATAGGTCGAGGGTAAGTAAGAATAATGTAAGTGGTGTTGTTGCGTCGTTGATACACGTGATCAAAGTGACTGCGATTTTGAGCTGTCTGCCGGTGCACCACCCTCTGCGCACAAATTTTCAAGACGGTTTTCTCTCGCTTTTCTTCTTTATCTTCAATAGACCGGAGTGAAACACTAAATACACAGAGATGGTCAGTATCATTCTTTGAAAGAGCTGAAACGGGGCTGATTAGCGCTGGCGCCGTCATGTACCCTCAGCTTATAACATCCTACCAACTATCTACTAACATGAAAAGGCCCCAAAGAACAAGAACACTGACAACGTCAACGCCAAGTTGGGCTTGGTTATGAAGTCCGGTAAGTACACCTTGGGCTACAAGTCCACCGTTAAGGCTCTCAGAGCTGGTAAGGCCAAGTTGATCATCATCGCTGGTAACACCCCAGTCTTGAGAAAGTCTGAGTTGGAGTACTACGCTATGTTGTCTAAGACCCAGGTCTACTACTTCGCCGGTGGCAACAACGAGTTGGGTACCGTCTGCGGTAAGTTGTTCAGAGTCGGTACCATGGCCATCTTGGACGTCGGTGACTCTGACATTTTGTCTGCTATCTAATTACGCCTGTAATATAGTTGGTTCGATATTTTTACGTGTAGATTTGTACCTTACCTTATATTCCTATTTTCAAGTTCTGGCAGCCTCAAGCTCCTTTTCAAGACCTTCGATAAGTTCCTCTTCCCCTCTGATAAGCTCATCAACGTTTCTACCGGGAGACTCAAGTTCATAGATGCTGTCGCCTTGCGCACCAAGTTGTTCCTTTTGCTGCTTCACTGCCTTCTCAAGAGACTCAGTCTCTCCAAGAAGCTCGTCGTATGCAAGCCTTATGTTTTTGATCGTTTCCTTGATGTTTGAATCATTGACAATGTTTGGATATCGCAGTATCACGTCGTTCGCAGTATCATATATTAGCTCAAAATCCTCGGACTCCAACACATCAGCCGAAATGAGCTTATACTGGCTCATGAAACGCTTTTTTGTTGGTGATGACATCGCCTCGATATTCTCTTTCTTGTCGTCGTCGGGAACATTCACCAACCGTGGCACGCTAACTACAGGACCGGACGTTTCACCTTCAACCTCTTCAAAAACACGTTTTCCGTCGATTCGTTGAGGTTGTAAAAAGGTAAGCTTTTCTCCATTACCTTGGCCATCCTTCAGCCGTAGCATCAGGCTCCCCAAACCAGAACCTTTATTAATTTTATAGAGACTCGATTCAGCTTCTGAAGGGTCGCGTATTAGGGATGTCACATCGGGTTTGTTAATGATAGCATTCGTAAAAATGCCCGGAGGTTCGAATTCTAGATTATTCATTGTATCACACAGCGCCTCGATTGAGGTGAGGATATCTCCTAGGCGAGCCATGGAGTTTTTTGAGATTGGATTCTGTTAGGAAGTGTTGTTTATAATTTCGTACACTACTGTGTGCGCTTGAGACCTTGCGAGGCATAAACGATATGGGTGTACCGATACTTCAAATTGAATGTTAGCAACAGAAATTCTTCTAGTTTATGAGTCGTTATAGGCAAAGACTTGGCGCTGTGTAGTCGAAGCATATTGACAATCTTCCATGTCATAAGTAATTTTGCGTAAACTAGACGTCACAAGCATATATCGTCGTAAGCCAGTTTTATAATACTTTAGTCTGCTGAAAGGCAGGCGTCGACTTCGCAGCTTGATCTGTTCTAGCGAAGATAATAAAAGTTACCCAGTTATCGTGTTTGGAATTAGTTCATCATGTTTATAGATTTCTCATTTTGCAGCCATTCCTCATTCGCACAAAAAAGTCAGAAACGTAACAGCAGTTTTAGTTCTAGGAAGGCTAAACCAAAAAAATACTCTTTCATCCAGTACAAGATTATTTCTAGGAGACCTACTATTTACGAGCTTTGTCATTTTGCTTATTTTGACAGAAGATCAAAACAAGTCATTTACGTTGCACTCTGTCACCTGCATATCCTCCCTACATATCCATCTTCAGCATCGTCGACCCTCTCGATTTATAGAGCCATGACGGTTGATCTAGATAGATATGTTCGACCTGGTCGTGAATACTATCTTGCATTGGGACTAGAAGGCTCTGCCAACAAGCTAGGTGTTGGTGTTATCAAGCATCATACGGGGCCACTATCTGAAACAAACCGAGCTGAAGTACTCTCCAACGTTAGGGATACTTATGTCACACCCCAGGAGAAGGATTCCTTCCAAGGGATACCGCAAGACATCATAGGAATTGGGTGGTCCGCATTATTAAGAGAGCCATAGCAGATGCTAATATTTGTGGTGATGATTTAGATTGTATTTGCTTTACACAGGGACCAGGGATGGGTGCTCCTTTACAAAGTGTTGTCATAGCTGCCAGAACATTATCACAGCTATGGAATAAACCTCTTGTTGGTGTTAATCATTGCGTTGGTCATATTGAGATGGGGCGTGAGATAACAGGTGCACAGAATCCAGTGGTTCTATATGTCTCCGGTGGAAACACCCAAGTGATTGCCTACTCCAAACAAAGGTATCGTATCTTTGGCGAAACCCTAGACATTGCCATAGGTAATTGTTTGGATAGATTTGCCCGCACCCTCAAAATCCCTAACGATCCAGCACCGGGGTACAATATCGAGCAGATGGCCAAGAAGGGGCGTCACTTTGTTCCTTTACCATATACTGTGAAGGGAATGGATCTTTCGATGTCAGGTATCTTGGCACATGTTGACGAAATCGCTAAAGACTTGTTCAAGGGTAACTCCAAAAAGCTAGTTGACCAGGAAACGAATGAGCCAATCACCCCCGAAGATTTATGTTTTTCTCTTCAAGAAACTCTTTTTGCTATGTTGGTGGAGATCACAGAGAGAGCTATGGCGCATGTACAGAGCAATCAGGTGTTGATTGTAGGTGGAGTTGGCTCGAATGAGCGTTTACAAGAGATGATGGCATTGATGGTGAAGGACAGAAAAAATGGCTCCATTCATGCCACCGATGAAAGATTTTGCATTGATAACGGAATAATGATAGCGCATGCCGGCTTACTTGGATACAGAATGGGCCAAACCAACGACCTACAAAACACGGTGTGTACCCAGAGATTCCGAACAGACGAGGTGTTCGTTGAATGGAGAGATGATTGATAGGAGCAACTAAAAGTTTGATAATGCAACTGTAGTCTGATCCGGCGATTGGATGGCAAAGCTGTTCATTTGTCTTGCGAGGTCAAATATCGAACAGGCTTTAAAAGGCCTGAAGAAGCTTCTTTTCTTCTTTTGGTCAGATACGGGTCTAACAAATAGCTGGAAAATATTTTCTAGGTACGTTTTCCTACCACTGAAAACCGGCCGATCTCCTCTTTGTAGATAAAATTGTTCGAATCAAGCATCTTCATCACTGGCTTGCGAAGTTTAGGGCCGCCCGAAGAATGAAGCCCTCTACCTACAATCACATCAAGCAGATCAACGAACTGAGCTTTGGATCCAAACCTCGACAAAATTCCATGTGCTTGTCTCTCCTCGGTCTCTTGTGCCCACCACTGGATTACCCTTTGTTTCGCTAAATCCACGGCCTCACCAACCGTAAGGCCATGAAGATCAACTGAAGCCGAATGAAGGACTGGGCGTGCCTTGTCTCTTATCTCATCAGATGTGGGTTTCTGCAGTCTTGTCGAAGCACTAGGAGTTAGGTTCCACGACTTTTGCGGTAGTTTAACTTGTTTGAGAACTTCAGCGGCCTTCAATTCCGGCTTGAAGGCAACATGAAGATTCAAACTTCTATCGTAGGTTAGTTGAACAACATCGTGATCCACAAACATGTATCCCACTCGTAGCACTCTATCCATGGCTCCCTCGAAAAATTCGAGACATTTGATGAGAAATGCAAAATTAAGTTGCTGTAAAGGCTGATGTTCATGTACCAGTTGCCTTAGCTCAGATATCTCTTGTCCAGATTCGTCAAAAGATTGCCTCTGGTCTTCCACAATGCTCATCGAGGAGGCATTGCGAGAATCTTGAACACGAGATCGCTTTACCTTCTTCTTTTTCCTATAGTTGCACATGATATCTGCCAATGCCAGCATTCGGCAGGGATTATTTTGCAAATAGGGCTCTAGGACAGCTTCCAGTAAACCCGTGACTACCCCCAACTCATTCACAGAGGCGTCCTTCAGCATGATCGCTTCAATTGCCAGTTCCACGTCATTCTCATTCTCCTTGAGCACTCGCTCTAACTTTCTTGAATCCGTTCCTGGAAATAACAGCTGTAATTGCCTTATCTCTGAGGATACCACACTGGATGCGTGCTCTTGTTCTTGGATCAAGTCGTCGATCACAACGTCGATTCGATCGCAGCTGACTAACCTTCCAAATAGCTCACTTCTTGACTTGTGTGGAAAGAGATCTGCAAGAGTGTCCACCAGCAGCGAAGGTTCCATTGGTGTGTTAGGCACTTTTGTACACCTTATATTTGGATTCGCATATTGTTAATTTCAGCTTTGAAACAGTGAGTATGCACAATAGTGTCTACGTAGAGTTGGTAAAATACATTGGTTTCGAATTATAAATCAATTTCGCTTTTTCAGCAAAACCACGGCTTTGATTGCCGATAGCCATTTTGTCATGTCGTGTTCGTCTTGTGCACCCAAATATATGCGCTTCATCGGGGTAATTACCATGATACACCAGCTCTTCCCTCGCGTGGCATCAACTTCGATAACATCCATGACATTCTCCATCTTTATGATCTTGTATGCCCTGTCCTTGTGTTCTTTCAGTTTACAGAAATAGATGGCTTTGTTGGTGACCACCACATAGAGCTTACGCCATTGACTGTATCTCTTTCGAAGCTTTCGTAGTTCGCCCTGCTCAACCAAATATTCTCCCTCCCTCTTATCCTTCAGGAGGTTCGATAGATGACTTGCCGCTGTCTCGTGCTCCTCATCCTCATTGGAGTCGTCCTCATATTGTCTCACCACACTCTCCAAAGCCTTCATCCAACTATTCTGAAGCTGCTTGCTTTCCACTCGAAAGTGGTAGACACGGCTGCTCGTATAGATGGCGAAGTGATTCTCATGCTCCTTATGGGCATCTTGAACGTCACTGAATGCTAGCAACTCAGATTTGTTGAGCACTTTGCTAGGCTTGTGTTCAGAGCTCTTTTTGTAGTAGCTGAGTTGGCAATTTCGGAGAACCATCCAGCGCTTATTCCACTGATGTGTCTTGAAGGATCGTTTCTGGACCCACGACAGAAACACCACCTTATTATCGTCGAACTGGGTCTCCACATTGTTGGCTATCTCGGACTCGGAGCCTGTAGCAATAACTTTTGTTGTCATTCAATGGTATGGCGTACTTGAGAATGAATAAAATAGTGGTGTAATTGGAGAAATAGGGGAAGGTTCGTTATTTTTATTCCTTAAGCTATGTGAAGTTCTCTTACATGCGTGAAACCTGCTCCTCAAAAAGCCACTACCAGGCACACAAACTAAAGCCTTGAAGCGCGCATTACTCTCTCAGTCTGCACTAAGGGCACCTTTGACAGCCATTCCTGAACATGGTGCGGCTGGGAGATAGGCTTTTGCACCCTCAAGGACCAGGCTGTGTTCTCCTCATAGCGCTTTTAAGCTTGATTCTCCATGGCAGCCTTGATGACCCCAATGACTGCACTTGTTTGAATTTTCTCGTTACCGCCCTTGAAACGCCGTACTCAACATCTGCAAGTTCTTTCAAAATTGCTATTCTGGCGGATGGCTTGAGTTCGTAACCTTGCAAAATCTCGACGAAGGCTTGGACGAGGTCAATCAAAGCCAACCCCTTCGTTTTCTTAAATTTTTCAAACGTCAAATAACTCGTAGTCCAGTCATCTCTAAGGATAGAATCTAGTATGGTCTCAATGTCTGCTGGATCCGGTGCTCCCACACACTCGTATATCATTTTCTCGTCTATCTGATCATCTGGGCTATCTAGAGCCGCCTTACATGCCTGAAGCACGTTGAGAGCTCTTCTCATATCACCACCGGATAACTTGAGGAGCGCTTGTTCTGCCTTCTCCGAGATGACAAGCCCTTCTTTTGCAACCACACTCTTGATCTGGTCCCGTACAGCACCCTCGGTGAGGGGCTGGAAGCGAAATCGCGTACATCTTGAGATAAGAGCTGGATTCAACTTGTGGGCGTAATTGGCCAAGATACAGAAACGTGTGTTCTTCGTGTATCTCTCGATGATTCTTCTCAACGAGTTCTGAGCAGCAGAAGTCATAGCATCCGCCTCATCCAATATGATTAATTTGAAACCACGGCTGAAGATCTGCATCGTGGAGGCGAATTCTTTTATTTGATTTCTGACGACGTCAATACCTCTATCGTCAGATGCATTCAATTCTAACACCATGCTTTTGTAGTTGGGCCCATAGATTTCTCTTGCTAGGGCAGTAATCATGGAGGTTTTACCAGTTCCTGGTGGTCCATAAAATAAAAGATGGGGTAATCTGCCCTCATGAATGAACTTTCTCACGGTCTTCACGATTTCCTCTTGCCCATAAACGTCGTCAAGGCTGGAAGGACGGTACTTTTCAACCCTTCTTATTAGTATAATCCTTAACATGTTCTTTACACTTTCACATACCATGGAAGATTCTCTCTATTCTTGTTGTTACTCATTATTATTGGAGATGAAATACTACAATACTTCGATGAACGCCCTACGCGTTACTAGAGGTCGAAAACCTGCACATGACGTGGTTGTTAAGCTATCATTATAATCAGAACGCCTCGAGAAATCAAGAAATTCCATTCATTTCAGTGCTCATTAGTAAACCTATCAAAGGCTTCACTTTCAATTCCTTCTTGAATGGTTAGATGAGCTTGCAGCCTAGTGAAAAGGACCAAAAGAGCAGCGCGCGCCAGAGTCGAACCGAAGGTCGATTGTGAGAGTGTTCGCTCAAAATCATTAAGAAGCCACTTATCTTAAAAATCTTGTGCCATCAAAAAAAAAATTAGTTTTCGAAATGATTAGGATACGATATTGCAAAAAAAAAAAAAAAAAAATGGTAAATCTCTTTGTATAGCGTGTCATCTTTATGCAAGGACAATGCTAATCTTCTCTGTATTGTTAAAATTGACAGATGTACTATCGCGAACGATAGTACGCTTGAATGGAATAGAGATAGTATATATGAGGTAAAGGTAGTGCACCAACCAAATGTCAATTTCTGCTATTTTACTCATTTTTCAACCAAACTTTGAATTATAGAAGATTTCGATTCCCTTAGCGATTTGTATACATCTTTACCAAGAGTGTGAATGCACAAAATACTGGTGGCATGAGCTAGGATTTCTGGTGCCTATGCATTTAAACTCAATGCTAGCTCCAGCTGACACGACATTCAAGAATTTGAGACGTCTTAATTGGTTTGTTAAGATCGTGAGATACACGTACTGGTCTAAGGAGAGAGTATTAGAACTCCAGGGCGAACCACATAATCCCCTTCTGCCCCAACAATAGAAAAGGGCAATGAATTCAGTTTCGCCGAAGGGTCGATGACATAATATGATTTGAAAAACCAGCAAAGATACATTGTCGCTCGCTATCCACCCCAACTAACAAGAACAAGGTGTGAAGTCATAGCCACTCTGGTATCTGGTAACTTGAGAGAAGGTTTTTTACTATATAATTTCGGTTTATAGCTTTTAAAGCTGAGGAGTAGGTGAGTGAGACACCGATCCCGAAGCGACCTTCAATCAACGTCTTCAGCAAAAAAAAAAAACTTATTCTTTCTGGCGTCCTCTTAATTTAATAATCGATGAAAAAAAAAAAAAATAGCGAATATACATAACGAAATTTATTTCTTCAAAGAACGTGTTGGAACCTATTGTCGGGCAATACGTGGATTTGAAGAGTCCGAATCATTCTTACCGGTCAAACTTCTTACAAAGAATGACTTGAGCCAAAATAATCGCTTTGATCAAATTAGTGAAAAATTTGAATTATGCTAATGGAGATAGATTGAAGGGGAGAGCCATAGTCAAGACGCGCTATTGAATATTTTCAAAGCCCTATCTTGAATTCTTAGGTTTTATACCAAAAGGAACTGTAAGGATACCACTAAACCTAAAACTGTCCAGCTTAATGCGCTCAATTTGTACCCCATACTTTTTACTGGATGAAGCGTACCAACGAAGTTACAAGATGCGTACTCTCCCCGATATCCCAAAAATATGACTTTCTAATAGAGTCGTTCTTCCGCGGGCAGTGGAAATCAAATTGTGATGGGCAATCACGCACAATTGCCTGACAGACATTCACACAAGGAAGAACCTCAAAGTAATTTTGCGGAGGAACGATCATTTCATTCACAAAATCACTTCTAGATTCATTGTAGAGCCTTTCAATATATCCGGTGACATTCCTTGTCGAGCATCGCGGTATTGTAACTGAACAGAGCCAATTTTTATACAGCCTTGCGCAATCCGAACATTTTCTTATAGGTGAGTAGATAGCATCCATAGTTGTATTGCAAGCAATCTGTTGCAAGGCCTTCGAAAAGTTTGTATAAAGATTTTTGGCTTGATCGTCGTAGATTCCCGCTAGAGCGCTTTTGTCTTGTAAGTGGTCTAGTGACAGTGCCGGCACTGAGTAAGCCACTTCATCACAAAAATCTAGATCGTAAATCAAGTTGCACGAGGTAGGGCTCATTGTCTCGAACTCGAACTTGGAATAGACGGCACCACCCAATTTAGAGCCCGAGAAGTCAGACACCAAGAAACCAACATACTTCGTGCTAGCGTTCAATCCACCGACAAGAAACTGTTGACGAAGCGCACCGCCACGATTGGTGTAAGAACTGTTAAACATACCAGTGCTGAGAAGGGCCGGCCCATTTCTCACTGCGCACCAGGAGCTATTCAAGTGTTTGAAATGATCGATGTCTTCATATGAGTAGATAAAAAGCTGAAATCTGGACGATGATGCGTTATAGTCTGAAGCATGTTGTCCATTCGAAGACAAATTACCAGTCACTATGAGGGCCAGTTCAGCATCGGTATCAACCACTTGAGCGAATGAGCGATTATCCCATTGATAAACCAAATCGTTTTGAGAGACACCAATCTCATAAGACCACGAAGCTGTAACATTGGTGCTTTCAGGAGCTCTAACACCAATGTACAAGATTGAATCCTCTCCACTTGAAACAGGTACATCAGCCAAAGCCAGGAAATACCCATTCTCAAAATGAACCATCGTACCTAGTTCATAGTTCTCGAACATCGAAGCATTGAATGAGTAGTATAATGTCAAACTTTGGTTTGCACTTGCACTTAGATCATCGGGCTGGTCACAAATGTTGCCTGTAATAAAAATCAAATACTCGTAGTATTCACCCAAACCAGTACTCGTGTTCACAATAAACGAATACTGCTGAAGCTCTGTTTGCTTGATTGTATTTCTGATGGGAGTGAATTCCTGCAATCCTTCCGAGTCCTTGTTTGTATCTAGATCATTATCAAGCATTCCGAAATTGTTCACATTGAAGGAGGAGTCAAGATCAAAAGCAGCGATCAGTTGGCCCACGAAATAGTCTGTGTCTGCTAAGCATTTTGAAATCAAACATAGTGTTAATAGTAGGATACTAAAAATGTAATTCATTTTATACTATTCTATAATGCTGCGAATGTGACTCTAAACTAATTGCATACTAGTCGTGATGATATCTCAGTAGATATCTCCTACTGTGTACAGGAACATTGGTTTTTCCCAAAGGCGCAAGCCGCTTAGTCCGTATCAGAAAATCCAGAACTTCTTCTTTTTTTTCTTCTTCTTGTCATCGCTATCATTTGAACGAACCTCTGGATTGGATTTCGTTGGTTTGATCAGACTCTGGTGCACGGAACGCTCATCGTTGGAGAAGAACTTTTTCAACCCATTTGCTCTCTCCTTCAGTCTATGAGGGGTTCCCAGATCGGAAATCTTCGACGAGCTGGAATTGGGGGCTGGCGTAGGCGACTTGCTTGGTTTTGAGCTGTCATCAATGGTAATACTGGGGACGTTCTTGTGATTCGCAAATTGAATTTGCTGAGGCGGAGAACTAGAAGTTGGAGGAGCGGGACTATTCCTCGCTTCATTATTCTGAGCATTCCTTGTAAGGGTCTTCTTCAACTCACTGTATGATTTTCCTGTAGAAGGTCCGTTAATGCTTCGTGCAGGCTCCGGTTCGAGCAATGATTTGGTCTTATATGGAACTTTACCAAATGAGTTCGACCCTGTGATAGCGCTAGCGAGTTTAGCACCCTTGCCCTTAAAATCAGGGTCAATTCCTCTCAACTCGTCACAAAATTGAAGAGACTTATCTGATATAGCCTTGGCAAAATTGACGAAGTAACTTTCATCGATTTTGTGCACCTTCAACTCATCTAGCTTATCGTGAAGGCTGAGACGGTATTCTTTGTAGACATCGGCAACCTCCTTAAAACTGGAATAAGATGAAGAAGATGCAACGGAATTGCCGCTGAAACTGGTGACAGAGTCGCTATCGTCAGAGGAAAGTAGCGACTCGAGTTCATCATCGCCATCCTTCTTCTTGCGTTTAATGATATTCATCTTTCCGGTATTCCCAGCCGGCTGGGTGTCATCAGATTGATCTATTGTTTTTGTCTTGCCAGTAGCTTCCTCCTCCAATTGAAGCTGAACCTTCTTCTCAAATTCACTCATGTTCAGCGCTGGCACAACTATCACTGGTAAGGGAAAATTCTTAACAAGTCTGTCACTTAAACGTGACGATTGCCAGGACTTGAGCGGAGCACTGTTCTTCGTATTCACCTTGGAACCAACACAGACGATATTTGGCTCGTAAAGTTTGTACATGTCCTTCAAGGCATCTTTGGTGTTACTATCAATGATCTCTACCGCAACCTTTGCAATGACATCCTTATTGATAACATTTAAGACGTAGTGCATCACACTCCTAGTAATCTCTTTGACAAATTCTGGTCTTCTGCGTTGTCTTTGTCTAACTCTCGGAGTTTTCGGAGCATAAGCATTGGGCGAGGGATATCTGGTCTGTCCATCTGAGGGTGGAGCTAACTTGTGGTTAATCGCTGACACTATAATGATGGAGTCACCGTGTTCAATGAAGTTGCGAAGAATCCAGTCGAGTGCAACCCAAGTGTGCTTTCTACCAGAGATGTAGATCAATATGACACGACGGGGCAACACAGGACCCAAACCTTTACTAGCGAGTTTGCCCAAATACAAATCCTCAAAAAGATGGTGGATACGAGTGAAGGCTGTACCCCTGTGGGTGATGATTGGTGTTGTTGGATACTTCAACATGCCACGAAACATGGATGCCATGTTTCTGTGAGGCGACATCATTCTCGTTGGGGAAGCGCTGGGAGATCCGACTGGGGAACGGCCTGGAATCTTCAAATCTGATTCACGGCGTCTTCCTCGACCGCTATCATGGTCTTCGGACATGCGACGCATTCTCAGACTAAGCGAGTCGTCGTCGTATAGTTCTGCCATAGGGTCATTATCTTCATAGTAGCGAATGTCGATTGTATCAAAAGAAATGCGCAGTTGGTATGTTTTATCCAACTTATGAGGTGGGAAGGATATATCTCTGTAATCCTCGTTACTCCTATTTTGCACCTCAGCCAAAAGAGCATCAGGCCCGCTCTTTGACTCCACAGACAGACTGAAGCGTCTCTTACGCTCCTCGTTGGTCTGGTTAGGGATACCAGGATTATACCGTCCCCCGACCAAGTCGGGGGTGGTCTTCATGTGTTGAAGTTGGGGTCTTAAATGCTTTACTTCAGTGTCCAGAGTCATCAAGGGGTAGCGGACGTGAAGAAAAAGTTTAAATTCGGGCTAGAGGACAGCTTATCGAATTAATTAACGTCGGAGGATCTGGCAGGTAGGAAAAAAGATCGCTTCACAATGAAGCAAAGACAGATAGCGAGTGACCTGCAGAAAAAGAAGATTCGAAACGGCAATGACAATACTAAGACATGCACTCTTCTTGGGTGCAAATGAAAAAAATAAGACTTTTTTTGCGCAACCTTCTGCACAGCGCTGCCAAGCATGAACCCAGGTTCAAGCTTGGAAATGTTGCTGCTATTTACTAAGATCTACAATCGTAGCCAAGGCTGCCTTGAAGGCACTCTGGTGCAAGCCAAGCTTGCAAGCATTGTGTGGCGTTTATGCAGAGGTGATATTGATATTATGTGGGGCACGATTGTCCAGCCGGTGTAGATCAGGTGATACTGATTTATGATTTTGTGATTTGCTGAGGCTGTACGAAATACATGGGGTAGCCAATGCTTGCAACGAGATATCGGCTAAACCCTGTCTCAGTATTGGTAGTTTTGGATCGCTGCAGGGTCAAAGCCACACTCTCAGTGCATCGAGGGGGATGAGATACGCCCGAGATCACCAAAGCCTATTGACGAGCCCTTTTTCTGGAGCGTAGAATATTGTAACGGCTCAAAAGGGCCGATCTGCCGAGAAGTCCACAAAACCAATTATCAACATTTCATTGGTTTTGCGGCCCGTGCTGCAAGATCACTGGGTTTGGGGCCCTGAGGGCGGTTGAGGGCCTTGGAGATCGGACGGAGGGTCCTGCTGAGGCTGGTGTTCGTCACCCTGATAGTTGTTCTGGGCGGCCCATTGGGGCAGAAAATTGAGCCCGCCTGGTCTATTGTATAGCGAGGCGAGCACCAGGCCAGAAGGGTTCCTGCGCTTGAGATTCTCAATGATCGACACTGTCAGTTCTGAAAGCGAGCTCGGCTCTGCGTAGCCGTGTGCGAGGTACTCGTCCAACTGGATACCCTGATTTACTGGATTGTTTTGCCACTCGCTCCATTGAGCATACGATGGCGCTTGGCTGCTATTGGCGAATTGGTCCTGACTTACTTGGTCCTGGCTCCCAGGGTCTGGGAACAGCGCCTGGGTCAACTCTTGTGTCAAGCGCTGGCCCAATTCCTGGCCTAATCCACTCATCAAATCCTGGTCAGTCTGGGAGTCGCCAGGGCCAGGAGCCCAATTCGCACCCACGTCCTGCCCCGCCTGTTTCGCAGCCAATCGAGGCATTAGTTCAGGCACCATGATCTCATTGCTCGCTAGCGGTTGGCTCAGAGACGCCAAGCCAACTGTGGTCAACAGACTCTCGTCGTGACTGAACCCTTCGCTTGGTGCCGGTGTCGATGCCAGATCCGAAGCCATCTTTCTCTCTTCCACCTTGTCTGCTTCGCGCCGCCTGCCGCGACTTCTGGTAGCCGTGGGCCCTGGGGCAGGAATGGCTGCCCGCAGCCGTGGGCCTGGTTTTCTGCCTCGAACTCCACCACCCCGTTTCCGTGGTCTGCCTCTGCGTGCTGGCGGCGGAGGCGGTGGTTTTTCTTCCTCACTATTTTTCTCTCGATCGTCATCCAGATGAACAGGCAGCCCGGTTTTCGACTTGAGCTCGTGCGCCGTGCGGAAATCGACTCTCTCGCCCATGGCTCTTTTTTTCCTCACTGCCTGAAGAACCTTGTATGTGTCTCGTAGAAGCTTGAGCCGCTGCGCGACGTTGGTGAGGTCGTGGTACCAATTTTTGTCGGCTTGTAGGGGATCTTCTGGATCAATGAAGCTTTCGTAGTTTCGAAGACGGGCCAATGACTCGGCCGCGGGGCGTACAAGGAAGGGCTCGTTCTCGTCGTACTTGGGTCGCCTGGCCTTCTCTTCTCGTTTTTTGAAGAGCCATGGAACTGGCGAAACTGCTGGCGTCGGCGTTGACAGTCGTTCCTTGCGGTAGTTGAGTGTGATCATTTTCGACGGCAGATTCTGCGCCGACAGGTCTGATCCTCTGTTGAGCTGGGCCTCATGCCATTTGTCCAGGTTGTACCGTAACGTGACAAGACGGGACATTTCTTTTTGTGTAGTCGATGAGGGGAACGAGCAGACGTCTTGAATAAGTGCTCTGTCAGTGTTTAGAAATTATGCAAAGTGGGCTTTGTGAAGAGTCCAGCGTAGTCTAGTTGAGATCTGCTTTTTGCAGTATCCTTACCAAAAATGTTCTCACGTGAAGGTCACCCGCCGTTCCAAGCTACAAGGCACCAAAAGTTGGCATTCAAGGTGGTTGATAAGAGAACACTACCTACAAGCTCGCTACAAGGAGGAGCTTTAAAAACATCACCTTTGGTGATCTCACTGGCGGCATTGGCACCTTTCGGACAACGGTCGTGCTGCATAGTGTCCTAAGCGGTAGAAGTATCACTGAGTGCGAAGAATTACTTGGAGCCAGACTATGACCACCTCTGAACTCACCCAATCAGACGAGAACGAGCCTCTTCAGTCTACTGCTGCTCAGCTTCTGGCACTTATAGAATCGACGATCGAGCTTGGTGTCCTCGTGCACGACAACCAAGGCACACACCAGTCGCATGCTGCCTTGGCCCACAGAACCAACCAAATCATAAGTCAGCTCTCCGGCCTAACTCATAGCCCGTTCACTCAGCAATTTCCTGTTCCCGTGGATGTCATAAGCTACATTGAGGATGGGCGTAATCCGGACATTTATACCAGAGAGTTCGTCGAAGTGACTGCGAAGAGTAACGCCAGACTCAAGGGCAAAATGCTTGGATTCGAGAAGCTCTGCGATGTGTTGGGCAGTAAGCTAGTTGAAGAGTTTCCACATCTAGAGGAGGCTGTCAAGAGCGTTAAAGAGCGTACATCGCTAAATCACGAGAAGCTGAGCTGAGCGTTGAACGCATCGCTAGACAACACGTTAAATAATATGCCAATGCGCCAAAGTGGTCTCATTTTCGGTTACGCATCCTGCTCGTATCTTATTTGGCGTTTACAGCTAGCGCTTGCGAAGAATTCGGGCTACCTTACCCAGGGTGGCTGGCAGTGCGACCCAATAATGGGAGAGCCTATGGCACCACAACCCGCCATTGCCGAGCCAAATACCCGTCGATAAAATACTGTTGTAATTATAATTTGTCAAGATGTTCAAAATTATCAAAAGGTTGCTACTTGCTCGCTCATTTGACCATTGGTGACATCTTCGATTTATGGCGATCTCGCCGTTGAGGTGCGCTTCTCTCAAGGCCTGTAAGCGAGGGCCTGTACCGCGCCGCACCGAACAAGAACCAGCACTTTTTGACAAGAAGGCGACTAAGCCAGCACCTGGATCAACGAGAGTGGCTCAAACAAGGCGTTATGGAACCAGCCTCGTCCTCTTTTGGCTCTGTCTAATCTGTTTTCACTCATGTTCAATGCACCCTGGTCTAGTCAATGCACCTTTGTGCCATTAAATCTCGGATGCTGCACCCTTCCCCAATCGGACTTGTTCCGCCAATAGTGCCCCCCAGTATAAAACCAGCGCTGTTTCAGGTTTCAATTGCCACCCACTTTATACTTTCGTTAAGCCTCCGCCTTCAATGCTCAGAACCACACTCCTTTCAAGTCTCCCACTTCTTGCGTTGCTAGGCTCGGTGAAGGCTGACGAGACAGTCTTCAGAACCACAACCTACGATGTCGTCGCCAGAATCCCCGTGACCGAGTACGTCTGGACCAACGATGCTGGATCGCTCACTTCTACTCAAGTTACAGGCACTGCTACTTACGTGCCTGCTGACGAAACTGAGTCGGCCACCATCACCAGCTCCACCAAACCTCCAGCTCTTCTGGAGACTGTCCTGGACTTCTCGTCATACCCATCTGACGATTACTCCTCGATCTACGAGTCGGCCGTGCTGGACCCAAGTGCAGTGGCCGCTGCTCCAAGCGAGTCGGAGCCTTTGCTGTCTGCTGCTGCTGTCACCAGTGCTCCTTCGTCTTCCGCTTCACCAATTCCCTCTGGTGACTACTTTTCGACCGGTTCATCTTCCACCACCACCACATTAGAGGACGGCTCCTCGGCCGTAATTGAGTACGTTGTCTTGTACACTAATGTGTGCTCTGCCTCGGACTACTAGATGAACCACCTTAACGCTCCTTAACACTACTGTACTATTAATTTTTTTTTACTTCGATGCTTAAATGAAAAAATTATGATGCTCATCTACAGTGTAGAAAATCAATCGTTCATTACAACATTTCTGAGGCTAGTAAACTACCATCTGCCGCCTTGGTTACCACCGTAACCGCCCTGGCCACCACCGTAACCGCCCTGGCCACCACCGTAACCGCCTTGGTTTCCACCATAATTGCCCTGGCCACCGCCATAGCCACCCTGGTTTCCACCCTGGCTATTGTAGCCCCAAGAGCCGCCGTTGCCGTTGTTGTTGTATCTACCACCGCTAGAGTGGTGGCTTCCACCGTGGCTACCGCCTTGGCTACCAGAACCACCAAAGAGGCCACCACTCTGGTTGTTTCCACCATTGTAGCCGCCCTGGTGGTTCTTGCGGTCGTCACCGCCGAGAGCACCCATAACACTACCGAGAAGACCGCCAGAGCTACTGTTATGGTGGGAGCCCTGGTTACCATTGCCGTAGTTGTCGTATCTACCGCCGTTTCCACCTTGGTGGTTCTGGTTGTTGTTGTTGCCGCCACCAAGCATGCCCATAAGGCCACCAAGGCCACCTCCACCGCCCTGGTTCTGGTTCTGGTTGTGGTTGTTGTTACCTCCGCCGCCGAGCAAACCACCGAGGCCACCTCCACCAGAATTGCGCTGCTCGTTGTTACCTCCGCCGGAGAGCACCAGTCCAATCTTGTTGCCAATCATGTTTTCAACGCCACCGCCGCTGGAATGACCACCCATAGCACCGCCAATGGCAGAAGTAAGAAGAGAACGGTCTCCACCTTCTCCACCTTGGTTCTGGCCGCCTTGGCCACCAGGACCGCCCTGGTTGTTGCTCTGGTAATTGTTGTCAGATCTTTGGCCCTGTTGGCCGGAGTTGTAGAAGTCGTTGGCTGACATTGCTGAAAAAGAAGTAGGGGCAGCGAATAATTAGCTTTCTTCGTTCAGGTACGGCTGCGCAGAAGATTCAGCGTGCGCAAAGCCTTCGCGGTCATGTGAAGTTATCTTACTTGTGTCACCACGCAGAGGCGGAGCAAACGGTGTCATACTTCCGTTTTCTCATGTTTATATAGGCTGGATAGATTTTACTCGAAATGCTTTGAATCTGGTGAGGTAGAAACGTGGCGGCGTATGAATGCAATTATCAATGTGTCAGTGCGGGTGTACAATGGCTGCGAAACGTTGGGCCGAGATAGTTAATGGAAGCTTCGATTAGCCGGCCCACGTACTGCCGTACCACGGTCTAAAGAGGAAGACGAATAATCTATATAAAAGAAAGAAACAAAAAAAAGACATGACAGTAGATTAGTTGGTTTCTAGCTTGATTTTGTTAAATCAGTTATTAATTAGTCGATTTATGCTGTGCAAGGGCGAATATGCTTGGTGAGACATGGAAGCGGAGAGACTAGACTCCAGCAATCGTGCTCGGTGATCGGCGACCAGGCTTTCAGTCGAGCATGAGGGCTTACGGTGCGAGTGATGCTTCAACCAGAAGTTCAACTAAAGGATAACATTTGGAGCACAAATTATTCGTAATATCTTTCTAATATTTCAAGAACCATTTGGGAATCCAAGATGATAAGCGGAATCAATAAGTGTGAAAAATTCGAGGAATGGTTGTAGTTTATGAGAGGATGCTGCTGGGACCAGCTCGCAGATCTTAAAGGAGAGTTCCACGACCACTCATTAAAATATCCATCTATGTCGTTGGTATAGAAATGCAGTTCTACCTCTTTGCATTTATCTCAACTGCTTAGCGTACGTTTCTGTCTGCCCATTATGACCAACACCCAGGCGAGCCGTGTAATCAATCGACACCCAAATTTCTCAAAGTAGCATTTAACCTGTTTGGAATGAAATCGCTATATAAACAGACAAGAACCCTTTCCCAAATCTGGTTATGCACTTTTTGCACCCAATCCAGCGCACCGCTTTTTCAGTCCCATAATCACCATCAAACAGTGGGTGCGAACGATTTCCTCTTTGAGCACTTGTGTAAACACAGAGACAAGAAGGCATCAACAGTACTAACAAACCTCACATCGAGCCTCGTACTTAACGTTCTTGTTTTGGTCTGCTCACATCACATTTCTTAATACCCATATATGCCAGTTCATGAATTGTGAATCTACTTCCACGTTCGATACCTCGAACATCCTCGATGATGATGATCTCCAGATAAATGATTTCAGTGAAATCCCTCTACATGCCTCGCCAGTGAAAAGGCCGTCTACAACTCCATATGATGCTTCGCCGTCGAAGTCACCTGCTTTCCTCAATATGAATAGCTTCCCAGATCTTCGAACACTGCCTAATGAGCTCTTTCAGGTCACACACCATCTCCGATCAAGAGAATTGCTCGATAAACCACTCAAGAACGACAAGATTGAAAAGCTCCTTAGCGAGCTAGAAGAGGATAACAGCGACTTTGAGCTTGATGATCAGCTACGCACAAGAGTGTTTCGTGCTCGCTTGAGGAAGCAGCCTTCAGACTCATTGGACATGAAGTTGGACTCTTTTCTAGACGACAGCTCCACAAAGGAGTTCTCTCAACAACGGGTGGCAAAACGATTTAACGATGAAAACAAGGAAAATAGCCTACGTCCCAGCAAGAAGCTCAGGCTCTCTGACAGACCGAGAAGGAGCATGTCTTCCATTCCTTCCTTACAGCCATTGTCCAATATCACCGATACAAATTCAAGAAGTCCTAATCGCTCCCCTCAGCGTATATGCGTGCCTAGGATGCGAAGGCCTCTGAGGCCCTGTCTCAAAGAGCTGCTGCTGCGGCTGCCAATACAAATATTCATGGTCGAATCGCTGACAGGGCTAGTCAACGACGCTACTCAGTTTGGCACAGAGCTCAATGCCTCCAATTGCGAGGGTTTCCTCATGCCAGATAACGTTAATGAGATTGTTCAGATCCCACGAACGAAGTGGGCCGCTGGCAAAGAAGAAGCTAGCTATCATCAAGGCTCATCATAGCAAACGATTTTGCGAGACTGAAGAGAGCAAACAAGAAGAAAATAAATCAGGTTTTTACCTGAAACGAGAATTTGAAGAATACAAGGCTCCAAAAGCGCAGAGGCAACTGCAGGTGCAAGTACACAGAGACAGCAAAGCTGTGCGTTGGGCAGACGAACTAGAGTGGTAAAGATGCCCTAATTAGTTGTTGCCTTCAGCTTCATAGAATTACGCGATACGAAAGACCCAGAATCAACGATCACCTCCTTTACACGTGTAGATCCACACCAATAGACGACGTGCTTACACCTCTGGCTAGATTTATTTTTTGTGCCATTTTCCGGTGAAATTTTTGCTCTATGTCCCTGGTGTCCCTCAAGTAGTTTAAATTATGATGCCTTGTGAAAAATCACGGAAGTTTGTTTGTTTTGTCGGCGTATTTTCATGGTGCCTCAGCCCCACTATCGAGGCGTTTGGGCAAACTTTGCGCGACCTTATCGAAGTTTCGTATATACTTGACATCAATCACTACCACATTCATAAACTACCACCATGTCTACCTTCTTTGATGAGATGAAGCGTTCCTTTGCTGACGTGCCAGTCACTGACAACAAAGTGGACACCGCTGCTTTCTTGGAGGCTGCCGAATCCTTGGTCAAGCTCTTCGACTTGTTGGGATCCTCCGCGTTCACAGTTGTCAAGAATGACATGAACGGTAACATTGAAAAGATCAAGGCCAAGCTTTTGCTGGATCCAGCAGGAGCTTCCACTTTGCAAGACTTGGTCTTGTCCGAGGCCCCAACCAAGAGCAAGAAGGCCACACAGGGTCTCTTGTGGTTGTCCAGAGGATTGCAATTTACTGCTCAGGCAATGAGAGAAACCGTTGACAACCCTAGCAAAGAGTTGACTGTTACTTTCACCGATGCTTACACCAAGACGTTATCCCAGTACCACGGTATGTTGGTCAAGCCAGTGTTCAAGTTGGCTATGAAAGCTTGTCCTTACAGAAAGGACTTCTTTGAAAAGTTGGGCGCCAACCAAGAGAAGGTCAACGAGCAGTTGGCTGAGTGGTTGAACGCCTTGGAGAACATTGTGAAGATCATCATGGACTTCTTTGCTTCTGGCAACTACGGCAAGGGCTTATAATGGATTTAGACTAATATTCGAGAGCGTGTAAGACAATCATAATTCTATCCGTGTATTGCAATAGGGCTTATTTCCATGCATATGCTTATTGCTGACCAATACGCTTGGTCTCTTGCATCAACTCGTAGAGCTGAGAGACTTGCTCTGGCGACATCTTGTCTAGGTCCTGTTGGGTCATCTTTCCCTCCTGCCAGGTGCCACCATCGATGCTTCTCAAGTAATCCTGCCACTGAGTCAAGAACCCAACGATATGAAGGGCATTGTCTGTATTCTTGTGGGCTTTGAATTCTGCCTTCACGTACTCATCACCCAAGGATCGAAGTTCAGATGGCAACTTTAATCTGTGAGCTCTAAGAATCGAGCGGTAAAGCTTCAAAGGCGGTAAAAGAGGAGGTGTTTTTCTCTCAGGGCGACGTGGCCTGATCAGACGTATTAAGCTTGGTCTCATTTCAACCTGATTCCTCAAGAGTCGTCTGTGAACAAAATGAGCAGCCGCTGTGGTGTCACGTGTGTATCCACCTAAAGAATTTGAATGTCCTTTGGATCAATGGTAATGTGGCCACGTCAATAGAAGAAAATTTGGGGGGGGGGGGGGGGGGGGGGGGGGGGTCAAGAAAAGTTGTCCTAACGTTCTATTATGGCCTCAATAGCTAATTGTATTTTGGAGACATCGAAGTCAGAGCCGATCTCAGCTTTCGCAGCCAAGGCCTTCAACCACATAATTGTTTATTTGACACCCTTCTAAGTTGTTGCAATGGACCACAAGGACAGCCAACACAATAGGCTTTGAAACAGCCTATTTACATGATCTGGCCTCCATCAGCTGGGCTTTTACTCGGCTACAAGCCAACACTACTGATTGGGGGAGTGGCTGCATGGGCGACTTGCGTGTTTGGGTATTTTCTAAATTTACAGCAGTGTAGCCAGATCCCATTTCAGGAAAAAAAAATTCCCGGTTTTACCATTCCCCTTCATCAAACAGTTTCCCCATATGGTATATGAATCTATGATCGAAAGAGGTAATTTTATTTTATGCTTCGAAGACGCACCTGCACATTGGCAGACAGAAGAACATACTTTTTATGGCAGTGGACTAAAACGCACTTATCCCAATCCAGTAATTCTCAACCTCGTGCATCTAGATGGCTGCAAATGGTAGGGTCCCTTAAAAGGTTCCCCAGTCCCACCATTTTGCAAGCCTTAACAGCCTCGTCTTTTTGAAGCTTGTACTTTTTTTTTTCTTCCGTCGAAGACATACTTTCGTTTTCTATTTCTTCGAATCCGAGAACAACCTTCAATTCAAAACTCACGTTTGATCAGCTGTTCCTTCGCTCGAGTTATTTACAATGAGGTTCGCTTCAGTTTTTACCATGGCGACCGCCTTCACGGCCTCGCTCGTGTCAGCTGCCCAGCCACTGGCTCTGCCGTCAACATCATGAAGAGAAGTGAAAGTGGTGCTGAGATTATTGACTTCGAATACGTTACCAAAGCTATGCGTGAGCTTAATGAAAGAAGTGCTTCTGGCAATGTCAATGCCGCCCAGAAGCGTGACGATGAGGACTTTGTGGACCAGTTATTGACTCAACTCCACAACTCCAACTTGCTCGAGGAGTTTGTTGACCAGTTCGCCAACTCTCCTCGTTTGAAGCGTTCTGTCCAAGAGGGTGTCGCCCAGGCCATCCAGGACGGTAACGTCGACGACATTGTTGTCTTCAAGGCCTTGAAGAACAGTGGTAAGATGCAGCAGTTCTTCGAATCCGTTCTCAACGACCTGGACTTGAACGTCGCTCTTTCCTCTGATGCCAAGGGCATCATGGAGGAGGTTGAGAAAGACGGTGCTAAGGCTCAGAAGAGAGCTTTAGAAAGAGCCCACCCATTCATCAAGAGATTGTATGCGGAGCTCCCCAACGCCAGAGAGAAGAGAGACTTCCACCCAGACATCTTGGACGCTTATGGAATGGAGAAGAGAGACCTTGCCGATGCCATTGGATCCATTGTCAGTCTGATCTTTGACTCTGGTATCATCCAGAACATTATTCGCTCTATCTTTGGTAACACTGACTTGATCCAAGGTGCCTTGAACTTGCTTACCGGTGTCATTCGTGCTATTCCATGGGGTAACTTGTGGAATTCCTTCAAGGAGAGTGGCATTATCCAGAGAATCTTCCGTTGGGGTTTCAACTTTGTTGTCGGTTTGTTCACCTCTGGCACCGTTGGCAGAATCTTCGACACCCTCTTTGGAGATGGAGCCTCTGACACGTCTTTCCTCAGTCGCTTGTTGAGTGTCTTGGTTGACGTTGGTGGTGAGCTTTTCCAGAGTATTGTCAACAACGCCGGCCTCTTCGGTGAGCTTGCTAAGACTATCTTCAGCGGTCTCTTCGATGGATCTGGCTCTGGATCTGACGGCAACTTTTTGGAGAACCTCTTCAGTGGTTTGGGCTCTGGTTCTGGTTCCTCTGGATCTGGCTCTGGTTCTGGTTCCTCTGGATCTGGCTCTGGCTCTGGTAACGAGGTTTCCTCTGGTTCTGGTTCTGGTTCTGATTCGAGCTCCGGTGGTTTCTTCGACTCTATCTTCAACGATATCTTTGGCGGCGACTCAAGCAGCTCCGGCGGTTCTGGCTCTTCTGGAAGCTCCGGTTCCTCTGGCTCTTCTGGAAGCTCCGGTTCCTCTGGCTCTGGCATTTGGGGCTCCGGCTCCTCGGGCTCTGGCTCCTCGGGCTCTGGCTCCTCTGGTTCTGGCTCCTCCAGCTCCGGCTCCGGATCTAGTGTCTTCAGCGGAGACGCCAAGGCTTGCTGCTGTGACGCCAAGTTGATCAAGACCAGAGCTATCAAGAGAGCTTTGCACAGAAAGATCAAGCGTTCTGTGAAGAGAGCGATTGCCAGCAACCCAGAGCATGGCCACGACATGTTCTTGAATTACGCCTACGCTAAGGTTTAAAGAACCACAGAGCACAAGACAGACTTGCAGCATATGGTTCTGACCGCATATTTCCCATGATTCCCACAAAAGAAGATCCGTCTTCGTAATTTTCTTGTTCTTTTTAGGTAATTATTTTCAATAGTTCTATTTGGGGTTAAGCTTGATGCTATGATTCCACCAATAAAATTGGTAACAAAAAGTTAACTTAGTAGTGCTTCCAATCAAGACATCCGGCATCCGGAGTATTCTGATTTTAAAACAAGTCTCCTGCCAAAAACAGTTACGAAGAAAGCCAGGCCTGGAACAAAGCAGAAAGAGAATATTCAATTGCGCTTCGGTCATATTTGTTATCCGTTATTGGTAAAATGTTATGCTCAGGGTCCGCATAATATTCTGTGGTGTGTTCCCAAAGGTGTATTACCCAAAGAGGAAGTGGCGTTTCGGCTTGAATTTCAAGCCGTAACCTTAAAATAGCACGCCTACCTGAACTAACGCTGATTCTACACGAAAGGCATGAGAAGCAGCTGCAATGTAGAGTTTTTGCAAGAGAGAGTATGGGGGCTTTAGTAGTTTTACGATAGATCTGGCGTTTGTTGGCCTTGTGGTTGTCAAAACTTTGACAGGCCGTCAAATCAGAATGGCTATAGTGAGCTCTAGACCGTTCTTCACGTCGCATTGTATCCTGAACCATAATTAATGTTTTGCAACTTCCAGAACTGACCATCAGAATGGCTTCCACATTTGTAGAATACCAATTTGAAGGAATTGCTTGATGTAGTCAAGCATGCACAATGAGCCCCAGACTAACGAGGGTGCATTGTTGTCTGCAGGCCGCATCAAAGAAAATGTTCCTTCTTGGGTATATTGGCTGCGAAGAATCTTTACCTAATGCGGTAAGACAGGAACGACCTCCAACTATTCCAAAGTGGCAGAAAATGTATGAGGGCTTTATAAATCCTTGAGCCCCAAAGCCCTTGCGTATTTCACAAATTTTGTTTCTCTTTTGTTCACCAAGCCCAGCCTTCGGATTTTGACACCCTTCTTTTTATTTTAATTTAATTCAGTTCGCTCCAAGGGTCTACCGAAACATCCCTCCACTCGTTAATGGATAAGACATGAGGTTGTCCACTCAAACATTGACTTTAGTTCTTTGCGCCTCTGCCTTTGCTAAGGTGCAAAGCGAGAAGGACAGAGCAAACATCAAGAGGAATGCCGTTGAAAAGGACTCCTTCCAACAAGCTGAGGAACTTGCCAAGAGAGGTCTCTTTGACTGGCTCACTGGTGGTGATTCTGGTTCCGACAGTGGTTCTGGTTCCGACAGTGGTTCTGGTTCCGACAGTGGTTCTGGTTCCGACAGTGGTTCCGGTTCTGGATCTTCTAGTGCTGCTGCTGAGCCTGCTGCTTCTTCTGAAGCTGCTTCCTCCCAGCCTGTCGCTGCTGCTGCGGTAGCCTCCAGTTCCTCTCCTGCTGCTGCTGCTGCTGCTGCCCCATCTTCTAGTGCTGTCAGCTCTGCTCAAACATCTGCCCCAGTTTCCCAGAACACTCCAAAGGAACTGACCTCACTGAGCTCTGCCTCATCTTCGTCTGCTTCCTCCTCCAAAAAGGGATTGTTGGATGGTTTGTTCGGCAATGACGACAGCACCTCATCTGACGACTCGGGAGCCTCAGTAACCTCCTCCGGTTCTGCTTCTGGCTCAGGCCGTGCCCTTGCTGCTTCTGCCGCTGCCGAGGATGATGACGATGACGAGGACGAGGACTGTGAGTCCATTGAGACTGAACTTCCTACCACCGATGCCGACCCAGTCACTCCTAACCCAGGCAACAGCAACAGCAACTCCGCTACTGTGTCTGCCTCCTCAACCTCGGTTGAGTCGAGCGAGTCGAGCGAGTCGGGTTCTTCTGGCTCTGGCTCTGCTAGTGCTTCTAGCTCCTCAAGCACCGGTGGCTGGTTTGACAACATCTTCGGCACCACCACTGCCAGCTCTGCTTCCGAGACCGACTCTGCTTCTGAGAGCAACTCGGCCTCTGGCTCTGCCGACCCATCCTCTGAAGATGCTGCTGCAATTGCTTCACGAATCACCGACGATGACTGTGCCTCTGACGAGCCTCTCATCCCTGGCGACTCTGACACCGATGCCCCTACCACTACCACTAACGGCGGCTCTACTACCACTAACGGCGGTTCTACTACCACTAACGGCGGTTCTACTACCACTAACGGCGGTTCTACTACCACTAACGGCGGCTCTGCTACTACTTCGGGATCCAACAGCGTTTCCTCGAGTGCCAGCAGCGGCAGCGTGATTGTCACCACCGAGTCTGACGGCACCACCACCACCTGGGTGGACGGTGATGAGGAGGACTGTGAGAGTGACATCGACCCCATCCCAGGCTTGTCCACTCCAACCCCAGAAACCACTTCAACCAGATCCACTGGAAGCTCTTCTCTGTCGGCTGGTACCCCTGTCCACACCTCTCTCACTGTCATCACTGAGGGTGGTAGCACCACCACCTCGTGGACCACCTTGCCTGGCTCCACTACCAGAACTTCTACTTCCCGCGAGGTTGTGACTTCGAGCGACATTCTCGGCATCAAGACCACCATCACCCAGGCTGGCCAGTACACCTCCACTTCTGGTGCTGCTGTCTGGATCTGTGACGATGAGGAAGAGTGGACTGACACCAAGGTGGTGGACGGTGACTCTGGTTCTGGCGGAAAGCCTGCCACCACTTCTACCAAGTGGTGGTCCACCCCAAGCTCTGGTTCTGGTGGCTCCGGCTCTGGCTCCGGTTCCGGTTCTGGCTCTGGCTCTGATTCTTGCGCCAACGTGAACTGTGACAACGTTGACTGTGGTGATGACGACTACGACTTCTGGGACAGTGAGGATGAGGCTGACGAGCAGGAGGCCAAGACCGAGATTCACACCTACACCACCAGACGTCCTTACACTACCACCAGCGCTGGCCAGGTTGTCACTGGAACCAGCGACGAGACTGTTGTCTCCACATACAAGACCACTGAGGTGAATGTTGGCACCAAGACCCACGTCAGTGTCACCACCGAGGAGTGTGAGGACCAGGATGAGGACTTCTGGAAAAAGATGGAGGGTGACTCCAACTCTTCTTCGTCTGCTTCCTCGTCTGCCCGTTCCAGCTCCAGATCGAGCTCCAACACCAACACTTCCACCAAGCAGGCCTCTTCCAGTGCTTCCTCTAGCGCTGCCTCCAGCTCTGCTGCTTCTAGCTCGTCCGTGGCTCCTAGCTCTTCTGCTGCTTCCTCGACTGCTCCAGCTGGCTCCAGTACTCCAGCTGACACCAGTGCTCCAGCTGACACCAGTGCTCCAGCTTCCTCTGCTGCTGGTGCTGCTGGTGCTGCTGCCGAGACTCCATCCCAGTCTGGTTCTGAATCCTCATCTTCTCCATCTTCCACGGGAGGTTTCTTGTCAGGCTTGTTTGACAAGAGACAACAGATTGAGGCTCGCTCTGGAAGTGAGAAGTTGCTTCCTGGCGCTGCAGGCTTGATGCTTGCCGTGCTTGCGGTTGCATTGTAATGAGACCAGGCCCAAGTTCTTCTCGATTGAGAAATGTATCATAATTGGATGGTGAATGACGCTAACATTGCGAGGACGCCCAGTCTTTCTGGGGCACCAAAATTCTAAACAAAAATTTTTCGATCCGTTATATCCTTTTATTTCGTTATGCATTGAGTCTATAAGACAGCAATACATTAATCAGTACCATTGTCCTTGTAGCCGCGCTTTTGCAGCCATTTTCTCACTGATGCCTATGGGGCTTCGACTTCTCAGAACATCCAACTTGAAGTATTGGAGAGTTTCAAGAGCCCAATTACTGTAATAAGCCTATCTGATAACAGCGGGGAGCTTGTGATTAGTCGCTGTTGTGTCTCCTCATTTCCCTCAAAGTGTCACCAACAGTAGTACGACCATGAGAGCAGCTTCCAAACGCCCACATGCAATTGAAGACGTTGCATTTAAAGAGATGGAGCTCTTTCTTGGGGTCTTCTTTTAACGTACTCCCATAAATCAGTGTAGTTTGGTCTATGAAGTTGATCGCCGTTCCCTTTTTAACGGCTTGCAGGGCCAAAAACTCCACCCTTCCGATGATCACATACCAAGTTATTCAAATAATTCCTCTATCTTCTATATATTGTCAATTCACCAGACCAAACCCCCTTCATCTAAATCTCTTCATCGCTATCATACTGCATGGGCGATATCCGAACACAAAATCGTTCACGTGATACTATTATCAGTTAAACCTGAAGGCGCTCCGAGTTCAATAGTTAGTATTCACCCGAGACAAAATGGTGGACAGACAAACCATTCTATTAGTCATCATTATGGTGATGCTATTTACCTTGCCTCCAGGCTCAGATCAACCATTGGCCTCGGAAGACAGGGCCGTTTTACAAAAATTCAAGTCTAGCCTTATTCAAAGCCGAAAGGAGGTGCTAGATTCACAATATTGGCTAGGGTATGGGAACCTAACAGGTCTTAAACTCTCGTACCAGGACAACCTTAAAAAGAAGAATGTTCTGCTATGGCCATTTCGTGAATACTCGAAAAAGAACCCGTGGAAGGAGAGGGAACAGGACAGTTTATTACCAGATGAAGTGAGTAAGCGAGTCAAGGAGAATTGGGGAAACGATCCCGTGCTTTCTGGTGATGATCATGCATATCCACTCAACATATCTGGTCACTTGTTCGGTGATTTTGATGTTGTAAAGCCCGACAAAGCTCTCAAGCCCTTTCGCATGAGGCTACCGAGGTATTTAAAGGAATACTACCTGCTTTATAAGCAAGAGAAATATGAGGAAGAGAGACAAAGATACGAGCTGGACCCGGAATCAAATTCACCTCCTCAGGAAATAGAAGGCAGCAAAGAGAAGGCTGGCAACATCACCACTTATAAGGAAGGTGTTATAGAGCTTGAGCTACATTCCTTGGGATATAACTTCATGAACCCGGAGTTATCCGACTTCGTGAAGCAAAATCCAAAATCCAAAATTGATGACTCAGTGGTGGTCACAATGAGCATGAATTTGAAAGACTACCCTGAAAAACATGATGATGAGTTCAAGATGTTGGGAGTGTATTACCAGTCTATGGGCGCTTTGATAGCTTCGACAAAGTCTGCAAAGTTTGAAGGCGGGCATGCACTTCCTCACTTCACGATGAATGAAGAGAACTTCAACATCTCCAAGGCCCTTATGAGTCAAATCGTAAACGTTACCGACATTGAACAAGAGGTATCTATTGATGACATGAATAACGCAATTGAAAGATCCCAGGACCAGTGTGAGTACATCACATACTTCCAGCTTGAGCGAACAGATTTTACCAAAGATCAGCTTCGAGCAATTGATGACGAACTTTTCCTGCCACAGGGGGCTCCCATACCAAAGAAGCTACCACAATTGGAGATCTCACATGCGATCTTATATTCACCAGATTGTGGTATACTTTTAGAAAACAAGAAATCGGAGGTGTTTTCTGGTCTCCGTCTGGAGATTTCAAAAACCAGGTCCCGTCAGATGGCAATAGGCGTATTGCTTCTAGCTGTAATTGAGCTCAACCTCTTATTGAGACAAATGAAACGTTGCAGAAGCCCGGGACAGCTTTCTAATGTTTCATCTGTAACCGTGTCGTTGTTAGGTTTCTGGACCCTGGTGACACTCGTTTACTTCTTGTTGAGATCTTTGCAACAAAGTGAGCTATACATTTTGTTGACTTGTGTCTCTGTGATAGCCTCGATACTATGTCTACACGAAATGAGACTTTTGGTTGGTATTTTTACTGCGCAAGAGAACGAGAGAGGAACTAATTGGTGGGAGATTTTGAGAGGATCGCTGGTGGAAGGCCAAAGCAATAGAGAAGGTGAGGATGCGCCGGCTGGTGGGAATCAGCCTAACGAGGATACAGTGGCGGCACCTGCTCCAGCTACCACGCCGGCTACAGCGGCTCCACAAGTGAATACGGTGCAGCAACTCTCTGATGAGGCTCGCTACCCTAACATGATTTTCTTTGCTGGGTTTGCCTTGACATGCATAGCAATGATGTTGATCTCGAGTATCACAAGATGGAGGATTTCATACAGAAGAACAGCTGAGTATGTCATCTTGATTTTTTTCAATTCTTATTGGGTTCCTCAGTTCTTCCGGAGCACATTGAAAAACAGAGTTCGTGTGTTTCTGTGGGAGTATGCTATTGGTACTTCACTTGTTCGGTTCATTCCTGTTTTCTACATGTGTCTTGATAAGAACAACGCAATTCGCCATCATTATGATCCGGTTATGGCCATGGTGGTGTTCAGTTGGATATTCACGCAGCTCTTCTTTTTGTACTTGCAAGACTGTTTGGGTGCTAGGTTCTGGGTAAAGGAAAAGTGGTTACCTGAACAGTACAACTATCACCCAATCATCAGCATTAAAGATTTAGAAAGTGGATTTTCGCTGGACATTGTGGCCAACATGAAGCCTCAAACTGCTGACAAGGACCTAGCAATTTGTGACATTGATTGTGCAATTTGTATGTCCACACTTCAGGTTCCTGTTGTCTCTGGAGAGGTTCTGTCGGTGTCAAAGAAAAATGTTGATAGCATGATGAAGGAAGTCATGGTGACACCATGTCGCCACATTTTCCACGACAAGTGTTTGGAGGATTGGATGGTCTATAAGCTTCAGTGTCCGGTGTGTCGTTGCCCTTGCCTCCGGTCTAGCCGGCGAAAAGTAATGCGGGAAGTTGTCCAAGAAGTCTTGGGAGGATGAGTAGAGCCTGGGGCCGAGGAGCATTTTGTATCACAAACAAGCGGATATAATATACTACAGGCGACCGAGGCTACTTAAACGGAGCCGGAAGCGTTATTTTCGGAAAAATCAGCAACTAATGGATCTTGGCAAAAGGTGCATGTTCCGAGGGTCAAGCGCGAGTGGTTTGTGATGAGCTACAGAAGATCAACCCGAAATAAATAAACCTTTCCTATTTACTGCTGAAACCTGCAGCGATATGCAATGATATAAAAATGCTAATGAATTGTCACGATGGGAGGTTGGACCATGTAGAAGCGTTGCAACCTTCAATCGTGGAGGTGATATAGGCGAGCTGCAGCATACCAGATCCACGGCCCGCCAGTAGAGCCGCATCAAGTCGTTAGCTCCGGGAGGACAGCTTCATTTCTAGAGGGAGGATGAAATCAGACGATAGCAAGTCGCTCGTACGGACCAGCAGTTTGCGATGGCCACCCAGACCCCGTCTTTCTGGAGAAGGAGCCAACGCCTGGGCGGCTGAGATATTGTGTCTCGTTAGCTGGGAACGAGTAACCACTTTCGTTTGAGGAGGTTGGGAAGAGCTCAGAGACCGACGCCAGAGCTTCATGAACAGGCCCGTCCGGGGACGTTTACTTGGTTCCTCCTTATTGGAGCGCCTTAAGGCATTGAGCGGGTTGAGTTTGGAAAACATGCAAGGAGATGATACCGAGAGCATGGGCGACGATGCCAAAATAAATAACGAGCTGAGAATCTCGAAATGGCAGATCGCAGACTTATATACGACGGGAGACCGTTTGGGCCCTGGGCCGCAGAATGCAATACGAGCGGCTACAAGACAGGTTCTAGTGCGCCCGCTCCGAGGGGCTTTCCCACGATGACTTTCCCGACGGATTCCGTACGCACGCACAGGCAACAGGCCACAGCGTACATCGAAGACTATTTTCATTCATAAATTAGAAACTTGCGGGGTGGCCAGTGCAAAACAGACCAGTTTATGTGACCTTTTATATTTTTTTTTATTTTGCTATCCACGGGCTACATTCTCGGTTGCTTAGCAAATCTGGGAAGTTTTTCTGGGCTGGTAAGATTTTTTTTTGACAGATGCTTGCACTTCCTACTGTGGTCACAGCGCCGACGGACAAAACGGGTTGACTCACGGTAGCGGAAGATAAGTAAACCCGGAGGTGCGGCTCTTGCCATCGGAAGACGGTACGGGACTTTTGTGTTCTTTTTTTTTTTTTTTGGTGGCGGGGGCAAATTTCACCCTGCGAATTGTTCTTTCGGTTTTTAAAACGCCTGTGTTTTTGTCCTTGTCAAGGAGGGGTCTTGCCATCCCTCACTCACGACCGGATACGGCTGCAAAACGGCTGCGAAACGATGACGGCTCGGCGTTCGCACACAATGGGCTCCATCCTGACAATGACAGGTGCCCGTGGGATGCATTTCATGGATGATGTATAATATGTGTGTTTTATAGCGATTCAGGGGATGTATCAAATGACCATTTTCTATTTTTTTGGCCAGCCCGGTGTTTGAGGTTTGCAGGGTGGAGTCATAACTTTTGTACGAAGAAGCGAACTCTACGAGAAATGCGGGCCTCGAACAAAAATGCAAATAAAAAATAGGGTTTTCGTAAATCGGCAATCAAAGTGGTATAGAGAATTATTCAGCGCAGTTTGCTTTTATCGGTACGGCCAGTGGCGGTGGCGAACTACCACAATAGTGGTGCCTTATTTCCTGAGGCATGTCGCAAACTATGCGGCCACTGCTGAGTAATGCTGCTGCTGAAAAACGCAAGTATGGCTTGAGATAAATTTTGAGTCAAAACTGTTTCCGCTTTTCATGGCAAGATTTATAAGAAATTAGCTACTCGCGTGAAGTAACGACGATCGTACTCTAACAACCAACGCACAGTTATCGGTTCTGCCCACTTGCGTTGCTTTAACAGAAAGCAGTACATATTAAATTTATTAGATCCAGGCGGATGCACCGCTGAGCCCGATGCCCATGGACCCTTGAATCCCGTGACATCCGTAAATCGACTCACCTACGGCGAAGAGCCAGGTCATCATCCTCTTGTGACTCTGACGTAGTAAGCCTTGGCTCATGTTCCTAAAACTTGGTAGATATGACCATTCCAGAGTTCCCGCTACGTTACGGAGAGGCCAGGCACAAAGCTTAACGGATACTTCGGAGTTTTGTTCCTGACCACATGATCAGGCGTGATGGTTTTCCAAGAAAGATCGACTTTTCAAGCAATCCAACACCGGTACGTCTAGCATACAATCAAATATCAATAATTATTTGCATAATCGAATATTTGTTAGCAGTCGTTTCTACGGTTATCTCTCGCGCTTAATTAGGCAGGCAGGCTAGTGAGAAGCGCTAAGATTGACTGCACTAAGTAGTGTGCGCTAAGCGCCATATATAAGATTGATAGCATAGAAGCACCTTCTACACCCATGGCTCCGCTGCTTAAAAACCCGAGCTTCTCAAAACTAAGCCTTATATCAACGGCGAATGGATCGAGTCCAAAGCTTCCAAGACATTTGATGTGGTGGATCCAGCTACCGAGGAGGTGATAGCGACGCTCCCAGATCAGACACCTGAAGAGATTGACCATGCCATCAAAATCACAAGAGATGCCTTTGACAGTTATAAAAAGACCAACGTTGTGGATAGATCGAGATGGTTACGCAACTGGTACGACTTAATGCTCGAGAATCTCGACGATTTGGCCACTCTTATCACTATGGAGAATGGTAAGTGCTTAAATGATGCACTTGGAGAGGTAAAATATGCTGCCTCGTACTTTGAATGGTTCTCTGAAGAAGCGAAAAGAAATTATGGCCACACTATTCAGCCAGCTAACAGCAACAACAAGATCATCACCTACAAGCAGCCTGTGGGTGTGGTGGGGCTCCTCTGTCCGTTCAACTTTCCTGCTGCAATGGGTGCAAGAAAGGCTGCACCGGCATTGGCTGTCGGATGCACGTGTATCATGAAACCAGACGCTCAGACACCATTGACTGCTTTGGCGATGGCTCATTTGGCCGATAAGGCTGGGTTTCCCAAGGGAGTATTCAACGTTGTGTTGAGTTCGGTTGAGTCGACACCAGTCTGTGGAACAAAGTTCTGCGAGTCGCCACTCATCAAAAAGGTGTCTTTCACCGGATCTACGCCAGTGGGAAAGCTTTTGATGAAACAGCTGTCGCTGACGCTCAAGAAATTGCTGATGGAGCTCGGTGGAAATGCTCCAATTGTTGTTTTTGAAGATGCGAAGCTCGACCAGGCAGTTGAGCAGGCAATCGCCTCAAAATTCCGCTCCTTGGGCCAAACATGCGTTTGTGCTAACCGCATTTACGTTCAAGCGGGTATCTACGATGAGTTCTGTCTGCGCTTTGCCGAGAAAGTGAAGTCGTTCAAAATCGGCAACGGTTTCGAGAAGGGCGTCACCCACGGATGCTTGATCAACACGCGAGCGATCGATAAGGTAGAGGAGCACGTCAGAGATGCCGTTGGCAAAGGGGCAGAAATTCTTGTGGAAGGTGGGCGCCTCAGCGATCTTGGCAAACACTTCTACAGTCCATACGTGCTTGGGAAGGCCACCAAGGAAATGAATTGTTTTGGTGAGGAGACGTTTGGCCCCTCGCGGCGATCGCCAGGTTCGAGACCCAGGAAGAGGTTGTTGCTGAGTGCAACGATACGCCATTTGGGCTTGCGGCTTATGTGTTTCTGGAGAGCCTCAACCGAGTGTGGCAAGTGTCCGAGGCGCTTGAGACAGGCATGGTGAGTGTGAACAGCGGGATTTTCACCGATGCCGCATTGCCCTTTGGTGGAGTCAAGGAGTCAGGATTTGGCCGGGAAGGCTCCCTCTATGGCATGGATGACTACACCGTGGTGAAGCTGGTTTCTCTCGGCAATGTCTATGGCTAGAATGGTTGCAAAATCGCATATAACGTGCGTGCGTTGTTCCGGCATTTAGAGCCAAGCGAGCAGGAAACGCAGCGCGAATTGTAACCACAACTCTTCTTCCATAAATGTGTATGGGGAGACCGCGGTGGACAGGCGTGGTAGAGCTGGGCAAGGAAAAATGCTTACCCGTACCGGTCACGTGTACTAGACCCAAGAAGAACCCGCGTTTTCTAGATATTCTATATGTGGTGCTTGGTGGAGCAGCAGTGTGGGTGTTGGTAACGAGGTTCATGGGCTGAGAATGTCCCCACGTCACCCTGTTATAATTATATCCTGACACAATAAATATAGAAGTACCCCTCTGTAGAAATCATGCCATATTTGCCGGCGTCAACCCACTTTTTTTTAGACACATTCTTGACATTCTCCAGTGCCATAGTCTATTTATTCCATTTGAGCCGGTTCTGGCCTGGCTAAAAACGGCCGAGGCGCACCGCCCCAGCGCGCTCTAGACTGGCGGCGCGGTGTGCCTTCCAATTGCACCATGCGCAGCGAAGCTCGTGTTTCTACACGCTTGACGCTAATTCTTAGATATGGGCTTTTCACCGTGGAATTGTCGAGGTTTTTGATTCATGGCTTTGACAAGACACTTGCGAAGGAAGGCTTTTCTCGGGTCGCCCGATTTCCTGAATGGGAAGCTGAATTGTGCCCCCCTTGTCGTGGGGAGACCTTTATCTGGGCCGCCTAGCGCTGGTGTGTAGGCATTGTCTAGGTTACCTCGTCTGGAACTTTTTCGTGCCTTGCCTGGGTCTGGGGCGGCGCGCAGTGCCAATATTGTGCTGCTGCTATTTTTTTTTTTTTTCCCTGCTCTTCCTTAATTACCCAGAGCTCCACCCGTTCTTTACCCCCGTTATACCCCCATTCTTTACACACCCCCATCCACTCGTTTCCCGGCTGATATAGCTCAACTACTTCCACAAAAAACAACCAGGCCCCTGTTTCAGCCGGCCTTTTCCCTCCCTAGTGCCTGCTTTCCTCCCTCTTTAACGGTGCAAGGTGTAAACGGCACCACCAGTCATGAAGTTAGTGTACCTTTTACTTGCCTCCGTGGCCCTTGCCGCCGACACAGGCTTGGGCTGCTACTCTCTGGTCGATACATCGAATTTCGAAGGCGAAGGCCAGTTTGAGACGTCTGATACGTGCAGCAAAAAATGTGAGAACTATCCTTACATTGCCATCAAAAATGGTGGTATGTGCTACTGCCTATCGTCTAAACCATCATCCAACCAGGTCTCCGATTCCCTGTGTTCCACCCCATGTAACGGTTATGGTGACGTGAAGTGCGGAGGCTCCAGCGCGTTCACCGTTTTCAAGGGTTTGGGCGAGGACTCGGGCTCAAGTGCTGGATCGCTGCCCCTGTTATCGTCGAGTAGCCCGCTGAGCTCCTCAACCACTCTGTTTAGCTCGTCCACCGATGGTCTGACTGCCGTTGGCGCCACGAGGACGTCTCTGCAGAGCCAATCCTCATCGACCCACTCTAGTTCCGTGGCCACATCGAGCTTTTCTTCTAGCTCCTCCGCAACGCATTCAGACAGCGCAGCCACGAGAACTGTGACTCAAAGCTCACACCCCACAACCTCCTCCACACCTTCTGCATCACTGGAACCAGACAATACACAAAGAGCGCTGTCTACTAACGTGGGTGCCATCGCTGGCGGCGTTGTTGGAGGCGTGGTGGGCTTAATTTGCATTGCACTTGCCATCTTCTTCTTTATCCGTCACAGGAGAAAGAACGACGAGAGCGACGACGAGGAGTTCTTCGAGAAGGGCTCTGGCTCTGGTCTCTCGAGAGGCAATGGAACTGCTAAATCCAAGAAATACAACTCTGCCTTTGACATGCCAATGGCAAATCCCTTCTCCGACGAATTTGCGGACAAAAGAGCATCCAAGATGACCACAAACGGCTTGGCAGACCCCAGACTCAACCCTGCTATTGTGGGCAGAAGAAGACTCTCGGACGGCTCCCTAGCCGACGAAACAGACTACTCGCGAAAAATCCTAGCGGTGGCCAATCCTTGATGTGTTATATGTGACGAAAATATTACGGATAATTGTAACTATAAAAGCTGATTTTTTTTTTCAGTAGCTGTAGATTATGGCGCAGGAAGGGTCAAAAAAAGTGGTCGCATGTGGGGGGAGGCACGGGTCTGCACCAGTGAGAAGTGAATGTCAAAACTACAGCAAGTTGTCTGCGTTAACTAAGCTAGCAGTGGAGACAAACCAAATACACTCCATGACCAAGTCCATCCCCACATACGAGAAACCGCTCCATGATTCACTTACAACATTGTACAATAGCTTGTCCGACCTAAAGAACAATAGAACAAGGTACATCAGCTCTAAGCAGGTGTATGTAATTTATGATGAATTCTTGAAACAAGTGCACGAGCTCAGCATCGTGAGGAAAGATGAAGAGCTTAAGGGCATGAACCTTAATCTTCCTAATTCCACAGACTCCCTCATTGATGATATATGGCAATTGTTGTCGCTTTCGTTTGTCACCTGTGGGCTTATCAAGTTTGCCCCTGCCACTTATTCATCTCTCAGTACAGTCTCGAAGCTTCTCACACACTTGAAAGAATGCCAAATTTACAGTTTCGATGACTTAAAGCCGATTGATGCCCGTCTTAAAGAGATAAAGAACATCATTGACACAAGTGAGGATGCGGAAGATAGTAACAGCGATTCAGATGATATGATAGACCACAAGCGGGAGGAAAGTTTATTGCTCAGAAACAAGTTGAACAAATGTGAGCAAATATATCTGGAGCTTGAGGACTCTTTCCGCAGAATTCCTGACGATTTGGAACCAGCATACGGTAAACTCATCCAGATCAGAAAAGTCTTGCTCAATTACTTGACCCACGAGGAGCTTGGTCCAAGTAAAGTGGGCGAAAAACTACTGCAAATAGAGGCCGAGATCAAAGTGATTGAAGATCAAAGAGACGACACTGGAAAGTTCCAGAGCAATGTCGCCACCGAGTCGGAATTGCACACGACACAAATTGTTCTCAATGCTTTGTTGGATGACTGTCATAACTTGGTTAAAGACTTGAGTATTCAACAAGATACCACTGGTATTGCAAACCTTTTCGACGGCTTGACCCTAGGAAAGCCAGAGGATGAGGAACTCGAGAGCATTGCCAAGGGTCTCAAAAGCGTCTATGACGAGTTGCTTACTTTGAGACAAACGCTAGAGAATCTCCTCATCACTCGAAGATGGACCATGCGCGAGACTGACTTGTACAATTACCAGAAATCATTGAAGAGAATAGACGAGCAAAGACTCGACTTCAACAAAAGGATCGCAGCCTCTTCAAGCGGTCCAGTACCCAAGAAACTCAAGCGTGCCCAACTTGTTGTGCTTTACCTTTTGAGAAGGTGCTACTCATTGATTTACAAGCTCTTGGAGAGCTCGGAACCGGTGTCTGAGTCGCTTCAGCCTATACATAATCAGTTGCTGACCGTGAGAAGATGTCTTCTTGAGATTAAGCGTGTGGACGGATTGAACAATCTCCGTGAGCTTTACCCCTTCCAATTTAAGTTGGCATCGTTGGATAACTTACGGGACGACGGTAAATTCATCGTGAATGGGCAGGTCCCCGAGGGCCAGGGTACTTTGAATGCGCTTCTTGCAGAGTGCTTTGACATTATTCACGAGCTCAAGATCGAATTAGAAGAAAAAGAAGACAACGAAGACAAGGAAGATGGAATAGATGATGATCACATCACAGACGAGGAGGACAAAGAGTCAGATGACGAGGTTGAGTTGAAAAGAAACCGTTATGTCGGATTTAACGAGGCAGACTATGACATGGTCTATGACAGTGATAACCTCAGCAACTTATCCGACTCTGAGTTCGAGAGTAACGACTACTACTGATACCAAATAAATAGCCAATCAGTAAAATTACTGTAGATGGATTGTGCTCACAACTTGCCCTCGTTCGCACGTAAATGGCTCTATCGCCGTACGGCATATTGTACCAGAGGAAAAAGGAATCTTGCGGGAGGCACAACCACATTAAATTATTTGACTTTCAACATCTTTCCATGTCTGCATCCACAAATATAGTCTGGCGCAACTCTGGCGTTTCAGAAGAGCAGATGCATCAACTTTCAAATTTGCGCAAAATACAGAAGAGAAAAAGAAGGTCTTTGGATGAACCGCAGATAGCAGTCCAGAGACTGTCGGTCTCAAAGCCAAACCACCCTCTCCCTTCCCAGCATCAAGCGTCCTTTCAGCCTGGGCCTAAGTTAAAAAGAACCAAAACACCCAAGATTTATGGCCTGGCGCTCCCGGTGAATAGATTGATTGAAACATTGGACAAAGAATCGCTACTGGCGTTGCTCCAGCAAATCGTTAATCATCATCCCGAGGTCACGACAACCATCACCAGAGTCGCTCCCAAGGCCACTTTGGAAGACTCGGTGGTTTTGATGAAGGAGAAGTTTCATAGCATTATTGAACATTTGCCATACAAATGTGATATCGAAAGCGACTATTCATACATTAGAGTGAAGGCGCATCTTACAGAGTTTTTGAACTGCCTCTCTGATTTCATTTTGACCTTGCTCCCACCTATGGATGCGGGCTTGGCCAACGCATGTGCCATGCTAGATGTTATCACTAACATGATTCATGACTTACCCAACTTCACCAACAACGAATTCCAATATACCAAGTCCACTGCATACGAACAGATAGCTAATCTGTGGCTCATAATCTTCACCAGTCAGGCGAGCCGAGATGACGATAGCGATGCTGTTTGTGATGATTTAAGTTCGCTCAATATGGAGAGAATTTTTGAGTTTGTGAAGACGTTGAGAGAGCATGATATCCAGAAAAAGATAGAGAAGCATAATGAGATTACCCTTGGGAAGTTTACCGCTGTGTTGGACCTCCTCAAGTCTGAGCTTGAGGCTTATGAAAAGGTCAGCCACTCATTGAACAACAACGGTAGATCCTTATTAAGTGATATGATATCCGTCGACTACTCCAACTACTCAATTTCCGCAAGGACGAGTCACTAGAGCAGGTCTTTCTTTGGTATATGATGGAAACAAGCTTTGTATAGATTACAGAATTTATAGGTTTTCGGGAATTATTGATTACTAGTATACAATTTGTAGAATGTGTTTATGCAAATCTTCCAAGAGCTGGGCCTAGCTCGTCTTTCTTGTCAGGCACACCCATCTCCTTCAACCTCAACCTCTCTCTCCTCTCCTCTTCGAGAGCCAAATTTCTCTCCGCTCTCATTTTCCTGGCATCCATGACATTGCTTTTGTTCTTTTGCAAATATTTCTTCAACTTGGACTTCTCAGCAGGAAGGTCTGGTCTTATCTCAAGGTCCTTACTTTCTTTTTCTCTGGCCTCATCAGCCTCGGCTTGTTCAAGGTCTCTTCTATTGAGCCTGACATTACGGGCCTTCTCGTCAACCAAACCGATAAAGTTTGGATCCAAAGCGATCGTATCAGGAGACAACTTGTTGATCAAAGCCTTCACTTCACCTTCTTGTCTTTGCTTAGCGGACTCGTATGGGTTGATCTCCATGGCGTCGAAGTTGGCTTCACCGGCACCAGGTATGATCAAGGAAGAGATACCCTTCTTATGCCCCACTCCAAGAAGATCCTCAAATGGAACGAACTTGGCTTTCTCTACCTTTGAGCCAGGTAGAAGATGAGTCATGTAAGGCTCTTCTTGATGTGTCTTTTGCAAGTCCTTCCATACTGAAATATGAGGACCCCAACCCACAGAAAGAAGACCTGTGTCTGAAAAGTCCAAAGATGTTGCTGGTGTGGGTGTGCGGTGGGTATCTAGCTCCTTGAAAGTTCTCAAATCCCAAAGCTTCACAACCTTGTCAGCGCCTGCCACTGCCATGTACTTGCCTTCTCTATCTATAGCCAAGTCTCTCACTGGTCCTCGAGAGCTCTGTAACTTGGCCACCGGTTCAGTAGCTGACGGCGTCCAAAGAGAAACAACACCATTAGCGTGGCCCAAATTCATGACAGCGTTCCATGGATTCTGTTTCATTGCCTGAGTTGGACCTAGCTTTGTCTTAAGCTCTTTGACCATCGTACCGGTTGTAACGTCATGATATTTTAAGACACCAGTATGTCCAGCGCCGACAAGCAAAAAATGGTAAGGCAAAAAGTCCAAAAGGGTATGCTCCATATGCTGCTTCAACCTGTGAAGCTCTAGCCCTGTTCTGTCATACACGAAAGTGTACTTTTTTTGCGCTACAGCGAAGTATTGATCGTTATGGAAGTACTTCACTGCATTTACCGTTTCATTTAGGAAGAGCTCACAGTCAAGTTTCCCAAGGCGCCAATCCATAGCTGCAACGTGACCTTTCTTGCCTCCAATCAACAACTTACGTCCGTTTCTTGAGTAGTCGAGGGTGTAAGGGCCAAACTCTGGAAGCTGTAGATCAAACTTCTTATTAGAGGTACTGACATCCACAGCATCAGCAATGTCATCCTGCTTAAACTTCATTGTCTTCTCCATGGGACCATCGACTTCCAAGAAACCTGCCTCCTCTTGTAACAACATATCAGTTGCAGCGGCAGAGTTGACAAACTCCTTGTACTGATTGTCAACCTTCTTCATTCCCTGAGCATTTTTCCGGCTTTTAGCCTTAGACAACTTTTTTGGAAATTTTCCTTTGTCTCTCTCATATTTTGAAGCCTTTCCACTGTCTCGGGAAGGAGCCATAATGGTTTGATCGGATGTGGGTGTAGGTCTTGCAAGTTGCGATGAGATGCGCACCTAACTTAGCGTACTACAAGTACCAAGTACGAGAAATCTTGATATGACAATTTTTTTTTTTTTACGTTGTCCGCCTCTTCTTTAACCTTTCAAAGAATCAAAATTTTTTCAAGAAATGTTTTAAAGAATGAATGTAAACTAGAATTTCAGATCTCTTGAACCGATATAATGGCTGCAAGAAAGACGCTAACGGTCGCACTAGACCTATTTACTGCCACTTTTCAACATATGGCCTGTTGTACATCTGAAAATTCCACGATTAATTTTCAACATCATCATTTTATCAGATATTCTTCGTTCTTTTTTAGCTCTTCTCTCTCATCTATCAAACCTCTCTATCACCTGATTCGTGCCCGTAGTTTGGGATTCTCAGTCAATCACAGTACAGGAAATTACAACGACCAACATCAACGCCATGAAACGGTTCTTCACTCGTTCGTTCACAAAGGGTGTGCCCAAACAAAAAATCCCAACACTCAAGGCAAGTGTCGTTCCTACACCTGTCGCAGTTACCTTCACCGCCATTGGTGCTTCTATTGCTGCGTACTACTTGTTTGATGCTAGAGCCGGTATTCATGAGTATGTCTTCTGCCCCTTGATTAGAACCTTCACAGATGCAGAAAATGGACACAAGTTGGGTATAAAGCTCATGAGTCTCGGTCTCTCTCCAAAATTGAGAGAAGAGTCTCCTGCCAAAGAGAAAGAGTTTGACACCATTTTGGGTGTGGACATTTTCGGTACTCACATGAAGTCTCCAATTGGTCTTGCTGCTGGTTTGGACAAGGAAGGTAAGGCTGTTGACGCCCTCTTTGACACCGGCTTCTCATACGTGGAAGTTGGTTCTATCACCCCAGAGGCTCAGCCTGGAAACCCACAACCTAGATTTTTCCGCTTGCCCAGAGACGATGCGGTCATCAATAGATATGGTTTCAACTCACTGGGCCATTTGAGTGTCTTGAATAACTTGAGACAAAGACTTCGTTTGTGGGAATATTTCCCAAACCTGTCCCAGAGACAAGGCAAGCTTTTAGGTGTGAACCTTGGCAAGAACAAGAACGGTGACGAGGTGCAAGACTACGTTCTGGGTGTAAGGAGATTTGCGGAGGTGGCGGATGTCTTGGTTGTCAATGTCTCCTCTCCCAACACTCCAGGCCTTAGAGACCTTCAAAGCGAGCTGAAGCTTACAAATCTCTTGAAGGCAGTTGTCCAGGAGAGAAACTCGCAACGAGAGAACTACAGCGGCAGAAAACCTCCTGTGCTTGTGAAGGTTGCTCCTGATTTGACCGAGCCAGAGATTGAGTCAATCGCGAACTCAGCCAAAGATTCCAAGGTCGACGGTATCATCATTTCAAATACCACGATTCAAAGACCAAATCGTCTTTTGACTACTGATATGAAGCTTGTGAATCAGACTGGAGGGTTGTCAGGTAAACCTTTGAAGCCTTTGTCTTTGCAAGCATTAAGAACCTTGAGAAAGCACACCAAGGACAGCAACTTGGTCTTGGTTGGTTGTGGTGGTATTTCCTCTGGTAAGGATGCACTTGAATTCGGTAAAGCTGGTGCTTCTTTCATTGAATTGTACACCGCTTTTGCTTACAAGGGTCCTGGATTGCCTGCAAGAATTAGAGATGAATTGACAGACTTGTTGAAGAAGGAAGGCAAAACCTGGCAGCAGATTGTCGGTGAGGATGATAAATAATCGTATATCTATAGAGAACACGATCTGAGGAAAGCTAATGCAAGGACGCGCTTTTGGCTAAGTATTTATTTGTGTTGCACGTGACTCACATAGTTAAGTGCTTCGCAAGATTATAAACAAAACTTGCACTTCAGATATACCCCCGATCTCAGATCATATCAAAAAGATACTATAGTCATGTCCTCGAGACCAAATACACCCAGCCATCGTAGGCGAGACTCCCAAAGAAAATCACATAGATCATCCGGCATTCATCTCATACTTTCACCATCGCCTAGTGTCCACTATCCGATCACAGAAACAACTCCCCCATTGGAATCTGGCCGCAACATGGAGCGACTAGAAAATTTGTCAGAGTCAATTGGACAGCTCCAAAATAACATGACGGAACTTTCGAAAATTCATAAAGCCATAAACAACGGCTTCAATGAGCCCTTTGCAGGTTTTCTATATGGATCATTTCTCACAATGTTTTGCAACAGTTTCCCAGGATGCCCGACATATGATCAATTTGAAAGCATCCTTGTTCTACGTGACAACGAACAAAAGATGGAAGATTTGCGCAAACGTATAAGCGAAGCTAAGCAAGAGAACGTCAGACTCCAACGCGAATTAGCTCAGACCAGGCCACAGAGGTCAAAGGCAGCTCTTGGGGAGCCAGGTCGCGCATTATATTCAAAGGCAAGGCAGCAAAAACCATCCCTTCGAAGAAGCTTATACCCCACGCCAACGAGGAAAAAGGTCACTGTGGCTCATGACGACACAACTACATCTGAGTCCTTTGTCGACACACCGCCGAACAAAGCTAGTACATCATCCAAGATTCCTCAGCCGTCTCTGCAAAGCGGAACGGGTCCTAACCTTGACCAACCTCCTCGCTATATGAGGGGGCTTTTTGACAAGACACTCTCTACGAATGTCGGTAGTGGCGTCCAACGTAAGAGTGACAAACTGTCAAATATAGCATCTGCACATCAAAGAAAGAGGCCAGCAGTAAAGCAAAGACCGCCATTTCGTTGATCGTGCCGTTTTGCATCAATCTCCATTCACAAGCCTTTGCATTAATTCATACCTCACTTGCAGCACGGACTTCTGTTGCTGGCTCGCAATAATAAGCAAATAATCTTTACTCTCCATCAGATTGACGATCTTCTGTCTTCGGATTTGCTCCTGGTAGCTCATGCAATCCTTCATGGAGAAGCAAGTTGTAGTTTCCTAAGCTGAACTCCAATTTTGGTATGCGCACTCGGAGGTGACATATATCAGTGCTGAGGTACAACTCACTCCAACAATCAACTAGCATGTCCGATATATCAGCAGAGGAGAAAAGAAGACTTTTGCGTGAAAGACGCCAGGCCAAGATGGCCAAAGGAAACGCCAGTAATAGACTCAATGAGATTCTTTCCCAAGGGTCCTCTGTGAAGACCAATGCCAAATCGGTCCTTGACGAATCAGAAAGTCAAGACGGTCCACAGCCAACCGTTCAACCTTCAGGCACGCCATTACACGATGATCCAGAGGTCCCTGACATCTCAACATTACTTCAATCCAACACACAGGCTCCAGAAGGGACGCCAGACATGGAAGAGGTATTTAAAAAGATCTTTGGGGGTGCAACTGGCCCCACCGCTGATGGCGCCAACGGCGAGGGTGCTGATCAAAACCCTTTTATTTCTCAGATTGTTCAAATGATGTCTGAGGGAGGCGCTTCACAAAATCAAGCGGGTCAGCAAGATGAAATCTCGTCCTATCAAAGTCAATTACTCAAGTACCAGGCTTACAAGGAGAAGAAACTCAAGGTGCATTTCTTGATCATCAGATACATTGTTCACCTTTTCAACTTTTTCTTCCATTACCTCAATTACACACTGTTCCAGTCGTCACCTCATTTGTACATTCGTGGCTTAAGCATCAGTGTGGAGACAAAAACATTCTTCAGCTACTTTATGGCATCGGAGATTGTGTTCATTTCTGTATACTTTGGACTTTTAGCCAGCAAAGGCCTTTTGGGAGCCAATTCAAAGAACCATTTTGTGTCGAAAGCCTTGAACTTCGGGTCCCTCATTCTACCTCAAGTTTCAAGGTTCCAACCAATGGTGGAAAGCATTCTTGTCTACTCCGAGGGTCTTGGAATATTTGTGACAGACATTGCATTAATCGTCTTGCTATTCGGATTTGTTAGTATTTACGGTTAGATCTATGTACAATTAAGATAATTAGAAGTGTTTCTTCATATCTTTCCTCTTTGCATCAAGTATTTTCTCTGCACTTGCAGTACTTCTCTTCTTGTAGAATGTCCAGAAAAGAAGTGCTGTGCTGGCTATGGAAATTCCAAACCAGGTGATCAAATATTGCATGTGGTTGTTTGTGAAGTTGACCTTGGGAATGGCCGCCAATGGGACTCCCTGCTCAACAAATTCAAATTCTTGATACTGAAGCGTGGTGTCGGTGTCCGAGTCAGGAAGATGGTCAGCTTTGCGTGTTGTGTCTTTGGAAAAAAGACTTTTCCATGAGCCCTTCTTTTCCACATTCAGACTAGGTCCCTCCCAATCCTGTTTGTCCTTCAATGAGTACATCATTTGTGCATAGATTGGCAAACTTCCTGTTTCTACCGCCATGGCTTCAACATCGGGAATATGGAAAAGCTTGGTGCCTTGCTCGTGTTCGTATTGCATCTTGGACTTCTTCGGCATCGTTCTGAACATAGCTTCGATCTCAATTTCACCTTGGGGAAGAGCTAAGTGCGAGAGGTAGCCCTTGTTACGAGTTTCTGGAATAACCTTTTCCTTTGCAATCCACCCTCGTTCTATGAGTATCGGTTTTCCACCATCAGCACGAACAAATGGGGTGATAAGAAGGTAGCCCAACTCACCGTTTCTGATACGAGGGCCCAAGAAAAGCTCTCTAGAGTAATCGAAATGGCCTCTTACCTTGAAACGACGATACTCGAACTCCGGTATAACTGATGGGTCCAATTGCTGGGGTAGGCCTTCTAATGGTGGTTCTGCCAACAAATGCTCGCAACGAGATATAAGGTCAACTTTCCATTTAAGACGCTTCACTTGCCAGCATCCCAACCAGAATGTGATCACAGGCATGGCTATCATGAGTCCCAAGATGAATCTACGGAACCCTTTCAGCTTCTCCTGATTCTCTGCTCTAGCCAAGTTGGTAACGGAGGACTTGATTGGCTTCCAGTCTATAGTAGGGTCTTGACTGTCCTTCTGAAGACGAACTGCGGCGATGGCCTGGCTTTCGGGCCAAACCCACCAACTCTGATTCCTAATCTTGAGATCATAGTTGTCTAGTGAAGTAGTGCGAATAGTTATGCACTTTACACTTATCTCCCATCCTGCAAGCATCAACGTTTGCATGATGTCAAAGTAAATGATTGACACAACTTTTCCATTCTTCAAGAATTCATCTTATTTATTGTCCATTTGAATGGCATAGCTGCGTACTACACGTTGTAGCCGAAACCACATGGGTCTAAAACCATCTCTGCTTGACGGACTTATCACAGTGAATTCAAAAGTATGAAGGCTGACTTTCATGACGATCTTTGAGAATATCATCCGACCAAAGTTATGTGCTTTTTCAGCTTTGATGATCTCAGCCTTTAGCACTACCATGTACGGTGCGAGTCGTTACAGATCCATCGCAGTGTTGGATGAGAGCCATGCAAGGCCATACCCTATTAAGCACAAAAATAGACTGTTATTTGTCAAACATAGCCTTATAGACTTGGGATTAGATGTCTAGAATGATTTAGAGGTCTATAAATCAACGATGCTGTGTATGTGCATGCCCTAGTTCCGGATTCTGAAAATCTTACCAAACTATTACTTTTGTCCTTCATCAAACGAATAAACAAACGAATGAGTAAAAAAAAATAAGATCTAGAAAATTTATCTGTCTCGATATCTTGGAGGACTTGTTTATGATGGTCGTGTAGAGCCCCATCGTCTCTCCTGCACCTCTGGGGATGCCCTTGGTAAGATTTTTTCCCAGTGAGAAGATCCCATCGGTACCCTACATCGAATTTCCCTCAAGCACTCGTTCCAGCAGACATAAGGAAGATCTAAGATGGCTGGTATCGATTTCCTTCTCTTTGAGGAAGCTGCGGGCTATGCTATATTCAAGGTCTTGATCCAGCAGGATGACATTGCAAACAGACAAAAAGAGGTGCAAGAGTCCTCCAATGACTTGGGAAAATTTTCCAAGATGGTGGAGCTCGTCTCCTTTGCTCCTTTCAAGGGTGCAGCACAGGCTTTGGAAAACGCCAACGATATTTCTGAGGGTTTGGTCTCTGACTACTTGAAGTCTGTCTTGGAGTTGAACTTGCCAAAGCCTAAGAAGGGCAAGATCACCTTGGGTGTTTCTGACAAGAACTTGGGTCCCTCCATCAAGGAGAACTTCCCTTACATTGACTGTGTTTCCAACGAGATTGTCCAGGACTTCTTGAGAGGTATTCGTGTTCACGGCCACAAGATCTTGAAGGAGTTGCAGGATGGTGACATTGAGAGAGCTCAGTTGGGTTTGGGCCACGCCTTCTCCAGAGCCAAGGTTAAGTTCTCCGTGCAGAAAAATGACAACCACATCATCCAAGCCATTGCTCTTTTAGACCAATTGGACAAGGATATCAATACCTTCTCTATGAGAGTGAAGGAATGGTACGGCTGGCACTTCCCAGAGTTGGCCAAGATTGTTCCTGACAACTACACTTACGCCAAGCTTGCATTGTTCATGAAAGATAAGGCTTCCTTGACTGACGAGTCTCTCCACGAGGTTGCCGCTTTGGTCAATGACGACTCCGGTGTTGCTCAAAGAATCATTGACAATGCCAGAATCTCCATGGGTCAGGACATCTCTGAACTAGATATGCTCAACGTCTCTACTTTTGCTGAGAGAGTTGTGTCCATCTCCGAATACAGAGCTAGATTATTTGACTACTTGACCTCGAAGATGCACACTGTTGCTCCAAACTTGTCCACCTTGATCGGTGAAGTTGTGGGTGCTAGATTGATTTCTCATGCTGGTTCTTTGACCAACCTTTCCAAGCAAGCTGCATCTACCGTCCAGATTTTGGGTGCTGAGAAGGCCCTTTTCAGAGCTTTGAAGACCAAGGGTAACACTCCTAAGTACGGTTTGATTTACCACTCCTCTTTCATTGGTAAGGCTTCTGCTAAGAACAAGGGAAGAATTTCCAGATACTTGGCTAACAAGTGTTCTATTGCTTCCAGAATTGACAACTACTCTGACGAGCCTAGTACCGCATTCGGTCAAATATTGAAGAGACAGGTGGAGGAGAGATTGAACTTCTACGACACCGGTGCTGCCCCTATGAAGAATGTTGACGCCATCAAGGAGGCCTTGGCTTTGACATCGGACTTGGTTGACGAGATGGATGTGGAGGCTGCACAGGAGTCTGATGACGAGGAGCCAGCCAAGGCTGAAAAGAAGGAGAAGAAGGAGAAGAAAGAAAAGAAGGAGAAGAAGGAAAAGAAGGAAAAGAAAGAGAAGAAGGACAAGAAGGACAAGAAGGAGAAGAAGCGTAAGGCTGATGACGACGAGGACTCCTCAAAGAAGAAGAAGAAGAAGAAGTCGAAGGACTAATTATGCTTTTTTGCATCAACTCCTCATTCCAAGATCAAATCATGCACAAACCGAGAGCTACGACGTTTCCAAAACATCATCAATTTTTGTAACCAATATCAACATGCGTATAGAAGTAATTGACATACTCCACGAAAGCCCACTAGGACATTCCTAACTGAATGCAGCTAAGACATATCTAGGCGGCAGGAAGGTTTTCACCGCTGGTATTATCGATCGACTGTGACTCGTCAGCACCTTCTTGGTTCTTGATGAGCTTGATGAGTATCTTTAACGACCTCTTGAGTTCACTCGATTGTTCAGCAACTCTTTCTGCACCAGGCGACTTCTTCGAAACTGCCTTCTCCAACATGACATTCACGGGAGAGACGAGTGGATCTATCATAGATGGTATAACTGACTTTCCCTTATCATTATGCGAAAGATAATGAACCAGGGCCCCGACATTGTTGATTCGCTTCACTGTTGGCTCTACCATACCCTTGAAAGTGACAAGATGAATCATCTCCAAAGTGCCCTTAGCCAGCCGAGTCATGTCGTCAATTTGAGATGATGACAAGTCAAGGATCTGGTCGACAGAGGTCAATTTGTGGTCACAAAAAGAGTCCAACCAGTTTACGGCCTTTTGAGCGGGCTTAAGCAGACACAAATAGTTCGATACCGGGGCAGTCCCTTTGAAGACAAGAGCAACGTATTTGCAATCAGAGAAAAACGCATAACCTGAGTTGGCCCACTCATACTTCAATAAATGTTGCAAAGTCTTATTATTGAGTTCACGCTCATCAACATTGACAACAATCAGAGGAGGTGACTCGGAGCCATTTGCGTTTGTTTCGTTGGGAGTAACTGCTTGGTCGGACATCTTGATGTTCAACTGTGATGAAGAGGAAAGATATTATGGTGAAGTAAAAAATGGTGATAATTATACAAACACAATTTATAGTGTGCGTCGATGGGTGCAAACAGACAAGTGAATGAGTGCGAGTTGTGGTACTCTCAAGCGAAATTAATCTCCCATCCTAACTGCTTGAGGATAGCGAGCCAATCAACAACCTTATCACCATCGGGTTCTGTTCCCATACTTGTTCCATGACGTATTTGATTCTTTGAACATTCCAAGGTCCGTAAGTCTCCATCATCTGATTGAGGATGTCTCTCATATGTTCTCGATCAAATTCAGCGACAGAATGGATGCCTGCAATAAAGAGTGGGAAAACCAACGTAGCTTGCATTGGAGTCTCCACCAAAAGATTGATACTCTTCATGAGGTCATTCATGAGAATCTGAGATTCTATAGCAGAAGGGTTCATTTTCAATATGGATTGCCGAAGGAAAAGCTTGCAGCTGATCTGATAAGCCTCAAAGCACATGAGTTGCATCTCTAAATCGAAGTCATTAAGATTCTCCAAGTCATCAGGATCAGGCTTTGCGGTATCGATCTTATACTCAATCTTTTTGGCTCTGGCTGTTATAGAATATAGAATTGAGCCAACCTTGCCGTGATCGCTTACTTCCAGTCCCGTTTCATCAAATGGCTTATTCGTTTCTGGAGAAGTTGAGGAAATTCCATCAAAGTTGTTGGGAGTGACCTTAGGTGATTGGCGCTTATAATATGAGTCAAGTTCGTTTTTGCAATCGAGCGAAAGTGAGCTAATCTCCGCGATGTATCTGTATAATATCTTTGATACACCGAGTAAAGGATTCAAGTTCCCCTAGAAACACCCTGAGGATCTTTGAAAATTTTTTGGTAGATCTCAAGTGGGAAGTATGTACCTCGTTCATTGACGGAGCTCGCGAGAACATCATGGTATGCAAAATTAGTGATGAGCCAGTGTTCTTCCTTGTTGTTGTCAAACTTTGTGATGCCACCGTTGTCTTTGAGGAGTTTCCAACCCCAATTGAGGTAAACGGACCAGTATTTCACATCGCCTCGGCAGATTTCAGCACCGCACAAGATTAGGATGACAGCTAGTTTATTAAGAATTGCACGACGGTCTTCATGGAAAGCTGGTAGAGTACCGCTAAAATCAATGTCTTGCGTGAGGAGTTTGACGGCGGTTTCTGCGTACATGGATGCCTCAGCTGTCCATTGTCCACCAAGATGGAAACCAGCCCAAGCGAGAATTCCACACAATACGCCCTTGTCTCTTTGGGCTAGAGGTAGGAATACCTTTTGATAGGAGTTGGACTCATTCTGACTTATTGGTGCGATAGAAACTTTCTGAGAAAGGGTATTGACGTAGTAATCATACAAGTAATGACCAGAGGCATCGAGCTCGGGAAGGAGTGGAGGGGGTGCTTGTGGTGGAGGAATGAAGGTGGCATTAAATGCTGATGCAAGTTGATTAAGTTGTGATGCGGAGGATGTCAGCATTTGGTTGACCTGATCTAAAAAGCCAGGAATGTTGAAGGACGGCGAGAATTTCACCATGTTGTCACCATTTTTATTTGGCTCATCAAGTGTATTATTGTCCCCTTGTGGCGATGGATTGTTGCTGCTGCCTGTGAACATAGAAACCTCTTTGAGAAAGTTGAGGAGACCTGATGGGGTGCCTCCTGATGTAGAATCATCAAGGGCCTCGAGTTCCATCAAAGCAGGCGAGAACGCACGAGGAGAGGGCGATCTTATGTTATCTGGTGTCAAAAAGGTTCGATTTCGAACGACAGCATTATGATGGATGTCACCCAAATTAAGACCCCTGAGGTCATCTTTAAAATTTAGAGGCGGCGATGTGGAAACCGGATAGGCTTCTCGTAGAGCCTGAACATAATCCAAAGATGCAGTGGATGTAGCTATTCCAGGAGCCTCATCATCTGTAGGCTTTATATCATAGGCTTCAGACTTAGCGGGTTCTGTGTCAATTTGAAGCAGCGTTGGTGGACTTTCAATTTTGGGCACATCGTCGTCGGCCATGCCGTCACTCTTTTTGCCCTTGGAGCGTCGAATACGAACCTTATTCAAGCTCTCTTGTTCCCTCACTTTCTTTCGAAGACGTCGTATTTCATCAACCTCCATAGTGTCGTAGTCTATCCAGACACATTCCTTGTTGAACCGACGGCAGTCTCGACAAACCGGCTTCGTCCCTTCGCATTTCTTTTTTCTGACCTTACAAGTGATACAGCCAAACTTCGACTTCCCTCTCTTACTAGGAGGCTTTTTAGTCCCTGACAGTTGAAGACTGGAAGTCTCTGGCGGACTTCTAGGAACTGAGGTGGAGCGACTCTTGGACGAGACGGGCGTGTCAAGCCCACGAGACCCTTTCATGCTCAAGACGTTACTCCTTTTGGAGTCGAACTTGGAAAACATATGCAGAAGAGTCCCAAAACTTTGGTCTAGCGGTCTCAGAGAACCCATCTTCTTCAAGATAACGCCTTGTGGGTATGCAGGACTAGCTCTTCGTATTCGCCCTTGATGTGGGGTAAGTTCAAAGGAAAACAAGAAGCCCTGAAAACAGAAGATTACTTTGACCACAATGGTAAGAAAAATGGCCACCTCATATGCTTTGTTCGACCCCAGGCTTCGATATCGCCTCGACTACGCGGGACAAGGCTTAGCACCTCGAGCTATTCCTCCGGTATCGGCCTCAAGAGAAGATCAAAAGACGGAGAGATTTTTTGCAAGTGAAAAAGTTGAAATCTGTAAGTACATATCGAGCAGTATCGCTTGAGCTTGACAGATTTGTTTACGTATGTCCATTCGCTACAAAAGCGGACCTGCGTGCGAAAATCATAAAAGAATCTTCCGTTGACACACCACGCCAATGTAGTGGCAAATATCTGACATTTCGCTCATCTTCTGAAAATGATAGATACAACGGTATTCGAATATTGGTCCTATTGTGAGACCCTTATGCCAGTTGTTGTCATGTGACATGGAACACTATGGAATCTGATGTATGCTCCTGCATATGCCTGCTGGTCACCGAAGCGTTGTACCGCAATCAGTTTTTTTCCTCCTCGCTGCTGCAATATCTTTTTTCTATCTTTCACAGTTTTCATAAAGCTCATTTATATCAATAGTTTATCATGTCTTTAAAGCGTATCAACAAAGAGTTGCTTGACTTGGGAAGGTATGTATTCTGATCACCGAGATTAGCCCTCGGAAACCTCCTGCCACATTTGAAACTGTCAAATTTGTTGTCGATTCTTGTGAACTGGCATTGACATCAAATCATCGCTAGATGAAGAGTCTGTTTGATCCACAATATCCTCCATCAGACTATTGCAAATGCATCTTCGATTCAGTTCTGACATGTTTATAAAAACTGTGGATCAAATCAGTCACAAGACTTCAATGTCATGGCGACTTCACAAGCACAAAACTAACAAAACAGAGACCCCCCATCTTCATGCTCCGCTGGACCTGTCGGCGATGATTTGTACCATTGGCAAGCATCTATCATGGGCCCCCAGACTCCCCATATGCTGGAGGTGTGTTCTTCCTTTCGATTCACTTCCCCACTGACTACCCATTCAAGCCTCCAAAGATCAACTTCACCACTAAGATCTACCACCCTAACATCAACGCAACTGGTTCTATCTGTCTAGATATTTTGAAGGACCAGTGGTCTCCTGCCCTTACCATCTCTAAGGTGCTTTTGTCCATTTGCTCCTTGTTGACTGACGCCAACCCCGATGACCCATTGGTCCCTGAGATTGCTCACGTTTACAAGTCTGACAGACCTAAGTATGAGGCCACTGCTAGAGAGTGGACCAAGAAGTATGCTGTCTAGGTGAGCCACTCGGGATTTATACGAAGAGCGGTGATACATAGAGTACGTATAATTGCATATCCACTACTAGGAAAGCATATCTGCTCAAGTACGGAGCAACAAGTAGAGACTTTTTTGAAATCGAATGTAAACCCGTGTAGTCGCTTGGTCTGTCCTGCAGGCGCGCCTTGGCTCATGGTCAACAAGTAAAAGGTGAACTCTATCGAATTTTGCATCCATTTTGTGATCCCTTTATCATTGAACATAAGGACTTTAATTGAACCTTCGGTAGGAAGCACAGCTTCAGAAAGAGCGGCGAGCATTTCCTTCATTTTGTATTATCATTTTCAATTTATCACAGACACTCGGTTCAAGAGACGATCCCAACATGGAACTGCTAAGAAGCTTTCTGCAAAGCAACTCACGAGGAATATTCCATCTAGCAAAGGAGCTTCTTCATCGAGGGTTTTTCAAAAGGCATCTTAGTGAATATCAGTTCGTGATTGTCTCGCATATCCTTAAACAAGACAACTTCGAGCTCTGGACGCAATTTCTTGAGGGTAACTGTGTTTTACATGTCACAAAAGCTGATCAGAAAGGTTCGGATGATGAAGATTCGGTCGAGGACGGTACTAGGCCCATGATCAATCTTGCTTTCCACATGAGATATATCCTATGGGAGAAGGCCATCGATTACTTTTACGAGGACAGTCTAAAGGGAACCGACCATTCACTCAAAAGCCAGAGAGACGAGTCTGGTACTACGTATGACTTGATCGACGGTCTAGATGAGGCTCCAGTTCAGGATGGACAGCAAAAGGAAAATGAATCTGCTGCCCCAATGCCTGTGAGAGAGGAAGAAGAAGACTACGACGATGATGAGGATGACGATGATGAAGACAAAAATAGTGGCCAAACTAAGCAGGATGAACAGGACAACATTGAAAATGGTCAGCTTCAATACGAAGACGGACATGTTAAGGTGGAAATCCTGTCAAGCGAATTTGTCACCAAGTCAACGCCACCTCCAGAGACAAATAACACGGATCTTGAAGATGCTTCAACAGAGGGAACCGAGTTTCCTGCTAATGCTCCAACAATGAATCTCGAAGATCAAGAAGCACTTGTTAAAGAATTCAACAAGGTTTATCACAACTTCGAATACGACAAAGAAACCCTCATCAAGCGCAGGAAGCTTGAGAAGTCGGACATGCAAATTGAATCTCAAAAGCCAGCTGGTGACGATCCCACAAACCAGATACCGATCAATTTAGGTTCTGCGTCACATTCGCTACAACATCTTTTGGGTGTTATCCAGGATCGTCGTGATGATGTGAGTTTGACCGACCATGATCTAAAAAAGTTATTCATGGACGTGCGTAAGAACAGGGGCAAATGGGCTAACGATGAACGCATTGGACAAGAGGAGTTATATGAATCTTGTGAAAAAGTTCTTCAAGACCTTCGTGGATACACTGAACATTCGACACCCTTCCTCAATAAGGTTTCCAAAAGAGAAGCGCCCAACTATGGCCTAATTATCAAGAAACCAATGGATTTGAATACAGTTATGAAAAAGCTCAAAAGCCTTTCCTACAATTCAAAGCAGGAGTTTGTGGACGACTTGATGCTTATATGGAACAACTGTTTGACCTACAACGCAGATCCCAAACACTATCTCAGGGCACATGCAATTGCCATGCAGAAGAGAACTCAGAAGCATATTCCAACGATACCTGACATTACGATAAGAAATAGATCAGAGGTCGAAAAAGAAGAGGATCTCGATTCTGAGGCAAAAGCTTCTACGCCTGCTTTAAAGGGTGGTAAGAAAGCTTCAAAGAAGGGGAGAAAAAGAAAGCGGGAAGAAATTATCAAATCCGAGGAAGTTGAGGGTGTGAGTGACGCCCAGCTGTCAGACGTCCCCTCCAATCTGGAAACCCCTGCTCCGATATCGCAACCAACCCCAACTGAAAATGGGAATATTATGACGGAGGATAATCCTGCTGAGGAAGAGGAAGAAGAAGCGGCCGAGGAAGCTGACACCGATATACGCGAAAATGAAAACGAGGACGAACAAGATCCAGAGCTCCAATCATGGAGGACCCTAACCGCAAAGTCACGGGCTAACTATTGCGCTTCTCGTGCTGCCCTTTTTGATAATGATGGGAAGCTCAAGCTTGATGCCGAGGCAATTCTTCGAGAATCGAACAAAATGAAGAATTTTAATCAATTCCTAGACAACAAGGAAATGGTTTCGAAGACGAATAAGCTTCTCGATAATGACGAGCCTTATCTTCTTGAATATGATGTCGCTGGTGGCATTCCAGGAATCAAATATCCTGGCATTGACGACCAAGACCAGGATAGACTAGAAAATGAAATGGTTGAGCTGCTTTTACTGAAGGGCGAAGCTGATAACCTTTCCTCGGGATTGATTCTTCCATTGGAATCGGGTCTCAACGGCCTTTACCGTGGCAATATCACAGAAATTCAAGAGATTCGAAAAATCTGTTTCAAAATTTCTTTGATTCGGCAGATGCAAACTCAGCAATACATGCACCGTACTCAAATGCGTCAGCCAGAGATAGAGTACATTAAGGAGATCGATGTTGACCCAGTTTCCAAGTTGCCAAATCACAACCTAGATTCTCACGATGTACAATACGCTTCTCTTAGAAGAGGTGTTGCCAAAATTGCAATGCACACCGGCTTTGAGACAACTGAACCTTTGGCTGTTAACACTTTGACTCAAATTGCTGAACGGTATATGCTGAATCTAGCGAAATCAGTCAAAATGCATTGTGAATCCTCGTCGACGAACCAGTTGAGTGACAAGGCAATTATTCTCCTTAGTTTGCTCGAAAATGGTGTTGAAAGACCTGATGATCTATACACATTCGTTGTTGAAAAAGCAGTGAAACAAAAAGCCAAGCTCAAGGACTTGAGACAGAAGCTTTCAGGATTTGTGAAGGAGTTGTTAAGACCAAGTTTGCAAAATCTTAGTGAACAGAACTTCGAGAATAACAGTGAGCAGTTCATGACTGGAGACTTTGCAAATGAAATAGGCGATGATTTCCTTGGTCTCAAGGAGCTTGGTTTGGATAAGGAGTTCAACATGTTGAGCTCCTCGATTCCCACGTACTTGTTGCACTCTCGTTTGCAGAGCTCCCTTTCGAACACGGATCAGGTCAACAAGAGTACTAAGTATGAGGATTTGAAGGACTGGGTGCAGCCAAAGTTGACTCAAGCCGACGTCCCCAACCAAGTCGGCGTTTTGCAGCCATTCTACGAAAGCTTGGTGCAGAAAAGCGAAACGTTCCTCGTCAAGCAGCAGAAGAGAAAGGGCGAAAGCTCCGAGCTTCCACCACCCACAAAATTATACCTTATCGAGGACGAGGAATTACCACAAAAACAGAGAAATATTCGTCCGCGTCTTCCACCTACTGGCAAGATATCGTCAGTCAAGAAAAAGCTACTCTCTCAAGCTTTCTTTTTGCCAGATGAGAGCGTTTCGATTGAGGGCGGAAACGATTCCTTCAAGGTCGAGAACGGTCTAGGATTCGACGCTACTATGAAGAGTGAGGATTAGATCTGCTTTTAATGAATTGGGTCGCCTTCCCAAATCAAAATAAACTGTATTTAATTAGAACACAACGTGGAGTAGTTGTTTGCCTAGCGCGCGCTTATCCCATATGTACTTCTGGAAAAGATCCATTACTCATTTTCTCCAACTAGATCAGATCTACTTGCCTCCGATAGATTTGCCACGAGAACTCCAGCCGCCAATGCAGTAACTCTGATGACAAAAAGCAAAGTTCGTCCAAGTGACGGCAGTAGCAAGAAATTCAAATATAACATCCTTAACAGAGATGTTTTCGGAAGGACAGTGCTTCATGTCACTGTACTCTGTGACCAACCTGATTTAATGAATCAGGTGTTACGAACACCGGAGGCAAAACTGATAATTTTGGCTACTGACTGTGAAAATGGATGGAACGTGCTTCATTATATTCTATACCACAAGCGGTTCCGTTGCCTTGCTGTACTTCAACAGTATTTGGATAAAACGCCGGTGGGAAACTCTTCGATACTTCACGAGCTATTGAAGAAGAAGGACAGAGGTGGCATCCCGCCCCTTTTCTTGTTGCGAAACGATCTTAAGGATTTTGTGTGGATTCCAACTTACATCAATGAACACAACGAGTACCACTTGCAGTACAGGTACCCAGAGCATAACAGTGAAGATGTTAGCACTCAAAGAATGAGACGCTCTTGGCAGCTAGATCATATAATGTGGAGTCCAAAACGAGGAGCTTCAGATATGTACGTTATGGGATCTAATGTGAATCACTCTCTCGGCGTTGGCGATTCCACCGACAGATCTGTCCCTGTTAAGGTCTCACATAAAACTTTTCAACCGCCACATTCAGATATGCAACTGTTTCTTCGAAAGCCTCGATATCGTGACTTAAGGATATCGAAATATCATTCGGTTGCTTTAACAACAGATGGCCGTCTATTCACTTGTGGGTTGGCTTCCAAAGGAAGGCTCGGTGTCGGGCATTCAAAAAACAGTTTCTCATTCTCGCAAGTAAGCCTTTTTGAAGAAGAAGACAGGTTAGTGTCTCAAGTTGCCGTATCGACGGGTCACAACCTAGCGTTGACCACTTCTAATGAGGTTTACGGTTGGGGTCTGAATGAGTACAACCAATTGGGCTTTACGTCTTCAGATAGCCAGCAGTACAGAACGGGTTCGACTCGAGACTTTCAGAATGTGCCTATTCTGATTACCACTGGAGAGCTTCGGAAGAATACAAACCCGATGGTTGGCATTGCTGCGAGCAAAATCCACTCTGTGGCATATACTGATGATACCATTTATATGTGGGGCCTTAACATTGGCCAGATGGGATTCGAGGCGGTTGGTGAGGATGATTACAGCCTTAACTTGCATGGCACTATAGTCAGGGGAAAGGTGATTGAGCAGCCTAAATCGGTATCTTTCAAAGAAAAGGTACAATTTATCGCCACTTGCGAGACATGCACTTGTATTGCGACCGATACCAACGATCTCTTTGTTTTTTATCAGCACCACAGATACAAGCTTCAGAAACTTCCAACGAGATCGGAGTTCGATAAGTTCGACACTTATAAGCCGTCGAGGTTGACGGTGTCGCCTAAGATCCGGAAGATTGCTATGAAATCTCCAGAGAATGTTTTTCTTCTTCTTGAAAGTGGCGACGTTATGTCTTTCGCAATCCCGGCTAAGTTTGATATGAAGGCAGCTCGGAATATCAAATTCCAATACATTTGGCGAGCATTCGATTCCAATCTTCGTGCAGTTGATATCGATAATTCTTATGACGGATCGATTGTTCTTTGCACGAGAGATGGATCCGTCTTCACCAAGTTCACATCATCCTCGCAGTCTCAACGTCGCCCATCGCTAACTTCAAAGACACCCTCGTTGGCGATGACATCCAAGAACAAGTTCCGGAAACTAGAAGGTGTTAATAGAGTTGTTAAGGTAAGCTGTGACGATCAGTTCGTTTCATTTGGCTTCATGAGAGATGAATCTGATATGCTACCTCTAAAGCTTCAAAAAAATGATTTTAAAATGGACTTGAACTACTTGAGCGTTTTGAGTGAAGTCGACTCATACCGCAAACAGGATCAACTTCTTGACACAGATCATGACATGAATTGCTATGTATCTGATTTCATATACCCATTGCGTCCACGCAAAAGAAATGATGAATTCCTGTTCTTGGCCAGATCTGATGATCACGAGGACGATGAAACTCTTGAAAAGGTGAGAATAAGCGACAGGCTTTATCAAAGCTTTCTCCAGCATTATAGTTATTCTTCCCGGAAGCCGATTCAATCCGAAAGCTTGTACCAGGCTTATGACATCGACGAAATCTCAAGGCTTAATGATGTACTATCATTAGAAGCTGCCTTTAATTCACTTGTAAAAGTGCAAGCCTCGTTTTACAAATTTCACGACGCCGCGATTGAATTCCGGAGTCTGCCAAACATCCGTTTAAAATTTCATTCCAACATCTTGGCATGCCGCTCAGAGTTTTTCGAAAGGCTCATGTCGCAGGAAAACGGCGATGAATTCTTTATAACTCATGGCTTCAAAGGCAGCTATGATGTGACGAGACGATTGTTGACATTCGAATCTGATGTCGATGTTCGAGCCACCGTTGTGTTTTTGCACTTCATCTACACGAATAGTGTGTTGCGTTTCTGGGATGCTTTTCCATTGGGGTCGAAATGCCCTCCGTCTGTGAAGAGATCGAAAGATCATTTCGCAATCTTGATGGCAATTTTTCAAATGGACTCGCACTTTGGGAAAGAGGAGAAATTCATTGAGCTGTTCCAAAGCTGTATCAACAACGGACGTGGGGACTTGACGATAATCTTACTGGACGGTCAAGTGCGTTGTGATTCTTCCATCCTTGTAGCAAGGTCAGCTTTTTTTGAGACTTTCTTGTCAGAGAGGTGGGAAACAATAGCCAGTGATGATACAGACAGCTCATTTGAGGAAGAACAGAAACAAGTTAACCTAGAGGGCATTAACACGTTGCAATTTGAGGTGATACTTCGCCATATATATGGCTGTGATGATCTTAAAGTATTTGATTGCATTTATGGCGTGGTTTCCAGTGATGACGACAGCGACGATTTCATTAATTTCTTGCTTGACATGATAGAGATCTCTGACGAGTTGCTTCTTATTCAATTGAAGCATATATCTGAACTTGCTATCAAAGACCTCATCACATACGATAATGTTCTTTTGCTACTCACCCATTCATTTTATTTGTCGGCTTCAAAATTATTTAAGAGCTGTTGTTGGTGCATTTTCAACAATCTAGACATTCTTATTTTTGAACCAACGTTTCGGGATCTTGACGAAGAAATTCTTGCTGCCTTGGAGAAGGAGATGAGGTTTTTGCAGTTGATGAAACAGAATGACTTTGTTGTTGGAGATCGCGGAGAAGTTAATCTCAACTTAATCAGATCATTAAATGGTCCAATAATTGATGCTGATGCGTTATCAGACTTTGCAAAAGCTTTCAATGATATATTTTTGACTGATGATCTGGCTTTCAAACCAATTTTTGATCAATCGCCCGAACCTCTTGGAGCGGAGGAGAAAAAACGCAGATCCTCTTCGAGAAAGCTTTCAAGGAGGAGTAGTACTATCGAACTCCCCAAAGAGCTTCAAAACTTGAACATCTGCAAGTCTTCGAGGAAAGTAAGCGATTCGGCAATTGCTGATGACATCACTGGTGAAGATGACTTCGAAATGGTAACATCAAGAAGACGTCGCAAATCGAAGACGGGCACTAATACACATCCAGTGTCTCAACATGAAACGAGCGAAGTTGAGCTGAGTAGAGGCCAACTTCTTGAAGCTCTGAAGTCAGAAAGCTCGAGTCCGCCACCCCTGGGTGCTACTCTAGGCACTGGATGGAGCGCACGCGACGTGTCGACCAGTCCCATTGAGGGCACCCCATTCGGACCCACGCTCGGTGATAAAGTAACCGGTAACAAGTCCAAATCCAAAATCAAGTTTTCTGGTATCAAACCATCGCAGAAGCAGAGAAGGAAATTTGGAGACTTGAACACGGATCAGAAGTTTACGGACAACATTGTTACACCCACGCTCAAAAATCCGTGGAAGGCTGTTTCTCCCCCAGCTGCTCAAATGGATTCTGCAAGCAACATGCCCGTACTTGGGAGTGCAAATTCCGAGGCGGGTAGCAGTTCCAGCTCCATGACTGCCATAATGCTCGAGGAGTCAATGAAGATTGAAAGACAAAAGCAATTCGAGGGCGAAAGAAAGTCTCTCCAAGAAATTCAGCAGGAGCAGGAGTTTGCAAAATGGTGGGAAGAAGAATCCCGACGTGTGCAACAAGAAATGCGTGGACCCAAAACATCACCCACCCCAAACGGTAATGGCCAAAAACACAGTCGAGGTCGTAGGCCTCGCAATGGCAAGAAAAGTAAGCCAGTGTAAATACAATTGATATTATAGAACGTTTATTCAATGTCATCAGGGAACCAGCCAAATTCCTCTAAGTCAACTCTGTGCTTATCCAGCACCAGCACCCCTTCTTGTCTGAGCAACGAGGCCTGCTCGAACTCACCATTTTCTCTAACTGAAATCATCCCAGCACTATTTATGACCCTCCACCATGGAATATCTCCTAACGAAGCTCCTTCTTGGTTTAATAAGTTTTTCAAATGAGAAAGATGTTTGAGAGAAGAACCAACTTGACGAGAGTTTTGAGGCCGACCAATCAAATAGGCTATATGGCCGTAAGAAGTGACATGTCCAGGCGGAATTTGCTCTACAGCATTGTACACTGCAAAGTGGAATGCCTTCTTTTCATCGTCAAGCATCTGTTGTGGTACGCGAAAAGTCTCGAGTGATCTACGAATGCGAATTAGTCCTGCTGTTTATTTATACTAGAAGCTAAGCTGCTTACAAAGCCAACAAAGCACCAGCGGCCAAGGCAACGGCACCGGCAGCGTACTGCTTGTTAGCAGCACCCTCGTAAGAGGAGACGTTAGCGGTGGCGGTGTGGTTCTGAGGAGCAATAGAGGACTTGGCGGGGCAGTCAGTAACCTCTGGACCACAGTCGGTGATGGTGACCAAGGTAGACTGGAGGTCGGTCTCGGTGACGACGGAGGCAGCGGAGACGGCGGCGACAGAGGCGGCGGCAATGGCAACGGTGGAGAACTGCATTATAACGAAAGACGAGTAGTTGGAAGGATCAAGTAGATGTGATGAAGAAAAAAAAAAGGCTCCCAAGAGGCGACAGCAGGCCCTTTATATATTTCAGTCAGCCGACTTGTTGACAAGCTTTGTTTTGTTTCAGCGCCCGCCCGCCCACGGCACGCAGCACAGATGCATTACAAACAATGGATTCTGCGCTGCGTTGCCCCACTAAAAGTGGGCCCGGCGGTTGAAACGCGGGCTTGGTACTTTTGACGCCGCTATTGCCGACCGTGCTCCTGCCCAGTGCGGTCCAATGTCAACAAGCTCTAAAAAATTAGGCTTGGTGAAAACGCGAATCGCTCTTGACACTGCCGGCGCCGACTGCAGATACAAGCCCGCCTCGCTACTAGTCGCGCCTGGCTTCGGTTGTTTGTTTGTTTGGCAGCTAAGCGAGCATGGCGTGACGGGATTTAGACAGCGCTCGGGCCTATCACAATCGAGGAATTTGCGTGCCACGAGCTATGCTTCTCCTCTGAACTACTCTTGCTGCAGCTTTCCGTTCGTGAATTGTCACCTAGTGCTGCACATTCAATGGTGTTCTCTCTTAGCAATGCCTTTGTTCGATGGTCTAGGCAGTGGAATCGTGTTTGTGCGAGATCCAAGGACCCAAAAGTCGGCGCATTTTCGCCAAGGCTTGGATCCCAATGCTCGACTTTGACAGTCTTGTCTCATTCTCGTTTGTTGCAAGCCTTGGAAACGTTCGCAACGCCTCACAATTAGTCTCAAAATCGCCCCCATTCCATCGATCTCATTGTTAGGGCTTAACAATTTTTGCTTGGTACACGATGCATTCTCTCCAACTACCTCTCTCTTGACGACATCGGCTATATCTGATGAAGCTCTGCTCCCGTGCTCCTAGCATCAGCGGCTAAACCTGGATTCCGAATACCCGACCTAGCACCCCTATTTTCATCGTCGCGTACGTCGATCTCCTCAATCTGTGCCTCTCTTGCATCATCCTGAAAACGCTCTTCCGACAGGTTGTTGCCGTACTCCGGATCTCTTGGTTCCGCGAATACGTCTGCAGCGGCAGCTTGCCCCGCCATCGTGTTTAGTGCTCTTACCTCCTCCGGGGAGGCCGAACACGCCCTAAACACGGTGAAGTAAGCTTTGACAAGCTTATCGCAATCCTCAGTGGCATATAAGTCGTCGAGCAGACCTTCTACATGCTCAATGTATTGCTTCACACTGGCGTAGTCTTGTCTGTGCATGGCCTCTTCGATAAAGTTTTTGATTCTTGCAACAATGCGGTCTTTCGTCTCGTTCCGTCTCGTGAGATCCTGCTCTGTGAATGCCGTCTCAACAGTCGGAATTATCGTGGCAATGAATAATATCACTAAACTCAAGAATTCTTTCAAGGCTGAAATGACATAAAATGATACAGTATCGGTCCGCTGGGCTGTTCTCTCGAGTAAAGTCTCCCTCGAAGGTCTCAATTGCATCACTAAGTTCGAGGTGAAATTGTACATCCTGTCGAAATTGAAGTGATACAAATTATAGCCCCCTCGTATTGTGTTGGAAATGAGCCGAACGATTCGGAATGGTACAGTGTTTGGTGCCCCCTCGCCAAGGATCCAGTGGTCAAGCCAGTCGCTGATTTCTCCGCCTCGGATGAAAACCGAATAAAGAAATGTGAAAGCGACTGCCGCTGTTGCAAATTTAGGTATCGTGAGGAGAACAAGCATATCGAAACCTATCATAGCCATGAAGAAGACATTGATACCAATCCTTCGAAGGTTCTGGCGATTGGCCATGGCGGCTGCTATTAGCCTCGTGAAAACGGTCTGTCTCTGTCCTGCGATGTTTCTGCGTTGATCCCTCTCTGCTATCTCTTCCTCGAGCTGAACAGGGTCAGCTTCTTGGGCCCAATGCTCCCTTCGGACGTGATCATCCTGCTGCGGTGGCTGCATCACTTGTGGCTGGAGAGTCGGGTTAGCTTGGAGCACTCTTTCTTCCCCCTGCTGCGTTCCATTGATCTGTGAGGAATTTCTCTTTTGTGCTTTCAAAACTCTGCTTCCCCATTTGTTTCTGATTCTTGAGTATCCCACCGGACTTATGAGAACATATCCTTCGTTGTCATTGATGATACACTCTGAGGAGTCGAGTTCGACCGTTGTTCCTTGCAAGCTAATGACATATGTGCTGGAGGACAAAGTTGATTGATGAACCAATCTTGTTGATCCGTTCTTGTCCCCGACCTCGACAAAAGTATTCCCCGTAGGGGCCCATTCCTCTCCGTTTATGATTGTCGTCGCTTCATCCTTTAGATCAAATTCGATTTCGAATGTCAGTTCGAAGGTGGATCCAAGCTGTAAAATGTCAAGTATTGTCCTTCCATCCTGCTGAACCGAAGGCTCTGCAATGATGTGAGCTCTATATGCGAGTCTGACGAGGTGCTCAGGGACAGCAGCATATCTCGAAGCAACAGATTTGACCTCCTGTATTGTAGTAGCATTTGTGATATTGATTGATGCGAAATGTCTTCCTGATGACCTTTCGGTGATCTTTAGTAGTTGTGTGCCGCGTTCGACTAGTTGCAACTCAAGACGCTTGTTACGAGGAAGTGGAACGTCGAGCCCCAATATGTCCCGAAGTGTGTTATCATCGTCGCATAAAATGCCATCAGGTACTTTTAAGCCATAAGCAGACCGATCTAGGGAATACTTCTCGACGATTTGCTCTTTAATGTCTCTCACGGTTGAGCCCAATGACTCCCGAAGTAGTGTCTGCCGTCTTGTCCCATTGATTATAGAAGAGACAAGCACATCAAAAAACAGTGGGATGGGATCCCTGTGTGGAATAGCTGGAGACCCGAATAGGGTGTAGTCAATGATCACTGACAAAGCGTCGATTGAATTGTCATATGCTGGAGGCTCAGTGAGACCTAAGATAGAGTCCAAGGACGACAGATCACCGACAGGTCCTCCGAACATCTTGATCCTAAGGAAGGGCGGTGATAGACTGTGGTTCTCGCTGTGGATCCAAATCAGCTCCTTTATTTCATAGATGGTTGTGCTTAGAAGAACACGGATCTCCCATACTTCTGGAGGTGCTGGAACATGATCCGGTTTGTTGATAGGCTTCACTGCAAGCTTTAGAAGAAAGGCGTCGAACATAACCAGGTATATGGTTGTGAGAAGGGATCCATATCTGGAGATATGACACGCATTGTGCACCTACCTACACCCATACATCCTCCTTGGTGGCCATGCGTATGCACATATTTTTACCGCTATTTACAAGAATTCCCACGGCTGGATAAAAAATTAAGCTCTGATAGCATGGTATCTTTTACCTCTGAAGGCCATAAGCTTGTTATTGGCCTGGAATGATTCGGTAGGGTTTATGTCTACCAAGTCGATCTTCGTAGAGCCAAAGATGTTATCAGTTTTGTTCATAAGAATGTCCATTTCGTCGTGAAGCTTGTGGTTTTGCAACCAATCAATCTCTCTCTCGATATCCACGTCATGGTATCCAGTAACATGCACAGCACATTTGGATTCCAAGAGACCCTTCAATGCTTTGTCCCAGTGAATTTCATCTGCGGTCTTGAATCCAGGATGGAAAAGGAAAAACACATCTAAGTAAGGGTCAAAGGGAAGAGATCACCTTGGTCGTAGACCTCGTGGAAATATTTTGTGTGATGTATGAGCGTAATCTGCTCATCGTGTTTTCTGACCATTGGTCTCCCGTGGGGTCTGTTGGAAGGCATGAAGGCTTTAGCCTCAACATCGAAGTATGACTGGGGGCCGATAAAGTGAATTTCAAATTTGGTCTCTGGAAAAAGGTATCCAAATTGCTTCCACACATATCCTGGTAACATGGCTTCCATTTTAGCACCCACGAGAAAGATTCTCATTGGTCTATCCTTGAAAGTGACCTCCTTGCTCTTCTTCGCAGGCAGCGAGTACAAAGAATACCTCAAGGCAGCTAATGAACGCAAGCCCTCCAACGTCACGGGACCTTTAGGGCTCAAAGCGTATGGTGAAAATCTGTGCAAAATCGCAGCTATGGTAATCGGATAAGTCAAGACCTTGGTTGCAGCCGCCAAATTGAACTCAGTATTCATTGGATTGAAATCTCTGGTGTAAAAGAAAGTATCCCAATTTTCCATGCTGACAGTAAAATCACGCTCTTGTGCACCAGGAAATATGAACTCATCAAACTTTCTCCCTGATCTCAAATCGTGCTCGTATAGATTGACCTTCTTCAAACGGTCAAACTTTTTCTGCTCGTGATATTCCTTGTCATCTTCCCAAGCCTTGCGATCATGGTGGGTTGGAATTCCTGAAATGGGACACACATAATTGATGGGTTTCTTTGTCACTGGACATTTCGCCATCGCTCTTATGTATGCTGCTCTTGTTCTGATATCTGCATAAGGAGATTCATCCCATTTGATCACTTCGTGTTTGTCAAAGTCACTGTTTCCAGAGTCATCCAACAGAAGCAATTTTTTAAGGAAGCTTATTTGTCTTGTTTGTGACGATAAGCGTCCCGTTGGGATCCTATTAAGCGCAAACGGCTTTATATGCGAAAGGCGGAGTAACATGATCAGATTCTGAGTCCACCACAGTATTCAGGCTGTAATTAACAAAGTGTTGTACAGAAATGAAAGGGTATTCAACTCTGCCCTGCTTAAACTATAGCGGTATGCAACTGACACTCGTACTTTTTTAATCCTCGATACTTTTTCTACTGATTTTTTTTAGATGCCAGATCGGTGCGCACTGTCATCATGAGGCATAACCCTGTCAGAGATAATGATTTCTATATTAAACAAACCAATGACTATTCCCAATAAACGTTGAGAGTTTGCTCAGTGCCATCAACCTCCACGACAACATCAATTGGCCCTTCCTCGGGATCTCCTCTTATCTCTTTTATATCTTCTTCATCAATATTCAATACCATCGGTTCCTGATCATCGGAGAGACCCACTAGATGATCTGCTCCAGTGGAATCTTCTGACACTGCTGATTCTTCTGATTCACCCTCTTGCGGGACTGTGACTGTCAAGACTTCTTTCAAAGTAACAGTCTCCGCATCGGGCTTCCCATTCTTATCAGGGATCTCACCAGCAGCACGCCCTCTTCTAAAGTACTGATAATTCCAGAGATTATGAGGGGCTTCGTACCTTGTCAGATCAAAAGCCATATCCTCGGGTGGATCTCCCTCGATATCAATCATAGTAACAGGGTCGATCACCTGTAACATAAGACTGGCTTGAGGTAAGGAACCGTCTCTCACAGTCCTGATTAAAGCAACGAAATTGCCAAAGAAGTCATAGACTTCAAGCCAGATAGTGAAGGAATCTGTCCACAAAAGTCGCTTTTGTTCGTCATTTTCGAAGTAAGGCGCGAGTAGGGTCTTGCCAACAGCATTGTAGAGTGTGCGGCCTAACTGGTAACCCAAGTCACTCAACAGCTCTGCAAATCCATTGTATATGATAACATTCCTGTTGTTGTAAAATGCGCTTGTTGATCTGTAGCCTGTTTTGCTTTTCGCTAAATAGAACCCATAACCCAATGACATTAATGAATGATCGTCGACGGAGATTTTGTTATCACTTCTAACTGGGAAGCTGTCATGGTCTCTCAACTTCACATTTGATGTGAATGACTCAAATGAAAACGAGTTGTCTACACTGTCGTCGTTGCTTTCCTCGTCAACTAATTGACATGATAAATCGACCAGCGATTCCTTGACGTTTCTATGAGGTGCAAACTGCTCCAAAGCACAAAGTCCGGGGACATGTATCACCACCTTATACAGACATGTTGTCAACTCCGGAACATCGATTATCTCGGGCTGAGAGAATCCTTGTGCTTCAGGATCACATTTATAGACAATTTGTGCTGAACGAAATTTCTCGGTGAGATCGCAATGAGAGCCGTGTTCTAACACTTGCAGAACAACTTTTTGGGCAGAGTGATGTCTAAACGGAGATGCCTTGTCTTCAGCAAGGGTGAAGGACTCCCTGCCATGTTTCTCGTAGGTTTCCCGTTGCTTCGGAGTGGCTTGGTTTTTGAATTCCACGTTTTTCAGGGTAGGCTCTGAGAACCGACCCAACACAAATACCTCGTTGGGGAATGCTGCAACATGTCTGTAGTGTCTCTCCTTTGGAGGAACTTGCTCGTGATACTGGATCACTTTGTCGGCAAAACAGTATGCATAAGTCCAATGAAGGCCTCGAAGGTCATACGTATATAGGCAACCTTTTTTGGGGAATGACTGGTTAATAATATCCACAGCTGTCGAGAGTAGCTTTTCGTTCGAGGTGTCCGTAGTTTGTTTAGATTCCCTCTTCTCAATCGATTCGATTCTTGCACTAGGAATCGAACAGATGTATTCATCTGATTTATTCCCTCTTTGGATAAAGTAGCTTTCAAATGTGTTATCAGGATGCTTTGTCCATCTGTTCTTTCGAACACCCAGTTTAAGATCCTGAGCTATGCGTCGGGGTATGAATGATTCGAACTGGCGGATTTCGAATAACGTATGTGAGTGTGGATGGGAGCACAAAACTCCGAGAATAAGCGACACACTATATAGTAGTTGGAGCGGTTGCATGCTCGTATGTTGGAGTGGCTGGTGTTGTAGAATCTCCACAACCGATTTTACGCACGTACGCATCAAAGTCGTCCTGTAGATATAGAAATCACTTCTTTGATATCACTGACCATGAGCGAAGCCACTGGGACAAAAAACCCCGAAGGCACTGAGACGGCTAGCGAGAGCAAGGTGGCTGGCTTGAGTACGCCAGCTTTAACCAATGGCGAGTTCATTGATGCCTCTTCAGAATTGCCTCCCAAGGAAGAGGAGAAGGAGAGCCAGAACCCGTCGATAATCGAAATTGCTGGCGATCTCGAGGCAAATATTAAGCGAATGATGGAGTTGATGGATAAAAATGATAATGAGGTTAGTCGAAGACTAGACGATCTTGGTGACCGTATCGAAGTGTTGAGAAGGAAATGTGCAACAAGCTCACAAGATAAGTAACCTACATTCACTCTAAACTGATGGATATAATGGGTTTTCCCTTGATCATAGAGGAGTATTTACTTAGGGATGTTTGGTTTCTACGACTCTAGGAGAACCAATCGTGATGATGCCGTAAGTGTGCGGTCCTTGCGTTGCTTCAGATGAACTTTTTAATGAAAAAAGAATAAAATGGCGAATTATTGTAAGTTATGAACAAGACCAGCTGTTTGAAATCCTTTACTTTGATTTTTTTGTTCTCGTAGCCGAAGTAAGTCCTAATCGATTATCTGCTAATATGCGCACTGAAGACATCTCATCTCACACTATTCATTAAATGGCACTCAAACGGTCCAAGAACCAGATCCGTCGTGAAAAGGCAAAACTACGAAAGCTTCAAGACAAAAATGCTGACATTCCATTGTCTTCAGAGCTGAATGCCGCGAGTTCCGAAAGAAAGTCAGACGAAACATCATCAATAGACACACTGAAGCAACAGATCAAGACGGAACCTTTGAATAATGGCGATGAGGCTGATGGTAAATTGGTAAAAGGAACTGGGAAAGAATATCATACTCCGCAGGCGAACACCAAGCTGAAGGAAGACTCGGTTGAAAAAGGAAACTCATCAGACACCTCGAACCTCTCCGATCAGTTCCAGCATGTCTTCGCTAAGTTTGAGCAGCCTTCGAAGTCAAGTTCCCACAATCTAATACCTCAGTCTCTTACAACAGAACATCTGGAATCTTCTGATGAAGAAAGTCTGAGTGAAGAGGTCGAAAAACCTCTTTCAAAGAGGCAACGCCGTAAACTAAATAAGGTAACAATTGCCGAATTAAAAGCATATTCCAATCGGCCCAATTCAGTTGCTTGGTACGACGCTGACGCCCCTGATCCATATATGTGCATTGCATTCAAAACCTCCTTCAATTCCATAGATGTGCCATCCCACTGGCTGCAGAAGAAGGATTATTTATCGGGCAAGAAAGGATTTGAAGTTCCACCATTCAAACTTCCCAAATTTATTCAGGATACTGGCATTGCTGAAATGAGAAACTACGATCCTGAATCCCTAAAGAAAGAGCAGCGTGATAGAGTCCAACCAAAGATGGGTAAGCTAGATATTGATTACCAAAAATTGCACGACGCTTTCTTTAAGTACCAAACCAAGCCTCGATATTTGAAATTTGGTGAATTATATTGGGAGGGACGAGAGAAGGCGGATCAACATCGAGAGATTGTGATGCATATGCGACCAGGTGTCGTATCCAAACGGTTGAGGGAAGCAGTAGGGCTTTCAGGAAATGATCTTGGCGTGATTCCTCCGTGGGTCACGCTCATGAATCTGATCGGCAAGCCACCCGCCTACAAACACTGTATTATACCTGGCGTTGATGTGGTGTACAACAACGGCGGATATCGGACAAGCGAATCGTCTGACTTTAATTTTCAAGATGAAGCTGCTTGGGGTGCTTTCGAAACAGTTGTCGAATCCGATTATGATGACAGTGAAGGTGAAGAAGAAGCTGATAGTAACGATGATGATGAACTTTCTTCTGAAAGGTCTGTTGAAGAAGAGCCACATGTTGAAGAGCCCGAAAAGGTTGTCATCACTGAGTTCAGCAAGTTTAAGACAAATTCTCCTGACAACGGTTTGAAGGATTCTTCAGGCTCGCTATACAAGGTCTTGAAGGAAAAGGCTGTTTCTGACTCCATGGGAGAAGACAAAAAGGCAGGCTATGAAATGACTACTGCGAAAAATAACAGTCCAATGCAATCTGCAACTATGAAAGACGACAAAAAAGAGGACATCGAAGATTTTGAGTTTTAAAATCCGTACGAACTTTGTGAGTCTCCGTTCAAAAAAAGGCTAGACTCGTCAAATCCTAGCTGAAACTCGGTAGGATTCATGAAGCGTAGGAAATCACGATCAAAGTCTTTGAATATGTCGGTACTGGATGCCATTGTGAGGTCTGGGAATTGAGGTAAAAAATCCTCCGGATCGAAGCTTCCTCCGCTATCCGGTGTATTATCTTGTCTTTTCTCATCATCATTTACCTTTATTCTTTTCCGACTATTGGAAGGAGTTGAGGAAGGGTCTTTGAGCTTTTCCATTTCTTGTCCTTTCATTGTTTGAGTAATGTTGATGTAATCGAGCTTCATGGTACTCTTCAGACTCTCGACTACCTTCTTCCATTTCACGATTTTGTCGACAATAAACTTGACTCTCGTGGACACGATGGAGTCATAGGAATTGCTATTAATTTCAAGAATTGATCGAACGTGATGGATGTAGTAATCGAACTTCTGTTTCATCTCTTCAAAACCATCTAGTTCAAAGCCTTTGGCTTTAGTTTTAATCAAAATCAATAGTCTCACAAATGAGATTAGGGCATGAACGCAGCGATATTGCAACCATGTTGGGTAGTTTTTCGAAGAAATTTGGTTCATCTCAATATAATACTTTAGGATGGAGTCGCATGCCTCCTTGAACTTGTCAACATGATGTTTAATTAGAGGAATTGTTTGCAGATTGTCTGCATCCGGTTTCATGTGGAAAATTTGCCAGCTCAAAAGAGTGTCGTGATTCATCATCATTAATTGATGATAAACTATGATGAGGCAGTATTTGCGAACATCAGCCTCCGGTCTCGGAGTTAATGTCTGAGGGTCAATGAGTCCGCTTTCTGCCATTGTTTGAGTCAAATCGACTTTGAAGCGTTCCAAACTATTTGTTACGCTTGCGAAAGTAGTGTCATCCGAGCGATATCTGGTTTTGGCACCCTCTGTGCTCAAGAAGCTTACTGTCACTCCGTGAGAAATGAAATAATCAAAAATCTCTTGACCTTTGCGTACAAGGCGTGTGAAGCAACACACAAAAATGTCTTCTGGAGTTGGAATGGAGTTCTCGTATCTAGTGAGTAGCTGCTTAATCGCAATATCATGTCGAAGACACCATGAAACAATTCTAAACCTAGGTAGGGAGAAACTCAAAGACCCACAACAGCTATAGACGGCCAAGAATGTTCGCAAGTTGTTCCTCTCTAGAGAATTGTCGTCTGCAAGTGCTTTGATTTGATAGGTTGAGACATTACCCACATCAGCGCATAGTGATACACCATGTGCATTCACGAGATCAACCTGGCTCTTGAACTGGCCTTTCCGATCCGAGGGTATGCCCCATAAGGATAGGAGCAAGCACGAAATAGCCAAATGATAGGTGAAAGCCGTGGCTTTTTCAAAGATATGTTTCGAAATTTCTGATGTCACGTAATGATTTAGTATTTCGTGAAGTTTCCTGTTGGAGTTTTTTGTAGGCGTCTCGTCGGATAAGGCATTATCGTTCACTGTGGTGATATAGAGACAGGTTAGAAGTAGCGTAGAGTTCGTCTTCATTAAAGTGTCGAAATCCTTGAGCTCCAGCAGTAGTGCCACGATGGGGAAGAAGGGTAGCATTTCCTCGATGAAGTATTTGAATCGTCTCCTTGCCTCTTGGTCTGATATAAGCTTATGAGTGTAGATTAGCTCATGCGTCATGTTTGTCTCCGGGTGGATAGTCGGAAACTCATGATGCAAGGACTCTTTGCCATTGATACTGAAGCTGTCTGCGAGTCTTGCCCCTGCCAGGTTCAACTTAGCTGCTAGAAGTGAAAGCTGTGAGTGATGGTCACTGTTCTCTTGTGGCTGCTTTTCTTCAAAAAAATCGAGCTCCTTTTCGATGCCGTCGAGTAATTTCGTTATTCTCGAAGCGACTTGTTGATGGGTTCTTGTGTGTTTCCTTTTCCTTGCATTTACTGCTGTTGGGTCCTCGTCAACGGAGCATTTGAGTCCTAGATTGAAGCACCTCTTGCAGGTTTTGAACGTCGGATCCTCGTAAACACACTTACTTTTAAGCCGGTGGCAGCGAGCGCATGCTTTGGCAACCCTCCATTTAGATGAGAATTGGTCTTCCTGCTGAGATTGTGATTCCATTTCATGAAGAAATGATCGTATGCATTTACTGAATATGGGGTAGCCTGTATGAAGTCTAAAGAAAGTGGAACAAATTACGAGAGTGCCGTATACAATACCCAAATTTACCTTAAAGGCTTCAAATGTAAAGCATCAACTTCGATTCTTTCGCTTCTTAATAGAAAATGAGGTTTTGAAGCGAGATCTTACAGAGCGGTAAGTTTACCATGACAATGGCGCTCGTTTTACCAATTCCGCGCTACAGAATGCCAATTGAGATCCTAGATTTGAGAAATTATATCTTGTGAACTTTCTAACATCCACACATGCAATGGGGGTTTATGGTACAGTCGCGACAACGTTTATCATTAGATGTCAACCAATGGCTTTGGGTCCTTGATCTTGTCGATCTTGGCACCGAATGAAGACACACACTTAGCCATAGTGGGCGAGGATCTGGAGATCACGTCAGTGAAGTAGAAGTTTTTGATAGGGTTCTTCAATGGGATACCAGCAGCCTTGAAAGTCAGAAGTCTACCAGTGATATCCGTGAGACCAACCTTGGCGATGTCCTGAGAAGTAGGCTCAATGACCTCATGTCTGATAAAGTGGGGAGCAATCTCGCCCAATCTTTCTCTGACAGTGTACAAATCATCGTAAGGCAATGGAGCGCCAACGTACTCAGAAAGAGCTCTGAGGATCTTCCAGTCCTCACGCGAGGAGCCTGGGGGGTTAGTGGCAGCTCTCGTGATTTGTGCCCTACCCTCAGTGTTAACATATGTGGCAGACTTTTCAGTGTAGGCAGCACCTGGCAAAATGACGTCGGCAAATGATGCACCGACGTCACCATGGTGACCCTGGTAAATGACGAAAGCATCCTTAGGAATGTCAGAACCCTTGATCTCATCGGCACCAAGCAAGTAGACAAATTTGGGCTTCGAGGTTTCAGGTGTGAATTTCTGGAAACCAAGGTCCAAGGCGGCCGCACGAGAAGCCTCACGATGCAAAAGGTTGACACCGTTCCATTCCTCGGTGTTGAAGTTCTTGTGTTTAGATGCAAAATCAGCGACAGTGTGGTAGATAGCATTGGCGTCCTCAGACTCGGCAACACCCGAACCAACAATAATCAATGGGTTCTTGGCCTCGCCTAATCTCTTACCATACTCACCAGTCAAAGCCTTCTTCAAGTCATTGGCGGAAGCGCCCAAGTTCTCGTAGTTAAAGGTAGCATCGAATCCCTGACCGACGACACCGATCTCCAAGTCTTGTCTCAACCAAACCTTTCTAATTCTAGCGTTCAACACAGCAGCCTCAAATCTTGGGTTAGAACCAACGAGCAAGATCTGGTCGGCATCCTCAATACCATCGATAGTACTGTTGAACACGTAGTTAGATCTAACGTCAACACCATGAGCTTCAGTGGCCTGCTTGACATCAGTAACAGTGTTCTCAGAACCCAACTTGTTAACCAAATCCTTCAAGGCGACCATAGCCTCGGCATCGGCAAAAGTACCTGCGATGGCCTTCAATTCGTCACCATTAGGCTTGAGTTTGTTGTAGGCAGCAGCGATGGTTGAAAGAGCCTCGTCCCAAGTGGCAGGCTTAAAGCTGTCGCCATCCTTGATCAAAGGATTCGTCAATCTCTGAGTCTTCAAACCGTCGCAAGCGAATCTAGACTTGTCGGAGATCCACTCTTCGTTGATCTCGTCATTCAAACGAGGCAACACTCTCATCACTTCGATACCTCTAGCATCCACTCTGACGTTAGAGCCAATAGCATCCATGACATCAATACTCTCAGTTCTCTTCAACTCCCAAGGTCTTGCTCTGAAAGCATATGGTTTGGATGTCAAAGCACCAACAGGACATAAGTCAATGATGTTACCAGACATCTCAGAGTTGATGTTTCTTTCGATATAAGTACCGATTTGCAAATCATTACCTCTACCAGTAGATCCCAATTCAGGAGCACCGGCGACATCGTTCATGAATCTCACACATCTAGTACAGTGAATACATCTGTTCATCGATGTCTTCACCAAAGGACCAATAGCCTTGTTCTCGACAGCTCTCTTACCAGTGACTTCCTTGAATCTGCCTCTGTCAGAACCGTATCTGTTTGACTGCTCTTGCAAATCACACTCACCTCCCTGGTCACAAATTGGGCAGTCCAAGGGATGGTTCTCCAACAACATTTCAGTGACACCTTCTCTGGCTTTGTGGATTCTTTCACTGTCGGTGTGGACAACCATACCATCTTGGACTGGGACAGCACAAGAGGCAATCAATTTGGGCATTCTCTCGACATCAACAAGACACATTCGGCAGTTACCAGCGATGGCCAATTTGTCATGGTAACAGTAACGAGGAATGGTAACGCCAGCCTTGTCAGCAGCTTGAATAATACTCGAGCCAGCTTCTATCTGAACTGTTTTACCGTCGACGGTAACGTTGACATCAGCCAAGCGCCTGACTGAGCTCGACAAAAGTCTTCTCGAAGAAACCGAATAAAGCGATCTCAACATCATGCAAATATTTATGAAGGGGTAAAGCGTTGGAAGATGAAGAGCGGGCTGATTTGTAAGTCGGGACGCTTAGAGTTCTTTTTTTTTTTGTACGCTTGAGCTTCAAGTTTTTGTATGTAGGTATGTTTTATGGAAATTCTCTATTGGTTTTTGAGCAGCCTTTACTAATGAACCAATATTCTGATTCTGATAGGCCGCCTGCACCTGCGCGCACTGCTAAGAGGTCAAAGGACGACCTTTGTAAAAAAAAATCGAATCACATATAAAGATTACACTTTTCAAAAAGAAGCAATTTACATTAGTGTAGATCTTGCTCAACTTTTTCTTTATTTCTCTCTTGAAAAGTCGGACTTCTCCCTGTGGAGCTCGGTCATGAAGTCCAATTCCGGGGTCTGTGCGCAGAGCGTTCACAATTGGAGGGTCTCCATTGGCTCTGCTTTCGCAGCTGACCCAGTCCGAGCTGCACTTCAAGAAGTTAAAACAGCGTCATTAATTTCTTCACTAGATTTTTCATATTATGGTCCGAGATATTAGTAAGCTATATTTTAGTGCAATTTTGTGAACAAAGCGTTTCCATTCGAAGTATTTACTCTCAACCCTTAAAAATTGTAGTGTCTCAAGTTAGTGCACAGTTTCTACGCAATATTTTTAAACGGCTGCAAAACAGAAACCTCTTACATTCTAAAATCTATGAAAATCAATTTTAGGCTTGGACGAGTAAATGGGCCAGAGACTGAGCTATACTATAGAACTGTATCGAGAAGCTGGCCAGAGTAGAGCTGATACTTATGCTTCCCATTTGATCAGATGAATTAAACAATAGTATGCTTTTTATGTCTCTCGATAGCACATACCAGCACATAGTAAATCCCGAAGTGCCATAATTCTGGGAGTGAATACGGATTTATATGATATGTATTTAGGACTGTGAGCTTACCCCGGTGTTCCAAAAAACATTCTACCTACCTTGCCACGGATCTACCTTGTCACGGTTCGAGTTGTATGCCTACAGCAATTTCTTCGAACACAGGCGAAGGAATCGCAACTAGTTCAATTTCTTTCTAAATCGTGTATTTCCCCATTAGTTTTCCTTCTTCTCTTCCTCAGGCGCCATGATTAAGAAGAGGCCGAGTGGGACAACAATCCACATCCAGTTCTTCTGCAACCACAGTCTGTCATCCTCCTCAATCACTTCTTCAATCACCTCTTCAATTTCAGTCTTCTTACCGTCTATCTCAACAGTCTTCTTCCGGATGACTTTTTGTTTCACTGGCTCTGCTTTCGGTTTTTGCTTCTGTCTGATGAATGGTTTCAAGTTAGGCAAAGGAGCTGAAGATGACTCAATCAATTCACTGTCCCAATCTTCTTCCCCGGCATAAAGAGCAATCTCCGTGAGCTCTCTATCGCCATTCAAGAACAAGGCGAATTTACCCTTAGGTGTGGTCTCGGTAGTTTCGAGATATGTAAAGCACTCTTTACTTGGAAGCTGCTTTGTACCTATGCATATGCTATCATGGCTGGGTAAGTCGTTTGTGGCAAGGTACTTGGTCGTATTGGTAATCGTGTCATACTTGATCTGGCCCAAACTGACTATGGAACCTGATTTGACAGACTTGCTGTAGATGTCGAGTGATCTTTCAACCGCTTGCGTATAGCCCGCTAGGGTAAGTAGGGTGAAAAGGATCGATTGTAATTGCATTTTGTGTTTCAGAGTACGAGTTGACGGTATCAGTTCGCATTTTGAGAACCAAATATCAGTAGTGTATTTCACGCTTGAACTATATGGCATCACTACGGAAGCATGTAAGTCGACATGCCCAGCAAAGATATAGATCTTGTGTACGAGATATCCAAACATCCAAGGACTATCTCGAATATGTCCGGATCAATGACAAAGATGTCACCACTACGATCTTCAGAGGCACACTCTATGAGCTTTATGCAAAAGAGTTTCTAGAGAAGAGGCTAAACTGCTATGATATGACGAGAGTGGGAGGAGCAGGGGATAATGGTGTGGATGTTTTCGGCAAGTGGAATCTTAATACTTATTGGAAGGCACTCTCCGATGTTCAGAAGTTGAAAAAGTATCCTCGTACATCCATTCTAACCGCGTCGAAACAATATAACGACGCGATTGACAGCGAAGCAACACGAATTATTGATCTAGAGAGTCTGATCCAAGTATTTGTGCAATGCAAAAATTACAAGAAACGTATACAACCTGCCACGATCCGGGAGATTGCAGGAGTATATGACTTTCATGCGAAGACAGCATTGGACCGCATGAAGTCCTTCTTCTTTCTACTACTGCCATTTCCATTGACAAAGCAAGCACACCGTCAATTTGATACAAGTCCCGTACCACTATTGCATTTGAAAATTCCATCTTCACCAGTGGAATACGTCGACGAGGACGATGAAAGTGTGGACAGCTTTGGTGAACCAGCTCCGATTTACATTAACCAAAAAGCCCGCAAACTTCTACGAGGCCTTGAGGCCGAAATCATCAAATTTTAGGTATTTCAAAAAATCAACGTACAAACTATATTATTTGTTTCTTTACCTCACCGCTTTAGTAGCGCAGCCCTCCAGCTTTAAGCGGATGGCTGGGCCTCCACAGTCTGGGTGGAGTAAACGGTGGACACAACTCTGGTGACAGTCACAACTTCGGTGTACACATGACCGTCAACGGTGTTGACTTGAGTGTCACTAGAGCAGGAAACACGAAGGGTAGTGAAAGTGGTACCTGGTCTCTGTTTGGTGACAGTGACCATTGGACCCTCAGGAGCGTTAGTGGTGGTAGCATCGGCGGCAACAGTGGTCTTGGAGCTCTCACCTGGAACACCGGGAACAGCAGCAGCACCGTTGTTACCGTTGGTTGGCTTGGCCTCCTTGGAAGAAGAAGCCTTGGAAGAAGAAGCCTTGGTAGAAGAAGCCTTGGTAGAAGAGGCAACAGAAGTCTGGGTAGACTTGGCGGAGGTGGTGGCAGCAGAAGTAGTGGCAGCGGAGGTAGAAGAAGTGGTCGAAGCTGGGGTGTCCTTCTCAACATTGTCCACAAGGTAGTTCTTGAGCTGCTGAGTGAAAGAAACACCGTCGCTGTTTTTGTTGCTGGCACCGGAAGAAGCATCCCACAACATGAAACCACCAAAGTTCTTGTTGTTTAAGATGTCAGAGCCAACGTTCTTCTTGACCTTGTCGAGGTCAGCGTAACCAGAGCCAGCAGAGGTAGAGTCACCAGGCAAACCAACGTACAACTTGATGTCCTTGTTTGGAGAGGTCTCCTCAGCAAACTTTTGCCAAGTGTCCCAGTTGAAGCTGTCACCGAGACCACAGTAGTTGTTGTAGAATTGGATGAAGGCAAAGTCAATCTGGGTCTCAGCCAACAATTCACCCTGGGAAGCATCTGGGTACACACACTGAGGAGCAGCAGCCAAGTAGTACTGTCTGGATGGGTCGTTGTCGAATTGCTTTCTCAAGGACTTGGACAAAGACACGGTTCCAAGAGGGTTGTTGTTCTCCAAGTCGAAGTCGAAACCATCAACGATGGCATCGTCAAATGGTCTCTCATCATCGGAACCAGCACCAAACTTGTTCCACAAGACCTCGGCGAATTTTTCGGCATCTTCATCAGCGTTAGGCTCCAGGAAGCCGTAGCTGCCGGAGGCACCACCCAAGGAAAGAAGAATCTTCTTACCCTTGTCCTGACAAGTCTTGATGTCCTCACCAATCTGAGGGCAGTGGAGCACACCGTTGCTGAAAGATCCACCACACTGGTTGGCAAAGTTCAAAGACAATTCAGGGAAGCCTGTGACGAAAGAGACAAGGATGATGTCAGTGTCGTCGTTGTCACAGTAAGCGCTCAATCTCTCCTGGTTACCATAAGAGTTCTGGCCCCAGTAGACGGCCATGTTCTTGTTAGAAGAGGCGGAGAAGGCGAGAACATTTCCAATGAGCGAAACGAGGAGTAAAAGGAATGTCTGGGAAAACATTTTTCAGTGGTTTGGGGTATTAAAAGGAATGACTATGGGTATCAAGTAACGAAGGAAGGACTGAAGTTGGTGATAAGTCAAACCACAAGGGTAAGCCTGGGGTATAAGGAGCGACTGGGATTAATTAAAGAAAGACTGGAAATCCTAAAGAGAAAAAAGGTCAATTAGAGGAGAGACCAAGGGTATTTAAATCTTCAGAAGGAGGTTAGACGCGATTGTCATTGGTGAAGGGGCCCTACCCACTCAGCTCAAGGTTACACCGTGCATGCATTGTTTGCGTGAAGCTCTGTGAAGGAGAGGCAAGCGGCCGCATGCGGACACCGACTGTTCGATTTAGGCTTAGCGTTTATCATAACGGGTTCCATCTGGCTGCAAAGACCGTAAGATCCAGCACTTTTTGCAACAAGTTTGACGCACGGAGTGCATGCAAGCACACAGAAAGCCGTGTAGGCGAATTGGGTGCGTGAAGGCCGCGTCGGAAAGGCCACTTTCGCGGTACCACTAAACACAAAGACGTCTCTTATTCGTTAGAAGACTCCTTTTTGCTGCGCGGCGTTGTTTCAGTGCCAGACAACTTCAAACCACTTTGTTTAGCTTTTCTTCGAAGCGGCAGTAAATGGCTGTTTCACCTTGGCGCCTTGCGCCAGCCGCCGCCTTACAACCAAAAAAATGGGCTTATGGCGTTTCTGTGATTGTTTTCTAACTGCATGGAGGTTTTTGACTTTAGTCCGTTGTGTTGTGGTTCGGCATCTGGTTGTTGCGTGCGTCTCGTTTAATGCTCCGTGGACTGAGACAAATGTTAAGAGGTGCTGGCTGACAGCACCAACAGGGTGAAGTGTTCCCAAATAGTCCGACTTAATTCCCAAATCGATGCAACAGAAGGCTCTTCTTGCCGTAGCGAGACTAAGCCAATAATTTGTCATATTTGTTGCTTCGTCGTTTACATCGTAGACATGTCCTATCCGGGGTGCACTAGTTTCGCAGTGGCTGGTAGTGTTTTACGAGCGCCTCACCGCCTCATACTAGGCTTATGTTAGTGCTCAACAGGCCAACCGGTGGAAAAGTAGCAATCATTCCAATCTGAATCTATAAAGTTAATTGTCATACTGCGAGAATTAGCCACGATTTCTACGTGTGGAGAATTCCGCAAATGTGGAGTACACCTGCCAGTGTAGGAGTGGTGAGAAATGAGGTGGTGCGAGTTGGGAATGGCTGCAATCTGATATCAACTTACACACATTGTAAACGCAACTGACCACCTTTCCTCACGTACCCCCCATTCCTGGTCATTCAGGAAACCAAATGTGTTGGAGAGAATAGACAGTTGAGACAGTCGTTGTGAGGCACAAAGGTAGTAGAGCGTGGCTGATCGCGAAAGATTCATGGATACGCATTCTTCAACCTTCGCAGGCACCAGTCACGAAAGCAGGAACAAGACGCGAGGAGGTGTAATTTCTCCTTGTTTTGGAATATTGATTTGGCGCCCGTACCTTGAAAAACGTATATGGGGTTTATTATTTGCAGTGTCCCTTGATCTCCTGGGTGATCTGGTAAGAATCCCACGCGGTACCTTCCACTGTTCGCCCCACACTAATGTAACCACATCCATATGGCTGCAACATGTACCCAAAACCGCAGCATACACAAACAAACAGAGATCAACGAAAAAAACTCATGGATGCAGCCTGATTCAGTCGAAACAACCACATCGGAAAGATTAAGGTTTGGCCCGAAGCCTGTCTTGATCCATGTCGAACCAGGGCAACCTGTGCACAACCACCCAAAATTCCTTTCTTCACCAACACCCCATTCCGTCCTCTAACCTCTTTGTGACGTTGTCTAGCAAGCCAGAGCTCTCTACTTTTAAACGCCTCATAAACCACTCGCAAGTAATTCTAGATTTTTGTAGAGCCTAAGGTTGAGTGGTTCACACGGGAGTGTCTGGGAGCACAAAAATGAAGCCGCCATACCGCCTGGAACCAAATACAGCAATAGTAAATTTTAGAGAGTTAGTGGCGAGTGAGAAAAGGCAATTGTAACAAATGTGTCTCTGATTCGTTTGATTATTAGACATCCCTAAGAAAAAAAACCTCCCTTCAATCTTTCTTACATCTTTCTTACATGCGATCAAGCAGGTTGATCTCCAAGTCTAATAATTTCCTTACAAACTGAAGAAAAGGCCGAATGCATAAGAAATCAGCATGACAAATGGCTCTTTCGGAACTGACTTGTTCTAAAGTCTGCCTCGGATATTATTCTTGCCCTACGTCATATATCTTCCAGCACCAACCTCGGGATTATCGAGCGCTGCAAATTCTCATTGTTGGGGAGCTTAGCAGGAATAAGCCGAACCAAGCAGGATGAACAAATATGGGGTATGCCTCACATGGGTTTCCAATGTAATTGCAACACATACACTTCTATACCGTGACAGCCAAACCTGCCCCTAGCAATCAAACCAAGGAATGCTTCTAAAATTTCAAGAAGTCAGAATGACTCGGATGTTTTATGGCAATTACGTAGCCGGTACAGCTCTATCCGTTGTCTCCACCCGCGATCCACTCCTTGCACGTGCCTCCCCCTAACCCCAATTCCAGCGTATTCAAACGGATCGATATGAGGTTTTAAAAAATCTGAATATTCATCATGATAAGATTCTGGGATTTATGGCAATTCCGATCATTTGGTTCTGTGCTTCCCCTATTTCTTTGAGATCCACATACACGGTACACGGCCTTAGGAATTGCGCAGGAAATACCGCAAACACTGGGTTCTGAGTAGCCAATGGAAATTGAGCCTGGCGGCTGAGGTGTTCAACAAACACCCAAAACAGTATTTGGCCGGTGGATAGCATGTGAAGGCCTGCATGCGACAGAGCCACCCGCCGAAATTTCGGCGAAATTGGGCCAAGGTGCAGGAAGACCAGGCCTCACCGGGGCCATGTTTTGCAGCTAAGCCCGACCCTTTGGGAGTAGGGGGTCCCATTTTGCAATATATAAAGGTGGGCGATTGCCCGCTGATTCTGATTTCTTCTTCTTTTTTTCTTCTCTATCCAGTTGAGTCTTTAGTTTATTCTTCAAACATGTCTGTCAACTTCAACACCAAAGCTGAGACCAGAGACGGTTCTCTTTACACCAAGTTCACCTACGAGTCGGCCATTGTCGAGAAGAAAGAGGCTGGTTCTCTTTCTGTCACTCCAACTGCCACCGACTACGAGTTCAAGGTCGACTTGGAGACCCCAAAGACTGGTTTGTTGTTGGTCGGCTTGGGTGGTAACAACGGTACCACCTTGGTCAACGCCATCTTGGCTAACAAGCACAACATCTCCTTCGAGAACAAGGAAGGCAAGGTTGAGCCAAACTACTTTGGTTCCGTCACCCAGGCCTCCACCGTGAAGCTCGGTGTTGACAAGGAGGGTAACGATGTGTACGCTCCATTCAACTCGATCTTGCCAATGGTGCACCCTAACGACCTTGTCGTCGGTGGTTGGGATATCTCCAAGATGCCATTGGACCAGGCCAGTAAGAGAGCCAAGGTCTTGGACGTCGACTTGCAGAGACAGGTGGCTGGTTACACCAAGTCCATCGTGCCATTGCCTTCGGTTTACTACCCTGACTTTATCGCTCTTAACCAGACGGACAGAGCTGACAATGTGTCCAACGTCGACAGCAACGGCAAGGTCACCACCAAGAACAAGTGGGGCGATGTCGAGAATATCAGAAAGGACATCAAAGACTTCAAGGAGCAGAACAAGTTGGACAAGGTTATTGTCTTGTGGACTGCCAACACTGAGAGATACTCCGACATTATCCCTGGTGTGAACGACACTGCCGACAACTTGATCAAGTCTATCAAGGAGTCTCACGATGAGGTTTCCCCATCCACCGTGTTCGCCGTGGCTTGTATCTTGGAGCAGGTTGCCTACATTAACGGTTCTCCACAGAACACCTTCGTTCCCGGTGCCATTGAGTTGGCTGAGAAGCACAAGTCTTTCATTGGCGGTGACGACTTCAAGTCTGGCCAGACCAAGTTAAAGTCTGTGTTGGCCCAGTTCTTGGTTGACGCTGGTATCAAACCATTGTCTGTCGCCTCTTACAACCACTTGGGTAACAACGACGGTTACAACTTGTCTGCCCCCAAGCAGTTCCGTTCTAAAGAGATCTCTAAAGCCTCCGTCATTGACGACATGATCCACTCTAACGAGATTTTGTACAATGAGAAGAAGGGCAATGGTGTGGACCACTGTATTGTCATTAAGTACATGCCAGCGGTGGGTGACTCCAAGGTTGCTATGGACGAGTACTACTCCGAGTTGATGTTGGGTGGACACAACAAGATTTCTATCCACAACGTGTGTGAGGACTCTTTGTTGGCCACTCCATTGATCATTGACTTGGTTGTGATGACCGAGTTCTTGCAGAGAGTCAGCTACAAGAAGGTGGGCGAGAAGGAGTACGACAATTTCTACGCTGTCTTGACTCTCTTGAGTTACTGGTTGAAGGCACCATTGGCCAAACCAGGCTTTGAGCCCATCAATGGCTTGAACAAGCAAAGATTGGCGATCGAGAACTTGTTGCGTTTGTTGAGGGGATTGCCCTTGGTGAATGAATTGAGATTCGAGGAGAGATTGGTTTGAGGCGTGTCGTAAAACAGAAGAGTAATAATATTAATAATAATATCAGTGATTAATAACAATGTTCCTCGTAATAATAAAACCATCTTGAGCGATCCCAAGTAAACCGCCAAGGCGCCGTATGGGCTACCACTAGCCAGCCAGGACCCGGCATGTGCGACCCAACAAAGCAAATCCACAATAGGCGCGAGTTTAAACAAAGCATAAAGTGAGGGCAAGAAGGTGTGACGAACTGGGCACAAAAGGAGCATAAGCCTAGGAGAGCCGTTCCTTTAGAGGAGAGGCGATCAAAAGCCGCGGCTTCTCGGCGTTTGTCGGACCCCCGTAGTGCTGTCTTTATTCTAGGGCAAGTGGGTAGAAACGAAAGGAAAGAACAAATCAGAAAAATTGATTAACCGAAGAACGAAATAGATCCTTCAGGATAATCTCGCACAATCTGCGCTCGAGATTCTGCGTCCGAGGAACCACCTTTGTGGGGCAGCCACTCGGTTCGAATCTCTGGGCAGTGGCATTTTCTTTGTACCCAAAAGCGCACCGTAATGTGAAACTTGCGCATAGCAAAGCAGCAGAAGCTTAAGATTGCCCGCAACAAGATAGGAAAGTTCGCCAGAGATGTGGAATCGAAAAATACGAAAAGAATTAATGTAATATTTTGCCAACCTGAAACTCGGCATTTGCTCCGCTTCAGCCTTTCCTCTTTCTGGTCATGACACTGTCATCGGGGAGGGCTCTGACGCCCCTGTGCACAACCGATTATCTTCCTCTCCGCCCGCAACTTATATAATACCCTCGATACCCAATTGTCCTCCTCAGCGTACCGCAAAAAAACATACACAAACACACACACGCAAGAACATCATGGGTTTGGTTACTGTCGAAGTCGGCGAGGCCAAACAGGGCGAAGGCGCCCCAAGAAGAAGAGCCGCTCAGAGAGATGCTCCTTTGGAAAGACCAATTGACTCCAAGGCCACCACCCTCCCCGAATTCTTTGAGGAGTGTGTCAAGAGAAACGGTGACCGTAAGGCCATGGGCTGGAGAGATTTGAAAGAGGTGCACATTGAGACCAAGCAGGTGACCAAGATTGTCGATGGCGAGGAGACCAAGGTAGACAAGGACTGGGAGTTCTTTGAGATGGCTCCTTACAGGTACCAGCTGTACCCCGAGGTGCTCAAATTGATCAAGCAATACGGTCACGGTATGGTTGAGATTGGTATCAAGCCTAACCAGGAGAACAAGTTGCACATCTTTGCCTCCACCTCCCACAAGTGGATGAAGACCTACTTGGCCACTCAGACCCAGAACATCCCAATTGTCACTGCCTACGACACTTTGGGTGAACAAGGTTTGACCCACTCCTTGGTGCTCACTGAGTCCAACGCTGTGTTCACCGACAACAATCTTTTGAGCCAATTGATCAACCCCTTGAAGAAGGCTGAGAATGTCAAGACTATCATCCACTCTGACAAGATTGACCCTGAGGACAAGCGTGCCGGTGGCAAATTCTACAAGGAGGCCCAGAAGGCCAAGGAGGAAATTGAGAAGATTCGTCCTGACATTCAGTTTATCTCCTTCGACGAAGTTGTCGAGGCTGGTAAGGACAAGGCTTCCGAGGACATCAAGTTCACCGCTAAGCCTGAGGACACTTCGTGCATTATGTTCACTTCTGGTTCCACTGGTGAACCTAAGGGTGTTCTTTTGACCCATGCCAACATTGTTGCTGGTGTTGCCGGTCCTTCTACTTGTGCAGGCAGAGACTTGGTCACCAAGAACGATCGTGTCATTGCGTTCTTGCCATTGGCCCATATTTTCGAGTTGGTCTTCGAACTCCTCACCTTCTGGTGGGGTGGCTGTCTTGGTTACGCCAATGTTAAGACTTTGACTGACGCTTCCGTTAAGAACTGTAAGTCTGACTTACAAGAGTTCAAGCCAACTATCATGGTGGCAGTCGCTGCTGTGTGGGAGACTGTCAAAAAGGGTATCTTGGCCAAGGTGAAGGCCTTGCCCATTGTCACCCAGAAGATCTTCTGGGCTTCCTACAAGGCTAAGACCGTCTTGAACAACAATAAGATCCCTGGTGGCTCTATCTTTGATATTGTTTTCAAGAAGGTGAGAGCTGCTACTGGTGGCTGCTTGCATCACGTTTTGAACGGTGGCTCTCCAGTCTCCAGAGACACTCAAGTATTTATTTCTACCTTGATCGCCCCAATGTTGATTGGTTACGGTTTGACTGAAACTTGTGCTAACTCGAGTATTCTCGAGCACAACAAGTTTGAATTCGGCTCTGCTGGTACCATTGTCGGCTCTGTTACTGCTAAGTTGATCGATGTCGCTGAGGCAGGCTACTTTGCCAAGGATAACCAAGGTGAAATCTTGTTGAAGGGTGCTCCAATTACTAAGGAATACTACAAGAATGCTAAGGAGACTGAGGAGGCTTTTACTGAGGATGGCTGGTTCAGAACCGGTGACATCGGTCAGTGGGATTCCAACGGTGCTTTGCAAATCATCGACAGAAGAAAGAACTTGGTTAAGACTGCCAATGGTGAGTACATTGCCTTGGAGAAGTTAGAGTCTGTTTACAGATCCAACTCTGTTGTTTTGAACATTTGTGTCTACGCCGACCAGAACAAGGTCAAGCCCATCGCTATCGTCATTCCAAACGAGGCTCATTTTAAGACTCATCTTCAAGATGACAAGGTGTACTCCGAATCCGAATTGCAGACTAAGGAGCTTGCTTCTTTATGCCATGATAAGAAGGCCATCAACTCTGTTCACAAGGCATTGGTGGCTACTGGTAAGTCCCAAGGCTTGAAGGGTATTGAGTTGATCCAGAATGTTGTCCTCGTCGATGACGAATGGACTCCTCAGAACGGCTTCGTGACCTCGGCCCAGAAGTTGCAGAGAAGAAAGATCTTGGCAGCCTACAAGGAGGGTGTCGACAATGCTTACAAATAATGGTTATGCCCGACCCAGCAATCTTTTATCTAGGAGTTTTGTTGTTTAGCAGCAGTTAATTCGCGTATTATTCTCAGAGTGTAGTCTATTAACCACCGTAAACACCGGCAAACACCTTGCGAATACGCTTGATATCCATGCCAGCGTTGAGACAGAGTTGAAGAAGAATTCTGCTCTTCTGTGGGTTGAGATAACCCCCGGCAATCAAATAAGTGTTGTTGTTCTTGGGCATGGATCCCCGAGGAACCATACCATCCATTGATCTTTTGGAGTAGATAATCGGAATTCCGTGAAGTGCCGACAATTCTCCTAATTGGGTATTCGTCCTATCGGGAAGAGAGCCAGCTCCCATAGTAGCCATAACAATGCCGGCAACCTTCATTCTATCGACAGCCATATTGATCAATTCATTGTTGAAGCTTTGATGAGCGTACAATATGATGACCTCAGGCATCGTTTCTTCGAAAATCGAGGTTTTGAAGGAAATTCTTCCAGTGGGAAGAGCACTAGGATAGTAGTAGTGAACTTCATTGTTGACAAAGTTGCCCAAGTAGCCGTGTCCCAAGGACTTGAAGGAGTCTAGCGAGTTAGCATCGCTCTTGGTGATATAGTAACCAGAACCAATTTTATCATTCAAAGTGACCAAGACACCTCTTCCTTTACTTTGCTTATCAGCAGCAACGACACAAGCCTGGTATAAATTAGAGGGGCCGTCAGCGGAAACTGAAGTGGAAGGTCTCATAGACCCACAGATCACCACAGGCTTGTCTTGAAAGTCTAATGTAGCATCTAGAAAGAATGACGTCTCTTCACATGAGTCAGTTCCATGTGTGATAACCACACCGTCATGATTGTCGAGGGCGTCTTGAGTTCTGGCCTTAAGTGTCAAAAGCTCCTTTGTTGTGATCTCTTTCGAGTCGAGGTTGAAAACCTGCTCAAAATGCAACTCACATGTGTGGGAAAGATCTGGAATGCTAGAAATGAGATGCTCGATGGTCAAGTCCACATGATATCCAGCTGTCTGATATGCCGTGGAGCCCTTGCTGGCAATTGTGCCACCAGTTCCAAGAATCTTGATCACTGGAAGTCTTTCTGGTGCACTGTCTTCAAAAGACTCGAGCGTTCCAGAAGAGTTCGTCCGGTATTTAACGTGGAAGACGGGATGCTCGATGTCTCTGACATCCTCTTGGATATCGAAAAGACCAGGTCCACCCGTTGGTAAGGTCATGAAAAAGAAGAGTTGGGAAAACACCACACGAACAGTGGGGTTTACGGCGTTTTGATGCCGTGTGCTGCCATGCAGGGTTTCCAAATACCACAGAGTCGACTTTTCTACGTAAGTGTGTTCGCATTAGAGAGGAAAAATTGAAGGTAAATACTACGATTCTTCTCTATATCATATATCTGGGTTGGATAGGAACAATAATGAACGTTAAGCGAAAGTGGCTGCGAAAATTGTGCAGAGAGTGGGATCGTGAATTCCACCATTACGGGCTTTCTTAAATGTAAGAGGTGAGGTATCTTTTTATGCTAAAATTGGTTATTTCATAGGCCAGATCACATACAGATTACATTATTAGAAACTACAGGTCTTTTGCTGATAGAATTTCTCTTTCGCCCATGCGCCGTGCTCAAGTACTTCCGAAGTTTTGGACATTTGGAAGACAGTATGGTGAGGAAAGACACCTGAAGATACCTGGCAGCTCATCCAAATTAAAAATATCGATGCTACCATGTACAAAATAAGAAATTGCAAACAAGTCATACCGAATAGTAGAGGAGGTTAGGCATGTTTACACCCGTGCACCTTGCGGTATCAAGGCTTCTGAGGCTTCTAAGGCTTCTCTACCCTGACATCGAATTCATTATGGGCCTTTTTAGCAAAGAAGAGAAGGTGGTTGATCCACCTAACAAAACAAAGCGGAAGATCTGCTGGGACGCTAGAGACAAATTCTTTGACTGTCTTGTAAAGAACAATATCGACAACTCTTTGGATCCAAAGAAGAAGGATGAGGTTGAGACGCAGTGTGGAACCGAGAGGGCCGTATTCGAAGAGAGCTGTGTAGCGTCATGGTACAAATACTTTCAAGAGAAGAGGTATAATGACATTCGCAGACAGAAGTATATTGAGCAGCTAGAAGCTGAGGGTGCAAAGCCATTGCCTATCAAGCTATCTGGAAAATAACCGCAAGAATAACCGCAAGAATAAAGTCTTCCTTACATGTATATAGAGTTTTCGAATCTTCAAATTAAACCACAGTGATGTAAACAGGTTCTCTTCCAACAGTCTTTTTGCCTGAACCGTAAAAGTCATCGAACACACAACCCCATTCATATTTGCCCTTTTCAAGTACCATGAATCCTAGTTCCAACTCAACATGCCCGCTTGGAGCAATCTGTTTAGGGCCAACAGTCTTTTGAAGTACGCCATTGAAAAGGATTCTTTGATCAATCGATATGTCTGGTCTGTTGGATTCAGATGTTGGGAAAGGGACATGACGTAAAACCCCCGAAAGTGCCGTTTTGGTATGATTAACTATCTTGGTCTTTAGGGTGTAGAAACGTTCCTTTTCCAAACTGTACTCATTCTCTTTCTTGTCAATAACTCCTGGGGTTCCTTCGACACTCCATATGCTGTGTTGAATCAGAATATTGTCGTACACCAATGCATTTGCCATCCTGGAATCCAAGCGGATGTTTCTGAGATCAATTGTACCTGATCTTGAAGATGTCCTCGTAACAGTGTGCCAAGAGCCCTCGAGGCATTCTAGCAAGAATGATCTGATCCAAAAGTTCTTTCGGTTTTGCTCGTCCTCCTCGGCAGTGATGGAATAGTTCTTGACATATTGTTTCTTTCGTAATGAGGGTATAGGGCGGCTGACATCAACGTCCTCGAGGCAGATCCTCCGAATAGGAAGCAAGAGTCTACTTGTCTTTGTGGACTCAATCTTCTCGTTCACAACAAATGCCATATCACTTTGTACTTTATTTGTTATCATGAGAGCTAGCTTCTCTTTCCATAAGTTGCGAACGTCAAGCACCAAAAGGCAATATTGAGAAATATCATCATCGTCGGATTCCTTAGCTTTTGAGATGAACTTCAATAGATCGCTGATATTCTTCTCGATAAAGCTTTCTTTTTCAGGATGGTTGCCCAATTGAAAGCCTTGCAATGATGTCGAGAAGAAAGGAATGACGTCACATCCAATAATCTCCAATGAAGGTTGTACTGTGATGTTGAGTGGCACGCTGATTGTCTTTATATAGTTCTTGCGTTTCTCATCCGATGACCTATTGCAATATTCGAGAATCAACCTCAGCTCAGCCATACCCCTTTTGCCGTTAATTTGGTACTGAAACTCAACAATAGACAGCGGTTGTATGATTTTATACTTGGATGATATTTCTTGTTTGTTCACAACTGTGAAGGGCTTGTTTTCCAAAAGCTGCCATTCAAGCTCATGGACTTCCTCGGCTGAGAGTTGATTCACACCTGCGTGATTCAATCTCGAATTGATAGAGTCGTTTGTTGAATCCCAAAAGGAGAAGGACAAGTAATTGATAGCAATATTGGAAGTATTCTTCAATTTGATTGAAAATTCTTTTTTTTCGCCCTCGAGAAGCATTAACCATCCGTTAGAAATCAGATTGGCCACGAGGGAAAGTGATGCTTGTGAAGGTATCACAGTTAGTGTGAGACTTTTCGATGTTGCTCGTCCAGCAACATTTTTGTGCTGAAGGTTGTCAGCACATTTGTCAAGCACATTGCTCAGATCTTCTTTGGTGGGATTGATAGCCAGGAGCCTTAGATTTGCGTTCGATTTTTCCAGATCAATTATGCTAAATCGTTGCGGCTCTGATGTACCAAAAGTGACGTCAAATTCTGAAATTTTGAAAACACCAGGTTGAGTGATTTTGAATGCGACGACAACATGACATAAGGAAGATGGGGGAACAACAACATTGTTGGTGGTTTCCAGAGCCCGCTGTTCAGAGTCGTAAAGCTTGCTAGGATGAAACTGCATCCCATTGAGCTTGCTGAGATCTTGCTTGTTAAAGCCAGAAACACCAACGACTCTCATCAGCGGTCTTATTGTCTCGACAGCACTTGGGTCATCAGCGACGATGCAAATGTCAGACACGTTCAAATCAAAAGCAAATGGATTTTGGAGGAGAATGACAACCTGGTGTATATCATTCACGCATACGAGTTTGTCTTTGGAAGGCAAATCCTTTGGTACTTTACTAAAAGGATTGAAAATAAGTGGATCATTACCACTTGTGGGGGTTGTTGAAGGAGGTGTCTGAAATGGAACAAGCTCATCAGCTTGCAGCTGGAGAACAAATTTGGCATTTCTAACCATGAAAGGGTCTGGATGGGCAATCAGAATGGAGTTATGACTTTCCTTGGATAAAAGAGCAAGCCAATCCATCTTCCTTTTCAACTTTATCTGATCCTCGTTAGGTAAGCAATGAGTATACCTTGATAGTATCAAGACGCATATCTTAGCTAACATTTCATAGTCCTTAAGTGATTCTGTGATGCGAAGGCATATCTTAAGGAGCAGTAGCTGGAGCGTGATCCAATCAGAATAATGTTCTGCTGCCTCAATTTCTTTGGCTTCAGTCTGCCTGCCAATGCTGTACATCTCAAAAAGGAATTCGAAAATCTCTGTGAGCCTCTCTGCTGTTATGAAATCCGGTAAATGAGCGTTGTGGTTTAGTTTCGGTAAAAGAGCGACTAGTAATATGCGAAGTATGAATGCACGTTTCCGACGAAGTCCCAAGTCTGAGTAGATGATCGCCAAAGTATAGTACACACGGCATTGCTTGAAAAATTCCAAGTCAATAAGTTGCATGCTGAATATTTGATCAATGAGTGCAAGAATTTCACTCCGCAAGACTGGGTCTCTGTGACTTACACTGTCAAGTGGAGAGGCCTTTACCGTAGCCTCGAGGACCTGCAGCTCTGAGCCTGCACCAGCCTGATAGATGTTGATGAATAACTTAATGCTTCGAAGAAGGAATTCAATGTACACCAAATCAGGGACGCCGTTCTCGAAATCTGAGTCACTGAGGCTGTAGAACATGGCTGTCTTGTTGCACAAAATCCTTAGGAACTCTGTTATTGACGAGCCACTAAGCTCCACCTGGCCCGATGTCGACGTCAAGCTTGTACTTCTAGATCTGCTTGTTGAACTCCTTGATTTGCTTGTAGAGTTTCTGGGTGACAGAACACCATTTGAATGCTTACTGCCCAATGAATCAGTTGACAAACGCTTTTGTGCCGAAGTGATAGAGCTGAGCTTATTCTTGTGAATGTGTAATACCGATGCAAGCATAGGGTTCAGAGCCTGATGCGGTATCCCCAAATATGAAAGCATCAATGAAGAGACCGCAAGACCCTCAAGAGCGCTGCCCAACCAAAGGTTATCGTCAGACTTCTTTAAATTGATGGCAGCATCGGTGAAATACTGCAATGCGTCGTTTGCCTGACCTGCAAGGAGCAAAAAATTACCCATGAGTTTAGCTTGTCTACCTGTTTGTCTTTGAGAAGCTTTGACCTTCAGATCTGGCGTTGACAGAAGCGTTTGATTTTTCGAGAACGAGACTTTAAATGAAGATCCCGAGGTAACTTTCTTTTGAGCGTAGGTGATAGTTTTGTGCAATGCTGTGCCATCTCTCAAGGAAACGGGAGATCGAAGAGTGATCTTTTCGTAGGAAGACACGTATGATGCTAGCGCTTTGAGATATTGTTCGGTCACGTAACACATGGTTGTTTCTAAAGTGGTGATGTTTTGATCTTCCAAAGATGGCACAAAAAAGACATCCTGGGGGGCCAGTGATGCGTGCTTCTCGGACTCAATCTTGTCCGCAGGCGAGTTAAAATAAATGCAATTGTGAACGATAGCTGTAGGCTGTACTTCTGAGAGCTTTTCGACAGCGTTCTCTTCGAAGTCCTCATAACTACCCACACCCAAGACAATGAAGGTTTTCCTGAATGGTTCAAAGTCATGGAGGAACAGGACATCTTCGTCTGGCGGGCTCGCACAGAAATCGTAAAGAATCCTGCCCTGAGGAAAAGCTTGAGGATTGAAATTTCGGGCTTCAGGTAGCGGAGCCACGTCTAACAAGCGTATATCGTTGGCACTTCGTATTTTGTCATAGTATTGGTGGAAGTCAGGGTTCCCTCGGTTCAACGGTACCACTAGAACTCGCGTCCTCGCAGGAGCAGCAAAATTTAGCGAGTCTGCCATTGAATATGATCCTGGCAATTCAGTTTTGTAGGAGTACTTCGGTGCTAGGTTTTTGCAGAGAAATCCGATTTGGTGTGCGGCCTGTGTTGGTGTAAATAAGACAGCGCTGCAGTGTGCAAAACTAGACCCTTCGATGGGGCTGTGGAGAGGAGCGTTGATCCTAAGAAAAAAAGAGAGCTCGTGAGTATCTAGAAAAAGTGGTTCAGCTGGAATCAGAATTCTAACGATTGTGTCTTTTTGGTCTTGGCATCTACCAAAGTGCTATCCTTTCAAGGGTGGTATCGTAGTGCACCCGTGCCTCCGAAATCTTGAACTGCGAACTGGAGGCAAACTCTCCTACCAACCCACAGAACTCTACAACTTCGTACCCAGGCTATCAATCAAAAAATGCCTGGCTTAAGTTTTGACAACTACCAGAGAAATCAATTTCTCTCAGCCAATGGCTATGCAGCACCCAAGGCCACCTCGACAGGTACCACCATTGTGGGAGCCAAGTTCAAAGGAGGAGTAGTGATTGCAGCTGATACCAGAGCTACTACCGGCAGCATAGTCGCCGACAAGAACTGTGAAAAGTTGCACAGATTAGCTCCAAGAATTTGGTGTGCTGGTGCCGGTACTGCTGCTGACACTGAGATGGTTACCCAGTTGATTGCGCTGAACTTGGAGTTGCACGCCATGTGGCAGTCTCGCCAACCTCGTGTGATCACTGCATTGACGTTGTTGAAGCAACACTTGTTCAAGTATCAAGGTCATTTGGGAGCTTACTTGATTGTCGCTGGCTCTGACCCCACTGGTTCCCATTTGATGTCGGTGCAAGCACACGGCTCAACCGACGTGGGCGAGTACCTTTCGCTCGGATCCGGTTCCTTGGCCGCTATGGCCGTTTTAGAGACAAACTGGACGCCAGATATGACTAGAGAAGAGGCGGTGAAGTTATGTGCTGACGCCATTGAGGCAGGTATTTGGAACGACTTGGGTTCCGGTTCCAACGTGGACGTCTGCGTCATGGAAACGGGCAAGGATGCCCAGCTATACAGAAACTACTTGACGCCTAATGTTAGAGGTGCCAAGACACAGTCTTACAAGTTTCCTCGTGGTACCACGGCAGTTCTCAGAGAGAGCATACGCGATTTTGTCGATGTCGAGGAGACTGTGGTTGAGTTGGGACGTCTGGACGCCATGGAGGTGGATGCATAACGAGAGAAATATAAATCATGAAATGAAGTGAATTGTAGGCAGAGCAGCTTGTACTGTGGTGGATGATTCTAGAAGAGTGCGCACAGTAGATAAGTCGTTCGGCTAGAAAGTCTCACCATCAAAATGGTCGTTAACAATCCTAACAACTGGCACTGGGTCGACAAGAACTGTATTGATTGGGCTAAGCAATACTTCAATGAACAACTCATTGGTGTTAAGGCTGAGGGCAGCAACAACACGTATGTGCAAGTTGAATCGGTCTCCTCGTTAGAAGGTGATGTGGAGGTATGCCAAAGAAAGGGTAAGGTCATTTCCCTCTTTGACTTGCGAATTATCTTGAACATCGCAGGTGTCTCTGTTGCTGATCCCGAGAAGACTTTCAAGGGCTCTGTCACTGTCCCCGAATTGGCTTACGACACTGAGGAAGATGAGATCCAGTTTGACGTGAGCATCTACAACGAGGACGCTGATCTGGAGAAGATGAGGCTTTTGGCTAAGAAGGAGCTCTTGCCAAAGCTTAGAGCTAAATTGCTGCGTTTCGGCCCCGACTTGATCTCCACTCACAGCAAGGACATCCAGCTTGAGAGCGACAAGGTGAACTCTGTCTACACGAAAGAAAACCAAAGTCAGGCTTCTAAACCATCAAAGCCAGTGGAGAAGCCCAAGACTGCGCCGGTTCCCGTTGCGTCTAGCGCTCCCCAATCAAGCAGTGGCGTTCCTAGGTACAACACATCTACGCTACATCTTGAACCAACCTTCAATACGACCGCTGAGCAGCTCTACATTACTCTTTTGGACAGAGAAAGAATCGGAGCTTGGACTAGATCAGCACCTCAGTTGGAGGCATTTCCTCCCAAAGAGGGTTCCGAGTTCAAGTTGTTCGGTGGTTCGATTACAGGAAAGTTCACCAGGCTCGTGCCTAATGAGCATATCACCCAACTCTGGCGTCTTGAGGAATGGAAGTCGGGACACTATGCGCAGCTTGATATTCAGTTGAAGCAGGGAGCTGGAGAAACAACCATGGTCGTCAAATGGACCGGTATTCCCGTGGGCGAAGAAGACAGAGTCAGAGGCAATTTCGAGGAGTACTATGTGCGCTCGATCAAGATTGTGTTTGGCTTTGGCGCCGTCTTGTAGTTAGAAAGTAGATCATAGAGATATGACAACATGACAAGGAGTCATTTAGCAAAAAGGATAGTAGCTTTTGAAAAGTTCGACTTTTATGTCCTGGAAAAGAATACCTTTAAAGCTGATAATGGTGTCTTCCTACTGCATTGAATTCACGAACCGATCGTTCCCTCAAGACTATTCAGCTTGGGATGGATGGATAGCGCCAAACTACATTTACGCTGATATCACAAAAAGCAGAGGAAGATCCTTGAGACGAAAGAAAAAAAAAAAAAAAAAAAGAATGCCTAAGGCGACGAGTTATGCCAGTATGTTTTTGCCACTTGCGTGCAGCTTACCAAGACTTTTACTATTGGCTGCGAAAAGTTAGCAGTGCCATTCAAAAAAAGCACCCTAGCTAACAGGGCCAAAAGCTTTCATCGATCTCAATGTAACCTAAAAAATCACACGCCCTCAATTTATAGTCGAGTCGAAGAAGAGATCACTTTTGTTCCCAAAGAGGATAAAAAATCCACTATCTTTGTCTCACTATCGAGCAGGGCGTGCACTGGCTAACGGAATCCGACTCCCGATTCGGTTGCTGCCTCCGTCGAGCAGGTCGGTATATATAAGCAGCAGGAATCTTCTGATTAGGAGTCACCTATCTTCATCAAATCCATCACAAATGTCTGAATCCACCGTCGGGAAGGTATGTTATAAACCAAGACACTGTTGGTGGTAGTTATGCCAGCATTGTATTGATTGCCTAATTCAGCACACCCTGGTGGCCATCTGTTCCACGCAAGGCTACGAATTTGGCCCTATATGGAAAATGGCATGCATCGTGGGCTGCAAAATCGTTCAAGCGTTACTAACTAAAGCCAATTACTTGTCAAGCCGCCGTTGCTTGGGAGGCTGGTAAGCCTCTTTCCATTGAGGAAATCACCGTCGACCCTCCAAAGGCCCACGAGGTCAGATTCAAAGTCCACAACACAGGTGTGTGTCACACTGATGCCTACACCCTCTCTGGTGTCGACCCAGAGGGCGCTTTCCCAGTGATTTTGGGACACGAGGGTTCTGGTATCGTTGAGTCTGTCGGAGAAGGAGTCGAGAATGTCAAGGTCGGTGACCACGTTGTTGCATTGTACACTGCTGAGTGTAAGAAGTGTAAGTTCTGCAAGTCTGGCAAGACCAACTTGTGTGGCTCTGTCAGAGAGACTCAGGGTAAGGGTGTCATGCCAGATGGTACCCTGAGATTCCACTGCAAGGGTCAAGACCTTTTGCATTTCATGGGCTGCTCCACATTCTCCCAGTACACCGTCGTTGCTGACGTTTCCATTGTTGCTGTCAACCCAACTGCTGAGTTCGAGAAGACCTGTCTCTTGGGTTGTGGTATAACTACTGGTTACGGTGCCGCTACCATCACTGCCAATGTCCAGGAAGGTGACAATGTCGCTGTTTTTGGTGCTGGCTGTGTCGGTTTGTCCGTTGTCCAGGGTGCTAAGGAGAGAAAGGCTAACAAGATCATCGTTATCGACATTAACGACAAGAAGACCGAATGGGCTGACAAGTTCGGTGCTACTGACTTCATTAACCCTACCAAGTTGCCCGAGGGTACCACTATTGTGCAGAAGCTTATTGAGATGACTGATGGCGGTTGTGACTACACTTTCGACTGTACTGGTAACGTCAATGTCATGAGAGATGCCTTGGAAGCCTGCCACAAGGGTTGGGGTACCTCCGTCATCATTGGTGTTGCTGCTGCTGGTAAAGAAATTTCTACCAGACCATTCCAATTGGTTACCGGTAGAGTCTGGAAGGGTGCCGCTTTCGGTGGTGTCAAAGGCAGATCCCAATTGCCCGGCATTGTTGACGACTACTTGAGCGGCAAGTTGAAGGTCGCCGACTTCATTACTCACAGACACAAGTTGGACAAGATCAATACTGCTTTTGACGACATGCATAAGGGTGATTGCATCCGTGCCGTCATCGAGTTGTGAACCGCACGCGCTAGGCTCTAGGGTGAATGAACTCTTTGCCGAATGATCTCGGTATTTATGACGCTCAGAAACAGAAGAGAGGTGCTCTATGTGAGCAAACGCTGAGCGAAAAGTATATAACAGGGTAAGGGGGGACAGTACCTCAAGGTGTTGTAGATCTGCAGTAATCGTAGTAACGCGTTCAAGGTGCGTTTAGATAGGTAATCGCCGTTTAAGAGTCAACTTTTCGAAAAGCCATGGACAATTAAGTTGTCGAAGGAAAAATTTGCCCCATTTAATGAAGACGTTCACAACGAATATCTAGATCCCTGTGTCGCCATGAAAAAATGGCTGCAAATGCTTATATGAAAACTACGAATGAAAGTCTCTTATGATTGAGCTTCAAAAATTCAGATTAAAAGACCACTCGTCAACTCCGAAAGCTCTCTCGACGAGATTACTCGTATCACCAACTCCGAGGTCGTTTTTCCGTACAAAATTTTTCCGCATAGGTCTCTATTTTATACACAACCCCGAAACATCCCGAACCTGACGTTCTTCGGAGCCCTTTGCATCATGACTACAAGATGTTATATAGTAAAGAATCATAAAATCAAAAAATAAAGTTGTCCGGTTGGTTCCAGCTTGTCTTGTTTGGTAATAGGGGCTTGTAGTTCAAATAAACCGCTCTCTCGGGTCCGAAATCCAGGAGCTGATGTGATTGGACGCGAAATTTTTCGGTGTACATGCAAAAAGACAGAAACACTTATGCTCGAATCTAGTCCACGACTTCTTCTTCACTGCCATGTTTAGACAATTAGCCAAACTCACCGTTACTCCAGCTCCAAGATTCGCTAGATCTTACATTGCCGGTCAATTTACCGGTCAGAAAAAGGACAACGGAAAGTACACTGTCACCTTGATTGAGGGTGATGGTATCGGTGTTGAGATCTCTCAGGCCGTCAAGGACATTTACGCTGCCGCCAAGATCCCAATCGAGTGGGAGCCTGTTGATGTCACCCCTCTCTTGATTGACGGTAAGACCACTTTGCCCCAGGCTGCTGTTGACTCCGTGAACAGAAACTTGGTCGCCTTGAAGGGTCCATTGGCTACCCCTGTCGGCAAGGGCCACACTTCCATGAACTTGACTTTGAGAAGAACTTTCAACTTGTTCGCCAACGTCAGACCATGTAAGTCCATTGTCGGTTACGACACTCCCTACGAGAACGTCGACACTGTGTTGATCAGAGAGAACACCGAGGGTGAGTACTCCGGTATCGAGCACACCATTGTCCCTGGTGTTGTCCAGTCGATCAAATTGATCACCAAGCCAGCCTCTGAGAAGGTCATCAGATACGCTTTCGAGTACGCTAAGAGCATCAACAAGCCCCACGTGTTGGTGGTCCACAAGGCTTCCATCATGAAGTTGTCTGACGGTTTGTTCGTTGAGACCGCCAAGGAGGTCGCCAAGGAGTACCCTGACGTTTCTTTGGACTACGAGTTGTTGGACAACACCTCCTTGAAGTTGGCCCAGGACCCTGCTGACTACAAGAACGTTGTCATGGTTATGCCAAACTTGTACGGTGACATCATGTCTGACTTGGCCTCCGGTTTGATCGGTGGTTTGGGTTTGACTCCTTCCGGTAACATGGGTAACAAGGTCTCCATCTTCGAGGCTGTCCACGGCTCTGCCCCAGACATCGCCGGTAAGGGCTTGGCTAACCCAACTGCATTGTTGTTGTCCTCTTGTATGATGTTGAGACACATGTCTTTGAACTCCGACGCTGACAGAATTGAGAATGCTGTCTTGAAGACTATTGCCTCTGGTCCAGAGAACAGAACCGGTGACTTGAAGGGTTCTGCCACCACTCAGCATTTCACCGAGGAGGTCATCAAGAACTTGTAAGTTATATAAGTACATTCTATAATTGCTAGATATCTTTTGAATTTGATATAGTAGTGTTTACAACCCTTCAAGAGCAAGGTTAGTGCCTTCCACGATAGCTTTGTGTTCTGTGGCATGTACCCTGTCCTCATACTGCTCCAAGGATTCTTCTTTGCTCAACTGAAGCTCCTTTACTAATATGGGCTCACCACGGTCCACCTCTGCAATGACATAATGTATCATTACACCGGCAACCGTAATTTCTCCATCCTGTCCGGCCTTCCATGCTCTGTCAATGGCATGAGTACCGTCAAAAGCGCCTGGCAAAGCTGGATGCAAATTTATGATGGAAATCTTGGCTTCTTCAAGAGGATGCAACACCGCTGGCGATAAGATCAACATCCAGCCCGCACATACAATGAGATCTGGTCTTTTGTAGCTGGAATCTGGCTTGTTCTCAGTATTGCCGTGGATTAGAAGACTGGCCAAATCCTTGTTGAATTGCTCACGTCTCTTTTGCCTTTCGTCCTTCTGCTCCTTTGTTGTACCCTTGTAGTAGCTCTTCAAAGTGTGAACCTTATGGGAGATGCCAGCCTTCTGTGCTCTTTCCAAGCCGTAGGCCGTCTCGCTGGAAGAGATCACTTGGGTAATTGTGCCCTTCAAATTTCCGCTAGCCTGCGCATCTATGAGTGCTTGCAAATTGGAGCCGGAGCCCGAAATAAGGACTGTTATGTCAGGCATCACTGCTGTAAATGAAGTTGATGCTGGAAATCGCTATTCTGACTCTGTCTGGCGCTATATGTAGGGAGATGAGTTAGAAATACAGATATTCTCTGCTTTGATTCCAATCGATCTTCCTTCCAATTTTTTGAAGATCTCCTTTGTAATGAGGACCGATAGATGCTATTTTGTTGTGATTGTTGAACGAAAACTTTTTGTCACTGTATTGGTAATTTGCAACTATTGATGCGAAATTTATGATTGCATCCAATCAAGTATCAACTAAGTGGATGAGAATGAAAAAAATTTTAAAAAAATTAAAAGAAAAGCGAAACCATAAAAATGAAGTATTTTTCACTGAAGATACTCCCTGACCAACAATTCGAGAGCTAGAGTTGAATTCCAATAGTGGCCAACACATGCTTGAGGTCTGACAACTTAGGGCATAGACACCTTATGAGGAAGGAAAGAGGCGGATAGAACTATTTTGAGCCTGCGTATCGTAAAAATCTCTCTTATCATCATATCTAACAGTTAGCTCTCTTACTTCGGATTTAGGGCCTAAGCTAGTGACAGTACAGCGGATTTTGCAACCAGATTACCATGATCACAAATTACCTTTGCAAGTCGAAGAACCGTTGCAGAAAATCGCCTTAATGGGACGCTTCAGGCTGATTTTGGAACCACCAACAGAAAGAATTCCCACAAACCGTCGTGATGCATTACACCAACAAGCAGCCTCGAGACCCAACTGATCCAAGAATTCGACAGAAGCTAAGTCAAAAAAAAAAAAAAAAAAAAAAAAAACCCCAATAGGCAAACTCACTCCTCAAGGCGAAAAGCTCAATGATTTTGCCTTCCACTCACACCAGTTTCGGATGTCAATTTGACGCTGTTAAGCCTCAATGCCTGTTATTCATAACCCCAGCCATTCCATGACCCTCTCCGCTGTGGCACAATAAATGCAAACGCACAACTGAGCAAGCAGAATCACTGATGTAGCCGCCTTCGCCAATTCTCCTCACAATGACCAACCGCCCAAAAACGGTCCCCACTCCGCCTTTAAATGGAATCCCGGTTAGGAAGATGCCTACTTATTTGAGAATTTTTCTTGTGTAGCTACAATTCAGGTTGATAAAAAAAATTGATCAGATATAGAGAGCAACTGGCTAAATACAACAGAAAAGAATAGGGCCCTCAATTAATGCAATTGGGCTGAAATCAAGGCTGATGCCTCCAATGCGCATACTCTGTATGGGCCTCCTGATCCCCAGGCGCTGCCATTAATCTGCCGGGTAACTTTTTGAGACTGAAATTTACGCGTACGGCTGGTGCTTTACTATGAGGAAAATTTTTTTTTCTCAGATGGGCCTCGTGCGAACACCTCTGGATTGAAAAAAGAAGTTTTCTCTTCTTCTTCCTTCTTGGTTATCAAGTTTACACCAACAACAAGTTCAATATGGGTATGTCTTACAGCAAGAAGGGTTTTAGGTGCTGAGCTTTGACAAATTGGTTCGATTTCCACCATTTTTTAGCTCTAATCCGGGCACGATAAGAAGGCCTCAGATTCTTATCTCAGCTCACCTAAAACAGCCAATCAGCTCCAATTGGGACCATTTACTAACTATGTAGTTGCTTTCACTATTGACCAAATCCGTGGCTTGATGGACAAGGTTCCCAATGTGCGTAACATTTCCGTCATTGCCCACGTCGATCACGGTAAGTCTACTTTGACTGACTCCTTGGTCCAGAAGGCTGGTATCATCTCTGCCGCCAAGGCTGGTGACGCCAGATTTATGGACACCAGAAAGGATGAGCAGGAGAGAGGTATCACTATTAAGTCTACCGCTATCTCCTTGTACGCTTCCCTTACCGAAGAGGACTGTAAGGAGATCAACCAGAAGACCGACGGTACCTCTTTCTTGATTAACTTGATCGACTCCCCAGGTCACGTTGACTTCTCCTCTGAGGTCACTGCTGCTTTGAGAGTCACTGACGGTGCTTTGGTCGTTGTGGACTGTGTTGAGGGTGTCTGTGTTCAGACCGAGACTGTCTTGAGACAGGCTTTGGCTGAGAGAATCAAGCCCGTTGTCATCATCAACAAGGTTGACAGAGCTTTGTTGGAGTTGCAGACCTCCAAGGAGGACCTTTACCAGTCTTTCTCCAGAACTATTGAGTCCGTTAACGTCATCATCTCTACTTACGCTGAGAAGTCCGTCGGTGACGTTCAGGTCGCCCCAGAGAAGGGTACCGTTGCTTTCGGTTCCGGTTTGCACGGTTGGGCCTTCACTGTTAGACAGTTCGCTAACAGATACTCCAAGAAGTTCGGTGTCGACAGACAGAAGATGATGGAGAGATTGTGGGGTGACTCTTTCTTCAACCCTAAGACCAAGAAGTGGACCAACAAGGACAAGGACGCCGACGGAAAGCAGTTGGAGAGAGCTTTCAACATGTTCGTTTTGGACCCAATCTTTAGATTGTTCTCTTCTATCATGAACTTCAAGAAGGACGAGATCCCAACCTTGTTGGAGAAGTTGGAGATCAACTTGAAGAGTGACGAGAAGGAGTTGGAGGGTAAGGCTTTGTTGAAGGTCGTTATGAGAAAGTTCTTGCCAGCTGCTGACGCTATGTTGGAGATGATTGTCATCAACTTGCCATCTCCAGTCACCGCCCAGGCTTACAGAGCTGAGACCTTGTACGAGGGTCCATCCGACGATGAGCACTGCCAGGCTATCAGAAACTGTGACCCTAAGGGTGAGTTGATGGTCTACGTTTCCAAGATGGTTCCAACCTCCGATAAGGGTAGATTCTACGCTTTCGGTCGTGTCTTTGCTGGTACTGTCAAGTCCGGTCAGAAGATTAGAATCCAGGGTCCAAACTACCAGGTTGGTAAGAAGGACGACTTGTTCTTGAAGGCTATCCAGAGAACCGTCTTGATGATGGGTGGTAAGGTCGAGCAGATTGACGACTGTCCAGCTGGTAACATTGTCGGTTTGGTTGGTATTGACCAGTTCTTGTTGAAGTCTGGTACTCTTACCACCTCCGAGACTGCTCACAACATGAAGGTCATGAAGTTCTCTGTCTCTCCTGTCGTGCAGGTTGCCGTCGAGGTCAAGAACGCCAACGACTTGCCTAAGTTGGTTGAGGGTTTGAAGAGATTGTCTAAGTCCGACCCATGTGTTTTGACTTCTATTAACGAGTCCGGTGAGCACATTGTCGCTGCCACCGGTGAGTTGCACTTGGAGATTTGCTTGAACGATTTGCAGAACGACCACGCCGGTATCCCATTGAAGATCTCTCCACCTGTTGTTTCTTACAGAGAGACTGTCCAGGCCGAGTCCTCCATGGTTGCCTTGTCTAAGTCTCCTAACAAGCATAACAGAATCTACGTCAAGGCCGAGCCAATTGACGAAGAGACCTCTTTGGACATTGAGAACGGTGTCATCAACCCAAGAGATGACTTCAAGGCCAGAGCCAGAATCTTGGCTGACAACCACGGTTGGGATGTCGCTGACGCCAGAAAGATCTGGTGTTTCGGTCCTGACGGTAACGGTCCTAACTTGGTTGTTGACCAGACTAAGGCCGTTCAGTACTTGAACGAAATCAAGGACTCCGTCGTTGCTGCCTTCCAGTGGGCTACTAAGGAGGGTCCTATCTTCGGTGAGAACGTTAGATCCGTCAGAGTTAACATCTTGGATGTTACCTTGCACGCTGATGCTATCCACAGAGGTGGTGGCCAGATCATTCCAACCATGAGAAGAGCCACTTATGCCTCCATGTTGTTGGCTGAGCCAGGTATCCAGGAGCCAGTGTTCTTGGTTGAGATCCAGTGTCCTGAGAATGCCATTGGTGGTATCTACTCTGTGTTGAACAAGAAGAGAGGTCAGGTTGTCTCTGAGGAGCAGAGACCAGGTACTCCATTGTTCACCATCAAGGCTTACTTGCCTGTCAACGAGTCTTTCGGTTTCTCCGGTGAGTTGAGACAGGCTACCGGTGGTCAGGCTTTCCCACAGTTGATCTTCGATCACTGGGCTATTTTGAACGGTGACCCAACTGACCCAACCACCAAGCCAGGTCTGATTGTCAAGACCAAGAGAGAGCGTGCTGGTCTCAAGCCTGAGGTCCCAGGCTACGAGGAGTACTACGACAAGTTGTAAGCTACCTCGCGGTATCGTCCGATTATTGTTCATATAATTTAACATCGTTGCTCTGAAAAAGTCATTGTAAGAAGACCGGCTCTTTTGCTGCCGAGAGGTGCGTCGCAGCCTCCGCGCGCGCCGAATGCGGCTGCGTAACAAAGCCAAGAGATCCCATCTAAAATATATTACGTGCATATAAGGCGGCTTTCGTTTATACTCGGGTGGTCAGAGCTTTTTCGCAACCTCCCGAATGTTCCGGATAAACCGTTTTTATGTCGTGTAAAGTTTGATAACTCATGACCGGAAGTAGGTCTAATTGCTGTAAACGCAATTAAGATACAGTGACTAAAACAGGGGCACGTTACTCGTAGAAACGGAAGAACCGGAACTTGAATCGGACGCATCGAGAACACTTGCAGCCTCTAGCAATAGAGGGGACGGCTTGTCCGGAGGCGAACAATAGAGTCACTAGGGTGGGGCGGCTTAAATACGGGGAAATTCGCTGCCTTTTTCCATCGTTTTATTTTTCTACCAGGGTCCTGATTACTTTCCTAAAAACCGTTTGACTCTCACACTTTCTGAATCTGGAACACTAAAGGTGCATAACCCTCATCGAGCGTCGTATATAAGTCGTTGCGCTGCTTACAAACTCACGTCTATCAGATTTTTTTTTTTTCCACACAAATTAACGACTCAATGTATTTAGAACTAAGAGGACTCCATGGTTTGCTCCTCTGTGCTGCTGGAGTGTCATGCTTAATAACAGCATTGGCCTACAGGCGGCTCAAGCTCAAACATTTCGAGATTAAACGGCCGCTCCTTAGAGTTATGGCAGCTTGCACTGCTTATATTATCGCATGTGTTGTTACACCACACGGGCGCCTAATACCCATTCCAAGCATCGACTTCAATGAAACTCCAGTCGATCTGATAGAGTCCATCATGAGGATTTCTGCTTTGCATAACAGCGCTGTCAGCATGGTGGTGTGTGCAGCTGGCCTCGCCATCTACTACTCATCAGGCCCTGTAACAGAGAAGTGTATCATGAAGATGGACGAAGTGCTTATGAAGGATGATGAAAAGGGAGCACGGATGTTGCGCCTGAAGGAACGTTTGCAGGGCAAGAGTTTTCTCACCTTCATCATCATCCTCACCAGCTTTGTGGCGTTTTGGCCAACCAATTGGCTTCTCTCATTCACATACACCATAGCTAAGTATGACGAGATTGAGCTTACCACCGACCATTTGTATTGGGCTGTTCTCACATTCGCGTTAGCCAAGACAATTTCGGCGCTCATCCGCTACTTGTCTCACCCCACAAAACTGTTTTCCAACGGAGTGCACCTATGGATACATCTCTGCTGGTTTTACGGCACCACGTTGGCAGCAGGTGCAGCAGTTTTCTGGGCCGTCGCCCAAGATGTGTTATTGGTTTACATGTACAAGGCTGCAATGCTCATCCAACACCAACAGGGTCCCGACATCATCTTGGTGGACGGCGTTCCCAAACACTTCAACGTCTTTACTGGTCCAATGGCCGACTTTTTGCTTGAAGGCGTTTTTTCACACAAACGCGGCTCTGCGCTTACTTTCCTCCTTCACGAACAGTTAAAGCTCTACGAGAAGGTCATTGACGATTCTCTTTGGATCGTCTTGCTCTGGGTCGCCGTTTTGTTCCCATTCTGCAAAGGTGTCGCTGTCTACTTCACCTTGCGCGGGAAGAACACGGAGTAATTTACTGTGTCACGGTTCACGATATATAGCATGCATAGACAACAGGAATTGCAAAAGGAATTTGTATTGTTATCTCCAATCGTCCAAGGGAAGACGAGCCGATGGCGGGAGCATTCCCTTCCGCAGTTGCGATAGCCCCTCTTACATTGAGAAATCCGTAAATTCTTTATCTTTGATTCGCTCATTTTTCCAGTTGATGGATATCCATCGAGGATTCCGTTACCAGATAAGCACAAATAGTGCGCACGCTTATCGCGATAAGATGCCCAATGCGGCAGGATTATCCTGACTTGAGGGAGGATAAATATGTGGGGACGCCTTGTAATTGTCCCCAATTCATTAATTAATTAGCTTTCAACTCGCCATGGAAAGGTTACAACAACTTTCTTTGCACGCTACTGCTAGCACCCAGCCACCAGTGGCACCTCCACACCCTTTGGACCCTCTCACAACGCAGGAGATCAAAGCTACTTCTCTGGTGGTTCGCAGCCATTACAAGGGTCAGACTTTGGTTTTCAACACGGTTTCTCTTAGAGAGCCAATCAAAAGAGCTTACTATGATTGGAAAGAAAGAAACGGTCCTAAGCCTCCCAGATTGGCCTACTTTGTTGTCACCGAGAACGATCATGTTGGCGTTCACGAGGGTGTGGTAGACTTGCCTTCGTTGACAGTGGTCGAATCGAAGGCTACTTCTGGTGTTCAGCCAATTTTGACTCCTTCTGACCTCCAAAACACCGAGGATATCGTCAGAAGCGACCCTCGTGTGGTTGAACAGTGCGAGATCTCCGGTATTCCAAAGGAAGAAATGAAGAACGTTTACTGTGATGCTTGGACCATTGGGTACGACGAGAGATGGGGCTCCTCTAAAAGACTTCAGCAGGCTTTGATGTACTGGAGATCTGACGAGGATGACTCTCACTACTCTCACCCATTGGATTTCTGTCCCATTGTGGATATGACGGAGGGTAAGGTGGTCTACATAGATGTACCAGGCAGAAGAAGAAAAGTATCCAAACACAAACACTCTTCTTTCCACCCCAAGCACATATCAGAGAAGTTTGGAACCTCAGAGAACCCATCTGGTTTCAGAGACGATGCCAAACCTATCAATATTACCCAGCCTGAGGGTGTCTCGTTTGCAATGAAGGGTAACGTTATGAACTGGTCAAACTTCAATTTCCACATTGGTTTCAACTACAGAGAAGGAATCGTTCTCTCTGATATGAACTACAATGATCACGGTAATGACAGACCTCTTTTCCACAGAATTTCCTTGTCTGAAATGATTGTCCCTTATGGGTGTCCCGATTTCCCTCATCAGAGAAAGCACGCCTTGGATATTGGTGAGTACGGTGCCGGTAACTGTACCAACCCTCTTGCGCTTGGTTGTGACTGTAAAGGTGTGATCCACTACATGGACGCTCATTTCACTGACAAGGATGGAGAACCTTTAACCATCAAGAACGCTGTTTGCATCCACGAGGAGGATGACGGTATCTTGTTCAAGCACTCTGACTTCAGAGATGATTTCCAAACTACTGTGGTTACCAGAGGCAAACGTTTGATTATCTCCCAGATTTTTACTGCTGCCAATTACGAGTACTGCTTATACTGGATCCTCAGACAAGATGGTACCATCAAACTCGAGATCAGATTGACTGGTATTCTCAACACTTACATTTGTGCTGAGGATGAGGACATTGGACCATGGGGAACTGTCGTGTACCCACAGGTTAATGCCCATAACCACCAGCACATCTTTTCTTTGAGATTGGACCCACGTATTGATGGTGACAACAACTCTGCTGCCACATCTGACTCAATTTCTGGCCCAGGTGCTACTGGATCACCCGAAAATGCCTACGGAAATGCCTTTTGTGCCGAAAAAACCACCTTCAAGACCGTCAGTGACTCTCTTACCCAGCCATCCACAGCCAGAACCTGGGATATCTTCAACCCTTCAAAGATCAACCCATACTCCGGGAAGCCATCTTCTTACAAGTTGGTGTCTACATTTACTCCTCCACTCTTGGCTAAGGACGGCTCACTTGTGAAAAAGAGAGCTCCTTGGGCTGCTTGGGCCACACAGGTTGTTCCATACAAGGATGAAGGCGTTGGATACGGTCGTTTGTACCCATCTGGTGACCACGTTGCCCAGTGGTCTGGCGATGGCGCTAGAGGTATGAGAGGATGGATTGGCGACGGAAAAGACCAGATTGAAAACACGGACATCCTTTTCTTCCACACATTTGGCATTACTCATTTCCCTGCCCCTGAGGATTTCCCTGTCATGCCCACGGAAATTTTTGACCTCATGTTGCGTCCAAGGCATTTCTTTACCGAGAACCCATGTCTTGACGTGAAACCATCATACGCCAGAACCACAAAGGAGGTTAAAGCTGGAGACAAAGGTGTCGACGAATGTACCCTTGATGTCGACAAGACATCTCAATTGGCATTTACAAAAACCTCTGGCTCCTGTTGCAAGAAATAATCAACTCAAATTTCGAGATATAATATAGTCCATTAATATGAAAATCATAGTGTCTTATCTTATCTATAGTAGTCCAATGCTCATCGCGAAATTCAACTCCAACTACCAACCATGAAGTACATCATCGAGCATATGGAGGAGGGGTTCTCTGAATGGGTCATTCTTGAGTATTCCCAAATTCTACGTGATGTTGGTTCTGAAAATCTCGTGTTGACGTCTTTGCCCGAATCCACGACCGAGAAAGACATCCCCCAACGTCTTCTCGATTTGGGTTTACAATGGACAACCAAGGAGTGTGTGACCATCGATGGTGGTTTGCATAGCTCTAAAGTTTGCTTGCTTGACCCAGCCGCTGAGACTGATTTGGTTCCAGAGGACGCCTCCAAATTTGACTACTTTGTTTTTGGTGGCATCTTGGGATCGCACCCTAGAATTGACAGAACAGGTTTGCTCAGAGACAAGTACGGCTTCAATGGTCGCCGACTCGGTGCTTTGCAGATGACAACCGATACTGCCATTAGAACCACTCAGCTCATTGCCGAGAAACAGAGGAAGTTCGGTGACATCAACTTCATTGATTACCCCGAGATCAAGTTCAGCCAGTATGAGTCGACGGAAATGCCGTTCAGATATATCGTTGACGAAAATGGGGAACCAATTCTACCAGAGGGAATGCTTGAGTTGATCAAGCATGATGCCGAACAAAGCATTGACGACCTTTTATTGGAATAGACCGGAAAATAAATAAACTTCTATTTGTATACTTTGACTTTCTTAGCCTCAACAGATTTCTGCAGTGAACTAAGAATCTCTTTCATGACAAAACCAGCAGTGTCCTGGTCTTCGAAATATGATACATGTGCACTAATAGCTGAAATTAGCGCTATGCTGAAAACGCCAGTCGGTAACGAATAGTCAACCCTACCCGAACGATTGAGTTCTGTCAAAACTTTAATATCGTTATCAGAAAGGTAGGAATCCTTGAGCTCGTCTTTCAGATCTTCACCCAGGCCACTGGACAATGGGCTTGCCAATGTTGTGATGATATCTCCCAAAGCATTCTCTTCGGATACATTTTCCTTTATCATCTTGTTAATCTTACCACCCTTCTTTGATCCGAACCAGTTCGAAAAGATCTTTTGTTGCACCTCATCACCAAATGTGGTTAAGCTCTTCACCTGGGTGTTGAAACCCTTTAAAGCGAATGGCACCTCTTCCGGCTTCATTTGCGAGAAGGAGGGTTTTATAAGTGGCTCCATTCTATAACTGACCGGATCACATGGATGAAAAATATTGTACAAGTTCAGACACATCGGAGAAGATACCTTCAGGTCTGCATCAAATGGATTATAGTCCTTTTCAAGGCTGGCTCTTGAGACAATATTTCTTCTTTGAAGCAACTTGAAGGCCCCAACTGGAGATCCAACACAAAAAAGATTCTCAACATCGAAGTCAAGCTTAAGTTTGTGGTCTCCCGCAATTTGCATTGAAAGCAAGTCGTAAGCAATTGCTGAACCCAACGAGTGACCTAATATATGAATCTTGCCATCAAAATGAGGGTTTCTCTCCTTGTACAACCGATAGATTCTGTTGAGCTCCTCAACAACAATTTCGAGAATCTGGTGCATGAACTTTGGTTCATAGTATAGCAACACATCAAGGATGACATCACCAACAATGTTCCTCAAGGGCTTCACACCTTCAACATTAATGTCGGCCAAGCTTGGAAGCCTTTTGTCCCCAAGGTTGCCAAGATCGTCAATTCTTTTACTAGGATGAAACAATACCTTATGCCTCCAAGTCACAGGCAAAGTTTGGATTCTATTATTGGTCTTGTGCTCCTCATTTTTGGGATCAAAAGAATCTCCAATGGCGAGCTTTTGATATTTCTCCTCATTTTGAAAGACGTCTCTCATGGTTGATCGCAAGACATTTATGCTATGAGTGAAGTTGACAGATTCGTATTTGTATCCGAGAATTTGACCGATTCCATGAACACAAAGCACAAGATGGTCAATTTCCCTATGATTGGTTTTGGTGCCTTTGAGCTCTTCAAAGTCTGATTCCATTACTGACTGGAGCATCTCGTCCTTGTCCTTTTTGCTCGATTCGGACAAGACTTTTTCGTGTTCCTTCAGCGGCGAAAACAAGTTGGAAAACTCTGTCAGAAAGATGTCTGTCAAAGAGGGCACCGGTGCTTTTTTAATACTGTCCATTATCGAGGCAGCAAGGTCCTCCGAGTAGCCCCTCTGAACTGGCGTCACGTTCATAAGAGTACCAGACTTATTGCCCATCTTTCTAAGGATACCCAACTGGACAGGACTGATGGTCGACGGAAACAAAGCAGCTTGGTTATTGTCAAAATATACAACAGCTTGGCCATCACCCAAATCGACAATATCTCTTTCCTCTGAAAAGTCGATTTTGTCTTGCTGTACTTCTTCTTTTATCTCTTTTATCTCCTTGTTGAAACTTGCGATAAGGTCCTTGGACTGTTTCTGAGATGTACCTTCTTGTTTAATATGTTCATAAGGACGACGAAGACAGTAAGCATCTTCAATCTTTTTGGCCAACTCGGACGGAAGAGGCATTCCATCGTGGTCAAACCAAAGGCCTCTTCTAACCTCGTACGTGGGACCTTCCCAGTAGACTGGGGAAAGAACCATGGACTTCAAGTCAACCTCATAAAGGTGATCCTCCTTGACTTCAACAGTATCTAAATTTTGCAGGTAGGCATTTTCTAAATTCTTCTCGTCGAGTTCGGTGAACGGAATAAACTTTGTCGGTTTCTTATCTTGCTCGTATTCAAACCAAGCGGGTTTGGTGATCGGTGCGTCAGAACAAAAAAACCAACGAGGCCTGGTATCTGTTTTCTTGGAATACTGTCTTGTGACTTTTATGCGAAAGAAGGGACGAAGAGCGATGATCAGAGCTCGGCCAAAACTCATCACTTGTCTTCTAGAAAGGGCATGTTGCTGTGTTGCTGCGAACACCCATAAGACGCACCGCACAAGCCGCTCTGGCTGTCAAAGCCTATTTTATTGGACACTGCTCTTTCACGACCAATCTACAAAATGTTTCAAAGAATGAGGCAGAATGACTAAATGAAATGGTATTTCACCTATTTATCATTTCAATTGATGCATCATAAATGGGGCACTTTTGCCAATGGGACCACCACGGCACGGTCGACGCCATTCAACTACTTACCTTCTCGGATCTCGTCCCACCTGCTTTTAGGCTTAGAGCTTGCTGCATTCTTCTGCTCGAGCGAGGGAAACAGATCATTTTCCAGATCCGCTTGATCACTTTCCAGTGCGGTTGCGTTTGGAAAGTTGATTTCTCTCAAGTGTTGCCATTCAGAGGTGTCTTTTTCCTCTTTCTGCTTGGACTTTCCTAAACCGATGGGCTCACTGTTGGGCCGATAGTATGGCCTGTGAATGTCCTCTTCCGTGAGGGTACGTGGATCCTTCATCTTGAAAGCAGGATCTCGGCTTGTGATCTCGTAGTATTGCCCCAAAACATACTTTGAGGCCAAGGAATAGCATTCCAAACATTGAGTAATCTTCTTGATCTCCCAGCTTCGCCGCTTCCCTCGTTAGCCTCCTTTGACAAGCTTCTTCTCTTGATCTTGAACAGGGCATACACACCGACTGTAAGAGCAAGTTGAAACCCGATTACGCCCAATCCCAAGGAAAGAAGTGGTGATTTCATCAATGGTGCTCTTATCGGCATGTGTGGTGGCAATCTACCAGTGGGACCAATCCTACGTCTCACAAGACGATCTAGAATAGTTGGACCTGCTAACATTCCCATTGAGACAGCGAAAGCTCCACTTGTCGTGAAACTATTGATATTGAATAACTCTTTTGCTAGCAGCTCTCGTTCGCTTTGCAGCAAGACATGATCGGCTTCCCAGAACTTGATAGCCATCGGCATATCGCGTTGCATAATGATATTTAGACGCTTGTCATGAATCTGTGCTTGTTCTTGGTCTGTCGAATTGCTCTCCATCTCGTTCAATAGTGATGTTAATTTGAAGCCGAATAAACCGTGTAGAAGCAATCCAAGATTTGCTTCGAGATCTTACCATATCCGCATACACAGGAGCGTCTTACAGCCATTCTACCGATCGATTACGCTTCTTGTCCTTCAATATATTGCAGAGCTCTACCTAATAAGTTAAACCAACTTGTTGTCAACCCTGAACTCCTCCTTCAATCTGAGCAACTGCTTGACAACCTCGTCAAATTTCACTGTAGCATTCTTACCTTGCTCTTCCTGAATATCTCTGTTTCTGACATTCACACTCTCCTCAGCCTGCTCCTGCTCACCAACGATGAAAATGAAGTTATACTTCAATAATTGACCACTTCTAACCTTCTTCTGCAATGTGTTACCAGAAAGGTCCACATCCGCGTAGAATCCATGCTGCTTCACCAACCTCTCCTTCAAGGACTCGGCGTAGTCAAAGTATTTCACACCCACTGGAACAACCAAAACCTGTCTAGGAGACAACCAGAACGGCCATCTACCCTTGAAATGCTCGGTCAAAATAGCGGTCATTCTCTCGACGGAACCCAAAATGGCTCTGTGAATCATGACTGGTCTAGCAGTAGTCTTCTCCTTGTCGTTAGAGTCAGCCTTGTACTCCAAGTCAAAACGCTGAGGCATTTGGAAATCCAACTGAATGGTGGCACACTGGAACCATCTTCTCAATGCATCACTGATCTTGATATCAATCTTAGGGCCATAGAAGGCACCGTCGGCAGGGTTCAACTCCCAGTTGCCCTCACCCATAAATTTGTTCAATGCGTTTTCTAAGTTCTTCTCGGCAGCATTCCAGGTCTCCAACTCACCAACGTATTTTTCAGGTCTGGTAGACAATTCCATCTTGAACTCGAAGCCAAAGATACCGTAGATCTTTTGCAAAAAGTCGAAGACACCAGCAATTTCCTGCTCGATTTGGTCTTGTTGACAGAAGATGTGAGCGTCATCCTGTTGGAATCTACGAACTCTGGTCAAACCCGAAAGGGCACCAGAGAATTCGTTTCTGTGAATGACACCAAAGTCGGCAACACGCCATGGCAATTCTCTGTAAGATCTCTCTCTGCTCTTGAAAATGACACAATGACCAGGACAGTTCATAGGTTTCAAACCGAAGGTTTCCTTCTCCACCTCGAAAGAAAACATGTTCTCCTTATAGTTACCCCAGTGTCCAGAAATCTCCCACAACTTGGTGTTGTACATATTAGGGGTTATGACTTCCTCGTAGCCTCTTTGTCTGTACTCATTTCTCAACATGTCGACAAGAGTATTGTAAATTCTGGTACCGTGTGGCAACCAGAACGCCGAACCAGGCGAGACTTCATTGAAGTAAAACAATTCCTGCTCTTTACCGATCTTTCTGTGATCTCTTTCACTTGCCTCTTTCAAGAACTTCAAGTGCTCGTCCATCAACTTTTTGTCTGGAAAAGAGATACCGTAGACTCTCTGCAAAGAGTCATTGGCAGCATCTCCCAAGAAGTAGGAAGAAGAGTTCTTCAAGACTTTGAAAGCCTTAATCTTACCGGTGTGCAAGATGTGAGGACCTCTACACAAGTCGATCAAAGGTCCACATCTGTAAACGGTAGTAGATGTTCCATCTGGAACCTTGTCGCTGATGAACTTGACCTTATACTTGTTGTAAGCAAACATCTTCAACAATTCCTCCTTAGTCATTTCTAGTCTGACGAACTTCTGCTTTTCCTTAATGACCTTTGTGGAGACCTTTTCAATGGTGCCAAAGTCTTCCTGGGAGACAACACCCTCACCGCTGTTGATAGACATGTCATAAAAGAAACCATCCTCTGTGGGTGGACCGTAGGACAAGTGGCAGCCGTAGTGGTTCTCGCAAGCCTCACCTAGAACGTGAGCAGACGAGTGCCAGAAGACCATCTTACCCTCGGGTGCTCAAAGTCCAAGAACTCAAGTTCAGCGTCGGCCTCAAGGGGTCTTTCCAAGTCCCAAAGCTCGCCATTAACCTTAGAGATCACCTGTCTTTCAAGGAAAGATTTGCCAATGCTGTTGGCGATTTCAAAAGGGCTGGTCTCGCAGGCAATTCCCTCTTTCACGGAACCATCCTTCAAAGTAATCTTGATTGGTTTTCTTTCACGAGCGGCAAATTCAGCATCTTGCTTAGCTTTAATCTCGTCGAAGATTTTCAACCTGTAGTCCAAGAACTCAGGTGGAGGGTCCAAGAACAAAGCCTTTTGCGGCTGTTTGTCCTTCTTCTTTTCCTTCTTATTCACCTGAGGTTGAGGCTTGGCCTTCTCTTCAACAGAAAGCTGGTTCACGCCGTTCACAACTTCAGCCATGCTATGTTATATTCAGGGTTGAGGATATCACTTCGTAGATTTCAAAAAAAATTTAACAGAAAAATGCGTGCACATATGGACGACCACTGCTACCAAATCGCGATTATTCTGGTCCCGATGAGTCGAACTGGCTTATCCTGGAAAATCTTTATAAAGTTTTCATTTTTTTAATCAACTTAACGCGTCTGGCAATTAGAGAACTCCGTTAAAGATAATAAAGATGTAGTACCGATTTACTTTAACCCCACGAGTGTTTTAAAGTGGCTGCAAAACGCTTCTGGGTCAAACTTGAGCATTTAGGCAAGATTCCATGATATCGACCATAGAGCCGAATTTCTTCATTTATGTCGCAAAACCTTTGGACCACTTTTGTAAGTTTCCTTCCTTTTTTCAATTCCCTTTCCATGTGGATTTATATTCTTTTAAACCCTTCATGAGTATTCATCAAACCCAATGCACTTAAGTAAAAATTATGTTCTGCTTCTTAGCCTCCGTCATATCACAACAACAGAGTATTCAAGAATGTGAACCCACCAGAACTGCATTACTTCTCTTACCTACAACGCATATGATCCTTTTCTTTACCTTCAATATTTACATGATAAAAACCCACAGATTAAAAAGTCTTGGGGGCTAACGTGGCGATCTTGTTGAACTGCAAGTCCTTCAACTCCTTAGCCACGACGGAAGAAATTCTGGTTCCCAAAGGCTCACCATTCTGGTTGATCAAGACACAGGCGTTGTCATCGAAACGGACGACAGATCCATCTGGTCTTCTGTATGGAGCTTTAGTCCTGACAATAACTGCTCGGCATATGTCTCTTCTCTTGACTCTATTACTCGATGACTGGCCAGTGATGGCTGATGAAAGGGGTCTGGCTTCTTTCACAACGACGGTGATCTTGTCCCCGACCTTGCCAAAATTTCTTGGACCATGACGAAGGACCTTGATACACTCCACAACCTGGGCACCAGAGTTGTCAATAACGTTCAAGAGTGTCTTCAAATAGATCATTCCTGAGGAGTGGGACAATTCGGTATCGTGAGATTTTCACACAACTTTTGTGCACCGGCGTGCGAACCTCATCTGATCACTAACATCACGAGAGAGTATAAGTATAGGAAGGAATGCCGACCTGACCTAACGAAAGCCAATGCATAAACCAAACCGCCTTTTTAAAAATCCTGCTCGATGTCTAGGAACTATCACGAACTGGTATGAATCAAAAGTCGTGATGGACAGAAAGTCGAAGTTTCAGGCTCGTCATGCTACGTTGAACCATCCTGATGAGATTCCTGGCATTCTACAGCAATTTCTTCAGCAACACCGGAAGATTTCGAAAACCTCGAGCCATCCCCACATCATTGCCTGGAGAACGGGCGATCTAATAGAAGTTGTACCTGGAAAAGGCCGAAAGAACAGTACTGATGTGAAGTATAGCAATGTTCAACAAGGATTTAACGATAATGGAGAGAAAGGGGCAGGCTCAAAACTTCTAGAACATCTCGTGCAACATAATGTTATCAACAAATTGATCATAGTCACAAGGTGGTACGGCGGGTGCCCTATAGGATCGCTGAGATTTCGCCATATAACAAACACAAGCTTTGATAGCTTGCGAAGAGCCAACGAAGCCTAGTTACTTGGTGACATGGAATAGCAGTTCATTTTCGATAATCTTAACAACTGGAGGCTTTTTCAGTACTAATGGTTTAACATCTGTATATTTGGCATCCAAAAGCTTAATGAAGCACTCAATCAGTAATACCCCGGGAGAGCATCAAGCGCTACTGCGCGTATATCCATGCACACTTGCATTATTTTTGAGTCATTGACTGCCCCAATGTACATGGTGGCGGCATGAGATTAGCGTTTGTATAAAAAATACGAAATTTTGAAGGCCTCAATTCTCGTAGACTTTCTTATTAGCATTGCTCCCTTCCTGATATTTTGTACCAGTATGCTATCAAGATAGCGACTACGTACAGTACAATCAATATGTGTGCGTTTCTGTGCGTGCAAGAATATTTAATTTTTCAGATACCCGTCCCACCCGAACGTCGCTGAACATGATCAGAAGTAGCTTGTCGCTAGCCAAGCGCACTTCTGTTGCCAGATGTGCTTCTTTACTACCTAGGAATGTCATCTCCCCAGTTCGTTTCTACGCAGCCAACAAGAGTGTCCCGCTTACAGCAGAGACTTATAAGGACAAGGTTCTGAGAGATCCTCGCTACAAGAGCTTGGAAGAAAGCGATCTTAGTTTTTTTCGCCAGGTTTTGGAAAACGATAACTATGTTGTCACTACAGCGGAAGACCTCGAGTTCTTCAATGAAGACTGGATGAGAAAGTACAAGGGCCAGTCTAAGTTGGTGTTGAAGCCAAAGACCACTGAGCAGGTTGCAAGTATCTTGAAGTACTGTAACGAGAAGAAGCTTGCTATCGTTCCTCAGGGTGGTAACACTGGTTTGGTCGGTGGATCTAACCCTGTTTTCGACGAGATTATCATCTCTCTTGCTAACATGAACAAGGTCAGATCCTTCGATAATGTCAGTGGTATTTTGAAGTGTGACGCTGGTGTTATTTTGGAAAATGCAGACAATTTCCTTGCTGAGAATGGCTACATTTTCCCTCTTGACTTGGGCGCCAAAGGCTCCTGTCATGTTGGTGGTGTGGTTGCAACCAACGCTGGTGGTCTCAGATTGTTGAGATACGGCTCCTTGCATGGATCTGTACTTGGCTTGGAGGCTGTTTTGCCCGATGGAACTATTTACAGCTCCATGGATGCTTTGAGGAAGGATAACACCGGCTATGACTTGAAGCAATTATTTATTGGTTCAGAAGGTACCTTGGGTGTCATCACCGGTGTGTCTATCTTGTGTCCTGCTAGACCAACTGCTACAAATGTTGCTTTTCTTGCTGTCTCGTCTTATGAGGCTGTTCAGAAGGTGTTTGTTGGTGCTCGTAGGGAGTTGTCCGAGATTCTCTCTGCCTTTGAATTCATGGATGGAAAGTCTCAGCTCTTAACCGCTCGTTATTTGAGCGCTGATCACCCTATTGAATCTGGCGAGTACCCCTTCTATGTCTTGATCGAGACCAGCGGCTCCAACAGAGATCATGACATGGAGAAGATCGAGACGTTCTTGGGAAATGCTATGGAGGAAGGCTTGGTTGATGATGGTATCATCGCACAAGATGAGACACAGCTTCGCAACTTGTGGTCTTGGAGGGAATCAATTCCTGAAGCCTCGGCCCATGCTGGTGGCGTTTATAAATACGATGTCTCTATTCCTTTGGCCAATCTCTACGGCTTGGTGGATGCAGCCTCCCAGAAGTTGAATGACGCTAAAATGGTGGATTTCGATGATGAGTCCAAGCCAGTTGTTGAAGCCATTGGCTATGGTCACTTGGGTGACGGTAATTTGCACTTGAACGTGTGCGTCAGGGAGTACAGCAAGGACGTGGAGAAGCAATTGGAGCCATTTGTGTATGAGTGGATCCAACAGAACAAGGGGTCCATTTCTGCTGAGCACGGCCTCGGCTTCCAAAAGAAGAACTACATTGGTTATTCCAAGAGTGATATCGAGATTAAAATGATCAAGGACGTGAAGAACCATTACGATCCAAACGGCATCCTCAACCCATATAAATATATCTAAGGTCGGCAAGCCATATAGTCATCGAACCAACGCGTTACAAGTTTTCATTTTTGATTAATGATCCTTCCTCGTAAAGCTTCTCGAGTCTCTCTTTGAAAAAGATGCCGCAATTGGCTCTCTTAATTTTGAAGGTTGGTGTGACAACACCATCTTCCACCTTCAAGGGATCAATGCCAATCTCTATGTTATGCAACTTTTCCAAGCCGTGCAATAATTTAGAAACCGAGCCATTCGCTTCTATCAAGAATTTCCTTTTAACTTCACGTTGGTTCAAAAGCTTAACCAATTTCGCCTGATCCTCGAGGTCCGCTGCCTTATACCCGAACCTTGAAGCCAACCAGGGCTTGATGGACACGGGATCAACTCCGACAATACCCACCAAGTAGGTCCTCAAAGAGTCGCCATGAGCAAAGAAAGCTGTAGTTAAGGGGTAACACGAGAGGTAGGTATTCTCAATCTTCTCGGGAGTGATGTACTCACCTTGAGCTAATTTGAAAAAATTCTTCACACGATCAATGATGTAGAGACGACCATTCTGAGGGTTGACGCGGGCAACATCACCAGTATGGAACCAGCCATCTGGATCCAAAGCCTTCTTAGTATCCTCTGGATTCTTGTAATACTCAGTAAAGATTTGAGGTCCTCTCAATAACAATTCACCGCGAGGACCAATGGAGTCATCAGCTGTGTAGCCCATCTCTGGGAGGTCTTTCAACCTCATTTCTGTCGTGATACAGATAGGGCCACATGAGCCTGGAGTCGCTTCGAATTGCAAAGAACTGCTTACACCAGCAAAGGATTCTGTCAATCCGTAACCTTGAGATACACCTGTGTTCAAGGCAGCCTTCAAGAACTTAACAGTCTCGGGGATATTGGAGCAGATCCAGTGGCAATGTTAGTGATGTTTTCGAAACCAATCTTCTTACGGAGAAGACCAATCAAACGGTCATACAACAAGTGGTGGCCAGCAGCCCCATCCTCTGCGGCTTGCCTCTCCATCTTTATGTTGATGGCGTTCGTGAACAAACGTTGCAACATAGGTTTCTCGTCATTTTTGATGGTCTGCGCTTTGAGGGCAGCCTCCAATTTTGTCAACACACGAGGCACCAAGCTCAATGCATTGGGCTTCAAGTGCATGACATCATCAAGAAGAGTTAATGGAGAAGGCGATTGAGGCATACCGATCTCGGCACCCACCATGAAGGAAGCTTGATTGCTCATTCTTTCAAAAATGTGAGCAAGTGGTAAAAAGCTGTAACTTCGTGGGTTTACCATTGAACTCTTCACGTTGGATAAGCAGAAAGTAAGGGCGGAGACCGCACTTCTGTTTGAAAGTACAACACCCTTGGGATTTGAGGTCGTACCCGAAGTGAACGAGATCGTATAAATTGTCGAAGGAGTGGGCCGAATGTCTGGACGTTTGTGAATCTTGCCAAGTTCCTCAATATCAGTAAACTGACTTAACTCGATGTTTTGACTGATGGCTTTTCTCTTGAGATCAAGCAATTCGTTTGGTTCGAGCGGGTCCATGGAGATAAGAGAAATCAAATTCTGCATGTCCTCTGGATGATCTTTCTTGATTTTGATCAATTTCTCAATCTTATCCTTCGAGCAGGTCACTACTGGCGATTCGGTTAAAGCCAAAATGTAGTGGGACGTGTCTGGACCCAAGGTATCATACAAACAAGTGTTCGTGATGGAGTAGTTGATACTGGCCAAATCAGCAATGAGCCACTCCTTTCTGTTGTGGGAGAATTGAGTGAGAATGAAACTCATCTCGTTAGCAGCTGCAAGCTCCTCATGCCTGTCTATCTTCTGGTGGGAGGGAGACAGTGTCTTGAAGGAATTGTTTTGCAATGAGTAAAGAAGGCCAGCACCAAAGTTCCGTTTTCTAGCAGAAACCTCTGCATATGTCTCCCATTCGTAAGGTCCATACAGCCCATCGCTGCGTTTGTGCCTAACGCCAATAGCCTTCCTATCGGCAAAAACAGAGGCGGAGCATTCAAACGTTTCATACAAAGTGGTCAAAGCGGGGTGCGGAACATTGATCAAACCATCAATCGCTGCCTTGTTACGGTAGATTGATGAGTAGCCCGGCTCTTTGGAATTTTCAAGGGCAACGGCGTCCTTGAACCGGTTCAGGTCCATCGGAACGCTGCCCTTGACTTGGTCCATCACCGTCTTCGGCGCAATTGGTAACAACAGATTCATGACAAACGTCGAACAATTGATAACGAGAAATAATTTGACGTATGCCTGGGGTGCTGCCTTTATATGTGGATCAACCTCGGTTCCGATGAGGGGTTCTGAGAATGGCAGTGAGATACGCAATGCGGACTCCCATGGTAACAATTGTAACCCCGCACAACTCATATCAATGGATTTAAAGAGCGAAGTCACACGCTTGTAGTTGCATATTTCCTAAATTATCTTAGTATTTCATGAATGGCGGAGATTATTGTGCGGACTTAGTTGAAACGATGCGCGGAATTGGCTGCAAACGCCTCGGTAGAAGGAAGCTTACGTATGTCTGAACGAAAATAGACGTTTATGGAACGCCTGTGCAACTTTTTGTATCTACCCGTGGACTGGAGTTAACCGGAGGTAATCTTACGTATGGCCCTTTGTGTGATACATTCGCAAAGCTCGGCTTGTTGTAACCGATTGCGCCGATCCGTCAAGACTACTTTTCTATCGCGCTATACTCCGGACGTGGTAGTTCAAAGCCCTCGGTGACACGGCCGTAAGATATACCGCCGAGTCTCGCAACCGGCTGCAACTTGCCTGTGTCCACAATATTCTGGTCCTCGTTGAGCAAATCCTCACGCACATGAATCTTCACACCCTCAACAATACACATCACCCCCGTAGCCAAGCCGTTTCGCTTCAGCTTCCATTCGTGACTGTGTACAAGTTTGGCCTCCACACTGAAAGCACTCTCGGCTACATGCGGTGGTTTCACCTCTGTACTCTCTGCCGGTGTCAAGCCACTGAGCTTCCACTCGTCAACACCATATGGCGAGTTAACCGCACAGAAATTGGCGGCCTCAATAAACCACTCGCTGATGATGTTGATAGTGAGCTCCTCTGTCTCAAGAATATTCTTGAGAGTATCTTTGGGCTTCTCTTTACCTCCGCTAAAACCCAAGGCGAAGATGGGAGGGTCGCTGTTCATCACATTAAAGTAGGAAAAGGGAGCGAGGTTACGCCCTCCCTCTTTACCCTCGGTCGAGATAAACCCAATGGGACGCGGTGTGATAGCGGATATAAACAATTTGTAGTTGTCCACAGGCGATCTTGTCTCGGAGTTTGGATCAATGGCAATCTTTTTGTGCTCACTCCACTCTTTTGAAGAAGCTCCCAGACCTTGCTTCCACTCTGGGGCATTCGTCTTGGTGATCCTCCATGGCTTTGGTTCGTGATCTGGTCTTGTAGCCTCCACCTGCTTGAAAGGTGGATGCTTCGAATTAGTGTTTTGTGTGACAGTCATTATGGAAGAAAAAGTGTGGAGTCAAATCGCATAGTAGGAGAACCGCAAAAGTCTCACAACTGGCTGCGCGGCCCGGGCACCCGGGGAGATCTACAAAAGCAAAGATGTCTACTACAAGGTAGATTTTGAAGTTAGAGTGACAGCTCGTAAAAGTTCATAAATCACATTCGTAAGTTCGCACCGGCTGAAAATCAACCAGATACTACTCCAGTATGGCTAAGAAGATCCTACTTATCAATGGCCCAAACTTGAACTTGCTTGGCTCCAGAGAGCCAGAAAAGTACGGCACAACTACATTGAAAGACATTGAGAACACAGCCAAGGATCAGGCCAGTCAACGCGGCGCAGAGGTACTTGCTTATCAAAGCAATACCGAGGGCCACATTGTCGACCGCATTCACCAAGCCGCCAAAGAAGGCGTTGACTTTGTCGTTATCAATGCTGGAGCTTATACCCATACTTCTGTTGCTATAAGAGACGCATTGCTAGGCATTGCCGTTCCTTTCATTGAGGTTCACATAACTAACGTGCATCGCCGAGAGCCTTTCAGACACCACCTGTACCTTTCTGATGTATCTGTCGCCGTCATCGCCGGCTTGGGTGCTTATGGATACACTGCTGCTATCCAGTATGCCCTCGATAACTAGACGCCAATGATAATATCAAACAGTCATTTCAACCGTAGAGTCCCTCTTCCATCGCCAGTGGAACTGGCTTATCACCATAGACACCAAGCCAGCTTGCAGGGGTTTCAAAGACAAGTGGTGGGAGATTCAACATCTCTACTATTTTTGCGGCTAGGGCCCTCGCGTCGAAGAAGTTGTCTCCCTCGTAGACGAAAGTCTCTAACACGACAAGGTTAGAGATCGATTTGATGCTCTTTTCAAGGGCTTTGGTATGATCTGAAAAATGCATTTCTGCTTCCGAGAGTGGTCTTGCAGAGTTCTTGTCAATCAGAAGAGACAGGAAGGATTCACTCAAGAGATCCTCGTTCGTGTGAATTTTAACCTCTCCTTGAGGAACGCCCTCGACCAAAGCGCTGTTCGCTGAGTCTAGCACAACGACATGTTGCGGGTTTGATGCCTCGATGAAGGGCACTATGACTTTAGATACATGCTTCTCGTTGAAGCCCGGGATAATTGGCGATCTTTGTTGAATCAACGTAACATGGTGATCAATGCTGTAGTAAGCTTCAATGGCAAAAGAAAGCCCAGCTGGTGGTTTGGTGGTAACAGCGTGATCAACTGGGGATGCAAATGGAAATAAGTATTCATCACTTAAAGTCGCCACTTTCTGGAAGTTGTAAGTGTGAAGCAAGAGGTCCGTGCTTAATTGAGGAATATTCCCCACTGAGATTGCGGGCACAATCAACACAGAGTCCTCTAATGCCGAAAGCAGAAAGCCGTCTTCAAGGATCATGGAGTAGTTAGTCTAAAGGTTACTTACAAGTCTCACTGTAGTAATAACGTCACGTGCAGAAATTACGACGAAACCTGGCAATGGATATAACGTTATAATACGAAGATGATTTTATCACAGATAATGGCTATTAATTCATTTACAACATTATAGAGCAATTGTGGTTCAGTGGAATTGAAGAATTTCGATCGCACTGACCATGATCTCTAGGTGTATCCAGCCACCATGAGAAAAAAGATCAATTACCAACCAGGGTAATTGATCAGATTAAAATTGGCCAAAAGGCCACCGTCTATCTTGTCACCAGGTGATGGTGCGTTCTGCCCGAGAGCAATCAGCGATAACAGAGCTGAGGGTGCACCAATGTTATCTACCTTGAACTCACGAAGATCATGAGTGGCAGCTTTCAAAAGCTGTGTTGGATTGAGGGTCTTAGCTGCGTCAAGCTGCATACCTGGCAGCGGTGGAAGCTGGTTTTGTAGCGAATTGAATGGTGGTAAAGGACCGGTCAGACGGGTCGGAACTGCCAATGCAGGGAGCTGTGTTCCCATGTCTGGTTCGTTTAATAGAGGAGATAATGGCATCATAGGCGCAGTGTTGCTCTTTGGAGCTTCACCAAGATACTCATCAACCATACCAGCCACGAACCTAGCCACGGCTGATTCTTTCTGCTCGTGTGTGAGGTTATGATTCTGCCATATGTTTGCTGAAACTAGCTTTGCAACCTCGGTACTCATTTTCTTGACAATCTTGTCTAAGTACTGTGGTGAATTGTTTTGAGAACCCAGATGCGGTCGGTTGGAGAGCGTGACGAACATGTCTGTAGACTGCTGTTCTTCGAGCTCTTTTTTAGACATTAAAAAGCCGTGTTCTACCGGATGATTATGCAAGTCATTGACTACCAGCAAAGACCAGGTTTGTGTTCGTAGCGAATGATTCCCACGGATTCTGAAGGGACAGTGGGCTGAGCCGTCTCGACATCTGAACACAATCTTGACATTGTCGGACCTCTCGATCACAACTTTTAGGTTTTGGCGGGCTAGTTGCTTGGAGAGCCACGGCTTGATTTCCGCTCGCCTCTTAAACGTTTTTGTGTGGTCAAACTCAAGAGGAACCTTGTACATGGGAGGTAATGGCTACACTAGGTGCACTCATGCGAACATGGGTTTCAGTACCAGATATCTACACTGTGATCAAGCTTCGACGTATATGTACAGGTTGATGGTAATTAGATGCTAGCAAGTTAGCTGCCAAGTCTACTCCAAGACGATCTTGGCACCTAATCCCTCCAAGGTGGCCTTAATCTTTTCAGCGTCTTCCTTAGCGACGTTGTCCTTCAACACCTTAGGAGCAGCCTCGACAAACTTCTTGGACTCAACCAAGGACAATCCCAACAAGCCCTTGACCTCCTTGATGATCTTTGGTTTGGCCTTAGCGTCAAACTCTTGCAACTTGATGGCGAAAATGGTCTTCTCCTCAACCACCTCCTTGACCTCCTCCTCAACAGGGGCGGCTGGAGCTGCTGGAGCTGCACCAGCAGTAGGGAGAGCAATGTCGGAGATATTCAATCTAGTCTTAAGCTCAGAAACCAAGGTGGAGGTTTCCAACAAGGTCAATGTGGAGATCTGGTCGACAATGGCGGATATCTTGGGGTCGACTGGGGCGCTCTCAGCAGCTGCCGAGTTGAAGCGCACGGCCTGACGGAACGAGCTTCTTGTAAGAAGTCTAGATGCTGGTCTGAGAGATTGGCGCAACATTATTTGACTCGTGAGTTCACACACTGATTTCGAAAATTTTTTCTATAGGTTTTCTCAATTACGTGGGTGCACGGGTGCGCCAAAGGTATAGAGGTGGACTGTAGGATATCAACGTGTTAAAATCTACTCTAATCTCTTCTCAAGATTATAGCTTAAGCAATTTTCAAAACCCTCCTATATAAACTTTGGCTGCTACGCAAATGAAGACTTCTCTTCTTTGCATCTTAATCAAGCGGAGCCCACACTCGGCTTAAGATCTACCTTTCGAAGAAGAGCAAGTTGAATTCAAGCGGCTTAAGAAATGATGATCCATAGAAATCTTCTTCTGATGAAATCTATACTAGATACATCGAGACATGAATATACTTGTCGAAATGTATGAGTAGTGCGATGCTCAATATTCAACTACTCGCTAGGAACATGCAACAAAACCTGTAGGTATTGTCAGGGTACGATCATGGCTTCCTTCCGCTTCTGTGCCGAGTGCAACAATATGTTGTACCCCAGAGAGGATAAGGATAATGCTAGACTCCTTTACTCGTGCCGAAATTGTGACTACACGGAGTTGGCTGAGAACGCCAAGGTCTATCGTCACGAACTTATCACGAACATCGGTGAGACCGCTGGAGTTGTGCAAGACATCGGCTCTGACCCAACCTTACCGAGATCGAATAAGACATGTCCATACTGTGGAAATCATGAGTGTGTGTTTTTCCAGTCACAGCAGAGAAGAAAGGACACTTCCATGATCTTGTTTTATGTGTGCTTGGAGTGCAAAAAAGTTTTTAGGTCTTAAGATCAAAGATAGTTGAGATAGATGGGGTATCATAGCTTGTGAGATATTGTAATATAGACAGATTGGATGAAAGTTTCTGGCAAATAAAATTTTATTTTTGGTTGGTCGTTGTTGTATGAATTTAAGGTAAAGAGAAGAAGTGAATCGTGAAACGCCTTAACTCGGCTATGTAACCTTAGAGTAGGTGTCTAGAAGTCGGTGAACAAGTCTTTGTGGATATCCTCACCCTGACAGCCGTATTCCAATTGCTCTTCGGGTAGTGATCGAAGAGAGATGAGTCTCCGGTTCCTGCTGTGATCGGAGGCTCGTAAGGAGTTTCGATATCCTTGGCCAAAAGCTTTTCCCACACAACTTCAGAAAACCAGGGGTGATTTCTAATGTCAGCAGGACCATTTAACAAATTCCCTAGTCTGTAGGACAAATCGGCTGTCATAAGTCTGGAAAGCAAATCCACAACGTCATGATTGAAAAAGCTTGGGAAATGTATCTTTCCCGACAAGATTTTCTCGTATGTCTTCATTGGCGTGGAATCGTAAAATGGGGTGTAGCCAGCTAACATCTCAAAGATCAAAACGCCCAACGACCACCAGTCAACTGACTTGTTGTACGGCTTTGTAGTAATTACCTCCGGCGCAATGTAATCGGGAGTGCCACACAAAGTCCATGTCACTGTGGAAACTTCCTTTGCAAATCCGAAGTCTGTGATCTTGATATGTCCGTTTCTGTCCAAAAGAATATTTTCAGGCTTCAAGTCACGGTAGATAATGTCATGAGAGTGTAAGTATTCCAATGCCAAGACAACTTCGGCCGCATAAAATTTGGCCACTGGGTTGGGAAATCTTTGTGATTTTCTCAAAAGCGAGAACAATTCTCCACCTTCGATGTAGTCCATCACCATAAACAAGTGCTTAGCATCCTGAAATGTCCCCACATTCTAATCAAGAATGGATGCTCAACAAGCTTCAACATCCTTCTCTCGTCATTAGTATGTTCCACCTGTTTCATCTTCACGACCTGCTGCTTCTTCAATACCTTGATGGCATAATATCTCCCGTTATGCACCGATCTAACCAAATGAACTCTACCGAAAGAGCCAGTTCCCAAGGTTCTCATGATAGCAAAGTCAGTCAAGGCATACTTTCCTTTTGAGACAGTGGATCTGCTTGGTAAAAGCGAGAGGTTGATGGCGTTATTGTCAGCCTCTTGTTGCAGACCAAATTGCTGTGTCTGTTGTCCAGCCTGTTGCAGAGACATTTCTTGAGGGTACTGAGACTGGTAAAGCTGAGATTGCAACTGCTGCTGTTGGTTTGGGAATTGCGCTGAGCCCTGTTGAGATACTAAAGTTGGGTACACCTGTTGGCAGTCGTTAGTGTGTGGCTGATTGGATTGAGCAGGATGAGCAGGCTGGTTGTAATAACTCATAGAGTCAATGTTATCCAACGAGTCGACTGTGATTTCTGCAGATTCGGGGTGAACAGTGCTTTGGCCAATGTTCTGTGGAGTCAGTCTGGTCAAATGGAGTCTCTTGAGAATGCTCGACGACGGCATTTAAAGATCTCGTTTGTAAAATACAGCAAGCAGTAATTGGTTCGCAGGTAAGCCCGAAACACGTTGGAAGCTCTCTGGATACCACAATGGTTAGGGATTGGGTTTCGCAACTCAATTGATCAGTTTATGGTCGATGTTGCACTTAGGGATTGAGGAAGGATAGGTCAATACTTTGAGGAGCCCACACCTCGAAGGTACGGGTGTTCCTGCGAGCAAGTGGAATTTGATCAGCGACCAGTGAATTTTCCTCAAAGTGAAACTAAATTTGATATAACGATTTTTTTTTTCTAAAGACATTCGCATGATCTGAATTTCCCATAATCTACTTCTGTGATATTTAGGGTGCCGGAGAGTGATGGCTGAAATTCATCATGTATATGCATCTGCATTTTTGGCCGCGTCAGAATGGACAGCTTATCGGAGTCTGCTTTGTTCCACGCATTATTCGAAAGGATGTCCGAGAACCTTTTGATAAAATGTACATCTGGTAGTAGAGATATTCGTGTTTAGAAACCTTGGAAACAATTCAGGGAGCGTTCACATTCATTTGTTTTCAAGAGTTGGCCAATTTCACATTTTGTATTGCATGTCGTACATCTTAAGAAAAATCCGAATTAGTGTATGAAATTTATGCCGAGTATATACCGGTTTGAGCCATGGATATGATCGAATAAATGTTTAAACCTGACACGAAAAGCCAGATTACAACCAAAAATATACTTGTGACCCACGAGTTTTCCATTTGATGATATTCTGTTGCATCGCTTTCCTCTGAAATTTGTTCCTCACTCTCTCCATTACCAGTGGATGAGACGATGGCATTGTTCTTCACCTTCTCGACTCTCATTATTTTCTTGTTGCAAGTGAAATAGATGAGCGGCATCATAAGAGGCGGGAGAAGGAGTGAAATGACAATCTGCGAGACATTAAGAGCAGCACTCAAGGCGGGACGGCCAATGCAAACTGATATGATAAGACAAGGCACAATTGAGATGGCCCTTGTCGCCAATCTTCTTATCCATGGTTTACAAGTCCAATTCAAATGACCTTCACTCACCATCTGTCCTGCGATAGTGCAAACGATACCAGCGCTTTGACCCGACAAAAGTAAAGCCAACATAAATATAGTTCCGGCTACAGGAGCTAAAATCTTCAGGAGCAAGTCGTGGATAGCATACAAATCTGCTCCAGAAGCCTGGGGAGTATCGTATAGAGAACCACCAGCCACGATAAGAATGGCCGCGTTGACAAATACTGCAAATGTCATAAGTGTCACCACTAGTTCAATGACCGAATATTTGTAGCAATACTTGATAGCTGCGAACAGAGGTTTGTACTCCTTTTCAATGTATTCGGTGAGTTTTTCCTCAATTGTCAAGTCTTTTCCCCGGTAGACTCCACTGACATCGGTGCAAGGCCCCCATGCTGTGCATCGTACTCTCTGAGACGAGGCTGCACAATTCCGGAACCCAAGAAGAGAGAGTGGATCATTACTGTTGCACCGATAATAGAGGTTGCAATGCTCAACCCACCGTTCTCTGTCATCTCCTTTGATGGAACAAAGCCGCGAAAGACAAGCCCGACTGGTGTAGTCTCGCGAGGAAGGTATGCCAACAATGCAACAAAGCACGATACAACTCCGATGACTAAAACCGCAACAGCATACTCGAAAAATCTGATGAAGTTTGCCAGAGGTTGATCAGACTTGTAGGCGGCAAGTACCACCAAGACATCAACAATCGTGATTACAACGCCTGCTGGCAAAGGAATCCTGAGCAAAATATTGAGAGCAATAGCAGATCCAATTACTTCTGCAACATCAGTCGCGATGATTGCAATCTCTGCAAAAAACCACATCACGTAGTTAAGTCTCCTGGGCAAATATTCACGACAACACCGGGCCAAATCATAGCCAGTGACCGTCCCAAGTTTAATGCAAAGGGACTGAAGGAATATCGCCATAAAATTGGAGATCAAAACGAAAAAAAGGAGCGAAAATCTATTATTGGCACCGGCTGAGACACCCGTGGAATAGTTTCCAGGATCCATGTATGCCACCGAGATCATAATGCCCGGACCAATAAAGCTAGCATACTTCTTTGCAACTGCCTTCAAATTGTTCAAACGTGCATAACCCCCATGGGCAAAGTGTGTAGCCATTCCAGCGCAATTTTTGGCTAGAAGGACAAGAAAAAGCGTAATGTGTCAAAAAATTAGCACAAGCAGGAGTCCTGCATTTCTGCTATGCCATATCGGCTATTCAAAAAGGTTGCAGCACCTTAAACTCGAAGGAAAGGAAGCTATGGCTTTGATCAGAAACCTGTTCTCCACATCGTTACCGTCACAAAACCACACATGTGGGGTGGGGCATGGAAACTATTGAGTGTTTCGACGAAAGTCTCACGAGCCACTCAGAGTGGGACAACCGAGCCGGTGAAATTAGAGCTCACAAGCTCTATTCCACATATGAGATCGATGAAATCTTGTTCGTTCAGAACTTGTGTCTAAGAGCGGAATATCATGGTTACCCGCCAGTGTTATCGAGAACCTCGTTACGATAACCACGGTCGCGATACAATTCCGTGGATAAGAACAAACAAGCAACCACTGCGTATCAGCACGATGTACATCAACTCTTTCTCGGACTTGTCACTCTACTCGAGGCTGGTCATGACAACGATGCAGCGTCGAAGTCTAGTCCGCATTCCTCTCCATAGTTCGCTAAAGGGCTTATCCAGGTGATGAAGGTATGTGATGCTGTGACTGGCAACCGACCGGACTTATTACATATCCGAATAATGGTCTTGCTTGCCTTTTACGGAAGTAACAATGGACCGATTCAAGGCGAGTGGAAACATCGCGCAGGGGAGGAAGTTTCTTTTCTTTTCTCTATCACGTCAATGACCACTTCAAAGTATGTGAAACACCCAACATGTTCCAGAAGCAGAGCTCTGCTTGAGGAGAATTGCTTGCAGTACTCGAGGCCCATGACGATACAACCAACGTACTGGGAAGTTCACTGCATGTATGAGATGATAAACAACCCCAGATTACTAGCCGTATCTACGCAATTACATCAGCGAAGCATTTTGCCTAGTTTTTAGGTGTTTTGCGCTACGAGGGCTCAGACTGTGACGTGGAACGTTGCTCGTAACAAGTGCTGCAAAATGCTGCCAAGCACTTGCAGATTATGCAAGATCCCGCAGAAAGGGTTACATGCCGTAACTCTGCAGGGACCCTGATCGGTTCCCCGATCATGAGGCTCGCTACTGAAGTAGTGGGGATACTTAAATACCGCCCGGATCTCGTGGTGCAAACGGCTAAGTAGAAATTTAAAAATGAGTCATATACCACCTCTAAAAGCGACCACGGAGATGTTGTGGACTTAGTTGCTAACAATACAAGTCACACCACAGTTTCAGGTTGCGACCCAGTACAATCCTTCGGTGTGATGTTTGTTGTTTGAGGCGGCATTATCTGGCGCAATTTAGCTGGATACCATATGAAAGCGCACCGTCGATCTCTGGGATTGATAGATTGTACCAGTTGTCGATCTTCAGACATATAACGGTGCTCGCAAACGCACAACTTGCATGGATTGAGGAGAACAGGCTTCCAGGACCAGACCCTCTCTACGAAACAATAGCAGTCAATGTAAGCAAAATAAAACCGCAGTTCCTCATTTGTATAAATATGACCCACGTTCATCATGACTGATGATAGTCCAAATAACAACAGATCATCCTCGCTTGGAATGAGATCGCTTGCAGCAGATAATGTAGCCGCACTTCCATGGCTTTCAGCGAGAGAAGACCTGGGGATAGTCAGGGACAAGAGATTTGAGTCAGGCTTCCATACACTCCCCTATAGTCAAGGGTTCCATGACTTTGATCCTTCTCAAACGGCTTTCAATATGAGTCCTACGATCTACCCGAACCCTGTCAGAGAAGCGGATTACTCTCATCAAGCAAGGAGATTGTATGCTAGTGAGGAATGGGGCTGCTACACAGATAAGCAACAGGGCCTGTACAACCCAACTTTAACCCAACCGGACATTCCTGGTCATGTCCAGGACGATTACTGGAGAAACCAAATGTATCAAAACTTTGACCAAGCGGTTTCCCCACAAGTTGCAAACGACTTTTTGTTCCCGGATGCAACCATGTCTTCCAAAATGTCTAAGTCTCCCCTTTACTCCAGCCAGACCCAAGAATCACCAGCGAGCAGTATCACTTTTGATTCCTTGAAGTGCCAAGATGACCCCAGGCTGTCGAATGCCATTTCAGAGACCAATCTCTACTCAGAATATTTCGACCAAAATGCCAATCACATTCCATGGCCCAGTTTGGACTTCCTGGATGGTATTGCGCCTTCTCAGCAGAAAGACCCTTTCGAAGCCCTCATCAGTATTCCATCAGAGCAGCTTAGCTCTGCTGAGATTACACCCAAAGCACAATTGGCCCTGCCATATTCCCAGACCGAGCATACTGAGTCTTCTGACCCACCGAAGGTAATTGATAGAAAGAGAAAAACCAAGGAACGCCTTAGAAGTCTCTATGACCGCGTGGGAGAGCCAGAGTCTTGCGACCAACCTATCGAGTGTGGATGCTGTGGTAAGACTGTCAATGGTTATATAGAATTGGCCAGGCACATGGACGAGGAAAAACACTTGAGGGAAAACTATTGTCCAGATGAAGACTGTACCTTTTCCATCATTGGATTCAATCGCCGGATCGCATTGCGAAGGCATATTTGCAACCACCACCTTAAGGATTACAATGCTAGAAGGAAAATGGACCAACATTATTGTTCACTTCATGATAACAAGGAAGACGTTCTGAACAAGATAAAGGAGTTTTTGGATCTAGTCTATATTTGTCGTGTCCCGCAATGTTCAAGGGCGTTCTATAGACTGGACAGTCTATTACGTCATCAGAGGTGTGTCCATCAGCCAGGACCACCGCATGTTATGAAGCACCACTACTGAATCGCCGTGAGATTTGACTTCATGTGTATGCACACGCTACATGAATACATTGTATATCAACGAAAGACTTGAAGTGTATGAAATTCTAAGTGGTCTAAACAAAAAGTCCCGCTTTCTAGCACTTAATTCTCGATATAGTCTTTGTAGCTCTTGCCGCCGTCGACAATAGACTTGATCTTAGCAAGGATCTCAGCAAAGTCATTGAACTCAGTGTAAGGAATGTCTTCCCTTCTGCAGTACTTGATCAAGTCCTTGCCGTGCTTGGCGAACAACAAGTTGGTCTCCTTAGCAGCGGACAAATCACTGACACCATCGCCACAGTAGAACAACGGTGGCATGTTGGACTCATTGAAGCCCTTGTCGGTCAAGTACTCCTTGATAGAGAGAGATTTGTCGTGGCCAAAACCACTCTCAGGGTGCTTGTAGACAATGTTCCATTTGCCAGCAGCCTCGTCAATTTTGACATCATTCGACATGATCAATATCTTGCTGACAGCCTCAGCACCAACCAATCTCTCGAGCAAGGCATGGATAATTGGGGTCATACCGCTGGACACAACGACAACGGGGATCCCTCTAGAGTCGGCCCACTGGAAGAATTCCTTGAAACCAGGATCGAGCTGAATGTTCTTCAACAAGAAGTCAATGCACTCGGGAAAGGAGTTGGAATCGAGGCCAACATCTCAGAGAAACCTTGCTTGAAACTCTTCTTGCCGTACAAGATCTCGTCGTTGACCTCCAATCTCTTGGGGCGACCGAAACCGAGATTCTCGGTCAAGTAGTCGTTGGAGTCCTGGAGGGTCACAGTACCATCCCAATCGGTGAACACAATGGCAGGAATGTTGGAAGACATGGCTGAAGAAGTTGGAATTGGATTGCAGGCCAATTGGCTCGGGTAAAGTCGACGACGGTTGTTCTGGGCGCACGTGCCGCGAGCACGTTACCCTTTTTCACGTGTTGAATTATATCTTAGTGTCTTAGTTCATTCGCCACTAGATTCGCGTCGTCAAGTTTGTGCGGTAAGGGTGCTGCGGCAAGGGTGCCGCAAATAAGGTATTTCCTTGTGTGCAGTGACGAAGGTAAAACATACGGATTTACATTTCGACAAATGGAGTTCCGTCAACGTGGAGTCCGAAGCTTGTTCCACTTTCTGCAAAGACTGGTATCATGCTGATGCAGTTGTCTCACCACGGGGGTGTCTCAAATCAAGGGAATCCGAGCTGACGTCTCCCTGCATTGGTCCCTTGCGGCCGAGGAGTTCCGCGCGGACTACCAGTCCGTTCTTCGAGGTTGCAAGTCGGTAGTTCTAGCAAGTAGGGTAATAGCAAGTAGACAGGATGTGTCAGTGCAACGTAACGAAGTCATTGTCGCAAGAGACCGAGGCATTGCTTTTAGGGCGGGAGAGGGGGTCAAAATGAAAGTTGAAATGAGGCAGCCACCCACCTCCCTTATTCGAATTTATGTCACCTTGTGTTTCGATGCTAATCTGAGACACGCGAAGCTTAAAGTAGGGACGCATAATTCACCGTGAAGGTGTCTTAAAAAGGGTTCTACATACGCTCAAGTGGTCCGCAGCAAGCTATTGCAAAAGGCTAACACCCGAGGCGAGTGGGCGGAGTTCCGACCTGCTTTATTTTGCTACGTTTGTTATTCACATTAGGTTGTCTCATCGATACGTGGTGGTTATGAAGCCTGCTATAAAATCTGACAGCGTCGGTTTAGAGCCAGTGAGATACTGTCTTTTGTATGATCCGCCCTTCCGACCCTCACTACACGAAGAAAAAGATTAATGGTGTCGGGCTTGCCGCTATTTTTTATATCGGAACCCCGTTCTGGGGCTAGGTTGTGGCGAGAGAGGCGCAGATAATGCAGAATAGCCGCTTGTAAGGGTAGCAACGGTAGCGAGATATCCGCTGCACAAGCGACGGCACCCTTGTACCGCGATACAAAAAAAAAAAAAAAAAAAAAAAAAAAAAAAAGAATAGGCCTGCCACACACAGCAACAGCCAATGCTATTCGTGGGATCTGGACCGAGGACCCCGTTCCAAGCAATATTTCGCTGCCGGCCATGCGAAGAATCCCAAGCAAATTGGCATCCAACGTCAGCAATGAATGCATGCCATTATGACGTTAGCCCAAGCGCATTAATAGACCTCTGACGTAGTTCAAGGTTGATTTGCGGCTGAAGGGCCCATTACGTGGATCATGGCATGGCGGTGGAGGCTTGTGCTAGGGGCTGGTAAAGAGGCAAGTATGGGAACATGAAGTAATATGGCACAGAGCCGCTGCAGGATTTTTGAGATTCGTTGCTGAAGGTGAACTCCAATGGCTGCCTAGACCACAGCACGAGGGCCTAAGCACAATTTCTTGAATTGATTCTCCACTCATGACGAACACTAGAATAAAAATATCTCTTGCCGGCAGCATACAAAAGAGGGCACGCTCGCTACAGGTAGGTTATTTTTTCATTCTCGAAAGTTATTTCCAACTTACCCACTTGTCTTAGATTTTCATACACTCAAGCTGTGGTGCGCTTCTCACTGACTGAACAGATTTAATAGATTTTTTTCGCCTGGACGTAAGATATTACTTGCTTCCGCGCACAATCTATAAAACCCCCACGCCATCTGGGGCACATTTTCCCGTACTACAATGTTTGATAATTTGAAGGCGTTCATTAGACACGGAAAATCAGCTACACCTTCAAACATTACCCTGAAGAACAACATGGCTCATAAACAAGCCATGGATGTGGCTTCCCTTGAAGTTGCGCCTGACAGCGTCGATGCCTCCGAATCTGCTTTTGCAGGCCATTCGACTATGCCTTCCGACTTGGACTACTCTGACGAGACTTCTAGCTCCTCTCAAGACGACGTCGGAAGATGCAAGAAACATGCTCCCACTGAATGCAACCCGCTGCTGGACCACAAACACAAGAAGCAGCAAGTTGTTGAGGATCACGCCCAATATCAACAACCAGGCCACGACCACTCTCAAGCTCAAGCTCACGCTCCGCAGTACGACTTCCAGACGGACCATAACAGAGATAACTACGAATATGCCTCTAGAATCGTTGAAGAGGAGCGCAGACAGAGGAAGAAGCAACTGAAGTATCCCAACCTTCACCAATACGAAATGATGGAGAAACTTGGTGACGGTGCTTTCTCTGTCGTGTTCAAGGCGCTTCACAAGGAGTCTGGTCGCCACGTTGCCATTAAGGTGCTCCGTAAGTACCAGATGGATAACGCCCAAAAGCAGGCTGTGTTAAAAGAGGTCATCATTATGAGACAACTTAAACACCCCAACATCGTCAACTTCATTGAATTTATTGAGAGTGAGCCATATTACTACATTGTTCAGGAGCTTGTCGGCGGCGGTGAAATTTTCACTGCTATTGTCAACTACACATACCTTTCCGAGAACTTGGCTCGCCATGTCATTTACCAAACTGCTTTGGCCGTTCGTTACTTGCATGAGGAAGTCGGCATTGTTCACAGGGACATTAAGCCCGAGAACTTACTTTTCGTCCCCACTGAGTTCAAGCCATCGTACAATCCTATCTCCAAATTGAGGCGTTCTGACGACCCCAAGACCAAAAAGGATGAGGGCGAATATATTCCTGGAGTCGGAGGTGGCACTATCGGAACGGTGAAGCTTGCTGATTTTGGCCTTTCCAAACAGATCTGGGGCCACAACACTAAAACGCCTTGTGGCACGGTTGGCTATACTGCACCAGAAATTGTTCGTGACGAGCGTTACTCCAAAGAGGTTGACATGTGGGCACTCGGATGTGTGCTATACACTGTCTTGTGTGGATTCCCACCATTCTACGACGAGCGCATTGAGACTCTTACGGAGAAGGTTGCCAGAGGCGAATACACTTTTTTGGCTCCATGGTGGGACGAGATCAGCTCCGGCGCCAAATACTGCGTCTCGCGTCTTTTAACAGTTGACCCCAGACAGCGTTATACCATTGACGAGCTTCTTCAAGACCCATGGTTGAGAGAAGCTGGAAGAGCTTATGAGTCGGCACAGAAACCAAGTCAACCCAAGTTCTCCTCTCAAATCGGCAGATTGAACCTGAGCATGTACAGACAAGAATTGTACTCTCCCGCCGCGACCGCCATGCGTGATGCTTTTGACATTTCCGCTGCAGTGCATCGTGCTGGCGAAGAGAACGCCCTTCAGAACCATAACCGCAATGCGCTTCCAGATATGGTTGAAGAGGAAGAAGATCTGGACAATGATTTTAAAGCTAAGCTTCGAAATGAAAGCGAAGATGCAGAGAGAAACATGTTCGACTTGAATTTGCACGGTGCATCGATATTGGAAAGAAGAAAGCACAAACCGCTTTATTAGTTTCCAATACATCAGCAGACCATCTGCCGCAAAGGCGTTTGGATGAAGATACAAAAAACGAAAAAAAAAAAAAAAAATTACAAAAAATCAAGAAAGAAAAATTACATGAACATACGAAGACTACACGCAAATATTCGGTGTTATCAGGCAAACATTATAGAGGATTTTAAGTGAGTGTTTTCTACAGTCAATCAATCCTACTTTGAAGATCTCACTTCAACAGTCATTTCAATTCGGCAGTACAAATGGGTTTGGGGCTTTCTTTTATTTACAGTTTTTATAAATGTTACGCTTTATATCATATTTTGTAGCATCGATTTACCGGAAGTCCGCGGAATAAAGCAGCCCTCGTAAATGGCTTGCGGGATCTCTAGCCCTATCTGCAATTTCACGGATGGCGAGTCACGTGTACGGACGCCGCTAGTACATATAGATATAAACCGAAACCATCTACCCATCAAAGTAGAAAAACCTGCTTTTTGCAGTTGTTCACTCTAGCCTCGTACTACGATGTCGGAGCCTGAGTTTACAGATGTGGTGTCGGAGGTTTTAGAATTTGACATAGACCTCATACTTGATTACGCATCCTCCCAGACAGATACCCATCCAAACCAAAGAAAACTAAAACCTAACACAGAGGATAACACGAAATGGATACCTTTTATTGATCGTCAAGTCCGGACGAGGCATAGATCTCCTATTGCGCTTTCCCATGAAGCTCTTGCGGTGTACTCGGGAAAGGGCTTATCAAACCCCAAGCCTGGGGTCTTCGCCTTCAGCACTGAGGCGTTTGGCATGAGAGCTGGAACAATTGATCCTTCGCTTTTGATACTTGATGCTAAACAAAGAAGTACCTTGCGAAAAGGAACTTTCATGTCATTAAATTTTGTGAACGAGATCGAACGAACATTGGTATTTAATGAGCTTCGATTTATCACCAACAGAGTTAAGAAATGCCGTAATCATGTTCGTGTGTCTCGCTTAGAGCTAACTATAACTCTAGACACAAAATCAAGTAGCATTGGCGTGGTTCTTTCCTATACTGTGGAGCTTGAGCAGCTGTTCTTTAGGTACTTCTCCTCAGATGTGTCTTCACATTTAGTAAAGGTGCTCCGTCCTAGTATCATACCCTATCCAACTGACAATGACACCTTTTATCTGAGCTTTGAAAATTTGCCGACAGATGCTCACCTTTTCTACAAAGTTATAACTGACAACACAAGTCGTATGCCTCCTGTGACAAGTTCAATGGCGCACCCACAGCTATTCACAGACCTACTTCCGTTTCAAAGGAAAACTGTGAAGTGGCTTCTTGATAAGGAAAGTGTGCAATTCGACGAATCAACAAAGACTACAAAAGTACTACCTTTGCTATCGCTGGGCCTTGTACTGGCTGTTCAAGATTATCCAAACGTGGATCACGAAAAATTGGATAGGGAAATTTATCCCGTCTTAAACAAGCTTTGCTATGGTTGGAATCGTGTTCTATTTCGAAATGACATTTGTTGGGTGAATGAACTTACGGGAAATATAATCAATAGGGAGGCTATCATCAAGTTTTTGAAGGACAGCACCGAAGAGCTCAACAAGGAGCCATTACCAGCTGCTGGTCTCTTATCTGAGGAAATGGGGTTGGGAAAAACGATCGAAGTAATTGACCTTGTGCTTCTAAATCCTCGTCCAAAAGAAGAGGTGGGTCAAGAAATCAAACTCCAATTACAGAAAGAGGGGGACATAAGGACTGTGATAAAAGCTAAAACAACACTCATCACTGCACCTCAGACAATCATACACCAGTGGTACAATGAGATTTCCAAATTCAGTCCTGGTCTACTGGTCACAATCTATAAAGGTCTCGGGAAATACCCGGAACTTGCAAATATTCCACGATTTGTTGGTGAATATTTGAGATGCTTCGACATAGTCTTGTTGAATTATGCTAATATGTCGAGCGAAGCTGACTATGCTAATTACACGTCAAAACACCTGACCACTCGCGGGGGTAAAAAGCGATCTTCTTCGGAAGTTAGGGATGAAGACAACTCCCAGGCTCGTGATCCGCTCTGTGCTGACAGTTACAAAGCTGGCTTTGAATTTGCAGACCGAGAGAAGGTCCAGTCGGAGGCTCTCTTGAGTCAGAAGCGTTATGAACGAGCTGTGATGGAGGAGATGGCCGCAAAAGTCAGAAGACAGGACTTGAGCAAGATACCACATATTGAGTATTACGAATCACCCCTTATGCTGAGTCAATGGTGGCGAGTAATTATGGATGAAGTGCAAATGGTTTCGTCAGTTGCATCTAACGCATTTAGCACCGCTTCTCTAATTCCTCGATATCACTCGTGGGGTGTCTCAGGTACCCCTGCTCGACTGGTTGCTGTACTTCAGTTTCTACGATTTTCTCCATTTAACTACGATATTTCGAAATATTGCTGGAAGAAAGTAACTCAGCATCCAGAAAGCAATTCCGATTTCGTTAAAGTTTGGCTGAGTTTGGCACTTAGGCACACCAAGGCAATGGTTGATGATGACATCAAGTTGCCCCTCAAAGAAGAATCCTTCTTACAATACCGTTTACGAAAGTTGAGCAAGATAAATACACTCAGATGTTTGAATCATGCCTTGCCTCGATTGGAATCCATCTTGATAAAGATCAAAGGCCTAGCCGAACGGAATTGTCAACGTCGGATTGTGTTCATCTCAGGTCTTGGCTTGTTAACCTTCGACAACTTTGCGGCAATCTACAGGTTGGCAACTTGCCAGCTCAGAAAAAGAAAAATAACAAATTTTTGTTACAAGGCTTGCCCGAAATGAAGACTTTGGAGAGTGTTCTTGACGACATGATGCATGGCGTTCTCACCGATATCAATGAGGGAGAAAGAGCGGTAATCGGCAGGCTTCTTGACATTGCCCAGCTCCTTGAGTATGTTCTTCTACCAGAGAAAGTGATCGAAGTTTTGGACAACGGGCTTTTTGAAGTTCTGCGATTGATTCACCAAATAGATATGCGCTTGCGTTGGGACATTTCGGAATTCAACAATCTAAAGAGCTTTTTGAAGGACAAGCACATACTCACCTCCAAAGAACTTGCTAACATCACGGACGATGAGGATGAGGACATGGTGATTGATGCTGAAGATACAGGCAAAATCAAGAAGGAAGAGGTTTCGGCAGTGACTGACGCGGAAATCCATGATAGTGTCACGAAGTTCAACAAGTTGAAGGAGCGTATCAACGCCGACAAGATCCGACTCAGATCTTTGAAGATGCTTCAACACAAATGCTACTTTTTATTGGCTTCTGCTCATTTTCAAGTCTGCGATGAAGAATACCAGAAGAAGATCGCTGAGAAGAGAGTCGATTTTGAGACTCTAAGCTCTTTAGAAAGCAATGTGATTGGAGTTAAGCTCCTCAAATCCGATGAAATCAATTACCTTCGGCTTCAAAACGGCGGCTTAAATAACAGCGATTACGAGCGACCAAATTATGCGGACGACTTTTGTGCAACTGAGAATGCCACATTCGAAGAGCAAAAAGTGGAACGTCATAAACATTTGGAACTGAAGTTTTACGAACTTGCCGAGCAAAGCAGAAAAGATATGTTAAGACACTCCATCAAAGAAGTTCATGATGCAACGACAAAGCGTATTCTCAATAGACCTGTGATGGATAGAAAAAAGATGGTCAATGATGGGGTCTCAAGTTTCCCGAAGACCTCCAAGCGACTCTTGAAGGGCGTTCCTATCATTGACATAGAGCAATGGCAGGCTTTGGTAGGGACAACCAAGTTGAGACAGATCATGTTCCAATTCACCTCTGTCATCACTGAGCTCAATAACCAGGCTGAGGTAATTTCCAGCTTTGTTGATCAGCTAATCGAGCTTTTGTGCAACCCACTTCTTTCCGACGAAAAGAGTCCAGACGGTGAAGAGTACGAAAAATCTTTAGAAGATCAAGATCGTGCAGCCTGCCTCATGGTCGTTATATCTCAACTTCTAATGGATAGGTCGAATGCAATTTTGGAACGCAAAACAAGATCGACGGAGGTGAAGAAGAAACAGGAGAAGGATTTAAAAGAAGAAGCTCGTCGAGTTTCTGATAGGGGTTTTTTAAAGATTCTTCAAAAGAGCCGCGCAGACAGCAAACCGAAGTCTGAGATTTCTTTTGAAGAGCTCTTGCAAGACATTAGACTTCTCGAGCATGAAATGCGTCAGGACGTTCAAGGAGAAGCATTTCATGAGGCCGCTGAAGCTCTCAGAAGAATTTTTGAGAATGAGAAAACATGTCAGGAGCTTTTACAGAAGGAAATGAGTAGCTGCTACAACTCTGTTTTCAATGCGAGAGTGGAATACTTCAAGCAGTTACAACAAATTTCCGATAGTGTGCAAGGAAAGACTTACTGCACCGAACAAGATGCTCTTGAGCCGAAGAAGGTTGACTCAGAAGTCGCTTCACATTTGATGCTCTTTACCGCAGCTCAGCGAAGGCTAACTCGAGCAGTATCTCGCTTGAGATATCTTTCAACATTAATACCTAAAAATGAGGCTCTTAAACAAGAGGCTGAAGAATCGACGGACGATTCGAATGATTGCGTCATATGTCAATCGCAAATAGTTGTGGGCTCTCTTACACCTTGTGGACACAAGTTTTGTAAGGCATGCCTCGAGGAATGGTTGAAGGCACGGTCCTCGTGTCCCATTTGCAAGACATACACAACAAGGGATACAGTGCATCATTTCACCCATTACAAGTCTGATCTCAAGGCACAGCCTGTCGAGAATGGCACTCATGACACTTCATCACACAAAGAAACCGCTGAATCTGCCGCCGTTCATCAAATTTACAAACAATTAGATGATGAGACATTAAGAAGAATATCTCTGATCAAACTCAAGAATTCATATGGTTCCAAGGTCGATTTGATAGTGAAGCAAGTTCTTTACTTGAGAAGCAAAGACCCTCAAGTGCAAATTGTTGTATTCAGTCAGTGGCAGGATTTATTAGTTATTTTGGCGTATGCATTCGACATGGCTGAGATTAGCTATGTATCTGCCAAGGGTTCACAAGTTGCCAACTATAAAAAGAAGCAGGAGGATCCAGTGGAAGAATTCAAGAGAAAAGATAACATCAAAACATGCTTTTTATTAAACGCACAGGCCCAGGCAAGTGGACTTACCCTCATCAACGCTGCCCACATATTCTTATGTGAGCCATTGGTGAATACACCGGTTGAATTACAAGCTATTTCACGTATACACAGAATTGGCCAAACTAAAATAACCACGGTATGGATGTTTGGCATCGAGAACTCAGTCGAGGAGAATATTGTGGCATTGGGAACTCGTAACCGTATCGAGTACTTGAAAGCAAACGCAAAGGAGGCAAAGAAAAGCAAACGAAAAAAGAGAAAAATTGACTCGGCTACATTAGTATCGAGTGTTTCAGAATCCGAGGTCGAATTAGGCGGAGATGCCCCATTAGCGGACTCTGAGCTCAAAACTGCAGAATCATACGCTCTCTCCCTTGGGTTGACCTCGGAGAAAAGTACAGGCAAAGTTTTCTCGGGAATCAGTGAATCAGTGAGTGATTCAGATCTTCGGCAAGTGTATTTTGGCAATGTTGAGGAGACATAGACAACTTCATAGAATCAATACTGTCATTACCTATATTATTTATACACTCAAAAATGAACCCTCGTCATATCCCTGGTAGATCTTTCCTTGTTCAGACAAATGCTGGCATTTCTCTCTCACCACATCGATTGGAACGCCCAAAGTGTCACTGATCCAAGAAATCGGAACACCCTCTTGCATGGAGCCGGTGTTGTCATCGATAACTTTCTCAATTCTTTTGGTAACGTCCGAAGCGCCGTTCGCTCCGTGGTCATTGTCCTGAACAAAAAGACCATTTTCTTCCTTCTTCTGGACGCCACCCTTGCTCAAGATACCCTGAGCCTCCAAGTGGTTGGAGATAGCGTAGAGCATATGATAGGCGACTTCGTTGTGATCGACGATTTCACGAATTGTAGCATGCTGGATACTCTTTTTAGAATTGAATTCTTTTAAAGCACCGGTGATGTACACGTACTTATTTTCCAAAGCAGAGAATTTCTCAGCCTCCTCTGCTGGAGTGGCTATCTTCTCATCAATCCATCTCTTCACATCCATGGAGCCAGTACCGTCCTCAACAGTGATAGTAATAGCACTGCTACTGCTCTCAACCTTTCTGATGACACCAATGAACGATACCATGTTCAAAGACACGTTGTGAATCACGAACTCGCCATCAGGAACAGGCTGGGTAGCCTCGTTGATCTCTTTGATGGTCACGGGGCTCAAGGAAGATCTCGTTTGCTGACGTTGAGAGTTATTATAATCCGTGTACTGAGCATCAGCGTTGAAGCCGCCGTCTCCATAGTTATCATAATCCATGCTTAGCTAAGTAGTTGAGGTGCGTGTTGATGATCGCTACAATAACTAGCGCGTCTGTCACGTGCTGCGGTTGCAAAAGATATGACCTAAAGATATTGACTACGCCGGTAATGAATCGAGATAAAATAGTTGATCTATTTCAACCAGAAATGCAGGGTACACAAAGCATGCTAGTTTGTATGGGGTAATGGTTCTATCAAATCGTTTGGATGCAAATTGCCTAGAGGACGAAAGCGTACTTGGACTTTGCTCTAACCTTCTCACCGTAACGGTAGAAGAGGAATGGCACGGGAATCATCACAACGGCCACGCATCCAACCAAAGTGGAAGCCCATTTGATTGTCATGTTTGTGAACATCTGGCGTGCGAAAAGTGGGAAAACAGCACCGAAGGCAGATCTCAAAAAGGTGTTACCAGCCAATGCGGAAGCAGCGTAAAGAAGATAACAATCAATGATGTAGTTCATGCAAGGCAAAAAGATCATAAGAAGACCAGTACCTATAGGAGCAGCTCCAATGGTAGGCACAATCCAGTGTACGTCATTTGGGTAATCACCAGTCCAACCAAGCCAGAACAAACCAATGGCAAAGAAAAACGATCCAACCATCATAGGGGGCAATCTAGCCTCTGGCACTGGCACTCCGTTGTTCTTGGCCATTGTCTTACTGTAGCCCCTCTCCATATAGATTGAGATGAGACCTCCAATGAAAGTACCAATAAACATAGCAACATATGGTAATTCAGCAACACCTTGAGACCAGCCGTATCTTCCCTGAAAAATCAATGGCACGGCAGTCAAAAACAAGTAAAGCATACCATAGATAAATGCATTGTAAAGGGTGATCAAGAATAAAATTGGCTCCGTGAACAACATAACCAAAGGTCTGGAAATGTTCTTCTCGACAATCTCCTTGATGGACAAACTTGTCTCCTCATGTGGAGCATGAATAACCCAGTTACCAGTTCTTCTCCGCAAAGTTTCTGCCTTGCTGACCAAAATGATGGAAGAATGACTTTCATCCATGAAAAGAACAATGCAAATTAGCGAAAGAGCTCCAATCAAACCGGCGATGTAGGAATTCCATCTCCAGCCCATGTTAGGGTTTTTGGCAACGAAGCCGCCGATGATGGGGGCCAACATGGGTCCACCAAACAAAACCATAGCGAAAAGGGACATTGCTTGACCTCTAGAAGCGGCAGGGAAAATATCAGCAAGTACAGCGGGAGCAACGACCAAAGGAGCTGCTCCGATGAAGCCGGCGAAGAAACGACAAATCATGACCATTTGGAGATCTTTAGCTGCACCAACCATCATACAGAAACAGACATAGCCGAAAATGGACGGAATGAGCACAACTTTTCTGCCGTACAATTCAGACATTGGTCCCCAAATGACAGGACCCGATGCGAAGCCAAAGACGAAGAGAGAAGTGCCGAGCGTTGCAACTGTCGCTCCGACATTGAAAAGCTGCATAATTTGAGCATTACCCTCAGCAAACATGGCAGACCCAAGTGAAACAGACAAGGCACATAAACCAACGTTAAAGCAACATACAATCTTCTTTAAAATGCTCCAGTTGTGAGGAAAACTAGGGTCATCTGGACCGTCGTAGGCAACAGCGTATGGGTCTCTTTTAGGAAGCATTGGAGGGTAGTCTTTTCCTCCGCCCATCTTGGGCATAGGCTTGTCCGTCTTCATGGCCTCTTCCTGAAGTTCATCTGCGTTGTACAATCTCCTGGACATCTCACGAGATAACTGTTCATCGGCAAAAGACTGCGTGTCAAAAGACTTGCGGTTGGCTTCCATTTCTTCGCCAACAAATGCTTGTGGGGTATCGTCAAGAGAACTGATGTTGCTCTTTTCCCGGTTCTGCTTCAAATTATCGTCAGTGGACTGTCTAGTTGAGGAGGAGACAGAGTCAGATATATTAGTGCCTTGGGGTTCGGCCTCTGTAGCATGCGGCGGACTTGTGAATTCTGGGAAGGCATTATTATTGTCATTGTTATTGGTAGCCATTGTGTTCAAAGCCGGTTAATATAAAAATGCAGTGGGGGCGGGCCGGAATCTTGTGCCTTTTATAGGGCGATGAGGGACGCAAAATGGGGCTTATGCAGCCGGCCCAAATGCAAAGGCTGCCGACGCAAACTTTCGAATATTTCTGCTTTGAGCCGATCCGGTTTGCACGGACAGAAATAGATCTTACGGGACAGAATTATAGGGCCTGTGCCAGTTCGTGCTTACCATTTTCTCTTATTTTGTTGATCTGCTGTGACTTTCACCTGCCGTTGCCATGCGAACCGATTTTAATTGCTGCGTACTTTGACAGGTGATTGCAAAGCCTAGTATGGTTTTACGCCCTGGTGCACTGACATGCTGCTGAAAGTTAAAATTGCAGAGTATCTAACTTAGTCTTTATATCAGGTACAAAATGCTTATTCTCAGAAGCAATATGTGGGTGCTCAAAAGTGCCGCCCATTGAACTGCGTTGCACTTCTGGGACTTTTGATAAATGGATTGGAACGTGGCGCTGATATCAGATTGTCAATTGAGAAGTATTATCATAAAAAGAATTTCATTATGACTAGATTTTCCAATTTACCCCTAAAGAAGGATAATACCTTGAAAGTCTGGATTTTTCCGATGGGTTACTGACCAGCCGTTCGCGCTGGTGCATGATTGTCAAAGTTTGGCAGCTTCCAGCGCCTCATCAACAATCCTCAAACTCAGCCTCGACCATTGCAGCCTCCGGGCCTCCCGCTGTACAAATTGTGCTTTGTGAAATCGACAACGATCATTTAATGTCATTTGTTGACCCAAGAATCTCCAAATGTTGGACATTTCTAAGCAAGGGCGGTTACAGACTGCATTCGGCGTGCGTCATCCGCTGCACCTTTCATGATAGCAGCGCCCGGTGCGACAGTGCTTGAAATCTTTTCGGAACTTTCAAGTTCCGGTACAACCTTCGAAAATACAAATAATTGTGAAGTTTTGCTAGAAATTTTATCACAACTCATTCCGGATATCTCTTTGACATTCCGCTGCTGCCGGGGTGAATTTGCATGTTCGAGCGGGGTCGAGATAATGCCGAAGGGTGTGTTTCGTTGTTACCAGCCTTTCCCCGAGTAGAGGGTGATAACCCCGATTGATTATAAATGCCGGTCAGGTGCAACTTATTTATTCCATAACCGCTACGTGGCTGTAAACGCCCTTTTTTTTGGTAGACGAAGGAAAATTCTTTTGATCGGGGGTGGCACGGCATCTTCCCGAATCACCGAGGTTCTCGGTGGCATCGGTCCAAAAGTCGCAGTGTACACCGATCAATGTGAAGGTTGAAACGAGGCTGCAAAACTCTGACTCTTAATACAAGAGATATCAATTGAGCAATTTTGATGTCCTTTTAGACACACCTTGTAGTCCAACGCGTCCCACACACGGACTAGTCGGGGGTGAATCAACAGTGCAACTTGACAAATCCGAAAATATGAGTATTTCATGTGTTTTACAGTTCATGATGAATAAAAAATACTCGTCAATCAATTAGGACGAACCACATAATCCCCTTCTGCCCCAGCGCTTGAAAAGGGCAGTGAAATCGGTTTCGCCGAGGGATCGATGACATAATATGATTTGCAAAACCCTCCAAGAGACATTGTCGCTCGCTATCCACCCCAACTGACAAGAATATGGTAGGAAGTCATAGCCACTCTGGTATCTGGTAACTTGAGAGAAGGCTTTTTACCATATAATTTCGGTTTATAGCTTTTAAAGCGGAGAAGTAGGTGAGTGAGACACCGATCCCGAAGCGACCTTCAATCAAAGTCTTCATAAAAAAAAAAAAAAAAAAAAAAAAAAAAAAAAAAAAAGTCTGGTCTTCATTATCATCGATCAGTGCACTTCGTAGTGGTTGCAAAACGACCAGTACACTTACTGCACAGACGCCTCCACTAACAACATGGTCGACCAACACGACATCGTAGACTTGTCCAACCAAGCCGATGATCTAGGTGATGATTCTGCTCCTGTAATGTCCACCCTAACTGATAACCCAACAGATAAGGATGCAGCGGTTCAAAGCATCAAAAACGTGTTTGAGTTTGAGGAGTTCATTGACCGCCTGGGTTACAACCGGGCAACATTGGACGCCTTGAAAATGGTTGACCTCCAAAGCTTCGGAAGCACTTCCTCCAAATATAATAGCGTTGCAAATCGTGCTGCCAACGTATCTGATGTCTCGTCCAGCGTACCTCAGCTGGATACCCTATACCACATTGCATATAACCCAAACGAAAAAGCGAAACGTCTAGGAAGACCAAGGAAACATCTGGGTGCCACAGATCAAACTTCTTCTGGTGACACTGCACTGCGGAATCTTGAAACCTCGAAGCTACTCAAATTTCGGCTCGATAATATGCCTTTAGAAGGTCCTGGGTCCCGTGGAGGTAGCCCTGATGATAGAAAAAGACTGGGCGTGCTCACCGAGTCCGCTGCTACCAAGAAACGCAAGCAATCCTTGCTAAATTTTGCTACAACGAATGATCATACCTCTGTTGGGCTTCAAACTAGTTTTGAGACGAACAAGTCACCAAGCGAAACGGAGCCTGAGCCGTTGATGTCAGAACAACTGTCCGCAGTCGTATCTGAGGTGGAACCTCCTTCAGCTGCTGAGCTGGCCGGAAGTCATCCTGATAACGAGCCAGAGATTGTGCCGGAGTCAGTGAAATCTGAACCTGCTCTGCTGGATGTGACGACTGCATCCATAGAGGTGAAGAATCAGACCGATGAGCCAATAGAAGAGCCTGAGCGACCAACGAAGAAGGCTGTTCAACCTCATACAAACGGCAAAGCCAAGCCCAAGGAGACAAAAACACGAAAGGTGACGCTAAAATTCAAGAACAAGATCACTAGAACCTCCATCGTTCGCGAGAAGAATAGAATAACAAGAACTTACCCTGGACCTTTGGTGGCTGTGCATTATGACCTTTACGACGACAATCTATTTGAAGCTCAGGAGAATTCTACCGTGGCTCACGAGCCAATTGCACTTGGTTTCAACGTGAAGCGCAATCCATACCTGGGTGACGTCATTTTCATCATGGCTTTTCTAGCCAAGTTTCCTGAGATCCTCTACGTCGGTCATATTGGCCCACAAGACATAGAAGATGGCTTGGGTCTTTCGAAGAGCCCTAAACAAACTGACGAAGGAGTAAATGAGGAATCGCCTGGTGTCTCTCCTCTAATGGACAATTTATTCTGCAAGCTACTCACATTAGTCCTCAACAGAAAGAAGATCATCACACCTGGAAACTATAAGAGTGGTGTACAAGATCTCCGATCAAATTACATTGGTTTTGGTTTGCCCGAGGAATGGCGAGATGACGCGTTCACGAGAATTGTATCATCATTGCCTGTCGATTCAGCGGATCGCGTTGATCCTTCCAAACCAGCGGTCTCTGAGGAGGACAACTATGAGTATCTGGCCCCACTGGAAAAGCTCAATCCTATGCATGAAAAGGCGTTTGAAGATTACGGACTTGCAGGCATTCCGAACCCCGTTGATAGATTGATCATGATGCGCTGCTTGGTCATCTGGAGTCTTTCGGCGTCCAACGTGTTGAAAGCTCATCTTGCACTGGTTGTCAACAAACAAGAAATTGCAGGTGAAAAAGACACTCTTTATGCATCAAGACCCATTCTCAAGGGCTTCACTCAGACAATAGATCTCAAGAAAGACCTCGAAGCTAAACTAGCCAAAAAAGGCAAGACCACCGCTTCTCCCCAGGGAACTCCCGACCCTGACTCTACTCAGCGCTATATCGACCCGACTTCAGATCCAGTGGTTCACCCCATGGCGTTGCGTCTCAATGAATTTATTGTGGGAGATTGTGGATTTCGTATTGGTCGATTCTACTTGGTTCGTATGGCCGACCCTTCAGGTGGTGGACTTTCTAGTGTTGACAAAATGAAAGCGGTTGCAAAGGACCCCACAGGAATCAAGCTCAGCATCCCCTCAAAGTTCAAGCTCTACGTTGAGGATGTTCACTCAGTTCTCTTAGATTCATTACGAGTGTTTGGAGTTGAGTTCGATAAGCATGGAAATGAGGTACACATGCCCCCCAGATATGATGACACGAAGCACTGGTATGAAGTGGCGAGCAATGGAGCTGAACTAACAGCATTTACAAAACACTTGGCCCAAAGGCTAGGCTTGGCAAATGGTGATTCAGACAAATTCACGACAGTTTCTCAAAACAGCATCGCATATAAGCCAATCCTTTACATGTATCAATACCTATCCTTGGTTGCTCCACTCTTGGAAAGTTTCGAACGCATGGAACAAAGTGCTGGATCAGGAGGATCTAGGTCTGCAAAGAAAAAGGTTGATTACAATGTCTCAAATTCTAGCTCGTACGCGAACGCTTTTGAAGAAGGTTATGAGGAGCACTTGCCTGATGACGATGATGACTCTTACGACGAAGGAGACGCAGCAGATTATGACGACGAGGAATATCTGGAGTAGACATGTTAAAAGATTTAAGTTTAATTATTATACAGAATCTCTCATCCCTTTGCTAATTGTACAGTTCGAGCTTCACATCTTCTGAGCTCCCAACATGAGGTCAATTTTTTGCCTCAATTCTTGTTCATGTTCTTTGAAGTATTCTGCCTTTCTGACCTCCTCTTCATTGAAACCCTCCTCACTCTTCAAAGCCTTCAAAGTCTCGGATTGACTTTCCAACCACTTCTTGATAAATACAACGGGGTCTTCACTTAATTCTCTGTAAAAAGATTCCCTGTTGTTTGCACTCTGTAGTGCGACAATGCCGAGAGAGATACGTTGATTTAGATATTGCACAAGCTCATCCGACTTTGACATGCTTTCGAAGGCCTTCTTGTTCTCTTCGATGATTTCCTTTTCAATTTTGCTCATTGACAACGCTAATTCAACAGGGATGTCGATTACAACATCACCCAAAGTGGTTGATCTAGTAGTGTCCACTTCATATTCGATAACAATTGGCTGGCGAGGGCGCAAATGAGGCTGAATCAATTGATAAAGATCTTTAAATTTAAAGGCATCCACCTTCAACAAACCCTTCAATATGTCATCGCATTGGACGACAGACAAATCCGCTTCCTCATCGCCCTGTGAGCCTAAAGCCTGAGATGAGAGTGAGGAAGCCGAAACAGCGGGCACATTGGCGTAATGTTCAGCCTTCTTGAATAACTTCTTAAACAAAACGTACTGCCAGATCAGGTAAATCAATTCTTGTTGCGAGGCCTCACGCTTACCAGTAAACTGAGCCATCTCCTCCGAAACCAGAAGCTTGAAGGTATAGTCCTTTGCTAAGATAGCCACCTTGGCTTTGATTGGGAAAACACCTTGGCGCTTGACATCAATACCATCAAACAGCCACAGTGGAGAGCCATTTTTTAGCTGAGGATTACCAGCATTGTTGTTGTCTGCATCATTGCGCCATTCGATGATATTTGACTGACTGCCCTGCAATGATGGGTACTCGTTGTTGGGCACAATTTCGATAGAGATACCAGAAAGCAAAGAGCTGAACTTCATGTCCTCCGTCTCGGATTTCTCACCATTATCCTTGATAAAACGTCCCTCCACACGCAAAGTCCACGACGAGTCGCTATTGGAAGATTCATTCACGCTCGACTGGTTCTTCTGCCAAGGTTGGTTCTCGCATGTGTTGTAGACAAAAACACGCAAGATTCCAGTCTCTCTCTTCATGCTATTTGGCTGCATCGAGGAGGCCTGAACAGATTGGAAGTCCAAGCCTTTTTGTGCTATGAGCAAATCTAACTGTTTTTCGGCATCCTGGAGCTTCTTGTAGAGGTCTAAGTTTGGCACCTTGTCGTGCAATTTGGAAGGAATATTTGTCTCAGTGGGGGTGTAGGAAACAGCTGGAGCAGCAGTAGCTGGTTGGTATACCTTAGATGGTGCCTCGGCGACAGCACCTTGCTGCCGTTGCACATATCCCTGAGGTGACGCCATGGTTGATTATCAGATTGGCTGTTGAAAACAATTGACAAAATGTTTGAGGTGAGGCATACACCTGTACACCACTAGTTTGTGCACTGCATTTGACTAGGGACCATAGTAATCAAGGCCGTGGCTATATCGGAGAAACAATTGATCGAATGGTTACAAAGAAAAGTTTTTCTTGGGTTTACGCTCCTCGCAATGATTCGTAAGATACGTTTTGTAATTGAGTGGCAGCGATTCATGCTCCTTGGTTGCAAGATCTGCAGCAATTATGAGATGCTACCAAGAATGGAGCAATTATGAGATGCTACCAAGAATGGAGCAATTTCTCCGATCCGCTTGATTCTATAAAATAGCTTCAACTTTATTGGAGTCAACCTTATTGAAGTCACTAAGTAGATTACTTGCGTCGTTCATGACGTGAGATTTGCAAGCCAGTTCGCGAAGTATACGGAAAATTACTAAGATAGATGCTATTGGAGAGTTGTAGAAAAAAATGTTAAGCTCTAACTTCTTGTAGAATGAAAGGTGAATTTGAGAAAATTGCTAACATTTAGACATCATTCTACTCAGATAGGAGCTAAATTTTTGTTCAGCGCCGCCCGCTTACTTTCGCACCATTTCAAAGCCATCTCCTAGATTGGGATTTCACCATTTTTATCTGGGGATGTCATCATCAGCCTCTCATGGAGTGAAGGTACAGAAGAGGCGAATAAAGCCATCGGGGAACGGCGATTCCCAACGAAACGCTCGAATTCAGGAGATGAGAAAGAGAAAGAAGAACTTCTTCTTGCGGATCAGTTACCCTACTGTGATCACATCAGTCATCTTGCCATTGGCTGCCTTCACCTACCTCCTACATCAGAAGCTCAGCATACTACCGCAGAATAGGGCGACGCTCTACTTCTGCGTGGCCTACCATATATTCACAATGTTAGCATTCACGGCAGGATACCACAGGTGCTACGCTCATACACTGTTTCGCCCGAAGTATGGATTTCTCCAAGTCTACTTCGCAGTTTTTGGAGCAGGTATCGGCTTGGGACCTATAAGATGGTGGGCAGGGCTACATAGAGCGCATCATCAGTATACGGATGATCCTGATAAGGACCCATACTCGATCAGAAGAGGATTTCTTTGGGCTCACTGGGGATGGCTTTTGAAGAGGCCCAAGTCAGACGCCTTTTTCCGTGAATTTGTCGAAAATGAGTTCAGTACTGACGACGTCGCTCTGAATGAATTAGAATTTTCCAGGGAGCGGTCCAAGACGCATTACGAGAATTTTACTAGGGAGTACATCATTTGGCAAGAACAACGATACTGGCTCTTTTTTATTGTTTCGTCTATAATTATCCCAGTATTGATTGCCGTTTATTGCTGCGAGGACACCTGGATCAATGGTTTGGTTTATCCGGGTGTTCTCAGGATGTGTGCCTGTCAGCAGCTGCTTCTAAGCAGCGAGTCGTTCGGTCATTCCAGATGGCTTCCGCTCACGGTTCCAACGCAACCTTTCAATGATAAGAACTCGCTGGTCAATTGTATGAACCCTCTATTTGCGATGATTTCATTTGGGCAAAACCTGCAGAACTATCATCACGAATTTCCACACGACTATAGAGATAGTTCTGCATTGTGGGCTTACGATCCCACGAAATGGTTTATTGCAATCTTGTACCATTTGGGGCTTGTCGAGGATGTATCAAAAACACCCACGAACTTAGTTGTTCAGCTCCAAATCCAGCAGCAGCAGGCTGTTCTCAACAGACGAAGGTCTCAATTAAACTGGGGAACGCCAATTTCTAAGCTACCCATGATTACTGCAAAGGAGTTTAACAAGCTATGCGGTGCCGCAGATAACAAGCACCGTATCTATATTGTCATACAAAACATCATCCATGATATCACGCCATTTATGGATCAGCATCCTGGCGGTATCGCGTTGCTCAAGGCCTCACACGGTAAAGACGCTACTAAAGCATTTTACGGCGGAGTATACGGTCATCTGACAGCCGCTGTCAACCTACTAGCCACAATGCGGATTGGCGTTTTGGCACTGGGTAACGACGAGGATGTTTGGAGAAGGGTTGCCAGAGAAGAAGGCGAGGTGAGTGACGGAGACTCAAGAAGACAACAAAGTGGACTGCATTCGACGGCAGAGGCCGCGTGATTATTTAGCTAATAATTTAAATCCTATCTCTTATGTCGCAGTAGTTTCGCAGCCGACTAAAGCTCGATAAAACCTCAACTATCGAACACTCCTGCACTCCCTACACCCACCCATGTCTTCTTCAGTTCATTTTCCAAAAATCGACTACCGTGGTGCTACGGTAGAAGATTTGGACATTCGCCCAGCTATTTCCATCAACCCATCTACTCTAATCAATAGAGCCTTGGAGGTGTCATTCGAGAATGAGTTCACATACTTGCCAGTTATCGATGAAGACCATAAAACTCTCCTCGGGGTTTTGAATGTTGAGAACTTGGAAAAAAACAAGCTTACTGATGTCGAACCTATTACGAAGAACTATATGCTTTGGTTTAGTCAGAAGGCCAGAGAGAAATATGAGAAGAACTTTTCAAAGAGAACAGCCACACCACTTAATTCGAAGATCATCAGGCCAAAGCCAGGTAAAGGCAAGCATTACCATGTCCTTACGCCCTTGACGCCCTTGGAGACCCTTGCTGAGTTCTTCAATGCTGGCAACTTCTTCGCCATTATCACAAACGGAGAAGGCAGTTTAGTCTATGGTGTGGTGACGCCAGAAGACCTAACTAAATACGAACACTCAAGACCTCGCTTGTAAACCTTCTCATATAGCATTTAGTGAACATACTTACTGTGGAATTTCTAACACAAGTTTACCGGTAGTCTGTCTGCTCTCCAAGGCTTTTGCAGCCTTCACGTAGTCCTTCAATGGATAGGTTTCAAGCTTGAACTTGATCTTTCCATTATTGACCAGGTCGATCAAGACCTTGCTGTAATGCTCCCACTCGTCCTTCTCAGTGATGTACTTAAAGAGTTGTGGTGAGGAAATGCGTACGTTCTTGGGGCTCAGTCTGTAGATGGAAAATGGAGGGATGAAGCCGGATGCCTTTCCAAAGGTCACAAATGAGCCTTTTCTGGCAACTATTTCAAAGTTAGTGTCTACGACGTCCTTTCCCACACCATCGTAAATAACATCAGCGCCGTGCCCGCCAGTGATTTCTCTGATTTTTTGAACAACATCGTCGTTCTTCGAGTTGACAAGAAACTCAGCTCCGAGGTCCTTAGCTATCAGCAATTTCTCCTCACTCGAAGCAAGTGCAATGACTCGGCCACCAAGAGAGCTTGCGTATTGAACGAAGACTTGGCCAGTTCCACCAGCAGCTGCCCAAACAACCACGAAGTCTCCCTTCTTTATAGCATGAGCTTCGTGTGAGAAGGTGATGGCAGTCAACCCTTGCACTAGAATTGATCCGAACAACTTCAACTTCTCCTCCGAGGTATCTTCATCCAACTTGCGAATGAAATGGTAATTGTCATCGAGAGTGACCTTGGTGTACTGTGCAAACGTCTTTGATGACAAGTAGAGCACCTTATCCCCTTCCTTGAAATCATTCACATCTGAGCCAACTGCAGCCACAACACCCGAGGCCTCACGACCAAACACAATTGGGAGCTCCGCAGGGTATATGCCCCTTCTGAAGTAGCTCTCAATAAAGTTCACACCAGCATACTTGTTCTTGATGATTATATCGTGGGGCCCGTGATTTGAGGTGCTTCCACTTCCTTGTACTGGACGATATCAGGGGATTCGGAGATTTCCTCGGCAATTGCGACAAAGTGAGTTTTTGGAACTGTCATTTTTCTTATCTATATTGTAAATGTGAGTGATTGGTTTATATAGGCTAAGTAGGTACGCGGGTGAATGGTTACTAATCACCTCCACAGTCTCACATAAGTCCGATACCGAGCGCCACACAATACAGCACCAACATGTGGATGAATGCCCAACAACTCAAAAAAAGCAATTGAGCCCATAGAAGCGTATAAATCAAGAGCCTTAAATGAAGGGATCAAGTCCCAGTAGAAAATTTAAACTGGCTTTCCTTCCAGTTGTGTTATTTGTTATCTCCCTGGAGGTTAATGCAGTTGTATAGCAAGCTCCTAGCCAATTCACTCATAGATGTAGACGCAAAGGACTAGGAGGAACCCTTCTTCCCTTTCTTAACTTTCCCAGATGTCGGCTTTTTCACGTTTGTTTTGGCCTTCTCGGCGAGAAGTCTTTCGGCGCTGTCGCCATGTCTTGCTTTGCCGTCCTTGTATGCGTACTCCACAATCACTTTGTTGTTCATAAGAATTGCCCCATTCATCCTTTCTATAGCTTCGTCACTGGCCTCGAAGTTGTCGTATTCAACAAAGCCATGACCTTTAGAATTCCCGTCATCGTCTCTCATGACCGACGCTTCAAGTAGGTTTCCAAATTTACCGAACGTCTCTTTCAAGTACTTATCATCAACCATCGGGTTCAAATTTTTGATGAAAAGTCTCGCTCCAATGCTTAAACCGATATCCTCTCCGGTGCCTGCACCAGATGCAGAGGGTGTGCTTGCTTGTGGGTCGGTCTTCTTCATTTTCAAAGTCTTGCCAAAGAGTCTAATGCCACGGAGGATCTCCAAAGCATAGTCTGCATCTTGAGGTGTTCGTAGTTCAACAAAACCATAACCTTGATGTTTCCGCAGAATGCGGTCCTTGGGAAGGTTGAGCAGTTTCACTGGACCTAACTGAATAAATAGCTCATAGAGCAATGGTTCATCAACTTCGGCGTCTAGATTACCAATGTATAGCGAGGCTTGCAAATTCCGCTCAGAATCCAGGGGTTTTTTGAAAACATTCATTAGAACCAAGGTGCTGATACATCGAGCTCATCGATGAATCTACACCGCGCGCATCTACCACAGCTAACCAATATGACCATGAATCGTACTATACAATTTTATGCAGAAAATCCCTCCTCTTCATCTTTATCCGATGATGCAAGAGAGCTACTCAATCCCGTGATGCTTTGGGGAGCAAGTGTTTCGGGTTCAGGATTCTTCGATGAGGCTTCCTCAGGTGCTTCAGCATCCGAGTCTGACGAGTCTGAATCGCTATCGGACGACAGACTGTCGCTGGAGCTTGAGTCTGAATCACTTTCGCTTTCCAGATCACTGTCAACGCCGTATGCATCCTTCTCTTCCTCCATGTACTCTTGCCATGTCTCTGGGGAGAAAGTAACGTAGAACTTCGGATACTCAAGCACAACCTTGTTGGCAAGAGCTTTAGCAAGAGTCTCCTCTGGGTTCAACTTGATGACGGATCGTTTACCCATGCTTATAACATTTTCAATACTGAATTGAATCTTATCCTTCTCCACGCTTTCGGGATCAACACCTATGGCATTAGCCAACGGGGTCACCGAAAGGGCATCTCGAAGAATAGCATCCTCTTTTATGCGAAAAGACGTGAAGCTTGCTAATTGGCGCCCATCCTCGTTGACAGGCACCCACTCCACAGTCCATGTATATGTTCCAGCTTTCTTGTCGTAGCCGGACTTATTTTGAGTTGATCGGGACATCCCTGAAGGAAGGGAGATTACCAAAACATTGTCACGTTTCAATGCAAAATTAGGGGAGTCGAACATCTTATTCACTCTCGTGACTCTGGCGTCTGTGTTATCGATTCTTTGCCTTTTATTCTGACCAGCGTGTCTCTTAAACATGACCCTTGCGTTCTGTTTGGTATCGCTGACCCCAAGGCCAATCTTTCTTTCAAAATTAAGCAAGTAATTATAGTCTCTGTTTATAAGCGATGGGTTCTCGGTCATCTCCTTTCGTGGCACGAACTTCGCTGGATCAACTTCGCCGGTACACTCTGATCGAAGCTTGTGGCGCTTGACACATTCTGCTGAGCATGTTTTAGTACCACATGCTGGACAAGTATACCTGGATTCCTTCTCAAGACATATAAAACAGCTTTTATCTGCCATTGGGCAATAAGAGATAACAGGTAGAGCGATGAGCATCAGATTCCTGTATCGCCTGTAGTATGGGGTACGCGGCGAGATACTGATCAAGAATAACTCACTAAAAGTGCTTTTAGAAGAGAAAGTAGTTGTATCAAGGGTATTTCATACAGCTTTATATGTTATCTGTTAATAGTAGAAAAGTCAGAAATGAAAAGTAAGAGGCTGGGAAGATATGCGCCCAAGTCTTCCCAACGCTTCTTCTATAAATGAAGCTGCAAGAGAATTGCTATATTTGAGTTGGCAGCTAATACGATGGAGCTACCAATCAAGAGATTCAGACATCTTGTCAACTTTGTGTCGACAATTGAACCGACTTACTTTACGGCCATGTATCCGACTAACACCTGTGCACCATAAAAGCGAGTAGTCCAAAATTTTCAAACCCGTATACTGAAGATCAAATAGTGTTGACGATGTCCTGTCCTAGATTGCAACTTTCTGTGGCTAGGCAGTTTACACGGAACATAAGCAGGGGCAAGTCAAAGAAGGTCCCGGTGCAGTTACTCACAGACTTCCCACCACACGGGGTCAAGGGCCAGATCATAGACGTGGCTCCCTCTTTCATGAGAAATGTCCTCCATGTCGATAATAAAGCATGTTACATCACTAAGGACCATGGACCTCGGATTCCAGTTGTTGATGCTCCAAAGGTTGTTCTCACGAGAACCACTAAAAAGGTCAAAGCAGCGGAGCCTGTTACACCAAAGGAGAGCCTGCCTGCATTATCTTTAGACGAATTGTCTGCTTTGTTTTCCAACATGAAGAGTGCATCAAAACTGTCAGTCACCAACATGAATGCCTCTGCGGATCTGTCGGGTGTCATTGCCAGAGAAGTCAACTCCTCTGTGCCTGAGACCTTGAGCTTCCAATTTGGAACGCTGAAAGCCCCATTCACCACCACCGAGCTTGCTGAACTCATATACAAGTCGAGCGGAATTGAGCTTGCGAAGGATAGCATATTTCTTCAAAATTCGGCAGGCAAGTCTCTTGAGAACTTGTCGGAGACTGGAACCTATTACTGGAAGTATAACAGCAGCGATGGTGAAACTGACAGGAAGAAGATCATAATTAACTAAATCTGTATATAGAATAGATCATTAACTGGGAATTGTTTGTGAGAAACTCTCCGGCGATATGTGAGTGAGAAGGTGCGAAGTGTTGCACCCATTCATACATAGTCTTGCTTTTCATGTCAAATATTCGATTCACTGCAGCAAACCTGTCAAGAATCAAAAAGCCAAGCTCCAACCCCAAGAAAGGACCCCTCTCTCCATTGAAAAGCAAGCCCAAGCCGAAGCAAAAGGTGAAGAAACAGGATGAGGAAGATGGCTCAGAGGAACCACTACAAGTGGTATCACTGAGGGCTAATCTTGATTTCCAGATCCAAAATTACACAGGCATAGTTGACGCTATTGATACTGTTGTTGAAAATCAGTGGGCAGAAAAAACTTGCTTTCATAATCGTTATTATAGCGAGCAGGCTAAAGAAGGTAGTTCTGCTACTGATCTTCTTTTCTCACTCCGAGGACTCTCCATGGAAACAAAAGCCGAAATTATTAAGTACCGAAACCAGCAGCTACCCAATGGTATGCTCACTCTTAACCAGCTATACTCGATGTTTCAAGACCAAGGTAATACATTTGTGGATAGAAGTCTTGAAATGTGTATACGCGACGGTTTAGTCAAGAAGTTCATCATTACCAACGCTCTGCCGATAATTCTGAGGACTGGAAAAGGAGGCCAAAACTCAAAAGTGACATACGGCTATGAAAACATCGAGGTTGTCGTAAAAATCGAGCATTATATTGCATTAATCGAGGAAATTGCTGATGGTCTGGATGGAGCGACGGCTGCTGCTTTGGGAGAGTTTAAACAGTTCGTGAAGGGTCACCCTGAGGCACTTTCGATTTGTACAACAGATATCTCTGCTGATCATTTGTCAGCATTGGTGAAGACTGGTGTAGTTACACTAACTTCAAATCACCACAATGAGATCAACGTTCATCAGTACTCGTTGGCATATCCTCGGTGCGGTACGTTCCTTAAAATGATAAATTCGGGACGGTCGTGGCTTGTGAAGACTTTAAACAAATCAAAATTCAAGGAACTCCTTGAGGAACAACTATTTGAGAAATGGGAAGGTAAAAATAAGGCAAACTTCCGGAAACCGTTTTATGGCTATGACCTAATGTGGGTTTTGGCCGATGCTTTGGGAGCCGGTGTGGCTGAGGTATTCAAGACCCCTGTGGGCAGGGGCTGGCGTCTTACAGGTAAAATATAGAAAAAGCATGATATTATTATTGCGTGCTTGCAAGGTTGTAAAAACGTCCTATGATGTAGGGATCTAACTTCTCACCTTCATTTTCTTCATGGCTTTTCTCTGCTTCCTGTCTTGAGCTTTCTTCTCGGCCTTCATTTGCTCCTCTCTCGACAAGTTTCTGAACTTCTCCCTCTCTTGCCTCTTCAACTTAGCTCTTTCCTCGGCCTCGGCTTCCTTTTTGATATCCTCCTCAAGCTTCTCGAGCTTGGAGATTTCGAGCTCTCTGTTCTTGACTACCTTTCTAACAGCCTCGGGCTTGAAGGTGATCTTCTTCTCTGACAACTCGTCAACAATCTCGAAAACTGCACCAAGAACATCAGATACCTCCTTCAACTCTTGCTTGTTGCCGGTCAAGTTCAACGAAATAACGACTCTGCGCTGGGGATACAAGTCGCGAATAGCTTCGGGCTTCTCATTTGGCTGATCGGTGAAAGCGATGAACCTCACCACAGAAGCCAAGCCCAAGGTCAAGGATGAGGCAAGCTTTTCAGTAAAAGTCTTCTCATGGAACTCATTGACTTCACTCATGAACACGAAGGACTCGGGCAATTTGTCAGAGTCACTGGTCTTAGTCAAAGCCAAGTAGTAGTTGAACTTTCTGTGGTCACTCATACCAATCTTTGAAACAATTGCACTGATGAAGTTCTCGTAGTCCCCAGATGGTGTAATTGAGATGTCGACCCTATCATTTGGAGCCGGCACAGATTCGGTGAAAAAGCTGAAGCCAGTCTCCATAATCCACAAGAAGATGTTCTGTCTAGGAGCCAATTTGAAGTTGATATTGACCTTCTCGATGTTCTCACGTCCAGATGCGTAAGAGGAGTAGGATTCAGCACTATCCTTGACATACAACTTGCCGTCGCCAACGCCGTACTGGGCGAAATTGTCCTCAAAGACATCCTTGACACCAGCAAGAAAAGACGACACCTTGCTGTAGTTGTACAAATCACCACCTTTGTAGAAAAGAACAAACAAGAATGTAAAGGCCAAGGTGAAGATTTCCATTCTCCAGTCGGAGATTTTCACTCTTTCGAGCAAAGTCATGGACGTCAACTCATCCAAGGTGTACGAGGTGTACAATTTCCTTTCTGTTAGTGAATTGAATGCTATTATTAACTGTGAAATGAACATACCTTGGAGTTCCATCGGGATTGACAAGCCCAGCCTTGAAGTAATCCAAAATTGCGTCAATCATGGCTATGATGAGAGTAGTGGAATAGCGATTTGATATTTCGTCCACTGTAGCGACGTAATCCTGTATGGATTGGAAGCCGCCCGAAAGCACTACACTCCACTTTCCATGGCTAAATGTCGTTTTGAGAGGAAACGTATTCTTGAGCTTTTGATTTTAATTTAAATTATTTTTGACTGGTCGCTCTCGCTGGCTCCGACTTTCCTGATCCCCATACGAGCTTGATCAGATATTGCAAAATACAAGCTGGTTCCCATTCTATTAAAACATATCAGCTCTATACACCTGGGCTTCAATGCTGGCGCCTAAAATTTACTCCTTCCTTCTTTTGGCATCCGAAGCTTCATCACCGTGGTATTGAGCCAAACCGTCTCTAACGGCCGATGTGACAAGCTCTCTGAGAGCCTCTTCCGGGTTTTCACTGTTCACGATTGCCTCCAACTTCTTCCTCCTCTCCTCGTCCATCTCGACTCCTTCTTGGTCCTCCTCCATGGTGTATCGAATCTGGTGACCCTCGGTTTCCCCTGGTGCCGGAAGATTATCTAATAGCGAGGACGATGGCTCATCATGTGTCAATGAGCGTAAGTATTTGGCAAGTTCTGGGAACTCGTCTTCTTCTTCAATGTACTGTGCTGGCGTCTGACCCTCGCCATTTTTGATCTTGTAGTCTGCCTTGAATTCTTCAACAAGAGCAGTAGCGGTTGCTAGATCTTCAACGTGATGTAAAGGAGTGTCACCCTCTTCGTCTTGAATATTTATGTCGCCGCCTTGCTCGATGAGATAACGAAGAAGGTCGAGATGCCCGTAAGAGGCAGCTGCGTGGATAGGGGTGTAGCCATTAGCGTCTTTTATATTTGCAGTACACTCACCAGATTCGATGTACTTTTTGACAAGTGCTTGGTCGTTGTCGGCAGCTGCTACCCAAATGTTGGATACCATGATGGTGGTTTATCGAGAAGCTTTCTGAGAGTCCGGCAGAGATATCTCTTCGCAGCCTAAAACTTCACATCTTCTCGATTTACATACTACGCTCCAGAACGCTTGTTTCCTCATTTCTGTCTTCTCGAATGAAAAAAAGGAAGTTAGGTTAGTTTTGTTTATCGCCTGAAATTACACCTCCATTTGTAAACCATGAAGGTAACATTCGCCTCTGTCTTCGAAACCCATCTCCTGCATAAGTTCCGACACTCCACTACTTCTTCTTCTCTATGGTTCAGGAACAATCGGCGTTGAAGACGTCACCGCCGGAGAAGCTTTCGGGTTTTGAATGGTGGAGACGCTCGTTGCTGTATAGAACAGGCTTGGGCATGTCTGATGACGAAAAGGCTCAGTTTGAACACGACTACAGAGAGAAACACATGAATACCAACTGTGAACTGTGTGATGAGAATAGAGACTGGATGCTCCGATACTCACCGAGTGTCAGATTCATGATGGATCATGTCAATAAACTTGGAGGCAACTTGAGCACGCAGAACATTATTTGTGACAAATGTGACGATCTCAAAGGTGGGGGCTTCCATCCAAAGTATGGTATTTTGTTGTGCTCAAACTGGATTCAGGACAAGTGGCAACTCGAGGACGTCTTGACCCATGAGCTTGTTCATGCGTATGACCATTTGAAGTTTAAGGTTGACCTTACAGATTTGAAGCATCATGCTTGTACAGAAATACGTGCTTCTATGCTTAGCGGGAATGCAGAATCATGAGAGAGATCCAGAAAACGGGCTTGAGCAACTTCGGAGGAAAATTCCAAGACTGTATTAAGAGACGTGCCGTTCTCTCGGTGGCGGCAAACCCAAATTGTAAGAACCAAGAGACTGCTCAGCAAGTCGTGGAAACTGTCTGGAAATCGTGCTTTAACGATACAAGACCATTTGAGCGGGTGTATCGCTAGTTGTAAATAGTATGCAAGGGCCCAAGGCAACGTTTCTCAGGCCAAGAATAAATAGTATGTGGGAGGTGACTTGTGTTCCATTTTTGGGCTCAATTGCATTCAATAGCTAAAATTGCCCTTTACAGGTTGGTCTAACAAAATGGTGACGCAATCGGCAATCATTTGGATCCTTTGCATAGTACACCGGGCTTGTGTCACCGTGTAGGCTGCTTCAAATGTTGCCGAATGCGTACAATCGCATCGGAGCTTCTATCACAGATATGCAAATGTCAATTGTAGGGCTTAGTTGGCACTCACAAAGTTCGTTTGCTTCCTGTTCCTCGCATTAGTGGCTCAGGTGGTTCACGTTGACTGTGTATTGCCTTGGATTGTGTCACGACGTGCGCAACGCTTTTCGGATAAATCGGTTGAAGCCTCTCCAAGTATTTGCGAGCCGGAGTAGGGCGGAAAAATGTTGGCCTAGCCTGTCTTTGCAGAAGTTTGGCTTTTTTTGCCTTCCGTAATTCTGCCCCTCCTGCTTAAGCGCACATCTGCAACTGTTGCTGCGTTTTGTATGAGACTCAGTTTCAGAAACCTGCAGAATGCCAGGCAGTCTGCCCATATATTATGACAATTTAGGGTGTTCCGATAACTCATACAAAGCTTCTTTAACTTGATTTTAATATGGTGAAACGCTCGAGTACGGAGGATAACTTAGAAAGGATCGCCAACAAGGCATCTGAAACTCGGAAACCCTTATCAACCGACTTTTACAATTCCAGTTTGACGAATCTGCCCACAAACAGTGAGGCCTCAAGAACACCTGAGGAACTTCTGGATGAGAAGGCCCCGGTACCGGAGAGTGTGGCAAGCCGTGTTCGCCGGAGAACTAGGGTGACGAAAAAGCCGGTGGCACACGGAACGTTCGATGCCTTGGATGACAAACTGATAGAGGGCATTTTCAATAAGCTCAATACAGTTTATCATGACCGGATGGAGCGAAACAAGAGAAAGGGGACGGTTTTCAAATCAAGCTTTGCTGATTTAAGTGCTGATCCCGTGCGCTACACCATTCTAGACTCGCCTTCAGTGATAAACTCCCAGTTCTACGGGTTCTTCATTTTGTTTTGGCTAGCAATTGCATTTTTCATATTGAAGGATGCTCTTCATGCTGTTTTTGAGGATGGCCTCTTCATTTACAAAGCCCCAGTGTTCCAGATATTTGTTGCCGGACTCCCAAAGATAGCAATAACCGACGGTCTCATGTACTTGACCACTTACTTTTCTTACCTCGTTCAAAATCTTTGCCTCAATGGCCACTTGAGCTGGTCTCGCAGCGGCTGGATCATTCAGTCGATCTATGAGCTGATCTTTTTCTGTTTTTGGGTCAGTTACCTATTGTTTTTCGACTTCCAATGGATTGGTAGGGTGTTTTTGGTGCTTCACATGTTCGTGCTATTGATGAAAGTTCACTCATATGCTTTTTACAATGGGTATTTATGGAGAATCTTGCTAGAGTTGAAGTTTTCTGAAGCATATTTGGAGAAGTTGAATGCTAAAGCAGCCAAGCTCCCGTCTCAATTCGAGGAAAAGCATATTAGAGTCGTGCTTAACGAGAGCGTCGCCTTCTGCCGTTTTGAACTTCTCCATCAATCTGTTGCGATCACCAACGAGGATGAAGTTGACCCACAGACGTTAGCAAGAAGCCTCGAAAGTTTGCAGGACGACAAACTGGTAAAGTTCCCTCAAAACATTACCTTCAAAAATTTCTTCACTTTTACAATGTTTCCAACTGTTGTCTACGAACTAGTGTTTCCACGTACAGAGAGAATCCGGAAATCTTTCTTGTTTGAGAAGATCACAGCAATCTTCGGTATCATCTCAATCATGCTTTTTGTGGCTGAATACTCAATTTACCCCTTGTTGTGAGATCAATTGAGTTGAGAGAAACCAATTTGAGCTTGCTTGATCGCCAGGTAGCATACATTTTGTTACTCGTGGATATGATTCCGCCTTTCATGGTTGAATACCTCCTTGTATTCTACTTGATTTGGGATGCTATCTTGAATGCTATAGGTGAGTTGAGCTATTTTGCTGACAGGGATTTCTATGGGCCCTGGTGGTCCTGTGTTGACTGGTTTGAGTACGCCAGGCTCTGGAATAAGCCTGTTCATCGGTTCTTACTCAGACATGTCTACCACTCTTCCATCAGTGCTTTTCGACTCAACAAGGCCCACGCAAACCTAGTGACCTTCATTATCTCCAGCTTTATTCATGAGTTGGTCATGTACTCCATCTTTGGTCGCCTCAGAGGTTACTTGTGGTTGTTTCAGATGAGTCAAATACCGTTGGTGATGATTAGCAGGACTAAGTACATGCGAGACAAAAAAGTCCTTGGCAATGCGATTTGTTGGATGGGCTTCACATCTGGCCCAGCGATGATTTGTACTTTATATTTAGTTTTTTAATGCCCAAGATTTTTTACTGATCTTTCTAAATGGCTGCAAATTCGAGATGGTGTCACGTGCAGGATTTTCTAAGGGAAAATAATCTCAGATCGCAGAGCTCATCTCGAGGTACTCCAAGATACAGCATGTCCAGGCCTGAAGAGATCGCCCCACCAGAGGTGTTCTATAATGATTCCGAGTCATTTAAATACACGTCATCCACTCGTGTGCAGCATATCCAGGCGAAGATGACCCTTAGAGCTCTTGAACTACTCAACCTTGATTCAGACTACCCTCACTTCATCCTAGATTTGGGATGTGGGTCTGGTCTTTCAGGAGAAATTTTAACAGAAGAAGGCTACAACTGGATTGGTATGGATATTGCCCCTAGCATGTTGGCCTCAGCGCTAGATAGAGATGTTGAAGGCGACCTATTCTTGGCTGATTTAGGTAATGGTATCCCTTTCAGAGCAGGTACTTTTGATGCTGTGATATCCATTTCTGTCATTCAGTGGCTCTGTAACGCTGATACAGCTGGTGTTGATCCTAAGAAGAGACTTTTACGGTTCTTCAATACATTATTTGCATCTATGGTTCGCGGTGGAAAGTTTGTCGCCCAGTTTTACCCTATGAACGACACACAGACGCAGAACATCCTAGAAGCTGCTAAAGTCGCTGGTTTTGCTGGTGGATTGGTGATAGACGATCCAGAGAGCAAGAGAAACAAGAAGTATTACCTTGTTCTTTCTGCCGGTCAGTCTGAGAGAACACTCAACTTAACCGGTGCACAGATGGAAGCTGATGGCAAGACCAAGAAGCTTAACAGTAAGATGAGGAAGAAGTTGGAGTCTAACAAGGAATACATCAACAGAAAGAAGGAACTCATGAGAAGGAGAGGCCGTACGGTCGCTCATGACTCCAAATTTACGGGAAGAAAGAGACGGTCGAGATTTTAGTGGTGGCATTATGATTTGTATATTTTTTAGCATAGTGATATACTGCATTGATAAAGTGCATTTGCAAAACGTTAACATAGGTCTACGACCGACATTCTCTGTGGCCTGCATATTTGAGACCTCTAAAAAAATTGAAGCTTCCAACTACACATTTCATCAGTACCAAATGCTTGGTTTGAGAGTTCCCGGATTGAGGAGCTTGGCTCAGTCTTTTGCTAGACGTGCCTATTCAACGCCGAAGCCCGTTAGTAAGGGACAAGAGGGTACGTATACATACTTCACTATTACATTTTCAATCACTAACCTTTAGCTGTCTTTCAACCACTTCCCAAGAAGAGGAACGGCGAAAACGTCCTCACATTTTTGCATAAACAGCTCGTCAAAAAACATGACCCTACTGGTAAAAGATCTGCCTTGGTAGCCCCCGATGGATTAAGGGCGGGCGATGTCATAAGGGTTACCTACACCGACAGAACCAGCGTTCTTGGCCAGCTCATTGGTATCAAAAGAGGAAATCACAACATAGGTACAAACCTTCATATCAGAAACAAAATGAACAGGATTGGCGTTGAGATGAGAGTGCCCTTGTTCAGCCCCAACATCAAGAACATTGAGCGTGTCTCACTGCCCAAGAAGTACCCCTCGAGAAAAAAGCACTACTACATCAGAAACAATCGTCTCGATGTTGGCGATTTGGAAAATGCTCCAAAGCACAAGTCTTCTTAAATATTGTACATAGTTATCCGGATAAATTATTGAGTTTTGCCGAAAGTTCAGACGCAAACCTGTTGCGGAAACCAGGCGAAAGGCTGTCTAGAAGCGCCTCAAACGTAGGGAAGAACTCACTTTTTCCTACTTCGTGCCACCCTGCAATGCATACAGAGATGCTAATGTTCTTCTCTTCGTGAGTCCTGAGCTTGATATGTGATACTGACCTTCGACTGAGGGCCCTGTCATATATACTATCTCCAGACGTCCCTAAGTCCGACTTAAGGTAAATACTGCACTCCGGAAAGTACAGCTTGTACTCCTGGTGTATGGCTCGTAGCTCGCCATGTGTGTCCATGAAAAGAAAGTAGTAAAGAGAATGAGAAAAAAAAAAAGATGAAGGATAATTGTAGCCACAACTGATTCCCAACGCTCCATGTAGAAGTCAACGTCAGGCGCCCAGCAACGTGCTTATCTCTCTACGCTGGCGTCCCTAATGATCGACGTGGTGATCACGTCGGCCAAATGTAAGGAACGTACTTGCGATTGATGTTAAAGAAGAATCTCAGAATGCGACTTGCGAAGAATATATACATTTTTCAAGTGCGGGTAACGATTGAGGTGAGATGGCACCCTGGAAGCAAGAGGTCTACACTAGCGAAATCTCTGGAATCAGAGGCTCGTGTTCGAATTACTTTAACGAAATGTAGCCCTGTGATTATCGTTCTTTAACTTATCGTATGATATCTTCTACCGCCAAAATACCGAGTATTCGCTCCGGCTGCTAAACCTTGATCGTTATTGATTCGACTAGTATAGAAGATATTCATGTTCTAAAGGTTGCTTTTGAACTGACAACTCTCAATTGGTTCAATATTTGTATCGAATTCAAAAGGTTCGTCGATTTTTCCACTGCCGAGTTTTCATGCACACCAGAATCTACTTTCTTATCCATGGATACCCCAATCGAAAAGTTCATTGGAACGGCCATGAGGATCAAGTTGCTCGATGAGCGGGCCATCGATGGGGTCCTTACGGTCGTTGACCCATTTGGTAACTTGTTGCTCACAAATCTGTACGAAAATTCTCGAGACAAGATCGATCCAACGAGCATCAGGAGAAGAGAAGTGGGTTTGGTTAGTGTCCCTAGAGACCAGATAACGAAGGTCATGATTGACAAGCGCCAGAAGGGGATCTTGGGAGACGAATAGATCTACGGTGGTCATTGGCGTACCATTACAAATTTCATGCGCTGAGTTCTTCAATTAGCCAGATATTGGGTACCTCTCTCGACTCCTTCGACTGGAAGAGATACAAAATATCGGACTATTTAAGTGATGCGCTAGCGGCTATGTTTTGCCCTATCGACGGTTCTATGTCGATGAGGAGGTGTATCCCGCTTGTCGATCACAGAGCCATCCTTGTTGAACTCTTCGGGCGTTCCTTGCCTCATTAGCCCTTGGATACGAGTTTTGCTTCTAACTTTGGTACCCATTGGAAAATGACTAAGCGAAGGCAACTGGCCTCGGAAGTCCTGGAAGTATTCTTGATACTGCTCAGGAGGAATGGCGTGTCGAACAGGGTCGTGGGGTCTTCCATGCTCGAGACACGTTCCAATGAAATGATCTCTACTGGCTTCAAAATTCCCCACGGGGCATATATCGACTAGGCAGCCCACAAGCGACTCCTTCAACTGGCACAAGCACAGAAGGTCGTGGTGGCTTCCAGGGCAATAGTGTGCCACTTCGTTGATACAGCTGAGGAAGCACGCAGGCGGGGTCGCCAATATAGTTGTCCAATGGAATACAGATAAAAGTAGTATTTTCAACATTATACGTAGAAGTGCTAAGGCGCGAGTTAATTCAATTTTGCAGCCAGTTTTTATATGCGCACCCAAATCGTGAACCTCACAAATTAAATGCCACGTCCATTTGAATTGCAAAACAAATCAAGATAGATATGAGAGAAGTCTTTACAATTACAATCGCCTTCGAAACCACATGTCTATTTGAAAGTATTAGATTTTTTGTCTGGGCAGAGGCTTGGGCAGAGGCGAAGCGAGACCGCGGGCTCGAAGCAACAAGATTTTGTGCCATCCAACAAAGGCTTCGAACAAAGGCATGCTTCTATGTCGTAGCCATCTCACAGGATCCTCGAGGCGAAAAAAAAAAAAAAAAAGCTCCCAAAGTAATTCAAATGGCCGTTCACAAAAAAAAAAAAAAACAAATCCAGTAGAAGAAGTCGCTTGGCTGCCTAAATTTACTAGACTGCGATCATCCGTTTGTCCAGCCTGCCCACTGTTCCTGAAGCCAGAGTACCTGCACATACCCAGGCTTCCGGAACTATGCTGTGTGTCGCGCCTTAAATCTATAGCTGTCAGACTCAGTGCTGTTTTCACGCTTTGAAGTTGTTCAATCCACCACCTAATCTTATTCTCGTCAAGGCGGAAAGGAGGCTTACACTAGGTAGAGGCAAAGATGCAAGGCTCATACAAAAATAATGGCCTCCCCAGGCCGTACTACATGAAACCACATTCGAAACGAACCAAAGCATATGAGAAGATGCCCAGGCAGTTCTTCTTGACCAACTCCAGGAAGTTGTCAGGATATATCGTCATGCTATTCTTTTTTGGGCTTTGTATTTACATGATCTCACAAGAGTTGAAAGAGAAACCAGACATTGCGTACGAATTAGTGGACCCTCTTGAAAAACAAAGTGATAACAACGGGACGTCGGCAAACTCGTGGACTCCTCAAAGATGGAGGATCGTGCGGACGAAAAAGTGGCTTTGGCTAGCAAGGAGCAAAACATTGTGGTCGAAGCACCCAAGGGCGGATCGGTGAACGAGGGCCCAATTGTGGGCAACGACGAGGGACTTGTTGTGGACGGAAAACCTAGTAACAACAAGAATGCTGGTAAGATTGGAGCTGGAAGTGTTCAGGCCGCTCGTGGTGATCAGATTGCCCCACCAGGTGAACCCTCGAACGATCGAGATTTGCTGAAACTTCTTGAGATCTCCGAGGATGCCCAAAACCCAGGCGGCGTTCCTCGAGGCGATTCAGAAAAGAAGATTTAGAGGCAAGACGGCATGGTTTAGCCAAATGATTTATACCATCCCCAACGGCATTTTAGGAACGTCATATTCAAATCATCGATTAGGTGTGATGAACATGACAGACACATAGTAATTTACGATTCAACGATGCGAAATCAGCGATACCCCGTATTTCAAGATAGAGCCATTGTAACTAAGGAATAAACCAAATTTCAGAGTGTAAGCAAAAAAATAAGGTCGCACTGGGGATCGAACCCAGGTTGTGAGAATCAGAATCTCAAGTGATGCCACTACACTATACAACCTTAACTGATTTTCCTAACAAGCTGGTAAAATATATTCTATGAAATGTTTGATGGTGCAAAATCTCAATTTCGCCGAGCGAAAACAACAGATGTTAATTCTGATGCGTTAGTGATGCCTGCTACAAAGTTTCAGCACCATTGGTTGAATTTGGAGTGAATTAAGATCGTATTTATTATTCGACGTCAGGCTGTCCATAATTATTGCCCCGACACCTTTAGTAGCTCATGATAAGAATAGCCAGGCCACTGTCAAATCCTTGATGGCGTCCAACTTGATGAGTTGGTAAGCCCTCCTTATATGCGAGTCGTAGAGGGCCATGGGAGAAATGGTTCCTACTTGGGGTTTACATTGCTAAACATCACGAGAAATAAAATGGGACTTTCTTGAGTAGAAGAAGTATTTTGTTAGTGAATTCCAGTATGCTAAAAAGCTACTGAGAGGTATAATGGTTTTGCCGTACAGTTGCAAAAGCGGAAAGAGTTTGGTAATCTCCAAAGTAAAGCTAATGCAAAGGATCCACAAATCAGGAGAACCTTACACCTTTTTAAAAATTAGTACTACTTACTGGCCTGCAAACTACTCACTGGAAAGAGAGAATACGGCGGAACTCAGCTTGCTACAGATTATAAGCGAAAGTACTGTAAATCAAGCAGATAGAATAGTATATTCTCATACCCATGACATGACCTTCGGATGTTTGCTTAGGTATACTGAGAACCTACTTATAAATACTAAGAAGCCAAGCACGGTTGGTTCATGTTAAAGCATTATCAAAATTAAGAGCATGGTACGACAAATTAACTGCGCCAGAAGTCAGACATACTTAACTTCGAATAATCAGTGCCCTTTTCAGTATCAGACTAAGAAGTGGGTATGAGTTATGCTCCTCGATATCTAGACTCAAATAGAATCAGGAACCACGAAATTAGTCGATTCTTGGGTGCTTGCCAGCTCAATTGCAATCAATTGGGGTAGAGTTTAAAACAAATGCACGTCACTCTTATGAGATCGATAGAGACAACTGTTTCAGGCTTGGGATGGATGGCTGCAAATAGATGCGATTGTAGGTCCATACCAAGAAATCTAAAACAACTAGATGGTGGAGTATCATAGATTACATAAGCCCAGCTACTTTTGAATAGACAATAAACAGTCATCATCATAACTCAGGCCTGCTTTCTTTCAGCTCTTGGAGGGTATTGAGAACGAAGGTCAGCAAAACGGATAAACAAGAAGAGATAAGAGAGAGTTCAATAAGCGCGACAAAAGTCATAAGAATTAATTTTGCGTGATTTTAGAATTGAGAGATTGGCAGCTCAATGAAGTAAATTATTTTTCCAATAGAACAGTGGTAACCTCGGTAGTAAGTGTTGGGTGCGAAAAACGTTATCTTCTGTAACAAAAGGCTGATATGCAAAAAAAGAAATGTCAATTTAAAAAAATTGGCGTGACCGAGCAGTGTCAGGGTAATCCGGCCAGGAGCTTCAGAACTTGGAGTTACCAAATCGGTTCCAAAGAAGTGTCGTCAAATGGAGTAAGATCAGAGTCGGTTTGGTATGAGACACGTTGTGGGCGGGTAACTTACAGCGTGATGAGGTAGTCTCATATGGGTCTTCGGATCCCACCCGTACCTCCGAAGAGTTTTGGCGGTTGCTCGTGTTATACTTGACACAGCGATTTACAAATTTCATAATTCTAAGAGGAAAGTGCAAGCAGGCCAAAAGCTAGATATAAAGCTCTTCACTCTTACGTGGCACAAACGGAAGCAGATGGTCCACTGGCAAAAGAAATGCTGCAGTCCCTGCATAGACGGTGCCTGCTCACTGAAAAATTTTCCTGCCTTCTCGTTTTAATGTATTTTTTTGCTTTCTTTTGGCCTCACTAGCCAGTGCCAGTGCGACATATAAAAAAAAAAAATTCTGCTGACCTCTTCTTCTTTTTTTTTTCTTCAGCATTGGAAAGAATGTCTGCTGCCAGTGAATCTAAATATTCGACTGAAGTCCTTTCCGAGTTGTTGAGCAAATTGCAAGTTGCCGACAACAAGGACGAGGCCGCTGCTAACGTTTCTTCGTTCTTGAACGGTTCCATCATCGAGCACGATGTGCCTGAGGAATTCTTCAAGGACTTGAAGAACCAGATCAACAACAAGAAGGATGTTGGTGTCGTCGTTGCCGCTCTTAAGGCTTACGAGCACATTGCCTCTCCTAACGGCATGAACCCTTCTGTTGAGCCATACGTTGTCTCCTTGGCTTCTGACGTTGCCACCAGAACCGGTGACAAGAACAAGGAGGTTGCCGCCACCGCCGCTGCTGCTTTGTTGGCTCTTGCCAAGGCTATCACCCCAACTGCTATCAAGGCTCTCTTGCCAGCTTTGTTGGAGAACTTGAGCACCACCAACAAGTGGAACGAGAAGACCGCCATCTTGGCTGCCATCACCCAGTTGGTTGACACCGCCAAGGCTCAGATCGCTCTTAGAATGCCTGAGTTGATCCCAGTCTTGTCTGAGGCCATGTGGGACACCAAGAAGGAGGTCAAGGAGGCTGCTACCGCCACCATGACCAAGTCCACCGAGACCATCGACAACAAGGATATCGAGAAGTTTATTCCTAAGTTGATCGAGTGTATCGCCAAGCCAACCGAGGTCCCAGAGACCGTCCACGTCTTGGGTGCTACCACTTTCGTCTCTGAGGTCACCATGGCTACTTTGTCCATCATGACCCCATTGTTGTCTAGAGGTTTGGCTGAGCGTGACACCACTATCAAGCGTAAGGCTGCCGTCATTGTTGACAACATGTGTAAGTTGGTCGACGACCCTCAGGTTGTTGCTCCTTTCATGAACAAGTTGTTGCCTGCCCTCAAGTCTAACTTCAACACCATTGCCGACCCTGAGGCCCGTGGTGTTACCAACAGAGCTTTGAACACTTTGAGAAGAGTTGGTAACGTTGGTGCTGACGACTCCATCCCTGAGGTTTCCACCGCTGGTGACATTCCTGTCACCTTGGAAGTCTTCAAGGGTTTGATCAAGGACCAGAAGTTGTCTCCTAGATTCGACATTGCCTTGAACTACATCGCTGCCATTGGTGGTGATTTGATTGACGAGAGAGACATCCAGCCAGACTCTTGGTTGCTGAACGTCTTGCCTTTCGCCACTATCTTCTTGCACGAGAAGGAGGCCAAGGAGGTCATCGAGGAGTTCAGAAAGAGAGCTGTCGACAACATCCCAGCTCCTCCATCCTTCGAGGATGAGGAGGACGATGGTGAGGACCTTTGTAACTGTGAGTTCTCTTTGGCTTACGGTGCAAAGATCTTGTTGAACAAGACTCAGTTCAGATTGAAGAGAAACAGAAGATACGGTCTTTGTGGTCCTAACGGTGCTGGTAAGTCCACCTTGATGAGAGCCATTGCTAACGGTCAGGTCGAGGGTTTCCCATCCCAGGAGGAGTGTAAGACTGTCTACGTCGAGCACGACATTGACGGTACTCACGCCGAGACCTCTGTCGTCGAGTTCGTCATCCAGGATGGTGAGGTTGGTTTGACCAAGGACGTCGTCGAGACTAAGTTGACTGAGTTTGGTTTCTCTGACGAGATGATTAAGATGCCAATTGCCTCCCTTTCCGGTGGTTGGAAGATGAAGTTGGCTTTGGCCAGAGCTGTCTTGAAGAACGCCGACATTTTGTTGTTGGATGAGCCAACTAACCATTTGGACACTGTCAACGTCGCTTGGTTGGTCAACTACTTGAAGACATGTGGTATCACTTCCATCATTGTTTCTCACGACTCCGGTTTCTTGGACAACGTTGTTGAGTACATTATTCACTACGAAGGTTTCAAGTTGAGAAAGTACAAGGGTAACTTGTCTGAGTTCGTCAAGAAGTGCCCATCTGCTCAGTCTTACTACGAATTGGGAGCCTCTGACATCCAGTTCACTTTCCCAGAGCCAGGTTTCTTGGAGGGTGTCAAGACCAAGCAGAAGGCTATTGTCAAGGTCAACAACATGTCCTTCCAGTACCCAGGTACTTCCAAGCCACAGATCACCGACATCAACTTCCAGTGTTCGTTGTCTTCCAGAATTGCCGTCATTGGTCCTAACGGTGCCGGTAAGTCTACCTTGATTAACGTCTTGACTGGTGAGTTGTTGCCAACTACTGGTGACGTTTACGTCCACGAGAACGCTCGTATTGCCTACATTAAGCAGCACGCTTTCGCCCACATTGACAACCACTTGGACAAGACTCCATCTGAGTACATTCAGTGGAGATTCCAGACCGGTGAGGACAGAGAGACCATGGACAGAGCCAACAGACAGATCAACGAGGCTGACGAGAACGCCATGAACAAGATCTTCAAGATCGAGGGTACCCCAAGAAGAGTTGCTGGTGTCCACTCCAGAAGAAAGTTCAAGAACACCTACGAGTACGAGGTTTCTTGGAACCTTGGTGAGAACATTGGTATGAAGAACGAGAGATGGGTTCCTATGATGTCTGTTGACAACACCTGGTTGCCAAGAGGTGAGTTGATCGAGACCCACTCCAAGTTGGTCGCTGAGGTTGATATGAAGGAGGCTTTGGCTTCCGGTCAGTTCAGACCTTTGACCAGAAAGGAGATCGAGGACCACTGTACCATGTTGGGTTTGGACGCTGAGTTGGTGTCCCACTCTAGAATCAGAGGTTTGTCTGGTGGTCAGAAGGTCAAGTTGGTCTTGGCTGCTTGTACTTGGCAGAGACCTCACTTGATTGTCTTGGATGAGCCAACTAACTACTTGGACCGTGACTCTTTGGGTGCTTTGTCCAAGGCCATCAAGGCTTTCGAGGGTGGTGTCGTCATCATTACTCACTCCGCTGAGTTCACCAAGGGGTTGACTGAGGAGGTCTGGGCCGTCTTGGACGGTAAGATGACTCCATCTGGTCACAACTGGGTCCAGGGTCAGGGTTCTGGTCCAAGACTCGAGAACAAGGAGGACGACGAAGAGGACAAGTTCGACGCCATGGGTAACAAGATTTCCGGTGGTAAGAAGAAGAAGAAGTTGTCTTCTGCTGAGTTGAGAAAGAAGAAGAAGGAGAGAATGAAGAAGAAGAAGGAGTTGGGTGACGCTTACGTTTCCTCCGACGAGGAGTTCTAAGCTCGCTGAGTTCTCATCGTCATTTCTTCATTATTTCACACTTGTTTGAGTTTTAGTATTAATTTATTTCTATATGTTAATATTATAGATGCGCCTATATGCTATCGATGTAGAGCCTGTTTGTGCGACCAACAACTCGCCCTCTCATGATACTTCTTAAGTTAACTGGTTTGATTCCTCTGGCACTTGCCCTTTCTTTCATTCCTCTTGATATCAACTATCTGGTTGAACTGACACATCGAGACCCACCAACTCCGGGAACCTACTCTCCGTTTCTAACGCGATGTCCGACTACCAACCTCATACGCAAGGCAGACAAGGTATGATTCACTTGATGGGTGTCTAGTAACATACTGACAGTAGAATATTTGTCCATTAGAACAGGACTATGTGAATAATCGCCGTGAAGTTATCAAGCCCTACTTCAGCGAGCTTTCAGGAAGAATTGGATATGCAAGCGAGAATACCACCCCACCAACTATCGCAATTGCCTTGTCAGGAGGGGGTCTAAGATCCATGCTATTGGGGGCTGGAGTGTTGAGTGCCTATGATGCTAGAGACCTCGATTCCCAGGATAAATTGGGTGGTTTGTTGCAAAGTACCACATACATTGCTGGATTATCTGGTGGACTGTGGATTGTGATGAACAACCTTCTTAGTAACGGGGAACAAATGCATACGACTATTCGGAGGCTTGAACTTGATTTGCAGAACCCCCTCCTTGAAGGTGTTCCCAATTTGGAGTTGAAAGATCTCCGTGCTGGAATTGAGCTGAACCAAAATCGTACGCATCAAACCGAGTCTCCTGATAATGCCTTTGGTGCTTTGATCGGCAAGATTCTACCAGGTATTGTGAGCAAAGTGCTTTCGGTCAATAAAAACGACAGTCCTATTAACGTGAAAGAGGTGCTCAAGTTCTATAAGGATGTCTCCTTGGAAACTCGTGTGAAGAAAGAGTCTGGTTTCAGAATTTCACTCATAGATTACTGGGCACGAATACTAGCAAGAAAGGTATTTCCTCCTAACTTCAGGTCTACTGGTTACACGATGTCATCCACCTCAAAACTTTTGTCCTTTCAGAATTATTCTCAGCCATTCCCGATCATCACAGCAGTTGAGGTGGTACCCGAAGTAGAGGAGGGAAGCGCTGACTCCCACATAATTGAGATAACCCCTTTTGAGTTTGGTTCGTGGGATAGTTTCTTGAACGCCTTCACAGATATCAAGTTTCTAGGAAGTAATCTTCTGAATGGCAGGCCAATTCAGGAGAGCCTCCCAAATCTGAATGAATCTACATGTACCTCTGGATTTGACTCCCTCGCATTTCTTACAGCCACATCTTCAGGGCTTTTCAACATTGTCTTGCAATACGTTTACAAGCTGTTGCCTAGTTCGATGAGTGAGCTGCTGCCATACTTCAGCCAGCTTCTCAAGATCTTTGGCTTCGTTAAGAGTCCAGTTATGGATGAAAAGGCATATTCAGAATTTGCAATTCATTCTCCCAATCCTTTTTATAACCACGTCGGCGGAAATATCAAAGGAAGGTCAATTATTAATTCAACAGCACTATTCCTCGCTGATGGAGGTGAAGACGGACAGAACATCCCATTTAGTCCGCTTATGATTTCCTCGAGGCAAGTTGATGCCCTCATAGTCTTTGACATGGGGTCTGAAGTTTTCAACCGACCCAATGGTTCCTCGTTGATAGCCACCGCAAAGCGGTATCACGCTAACTACTCGGACTTGAGGATACCCTTATTTCAGGACAAAAGTGGGTTGAATCGGAGGATATTCCCCATGATACCTACATCAGAAGAATATTTAGAGAGGGGCTTCCAAGAAAGACCTGTGTTTTTTGGATGCAGCATGGGCGACTATCCATCGTACAATGGCAACCTCCTGAACCAATTTGAAATCCAAAGAGACTTCATTCCTCCCCTCATAATTTATCAGGCGAACTACGATATTCTGTTTCCATCGAATACCTCCACCTTCAGGACCTCATATCAACCTGAGGAGGTCCAAGGAATGGTCCGCAATGGGTACAACCTCGCAAATCATGATGAGGATCCCAATTACAAACATTGTCTTTGGTGTGCCATCTCAAAAAGAAAGTTTAAAGCAATTCCAGATTCCTGCCAAAGTTGCTTTGAACAATATTGTTACAAGCCAACGACTATTTCAAAGTGACCACAAAGAGTGCGCGGGATGAGTCGTATCTAAGGCGGTGCCGGCGAAAAAAGGGTAGATCGTGCAGAAACACCTTATCTTGACATATTGAGGGAAAGACAGTTTGAAGATGCTGATCGAAGATTCAGACAGCCCGTTGGATGTCTCGATGGCAATCGACAGCTTGTTCATGCTTTTCTGTACCTATCTTCTTCTGTGTATGGTACTTGGCATGTCTATCTTCTATTCTGGACTTATCCAGAGGCGCTCATCTTTCACCATTCTACTGGTGCCGCTCTTAATTGTTGCTGGCATATTTCTAGACTGGTTCATTTGGGGCTATTCCCTTTGTTACTCCCTGTCATCAAACAGATTTCTTGGTAATCTTGGGTTTGCGGTCCTCAGACAACTTCATGATCCCGATCAAAGAATATATACCACGCCGCGAGGCGAGATCTTATCCATAATGCATTTTTTGTTCAATGGCCTCTTGAAGATCATTTGTACTGTTATAACATTTCCTGGTTGTGCAGCGGAAAGAGGTAGGTTGGTTCCTATGTTCGTCTTCATCTTCTTTTGGTCGCTCATAGTCTACAATCCAATTTCATATTGGTACTGGAATCAAAACGGCTGGCTTTCTACTCAGCTCAACAGGCTTCCTGCCTTGGATTTTGCCGGCGGTACCTGTATTCATGTGGTTAGCGGCTTTAGTGCACTAGCATACTCCTTCATCTTGGGTCCTAGGAATCCCAAAGTGGTTGCAGATTATAGAAGTTGTAACAACAGCAACATGATTATCGGAATGAGCTTATTAGTCCTTGGATGGTGTGGTTTCATATCAGGTTGTGACTATAAGTTATCTTCGAGGTCATTCTACATTGTTGCAAACACATGGCTCAGTGCTTGCTCTGCTGGCTTAGTTTGGCTACTCATAGATCTTTACACATCAGCAATACCACTAGAAGAAGCAGGATATGAGGAAATTGAGCTACAAGATTTAGATAGCGCAGGACTTGGGATCGCAAGAAGTGATCCCCCATCGTGACAACCAGAAAAATCTCCATGATTTCATTCACTTCGGGAGTTATTTGTGGTCTTGTCGTCTTCACACCTGCCGGCGGATACATTTCCTCCCATTCCTCATTCTGGAAATCTATAGTCTTTGGCGTGGTTGGAGGTTTCGTGGGAAATCTTGCTACACGCATCAAATACTTTCTACGGATTGACGATGCTCTTGACATCTTTGCAGTTCATGGTGTTTGCGGCGTTGTTGGGACTATTCTTGTCGGCATATTTGCTGACGAGTCATTTGAATCATCCGGCGGTTGGGTCGTCGGGAATTGGATACAATTGGGATACCAAATACTTGGATGTGTCGTGACCTCTCTTTATGCCTTTGTGGTGAGCTTGGCATTGCTCTATATCATAGATATGATCCCAGGTCTTCATTTACGTATTGACAAATCCTTCAACAGGAGGATGAGAAATAAGTTACTCGACCGCCACGGATCTGAGGAAGGCGACTTGAGTAGCCTTGATAACGACTTTGGTCTTGAAAGAGCTGAACTTCTTGGAACAGACTGGAATGAGCTCAACGGAGAGTACTCTATGGATTTCATGGAATTTATTAAAGTGGTTGATCCCCAGGATTACGCAGACCAGATCTCCGCTGAACCCATTAGTCCCGAGGAAAGTGATTTCAGTCAATTTGACATCAGCGATGCCCAGCTCAGGAAGCGAGAACCGCTTATGGAGAGACACAGATGATGCATGGACATATTAATGATCCTGATATATATTACATGAACGACCTTTACGAGACAATCAATTGATCATTCTCATCGTAACTTCGAAAGCTGCAAATGTGGCACCATTGGCTGGAGCAGCTCTCAATATGGTAGGAACAAAACCTTTGTAGAATCCTTTGATACCAGCCTTCTTGAAAATGTCTCTGGCAACACTGATTGAACCGGAATAAACAGGCTTCGACAAGGAGTCTGTTTGCAACTTAGACTTCAACACATCCACTGGGTAGATCGACGTCCACAATGCATAACCAGACAAACCACCGAGCATACAAAGCTTCCATGCTGGGATGTCGGCTCTTGCAAGGTATGTCTTACTCTTCAACTCTCTTGCAATCAACGCTTCGTAGGTTGCAAAATAAATACCCAAGCCAATCGACTCTCTAGTCAAAGTGGGGACCAAGCCCTTGAACACACCCTGGATTCCGCTCAGCTTAGTGAGCTTCTTCAAACAATCGATAGGCCCATTGAACTGCTTGTTGTTGCCAGTCTGGGTTTGCAATCTGATACGAATGTGCTCAATTGGACCGGCCAAGAAGCCGTTAGCAAAACCAGCAACGGCACCACAGTTGAAAAATTGCAAGAGTGACAATTCACGACCCTGCAACTTCTCGTCATAGTATCTTTTCATGAATTCATTAACAGAAAATTGAACGGAGACACAGGCACCGACACCAACAAGTGGTGTTAAAGTTCCTTTGTAGAAGCCCTTTGGGCCTTCGTTGGCCATGAGCTTCTTGATGACATCTCCAGCACCCTTATAGGTTCCATCTGGCGCAGATTGCAACCTCACCTTAACAGTGTCAAAGGGTTGACCGACAAGCACCTGGGCAATACCACCAACGGTTCCTCCGAAAAGGTCCTTGTAGACCTGCAAGTTATCGGTTAATGGAGGCTCTTCAAGCTCGATGGTCATTATGAGTCAAATGTGATGATGAGCGATGAGTATGTGAAAAAACGCACTTTACCTCGCGGTGTCTATGACCTAATATATAAAGCAGTCCTTTTGGCTAGATTTGACTTCTTCGAGGCCTGAAAAAATGTAGATTGCAAATTCGAAGAGATGGAGGGGTGCTTTTCTATCCACAACTATGACTCGGTTTGACTCTCTCCAGGAGTGAATACCGTTGCGCATTCCCATTCTATGTTTGGTAACGATTTCCATGTCTGCTGTCGAACCTGATTTTCAGAAAATGGCAGTTTGTCCTATTTTTTCAGCCTTGTAAACTTCTTAGTTTTGTATTTTATAAATCTCTATTTGTTCATTGGCGTCAACCTACTTAGGCACCCACATAGAATTCCTTCTGGCTGAACATCCAGATCAAACTTGTGGAGGCCACAATTAAAGGTCCAGCCAATCCCTTATCAAGCTTGCAATTCTTGAAGACAAGCCATTCTGATGCAAAGTGGCCTCCAGCAACCACAAATGTCCAGATACAGAGATCATACATCTGTTTGTTGCCCACGATATTGTATGCACCGTAGAGTCTGACTATGGATGTTAAAAGAGTCCATGTTCCAAAAGTTCTTGCACTGAGATTAGTAACTTCAGTTGTTGGGGCTGCTGAATACACCTTTCTAGTGAGACTCAAGTCTTTGATCAAGTAGTTCTGAGCTGAGTTGAATACCGAAACAACCGAGATGAACAAAAGCCAGTGGGGAAGAATTCCTCCGTGAACGGTAGTTGGAGGGAGAATTGACTGGAAGGGAAGCATAGTACCTGATTTAATGGAGTTGAATCAAAGAAATCCTAGGTGTTATCTTGATTTTATGAAGTAGCTTCGCGACTACACTGTACGAATGCTACTCGGATGATGTTGCGTGTCTCGTATAAAAAACTGCTAAGTATATACTGAAATATCCGGATTGATACTTGATACAGCCTAGTGAACTGCTGTAGGGTCATGCTCTCTCAAAAGGTCGAGAGCTGGGCCGAGCAATCTCGTAAAGCCCGACTTGTCCAAGGTTGCAACAATAACGTTGTCTAGGGCCTTGACTGTGGCTTGTCTTGGTAGGTCGTTCAACAAAGCAACTTCACCGAAGTAGTTGCCTTTGCCGATAGTGCCAATGACACCCTCGCTCTGCTTGGAGATCTCACATGTTCCGCTCTCAATGAGGTAGAATTTGTCACCAGTAGCGCCTTCGGTGACAATGTTGTCACCAGCATGGAACATCTCCGTGCTCAATGCATCGGCAAGTTTGGATCTCTCCTGGTGCGTCAAGCCCGATAAGACCGTAACGTCCTTCAAGAAATCCTCGTACATGATTCTTCTGTTGAAAGTTCCTTCTAACAAGATACGACGGAAAGTCGCTCTGTCCAAAGCCCAGCATGTAACGTCAGAAGCAGCAGTAGCAGTTGCAGCTCTGGGAGAGTTATACATGAGAGCAAGCTCACCAAATGAAGAGCCATCACCAGACGTGTTGACCTTGGTGCCGTTCACATAAAAATCCACGGTTCCAGACTCGATTATATAGAAATAGTCACCAACATCGCCTTGAGTAATGATTTCAGTACCTTGAGTGTACTGCTTTTTCTGTAAAGCAGATACAACGGTCGCCTTTGCCTTCTTATCTAATTGTTGGAACAAGAAGTTCAGCGAGAGGGTTTTAGCCAACTCCAGTCTTTGCTCATCAGTGAGGTCATTAACCGGAGGCTTCCAGGAGTCGGACTTGAACTTATCTGGGTTCATTGCTTCAGCAGAAACCGACGTTCTTCTGTTGGCATTGAAAGCTAATGGAAGCTTATTGGCGGGCTTTGGAGGCGCATCTTGTGGACCAGCAGATGCACTTGGGTCATTAGGGTCAAGTTCTGGAGTCGCCGCATTTTGAGCTCTTCTACCAGCACCAAAGCCCTTGAAAAGACCAGCACTGTCTTCTTGTTTGTGCTCCTCACGATGGTTGGTGTGATCAGAATGAGGGTCATTGTCACCGAAGGGCGACTTGAAAGATGGTTGGCGAACACATGGAATAGTACCCTGACCGTTGGCATCGATTGCCCCAGCTTCAAGCTGAGGGAATACCTCAATACCTGCGGCCTTGGCCTTTGCTTCCACTTGCCATAAATGGTTTCTTTGCAAGGCTAACTTTGAATTGAAGAAGTTTGCGCAAAACTGCAACACATCAGTTGGGTTTTTGGCATTGATCTCTTTCTGCAACTGCTCCAATTCCTCTGTAGCAAAAGGAGCCATTGCGGATTGGTGATAATCGATGGGGAAAGATGGGCAAGAAGGAGTGCTTCGAAATTGGGTAATTGTGGTGGGCTGCGAGACGCCAGTCAATAATTAATCGGCGGGAGCGTATTCAATTAAGTTTCTGAATGAATTCCTTGCACAGGCACCGTATATAAGAGGCGATCTTTAAAACAAGGAGGCCAGTAGATGTTAATTGCCGGGCACTGTTTCATGACTATTGAGGGAGGTCGCACAACGTGAGAGGTACGGGTGTACGGAGACATGAGGGACTCCACCGTTGGGTCAAACCACTATCTGCCGTGTCTGGAGGAATAAAGAAGATCAAGTGATTTGGCGTAATTGAAAAAGATTTTAAAATTTTCAGCGTATGCTGTGAAAAATTGTGTTGAAGATGACTGAGTAGAACACCCTTGGTGACCGTCATCAAGCCCCTCCCCAATAGGGAAATACGGTACTTTGAAGGTGGGGTTCCTAGTGAGTGGGGCCGGCCAACGGTATGGAATGGTAGGATTAGAGAAGATATGTAACGTCCCTCAAGTACAGTGGGGTATGACGAAAATATGTGACAACGGCAGCCAATTTAGCGAAGAACCCCGCTGGTTTCCATGAGGTATCCTTTGTGTATTGCCGTAGTGCTTATTCCTAGCACTTTTGAGCTGAATTTTTTTGTTGATAAAGCGTTCTCAAATCTAAGGATTTCATCGAACTTATGGTTTGGAACAATCAAAGGCGTGATCTCGCCCAACAATATGGGTTTTCAGAGTTGTCCTCATGGTGGCCTCTCGATTAAGTCCGACTTTCCACAAAGTACCTGTGGTAGAGTTTTGATCCACCCCTAATTCAGGGCAGAGTTAAGAATAATTTTTTTTCATGACTGCCACATGTCGAAAGACTGGTCAGGCGACCTCATGTACGCAAGGGTCTCGGACGATGTCTCACAGTGGTGGCTTTGACCTCAAGATCAGTTAGGACAAAGAGGCGATCATGACATTTTTTAAAGACTGAAATTCTCAGCATCTCTCTTCTAGCGAATTATTGACAGGTCATCTACCCTTTTCTTCCACCTTCACTATATCCTGTCCTTGCATTTGTTCTCACGCATTTTGCAGCCATTTTGTGTACCCCACCTTGGCCTTGAAGAACACCTTTCCCCTCTCTTGCAACAATCAATTAAAACTTAACGAAATCTGCATCATTGTCTCACGATGTGAAAGCATTAACTGGAAAGGCTTTTCCAATTCCGCTGCTCAGCTTCGAGTCACTAATCTACAAGCACAGATGCTCGAAAGTTAAACGAATCGACTTGACAGTTACTTGTATCAGGCTGATTTGTTCAAAACCAAATTCCAAGCTTTTGCCACCGCCACCAAGATTCAGGTGTCCTTTTATACATTTTTTAACTGGTGCCACGTCAACCTCTGGTAGTTGGTGTGCACAAAGCATGGCGCTTCTGTACACGTCGAGGTTCTTTCATTTTCCACGTCGCGACCAGCTGTTAATATAAAACTTGTTCATTTTCCCCGGTTTTTCTCACACCTTACATTTAGTCACATACTCTGCTGCCCATCATGTTTAAGAACAGCAGCAAATTTTGGCTTTCGGGTCTTACGCTCTTTTACGCCATGTTGTTGGTGGTGATGCCATTTTTCACTGCCAACGCTGGTGTCGCTTTGGCTGAGGACGACAAGGAAGAGAGTTACGGTACTGTGATTGGTATCGACTTGGGTACCACCTACTCCTGTGTCGGTGTCATGAAGAACGGTAAGGTTGAAATCTTGGCCAACGACCAAGGTAACAGAATTACTCCATCTTACGTTGCCTTCAATGAAGAAGAAAGATTGATTGGTGACGCGGCTAAGAACCAGGCTCCATCCAACGTCAACAACACCATTTTCGACATCAAGAGACTTATTGGTTTGAAGTACAAGGACAAGGTTGTCCAGAAGGAAATCAAGCACTTGCCTTACAAGATTGGCAAGAATGGCGACATGCCTGTCGTCGAGGTTAACTACGGCGGCGAGGAAAAATCCTTCTCTCCAGAGGAAATTTCTGGTATGATCTTGGGTAAGATGAAGTCCATTGCCGAGGAGTACTTGGGTAAGAAGGTTACTCATGCTGTGGTTACTGTTCCTGCTTACTTCAACGATGCTCAGAGACAGGCTACCAAGAATGCTGGTACCATTGCTGGCTTGAACGTCTTGAGAATTGTCAACGAGCCAACTGCCGCTGCTATTGCTTACGGTTTGGATAAGACTGATGGCGAGAAACAAATCATTGTCTACGATTTGGGTGGAGGTACCTTCGATGTGTCTTTGTTGTCCATTGAGGGTGGTGTTTTCGAGGTCTTGGCCACCGCTGGTGACACTCACTTGGGTGGTGAGGACTTTGACTTCCAGGTTGTCAAGCACTTGACCAAGTTGTTCGAGAAGAAGCACAATGTTAGTGTTGCCACCAACCAGAAGGCCATCTCCAAGTTGAAGAGAGAGGCTGAGAAGGCCAAGAGAACTTTGTCTGCCCAGATGAGCGCTAGAATTGAGATTGACTCTTTCTATGACGGTATCGACTTCTCCGAGACTATCTCCAGAGCTAAGTTCGAGGAGTTGAACATCGCTTCTTTCAAGAAGACCTTGAAGCCAGTGGAGAGAGTGTTGAAGGATGCCAATGTAAAGAAGACTGACATCGATGACATTGTTCTTGTTGGTGGTTCCACCAGAATTCCAAAGATCCAGGAATTGATTGAGAAGTTCTTCGATGGTAAGAAGGCCTCTAAGAGCATCAACCCTGATGAGGCCGTCGCCTACGGTGCAGCTGTTCAGGCTGGTGTGCTTTCTGGCGAGGAGGGCGTCGATGACATTGTCTTGTTGGATGTCAACCCATTGACTTTGGGTATTGAGACAACTGGTGGTGTTATGACTACTTTGATCAACAGAAACACCGCTATCCCAACCAAGAAGTCCCAGATCTTCTCTACTGCTGCCGACAACCAGCCAACCGTCATGATCTCTGTCTTTGAGGGTGAGAGAGCTATGGTCAAGGACAACAATTTGTTGGGTAAGTTCGAGTTGACCGGTATTCCACCTGCCCCAAGAGGTGTTCCTCAGATTGAGGTCACTTTTGCCTTGGATGCCAATGGTATTTTGAAGGTTGACGCCGTTGACAAGGGCACCGGTAAGAAGAAGTCTATCACTATCACCAACGAGAAGGGTAGATTGTCTAAGGATGAGATTGACAGAATGGTTGAGGAGGCTGAGAAGTATGCTGCTCAGGATCAGGAGATCAAGGCAAAGATTGAGTCCAGAAACTCTCTCGAGAACTTGGTCCACAACATGAAGCAGAAGCTTGCCGACAACGACGAGTATGTCTCCAAGTTGGACGACAGTGACAAGGAAGACTTGTCCGATGCAGTCAATGAGGCTGCTGAGTTCCTCGAAGAGAACTACGATACCGCCACCTCCGAAGAATTCGAAGAGGCCAAGCAAAAGTTGGTTGAAATCACTCAGAAGATCTCCGCTAAACTCTACGAGAATCCAGCCGACGGCGAGGATGCTCAGTTCGGTGATGACTCTGACGATGATGACTTTGACCACGACGAGTTGTAATCTTCATGAGCTAGAAGCGTCTTAATTCATCAACATCATGTATACAAAATCTAATATTTATAAGTATGTGGGTAATTTAACTTGTAACACTGAAGCTCTCAAATAACGATGCAGGAAACATTACGTACATATTCCCCACAAAGTGAAAGCAATTTTCCACAAGATGACTAAGCATGTGAATTAGAGATGCCTCAAAAGCAGTTTGCGTTGACACATTGATATGAAAATTATTTTCTTATACTTTCCACGAAATGAAAAATCGTAGAATGGTAAGTATTTCTCTTTATCAACTTCTTCAGTCACGTGCATTCACAATCGTCTGTCTCACCAAGGGCATTAAAGCCTTTGAATAGAGAAAAAATCTTTGCAACACAGGACCAAGTCTGAATCTCCAAACCTAAAGCAACAGGCTGACCTACCAACTTACGCTTACAACGATGTCTAATCGAAAGCTTCAGAAGTATGTTATCATAAATTTAGAGCTCTTCAATAATTTGGAGCCCATTCAATTGCCCTATTGAGATCGATCAAAGTACTAACATACACCAGGGAGGTTGAAACGGTCTTCAAAAAGATCCATGAGGGACTAGATCTCTTTAATTACTACCACCAGCGACATGAAACATCCAACAATGACTCCCAACGAGAAAAGCTAGAAGCGGACTTGAAGAAAGAGATCAAGAAACTTCAGAAATTCCGAGATCAGATCAAAACTTGGCAGGGTAACGACTCGCTAGAAGCAACGATTGCTCCTCAAAAGCTACAAGAGCATAGGAGGCTTGTAGAGGAAGCAATGGAGTGCTACAAAGAAGTGGAGAAAAACTCCAAGATGAAATCCTATTCAAACCAATCGATAATGCTTGCGTCTCTAGACAACAGCGAGCAGGAACTAACACCTGAAGGACGTGAAGCTGCTGAATTTCTCAGAGAAGTTCAAGATGAACTCACAGATCAAAACGAGAAGTTGGAAGAAGAGTACGAAAAGCTTTCGCAAAAGAAGGTTAGGAAGAATAATCTGCTGGCAATTGAGGAACGCAAACTGGAACTTGAGGGCTTCAAAACAAAAAATGAATTCCACCTTGAGAAGATCGAGGGCCTTCTAGGGTTTCTCACATCTGGAAAAATCGCCGGAGAACTGGTCTTGGCTATCCAAGATGACTTGAACTTTTATGTTGAATCAAACCAGGAGCCTGACTTTATGGACGATGAAACTGTGTATGACGAACTCTACAAGGAGGCTAGGGAGAATCATGAAAACAATATCAACGTGAACGGCACTGTTGAGGAATCATTCGACTTGAGTCTATCGAACGGTCATGATACAAAAGAATCCGAAACAATAAGCAACGCTGACCTGTCAATACTAAGCAGCGTGAAGCGCAAGTCAGCTTCATCAGCATCCCCTGTTCCTGAAACCACACCACTGACATCGCAACAATCGCTGGACATCGTCAGAGCCGAGAAGGCCCTGTCAACACCGAAATTAAAACATGTGCCTACGGGAGGCAAGAGTGAAGCTTCTGATGCGTCAAGTCCTGCCTTCATCACCACTCTCAAACCTGCTTCCACACCATCGAAACCAGTAGGGGCTTTGAAGTGGTCGCTAGCTGCTGCTGCCGGTGTTCAAAAAGCTTCTGAGAGCCCGAGTAACTCAAAGCAAACAAGTCCGGACAAAAACGAAATCATTGATGATAATGCTAAAATGAGAACGAAGGTTGAACCAGCTCAAGCAAAGCATGCATCTTCAAGTGGTCATGACGAAAGTAACGCTTCAGCGGAGTTATTGTCGCTTCTAACAAAGAACGATGAATACAGCGCTTACATTGAGGTCTTGAAAAATGCTAGTTTGGCTCCTGTGGAGCTGGAACTTTTTAGTGACGTAAACTTGTTGCGCTCTCCAGGTGGCATTCAAGATCTCGTTGCGAGTTTTACTGCTTCCAACAAAGCTGACGGATCATGCAAACTCTTGCGGAAAGGAAATGAGTACGACACATTCACTTCGGCCCCATTTGAGAAGCCGTACCTGTTCCCAGGACTATATCCTTCTGTGGGCGTGCCTTTGGTGAAGGCTCCTTTGTTCCTTAGTAAGCTCAATTTGCAATGGGGACGTGTTCGGGCTCTCAACTTGTTTGAGAAGTTTGCTCAAGAGATTGAATCACTCGAGATTCAAAGTACTCCTGAGACGACTCCTGTCGTAAACGAAATGACCATGGTTTTGTTCTATGGTTATTACTATGGGTATTTACCATTGGAAAATGTGATCGCAGAATCTCTTTTGCACAGACTTGGCTGGAGGCCGTATGGTTTGGCGCCTGAAGATGTTACGCCGATGGGTAACTCGAGGCCAACCAAGCAGCTTCAATTCTGGTTCAAAGGATTGAACAGCGGTTCCTTCAGCGGAGAGGAGGCAAGTAAGCAGGGCCTTGGAGATTTCCGAGTGTTTGACGTTTCTCTGTGGGAGGTGTACATCAAGTATGGCTTCAGATACGACCCTCGCTTGAGCCGACCTCATCCCACCACCAGTTTGCTTTGATCATATTTTTTCACCGCTGGAAAGGTAGCAGTATTGTTTAGCTTTTAAGTCAATCAGGACAGATAGTTTACCCTCGCGTCTCGTCACTTGTAAGAATGGTTTCTCGTTTCTCGTGCTCGAACTCACTGCTTAGAATGGTTCCCTGGGACTGTAGCTTGTCATTCGATTGAAGAGATGTGTTCGGTGATTGGAAAGCAAATTCAAGGGAGTCTGAGAACACTGAACAAAAGCTGGGGTCGTTGTCCTCGTAAATGATCTCAGGCATAAGCCCAATTTCGTTAGGCACCATAGCAGGTGTCAGGTAGTTTTCACCTTGCTTCACCAATTCATCCAAGCCATACACTGCTAGCACCTTGAGCTTAATATCATGCGTTTCTACAATTTTGTTAAGAGTATCGAAGTCGTTCATACTAAATAGTATCGTGTTAGGCGGAGATTCATATTCTGGTAAAGTGCGCACGACAGATCCTCGGCCATTTCTGTGGGGAAAAGAGATACATACTAGCGAGAAGAAGCTGACGTTAAGCACTAGCTACACCGTTGAAAATGGAGTACTATTCGTCACTTGATGCATCTCAGCTTGATCGTGAGACTCCGACTCTTTTCGAACTTATATCGGCTAATCAGCTTGAATCCCTCCTATCGCCGTCGTTGCGTTACATATTGGTCCATTATGCCCAAAGATATCCCGGCTACTTACTTAAGGTGACCAATAACTTTGATGAGTTGAATTTGGCGCTAAGAACTTTTATTGAGTGGTACTTCTTCAAGTACTGGCAGGGCTCTTTCACTGAAAACTTCTACGGCTTGAAGAGAGTTAGTCAGACACCTTTATCCGATCAGAAGTACAACAGCAGCAGATTGACGCAGTTGGCTCCGAGCATGATCGAAGAGAGGAGAAAGCTTTCTAACTACCAGATGTGGGTCTCAATCTTCGAGATCACTGGTGTGTCGTACTTATCTGAGAAGTGCAACTATACATACGAGATACTTTATTCCAAGTATATTACTGGCCAGTTGAATGAATCAGCGGCTGCTGATGAACTGGAAAGAAGAAAAATCTGGATCAAGAGGAAATTTGTCGAGATTTATCCTTACATACAAAGTGTCTGGCGTGCTGGGAACCTAGTCACCACACTTCTATACTTGAGCGGTAACTCGAAATCCGCCTCCTTGCTCACGTTTTTGTTCAAGATCAACTTCTCGAGATTGAGTCAATATGACTATCAAAAGAACCAGCCTGCCTTGAAAGCACCAAAGGACCATCTTCCAAACAGAGTTGCACCTCCATCGGTTTTGGAGAAACTTGTCACTCTCACCAAATACATCACCAGTCCTTCCTGGAAGGCCGTCAGATTTGTGTTAGGAACATTCTTCCCATTAGCCATCTTCACGTTGAAATTCCTCGAGTGGTGGAATAACTCAGACTTCGCCCAAAAGGTCGCTAAGTCTCAAGGCAATGCGCTTGAGGGAAGCATTCCAACACCTGCTTCGCTAGACAAATTCAAGCTATTCAGAGCGAAGCCCAAGAAAATTTACAAGTCTGGCAGTACCTGTCCCTTGTGTAAACAAGAGATCCTGAACCCAGCCATCATTGAGACAGGCTACGTCTTCTGCTATACGTGCATCTACAATTACCTAACTGAATCTCATAAACATGTGAAGAAGAGAAAGGCTGAAGAGAGTGATAGCGAGAGCGAAAGTGACGTTGATGAGGATGAAGACGAGGAAGGCGAAGATGAGACTCAGGAGAAAGAGGAAGACGTTGATAAGCTGCGATCTGAAAAATCCACAGAACAGGCCGATATCGAGAAAGGCGGGCGTTGTCCTATCACTGGTCGTCGCTTACTTGGTTGTAGATGGAACAGCCTCACTCAAGAGTTTGAAGTTGATGGAATCAGAAGACTCATTTTCTAAGAACTCACATAGTATAGCATTTTGGTGAGGTACGAAGTGTGGATACTTTTCGCACCCATCTATATCTCAAAACTTCTCCCTAATCCAACACGTGGGAACTACATAGCATTAATCCAAATGAGTCAACAAACGCTTGAAGCTATTGTATATGATAAGAATCTGGATTCTTTGAAAATCTTGGATCAACTAATTCTTCCATACAAGACTCATTACATCGATATCGAATCCATAGACGATGCTTTCCAGGCTATCAAACTAATGCAAGTCAGAGGAGCTCCAGCCATTGCCATTGTGGGAGCTTTTGCCGTTGCTGTTGATGTTCAAAGATCCCTCCAGGCGAACGAGAAACGCACTGTGGCTGAATTGGTTACCAAAATTGACTATTTGGTGACCTCCAGACCTACTGCAGTGAATCTTTCGAATGCTTTGAACGAAATCAAGCAATTGCTCAGAAGTAGTTTCAAAGACAGCGAAGTTGTCAATGAGGCTGTCTTTGACGTTATCAAGAAGTACTCTGTTGCTTTGCATGAGGGTGACTTGGACAACAACTACAAGATCGGTGATAACGGTGTGAAGTACATTACAGAGACTTTAAAAAAGCAGAACTTCCAGGGCCCCTTCTCAATTGTGACGGTCTGCAACACCGGATCTTTGGCAACCTCGGGCCACGGAACTGCTTTGGGAATTATCAGATCAGTACACGCTCAATTGACCAAGGAAGCTGGTAATGACTTCTGGTTCGAGCATGCTTACCCTTTGGAGACTAGGCCGTACAACCAAGGTGCCAGATTGACCACCTACGAGCTTGACTACGAGAAGATTCCCTTTACCTTAATCTGTGATAACATGGTGACTTCACTCATATCATCATTATCTAAGAAGAAGGCTGTCAAATCATCTACGGCTCCTGTCAAGTTTATTATCGTTGGAGCAGACCGTGTAGTCAAAAATGGTGATTCTGCCAACAAGATCGGTACATTCCAATTGGCAGCTATTGCCAACTATTTCAACCTGACATCTTCAAATGAGCAAGACAAGATTAAATTCATTGTGGCTGCTCCAAATACCACGGTCGATCACAATACGGCTACGGGAGATGACATAGTCATCGAAGAGCGTCCACCACATGAACTCACGACATTGGAAGGTCCACTTGTCAGCAAGGATGGAACAATTGGTGAAAAGACAGTTGTTGGAATTGCCACGCCTGGTATCCTGGTGTGGAATCCTGCCTTCGACGTGGCCCCACACGAGCTTATAGATGCCATTGTCACGGAAGACTACCCAGTGCATGAAAAACACAACGGTGAGTTTTCTCTTTAGTGCTCATCGTAAATCTGAAAGAAGGAAGCTATAAATTGGAGCTCGGCCATTATTTAAGTAGAAAAGAATATCTTGACATCGTTACTTGAACGGTCATTAAAGGTTCCTCTCCTGGTCCACTTCGTATCATCGGGGTGCACGGGTGTGCTCTGAGGGCGTCCTATATATCCACGTCGGTGGAAATTTCCTCTTCAGTCTTTGATACGAGCATAGCCTGTGCCCATCATGTCAGACGTCGTTCTAAATCCGACGATTCAGGATGCACAGCTTCTAGTGCCAAAGCTGCTTATTGTGAGGCCCTATGTTTGGCCTTTTGCCATTATCTACCCAATTTTTTTCCAGATTTACTTCAACCATTATGATCAGTACGTGGGTGGATCTGAGTGGACCTTCGTCTACTTGATCACCATCTGTTCGCTCAATGCATTGTTCTGGCTTATGCCTCATTGGAACTTGGATGTGGAGGCTCGTTTCAACTTCACTCCTGTCAGAACTATCGAAGAGGCTAGTCACATCAAGATCACACCTGTGGTGAATGCTGGTGTGGGTGAGATGTGTCCAATCAAAAGAGAAAGATTTGCTGACGGGGAGAAACAGATCTCCTTCTTATACCAAAAGAGACGTCATTTGTTCCACGAAAAGACCGGCAAGTTCTCCCCTCCAGAGTTCAAGATCGACGAGTTGCCTAAGCTCGAGTATTTCCAGAACTCTAAGGGTTTGCAAGGTGACTTGGAGAAGCTTGAGCGTAACTACGGTAAGAACAGGTTTGACATTCCAATCCCTACCTTCTTGGAGTTGTTCAAGGAGCACGCTGTTGCTCCATTTTTCGTTTTCCAGTTGTTCAGTGTCGCCTTGTGGTTGATGGATGAGCAGTGGTACTACTCATTGTTCTCCTTGTTCATGTTGGTGTCTTTCGAAATGACAACCGTGTTCCAGAGGAGAACTACCATGAACGAGTTCCAGAGCATGGGTATTAAGCCTTACGCCATCAATGTCTACAGAAATAACAAGTGGGTTGAGTTGCAGACTGACGAGTTATTGCCTGGTGATGTTGTGTCCGTAACAAGAACCAACGAGGACAGTGCTATTCCGTGTGACTTGTTGTTGCTCGATGGCTCTGCCATCGTTAATGAAGCTATGTTGTCTGGTGAGTCTACTCCTTTGTTGAAAGAGTCCATCAAGTTGAGACCTGGTGAGGAATTCTTCCAGCCAGAGGGTTTGGACAAGAACAGTTTGTTGCACGGTGGTACCATGGCTTTGCAGGTGACTAAGCCTGAGAAATCTATTATTCCTGGCGCTCCTGATGATGGTGCTTTGGCTTACGTGTGTAAGACAGGTTTCGAGACCTCCCAGGGTTCCTTGGTTAGAATGATGATTTTCTCCAGTGAGAGAGTCTCCGTTGGTAACAAGGAAGCTTTCATGTTTATTTTGTTCTTGTTGGTGTTTGCCATTGCTGCTTCCTGGTACGTTTGGGTTGAAGGTAGCAAGATGGGCAGAATTCAATCAAAGTTGATTTTGGACTGTATTATCGTCATCACCTCCGTTGTCCCTCCAGAGTTGCCTATGGAATTGACTATGGCCGTCAATTCCTCATTGTCGAGTTTGCAGAAGCATTTTATCTACTGTACCGAGCCATTCCGTATTCCATTGGCCGGTAGAATTGATGTGTGCTGCTTCGACAAGACTGGTACTTTGACTGCCGAGGATTTGGTTTTCGAAGGTTTGGCTGGTTTTGATAAAGACGAGACTCACAAGCTCCGTACTTGTGACGAGGCCCCACAGACTACTTCTTGGGTGTTGGGTTCTGCGCATGCTCTTGTCAAGTTAGATGATGGCGATGTTGTTGGTGATCCAATGGAACAAGCAACTTTAAAGGCTGCTGACTGGACTGTTGGATTGAAGGATTCCGTCGAAAGAGCTACCGCCAAAGGTAAGACTGAGAAAATCAAGATTTTGCGTCGTTTCCAATTCTCTTCTGCTTTGAAGAGGTCTTCGGCTATCACATCTATCAACACTTTGCCTAATAAGAATTTCGTTGCTGTTAAGGGTGCTCCAGAAACTATTCGTCACATGTTGGTTGACGCTCCCGAACAGTACGAGCAAATCTTTAAGTCGTTTACCAGAGCAGGTTCCCGTGTTTTGGCTTTGGGCTACAAAGAGTTGGACACTAGTGTCAACGTCCTTAAGGCCAAGAGAGCCGACATTGAGTCTAAATTGCACTTCGCTGGTTTTATCGTGTTCCACTGTCCCTTGAAGCCTGATGCTATCGAGACTATCAAGATGTTGAATGAGTCCTCTCATCGTTCTGTGATGATTACTGGTGACAACCCCTTGACTGCTTGTCATGTTGCTAAGGAGGTTGCGATTGTCGAGAAGGAGGTTTTGATTTTGGACTACCCTGAAGAGCACCATGAGGTGTCTGAGTCTGAAGTTTTGGTTTGGAGAAACATCGAGGAAACTAAAGTCATTCCATTCAAGAGTGGTGATGCTATTGACCTCGAGTTATTCAAGAAGCACGATATATGTCTTACTGGCCATGCCTTGACTCATCTCTCTGAACATGCTCAAATCTTGGATATTTTGAAACGCACTTGGGTTTACGCAAGAGTGTCTCCTGCCCAGAAAGAATTTATTTTGACGACTTTGAAGGATGCTGGTTACCGTACCTTGATGTGTGGAGACGGTACTAACGATGTCGGTGCCTTGAAGCAATCTCACATTGGTGTCGCTTTGCTTAATGGTACCGAGGAGGGCATGAAGAAGATGGCTGAGAACAGAAGAATCACTGCTCAAAAGACAATTTATGAGAAGCAGGCTCAAATTATGGCCAACTGGAACAGACCACCACCTCCAGTGCCTGCTCTCATTGCCCACTTGTATCCCCAGGCCCACTCAACCCACATTACATTGCTACTCTCGAAAAGAGAGGTGTGGAAATTACTCCTGAATTGAGACAAAAGGTCGCCCTTGCCAACCAAAACAACACACAGCCAATTGAGTTCGTGAAGGACAGTAGTGGAAAGCCTTCTGCCAGTAAGATGGCCGACAACCTCTTGACTTCTATGAGTGGCATGGACCCTGAGGAGGACGAGGTTCCAACTTTGAAATTGGGAGATGCCTCTGTTGCTGCTCCATTCACTTCGAAGTTGGCCAGTGTTTCGACTGTAACAAACATCATTCGTCAAGGACGTTGTGCATTGGTCTCCACCATTCAGATGTACAAAATTTTGGCATTGAACTGTTTGATTTCTGCATACTCCTTGTCTGTTTTGTTCTTGTCTGGTATGAAGTTTGGTGATGCCCAATCTACTATCTCCGGAATTTTGTTGTCGGTTTGTTTCTTGAGTATCTCCCGAGGTAAACCCCTTCAGAAATTGAGTAAGGAGAGGCCACAGGACGGTATCTTCAACATTTACATCATGGGCTCCATTTTGGGTCAATTTGCCATCCACATTGCGACTTTGATCTACATCACCAAGGAGATTTACGCCTTGGAGCCAAGAGCACCTCAAGTTGACTTGGAGAAGGTTTTCGAGCCATCTTTGTTGAACACTGGTATGTTTTTGCTTCAATTGGCCCAACAAGTGTCTACCTTTGCCGTCAACTACATTGGTTTGCCCTTCAAGGACAGTATCAAGGATAACAAGGGTATGTGGTACGGTCTTTTGGGTGTCGCGGGTTTGACTTTGGCTGGCTCGACTGAATTCATGCCCGAGTTGAATGAGGCCATGCAGTTTGTGCCTATGGACGTTGTTTTCAAGAGTAAGTTGACTGGATGCATTCTCTTGGACTTGGGCGGAACATGGCTTATTGAAATTGTTCTCAAGCACTTTTTCATGAACTCTGCTGCCGCTGACATTTGTGACAGGGACTTTTAGAGCTTGGTTTTATAGATAAGCCTCATAATTACATAGTTAGAATCAAAGCGTTTCATCAATTATCTTTGCCGAGGAGTTGTAAATCCTCTTCTCTATTAAGATTGTATACCCTTATCACCTTATTGTGATTTCTTTCAATCAATTGTAGTCTTTCTTTGCCCAACTTCATCTCGATGTCGTTGATGACGTCCTGGATTTCGGGTTCAGATGTGGCATAAACGGTTGAGTCTTTGATTATGGAAATAACCTTACTCAAGGTAAAGCTCTGTGATGCACGAGGTCCATTGACGGAAGACACTGATGCAAGTTCGTAAATAATGTCATAAATTTGTGGCAGTTTCGTTCTGATGTAGCTATCGTAGTCGTCTTTTTTTCTTTGTCCGATATCCACTTTTGAATTCATGCGCTCTTTGAGCTTGATCCGCTCTAACAACGATAATCCGTTGGCCTTGGAGGTCTCTAATGCGCTGATCTTCTCTTGAAAGGCAAACTTCGACCTATCATTTTTGAGACCGTCTATATGTTTGTACTTGGTGACTTTTGTGGGAGATATGCTTGGAGATCTATGTGGTGAGCACTTCACGGGTGATTCTAGTACTGCAACTTCATTGAGCTTTATGGGTGTAATCGAATCCACTTCTGTGAGTTTCTTCTCAAAATTTTCACGTCGCTGAGATAGAAGCGTTCCATATTTTGACAAAGGCACATTAACTGAGATTCCGTAATCGTAGGACCCTTTCGGTGAGCTTATCTTGAATAGCAGATTATCCACAGCTAGTATATGCTCAACTGTGGAATTCGAGATTTTCCTGCCAGCGAGTGATGTAGCTTTTTGACATATGTGGAATAGCTTCGGAATTGTTATGCTGGAGGAAAAATGTAGACTCAAGGCTGAATCTATTGCCAGGAAGTCTTTAGGCAAGTGGTCCATTGATCTTGAGATGAAGTGAGAAAGCGCGAGTTTTCCATGGTACGCGACGCGAATTTTCAGCATTCACACACATTTTGAAAGCACCTACAAAATCAAACTTTTATGCAAAAAATGACAATTTCAAGTTTTAAAGGATCAACTGACCTCTCCAAAACCTTTGCAGCTTTCGTCGGCACCCAATCGTCGTCAATTGTTGCAACCGGCCTTCAAGGACACAACTAACCGGGACCGGCGCAGTGTGGCTCTACAATCAGTCGGAAGAGTACTAGTACATTAACTATAAAATTTACTCCTTGCTCTCAGAAGACTCCTCGGAGCCGCCAGACTTGCTGGAGTACTCGCTGTAGGCAGCCTTGGCCTTGTCGGTAACAGAGCCGTCGGTCTTGTTGTAAGTGTCGTAGGCCTGCTGAGCATCCTTCTGGATGTTAGAAAGGTCTGGACCCTTACCGTCCTTGCCGCCGAGAGCCTGCTCACCCTTTTTCAAAAGATCGTTGAATCCGCTCATTGTTCTAGTAGTTGATGGATATACTGCTAAGAAAACTGGGGAAGCCCGGTATTTATACCCATTCTCGTCGTGTCCTACACGGGGTCTGTTTGACCGAACTGGCATTACGTCAATTTGCCAGCACCGCCAGGATCTACCTATCGGGACCTTTGTCGCACCGGCTGGGGTTATTGTGTAATGCAATGCAGCCACATGTGCGGTATTTCCGCGTGAAAACGTCAAAGTGCGCTGGACGGGTTGTTTTCACCTGCCTAAATAAACCGCATTTCCTTCCTTCGCATGTCCAGTTTGCAGCCCTGCTTAGCCAAGATAGGCCGTGTGCTTGCTGGCTTACGCCTTGGTGTCCCGAAATATGCGGATGCTGTGCTGCACAATGACCATTGCTCGCATAATTCTATTGTGTTTCCTTCGCAGCATTCCTTCTTCTGCAATGACTCCTAACCATCCGCGTTGTTCAAATTATCATGTTCACCTATTGCCCAGCCTCCGCCACAGCCCCAATTTTTTTTTTTTCTACCAAAATTTCTTAATGCATGATGGATAATGTCTGACGTTGAACATGCCTATTAGCTTCGTTGCATCATGTGGTGCAACGGTCATGGACGTCAATCTCATTTAAAATTTGCAATCACAGTTGTCAATCGACGATCACATCAATATTCTGCTTGTCTCACCAAGCCCCTCCCCCAGGATTCTTGCTTCTACGGCTCACCCCACTTCCGACGGCTCACCCCTCTTCCGAAATTGACCTGGCCGTTAGAATGTGGTTCCACATAATGTGGCATTCGCTCGGAATGGCTTCGCGCATTTCTGTACGGCACCAAAATATCGTCCTTATCAAATTATCTATGTACGTGCTCTAAAGCTTCAACTTCTCCAAGATAGCGATCGTCTGCTCGTAGCCCTCAATTTCTGCCTTGAAGTTCTCCTGTCTCTTATAGGCAGCCTCCTTGGCTTCAGGTTTCGTCTTGTCGGTAAACTTGCCAATCGAATCCTTCAACTTACCGTCCAACTCTCTGACATTGCTCAACTTCTTGGTAACCTTTGCAATCTCGGCGTCCAAGTCAATTTGACCCTTCACCAAAACATGGACATTGGTGCTGGCATTGACACCGTTCAAAGCACATCCACTAGGAACGGGCTGACCGGCCTCCAACACCTCAATCTTCTCCACACCCTTGATCAACGACACCATTGAGTGGTCCTGATTCTTGGCAATCTTTCTAACGTTCTCGTCAGAGGTCTCAACGTAAACTTGACCGTTCTTCAAGATGTTGTACTGGGAAAGCAAAGATCTGGCGCCCTTGGTGATGGCCAACACCAACTCGTAAGCATCGTGAGCCTCCTTGTCGTCAAATGAAGCATCATACTCTGGGAATTGAGCAATGGTGATAGACGGCGTTTCGTCGCCAGATCTACGTGGCAATCTTTGCCACATCTCCTCAGTGACGTAAGGCATGAATGGGTGAATCATCTTCAAACCTTGATCAATACAGGTGTACAAGGTGTCCTGAGCAGACTTCTTCTGCTCGGCAGTACCATCTTGGATCAAGTGCTTGGAGTTTTCGATGTACACATCACACAAGTCGTACCAGAAGTTGTAGACTGCGCTTGTGGTCTCAGAGAATTCACGCTTCTCGATGTGCTCGGTGAAGCTCTGGGTAGCAGTTGTCAATCTGTGCAAGATCCACTTTTCAACCAAAGATTCGTTTCCAGTTCTCTTCTGAGTTGCTGGAGGCTTGTAGTCTGCGCCCAATCTACCCAAGACAAACTTGGTGGCCTGGTACATCTTGTTACAGAACTTTCTGTAACCCTCAACTCTCAAAATGTCCAAATTGATGTCTCTACCACCGGTGGTGTAGGCACACAAAGCGAATCTCAAGGCATCAGTACCACACTCTGGGATACCATTAGGGTATGATTGCTTTTGACCAGCGGATGCCTTCTCAATTTCTCTGGCATCCAAATTACCAACCTTCAACTTCTCGTGCAAGTCTGCCAAGGAGATACCACTGATGACATCCAATGGGTCGACCACATTACCCAAGGACTTAGACATTTTTCTTCCTTGAGCATCTCTGACCAAAGAGTGACAGAACACCTCCTTGAAGGGAACTTTACCAGTCAATTTCAAGCACAACAAGATCATACGAGAAACCCAGAAGAACAAGATATCCCAACCAGTCTCCAACATGGACATAGGAGCAAAGAGCTTGAGATCCTCGCTCTGGTTTGGCCAGCCCAAGGTAGAAATTGGCCACAAACCAGACGAGAACCAGGTGTCCAAAACATCCTCATCCTGCTCCAAAGTGAACTTGACACCAGGGAACTTCTTCTCTGCCTTCTCCAAAGCTTCCTCATAGGATCTACCGGCAATCCAGTAGTTGTTGTCCAAGCGGTCGCCTTCTTTGCCCTCAATGTTGACGAAATAAACAGGACATCTGTGACCCCACCACAATTGTCTGGAAATACACCAGTCCTGGATGTTCTCTAACCATTGGAAGTATTCTTTCTCGGAAGACTGTGGGGTGATGGTAATTTCACCGCTCTTGACAGCCTTGATAGCTTCCTTGGCCATGTCATCTTGCTTGACCCACCATTGAGGCTTCAACAATGGCTCAATCACGTCTCCAGATCTGGAACAGGTTGGAATTGTCATCTCGTTGTCCTTTTGGTCAACGTACAAGTCCAACTTCTTCAATTCCTCAATGACCTTGGCTCTGGCGTCGAATCTCTTCATTCCCTTCCAATCGCCACAGTTCTCGTTCAAGTAACCGTCGTCAGTCAAGATATTGACGAACTCAAGGTTCTGTCTCTTACCAGTGTTGTAATCGTTTTGGTCGTGAGCTGGAGTGATCTTCACAGCACCAGTACCGAAAGTCATGTCAACAGCCTCGGAGTCGGTGACAATTGGAAGCTTACGGTCCAAGAATGGGTGCTGAACAAATTTGCCATGCAAGTGCTTGTAGCGAGGGTCCTCGGGGTGAACAGCCACACCAGTGTCACCAAACAAGGTTTCAGGTCTGGTGGTGGCAACGGTGATCTTCTCATCAGAGTCCACGACTGGATACGAGTAGGAGGTCAAAACACCGAACTCAATCTTCTCATCGTAGTTTGGCACAGACAACAAGGTTCTACCGGAAATGTTCTTGTTCTCAACCTCCAAGTTGGAGATGGCGGTGTTCAATTTCGTCGACCAATTGACCAATCTAGAGGCACGGTAAATGGTGCCATCTTCGTGTAATCTGACGAAAGCCTCGACCACAGCAGCGGACAAGTCAGGGTTCAAAGTGAAGGCCTCTCTGGTCCAATCGTAGGAAGCACCCAATCTCTTGACCTGGTCCTTGATTCTTGCATGGTACTCTTCCTTCCATTCCCAAACCTTGTCAACAAACTTTTCACGACCATAGTCATGTCTAGTCTTCTTTTCGTTCTTCCAAACCTGCTTCTCCACAACAGACTGAGTGGAAATACCTGCGTGGTCGAAACCAGGCAAGAACAAAGTGGTCTTACCCTTCATTCTGTTGTATCTGATCAAAGTGTCCTGAATTGCAATGGTCAAAGCATGTCCAATGTGCAAGGCACCAGTGACGTTTGGTGGAGGAGCGGGTATCGTGAATTGACCTTCTTTCTTAACCTTTCCCTCATCAAGTTCAGGCTCGAAGTAGCCCTGCTTTTCCCACCAAGCGTACCAAGAGCTTTCAACATTCTTAGGGTTGTACGCCTTAAAAGCGGCATCGTCCAAAGAAGCCAAAATCTTCTTCTCACCTGGCTTGGTCTCGTCTTTCCATTCAGGAACAGGCTCAGCGACCTTTTTCTCCTTCTTGGGTTTCTTCTCAGCAGGCTTTTTGTTCTTAGCATCCTCCTCCTGCTTCTTCTTCTTTGCTAAAAATTTGGCCATCTTTTCAGCCTTCTTTCTCTCGTTCTCCAACTGCTTTGGGGTCTTCTCTTTCTTTGGTTCCTCCGCAGCTGGGGCTTGAGCCTGAGCCGAGGAAGCATTCACTTTTTCTTCTTCCGACATTTTTGCAAAATTCAATGGTCTAGGAGTCCAGAAATGCCTATAAAGTCGGGGTCTATAATGGAGATTTCTGAAGGGAAGTTTCCTAGGGAGCATTCACTTAATCCTTCATGGAAAAAATTTTAGTATGTAAAGCGACTCACATCCGTACACCGTGATCTTTTGCAACCACCAAGATATCAATTAGAATTATGTAGATTTGGTTATTTTTGTTTTTCGAATGCAATTATGTCGAGCCGACCATAGCACCTTGTTGTTCGATTGTGATTATGAAGACAGATTCTGTGTTTCGCAGCCTTGCATCCTCAACTTTTTTGTCTTTTGGTGTCCTCCTCATCCAGATCCAAGTCAGCGAATCGATTCCGCTTAATTCCAGAAAACCAAGAGCTTCTTTCGCGCTTAGACTTGTCATTCTTCTCAGCTTCCTCATCATCTCTAGCGAATACTATCGTGTCTAGGTCATTGGATTTTTCCTTCTGTTGGTTAAGTCGGTTAACCATAGCCTTTGACAAACGAGCATCAGTGTTTCTGTTTGCTCTTACCCGTCAATTTGTTTGCTTAGACCGAGGCCGACTTCTTCACCAAAGGCATCCACGACAGATGTCTCTTCCTTTCCAAATTCCATCCTATTTTGAGCCTTCCGGATCTCAGACATTTGGGTTCTCTCCTTCATCTTCCTAAATCTTCGCCCGCCACGCTTTTTTGACTTTTGCTCTTTAGGTGCTGGCAACGCCTTGGGTGCTGCTCTGTCAGGAGGAGTGAGAAGCTTGTCTATCTTTTGCTTGACTTCTTGAAGGTAAGCAGAGCCTAAACTACCGTCCGGTTTGGATCCTGAAAGATCAATACGGGCGGCAAGAACAATCTTGCCACTGATAATCCTAAGTGCCTGGTTTATGACTTCCGGTGGGAGACCCACCACCAAGTCACTATAGAACAAGTAGCCTGTTGCTCTGACAAAATTTGATCTTCTTTTAAGCTGAGACAGAAGGTCTTTTACACCAAAAGACGGTAGATTGCAAGCTGGCGTGAGAGCCAATTGTCGTAGTGAGCCGACACTTATTAATAGTTGAGAGGTGACGACAGCACCAACTAGGTTGTTGACATTGGGGGCAAACTTTGAAAGCTTGCTTGAGACAAAATCTGAGACTTCTTTGATAAACTCGCTGAGTTCAATTGCAATTTTACATGCTTTCTTGATGTAGAGCATATCAGCGTCATTCAAATAAAACAGGCGCGTGAAGTTTTCCAACGCACCCATTGAGATAGCTAGAACCTTAGCGTTCGAGACAATCTTTTGGAGCTCGGGCTCTTTGCTTCGGATATCTGAAAGTTCCTGTCCCACTAGAAGTACCACACGACAATAGTCCACAGGACTGGGCACTAGCGACTCAAGCTCGCCAAAGACCACTCTATATTGTGTTCTGACAAATCTATGAAGAAGACTGATTTCATCGTGAATGACAGTAGGCAACTCACTAAGTGACATTAGAAATTTGAATTCCTCACTTTGATTCTCGTCGTTCACGGAGGCTAACAACTCCATGTAGTCAGTCTCATGTTCATTGGAATACGTTTTCAACTGTTCTCGTATTTGTGGAATCAATCTTCTCACTGAGGTTAGCTCATCGGGATCCTTAACATTCGCCACATCTAGTTGTTCTAGTTTATGCCCCACATTGTGTAGATGGGAAGCACTTAGTAGGTCCTGCCAGTTCTCTCCATTAAATGCAGTTTGTGGGACATCAGAAACAGATTTCTCGGTTTCCTTCAAATCTAGCTCATCTTCAGAGCCACTTTGAAGATCCGCTAGCAAATCTTCCTCATAATTTGGTTGTTCGGTCATATGGTGTGTGATACATATCTCCGGTTGTAGGTATCGCTACCAGGCCAGTGCGCACGTGACCTCATCGGTGATACTACTATGCCGCATACTTTGAGTCTGTCAGCATCAAGACCTGTTAAGATAATGAGTGGTCTAAAAGTTCAGTTATCAGAGTTGGGTCAGGTGGACGGCTCTGCAAGAGTTTCTATTGGAAATACAGTAGTGCTTGTATCTGCAGCAGGGCCAATCGAAGCCAAACCCAGACAAGAATTGCCCACACAAGCGAGTTTAGAAATAGTGGTTCGTCCGAGTCGAGGAGTCAGTTCAACAAGAGAAAAGGTTCTAGAAGATTTACTTAGATCCGTGCTACAGCTGGTCATAGTGCGTTATCGTTATCCTCGTCAACTCATCCAGATTGTCGTCCAGTTTCTCACCACCGATGTCGACAGAGAAGGTTCTATAGTGGTTTCCGGAGATACAGCAGCTTCTGGTGGTGCATTTACATCGAACGAGCTCAGTGCTGCCTTTAATGCTTGTTACTTTGCTTTGATTGACGCCAATGTCGCTCTTTATAATTCCTTTGCATCTGTTTCTGTTGCTATCGACAACGAGGGCCAAATCATCGAAAGCCCCACCTTGAAACAGCTTCAAGACAGCTCCAGTCATCATGTCGTATGCTTTGACATACGAGACAAAAAGGCTCATAAAATCTTGCTCGTGGAAAGTGATGGCTCCTTTTCCGAAGAGCAGCTCTTTCGCGTCATAGAACTTGCCTCCAGCTCTTGTCAAAAGATTCACAAGACGATCCAGCGTCCACTTATTGAGAGCAAGGTGAAACAAGACTTTATTTGGTCAAACTGATGTTAGAATATAACCGGTCATGTAATGATAATATAAACTCAAGAAATCAAGCACCAAAGAAGGATAGTAGAAAGAAGTGGAATCTAGTACAATGTAGCCAAGGGATCTAAGCGGTTGCCGCCGAAGCCACCCAACCTTCCGTCGCCTTGTCCGCCGGCGAGCAAGTTAATCTCGCCATTCTGGAATCTGTTGTTAGGGTTCAGCTTGTGCTTAAACGTGAAACCAATGAAGTTGTTGTTGGCAATGTTTCTGCCAGCGGCTTTCGAGCCATCCATGAGTGACTCGTTTTGCTCTTGTCTAGCGAAAACATCCTTGTATTTCGCCATGCTTTCTTCATCTTCAAAGTCATCGAAGTAACCAGCGTCCTCCTCATTATCTAGCTGTGGAGTGAATGGTGGTGTCTTAGATCTCAAATGCTCCCAATCACGAATATCGTTGAAATAGGGTTGCGCCTGGACCTGCTTGAAATTGCGCAAACGGCTGGATGGTGAAGAGATTAACTTGGTTATCAAGGCCCATGTTCTGTCAGAGAAGACATAACGCCCGTCTCTGGTTTGGGGCCTTCTCAAAGCACTCTTCCAATGCTTCAAGTTGTAGTAAGTTTCATCTTGCTTGCTTCCACTGAAAGGTGGGTATCCGCAAAGTGCCTCGAAAAGCATGCAACCCAAAGACCAGTAATCAATGGTGAAGTCGTAATTCTTGCCTTCCAAAACCTCAAGAGCCATGTAGTCGGGAGATCCCACAATAGAGTTGGCGAGGTTATGGTGTCCCTGGGACTGCTTAAAAATCTTCTGACGCTCGTACATGAGCTTGGAAGGTACCTCGTAGTGGTCCAAATCTTGCAAGTTAGCCAACTTTACTCTCATGGATTCGATCCTGTCATTGGAGACAGTACCAGCGGCCAAACCAAAATCGGTCAATTTAATATGGCCCTTGGAGTCAATCAAGAAGTTCTCTGGTTTCAAATCACGATGCGTGAACCCGAGATCGTGCAAGGAATTGACCGAGGCAAACATTTCAGCAATGTAGAATCTTGCGTGTGGTGGAATGAGATATCCGGTGTTATTGAGCAAAGTTCTGAAGTCTCCACCAGGAACGAATTCCATGGCCAAGAAGACCTTTTCGGCGTCCTGGAAAGCATATAACAACTTGACCAACCAGTCGGAACGGGTATTCGTCAAGATATCTCTTTCTGTCAAAACGTGTCTAGTTTCGTCAAGCTTGAGCAAAAGTTTTTTATTCAAAACCTTCAAAGCACACACCTCTCTGGTGTCCTTCTTTCTCGCCAAGAACACCTGACCATAACCGCCCTGGCCAACCTGGGTGATCATTTCGAAATCCTTATGTTTAGGCTTGATTCTGCGTTTGCGTAGAAGAGCTCTTTCTCTTCCGACATAGCTTTTCCACTCGAGCTGGGCTCTCTTGGGATTAGCGGAGTAGTTTGGGTCGCTTTGCAAACGAGCTTCCACCAACTTCGACCTCTCGTGTCTGGAGATAACGTAATCGAACATGTCACAGTAGTAGTCTAAGAAGTAAAGCTGCGCCACCAGGGTGAGTCTCTTTGTCTTTGCAGCGTTAGCTTTGGAGTGGAAGTCAGGTCCTAAGAACGAGTTCTGAGGCTGGAGCCTGTTGATGTCATTCTGAAGCTTGATGTTGTGAGCCTGGGGCGTCAATGGCTGCAGTTTGCCCAATGGCAGGGTGTGGAGTACCAGCTTCGTGGGCGAATTGATCGGGGTGATGTTTTCCTTATTGTAGGGCTCCTTCACCGGCGTTTTGTAGGAGGCGTCCACGTCCATCATGTTGGATTGGAACGAGACATTCTCCAAGGACTGGGAAATGTCGGCCATGTCCAGGGCCCTATTGTGGCGGGGGCTACGAAGGAAGGCCATGAAGAGAAAGATGTGGTGGGTGTATCTAGTGTTATGTCAGTGAGAAGTGAGGGACTTGTGTGTTTACAATGCGACCCAACTGGGAAGTTATGACTCGCGCCAGCGTCTTCGATGCATGGATCTGGGAATGCTCGCTCCAGCAAGAAATCTGAAACGTCATAAATATAACCCCTGAAGTGCTAGTTGCTGTTGCTGTGGGAAGGAGGGTATTTGATATGGAATGTTGGACAAATTTGTAGCGTTTGGGAGCGCCAAATGTGGGTATCTTTACAATGGTGTATGGAGGCTCCTAAGCTCACAAGATGTAGACATTTCAAGGCAGAAGAGCTGGATGGAGCACATAGACGCAATTGAAATGTTATATGTACTGAAGCTCCCGATAACGTTGGTTAAAAAATCAGCCCATCGCAACTCTCACATGGTCGCCTCAGGCCACAGGACATTGTGATTCAGTAGCACGCCATTGTGAGCTGACTCGAGGAGTTTCAATATCACAAGCAAAGCGGTGTTATATTTACTGAGCTGGGCAGTGGACGGAATTGCTTGTTTTAGATGTTCACTAAGTCAGTGAAGCGAAAAGTGTTGTCATCAAGAAGAGATTTACCAGATCACCTCTGACTCTGTTGTTCTCTTTTTTTTTGTTCCTCAAGTCTACTGTGAAGCATATTTATCAGGACGGACTCCGCGTGCAGATGCACAAATAGGAGTATTTACACTTTTCGCAGCCACTGATTAGCATCTACCGAAATGATGCATACGGAGAAACCGGCCTTCAAAAAAGCACCCTTATTTCACCAGAGTCTTCCAAAAATACAACATCACATTTGAAGTTTAGCAGAGTACCGTTCTAACCATCTTCCCCAGAATAACCGTTGGATTTGCAACGGAGATAGCGTTAAGACTACATCTCGATCACGTGCATGACAGCTCCCAACAATACTCGATTTCTAGCGGACCCCTCAGCAGGGTCACATGCGTCAAACCCAACTTAAATAACAGCGAAACTGCCAGTGCTTAAACCACAATGACTAAGTACGCTTTGATTACGGGTGCCTCTTCGGGCATTGGCTACCAAATGGCTCTTGCACTCCACAAGAGGGGCTACTCAATTATTGGTGTTAGTCCAGAGAGGGACTTGTGGGGTATGAAGCCTTTGCAACAGGAGATTGGGCTCATTCCTTTGGCCTTAGATATCACCAAACCAAAAGCAGTGGAAGCTGCCGCGTCGAAGGTCAGAGAAATCACAGGCGGCCGTTTGGACATTTTATACAACAATGCCGGTATCAGCAACCTTGGAGGCCCGGCTATCGAGTACGACGACGATAAGTTGCGTCTTCTCTTTGACGTGAATGTTTTGGGCCACATGTACGTGACAAAGTACTTCAGTGACTTGGTGATTCAGGCCAAAGGTACCATCGTTTTCACGAGTTCTGTCGCTGCAAGAGTGCCCCTTTCTTGGGTTTCGGCCTACAATGCCACCAAGTCAGCCATTGACCAGTATGCGCTCGGTTTGAGAGCCGAAATGAAGCCCTTTGGAGTGAAGGTGCACAGTGTGATTACCGGCGGTGTCAACACGGCCATTTGCGACCCGTTGTCTACACCATCTTTGCTCTCAGACCGTTACAACGTGCCGGGAGTGTACGAGAGCATTTTGGCGTCAGCCGACATGAGCAGAAACCCCAAAACCAGCATCAGTGCTGAAAAATACGCCAACCAAGTTGCCGGACAAATCACAAAGAAGCGTGACGTTGGATTCAACATCTACCGCGGTTCAAGGGCGTATCTATTGCATTTCTTGCGCTTCTGGTGCCCCTTGTGGTTCTGCGAATTTTGCATCCAGTGGCACTTTAAGCAGTACTCGGTGCTTCGTGCGATAGCTCGGGTCGTGAAGAGACAGTCTGCCTAGGCAGGACTGGGGCAGAGCTGAGGAAATTGTCAAGGAGGCAGGACACACCAAGCTCAGGTTATACAATGCCAGTGGGGGCCGTGTGGGGGCCCGCGATCTATAGGAATTTCTACTAATTGTCCAAGAGTGTAGCCCCACACATGTTCACCAAGAGAAGCTTGGGGACACCAAGAATGGTTACGAGACGGGTTGTGGTGGTGGTGGTGCCATGGTTGGGTCTTACGGAAATGCGAGAAGTGAAGTTGCACTCGAAGCCGCTGGCTTGGGGCGTTGCTTGGCTAGCGTCTGACCAGTGACAGTGGCACCGAAAAACGGAAACACCGTAGTGACAAGCAAGCGGCGGAATGAGCCGATGCAAAAAGGTGATTAGTAAAAGAGGCGGTAGTTTCGGCGTCTGGTTATGGGGTTTCTGGATTCCCCACAGCACTAGCACCGAGACGACCAAACCCAAAAGCCTTGGGACCTGAGCTTCGGACTTTTGAGTTCCGGGGGCTCGCCCCAAGCCCACCCGCAAAGGCATCGGCTTTGGGCGCCCTCGGAAGTCGCCAAGACACCGCACTGCACCTTTTTCTGCGGTATACGCACGTCACCTCACCACCACAACTGCAAAAAAGCAACCGCCTCGGACATCGTACCACGGTTGTCCACCGCACGAGGCTTCTATTTTGTGGCGTGGTGGCATTGGTATAAAAACCAAGACTCGCCCCTCTTTTCTGACTTAAGACAAGTAATACCTCGACCCCCTCCTCGAGCATAAACCCCCTCGGAACTCGTGGTCCCTCAACCCTCGGAAACCCCACCCATCTTGCGTTTTTCCTTTGGCTGCAAGTCGAATTTTTTTTGCACCCGCTAGCTCTGCCCCACACGCCCTCCTGACATATAAAATGAGTGATCCGCAGCGAATGGTCTACTTCAATTCTCAAGATAAGTCCTTCTCCTCCATGTCCGATTTGGAATCACAGCAGCCTCGCAACCACACCTTGGTAGTGGAACAGAACAACTCGTCAGGCCCCGCACGGGCGCAGACTTCCCACTCAGACATCACCAGAGTGGTGCACGATGATGAGTTCATTCACTTTGGCAACGAAAAATACAACAAGACTGACTTGGTCTCGGCCTTTGGTGGTACGCTTAACCCCGGTTTGAGCCCTCCTCCCAAGCACGACTTGGCCAACCCAGCTCCTTTGGGCTTGTGCGGTTTCGCCTTGACTACTTTTGTTTTGTCCCTCATCAACTGTGAAGCCCACGGCGTGTCTATCCCCAACGTGGTGGTCGGCTTGGCCTTCTTCTACGGTGGTGCTGCCCAATTCCTCGCTGGTATGTTTGAAATTGCCGTGGGCAACACCTTTGGTGGTGTTGCTTTGTCTTCCTACGCTGGATTCTGGTGCTCCTGGGCCGCCATTCAGGTTGACTCTTTCGGCATTGTTAGTGCGTTTGACGGCGACGAAACGTCGCTCGACTACGCCCTTGGTATATTCATGGTTGGATGGTTCATCTTTACGTTCTTTTTATGTGTGCTCACATTGAAGTCGACATTGGCATTCTTCTTGTTGTTTTTCTTCTTGAGTATCACATTCTTGTTGCTAGCCATTGCGGAGTTTAACGGCTCCACTGCAGTCAAGAAGGCTGGTGGTGTGTTTGGTATTATCACGGCATTTGTTGCCTGGTACAATGCCTACGCAGGTATTGCTAATGACCAGAACTCCTACATCACCGTCAAGGCTCTTCAATTACCTGACTTGCAGGCCAAGCAGGACTAGACCTTCCTCGAATATTTAATTGGCTCTATAGCCCCTAAGTTATTTCAAGTATATGACCTTTTATGACTCCAGTAGTATCTGCGGCGCTTTCGTATTTTGACTTCAGACAGTTGCAATGTCGATCCCGAGCGGAATTGTACGTGGCTTGATGCACCCCGCCGGGCAACAAAAATTATTGCCGGAGGGGTCTGTTGAATTTTTTACCAAGAAATTTTTTAAATGCTTAGTGACCTGGTTGCAGGGTACTATAATATTTATTTTTGTTCAATATTTTGGTATATAAGGTTTCGCAGAGAAATGGGTGCAAATATCTATACGGCTTAAATACCTTTGGGAAATAGGCTCAAAGCTTCTCATTTTGTACTCCAGGGCATAAATAATTGGCCTCAGATTACATTAATACTTACTTTGGGATGTTTGACTTCTGTGTTTCATCTAGAAGCGCCGCGGAACAATGTGTCGTAGTGTATGAAGATTTTCCAACGAATTTCAAATTCAGCTGGAACAAACGTTGCGATGTACTTCTTTATTTGATTGATAATAATGTGATCTTGAAAAGCATGGATTGTCAATTCCAATGTACCCAAATCAGCGTTGGCACCTGATCAGTATCACGTGAATATCACGCCGCCGATATGCCTGGCTCATCTGGGGTTAGGCAACTCAATAGGATAGAACGGCAATGGACAATCTAGAGGAGAACCTCGACGTTAAGCTCGTGGACCAGGATGATTTGGAGAGCTCCATCACAAAGAAGGCCAACCAGGCTTTGATCAACAAGGAAACCGAGTTGGACGAGAAACGATTGCAAAAAGCAACCTCAGACTTGGAGAAGACAGTGAAGAGGATTCAGCTTCTCCAAAGGCGTCTTGACAATCCACGTACAAAGCTCTCGCAAAGAAAGTCTCTAAAAGATGAGATCCAATGGCTTAATGAAAACGAGCTCAAGCCAAGACAGCAAGATGTCGATGATATCCAAGGCAGACTTGAAGGAAACCGAGAACTGCTTCAGGAGGAACAGAAGGGTGGAACAAACGAAAGGCTAGCTGGAGAAACCGAGAGAGAATTCCTCATACGAACTGGTAAAATCACAGCATTTGGTAATACTACAGCATTCGCAGCCGATGAACTGGCTACCAGATCACATCAGCACTTGAGGGCACCGGGCTTCAGTGATGCTGAGCAAGTAAGTCCGAACGTTTCGGGAAACGTGAAACATGAACTAGAAGAAAAGGAAGACGAAGACGATATACCCGTGAAAAGGCGAAGAAAGACCCTCGACCTGGAGTCGGAGTACGAAGATAACGGGGAATCTGATGATAACGGGGCAGACGATTTTGCAGACCTTAATGAAGATATCGTGGAGGAACTAATTGATCCTACCGAAAGCTCCACGAGTATGTCCCTCAGTCTGCGAAATGTGGACGACGGTGACGAAGCAGTGTACCAACTGCGTTTTGGAGAATGGAAACAAAGAAGGGCCCAGCTACGAAAGGCTCATCAAAAGGAAGTGGATGAGGATTTACCTGAGTGGCAATTACCTCATCCTACCATTCCTGACGCTGTACTCAATGATCGTTTCAAGTTGCCAGGTGACATATATCCTTCCTTGTTTGACTACCAAAAGACGTGCGTGCAATGGCTATGGGAACTTCATTCCCAGAAAACAGGTGGAATCATTGGTGATGAAATGGGATTAGGTAAGACAATTCAAGTGATTGCATTCCTAGCGGGACTTCATTATTCAGGTCTTCTTGATAAGCCAGTATTACTAGTTGTTCCGGCCACTGTCATGAATCAATGGGTAAATGAATTTCACAGATGGTGGCCAGCTTTTCGTTGTGTAATCTTGCATAGTATTGGCTCTGGAATGACTAAGTCTTCGATAAAGACCGAGGAAGAGTTGGAAGCTCACCTTGAGGATGAAGATGCTGACTTTGACGCACAAATAAGTATGAAGTCAGCGAACAATCAAGCTAATGCAAAGGCCATTGTTGATAGGGTTATGGAAAAGGGCCATGTCTTGGTGACTACTTACGTTGGTCTTCGAATTTACTCGAAGCATATACTTCCAAGGGAGTGGGGCTACGTTGTTCTTGACGAAGGCCATAAAATCAGGAACCCCAATTCCGAGATCTCCCTCGCTTGCAAAAGAGTCAAAACTTACAACAGAATCATTCTCTCAGGTACGCCCATCCAGAATAATTTGACTGAGCTTTGGTCCCTTTTCGACTTTGTCTTCCCAGGACGTCTAGGAACTCTTCCTGTGTTTGAGCAGCAGTTTGCCATTCCGATTAACATGGGAGGTTATGCAAATGCTTCAAACGTGCAAGTGCAGACAGGCTACAAGTGTGCAGTTGTATTACGAGATCTAATTTCGCCTTATCTCCTCAGGCGACTCAAAGTTGATGTCGCCCAGGACCTTCCGAAGAAGAATGAGATGGTTCTCTTTGTGAAGCTTACCCAATTCCAGCAAAACTTGTATGAAAAGTTCTTGGGCAGTGAGGATGTCAATGCCATTCTAAAGGGAAAGAGAAATGTCCTCATGGGCGTTGACATGCTACGGAAGATTTGCAATCACCCTGATCTTATTGACAGAGAGTTACTTCTCAGGAAAAAAGGATACAGCTACGGTAACCCAACAAAGTCGGGAAAGATGCAAGTACTTAAAAACTTACTCCAGCTATGGCAGAAAGAAGGTCACCGGACCCTTGTTTTCTGTCAGACGAAGCAGATGCTCGACATTCTCGAAAAGTTTGTTTCGAGCATGAGAAGAGTCGACATCGAAAATGATGAAATAGCTGAGGGAGACTACTTTCATTACCTTCGCATGGATGGCTCAACTCCAATTGGAAAGAGGCAGACATTGGTTGATTCGTTCAACAACAACAAGTATTTCGACTGCTTCTTGCTTACCACGAAAGTTGGTGGATTAGGTGTGAATTTGACTGGTGCCGACAGAGTTATCATCTACGATCCTGATTGGAATCCATCAACAGACATTCAAGCGAGAGAGAGAGCATGGCGTTTAGGTCAAACGAAGGACATTACTATTTATAGACTTATGACGGCTGGAACGATTGAAGAGAAGATCTATCACAGACAGATTTTCAAGACATTTTTGACGAACAAGATATTAAAGGACCCCAAGCAGAGAAGGTTTTTCAAGATGAACGACCTTCACGATCTTTTCAGTCTAGGTGATCCGCAAGAGAAAGGAACTGAGACAGGGGATATGTTCAGTGGAAGTGAAAAGACATTTAGAGGAGACAAGATTCGGAAATCCACCCAGCTCAACAAGCAAAAACACAAGAACGACGATGACTTGTATCAAGTTGCTAGCATAATGGGTGTATCTAAACTTGATAATTATGTGGGCGACGAAGAAAAGGATGACGACAAGAGCAAAGAAGAAAATCGTCTTATGGACGGCATTTTTGCAAATGCAGATGTTGTTCATAGCACTTTGCAACATGACGAGATCATCAACTCGAATCAGCAAGAGGTGAGCATTGTGGAGAGGGAGGCAGCCCGGGTGGCCAAGGAAGCAGCTGACGCTTTGAAGAAATCCAGAATTCAGGCTCGGTCCAATACGGTCGGAACCCCAACCTGGACAGGCAAGTTTGGTGTTGCCGGTAGGTTTGGACCCAAGAAGTCTACAATTAGCAGAGGTGGAACAAAATCACCATCTCAATCGCCAGCTCCTGGTGCAACTGACGCCATTTCATCCACCTCAATTTTGAATCAATTGAAACAAAAGAAAGCCAACAATGGCAGAGCCAACAAATCAGGCAAGCCAAAGAAACTCACAGAGGACGATAAGCAAAGCTTGCTTCAGCACTTGATAGATTTCTTACGCAAACAGCCCGAGGGATTTAGCAAATCTGATCCAATTTTAAAGTCGCTTCCTCGGAATGTTGACCTCAAAGACGAAAAGGAGATGATCTCGGTGCGGTCGCTTTTACGAGAGGCTGCTAACTGGGATGCAGCCTTGAAAGGATGGAGGCTAAAAGAGACGTTTACGCAATAGGCAGGTGCATTCGGCAGTCGGCCCGTACAGTAGCGATTGGGGTACTGCATGGCCGCTGTAACCGCCTAACAAGGCAATGAGACCGATCTCACTCAACTGCATCGAGGTACATATATAGTACTTCAGATCAACTAGCCAGTGGACGATCAGGTGTTGTTACAGGATGCTTAGGATAGCCAGACGGTGTGCAAGCCGATTTGTTGATACCTGCCCACCTCCAGCTTACGATACGGGGTGTACACATTGTGGGATACCCGAATTCCCTGCTGATAAACCCATCAACTACGAGGCCAACCTCAATGGCACAGGCTCTGATCCATGGAAGCATCTTTTAGTGTTTCTGCATGGCTTCAACGACTTCAACAAGATGCCTGCCAAGGTGGAGCTCACGGTGGGGTCGGTGGCGAGCGAGATGACCCAGCACAAGCGTTTGCTCAGCCCGAACCACCCTGTCAGTGTCACCAACGCTCTTGTTCCGGGCATCAACGAGAAGCCCAAGGGCAAAGAAAAGGTTTATTTATACCCAGACAACAAGGTTATTGAGTTTGACCTCAAGCACGCCGAGCAGTTTGTCGAGCACTATTTATTACCCGAGCAGAAGGACGTGGTGGAGGTGTACAACCCGTTTGCAGCGCAAACTGAAAAAGCCAAAGGACGGCAGGACCATCTGGAATTGTTCAGCGAGCGGCCTATAGAAGAAGACTTGGTTCTTATATGTGGACACACGCAGAGAGATATACGGTGTGGGCTTCTAGCACCGCTTCTAAAACAAGAGTTTGAAAGGGTCTTAGAGCGAGAGGAGCTTCACCAGGTGAAAACCGGGCTCATTTCGCATGTTGGTGGCCATGCCTACGCTGGAAACGTGCTTTATTTTCCCAGAGACAGCAGCAAGCCTGTGGTGTTCTACGGCAGGGTATTCCCAGAGCTAGTGCAAGGCGTGGTGAACACCACCATCAAAGGAGGGCAGATCATTAAGGAGCTCTACCGAGGCGACGTGAAACCAAAAGAGATTGCATAGATTCCAATACAGCAGCGCTGCAACCCCGGTTGCAACGAACAAAGTCGCAATAGTCTTAGCAGTAGTAACAGACGGTGCATGGAAGCTGTCAACTGGTGCAAAGCAGATGAGAGACACTAGTGGCAGTGCATGGAAGCAGGGAACGCGATGCGACTGTCAGGCGCTCTGCGATCGCATGCGAGGTGCAAGGCGATGCACCAGCTTCAACAGTTGACATGCTTAGCTGGCGTCGGTTGCAAACTGGGGTGCTGTTGGAACGTCGATTCTCCAAGGAAAGTCAAGCAAAGCTAAAGATGCTGATAATGGGATCGGCCCCACCGCGGGCCCACCTGCCGGTGTTCCGTGGATACTTGTGGGATAAGCTTTTTTCGCAAGCCACAACAATGAAGCCGGCGGCTCCGTTCGTCTGGCACAATCACGCCAGAAGCAATGAATATCTCTTGCAGACAATCCCGGCCCGCCATACCAGCCACTGGGCCACGACAATATGACTTCAAGGCTTGAGGCCCATGGCGGCTTCGCAGTGGCGTCCTGGTGTGGTAGCGATATCAGACAAGCCTGGGCTTTTCGGCACCGTGCATTGGTGGGTGCGCAAGGCTCCTACTGCACTGGACAGGTTACGTTGTGGGCCTTGGTTCGGCAATGCCTTTGGCGGTGGCAGTGTAGGATTTTAATAGATAAAAACTTTGGTACCCTGTTGCAGCTGCCTGAGAGACCCTCCCTGTAGGCTAATGCCTGAATCTGAGATCTGCTATTGCCTGGGAGACTACCTCGAGGAGCCTGCACCAAGCTGCAGCAGGGCTCGTCTCCGAAACAAAGCAACATCCTCGAAGCAGGGTGAGTCTATGTTGGCGGGCTGTAGGCAATCCACGGTTTGACACTGGGATCTGCCTTTTTCAACCTGGGCCCGGGCATTGTTGACTGCTTTGCTTGCACTGCTTGCAATACCCTGGGTGCACGCATGACACCGTGCAGGCCTAATCCACCTCGACGTTGCCCTGGACGGGTTTGTTGGAGCTAGTAGGCTCGGCCTAAAGTGCAATTGAGAGCAACATCACAAAAATTTGAGACAATCCACCTCCGAAGGCCAGCCTAGGCTGCCGTGGCCAAGGTGGGTCGTTTATGGCGTGGGGCGCGCTGGCAATCTTCCTGCAATTGCCATCCACTTTTTTGCAGGAGGCGCGACAGTGCATTGCACCGCATGGCTTCTTGAAACACGCACGGTTGGCCACGACAAGTCGGACGGCCTTGTCCTCTGCAAGGTGCCATTCACTGCTTTCAGGTCTATCTCGGCCAACTACGTACCAGTATCTCGGCCACACGTTATCTAGAAAGCCCCAGAACCCGAGGGGATGTTGGGTAATCTGCATACGTGTATGCAGACCGCATTGTGGACGTGCCGTGACCCTGCGGTCGGCCAATAGACGACAGCCGTCATGCACATGCAGAGGAGCGCGGGCTGCGCAGCTGCACATAACCGTCGCTTTGGCGTTGTGTGTGCAGGCGGATGCTGATGCTCAGATTAGGCCTCTGCATCCGATGTGCACCGACTAACGCTCGATTTTTTGTTCCTTACATTATATTGTTTTCAACAACCCAAGTCAAAGTTTTTCCTACAACTTTTTCCTTCGCCGGCGCCTCACCCCAGTAATCGTCCCACATCACTGAAACCAGGCCCCGCAGCTCTTGCACCGCATCAACCTTCCTCCACCGCCACACGCAGAGGAACCGTCAATCAAAACAAAGAGCCCTCTTGGACCCATTGCACCTAGGCCAAAAGCCAAAGGAATGTCCACACAGCAGTTCCAGTATCCTAAATCTTACTACCAGCTGGAGCCTTACCCTTCCCAGCAACACATGAACGGAAGCGGAACCCAAGGTCTGAACCAGACCCAACAGCCGGGCCAGTCTCAAGGCCAGCCCATGTCTCAACTGCAGTTGCTTTCCCAGTACCAGCAGCACCCCTATGGCCTGTACTACAACCCAGGCCAGATGCCCATGCAGCAGATACAGCAGCCTCAACAGCAGTACCAGCAGTACCAGCAGCAGCAGCAGTCTCAGCAGCACCAGGGCACCCAGGGCACCGACTACCTGTCCCACTACCCAGGCTACCTGAGCTCCCTGGCTCCTTACAACCAGTATCCTGTTTACCAGCAGGGCCAGCAGCATCCCCAGGGTCAGGTGTACGCTCCCAACCAGTCTGCCCAGCAGGCGCCTTCTGGTTCTGCCAGTTCCACCGCTCCTTCTGTGCAACTGGGCCAGCCTCAGCCCGGTTCGGTCTCGGCCACCACCGCAGGCGGCCCAGCGTCTACTAAAGGCCTGGTGTCGTCTGACTCTTTGGGAGGAAACGCCAATTCTGCCGTTGGCCAGTACCAGCCTCCAGGCATTCGTCCTCGTGTCACCACCACCATGTGGGAGGATGAAAAAACCTTGTGCTACCAGGTGGACGCCAACAACGTCTCCGTGGTTCGTCGTGCCGACAACAACATGATCAACGGCACCAAGCTCTTGAACGTGGCCCAGATGACGCGTGGTCGCCGTGACGGTATCTTGAAGCTGGAGAAGGTTAGGCATGTTGTCAAGATCGGATCGATGCACTTGAAAGGTGTGTGGATTCCGTTCGAGAGAGCCTTGGCCATGGCTCAGCGTGAAGGTATCGTCGACTTGTTGTACCCATTGTTTGTCAGGGACATCAAGAGAGTGATCCAGACCGGCGTCACCCCAGCAGCCCTGGGCACCTCCAACTCGGGCGCCACCTCCAACGCCAAAAACACCCCTCTTGTTGCCAACTCCAACTCCACTTACCCTTCGGGCTCCGCCTCCACCGCCGCAGCCTCCTCCAACCCTAATGTGGGCTACTACTCCCAGTATCCATCGCAGTACCCACCTGCGGGAGGTGCTGCCGGCTCTGGTTCTGCTGCTGCCTCCTCCTTGGGCGAGTCCTCCTCTGCTGCTCCCCAGCAACAGGGCCAGCAGGTTGGCCAGCAGCTGATGTACCCATACTCGCAGCCCTACTTCAACCAGTACTACTCGTACGGCCAGGGCTCTGGATCTGGCGGCGCCGGCTCCTCGGGCTACTCGTCCTACTCTGCACCAATGTATTCTGCCTACGGCTACAACCAGGTTCCAGGACAACAGCACCAGGGGGTTCCTTACCAGGGCCAGCAGGTTCACCAGCACGCTCAGTCGCAAGCTCAACAGCTGCAACCACTGGGCCAAGCAGGGTCGCCTGACGATAAAAAGGCTGATTTGAAGAACGACGCCAAGAAGTGAGCGTGTTTCCATTGTACTATAGCGAGAGTAGTAATTGTTGTCATGATATTTTAGATTAAAACACACTGTATCACTAGCACCTGTAGACATTTGCAACCGGGCGCTGCGTTCTTGATGGACCATGCGTCTGGGAACTTACCACTGCTTACATGGTGCATCGCAGTGCGCGGGCCACGTCAGCCTGCGTTGCTTCTGTACACCAGAACCGATGGACTGGAAAGATTTGAATCTCCTTATCTTGGACGACCGTTGCAAAGGGTCTTTGTTGAAGCACATTCTGCATCCACTGATCCTCTCTCGATGCACAGACGGATGCATTGCGCACGCGAGGGTCGATGCAGTGATCGGTGCCCAGCTGTCAAGGCAGTGGCTGGTGCACCACGCAAGACTTACATGGAGGGGGACGCTAGGCTTTGTGAAAGGAGCCTCTGCACCAGGCTTCTCTGCAAAAGCCGGGACTCACTGTAGCTTGTTGAAAATTAACGTCACATGTTGGGAATGTGAGAGGTCGGTCTTTTTGCTTTTCGCTCAGGCGTTGATTGTTCTCACGCCCTCACAGGAACATGGCAGGAACTCCATCGCAGGGCGACCTATGCATGCCGAAGCGGCCAGAGTGGATGTGCTTTGGAACCCTTCACTTGCAGGACGTCGGGGGATATAAGCAGAATATTATAAACGTGCCTATCATGGATCTGCCTAGGAAATGTAGTCTGTGGTTGTAAGCTGCGAGTAGCTGCTTGGGTACATAAGCTGCAACACGGCCAGGCATTATAGTCAATAGGAAACTATCAGGGAAGCTTCTCAAGGATTATCTCCTATCGGACTTGCTGCCATACCAAGCCTCCAGGGAACACTTGCAGGGAGGTTGATCGGGAATGGACATCTTTGATGATTCTAGAATCCAACTGAAAGCCCAACGCTCTTCCATAGGTCAATATATCTTCGACTTTTCTGTAACCTTACCAGATATGCTGCTAAACTCTTAAAGGATCACTTTCATTGCTACATACTCCGGCCAGCCCAGTGCCTCATTGGCATAGGCGCCACGCTAGGCCTCACTTCGAGGCCTCAACTATGTTTCAGTCGTTGCCCGAAACAAAGATGCTTAGTCGGACTTGGTTCTGAGCTCATCCTCGTTGAGGCTATCGTACTGCTTCTGCACACCCTCCAATTGCTTTCTGAAGACGGCTATGTCATCTTCCTTCTGCTTAATTAATTTGCGGAGCTCAGCAGCATCTTCCTTGTCATCGCTGGTGTTCTTGGCGTCAACACCAGTCTCAGCACTTGTGGCGGCTCTATACAGCTCCTCCTTCTTGACCAACTTCTTCAAAATCGTCACAACGGTAACGATAGAAATCTCCAAGTACAACACAGCTCCGGTGATGTATAAATTGCGCTGGCTGTAGAATTTGGATGCCAATTGGTCGTACCTTGCTGGACCAAGGTCTCTGGATTGCAAGGACCCCTCAGCATAGTGGTATTTTTGGAGCTTCTGGACACAATCAATAAACTGGAGTCCTAGCATGACTGTAGTAAACGCCCAGCCACTCTTGAAGTTTCTGCTCTGGTTCAACTTGACTGATCCATTCACAAGCTTCTGTCTGACAGGGAATGGCAATGGAACCATCAAGAGCAAAAGGTAGCCCATCTCAAAGATGAGAAGGCCGAAAACTAAGGACATTTGGAGACTCATGGCGGATGCTTACTGAATTGGAATCAATTGATGGTTGTCTGAATTGCTATGAACCTTTGCTGTCTTCTGAGTATCATCAATTCGCACCACGCAGGATTTGGCCACTTGAGGCTGATTGCTTTCTCGCAACACCTTCTTGTGCGCATGCTTTTGCAGCCACTCTTCAATCAAAGATTGTAGACCTTCTTTGCATAAAGATAGGACGAGATGCTGAAAAGGAAGATGCCAAACAAAATGCCCCAGAACCAAGTAAGGCCGGGTGCATCCTGACCAGGAACGATACAGTTCATACCCCACAAACCCGTTACAACGTTCACAGGCAAGACAATCGTACCAATCACAGTAATCTTCCCTAAAACATCGTTTGTGTCATTGTTGACCTTGGTCATGTCGATATTGATTTGAGCCAAGTAGTTGGAGTGTGAACGTGCCAAAAGCTTTTCGTAGTGGTTGAGAGACTGAACCATTGTGACAATGTGGTCCTGGATGTCTCCCAAATACATCAAGATCTCCTGCTTAGAGGCAGACCTCGTGTTTAAGAAGGGGTTTTCCTCAATTGGTTTAACCACGTCACTCTCACTAAAACGTTTGGAGTAGCCTTTGATGACATCGGCCTTTGTGCTTAGAAGTCTCATCACAGACATGACCCTCTTTCTGCACTCACCAATCCGCCTCAACATATCACCCTTACGCTTCCAAGCGACGATTCTTGAAGATTCAGTACTCGTAGTGGTTGAAGTTCTCGACCGACCGCTTCTTCTTGAGTTAAGCGAAATGTAGTCAGGCTTGGAGTTACGCTTTCTCAAACGCAAGAAATCGAGTTTGGATGGCTCGGGATTTTCCACAACTGACTTGGATCTGTGACGGCGCACGAAAACATCGTCGCCGCCAGAGTAGCGAGGACGCTGTTCGTAAAATTCGTCAAAAGGCTCTTCATCAGAGTCATCACTTTCGTCAGTCGACTCTCTGTCTCCAGAGTGCATCCTCATGATCTCATCCTCGATAAGATATACTTCAGACTCAATGCTATCTATCATAGGTGCGAAGGAGTCTGTAATGTCATCGATCAATGCATAACAAATCCAATCTGGTGAGACAGTCAAGTGATCTTTGAGCATACGAGCACGGCGACGGACATTTATAGGATGTGGAGTGGCGCTGAAATGGAATGTCAAGACACCATGTTTGAAAACAATCATATACATATTCAATGGGCATAACTCTCCATTTCTGATTCTTTTTGATTTGGATTTGTTGGAAGAGGAGCCGGACTTCTTAGCGTTTGAGCGGATCACTCCGTCGTCCTTTTTTCCGAATAGATTTTTAAACCATTCAGCGCTAAACTTGTTGGGCTGATTGTTATATTCCATAAGCTTGTTGATCTTCTTTTCGTGCTCTTTCTCCTTTTGCTTCCTGCGCTCGTAGACAATGTCGAAGGAGGTGAAGCAAAGGAAGTAGTACAGGTTGAACATCTCGACCTTTTCTCTGGCTTCGTCCATGAAGATATCCTCTGTAGTCAAGGGATGCAAACCGAATGTTTTCGAAATGACTTTCATCTCCTCTTCCAGAGGGTCAAGGATGTCAAGCCAAAAAGGATCGTGATGGGAAACTGGAGATGTGGAAAGGGAATTCACTGAGGCTGCTACATGAGCTTGATTTGCAAGCGAAGCATGTGAGGCACCTGAGTGTGGAAGGCTGCCCTTGGCATTTTGATTTGCAGCAGAAGTGCGGCTAACGGATGGTGGAACCGATCCATGCCTGGTGTGATGAGCTTCCCTGCCGTTTGAAGAATCTGGGTTGCCTTCTGCGTTTGGTGTAGCTCCACGAGGCAGTCTGTGAGCAGCAAGAGCAAAGTGAGGGTCGAAGAGCTCCCTGAGGGAGTTCCTGATGGCACTATCATCTGAGTAGTCCAATTTTTCATTGTCAGTGATAAGCCCTGCAAGGGTAGGAGAGTGGAGTGTCTTGTCCAAATCATCCCTGAAGTATGTGAATCTGCACAAGGTGTCAGGTTTCGACTTGCCATTGTTGAGGATAGTATGAATTTTCAGCTGGGAAGCTTCCCATGGCTGGAGTGCCTTTGGTCTGGCCTTGATGGAGCTGGTCTTCAGGTCCCAGTTGTCCACCTCGTTAATTTGCACCAGGTTCAAAAGAGGCGCGTCCTCTTCCCCGTCGTCATCGGCAGACTCAGTCTGCTGTTGAGAGACGTGTCTGGCCAATGGGTATCTGAAATTAACCTCGTTAGTTTCCGAATCCTCATCTTGCAATTCATCGAGCTCCTCCTTCACGAAGTCCTCGAGGACTTCTAGGTCAGGCCATTTTTGAGACTTCCCAGCATCTCCTTCGTCGTCATAGTAGTCGAGGTAACAAACGTCATCCAACGAAGTGGAGTCGCTGGAATGTTCAGAAGGAGGGTTGGACTCGCCAAACTCAAGCAGCGCACCTGAACCAGGACTACGGTCGCTGAATGTCTCAGGATGGTCTTGAGTACCAAACTCCTGAGTTCTAGCAAATCTGTCCATGTCAAGCGCCACAGACCCAAATCTGTGAGCCTGATTCAGAGCGTTGTTCTGCTCTAGAAGGGTTTGCAAGTTTCTGTCCGTGAGAGGTGCAAAACTGCTTCTTCTGGTACTGTTTTCATATTCGCTTCTCCGGCGATCCCTGGCCGAAGAATTCATGTGCATCGCACTGAGTGCGTGGGGATCGTTGTATGAGTTTCTTTCAGAAGGCGATACTGGTCTCGAGCTGGGCCCAGAATCGTGTTTACCTTGTGATTCCTTAGCCTGTTGCTTCAGGCGGTTTTTCCTCTGCTTCGAAGACTTTTTCTTTGCCATAGTGAGGTCTTGTAGCTCTAAAGCTTGGGGTCTTCCGGGAGCGGAGCGCTTTTGTTCTTTTTCGAAGAAAAGACCTGATTTCGTACAAGTCGCAAACCGATGGCTTAGATGGAAACTTCCATATTTCGTAGCAAGCTAGAGGAGGATCATATCTGCAGAGCGGCTATTGCATGCACGTGACCAGCGCGGCTTAGTCTTTAAGCGACAAGTTGGAACCCTTGCAATGGCCTAGTCGGAGAAAGGGTCCAGAAAAAAAATATCACAGATTCAAGATTGAAGAGCTTCTTTTTGGAATTGTACTTCTATGGTTTAAAAGAAGCTGCAGTCCGAGGATGGCAGCCTAAAGATCGCGTGATAGGTAATTGCGACATGAAGAGATTACGAACGATTTTGTGAGAGATAAAACCTTTTCTACATATTCTTCTAAGCCTAGTGTATGTAAAAGGAAGTGTATCATGTGCGGAGCAAATACAGTCTTTTGCCACTGTAGATAAAGCAGGAACATTGAAACACTGCCGGAATCCCGCGATTACCAAATTGCAGAGCGATAAGCCAAAAGCAGTTCCGCTCCATTGCATCACCCAGCTTGACACGAAGGAAACAGGACCGCATCAAAAAGCACCACTCCTCCAAGATAAAGCTCAATGCCTCCCCCTCGTGCACGCATTGAAAAACCACGACTCGTAAAAACCACAAATCCGGCAGAATCTTCAATTGACCATTTTCTAATCAGAATCAGAATCTTCGACCTTCTCTGCTGACTTGACTTCTTTTTTGCTGCTGGAAGAACCGCTTTTGTCAGATGCCTCGGTCTTGTGCTCACTAGACTCCACCTTTGCTACCTTGTTTGGATGCAGCTTGGCTTCTTCTAAGGATGCTGAAATCTTAGGTTGGAGATCAATGAGACTCTGAAAGAGACTCTCAGACAATGCAATGCCTTTTCTACCAGGCTTAAGTTCCCCTGTAGACTTATCATTGTAGAACTCACGAATGTCGACAAGAGGTTTCCCGTTGAACAAACTCACAGTGACATGTTTATTGTTCCCTAGTTCGTATTTAGCAATCTCCTCGGAATCGAACTTGCCATCCGTGCCATTGGCTGCTCCTCTCTTTCTGGACATTGTAGATATGAACAAGTAGTTGGTAACTGACGCGCTCAGATTGCACTGATTTTGCACAGTGTAGCACTCCGCATTTCCGTACTTGATCATCCTAGTGAAGTCCAGATGGCCAGGTTTCATTATAATAGTCACCGAGCTTGTCAATTGTCAACTTGAACAATTTCTCGTCCTCGTCATTGGCCTGGTCCTTCACGCTATAATAACTTTGTAAGGCAGATTTAAGCTCGTCCACCGTAGACACGCCAAGTACCACAGAGGTCTTATTATTCCACTCAAGTGGATATTCCTTCTGACTTTTCGAGTCAAAAAGCCAACGTTTGAGAGCAAACTTTGTAGCCAATTCTGCAAGCTCCACGTTATGTGAATCCTTTAAGGATTGAGCCACCTCGTCAACTTTATTCCTCAATTCAACACGAGCAGGGTGAAAGTCGTGCGTTTTACCTGACCGAAGAAGAGACATGCTCAAGATGGATCCGTTAAGAAGCTTTTTGATGCCGCAATCGTTCATGAACGAGTCGTACATATCAAAAAGGGCAGTGTTCTGAAGACAGCCATGAGAGTAGGTAAGAATACAATCCACGGGGCCAATCTCCTCCTTCTTCTCATGAGCACAAGTATGCGCAATCTCATACAAAAATTTGATAGGGTACCCTGAGAATCCAAATGCCTTGATCAACCCCTCGTTCTTCAACGCAAGCAATTCCTTCAAAGCTTCATAGATCTTTGGAGTTTCCACAAATTCAACATCATGCATGTAAACAAGGTCGAGATAGTTCGTATTAAGTAGCTTCATTGAGTTTTTGACCGAGGCCCTCACATGTTCTCTAGAGTAGTTGAACTCGTGGTCGGCAATACGTCCAGCTTTGGTACAAATGTAATAGCTATCACGAGGCCACTTGGACTGAAGGTTCTTCAAGGCCTGACCAATCAATTCCTCTGATCTGCCGTAGTATGAGGAGGTATCTATAGCATTGAGACCTTTGGAGAAGGCGATATCAAGAATGTCTTGGATTGGTAGTTTTGTCGGGTCATTGGTATAAATAAAATTAAGCACAGCTCCTCCAATAATAAGAGGCGGAAGGTTTGTGATTGAATAAGGTGCAATTACCTTGGTGGGGCCAATGGCTGGAAAGTTCATGATTTAGTGGTAATGTTTAACAACGTTCATTCGCACCTCACTACTTGCATCTGCGTCACCACCGTTACTCGTTATACATGCATTGAACCTATATTAAAACAAACTGTCGCCCTCCTTCACATAATTGTAAGGTACTAAACCAACGTTTCCAACGTCACTTCCGCAATTGTTTGCTAACTCACACACATACCAATTGTCCTCTTGCTTATGAAGCACAAACATGTTCCAGCCTTTCTTGAACGAGAGTTCTCCCTCCTCTCTAGCACTGTACGTATAAATGGCCTTTGCCTTGGCCACATACTCGTGTCCTGACGCCGGCGTCACTTTATCTATCATAGAATGAAGGTCCATGTACGATTTTGTGGGAGATTGCAGTGAGAACCGCTTGGATTGAGTCTGTGGTTTCATAGGAGTTCTTGCAACAACAGTCCTCATCAGATCATCTTCGCCCATGACACTGTCCACCATAGACTTTGGCCTCGGTTTTTGTGGTGTCTTGAATGAGATGGAATCATACCTAGTTGCCTGTTCTCTGGAATCATCAACGAAGTCTGACTGAGGGCGATGGTTCCTATAGGACACATGGTCATTGTCTTTTGCCTGACTCCTTACAGATCGCCTGAACTGGTTCACATCACCATTGCCTCCAGTATTAAGATCCTCAAGTGCTTTGGCAATGAAGTCCATTGAAAAGTCCTTGTTAATGGAAACAGCGGGCTTCTCTGGCTGGGGCGGTGGAGGCTGGAATGTATTGGTCCAATCTTGCAGTCTTCGATTGATTCTTTCTTGCATTTCCAGTCTCTCCTTCTTTCTTGGAGATGCCCAACTTCTTGTCGTCTGCGAGGTATAGTTCGTGGGATTGGAGTAGTCCAGGTCATTGGATTCACGGAATTTCTTGCTGGAATCGAACACATCGTGTTTGTCTTCTGGACCAGATGTGTAGTTACTTGTCTGTGATAATTGCTTGCGGAGTTCACCGTTGCCATTTGGTTCTTTGATTGGTGGAAGGCTCTTATTCTGTGGTACTAGTAGACCGCCATTCGTTGCTCTTGTGGGTGAGCCTGACTCAACGTTGTTTCTCTTCGGGCTTCTTTTGGTGGGGCTTGTTTGTTTGCTGGATGGAGCTGACTGAGTGGAGAATGTTCTAGTAAGAATCTGGGAGAAGTCTGGATCTTTAAAGTCAGCGAGCTCGAAGTCCTGTGATTCGGAGTCGTCATCGTATCCTTCTGCAAAATCGATAAACTTCGGGGCTTTGGAAATCTTGTTGCCCGTGCCGTAGGCCTCGGCAAAATCATGGATATCTTTCGGTGCTAGTATGCTTGCAAACGAGGTTCTGGCTACATCCACCAGCTGGTCCCAATCGACACATAGCGATGCAACGTGGTTGCAGAAATTGAAGCAATTGAGTTTGCAAATTTGGATACGCTCAATTTCTAACTGATAAACATTCAGCAAAGCAGCACGCCAGTCTCTAACCCACACATCATGTATTTCCGTGCACTTATGGATGCACTTCAAATACTGGTCCTTGAGTACACCAGCATTCTTCTCTGCCTTTATGAGCTTTGCTTTGTTCTTCTCTAGTTCCTTACCCCATGTGGTCTGGCACTGTAGCAGCAATGTCTTGATCAGATGGCATTCTATTCTGTACTTGTCTTTAATGGCTTCGAGGTGGGTGAAGAAGTCCTTCTTTTTGCTCAAGACCTTTTGCATATGAGACTCCATTTTGGAGACGTTGTGTTTATAGTTGCCGTAAAAGGAGCTGAGCTTTTCGTAGTTGTGGAAAGAAACACTCTTGATGAACTTCTGGTTCTGTCTAACCATGTTACCACTCTCGTTCTGCAATTTCTCCAAGGCAACCTTGATTGAGCCCGTTTCACCAGAGCCTAGCGTATAGGAGCTCACGAGCTTATCCAAGCGTTTGTTATATTCTTTCTCAATGGCAACTCGTTCTTTGTAGAATGTTAGAAGTTCCTGGAGGGTAGTCAATGAATGTGCAAGTCTAGTCTGTATCACCTGGAAGCCGGCCTCCTGCTGGCCCCAAAAGCGATTAACAAAAGCTGTTTCCACCGACATTGGAAGACTATGTAGTGAAGAGTGGAGCTCGGAAGTGTAATTGTTGATAATTGTCCTGGGTACATCACTTACATCAACCTGTGTTGTTTACATTCTTCCCAATAGGGTAAGATTATGGTCGTGAGTGCAGCGAACACTTTGAAAGCCGCAGAGAGTCTTTGTGATTCTGACACACACAGACGAGGACCACACGGGCGAATACGATGCTTGTGAGGTTTGCTTGGGGATTGGCGGCTTTGTTGGAGACCCTCAAGGCTGGTCCTTTATGGTTGACTGAGGGGTCTTTGAAGCCCCCACCAGGGAGCAATACAGTCTGGAGCTAAAATGCTGAGCAAGTGCCCAAATTCATATTTTTCTTTTCTTCTTATGAATTCAAGCTTTACCGTTTTTCCTTTGAAGTCTATTCGCAGGGCCTGCAATCAATTTGCAATGTGGTGTGCACTCATGTAGGTCAAGATTGGCACGCAAGTAATGGAACTTAACAGCAGGAACGAAAACTCGTCAAAATTGAAAGAAGATCTCAATTCATTTTCTCAATTTCGATCATCCATACAACGTCTGAGCAGTTGCGCAATGCATGCCACTGATTTCGCAAAAGCACTGAATTGCGTCTCCACAGTTGCAACGAGCGAAAAACTTTTTCAAAATTTGCAATCATTATTCTCGTGTCTATGCAATTTAGACCTCGGTAGAATTTCAGTCGTATCGCTCACATTGCCTATTTGGGAAACAACCCCGGAGAATGACGACAGTCGCTGTAACTCGGAACATGCTCATCGATCCGGCGGATGTAATTCCGCACGTGACACTTGATAGTGCAAGACTGTCTCTTATTACCAGAGACAATTAACCTTGGTACAACTTTCCTCCACAGCGGCTTTTAGTGGGAAGCTTTTAATATATTTAATCGATAGACCATGCTGTATCAGGAATTCAAGAAGACAAAGACCTACAAGTGGACCACGAAGGTGCTCGGTTTCCTACTAGATCAGTGGTTCTTCGTGCTTTTGGGTGTTTTCGTTGTATTGGCATACTTCTTTCCAGAATTTGCCAAGCAGGGGGGTACTGTCAAGGCCCAATACTCCATCGGCTATGGTGCAGTGGCAGTGATTTTCTTGATTTCAGGTCTTTCCATGACCACCAAGGACTTGTTCTCAAATATCATGCATTGGAGAGCTCACTTTACCGTGCTTTCATCGTCCTTCCTCATCACCTCGGCGATTATTTACGGTATCTCTTGTGGTATCAAAGCTTCTGGTGATAGCGCAATCGACGACTGGTTACTCGTGGGTATGATTGTCACTCATGCCTGTCCAACCACAGTTTCATCCAACGTCGTCATGACCAAGGCAGCGGATGGAAATCATGTTTTAACCACTTGCGAGGTGTTCATAGGTAACGTTTTGGGTGCATTCATTACCCCGGCTTTGGTCCAAATGTACATGACAGGAACATGGGATTTCGGTAACCCAAAGTACCAGGAACAGCAACAGTCTATTCAAGCACTTTACGCTAGTGTGATGAAACAGATTGGTCTCTCGGTGTTCGTTCCTCTCTTCGTTGGGCAAGTTGTTCAGAATATTTGGCCCAAACAGGTCAAGTGGACTCTCACAACATTTTATCTTAACAAGGTTGGTTCCTTCATGTTGCTTTTAATTATGTTCCAATCCTTCTCGACAGCCTTTGCCCAGGACGCCTTTGAGTCTGTTTCCCACGCCTCGATCATCTTTTTGGTTTTCTTCAACATCGGCATCTACTTGTTCTTCACGGTGTTGGTCTTCTTCTACCTGCGGCCGTACTTTATCGTCAAGTATTACGACCACGAACCAACCGAGCAGGACTCGAAGACGTACACCTGGGGCTACAAGTTATTTAGACCATTTTACTACAATCGTCGTGACACAGTTTCAGTGATGCTCTGTGGACCCGCCAAAACCGCCGCTTTGGGTGTTTCGTTGGTCTCCTCGCAATATGGTGCTCACAATCCCAAGTTGGGTGTGTTGTTGGTACCATTGGTGCTTTACCAAGCTGAGCAGGTTCTCACGGCACAGATTTTGGTCAACTTCATGAAGAAGTGGGTTCATGCTTTGGACAAGCCTGCTGAGGATGAGGAGGCTGGTCCGTCTGAGGATGCTGAACCCGACGGAGTTAAGGCCAGTGATACTGACACTCAGTACGGCAGCATTTCGGAGCATGGACAGGCGACTCCTCAAGAGCAGGAAGCTCGATAATTGAAGGTTGGCAATAATTGCATTTGTGGTGAAATCGATTAGAGTGCATCTACGTGTGATTGAAAAAATATCATACATAATGGTAATAAAGACAATAGAGATAGCAAGCTTTACGGACTCCAGAAGAATAGGCGGCCGAGGGGAAAGTGGAAAAAGAAAACCCCGAGGCGTCATTAAGAAAAGGTGCTTGTCGGGGGAGACAATACTGACTAAAGCGCCATGGTGTAGAAGCATGTAAGAATTGTGGGAAAGAGGTGGAGTATTTAACATTATTATCATAAGACCGGCCTTCAGTTCACCTACGAAGAATCGGGTTGATGAATGTCACTACAAGGCTGCTCTACCTGATGCTCAATGGATCGAATGCACAAAGTGTGACGTGTGCAGGGGCGAATGCACACTGATAACAAATGGCCGCCCCAGACCACGGGGTAGAGTTCATGATATGCAACATTTCTCCACCATTCCGAGTTGCCGACACAAAACAAAATAGACTGTACGTTTTCCAGGCTTTCGAAGGGACCCTGTAAGTGGCAGTTGTCCTGTCAATAGTGTAGAATTAGCCTGGGTGAAGCTGTTATCACAGAAGTGTGGGTGCAAGAAATGTCGCACACTGCGTGCATTTAGGTGCAGATCACTGATGCATCTGGATTCCGCAGCTGTGAATAGCTCCCCACTTACTCATCGGAAATGGACTTGATTCGGTCATTGGCGATGAAAACAGAAACCTTATTGCCCATTGATTTCTTGATTGCGAAGGCTCGAGCCCGACCAGAGCTCACAGTTATATTTTTCTTGTGGCCTCCAAGGTCTTTTAGCGCATACGCATGCCTCCACGAGACCATGCGAACAGCAGCCTCACGCAAAGTCACCCACCGGCATCAGCATATGATCTCCTACGGCACTCAGCAGTTACATCGCTGTAGCCGCTATGAATAATTCAAGACTCCAAAAGTAAGCTCTTCGGTGGCAAAGGTGGTTAGAAACATTAGACCAAATTCATGTGATCATGCTCGGCTGCTAAGTGTCTCGAGCTTCGCCGAATTGAGCGGAACCAGAACGACAGGGCTTAACATAGCAGGCGGAAGCCCTGATTGAGCATGCAAAGCTTGGGCCCAGTAGTATTTAGAGTTGCTCCAGATGATGGATTTTCGCAATGATTTTCCGGCTCGACGCCACGATACGGCGCATCCATTTCGGCGTCTTGGCGATCGACACAAACTTGAATCTTCAGGTTTCGAGACCTTATCACCAGACGGCATCTACAGTACCACCGCTTATTTCGATTTTCGTCGCTGCCGAATGTACCGATCTCAGGCCTGGCATCTGACGAGAAGCAGGTGTCAATTTTCAGCCGCCAGATCCCGAATAATGCTCAGCCATTTAGTGCAAACCTAATTTCATTATTTGGAGAATCTTGCACCGCCAGCTACCCAGGCCGTCATGGCCAGAGCAATTATGGCTTAGACGAGCGACTCGTAACCCTAACCCATTCCCATCTCTTTCTCCAATACCTTCCCAGCCCCGTGGGTGGTGGATCTGCCGCTGGGGTAATGGCGGAAACCCGACCTCTTCCTTCATAGAACTCCCAGAAATACATCTTCGGTAACCAGCCTGGCAGACGGACTTTCCAGAATGTAGTGGAGCACTTGCCGTTGCTCTTGGGTCCAAAACGACGATTGGTCTCTCTTGACCACTGGCTCCTAATGATCCCTGACGGGAGAACCGCGGCACATGCTCCGGACCAAACGGCAATTACAGTTCAAAGAGCACAATGCTCGAGAAACATTTAGATACCTTTAGTTGGTCTCGAGAAATAGTCATTTTCCTCGAGAACCAAGATTGCAACAAAAGCCCAGTACGCTGAAGTCCGAGCGTACCCACCTTGTTGCCAGACAATTGTGACGCACTGCGTGCGTCACCCAGCCTGCCTATATGCCGGCGCGCGACATTTTTTCTCTCTCAGCTGGCCAAAATACCTCATGCGCCTACATCACCCCACATGTAGCCCTAGCTTGTCAGCTCTTCACCACCACAGTTTCTCGACGTTTTGCATATTTAGGCTAGGTCACAAAGCGGTATGCCAAAATGGCTTCTATCCTGCCGGTGGCGTTACGTCTAATGCATGGCCATGCGGCTTGGAGCAAAATGTCGCGTTTCCTCAATAGGGTCCACCCGTCTCCGAGCCGGCACCTGGGCTATTATCAGTAATCTTACGAGAGCCTGTATGCGGCCCTAGGCCCAGACATGCGTGCCAATACTTCAAAAATTGGCACCAGTGTAGATTCATTACTTTCTCATATATCTTATCTTTGTTGCCGCCCCGATCGATATACTTATATTCCCGACCTCAGGCTTCTTTCCAACTTTCCCAACCACTTCCCGCTCAAACAGACTCTCATAACCTGCGGCTGGCGTTATCAGTTACAGCCTTCCATTTCATATCTGAGGCGTCATCCACACTTGTGATCACCACACCTCCAGAAACCACCAAAGCTTTCTTCCCGCCCACGCCCAAGAAGCTCCCTCTATATTCTCGAAACACTTTTTTTGTTCCCAACACATTCGCCTAAAATGTCGTATTCCTCCTTCGGTATCGACTCGGCTGTGGTGGAACCCACCCTCCATTCAAACACACTGCCCCAAGTCCCCTCCAACGAATGGATCCCTCCTCCAGCATCCTTGACCACCATCGACTACGACGGTTTGGATCTCAACGACGAGATCTTTTTGAATAACCAGAACCCGGCTTTCCGTGAGGAGGCCCCAACTCTGCCAGTGGCTCAGTCCAACGTGAACTACAGAAACTTGCAGTCGAACTTGAGTCTGCCCGAAATGCAGTTTGCCTTGCCTTTCAGGACAGATCCAAACTCACATTACTCCCACCGTCGCCGTTTCTCTCTGGCTGTTGAGCAGCTTGACAGAATGTCTTTGCAACAAAATGCGCCCGACTCAGCTAACTCCACAGTCTCTTACAACAGCGACCAAGGCTCGATCTCTGGTATGAACCTGGCCAACTCAGACCACTCCCAGCGCTCATCCACCTCCTCCAACACCAGAGCCGACCTGCTGGATCAGTTTGGCAATTTGAAGGAGGAGCGCACGGTAAACCCTCGGGAGTTGTTCGGAAGTCTGCTTTCCACAGGCTCTATGCCTGCTCCTGCTCGCTACGTGCTTCCTCTGCTGATGCTGTCCCCCTCCTTGGGTACTATCTTCAAAGGCATGAATCCGAGCCTTGACGAGACCGCTGAGCACAAGTCGAATGTTTTCAACGGCATAGATACCAACAACTCCTCGGTGATTCAATCGCCCGAGGAAGCTAGTAACTCCACGTTTATCATGAATGATGAGTGCGTGAACGCCATTACCTACTGGCTCAACAACACTGCGAATGTCATATCTGAGTCTGATAATGCGGCCGATCGTGCGGCTCAAGCGGCTACCAAGGCATCCAGACCTGGCTGGAGACGCAACAACTCAATTCAAGTTCTTCCCAGTCGGTCGGACGCCAGTCCCTCGAGAGCTCATTCCATTGTAGGAAGCTACAACTCGGTGCATAAGAAGAGAAGACAGAAGTCTTTCAACAATGCGATTCCGGACATCTTTGCAAGCGAGTTGGCCTCCGACTCCCTTGCGGGCACATCGGCCTCAGATGTCCCTCGTGATCTCTCATCTGTTGCTGGTGACTCCAACAACCAAATGCCGATGATTAGTCCTCAGGAACTTGCACTGTTTACACAAGGCCTCGAGCAGGTTCCCGGCCTTGGTCAGGATCTTGTGCAAGACATTTCACTGCCTTCGTTAGCGAAGCAAGAGCAAGGCCAGTTCAACTTTCCGAGTTCCCAGGCGGAGCAGCCAAAGGCTGAGCTGTCCAACGGTAGAGTTCATGAGCATGGATCCCCAAGCCAATCGCAGGCTTCCAAGCTACAAGCTGCAGCTTCGAGTCGTGGCGCAGGCGCTGCCTCGGCTGAAGACGAACCAAAACCTTTCCCATGTCCCGAGTGCGATAAACAGTTTAAGCGTCTGGAACACTTGAAGCGTCATATTAGATCAGTGCACTCGAACATCCGGCCGTTCCACTGCAAGTACTGTGAGAAGAAATTTTCGAGGTCGGACAATTTGGCACAGCACCTGAAAACACACTTCAAGGTGAACAGTAACGGAACTACGACAATCGTTTATGGAAACCCCAATCCTCAGACTCGTGGTCGCAAACGCAGCACCTCGATGACAGGCGAAACCCAAATGAATGTCGAGGCCTGAGAGAGATCTACACTGACGCCACTTGGACATCTTTTTTGTATCTTTTTTTTCTTTAGCGAAGGGTTATTTTGGATTTTTTATATCACTGGAAATGGATTATGGATAGATTGAACTTCGTGTAGCTGCCTATAACTGGCCTCGTATTCTTCTTGCCAACTGAATATCTTTCTGCATAATTGTCACTCTTTTGGCGTGAATTGCACACAAGTTGGTATCTTCCAATAGGTGTACTAGAAAAGCCTCACAGGCCTCTTGTAGCGCTAGAACGGCATTGGACTGCCATCTGATACCATAGTTCGAGCCAATGTAATGATCTGCGATCTCCTTCACCAACCTGGCAAATGGGAGTTTTCGTATAAGCAAATCTGTGTTTTTTTGGTATTGACGAATCTCCCTTAACGCTAGCGTTCCTGGTCTGTATCTCCTCCTCTTGGGGGCTGATCCCGCAACCGGATCACCGGGTAGATTTCCATATCGTTCCGTACCCGAGATAATTGCAGCTCTGGATGTAGCTACCGTCTTCCGTGCCATGGTCAACCTATGGCTTCAAGATGTAGTATTGGATTTCCCTGATTGAGGTTAAATTACTTGCATGTCTGCAGAACCAGCATTTTGTTGACGCGAAGAGACCAGTACACTAGACTAGATAGACTACGGTTCAAAAAGGTTCTTAAAAAATTTACTTGTTTTGTTTTGAAACTATGTATATTGTGTGGGATATTAATTGCGCCTAAGTCGGCCGCCGAAAATTTATGTTTGTGTGGCAATTCAGTACCAAGTGTTCAGATATTGAACTACAGTGTATTGAGACCATAAGAAGCGTCAGAACTACAACGTGAATCTATCTTTCATCTTTCAAAATGGGAATATATCTTCAACTTATCTAATCATTTTTCAGAAACGGGTGCTATAAACTTCGAATCTGAGGTTGAGATGTCCAATCCCATGGGCATACTGTAGCTATGAGCAACAGCTAGTCTTGAATCAAAAGTTGAGTCCCAATACTTACATTCAGTGCATTCGGGATACTTCAAACATACTCGATATAAACTTATCTTCATGATACAAAAATTCTGGTTTTACAGTAATTTTCGACCTTGTAGTGGACTATTTACAACGTACTGTGGGGCGCTACATCGTTCACGCCTAACGAACGGCACAGCAATATTCTTTTTGCAAGGGCGCCTCTCACCTCTCATGCATCACTTCTGAGCCACGTCATTTTCGAACTCGGGCTCAAACTTACCCTCCAATATATCGTTCAATCCGTCTTGAATGGAAGTGGACTCCTCGTCCATGGGCATCTCAGCAAGCTTCAACTGCGACTTGACTCCTCCCATGGCCGATTTCATTCTCCAACCAAATTCTTGAAATGATGAGATATCCAGTACCCAGCAGGTGCCAAAGATGAGCATCGATGAGACGGAGGCACAGAGCATGGTACCAGTTCCAACGGCAACAGCAGCATCCATGGTGAAGTTGTAGCTTAGTGGTGGCAGGTGGTTTCCTTGAAATAGAGAAGGAACGTATTGCCTTGTAATTGTGGATTTGTAGGCGAACCTAGATGTGAAGATAGTGGCAGCAGCCGCGGTCATGAAGAGGACCATTTGTTTCTTTCTTCTTTGAACATATTCGGGCGATGCATCAGCAAGTTTAAAATTAAGGCTTCGGAGAGTCTCTTGTAGTTTAGTTGGAGGGGCGTCAGGACTAGTCATGATGTAGTGACTCTTCAATGAATAACGTTGAAGGTCGCACTATATATACAGTTTGAATCTAAGGGCTCCATGCTTGGAATGCACTGGTAATGATACAATGAATTTATAAAACAACATACTTAGTGGCCCTTGGTTTTACCAGCGGCTGCTTTGATGGTAAAAAAAAAAAATTAGGAAAGTGGGTGAAGAATAGAATATTAGTTAGACGGGATCGTCTTCTTGCAACGTTAAATCAAATCTCCTCCTTGAAAACTCCACCCTTTTTGTGGCTGTCCTTGATGGAAAGGTCATCCTCATAATTGCTCACGTCCGAGGATCTCTCGTTTTTCTCGGCAGCTGGCTTCGTTTCCTTCTTCTCTGCCGTGGATTTCGTAGTAGGAACCTCCTGTTTGGAGTCACCTCTGAATGAGGATGCAAAGCTGGAGAATCTGGAACGAAGACCCTTACGTTTTGGAGCACCAGTCTTCGAATCCACGCTAGCAGTCTTCTTCAAGTCAGTTCCCTCCTTCTTGGCCGCCTTAGATGGACCCTTGGCTGGTGTGGTGGTCTCCTTCTTGACAGCATCAGCGGTAACCTGAGCATCTTCCTCAGCAGCCTTGGTGGTCTTCTCAGAAGCCTTTTTCTTGGCGAGGTCTGCTGGGCTCTTCTTCTCAACTGGCTCATAGTCAAAGAGAGATCCAACGTCACGAAGCTTGTCTTCCTTCACCTCCAGACGCAAATGCTCTGGCAACTCTTTGTTGATGTTGTGTTCGTCCTTGACCTGCTCGTCAATTTGCTTCAAGATCTCCCTCTTGTGCTCATCTCTGCTGATGGTCTTCTGCTCCTTCTCCTTCTCCAAGTCGCTGATACGCTTGTCCAAGTCGTCATGTGCCTCCTTGTGGTTCTTCAAGTCAGATTCGTGGGTGTTCGTGAGGTCCTCGACCTCCTTGTCAGCAGTCTCACGCTTAGTGGTGGCGTCAGCCAACTCAGTGGTGTAGTGCTCGTGGTCTTTCTCGATTTCCTCCAACTTGGCCTCGATCTCAGCAATCTGGGTTTCGTACTCCTCCTTCTCCTTCTCGGCAGCCTCGATGTCACTGGTCAACTGATCCTTCTCGTCGGTCAATTCCTTCAACTTGGAGTTCTCTTCCTCCAACTCGTCGAGAAGTGGTTGGATTTCCTCGTCTCTCTCGGCTTGCATCAGCTCCAACTCTTCCTTACGCTCGTTCTTGAGACCAGTCTCTTCCTCGTCAATTTCGTCTTGGTTCTGCTGCTTCTCTTGTAATAACTCTTCCTTCTCAGAAGCGTACTTCTCCTCCAAGTCCTTCAATTCCTGGGTCTTGACCTCAACTTCCTCGTGTCTCTTCTTTTGGTGCTCGGTGTACAAGTCATCCTCCTCACGCTTTCTCTTCTCGTTAGAGGTGATTCTCTCTTGGTGTTCCTTCTGCTGCAACTCCTTCTCTCTCTGCTTTCTGGCAGCTTCTTCGAGCTTGAAGTTCTTGTGAGCAGCACGGGCCTCAGCACGCTTCTCAGCTGCAGAAGCATCGTTCTCTCTCTGAGTCGAAGCCTTCTTGTCAATGTCTGACAACACAGGGCCCACAATCAAGGCAGCCATCTTGTCAATCTCACTGTATGGAAGCTCCAAGCCACCGCCGAGGTCGATCAAGCCAGCCTTGTTTTTCTTGATTCTCTCTTCACTATTCTTGTGGGCAGCGACCAAGGCCTTCGAGTAGAGCTGGGCCTGAGCGCGCAAGTCTGTTTGACCAATGGTCTGAAGGGAGCCCAATCTATCAGAAGCCTTCTTGCTGGCAGCAGCCAACAAAGTGGCATCGACAACATCAACGGCTTCGAAGCCCTTGGTTCTCTTCTGGGAGGAAACAGAGTTGGTGTAGCCACCGCCGTGTTTCATGGTCAAGGCAGCGGCAGCAGAGTTGGCGGCCTCGGACTCTTCGGCCTCGTTCAAGTACTCGGTTGGTGGAGACTTGACGCCATGACGGTGGTCAACCTCAGGGTTGAATCTTGCGTTCAAAGTCTTGGACGAGTTCTTGTCGGCCAACTGGGAGATTTTACCGATGTTGAGCGAGCCGGAAGGGGAGCTTCTGGGCACGGAGGCCAAACCGTGTCTGGAGGTCAACTTCTCAGGGGTGGTTCTAGACGTCATTGAGTAAGTGGAGTTGCTGGAAGCACGCTTGTAGACGTTGCCCTTGTTGTAAGCGGCAGGGAGACCCAAGTCAGGTCTGGCTTCGGAATTGGGAGAAGGCTCAGTGTATTTGGCGCTGGCAGCAGCAGCATCAGCATCCGGGTCGGTCAGCTTTCTCTGCCACGAAGTGATAGAGTCGGTTCTGGCAGCCAAAGCAGCGGTCTGAGCATCAGGAGCAGCTCTCAAACGTTCGTAGGAAGGCTTGACAGTCAAGTCAGCGGAAGCAGCCAAAAGGGCAGCTGAGTCTGAAGCAGAAGAGCTGACACCGACGGAAGGGAGGCCAGGGGAGTTGAAGACACCCAGTCTCAATTTCTGCTGGTAGAGGGCCTGCTGAGACAAAGGCTTGCCATTGGCTTGGTAGGCGGACATGGTTAGGGAAAAAGAGTGGTGGGTTGGTGGTTTTTTCCTTGTGAGAGTGAGGAGCAATTGAGAAAAGAGCAAACAGAAGGACGGGCTGGGGGAGCATTGGCGGGCAGGGACGCAAAAACCCGTACCGCGCCTGTGATTTACTGCAACGGCGGAATCGCAATTACCTAGCTACTGTTTTTTTTGCTGTGCAAAATATGCCGTTTTTGTTGTGTCTTCCCCTACCTTTCAGCACCAGCTGGGCCGTGGTGCGCACTAATTGGGAAGGTGCTGTTGGTGTGTTCCTGCAGACGGGCCGGGGCGGCTGCCTGAGGTGTTCCATGACGCACTTTTGCTTCCTTCCATGGTCCCAGCCAATTACGTCGCGCTGCATGACACTGTGAGTGAATCTTGCTGCGAGGATGGAATAGAGGGTTACATCATCGAAAATTGTGCAAACAAGTTATTTTTTCAGAAATGATTGGAGGGGTTCAATGAGGGGTCCGAAGGGCTGATCTTTTGGTTATACGGAGCGGCGGTTGATTGGACCCATGATACCTTAAAGCTGTCAGCCACAGATAACGGCTGCGAAAAACCACCCATTACGAGCGTAAACGCAGGCTCAAGTGAAAGGGTGATAGATTAAGAGACTTTCTTTTCCACTTCACTTAAGCACTTGGCAATGCGTCGGGCTCTCATTCACTTTTGCGAGAGGAGGCTTCGAGCAATTCCGTGTGGCTGACATGCCAAGGCACATGGTCATGGAAGGTTGTCACCCCTGGAAATAAAAAAAGAAGGTAACGTCTGAAAATATACCCTGAATTTGAAACGCTCTTTTTAAGACACGCCCACGGACCCCGGCTGCTGGCCTATCATATCGGCATACCAGTGGTAATTGTCCGTGGCTGCATTCCATGTGCTATGTGCCGAAAATGAGCTCGCGATGGAATGTTGACATGGACGGTTAATTTGACCGTTTTCGGAGTGGGCAAATTTGGGGAGCACACGATTCTCTTCTTTTTCAAGCCGTATGTCTTAGCAGCGGCACCACTCCGAAACCTTAATCAGAGTATCGGCTGGGACCGAGAGCCCGCACAGTTTGGCTAGCAGTAGACTATCGTCCGATTGAGCTGGCTACCACCCATTGGGTCCAGAAAACTCAATTCAGCGTCTCCAGCTCGTACGTACCTCGTGTGGGCGGCTGATAGGCCACTTCTGTGGGACTTGTTATCTGACGTGAATGCACACTACCTTAGACGAAAAACAGCCACACGCCTCAATGGCCGATTGTCTTCCTTGACGACCTCAATCGGATCTCTCATCCGACAGTTGTATTGTGGCTCCACCTCCGTCTCGGGATCTCCGTTACCTCTCCTTCATTGTATAATTCTCGGCGCCGTCGGACGCCTCTAGCTTTAGTCTTCCTCGTGCCCCGACGAACCTTAAAACAGGCCTCGAGGAACTACAACATTCCGTTTGAAATTAACCAGATCATGAAGCCCCCGTCTGGCGAATCCACGTGCTTGACCTGGCCTATTTGTAGGGGCTAAAGCATGGCCAAGCAGTTAGCACGAAGAAGCTAGACTCAGGAACAGGATCTGCAGACCGGTCGACCTCAGATAGCTAGCTTTTACAATGATAAAGCTAGACAAAGAATAACAAAGCGGTTCCCCTCGAAAGGGCTGAGGTCAATTGGAACTAAGCCTTTCTCCATCACCGCCTCTTCACTGCGCAATGGCACAATACCAAATACCCTGCGAGCGGACGTATGACCCAGATATTGGGCCAGCAAATACTCAGACAAGAGCAGCTTTCACTTTCTAGCTGACTCCCTTCTTCAAAATCCAGGAGGCCTTCCCATGCTCGTCTATCTGGAGTCTATCGTATTCTGCACCCCCCAGACAATCCCTCAAGTCCCCATTATCGCTGGCTGCAAGCCGCATGCTGGCGCACCTCATAATCTCGATTTGGCAGTAGCACAAACATCACAAGGGCGCTTCACATGAGCCCTAGCCATTGATCGCTGGTTATCGCAGACATAACGGCGTGACCGTAAACAGGGATTGTCGGTTTCGATTGTTTTTTCTCTCGACAAGTCGCCACAAATTACCACTCCATTCACTGCACCGGTGCCTTTTGCCAATTGTGCAGCATTTAGCGTCCTGCCAAAAGAGCCTAAGCCTAATTCCCATTCCCCAACTTTCGCCGGACCCTCATATAAACCCCATTCTGCTCGCTACTTGCAATTTGAAATCCAACCCCTTACCTACCCTTATGCGCCTATGAGCACTACAGTGACGAAAAAGACTGTTTATGTCAGGGGCCCGAATAACATATACCGACGCAAGTCCTATGACACTCCTTCAATTGCATCTGTCGACTCTGGCGAGTTGACTCGCAAGAAGGGTGAGGTCGATTCGACACTCAATGACTTGATGGTGTGTGGTTTCCAGGTCCCAGAGGACCCTTCTACGAAAAAGGCGAAGATGAAAACAAAGCGACCATCTGCATCAAGCGCTGACTTAACAGCACCAACTCCTAATCAACCTCCTTGCCCGCGTATTTCCTTCAAGAGGTCGTTCTCTGACTTGCCAAAACAGACTTCCTGGATGGATAGTATCAAATCGCTACAGAGCCGCTTCCTCCCCAGTCGGCCACCGATTTCGTGGTTCCCTATGCCCTAGGGATCCTCACCGCAGTGGTGATCCAGCAGAAATGGGATCTTTTGACCCGCTACGCAAAGCTCTTGTCATATTTGTTGTTCATGTGTATCCTTTGGGGTGCCCTAGCCACCGGTGCATTCTGGTATGCTGGTGTTCTCAGGATCTCCAACTTGGATGATATCAAAAACACATTCTCAAGCTTGTTTGGCCTGGGAGAAGTTGCAAGATCTGATTCTCCCGTTCATTACCACTACGAACGGCGGGAAGAAGATCAAGTAGCTTGGATGAAGTGGTGGACACAGAATCGGTCATTCTGTCCGAGTACGAATCTGACTGTGACCCCAAACGGAAGATGAGGACAGAATCGGAACCTCACCTCGTAAGGGAACCATCTCCGCAAAAATTGACTAATGTCAGACCGTTTGTCCCACCTTCAAGGAGAGACAGTGCTGATTCAAAAATGTCTTCGCAAATCCTGTTACACCGTCTCCAGAACGAAGCAAGCACAAAAAGGAGCCGTTTCCGCTTGGGTCTGCCCGAACGTGAGAGGCCCAAGGATCCTCGGAGACATTCATCGGCATCTCTAGAACTATCTTCAAAGGATAAACATAAACCATTGCCATCTTTGCATAAAACCGCCCAAAGGAGTCTGGACTCCAGCGGCCTGGATTTACCCCTAGTACATGAGATCAAGCTCAAAAGCAGGTTTGACCAGCAGCTTGAAGCTTTAGGAAATGACGCCCACTCGCTTAGCCGTCTGGACACGCTTCTCAGCAAACAGTCTATGTTAGGAACGAGAGCGAACAAGAGGACATTTTTGTCGAATGTTGACGAATTCTAAATAGTTGTTTTACTTTTATATTTAATGGTACAGGTATGGAAATTTGAAGATCGTAAGACTTGACTAGCTGAGAACAACGTCCCAGATCGCTTGAGGACCCCTTTCCTCGTAGATATCCGTGTCGATAAAAGAATCACCTCCGTGATTAGAGTTGGTGCCAAAGACCTGCTTGGAATAGATCTGACCACCCAAGAAGTAAACATCTAGCCACGAACCGCCATGCTCTTTTGGCCTCTTCCACTCTGGAAAGTACTCTGGGCATTTAGCCGATCTGACCAGCGAAGGATTTTGGAGAGGACCAGCACTCTTCGTCTCTTCAGCAGCTTCTTCTGTCTGCTGGTAAGCAGCAATGGCGGAATTCACACCATTCTGACCACCCTTTGAGCCTTTCTCAGTTGATTGTGGTCTGACTAAGTGACGTTCACACAACTTGATGATCACGGCCTGCTTCAAGCCTTCAATGTGGAAAGTCGAGCCTGTGAAAATGATGTTGTCAAAACATTCCTGACGCTTCTCCAAATCTGGAATACCCTTAGGGAGTCGTAAATCGAGGTTGCAAGAACATCCACAAGCTTGTCTGTGCCTTGGAAACGTTCCTTACCGACGTAGATCTTGTTACCTGAAATAGGATCCTTAAACCAGTTCTTGTCTAGCTGACTGTTGGGCTTCTTGTCCTCTTCATTCTCCTCCTCCTCCTCCTCCCCATCAGCCTTTTCATCAGAAACACCAATTCCATTCTGGTTTTCTTCTGTGACTAACTTGGCCACATCAAAATCGTCACCTTGGTTGCTCTTTTTCTCCTTGAGATCATCAAGCGAATAGAAAGACTCGGTGTGGTCACTCAAGACTTCATATATTTTTGAGATCTTCAATGCTGTGATCTGTGCTTCAGATAAATGGGGTAACAACTTTCTCAACTCATCAGTAATCGACTTTCCGCCAATTTCCAATCTTTTACCAGCATGCTTGATGGATGTACCGCCGATGACAGGCATAATCTGAGAGCTTTCATGGCCGACATTGACCACAACTGCAGACGACATGGTAGCGAGGCCAAAAGTAGAGGCAATGGAAAGGTCCAAGACATTGAAAGCAGTGAATTCCAAAGTCTCGAAAACATATCTAGTGATCTGCTCGATGGCTGAACGGGAATAGGACAAAGATGGAACTATCAACAACAACGGCACTTGGTTAATTGTGAGGATAGGGTATTGTGAAATGATGGTCTGTAGTATGAACTTCAAAAGAGCTTGGTATGCTTTCACGTCAACAATACGGGAAGCACGAACAGGCCAAATTTCTGCAAGATTGCCAGTGTTCGAGGCGTGGTAGACATTCGTAGACTTGTCTAGGTACACAACGGTGGGGAGCTTGTATTGTGGTGGGGATAAGGTGTCCTGCAAGCCAAACGAGAAAAGGGTATGTTTTGACCCAGTGTGAATTATGAGGAAGTTCTCCTCACGAAAGAGTGGCATGGCTATGGAGTACGTACTGGCGTGAAATATTGAGTATGTTATTTGATAGTGTGGGTAGCGCACGACTTTTAGGTGAACAGGCATTTGTTGTTACTGATCTTCTTATGGTCGATGATCAATCTAGGCATTCAAAGCCGTCAATGTTTCATCAAGCAGAACATTTCCCCTCCGTTGTTGTTTTTAGAGGGACCCCGATTCCATATTGCCTCGCTGAAGAAAAACAAGAGCTTCAAGAAATGGGAGTCATAAGAACACTTTTCTAAAATTTTATGTAGAATTTGATTGCTTCTTATATTTTCTGCTTCAAAATGATGACCGCCACGTCTTACGGAAGTTGCTTTCTTTTTCACTTCATGTTTCTATTTCCTCGACCATTTGTATATCTTCTGTCATTTCAGCAGTGGCTGCGAAAATATCAATGAATATCCCAATGTCAAGTATCATGTAGAGACATAGCAAGTTTTAGAAAAACGTGTAAATTTTTTCAAAAAAACAAAAGAATCTATTACAATTTTTTCATTGATCGCAAAATTTTACGAGAATAATGGAGTCAGGCTTCAATTGCTTTGAGGAGGGTTGCCTTAAGCTGCCTACTATGCGAGACGCGCTTGAGAAAATACGCCGTATGCTTACTCGCTTGACGTCTTCCTTGCATCGCAGCTCAACCATCAGACCCACCAGAAGCATCATAAAAAGCCACATACTACCGAAATCCACCATGGGACAACAAAACATTATGAGCTTCTTCTCCCTGAAGAATGATGGGAAAGCAACTGAGAGCCTCAAAAGACGAAGGCAAGAAAGCGATGATGGGCCAGTCAAGATCCAAAGAACTGGACAGAGTCTGCTGAAGGAGCTCCACGAAAAGGAGCCTGAAGCTTCTGCTTCTGATGGATCGAATAATGAGACTACTCAGAAGGACGATGATGGAGCTCCGAAGGGTACAATTGTTGAGGAAGCGTCCAAGCTTGTCAAATTGGCAGAGAAGGAGCATGTGCATAAGGACCTTGGAAAAGGTGACAAATTCCCTTACTCAAAGATTACAAAAATGCTCGAGAAGATTGAGCAGGAGTCTTCTAGGTTGCAAATGACCGCCCAAGTCTCTAATTTCTTCCTAGAAGCCTTGGAGAAGTATGGCCTGCCTGACAAACTTGTCACAATTGTATACTTATTCATCAACCGTTTAGGCCCGGACTATGAGCCCGATCTTGAGTTGGGCTTGGGTGAATTTATTTTGATCAAGGCAATCAGCTCCTGTTATGGAAGAGCCCTGGCGCAAATCAAAAAAGATTACGATGCAACCGGTGATCTTGGCCTTGTTGCTCAGAAGTCACGTTCTGGTCAGCCTCCAATGTTCAAACCGCCTCCTCTTGATATTGACTCCGTTTTTGAAAACCTCACAAAGATCGCCAAAACGACAGGAAAGGATTCACAGGGCAAGAAAATTAACATCATCAACAAGATGTTAGCAGCTTGCGATTTGAACAGTTTCGAAGCCAAATTTCTTATAAGATCGCTTGAAGGCAAATTGAGAATTGGCCTCGCAGAGAAGACTGTTATCGTGGCCTTAGCGCAAGCTTTTCTTAATTACGAAAGCAAGGGCAAACGTGTCTCCCCAAATACATTGGCCGAGGCTGAGAATATAATGAAGGAGGCATTCTCTCGTATACCAAATTATGAGGTTATAATACGAAAGAGTTTTGAGCATGGTGTCATGAACTTACTCGATCATTGCAGTTTGACGCCCGGCATACCGTTGAAACCAATGTTGGCTAAACCAACGAAATCTGTCGGTGAGGTTTTGGATAGATTTCAAGGAGAAGATTTCACTTGTGAATACAAGTACGACGGTGAACGAGCACAGGTTCATCTTTTAGAAGATGGAACTGTTCGGATTTACTCTCGTAATTCCGAGGACATGTCTCAAAGATACCCAGACTTAATTGCTATTACTAAAGACCTTATCAAAAAGACTGACGACGACCTGACTTCCGACACGCCAAAATCACTCATTCTTGATTGTGAAGCGGTTGCATGGGATCGAGAAGCGAAAAAGATTCTTCTGTTCCAAACACTCTCAACCAGAAAGAGAAAAGATGTCAATGAGGCTGATATCAAGGTTCACATTTGTCTATTCGCCTTCGATTTGTTGTACCACAACGGTGTCTCCCTCATCACAAAATCGTTGAGCGAGAGACGTCAAGTGTTATTCGACAACTTCCAGACAATTGAGGGAAAATTCCAGTTTGCAAATCATGTGAACTCGTCTAATACCGATGAGCTCCAGGCATACTTGGAGCAGTCCGTAAAAGACTCTTGTGAGGGTTTGATGGTGAAAATGCTACATGGACCCGAATCATATTACGAGCCTTCTAAGCGTTCTAGAAATTGGCTCAAGCTTAAAAAGGATTATCTCGACGGTGTGGGTGATTCGTTGGACTTGGTTGTAGTGGGCGCCTACCGAGGCAGAGGAAAGAGGACCGGTGGTTACGGTGGATTCCTTTTAGCGTGCTACAACGACGACACTGGCGAGTATGAAACGGCTTGCAAGATTGGTACAGGCTTCTCAGAAGAAGTATTAGCATCTTTGAGTACTAAACTTAAAAGCACTGAGATTGAAAAGCCGAAGGCTTATTATACCTATGACACAACAACATCGAGTGCTCTTCCTGATGTCTGGTTTGAACCCACCACAGTCTTTGAGGTTTTAGTTGCCGATTTACAGTTAAGTCCCATTTACAAGGCGGCTCATTCAGAATATGGCAAGGGTATCAGTATGAGATTTCCTCGATTACTTCGTGTCAGAGATGACAAGGGAGTCGAAGATGCTACTACTTCAACTCAAGTGGCTGAATTTTATGAGAGTCAAGCTAATGTGAATTAAATACGAATTGAATGCTTCAAATGACTAATGAGAGCCCTAGAGGCCAGGGCTCTTATCCCTTCCTTCTCTGATTCTATTTCTAATCTTCTCTCCTAACAAATGTCTTTTTTGCGGAGAGCTGATTGCGTATTGAGCAGAAAGTTTGGAGGCAGGGACTTTTGAGGATGCGAAATTTAGCTCCATGTGTGAATTGTCACGAGATAGACCTGTCTCTGAATTAGGGGTCGAAGCTGGTTTATAGTTGAAGTCATCAGCCATCGACACTGTGGAATTGAGTGCCTTGATGTCCACATCAGAGTTCTTGGCGTTGGCATGCAAGGAGTAATCAGAGAACATAGGAATGTTGGTGTATGACATATCAGAGTTCATCAACGAAACACCATCAGACATCGACAGCGAGTGATTGAGTGACAAGTCACTATCGCTAGGGGTCGTTGCCAATCCATTCTCTGCATCTTCCTTCTTCTTCGCTCTAAGCTTTCTCTTTTTAGCCTTTCTTTGAGCTATTCTTCTGTTGCGCAACTCTTGAGTCTTCAATTCTTCCTCTTCATCAGAATCGATGTACTGAATTTCATCAGTAACGTTCAAGTGATCCTTCAACTCGAGCAAGTTGAAGTCATTGGGGAAAAGCTCAGGGCCAAACTTATTAACAACCTCAGTGATTTGCTCAGCTAACTCCTGTCTTTTCTGTTTGAGTTCACTAATAGCTTGGCCCGAGAAAATCGAAAGATATAATGGCCTGATCGACTTGAACAAATCCACACCTTGCTCACCAGTGACCAAGGCTGAATATGTCACTAATACACCCAACATGTAAAGCAGAAACCATAAAGTGACCGAACCAGTGGTGGTCAAATAATGGTGTGTTCTACAATACCATGTTCCGATTGATGCATAGAAGCTGTAAAGCAACGGGGCGATGATCAAACTGATTAAAATCTTCCAAGTGGCGACAACATCGTTGGCCTTTACTTTGACAGTGGAATTGGCCAAAGCTGTCTTAGCCTTCTTGATTGAAATGAATTTGGAAATGGCGAAAACTGGTGAAAACAAAACAATGCCAGGGAATGCAAGTAAGCCCAACATTATGAGCTTCAAGATGCGGAAAAAGAAGATTGGGAGCAAACGAATCTTGTGTGACTCGTCGCAGTCTTCGACATGGTGATCAGGTAAGTGTAAGTGCTTGAGAAGGTCGTTGTATTCTAGCACTTTAACCTTGGACTGTTGGATCTCTGGTCTATCTTTATAGGTTTCATAACCGACAACCAACCTTCGATTCATCTCAACGATTAATGGCAAGGGTAAGTACTGGGCGAAGTTACCCGCATACAATCTCCTTGCTGCTTGGATAACCATTAATGTCTCATAGTCTTCACAATTTACCGTGACAGCACGTAAACCGTTGGTGACAATGTCCAAGAGCTCTTTGACAGCTTCACGGCTAGTCAGCTGGTTGCTGTACTTTTTGACGAGCTCTTTAGGGATCTCAATGGGATGGCCAAATTCAATGACCGCACGAGATCTAAATCTGTGGGCGTTGAAGTAGTTCATGCCGCAAGGAACGATCTTGACATTACAATTTGAGTCGTTTGCCATAGCTCCCAAAGCCATAATCGCAACACCAGCCTTCAATGGGAGCATGTCTGTTCTGTCATGAGAGCCACCTTCAGGGAAGATGCCCAAGCATTCGCCAGAACTCAAGTGCTGGAACACGAACTTGTAAACATGCCCCTGGTCGATCTTGTCTGCAACCTTAAAGCGAGTGCCCTGTTGCAAGAGCTGCTTAACTTTCTGAGTGGACTTGAACTCTTTACGAAGGATGATCTCATTGTCCGAGATGATCTCGGAGATCTCGGTTGCTCCAAGCGACAGCGGAAGGGCGATGAGGCCGCGAGGCATGCATTCCTCGGTAAACTTGGTGCCCTTGCCCTTGACCCTCAATGGGTCTGCAGCGACATCAATGTAGATCTTGCCTGTGGCAGGACGCAACATGTCCTGGGCTCTCGCAACCGGCACAGCAAGCTGAGCCTTGGAAAAGGTACCAATGATGTTGTGAAGATACGACTTCATGGCAATGAGGAACGAAATACGTCTTCCGGCTTCCCGCTTGACCTGGCGCATCAACACAATAGGGTCCACGAACTGGTTGGCGTGAGGGGCAGCCACAAAGATGACAGGCCCGGACTTGGGTAGGCGGAAAGCACCTCTGGGTCTAATTTCCCTGAAAAAGCAGTCGAAAATGACCGTCCAGAGCCAGAGCAAGAGGTCATAGAGCCAGATCTGAGTGCGAGTGAAGGGCTTGTACTCCATGGCAGGGAACGCCGAGGGCCTCGAAGAATTAGCATCGTCCAGAGGCGAGTTGCCCGAAGATTGAACCTCAGGCATGCCTTGAGAGAGAGGTTGATTCAGCTTGACGAGTGGGTGGGAGGAGAGCCTGTTTCAGTTCTACGGGGGTTCACCAAAAGGGAAACATTTTGGCCGGGACAGACAGGACGAAACAGGTGGTGTACAGGTTTCCAGTGCCGTGGCCCAGGGGGCTCCAATTGGGCGGCAGGAGATGATGAATGGGCCGTGGGGAAGCAACAGGTGGAATTTGAGTATCATGAAAAGATGGGCCGAACTGGCTGCAAATTGTAGAGGCAGGCCACCAGAATGCAAGAAGGGACAGCATCCTCCACAGGTTGCGCCTGCATTGGCCCAAAGGCGCCAGAGCGTTGAGGCCTCGCCTAGATCAATTGGGTAACAAGCGAGGCATGGGGGATAAGGGAGCCGTGGATAACAGGATGGGGCGAAAAAAAACAAAAAAAGTTACAGTTTTACCGGAGGCAGAGGAGAAGGGTTTTATACCCTGGATTAAGCATTCTGCCGCCGGCGCAGAGATTGCGTCTCCTTTGTCACATGGATCACACAAAGGGCAGGCGAGGAATGGGACCCTGGTGACAAAGGCTTCTGGTGTGACGAGCATTGACAGATCTCAGGGTGGGTGGGGATAAGCTCGTCGACGGAAGCCGGATTTAACCAGGTGTAGAAGTCAAAAAATGTAGAGGTGCAATTGTGTCGGATGGTGGATCGGCATCTTTCCACCATTTCTCAACCGTTGCGCAGCGGTTGCAAACCACTTGACCAACCACGGATACCAATGGGGTGCCCGCATTTTTCAGTCACTTTACATGAAATACAATTTAAATCCGCTGGCGAACCAGGGGTGCTGCTATTTGCCCGGGATTCTCAATCTTTACGATTAAAACTTACTCCGCCAACTTTCCGTACCCCCTTGGAGGAGTTAAGGCCGCGGCGGTAAGGTGCAAGCGATCACTATTCCTCTGACAGAACGGCTCCATAATGAGCTGGTGGCCTCCGCATTGGTGCCAGGATAAAGCGGGTGTACGGGTGTCATCCCAACCGAGGTCTCATGGCGTGCTCGGTCCTCGGGAGCATGCTTTGCCAAACCACACCTGGGGAAATCAGGGGACACCCGTACCTCCCACCTCGTTCAAGCCAGGCTCCGACGGCCTCTATCCCACAAAAAAAAAAGTAGCAAAATCCCCATTGAAATCCGCTTAATGTCACCAGGTGTATCCTGGTTTCGTCACCACTAGGGGCGCCACGGTACTGGCTGCGAAGTGGGATATGAAGCGCCTGCATACCTCGGTCTTTCCGGGGAAACTTCACAGGCGCTCACCCCGCAAAAATCCACAATATATAGCGCCAATTTTCCACCCCTAGACAACCTTTTTTCTCTTTCCGCTGTAACAAGAAACACCAACCCAGTTCCTGTTTCTTAATCAATCATGTCCATTTCTTTCAAAGACAAAGTCGTGGTCGTCACCGGTGCCGGTGGTGGCTTGGGTAAGTACTACTGTTTGGAGTACGCTAAGAGAGGCGCCAAGGTTGTCGTGAACGACTTGGGTGGTTCTCTTTCCGGTCAGGGTGGTGACTCCAGAGCCGCCGACGTTGTTGTCGACGAGATCAGAAAGGCTGGTGGTACCGCCGTTGCTGACTACAACAACGTTCTCGAAGGTGAGAAGATCATTGAGACCGCTGTCAAGAACTTCGGTACCGTCCACGTTATCATCAACAACGCCGGTATCTTGCGTGATGCTCAATTCAAAAAGATGTCCGCTCAGGACTTCCAATTGGTCATTGACGTGCACGTTAACGGTGCCTACAAGGTGACCAAGGCCGCCTGGGAACACTTCCGCAAGCAGGGCTACGGAAGAATCATCAACACTGCTTCCCCAGCTGGTTTGTACGGTAACTTCGGCCAGGCCAACTACTCTGCCGCCAAGATGGGTTTGGTTGGTTTCGCTGAGACTTTGGCCAAGGAGGGTGACAAGTACAACATCAAGGCTAACACCATTGCTCCTTTGGCTAGATCTAGAATGACCGAGTCTGTCTTGCCTCCTCCTATCTTGGAGCAGTTGGGTCCTGAGAAAATCGCCCCATTGGTCTTGTATTTGACCTCTGAGGACAACGAGGACATCTCTGGTCAGATCTTCGAGGTTGCCGCTGGTTTCTTCGGCCAGATCCGTTGGGAGAGATCTGGTGGTGCTTTGTTCAAGCCAGACGACTCTTTCACCCCAGAGTCTGTTGCCAAGAGATTCGACGAGATCACCAGCTTCGACGATGCTGGCAGACCTGAGGACTTGCAGGTTTCTCACCCATTCATGATCAACAACTACGGTGTGCTTGCCAACCAGGCTAAGCAGCTTCCTCCAAACGACAACTCTGGCGTTCCTGAGGTGTCTTTGAAGGGCAGAGTCGTCTTGATTACTGGTGCTGGTGCCGGTTTGGGTAGAGACTACGCTTTGGCTTTCGCTGCTAAGGGTGCCAAGGTTGTCGTTAACGACTTCAAGGACCCATCTAAGGTCGTTGAGGAGATCAAGGCTGCTGGCGGTGAGGCTCACGGTGACACCCACGATGTTGCCAACCAGGCCAAGGAGATCATTGACAATGTTGTCGGCAAGTACGGTACCATTGACATCTTGGTCAACAACGCCGGTATCTTGAGAGACAAATCTTTTGCCAAGATGTCTAACGAGGAATGGCAGCTCGTCCAGAAGGTGCACTTGAACGGTACCTTCGAGTTGACCAGATTGGCTTGGCCACACTTCCTCGACAAGAAGTACGGTAGAGTTGTCAACATTACCTCCACTTCTGGTATCTACGGTAACTTCGGCCAGGCTAACTACGCCACCGCCAAGGCTGCCATCATTGGTTTCACCAGAACCATTGCTATCGAGGGTGCTAAGAACAACATCAAGGCTAACGTTGTTGCTCCTCACGCCGAGACCGCCATGACCTTGACTATCTTCCAGGAGTCTGACAAGAACTTGTACCCACCTAAGTTGGTCGCTCCATTGTTGATCTTCTTGGCTTCCGAGCAGGTTCCTGTCACCGGTGAGTTGTTCGAAGGTGGCGGTGGCTGGATCGGTAAGACCAGATGGCAGAGAGCCAAGGGTGCTGTCAGCAAGGACGCTGTCACCACCGCTGAGTTCATCAAGGAGCACATCGGTGAGATCACCGACTTCTCCTCTGGTACTGAGAACCCAGCCTCTACCACTGAGTCTTCCATGGCCATCTTGTCTGCTGTCGGCGACGACGATGACGATGAGGACGAGGATGATGAGGACGTCGAGGAGGAAGAGGAAGATGACGACGAGGACCCAGCTAAGATGCCAGACCCAATCTTCAGCTGGAACGACAGAGACGTCATCTTGTACAACCTCGGTGTCGGTGCCCACCGTAAGGAGTTGAAGTACGTCTACGAGAACGACTCTGACTTCCAGGTGATCCCAACTTTCTGCCACTTGCCAACCTTCAACACTGTGAAGTCGCAGGTGACTTTCTCCAGATTGTTGAGAAACTTCAACCCTATGCTCTTGTTGCACGGTGAGCACTACATCAAGATCAACAAGTTCCCAATCCCAATTGAGGCTGCCGTCAAGACTTCCTACTACCCATTGGAGGTCACCCAAAAGGGCACCAACACCATTGTTGTGCACGGTTCCAAGTCTGTTGACGAGTCTACTGGTGAGGAGCTCTTCTCCAACGAGGCCACCCTCTTCATTAGAAAGTGTGAGGGTGACACCAAGCAGTACAACGAGAGAAGGACTTTCGCCACCACCCAGTTCATTGCTCCAAAGACTGAGCCAATCTTCACCAAGGACATCCACACCACCGATGACCAGGCCGCTCTTTACAGATTGACTGGTGACAGAAACCCATTGCACATTGACCCAGCTTTCGCTGAGGGTGCCAAGTTTGAGAACCCAATCTTGCATGGTATGTGTACCTACGGTTTGACTGCCAAGGTCTTGTTGGACGAGTTTGGTCTCTTCGACGAGATTAAGGGTAGATTCACTGGCATCGTCTTCCCAGGTGAGACCTTGAGAGTCTTTGCCTGGAAGGATGGTGACACTGTCATCTTCCAGACCCACGTTGTTGAGAGAAAGACCATAGCTATCAACAACGCCGCCATCAAGTTGGTTACCGACAAGCCAAACTTGTAAGTGGTTTAGGGTCTATTTATTTTTTTACGATGAGAAATATCTTTCAAATTTATTAGTTACGTTTCGATGCCAATGTAGTTTTAGTAAATTGTGACCATATGGTTGTTTGGTGCATGCAAATCTAGCGAATCCATCATTCAGACTCCTCATCCTCCTCGTAGATCTCCGAGCTGTGGTGAGCATGCTGCTTGAGTGAGAACGGAAGTGGTGTTTCGTTGATGGGATCTGATTGGAAGCTTGGCCCTGGCCAAGAATCAAATACAGACCCACCAGCGGTAGTTGTAAGTGGGGAACTCGTCGTTGGCGAAGACATATTGACATATGGTCTTGGTGTGCGGTAGACGGGTCTTTGTAACGAGGGTCTCTTTGACTTTGTAGAGCCTGGTCCTGGGAACAGGTATGGGGAATTCTGGAGGGAGAACATGTGAGCTAATGATTGATTCGAGTTCGAGGTGGCAGTCTCAAAATATTCTGGAGAGTCAGCAGACGGAGATGAGGCCAATGAATCGGTGGAAGTATATGCGGAAGAATAGGTTTCAGAACAGACCAGCAGCGCTGAAGAATGTATGGAGGCCAGCAGTAATGACAGGCTCTTGCTATGTTCCCTAAACAAGGCAGAAGGTGGAGCAAATGCATCGTCGTCGAAACAGGAGGATATCCCTGGAGTGAGTTCTGAAGTCAAGGACGACTCTGACAGCTGAGAGGGCCAATTGATCAGAGGCTGAGAAAGATGAAGCCTAAGCTCCTTGCGGTCTTGCCTCTTGTGGACCTTTGCAGCTGTTTTACGCCTGGGTACTTGTCCGGTGCTTATGGAAGTTGTGAGGCCCGGAGAAGTGGCCTGTTCGGACGATGTAAGGAGTGCCGTGAAGGATGAAGAACGAGAGTGGCTCGTGGAATGCAGTTGAAAATGGTTGAATGAACGAGCTCTGGTGAGCTTGGATGCTTGCATGACTTTGTTCATCTCCACTTCGCAGGTACGCTTATGTTTGATGTCTTTCATTTCGACGTATGCCTGAGGAACGCACCATTCTTTGTGGTTGTCGAAGAATTTCTTGTAGCCTCCCTCGAGGACAACGATGTCGGGGTATAGTAGCTTGGGATAATTCTCGGAATTGTGAATGCGGTCAGCCTTCCGAAGATGGCCGGCCATTGTAGGGCCACGCAAAATGGAGTATTCACAGTGGAAGATCAAGAGCCTCTTGCGGTTTTCCAGCAGACGGTTGTTGATAAAGCGCATCTCCAAATCAGTCTTGGACGATATGTTGATGGCATTGACGATATGGCCTCCGTCAAACTCGTAGGGGAACCGGCAGTCGACAACAACGTAGTCGTCGAACTCATTGCGGTAATGACCCAGGACAATCTTTTGCATCTCATTTTCGTCGATCCGAGGCAATAAGTCGCTGGATACTCGGAATGTTCTGAGGTTCGTCTGTGGGAGCCACTCGCTTCCGTCGAACATGTCGGTGACATTGGGATCTTGAATGCACGATTGAGTCCTCCTGATCAGAAGGTTTTGCGATAGTGATGCCTGGGACGATTTGCAGCGTGGTGCTCTGCGCTGAGGCTTGTTCAGCGGAGAGCAGAGGAAGTCGTCGTCGTTCAAGGTGGTGTCGTTGCTGGTGTCTTCGTCTGTTGTTTCACCATCGGCGAGGTCTCGCATGCCCGAGCTGGGGCCGTCAAAGACACTCAAGTCGGAGAAGCGGGATATTTGAGACATGGATCTTGAGAAGGCCTTGGTACTGTGCTGGAGCTTGTTCTTACCAGACTCCAATGTGCTCATGATATTGGTCAACTTGCCAAAGGGCTTGCGGGAGCGGGCGCCTAAAGGCGAGGCTGCGTCGTGCTCTTCAACCATATTCCTCTTGTGTGCTGGGCTGGAGACAAGGCCATTCTTCATAATACGGGAAAAAGAGGGTGGTGTCTATGGGAACTGCGAAGTAGGAGGGTTTCAGCAGGATGTGGGTGTGGTTGGCCAGCGTAGGGGTATGTTGAAGGAGAAACGGCAGGCTTGATCAGCACAAGAAGAAGTAATTTGAGATCCGGCGGCAGGGTGGTATATATGAGCAAGCCAAGGGAGCGCAACACCTTCAGGTCTATTGTCGGCAGATGCTCCAGAAATGGCGGTATGGGCGCGCTGAAAGGTAAACATGAGGGCGCAGGCCTCAGGGCTGAAACAGGCCTGAACGCTGGTGCGACTGGGACCAAACCAGGCCAAGGCAGGAAAGCGCCAGGGCTCACGCAAGCGACAGAATTGGGGGTAAAACGTAGTGGAAGCTCTCTTTTTTGAAGTCGTAATCACGAGCTCATTCGTCGTAATATTACCCCTGAGCTTCCCCACGACATGACTTTCAAGGCTCTATTGTTGCTTTGTTTTCGCTTTTTCTGCTTCTGATCGTGGTCCCCGGCCTGCCTGATCTGAATGGACGCCAAACTTTAGCGCTCGGAATGTCTGAGTTGCTCGCGCTGTTTGTTTACGGCTGCTAAACCCCGGTGCAAACCATCACCAGGCCAAGGGTCCTCGGTCAATGATCCAGACTTGGCATTAACCCCTTGGTTGCAGCGTTCCACAACCGGCGTTTCACCATTTCATGTTCATAAAAAATTAATGTCGGGGATCTGCCAACGTCCAATTTGGCAATACAACAACACCAATCTTCGCTGCAGACATTGTTGCTTGCGCTAGTTAGGAATATGCGCGCACGCTTCCATACATCTTTTTGCAGCCGCCAGCCGTCCCGCTCGTTCCCTCGTTGTGACATCTTACTAAGCCTGCTTAGTTTCGAGTCGATCAAGATACTGATCCATTGTTCCCAGCTTGTTTGGCAGCATTGTTAGAGTCTCGTCGCCAACTTCGTCGCTATCGCTCAGGGAATGTGCGTGTTTGTCTTCCTCATCCTCGCTTCCTAATTCCCGAGCCACGGCCTTCTGCCACTTTCCGCTGAAAGAGGTGGAGCTTTCATCTGTAAGATAGCCGTGAAGATTCAACAGGGAGCTGGAACTGGTGATCTTCGATAATCCGTTAGATCGCGTAGAGCTTATGGAATTCTTCCTCGAGCCAAAGCCTCCAGTGCTTTGAACGCTGCTGATCAGCTCCAGTGTCGATCCCCTCCTATCCGAACGGCCAAAGAATGGCGGGGTGCCAAATCTGAAAATGAGGTTGCCGTATTTCCTTCCCCATGGGTAGGCGAATAAAGTGAATTGATCGTCGGCTTGATTTTAGCAAAGAAGCGCCGACTGGGGCTGAAGATCGACTTGATCGACGATGGTGATCCTTCCCCAATGGTGACAGTATTACTTGCGGCAGTGCTAGGTGTTCTCTGACCGGAGCTAAACGGCGATGCTGAAGGTTGTGGGAACGACAGAGTCGATGCACCTTTGTGCACTGAGAGCGATGATGACGAAAGCTTCAAAGGTGGTGGCACTGAGCTTCTTGAGAGCCTCAGCTGTGCCGAATCCGATTTCTTCAAAGTAGTATGCGGTAGTTTTTCTCTGTCCAACTTGATCGATGATAAAACGTTTGTGGTGTCAATGACTGAAGCACCACCCTCTTCTTCAGAAAGCGATCCCATTGAGCTCGAGTCATCAAGGTATGAGTCTAATAGATCATCGACCTTTTCTAGATCAAGAACATTGATATCTTTAACGGGCAGTACTGGCTGATCCACCAGAATTGGTCTCGACGATGGAGGAATCTCAGTTTCAGGTCTTCCTGCTCCAAAGAACCTTTTGATTTTGTTGGACATGCGGTTCTCAGCATCCCAGGCCTCGGCAGCCAATGGGTCCTGTTGCGAAATGATATTCTTGTTGAAATTGAAAAAGGTTTCGGCCTCTTTTCTGGTTAATTCAAAGGTTGTGAACTTATGCTGCTTGATCTCTGTAAGCGTGGGACGTGAGTTTGGGTCCTTGGCGAGAAGTCTCTTGATGAGGTCCTTTAGAAGCTCTAGCTCTTTCAAATCTTCCATCCTCACATGAGAGCTCTCCCGGGTTCGTGGAAACTTGAGTTCACCGTTCACGATAGTCTTGAACAAGCTAAACTCGTTGTGCCCTTCAAACGGTAGTTGGTGAAAGAAGAGACAGTAGATGACGACACCAAAGGACCAAATGTCGATCCTTGCATCAACTTTTGAGCGTGCCATGTCAGCTTCATTGAGCATCAGTAGTCTGTTGTTCACGAATTGGCAGAGCTCAGGGGCATAGAATGCTGGCGTTCCCATCGTCTTCCCTAGCTCCTTGTCATCATTAGTGTTGTTCTCGAGAATCAAACTCACCCCAAAGTCTGATATTTTGATTGTCCGGTCCAGACTTATGAGTAGATTGGAGGGCTTGAGGTCTCTATGAATGATTCTTTTGTAGCTGTGTAGGTATTCGAGTCCATTGGCAACGTCTCTAACGATCTTATTTAGCGTGATGCCTTTGCTCCCATCTTTTAAGTATTTCTCATGGAAGTGATTATACTTCTTCCAGTCAATCTCCCAAACTTGCAGTACTCTAGCACTAGCAAGATCTTATCGAACTTGAGGTCGTCTATAACTTGATATAGCTTCACCACATTGGGTGATAACACTCTTTCATTATCTGTATCTCGCGTTTGATCTTTGTTGTGTGACTCAAATAAGTCTTTGTTATCAATTTGGCTCGATCAACTCTATTAATGGTCTTGATCGCCACGAGTCCATGGTCTTTGCTGAGGTCTTCTGCAAGTATCACCTTGCCGAATTGACCCTGACCTATCGTCTGGAGGAGTCGGAAACGTCGGTTAACAACCTTACGGTTAGTCTGCTTATCTAGCACAATATCTAGTCGCAGAACATCCATGGTGATTCTCTTACTTGTGGTTCAAATGGTTCATGTAGTTCTCGCTTGCAACCAGAAACCTGCAGTGATAGTACGTACGCGAGCGTACAGGACTCACTTCAAAGTTGCAAATAGTGATGTAGTTGGTCCCAAAAAAGTAAAGCCATATGAATATTCATATTCGGGCGTTCTACAATGCGTATCCTTTTAGTCTATAGGTTATAATACATGCATGTCTGCCTCAAATGGAGATGGCAGGATGGCGTCTTCATAAATTTCGTCATTAGGAGCGCGGGTAGCCCATAGCTAACTTGCCATAACCTCGCCCAGTCGAGCTTCATCCTTCATATCGCGTGCCTTTCTTGTCTTCTCGTCATCCTTGTCCTCATTAAGTTCTCTGATTATTTCCTCCTCCTCTTCTGTGAGACCAGTGATATCTGGTGGGATCTCTTGCATCTGAACCGATGGGGCATAATTAAGGTAACGTAACTGCTCCAAGATATCGGTTTTGACACACTCCAAGTACTTCTTGGAGTTTTTATTATCTAGCCGCCCATCAAGCTGTGGATGTAACGAGTAGTCTGGCCCAAACCAATCATAAGTTGGGATTTTCAGTGGAATTTTGGAGTCGAGTTGAACATCGTTCAACACCGATGTTTCGTAGCACCAAAGTCTAGAAACATTACGCGGCGTATAACCTCCTCCACCAACCACTAGCATTGGGATGCCAAATGACTTGATGAAATTAACGCATTGACCGTGAGCACGGATATTTAGGTTGAAACATCCTAATCTGTCGTAACCGAGCGAATCAGCGCCACACTGCTGAACAATCACCGTGGGTTGGAATTTTGTTATTAGCGGTTCCATGATCAGTTTGAATAAATGAATGTAGGAGTGGTCATCGATACCATCTTTTAAGGGCACATTGACAGAGTAATTCTTTCCTTTTCCAATGCCTCTTTCGTCGATTGCACCAGTACCTGGGAAGAATTCACCATTAAATTTATGAAAAGATACTGTCATCACTCTGTCAGTAGTGTTGAAAGCCTCTTGAACTCCATCACCGTGATGGAGATCAATATCAATATACATCACACGAGGGTGGACACGTAGTAGATTAAGAATAGCAAGCACAATATCGTTAATGTAGCAAAACCCACTTGGCTCAAATTTTTTGGCGTGGTGTAGTCCTCCAGACCAATTTATAGCGATGTCACTCATACCGCTTATGAGCTTTCTCAGAGCATCAAGGGAGGCACCAGCGTACATCCCCAGGTAGTCGTACATTCCATCGAATATAGGACAATCGTCACCAATATTGAATTTGGCAAGTTTCTCCTCGCCTAGTTTAGCGGTGAGCTCTGGGGTAATGGTCTGCAAAAATTCCACGTAGTCTTCCGAGTGGAATTCGAGAAGCTCATCTCGTGTGGCTTTCCTTGGCTCATATAGATCCATTCTTTCATGCAATTTATACAGAATGACCAAATGGTCTGTAAGCATCAACCTAAAAGGTTTCATTGGATGATGAGGACCATAATGGTATCGTGAAGTTTCTGGGTTATAGTGATAGGATACATTTCTGAATGCCGACTGTCGTTGCGGAAAATATAGGGGAGTATGTTCCTGAGTTTTCACATCCGTCGAAAACGTGTCAGAGTTCGACATGCTGTGGTGGGTTGTAAACGAAATAATCTTCAACTATGCTTGTTTGATGTTTGTGGTGCACGGATGTATCCAGCGGCTGGCTGGACCGTTGAATTCTCGTCAACGGTGTACGAATGACATACTCTACTTAATCTTCAAAAGTTTACAACCAAGTAAGATTATTGAAGGTATTGTTGTCGATTTTATTGGTTTGGAAGAGACATGGCCCGATCAATGTGTGTAAGTTCTACTTTTCTTGAGCCTGTCTCAGGCTTCTTCAGCTCTAAGTGCTCCCCGTAAGATTTTCAGCATAATCCGATTTTCACATTATTTTTTTATCCTTCCACTAATTACTCTAAGTAACAACTTAATTCTGTTCCCCTTGGTAGTTATGCCCGTTCAAATCGTTGAAGTCCTGAACAGTGGCGACATTTTTTTGCGACATCCACCACACTCAACGACATAACGCTCTCACCTTGCCACTACAATCAATTGAAAACCACCCAAACGCCTCGAACAAGTCATGTCAGGTATGCATCAATTCCAATTACTCTCCACTCATGATAAGTACTAACATCAGACGCTGGTTTTGATAGACACATTACTATCTTCTCCCCACAAGGGAGATTATACCAAGTTGAGTACGCCTTCAAAGCTATCAACTCGGCCAGCATTACTTCCATTGGAGTTGTCGGTGAGGACTCTGCTGTCTTGATTTCTCAAAAGAAGGTTTCAGATAAGCTTTTAGATGCTTCGACCGTTTCCTACTTATTTCAAATTACCCCCTCAATTGGTATGTTGGCCACCGGTTCCATTGCTGACGCCAGAAACTTGGCTTTGAGAGCTAGAGCAGAAGCAGCTGAATTCAGATACAAGTATGGCTATGAAATGCCAGTCCAGAGTATTGCTAAGAGAATGGCGAACATGTCTCAGTTATATACGCAGAGAGCTTACATGAGACCTCTTGGAGTTGCGTTGACATTCTGTCAGGTTGACTTTGAGGATGAGGGCCGTGGACCACAGATCTTCAAGTGTGACCCTGCTGGATATTATACGGGAGTCAAGGCTGTCTCTACAGGCCCTAAGCAGCAAGAGGCTACGACGTACTTGGAAAAGAAGTTCAAAAAGATCGACCACGTCAAGGGAGATTGGAAAGCCAACGTCGAGTTTGCGATTACCGCATTGAGTTCCGTGTTGGGCACGGACTTCAGAAAGAATGACATCGAGATCGGTGTTGCCACTCAAGATAAATTCCGTGTCTTGACCCCAGATGAGATTGATGAAAGGTTGGTTGCAATTGCAGAATTAGACTAACGATCCACAAGTGTACGATACATGACCTACAATAAATCATACCATGAACATCAGTAAACTTTTAATTTCCAGTTCCGAACGAGGAATGCTATTTAAATAACATATGGGATGAACATATATGGACAAGCCTCAAGGTATCTGTCCCAGTCAGCACCATACTTCTTAGCACACTTTCTCTGATCTCTCAAAGCTCTGTGAATCAACACGATGAAGAAGAAAACAGGGAAGAACCATGGGAATGGTGAGCCGAATCCACAAATAGCACCCCAGGTGAGAGCCATGGTGTAGTCGGCAGTGTAGTGTGCTTTACGAGCGTACTTGTACCAACCGTCAGTCAACAAAAGAGAACCATTGGCACACTTAATGTAGCTAGGGTTCTCGAGGTCGGAGCAAGGCAAGTAAGGGAAGGTTTTTCTAAGCGAACTGTTACCGGCCATGATTCTTCTGAAACTGTTCTTCTGTCTGTTACCAGTGTCGAAGAAAAAGTAAGCAACAGTCAAAATGGCGAACAAGGCAACGTTGTATGGGAGGGACCAGTTGTACTCAGATGGGTCGTGGTGGGCAAGGTACAAAGTACAGTGACAGTAAGTGTATGGCACACCAGCGATGTTCCAGAAAATCAACATAAAACCAAACTTCTCATAAGCCATGTCCCAGGTTGGAACGATCAATTCTTCACCCTTGGAGCAGGCGTTGGCATAGAGCCAATGAGCGTAAACAACGAAAACAACCTGAGTTGAGACGTAGCCGTAGGTGTCCAACTGCTTCAAGGCGGTGGCAAGGGAGAGGAAGTATAAGGTAAACCATGGAATTCTCACCTCGAAGAACATCTTCAAGTCCAAGTACTTGCCGATTCTTGGGTTTAATGGTGCACCCATGAAGCAGTCGTAGATGTGGTTGCCCGTCATTCTGTGGTAGTCCTTGGAGACAAAAAGACAGTAAAGGTACAAGGCCACAGAGAAGAAAAGACCATAGCCAATTGCAGTCACCATGATTTCACCAAAGTGGTCAATGATGTAGTACAACTTGTAGCCAGCAGCGTGCAATCCCAACACGACAAAATTTGTAACGTAGAAAGCATAAACGGCGTTGCAGTAGTAAGGCAATTGCTTGTTCTTCAAGTGAGCCAATGGCTGACCCTTAGTCCAAACACCAGGCAAGGTCAAGTAGAAGATGGCTTGCACAGCGAAGAAAGTGGTGAAGAGCGCCCACGAAGTAAATGAAGGCACACCATGGGCCACAAACAATTTCCAGAGCAACAAAAGAAAGTCTTCCCAGCTCTGGCCCTTAGTGGGCCATGCTGGCTTTCCATTATAGAATTCAGCACTGATCCACATATAGATCATCAAAAGAGGGAAGCCCGTCATCATGCCAAAGGCACCGATCGGGCCACCAAATTCCCACTCGACGGCCTCAGGTGCAAGATAGCCGTGGGGAACAGTCTGTGTGTTCTTTTCCTGGGAACTCTTTTTCGCCATGGTTTCAATTGAATAGTAGTACCTAAAATACCAGCTAACAAATTGCCGGGCTATTCACTGGGTATTTATTCCGTCGAGGCTGTCGTGCATTTAGTCTGTAAAGGGCCCAATACCGTGTGCAGGTTCAGCGGAGTTGTACGACAAGAATGCAGCTTTCTGCCAGAAAAAAGAAGGAAAACGCGGTCGATTTCGTATAGGACGGTCGCTGCTTGCAATGGAACGACGGGTTACGGGCTGATCCGAAAGGTGCCTCGTACAATGCCAAAGCTAAAAACGATTTGCAGCACGTGGAACTAAGCAAACGGAATCGAAGCTTTTCCTTCTTCAAATTCAATCACCTCTTCGTCAATGAGATCTGGGTTCTCCTTCCTTCTCTCTCTCCTGATCTCTTTTATCCTTGTCACCTGGTCCAAAGCATTTAGCGAGGATCCATTACCTAACTTCACAAGACCCATGAAGAACAATTCGATCTTTTCAAAATACTCCTCCTCGACAACAACGCTTGCACATAGCCGGAACGCCGACTGGATCATTATGCACCTATTGTCAAACGTCGACAGCGACACATAAAAATTGTCGCTCTCAACTATCACATCGGGCTTGTCTCTATCATATAGCGGCGACAGCTTCTCTTTCATAAAAAAAGCACCTGTGAATATTCGCTGAACCATCTCTTGTACATGGAAGTGTGTTCGGGGAAGGGCGTAGAACTCCGGCAGTACTAGTAGCAGAAGATGCAAGAAATCAACATGGAACTGGTTCGAGGCATCGAACCATGAGTAGTAGGTCTTGTTGCCATCTTCATCTGTATCCACAGCGTAACAAGCGGGTGGGAAATTGTACCGCTGTGTCTGGGGCTCAAAATCTGGATGTCCTTTACAAGTCTTGGGAATTAGGTAATTTCGAGGCAGTACTCCAGGCACCACTTCTTCTCTGCCAGTTTGGCCAAGAAGCGAGACAATTTGAGCAATCCACCTTATCGGCGCCCGTTCCAAGTTCTTGATCTCCATAGCATTTTTTACCCTAGTGTAGCAGACAATTGCCTTGACACAGGTGGCTGTGTATCCCCAGAATATATTAAAGTCAGACAGGGTGGGACTGGTGACCACCATCGCGAGTCTTGTTAGTGATTCATGGTAGTTTCTGTTTTCATGGAATTCAAAAAAGCCACTCTCAACAAAAACTGTATTAGTGTCTAGTGGTAAGTTCGGGAACGAGCCGAACAAATCGTCATTGTCTAGTGTGGGAGTATCGTAAGACTTTGCTGTAGCACCGCCAACAGAAGAAAAAACAGCGGCCACAGACTCTAAGGCGAAGAACCACGATTTTGCTAGGGCAAGCCCAAGCGAAACACAATCAGAAGATTTGGTGATTCTGCTGTAATTAATTAAAAGGTCACGAGCTCCTCTAAGATGGACCTTCCATGAGTTGAGCACTGTATCGTTCAACAGTGAGGTTGTTGCACTGAAGTAAGTGGTCAACACCAACACAGTCATCAAAAGCTTCTCGACATGGAAGGATTGCGACAGTTTTGAAGCTGGTTTCTCCGAGAAGTCATCGCTTAATTTGCGAAGACACACGCCGATGTACTTTTGACGAGCGATATCATGGCTTGATTTGCCCGTTTGGTTGAATTGAAAAGTGGCTGAGATTGCCAAAAGTGAAAACAAAAGATGTGGGCATTCGCTCAGGTACATGAGTAAAAGCTTCACAACTTCATTAGTTTCGATCAGGGATGCGAGCGGGTACATGTGGTACGAAAGCTCGGTGGAAGTCAATGTTCGTAAATATCCTGAATGGGGTTCCCCCAAGTTGTTCGCTGTTACACATTCCTCTATAAGCTGAGAGTTCAGGATTTCCCAAATCTCCGCAGCTTTATTCCACGGAAGGTGGGGACTTCCTTCCATTTGGTCATTTAAATCAACAAAGTCTTCAATACTGAACTGTGTACGGTCTTCAGACGACATGGAAGGGCTGGCATGGGTCCTTCTAGAAGCGTTTCTCTCGTTTCGATGATGCACATCATAATTATCCTCTATCATATGGTTCATGTCATTAACAAGCAAGCTCGCTTCGTTGAAAACAGTCTGCATCTCGTAATTTGTTTCGTTACTCGACACCATGCTCGAGGGAGCTTCGGGGGAATAGAAGTGAGGACAGGTAAGATCGGGGTATCCATGCCCTCCATCTTGGGTAAGATACTGTTGCTGTTGTCGTCCGAATTGTCAAGGAAACTCTGTGATGGTTTCTTTGGAGTCTCGACTTTGGCTTCTTCTTTCCTGGTGGATTTTGGAGTCTTTGGCTTGTAGAACTTCAAGTTCAAGTTCTTCTCCTTCACGGGTGCCTCGTTAGCCTGAGCGAACTTAGCCACCAAGGGATCTTGCTGAGTCTTCGTCTTGCTCTCATAGATACAAGTCTTATTGAGCCTGGTGCAATTATTACAAGCTGGAGCAGCTTCATCGCATTTGATTTTTCGTCTCTTGCATTCGTTGCATCCTTTTCTCGAGTACTTCCTTTTCTTGATCTTGGGTTTGGAAATGTTATCAGTTTTCTTCATTCGGTCAGCTATTGTACATTCACCGATCTAAAATGGGAAAGACTTCGAAGATATCTTTATACGTTTTTTTTTTTCTGATTAAAGCCGTAAGTAGTATTACGAAGCGTCTGCCTCCAGAATCTGTCACCTGCAGTACATACATCAGGTAGACAATAACCGGTCCAGCTTTCCCTAAATCCCTTGGGGTCAGGGTTCATATCTACTATCATACACGAAATCGTATTGTTTTCTAATATGGTATATGCGTATGCTAACGAAAGCACCGAGAGGCTTTTGGAGCTGCAAGGCATCGCTAGAGAATATTCTGAATCTTAGTCATGATGCGTCTGCCGTGTGGGGTATTTTTGATGCCTGGCAAGAGTGGTTGCAAAGATATCGCCAACTTTGCTAAGTCCGTGCTGCTCGCGACATCCAAACTAGTCTGGAGTACGTAGTTGCCATAGGGATCATTCAACAACAGGGGAAACTTGTCGCTTTTATTCAATAGGACCTCCATAACGCGATCAGTCAAAGCATCGATCCTCAAAGATTTTTCAATCACATTAGAACCAAATTTATGGAGCGACAAAGCGATAATGTTGGATTTGATGTGGTCCAAAATGATCTCGATCGATTCTGCATCGCCTCTTGAAAGTACATATTGTACGACGTAATTTCCAAACGGATCAGAAGCCAATCTGGTCGCATTCTCGGCAACCTTTAGAGACAACTGTTTGCGCTGGTCGTCATTTCCGTGATCCAAGCATCTCTGCAACACACAACAGCCATGTCTGTGGGTTGCAATGTCGGTACAGTGGGCTGATGTTGTGTCAAAAATAAACAGATTATGGTCGGGACTTAACTTCTGCAAGCACTTTTGCACGACATGGTTTCCGTTCAAGTCTCTCGACAAAGTCACAATGTGAGGCGCCAAGCTTTCGATGACATGTTGAATCTCCTCCGGAGTTGAGATGCATTCAACGAGCTTCTGCAAAGCCCTCGTTCCGTGGGGTCCAAAGCAATTCTCACAAATTCAGGCGCGGCATTCTTCACTAGAATGAGCCTTTGGTCGGGAGACACATTTTCAGCAAGCTTTTGAATCAAATAATTCCCAAAAGGATCGGTCATTAATTCAACAACCTTTAAATAGATCTCATTAAAAATAACAGTTGCAGCAACATCATTAGTCATCAAAGCACCGCCCTTAGTATTTTTCTGGGCGGCCTCCTTTCCCAAATCCAACTGCCTTTGTAAGAAGCGACAGCCATGCTGGTCCTTACACAATGAGTAAATGTCGCCCGTAAAGTCCTCCAACTTAGCATTTGCATACTTCGACGCATCGTCGCCCTTTCTTCTGTTGGAATTGTGCATCTTTCGGTGAACGTTGACACCAGAGCTCATATTGTAGTTCCGACGGTTTGAATAATTTCCCGAATTTCCGTGGTTTCCGCCATGATTCCTTTGTTGGTTGTTTCCAGGGTTAACTGATCCGAGAGAGTTGTTGGGATAGTTCGAGTAGCCAGTGTCTTTAAAACGATTTGGGGCGTTGGCATTTACGAAGTTGGGCTGGCCGCCTTCGAACTGCCCGATAGGGCTAGGCATCATACGAGCGTCAACATTCTGACCTCTACCAGAAAGAAATTGAGGGTTGACAAATTGGGGATGCTGGTTCCACATTGTAGGCATACCCATATGAGGAAGCGCAGATGGATCTGAGCCAGCAACATCGAAGGGCTGTTGATTCCTCTTGTCTTTGATAGACGCGCCATCTGGGAATGACTGATTGTCCTTCTCACTACTAACTTGGCTGTCAGGATTGAAGTTCATACCAGACATATTAAAAAAATTTCCAAACGCAAATCTGGAATCCAAGACTCCGCCAAGGGAATGCAAAGGTTGAGGAGACATGTTCATCATCCCTTGCTGAGAACCGGGAGCTTCATTGCCAGGGACATGAGTGAGACCTGCTCCAGAATTTAACTGGGCATCCTCGGACTTTCCATCAGGAAGCTCGAGAGGGTGACACGCAAGGCCATTTCGGCAGATTTATCTTCAACAGGGAAAGCAAATGGAGGAGCAGAAAGTGGCACGTACACATTACTCCATGAGTTTGATGGAGTGGTGTTCAAAGAAGTTGGCACAGCAGAGGCAGATCCAAAACCTGACACAGGGCAGGTTGAGGAGTCAAGGAGCCCTGATGATTTGGTGGGGATGAGGGGCCATGACATTCTGCAAAATCTGTGGTTGAGCAAATGGTGTGGATGACTTTGGTGGTTCCTTAGAAGAGGTTGAGGAGTTTGGGCTTTTAGGGCCACTGCCCTCCTCAAAGTCCTCATCCAAATTCAAGGTTCCAAGAGCACCAACAATATCCAACTCCGATGGAACATGCGTTTCTTGAGTAAAGCCTTTTTCCTTGATTTCAGGCAACAGATCATCGGCAGAGCCAGAATGATCCAAGTTGAAGAAGGACAGCCCGTCCTTATTGAAGAAATTAGAGCTCCCAATAGATGCTGAGCGCAAAGCGGCCGACTTGTTTGATCCTGAGCCGTTAGAAACGGATGCAGAACGGGATTGCAAGTTGGTTGACATGGTCAAGTATGGTGATAGGGGTGGTGATGGGTTTCACTAATGTACAAAGGTTCTAATATACAACGATGCAAAGTATGCTACCTTTGGTGCTTTAGGCGGCAGCTAGTGTACAATGAAATGCAATATGACGGGATGGTAGTGACTATCGTGGATTAGACGGTGTTCTTGCTCCACCAGGAGTAATCAGAGGGACCACTGAATGATGGAATTGATGGGGGTGATGACGGGGTAAAGCGAAGTAAAATGGCCAGGCGAATACTTTTGTGAATGCCTCTTGAAAATTTGAGATAAAATCGGCCGGCGTGACCCGTCTAGCGTGGAGTTTCAGTCGATCAAGCTGACTAGAAAGAGACTTAGTGAGGAATTTTTTCGCCCTGATCTCAGACGTAGTTGGACGCTGCGGGAGAAAAGAGCACCTACGTGCGACAAAGTCGGGCGCAACCAAGGAATAATCATAATTGTCTTTTCATAAAATCTTTATGTTCAATAGTATTAGGTGTTTTCATGACCTACCTTCAATTTTAAAGAGAAAAGGTTGTGATTTGTTGGGTTTGGGGTTGCCATTGTCGTTGACTTTTTGGCTGCGAAATCAGCAGACTGGGGAGACAAGATAATGGCATTTCTTAAGAACGCGTAGACATTTATCAAGAGACTGAATCAAAAAGGGGATTAGAATTCAGGATCACCCTACATGGTGACAGACACCAAGTCATATCTCAAGTATTTTGCTTATCTGAAGACAAACAAGGGGTGTTGTCGTAGGTTCCCCTAAGAGGTAAGAGGTTGTTAACGCCATTCATTCAGACTTTTCCAAGCCGGGCCAAGACCACAATGGGTACCATTGCTTACCACAACAGGAAAGTTGATTGAAGTGGTGCCATCAACTTATCATCGGTATTGAGTTCATCGTGGGCATAATGAAGATGGGCTTCAGAGTCGCTTCGTAAATGCCGTGTGGCGCATGCCTCAATGTTAGGAAAGAGAAAGTGAATCACGGGTAAGTTGATGGGGCCCTCTCTACGAAAACTTTGTGGCAAAGGAGCTGAAGCAATTGCCAAATCGGAGTCCAAGTTGAAATCGCAGCTTGTGGCTATTAGCCCGCTGGATGGAATTGAGGCTTGTCTAATGGGTAATTTTCACTGACGTTCTCAATCGAGTTTCGTGAGCCACCCTAGTGAAAGCAGAAGCAGAACATACACTGAGAAGCTACAACCACCGTTCTCCGTTGGAGAAATCCACCAAATGTCGTTCTTCATGGTGTCATAAAGACGTCATTCGTTCCGCTGTGGAGTCCACACAAGAAACTCCTCCATTGACCGACATATAAAGCTCGTGTGGCCTCTAACCAGCCTAGGGTGATTTTTCCATACGAGGGCAGAACTAAAAACAGCATTTCGATTCGTACTCTACACTCAACTCGAAGTCCAATTTGTCTTATGTTTCTCTCACCTCATCTTTACGTCTCTCAAAGCTTGTCTGATAGCAAAACCTTTCAACTTAGTATTCGTGGCGTTACTAATGTGCACCGACACGATAGGAATCGTTCTATGAGAGTTTAATTAAAGCTGGTGGAAAAGTGAAAAAAGTCCATGACTGTCTAGCGGATCCCACAAAGCCTTCTATTGCATTGTCCATAGCGACACCTGGAAACCTTCCATATAGGCCAAATGGGGCTACGGAAAGCAAACAACATTCACACCAAACTTCCCGGAAAAACGGCCTTCCCAATTAGCCACAAGCAAGCCGGGTGAAAGGTTCCCATGGTGGCACCATTAACTTCGAGACTGGCAAAGGTCACAAGCAGCGAATTTAGGCCGTATGCATGCATTCAATGCAAAGTCTACAATAGATACAAAGAAGCAACCTAAAAACCCCCGCGGATCAAACTCGATATCCACAGGACGGTACATTTATTCGAGGGGTTTTTATCGACATGCTTGGGCGGCAAAGTCTACGGGCGTGCACTAGCAGATAAGGTTCGGGACGACCTTGAAAGCCCCGAAATTTCCAAAAAATGCGCAAAATTGCCCATTGATCGGGTGAAAGTATCGTGGCCCAGAACCATTGTCCAGCTCATTCTATAGCAGAAACAACGGGTCTTGAATTCAGGAAAACCAAGATAGTCAGCCCCGTAGTTTTCTCCACATCCTTGCTTGTACTACTATGCCAGCTTAAGATCAGAGCAGCATTTCATTTCGGCAATAGCGGTACGCAAATGCTACAGGGCGGTATGCTGCAGTGTTATTTTAAACGACATAAAACTTATGCTACACTCCGGCGCATCCGACGCCACTTTTGGCGGCATCGGGCCATGTGTGTTTGCTATTGTTTGCAGTGTTATTGTATTACCTTTTTTTCACTACAGGTCGCACTGGTTCCTGTGCAGCCGATGCCCATCGCAAAACCGCTTTCTACTGTCGTCTACGCATTTCGCTGCCCATTGAAAATTAGCCCCAATTTTTGCTCCTACACCTCTAGTTTTAATCATTATCTATTACTTGTACTATAATACGAAATTAATCTCAAAATGACGACGGGAATAATCGGGGAATCAAATAAAAAAATGGGGGGAATGATAATTTGTAGAAACCTTCTCTATGCTGTGTAACCAGCTTAAGAAGACTTCTCGTGCTGAGTGGAGACTCTGGCCATGGAGACCATGAAGTCTTCGAGGGATCTGCGGTCTGGAGAGTGAGACTTCTTTCTGCCGTTACAGAAGTCGTCGAAGGCCTCAGAACCAGACATAAGGTAGTAAGCACCACCCATAACACAGAAGACACCGAAAGACCAGATCCAGGTTCTGACAACGGTAACGATGTCAGTCCAGTTCTGGGACCACCAACCGAACAAGGTGAAACAGGTGGCGACAATGTCGACAATCAACACAGCGCCAGCCAACTGCCAGGATGGGATAGAAGACCAGAATGGACCCTGAGCTCTAGTGATGAAAATCAACCAGTTCTCAGTCAAGGAAATCTGCAAGAACAAGATACCGTCAATGGCACCGAAGTTCTGGACAATACCACCCTTTGGCAAGAACATAGTGGTCAAGGTGATCCAGGTACCGACAGCCAAGATAATACCCAAGATGATGGACATACCCCACAATCTTGGAAGGTTCCACTTGACAGGCTTAGGGTCGTAAGGAGCATTGTCGTAAGCAATAGCCAAGGTAGCAACGTCAGCGAAAATGGCAATGAAAACAACCAAGTCAATGTTAAGAGATCTGTCCAAGATAGCAATCCAAAGACCCAAGAAAATCTCCAAGTGCAAAGACAAAGCGATACGGTACACCACGTAGGCGTACATTCTGTGGAAAATCTGTCTGGAAGTCTTCAAAGCGTCAATGATAGCGGACAAACCTGGGGCAAGGAAAACAATGTCGGCAGCGGATCTAGCAGCGTCAGTGGCACCCTCAACGGCAATACCAGTGTCAGCCTTCTTCAAGGATGGAGCATCGTTAACACCGTCACCAGTCATGGCAACCAAGAAACCTCTGGCCTGCAAAATCTCAACAGCGTTGTACTTGTGCTGAGGGAAAACTTCGGCGAAACCGTCAGCGTTCTCAACAAAGTCAGCAATCTCGGAACCGGCCATGTCACCACCACCGGAAAGACCCAACTTCTCAGCATCGTAAATGTTAGTACCAAGACCCAACTGTCTACAGGTCTCCTTAGCAATACCAACGGCATCACCAGTCAACATCTTAACAGAAAGACCCAATCTTCTAGCTTCGTTAACAGTCTGAGCAGTGTCATCTCTTGGAGGGTCCATACAAGGCATGACACCCAAGATTTCCCAGTGGCCCTCACCTCTCTTTCTAGCGACACCCAAAGATCTGAAACCTCTAGAAGCAAACTCAGCGACAGTGTTCTGGTAGTTCTCGTGAACATCCTCAGGGATTGGGTGGTCATCCTCGACAGTCTTCAAGACGAACAATGGAGCACCCTTAACACAGACAATTCTCTCGCCCTCTGGGGACTCAACGATAGCAGTAACCTTCTTGGAAACAGGGTCGAATGGCTGAAACTCCAAGACCTTGTACTTAGTCAAAGCAGCCTTAGCTCTTGGGTAGTTGATCAAGGACTTCAAGAAAGACTTGTCAATAGCATCCAAACCCTTCTTCTTTCTGGAAGCAGCCAAACAAGCAGTCAACATCAAGTCGTCAGCCTCGACACCCTCAACAGTGTATGGCTCGTGCAAGGACAACTTGTTCTTGGTCAAGGTACCGGTCTTGTCGGAACACAAGATCTCAACACCAGCAAGGGACTCAATGGCGGACAACTTCTGGACAATAGCCTGCTTCTTAGCCAAGTAAGCAGCACCGACAGCCATGGTAGTGGTGACGACAGCTGGCAAACCGACTGGGACACCGACAATAGTGATAGCCAAGGTGTATCTAAGAATAGGAACAATTGGGACGGTTCTGTAGAAACAAGCGACCCAGACAACCAACAAGGTAACAATGACCAAAACCAACAAGACAGTACCAATACCGTTCAAGACCTCAGTGAAGTGACCAGAGCCACCAGAAGCCTTGTTAACCAAAGCAGCGGCTCTACCAACGAAGGTAGAGTCACCAGTAGCAGTAACAATCATGAAAGCCTCACCGGTCTTGACGGTAGAGGAGGAGTAAGTAGAGTCACCGTGTCTCTTGTCAACGGCAAGGGACTCACCAGTGATAGCGGACTGGTCAACCTGCAACAAAGCGTTCTCGGAGACAATTCTACCGTCAGCTGGGATAACGGTACCGTCCTCCAACTGCAAAATGTCACCTGGGACAATCTCGTTAGCCTGGACCTCAACAAGAGCACCGTTTCTGACAACGTTAGCAGTGTTAGCCAAAGTCTTCTTCAATTCATCGACAATAGAACCAGCCTGGTATTCCTGAATGAAACCGACGGAAGCGTTCAACAACAACAAACCACAAATGACACCGAAATCGACCCAGTCCTCCAAACCAGCGGCCAAAATGGCAGCGGCTTCCATAACGAACTGAATTGGACCGACAAAGAACATGACGAACTTGAGAACCATGTTCTCCTGCTCCTCAGCCATCTGGTTCAAACCATACTTCTTTCTTCTCTTGTTGACATCGTCGTCGGACAAACCAACCTCTGGGAGGTCTGCAAAAGCTCATCTGGGACGGCCTTGAAAGAACCAGCGTCAGCCTCATCATCAGACTCCTCGTCGTCGATGTTGTGGTTAGACTGCAAGTCAATGATCAACTGGTCGATATCCTCGTCCTCGTCATCATCATCGACAGCTTTGTTAAGCTTCTCGTTAGTGGGTTCGGTAGCACTCATTTCGTCCTTGAACTACGACACGAATGCGCTCGAAGAGTTGGAAAAGAGAAACACAAAAGTCTAAAAGAGAGAAAAATTAGTGGGGGTCGGCTTCATTTATATGTGGCCCACGAGTAAGAGGGAAAAAAAAACCTATTAGGCAGGCAGACAGCCCCGCCGGCAGACAGCGTCGGCGCTGACGGATGCTACAGGCGATAATTTTGTTTTTTCCTTTTTCCTTCAGGAACTATTTTTTTTTTTTTTTTTTATTTATTGCTTGGGTCCTGCCTGCTGGAACGCCGAAAAAAGATGTGAAATGAGGGAATTTTTGATAAACAAACCGCACGTTTTGGGCAGGCATGTCGGAAAAAAAGAAAGAATTGGGAAACTGGCAGCTGAGGCGCACTGCAGCCCGACGCACACGGCTCTTTGCATGTAGGAATGTCGTCGTGTCGCTCTTCCCTCGTTCAAGTGCTGCCTGACTCTTCCACGGCAACTCTCCGGCTAGGCCAAGTCCCTACTTGGGAAAAATAAACAACTTTTCAAAGTCATCGGAGTGACCAAAGAACTCAATGCTCACGATATTAATCCACCTCGTCCTCTAAAATTACCCTTTGGGCCGCCAGCCAGCGCTGTTGCTGCCTGACTTCTCCGTTGGGAACCCCGGGCCCTGACCTGCCGTTTTCGTTGGGCTGGGCTGGCGCACTGACGTCAAGCGCTGTGGCACCATTCTGCGTCTCTGTCTCACCGTCCTGCTCCTCCGGCGGTTTCCACCAACCATTGTTCCACGGTTTGGAAGCAATGTTTTAAGGAACGAGGCGGCGGCTACAACAAAAAAAAAAATTAGCTCATTTCCACTGCTCCTCAGCTTTCTTTGCTTTGCCAAACTGCCCCATCTCTTGTCTCGTAATTCCTTGACAGGCTGGCGCTGGTTTGGTGCGAGAATCCAGCGCTCTCACACGATTGTCGCGCCGGCCAGCCCGACCTGTCGTCAGCTCGCACCAAAGCGACTCCACAATGGTTGCAAACGGCTTGCCTCTGCAAATTTTTGCAAACTTTAGCTCTACGGAACCAATTCTTCTCCTTGAGTTTTTCTATTTCTTCGTCTCCCATTCTTTATTTTTTATGTCCCCCTTCCGTGTGATCTCGGCGGCCTCCACCTGCCTCTCGGGGTTGTTACAAAGGCTTTGGGGCTCACCCCGACCTGGCCTACTCCGACGTCTTGGCCCTCAAAATTCCCTCACCTGCCCCACGTCGCAGCGGCGTTCATTGGCCAGCGCCCGCACCAGAATCTTTTGTTCCTGGGCCGTTGCGCGGCACCGTCCGTGCTACCACACCAGATAAGCCAGCAGACACAAAGCGAAAATCCTAATCTTGCAAAAGGCGCCATCTTTTTGCGTCCAGCAGGAGGTGGCCTCAGACGTAGCTTCGGTACGAAAGCTATTTTTCCAATTGGAAGGTGGCGCTTCGTCGTTGGGCTCGAACGGTGCCTGGGCTTAATGGATCCAAAGCCTTATTTTTCAGCCTACCCTAATGTACATGGTTCCCCCACCGCCGCCTCATTTGTCCCCATTGAGCACTTGCCTTTTCGCACTGGCTTTTTTTTTTTTTTTTCGGTTTCGCACTCTGCTCAGTGACTTCGTTGAATTCCACCTCCACACTGACTGCTCAATTACGTTGGGCCAAAAAAGATCGTCGATCTCGGCCCCTCCTTTGGCGTTTTGAAAAAGGGCGCTCGTATGTTTTACCCCTCTTCTCTACTTGACCTACAACGACTCTGTTTCGCTTTCCATATCCATTACCCTGCCCTTCTGCGGCAATCCTCGAGACCGGTGCATCTGCGCGACCATCCAGCGGCCCGGAAAAAAAAATCTCTCATTTTTTACATCGGCCTTACTATTGGCTTGACACTCGCGCCCCATATTTTTCATCCTGCTTCCTCGGCTTCGTGCAGCTTCTCGGACTGCTCCGTTCGGCTCGCCTTCCTGCTTGTGCCGACCGCTTAATGTCGCTTCTTTCGCTAGGGCCGTTTTGTGCCAAATACCTCGGCCGATTGCAACCTCGGCCGGTCCAACCGGCTCTCGTCATTTTCCCGTCTTTCACCGTGCCATGCAACTCTCGTCCTCAAACGCTGTTCCTCTTGCGTGCCCACCATTTAAGTGGTCTCAATGCCTTCTGTAAAAGGTAAATGACACTGCCCGTGAGACGGAATCCGGCAAGCGCACACACAATCCACAAGATCACCGTCAAGAAGATCGTAGAGTTTCTGTAGTCACTCCAGGTATCGTCCTTGGGACCAACCGCCGCCAATACAATGGCAACCAAAATGGCATTGGTCAACATCCACACTAACACGGTGATGGTACGCAAGAACGCATAGTATGAGTCCTCCTTCAGCTTCTTGGACATCACAACTGGAACCGTTGGTGGCGGAACCTTCAAGTCGTCAACTGTGTTCATGTAGCTCTCTTCGAGGCCCTGGTCAGACGCAGGAACGACAGTCATGATCAATTCTCCGTTCTTGTCCTCAGTAATCTTCGCTGTACCCAAATCCTTGGCTTGTGGCGAATCTCTGTTACCCCAAGATACATCGTGAATGTTACAGAACGAGTACACGTTCAACACATTGATGTACGTTGGCGATATCAAAAGGTACTGCAAGAATGACGTGAACATGAACGAAGGCTCTCCATGAATCACGGCGCCTATTCCGTAAAGTAAATAAGTACTAAGCACGGACACCACAAGATCACGGAATTTTTGATTTGTGAACAACATGGTAGGCTTGAAGTCTCCATCTGCATTTTTCAAGATCAATTTCACCGTATTGACAGCCAAATAAATGGCTGCAAACAACATGTACGCCATGAGAACAGCAAATACCACCGCAATAACTGTATAGAATTTTTTGGTCCCTCGAGGTGTGTTACCAAACGCCAACACAAACGTACAAACGAGACATGCAACGTAGATCCATAGGAAGATGGTCGAAAGTGTAGAACCAAAGGTAAATCCAACTTCTGGTGATCCCAAGTTTTTCGTCAAAATACGGAACACCAAAAAGAAACAAGACAATGAGAACCATGACACCAAGACAGTCACCAAATGGTAGTAGAATTCAAGCTGAAGCCAGAGTTTTCTCAAAAGACTGTGATTGGTTTTCCAAATCTGGGTCCAATGGACAATAGAATAGACAGCGGCAAACAACGAACCGTTAAGCCAACGACGACGCTGTAAAACAAAGTCATCCATCTTCTCGGGAACATCGGTTTCTGCCTTGGCACCACTCACATAACGCAAAACGTAGTTGTGGCCCTTCTTAGCCACGAGCTCGAAACACAAGATTCTGTCTTCGGCCAAGTACATATTGGATGTGAAAATGCCTGATTCTTGAAAGTTCTTTTCCATCAACTCAAACTCGTCGTCATCTTCGTCCATCTCTTTATTTTGATGCAAAAACTCACCCTTGAAGTATTTCTCAAGCGGACCCTGTCCGTCGACATTGAGCAAAGCTTCCCACTTGTACGCCGAGAACGCACCTGGAAGCACTGAGATAAATCCAAATACAGACTCCATGGGCTTATCCAAAACGTTGGCAATTTTATATTCGAAGTTCTGAGCAGCGACCAAAGGATTAGATAAGAGTCTCTTATTTTGGCCCAAGGCGACCCTCATCTCACCACAAGCACCCACGACATTGGGATCCTTAAAAGCAGACCACAAATGGTAGAAGGCGTCCTTCGATGGTGTGGTACCACAGTCGAGAAGCATGACAACTTTAGGGTTGAGCAATGGAGCGAATGCCTGGAAACACCAACGATGGGAGTTAATTTTCTTCGCATTCTTCTCCTTCAAGCAGAAAGCGAGCTGAACGGGAGTCAGGTTCTGAGAAAGGTAGACTCTATCGTTTGTAACTCTCTCAATTCCCACAGTAGAGGTGTACTCATAAAGATGAGCCTTTACAGGACTCTCGTTCACCTTCGATTTGGCGTAACCTTCCTGGAAGACACCAAGGGCTGTGAGAAGCTTTTGAGTTCTTTGATGAAGCTGCAAACGACCGTCGTTGACAATCAAAATAACAACCTTTTTCCAAGAGCCGTCGCCCCAATTGGGGTCTTTTCTTTTGGTCAAGTTTCTGATGTTTTCAAAAACACCTTTCAATGTACGGGCGAGCAAAATCTCGTCCTCGTTGTACATTGTTATGCAAACCATGATCTCAGTCTCTCTAGGTGGGGAGTACAACGTTTGACGGAGATTGTACTTGTAGTTGACAAAGTTGGAAGGCCCACATGTCACACCAGAATATCTAACGAACGATGTCTCGTTACTCTCACCAAAAGAAGGACGAGTGTATGTGTTAAGCAACAGCGTGGGAACTGGAGCATCAATGACAAAGTTACCGTCCACCAAACGAGCACGCTTGACAGTCTTCGTGTAGTTAAGACGAGGGGTGAAATCCTCCTCCTCTTGACCCTCGTGTGGTCTGGCCTGAGTAGGGGTTCTCTTCAAAGTCATTCCTCTTCTCAACTCGTCAGGGTCGGCTTCAGAAAATAATGAGTCGTCGTCACCAAAAGGATCCATGTCGTCAGCTGCTTCTTCAAGCAAGTTCAAGTTGTAGTCGTCTGGTTGAATTGGCATCGCCATCTGCGGGTAGCCCATACTCATTCTGTTGGGCATGCTAGCCATATCATCCATGTTCATGAGACTGTAACGATTGTAAGTGCTTTGCGGATACTCTGGAGTATTGTATTCGAACAGGGGATACTGTGTCATTCTGTAGGATTCTCTGGGGGCCATCAAGGGAGAGGCCACCGTGCTCCTACCGTTATGCATCAGGCCAACGTAAGAGTTACGGGCCACATGTTCGCTGAAACGAACACCAGGCTGTTTGACAGTGGAGGCGTTGGACTCACCGTACAAGGATCCACCGAGCTTTTCGTAGAAATCATCGCTCTCATTCTCTCCACTGGAGAAGGTTCTTGAGCTTGATGCAACTCTCGAATGGGACGGAAATTGCTGCTGCTGGTAAGGGCTTCGAGGGACCTTTTCGTCTCCGAATAGGTCGTCGTCGTAGTTGCTCATAGATCAGTTGTTCAGGGCTTTGAGCGATTGACTGGAAAAGTTGGACCCAATCCGAAAATCAGATGGACCAAGGGGAAGATGTTTTCACTGAAGTGATAAGGGGAAGCGCTTCACTTAATGTTAGAAGCCTTGGGTCAGTAGGATCAAGTTGCTTCGTGAAAGAAAATGAGACTTCAAGTTGTCTCCTGTCAAATGGCCGCCTTGCGGGTAAATGAGCTTCTAAAAATGTCTTTCGCAAAATGTAGCTTTCCAAATTAGGCGCCGACTTTCTGAAATTGCGATTCTCTTGCGCCAGAATACGAGGCAGTGTTTGATTCCTCTAATGAAAAAAAACTTCGTCAAAAGTGTACAAGAAAAAAAAGTGGTTGACGGAAGACAAAAGCCATACAGCTTTAAGGTATGTGTTGCTGCAAGTAGGCTGTAACTGTTTCTGCCGCTGTTTGGCATTGCGACCCAGAACGTTTGTGTTTTGCTCTATTCCTGTTTGAGAAAGGGTTTGATCCCAAAAAGTATGTATAACCTGTATAACAGCTCGCGAAGCCCCAGCCCCTTGTTACCTGCCTCACAGCGAATAAATAACTCGCATGAGGCCTGTGCGAAACCTTTCGGGCTAGAAATCCTCACCCCACCCTCGTTCTATTCATTATCAGGGGACCATCTGACAATCTACGGGATCTTCGCATTTCGACACCTGTCAAGGCCAGGGGCAAATGTGGCTTTTCCTTTCTCAGTCTGCCCCTTGAGCTTCGAGATTGCTACCCCCGAGGCGGGATGTATAAAGTAATACCGTAGGGATGTCTTTACTCGGGGCAACATATGACACAGCGATCGGATCCTCCAATTTGCTCGAGGCATCTCTTGTGGTATCCGTGTGAGCACTTGAATAAGTAAAGATCACAATTGCTAAATTTTTCCTTGTCAAATGGTCCGCTGGAAAGGAAAACTTTACTTTTTTGTCTCTCTTCCCAGGCCCAGGCATGTCGCTCTAACATCTCTTCTCCCCACATCACCTTCCCACAGCTCGTGCAATGTTTATTGGTGACAAGCCAACCTAGAAGCTCCTCTTGCTTGATAGTATCCATGTACTTCGAGATTCGCTGGTTGACTTTCCCGACAGTGATAGTGTGGATCTCAGACTCGAAAAAATAAGACGTCAAAATGTCCTGGAGCGTTTCCCTAATGTTTGCAACCTTGGCCACTTCGAGAACTTGGTTGAATACAATTGCAAATGTAGACTTGCGGTTCGTAACCCCTTCATTATTCTCAATTGCTCTGAAGCACTTGAAGATAGCGTCATTGAAGATATTGTGCAAACGCTGATCTTCAGTCAGGTCGCTCATTGTTACTGCCTTTCCAACAAGTGAAGTCCATAAACTTTCTTGTTTAGCCTCTTTGCTGATAGAGATGATTCTGTTGAGATATGAGTCAATTTTCGAATAGTCATCTTCAGAGAATGTATCCACTTCCTTAAGCAAGAACTCGATGGCTCTCCAAAGCTCGCTCACAGCCCCACTGTATTCCTTATCGTTGAAAAGGATAATCGCCATGGACTCGAATAGTTCAGCATCTTCAAGAACTTTTTTTATCTCATTCTTCTCCAGGGCATGGGTACTCAACTTTTTCACTTCTCTAGAGATCACATTCTTTGCCCCCCTCCTGTCATGAATGCTCAAAAGTTCCACGTACCTCACTAGTAAAGGTAATGCTATTGCGTTCAATTCGGAGCTTGAATATCTCTCAAAAAATGAAGCGAGATACTTCAACGAAATAGTATCATTTTCACATTTGAGGATCAAAAGATGCAAGGATGGTCTATAGGTATTCGAGAGAACGACCATATCATCTGCATTCAGATTGATTAAATCTTCGTGATGAGTTTCTATGAAGCGAGTCAAATGAAATTGCTCCGTCGTATTTTGACTATCGACTTGAAATGTGCTTTTAAGCATATCCGCCAATACAGCAAAATTCTTTTGCATGTCAGTCGATGAACTATCCTGATGTTTGGCTAGCCACATTTCCATCGCTTGCGTGAACTTGCCTTGAGCTTTGCATATCTTGAAAAGAACATCATAAAATTTGGCTGCCCTCATTTGTTCGAGAAGGTGGGCGTCGCTTTCAACTTCATACACCGAGAGCAAGCTCTCCAAAGCAAGCTCACAATCCTCGTGGAGCTCCTCGTCCCTATTCTTGCATAGCACATCAACAGTGTCTTGAAGAACCGATTCTGAGAGTCGTATGAATTGGAAATACTTTGGGTAATTTCTCGCAAAAAAAATCGCTAGTTGAGTCCGACTTCGACCATTTTGCAATTCTTCACTTGCCTCGAATACATCTAAAAGCGCTTCAATAATGTACTGTCGATTCAAGGTGCTCATTTCATCATTGAGGGCTGGATTTTCGAAAAACTCGTTAATAGTAGTCAAAGTCTCAAAAGTGTCAAACTCGAGAAAAAAGGTCAAGTATGGAAACACTCGCTCGGATTTGAGTCCAAGTAAGTGTTTTCCAGACTTCGGAGGCCATGTGAATGGCCCAATACTGAAAAGAATGTCGCAAATGGAGTTTCTAGCATAAACTTCGATGTCTTGGTTGAGTATTCTATCACTCGGGTATTGGCGTCCTGTAAGGACATAAGACATATAGGTGTATACAATGACCAATTCATCATGTTCGCTCTGAGCGAGCTCAATCTCCTCTATCAAAGATACCAACGGAGTTGTGTAGTCCTTGAGCATCTTGTTCCAAATGTAGATTCGACATTCTCTCAAATGAAAAGTCTTGCAAAGATTGAGGGCCAAATCAATATTCAACGTTGACATGTCGAGTAGACAAATGAGCTCCGCGAGAAGTTCACTCTTATCACTCGAGGCATATTGCTCAATAAGGCCCTTGAAAAGTATAGGTGAGAGGTTCTTAATTTCTGAGGATACTATATGTTCCTCCAAAACGTCAAAGAATAACCCTAGGTCCTCGAACCTTTCAAAGATATGATCCAACATCAGAAGTAGGGACTCGTCGATCAAACCACCTTTTGACAAAATAGATGCTAGAGTGAAATAGAGCCTTAAATTGGCTTCATTTCTAACTGATGGGGTTTCAGGATTGAAGAGGGGTACGATGGACTCTTCCATGACTCGTTTAAGAATCGGTTCAACGACAGAATGCCGCTCTTTTCTGTTATGAGGAAGTCCATGAAGAACCAATTGTCCATAATTATCTGATACGTAGTACGCATACGCCATACCAAGGGCTTCCTGGAATTCCCCGTGAGCAAGGTATTCAGTGAGTCTATCGGCCCATTTGAGGCATCTTCCTGAAAGAATTGACCTTTGTGACACCGAATGAGTATTGACTAAGAGCACTAGGCGGTGCCGGAGAATCCTAAGGCTACCACTGTAGCTCGTTGTATTAACCATCTGCTTTTTGTCTTTGAGCTCAAAGTCAAGAGTAGAAACCTGCTGAGAGTCGAGATTGTCCACTCCTACTTGTGTAAAAGTGGCTTGATCCACCCCAGTGTAGTAGAAAAAATAGAGTTTTGTCTCTGTGCTTTCAACATGGCGGGTAACAGCTGTGAGGATCTCTGAGTTAAGCCAATTGAGTGTAACCACCCTTTCTTTGTCGGGACGCTTAATCTTCCTTTCCTATTAAATTTCAATCGAGGGATGCCCTTATTTTTCTCCTTCATGTCCGCAATTTTTGACATTATGTTTGCTGGAATAGCTTCGTTGTCAAGCTCAACTATCAGAATTATGTTGCACCACGCGTAGGCTAGTTTGGCATTATGAATTTTCTTATCCACCTCGATGCAAGGATACCATGACAAACAACCATTCAGTTCGTCGCCAGCGACAGATTTTGGTCTGGAGCATTTGAAATGACTAATCAGATGTGGTACTTCAGGATTATCTAGGGAACGCACGGAATTGATGATCATGATATTTTTTGTGATCACCGCCAATAAACCTAGGGTGTCCGTTATCTGCTCAGAAGTACCTATTGGAAGAATTTGGCTATCTTGTATTGCGAATTTGGCGGATGGGTCCTCGGCATTGGTATCATTCTTCCCTAGAATCTTTTGAGATGTGTAGTACTTCCGTAGAAATCTTCTGAACCCACGATGGAAAAAGACCAAGCCAGATAAGTCGGAGGACACTATCTGTTGGTCTTTGTCACCAACAAAATCAATTTTTATAACTGGAACATTTTCTAAGTGACCTTGCGAGTTACGACCAAAGCGATCCTCCATGCTTATAGGCCGTATCAACCCGTCGGCGTAGATAATGTCGAACGACGATTTCGATATCGCATTTTCAAGGTCCCAGACAGCAATTGATCCATTCTTGTAACCAGCGGCAACGAGAAACGCATCTGAGGAGAATGCTATACAACTAAGCTGCGGCATCTGCGTCTGGGCCGGTGTGTCTAGGTCGTTTTTCCGAGGAATAAGTACGAAGTCGGCTTCTTGTCTATAGTTGAAAGCAATTATGACACCCTTCGCCGTTCCGACAGCTATATGGTGTTGGGAGAGCTGTATAAGCTGTGGAGCGCCGAACTTCTCTATGAAGGTGGTAGAATTCATGATCTTCAGAATCTGCTTGGTCTCAGTCCATTTGACGAAGTGCTGGACATCCTTCGAGACTGGGGCTTCCAGAGAAGTCAGTCGCTTGGCACTCGGGGACGCAGTGTGCGCTCGTAGTTGTATGCTAGTTCTTGATTGAGATCGATCATCAAATCTCTTCCGTCTCGATGGAGATAATAGACTCTGTCCGTCTAGCAGGATGTTTGATGGAGTCGACAGATACGATGTTCTGTTGGAAAGAATATGCCTGGGATTGTCATCTAACACAGTGGGCTCGATTAAGTCTGCCATAGCAGAACTGTAGTAGTTATGGTGCGAAATGTGTAGTTACATGCGATAAGCGGTGATACTGTCATATCTACAGAAAGCCGATACCCATTTTCATTTTTACATACCTAAAACGCCTAAATTAACTTTGCTTACCTTGAATGCAAGCCCAGAAGCAATGAACGAGCGAGGATTGTGCAGCTCAATCGATATGAACTTTCCTCTTCATGTGGAACCGTAGTAAGGTCCACAACTGGTAAAGGAAAGTCACACCAACAATTGCTATCTGTAATATCAGCCAGGAGACTACTCTCTCACAAGCCTTTTCCAGCAAATCTCTGAAGGTGGCCTCTTTGGCTCTGATGAATCCCTGCTCTTGCTTTATGTACGTGATTTTGTCAATCAACGATGCAATTCTTGAGGTCAATTCCTCTATTTCTGTGTGATCTTTTGCAAGAACATTCTTTGCGTCACCGATAAAGAAGTCAAGTGTCACCCTGGCACGCTTGAACCTGGACTCTTCAAGCTCGATGGGGTCGGCTCCTTTCCACTTTCTTTTGTAAAACAGCTTAGGGGTTAAGCAAATACGATGAGTCCCCAGTTCTAAAGGACTGAACAGAAACTTGCCGGAGGACGAACCCCTTTGGTGGATCACCCGATTATTCGAGGCAAACACCTCTTCCACATCGACAACTACACCAGTATTGGCTTTGTCACGCGGAACACTATAAATCCCTTGTTCGTCTAGAATTTCAATCCTGTAGGACCCAAGAAGCACGGATTCTGTGCTAAGATCTCGAGTGAAACATTCTCTTGTTCCGGCGTCCACATAGACGTGAACCTGGCCACTAACGAATGTGACCAATAAAAGCACCCATAATAACACTCCGGGAAGCATTGAGGTTCTATACATTATCTTGTAATCATCTGTTGACTAATTGGTGGTTTATTCTGTGAGTCTTGTTGGTTTTGATGAAGGAAAGAAAGATACGTTTCTGAGCGGAGTGCTATCTTAAGCCGCGTCTACTCAATACAAATTTAAACCGCAGGAGGCTTAGACGAGAAGGTATATCATCAGTCTAGAAGATGAACTTTTGGTTTTAGATGCGTAAAAACGGCTCACAAATCTAATGGAGGGATTTTTATCTTTTCAATCCTCGTTCTGGAAGTTTTTATTATTTAGTTTTGTCTTTTGCAACTTTCAGTTTGGGTCATGAAGTTTTGTGGAAGTCAGAGATTTGTGCGAAGTTGTGAAGAAATAGGTTACTACTTGAGAAACGCAGTCGATTAAAAAATACCTTCAAAACAATTCGAAGAGAAGTAAGAGTTCCATACGAAAATTGAAGTGCCCAAAACCCATATTTTTCGAATTAAAAGTATACTTCGAGAGAATCAACTTTTCAGCACCTTTGAGTCAATACATTTTTGATGACTTTCGAATCGGTAGCTCAAAAGACTGTGATCATCAACCCAGTTCACGTAAGAGCTATAATCTCTATCCTAGATTTACATTTTTACCATCTTACTACATTTCTTTAATGCAATCATACCCTCCACTGCTAGACCATTTATCGATGCGCGCCTTCACGATTTATGGGTAATAACCACCACCATGAACTTATCCCTTCAGGATCCCTTTGCAGTAGCCAAAGAGTTTCCAGAAACACTAGTTCAAACACTCCATCATGGGCATGCTGTGGTTATCCAGTTCAACGTCAAGGGAGATTACCTAGCGGCGGGTATGAGCGATGGAAGAGTAATCATCTATGACATGGTCTCGTATACCATTGCAGCAGTGCTACGAAAAGACGGCCATGTGAGGCAGATAACGTCCCTCAATTGGTCAAGCTGCGGGCGCTATCTTCTTCTGTCCTCTCAGGACTGGTGTTGCATAATATGGGATCTCAAGTATGCTAACAAGCTCGGTGTGGATAAAAACCCAGCAGTGCTTCGGAAAATACGATTCGACTCACCCGTTTGGCTGTCTTCGCTACATCCAAAAAATCATTATCAGTTTACTGCATCACTTTTTGAAGATGAGCCAGTTCATGTCGATCTTCGAGATGAGCCTGTGGTGACAAAGCTCAAGACAGAGCCACTCGAGCAACAAGAACTTGACGACGACGAGCCCAAGAAAAAGGAAACAAAACACATGACACTCGTCACTAGGTTCAGTCCGCAAGGAGATTTCATTTTCACTGGCACCAGTAAAGGCTGGCTCAATATAATGAACGCTGAGGATCTCCAGACGGTCCACCTGACGAAAGTCACCAACAGCAATATCAAGACGCTCGAAATATCACGGAACGGCAGAAAGCTCGCCGTAAACTCTTCAGACAGAGTCATCAGGCAGTTCACATTGCCCGACATGATCAACAACCGAGATGCGTCAACCTGGGAGTTTGAGATCGAGCACAAGTACCAGGATGTGGTGAACCGGTTGCAATGGAACACGGTCGCTTTTAATCACAATTCTGAATTCCTAGTCGCTTCTACATTTGGCCAGAGCTCACAAGATTTATACCTTTGGGAAACACAGATGGGGTCCTTGGTAAAGATTCTTGAAGGTAGCCATGAGGAGCTCATAGACGTGAAGTGGAACTACAACAAGTGCATGATCGGCTCGACCGGACTTGACAGCGGGGCAATCTATCTCTGGCTGGTCCAGTTTCCATCGAAGTGGAGTGCCCTTGCGCCCGATTTTGTGGAAATCGAGGAAAATGATGAATACGAGGAGAAGGAAGACGAGTTTGACATTATCGATGAGACTGAGGTGATCAAGAAAAGACTTGAAGAGGAAGACACGGAAGTTGACATCATTACGAGAGAATCCACCGACGCGCGAGGATTTGACACAGAAATCGAATCGTTTGTCATACCAATTAACTACGAGAAGCCGGTTATATAAGCTCCGAGTGGTAGGGGTCCATGCGCTACGCGTCACGTGTGTGGAATTAAGATTTTCGATGACAGTCCTGGTGCTCTGGTGTCTCACTCTGAGTAAATAAACATCCTGCATTGTCCCAGGAGCAAGAAGCAACCGCCATGAGGTTGTTAAATGTGGGGGGTTCAAGTTATAAACGGCGCGTAGAACGCATTCCATGGCTATGGACCCTGGAAAAGATCCCCGATTCAAAAAATATATAGTGTTGGCCTGGAATCAGCTTCAAGTACATCTGTTTTAGGACAGTTTTGATACCTTTTTGATGCCACAAAGACCACCAATGAAAGTATAAATCTAAAAAAACGCTCTGGCCCTCTCCTTATATTAAATAAGTGAGCGACCCAGTAGGATTCGGCGTGTGTGCACTCCGACTGTTTGTGTTCATGGGTCTTTTTTTTTTCTTCCTCCCTCACCATTCGGAAAAAAAGCACGGTTCATTGGTCGGACCAACCTCCAGAATCAAAACAACGCGATTGCAGGTGATTACTTGCCTTGAATAGCTATCAATCCCGAGCTAGTGGACTTTCAAAATCTCCCTCTTCAAGTGTCAGTCTCGACGCTGGACGGTAAACAATAAACAATACTGCCCCTAATACCTGGCTCCATTCAACTTCACAATACTTTCCAACACTAAACACATCCCAACATGACAGAACAGCAGAAGCGTCCTCGTGAAGACGATCTTCCGACTTTTGACGATCCAGCGGACCTCGTCAACGCGGTGATATCAACATTGCAAATTCCAGAGGATAGAACCAATGTAGCGACTGACTACGCCAACGATAAAAACTTGGCTACTGAAGTTCAGGCATACGCCAAGATCGCTGGCCGTGACTGGACGTACTACGTTAGAACTTTGGCCATTTCGATCGGAAGAAACACCGAAAATAACCCTACCAACGCTCCAGCCAGCCAGCAAACAGTAAACATCGACTTGGGCCCCGCCAAAGTTGTCTCTCGACAGCATGCAGCCATCAAGTATAACATGGATTTGAAGTGCTGGGAGTTGACTGTGCTAGGAAGAAACGGTGCAAGAATCGATGGCAATAAAGTGCCCGTTGGTTCTGAACATGCTACTCCATTGCACTCCGGTGCTATATTGGATATAGGTGGCACACAAATGATGTTTATTTTGCCTGATGCGCCTCCTAGCATCCTGCAAAAGATGTTGAATGTCTGTTTATCCCGCTATAAGCAGCAAGGAAACAAGATGCCTGCCACATCCAACAACCTCCCGAGAAACCCGACCATGCATCAGCCTCTGAATTCGATGAGACTGTTTTTGGGTGTAACGGGGTTCCAGATGTTTGATAAAGCCAACTTGACGCATTCCCCTTCTTCAGTATCAGCTGTCTCCTTGCAGAACAATTTGGACCAGGACTTGTCAAAAGAAGACGCTAAGGACATTAAGCCTCCATATTCTTATGCCACCATGATTACGCAGGCTATTCTTTCAAATCCAGATGGTGTCATGTCTTTGTCCGAGATTTACAACTGGATATCATCCCATTATGCATACTATAAGTACTCCAAAGCCGGTTGGCAAAACTCAATCAGACATAACTTGTCGCTCAACAAGGCCTTCGAAAAGGTTCCCAGGAGACCTAACGAGCCGGGCAAAGGTATGAAGTGGCAAATCAGCGAGTCTTACAAAGAAGACTTTATGAAGAAAATTCAAAATGGCACGTTGCTGAAGTCCCGTCGTGGCTCCTCAGTATCTAGAACATTGCAGATTCATCTCGCCACTCATCACAGCCTTCCAGACTCACAGGGCTCTGGAGGTGAAAAAAGACAAATTATGGATTTTCGTGGTTCCTCAAATGGTGATCACATGTATCAAAAGGTCACTCAACCAATGCCATACACTGGTCTCCCACCAAATCAAATGCAACCACAGATCAATTTCGGTGGTCAAATGAACGGCTACCCCATGCAGCAGTTCAATGGTCCTCCAGGGTACCCAGGCAACCCTCAGATGCCCAACCAATCTCATTTGCAGCAGCATCAACATCAACCACAGCAGCAATTTATGTCCTCCTTAAGTGGAGAGAACAAGACACTCGCCTCGCCCCTTAAGCACAATACCAGACAGGACGCCAATACGCCGAAGCTACCCAAGGTAGGGGGAAGTCACGTCTTCAATCTTCCTCCCCCAACTCCAGGGACAAGTCAATCAACTCACAATAACTTTGCTTTCAGAGGCAACGAGCAAACCACCCGCGCACCTGAGATCGCAAACGGTAACGATGCAAACAACACCTCACAAGGAAATTTGAGCGAGATGCAACAAAATTCGACTGCACCAACAACATCTAACACTTCCGAGCTTGGCATCGGGTACACTTCCCCAAAAAGATAACACCTTTGGAAGCATTCACACCTGAACGAGGCTCCAAGGCGGGTATGAAGCTTGGACTTCCAAATAACGCTAACAATGTGACGCAATCATCCCCAGCGTTTTGGAACTTTGTACAATTTAGTACACCAAACGGGCAAACTCCAGGAAGAAAAAATAGCGAAGAAAGTAACGACCAGGCAAGCCCAACACATCTGCGAAGAGCGACGGTCAAGGATTCGAAAGACATCCCTGACGCGAAGGTCAACGGCTCACCAGGTAAAACCGTCACGCCTCCTAAGTAGGCGATGCCTTCATGGTATAAATGACTAAAATTTATTTCACGACGACATTCATATTGCATTAGTCTTCAATTTTATCTAATAACTTTCATTCGGCGAGAAACTTTTGCTCCTACAAAAAATAACCATGACACAAGCCAACGGTGCTTGTGGTAACGATATCATTAATTCTGTGTTGTACAATCTGACGAAATATATGATTAGCTTCATCAAAATGCCGATCTATTTCTAATGTCGTAAAGTCTTTTTTCAATTTCTCTGGGCGTTCTTCCAAGCTTGCCTGCAATTTTGATCTTGTTTTCTAGAGATATCTCATAAAATCTCTCGACAAAATCACCATCGATAACGTTTTTTGAAGGGTTGAAGTAGGACCTGAATTTGCCCTGGTCTTTACCGAGCAAGTTGTAGCCTTGCTTTCTCTTGTCAAAGTCATCAAATTCAGAGGTGTAGAAGGCCCTCAACTCGTACTCAACAGCACTAAGAAGTTCAGCCTCCAGCTTTGTGGCAACAGGTATCATCATGCCAACGGTGCCTTGCAAACAAGTATAGATTATACTCTCAGTTCCACCAACAACAAACGTACCCCTAGAGAATGAGGTTGGTATATCAGCGACGTAAAGTTCACATTTCTTTTCGAATCTTGCGCTTGGTTCATCAAGCACATCCTCGTTCAATTGCAATAAGGCGTTATTTGCAAGCTGATTTGTGAGCTCTAAGGGGAGACGATTGACAGATATATTGCCGAACTTGTCACCGGCGACAAGAGTCCTGTGATCAAGTGTTTCAAAAACTGTGATTTGTCTTCTCATGGTATCATTGCAAATTGGAACAAACTGGTTCAGTGCTCTATCGAACTTCAAGTACGACAACGATTCGCTAGAATCAGCAACCACCACCAAATCTCCTCCAAGATACTTGAGCTGAGTGGGGCGACGAAGATAATCGATCTTGGAGTGTGATTTTCTAAGCATTTGTTTTTGGCCCAATTCAAGAAGTCTTAGCGAGTTTCCAATACCAACAAGAAGCTTTTTTTGGAACCCAATCATGGCAGATACAACCCCGTCTACCTTTGTCTTGTGAACAAACTCCAACTTTATGGCTCTTGCTTTCAGTCGTTTTATCTTGAACACATGTATGTGGTGTGATGAAGCTGAATTTCTCTCCATTGAGAGATTTTGTGAAGATGCACACACCAAGTATTCTTCATCATTGAACGAGGCGGCACATATGGAGGTAAAGCAATCGTTATCGTTAAAATCAAGGGATTGGCAAATCTCTGATGTATCGTAGTCAACGACCTGTAAACACGAGGCCCAGAAGCCGGGGGAGCGTTTGTAACCGAAGGCATGGTAGTATTCCTCATCAACTTCCTCATCATGCTTAATATAAGGAGATAGCGTGCTTGCCTCTGACTCGAGAATCACAAGGTTGTTGCTCTTGTAATCCTTCCAATATTTTCTGGGCTGGAATCTTAGTCTTATCAGGCTCAATGAAAACTCATCGTTGATGTTGAAACCACCTTCTTCGCTTCCGATAGTGAAAATTATCAAATTGTTCTCTTTGATACCAACAACACTCTCCGTACCAATGTCCTCAGAATAGAACGACAGTCCGCTCGTAACATCGGAGCCAATTAATGGCATGATTTTAAATTGGCTCTCACTATTGTGATAACCAATCCAGGGGTAGGAACTTATTGCCATAATTCCTGACAGCTCCAGTCCAGGTAATTTAAGTTTGCTGACAATCACAGGTTTAGTGCCAAGATATTTCAGTCTTGTGTCTCGAAGCTTGCCTGTCATAGTGTCCATCTGTACTCTAGCGTACACTCCACTTTCCATACCAATGTGTATATGAGCACTATTGTCTTCAACAGGTAGCATCAAGAGTGAGGTACACTTTGAAGAAAGTGCCTGTAATGAAAGCATCTGGAAGACGCTATTTGGGTGTAAAGACAAAACCTGTATTGTCTCATCGGCACAACCAACAATGGCGAAGTCACTCTTCATTGAAGTTGTATCACTCATTATGGCAACGGCAGTGATGAGATCAGCACCAATCTCATGTCTTTCTTGATACTCACCTAATTGGTCGTCCGCTATATCGATCTCAAAGTAGCAAAGCTCACGATTAGAAAGACCAACGAGGACTTGAGTTTCGTTGGCACTGGCATGCACAACATGAATACCGGCAGGAGGAAACCAATCAGTGGTTTTTCTGTCTGTAACTTCATCATTTTCATCAAGAATGTGCCTTATATGGCGAATACCATTGTTATGGATCTGGATCACAGATTGCTTACCGACCTGTTGCACTGCAATTGTATGCTGGTCTGTTACGAATCCAGATTCACTTACCTCCTCAACCACCTCTCCGATAGAAAGAACCAAAGTTTGAGAGGCGAGCGAGGAGGAAAGCACCAAATAATCGTCACTCGTAGATGTGCGTACTTTCTTGGTCGTGAGAATCAGGGTCGGTAACATAGGTAAGGGAGATGACACAAGCTCAGAAACTGGAATACCGTATGTCAAAGTCTTCAAATATGAATGTGAAGAAAGCGTGCTTAGCAGAATTGGCCCCTCTGCGTTATTCTCGGTCTTTTTTCCCATTAACTCTGAACCAACGATTGGTCCGAGGGATTCAAGAATATCGACCAAAGCCAAGTTGTGAAGGCCTTGTGGCGAGAATCTAGTCGAGTTTTGGATATCGGGTAGTTCGTGTTCGGACGCCATGGTCGATTCATTTTCGGACCCTAATTGCTCAAACTGGTAGAATAGCTTACTATCATTAGCGACATTGGCGAACATAAATCCCGATTTAAAAATGTTTATGCTGTTGGAGACAGGTGTAGAATCAAAGTATGTAGCCGCAATTCTATCGAGGTGTTCGGTTTCTCTGTCGTAATCAAAGGTAAGTTTGAAAAGGTCACCCAAGGAACTTTGTAAAAGAATGAAAAAGTCGGTTTTCTTGAGGACATGCAAGTAATGGCAGACGATGCGGGTACTTTGAGAGCCTTCTCTTATAGGGAGAGGGAGATAAAGCCTCTCATGGCCTAGGCCTTTCTCGTAAATAATGACAGAGTCACAGACAATCAACACACCTCCGATATGGCCAGGTAATGCAATAAGGGAGCTCGCGTCAGGCGGAAGCGGTGTCTTACTTTTCTTTTGAACAACATAATTAAGTCCCTGGTCGAATTCATAGTACCTGAGATAAAGTGGACTTTCATCGGGCTTGTATGTCTTGTGATCGTAGTCTTTATAGTCCACCTCAATTGTGGCCCACACTGGGTTGTCGAAGCTTGTATCTAGAGGGCAGAGTGCTAGCGTAAGGGAACCAGTAGTGTGACTCTCCAAAGGCGAGGAAAGCTTTATCTGGCCTGTGGAGTTGTCCATCTCGACCTTGTAAACGAACTTTGTCCGCTCGAGGGCACCAATCATAATTGCTCTATTCTGGGGGTCGCATGCCAAATATTCACCCGGAGTAAGACGTCGAAGTCCGTTCTTCGAGTGTGGTTCTTGAATACGAGGCTCAAACTTGAAGGTGTCTTGATTGTAGTAAGCGATAATGATATTGCCAGAGTCTGCCGTGATCACAAGAACATCTTGCTGAGTCCCGAAGAGTCTCAATTTATCGGCATTTTGTACTATTCCAAACGTTGGTTGCAGCGAGAGCTTATGTAGCTTGCCAGTATCTGTCTTTGGTTGATACACCTCAATGACGGTGCTTGATATGAGCACAAGTTCCTGTTGTTTCTTGGATCCAGAGAACTGACCAACAATTGACTTGAACGGCAGTGATGGCTGCTTGAGCGTTAGATTATATAGGTATAAGGAATCGTCTGGGATCATACTATCTGCTCAATACTTATTTGGTGCTTGATAATCGAGCTCTTCGCGGAGTGTACACACGGCTGCTAAAACCACAAGCTGATGGTGTTTCTGCTAGATACAAAAATGATGCCATTTGAAACAAAAATGCCAATCCTTGTTATTTAAATTACCTGCTGCCCACCACCGGAAACTGCTTTAAAGTAAGACTTAGAGATGGCTCTACTAGAGTATTACACAGATTAGGGAAACACGTCCCGCCAGTACCATTCTTCGAATAATATTTTTTGGAATATCTTATGCCTTCTGCAAGTGATCTATCAAAAGATTGATACGACAGCTTATTTTGCCCCTGCAAGAACATTCAAACCGTTGACGGAACAAGCTTGAGGTGTACGGGTTTGATGATACCATCACTAGATGGTGTGATCTCTAATCATCCGAGAGTAACAATATGGGTGCTAGGTACGTACTACGAAACATGATCTTCTTTGAATCATTCTAACACACAGTTGTAAAGACCAGAAAAAGGCGCTAGCCATTTGTCTCCAAAGATCACCCTGTGTGCTCATTCAGAGGCATTCCCCCAAAGAGTGTCTTACGGACCCAGAGCTTCGAAAGGATCTACCAGAACTTTGTGCTGCCAACTTCAGAGCCTTCATTGAATGTAAGAACGGCTTCTTTGATATGAGGAAAAGAATGAGAGGAAATGCCCCATTGTCCACGGGTAAATACGACGACACCTACGAGAAGCTTTCTAGCGGTGACTTTGACCCTCGTGAGGAGATGAGAAAGCTTGAAAGACTCAACAAAAACCTTGCTAGGCTGAGAGAAGCCAAGGAAGACAGCTTGCAAGAAAGCTAATGTAAATAAGTTAGCTTGCAAGGAAGCTAATGTAAATAGGCATGTGCTCCAAGAGCACCGAGGAAGGTATATACGCATTTGACAGGATCAGGATTCATATGCTCCTGGGCTTTGGAATGTAAATCTTAGCATGATCATAAAACCGTTTCACGAAATGGCACATGACCAAAATCTCGCACTGGTATTGCGCTTTGCACTAGCTTATCAGAGCTTTTGATTCGCGGTGAAGTAGTAGATTGACACACTATGGCTAATTAAGTTTCGACTCGCACTGAAAATTACTTTCTTCTTTTTTGCAACCACACCACCATGGTTATAGAATCCGACCTAGAACTGAATAGAGTACAGGAGTTGGACCAGCTCCTCTCCATCATTCATCCCAAAATTGTCCAATATGTCGCTCTGGCTGACCCGAATTCCCCGGACTACAAGCAAGAATCGTTAGGTACTTACCATAAGCCGCAGTCGTTGAAGAAGGTATTTACAGGCAACGACGAGATATTCAAGAAGGGATTGAGAAAGTCTCAGACCGAACTCTTTGAGCAGATCGACAATGTTCTCAAATACTCCGTAAACACTTGGAACCCTGGTTTCTTGGACAAGTTGTATGCTTCCACTAACCCCATAGGTGTTATAAGTGATATCATCTTGTCTGTGTTGAATACCAACTCTCACGTCTATACTGTTTCACCAGTACTCTCTGTGTTGGAGAACTACATGGGTAAGAAGTATGCCCGCTTCTTTTGGGAAGATGGTGAGAGTGTTGGAGGACTCACCTTCTCTGGTGGATCATGGTCCAACATTACAGCAATGCACATGGCCAGATCTCTTAAGTTCCCCGAGACCAAACTCGAAGGTAACGCTGGTCGTAAGTTTGCCGTGTTCACATCGAAGCATTGTCATTACTCCGTGGAGAAAGCTGCCATTTTACTAGGTATGGGCCAGAAAAGCGTCTTCAAGGTTGACATAAACAAAGATGGCACAATGAAGCCAGATGCTCTTGACGACGCCATTGAAACGGCTAAGAAAGATGGCTACACGCCATTTTTCATTAACGCCACCGCAGGTACCACCGTCTTTGGATCATTCGATGATTTGAACGCCATTGGTCCAATTGCGAAAAAGCACAACTTGTGGCTCCACGTAGACGGCTCGTGGGGAGGTAACGTGGTATTTTCGGAATCACACAAGCAGAAGCTCGCTGGCGTCAAGCATGCCGATTCCGTCACCGTGAATCCTCACAAGATGCTAGGCACACCAACCACTTGTTCGTTTTTGCTTGTGCAAGATGTGCGTCATTTCCAAACCGCAAACTCTCTCAGCGCTCCGTACTTGTTTCACGGAAGGGACAATGACGAAGAAAATCACGACTTGGCCGATGGAACCATGGGATGCGGCAGAAGAGCCGACTCATTTAAGTTTTACTTGACATGGTTGTACTACGGCGAAGATGGCTTGCGCGGCCGAGTCGACCATGCCTTTGCTATTGTGGACTACTTCAAGGAAAAAATTGCCCAGTTGCCAGGGTTTGAGTTGGTGGTTGACCTGCCTCAGTGCTTGCAGGTGTGCTTTTTTTACCGTCCAAAGGGTTACGAAAAAACCAGCTTCACCGATGTCACCCGTTATGTGTCACGGGAGCTTCATAAGAGAGGCAAGTATCTCGTGGACTTCCTGCCTGACACGTCGAATGATGCCAAGGGCGAGTTTTTCCGGGTGGTATTCAACCTGCCTATTCTCACTGATAAGGTGATAGATGACCTTGTGGAGAACATTGTGGCGATTGGCCAGGAGTATCACGCCAATTAGATTCGGCCTACGATCACCAAACAAGCCCAACAACCGATGGATTGCTGACTATAAGAAAAACAAACCTTGCCTTGGCTCTGAGACAGTGTAACATGGACAAGCTTCCAGGTTGCATTTCTCGGCCCACATCTTAAGACTGCGGCGGCGGGCGAGCGGCTATCAGTGCGGAGGTGTTGTTGAGTGTGTAGCCGATGTGCAGAAACACGAGACGTAGAATTTCACTACCAAATAATAAAAGTGTTGCCTTATAGTGCCACCTCGAACCACCGTTGAAGTGGTTGCAAAAAAAAAAAAAAAAAGTAGCCTAATCTTTTGTATGCACACATACGTCTGCGCAGCACACAGATACCCCACACGCGACAATAGAGTCTACTCCACACAGCGCCGTGAAACCCTGCAGAGACCAGGACACACATTGACACTTATTGCAACATGACAACTGCTGAGCTCATCACCACGGCTAACACCCCGGATTGCAACACCAGGTTGCATTTTCTCCAGAACCCCGGACTTGTGGGGTGCATCGCCCTGGACCGGTGTTCAAAACGTTCCACGCGCATTTGTCCCAGATCCTCAACCAGGCTTGCTTTGTGATTCCACAGAGATGCCGCATGGCAATTTGAATCGGAGTTTGTAGCTTCAGCCTTGGATCTGTAGATGGTGGGGAACTGTGAAAGCCGCCCCACACTCACACGGCTAGTATGGGGATCTGCATTTATTTTCTAGATTTTCTTGAACCACCCCGTATGCCCAGGGTTGCCGCTCCGTGTATGGGTTGGCTGCCAAAAATGTAACATGGCGGCGCCGCTGCAACGCCTACGTGCAGCACCGAGATACTGGGGCCGTACTTCTTTATCATTTTCGGACTCATTATCAATCCATAAATACCCCTGGACCCCGAGCGTAGTTTACCCTTCTTTTTTTTTTTTCTATAGACAAATCCATCATGACAGCCTCATCTAACAAATCCAACGATGCCATCGTCATAGAACTGTCGCCCCAAGGGTCCGAGACCAACCAGTCCTCTGACTTCAAGGCCGAGGTTGAGCACGAAGAGGAGCACCACCACGAAAAGCGTATTGAATTGGTTCACCACGACTTGAAAGAGTTAGAAAACTCTGGCTTGTGGTACCACAAGAGAATCATCCCCGGCATCCCACCTTACTCTAACTCCTTCGTTCAGATCATCGTCATGTCGTTCGTTATCTTCTTGACCCCAGGTTGTTTCAACGCCATCACCGGTATTGGTAACTCTGGTATCTCCGATCCCAAGGTCGCTGACAATGCCAACGTCGCCTTGTATTCCTGTTTCGCCACCATCGGTGCTTTTGGTGGTGTTATCTGTAACACTATCGGTGTTAAAGCCTGTCTCATGTTTGGTGGTACTGGTTACTTCATGTACACCGCATCGCTTTTGGTCTTCCGTGAGACTAGTAACAAAGGTTTCCCTGTTTTCGCTGGTGCCTACTTGGGTGTCTGTGCTGCCTTGACCTGGGCTGCTCAGGGTTCCATTGTCATGTCTTATGCTCTTGAACACAGAAAGGCCACTGCTATCATGGTTTACTGGGTCATTTTCAACTTTGGTGCCGTCATTGGCTCTATCATTCCTTTAGCCCAGAACATGACTTCCGGTGAGGAGCACGTCAACGCTGGCACGTACGTTGCTTTCATGGTCTTGATGGCTGCTGGTGTCGTTTTGGCTGGATTCATGCTTCCAATGGACAAGGTCTACAAGGCCGATGGTACCAAGGTGATTGCCAAGAGGTACCCAAAGATCACTCACGAGCTCAAGGGTATGTGGAAGGTTTTGAAGACTGACTTGAAGATCTACTTCATGTTCCCCATGTTCTGTGCTTCCAACTGGTTCTACACCTACCAATTCAACAACTTTAATGCCGCACGTTTCAACGTCAGAACCAGATCTTTGAACGGTTTGCTTTACTGGCTCACCCAGATGGTTGGTGCTATTGTGATTGGTTTCTTGTTGGACTGGAAGAGATTCAACAGACCTAACCGTGCCAGAATTGGCTGGACTGTCATTTTCCTCTTTGGCATGGCTACCTGGGGTGGTGGTTTGAAGTTCCAGTTGGGTGTCACCAGAGACAACGTCGACGACGAGCCTCTCATTGACTTCCACGACAGCTACTACATTGGCCCTATGTTCTTGTACATGTGCTACGGAGCTTTCGATGCCATTTACCAGGCCTACATTTTCTGGATCTTGGGAACTTTCTCTAACAACCCAAAGAAGGTCGCCTTGTACGCTTCTTTCTACAAGTCTTTGCAGAGTGCTTTCAACGCTGTCGTCTGGAGATTGGATGCCCAGAAGACCCCCTTCATGCACATGTTCGCCAGTTCCTGGATTTTGGTTGGTGCATCGATGCTTTTTGCTGCTCCCTGCTGTTTCTTCAAAATCACTGAACACACTGAGGCCGAAGACGACGACATCGATGACATCATGGACGAGGAGGAGATCACCTCAGCTCAGACCAACGAGGACACCAAGAATGCCAAAGAGGCCTAAATGCAACGAATGTCATGTCTTCATTGCTTCCCATCGTGCTTTGCACATCTAATGAATTTTACGAAGTTATATATTTAAATGGCACTTCAAAGAACCAATTCTAGTAGCACCACTTTTTTTTTCGCACCCATTTGACCTACTTCTGTCCAGAGTGCAGGGAAATAGGTCATAGGCCACACTAGCATATAAAATAACCTGCCCGACAACAGGTCATACCAAAACTCAATGACCATTCAGTTCATTCCAGGAGATCCTAACAGGTCAACTGAATGTATAAGTCAGGCTCACTGGAAAAGCCATCATATAATTGCTTATGGATCTGGCAATAACCTCATACTTCTGACAAAGACAGACGGTAACAAGAGCCTTCAGACGATATACCTCGAGAGAGATCCAGTGGCAATTGACATCAATCCAAGAGATGGTCTAATATGTGCATCATCTGGCAGTGAGATTATCATCTTGAAGCCGGTCAATGAGTACATGTCAGTGCCAAAGTGGACAGAAGATCTGCGAATTGAAAATGGTTCAAACATTCTCAGCATCAAATGGGCTCAAGATGAGAACGAATTGGCTGTGGGGTCCGCGGAACTTTTATCCTTGTATCACATTTACGATGAATACGGAGAAATCAAGCATGTCAAACGTTGGCAGCAAGCCCAGGCTAGCCCTGTGGAGCACTTGGACATTACAGCAGCAGCAGATAAGATTGTCACATACAATTCTTCATCCTTTGACAATTTCGTCAAGGTCTGGTTTCGAATCAATTACGGAGACGCCAATACTCTCTTCGACCTCGAGTACCTAAATCACAGCTCCGATACATGGATCACAGGCATTCAATGGCGCCAGCTGTCTTGCGAAGTTGATGACGACATTCACCAAATGGCACATATCAAAAACTTACGAAGCTATATCCGAAATGATGATAGCAGTGATGTTCTATATGTTACAACTAGTGATCATGTGCTTCACATTTGGGCCACATATGACTTCAGCGGACATTCCAGCATCAAGCAATGGGCTCTGCTTAGTCTTACACAACGTCTTCTGAGCAATTACATGACATCAATCATTATAGACAATTCGATCCTACAATCGACTTTGATACCTATACTAGAGAGTCTCGAGAAACATACTGATATAATTGAAGCATTCAAAATGGCGGATATTGAGTCCTCAGACCTTCTCTTAGTGTGGGGTAGCAATGGCGAACTAACCGTGCTGGCAATTTCAAGAATAAGTGAGAGCCCGCCGAACTCCGTTGTCCTAAACGATATCTTTACTGTCCAATGCAACAGACACTGTATCCCAAGCTTCTCTTTTGCGGATTTGATAGAATCTGCCGGAGAAGAAGATGTGTCGGGAGAGAGGTTTCAAACAATATCAAATCCCGTTGTTGGCAGTCATGTTACACATGACAAAAACACCATCCAGTTTCTCATTCATGACAGAATGAAGAGCACAGTCAGATTCGATGAAATGAATTTTGACAGTTTGGTAAAGACGCCGCAACAGTCAGTCTCTCTCAAAAATAAGTACCAAGGTCATGCCAAATCCATCCAAAAGCTCATTACCTCCACATCCTCCTTCGAAGGAAATATCATGTTGTCGATCTCAAATTTCCCAGAGCATAATTACATATGGGAGCCACTACTACTTGAGCCAGAGAATCAAAAACACATGTCCATCACCAAAAGGTTTCGCCTCAATGTTACAAGAGATCACGACAATGTGTATGACCAGGGAATCCTGGATGCTATCCTCATCAACGACATCAAGGAGCCAATGGGATCGTTCAGGCGCCATCTTGCGTTTGTCGTAGAGAAAGGTGGTCACGCAAGTCTCTACGATTGTGATGGAGAAACCATGGATGATAAGGACGCTGAGCTTGTATACTGTCAGCAGATTCTAGACCAACACAACGATGTGATAAGAAAGAAGCCTTTGGCACTCTCGTTGCATGAGCTCTCGCATGGCCTCCACGGCATTATCGCCATCTTCAATCATGATCTCGTTAAAGCTTGGACTATTCAAGTATCTGGCAAAAGAATCATGATCAAGGAAGCAAAAGTAGACAATCTTCCGGGAACCTATGAGGGAGAATGTCAGGTCTCAGCCGTCGACACCTACCTTGAGAAAGACATTTCTGCTATTGATGGAAGAGGCGTTTTCAGATCTCTTTCTTCGACGTTTGATGAAGAGACTCAGACATTTAGCTGGACACAAAACACACTGATTCATACAAGAATTCAAAATATATCTCAAATCAGCGGGGCATCACTCATCAATAAGCTAGCTCTTGTCGATGAGACAGGTCAAGAACTCTCCATATGGGATACACAATCAGGATTGTTGGAGTATAGAGAGGTCTTTCCCGAGAATTTCGGTAAGGTCAGAGATTTGGATTGGAACTTTACTGGATCTAATCATGAAACCACCAATGCCATTCTATCTGTTGGCTTCTCAAGATTCGTCCTTCTTTACACCCAATTGAGATATGACTACACTAACAAAATACCGACATTTGCTATCTTGAAAAAGATTGATATTTCAGAGTACACTTCACATGAAATTGCGGATTCGATTTGGATAGATGATGGTTATCTTGCAATTGCTTGTGGCAATCAATTCTTCATCGACGACAAATGGGTTGATCTAAAAGAAACAGGTAGCACACACGCCAGCAAGTCAATGAATCAAACAATACGACAGCTAATGATTGGATATAATGCCAAGCCAACAAGCTACTTGATCGCAGACTTGGTTAGGATCCTCAACGGTCCGCTCCCATTATATCATCCTCAGTTTCTTATCCAAGCACTTTTTAATAATGAGGTTAAACTTGTCGAAGAGATTTTAGTGAAGTTGCTTCAAGTGTTGCGAGATGACCAGCCGGTGACTTGGAATCTTGACTTCAATTTCTTGGAAGCAATTATCCCAGAGAAGAAACCAAAACTCAAACGTCGCTTGTCTCAAATTGACGGAATCAATAATGAGAATATTGAAGTCTTCGGTCAATTCAATGGCGTCGTTCTGGACCTTTTGGTAGAGAAGCTTACCAAGGTTTCTTTACCGCTACTCACAAGACATCAGCAAGTGACTTTAACTACTGTTGTCAACATTGTCAATGAACTCTCCCAATATAAGCAATCCATGGACGAAAATGGCTTGAAGTTCTTTTTGGGTTTCAAGCTCTTTCAATCATCACTGAAGCAAAAATCATTGTCAATGCGTGATATCAGTTGGGCGCTTCATAGTGATCAAAAAGAAATGCTTTTTAGTGATGTTGATGGATCCTTCCAGCATAGAATGACTTGGGAGAATATAAAGCAGACTGGTTTGGTTTATTGGACAGACACAAACCGGCTTACCTCAATTATCGAAAATGCAGCGAGGAATGAATTTGGTGATACCAGAGATCCTTCTGGGCGTGTTTCTGTGATGTATTTGGCAATTCAGAAAAAGCAGGTTCTTGTTGGATTGTGGAGGACAGTATCCCACGCTGAACGAGAGAAGGTCCTCAAGTTTATGAGCAACGATTTCACGGAGCAAAGATGGCGAAGCGCTGCCCTGAAGAATGCCTTTGTGCTTCTAGGTAGACACAGATACATGGATGCTGCCTATTTCTTTCTACTTGGAGGTCTCGTGAAGGATTGTTGTATAACGTTATGCAACAAACTCGAAGAGGTCGAATTAGCACTTGCAGTTGCCAGGGTAAATCATGCCGCTGATGTCATCAAACACATCATCGAGAATTTCATTCTACCAAAAGCTTTGTTGAAGGGCGATAGGTGGATGACAAGCTGGGTTTTTTGGCAACTCAAACTTAAGGAGGTTTCAGTTCAAGCATTGATCAAATCCCCGTCGTCTGTTGTGAAGAAGCATCAAGAGCATTTCTCTGAAGCCTTCCAGAAGGAATTGAAAAAGATGCAACTCGATGCTCAAAGTCATAGTTTCCTCAGGGATGATCCATTGCTAGCAGTTTTATTTCACAAATTGCGTGCCTCCAAGCTGAACTACCTTAAAGGCTCAAAGGCTGTCACTGGAGAGGAAGAATTCAATTTCGTCATAAAAGTCAGCATGATATATTCCAGAATGGGATGTGACTACTTGGGATTGCTTCTAGTGAGAAACTGGAAGTTCTTGAGCGATCACTCAACTAGTCAAGATGAGGCTCAGAAGGGTAAAGATCTATTTTCAGAATTTGCAGGGCCCACAGTGGATACTAAGGTGGTGAACGACTCAGTTGCCTTCCAAGAACCTGACATGAGTGCATTTAGTTTCGGATTTTGAGAACACAATAATGTTATAGTATAGAAATGTAAATAGGTTCCAAAAGGATAGTTTACCCAAAGCTTGACCAGCATCAGTAGAAAATTGAAAAAAAAAAAATTAAACCCTACCCGGGACTCGAACCCGGAGTCTCCCGCTTAGGAGGCGGATGCCTTAACCATTTGGCCAGCAGGGCTTAAACAAGTGTGAGTGTATATAGCAATTAATATACGCTTTAAATTGCGCGATTGGTCAAAATCTTTGTTTCTTGGCTTGAAACTCATTTCAGGCGTTTTTATAATAAATTTCGACCTCCAGGTAGCTTTTGAGCTCAATCTGGGTATCTAGAGTGGAAATATACCGCGATTTAATACTTGAAATCCCAGTTAATAGCAAAATTCCTTACATAAACGACCCATTTCATCTTATTTGAGCCGATTGATGTCAGCTACCACTAGTTTCCTTCTTTTCCTGTTCATTGTTTCCTACGTTGCATGAAAGTAGTGATTCTAGATCAATTGGCAAGCTACTTCCCTGAGTTCATTAAAACTCTAAATTCTAGAAGCACCTAGAGCTCGATTTCTCTGTACAAAACTCCTTCGGTGGCCTGTCCAAGGCTACCCAAGACTTGCACGCTTCCATTCTGCTGGTCGATGTGATCAGAGTCAGGCTGTGAAGGATCGAACTGATAAATAGAGCTTGACCCTGTGTACATAGTGTCCTTTTCAACTCCAACTCTATTGCAAACAACCACTGTCGTTCTCGATTTCTTTCTGGGGAAATAGTTTCTGAGATGTGACAAAAATGGGAAGAAGCGAAGTATCCAGTAGTTTACTGTCAGGGTGTTAGGCTTATCAGCATCTTGAATCGGGTAATCCGGTTGATCCTCGAATTGCTTCTCGAGAACCTGGCCTCTCTTGAGTTTCTCCTCCTTGCTTAATTCTTCGTTGATGGATGGTGAATTCTCGGAAAGCCACGCAGTAGGGACAAGAATAAGGGACGAATTGTTAACAAAGCAAGATGATGCAAACTCGTATTCATAAAATGGAGCCTTGAATTTGTAGGGATTAAGGTCCATGCATATGCCGATACTTGTCAAGATGCTCGATTTTTGTTCACCCTTGCCTAGCTTTAAAGCAACGGGGCTAAAACTCTTGTCGGGATTTTCTGAGCATCCAAAGGCCTCGTCTGTGTCATAAAGGTGCGTCTTTCTATAATTGTGGACCAACGAACCTTGATCATCTATGACCATGGCAGAGTTATATATCTTGTCTTCAAATCTTTCTGGATATCCAATGACAGTAGTACAATTGTATTGTTTTGATAGATCCTGTGCAAGAGTGGCCGAGGGTCCTGACCCTGCTTTGGCGAGGTATGGTTCGATCTCATCTCTACCTGAGAAGTTGTAACCAGTTACTGCAAATTCGGGAAGTAAGATGAGATCAATGTCCTTTTTAACCTTGGATAAGAGGTGTTTGACTTTGGCAATGTTCAAGTCCACCTTTCCTAATCGTGCATTCAACTGAACACACGCCACCCGAAGCTTCATGGTGATAAGATGGAATTTCGCACCTTCGCACTAGTTATGGATTGCAACACGGAGATCTCAATCGTGGATGTTCTCCATACCAGGCATACCTTCGAATAATTTTCCAAAGCATGGACTTGAGATATCTTTAAAATGATCATAAGGGGAATTTGGCTCTAAGTAAACTCCACAAACATTGCAGAAAAATGTGTAGCATGAGGAACACCGCATTTTGTTGCAGCCATCGGATCTCTGAATGATCAAGTCGCAAGTAGGACACTTTCTGAAACCTTGACTTTCGTCAGCAAGAAGCTCACTGAAAAGCTTGTCCATTTTGTATTCTTGTGACACCTTTGTCATGAGATCAAAACCGTATCTGCAACGAATGTCGTTTCTCTCTTTCGACTTTGGATCTGATTCCAACCAGGTCTCAAGTGCCTCTATCGGAACACCTTGGTATTGCTTGCCATCATTCACCTTCGCACAGTCAATGCTGTCACTATGGTATGACTTGCGGCAGGTGTTACAAAATGCGTAGTTACAGTCACGGCAAATGACAAGCCGGCTGGTCATATCCTCTCGAAATATCATAGCCGGGCATTTGCTTCTGGGACACGAGACCAAGCGTGTCGGGAACATTTTGGCAATAAGTGTATGCTGATGATCTCTGAAAAGCGTGATAAACCGCTCATAAAGCTCCATGCCCTCTTTGTCGTAGCCAAGGATTTCGTGAACTAGAGAAAGCTTGATGAACGGTGTCATTAGCCTTGTACGGAACTGGTTGAAGTCAAAGGAGGCATCGGTAAGTGTGTCCAAGCGAAGGTAGCGCTCTCTTGTTTCTAGGAAACTCTTTGAACAATTGAAATCAGGGCAATGAACCTTTTCAACATCACCACCTTTGATGAGAGAGACGAAGAAGTTTCGAAGGCAGCCGTTGCAAAATGTGTGACCACACAGGTTGAATTGCAGACAAGCCTCTCCCTTGACGTCGGCCTGGCAGATCTCACAGGTGAAAGTAGTGTCGTTGAACCTTTTCTGGTTGCACTGGTTATCGTGCTCTATAAGCAGCTCATAGAAAGGTGCGTCCGAACCACACTGTACCGAGTAACCCACGAGCAGATCGAGGTTTGCATTCACGCTTTCCTGAAGAATGTCTATAATTGTGAATAGCACCTGGTCTTTCGTGAGAGCCCACTGCTGCTCGATCTCTAGTCTCATCTCTTGAAGACGGTCTTCATCGATTACCCTGCATTCTATGCTAAGCTTCGGAGCCGACTCATAGGGGTATGTTTCGGGGAGCTGGAATCGTAGTTTTAAAGGCGGCAAGTGCTTTATTCTCTTTGATTGTATTGTCTTTTCTCCGGATGAGTCTTGCAAGTTCACTAGTAGGCTTCGGTCTGTTTCCAAAGGTATAGTCATGACGCCTGAATTTTTGTCATATTCAATACTTATCTGGTCTCCGTAAATGGACTCGAGCGTCTGTAGTTCTTCTTGACGAGGCGAAAGGTCATAATCCTCTAGATCCATATCATCTCTTGATGGCATGAAAAGTAAGATGTGCGCAGAGCTGATAAGTCTTATGTAGTACGATAAGCCCATTGCAACGGTGAGAAGGTTGAGCACATAGTAAACGAGAGTTCTTTTTGCATAATGCGGATATATCTATTAAATTGCGTGGAAGAGACAGTTTTGAGATATCTGTGATTGATAGGAGTTAGGGCACTCAGCCGTCTGTCTTACCACGCTTACTGAACTTCGCACAGACATGTCAACGCCAGATCTTAGGGCTTCAGCTTTTATTTGCTTTACTTAGAGCTTACTTTGAAATCTTTTGAGGAATCTCTGACTGTTTACAGAACTCTCAGGCTTTGGTCAATCTACCATTGTGATGAGATTTTTGCACCCAGATCTATCTGTCAGCGCATTTCGAATGAAATCGACCAAATTGCGTTCGACGCCCAAACTATTCAAAATGACCTGATCAGTACCTTGTGCATTGACTCATAGACGAGACCTATGGAAAATTCGAATGGCGTAAAAAAAATGTATGAGTACTTTCGGCATGTTGCGTGACATCACTATCACGCCAGGCAGAGTCCATGCGCGAACCACTTTTTGCACCCATACGAAGAAACACATAAAACAAGTGGTTGAGAGGAGACTTAAGCGACTTCTTAATTAGGGAGAATGTAGTGTAAAGAAGGAAATTCTGGCACTTATTGACGGGAGAAATGTTGGCCATTCCCCGATTGGGCGGACCATTGTCGTTGCATGCGCAGTCAGGCCCTCCCCACATATCGGGTCACGATACATTGAGGCACCCCTCTAGAACTACTATATAAGTGCTTGACCCCACACTGAAATTGCCATAACCAATTTTCAAGATTGACACATACGCAGATATAAACATTATAATATCGCTTTCACGAAATGACAAGAACTCACAAGTGGAACGCAAACAAAAACGCAGGCCCTAGATACTTCAGCCGTGCTGGCGGCCACACTGACATGAATCCTTCTAAAGTTGCAAGAGGAGGCTTTGGTAAGCACAATTGGGGTCAGCCAGGCGATGAATTGGACGATCAGGAGGAGTTTGACGACCAGGTTTTCTTCAGCAAGTCCAGAAGACGTAGCTCGAATCATGCCATGAACGAGCAAATGCTCAAGGAGTTGAACGAAAAGTGCGACAAATTGGTCACCGAAGCCTGAATCGATCTCAGAGGTGCCAATTCATTATGAAGTAACGTATAACGACAATGAACGAATCGATAGATAAGTTGTAGTTGATCTAGTTTCCTTGAAGCTCGTCGGCGCGGAGTTTACTCTCAATCTCTGCCTTCCAGCCCTTCCTGCGCTGTCTCTCTTCGTACGCCTTCTTGTTGTCCAACACACGGTTGACGATGAATGCAGTGTTGATGTTGTCGTACTTGTGTGGACCAAGTTCCTGGACTAATGGGGCCACATCACTGTATGCTCCCTCCTCGAATGGAGCAGGTCCATGGAAAACTGCCTGCACTTCACCAGGGATCTTGTTCAACAACTGTTTTGTAGCCTTCCAAGGAACGCCAATGACAACAGCGTCAACGTAACGGCACTGCAACACGCAAAGCGATCTCTCAAAAAGATTCATGACAGGGTAGTTCATTCCCTTATGGGTGTTGATCGTCTTGTCGTCATAAATTCCCACCACGACGGCTCTACCATTGGCTTTCTCTCTTACACAACGCAAGGCCTCGATATGGCCGGGATGGAAAAGGTCGAAGGCGCCGTCAATGTAGACAGAACCATTATTCAACTTTTCCTTGATCTCAGGTGATGGCTCCACCACCGTCTTAAGCCCGTCTTCACCCTCGACGTTGACGAACACGGCCGAACCTTTCTTGTTTCCCGTTGCATCCGAAGCGTACATTTCAAATCTTTTCAATGCATCCTCGTTGGAGAAAAGAGGGTGCTCCAAAGCAGTCTGAAGAGAAGGGATGGGTTTGAAGTGGTGTGCTTTGCTCATCAACAACATACGACCCACCAAGTCAGTGGTGGAAATGTTTGGCGTTCTCTTGACAACGACGAATAATCCCAAGTCTTTGACGCCCTTGTAACAGTCCTCACCGTTTGCGTCGGTGGTGATGTCGTCACCGTGAACCACATACTCACAGCCGTACTCTTTCATAAAAGCAGGGTCTGTTACGTACGGCGCAGAAGGCACCGCCTTTGTAGACCATTTGCATGCCTCAACGGCGGTGAGTCTCTCATCCAATGTCATAACAACTGGGCCCTTGTTGTGAAGAATGTCCTCATCAGAATGAACTCCAACATAAAGCTCTTTGCCTAGTTGACGGGCCTGGAGCATAGCACCAGCATGTCCTTCTAGTTAGTGACTACCAAAAAACTTCAACACAGACACATACCGTGATGGGCAAAATCAAAGCATCCATCAACCCAGATCCTGCAGTTTTCAATTCCCTTAGGGCGTTCAAACATGTTTTCTAGCAAAGTAGTGGGATGCTGAAAAACACTAGGTGGGGCGTAGCGAGATCGCGACTGGGCAAGCAGTCAAGCATATGCACATTCGCAGCCACCGGGTCAAATGAAAGCACTAATAAAAAGCCTACCGCACGCCTGACTGTTGCTGTGCAGATACCTGGATGGCTTCTTCTGGTTGTTTTTTGAACATCTTTTTCTTTGGTGGAGGTGGATTGTAGTTTTGAGAGCGGGCGTGACTTTGGTATAACGGTTCTTGCCGCTGATCGCTAGTGCCCACATACTGGGGCCGTTCATTCTGCTGTCTTTCTCTGCCCAATTTCTCTAAATGCTTGTAGATCATGCCCGCGTTTCTAGTCAGACAGCCATTGAGCCACGTGAAGAACCCGCCAATCACTGGTGGGAGGGAAATGAGCAAATCAAACAAGATCTGGGAATGGAGCTTGGCTTCCAATTGGTGTGATATGAAGAATTCCTTCTCTGCAATGTTTATTAGCCGGGCATGTACCACATACATCATGAGTGGACCGAGAGCAGGTAAGAAGAAACAGGCCACTGGTGCTAACCCGACTCCACAATCCATGCCTACCCCACACAGACCTAGGAAGCATTTATCATCGATCCATGCTTGTTTCTGGATCTTCTTCCATGCATTCTGCTCTTTCTTCAGGTATATGTCTGGATTGAGCTTTCTCCTCTTATCGTTCTCATCCTGATAGGGATTGATGGTGTTGAACTTCTCGCCCGCCACCTCGTTGTATTTATCCATAGCAATGTCATATCCGGGGATATTTTCTAGTTGTTGTTGGAATTGTGACATGTTGGGCTCAGTCACGTAGGTTGAGTCCAGGAGAGATTATGTCAAGAACTGTCATGTAGGTGCCGCGCAACCGAACTACCCCAACTTTTAAGCAACTCTACCGATTATTATTCTATTTCCTTACCCTAATCCCTGAAGCTGTGTGGCTTGCTTCTCATTTCGTGCCTAATAATTCCTCCTTCTCTTTCTTCAGCAATGGCTGCACCGCTCCTCCCAGCTCCTCTTTGCAAATGAAGCACTTGGTCTTATTCTGTTTGAACCTCGCCATGAAACACTTTTGGCAAAAAATGTGGTCGCATGAAGTTTTCACTGGGTTCTTATAGTCTTCCTTGCAGATGGGGCATTTGAATGGGACGTTCTCCTTTCCTTGCTTCTGTTCTGTCTCTGGCTTCGAAGCCACATTTTCCCATTCCTTAACTATAGGCCTCTTCTGCTTCAGCTCATCACGAATATGTAAGAATTTGCAAGTGTCGCCATAGCCACAGAAACCTGTTTGTTGGAAATCCTTGCATATGTCAGGTTGAAAGTCGGTGAGAGTGATGACTTTGATGTTCTCCGGAGCAGGCTTGGGTCCAGCTATAGCCTTCTTTGATGGTTCCTCTGATTCTTCAGGCTTGCCTGTTCTCGGTAGGTCCTTATTCTCGTGATCAATGTTCCGCGATGGTTTCGAAGCATTCGAGGTGGTGATCTTCCGCTTTTTCGAAGTATCTGAGAGGATGCTCGACTCATCATTTTCTTCAACTGGCTGTTCAGCACGTCGCCTTGTCGACGTAGTTGATGACTTGAGTGTGCGCTTCTTAAACATGGATAAGATATGCGATCTATCTCAAAGGTTACCCCAGATGAGCATCCCAGTAATGTAGATTGTGCACGTGCGTATAAGCACGTGATACCTATTTCTGTCCTTCATATTTATACTCTAAACTCAAATATGCAGAAATCCGAGATAGTTTAGTGGCTAGAATTACCGCTTGTCGCGTGGTAGACCGGGGTTCAATTCCCCGTCTCGGAGCTCTTTCTTTTTGCAATTGCTCTGAAGGTATCAAATTTCTGAAAGCTTCCCTATAAAGCTAAGTTCCCGTTCCTTTAGTCTGCATCCAGGTGCTGGCGTGTCTCAATTGCATGAATGGTTCTTGGATCAATTCGCGCAGTCTTCTCAGTACCACACCAATCTCCAATTATCCACACCTACTTGATCGCATGGGCAGCTTCATAGAATATCGTGGCTTTGGTCATGTTCTACAAGGAAGCGGTCCTTGGTTTTGGTGGCTAGTCGGATTTTACTTGTGTGTTCCTTTTTTGGTTTATATGATACTTCCTTTTATCATGTACAAGCGTCCTCATGGAAACAGAAAGACGGTCACGATTCTAGTGCTAGGTGACTTGGGCCATTCTCCGAGAATGAATTATCATGCGCTTCTGTTTTCGAAGCTCGATTATAATGTGAATCTCTGTGGGTATTTGGAAAGCGAACCCCCCGCATCTGTGATGGAAGACATGAACATTGACATTCGTCCCATCGTTCCCATCAAGAACAAGGGCAATTTACCATACTTGGCATTCGCTGCTCAGAAGGTAGCTCTTCAGCTATTCCAGCTCTTTCTGCTTCTCATGGATGTAAGAGGGTCAGACTACTACGTTATACAAAACCCTCCGTCGATGCCCCTCCTACTAGTATTGGTTGTCTTCATAAAATTGTTCAGCAGATCATCTAAATTGGTCATTGACTGGCACAACCTCAACTACAGCATCTTGAACCTCAAGTACAACAATGAAAAGCACCCATTGGTGAGGATATTAAGACTCTATGAAAAGATATTGGGACAATTCGCTTGGCTCAACATTACAGTGACCCATGCAATGAAATCTTTTCTAATAAACGAGTTCGGCTATTCCCCCTCTTCCATTACCACTTTGCATGACCGTCCTGGAACCCAGTTCCAACCCCTTCAAGAAACGGGCCTTTCCAAGGAGGAGTTTCTCCGAGACCATCTGCTTTTCAAGGATGTCCCGGGAATAGACCAATACAAAATCCTCGTGAGCTCGACCTCGTTCACTCCCGATGAGGATTTTGGGGTATTGTTGGATGCACTCAAGAGTTACGACGATTCTGAGGCCAGCAAGAGTAACCCTGTCTTCCTTATCGTGACTGGAAAAGGCCCTCTCAAAGATCAATTCTTGTCTAAGGTAAGAGAGCTCAACTTTCTGAAGCGTGTGATAATAAAAAATGCCTGGCTTGCGTCCGAGGAATATCCTACGATCTTATCATTGGCAGACCTAGGGATTTCCTTGCACACATCCCTGAGTGGTATCGACTTGCCAATGAAAATTGTTGATTTTTTTGGCGTCGGTGTACCTGTGATTTCGCTTTCGTTCCCTTCAATTGGTGAACTTGTTGTCGATGGAACAAATGGCCTTATAGTACCAGATGAGACCTCTTTGTCACAAAGTGAGGAGCTTTGTCGTCTCATTACGAACGTCTTGAGTAACGAAGAGCTATTGAAGAAGCTCAAAAGAGGTGCATTGGCGGAAAGCAAAAGAAGATGGAACGAAAATTGGAGTAGAAAGCTTGGATCAAAATTTCCAGACGTATCGTAAATATCTATAAATCATTAGTCATTATCGTTCAAAGTCGTAATTCAATGTTCTTAAGTGAAAGAAAGTTCACAAGGCCATGCTTGAGGTCCTCTTCATATCTCTTGCGCCAGTCCGATATCCCTGAAGCAATTGTGTCTGCTTGCAGGCTCGAACACACACCTAACATCGTGTTATGGAGTTCAATCTCTTTTTCAATAGTTGATAAGATTCTTGTGCATGCGCTGATATTTCCCTGGGATGCTAAGCTCATTAAAAAGTCGCTGAACATCTGAATGTCATCAGGATGTGGTCCCTGATGCTCGAGAGACAGTCTGACCCACTCTTGAACCTGTTCAAGGATACCAAAAAGTTCAAACTGCTGACCTCCTAGGCCCTCGATCACTAAAGCTCTTGGCTGAGCATTTACCCATTCGGAAGTTATCTCACTATCACCTATGGCCTTAAGGTTCTCCTTCTTTTGCTCAAGTTTGGCCCTCAAAGACACCAGATTGAGTTTTTTGTTTTTCTTTTGCCATGCCAAGTCTTTAAAAAACTCTTCTCTGATGAGCGTGGGGATCTCACCCAATACTTCTTCATCGTATGACACTGTATCATTGTAAGGAGTCGGTGACCTGGGTGCTTTAGCTGGCGATGTCGATTTTTTAGGTGAAATCCCCAATTTCCTCTTCTTCTTGGGTGATTCAACAACTCGAGCAATCTTGAAATCACCATTAGTTTGTGTTGGGAATAATTGTTGAAGATATACCTTGCCTACCGGACTCCCGGTGGAGCCCTTTTTGACAGGACTTGCCTCTTTTCCAGAGACTGGTATGCCCCTTCGCAAAAGCTCTTTCTTCAACTCCCTTCTGATATCGTCAGGAAGTGTGTTGAAGACATCCCAATCGATGGACTCGCTGTTTGTGACAGTGTCAGCATACTCAAATAGTTGAGAGTTCTGTAAAGGCTTTGCAGGCTTTCGAGCTTTGGGTCTGTTAAACTCGAGACGTTGCTGCCTTTGTTTTTTGACAGCCTCTATATCCTCCAATTTTCCCAAACTGACTGCAATACCACGAAGATCTTCAACTGGAATATTCATGACTCGAAAAAGAGCTTTCATCTCTGACCCAAGGATACCCCAATCGTTAGTTGGGACACCCATTCTGGATGATCTGCTAAAGAAGTCACAGAGACCAAGACCCAAAAATTTGGGAGGGTTCTTTGGTGCATTAGGAGCTCTTCGAGCGAGCCTTAGCGTCAACACAGATCCACAAACTCCCAAGGCAAGGAGTCTAGTGTGGAGCTCTCTTGCTAGCTGCATGAGAAAGTATTCAGCTTGCTCAAATTTGTCAAACCGAATTCCAAAATTGACATCCACCGACACGGTTTTCCTTCCAAGAAGAGCTTCGCTACTACTTAGGTCGAGCGTGATCGAAGTCTTGTCAATACCTCTGCACATCTCGTAGACCCTAGCACCAATCTTTTCGCCCAAGACAGTACTTAGACGCTGCAGAGAGAGGTGTTTAATTTCCTTAATTAATAGCTGTTTTGGATGGACATCCAAATTGAGTTCGTTCGTTAGCTTATCAGCAATACTCCAGCCAACATTAGGAAGATCGGTGACTTTGCAGTCTTCGAGATAACTTTCGACGTCTTCATGAAGGTGGAAGTAACCATTGGGCTTTGCTCTTTTGGTGGCCAACTTTGCCAACAAGACGTTTGCTGCTGCACCAATTGAGGCAGTGCACTTCACGAGGCCGTAGATGTCAGCTCTTATTTCTTCGCAGAATGACTTGATGAAACCAGCATCTTTACCTCTACAATGAGAAGTAGCATCCACCAAGACTTCATCGATCAGCACTGGGAAAATTGAATCAAATACCTTTTTCGATAGTAAATAGTTGTAAAAGGAATTCGAAAATTTCTCATAGGAGTTGAAGTCGTAGTCGATAACTTTCAAGTGGGGACAACGATCTTTCGCTCTTCCAAGCCACATGCCATTAGACACCCCCAGTTTACGAGCAACGTAATTGCAACTCGCTACATCGGAGGACTTGCCGCCATGCGACACGGCGACGGGATCTGTGGCTAGGTCAAGTTCAGGATGGCCTAGTGCTGATGCTTGGGCAAAAAAGCAGTCAAAGTCGATATGAAGCACAACGCTGTCATCGGGAAGTTCCGTTTTAGTATTTTTGGCCGCATTTGGATTATTCTGAAGAGTATCTTTTGCAACCATTCTCAAGAACCTAGCCCGAAGGTCAGCTTTCCATGTACTTAGATGGTGAAGCCTGGAGTTGGCAAAGAAATGCTTAAGAAAGTCTGGATGCTTTGCATCCATCGCTGAAGTATGCGATCTTTCTTGTGCCAAATTGAGGTCGATGGGTCTGTCCTGAGCTGGGCCTTCAAGTGGGTCAAGCATTGCAGGCTCAACAGCTTCAGCTACGGTGGTATCTGGAAGATCGGGAGAAACAGCAGTAGTCTCGGCGACAATCTCCTCCTGCAATGCTGCCTCCTCGGCGGCATCCTCGTCACCCTCTTCGTCGGCCTCTTCGATGTCTGGAAACTCATCTTGCTTGTCATATGATGTTTCTGCCACAGCAAAGCCTAGCCGTTGCTGATCATAGTCAATATCGTCAATAAGTCTATAGTCACGCCAATTAAGGAGCTTCTTCTCCTTGACGCAATCTGCTACCCACTGGGCCTTTACAACCTTATAGTTCTTAAACTGAATCCGTTTTCTCGGCGTGAGCCTGTCACACACGATGTGCGTGGCGGCGCCTTTGCTGGAGAGGTAGCTGAGGAAGGTGCCTCCGTGGAGAATGACCAACTTGTGGATGACCCCCATCGAGGGTACTGTGTTTCCATTAACGAACACAACGCAACCGGCAAAAATATTCTCCCCCTCGATTGGCTCGCCGGCAGCAGCACGCCGCTTTCGCTCCCACTCAATGTACGCGTCGTCAGCCTTCTGCTGCTTGAGGTGCTTGTTCTGGAAGTATGTTCCGAAATCGCCGAACTCGTGAAGCGGCCCCACGTCGGCAAACATCGACTCCTGAGGCTCTTCGCCTTCTTCATCGTCTTCTTCACCCGGTTCCTCCGGTAGCTCGTGCTCTGCTTGGTTCATCAACTGATTTCCCGGTACCCAGTCGTCGCCCTCTTCGTCCTCATCACCACCTCCAGCGTCCCCATCGTCGTCAGTGTGTTCTGTAATCTCCATCACAGGATCCCCCTGGTTGAGACCTAGTAGAACGTCATCCAAATCGTCATCAAAAGGGTTCGACTCCGTGGAGCGAAGCGACCCCAGCTTTCTTGCAGTAGGTGTAGAAGTGCCATGAAACGACCAGTTCTTCTCCTTTCCCTGGCTCAAGCCCTGGATATGGTCGAGCAACTGCGAGTTGTCCAACAGGCGGAGAAACGACTCGTACGTTTCGTCCATGATGGGCTGTGCTGGCTGCACAGTGTGCTATAGAGTTGATTGAGCAGAGACGTTAGAGTGTATGCGCCCTTGACACCACCCTGCGCAAGCGGCTGAGGAGTCACAAAACGGCAAAGTATCTACGATTAGACTTTCAAAATGGCAATTGGACCCATGGATCCAAAAAAACTAAAAATTCGAAAGAATTTCTCTCATTGGCGCTGTTTGCTAGAACCTCACTTATCCAATGCAACTACATGCTCGCTGTGTTTGCAGCCATGAAGTATTGCCGGGTCGGCTACATGAACATAGAGGCATTAACCATAACCCCAGGGCCGTTTTTTGACATATCCTTAATTTACCCCACCCACAAGCCCAGGTCGCCCGTGGCCGGAGTTTGCAGCATGCGGCCGTTACCAACCACTAATTGGCCGCAAGGTCGAAAAAACGTTGTGAGCAAAAATTGACTATTGCTTCCATGGCACAGATCCGCAACTTCCGAGGTGCCAAGTTTTATGAATTTTTTCTCTTTACCGCCAACTTTTCGTGCTTCGCGGGCGGTTGTCGGATCGAATCGCGCCAGCTCAGCCTTCCGGCGCGACCATGACTCCAGAAATGCTCCGGTTTTCTTTCCCTGTTTGTGGCACCTGTGTGGAACAGGGCCCTGGGTGCCTAGCGTCTGGATGCACAGTGGGCCGCTAAAAATAGATCGGCCCGAGCAGATGACGAACTTGGTTTTCGGTTCACTTCCGAAGCACAGTATAAATCACATCGTAAATCCTGTCAAATCAATCCTGCCTATCCTAACCTTGATCCAGGCTTCGCATTCCTAGCCCAGCCTTTCTTACTTCTGTTCACCTCCGCTGTCTGCAGTCTGTCACGATACGCTCGACTACTCATTTTCTCAGTGTCAAGAGCAAACTTTTCTCTAAACTACCTTGCCACACGCGATCCCTAGATTACAATGGTATGTGGTGACTCCTTGAAGGCGCCCAATGCGTGCGCTGTTTCAAATCACGACTTTTTTACTAACAGCAGGCCGAAAAATTGTCCGAAGAACAGATTGCTGAGTTCAAGGAGGCCTTCTCCCTCTTTGACAAGGACAGCGACGGAAAGATCACCACCAAGGAATTGGGCACGGTCATGAGATCGCTTGGCCAGAACCCCTCAGAAAGTGAATTGACGGACATGATCAACGAGGTGGACATCAACAGCGACGGCTCCATCGACTTCCCCGAGTTCTTGACCATGATGGCCAGAAAGATGAAGGACACCGACTCTGAGGCTGAGATCGCCGAGGCTTTCAAGGTCTTTGACAGAAATGGTGACGGCAAGATCTCCGCCGCTGAGTTGAGACACGTGTTGACCTCCATCGGTGAAAAGTTGTCCGACGCCGACGTCGACCAAATGATTAGAGAAGCTGACACCAACAACGACGGCGAGATTGACATCCAGGAGTTCACCCAGTTGTTGGCAGCCAAATAAGCGCCCTTCTAGCGGCCTGGTCTCTCATCTCCTTCATTTCGAACTAATGCCTTATGTATGTCAATTCTACAAATCAATTGCTTGTCTCCTTTCATTTGTAAATACCTATCTCTTCAAACTCATGAATCTTCCGAGCGACGAACTTCTCAGTATCGTCGACGATCTGGGCAATGCTTGCCTGTTAGATGCATCGAATGTCATGTCAGGAAGCTCATCACCGTCATCCTCATCCTCATCGCTGTGATCGGCCTCGGGAGAATCCTTCTTATGGTGATGGTGACCACCAAAATCCAATTCATTGATGTTGCGATGCACCAAGTACCGAAGCGAATTGTACCAGATGTTATGTCTTTGTCTGTTTGAACAAGTGAACTTCACGGACTTGGTTTGCGAATGCACAATGATACTCTTATGGTAGAGACCAACTGGAATTGGGTTGTTGTCCTCAACGCTCTCCACGCCCAAAATTGCAATGGCTTTACTCTTTGAAGCATTAGGATTCTTCAACACAGGGTTCGAAGTGGACCAATAAAGCGTCAATGAGTATGGGTGCACCCAGAAGTACCTCTCGTGTCTTGTGGACGATATCGAACTGAGTGGACCGAGTTTTCTGTAGTATTTGAACAAATACTCCCCAATAAGCACTTGGGTGATGACCGGGATCATCGACTTATCCGTGAGCGAAATGTTACTTGCAACAGACATTCCTGTGATTGAATCGAGCATACTTGCCCTGGAATGAATCGTCAAGTTCGAGCCCACCGATCTGGACTGAGGAATACCTCCAGTGGCACCTCTTGAAGATGGTGAAGTTTCCTGAATATCATCATTCACGGGCAATACTGGGAACATCGATTCGTGCTTGAAGCCTCTTTTTTCAGCGTAAGTCTTGAATTTCTCATCGGAAATCGTGTCGATGTTGCTATCTCTGAGGCTGTTGTACTCCGAGGTAGGAAGAAGTTTCACTGATCCAGATTCTGCATCAGCAACCATAGCATTCGACGCTGCTGCGGAAAGTGGGACGCAGATCATACCAAGGTTTTTGGCAGCTTGTCTCAATTGTCCAACGTCAGATTCAATCATCAGAGATCTTTTCATCTTGTGCAATTCAGTGGCGGAGACCACTGAAAGACCCAAGTCTCCAGCTCTCTTGCTGATCTCCTCTTCAGTCATAACGTTTTCTTGACTAGCCTCGAGGTTGGCCAATCTATCCTTCAAAGTAGCGTACTCGTCTTGACGTACCACCACTAAACCAAGCTTGTCCAGCTCTCTAGCAAGATCCTCCTTGGACAACTGAGTATCAGCCTTTCTCGATAACTCATGAATTCTGGAGTCTTTCTCCGCCAAACTCTGCTTGAACTTCAAAAACTCACCGGAACTCAATACAGACAAACCGAGTGCCGCACCTGCCTTGGTAAATAGATCCTTGTCATTCAACTGTTCGGAGGTTTCCAACATTCGTTCGTATTCCTCGCGATCGACGACGACCTTATTCAATTTATCAGCACTGCACTTCAACTCTGTCACGTCTAATGCAAAGGAGTCATTGGCGTCTCTGAACTCCTCATCCGCTTTACTCACCGAATAACCTTCTGTTTCCAAAGCACTGATCATCTCTCCGAATCCAAGTGGTACTGGCATCCTAGAACTCAATTCCCGTGTGAACTCATCCTCTGTAACGACCTTGAAACCACCGTTCAGGAGAACCGCTTTCGCTTCTTCGGGGTAACCGATCTATTGGCAGCTTTTTTCAACAGAGAGATCTCCTCTTTGGACATGATCGCCTTACCTTCAGCCTCTATTTGCTCTTCAAAGTCGACACTAGCCCTATTCTTCAATTCTTCCAACTCATTTACCTCAATGACCGAAAGACCCAATGCGTCACATCTTGAGATAAGTTCATCTTTTTGAGGATTCTTCAATGACTCTTCCAATGCTTTCAAGCGTGGTTTCTCTATCAATGCAACACCTTGTCTTTCGGCTTTTTCCTCGAGGGTTTCCGCCGACTTGGTCTTCAATTCCTCGAGTTCATCAGAAGGAAGCAATGTGAGTCCCTTTTTCTCAGCGTGCATTGTCAACAATTCAAAGGATGGCTTGTTCGCTTTCAAAAGCAAAGTATCGTACTCTTGTGACGCGATCAAAAGTTTACCTGTTCCTTCAACCTGCTCCTCAATAGAACGGTTTGCTCTAGCTTTCCAGTCATCTAATTCGGCCTTGGAAACCACTATGCTGTCGTGAGTTTCCGCAATGTGCTGAAGATCATCGATAGAACGAACTGTTGGCCTTGCTCTCAATTCCTTGAGCTCGTTCATTTCAATAGTTGCCAAACCTGACATCTCTGCCTTTTTCACAGCAGAAAGAGATGCCTCCTTCTTCAAGTTTTCGAGCTCGGATTTCTCAATGCAACAAAAGCCTAAAGTAGCAGCGTTCGTCTTGATGAAATGCTCTGATGGCTCGCTCAACTGTTTGACATTCCTTTCGTGATCATCTTTGGAGACCAAAATCATGCCAGCTTCGTCTGCAAGACTTTCGACGGTACGGTTGGCCCTTCCCTTCAACACGTCATGTTCTGTTGTAGGAAGAATAATCATTCCTTGTGATTGAAGTAGGGCTCTCGCAGTTTCAGCCGAAGGACACTCGCTTTTCTTTTTCAACTCTGCCAACTCGGTAGGCTTTATGATTGCCAATCCTTTCCTTGAGGCGTGATCCTCGATCGATTCATCAGCACTGCTCTTGAGCTTCTTGAACTCAGTTGTCAGCACTGCTACCATTGACAAAGCAGCTGCTTTATCGAAAATTGATGTTTCATGCAGAGACTTCAATTTGTCGTACTCGGCATTGTCAACCACGACACAATTTTTGGTAGCAGCATTGTGATGAAGATATTCAAGCGAAGGTTCATCGTATTGGCGTTTAAGTTCGTCGAGAGACGCCGAAAGTTTCTCGCACTGTTGTCTTGAGCCCATCAAGTCATCATATTCGGCCCTTGGAAGTACTGTAAGAGACTGTTCTTGGGCTTGGTCTGCGAGAGACTTGTTCGCCTTCTCTGTCAATGCGGTGAAGTCTTCTTTTGTGACAGCAATCATGCCAGCAGAAATGGCAGCACTCTTCAAAAAATCAGCTGTAGGTGAATCAATCTTGGACTTAAGAGCCTCTAACTCTTCTGATTTTATCAACGTCATTCCTTGCTCCAGTGCTCTCTGCAGCAAATCTTTGGAAAGCAAATCATACTCCGTCTTCGAGATAACACAATGATTCTGCTTGGAAGCAATTTCACGAATCTTTTCAAAAGCGGGTGATTCAGCAGACTCACGCAATTTCTGATAATCAGTTTTGGGTACACCGATCAAACTTGCGTCCTCAAGCTTGGCTTCAAGCGAGCGAGAAAGCACAGCAAATTCAGACTCTGGGACAAGTACAAAGCCCTTTGCGTGAGGCAACAGCTTGATTGCTTCCAACGAAGGATTCTTCAACTGATCGTACTCTTCTTTGGCCAACCCTATCATGCCAGCCTTTTCAATCTTGATTGATAGAGG